TGTGGTAGGTATCCTTTACCATCCATAGAATCAACCAAGTGCGTTACTGACCCTTGCACTCCACAGCTCCTTGCTCTCGATGATATCCAGATTGCCAAGGTCGGCCTGAATGATGGTGCCATCATGAAACTCAAAATTGCACAACAAAAGCATGGTTCACCCAGACTCGATAAACCAAAGGAGCCACCAAAACCTTCCAAACCCACTATTGTTCCGCCCAAACGTCTCCTGGATCCAAGCGAGTACACTCCGGCAGAACCGACCCAGAATTGGAAGTGCAAAACACACTATGTGAAGCACGACGTCTTCATCAGGTAAGCGGCGATTCGTTCGCAACCACGTCATTTCACCCAGCTAACATGTGCCCCCACAGTTACCGAGTCCGTAGTGACGCCAGCAATGCGACTGCCCTGCATGGAACCCTCGCTGTCACTCCGCGAGGCCAAATGGCACTTCATCCCTATCTCGACAGTCTCTGTCTCTGTGACGGCATGCCCTGGGAACAAGGTTTCATCAATGGTCTCTACCAATCGGACGTGATTGTCCTAGTTCTCTCCGAGGCTGGACTCGATCAAACCTACAACGCGCACAATGAGAAAGACAATCAATTTCTCGAGGTACGTATCTTCACTTCTCCCTCTTTACCCTCAAACTCGCAGTCTCACATCCATTGTGTCTATAGATCCAGCACGCTCTCAAGAGAATGAAGGATGGCGAGAAGAGTGGCAACCCCGTTACCATCCAGCCAATTTTCATGTGGTATTCAAAAGAGATCGATGGCGAGACATTCCAGAAGAAGTACTTCCCGCCCATCAAAGAGCTCCCTGACTACCCTCCGATCCACGAGAAGAGCCCGTTGTTCGATGGGAAGCCAATGTCGATCCGTGAAACTTTTGCCGAGCTGATGAAGCTACAGGCTCTTGATGCCTCGGACGGAAACGCACTGCGGAGGTAAGCGTATCACTGTTGTATATCATGTTATCGATACAATCTCACACTCTTGATATTCGACAGACTAGTGCCCAATATTCACGAGCTCATAACAAAGACTTCCACTGCCGCCAAGGAGGGCGACGTGTACACACAAGGCGGCAGTGTCGTCCTCACCGCCGAACAAGACTCGCTCCTGCGATCCCTCCTCGATCCCGTCGACTCGACCCAGGACCAGCACGACCTTGAGGATCTGTATGTCGAGGGTACCCGCCAGTGGCTGTTCGACCAAGTCACTCACTGGGTCAACGAAGACACCAAAGACACTGTCCTGTGGGTGAATGCCGTTGCTGGTGTGGGCAAGTCTGTTGCCGCAGCCAAGCTGGCCAGCTTCCTCCGGGGCAAGAACCAGCTGGTGTCGGCGCTGTTCCTCAAGTACAACGACACCCGCAAGAGCGATCCGCGGGCCGTGCTGAGCACGATCGCATACGGCCTGTGCCAGTGGTACGCACCGATCGGCCGCAAGCTGCTCGATGCTGGCCACTCCAAGGACAGTCTCGACAAGATGTCCATCCCCGAGTTGTTCAAGGCCGTGATTGCCGATCCACTCGAAGCCATCGGCAAATACAGACCCAAGGGATCGGTGATGATCCTGGTGGATGCACTCGACGAGTGCTCTCCACGCGACCAGCTGCTCAGTCTGCTTGCCTGGCGGTTCGTCGAGCTGAACAAGACCCGTCCGTGGCTCAAGTTGCTGCTGACATCCCGTCCCGAGGACGACATCAAGGCAGCATTCCATGGAGTGAATGCCAAAACAATCGAGCCCTCGAGCGATGAGAATATCGCCGACTTGAGGGTATTCATCAGACACCGACTGCTAGTGCACGGCACTCTCACTAACTCGGACCGAACCGAGGCAGTTGCCATCCTGCTGGACCAGTCCAAGACATTCGTGTGGATCAACCTGATCCTTAACACGCTCAAGGAGCAGGCCAAGAGCGAAGCCATCACACTCGACAAGATCAGGGAGATCAACGACAGCGCCACTGATGTCAAGCAGCTCTACGGGATCACATTCACCAAGATCCACTCCGGGTCGAGCCGTAAGGGCGAACTGATCACCGTGATCTCGGCCATCGCCACATCGCAGACCATCCTCACACCCAATATGATTGCCGGGATCTTCTTCCGCAACGTGGCCGAGGGATATGCACTCCGCATAGTTCACGAATGCCTGAGGAGTCTCAACTTGGTTCTCGCTCCTGGTGCAAATGGCTCCACCGACGATGGCGAGGTCAAGTTCAACCACAAGTCGGTGGCGGACTATCTCCTCGGCGATGCATCGACTGGCCACCCGTGGCATGTGTCGAGCTCGTTCCACACGATGTTTGCCAAGGGATGTCTCGGTGTGATCCTCTCGCACGAGCCGGTGATCAACATCTGCGAGATCTTCGACTTTCACGACAAGATCCCTGACCTCGAGGACAGGGTCGCAGACAAGATCACACCGTCGCTGCGATACAGCGTCGCCCACTGGGTCACCCATCTGATTGAGGGTACCAAGGTCAATGGTGTTGAGTTGGATGGTCCCTTTGAGACACAATCCTTCGAAGAATTGGCCCCGTTCTTCAGACAATTCATGTCGACCCATGTGTTCTACTGGCTCGAGTGTGGGTCGCTCACACATCGTATTCAGGAGATTGCCGAGCAACTGTCTGTGCTCCGAGGAGTGATCACCAAAGCACCCAGCACCATCGTCGACGACACCACGAAGGAACTGGTCAAGGACACGTATCGATTTATCCGCGAGTTTGCCGACCCGATCATCAAGAGTGCACCACAGGTGTACAACTCGGGGTATGCATTCACACCGAAGGAGACGGCGATCTACAGGGCATATGCCGACCGACTCGAGGACAAGATCCCGTTCCTGGTCACAGCCGGTCCAGCACCCACCTGGGATCCGTGTGTGATGACAATTACTGGACACACGAATTGGGTGTCCTCCGTAGCGATCTCACCCAATGGCAAGATTGTTGTCTCGGGGTCAAAGGACAAAACCATCAAAGTGTGGGATGCCACCACAGGTCAGCTGAAGCACACCCTCGAGGGACACACAGACTCTGCTTGGTCTGTGGCGATCTCACCCGATGGCAAGTGGATTGTCTCTGGCTCTATGGACAATACCATCAAGGTGTGGGATGCCACCACTGGCCAGTTGAAGCACACCCTCGAGGGACACACAAGCAGGGTGACCTCCGTGGCGATCTCACCCGATGGCAAGTGGATTGTCTCTGGCTCTGAGGACAAGACCATCAAGGTGTGGGATGCCACCACTGGCCAGGTGAAGCACACCCTCGAGGGACACACACTGGGTGTGACCTCCGTGGTGATCTCGCCCGATGGCAAGTGGATTGTCTCTGGCTCTATGGACAATACCATCAAGGTGTGGGATGCCACCACCGGCCAGTTGAAGCACACCCTCGAGGGACACACAGACTGGGTGACCTCCGTGGCGATCTCACCCGATGGCAAGTGGATTGTCTCTGGCTCTGGTGACAATACCATCAAGGTGTGGGATGCCACCACAGGCCAGGTGAAGCACACCCTCGAGGGACACACAAACATTGTGCGCTCCGTGGCGATCTCGCCCGATGGTAATTGGATTGTATCTGGTTCTGGTGACAATACCATCAAGGTGTGGGATGCCACCACAGGCCAGGTGAAGCACACCCTCAAGGGACACACACACTGGGTGAACTCCGTGGCGATCTCACCTGATGGCAAGTGGATTGTCTCTGGCTCTCATGACAAGACCATCAAGGTGTGGGATGCCACCACAGGCCAGGTGAAGCACACCCTCGAGGGACACACAAGAAGTGTGAACTCTGTGGCGATCTCACCTGATGGCAAGTGGATTGTCTCTGGCTCTCATGACAAGACCATCAAGGTGTGGGATGCCACCACCGGCCAGTTGAAGCACACCCTCGAGGGATACACACACTGGGTGAACTCCGTGGCGATCTCGCCCGATGGTAATTGGATTGTATCTGGTTCTGGTGACAGTACCATCAAGGTGTGGGATGCCACCACTGGCCAGGTGAAGCACACCCTCGAGGGACACACAGGTGGTGTGAACTCCGTGGCGATCTCGCCCGATGGCAAGTGGATTGTCTCTGGCTCTATGGACAATACCATCAAGGTGTGGGATGCCACCACCGGCCAGTTGAAGCACACCCTCGAGGGACACACAGACTGGGTGACCTCCGTGGCGATCTCACCTGATGGCAACTCAATTCTGTCTCGCCAATCGGGTGGCAATCAAATCCTCTGGGTCCGTCGTGGTGACGAGTGGGTTCAATCCGACGAGGATCCCTCCAGCTTTACCGCCGCATCCAACCCACATGCATCGTCCCAGTGGAACGAAATCACCAACGCACCTCAGTGGATCCGTCATGGCAGCCACATCACCAAGGTCCCACACGCCCTCGTCGGTGATTGGAAGTTCACTCTCCCATCTGGAGTACATTTCGTGATGAGCAATATCTTCCCATCCCGTCCAGTCATCATCCTGGTAAGTCCAGCCACTTGTCACCACTCCTCCAGTCCCTCAACTAACACTCCTACCACCACAGCCAATCTACCTCAACACCCCAGAGATTCAAGCCGAGGTTGCCAGATACATCGAAGCTCGACCAGCCATCACTCCCGCTTTCGAAGTGGCAAGAACAGCAGTCGATGAGTAAGCTTGAGTCACCGAAGAACAAGCCAAACCGAAGGGTCTGTTCAAGTGGTCCCGCAAGTAGTGTGGGAAGAACGCAAGTGCAATTGGAATGTATTGCATGCGAAATATCGAATACAGTGTCCGTATGCCGTGTGAATTTGGGCATAGGTCCGCCTCTGCCGCCGCCAGATTTTCGTTCAAACCCGACCGCGATGGTCGTTGAAGCGAAGACCAATGAACCAGTCTCGCATGTGGCCGGAGCCACGGTGGTTCCAGACAGAGCTGGAGGTCTCAACTGAAGTGCCAGTTGGTGATGGGCGGCGGCAGAGGGCTTATCAAATCATATCAAATCAACAGAGTCATGTTCCAGGAGTGGTTCCCATTTGAGTCGGGAGAGTATCGGGCTTGGTGGTCTTGGTGTCGCGAGCGATGCTCGAGTGGATCGATAGAGACAGGAATGGTCTCGGATGTGCCATGGATGGGCAAGGATGTCTTGAGGCGTCGATAGTGACGTGCGACGCGTAGTAATCGCGGAATGCGATGGATAGGATGGTTTGTGCCGGATGATAGCAGGTAATATAGGTAATATAGGCAATGTAGGTAATGATAGTATAGGCCGTAGAAGAGGCAGTATGGAGTAGGCAGTGGGCAATGGGCCAGAGGACGAAGGCCAGGATGAGCATGATTGCGATTGTCATTTTTGGTTTCTGCGAATGGAACGTGCAGACTGGAGGTGCCGAGTCATGTTAGCCATCGCACAGCATGACACACGGACATGCATGGAGTATCATCACGGAAGGAAATGCACTTACGTTACGGTCTTGAGTGTTGCTGCTGCCCAACTGCCTGGAGAGCAATCAGCACCATCAGAACGAGCCGAATTTATGGGCCAGGAATCCCGCCAAAACCCAGCCCGCCAAAACCCAGGGCGCCAAAGCCAACCCGCCAAAACCCGCCACCAATCACTCCTGTAGGATGTGCTCTTCCCGCCATGGTGCCAGGGCCAGCCCCCACATGACGTCGATACCCCGGACCATCATTTTACAGTACGACCATTATGCTATTCCTCAAGCGTCAACATGAACCCACAACGACCATGTAGACGCGACCTGAAAGCCTCACGCACCACCATGTTCGACCAAGCAGAAAGATCTGGCCACCGACGAGTGCCCACGATGATAGCGCAGCACCAAACAACACCACGAACCACAATACCCACCATCCCAGAACATACACACCGATAACACCATTCTCACAACCCCAACGGACACCACACAAACAGACATGAAACACAACTGCGCACGGATACCACGGAACCATCAACAAACCACAATAACAACGATATATCAATACTCCACATTCGACGACATCCCACACTGAATTCCAACGAACCCAACAGATACGGTATCTACCACACTGTCCCCCCTCCCGATAACACAAGTCACACGGACCACACAAACCCAAGCCACACGCAAGCAGACGACAGAAATATAAAAGAGGACGAATTCCCCCCCAAACCCGATGGACGTCCAAACCCAATGACTACCACGACTACCACGACGATCACAACTATCACGACTACCACTACTATCACGACTACCACTACTATCACAGCAACCACAACTATCACGACTATCACGACTACCACGACTACCACTACTATCACAGCAACCACAACTATCACGACTATCACGACTACCACGACTACCACAGCAACCACGACGATCACAACTATCACGACTACCACAACCACCACGACTTCCACGACAACCACAACCACACTTAACCTAAACCTAACCTAACCTAACCTAAACCCTCACAATAAACACCATATACCACAAATATCACCACTACCACTACAACCACATCCACCCCAACTACCCCAACCCTACCGTCCCCCTCATCTACCCCTACCCCGCCAACCCTACCGTCCTCTGCGCCCCCCTCCCCTCGTCTACCCCTACCCCTACGTCCTCTGCCCCCCCTCCCCACGTCTACCCCTACCCCCTCCACTTCCCTTAGGTTAGTCAGCTATACCGTTTCTGTCGTCCCCGCCAACTCTCAAAAACGGTATAGTTACCGATATACCCCTATACTACTTCATTGCGGGTGGAGATGCTGCAGTTGCGAGTGCTGGCGATGGGGGGGGTGATGCAGTCGCAAGCAGTCGAAGCGGTGATATCACAGCTGATGGCAATTGATGGCAATTGATGGTAATGGATGGCAATTGATGGTAATGGATGGCAATTGATGGCAGTTGATGGCAGTTGATGGTGCGGCTGATGCGGCCAACGAAGGCGATTGTGCAATCGGGTTTAGTCGTCCCCCACCTGCCTCCTCGCCAGACCGCCTCCTCGCCGTCGCCGTCGCCCAGCCTTGCCAGCCAGCATTCTCGGTCGACGCACGCCGCTGGAATTGCGACTGAGGCTGCGGCTGCAACTGAGATTGCGACTGCAATTGAGATTGCGACTACGGCACTGCAATTCGGATTGCGATCTGTGGTCCGTCGGCCTCGTTCCAGCCGTCGGCCTCGCCGTCGTCCGGGCTCGTCGCCGAGAAGGCCCTCGCGACCCGTGACGGCGCCGGACCATCGGAGTTGAACCAGGATGTCCGTTGCAAGAGGGACAGCCTCTGCCCCAACCTGCCTCCTGCTTCCCTCGCTCGCTCCCTCCCAGTACACAAGACCCGCCGCCAGCCCGCTATGGACGAGAGCCCCGTCAATAAGGTGTGTTGCGGCCTGGACGTCGGCTTACTGCGTCTGCCGTCCCTTTGCCGGCTGGGCCGCTTGCCCGCGACGGCCCCGGAATCGCTGGCTTTGCTGTCCAACAGGATCGCTGTGAATCACCTCCAGACCCGCTGCATGTGTCGCCGAAATGGGACGCTGCACTGCAGCTGCATCCTAATCCCCTCATCCATCGGCCATCGACCGTCTCTTCGCTCCAGGCCAACGCTTTTGCAACTGCTGCCGAAGAGTATGCTGAACAAGGCAACCTCTCCATGGCCATGGAGGCTCATTTTCGAGCAGCCGGTATGGCACTGCGGTCCCGCAGAGCGCATGCAGCCTCCGGGCCTGCCTGGGTGCGTTGATCGGCTTCTCACCATCTTGCCCTTTACCCCCGCATCAAACAGAGCAGTTCCTCATCGCCACCAACTTCACCACCGACCAGGAGGTCAGCTCTCATGGCATGCTTGCTTCGGGGTTGTCTTCAGGCTCCCACTTTGACCTCCGTCGACACAGCCGCTGCGATCGACCATTCCGATCCACAGCCTTCGCACATGCCGCTGCAAAGTGTTCATGCTGAGCGACCGCTCGCACGGCGTCGAGCGCTTCGTCATTGCGAGCTGCGCTGCGGCTCCTTCCCTCAGTTCCCAGTATACTTTCCCCCGCTGTCTCCGCTTCTGACCGGCTCTCAATCTTTCAGGCCATCAAGACTCTCAAATTACTGTATACCAACCATACCCGGCAAGGGAGGGAGTTACAGCGACGTCTTCAGGCTCGAACAGCATCAATGATTACCCCCACGAAGCAAAGCCCGGCTTCTTTCTCATCCGAGGGGCCTTCGCGACCGCTCTCTCAGCCTGCGGCCACCGGCGCTAGACTCCCCCCAAACTATCCTCAGTCAAAATACTCTCCCGTCCGACCTCATATTCCATCCTTGAACCAGCGAACGACACCATCGTCCATGAAGGGTACCGTCGGATCCCACAGCCAACACCTCCCTCAGACAGCCTCGCCGCTGGCAGCCTATCCCGCAAACTCAGGACCCAGTGATGGCGATCTCTATGGATCCCGAAACTACTTCCTGGGCCAGGAAAGCGGCAGCATCCTCGGCAACTCACAGGGCGTCGTCGGCACTGGCAGTCCCGCAGCAGGCTACGTGCTGTCTAATCCAGCTCCTGGTAAGCCCGAGTCCCTGCATTGATCAGCGACGGTGCCGTGACGATCGTCGGGGTGAGATACGAGGCAGGATCGGCCTCTGCGTCGTTGCGCACGACAGCATAGCATAGCATTGTATAGCATAGGATAGCATAGCATTGTATTGTATTGTATTGTACTGTATTGTATTGTATTGCTTCGCATGGCGTCTCATGACGGCATCGCATCGAGCCATCTCATACGGTCTCATTCAGTTTCTCAACATTCATTTCCTAACGCCGAACTGGGCTTGAATCTGTATTCCTGATAATTCTCCAACTGCCGGCCATTTGCGCTTGACTAACAAACAAACTCTGGGCATGCTGCAACAAACGGACCAAACCACCACCAAACACGACGCCTGCGACAATCTTGGCTGTCAGCCACGGTGCCTGTCGAGTCTCTGGATGCCTCCGAGGCCGGGCGACGGTCGATTGAGAAAAGCTACTTTATCATGAATAGCCAGGCGAATGTGAGTTGCAAGCGAATCTGCAAAGGAGGATAGACGTACGATCTCCAACGGGGTGGGAACCCGGCTGGACGGATTGGCTGTGTGCCCCGATGGACGAATCTCTGCCCGTGGAATCCGTCGGGTGAATTGGCCAGGGCAATCAAGTAGTCTTCACTTTAGTCTTTGCGCACAGTCTGATACGAGACGGTCTGATACGAGATAGTCTGATACGATATACGTTGATGGCACCAGGACGCGGACGATGATCCAGAGGATCCCTTCAACAAGTTTTGGGACGTTGTCGAGAGTTTGGTTCAAAAGGTCTCGATCACCGGACCAATAGCATTTGCCACGGCTCCAATTCCGTCGGCAAATGCGCCCGTTCCTCCTTCCTCTGCCCTTGCACCGCTCGAGTATCAACAAACCATCCCCGAGTATGCGCACCAAGGTAGGTCTGCATGGCTGGTTGGCTGGTTGGCTGGTTGGCTGGTTGGCTGGTTGGCTGGTTGGCTGGTTGGCTGGCTGGCTGGCTGGCTGGCCGAGTCTATCACCACATGCATCTTCAGGATTGATGCTGGTTCTAGCCCCGCCATGATCACGCAGATACCCTTGATCGCATATTCATCGCGATGCTCTGTTTCCTCACCATTCGCACCCGAGCTGTCCTCCCCCGGCGAGCTGCTTGAGTGCAAGCTTTAACATCACTTCGTTTAATGCCGCGCAGACTCATCGTGGGGAAACCCGCCCGACGGTGTTCGGCATGAACCTAACCCGCGCGATATGTCCGACACCATGAAGACCACAAGCATCCTCAACTCGTACTTTATGGTGCCCAATGGCGACAAGATCGGTTCGTCGGTCCTTCCGGTCAGCAGCCCCGCCGGGTCGGACCATGAGCGCTCCGGTCCCCAGTCTACCTTTGCGGGCGCGAGCCCTGCCGCTCGATTCGGAGGCGAAAATGTCGTCTTTGGCGATCCCAGCGCGTCCATCGACTCAAACTACTTTGGGCAGGCCCGAACTGCCAACGCGGACACAGCCGCTGAGGTCGACGTTGGCCGAGCGAGTGAGGCCATTGGAGGCAAGGTCGAGAGCACTGGCTCCTTCTCATCAGGCATTCTCACATCCGCCTCGTCTGTTACCAAGCCAAGGTAAGGTCTCTATCGCGCCACTGACACACGGCAGCTGCAATCGCTCATGGGTGAAGAAACTCACAGCAGTGTTTCTTGACGTAGCGTCGCAACAGTAAACCGAACCGCGGATGAGCTCATGGCCGAAAACGACGAGCTCCGGACGACAATCGATGCGCTGACAAAGCGTCTGGCTGTTATGGAGAAGGTAGGCTCGCCACAGGGCCCTCATACTTGCTGGCCGACTCTCCAAAGTTTTGGCTGCCAGTCGAGATCTACACGGACTGTGAATGGCCCAAGAATATTCGCGCCGCCTTGGTGGCTGAATATCGCCACAGAGGGTACCCTGGTCGGCCGTGCGGATCGTCGATGTCGCCCAGCGAGTTCTTGTCCGAAGCCTGACCAACCACATCGTTGCGTATATCTCCAGGCGTGGGAAGAGAATAGTGTTCTCCGCAACAGCATCATCCAGTTCCGCCAGGACGTCCAGAAGCAAGCCAAGCGGTATAAGCAGAGCCCTCTTGGTCTCTCTCGCCAGTACTCGACCCCGGCCTCTGGCAAACATGTTGGCACCATGACCGATCCCATGGACACCGACTTGCGTAAGCTTCCGCATGAAAGTATCTGGTGCAGCCTGGCATGCATATGGACAATTCGACTTCTAGCACTATCTGCACCGCCACCGCGGCTGACGGCCATTGACTGTCTCTAGAATCCCGAGTGGCTGAACTCGAAGCCGAGCTCGAAAAGTGCAAGCAAGAGAACGAGGCGCAGGTTAGCTTTCATGTGTCGCTGCATTGTTTGGGCGCACTGTATCGCGTTGGCCTTTTTCGATAGTCTGGTTGCTGTGCGACTGACTGACTGATGCGCATCGATCATCTTTTGACGCTATGCCCCCCCCCAGACACTGGTGATGAACAAGGTAGGTGATGCGCGGGCATGTAGAACATCCCGGACTCTTCTGGAGCACCGCCTTTGAGCAATCCTTTCATTGTGTGTGGCGATCGATGTGGATGCCGGGGCCGAGCAGTGGCATCCATATCCACGCACATGTTAACCAACTATGCGATCTGCTTCAGTATAAAGACCGATGGGAACGGCTCAAGGAGTCGGCTCGCAAGAAGAAAGAGTCCAAAGAGAGCTTCAATCCATCCGAGTCAGTTGGATCGTCATCAACCCGGGAGGACAGCACCCCGTCGAATGAACTATCGAGCAACGGCTCGCCCGCCCATGTCTGCAGCAGCCCGACTACCCATTCCACCGGCACTTATGACGCACGACGCAAGAGCTTCGGCCCCTCCGAGCCCAGCCCAGGAAGCAGCAGCCCGCACTCAGTCGTGGCCCGACCGGCTTCGACGATTGTGCCAATTCTCTCCAAGACGACCTCCCTATCAATGGTGCCGTCGTCGTCGGAGGGTGCCAAGGGCCTGGCCAACATCGGCGGCGGTTACAGCCCTCCCCACGTCGTTACTCGGCCCAAGAGCACCAGCATCACATTCTCGAAGAAGATCGAGTCCCAGCCGCCGGTGCCACCCTCTCCAAACAGGAGCGTCTCCAACTCGGTGATCAGCGGACAGAGCCTCTTCTTTTCGGCGACAAGCGGCGCTGGGTTTGAGTGAGCGAGACTGTTCTGGCCGCCACATGGCTCTGGTACTCTCCCTCCCCTCTTCTTCGTTTGGCGCTCGAGGAGCTCCTGCGACCGAGTGGGTCCAGAGATAGAGAGGGTGAGAGAGAGAGCTGCAGGGCCTAAGGGGCCGCCCAGGCCGGAGGAAGCCGCTGAATTCAGCTTGTTCGAGACGAGACGGGATAGTGATCCGTAGGCCCCGGTGGGCAGGCCATGGGATTGCGTGCCAGTCTCCGTTGACAATCCGGTGGTTTCGAGAGTAGTGTCCTGAATACATCTGGCCAGTCTCTTTTGATTTTAGCCCCGATAGCGTACTCTATTGTGCGTGCCTGCCTTGGACATCACAGACACTCGACGAAACGGCGATCTGGAAGGTGGCAACATGTCTGGGTCTGCACGGGTGAATCGGAGCACTCTCGATGTGTGATGGCGTCTGTTGCTGGCCCAAAGGGCGGACATTGCTCCGTCAGCCCGGCCAAGACGCCCATCCACCACCGCCGCCCGCCTCGAAGCAGCTTGACCTCTGATCGGCCTCATTCCTTTGCCATCGATCCGCACATCTGCCTCGTCCATCGCCCAGACCAAACCTCCCCACTCTTGCGCAGGCTTCAAGGCCGTCTCATTCCTCTTCCTGGCCCGGTGGCTCCAGCCTCATCGCATGACTGAAATCATTCAATCGCCGGTCCGCGGCAACTCATCCATCCAAGCCGGCAGCAAGGCGAGACCCTGTTTCTTTGCTTCTTCTCTGAGCCTGGCGTCGGGAGGCATGGGCGGTCTCTGCAGCGTCCATTCCGCTTGCAGTGCTCGTCGGGCAGCACAGCTCTCTGCCCTGGTGGCGTGAGCATACCGAGAGAGCAGCGCTGCAATAGAGCGGACGGGGTTATGGTCCCATCGATCGAGTGTCTCTGACCCCTGGCATCAGCCCCCGATTCAGTAAACCTATCTCCACCGCGACTTGTCCCGGCCTCGCTGACTCGTATCTATATGCTCCTCATTCTCCAGGCCCTGTCGCACCCGCTCATCATCTACCCGTTCTCGGACTCTGAAGACCAAGAGGACACCAGACTCTCGGGAACGGTCCCCGCCAGTGCCTCCAGACCCGGCATTGACGAGGAAGACGAGGACGGGGCCGAGATGCCAGCGGTCCAACACCCCAACGACGCCTCGGGATACGACTCGGACCCCGACGGCGACTACACGATTGCAGGCCTGGAGACCCTCAAGGTCGAAAAAGTCCTCAAGAGCGGATACCTCAAGAAGCGTCGCGAGAAGCGCAAGACCTGGAAGAAGCGGTGGTTCGTTCTGCGGGCGACGAGGTTGGCGTACTACAAGGACGAGCGGGTAAGGGATGGCTCTCGCAATCGGTGTCGTCACCAACTGGCACGCCGTGGTGCGGTTGGTGTCTGTTGTCCGGGTCTGTTGTCCGGGTCTGTTGTCGGTGTGGGGAAGGAGCCGGCAAGTGATGCTGATGCGAAGCCTTGGACTGTCTGCCTGACCCATGACGATTCCTTTCGCAGGAGTACGAGTTGCTGACCGTCATCAACATGGAGGATGTCCATGCCATCGCCGAGGTGCAGGTGAACCGCCGAGACTTCGTCTTTGGGGTCGTCACTCGTCAGAGAACCTACTACATCGAATGCCCCTCTCGCCAAGAGCTCGACGAGTGGCTGGCGGCCATCCGAGAGGCCCATCGGCTGACCCATGTGCAGCAGTCGCAACCATCGGCGGCCCAGTCCAACACAAGCCTCTCGACCGCCCGATCGGCCAGCCGTCCTCGCGGTGTCAGCTTGCCGGCAGTCAAGTTTAGCGATACCGTTTCGTCGAGCTTGTCCAATCGGCCCAATACGGTATCGACTCCGTCGCCGGCACGGTCGCCCGACCTTGAGCCCGGGCTGACCCGAGTCAAGTCGTCTGGGATCGTGACGTTTTCCGTTCCTGCGGCGCCTATCCTGTCCCGAAACCTGGATATGTCTATATCCGAGGGCCGAGAGAATGACCAGCTCTCGCTCGTATCGAACGCAACGTCGACGCCCGAGTCGATACTGACTGTAGCCTCTACGCCATCCGTGATGCTGGCCCGGGCCAACCATCAGTCAGCACCGATTGTGTCGATCCTGGCCAACCCCACCTCGCGTGTGTCAGTCACCGACACCGTCGGCCAGGAGACTCCTGCGCTGTCGCTGTCGCTGTCGCAGCCGCAGCCGCAGCCGCAGCCGACGCAAGTGCAATCGCAGACGCAAGTGCAATCGCAGACGCAAGTGCAATCGCAGACGCAAGTGCAATCGCAGACGCAAGTGCAATCGCAGACACAAGCGCAGACGCAGACGCAGCCGCCGAGCGGATCGTTTCCGGTCTTGACTCCCAGCGCCTCGCATCCCTACGCCCCATCCAATCCGTCTCGCCTTGTCGGCGTGGTCAAGTTTGACGAGTCGTCGGCCAAGCCCACGGCGTCAAGTCCAAAGGGTGCCAAGGTCATGGGTGCTGAGCCTGAAGCTGAAGGCGTGATGAGTAGTGAGGAGGAAGACGACGGCATCGACACGACCAAGTCCAAGTCCACCACTACCGCCATGGACCAGGGCTACATGGAAAGCGACGTGGTGCTGTGTCAAGGCTATCTCGACAAGCAGGGCACCAAGTACAAGCAAGCCTGGAAGCGCCGATGGTTTGTTTTGCGAAACCACAACCTCATCATATACAAAGATGCCAAGGTACGATAGCACAGGGATGAGCGCTATCGGAGAAACCAGGAGGGGGGGAGAATGTCCCTCTGTCAGCGCCGTGTTCGCCGACAATCGGTGCATGCAAGGCTGCATAGTATCGCGGCGGCACTAACCACTACGACCTCGTATGTACACACCGTACATCTGTAGGAGTATGTTGTTCGCCGGCTCATTCCTCTGCAGTCGGTTATCGACATCATTGCCATCGACCCAGTCAATCGGAATCGCCCCTTCTGCTTCAAGGTCATTTTGGCCGAGAATGCCCGGACGATCGTCCTGAGCGCCGAGTCGGAGGTATCCATGCGCGAGTGGATTTCGCTGCTGGAACAGGCGCGAGAGAAGTCGCTCACGAATCCCGAGGGTTGATACCGACGGCCGATCCCGATGGCCGATCCTGGGCCCTCTCTCCACCCACCTCACCCTGCACATTCATTGCCCGCCCTTCTTTTTGGAACACCCAGTCCTCATCCAGCGTGTTGACCCCTCCTTCCTCGCCCATGTGTTGCTTTGCTTTGCTCCGGGTGGGGGATTATTTCTTTCGTTTCTGCTTTGATGAGCCAAGATGTGCCTTTCCCTCCCCCGTTTCCCTCGCTCTTTCGTTCGCTTGACGTGGATTTGGGAGAGAGTGCGGGCTCCTACTTGGCTGAATGTGCAGTATCCCGCGAGCCCGGTTCGTTGGTGTGTTGCTGTGCGCCATATTGCTATGAACACTGCTCTCTGCTCGAGAGCATGCGCTGCCGCACTCGGTGCAGTTCTCTCGAGCACATATCCTCTTGCGGTGCTCCGCTGCAGCGTGTTGGAACGAAAAACAATGGCTCGCACCGTTCGCTGCCCAAGCCGACCACACACCATGAGTCAGGGCTGCAGCAGAAAAAAAGTCACGGGGACACGGCTTTCTTTGAGGATCGAGCCGATCGTGCACGCAACTCGACTGTCTCCGACGCCCGGATTCAGAGCATCCTGTCCAGCGGCATCGACGACGACGTACATCGACGACGACGTACATCCGGACTCAACCTTGCCATGCACAGCCAACGCACCGCTTTCCTCAAGCGCAAGAGGGTCGCCAGCACCGGGACTGGTACCGGCGGCGCCGCCCGCAAGATCAAACGACTGGCCCGGACAGGCGCCGCAACGGCTGCCAAACATGCCCTGTCGCTCGGCCCGCATCCGTATGGGATCAAGCCGATGGGCAACATGTTCTTCTCCAACGTCCCGGAGCGGCGGACCCGCGGACTCGGGCACTTTACCGTCCTGCCCGACGATCTGCTCGTGACCGTCTTCCAGACCTATTTCGACGGCGAGGCCCTCGGCCGGCTGTGTCAGGCATCGCCGGCGCTGTATTGCTTCATCCACCACGAGGAGATTTGGCGCTCGCTGGTGGTCCGTGAGTTCAAGGGAAGCTTCCAGTTCCAAACGACGTGGAAGCAGACGTTCAAGTACATGAAGGCACCCGAGCGTTTCGTTCTCGAGCGACCCATCTCTTGCGCCGGCATCTTCTCGGACTACCTATTTGCGGCCTGGCGGTGCGCTACCGTTCCGCTGGAGGACCTGTGCGGCATCCAAGTCGACACAATCGACCACCGCACCAAGCTGACCTACGAGCAGTTCCGCAACGACTATCTCATCCCGAACAAGCCCGTTCTCATCAAAAACGTGGCCTCGCAATGGCCTGCCTTCCACAAGTGGTCGAACGACTATATCCTCAAGCATTGCGGCGACCGGGTGTTCCGTGCCGAAGCAGTCGACATCGAGTTCAAAGACTACCTCCAGTACGCCCGCAGCTGCATGGAAGAATCGCCGCTCTATCTGTTCGACAAGAAGTTCGCGGACGAGGGCTCGGCCCTGGCCAAAGACTATGAAGTGCCCGCGATCTTCAAGGAAGACTTTTTCGCCTTGCTTGGAGACCAGAGACCGGACTATCGCTGGTTGATCATCGGGCCCAAGCGGTCGGGAAGCACCTTCCATGTGGACCCCAATTCGAGTGAGTAGTGCGTGTGCCGATGCAGCCATCACAAAGCACCATTGCGGCCCGTTCGTGGGATAGGTTCAGGACCTTACCTGGGCGGTCAGTTGTTGTGTGTTTTGTGCGATTAGTCCATTGGCTGTGCTTGAAACACCCCTCCCCCAGGCTGTGGGAACAGGCAGACCACCCATGACTGCCCATGAATCCCTCTGCGTTGCTCGCTGATTTGCTTCTGCTCTCCAAGCACCGCCTTGCCGAGTATGGCCTTGGCGTCGCCAAATCCCACATGGACTCGCCGCTGACTTACTTTTTTTTTGGGGGGGGGGCTTTCGCGGCTTTCCACAGCGAGTGCCTGGAATGCTGTCATCAAGGGAGAGAAAAAGGTAAGATGATGAATTTGCCGTTGTGGTTGGTAGTGCTCCGCAGGCAGCTCCATATCGCGCTCCACCGCTCATTCACAGCTGTTTCTGCTCCGATAGTGGATATTATATCCGCCTGAGCTCCCTCCTCCCGGGGTGATGCCCAGCGAGGACGGCAGCGAGGTGACATCCCCTCTGTCACTGACAGAATGGTAAGCTTTGTGGTGTTTTTGTGAAGCAGTCGAGCTCAAGGGTGTACATTCAGTCTCCAAGTGGGCGAAGCCGACAGTTTGGAGATTGATCACGCATCCAAGATCATGCCGGAAGACGATACTTGCGCCGCTTGCGAGGAAATCAGTGGTGGAATCACCGTGAAGATGTATCCGAAGGCCTGTTCCTGCCAGTGGCTGACAGGATGCGGACCATCTCCAACAGGTTCCTGAACCACTACGAGGAGACCAAAGCAGGACCGTACCGGCCAGTCGAGTGCGTCTGCCGACCTGGCGAGATTCTGTTTGTACCCTGCGGTAAGCAGCACCAGGCCGAGAGGCACATGTGATGGGATTGGCAAAGTGGCATGGCCGAGTACCCGATGGGCTGACCAACTGCTTTGCGACTGCCTTGCATTTACTACACGATGGCCTCTGTCGATACTCTGGACAGGCTGGTGGCACTGTGTGATGAACATGAGCGACTCGATCGCCATCACCCAAAACTTTGTGTCCTCCGAGAATCTGGGACAGGTTCTGGAGTTCCTGAAGGACAGGCGCGAGCAAGTCTCGGGCAGTGCCTTTGGCGAGGGACTCTACGAAAAGTTCACCGAGAAACTGCGCGAGCACCGCCCAGACCTGCTGCGCCAGCACGAAGCGAGACTCGAGCGCTGCAGCATCGATGTGTCGAGCGAACCCAAGCCGAGTAAGCCGAGCAAGCCGAGCAAGCCGAGCCTCTGGGACAAGATGGCACAGGCACCTGCGGAAGAAAGCATCTCGGCCGGGGGACTGTTTTCGTTTGGATCTGAGGAATAGATGTGGATAAATGAACAGCACTGGATGGCAATAGACCGGACGTCCATGGACACCGAGCGATTCCTGGTGCAGCGACGATGGCGGTCCGCTGTTTCGCATCTGGCACAGACCCGGAGCCGGACCCAGATCGTTGTTGGCATCAGAGCGAAGGTGGGACAGCGCGACATGGGTCGGGGAAGAGAGAGGGAAAGCGCGCTGTGGTGCGACATGGCCAACGACTCTTGGAGCGGTTTCTCTGGGGCACCCAGGGCAGGGCCATCGCCATCGCCATCGCCAGCATAGCCGCGATATCGGAGCAGAAGGAGCGCGCATCGAATGCATATCGAGCACCAACCGAATATGGGCCGAGTGCAGATGCAATGCACCTCGGTGTGAGGTCAAGGGCGGGTCCGGGCCCGATGGAGCGGTGACCCAGGGCGAGAGTCCACCCCCGACCATGGACACCGCACGCTGGCTGGCGCCGCCAAGGAAAAAAAGATGCGCTGGAGGTGCCAACATGGCTCCCTCCATGGCCGCGGCGACAAGCCAACACAAGCACCCCCCACAGCACCCGTCTTCCCCAGCAAGGCCATGGTGGCTGGCAGCAACAAGAGCAGCAGTAAGAGCAACAGCAAGAGCAGCAGTAAGAGCAACAGCAAGAGCAACAAGAGCGGCAACAGCAGCAAGAGCAACAAGAGCGGCAACAGCAGCAAGAGCAGAAACACTAATGATAGCAACAGCGGCAGCCGAATGGGGCCTGGGCGCACACAGGCAGCCTTGCTGGCCGGCAACAGGGCAGCCCGCACACGACACGCACCACCCCCCTCGCGCCGATAGCGAGAGGCCTGTGCGACGCGGCGGGGCGATTGTGCGACCGCGATAAGCCGGGCGGCTGCATCCGGATCGAGCCATGCACGCCCCAGAGGTGCTGCGGCCACAGTCTCTGTGGGCGGCTGTGTCACCGCCCCTATCTCGCGCGCGCTTGCTGTTGGCCGAATATTGCCCCAAATCGCAGCCGAGGAGCGAGAGCTGCGAGCGAGAGCCGCGGGCGAGAGGGGCTGGCTTCTCGCCGCTCTCGCTCCTCGCCCGATCTTATAAAGCCGCCGGGCGATCATTTACCTCCGCCTCACCCCCCCGTCCACCCTCGTCGCCATCTGCATCGCATCTGCATCTGCGTTCGAACACATCCAGGTGCGTCTCGTCCTGCTGTTTGTTGCCGGAGGAGGGTGGGGGAATGTCGCTGCCTCGCCCAGCACGCCCGTTCGTCTGTCGCCACGCCGTGCCCATCCATGATCTGGGGTGTCTGCTGGTGGTCTGCTGGTGCTTGCGGATGACTGGATTGCGTTCGCCTGCGTACCACCTGGGCTGCTCCAGAACGCTGCTCCAGAACGCTGCTCCGGAACGCTGCTCCAGAACGCTGCCGCTCCGTCTCCAGGCCGTATTGCCGAGTCGCCGCCGCTGACACTGCATCTATCCTTCAGCCATGACCGACAATTACCTCGACCACCCTGTGCAGATCAAGTCCAAGATCATCTGCACCATTGGTGAGTCACTCCCTAGCTTTGCAGATCTCGCCCCTGGGGACTGCGCCGCGCGATTGTTGCAGAGGGGCTATCGCAGGGCAAGGGTTGTCGGCCTTCTCGACTGCCGTTTCGCAATCACTTGCTGACCCGTCGTCTGCTGCAATCGCATCTCCAATCGCATTTCCTATGCTTCGCAGGACCCAAGACTCAGTCCGTTGAGATGCTGGGCAAGCTCATCGAGGCTGGTATGGGTGTTATGCGCATGAACTTCTCGCACGGTACCCACGAGGTGAGTAACGTGTGCGCGGCGGCCCCTGGCTGACGTAGCTGTGTTATCGGCTGTGCATGTCTTTGTTCGTGCGACACGATGACACCGTCGCCGTCAGCTCCATTTTCTTGGGCGCGTGAATCTTCGCAAAATGAGCCATGCCGATCGGCTCTGGCTTTGTGGGCGTTGGTTGCTTGCCTGTGCGTGTAGACATCGAGCTGACTGTCTGGTGCTTTGGCGACTGCAGTACCACGAGAAGACCGTCAAGAACCTGCGCGAGTACCTCTCCTCGTGCAAGAACCCCCGCACCGTGGCCATTCTCCTCGATACCAAGGGCCCTGAGATTCGGTAGGTGCTCGTGCAAACAGTACCTCGTCTTGCAGCAGGGTGCGGCTGCGGCAGCGTCTGCGTCGTGGCGCTCACCAACGAATCCTCCCCTCCCAGATCTGGCAAGCTTGTCGACGGCAAGGATGTGCAGCTGATTACCGGAAACAAGTTCACTTTCCACAACGACACTTCGAGACTCGGCGACGCAACCCAGGTCTGGACCACCTACAGCTCCCTCGCCCGCACCGTCGAGCCCGGAGACATGATCCTTGTCGACGACGGCCTCATTGGCATGAAGGTCGATGAGGTCAACGAAGAAACCGGCGAGGTTCACTGCACCATCCAGAACAACGGCATGCTTGGCGAAACCAAGGGTGTCAACCTGCCCGGCAACCCCGTCGATCTCCCTGCCATCACCGAGAAGGACGCCTCCGACATCAAGTTTGGCGTCGAGCAGGGCATCGACTTTATCGCTGCCTCGTTCATCCGCAAGGCTGCCGACGTTCACGAGATCCGCATGCTGATTGCCGGCACCAACATCAAGATCATCTCCAAGATTGAGAGCCAGGAGGGCATCGAGAACTTTGACGAGATTCTCGCTGCCTCGGACGGTATCATGGTTGCCCGTGGTGATCTCGGTGTCGAGATCCCCGTCGAGCAGGTTGCCCGCTTCCAGAAGATGATGATCCGCAAGTGCAATGCCGCCGGCAAGCCCGTTGTCACCGCTACCCAGATGCTTGAGTCCATGATCTTCAACCCCCGCCCCACCCGTGCCGAGGCCACCGATGTTGCCAACGCCGTCCTCGATGGCTCCGACTGTGTCATGCTTTCGGGCGAGACTGCCAAGGGCGCCCACCCCGTTGCTGCCGTCGAGATGATGTCCAAGATTTGCCGCGAGGCCGAGCTCGACATCAACTACTCGGAGCTGTACCCGGCTCTCCGACGACAGATCCGCCTGCCCATCAGCGTCTCCGAGGCCATCGCCTCCAGCGCCGTTAAGACCAGCTGGGATGTCCATGCCACCCTGATCATTGTCCTGACCCAGACCGGCAACACCGCCCTCTCGATTGCCAAGTACCGCCCAATCGCCCCCGTCCTGGCCATCACCGCCAACGCCCAAGTTGGTACGTGCTGCGTGACATTCGCGGCTTTCGATGCAATCTCCGCCATCGTGACCAACGTCTGAGCTGGCTGCACTGCAGTCTGGCCAAGCATGCCACTCACACCGTCTCTCCATGTGGTCCCACAGCCCGTCAGTGCCAGGTTCTGCGCGGCATTTACCCTCTCCTTGTTGACTCCATGGCCGGCACCGAGAACCTCATCCACCGCGCCATGCTGTGGGGTGTCAAGATGGGCATGGCCCAGCGCGGCGACCCGGTAAGCCCCTTTCCACTGCAACCACCACCTCCTGGCCCACGAGCTGTACGCCGTGCCTCTGACCTCTCGATCTCCGCCTGCTCGGTCCTATAGGTTGTCGTCACCAGCGGTATCATCGAAGAGACTGCCGGCGCCACCAACATCATGCGCGTCCTCAAGTGCGTTGGATTCGAAGTTTAATTTAATTAGATTCCTGGGTCGTTGTTCCCCTGTTTTGTTCCTCCTTTCGTGTTAATATTACAGTGCTCATGAAACGCATCGGGAAGCCACCCCCGCCACCACGCACTCCCTTTCCCGGGTTTGAGGCCGAGGGCCACTTTCCTTATGCGGATCCCAAAGATCTACGCTTCCCATCAGCCAGACTCTCGGTATCTGCACTGCCAAGCACATGGACATTGTGCGCTTCGGCTTTGCGCGAGTGTCCAGGGGTGTGCTCCTCGGTTGCAGCGGATATCATCCACAATATGCCAAACCATTGATTGGCGAACGCTGTCCATCCAGCCGGCCCGGTTCGCTGTACCAATGTTCTATAATTCTATTTTGGAACTGGCAGCAAGAGGTAGACATGATGGGGGACGGGTAGATTACGGGCGCTTCTTCTCGAAATGAGGGGGGGGGTTCATAGACAGGTTGAAGAGGCCCATGATGAGGTTGAGGGCATCCGTCCGTACGGCGATAAGGAGATGACCGGCAGGGTGCCGACGGTGTTTTGCGTTTCGTTGAGGCCCTAAATGCGGCCGAGAGATGTCGCTACGGTGAGAATGCGACCAGATCGACCGGATCGACCGGATCGACCACGGCGCACCGGCCGGCACAACCTGGCTGCAATGTCTTGGGTCGAGCATTATCGAGACCGACCGCAGCGCCACTGATGGGCATGATCGACCCGCCATGCTCGGATGCGGCTGCGGCACATGGAACTTACATGGCCCCAACCGTCGTTGAAGACGCTCATGAGGACGACGATATCTCCGACATGGAGGTCGATCTCGTCCTCGCGCACGGCCTGATAGGGCTTGATGACAACCCATTTCTTGGTGAAGGCCTCCGGGGCGGGCTGGCTGGTGGTTTCAATGAGCGCCAGCTCGGCACTGGCCTTCTGGACGCTCACCTCTTTGAGCCGCCGCCACGAAGATCGGTACTTGTTCACCAGAAAGACGACCACGCCGACGAGCATCACGGCCCCGGTCAGACTGGCCGCAGTGATGACGATGTTGCGCTGGTGCTCGTAGAGCTCGGTCGATTTGGAGTTGCCGAGCTGCGCGGTGGTGTTTTGGAGCACACTTGCGAGAAAGGCTCGACAGCACGGGCCCTTGACATACCGCGGGAGCTGCGGGCTGTCCAAGCACAACAGGTGGGATCGATTGAGGTCCCCAGGGAAACCTGTGAACGAGCCAAGGCTAAAGGTGGAGCGGTAGTCGACGAATCCTATAGAGGGCAGAGGGGCAGGCGAACGGTGAGTCTCATATCGGGCCAACAATCCCGTCTTGGGCCGCTATCGCAGACCCACCGGGCCACGACATCGGCCCGCGGGATACAGCTGTATTGCGTTGCATACCGCATGTGTCGTTCTCGCTACTGCCGATGCGCTGGACAGAGTCGTTTCGGGGATCCCGGAACGGGTTGGTGGTGGCAAGAAACCAACAGAGTGCCAGATCCCTGTCCTGCACAAACATGTCGTCCAACGTGGGTATCGTGTACAGAGCCGAGGAGAGATTGCGGACGTCCAGGTCGCTGACGCGGCAGCTGGGGTTGATGATGTCGAGCGCCCGCCAGACAGAGTCTCGCAGCGCAAAGGTGGGCAGCGGATCGCACGACAGCTCGGGCTGTGTGCACAGCGACGACGACTTGCGCACGACATAGTGGCAGATATGATCCCGGAAGTACCGGAGATGGTATTGGAATATCCGCTGGTTGGGTTGCTGTGCAAGGACGGTTAGACAGATGGCCGACAGGCCTGCATCGAGGCTCCAGAGACACGGCCGCTTACCGATTCGTTTGTTGTGTATGGCACTGATGGGTCCTGGCAATAGCCTCGAAAGACTGCCTGCATCGGCGCTGTCGATCCAACCCAGAATGGATCAGAGTAGTCCTCGAGTTGGTGCAGGACCGTCAAAAAATCGGAGAAGGACTGGCCGGCCATGGCCCGGCCGCTCAGGTTCTGGACAACTTGGATGTGGATCTGGCCACCAGCCAGATCAGAGCAGTATCTGCAAGAGCGAGCGGACCGAGCGTCAAGAGGCGGGATAGGTTTGCGGGGCACGTTGGTCATGTTGGTCATGTTGGTCATGTTGGTCATGTCGGTCATGTTGGTCATGTTGGTCATGTTGGTTGTGTCGGTCGAGATCAAGGGGTGGCACTTACCCGGAAGGTGGGTTGGTGGGAATCTCGATGCAGCCCGGATTGACTGCCGCCCCACACGCAGACTGGGCGGCGACAAGCAGCCCAATAGGGCCGCAACACAGCGAGCAGGCGGGTAGGCCATACGATCGCTGTTGGATGCAGGAATGGTGGATCTGAGCAGTGCCGATGCTGCCCAGAGCGGTGGTTGTGGCGGTTGTGGCGGTTGTGGTTGTGGCGCTGTGCGGGTGCTGGGCTCGCTATGGCTCGCCTATGCTGCTGGAGGGGATGCGCCGGATGAGGGATGTGACCGAGGGAGAGGCGACCGAAAGGCAGGCCCAGACCCCGGATGCCATTTGAGTGCCGGCAGCAGCTGTCCTTGCAGACCAAAGCACGGCTGGTGGTGTGCTCGCTTGCAGTCCACTGCGAATGATGCCCCGGGACCGCAACGATGTTCACGACAACCAATTGCAGACGATTGCAGATGATTGCAGACGATTGCACATGGCCCCGCCATGGCGGTCTCCCCGAGGCATCCCCAAGCGCCGCTTGTTTGGAAAGCGCGAGGTATACTGGCCGCGCTGCCCAAAGTTCGGCGGGGCATGGGAAAACAAAATTGGCGGGCGGCTGGCTGTGCCAGAAGCGATCTGCTTCATGTTCGCGGCCGAAATGGCGCCAGCCCCGGCAGCGATAAGACCGAGGCCGAGCCCCATGCCTCGCGGGACGTGCGTCCCCCATCGTCCAAGCACATTCCCGCTGCTGCAGCCATGCGTAGACTGCCGGCCCTTCTTCTCGGTCTTGTCGTGGTCCTCGGGCTTATTTCCTATGCTCAAGCTCAGGCAACACCCCGACCCCGGTTACATCGCTCTATCCCGACAGCGCCAAGTCCGGCCGGTACTTATCAGCGATCCGAGAGCGTCAACTGGAACTCGGAGCTCCGCAACTGTGTCTTGAACAAGCAAATACCTCCCACTGTTGTGGCTCGCGCGCTGGCCATCCTCAACACCGCCATCTACAACTCGTATGCGGTGTTCGACCCTGTCATGGTGCCGTTTCAGTGCAACTGCTCCAAGCTGTCGTCGAGCTCCAACTTCCGCAGTGTCGCCCTCGCTGCTGCTGCATATACCGTCTTGGTCGACCTGTTTCCGGGCTGCGCCCCAGCATTCAAAGTGCGCTATGAAACTTCACAAGCCATCCGGGACGCCAGCAGGCTGGGGCGCAAGGCGCTGGCCAATGGCATCTATGTCGGCCAGGAAGTTGCCCGTCGGGTTCTCAAACTCCGTCACCTCGATTGCTCCAACCAACTTGGCTCCCAGGGTGGATTCGGCAACTACTCGGACTACACCCTGTATACGTCTATGAACCTTCCGAGTGTGGTAAGTCTCGATGCTGGGCTCGGATTGGCATCTGCAGCGACGCATCGCATGCCAGATGCAATCGCTGTAACGCTTCTGCCAGGCTCGACCAGCTGCCGAGGAGCTGTGCATTGTTGTGCCAGCGGATTCACAGTTCCCCAAACGGGATCGCAGGCATATCGACCATCACATTACTCACCGAATCATTTACATCAGAACGTGTTTGCCAACCGCTGGCAGCCTCTGCGATTGCCCCTTGGCGGCGACTATGGGGCGTGGGACGACCAGGTCTTTGTGACCTCTCATTGGGGCTTGGTGCGGCCGTTCAGCCCGCTCAACTCGGAGGCAAAAACTCCAGGATCCACTCGACTTGCGCTCCAGCGGCCGAGCGACTCCGAGTTGGCCCTGCTCAATCAGCAAATGATTGCCTACAGCGCCAATCTGACCGACGGTCAGAAGATGGAAATTGAGTTTTGGTAAGGCACCATCACCAGCGGGTGAACCCCGCAGGGGCCCGGTCGTCGCTCACCTTTGCAGAACAGAGCCTTTCCGAAGGGCGGTCGTTTGCTCCATGGTTGTCAACGTTGGCGTCGTAAGAGCATCTGAAATTGATTCTGCATGGTACATGCACCCACGGTTCGTCACTATTGACGACGACGCTCGGTCACTCGGTAGGGGTGGGCCCAATGAACCAGCCCACACGCTCCCGGCAATCTGGACGCTGTTTGCCGAAAATATCGCCATCAAGCAAAGCCACACTCTGAAGCAGGATGTGGTCATGTTCTTGTATCTGTCCAATGCATGTAAGGCTCTGGTTCTATTGCACATGAGAGACTGATTTTCCTTGTGGGCTTCTCCGCCGCTGGGTCGGATGGATGGATCATGTTGCTGCTTGCTCTGACCCTGCCCATCATCCGGGCCAACAAAAACCAGTGCACGACGCCGCTATCGCCGCCTGGGACATGAAGCGGGCCCTGGATTCGGCCCGGCCAATTACCAGCATCCGCACTCTCCTGAAAAACCAGCCCATTGTTGCTTGGGGCGGGCCTTTCAAGGGCACACTTGCGATCTTTGGCCAGGACTTTGTGCCATATGCCGCCAGCGACTCACTCACTCCAAGCTCGCCCGAGTTTGTCTCGGACCACGCCGCCTTCTCCAGCGCGGCTGTCGAGGTACTGCAGTACGTCACCCGATCAAATCGGTTAGGCTTGAGCTTCACCTTCCGACCAGGTTCATCGCGGGTCGAGCCTGGACGGGTGCCAGCCAAGACGACCATCCTATCATACAAGACTCTGGCGGATGCCCTTGATGCAGCTACTCAATCGCAGGTCCGCGGGGGCTTCCAGTACCCGTTCTCGATCCAGGCGGGGCTGACGAGCGGACAGCTGGTGGCCTCGCGTGTCATTGATCTTGCCAACAACTACATCAACGGGACTGCGACGTATTAGCCCAGGACGACAGAGTGGCCGATTCGTGGCCGATTCCGGGCCATGTGGCCTGGTTGGCGAGTCAACATTCTTGTGATTCATGAACCCCTTGAAATCAATACAACGTATCCAAAATGAAGCGGGACCGGCCTACTTTGAGTCAAGGCTGTCGCTATTCCTTGGCCTTGGACACACCAATCACCTCGATCTTCACACCGGAACTGCGATTCCATGCCTTGATCCACTGTCTGCCCAGGGCTGCATCCACTTCAGCGTCCAAGAGCACCGTGATCATCGTTAGACATCACATATTACGCTGCCGAAATGGGAGTGGGATGGTGTCCAGTGTTTTCCTGAATATAGCGTTATACCAACTTGCCTGGGCCTCTGATGTCTTCGCAACTTCCTTGAGACTCTGCTGTCTTCATCTGTTATATCTGCGAGCCTATTGAACCGGGACACTTTCACACACGGATGGCTTGTGGACGGCTTTGATATATAATCCGCTCGCCAAGGTCTTGCGGCGATATTGCTCTTTGCCCTGCGTCTTCCTCCCTCGTTTGAGATCTGTCTTCTTGCTCTGACCTGCAGTGACTGCATCTGCAGCGGCTCGTTGGTCCCTGTCGTGCCCACTCACTCCATGCATCTCCCTCACACAGGGAAATGACTCGACCCACTTGACCGGGTGCATGATACGATGCGACTACACTGTTTGTCGGAATGAGACGATGTGCCCCACACGCTCTGTCTGCGGGACCGAGAGCTGTGCTGGGCGAGAGGCCACGCTATTCGGTCTCGCTCGGGCGAGGACGCACACCGCGTCTCGGCCACAATGATCAGCTCTGTTGCTGATCTGGCTTGGGAGGCCTGTCCATCTTCCCCGCTCCTGGTCGTGCCCGTCTGCGTCCGACCAACGCAAGCACGTCCCTTCGCATCCTGCGGAAGCGCCCGCAAGCAACCCTCATGTGGGAATCCATAGTGATTGATTTGGACAAAGACAGCGATGGCTTTGCGTCGAGCAGAGCCGGTCCCAGCAACGCCGAATCTGCCCGCCGCTCCAGACCAAGTCGCAAGACAACCCCTGTGTTTGATCTCACATTATCGGATGATGAGCCCGATCCAAAGACAGAGACGGCACGTCCAAAGAGCAATAGTGAGCTTATTGCCCAAGCGGTCAAGGGGTTGCGCGAGAAGCTGTCCGTCGGCATCGATTCCATATCAACCGAAGACCCGCGCCCGGGCTCTGCGTCGTCCTTTCCGCTTGACGCTTCGCCACAGCATGAACAGCTCAACGTCAAATCCGAAATTACATCCAAGGACATTCTGTCTGCCATATTTTATGGAACCCCACTTGGGAGCCATTCATCCGGCGCCCCGCCAAAACATTTACCGAGCAAAGAGTCATCGAGCGTTCCGACTGAAGACCGACCGGCCAGCATTCCCAGAAGCGTCTCGCAAAGACCATATGCAGGCAGTTTCCCGTTTGGCTCTTCCTTGGATATACTCCGAACCCATCAGGGCAAGCGGGGCTTTGGCGAGCTCGATCGAGAGTCGCCAGCGCACAAGTCCTGGCCATCGCTCTCGGATGATATCTCTGGCAAGATGCCCAGCATTTACTCCAACGGGCAGGTTGCCGGGTCATCTTCGAGCATAGCCGTCAGCGAGGGCCGTGATCAGGCCACTGGATCTTCAACTGAACAGCTCGAGATCATCCAGATCGGCTCTGTGCCCAGCTTACGCATCGATGGTGCTCTGAGAAATCCAGAGGACTCGAGAAGCTGCAGCCATAACGAGCACATACCCGCAGCTCAAGTTGGCGACGCTGCTGCCCCGATTCGATTATATCACGATTATCACGATCCAAGTGAGGATTTGCCAGCAAGCCTGCACTCAGCGGTTGCAATCATCGATCTCGTACAAAGCCCACCCTTCAAGCGTATACGGCTTGAGCAGCCCGAAGGCTCTGCAAGTCCCGTACCAAAGCCACTATTACCGTCGTCGTCGCCATCTTCGCCGCCGTATTCGTTTATGTCGCTTCTGCCACCCTCTTCTTCGCCATCACCACCACCACCTCCGTATTCGTTTCTATCGCTTCCGCCACTATCGTCGCCGCCGTTACCAGCTCTTCAATCCCTTCCGCCACCATCGCCGACACCGTCACTACCATCGCCACCATCGATTTCATCACCATCACCATCACCATCACCATCACCATCACCATCACCATCACCATCACCATCACCATCACCATCACCATCACCATCACCATCACCATCACCATCACCATCACCATCACCATCACCATCACCATCACCATCACCATCACCATCACCATCACCATCACCATCACCATCACCATCACCATCACCATCACCATCACCATCACCATCGCCATCGCCATCGCCATCGCCATCGCCATCGCCATCGCTATCGCTATCGCCATCGCTATCACTGTCACCGGTATTCCTTTCGTCTTTATCTCCACCATCGCCGTCTCCACCATCACCGTCGTCACCACAAGCATCCTCACCACCGACATCCTCGCCACCAACCTCTTTACCACCAACATCGTCGCCACCCTCGACGTCGTCATCATCCTTGCCATCGTTGCCGCCGCGGCTGGTGACATCGCTGCCATCGCTTTCATCGCCATCATATATACCTCTGTCCATCCTCTCGAGCCCCAGTGACTGCCAATCTTTACTGCTACCGCCGAGTTCTAACGGATCAGAGACTTCCGGCTTGAACGACCATAAGGTGCCAAAATTATCACGATCGATTCTAACCCGGCTCAAGAAAGTACTTTCCCCCACATCTGTTAGTAGTGCTCATCTATATATTATGGCACTTTACTGGGAATCGATTGTGTTCTGGCATGCGTTCTATCTCTTGACCGAGGTGTATTCGGTGGGCGGGGGAGGGCGAGTGAGTTTAACGAACCAGGTATCAGAGCTCAGATAGCCTTACCACCATCCGTTTTGCTTGGCCGCCAGGGAGCCACGGAGCCATTTCCAATCGATATACCCGAGGTTTTGATTTATGATGTCCATGACGATACCCCTGACAAAGAATCGGCCTTCACCCTTGATATGGATCAAACCCCAACTCCCACAGTGCCTGTCCCTGTAGTCGGTCAGTGTTCTTGCTGCTTGTGTCGATGTTCTCTGCATCGCGTCGCATCGCATCATATTTTGATGGTATTGCACTGAGTGCTGGCCGAGACACGCTCGTTGTCTCCTTCCAGCCATATACACACATGCAGCCATTCTTGACAACACTTTGTCTCCACAGACATGATACAACAGCACCACAGACTCATGTACAACAAGGGTGCTCTGTCCGTCATGAGGCAGGCCGAGTCCTGCCTTTCCTATGTGCAGTCGAGCTTGCTACGTCAGGTACGTGTTGGTGGGGGGGGGCACCAAGGCACAAGCCAGCACCCGCCGATCAAGCGGGGCCACCGCGATTACTGCCGAAGCCCCTGACAAGTTGACCGGAGGATACGGAACCTATGAGCAAGTATCTCAAGCACTCACGATATCCTATGATCTTCGTTTGTACAGAGGGTTAGCCACGAGTTCAAAACGTGGAGGCACCTTGTTGAGTTCAGAGGGTCCGATGATAGCGTCACCGATATCAAGTTCTCGACGGATCCGGATCAACCGCTTCGATTGGTGATTGGCCACCTTTCCAGCGATTCGGAAAATATCATTTTTGGAAACATCAGTCGAGGTACTGTCTTCACGGGAACTAGTTGAGCACGACCCTGCAGCTGCAATTATGAGCCAGTGAAGGAAGGGGGCGTGCAAGAAATCTGGCGGTCCAACAATTAGGTTTTCCATCAGCATGTGGCCCTCCTCCCGCCACACGAGCAGCCAAGATTGGCACATAAGCAACCCGATCGGTGGTCGCTCCAAGAACTTGCACGCTGAATGACCTACAAACATTGCATCCTTGACGTGCCCAGGCCAAAGATACCCACTTGGAGGACACTATACCGAGATTCAGGAGCCAAACTCCATAAATCCAAGTGAGTCTGGGCAGGGCGTTAATGGCGCGGCTGCCCGAGCGAATGCCCATCTGACGACTGTTCGGGCCAGCGAGTGTGATTTCTCGAGCGCGCATCCTCGCAAGCTGCTCGCATTGAGCCGCCAAAAGCCTCTCTGACAACCCATGCGTGCCCTCTAGAACCCTACGCAACGATATCGGACCTATTGTTTGCGCACAACTCGCGATATGTCATCAGCACATCGCAGAATGACCCTCGGGTCATGGTTTGGGATACCGAAAGACGGACAAACACCAATTCTTGGAAGTTGCCAGGTAGGTTTGGGCTACGAGGGCCGCACATGGCTGTCGACCGTGACAATGGCATCCTCATGCGAAAGAATCTCCAGCTCCCGATTCTACGTGGGCGCACAGAGATGTGCGAGTCTCTAGCTGGGCTGCGTCTGGGCCGTGGTCCAATTCAGAAGCTCTCCGTCTTATCGTCTGTCTCTCGGATTCACAGCAACCAGCCACCAAGGCATCGAGCCCAGTATCGTCCGGCTAGCTGCCAACGAAGTCGACAGTCTCAACAGGCCGCTGTTGGCCGTGGGCACTCAACTCGGGGGACTCTATGTGTTATCTCCGACAGACGGCACAATGACCTCATTCACCAAGCAGTGTCGTCATAGCCCATCGTAAGTTTGAGTGGGAGTCAGAGCCTCGCACGGTATCCTCAAACAAATGCATTTGGCCGTGGCACTATATTCAACTGAGCAAGCACGTCACTGAGCAGAGAATGTTGATGTTGATGTTGATGTTGAGGAGCCATGGCGGATTCGAGTCCCATTCGTATTCTCGCAATGTTACGCATTTGACTAATGCATATCTTGGCAACAGTTCCACTGGATCGGCGGTCACCGATCTGCTTTTTGGCTGTGCTGCAAGCTCCGGCCTCCTGTTTGCTGGATATAGCGCAGTACGAGGCGAGTCAAAGGAATCATGCACTCCAGCAAAGGTAACGGGCATGCAACAGAGCGGGTTCTATCGAATGTGATGGACGACATAGCACCATCAGCCATTTGATCGCTTGCGCTCACACAGAGCACTTTGACTCCATCGCCAGATCAAGTGCTGGGGCTCTGACAACAAAGATCATGCGTACGTTCTTCTTGACGCGGACGTTTCGTCAATGAGCATGTCAAGCGAGGGTACGTCGCATTGTGTAATATATGGTGCAAACTGGGAGAGGGGGGATTATTCGGGGTAGATGTGACACTCTTAGACGAGCGTCTTGCTCCTTTTAGATGGGATATCAATGTACAGCTAACACAGGTCATTTCCAGGGCGGCTGCTTGCTGTAGGAACCAGTGATTCTAATCATGCAGTGGGCCAACACAAGCTGCGGATCCTCGACACGGATCACAAGCTCGCTATCGTCATGGAGGCATTCACGGGTCAGCTGGACGTCAATACCGTCGGCTTCAGGTATGCCTTCGGTGCATATGTGCTTGGAGCTGCTACAGCTGCTGGCAATCGAGATTCCATACTCAGAAGCGCCTGTGTACAGTCCATGTGCGTCGTTTGTGTACAGCGCGGCGACCAACTATGAAACCAAAATATTCGATATCCGGATGTTCAAGTCCTCCGTCGGAGAGGTCAAGTCTCCTCCTGGAGAAACTACGCCTGAGCGAAAAAATGCAAAGCCTGCGACCAGAAGAGAGAGATCATCGGCTGCAAAGGCCAAGTCTTCCGTCGAAGCAGAGGTGTCTCCCCAACGAATAATTGAGTTCCCTCCGTCGTATACGGTGGTGGGCGAAAGTAAGTGTCATCGACGCCACTTTGAAACGGCAGCAGCATGTCCTCGCTCTCACTTGCGCCGAACTGGCTGAAGTGTGGTTGGGACTTTAGGGGCTCGAGGCTGCAGTTCTGCTCGATCAGTTTTCTCATCCGGTGGATGCTGCCGCCTGCCCCGCTCCCGGTGTGACCCGGTCAACTGATGAACACTTGATCAGACAATATCCTTGGATTGAGCGAAGAAGACAACTATGGCACATACTGTGCCGTTTGGATGAAGACTCGCAATGTCCTTCTCACTGGCGGATCCAACGGAGTGGTAGGCGAAGCACACCTATGGCATGAGCGAGTGTGGTCTGCCAAAGACAGATATTGATGGCCTGTTTTATTGGCTGCGTCAGATTCAGGTATTCGATCCAAAGATCGGCAAAGTCGTCCAGGAGGAGTCGCTTACCTTCCAAGCCAGTGTCTGCGCGATGGCGCTCTCGCCAGGTGTGTAATGTCGCAAACACCTCGAGGTTCAACAGAATGAATGCGCACGACCGACGCCATCTTGGGATGGAAGTGCTCTAATCATAGCAAGCGACACAGTGATGCGTTTGAAACTATTTTTACGCTCTCAGCCGTGTGTTAACCGCTCTCCACCCCCGGATATCGCAGATGAGGACTTTTTGGCTGTGGGGCTGTCATCGGGAATGATATCAATCTTGACGCGACTCAACCCGGAATCAAATATTTGCCAGCAACTGAAGCAGTCGTTTCGAAACTGAGATGTCACAACTGCAACAGTCAATATTCCGAGACTCATGGTGTTCACAATATCATCTGCAGCACGCGCCTTTCGATCCTGAATACACATGATCATCCAAGTTACCAGGGTTGTTCTGTGCTCTCGCTTCAGGAGCTTGGGAAGGTCGTCAACGACTGCGTAAAAACGCAGGGGACTCAGGACTGAGCGCCGCCTTGATGTGCTGGAACACTGGAGAGCTGGTGGCCCTTGATGAGTGTATCCGGGCTGAAGATCTGGCTTGGCCTGTATCGCTCGGACCAGAATCCACGATGGGGCGGTGTCTATTGCGCCAAGCCTTCGGATCAGCATCGGCGACAGCAGCGCTCGCTCGGTGATCTTGCGAGACAGCACTGTTCGGAGGGATAGTGAATCTCCAGACCGTGCTCCCAACCAACGACGAACAACGATTGCAAGATTGCACTTGAGCAAGCGGCTCGTCTCACTTGTGTGTTCGATGATGCCCACAAGATGTGCTGTTGGGGGACGACCCAGTCAGAGCTGGTGTCCGAGATCATCAGCAACCTCTGTCCAAGAGACCAAATCGAGCCTGTCCCTGGTCTGCGGACAGATTATTCTTCGTCTGGGTGAGGGGGCGATTTGTGCTGTGGTGCGATTTGTGCTGTTGGTGGGTGACAATGAATATCCCCAGCCAGACACAAACAGAGATATACGAGTGTCAAACTCACCTGTGTTCCCACCGAGTGAACTGTTCGCTGACCGAACAGTGGATTTGCAAGCAGCTTGCTGGGCGAGGCAACAGCACAGCATCGAGGGGCAGCCAGCCAGACCCACCGCCCGAGCACAGAGCCGGTCACGCTGGCAGACTCAGCAGCTCGAGAGAAAGTAAGAGCATTCGCTCAATGCAATATGGCAAGCAGCCAGACCAAGCCGCCGTCTCCTGGCTGCCCAGACCGACAAAAGGCGCTCCCCTCGCCCTTTCCCCTCGTCATCGTTGTCTCGTTTCGCTCTTTCGGCTCCCTCCTCGCTCTCCTGCCCTCATCTGGCTTTGGTATCGGCACCTTTGTCGCTTCCATCCCAACCCCGGCATGCTCAGGGCCATCTCCTGTTGTTTTGGAGGGTCCGCAGACCCGGTCGACGACCGAGATGTCTCCTCGCAGACTCCTGTCTCCCAGCAGCCAACCTTCCCTTCTCCGCCCGATCCCTTTGGCCCCTGGCTCCATCCCGTCGAGTGTCTCATCAACACTGCCCGCGACGAACCCGATGCCCTCCTGATCAACACCTACGAGAGCGGCGCCTCGGAGCGACTCAGCTATCTCCGTGTGTGGAAGCAGGCGTATTCGGTCGCCCAGGCTCTCAAGGCTCTCCCTGGCTGGAACGACGACGACCACGAGGTCATCGGCACCTTCTGCGAGGCCGAAGCCAGCTGGGTGATCTACTCGTTTGCTGTGTGGATGCTTGGCAAGTGAGTATCTCTGGTCTGGTCTGGTCTGGTCTGGTCTGGTCTGGTCTGGTCTGGTCTGGTCTGGTCTGGTCTGGCCTGCCTGTGCATGATATGACTGGGAATTGTCCCTGCCATGACCAGGATCGAGTCTCATCTGTCCCTTGTTGCCATCCAGGAAAACACTCAACCTCGCTCTCAATTTCCCTGCCGCTGTTCGCAAGACTCTGTGCGAGAGGTTTGTCCTTGTGCTCGTCTCACATGTGTCTCAGGTGATTGACATCCCAGAGACCTCTGTGCTCAACCTGACTCGACCTTGACTCCAATCGAAACAGATACTTCATCAAGTACATCCTCTACCACCACAGCAAGCCTGGCCGCACCATTGGAGTGACGCTGGTCGATGCCACCACGTTCCCTGTGCTGGACAACATCCCATCCCCGTCTCTCGAAGTCTGTGAACCCCTTGATGATTATGTCACCATCCAGTGCACCTCTGGAACAACGGGTATGTGGAATGGTTGAGCGTGATGGTCCAGCAGCAAAGCAGATGGTGCAATGGTGGATAGAGTAAGATGGTGAGTGTGGTGAATGTGGAAAGTGATATACTGACGATGCATATCCAACCCACAACCCGACTCCTTCGTCCTGCATCCTGGCTCCTCGTCGCTCCCACAGGCATCCCCAAGTCGTGAGTTCTACTGTGGTTTCTGATGCTGTGGATTCTGATGCTGTGAATTCTGATCCTGTGTCTACCTGATGCTTGTTCCCATTCACAAAAGTGATCGCATCACCACTCGTTGACTGAATCCTTCTGTGTTTGATGGTGATTGTTGCAGGTTCCAGTTTGCGCACAATGGCGCAGTCACTGGTCGAACATCAGTTGGTATGCTGAAGAGTAGCGTTGGGCTATTGCAGGTAATTATGCTTGACATCGAATATCGAATTGATACTTGGGCAATGCTGGGTATACTGACATTGATGATTTTTAGGCTCCATCCTTTGTGGCCACATTCGGCTCACTTCCTTGCGTTCTGAATCTTGGAGGATCTGTGTGGATTCCAAAGCCGACATTCCACGCAGTTGAGAAAGCAAAGAATGTCGCTCAAATAATGGATGACGGCGTGAACTATGTCTACCTGGTAAGTACCAGGCTCAAAGTCTTCTCTGACCCCGTGCTATCCACCTATTAAAGAAAACCATTTCTCACAGACCCCTTCGTTCATGAAACTCGTTATCAACACCGCTACTTCATTGAACTCAGGAGTTAAATGGACTAAAACAAAGAAAGTCCTATTGGGCTCAGAGCACATCCCCATGAGTGTCGTCCACATGACGAGGGAGAGATTCCCAAGTGCCGAAATTCAGTCGGGCTACGGATCGAGTGAGGTATGGTTCATAACATCGATGTGATTCGCCACTATGCTGGGATTACTGACCATTTTCACATTACCAGACAGGAGTAATTGGAGCACTATCATATATGCATATTCCTCCAGAAAGCGAAATCCCAGAGAAATTGGTCTACAAGCTGGCCAAACCTGGGGTGCGATGCCTCCTCTTCGACGAGAAAGGCGAGATTATCGATCCACGGTACTCCAACAGCGGAATCCTGGTCTTTGCCGTCGATCTCGACCATCCTGCCAAGGACCATCCGAGCTTTGTCAACGCCGATCCCAACGACAAGCTGTCGACTTTCGGCTTCCTCGTGGATGGCTCGCCCCGAGTCTGCACCATGGACTGGGTCGAGATGGTCAGCGACAAGGAGTTCAGTGTTGTTGGAAGGTGAGTCTGGAGACTATTGTGTGCTTGATCCATGAGAACTGCCATCCACACTCTTGGTTCCGATCCATTTGCTCGCTGGATACTTATCGCTTTCATTCTCACACCTCACACCTCACACCTCACACCTCACACCTCACACCTCACACCTCACACCTCACACCTCACCCTCCAGATTCGACCAGAAGATCAAGATCAACGGTGTCTATGTCGACTTGAACTACCTCAGGGAGCTTGTCCACAAGTACCTGCAACAAGCCATCGTCGATTGCTACTTCATCCACACCTCCGAGAGGAAGATCATCTTGTTCTACATCCCTCAGGGAGGATACAACCCCGAACTGACCTCGGCCGATATCATCCGAGTCGTCGAGGACATGTTCTTGCTGTTGAACGTCTCCAAGGTCCCCGTCCACAACTGCCTCAAGCTCGACGCATTCCCCTTCAACGACTCGGGCAAGGTCGATCTCAAGAAGCTCAAGCGCATCGCCGAGAACGTCGAGCAGTACAGCCAGGCGGTCCAGTACCCGGCTCTCATCGTCACCAGAACGTTCTTGACCAAGATTGCCTTCAAGATCTCCGAGTTCAGCAGCCAGATCCTGGACAACCCCGGTCTCTACGGCCGCAACTTTTACATTGGCGGTGTCGGCTTTGACTCGCTGAGCATCAGTCGCCTGGCCCTCGCCCTCAGGGAGGAGTACGGTGTCGAGATCTCGCCAATGATCCTGCTGTCGAACAGCATGAGTCCCAAGGATGTCGCCCAGCTGGTCGTCGACATTCTCGACGACAAGCTGGTGATTCCGCCGACAATCGATCTGGCTGCCGAGGCTGCCAAGCTCGACGATGCGAGTGTGACGGCCGAGGGTTTCCCTCCGTTTGTCTATCCCAAGGAGGTCCGCGGCATCGTCCTGACGGGTGCAACCAGCTTCCTCGGAGCATTCCTGATCTTTGAGCTGGCACACAAGTTCCCTCGAGCCAAGATCTACTGCCTGGCACGAACCGAGACCGAGAAACTGGCCTTCCTCCGCACCTACTCCAACGCCTCGAGGCTGGTGATTGCATCGCGGAACAAGAACGATCCGTGGTATGACGTGCGAGACCGGTGGGTTGGTCTGCGCGGCGACGTTTCCAAGGAGCGATGGGCACTCTCGGACGAGCGATGGAAGGAGATTTGCGAAGAGACCGACATGATTGTGCACAACGCCGCCGAGGTGCACTGGCTCTACAACTACAACGAGCTCAAGGCAACAAACGTCCTCAGCACGGTGACGGTGCTGCAGCTGGCCACGACGCACCATCTCAAGGTGGTGCACTACATCTCGACCATCGGGACGATTGCCATGGCCAAGGGCTCCGACAAGCCGCTCGAGGAGAAAATGTACTCCAACTGGAACCTGTCGGGCGGCTACTCGCAGACCAAGTGGGTCTCTGAGCAGCTGATCAACAAGGCACGATCGAGGGGAGTGCCTGCAACCATCATTCGGCCAGCGATGATTGCTGGCGACAGCGGATACGGAGGTGAGCCGTGGTGGTATTGTGATGTGTGATGTGGTGGTGTGGTGGTGTGGTGGTGTGGTGGTGTGGTGGTGTGGTGGAGATTCCGTCCTTCGTTCCCTCGACTTGGCCATGAGTCGATGATCTTGTGTGTCGAGCGATACCCATCCATCGACCGACACTGTTTCTCACCCTGTTCACTCCATCCTCCAGTGTGCAACACAGACGACTATATCTGGCGATACATCGAGGGATGCATCAAGCTCGGCATTTGCCCGGCAAACGCCAGTCCCGTCACTTGGACCATGGATCCCGTCGACCATGTTGCCAAGGTGATTGCCGAGATTGTCAGCTCGGAGGAGGCGCTGTCCAAGTTTGTGTTCCACATCAGCGACTCGGAGCACAGGTGAGGAGTGCGTGGAGTGGAGTGGAGTGTGAGTGGGTGTGGGTGTCAGTCGATGCTGTGCTTGGCATTGAGTGGGTTGCATATTGACATGTTTGATGGCGGACATCGTTGGCCATCGCAATCACCCCTCACTCACTCACTCGCTCACTCACTCACTCACTCACTCACTCACTCACTCACTCACTCACTCACTCACTCACTCACTCACTCACTCACTCACTCACAGTGTCATCACCGAGAAGCGTGTCTTCGAGATCGCCAATTCCGTTGGCTGGATCATCATGTTGGATACCCGTGAAAAGTTCAGGACGGTCATCTGGCGCAACCCATCGCCCGATAACCACGCCCTGCTTGCGTTCATGCGGATGCTGATGGACCTGTCCTTCAGGGTCGACAACACCAACACTCGCTCGATCTACCCGACGCCGTGTCCCTCGCCCGAGCTGGTCGTCAGGAAGAGTCTCTTCCACTTGGATCGGGTGTCCTATCTCGACCAGCCCACGGCGGCGGAGACCGAGCTCAAGGACGAGGAGTATCCCGATGTTCGCATCTTCACCCGCACCGGCCGCCACTGATGTTGTGCTGGCTGGGCAGACCGATCGATCAGTGTCGTCTCGTTGCCATTCCGTTCTGCGGTCGAGTCTTGTTGGACTGCCAGACACTGAACACGATTGATCCAACATGGAGATGTGTGTGGTGTGTGGTGTGTGGTGGATGGTGATGAAGATGGTGGTTGATTGCGCTGTCGACATCCAGTCATTCCTGCGTCGCATGACTTCTCTGGTGGACAATCTGCGGGATTTCAGTCGTCTCGAGCGACTCCACATCCAGAGCGTGCCAGTCCAGGCGAATATCAAGTTCAGGCGTTCTACACTCCAATTCGATCACTCTGTCGCATCAGCAGTCCTGTCTCTGTCCACAAGTACTCGCAACCAGCACTGACACCAGACGGAGGAGTCGCATGGAGAATCCAATATGGCTGTGATATTGACCAGGACAGACAGTCAATTGCCGACAGGGCGACTGGGGCGACATCGGGGTATGTGGACGGGGTGAGAGTGGGACACATCGGCAAGCACTGGATGTCGTGCACAGACTCCGAAGCGATAGATCAGGAGTGTGTGTCAGGGAGTTGTGAGGCACCGTGCAAGTGAAGGACCATGGCTGTGCATGGGATGCACCATGAATGGCACTGCCAAACATGCAGTGACCTCCACCACCGAGCTAGTTGTGGGTGTCGGGACGAAAGATGTTGGGCCGCGGGTGCTCCTCGGGTCTCAGCGGCGACGGAGGGTTCGGAGGAGGTGGCAGATACCCGATGTGGGTCAGGTACAGCAGCCCTCGCCCGGCGATCCTCCCGGCCTGGGAACCGAGGGCCGGATAGATCGACCGGGTGTTGGTGTTGTCGACCAGGAAGGACATGCTCAGGATCAGATGCATGAGCGTCGACATGGACGAGTCGTTGGTGAGCTGAGGCGTGAGGAGCAGAGACTTGAATCGCTCGCGGGTCTCGAACATGACGGACCAGCCAGAGGCATTGACAATCTCAAAGAGTCGAGTTTCGGTGATGACGCTGCGAGGTGGGCCGAGGGACAGGATGTGTGGGATGGTGGTGTGAGTGAGTGACTGCCGAGGAATGGCACTCATCCTGCTGCCCTCCCAGTCCGCTTGCCACTCGGCTCGCTCGCTCATCTCACCTGCGCTCTGGGTCGCTGATGTGGAACACAAACTTGGGCAGGGCCACCTCGGAGGCAGCGATCGCAGCGACCACCTTGGCGACATGGTCGACTGGATTCATGGTGATGGTCACGGGGGTGGCATTGGAGGGAGCGATCCCGATGCGGATGCATCCCTTGATATACTGCCAGATGTAGTCGTCCGAGTGGCACACTGAGAGAGTGAGAGTGAGAGTGAGAGTGAGAGTGAGAGTGAGAGTGAGAGTGAGAGTGAGAGTGAGAGTGAGAGTGAGCTGAGATGAGCTGCTGCACCACCACCACACCACCACACCACCACACCACCACACCACCACACCACCACACCACCACACCACATTGCCATATCACATCCAGTGACTCACCTCCATAGACACTGTCGCTTGCAATCAGCGATGGTCGGATGATCGTCGCAGGCACTCCCCTCGATCGTGCCTTGTTGATCAGCTGCTCAGAGACCCACTTGGTCTGTGCATACCCGCCAGAGACGTTCCAGTTGGAATACACCCTCTCCTCGAGCGGCGTCCTTGCACCCCGTGCCATGGGAATCGCCCCGACCGCCGGGATGAAGTGCAGCGGCTTCAAGTGGTGGGTCGTGGCCAGCCGCAGGGCCGTCGCCGTGCCCAGGACATTCGGCCCCTTGAGCGCCTCATAGTCGTCGAGCCAGTGCACCTCGGCGCCGCAGTGCACAACCATGTCGGTCTCCTTGCCGATCTTCTTCCATCGCTTGTTGGTCAGTCCCCACTGGTCGAGCGACAGATCGCCGCAGACACCAACGAGTCGCGGCCTGACATTGTTCACGAGGTAGTGCGTCTGCTGCGGGTTGAGGATCAGCTTCCTGGCTGTCTCAAAGATGCGGTCGATGGCAGCCTGGTCGCTCGCGGCTCGGACCAGACAGTAGATCCTGGCAGCAGGGAACTTGGCAGCCAGCTCGTACAGCAGGAACGATCCGAGAAAGCCAGTGGCCCCCGTCAGGACGATGCCGCGAGGCGACTCGGGAAAGACAAGTGGAGGGAGACCCTCGGCCGTCACACTCGCATCGTCGAGCCGGGCGGCCTCCTGGTCGAGGTCGACTGTCGGCGACATCAGCGGGTGGTTGCCTTGGAGATCAATCACCAGCTGGGCGACATCGAGGGGCGTCAGGCCGTTCGAGAGCAGCATCATCGGCGAGATCTCGACATCGTACTCTTCCTTGATAGCCAGGGCCAGGCGGCCAACACTCAGCGAGTCAAACCCAGCTCCGCTGATGCTGTAGTTGCGGCCGTCGAGAGAGGGAATCCCGAGGAGCTGGCTGCCGAGGCTGGAGATTGCAGCCGCGATGCGAAACAGCGGGGCATCGCTGGGGGCGAGACGGGGATACACAACGGATCCTTGGTGCAGATCGTTGTTCTCGGCGATCCACTTGATCTTCTTGAGGTCGCGCTTGCCAATCTCGGTCATGGGGATCTCGTCGAGCTGGAAGCAGTTGTGGATCGGCACCTTGGAGACGTTGACGAGTGCAAGCAGATCCTGAGTCATCCGGATGATGTCGCTGGGCTCGGTGCGGGTCGTGGGGCGGGCCTGGAGAACATACAGCATCACGATCTTCTTCTCGGAGGTCTGGACAAACGCACAGTCGGCGATGGTGTGGCTCAAGTGCTGGACGACCAGGGCCTCGAGATGGTTCAGGTCGACATAGACGCCGTTGACCTTGATCTTCTGGTCGAATCTGGAGGTGTGAGAGACATGTTGGATCGGGGTGTGGGATGGATTGGTGGAGGACTAGTGGAAGGAGGGCACAGACCACTCGGTGGATACAGGGACATCGCACTCACCTTCCAACGACAGTAAATTCGTTCTCGCTGACCATCTCGACCCAGTCCATGGTGCAGACTCGGGGCGAGCCGTCGCTGAGGAAGCCAAAGGAGGCCAGTCTGTCGTTTGGATCGGCGTTGACAAAGTCGGGGTGGTTGCGGACGGGATGGTCGGGGTCGACGGCAAAGACCAGGATCCCGCTCTTGGAGACATTTTGATCAACGATATTGCCCTCCTCGTCAAAGAGAAGGCATCGCACCCCAGGCTTGGCCAGCTTGTAGACCAACTTCTCTGGGATGGGGCTGTTGGTCAGGATCCGCAAAAATGAATAGGCACCAATAACTCCTGCCTGATGAAGGCATTGTGTTTAGTGATTGCCGAATGTTGTGAGAATACAAGCCATCAAGCATGGACTGTACCTCACTCGATCCATAGGCTGACTGGAACTCGGCATTTGGGAATCTCTCCCTCGTCATTTGAATGACGCTCATTGGTACGAGTTCTGCGCCGACCAGCACTTTCTTTGTGTTCATCCACTTGATGTTCGGGTTCCAGGAAGCGGCCGTGCTGATGATCAGCTTCATGAAAGAGGGAGACTGTGAAAATTGGATGCTATTAGCGTGTGAGTGGTAAGGTTTCTTATTGGATAGTTGGTCACTTACGAGTGCCACGTAGGCAACGCCATCATCCAAAATTTGAGCAACGTTCTTTGCTTGCTCAGTTGTGTGGAATGTCGGCTTCGGAATCCACACTGATCCTCCAAGATTAAGGGCGCTGAGCAATACAATAAATGTCGTCGAAAACGATGGAGGCTGAGAATCATCAATGTCAGTATACCCACCATTGCCCAAGTATCAATTCGATATTCGATGTCAAGCATAATTACCTGCAATAGCCCAACGCTACTCTTCAGCATACCAACTGATGTTCGACCAGTGACTGCGCCATTGTGCGCAAACTGGAACCTGCAACAATCACCATCAAACACAGAAGGATTCAGTCAACGAGTGGTGATGCGATCACTTTTGTGAATGGGAACAAGCATCAGGTAGACACAGGATCAGAATTCACAGCATCAGAATCCACAGCATCAGAAACCACAGTAGAACTCACGACTTGGGGATGCCTGTGGGAGCGACGAGGAGCCAGGATGCAGGACGAAGGAGTCGGGTTGTGGGTTGGATATGCATCGTCAGTATATCACTTTCCACATTCACCACACTCACCATCTTACTCTATCCACCATTGCACCATCTGCTTTGCTGCTGGACCATCACGCTCAACCATTCCACATACCCGTTGTTCCAGAGGTGCACTGGATGGTGACATAATCATCAAGGGGTTCACAGACTTCGAGAGACGGGGATGGGATGTTGTCCAGCACAGGGAACGTGGTGGCATCGACCAGCGTCACTCCAATGGTGCGGCCAGGCTTGCTGTGGTGGTAGAGGATGTACTTGATGAAGTATCTGTTTCGATTGGAGTCAAGGTCGAGTCAGGTTGAGCACAGAGGTCTCTGGGATGTCAATCACCTGAGACACATGTGAGACGAGCACAAGGACAAACCTCTCGCACAGAGTCTTGCGAACAGCGGCAGGGAAATTGAGAGCGAGGTTGAGTGTTTTCCTGGATGGCAACAAGGGACAGATGAGACTCGATCCTGGTCATGGCAGGGACAATTCCCAGTCATATCATGCACAGGCAGGCCAGACCAGACCAGACCAGACCAGACCAGACCAGACCAGACCAGAGATACTCACTTGCCAAGCATCCACACAGCAAACGAGTAGATCACCCAGCTGGCTTCGGCCTCGCAGAAGGTGCCGATGACCTCGTGGTCGTCGTCGTTCCAGCCAGGGAGAGCCTTGAGAGCCTGGGCGACCGAATACGCCTGCTTCCACACACGGAGATAGCTGAGTCGCTCCGAGATGCCGCTCTCGTAGGTATTGATCAGGAGGGCATCGGGCTCGTCGCGGGCAATGTTGATGAGACACTCGACGGGATGGAGCCAGGGGCCAAAGGGATCGGGCGGAGAAGGGAAGGTTGGCTGCTGGGAGACAGGGGTCTGGGCTTGTTGGGGAACAAGAGGCTCGATATCCTCAGAGACATCTTGGTCGTTTGCCATGACGGTGTGGTATCTGGTTCAGCTGACGGGGCTGGATTTGTCGCCTGTGGCCTGACAACACCAAGACGGCGATATCGACGGATGGAGCGAGGGGAGGCGGTATCGGCGAGGGGAAGGAAGAGGGGGCCGCTCTTGGGCTGTCTCGATAATCTGCCTCGATGCTCTCTTGTGCGTGTCCTGCCAGCCAAGACGGAAACGCGTTCCAACGCCACCAAGCCGGCTCCTTTGCTCTTCCCAAGACATCGGCGGCGAGCTCATTTCAGTCAGGACGACGAAGGATCCCGCATCCTCGGATCCTGCATGGCTGTGAATCCAGCGAGTCGATTTGCGTCAGCCATCATCAACTTGTCACAGAACAGTGGTTATGGACGCATCGTGGTACTCGGTGACCCATCATCGCATGACGGATGGGCTTGTGAGTTCATGTTCCCGAAGAGAGCTCTCAAAATGGGGATACTCTTGAGTATCACGACTCATCGAGCTGCTTGGGGTCCAGGATGACGATATTACTATTTATATTGAGTCTACCGACGGGCATGGGCAAACACGTGGATGACTACACAATCCTCCTGCATTTTGGTCTCTGGATCGGCAAAGGGGCATGCACTATGAAAAAATTTCTTGTTAAAAAAATGAGCGAGAACGACAAAACGCGCTCTCGGAGCCACCTCAGTCGGCGAGAAGAGCAGTCTCTGGCGAGAGACCCCCGAGGGAAGGCGAGAAGCCTCTCGCCGTCACACACACACACTTTGCACAAGGGAGTCAACCACCTCCCATCACCATCCCAAGAGGGATGGCAACCCCGAAGTGGACTGCCCAGAATATGGGCGACCCGGCATCCACTGTCGAAATACTCAAGGAACAGTGCGAGATACTTACAGTCTATCCAGAAAGAAACGGGGCAGTTCCTTCCTGGCTTCAGATGTCTGAAGCCCGCTGACTGACTTGTAGGCCCAGCGGGTAGGCCGTGGCATTGCACTCCTGTCTTCGTTGGCAATCTCTTTGTTTTGGTTGGTTTGGGAAGCATGATCTTGAATACACCCGGCCGATCTCCATGGGCGATGATCGACTGGCATACCGAGATCATATTCCTTGAGGCATTGATGTCTCGATCCCACAGCGTATGGCAGCTTGCACAGCTCCGGACAAAGTGTGGTTTCTCGACATCAAGATGCTCGGGTGACTCGAGTCGCTTGGCTTCCCGACAATGTGAGCACACCTGGGACGTGTTGAACTCGTTCACCGAGCACACATGGATCTTGGAGACGGATCGGTCTGGTGGGCGTCTCTGGTGGTGGTGGAATTGCTCAAAGTACTTGGCGAACCTGAGTCTCCTGGGACTGGATGCGTATTCCTTCCCCTGTTTCCAGGATGCATTCCCAAAGGCAATCACCACTTCGGTCTCCCTTGGTGCCTGGTCGATGACTCGCTTGCACATCTCGTGGACAGTGCGCTGTCGCTTGCTGTAGAGATCGAGTCGCTTGAACCGCCGTCGCCGGGTCAGGCTGAAGTACAGCTGCTTGTCCAGCATGTCTCCATCGAACACATGGTGAATGTATTGCAGGAAGGAAGCCAACCCAGGGATCTTGGGACTTGGTGTGGTGCTCATCCATTCCCATCGGTGGTGATCTTGCAACCAAAGCGCTGCTTCAACCCTCCGGCATCCTGGCCAATAGGCGATGACTGCGCATTGTGCGCAGCACTGCTTCCATCCCGGCAAATGCCAGACAGCTCGCGCTTCCCTCTTTGGACTTGTGATTTTTCGCTGGATTTGTCCTCCAGCCGGGTCGTCGCTGTATCATCCTCCAGCTTCCTTGCAATGAGCGACATCCCCTCTCGATTGTCTCCTCCTCTTCGCGGTGAAGCATTGGCAACCCTGCTCCAGTCTCCGCCCAAAAACAAAACCATCTGTCAATGCATGAAGTGCAGAACGGGCTAAAAAGCCTACAGCATCGTCTCGACAACAACATACTACAATCACTACTATATCTACGGGTTTCCTCCCGAGGTTCCCCAAGTCCGTAATTACAGCACCTCCACTCCAACAAGTCAGCCCTCCAACACTTCTGTCAATCCTCGCTGGCCCCGGGCTCCAGTTCGCCGTTCCGGAGTCATCGTCCGGGAGATATCTTCGCCGCTCCCTCAGCCGAACCAATCGATGAACAGATGGACCCATCCTCATCCAAGCACACTTTTCTTACACCCCTTTGCCGAAAAATGATAGATTCTGATCACTTTGGTTTCTCTCGAAAATGGTATCGAAGAAATCGACCCGTTTTGCCTGGGAATCGTCAAGGTCATGACTGACTGCAACACGTCCGATAGAGCGATCAAGGAGATTCTCAAATATATTGGCATATATACTGGAAGCCCCGTGCCCACCATCCCGAGTCTTTACAAAATCCGAAAACACATGGACCAATTATCAACAGAGAGCGCAGTTTCTCTTCCTTGTTGCCGTAACAGCTGTATTGCCTTTGATGTCGATCATCAATCGGAGAGAACATGCCCGCATTGTGGAGAAAATCGGGGCTTAAGCTTTCGAAAGGTTCTCTCGAATGACGAGATTCAACTTTCTGAAAAGAACGCCCAGACCTATACGTACTATGAGTTTATGCCCAAGCTCCAAAGCCTTTATCAGAACCAGGAGTGGTTCGATTTGATTTGATGATGCACCGAGCCACTCGTGCCCCCGAACCAGGTGAGACATTCTCCAGACTTCCTATCAACAATCGTCCATCGTCAATACCCCATCAGTGAACCCATACTGCATATCGGTCTACGCTCGAGCGTTCTGGTCTTGTTCTCGGCTGCTGAATATTCACCATCTTCTGCGGATATACCACTCCATTCCCTCATTACTCCACAGGAATAGTGATGGGTTTCGACAGTCTCCCAAACTGGGTAAGGAGTACTGCCGGAACTGCACCGCACCTTCGTTTATGATTGCATAACTGCCTCGTAACTGACTGCCAATTGCACTTTGATTCTCAGTGTATTCATGGCTGGATACCGGTAAGTAATTTTCCAATTTTGCTCAATTATTATTACTACTGCAAATCAGCTTGGACAGCTGAATATAAGAAAATTGTTCGCTATTTACAGCCATTTCCGTCGCCTGGGGAGCGGTTCTGTCCAAGAGGCGAAGCAGTCGGGAGGCGAAGCAGGGCAGGGAGAGCCGCACGGGAATGGGTTTGTGCAACCGCGCTGACACTAAGAAATTCTGTGCGGAGCCGACACGGAAACTCGAGCCGGATGCATGGCTCGAGCCAGAACGTGCCAATGATCTGGGTCGTTGGATGAGTCGTTATGACTCACTTTGAGCCTGCTGACCTGGTCCCGAGTTACTCATCTTGGGCAATACAGGTGGCCCCAAATTTTTCATCGTGGTGTAGTTGTCCGTCCGGTGCCGGCAAGTCGAGAAGGCATCAAGCAAAACAGGACGTGCAAGATCTATATGCCCTCAAAGTACATGTGAATGAACTGAATGTAGTCGAAAGGCCCCGACATCCCGCTGGGTGCAACCTTGTTGGAGACAATGGGATCGAATCAGCGATGGAGCGGGGAATACAGCGACGGCATCAGGAATTTGAGCCGGAGAGGCGCTGGGAACACGCTAGAGCGGATCGCTGTCCGCCAAGGAAGCTCAAGCGCGGGGCTGGAGCTGCGGTGGTGCGGAATTGACCATCCCACCTGCTCGATCAGCTCTGCAGCGTCGACCGTACTGAGACGCTTGTCTGGGTCGCCATATTCGGTCAAGATCGAGATTACGATGTCTTGATTCAGACAGACGTCGGTGGTCCCGTCGTATCCATCGGGGCTGTTGAAGACGGCAGGATGAGGATACAACGCGTGCCGGATCAGTGGAGCCGGTGAGATTTTGCTGGCCTACTGCGAATGTGTGTGATGCTTGACCGTGATGAGGCAGACGTGCATCTCGATAGGCACAATATGTATGTCTGCAACAGATGGTGGCTGGTGGCGTCGACTCACATGAATTGTCGGAACGCCTTCAAGAGATCATCGAGCCGGATACTGGTTTCCAGTTTGCGGCTCACGGCCTGGACGAACGCTGGCAAACAACATGGTCCCGAGCACCCCGGCGGCAGGTCAGTTCCCTCGATTGGCAGATTGACTCTGCTGGTCTGTTCGTTTGAGTGGGACCGAGTAGCCCCGTCTGGCCTTCGGTTCGAGAGACAAACCCGACTACTCGGCCCCAGGGACTCGCACATGGCCGACGCGACATGCATCAAGCTGGCGGCTTACAAAGAAAGTCGATTTCGGCTTCGGCCTTGAGGTTGATGTCGGAAATAATGGTCTCGAGCTCGGATTTGCTCGCTTGGAGGCCGACTATGGTCATGAGCTGGGCGAGTTCATCGAGACTGATGGTGCCGCCGTGGTCGCGGTCGACAAGGGCGAATATTTCGGCCAGCTCCGTGAGCTCCTGAGACGACAGACCAGTCTGAGTGACCAGAGCCGGATCTAGGACCCACTCGCGCTTGGGTTGTGGCTGAGAGATGGAGGTATCCCGGACCGAATACGATGGCGAAGACTTGAAGGAGGACGACTGGATGGTGGAGAGACGCCGCGGCGAAGCCGAGGTGGACTGTTTCTGGGACGGCGGCTCGGGTGGCCGTTTCTGAGAACGCGTGGCTGAACGCTGCATGGCGAAGGGCGGGTTGTTGGTGGATGTGCGGTGAGTCGGGGAGGGCAGGGTGGGAGGGATTTCGCTGAACGAACGGGTCTATGGCCGACTGGGGCCAGGGCGACGCTCAAGGGGCGGGTAGCGGCCATGAGGGGGGTGGTGGATGGTGGTGGAAACCCTTGCTGGCCCGGCCACTGAGACATGGCCACGTGTGGGAGTGGAGTGGAGGCGCCATGGGCATGTTGCACAGAAGCAGCGGGGTCGATAGGTGCTGCTGGCATCATGCCCATGTCGTTTGCGACAGAGAGGATGCGCCGTTCCCGGGAGGGCACGGAGACGAGAGCGGCACGAGCCATACGGCAGTTGGCTGTTCGCTTGGCTGTCCGTTGGATCGACGGCGTTGCGGGCTCACGTCCAGCAGACCCGTCTGAGCAGCATCCCGTGTCCCAGGCCCGAGTGGACAGAGGCTTATTGTTTGGGTTGGCGGGTCAGGCGCAGACGGCGGTTGCGCAACAGATGCGTCGTGGTGAGCAACAAATGTGCCGTGGCGAAGAAGGACAGCGGGGGGGGGCACTTGGGCGAACGAGAGTGCAGCACAAGTGCACGATCCAGCCCAGGGTCCAGCGGATGCCAATGCCAATGGGCTCGGCGTTGGTGGAGCCCGGGCGTGGGAGGACTGAGCTGCAACACATGGCGTGGCGGGGCGTGAGTGGGTTTGCGTTGCCGGCAGGGCGAGCATGGAGCGCAAGTGTAAAAGTCTGAACGCAAGTGTAAAAGTCTGAACGCAAGTGGTATGCCGTGCTGGAAATAACAACCGGATCAAATCATCTCCATGGATGTCCGCCGCATAGAGTCCGTCCACGACCGCAACATCTCGACGGAGCGAGCGGCAATCGACAACATTCAACACACGCAAGCCGTGCGAAATGCAAACACATCCGCGCGAACAACCCCCCGGCCTGGCCCTTGCATTCGAAATGCACATCGGCAGCCAAGGACATCCCGTGGCGATGGCGTGCGCGGCCCCGGTCATGTGCGCCCGCGCCGAACCACTGCGAGGGCCGGGCTGATCCGCTTTCTTTGTGGAAACTCTGCTCTCTGACAGAGCGCCGAGAGCACACTCCGCTGGCGAGGCCGCCGGGCGACTGGACGGGAGGAGATTGTTTGAGCCAAACACTGCGCGACGGCGACGCAAACAGAGAGAGGGAGAGAGAGAAACAACCTCCGAGCGAGCTTAGCTCGGAGAGAAACAACTTCAGAGATAACCTCGGAGATAGCATCGGCGCTATAAAGCCGGCCGCGCTCCCGGTCGCCCCCGCCCGGTCCGCCCTCGTCCGTTGGATTTCCGACGTTGGAATCACCACCACTCATCGCTGACTCACCCCTCGCTTCCCTCTTCAGCTGCTCAATCTCTCTCTCTTTCACGCTCTCTCTCCAACCACTTTGCCGCTCAATCCTCTTTAGCCCCCCCCCTGTCCTGCATCCGTCCTGCATCCGTCCTGCATCCGTCCTGCATCCGTCCTGCATCCGTCCTGCGTCTGATCAGCTATCCCCGCCATGGCCTCTTGGACCTCCTCCTCGTTCTTCCAGAGCCTCCCCCGTCCTCACCGACGGGACTCTGAAATGTCAGTGGCCTCGGTCTCGTCCAGCTACTCGGGCGAGTCTTCGGCCAATTTGCTGGCTTCGACCGGCAACCTTCTCGACACTCCCCTGAGCCCCTCCACCCCTGCCGCCCCGGCTGTTGCCCAACCCATCCCCATCGCCAAGAACGAAAAAACACGTTCCGGCGTCTGGGGCTCCATCTACAAGGCCGCATGGGAGCCTGCTCCTCCTGTCAAGCTCTCCGCAACCGAACAGGGCTCATGGCCCGCCGAGTTCTCCGTCTGGGCCTCGATGCCTTGAGTGCACATCGATGCGCCTCGGCGGCCGTCATGCTTGCTCATCGCTTTGGCATCATCCCCTTTCATGACTCATTCCACCAGAACCGTCCTTTTTCGTCGATCCAAGTCATCTGGACTGCTCTGCCGCAGCGCCGCCGCTATCGGCGATCTCGGTCGCTCGATCCTGGCGGCTTGATCCCGGTCGCTTGATCCTCATCCTTCCTTCGTCCATCATCTTCTCTCCATCCACGTGCGAATCCACAACTTCTGTGCCCTCCCCTTCGTACTTTGTCTACCATCGGGGTTGAGCTCGCCTGCTGTTTGGCTTGGGAGTTGCTCCCCGCCCCTTGGGCTTTTTGATGAAGGGTTTCTGCATAGGTTCCCGGATGTAGCCTGTCCAAAAGTTGATGCAGTCCCAGCGGCTCTGGCCAGTGGCCTGATCGCCTGCTGGATGCCGCGTTTGTCTGGCTGGCGCTTCTCGAGCCTTTGCGTTGCTGCTGCTGTTGGTGTCATTGTTGGTGCTGTTGGTGTTGTTGTTGCGCTGCTGCTGCTGCTGCACACCTTTCCGTCGCCCTTTCAGTATCGCTGTGCTGTTGTGGTTTGGTATGACGATGCGTTGTCTGTCGCATAGGGCCTGTCGAGCTTGTATCCCCTTTTTCCTCCGACGGCAGCGATCATTCCTTGGAACTGGAACCTCCTCCTCGGCCTTCGTCCGACCGTTCCGTTCATAACTTGCAGTCATCCAAACGTATCTGTAATCCTCTCTGTGATAGCCGTTTTTTGCCCTCCTTCCTTCGGTCGTTGGTCCGTTTGTATATATCCCGGATCGAATGCGGCGGCGTGAGACTTTCAGGCCTCTGCCCCGTCCGTCCTTCCTCCGACCACGCCGTCTTTTTGGATTCATATTATTTTTTTTTTCCGTCCGCCATCTTGCGCCTCCTGCTGATGGTGTAATTCAATACATATCTTTTTTTGAAGAGATGGAGTCGTGCTCGTGCGCGTGGGTGCTGCTGTTGGTGAAGTGATGGCGTTGGCGATGGTCGTGGCGATGGTCGTGGCGATGGTCGTCACCGACTACGATAGCGTGTCGCCGGAGAGTACTTGTGAGGCAGCGGCGTGGGATGTCGTCGAAGCAATCTTGCGCACAACATTGAACGCCCCCGCAAAGAAGGGGCGGATTTCGTTGATTTCCATCAGACCCAAGTTGTTGATCTATATTCGGAATGTGCGTGCATGCGTTAACCCACGGTGCTGGGGCTCGGCGAGCAAACGACGAGACCCCGGGAAAGCTGCTGTTTGCTCGTCCCAGCTTCAGCGACAAGTTGACAGCACCACCCGCCCACACCATCCCATCGCCGCGCATCGAATCCAAGGCGTCCTGTTGCCCAGCTCCACCTACTTGAAGGTACTGCGGGTTCAATTCGCTGAGACCTTTGCGAGACTTGCCCTGGCGAACCTCGCGAATGTCCTTCAGCAGTGTGCGGACCGTATCGGGTTTCTCAATGTCATCGCTGGCACTGGATCGGCCACAGACGACGGCAGTCAGGGGATCGCTTTGCCCAGCATTCTATCTAAAGTAGCGGCTGAGGCACGACCAGCGCGAGACAGCGTCATGCACTTGCCTTTCAAGCAGCAGATGCGCCATTTCCAAGTGATGAAAGGGCAGGTCGCTGAAATCGTCGTGATTGCGCTCCTGCTCAAGCTTGTTTTGCAGGTGTTCTTTGAAGAGAGTCGACCGAGGTGCGGGATACAAGGTGTGCAGCACACAGGCGAAAGGCGTGAGATTCAGAGTGCAGAGTTGGGTCGTGGGTTAAAGACTCCATCCACAAAGTGCAACCAGAGGCTGCCCTGTCTAGGATTTGCTTCAGACCTGGTTTGGGTCGACCTCGGATCTGCCTCGCTGTCCAGAATCGCTGGGGGGGGGGAGGACCTACCAATAGCCAACCACGCCGGCGGCCGGATGCTGCACTTGTCCTTTTTTTTCAGGCTGATGGCGAGCCATAGCGGAACCTCGGCCTGGGTCGGCGGCCGGAAGGGACCGTAGAAGCCCTGTTGGCATGGACCGAGAGCATGAGCAAGGCGATCGGTCCGCAGCAGGCAATGCATGTTGCTCGACAACAGGCCACCTCGCTCGGCAGGCGCACACATAGACAACCAGAGCTAGCGATGCGGGACGAGGACCCTCGTTCCTCCTCGCCAAGCGCTTACGCTGATGAGCTGGAGCTGGGGCATCGGGACGGACGGCACGATCGTCACGGACTCGTTTTCGGCCATGAACACCACCTCGTCCGGCGTGAATGTGGTGCCAGCGCCAAGCAGAGTCATTGTCCACCGGCAAGAGCTGCGAGTTCGATCGGCTGGCAGCAGCACGGCGCCGACGCAGACCGGACAGACAACAGGGAGGAAAGAAGCCGGGGCTGCAGGCGTATATCAATGGGGGATTTCATCCGCAGGCACTCTCGCCGATCGGAGTTTGCTCCCCCCCCCCATCTTGCAGGGGACCAGATCGGGCCAGAAGCTTCATTGTAGCTTGTTCTGTTCATCCAGTCTGAGCGCTGCCGCACTCGTAGGCCTGCCGCCCTCCATTGGCTCCGATGCGCACATAAAATGCAGGCGATCGACACATATGTAGGGGTCATCGTGCGCTGGACGGCGTTGGCTATGCTGTTCTCAGAGTGCGTCGGCCGCGCGTGTCAGTTCCCTCGCTGTCTCCTCGTACTGCTCCGAAAACGCATTTGCCAGGAAGAAGAACGGCGCATCCACCTCGAGGTTGCTGGCCTGTGGGACATGGATGCATCTGTCAGCACGCCGACGGTCTCTGGGCATCGTGACACATATGCTATTCCCAGATGCCGCCGCACTCTTGTTGATGGTGTGTCCGGGGGGATACGGAGGAAAATCAGCACCAAACCCGGAATGCCTACTCTTTACGCCGACGATCCGCATTCGGGCCCGTCCCTGACCAACGCTTACCGCCGAGCTCTCAAAGTACGCCAATCCCTGCGACTTGGCCAGCTCTTCCCCCTGTGCCATCGAGATGACCCGACGCGATCCTTGGTCGATCTTGTGGGCGATGAGGACACCTGCAACAGACGCAGAGCGTGGGCGATCAGACATCCCGGCCGTGCTATCGCTGCTTCGCACGCCCATGCAACGCATGATGGTCCCGCTGGTACCAGCGCTGCAGATACCCCGACAGCTTGCGGTACTTGTCGCGGGCTTTTGGTGGCATTTGTCCGTGCGTTCTTCACCATACCGTGCAGTCCCTTCCCACACTTTGCCTTCTTTGCAAGCGGAATCCACTTGGACGAGATCGACTTGAACGACTCCATGTTCGTCACGTCATATACAAAAACGAACGTCGACCCGCTTTCGGCCTGGGTGATCGATGGATCCTGTGAGCATTCCACTCGACACTGCCGGATCACCAGCATCATCAGCATCACCAGCATCACCAGCATCACCAGCATCACCAGCAGCAGTGACCAAAGCAAAGCTTCGACTCCGGGCCATCAACCGACATATTGAGGAGCAAACTCCGTGAACACCTCGTGGCCGCCGACGTCGTGCAGATAGAGTTCGACCGTGATGTTGGTGTCCGGCACATTCACGGCTTTGACACAGACTTCGGCGTGGATCGTCTGCAGGGGCAGAGCCAGACTTTAGCCCAAGCTATCGGCAGCGAGTCTCGAGGCATCCAAACTACTACTCCCGAGAGCCCTCATCGACAACAGGCGTGCCATCGATGTGAAATACAGAGCGCTGCCGGCGCTCGGTGCAGCCCGGAGTGGTCTACCATTGCATAGGTCTTTGGGAACTGGGCCCCGTCCGAGTGGAATGCCTGTACCAGCGAAGACTTGCCGACGCCGGGGTTGCCTGCGTCCCAGTGTTGGAGCGGAGGGCACATGAATAAACCTTTCGGGCACATATAATGTTTGCTTCCGACATCGGACTCGTCCGCCGGCCTCGCCTCTCGGTTTCCCACAGCCAGACTGACCGAGAACAACACACTTGGTGCGCAGGATCAACTTGCTGCTCAGCATTGCGGCTGGCTGGCCGTGGACTGGTTGTGGATTGAAATCGTTGCTTGGAAAGACCCAAGCCAAGTCGGCAACAGAGAGGCGGCGGGCTTGGCCTGGCCTCTGGCTTTCCAAGTCATTCGCGCGCAAACGGCGAACCGCCCATTCCTCAGACCCGAATCGTTGATGGGCGGGCTATCGCCCCCAGTCGAGGGAAACTGGTGCTTGTTTCGCAGCGATATTCCGCCACGCACCCAGCACCACGCTTCAAGCTCTGCATTGCGCCGCATCAAGTGCGATATCAGACGAATTGGCCATGGCTTCACAGGCTGCTCCCGATAATGACCTTGACGCACACAAGACCGCCGGACAGAGCAGCAGCGAGGAGTGGCTGCTGCTTCGGGTGGGTGCAACGCCGCGCAACTCTCTGGGATGGTTTCGATGCGGCGTCGGATTCTACAACAAAAAAGAGTACACCAAATCGATCGAGTGTCTCGAGAAGAGCATCCAGCTCGACCCATTGAATGTGAGTTGCGGGCCGCGACTACTCGATACACTTTGACCCATCGTCGCGGGGGTGCCGGGGAGAAGAAACTTTGCATGGTCTTGCGCATCTTTCGAGATCGCGAATGCGCTCTCACCTCTCGACTCTAATCCCTTTTTGACCATCGCCACGGTTGTGTCGATGGGCAGTACAATGCCTTCCAGATCATGGCCCGCGCATGCATCGCCGTGAATCGTGAGTACTGGTGGCCTCCAATATCAATCCTCGCGCCGGTCGCATCATTACGACTGCCTTTCTCCGGCACCATCAACTTCTGGCTCTCCTTCGCGGAGGTGGGGGGGATTCGTTGAGAGAAACTGACAGAACTGACTCTGAAACCTCCCTCCACAGGCAAAGATGATGCTATCGCGGCGCTGAAGCAGTCTGTCGTCTTGGACAACCCGTCCGATTGGTCAGTGGGCCTGGCTTGCCATGCAGTGCTTATACCCTCCCCCTTTCAGATCACTGGCGGCTGTATATTGCTAGAGTACAAGTGAGGATGGCCAAGGAGATGGGATGGCCAAGGAGATGGGATGGCCAAGGAGATGGGAGGACCAAAGCAAGAGTCTCGATGCGATTGGCGCTGGACTAACCGTGAGCGATCGATCTACCGTCTCCAGGCAGCTTTTGGTGGAGCTGACGTCCAACAAAGAGTAGTCTGGCTCCTTTCGGGTATGGTCCTCCAGCACGGCCGCCGAGGAATTACGACCAACTCCAAGCATGGCAGGTCGCAGCGAGGGTCTGCAAGTCGGCAATTTGAAAGTGCGGGCTCGGTCAAGGGCTGGACATTGGACATCAACAGAATCTCTCCTTGAATAAGCTCATCGAAAGGACCGAGCTGTGCATGTTCAGGCTTGGATAGACGCCATGTTGAAATCGGGCTGTTGGCGACTGTCTACGCCATCCACATCACGGGAATCTCATAATCGATATTTTCAGAATCTTCGTCGATATCATGGGCTCCCTCAGACTGAGCACATGGAAGAGAGAGAGGGGGGGAAGCGGGGGGGGGACTTTGTCAGTACCAGTGGCCGGCGGATGGAAGCCCAGAGCCAGCGCAGAATCGCAGGACCGGTTCACCCAACTGAGATCTGGAATGGAGCCACTGCTCTTGGACGACTTGGCGACTTGGCCAGATACGCATATCTGTATCGGTTCGAGATCATATCGTGCCAGTCAGCCGCGCAAATCGAGTATCGCTGGCGGCGGAGAGGACATCGCCTCGATCGAACCCAGTAGTGTCGTTCGGCCAGTACCTGATGCCGTCCTTCCAATAGAGTATCAATCGATTGGTGCAGGTATGGGCCCAGCTGTCGCCTATGTGCCCGAGGCCATCCGTTCCAGCAGCGTCGAATGAGACGGGATGGTCAGCAGGATCAGATCATTCGTCCGTGCTTGCTTTGTCGATGCTTTCTCACCCATCGCTGGGAGCAGGGTCGATTCGCTGCCCAGGGCGTGCGACCGCAGGGTCAGATGGCTTGTCGTCACGATCTACGGCGCATACGGCGGTTATGATAGTTTCGGGCGAGAGATTAGGGCCGAGAATATCTCTGTGCAGGGCCGAGCTTGTCTTTGTGCAGGGTCGTGGGGGCGGAGCGTTATTCCCAGCAGCAGCAGAATCATATCGGGCAAGTTGCTCATGCGGGTTTACCACAAGACCAAACTTGTCGGCGATCTTGAATAGGATGTTGGACACCAGATTCAGGATGGAGAGCCGTCTCGATGGATCGCTCATGTGCCGGAACAGGGCGGCTATGCTGTCAATGACCACCAGCTTGATCTGTGATATCGGCCAATCCGATTTGACTCAGTCGACATTTTCGACACAGCCACGGCTGCTCGACCCAAATGATGCCGAGGACCGTTGGCTCTGCAGGGCTCCGACCTACCGATCGGTGTTGCTGCAAGTATCTCGAGAGCTGGTGACAGAGCGCCAGCAGCTGGTAGTGGTCGAATATCCGAAAGCAGTGCAGACCCTCGAGCACGGCCTCGACCGTGGGCAGCTCGACATCATCTGTAGGCAGCGGGCATCGCAGATTGATCTGGTTGGTCAGTACAGAAGCTGGTTGAGGACTGATACGGGCTCTGTCGCTGGGCTCACCTCCAGACGAGACTGGCTTTGCCAAGGTGCGTTCGGCAATTCCCTGGAACCTCTCGACATTGAATCCGCCTTCGGTGTCTGCTCCCGAAACCAGACCAGGGCAGCCAAGTTCATGCCCGTCAGCACCGATGCCCAGTAGTAGCAGCAGCTGCGCTGAGATTATGGGTCGTCTTGTGGATATGACTCGCGGATCTTGGATTCAGGTTCGGGTTTGGGTTTGGGTTTGGGTTCGTTCGAGATCTCCCTCGTCTACTCGCTCGCTCACCTACGAATATCGCCTGGCCGTCCATACCGCCGAGCCGAGCCGGCAGCTGGACGTTGACGGCATACTGCATCGCCAGCGTCGTCTTTCCGATTGCAGGCCCTCCGCAGATCTCGGTCATCTTGCCCATCGTCAGCCCTCCGCCGACGAGGCGGTCGACAGCCGCGACCGAGCAGCGAAGGAGGTATTCCGATCGCACTCGCTCGAGAGCATCGAAGGCGGTTATGGGTTGCAGATGCGGGGCGGCCATGGAGAGCGGTGGATCCAGGGCCGGCGCAGATGTAAGAATCGCTGACTGCTCAGAATTGCGGTGCTGGTGTCGGCTCTGGGTCGATAGTGCACAGGGGGCGGCGATCGGGCATCTGCCGCCGTTTCTGACAAATGCACGAGGCCGAGCAGTTTTGCCCTGGATGCCGCTTGGCCCAGCGTCTGCTCTGGTCTGCTCTGCTCTGCTCTGCTCTGCTCTGCTCTGCTCTGCTGCAGCCATGCTGGCCTTCCGTGCTGTTAAGGCCCTTTCCCGGGCGTCGCCGGCGCCTGCAAAGGACGAGAATGCCGTGCGGATCGGCATCCTGGGTGCAGCCAACATTGCCCCAATGGCATGTGTCCTGCCGCTCTCTCATCTGCCGAACGGCACCGCCTACGCCGTTGCTGCCCGCAAGAAGGAGCGAGCCAGCGAGTTTGCCAAGAAGCACAGCATCCCGGTTGTCCACGACTCGTACGAAGCGCTTCTGCAAGTATGCTTGCTGCTGGTCCAGGAGGAGACAGTTCCTGAGCAATCCATGTAGCTGCCCAGTTCATGCTTCTGCCTGTCCATGCGGCCCCCTTCATGCCCTTGCAAACCTTCGCACTGTCCCCGTTTTTCGCTCGGCAGGATCCCAACGTCGACGCCGTCTTCATCCCGCTTCCGAACGCACTGCATGCCCGCTGGGCTGTCGAGGCCATCCGCCATGGCAAGCACGTCCTCTGTGAGAAGCCCTTCACCGACAACGCATCACAGGCCCAGGAGGTCATCGACGCCCTCGCTGCCCACAACCAGGCCCGGCCCGCCGACTCGCCACCGGTGCTGTGCATGGAGGCCTTTCACTGGAAGACTCATCCGGCCGCCCAGTTCTTCAAGAGCGTGCTACAGAACCAGGTCGGCGGGTGGAGCATTGGTTCTGTCCAGGCTGTCCACACTGCTTTCAAGATCCCCTCGATCGCCTTTGGCGACACCGACATCCGCTACAACTTTGGCCTTGGCGGCGGAGCCACCATGGATGCGGGCTGCTATGCCGTATCTGCCTGGCGCTTTGCTGTCGATGCTTGCTCCTCGACCAAGGGCTACGTCCCCCAGGTCGAGAACGCAACCGCCACACGCTGGACCAAGGACGACAAAATCGACGTCAATATGACCGCTACACTAGTCGGTGCCGCGGGCATCCAGGGCTCCATCACGGCCATGTTCCAGGCCGGCCTGCTCTCCTTCGAGGCCACCATCACCGTTGTCGGCGACGCCGGGACGCTGACCTACACCAACTTCATCGCGCCGTCCATCTACCATGCAATCGAGCTCAAGCCCAAGAACGGGTCCGGCAAGCTCAGGAAGGAGTACACCCCACAGGACGGATACAAGCCGACCTACTTTTACCAAATGAGGGCCTTCCTCGACGCCGTTCAGCGCAAGAATGCCGACTACGAGGCCGTGGGCTTGACAGAGACCGGCGACGCCCTCATCAACATGACTGTTATTGATGCGATCTACACCAAGGCGGGGCTACCCCTTCGTCCGTGAAAACAGCGATGTGGACCGCCCGCTCGGATCTTTGGATACTCTGTATTCGACGTGTGTGAACCCGAAGATGTCTTTCTGTGTGTCCGTGATCCACGGCCGATATCAGTGATCGCGGCATCTTTTGTCCAAACGTTACCGTTCAATGAATGCATCCCAGACTTTCTGAATCGTCGCAATATGCAGCGAACCAAGAGCGTCCGGCATGGGTGTCCCGAATTGTTAATCTGGCCGATGTGCCGTCGACCCAAACGAGGCCACATTCGGTTATTCGAAGTAGGAAGGGTGTCTGCTAGCCACCGTCATCGGCTGTCTGTTTATCCTGCTTGCAAGGTTGACCTGGGCCGTCATGCAAGAAAGTGGATGGCCGAGTCGAGCCTGGCCAAGAGCGGATGGAGGCGGGTGGCAAGGGGAAGGCCAGACGTGCTTTCGCCGAGAAGGTAGAAGCAGCAGACGACACGAGCGACCTTGGCAAATCCAGACGGCGTCTGAGCCGCATCCTGCAGCCCGGCATCAAAATGTTCCAGACTCTGGCTCAGCGCACTGTTTGAAGCGATCTGGTGGCGGATCGACTCCCGGGTCGACTCCTGAACACCGGCGTACTGGCTCATGAGCTGCTTGAGTGCCGCGGTAGCGAGGAGGACGTCCACGATGTCCTCGTGGTGAGAGTTGTGCTCTTCCTTGGCAAAGAGGACCTTGGTTCCGGACGCAGAACCTGTGTTTGTTTCAGCGACGGACGGAGGGTGGGTTACCGATGCTGGGCCAATCCAGCCAGACGCCTCCAACAAAGAATCGATGCCATCGATAATACGGCGACCCCAGCGCAAAAGCAGCAGCCAACGTACCAAGCACAATGTGCTCCAGATCCAGCACCACAGAGAACTGCTTCGCCAGATACAAGGCGCCTTCAGCTGAGTACTTTCTTGCGCACATATGCTGCACAAGAACGCCGCGACATTTTGTCGCAATGATTGGCTCCTGCAGAACCAAGATGCACGTCAGTTGAGTTGGTCGTGTTGGTCGTGTTGGTCAAGGCAGCGAGTCCGGCCGCGATGATGCTTTAGCACAGCCTCCTCCCTCAGCTTGGCCTCAGCACTACTCACCGAGAGAGCGACCATTGCGCTGACAGCAGCTGCCATCTCTTCACGGACACCTGGCTCTTCATCCTTCAACAGACGATCAATCAACAGGAATGTATCCACGGACTGATGTTCGTCTAGTTGACTGAGCTTGAGACTTGCCAGGGCCCACTTGAAGGCATCGACAGCGGCCACTCGGATGGAGAGCGCCTGTTTCGCAGAGCAAGCGGCAAAGCCAGCAGGCCGCGCCAGCGCCAACAGAGAAGAGGTACATCGGCGTAAGGTGGGCCGTGGATAATGGACCCCGTCAGCGGTTGTACGGGGCAGTTTTAGCATTAGGCTGGACAGAGACAGCGACAGCGACGAGACAGACTGAACAGGTGCAGAGTCAACACGAAGAGAGCGAGCAGCATACGTTGTTGGGATCGCTCCATTTGCCAATGACAGCGATCAGAGACGATGCATAGGTGCTTCGCTTGTCTTCAGAGATCTGTGATCCCAGGTGCGCAAAGATAAAAGGGCATACATGAGCCATAGGGCGAGGGAGTGTCGGTGGCAAGGTCTAGTTGCTGAGCATCGCATCGCGGCCAGCGGAAACTCGAGCGCATCGCTGTGCTTACCTGAGGAATCAGAGAACCAAGCAGCGGCATGATAGCCTCGACATAATTCGGGTTGGCGGTTTCGAGCGATCGCTTCATCAGCAGGTCCCAGATGGCCGGAATCCTCGAGACGTACGCACTGTTCACGCCGTGCTGAAGATGAAGCTGGGTCAGCAGCTTGGCTGCCTTTTGGATGGCAATGTGGTAGGTCGAGTGCTGCTCCACAATGGTAACCAAGGCTGCCTGGAGTTGGCTCAGATCGACTCCCAGGCTTTTGAATGGAGAGGGGCGGAGATGCATGCCAGTCAGTGACAGTCCGTCGATAGTCCTTCCACAGCAGTCTGACACATCCGTGTACATACGCATGGATAGGCTCCTCTCCTTGGCAGTGGCTGTCGACAAACTCCAGGACAGCCAATTGGACTTCATAGTCGTGGTCGAACAAGAACAGCAGGACAAAATGCTGCAAGTCTGTTGCCGCAGCTTCAGCTTCGAGCCGCAGCGCCTTGATTTTGAGTCCCTGGAGGACCAGTAGAGCAAGACTGCGGCGGAGAGCAAACCGAGCCACGACAATGCTGCTCGAGTCCGCAGTGGCGATGCGGGCCACTGCCGTTTTCCAGATTCTGGGACGAATTGTGGCAAAGTGGCGCTCTATCGACGCTTCGATTTCTGTGGGGGGGGGGAGTGGTATTTTCAGATGGTGGATCAAAGACATCAGACCACGGGTCGAAGAGCAGTTGATTTGATTTGGCTGAATCAAATCGAATCGAATTGGATTGGATTGGATACGTTGTGGGGTGGGAAGGGAGCTTCCCGGATGCTGCCCGAGGCTCACCTGACGATTCATGTGCGGTGAGGTTGCCGTTCTTCCAATAGTCGCCACTGACAAAGAGTTGACCGAGGATCGATGTCGCCAGCTCGGTTGTTACAGCACATGTGTTCTCTGCAAAGACCCACCAGATGGATTCAAACAGGGCTGGCATCTTTGCCATGATCTCTGTTGAAAGAAGGGGGGACGAAGAGGCTCGAGATTAGCAGCCAGTCCAGGCTCACCGACGGGATCCTGGCTTCATTTTTAAGCGTGTTCCAGAAGGTGAAGATTACCTTGGCAGCGAGCCAGACCGTAAAGCTCGATCGAGAGGTGTGACGATAGCAAGGCATGTGTCTGGAGCAGAATGCCATGCAGATGATTCTGGCGGCCTGGGTTGGCTTCGGCGAGCAGCGAGCTGAGAGTCGCCATCAACTCGCTTGGCGCAATCAGCGAAGCGAATGCACGCGCCGACATTTCGCGGGCTTGGAGGATCGAGCTCCGCGAGCAGCGATGCACAACGGGCCGAAACGTGGACAGCATGTTCTCCGATCCTTCTGTCTCGAGAATAGACGGCTTCACTGCGGAGTGGAGAAGCCAAATTAGAGGTGGATGCTGCTATCAGAACGAGAGCCGGGTCGCTGGCGACTGCCAAAGTAATTGCTTCCAAACGGCATGGCTACTCACGGCGCGCCAATATGGTCAGGATGGGATAGAGTGCAGGATGGATTTTGCCCTGAAAAGCGTGCATGAGGAGGTGCGTTGGAGTGTGTTAGTGTCTCGACGGCGCCGAAGGGTCAACAGGGCTCGCACAGAGAAGCCAGGAGCCGCATCGGATCAGTCTGTGTCGCCGTATCCGGCGAGACGACGCACCGTTTCCAAGGCCGACACAGCAACTTCAAGCTCCTGCAGGAGGAAACCGTGCAGCTTGGGGAAGCGCGTGAAAAACTCCCGTCCAGTCACGGTGTTGATGCTGTGTTGTTCATCTCTGGATTTCTGCATCAGGAACCGTTTCGCGGATGCGTTAGCGACAGCAGAGTCGGATACATCGATTCAAATGGCATTTGACAAGCAGACCCTCAGCCCCATACCAACCTTGACACCCAAAGCTTTGGTAATCAGGGTGGAGAAGAGCATGGCTGCACAGTTGCGAATGGGGAAGCTGTTGGGTGACGAGGCGGCGCGGGACGGTGGTTAGAGCCCGTCCTAGATACTCGCACAGTATCGACACCACCGCAGTCTAACCTGGAGGACGAAAATCCACGGATGCTGAGAATGAAGCCATCGCTGAAGTAGTCGCGCACATCCTTCACGATTGAGGCATCGGTCAGTACAGCCCTGGTGATGTGGGAGAAGATGGGTTAGATGCAGTTGTTCATGCGAGAGTAATGTCGGGGGACGGTGCTTACCGGATGACATTGTATGCATGCGCCTGTTGGTACAGGAATATATCATTGGCTGTGAATACATGGGCGCTCTTGGAGCAGCTTGCCGATATCATCGAACGCATGCCAAGACTGCCCAAAATGGCAAGACACCCGCTATAGAAGCATTCGCCCCTGTCTAGCATCAACTCGAAGCCTTCAAAGCATGAATCAAAGCCCCGATGCAAGCAAGAGTGCACTTGCTGATGGAGCTCTCACCTGAGGCAGATCCAGGCGCTCGTCTCCTTCGGCATCGATGGGTTCAAAGGCAATCTTGAGCAGACGCTCGATCGTGGTGGTCAAAATAGCCTTCTTGGCAGGAATCGGGGCGCTGATGACGGCCAACACACCGTAGGGGAGACCTAGTGACACACAGGGAATTGTGTCAACGAAGCTCTTGTCCGTCGTGGCTGTGGAGACATTCAGCAGTATCACTGTCCCTATGCCCACCGCGCTGCCTGAGAATCGAGACAGTTGCAGGACGATATGTACCTGCGCTGCGGCGCGTTGTCGAGACGCTAAAGTCCTGGACCTGATGGATAAAGTTCTACACACAAATCATAGCAGCGCGGCTCGGTATTAAAGCACATGGCTCCGGGTGTGTGTGTGTATCGGTCTCTGCACTATGCAGGGCGCCAAGCCCGTCTGAATGTAAGCTACCTACCTCGAGCCACTCAAGAGGTAGCCTGGAGATTTCGGTGCTGGGGCACTTCAAAAATGCAGTCGTGACGGCGGCAAAGGCTTCATGGACCGAGGAAAAGGCTCCACGGTGTCGAGTCTGAGCAAGCGTTGAGGTGATTCATCAAACGGGATGCAGATGGCCGCGCTGGAGCTGGAAGGCTGGAGCCCTGTCGACACATTTGCAGTGTAGGGGCGATGCTGCTACTTACCTTCATCAGCAACATTTTCAAGAGATCTCCCCCCCTTGTGACGTTGGCGAACGAAACCAGTCCGTCCTTGACATCCCAGAGCGCGCAAGTGGTATCAGCTACATTGACCGAGCGGACGACCAGAGGAGGACATATCGACCATCGCCAACACAAGTGCCTGGACAATACCTGATCGCAGTCCGATTTAGATAGTGGGGAGCGCACAAGAATGGCGGTAATCAGGGCGGTGCCCTCCTTGATGACGCGGAAGGATTGGTGCAATACAAGTTGGTTCTTGAGCGACTTTTCGTCGAGATTGACATCTCCGTCCGTAGCCACGGCGTCGTCCTCGAGCATGTCATCCTCTTCGTTATCGTCTCCAAGCGAGGGCAGATGGCCAGCTGATGGACACGACAAAGAGAATGAGTTAATCGAACTGTCCTTGCCGCCGCGCTGTATATACAAACTTGGAGCGAAGGTGATGCAGGGCACACTTGGTAGCACATCTTACCCGCCGATGCATCGCTCAGCACCGGGAGGACAAACAGCGAGGCCCTCTCGACGGTGTCGAAAAGATCGTTGAGCAGAGCAGCCCACTGGCTGCGGTTATCTGCAACCACGCGGTCGTGGTACTGGATTTCCTCCACGATATTGACCAAGGCAGCAACCAAGCCGTGCACAGGATGGTCCACCGCCAAGGCCAGCAGACTCGATGCAGCAGCATCCAAGCGGGACTTGACCATGGCCAAGATGCGGTCGATAAAGTTCACTGGGGTCATGGATCAAAATGCAAGTCGGTGAATAACGCGCGTTTTGAGCAGCGGTATCGAGAGACTGATCGTCCTCAAGTGCTCAAGGTAGCTTAATCAGCACTTCAGGACACGTACACATTGGGCAGCCGTGGTCAATATCATTCAGATGGGCCTCAGGAAACCGAATGTTGCGGCTGCGATCGCGAACGAACTTGCAGAACAGCAGGCGAAGTAGGACCGAGCCGGCATCGCATTCATTCGCGCGGATGTGGCAAACCTGGCAAGCGAATGGATGGTATTCAAGTCAGAATGCGCTTGCAACCGAGGTACGCCCAGCCATGTCGATCGCCTGCCATCATACTAGTGGCCACCGACCTTGCGCAAACCGAGATCAAGCAGCTGCTGGATTTCGCCGTCCGACTCCAATCCTGGAGTCTCTTGGAATCGAATTAGCAGCTGATACGCCATCTTGCGATTTGCATCATAATTGTCGGTGTCGATAGTTGACAGGAGCGCCGAGACAGTCGATCGCTGAGCCAGGGCAATGTTGATGGGAAGAGAAGTCGGATCGACGCGGAGGTTGTCGTCGACCTGGAACGCTTCGCTTTCTTGGACAACCGCCATCAGGGACAGGCTGGATGTGACGCGCTGGAAACTGGAACCCGGGAAGAGGGATGCGATCTGTCGGGCGATCGAGTCGCCTTAGCGTTAGCGTGGTACTCAGTGATGGGCAGGACATGTGTGTATAGCTCGTACCAGGAAGTCATAGAGCCAGTGCAAGAAGGACGCTTTCGTGTTGAGCTTGTCCATCAAGACGGCCAGGGCAGCCTCCTCTTCCGCAGATGGCTTTGCAGGCCCCCGACTGGCTAGATAATCTCTCTTGGAGGAATAGTCTCGCCAGTTGCCGTAGAGCGTGCGACGTAGGCGAATGAGGAATTTCTTGATAAATGCCTGACTGTGATTGAAATGAGTGCTATTAGCTACAGGATATGGGTCCGCCTGGACGTAACACGCTCTCCGGACCACACACAGCAGACAGCAGACAGCAGACAGCAGACAGCAGACAGCAGACAGCAGACAGCAGACAGCAGACAGCAGACAGCAGACAGCAGACAGCAGACAGCAGACCACGGATAGCGCATAACGCGATTCGACGGCTTCGCTTACGTTTTCTGACGGAACTCGGGCGACTGAACAGAGCTATTGTAGGTCAGGAACTCCTTGACCAATCCAAATTCGACCTCACTTGTTTCGGCGGTTTGCTTTCGGCTCTCACAGAGCAGGCCCAATGCATCGGTCCGGATATGCATGTCCGGATGGCAAATGGCCTGTTGGACAATTGCAGGATCGACAAAGACGCTGTCGGGTGCTAAGGCGCCACGGATATCAAAATACAATCGGTCAGCTATGCGAGTGATCAGTGGGGAATCTCGCCACGATCGCTGCTACAACGGTACAACACTGGATTCGCCCGGGTACCTGTGGATCCAATTGAGGCGACCGCACCAACGGTTCGGCCGGCCTTGAGGACCGAGATCAAGCCATGGAGGCGATAGGAGATATTCATCTTGGACTGTCCGCTCTGAGTGGCCCGAAGCTCTGTTCGTAGTGTCAGGAATCCTGCGCTGAACCAAGACACAGAGCAACAGTTGTGCAGATATATACGTACCCTCCATGAGGATGGCCAGTATGTCACCTCGCTGTTTCATGAGAGGAGCGGCGATGTGCTCGCCCATGGCCTTGCGGAGAACCTCGGCTTCGCTTGTCAAAGACTCAATAACAGGGACCAGCCACCATTCATCGCTCTGTTTGGACCATAGGGGGAGGATGGAGAGTCAGTGCCGCTTGAGAGCAGCGGCACCACAACCAGCGGTTTCGGCACTTTTACTACCTTCCATTTTTCTTCGGGTTCCTTGAATCCGGCTTCGAAGAATCGGTTCAAGAATGCAGCTATCGGAGACACCATCATTGCGTTTCTAGAGGGCACGGGTGGGTGACGATCAGCAACCCTCGTCATTTTGGCTCGACAAAGTGCGGCTGCTTTCTTGCCAGTCCAAATGCAGTTGAAACAAGCGCACTATACAACAGCGTGACGGCTGGGCTGATACATCGGGAACTACCTCATCACGTCGAAGCACAAAGAAAGGAAATCGGGTCTCAGCGCAAGCAACTTGCTGGGTGGGATTCTTGTCAGCAAGAGCGAAAGCAGATCGTATTTGACGCGTTGGTGCCAGTCAGACTTGAGGAGGTTGTCGAGGATTCGGCTGAGCGTTGGATTGGCGCCAGTTTTGGGGTCCTCATAATGGCTGGATATGGCCAGGAGGCCATGAAATATATCCCTGAGCTTGGACACGCAAAGTCAGTGTCAGCGAGGCCTGAAACCAGGTGCAGGAGTCGCCATGTTGATGATTGGTTTTGGGATGGCTGGGGCCAGCTCGATACTTACACAGTGCTGGACTTTGTCGACGGGATCGTTCCAGCCGTCAAACACATATGCAAACAGACGTCCGTAGAGGTCGTGATGAATGGTTTTCTCGAAGCTAGACTGACGGAAGACTTGAGCGCTGCGATCAAGCCCTTGCGCCTCGGATATGCGCTCGAGACACTGGGCGAGCGTCGTCAAGGCCATGACCCGCGTGCCTGAATCGGGATTGCTGTCGCAGATCTTGATGATTTCAGTGTAGGTTACTTCGAGGAGATTTGTGGTCTCGCTACTGTTGCGGGAGGAGCCGCGAACAACAGAAAAGGCCGCGGTAAGTGCTGGCACACGACACTCGATCTCACGGTGTGCATGTGGATGTATCCCTCGATGACTCAATATCCCCAACGACCATTTGCCGCGCGTGACTTGTACCTTTCTCCAGGCCGTGCAAGTCGGACCACGAGATCATCAACGTCGAGTACTGCCAGGCATCCTCGAACAAACGATAGCACTGCATAAGGTTCCTCACAGAGGATCGAGGATCGAATATGGAGACCTGGGATAGCAAGCGGCTGCTGCGACTCGACAGAGCCGGCAAAGACGATGCCGCCCCATTCGACAACGGGGATGCACTGCAGAAGCGACGCTGCAAAGACGCCGGCCAAGAACTGGATATCCCGGGGAAAATCGCCAGAAAAGCAGAGGGCAAACGAGATGGCTAGGAGCTGGCGAGTGGAGTCGTTTCCGAGCTCGAGCGTGTGCCTGATGTGTTCAGCGGAGGCCTTGGTGAACTTTGTCCACAGCGAGAGCATTGCCTTGAGGCATTCTTGGGCGCCCACGACATACTTTTGAATCTCGATTTGAGTGGTAGCTCCGTTACCCGAGATTTTGCTTTGGGCGATGAGGGCCTGTGCCTCGGTAAAGGACCAGGCCAATTGGGATGCGAGATGGTTGCTGGTGGTCTCGAAAGCGTTGGCGAGGAGCTGCCGGCCGATGGGCCAGTCAGCGGTGGTCTGGATCACTCCACAGATGTGCACTATGCGATCCAGCTGAGCTTGTCGAGCCAAGGTCTGTCCAGGAGCTTGCAGCGCATTGGAAAAGCCGCTGGCGAGCATGCGATCCAGAAACTGCGGATCATCTTCGATGAATTCCCTGGATTTTGCCAACACAGCAATGATCAGGACGCGGATCTGCGATTCGGGTGCGCCAAAGTAGAGTTCGACAAAGAGTGGCGCAAGCAGCTCGGAGATAAACTGCACATGATCTCTCTTGAGCGTCTGCGAGCAGACAGCCGAGAGCGTCGATGCTTTGAGAGCGCAAGGCGATCATGACGCAGAATGATGCGACGATGCGATGGGCAGGCCGACACGAGCCGAGCCGGAGATGTGTCGGCAGTTCCGTTTCACGACATGAGATTGGATCGAAGAGCGCCACGCAGCACAGCACAGCACAGCACAGCACCACGCCAGCCGCCATGGTGAGATTTGAGCGGCACGGAATGCCGATTCAGAGCAGGTTGATGGATGGTCGGTAGTTGTCCGAGGCGAAGGTGAGGAGAGAGGCATGTCGTAACGATGTAAGGGCAAAGTTCCAAGGCAATATGCTGCAGGCCAAGCGGCCGCGGCCCAGATGACGAACGAATACGGCGGTTGCGTGACGGCGATGGCGACGGCAGGCACCGGTCAGTGAGGACCAGTCCGACGCACCTAGTCTCTTCAGAACGGTGCATTGAGACCGAGCGTTGTGTTCTTGGGCCAGCTCCCGGATCACAGCCAGCACAGACGCCTGGCTCTTGTTGGCCGGCAGATACTCGGCGGCCCGCTGCGTCCATTTCGCAGGGAATACCAGGGGAGCGAGATCCTTGGGCCCGGGGGTTCGAGACTTGCGCATGATGTCGGAACAGCGCTCGCTTGGATCGAGCAATACCGCAGATCGTGTTTTGCAGGCCCTGGGGCAAAAAAAAAACGGGCATGCACGTGATTGTGCGGTTTCGGGATTCGGCCTTGGCCGTTGGGAGTGTGGGAGCCGCAAGCCGGACAGCGCTCTTGGTGTTGCCCTGTGTCGCGCCTTGGCCACGACCAGCAAGCACGCCATTCCGATTTCCGATGCGGCTGTGCCAGTGTCACGTGTGGGCGCTGCATGCCCGACAAAGGGTCTGTTTGCTGCCAAGAACGTCGCACAGACACCCCACCCAAACGGGCAGAAGCCTCGCTTGGCCTGGGCATCTCGCTGGGCATCTCGCTGGGCATCTCGCTCGGGCATATGGTCGCAAAGTGCGTTCTTGACTATATCAATCCGTCCCAGGTCCAAGTTCAGTCCCAGTCCCAGTCCCAGATCCAGATCCAGATCCAGTTCCAGACAGACTCGCCGCACTTGTTATTCTGCTTTCCGAGCTGTGCGGCTGCACCCCCCCTCTCTCTCCTTCTCTCTCGCCTTCTCTCTCGCCCTCTCTCTGCCAGGCGCGTTTTTTCGGGTCCTTCCTGTCCGGGCTTGCTTCTCGGACTCTGCCCTCATTCGCTCCCATCCATCTCTACCGAACCGGCCTTGCGCCTGTCTTGCCTCAAACCCGCCCGAACCCGCCCTGAGCGACCCATTCGTGCACCCGAGCTCGCAGCATGAACGGGGACAGGGGCAACGACGACGATATCGGTCCGCTGTTCCCGCAGTACCGGCCCAGCCCTCGCCAGCCTCCTGCGCCGGCTTATGCCCAGCCATATCCGTCGGGCTTCCAGCAGGGTGCTCCACCTCCTCAAGGCTTCCATCATCCGTATGCGTATGGCCAGCCGCATCCCTCGCAGCCCTATGCACCGGAACAGCCGTATTACGCTCCCCAGGCCGGTGGCTCCGCTCCTCCAGTTGCGGGCTACGACCCTCGAGGCCCAAGATCCTACTCCCCTTACACTCCAGGCTATCCGCCTCAGGTCCAAGGCTACGCCCCTCAGTCCCAGAGCCATGCCCCTCAAGGGTACGGTTATGCCCCTCAGTCGTACGGATATTCTCAGCAACAGTCGCCTCCCAGCGATCCGCGCCGGGCTTCCTACTATGCTCCTCAAGGTGCCGGCTATCCTCAGCCCCAACTCCACGCCCAACCCCACCAAGGCTATCCCGAGGTCCCGTTTCCCGCTGCCAGCGTCCAGCCGCCCTCGATCTCGGTCGATCCAAACTACTACGCCCCTGCTACGCAGCACCCGCCTCAAGATCACTATGCGCCCAAGTCCTCTGGCGCCCCAGCTGAGGCGGGCTCATCCTTTGTCGCCCCTGTTCGAATGGTCTCCCGGACCTCTCTCGCCCCGTCTCCTCAGTCGGGCTACGACCCCCGCGGCTCGCCCAATTCTCCCTACATCGATCGCCAGCCATCCCATGACTCGGGAAGCCTTCGCCACAGCGTCCTTCGTCCGTCAAACGAATACTCTCGCCAGCCTTACATCCCTGTCTATTCCGGAGGTTCCCACGGTTCCGTCGATGCTTATCGGTCCGAGACCCCAGTCGAGTCCTCGTCGTCTCCCCCCACGCCTCCGGCCCGTCTCCAGTCGCATGCTCTCAGTCACTCGGTTTCATCTCAGTTCGAGCGTCCTGCCGGATACACTGCGCCGCCTCGCAGTCACAGTCGGCTGCAGAACCGCATGAGTATAGCAAGTATTTCTTCCAACATGTCGCTGCTTGGCGGTCTCCCTGCCCCCTATCGGGTCGACAGCTCCTACCAGAACGAGACCCTCGCCGATCCCTCCGGCATATCCAGCAATCGGTCGTCGTATGTTTCGTCGAGCAATGGAAACGTCCCGCCGATCCCCACGGAAATCACCGTCATTGCCAGCATCCCTGAGGCCAATGCTGCACACCCCCATCACCCCTTGCTACCCGAAGCCTCAATTGCCGAATCCATCGTCGAGCCGATGGAGAATCTCCGCATGAACTCTCCCGACACCATCTCGCTCGCACCTTCCGAAGGCCCCGAATCTCCGCTTACCAGTTTCCTCCAGCCCAATGACACCCGCGTGAGCAGGGTGGACTCGCAGCGATCTCTGCGTACCTACAGCTACAAAGACCACGACATCAATCCCGCGGCCCTCTCGCAGATCGCTCTAGTCTTCCAAAACAAAATCAGCCTTTCGGAGAACGAGATGAGCGGTATCTCGTATCCCGATTCCTTCAACGGCCGTGCGGCCGTGACAACTTTGATGACCATTCTCAAGACCACCGATCGCTCACTAGCCCTGATGGTTGGCAAGATCCTCAGCCAGCATCGCTTCTTCCACGACGTTGGATACTTGCATCTCGGGCATCTGAAGGATAGTGCCAGTGAAATCTACCAGCTTGAGTCATCAATCTTGGATCGCGTCGCCTCCGGGGAGTCTGTCCAGTCGCCCGTCGCGGATTCTGCGGCCAGTTACTTGCCCCAGGGTATCCTTACTCCCTTGACCAAGTGCTATGCCAGGTTTTGTCCCGAAAACAGCACCTGCTACAGTTATTCGTGCCCATACCGGGCCCAGCAGGTCAACCGTATGCGCCGCTTCCTGGAGCACTCCGAAACCCATCTGGATCTTCAGCAGGATGTAAGTCACTCCACCAGCTACTGCATTACCGATCGCACTGCTTTTACAAATTCGATGCTCACCTAGCCGGTGTTATTGCGGCTCTGCACTAGTCTTGGGAGACCTGCGTGTCTCGCACCGTCTTTGACAGCATGCCAAAGGAAGAAAAGAAGCGACAGTTTATGATCCACGAGATCATCGCGACAGAGCGAAACTACATCAACTCCCTGCGCTTGGCACTCGAGGTATAGAACCGCGTCACCAATCGCCACCCAGGATGGCCTAATGCTTACCACGTATGCCATATTCGCTCGTTCTCCGGCACAGGGATTTGTCGAGCCCTTGCGCAGTAGCAACGATCTGCACATTTCTGAAAAAGAAAACTTTATCCGAAACGTGTTTTTGAACATGTCTGAGATTTTCACGATCGGGCAAGAGCTCTATGAGCGTCTGTATGAGCGCCAGCAGGCCGACAAGTACGTCATCCACGAGATTGGAGATATCTTCCTCGAGTTTGTTCCCCGCTTCGAGTGCTACTTTCAGTATTCCTCGGGCCACGTCTATGGTATTGAGATGTTCAAGAAGGAGAAGAGCAAGAACAGCGCCTTCAGCGCACGTCTTGAGGCAAGTCTGTCTGCTCGCACCTCTGACGCCACTGCATCCGTCCCGCAACCCCACATGGTTTCCGGTGCGTATGGATTGCCTCTGCCTTGCAGCTTCTCCTAACGTGTCTGTTTGTGCCAATCCACAGGCCTTTAGCCGCCTCCCAGAGTCAAAGTCGCTTCCCCTTGAAAGTACCTTGATTAGCCCCACCACTCGCCTTGGTCGTTACGGCCTCTACCTCAAGGACCTTATCAAGTATTCGCCCAAGGACTCTCAAGAGCTCCAGAACATCGAGACGGCTAACCGCATGATCAAGGATCTCACCCAGCGTATCAACGAAGAGAACCGAAAGCAGCAAGATCGCCTCACTTTGAGCACGCTGAACTCTAAATTGGCGTGCGAGGAAGATGTCGATCAGGTGCGTGGCGATCTCGAGGCTGATCTGGGGACGGCCGAGTGGCGTCGGACTTGACTCGACTGGAGTTGCGGGCTTGGTGCAGTCGAGCTAACAGTCCACACGGATGGATGTGTATTCGTTTCTATTGTCAGGATCTGCGCCTGATGGACGACGATCGTCGAAAGATTCGTGAAGGTGCCGCCTCGCTGATTCGAGCTGGCGAGATCAAGGTCTACGTGTATCTCCTTGACCATGTGCTCCTGTTAACCACCGTGCGTCGTGAAAAGATGGTACTCTATGAGAATGTAAGTGGCTCCGCGATCACCCGGCTCGTCATTTCACACTGTCCGCGCCGTCTAACCACCGTATGCGATGATACTATACTTTCCTAGCCCATTTTACTGGATCTGATCAAGCCTGAGAGTATCCAGACCCGCGCCGGACACAGCTCCGAACATGGGCACTTGTCACTCGAAACTCACTCTGGCGAGCGGTTCGACTTGAAGTTTTCTCACAGCATCGATGCCACTGCATGGGCCACTGATATTCGCAACCAGATCCAAAAACACAACGAGCAGGTCGAGCAAACCCCGGGCACACTCGTCCCCAAGAAGCTTGGCGATCTTCCGCCCAACACAGTAGCCAATTATGAAGGCGTCAACTACGATGAGATCGTTGGCACGGGCGTGCTGCGCGGCAAGCTCATCGTTGCCACCAAGAAGGGTGTCTTTATGGGGCCAGAGTCCAGCGCCACTCCTTCAGTCGAGACAGACAGAGCCGTTCTGAACTCTGTCTTTGGCTCAAGCTTCAAGAAGATTCTCAGCTCCGCGAGCGGTGATATCAACTTTGTTCAAACAATCGAGACAAGACACGATGACCTGATGATTATTCGACAGGGTGAGCCATCTGCTGCTCGTCGTTGATGTGGCAAGTTGCACACGCAGCCTCTGTCAGTGTCAGCGTCATCTAACATGGCCTTGTGGGCTGTCGTCTCCAGACAAAACTGTATATCTGTATCCTGTCACCAAGCAGACCACATCCGATCCCTCGGTCATGGCCGGCGCCGCTTTCAAGCTCAACTCTGACGTGGACCTGATCCAAACTGGTATCTGCGGCAACCGAAACTTGATTGTGCTCACCAAGGTTGCATTTGCCTTGAAGGACAACACCGTCCGTATCTGGGACGCAACTGAGAAGGCCGAGGTTCAGAAGGGCCTGTTCAGAAAGGAGACGGTTCCTGCCAAGAAGTTCGAGGTACAGTCCACACCAAAGCACATTTGCAGCTGAGCTGCAAGAGATGCAGCATTCGGCTCTGCACACCGCACACGCCGAGCTGCGTCAAGGCAGATACAGCTGCTGATACACGGCTCCTCTCGATAGGACTGCTTCCATCCCGCGAAGGTGCTTTCGGTCGACTTCATGAGCCAGATCCTGTGTCTGGGCTCCGTGAAGGGCTATGAAATGCTGCGCGTCGACGTTCTGAACAACGAATGCGCCGGCGCTGGTGGTACGTTGACGCAAGCGCCGCTTCGATGGCCGCGGCCATGGCCCAAGTAGCCATCGCTCCTCTGCTTATGACCGCGGTCTCTCACTTGCTCACTGAACTGCGTGTGTCTGCATCCCTCGCTCTGCAGCCCTCCTCCGACCCGACGATCCCAATTTCGCCTTCATCACAAAACGTGAGTCGGTGCATACCCACGGCATCTTCAAGAACCAGAGTACCGGCGACTTTTTGCTCTGCTACGACGGTACGTTGAGTTTACGCAGCATTGGCCAAAGCCATGGGCGTCCATCGAGGCTGAGTAAAGCAATGTCTGCCTGTCTAATGCATACACGTTTCATTCAGACATCGGCGTCATGATTGACAAGAATCGATATAGCACAAAGCCACCATGGAAGATTAAGTGGTTGGCCAAGCCCCAGGCCTTTGGTGAGTGGCTGCCATGGACTGACATTGTCTGCAATGAACCTTGTGCGAATCTTTGCCTGTGGCTGTGGTTTGTCGGTGCTGACGGCCCTCCCCCTCTTGTGTCCAGCCGTCATCCAGGACTCCCTTATCGTCTTTGGCAACCGGCTGATCGAAGTCCGCCGACTGTCTGACGGCAAGCTGCTGCAGCTGTTCCCTATCTCGTCGAGCAGCTATAGTTGGCGTGTGGTAAACCCTGCGCTGGGCCATGTTGTGTGCCTGATGCCAAACGGCACCCAGCAGCTCATGAAGCTCTGTCCGCGATCGTGAGTCGCCTCCTTCTCCCGCGATGTTTTTTTTTTTTTGTTCTCCACCCGGCTTTGCCTGTCCTCTTCTCATCCCTGGCCCGTACTTGCTCTTCTGGCTCGACCTTGGATTTGCTCGGCCATCGCCTTTGCTCATTCCGTGCTATTTTGTGCTATTTTGTGCTTATGAGTTCCGACTATTATTTTTTTTTTGGTCTCATAGTTTGCCATATACGTTGATGCTCGGCGGATGATTGTTGCCGCCAGAGAAGAACTGGGGCAGGATACAACGCATGCAGCTGGTCTTGGGAGTGATTCGTTCGTGCTCTCCACAATACATCGCATTTAAAAGAACAGCGGGACTCTCTCTTGCCCCGGCCGGCGGCTCCCGGCTTAGTCTTCAGCGACCTGGCCGCACGTTGTCTGCTCCAGCATGCCATGTGCACCTTGCAGCCAAGCCGACCTCCAGGCTCTGGCCCGCTGCTGCTGGCACAATGCCAAGGGCCATCCCGCACGCCTGGCCTCGCTGCGAACAAAGCACCGCTGGCTCTCCAAACCCGGGGCCGTCCCTGCACCCTCATCTCGCCAACCCGCCCAGAGAAACGCATGCGCTCTTCTAATCCACACGCTGGGCATTCCGACCAGCCGACACCGTCGTCGTCGGCGTCGTCATCGTCGGCTCAGCCGTCGTTGGTGCCATTGGTTCCGTTCTGGAGGCGACCGGCGGGCCGCACCGATGGACCTGATGCTGCTGGCGGCCCTGCCTCAACCATCCGGACCCTCGGTCGCAACATCCATAGCCTCGCCACTCTGTTGGTGCCTCTTTCGTCGCCGTCGCCGCTATCGGCAGCCTCGCCCCGGCCGGAAGAGCGGCCCTCCTATCCGACATATATCAACTACGAATCACTTGCGGAGATCCTGAAGGCCGACCGCGGTCTATTTCCCTTGGTTGTGGTATGTGTTCCCTTTGGTTGGGGGTGGGGTGGGGCTTCCTGGACGGTGCTGTATGCCGCCTCCACCACCACCAGCATTTCGTCCGGGCTGCGGCCCTGCAACACTGATAAAGTCACCAGATGCTGACTGTGCCGATTCCGTCAATCGTGCGGACGCTGCCCATGTTCCCTGCCTCGCTTCGCCTCGTGCGTACCTTTGGGTCCAAAAGGACTTGGGGCTGCTGGAGCGTGAGCAAAAGCTGCTCACACAGGGCCCCCTCCGGATCGTCCACGAAGGCCGGGTGTCGGCGTATGTGTACGGCGTCCTGACATCAACAGCACTGCTGTTTCTGAAGGAACAGAGCGGCAAGCTGACCCTGTATACCAAGGTGCGTGACCGTCGAAAGGAGAAACAGCGGTGGCATCGGGCCTGGATCGGCACGGATTTGAGGCGATGCCGGACATTGGTGTTGGATTTGCAGCAATCCCGATAGTCAGTTATCTCACGAGCACGGCTCCTGTCGATTGCCGTGCTCGTGGCTGCTCGCCGCATCGCAGCCCTGCGTTTCCTGAGCCAACCGTCCTTGCGATATCTGCTCTGGCACTGCCTCTTACCGCTCGCGTCGTTTGCTCTGTTCGTTTGATCGGGCCGTTTCTTGGCGTTCTAGCCCATTCCACTGAGTCTGATCGAGCTGTGCAGCTCATACAACACGACCTATGGGCAGAACTCGAGCCAGCAAGTGGTCGAAACCATCGGGTGCGATTTCATCATCAAGACCGTCGACCACTTTCTCCCAAACCACGGGCAGCTGCGGCTTATATCAGAGAGCGCCTCGCATTGGCCCGTCGATATCCGGACACAACTGGTGTATCTGAGCCACGCCGAATCGGCTGTTCCAAGCGCCTTTCGGCTTAAAAACTTCCTCCAAGTTGCCCCAGATTTGGCCGAGTCGATTTTGTTTGTTTCCAAGATCGACCAACGTCTGTTGGTGTGCACGCCGAGCGGTGTCTTCTTTGAACACCTGGCAAGTGCGGACATGTCCAAGTCCGACCCAGGCCGGCGGGCGACCTTCCCATACGACTTTATGTGTATCGTCGACAAGTCGGCCGGGGCCATCATCAATGTCGAGGTGGTTTTCACTCCACAAGGAACAATGCTACTAATCCAGCACGGTAATGGGCTTGGTGGTGTCCGTGTCATCAGCGATGTCCATGCCATCAGTGTCATCAGTATCATCCGTGTCATCAGTGCCATCAGTATCAGTGATCTGCACACTGTCAGTGTTGACATGTCCGATGGCTGACCACCCTCCTCCCCGTTCACTAGACATGATCGTGTACTTATATTCGGTACCAGACGAACTGATGCGCTCGTCAGAAGTCGTGCCGCCTCAGCTCCCTCAAATCAAGGTTAACTCGGACGTGGTTCACTTCACAGCCGGCCTCTGTGACGGACGTAACCTGGTTGCTCTGGTCAAGGACCCACTCCGGTCGATTCCTATCGACCATTCGATTCGCATCTGGGAGATTACCGCAGAAGGAGTTGAAGGAGTCGAAGTAAGTCTAATATTGGCTCGACATGGCACCGTGTGACACGGCGAATGCTCTATCGGCCGACCTGCGGGATCGCTGACATGGTCGCGGGCCAATCTCAGAGCTGCTTCTTCCCGGCCGAGATCCTGTCGATCGACTTTTTCGGCAAGTTCATGTTTGTGGGATGCCACAAAGGCATTCACCTCATCCAAATTGATATGGCCAAGGGAGCGCTTGCTGCTATGGGGCGTAAGTATTGGGATGTGGTTTTGGACACCGCGGTAACCACCCGCTGTTAGTGTGCTTGTTCCAGATGATGATCGCTGCCATGAACAAGCTCAACAAGCTGCCGAGTACTGACAGTCTGGTATATATATATTCTGCCCGTGCGGCTGGACATCACCAGCCCTCATAAGCGACTCCAACACCGAGCTGCAATTTATCACCAACCTGGAAAAGCAAACGATAATGGGTGTATTTCGTCTCTCGGACGGCGACTACCTGCTGTGCTACCCCGGTACGTATGCCCCCCGGTCGATAAGCTCGCCCATAAGCTGCTGTACAGATGGCAGTCTCGGCTGATGCCGCTGTCATGACATCCGCAGACTACGGCGTCTTTATCAACCGCACGCGGCAGCGGTCCCAAACCAAGAAGATCTGGAAAATGAGCTGGCTGACTCGCCCTATCGCAATGAGTGAGTACGATGCCGTGCAGCACGGGTGATGAGGCCTGTGATGACGATGATATTGGAGCGTGTACTGACCAGGCCGATATCTGGTCTATCTCCCTGCTTTGATTCGTTCAGAATCCGTCGGCGATGCATTGGTTGTGTGCACGGAAGATGTGATTGAGATTCGCAGTCTGGCCGACGGCTCGATTCTGCAAATCGTGCGAAGACCTCACAGCATCCTGCGGTGGATACCCGTCCGAACCGACTTTGACTTTTTCCTGGTGGACTGCCACCGGAACGACGGAAGCCGCCAGCTCTGCCAGATCGACTGTCGAGCATAAGGGAGTGGCTCGATGCTCGCCCATGGCGGCGAGGAGTTGCGTGCCGCTGCGAGCGAGCGGTGCAGGGGGTCTGGACTTGGTTGGACTTGGTTGGGCTCGATTATAACGAATGAATTGCGACGTGCCTCTCGCGGCGCACTGCTGCACGGTGTTCTCCCGACAGCACCGCCAACAATCGATACCATTGCCTGCCGCCGATATCACTGCCTGCCGTCGATATCTCTGATACCATTGCCTGCCGTCGGCGTTGCTCGTTCCGGTCCGTGCTGTGGCCGAGCCAGCCGCGCGTCGTGCGTGTCGGCCACGTCCGCGGTCCAATCAGACTGCTCCCCGCCCCTTTGTCCCGCGCTTCGTGCCTGCTTCTTTCCAAGGATGGGCGGGCGGCCTTGGTCTCACATCCCCATCCACCGTCCTGCAATCACCAAGTCGCCTTCGTCTGCAATTCCTCGATCTGCTCGTCGTCCGTCTCCGGCCTTGCACCGACCCGGCTTGCAAAGCACACACTGCCCTCTTTGAATCCTGGACGCTGCAGCTGCCAGCTCGGAACGACCAGCGCCCGCCTCGCCTTCTCCACCGGCGCCGTTTGCGGCCCTCGACCCCTCCTTTCGGTCTCGGCTTCCTTGCACCGGCTCAAGACATGCACCTGGCTGACCACTAAATGGCAACTACATCCGTCAGAGTAGCGCTTCGTGTGCGTCCCATCACACCAAAAGAGATCCTCGCCAACTCGGTCGACTGCATTGCCTATCCCGGCAACAGCACCGTCATCGTCGGTGCTGACTCGACCACCATATATGGCCACCAAGCCGAGAAGCGCCCCTACACCTTCGACCATGTCTTTCCTCCGAGCATCGGCCAGGACGAAGTCTTCAAGGCGTGCGTCCTGGACCTGATCGACCGATTCCTCGAGGGCTTCAATGCCACCATTCTTGCCTACGGCCAGGTACGAATCAAACTTCCGAGACACAGTTCCCCGGGCTGCTTCCCGCACCCGCTCTCCCAGTCTGTTCCCCTGGTCGATAGTTTCGATTCAATCGACCAGAGAAGATGACCATCGCTGACAAGCACATGCGCTCATTCCACTCCATCTGTCTCTACTGATCGCCTTAGACAGGCTCGGGTAAAACATACAGGTAACTCGGCAATGCGGTGCACCTGTCGGCGAGGTCATTGGACGGCTGGACACAGTCATGCCAGTCGACATGGCCTCTGATGACTTGACGCTAACGTATCCTGCACCAATGGACCCTTGCGCCGCGATATTGGTCTTACTTCCTGATTCGGCGCAAAGCATGGGAACGGGTCTGGATACCAGCACGCACGAGAACCAAGGTTGGTACCGACTGGGCCCGTCGGCAGCATTCTTCAGACTGCCGGTGTATCTGGAAGTAGCCTGTTCGAGTGCCGAAGATTTGGTCCCGGGCACGGTGGCATGCTGCCTGTGTTGCTGTGCGCCTGTGTTGCTGTGCGCCTGTGTTGGCTCGGGAGGACGATGCTCTGGCTGACTGTTGCTGGGCATTCGTCAGGCATCGTTCCGCGTGCCATATACGAGATATACAATCGATTGGAACAGACGCAAGCACGGCTGGCCGACAAGTTTGGATTCCAGGTCTTTGTTTCTTTTCTCGAGCTCTACAACGAGGACCTACTGGACCTGCTGAATCCTCGGCCGCGGACTGCCGGCAGCTCTGGATGGGGCGGGCTGTCGATCCGCGAGGACGGCAACGGCAACATTGTCTGGACCGGCGTGCGCGAAGAGGAAGTCAAATCTCCAGAAGAGCTGCTGAGGTGAGATCCCTACCAGCTCATTGGAGATGGATATGAGTGGCATCGCTCGAGTCCATTTGGCAAACTGGATGATTATACTTTTGATATGCGCACTGTGCTTCCCCATCGAATCCGCTCGTCTTGTCGGTCGATTTCGACATCCTGGAAGAACGAATATTTCGAGATGCTGTGTATTCTGAATTCTCTTCCGCACCCAACAGCTTTCTTCAGAAAGGCTCCCTTTACCGCACCACTGGCACAACAGATATGAATACCTCGTCCTCACGGTCCCACGCCATCTTCTCGGTAATCCTCAAGCAAAGACGACTTGGAGGCGTTTCAGAGTCGCCCGCTCGGTCCGATACCTCTCCAATCGCGGTCGCAAGCTCCTCTGGCCCGGAACCACGACCCAGTGGGGCATCATCCGCGAGCACATGGCAGCACCTCTCGTCAAAGTTCCATTTTGTGGATCTGGCTGGCTCAGAACGACTTAAGCGAACCAACGCCGCAGGCGAGCGCAAAAAGGAGGGCATTTCAATCAACCAGGGGCTCCTGGCTCTCGGAAACGTCATCTCGGCTCTGGGCGATGAGTCGCGGCGGGCAGTCCACATCCCGTACCGTGACTCCAAGTTGACGCGGATGCTGCAAGATAGCTTGGGCGGCAACAGCCAGACGCTGATGCTGGCCTGTGTAAGCCCCAGCGACTCCAACTACGGTGAAACAGTCAATACCCTCAACTATGCGAACCGGACCCGCAACATCAAGAACCGCGTCGCCATCAACCAGGACTGGGACGGTGCTTCTGGCTCGGCACAGGACAAGGATCGCGAGATTCGCTCCCTCAAGATGGTGGTCGCTGAGCTTCAAGCCGAAATCGCCTCGCTTCGGTCTGGGACCGGCTTAACCGCTGGTGGCAGCGCCTCGGCAGAGCAATCGGGCCGGCTCGACGAGGGGCTTGTTGCAGATCTGCAGTCGCAGAAGCAGAGAATGGAGCACGAACTGTCGATGCAGGAGCGAAGAGTCGACCTCCTTCTCCAGGAAAACCGAGAGCTGAAGGGAGAGGTTGCCCAGATCAAAGGCGATCAGAGGAAACTCGATTTTGAGATCGAGCGTCTAAAATTCAAAAACACTCGTCTGTATGAGCGAGCCTCCAAACTCAATCGGGATCTTTCCGAAGCTCTCTCGGAGCGCGACGCTGCCCTGATCGAGAAAGTTCTCGGCCACAAGAGACCCCCGGCATCGGCCGGCGGCCCAGCCACAGTATCCAATGGGTTTGTGCAAGAGCCCGGCAGTGACACTGTCGAGGCCGACCTTGCCAGCTATCCCGGCACCCAGAACTCGGGGACTCAGAGCGATCTCATCAAGTCGTATGTGGCCATCATCTCGGATATGCGATTTCGCCTGGCCGATGCGCACGACCGCCTGACGTGGTACCACTCCGTCGTTGCTAAGCTGAAATCTACTGACCAGCCCGATGGCAACAAAAAGAAAGGCGAGACGCTGTCCTCGATGCTGTCTGCCCGTGCAGAGACCGTCGCCAAGCTGATCGAGCAAGCCCGCTCCGAGACTGCGCAGCGGGCCTATACCGAACAGAGCATCGAGAATCTTTCTAGCCCGACAGAGCTATTGATTCCGGAGCATCCCGAAGTTCCGCGAATCAAGAACATGCTCACGGAAGATGTTGATGCCGGCGCCGGCGGCCTTGCCCACGAACGTAACTTTCTGCATACACTGCGAAACGATCCAGAGTTTCGAAAGGTGAGACTGCTGTGCAGCCATGCATCCGCAGTCTAAGCAACACCCGCTCACCACCGTTTCTCTGCCACTACAGGCGCTGGGAGAGCCCGGCGGTCTGAACGAGGGAATCCCAGAGGATTATGTCAACTCAAAGCTGGTATGTGATGCCGCGGATGTGACCAGGAGCCAACGGACATGTGGTCGAGACTTGTGTCAGACGGCATCAGCCGGGCTCGCATGGAATGCGTACAGTTTCGATCTAGTGCCCCTCTTGCATTCCATCGGACCCTGTTAGCAGCGCCCCGCATCACAACTTCCACCCACGAGCCCAGACATACCAAACAAGCGCGTGGGCACCTGTGTTGGCCGGCAGACCCATGTGTCGAATGCAAGTGTTTGTGCTAATTGCTCGATTCGCACTGCCCCTTCGTATCCAACGCGCAGTCCAAGATTCGACAAAAGACAGGGCCGTCGCGCAAGAGCGGCCTGGGGCCAAGTCTTCCCCAGGCCGATGGCGCCGCTGCAGAGCCCTCGCCAGCTGCCCAAGAGCCCGATCATTCCCAAGACATGTATACCCTCATTCACAAGATCCAGAGCGAAATCATCGAGCACGAGAAACTCGTTGCTCGACTTCAGGCCAGACAGAACGACTACGCGGCCATGAAAGATGCTTACGAGCAAAAGTTGACCAATTTGCAGTCGCAGCTTATCCAAGTTCAGCAGGAGAGGGATGAAGCGCTCGGCCGCATTCGCGGGGATACTAAGACGCCGGTAGGGGAACGGGACCGGGGCGCGGCGGCAGTCAAAGCTCGATATGAGGAGCAGAAGCGCAAACTGGAGCAGGAGATCCAAGAATACAAAAAGAAGCTCAATGACAACGGACGGCTGCAAAGCTCATCGAAATCTCGCAGCGAAGGGCTCACAAAGGGTCTGAGGGAAACGATCGAAAGTCTGAAAGGTGAGTCGCTGTGGCGCCAGTGTCTGCTCGGGCATTGACGCCACCCGGGGCAGCTTTCGCTACCAAGAGTTCTGCCGTTGTCGCTTGTGACTGCCAATGCATTCGACTTACTCTTGCCTACTGGCCACCTCCAGCCGAAAAGGCGCAGATCATGCGTGATCTCAAGCGCGAGGCCGATAAGAACAAGGCTCTGCACATTGAAACCCAGAAGGAACTCCAGCGACGAGAGGTCGAAACCCTCGAGATGAAAAAGAAACTCCAGGAACTTGAGAAGAGCCACGAGATGCAGGTGGGCGTCGAGCGCAGTGCCACTCCCAGTGCCGAAGCAACCATCGAACCGAACTGCCCTGGTAGCACTCGCCACAGCCATAGCCATAGCCATAGCCACGGCAACGGTGACTGACCCCAACCCGCCCTCGCCCGTCCTCTGGCATGCTTGTTGCAGACCATCATCCTCCGCCGGAGATCTGAAGAAATTCGGCACTCAAAGAGCAAGCTGAAAAAGGTCTTGACGATGCTGAAACGCACCGAGAGTCGGCCGGGCTCACGCCAAGGATCCGCTTCAAGTCGTCTCCGACAAGGCTGGTTCGACGACCAGAGTGGCGAAGACCTCACCGGACGGCTGTCGAATCCACTCAATGGCGACCTTGACGAATACGAAAACATGCCGCCGCTGGCTATCCGTGCCCGCTTCAAGAAGCAGCTGCTTGAGCAGGAAATGGCATGCGCCATCTCTGCGCGCCGCGCTGCAATGGCCCTCGACGAACTCTACGAGAAGCGCGACCGTCTGCTCGGCGAGCAACGCGAGCTGCTGGCTGAGCGAGAGCGCGTGGTCTTGGCCGATTCCGAGGCAACAGGACTGCCGCTCGATCCTCAAAAGCCACAGTATATGGATGATCGACTCTGGGTTCTGGATCACGAAATCGCGATGGTCAACTCGAGGATCCTCGCTGTCGAAGAGGAGCGTGGCGTTCAGTCCAAGCCCAGTGCCCCCGCAGACAGCTCAGCCCAGGACGAAGAAAGCATCCCCGAGGAACGGCGCCTGGTGTGGCAACGGCCAATGCGGCGCCCGTCGTCTCCGATGGTACCGTCAGCCCTCGATCGCGGCAACGAACTCGGGAGCGCAGCGCCCGAAGCAGATGGTGTCGATCAAACCAGGCACCAGACCCTGTTCATGGAGGATGTCAACCGTTGCCGCACGCAAGGTTAGTACCGACAGATGTGTGCCAGGATATGCTGGAGAGCAAGAGCGCGCCAAAGAACGAGGCGAGCGTCTGGTGACTTGGACTGCTGACCGACGCCATTCTCTTCTATCATACTACTGCCGGAAATAGACACCGAGAAGAGCCAGTCCAATGCGCCACCGGCATCTTTGCCCCTGGACACGGATCAGATCTGGGACAACATTGTCAACTTCTTGCATTCGCTGGAAAGTGAAGAGCTCAGCTTAATCCTCGAACTCTATCTCGAAGATATCATCCAGTTGCGGATGTTTGTGCGAGACGAGGAGTATGCGCTGAACGAGCGCGATCGGATTATTGCCGAGCTCAAGTCGTCGATCGACACCATCCAGCATGCCGCCCGCCAGGCCGCAGTCGACTATGAGGGGCGTATCCAAAAAGTACAAGAGGAGGATCTCGTTCGCCAGAAGAAAGCTGTCCAGGTGGCGGTCGAGAAAGCCTTGCAGGAATCACGGCAGTCTCCGCGAATCTCCGTGTCGACCGAGACTGACCAACCGATAGAGGAAGTTGCGGACGAGAACGAGCTCACCGATCAGGATCTGGAAGTTCTACGGATCATCAAGGACAAGATGAGGCTGTCGAAGCGCAGCTCCGGCAAGCTCTACGTATTGCAGAACGCCGGGGCGGATCGGCTACCACGGTCATCGTCATTCACGTATGAACCCGAGGAACAGGCGGAGAAAGGCAGCGGCAGCAGGAGACAGGCCTGGAGCGATGTGCCTCGCACCCACAGCCTCAACGCCAGCGGCGATTCCCTTGTCAGCACCAGCGATGCCTCTGCCCCTCGCCCGCCGTCGCCTCTCCGACAGAGTTTCAAGCATTCATCTCGTGACGACTTGCCCCCAAGCCGGGCACTCAGCCTTCCGCGCAGGAGCCGCATCCCTCAGGCTGCTGGGCCCCCCTCACCCCGAATCGGTTATGCGAGCGATACCAGCGGCGAAGACGAAGAGGCCGTGGCCAGCAATCGTCCCCAGGGGACTATCACCCGCCCGTTTCCAGATGCTGAGCAGTACCGCTCCTCCAACAACCTCTCCCCAACGCGCCCGGCACTGCGACGAACTCCAACCAACCCCGAAGAGGATGTTTTCAGGCGACTCGCAAGCGCTCACACCCTTGCAAGTCAAGCCAAAATGATCCACCGTCCCCAGGAGATGCTATCGACCGATGAATTGGTGCCGCGACGGGCCTCACCTACCGCGGAATGTCCCGTCGGAGCAGCCGTGCTCATTCCCGAGAAATCATAGAGACAACCATAGCATTTCTGTGGCTGTCGCCGCGCCCGCTCCCTTCATCTTGGCCCCACCTTACAGGCAATCCAATAAAAAACGGGACACCCGGGTTTTTGACCATTCATCGAATATTTTGTTACCCAATGTTATCGCGCGCTGGCCATGACCATTCGCCACACATCCGACTTTCGCACCGCCGCATTGCGATGCTACGCCCTCATCCATAGCCTGCGTAAGGTCGCCTCCATATTCAGTGTATCCAAGAGCACCATCCATCGATGGCACCGAGGATGCAAGCTGGATGACCCATCCCGGGTCCCAGCTCGCAGATCCACTTTCTTCGAGCAGGCATGTCCAGTCATTCGCACCCTGATTGAACAGGACCCGTTCCAGACTGGTCCTGTGTTGCGATGCAAGCTCGAGTCCATCCTCCAGAGGAAAGTATCACTCTCACTCTGCCACACTGCCATCCAGCGAGCAGGTCTCTCACACAAGAGGGCAACACACCTCTACAAGTCCAAGCGACTGGATGAGCGAGTGGCACAGTTCAGGGACCAGGTCCGCTCCATCGACCCGCGGCGATTCGTTTTTGTCGATGAGACAGGGATCAGGAAATCCATTTTCCCTCTTTACGGATACTCGCCGAAGGGTGCTCCGCTTCGCCAGCGCAATCACATGAAACACAAGTCTGTCTCGGCTGCATTTGCCATCAACCACTCTGGTGTGCTGCATCGCATGTACCAAGGGCTATGCATCCAGCCCTCGGAGGCAGCGGTTTGCTCGGTACTTTGAGCAATTCGAGCACCACCGACGCCGTCCCAATCACCATCATGGAAGCGTCAAGGTAGTCTCGACGAACGAGTTCAACACCTCGCAAGTGTGCTCCAAGTGCCTGGAGCCAGTTCGGTTGGAAGGACTCGATGCGCCCAGTGTTGCGAATTCCCACTTTGTCAGGAGCTGCAAGAATCCCAGCTGCCGGACAGTGTGGAATCGCGACGTCAATGCGGCGCGCAACATGATCACAGTATGCAGGTCGATTGTGGAGATCGGAGAGCGACCGGCGGTCTTCACTCGGAGGCTGCCAAAGTGATCTGTTTTATTTCTTGTGGCTTTGCTTGACGCAAGCACAGCACATACTACATGTTCATGGAAACGGCTATGTTGTCCCGTTTTTTTCTGAATAAAGTGTACATCCCATACACTGAGAATGTCTTCCATCGACCCTGCCCTCACTCGACTCCTGCCCCCTGCCCCCTTCCGTCCATTCCATTGAGCATTTGTTGCATCTGTACCCTATATGCCCATTGCACATGGGCCATCCCGTGTTTGCTTTGCTCTTATAATATTTTGTTAGTCGGATGGTTACGAAAATACAATCCGGACATGCGACTTTGGAATCACCATGCCCTCCAAGTTCCGCTACTGCTTGAGCGAATATGTCTGCCCGCAGGCTTTAACCTTTCCGTCAACAACGAGGACTTGGAGCAGCGCCTTGACGTTATCCACATTTCCATTAAATGACATCATTTGCATCTTCTGCAGCAGCTCCTCAGCCGTAAGCGCCGGGAACAGCCCCATGATTGTTTGAATATGGAATGCCCACATTTCTTCGGGCTCGGCCGTGGTCCGTTGGGCCGGCCTCCCATGAGCGTCGTTGGCAGGGACAAACGCGGATTTCACCTCTGCATCTGTACACAATTCAGTGCCAATGTGGGTGGCAAAGACAAGCAGCCATTATCAGTTGATTCCCAGCCGAAGAGAGCAAGCACAATTGGATGTTGCTGGCGGCCAGTTTACCGTGAGCAAGAGGATCCAACTCCTCGATCAGTCTATACACGCCGTCGGCCGGCTCTGATATGACATTCATCTTTATCCAATATGCCATCCTCTTCTTGAGGGTGCTATCCGAAGTTTCAAGATGGGCCGCGAGCTTTGCAAGGGTCCATTCCGCTACGGGGAAACCACAAGCCATCGTTAATGTTGTCCAGGCCAATGGCGAGATTGTAGGCGTGCAGAGCGATCTTGCTGCAAGCCAACCTTGGTTTTCAAAGCACGAGATGATCGATGCCTGGAAAGGTGTCACGTCTAGAGTGAGCCGGCGATCCTTCAAATCGAGTGTCAACGAGACTGTTCCAGCGGACGGTATCCATTTGAGTGCTCGTCCCTGTTTGATGTCCCCATACATCTTCTGGTACTCCTCCATTTGACTTTGAGCATGGTCGCAGAGGGCATTGAACAAGACGTAGTCATTTACTTGACGGAGCATCATCAACAACACGTGCTTATCGATCGACGCAGTGACGCAGTGATGCAGTGATGCAGTGATGCAGTGATGCAGTGACGCAGTGATGCAGTGATGCAGTGCAGCTCAAGACTGTCCGTACCTCTGCACCGCATCAGGTAGCTTGAACATCTCCTGTTCCAAAGGGGGCCAGTACTGCCGAGACAGAATCCTGCTGTGGAGTGGGACCTGCTAGGCGTTCAATCGTCAGCAAAGTGCCATCCACCGCTCGGTCGTTTAGCATCAGAGCTGCCCATCACCATCTATCCCTGGGCAAAAATACCTTGAAGAAACCGGTTTCGTGAATGAGGCTGTCGATCCTCTTGGAGTCGAAAATGTCTCGCAGCATCACTTCGCAGTTTTGTAGGTTTGATTCGTCGATGCGAGTCTTGAGGTGCTCAACTTGGGCCATCTGATTTGCCCAGAAACGTCAGAACAACCTTGATGGCAAGCCAGGCATCTAGCAACGCGACCCAACCTACCTCGAGAACGGTGTCGTAATTGGGCAAACGGCACAGCCGGCTCGCGAGAGAACTTTGAAACTCTTTGACAAACACATCGTAAGTATCGTAGATGCTAAGCAGATTTCGGACGATCGATTCTGGAAGGGGACCTTCTGGGGAGGGGAGGGTCGATTTGATCAACAATTATTAGTGCACCGCAATCGATATTCGTCTTCCTGGTGCGAGGCAATCTCCAGGGCGTGGTCGGCAAGCCAATGCACGAATGCCAGATCGGAGCCGATTCAAACCTTCAGATTCGACAGCCAAGTCGTTGTTCCCGTCGTCGTGTTGTCCACCTTCGCTCCCCGGGCTATCGATCAGCTTTGATATGATGCATTTGACGGTGTCACTTCGCTGTCTGGGAATGAACACAGATCCATGGTCAGACAACTGATCCGCGCTACTCGCAGAGCTTCCAGGACCTGGTCCATCCTTGCTACTGTTCTGAAGCCAATCAAAAATCACCACGGGCTTTCGGGCTAGCGAACGGGAGCGGGCTACTGAGCGGGAGAGGGTAGCGCACAATAGGCGCACCTGAGGTACTGCTTGATGGGGTCCCCTAGAGTCTGCGTCATCGCACCGACTGGATCGAGGAGCAGTACGCTCTTCTGTAGTGCGATGTAGAAATCCACAATCGTTGCGGTGGTTGCACCCGGTTGAAGCAAGCGCTTGCCGATGCTTCAAAGCCGTCGAGCCAGGGCCGACAAGGATAGATGAAGATTGTGAATATCCAGCACTTGTGACATAGTCATTGGGGAGAGGAAATGGATGCTGAACGATCGATCGTTGCGCTGGGGTGTATCGGCGGCTTACGATTTTGATAGCGAGCTGACTAGGAGCTCGGAGCGATCCGTCACCTTCAGCGACTCCTGTGTGGGAAGTGAGTGTTAGTGAGTTGCCATTGCTGCTGTCTGACGATGAAATGCACTCAATGGCAGCTTGTACATACCAAGAGATCCAACAGCGCACATCGCGAGTACGGAAACTCGACAATGATTTCAAAGAGCTCGCTGACCCTATCGATGATGACATGGGTGAGAATGTTGCTGATGCTGATGCTGATGCTGATGCTGATGCTGATGCTGATGCTGATGCTGATGCTGATGCTGATGCTGATGCTGATGCTGATGCTGATGCTGATGCTGATGCTGATGCTGATGCTCAAGCCGCCAATCCAAGCCAGCCGAGTCAAGCAGAAGCAGAGACTTACCTCAGACCAAAGAAGCACCGATGAAAGTGTCGAATCAACCGCGTCCGCCATGGATAGATGAAATCGTCTTGACTCGAGTCTGGATTGTCCACATGGAATTAGGAGCACCGCCTGAATCAGAGTCCGACACACTCCCGGTAATGTCAAGTGGGTCCGATTTACCTCGGTCTGCCACCGCTTGAAGCAGGATCATAATGCGCCAGAGCAATACTCACCATCGCATCCAAAAGCAATGCAAAGCCAGGGGATCAGATAATCGTCGATCCATCGTAGGCATGGGCCGAGTGTGCGTTTGTGGAAGACGGCCTTGCAGCTCCGTGACAGCTTGGAATCGATTGACTTGAACAGGACCGTTGCCACCGGATCCGTCAAAACGAGACCAAGGCCAAGGCGGTTGAGATCGCCGCAGACATTCGAAACTGGCGACCATGCAGGCGGCGACGCATGAGCAGATCAAAAGGCGAACAGGTCGCCTAGTCAGCCCCGAGCAGTATCGAACATGCATTCGGTGGCTTGTTGCTCCACAACGGCTCATGCAAGGCCAGCCTGTCAGTATATACCATACCATATCGATATTCGGGACGATCGGTCCGCTGGTAATATGTGACGTGACGAGACAGCAAGCGCTCAAGCACCCGCGGGAGGAACGGACACAGCTCATAGATGGCTTCGCCTCTCAGCTGGTCCAGGATCCAGTCGTGGTTGATTTCTCCAGGGAGATTCAGAGCAGCACCGAGAATCGATTCAATATTCTTGAGCATATCGGGAAGCCTTTGGGTGCACCATCGGTCCAAACCGTATTCCTGGAAAGAGGGGCAGGCGGCGGATATGCCCGAGTATGCCAGGATGGGGGAACAGCAGTCACCGGCGGCACAGCCATAGTCTCGTTAGCGCAAGCGGTTGCGATAGAAGGCGGCGCCCAAGACGGCAGGAGCAATACAGACAGGCGGTATGCATGTCCAGCCGGCATTGGCTCGATTCCGCCCCATTCTGCCCGACAGAGGTTGCATGATATGGAGCTCGCTTGAGCCGATCCAAGCTTTACTTTGTAGCATCCGATGGCATCTTGGATTGTGTGCTGGATGGCACAGATATAATCATCCAGGATAAGATCTGAGCGGCTCGGGGCCAAGCAAAGCAAGGGTTGCTGTCGGTGAGAGGCGGTATAGACAGAGTCTGGTCTGGATGGCCCGGGTCGATCAGGGCAGTGATCTGTGTTGGGCTGTCATCCAAGGTCGACCTACCGCTCCATCTGCCGCGGGCCCATGGAAGGGACGAAAGATCCGAGACTGGGGCATCCCCGGCAAGCACGGCCGCAAACGCAAGAGCGTCCTCGATATCTTGATCTGTGAGCATTCTCCATGGTCCGGCCGTCGCGGCTGGGTGAGAGAAGATGGCGCCCTGAAAATGGGCGTGGATGGCGAGCCAACTCCCGCTTCGACCATCTCATCTCCCACTTCGCTTTGGGTACTCCCATAGTACACACGCATCGACGGGGACGTCAAGGAGTGGACTGCGCTGCCACAGGTCCTCGTACCATGCTCAAAACATCGAAGCAAGCCGTCAGCAAATACTCTATTCATGGATCTAGCACCGAGAACTCGGCTTCGAATAGCTCCAAAAGGCGGATCGTCTCGTCCATGCGGGCTCGGAGTTCCTCTAATAGACCATCCTCCCGGTCAGCCAGCGACAGGACAGCAAGGCCGTGCTGGGTCGCATCAATACTTGGCGGACGGCCATTCGGAAAGTTCTCAGCGGCGCCGGCGGAATGGTGCCGAGCGAGCCGCTGGGAATGCGGTGGCATTTGCACGGATGACGCATCAAGATGAAACCCACGTCCCTGTGCATTGCCGGATTTTCAGATCGCCAGATTGTTAGATGATGAGACAGATGCGACAGAGCGGGGACGCCGCTGGAGGAACTGACATGTGCATTCTCACATACCCGCTCCGATGGATCGCGGCTGACGCTGCGCTTACGGCGCTCCTTATTCGAATTGGTGTTTCTGCGGAGCCCAGGGCTCAGCGTTGTTGCCATTTGCCGTCCAGGAGAGAGCGACATGGCCCGACTCTTACTGGAGCTCATTTGGCGGCTGCGGTCGGGCACATCGTTGGCCACATGGGCGCTACCGCCAGAGATAAGGTGCTGGGCCGAGGCTGTTCCGCCAAAAGACGCCGAGCGCTCGTGGCCTCGTGCCAGACTGCGAACTGGTGTGCGTCCGCTGTTGAATGCGACTGGTATGCTGCTGCCTCGTGCTCGATTGGTACTGCCAGGGGGCGGGTGGTGGGAATCCGGGCTGAAGAGATGAATCCGTTCGTCCATCGATGTCGACACGGCGTGTGTCCGAATAAAGTCCGGCCGTATCGCAGATGAGAGGCTTTGCTTTCGCAGCGATGGAGACAATGGCGAGTTCGAAGACGATAGAGAGGATCCAGAGCCGCTCGCCGAGCTCGAACCTTTCGAAAATATCGAGGTTGCAAGCTCGCGACTGCTGGAGAGCATAGACGACAAGGTGGGACTGGATGCTGAGGTGCCTTGGAAGCCAAGCATCTGCTTGACAGCGCTCAGGGTCTTGGAATGCCCGCTAGATGGAGTCGCAAGCTGCGGTGATGAAAGATTGTAGATATCTGGGCTCGAGGCGGGCGATTGAATAGACCCGGTACTATGAGTCCGCGGGATCGGGGCGTTGGACGATGATCGCGAGCGCTCCCGGATCAAAAGCGGTTGTGGGGATGCCGGCTGGGCGGCACCAACGGAACGGGGAGACCCGGCAAGCTCGGAGGTTGCAATTCTGCGAACAGGCGATCCGTAGGCTTGCGACGCCTGGGCAACGACGCTCTGCGGCGACAAAACGGTCGAGACAGAGGGCGCGTGCCCAAGCGACTTTTGAGATGACGAGCGCTGTATCGGCGGGGCCGGCATCGGCGCGGCCGAGGCTATGGTCGCTTTGGAGGCTGAGTGCAGTGGACCATAGGGTGCATTGGAGTGGGTGGGTGAGAACGGGCCAGGTACCAGGCTGCGGTCGACAGAATCTTTGTCGGCCTGTGTCTCATTGGCTCCGGTCCGACGCTTGGTGACAGTTGCTGTTTGCAAGGAAGCGCTCGTTCGTGGCAAAGAAGTCGGGCGGGCTTCGAGTACCTCTGTCATCCTGTTTCCACCAAGGGTTGGGATGCCGATATTGCTGCTGCTGCCGCGAGAGGGTGCTATTGGACCAGCTTGACGAGAAAGATCCGATTGCAGGACGTCCTGTTGCTTCGGGGGAGGTATCGGCGGGTCGGGTCGGGTCGGAGTTGCGGGACTGGCACCGGCACCAGCAATAGCACTGGCACCAGCACCAGCACCGACGTTGGCGTTGTCATTGGTGGATTCTTCTCCGCTGGGCGTGGAAAAATCTGCAGCCACAGACTTGTCGTATTCGGGATTGTTCCATTGCTTCATCGATGCGCCCTCCATTCCTAAAAACAGTACCGCCTCGGTCGATTCTGGAGGGAGGTCCGAGGCACCGCCCTTGCTGATAAAGTCCTGGATGAGCTCACCGAGCCCACTAGAGAGGCCCTCAAGCGGAGGAAACTCGGGGAGGACGGTTGATGTCGGCTTGTCGACTGCAGGGTCGCCTGCAGCTCTGTCGACCGGGACTGAATCGCTTGACTCTGCGCTGGCCATCTCGTGCGGCGACAATGCGTTTTTGGCATCCAGGACCGAAAGCGGAGTGATTTTGATCGTGTCAAAGGCGTCGCCAGCGGGGGATCCTGCAAAGTCCTCCGCGGCTCCATCTGATGTTGTTTTTGAGATACGAACGGTATCAAAGTTCCATTCGTCAAGCGAGCGATCCAGGTCGCCGTTGGCACTAGGTGAGCGAGTGACGGGTCAGTCTACCGTGTACAGTATCGCAAAACGACCAACAGCTTTGGTGCATGGCCGTATTAGCGTCGCTCGGTATGATGTTCCCGATGCGAATCCGACGCTCTGGTATCGATGATCTGAGGAGGCCAATGTGGCACATCAAATGTGGAGCGTCCGTGTCGCAACTCGTTCATATAAAGCTCACAAACAGACGGCCCCGATCGTATGCCGAGCATCTTTCCAGCGATGTTGAAACAGGCTTACGTCGGATCATATATCGTTGCTGTTTCTTTGTTGGCTTCCGTCCACGACCGATGACGGATCAAAAGCTCTTGCAGTATCGAAGTGGGCTTGGCGGTCTTGACGAACAGTCTGTTAAACAAATCCTCGGCCGACAGCCGCTGGATTCATGGACATTACTTAGGTGAGCTGAGGTGGCCAAGGCACGACAAACCACACGCACGAGAAAGACCACTCAAACGAAAGCAGGACGATCGAGTTACATCGTCGGGGTTCTGCTGCAAACAACAGGAGATGAATTCGCGAATTGCCTGCGTGAAACGATCTTCGAGTTTGGGGGGATTGGACCGCGGGATATGGAAGATGGCTCTGCGCGGGTCCAGGTCGGAGAACGGAGGGTTGCCGGTTGCGAGCTCGATGATGGTGATGCCCAGAGACCAGATGTCGGCCTTGTCCGAGCGAGGGATTGAGGATTAGCATGATTAGCTGTTCACTCCTATGGCCGACCTGTCGTTGTGACTGACGGCATCGCAACTGCCTTTCGCTTGCGCCGGCGATCCATGTGTGCGTGCTACCAGAGCTCCTGTTGGCCCCCCATACCTTGTAGCCATAGGCGCTGTGGATAATGATTTCCGGCGCCATCCAGTAGGGCGTCCCGACGAACGAGTAGCGTTTCTGCGCTTTGCTCATTTGGCCGGCCACACCAAAGTCGCAAAGCTTGACAGACCCGTTGTCGGTGAGGAGGATGTTGGCGGCTGCGGTTTCGGTCGTCGTCCCGATGAGTGGGGGGAGCTATGCGGCTGCAACATAGCCCAGCCAGAACATGCATCGACCATGTCATGGTACCTACCCTTAATATCGCGGTGGATGATATGGGCGTGCTTGTGCAGATAGATAAGGGCCTGCAGCACTTCGCGGACGATCACGGCAATGTATGGCTCCTCGATGGGCCCGGACTTGAGCTGGTGCAATGAGGAATAGCCGTGAGCATCAGGACCCTGGCTGCAATTCAGCCAACGCTGCAGACAATGGGAGCGGCATGCGGGCAACTCACAATGCTCCTCATTGAGCCGCCACCAGCATAGTCCATGACGACCCACAGCTTGGTACCGTTGAGAAACGAGCCGTGATATCGGGTGATGTACTCCGAGTCGCAGTTGGAAAGCAGGCTGATTTCCTTCCGGACATCCAGGATATCGTCGTCGGCATCGAGGTTCAGCACCTTGATTGCGACAAACAAGTTTGTCTTTTTGTTTCGGCTTTGTAGTCGTACAGATGGCATGCAGAGTGAATGGGCCGCTCCGGCATCCAGGCCAGTGCCGTCAAGCCAGCCGCGAGCAGATGCAAGCCAGGAGCAGGGCCGATTCGGCACATGCAAGCACTCTCGACTACCGCCTGTAGGGTCCTGCGACATGAGCACTCGGAAAAGTGCATGGCCCATGTTCACACTCGAAAGTAACGACGGTGGACAGGATCGATGGGCTGCCCTCTGCCCGATACTATGCTGCTTGGGGCGCCCCGATGGTGACGCCGTTCATGAGGGAGATCGGAGACGGCCCACTTACCCTTTGAAGACCTCGCCAAACGACCCACGGCCTGTAGTTTCATCGGGCATACAAATTGGGAGGCCGTCAGAGGCTGTTGTGCGCCGAGGGGGCTTGCAGAGCTGCTCGACATGGCCAAACGGCCGGCCGGCAACGGGTTGTGGGGTTTCAAAGCAGAAAGAGCCGATGTGAATGAGCCGAGCAGCCGATACGCACCAACTCTTTCGAGCTTCTCGTACAGATCCTCAGGCTTCACGGCATCCATGTCGTTGATTTGCGCCGCTTGCTGAATCTATGCGCGGGTGTGTCCGGCGCCGCCCCTGCGTCTGCGTCTGGGGCTCTCTGGAGAAGGACGCAGCGAGACGGAAATCGGGCGAGGACCCACGGTTCCAGGACGGGGCAGGCTGATGGACAGGCCCGCCTGTTGGTCCGTTCTGTGCGTGCACGGGGGCGCCCTGGCCCAAAAAAAAAAAAAAAAGTCCATCCACCCGGCGGGCGCCTGCTTGGCTGTCGAGATCGCCGGGTCGCCTGGATTGCCTGGGACATCACGATTGTCACGATCCTCTGCTCTGAGAAAATCGACAGCACCAATAGCATCGCTTCTCGACTCCGGCCCATGTCTGAGACTGATCTGATATACGGCTCGATCCTGAAGGTATTCCTCCCGCCCGAAAGCTTCGTGGTGCACGGCCACAACAGTCACATCAAGCGCATAGTTTAATACGGATGGGCCGCTGATGCTCTCGATTTGGCTTCTGTTGCAAGGCCTCGGGGCCCGAGCCGTTCCTCGATATCGTGGCCAACCTCAAGCGGGAGAGCGAATGCGTGTCCGATCCAACTCAGCAACTTGCTCGCATAAAGTCCTATCTCTCTGCGGTCAAAATTGCTGCGGGATGTGCCTCCATCAGAGAGGTATGTGCCGGAGTATTGCGCCACACAGGCCTCGCCGTAATACTGTTCCTGGAACGATCGAGGGCATGACGCCTTGAGCTAACAACTGACGGGATGACATTCATATCTAGAGAGCACTGCAGAGCTTTTACACAGCTGCGGTTCAACGATACCTATCCGAGCAGGCGCAGCAGGAGCCCGACGTTTGCAAGCAGGACATGGCCTGTCGCTGCGGTAAGCGGATCTCGCCAATTCTGCGGCGCTACCGATCGTAACGACAGGAGCACAGACGTAGCGACATGAAATGGGCTGTCATCGCACTTCGGCTCACATCGGCGGGTCCCTTGACGGTCGCTCAATTGCAGTCGTCGATACCGCGGTGGAGATCAGCCTAGGAAACGCCGAGTTTTTTTCGAGAATCACCGCGGACGCTCTCCATGGGATCAGCGAGTTCATTGGTAGCGCCAAACCCTACAAGAACTACTACTGTGTCTTCAAGTCGCATACCGATTCCGATAACATGATCCGCAGCAGCACGCACTCGAGCGAGAACAGCTTGGCCGTCGTCTGGGGACTCGAGTACTTCTTGCGGGTCTTCCGAAGAAGCACCCATCTGGATTCCATTGAAGAAGAGGTCCTGGACTCGATTTTCAGCTCGATTCTGAGGCTGTGGGGATGCGGCGACCCGGTTATTCGGGCCAAGGTCGGAAACGAGCAGGTTCCTGCGATGTTCGCTTGGAACACCTCACAGGGCTCTGCCAAACACCCAGATTGGTGCCAGGTACGCAGTCCTGCAGATACCAACAGCCAAGGGAGAGGTACTCTCCCGATACAGCTGACTCATTCTCATCACATATGCAGGCTATCTGGACCCGAGTACTGACGATCCATGAAGAGCTTGGCTCAGAGCATGTTTTGTACAAGGAGGCGCCCGGCGCACTGTGTCGCCTGTTTGATTATTTCTTCGGGCTGGAGGAACGCAATGGGCGGCTCCAGCTCGTGCGGCATGCAGACCTTGATCTGCGCAAAGAACCTGCGCTCTTTCAGATCATTCAGGTACACGATCCTCAAAGCGATCGCGCTCGACAGATCGATAGTAGTCGTGGTCCCATCAATCTGAATCAGCAGGCTTGGGCGAGGCGGATGACCATTCGTTGCACATGTCGACTTTGAGCTGGTTGTATTGGGCGTATTCGGAGAGACATGCCTCCTAATGAGCAATTTCAATGCCGCTCATCCTACCGCTAAAGTCGATGATGTACGGCTGCTGAACTCCCCTCTTTCCACTTCCAGACATCGCTCGAGGGCTCGGACAATGTTGCCATGAAATACTCTTTGTTTTTGCTGAAACGGGTCGTCGACTTTTCAAAACAGTTTCACAGCAAGCTTTCCCAAAATGACCGTCCCTGGACTCGGTGCGTGCTTGCTCAGATAGCCCAGCTGATTTGGATCCGAGGCAGCTTCAGCATATCACGGCGCTGACTCTGGACGCTATACGTCTTGGCCTCCCCCCCAGATACTTCCAATGGAGCAGCGCAGATACAAAGACGTATTCGGCAATGTGGGACGAGTTCTTTTTGCTTTTCGACACCATGCAAGAGTCCTATCCACACCTCGTGGTGGTAAGCCCCCCGTACGAGATCAACCCGCCTTGATGATACAACTCCAACAAACCCTGTGCTTGTTGGATTGATCCATGGCGCAAGGCAACATCGACTCATCCCGTGTAATCTTTCTCGTAACCTTTGCAGCCCATCCTTCCCAAGCTCTCTGCGTTCATGCAGCCCAAGGAAAGCCGAGGATCGACTCTCAAGATTGATGTATCCTGGTGGTGCCTCCTATTTGAGCGGGGCTGCCAGAACTTTACACTGGTCATTCGAAAAAAGGTCATCGAATACATCCTGTCTTTGGAAGACAGTCTGACCCTCCTTCTGGGCCAGCAGTGGAAGTTTCTCACAGGTAGAGTTTCGGCAACCCCGTCCGCCGCAATTGGTCGCTATCATGCACATCTGCGCTGACAGGACACTGTCATACACAGACTTTTTCCATAAGCACATCGACGTCACCATGTTCTACACCATTCCGGGCTTGGGTCTGTTCATATCGCCCATGGGAGAGAAGCTCAAGGAGTTCATTGGACGCCTCCTGAGCGGGTATTCGGTCAGCGATCAGGTAAGGCCGGATCGCGAGTCGGTCCGCCGTATTGTGATCAGCCGCTGATACGTGATGTGTTTCCAGGGCCGGCTCCTCTCCATGGCCATCGCCAACCTTCCTCGATTCAACTGCCCGTTTGCTGCGCTGTTTATATTGCAAGGCATCATGGACGCCGTCGAGGCGCATCGGATCTCGGAAATGTGCCGTCCATGGGCTACAAAGGATCTCCAGCTTCTCATGAATGTTCTGGATAGCGAAAAGGCCAGCAACGTCTGGAGGTTGGTCGTCATCGCAACATATGAGGCGCTCTTTGATGCGTGATGCGCAATCAATCAGACAGCATTGTATACTGATGAAATTACCACTCGTGCTCCTCCCATGCTCTGCTCGGGCTGCATCGTTGTTTGCTGGTGTCCAGTAAACTCAACTCGCGCAAATACCTTCGTCGCCTTGAGATAGCAGCTATAGCTCGGCTAACCGACTCGACCCAGACAACCTACGAGCATCTCGCGAGGTGATTCGACTTGACGACGTTGCACCATCTCCCACTGTCGTTTTGCTTGGGTAACTCACATATCACTGCTTCGCAGAGTCATTTCGAGCGTGATGAACGAAGATGCCGTCGGGTTTAGTTCCCCAGAGTTCTTGTCCATCAAAGCGTGGCTTCACTCGATCGATGCATCAGTAAGAACCAGCCGGCTCCCTTGAAGTGTGCCTGTGATGCATGTGCGGATAGCTAATGGTGCTTGCCGATCCAATATCACAAAGAACCAAGAGCAGGGTACATGGCTCATTCAGGGGCTCTGTAGCAGTGTGCGATCGTTTTTGTCATTGCAAAGCAACGCGGATGGTAGGTTGTTGGTCCACATCATATTGCGTGATCTTGCGCGCTGGTTCTGGGTTACGGCTATGGCGCCCAGCACTCGTGTTGTCTAATCCTTTGATCCTGCCATACTGTTTGCTGTTGAATCCCAGTGCCTTCTCAAGAAAACATCCAGGAAATGGCCTGCCGAATCAGTCGCATGATTGTGTTCTTGGTAGATGGCAGTGCCATGCAAGAGTCTGCCGCGGCGATTCGGCATGTGCTTGACCCACTGCTTCTCGGACTATCGACGCTGCACCACCCTTATACACCCCGAATTGCTCGGCACCAACGCATCATCCTTATGGAGGAGGTCTGCAAGGGTCTCGAGGGTCTTCAGGTCGGATTTCGTAAGTAGCCAGTCGCGATGCACAACACCATGTACCGGCGCGCAGTACCACACGACTATTCTCACAGCCGAGCCCTTCAGCAATCTTCTTGCTCTTTGAAACCTTTCACGAGGTCCTCCAATCCGCTACGGTGTACTTCGAGGCCGAGCTTTGCACGGTAGACGACCAGCACCGAGGTGAGCTCAGGCATTCTGTTGCATTCAGCGCTGATCACGAGTATGCATAATCCCATGCTCCTGTAGTAGGAGTGCTCGGTGAATTGAATCGTGCTCGTGGCCGGCACCCCTTCATCTTCCAGACATGGATATGATCGTAGTGCAAGCGCAATTTTTGAAGCGAATCCTGAGTCTCTCGTGGCTCCAGCCTGGAAGCGACCGATGCGAAGCTGATGCTGCAGGCTATGCCATCAAATGGGTCGCCACTAGCACCAACAATCTCCAGATTCTGGCATGCGAGCGTGAGTATTGCATTTCTTTCGTCACAAGGTGCGATTGGCGAGTGTGTGGGAACATGGGTTCTCATCCATATCGCATCGCCCAGCCCAGACAACGGCTGCAAGACAATGGGCCAAGTACGCGGCTTTGAACCTGTTCACTGTCGCGGCAGATACACTGCTTCGCCATGGGATCAGGCCGGATCTTGCGAGTCTGCCCGACATCCAGTTGTTCTTGACCGAAACCAAGATGATAAAGATCTTTAATGACATCGAGGACCGGTATGTCTGCTTCTGCATTTCTGTATTAAGAGCATGCGGATATATCGTAATTACCCTTGGAACCACTGCGGAATGGCATTGTTGCGTCGCCTTGCAGATGCTGATGGTTGCTTTTGCATTCGCATCCTCCGTCTTAGACAAAAGAATTGGAACAGCATCCAGCAGACCTTTACGGTCGCGCAGTTTGGCGCTGCCCGCGCTCTCGTTGAGCTGCAGATCAAAGTAAGCATCTGCAGGGTGTGTTGATGGCGCCGAGGCGGCTGGGGCGCGGCTGGAGCATGACTGATGCATCTGAACTTCCTCTTGGTTGGACAGTACATGTCCTCTCTGTTGCCTCGTCGTGTTATCGGCCAGTTGATTGACGAGCTGGAGAATGCCACAGAAGTCACGGCACCGACTCTCCTGGAAGTCATTCGACTGTCGATCGATTTGCAGGAAGACAAGAGTGTCGAAGAGGTTAGTGGCAGGGGGGCACATGGCTTGATTTCCAGCTCAAGCATCAAATGCCAATTGATGGAGGGCACTCTCGTTACTGACCGACTGGTGTTGAGTCAGATCGATCACATCGTTTCCTACACAATCGCCATCCTCGAGGAGAACTGGTCAAATTCGCGATTTTTCTTGGCATTGCTCGACCAGCTGTTGCAATTGCTTTTCTCACCCAGTGTGCTGAACGACAAGCGTCTCTATGGAGAGGGCAACCCCGTCAAGAAGGTAGGGTAGGGTGGTTGAGACACGATTCTTGTTGCTACGATCTATAGATCGTCCCACGATATCACCGAATTGATCAGGCTTTCTCTTGCGGTCGCATATGCAGGTTGTTCGCGTGCTACTGCAATGGAGCGAGATTCGACAAGGCATCGCCCCAAAGTTTTCGACACTGCTGTATCACCAGCTACTACGGTCGATCGAGCAGTCGCGGCGGTCTGGTGCCAAACTCTGTTTGCTCGAGGAGCTTTTGGGTGAGGTGTTGGACCTACTTCTCTATGGACCTGCAAGAGACAAGGACAAAGATGAGCACAAACTGGATGCAGCCATCGCCCTCAAGCTGAACCAAGAAACGCACGCCAAGGAGGAGCTGGACGAGATGAGCGGGTAGAGCACGCCTGTCAACTGCTATTCATTTTGTCTGCCAAGAACAGTCGGTGCCGATCTGCTGCAACGCGCTCTCCCTTGTGAGGAGCGAGTCTGCATCGTTTCTGATCACATCCGTGACTGCTATTCCAAATTGGTCAGGACGGCTGGTTGGAACTTTTCGCTCAACGACTACATTGTCCGTGTCGAGATGAATGACTTGTTGTCGCGCCTGGACCGCAGCAACCCACATGAGGCCCAAGTGGCTCTGAAGCTCCTCCGGGCACTGCTGGAGCGACATGTCTGTGGGGAGTTTGAAGCCAGGCACATGGACACTTTCAACCACAAGAAGCAGGTGGGCAACGCGGCTTGAGATCAAGCCTGCAGATGTGATGCATGGCCAGACGATTGATCGCAGCTTCGACAACCCCATTCGATGATGCCCAACTGATGCGACTCCATCTCACGATCTGTAGGTCCGCCTGTGGACTGCTGTGCACGTTATCCTGCATTTTGTGGAAGAGAGCGAGGCCCCGGGGTATATGGGGCTGCTTCTGAAATGCATGGAGAGAGAGCACATTGTGTCGACCCGTTTCTACATCGAGTGGGCGGTGATGCGCATCGCCATCGCCTATCCGTCGACCATGGAGCAAGCCTGGACGTAAGTGTTTGTGTCTACACCCTCCCCCCATCTTCCGGCGAGACTGGCGCTATATCCACGAGCACTTGTCCACCAACCCGTCGGTCTCCTCTTGTGCCTCCTTCGCGGAGCTAGTTTGAAGCTGCGAGGCCGGCTTATGGATCTAACCTCTGATGCGGAACCAGCATGCTCGCCAATGTATCCGCTCGGGCCCAACTGGTGAGCTCTCTCCTCACCGTTGCTGTCCATGTCGGCGATCACCTGGACCCGGCCTTCCAGAGGAGCTATTTCGAAAAGGTCAGTATTGACTGCAGCTATCCCACGCATCCGAAACCCTCATGCTGATGAGGGTCTGCTGCTCGTACCGCTATTTCAGATATTTGTGCTTGCATCGCCATGGACGACCAGCCACCACTTTACGATTCGGCTGTTCAGCCAGTATGCCCTCTTCCGGGCGTGGTCGTATTGCTCGTCGCACGAGCATCTCCGTGAAGTCGTCGAAGGACAGATGTTTGGGACGCACATGGCAAAGTTCATTACCGACAACGCCGACTGTATCAAGTACCGCGAGAAGTGCGACAAGTCGTATATCTTGGGAGGCGGGTTCGACCCGCTCAAGGACGTTACGCTCGAGTTTATCTTCCGGGGATCAATGATTGTGCAGGACATTGTCGAGGAGGAGCGAGTCGCTGCGGTGGGTACAGTAAGCAGGCATTCTATCAGCGAGGGACATGGATGGTGTGTCTCGACTGGATACCCACAGCTGTGTCTGCATCAACTTTGGTGAACTAGCGATCGCCGCACGGCGCTTTTCATCGCCGCTGCTTTCGGATACATAGAGCTCTAGGCGTGTTGGGTCGGATGCCGGTTTTGAGGTCGTATTCATTGCTGATTCGACCCTCGTCCCTGTCATCAACGCCAACACCTCGGGGCCGAACGACTTTAATGCATCAGCTCGCCTTCGCGCGCGTCAACCCAGCCGATGGCCGCTCACTTCCGCTGGCTTCTCCCGGGTTCGCTCGGGAGAGGTGGAATCAAGACCTAGCTGCAATGTGAGTAGCATGACTCGATCCGACTGGGGAAGTTCTGTGGAATGACAAGCTAAAATGCATTCACACTACCTCGCCAGCTACGGTGAGGCATATGAGAACAAACGCCGATCCGATGGCCATGCTGACGACAGTGTAGCCGAGATCGACGGCCCTATCCAAAGAAAGATTGTTCCATGGGAAGCAATGATGGAGACCGACATCGACTTGTCTAGAGAGCGAGAAGATCGACAAAAGGTTGGCCATGATGCACAGTTTGGGCCGGAAGGAGGCCTCTGTTCCCACATGCGCGAGTCATTTGGCGTGAGCAGGATGGACCCGAAAGCGCTGACATGAGCAATGTCCCCGCAATGCAGAAGATCCGCCATCCGTTGATTGTGGTTGCCAGCTTGATCTCCAAAGCGCCCAACTTGGGTGGACTGTGCAGAACCTGTGAGATTTTCAATGCAGAGTTGCTGGTCGTTGACAACTTGAAGGTAAGCTACGCAGCCAATGCACCGAGGATCAGACCACGGTTCTCCCAGGGCGACGACCGGATTGCGACTGTGTCGCGGCTGAGCAACGATCCGCTTGTGTCGACGCTCAGATCAAGGACGACCCAATATTCCAAGGACTGGCGGTGACGGCCGACCGATGGATGCCGATGCTCGAGGTATGTGTTGCCGCTGAAAAGCGTCCCGCAAGTGATCGTCGCCGGAATAGGCAGGAATCTTACTCGCACTGTTGGCTCGCCCGACCCAGGTCAAGGAAAGTGGCCTGACGGAGTATCTGCTCAAGAAGAAGGAGGAGGGCTACTCGCTGCTTGGCATCGAGCAAGCCACCAACAGCGTCTCAATCGAGCGTTTCGCCTTTCCCAAAAAGAGTGTTCTGGTTCTCGGTAAGAACAGCACAACGCCCCGGACCATTGCCATCGCCATTTGGGATGATGACCTTGTGCCAGAGAACGTCGCAACTGATGCTTTTCGATTTGGGTGCGCATCCACGCAGGTAAGGAGCGGCAAGGCATTACACCAAACCTTCTCCCCCTTCTCGACCACATTCTGGAGATCCCGCAGTATGGAGTGATTAGGTATGAGCGAGACTCTGACGCTGTCTGAGTGCAGAGGCGCTCTGGGCTGTTATCAGTCCCCGCTCCTAACGCTTGTCGTATCTGTCCGGTCCAGATCGCTCAATGTCCACGTCAGCGGCGCTCTGATTGTGTGGGAGTACACCAAGCAAATTGCACTGGGCTAGCCAAGGGTCGCTGGGTACTCAGGGAGGGGAGGGGGAGGGGAAGGAGGGTTGGAAGAGAGTCGGTGCTGCCGCAAGTACTCAGAAGTACAAGTGCTCTCGGGTGAGCGAATATACATCTCATTCGATCGGCATGCCGAAGCCTGGGTGCCTCCAATCATCTGCCTCGCATGGGCTCGTCACGGCCATGCTGTGCTGCACAGAGCTGCATCTGCTGGAGGACGAACGAGCGGGCCATGGCGGCCATGGCAGCCATTTGCTTGGACCGCTTTCTGCGCTCGCTGTGGTGTGCGGATTGCTGTCGCCGTCTCGATCCGGCGTCGCTGTCGGATCATCCCCGGGCTCCTTTGCTCATCGTCATCTGGCCGGAACAGCACCATGGTCATCCGCAACGTGATCTTCGACCTCGGCGGGGTCATCCTCAACCTCGACTACAACCTGACATCCAAAGCCTTCAAGGACAGCTTTGGCATCGACGACTTCAACCAAATATTCTCGCAGCACCGACAGTCCGGGTTCATGAACGCCTTTGAGCGGGGCCAGCACAACATCGGCTCGGAGGACGGCCAAACCATCCATGCCTATCTTCGTGCGATCTTTCCGAAGCAGCTGGGATCGGCTTCGGACTCGGCACTCGATGCAGCCTGGAACGCCATGCTGTTGGATATCCCGATGGCCCACATCCGCTTCCTGCAGCGACTCCAAGGACTCGGATATCGCATTTTCTTGCTCTCCAACATCAACGAAGTGCACGAGAAGGAAGTCGACCGTATCATCGAGCGGGACGTCGAGGGCGGCCTCCCGACATGGATCTCGCTCTTTGAGCGCATCTTCTACTCCCACAAGATCGGAATGCGCAAGCCCGACGAGGAGACCTTCCATCACGTCCTGGAAGCATGTCCACTGGGCTCGCTCGCTCCGGAGGAGACCGTATTTTTCGACGACAGCATCCAGCACGTCCAAGGCGCTCGCAAAGTCGGCATCCATGCAGTCCACATCAATGGCGATATTCAGTTGCTAGATGTGCACGACATCATCAAGGATCTTGATGCACGACCGCACCAAGATGCGAGCTCGAATGTCGCGGCAGATGCAGCCCCGCTGTAGGAATCGGTCGGCTGGCCATGGTGTGGATCGGCGCTGCCGCAGCTCCAAGCCCGACCGGATGACTTTGTCAAAATACAGCTTGGTTGCAGCGCAACAATTTTATTCGAGCCTCGGATCGGTCAGGACGCCAACTTGCACTGCTCCAGAGCGCAAACGCCGGTTTGAGCCTGGGGAGGAGATGGAGCCTAGCCGAGGAGGACGGGTGGCCATCGCCGAAGACAGCCAACAAACACGCCGAGACAGATTGGCAGATCAATAGATAGATGGATAGAGGGGTCGGGCAAATCGACGATGTGGCGGATAGAGGAGGCAGAGCGTTGTCGAGAAGCGGTGGCCAAGCGAAAGAGCCGATGGCACTGCAGGCGAGAAAACGCCGGGTCATTCGAGCGCTTATCCGCGGCCGGGCGGGTGGCTGAAGAGCCATTCAATCGCAGCCTCGACATTGCCGTTGGTCCGGGTGAGAGCACGCACATTCTCGGCGGCATCGTAGAAGCCCATCTCCTGCAGCTGGCGGAGCTGGGTCTGGTAGATCTCCTCTGGCGGGCCCTGGGGCTGGGGAGGAGCCGCATTGGCGTTCATGAGCATCTGGAGGAGGGCCGGGTTGAAGGCAGGAGCGAAGGAGCCAGGGGCCGGGGCAGCGGTGCCGGTGGCAGTTGGATCGGCCGCTGGGGTCGCTGCGTTCGGGTTGAAGCCGCCGCCATAGCTGGCGGGATCGGGTATGCCTCCGAGGCCTCCGAGGCCAGGCATGCCGCCAAAGCCACCCATGCCGTTCATGCCGTTCATGCCTCCGAGAGCCATCGTCGCCCGAAGCACGTTCGGATCGCTGATCATTCTGCGGAACTCTTCCGTGTGCATCATCTCCCGCATTTGCGGGGTCATGACCTGGGCAAGCTGGGGGTTCGAGGCGATCATGAGATCCAGGAACTGGGGGTTGGAGAACAGTTGGCCCATGCTGGCCAGGATCGCAGGGTTGGACATCAGGTTGGCCATGAGGTTGGGGTCCATGTTGCCGGGCATGCCGCCTGCATTTCCAGGCAGACCACTTGGGCTGCCGAGGATGCCGCCAAAGCCTCCAGGCATTCCGCCAAACGCGGGCGGCAGGCCCCCAAGTGCAGCAAAGGGATTCGCCGGGGCGGTCGTTGATCCAGCAGGGGCGGTGGCGGCAGGGATGCCGGTGCTTGAAGCCGGAGTGGTCGATGCAGCAGCAGCAGCAGCAGCAGCAGCAGCGGGAACGGGAACGGGGACGGGAGCAGGGGCCGCTGCCGATGCTGGGGTTGCGGGTGCAGCCCGAGGGGCATTGCCACGAACCATGTGGATGCTGCGAGGAAATGAACATCCGAGGCAGACGGTGAGTCGCCGGCTTTCGGCATGCGGTCGCTGAAAGTCACGTACACGATGCGGCGATACAACAATCGGGCAGCGATACTGGCCCAGGGCATATCGACGGCCAGGAGGAGCACGATGATACGCCGAGACGATGCTGAGGCGACAGGCCGACACTGCCCAGAAGCACTCACGTGTGGCCGTCCGCAACCTTGCATTCAGAGAGCGTCTGCTCGTCCTTGAGCACCCGGCCGGCAAAGATCAGACGCAGACTCTCGGCGGGGGTTGGATTGGGCGTGGAGGCCAGCTGCTCAGCGATCTTGGCCTTGAGCTCGGAAACGGCAGCATCCGAGTCGACCGAGACAGGAAACTTGTTGTCGTTGGATGATTTGATGTGGACGGTGATGACGGCCATGGCGGAGCTGCTGCAGCGGCTGTGAATGGATCGGTGGATGAGATCGATGAATGAGATCGGCGACGAGATGGGCGATGGATGTGCTGCAACGGGCAATCGATGATGCGACGCAGGGGATGAGAAATGCAGGGCCGCGAGGACGAGAGCATGGCGAGAGCATGGCGAGAGCATGGCGAGAGCATGGCGAGATGCCCTCGCGGCCGTCTCGGTGCTGTTTCGGTTCTGTTCGTGCTGATCCAGCCGCCCCCAGCACTTGACTTTGATCGCCATGACCTCCCTGGTCGACCGCCTGACGGAAGCCCTGCATCTCGGCCGGCACGCTGCCCTGAACGAGGAAGGCCTCGACGATACCGATGTCTTTGACGACGACTCGGACCACGGTGGCGATGCCGACGAAGACGACGACGACTTTGATTTGAAGACCGTGGCCCTCGTTGTCGCTCCGATCATCCTCCCTGTGCTCTCCCGCATGCTGGGGCGAATGGGTGCGTATCGCGAGCATCGCCGTAAGGCATCGGGGGCGCTGGAAGATGGCATCTTCTGGCATCTTCTGGCATCTGGCTGCGGGTGAGGTCCGCAGACCTCTTTGCGTGCTCCTCGGCGCCATGCGGATTAATACGGGCTCCCAGTCCTACCCCCTGATGCTCACGCTTGCCAACTGTCACCTCCACCCAACTCCCTCTCAGTGATGATCCGGATTCTGCGAAGCTACCTGCCGATCTGAGGACCCCGCTCCTTGCAGGAATGTCACTGCAAAACACAAGTATGCACGCCACGCCAACCTTGGACAATACACGCGGCTCTTCGAATGGCTGATGCTGGCGAAGGCTGCTTTGACGGAATGTCGCCCTGTCTGTGAGTGCATGTCCACGCCGGGTCGGTACCGCTCTCGACTGAGACATCTCTGAACGCTGCACCCAATATATCACCGATATGACTGGTATATTGGAGACAATCGAATGTCTGCACCGGAGAAAGCGCTCGTCGCAACGGCCTCAGGGATTGACGTTTTCGAACGACCACTGCTCGACACCCAACCCAGGAGAGCTCTTGAAGATGGTGCGGCTGTGGGGTCTGGTGCTAAGCTGCAAGTAGTCAACCCGATCGGGCTCAAACAGCAAAAGCGAAAAGTTTTCGTATCCGAGATCGCTCGCCGACGTCTGGGATGACTTTGCCTCGACTTGAGCGCTCAACAGCGTCTGGTCCTCAAAATTATTCGTGGACGTGCCTGGGGTGGGTCCGACGAACGACTGGCGGGTGTTTTCGCTGATTACATATTTCCACACTCGGTACCGCTCGGCCTCGAGCTCTTCTGGCGAGATGCCAGCCAGGCCGGCATGCTGCGGAACCTGGTTATGGATATGATAGAGCCGCCCGGCGAATCGGAACTGCTCCCAGGTGCCAGAAAAGTACCTGGTGCGAATGGGAACAGAGAGGGTCAGAGAGTCGCCGATGGGGTTCGTGGAGGGTCGCCTATGCCGACTTTTGCAGTGAGAGGCGACAGAAGAATGGACGGGGGAGCAAGAAACATACATGCAGAGCTCGCCAAAGTTGTTATGGAGGATCTCCCTGCATTTGTTGCTTCTGCGGTCTGTTGCAACCTCAAAGAATACCCTGGACCCTGTCGCGGGGCTATCGGGAAAAGCCGAGACCAAGACGCTATGGATGCCTCGGATTACGACGGTTCGGTTTGCCGGGCGTCCATCAGTACCGATGGTGGCCAGCTGGGCAAAGCCTGTGGCCGAGGCAAGAAGAGGGGCAGCCAAGGAGAGATCCACAATCAGTCAAGGGAAGGAATTGTGCAAAACAGGGATATGCTGGCTGCGGCCCAAGACGAGAAGGGAGGTGTGGTGTGACACCCACTGCAATTGAGAATACCGCCGTTCCCTGCAAAGGACTGCTCCAGTTGCCGCCTCCAGTTCGTGTGCGTGTACATGGTGCAAGTATGGGTGGAGAAGAAGGTGCGGGTGGGGATGCGGGCTTGGATGCTGGCGAGGGCGGCGTCGAGGGGAAGAGTGGTGGTGGTGGCGAGAGAGGCGGCGGAAAATCGGCAGAGCGACCAGGCGGAGCCGACGCGCATGCGCCACACGGCGATCCAAGCCGGCGCGCTGGTGGCGACATGGCACATGGGTGTGTTCGCAGATCCCGAGTAGCGGCGAGCAGCACCCATAATCACCACCGCCTGTGCCAGCATGGCCTCCAGATCCAACGCCCGCTCGTTCCTCATGAAGCACAGACCCCAACAGTGGTGTGGAAAACGCAGAGACCATGGAGCAATCATCATTCATCCAGCCCCTCTCGAGGCACGAGTTGGTCAACCAGAGTGCCCTGCTTTGTTGCGGCTGCAGCAGAGAGACCCAGGCACCCGCTGCTCCCTCTCACGAGCAGAGGTATATATAAAGAGAGTATATCTTTGTCAGGTCACTTGAACCACTTCTGCAAGGCAAGCACTCGGCCTGCCACCTCAATCGCGGCAGCTCCAAGGATGTGGCACGCCGGGATCGGAGACACCGGCTTGACGGATTACCGCGTCTGGGAGGGGACCTGCTTGCTCGGAGCCTTCTTTGGGACACCAATGTAACTTGTGCACAACGAGAGGGCGTCAGAGAGCATGTCAGTAGATGTCAGCCAGGAAGTACACCCCCAAAGCGACTCCTGGATCAGAGTGTTCAGTGCTTCGGCAGCCAAGCGACTCGTTGACCGTGTGGCCACAGCCACCACCGACGCCCGTAATAGATTACCTCATGCTCATGATCCTCCGGTCGACAGCGATGGCCTGAGCGTCTCTGGCAAAGTTGATGCGGCTTCGGAACCGATCTCGCAGCGGGTTGGGCACGGTGACGGCATGAACACCAGCAGGATTGCGCTGGCGCCAGAACTCGATGCGGGCATCAAAGTACCGAAGCCCTTCGTTGATCAGGTCGGCAATCTCGCCTTTGCCGGCACGCAGCAGGCATTCGTCCTGGGCGAGCTCCTGGAAGAAGACCTTGTCGTCGTACATCTCTTCGAGGAGGTTCTTTTGCACCTCGGCGCTGTTGCCGTCGAGGGGCGCAAGGGCGGCCTTGGGTCCGCGGGCACTCCCGATACGACTGCCGTAGTTGCTGCCCCTGCTACTCCCAGCGCTCCTTGCCCGGAACTTCTTGGGGATGCCGGCGGGCGGAGGCAGCGGCAGCCCGGCATGTAAGTCTGCCGGCTTGATGATGCTGAGGGTCGGGGAGGCGAGGCGCTCCTGCTCGAGCATCCTGCGTCGCTGCTCCTTCATGCGTGTGGGGTCGATGCGCTCGATGGCTTCCTTGATGGCCTCGCACGCCTTGACAATGCCCATCTCAAAGTCGACAATCTCGGGCCGCTGCATGTGGCCGCGGTGGTAGTGTACCAAGGCGGTCTCAAAGTCACCGATGGTATAGAGTGCTTCGGCCCGCTGGTAGAGGCCGCGGATCGAGGCCGGATCGACCCGCAGCGCATGCTCGGCGTCTTCGAGACCGAGCTGGGGCTCGCCCGTCAGGGTGTAGCACCGTGACCGGGCAATGAGCGAACACAAGTCGTCGGGCCGGATCTCCAGGGCCAGGGTGTACGCCTTGGTGGCATTGAGAAAGTCGCCTTGGCGGGCAAGCAAGTCTCCCTCGGCTCGCATGGTGCTAAAGATGACTTCGGGCGTAGCCTTGTTGGGGTCGATGGGTTCGCCACTCGAGTCGGTGGTGGCCGGCTTGGGCGGCAGAGGCTTCTTGCCGCCGCCGCCATCGCCCAGACTGCTATTGGAGGCCTTCTGGGCTTGGGACTTTGGCATTTGATCAAGACTATATGATGTTGGGGGTCACACCATGAGTCGTTCCGATGGGATAGCCAGACGAGGGTTTACAGCAAGGGCGTGTGAACCGATAATGGCCGAGAGGCGGTGAGTGCGAACCGGCGCTGTCCGGCATGGTCAGGAGGCAATTGACACCCGCTGCGAAAATGTGGATTGTTTCCGGTCGGGGGCTCGTCGTTTACTTGTGAAGACGTGCATGCCTGACTACAACGTACCGTCAGATTAGGGCTGTCAAGGTTACGGAAGAGGTGAGATGGCGTTGGAGATGGAGCTGGAGATGGAGCTGGAGATGGCGATGGAGATGGAGCTGGAGATGGCGATGGAGATGGAGCTGGAGATGGCGATAGATTGGCCGAGTCGCCATTGAGCTCCGGCGTCCTGCTTGCTGCTGATGGGAAGGTCAAAGGACCCGGTGGATGCAAGCAAGCACAAGGGGCAGGTGCAGGAATTGGTCAGATGGTCGGTGTGTAGCATTATTCGCCGGGTACAATGCGCCTGTGAATCAGTCAGAACGCGTGTGCGAATGGACGAACCAGGGTCGTGGAGGCGCGGCGTGGCGATCCGATACCGGAAAGAAGGGCTCGACAGAGTGTTCCCAAAACGAAATGAGGCGCACCGCTTTGAGCTAGAACAGTTGTTCTTCTCTGGAACCTGGACACACCCACCCACCCATTGCAGCCATAGACAAAGAGTATGACCAAGGAGACCGAGGTCGTCATCGCCTCTGGAAATGCGGCATGGCATCAAGGCAAGGGCAAGGCATCCAGTCCCAGGAGGCAGCGGTTTTGCTCGGTACTTTGAGCAGTGCAGGTCGATTGCGGAGGATGCATGGAGCGAGTGGGCACGACGGGGACGAGGGAGGGATTATACAAGGGTTCGGGTGCCGTCCGACTCACATAGCCCCACACAAGCCATCGGTGTGTGAAAGTGTCCGGTTCGCTGTAACAAGCGAAAGCAAAAGCGAGGCCAGCCCGGTTGGGTTTTGTGGACTTCATATATTTCCTTTCAAGTGGATCTATCAATGGATACTCGCGCAAACTCGCGTGCGACTCGACAGAATCGCATCGGAAGCAGCGAGTAAGAGAAAGGTGGATGTGGAGGGAGGATGTCATAGACTGAAGAAATAAATAGATAGGAAACGGATCGAGAGGGAGGTAGAGAGAGAGAAAGAGAGAGAAAGAGAGAGAGAGAGAAATATCAGGCCACCCTTACAGCCAACGGCGTCGAGACGTCCACGACGAGATAGCGAGGAAAGGAGGCCCTGATACAGTCAGACAGACAGACAGACAGACAGACAGTCAGACAGTCAGACAGTCAGTCAGATCGACGAACGCACAGAGAGAGAATAAAGGCAGCAGAATAGACAGCAGTAAGCCAAGGTGCACAATAACAGCCAGGGGCGGGGGGATCAATCCAAAGCAGTCGCACGGAGGGAGGGTAAGTGGACGGCGTTGCCGTTTGACAAAACAATCGACTTTCAGCAAAGTGCACTATATACAATGAAAGAGAGGGATGGGGGGTGGGTAGCAAGAAGGAAACGGCGGTATGGCATCACTTCATCAAAGACACATCGAGGGGGCAAGACAAGAAAAAACACACCAAGGAGAGAGAAAGAGTAGCTAGAAGTAGAGACACAAGCGATGGCGGCGATGGCAGCGGCGGTGGTGGTGGTGGTGGGAGGTGCGCCCGAGCTGAGACGGCTGCAGCAGAAGAGGAGCAGACCCGGGCATCATAGATCGAGACGAGTCGAGAGGCAGACAGATCGAAGCAGGCAGGAGGTGAGCGATGGCGGACTTCATGGGCAGCACACGGCTACAGCCATCCAGCGCGACACAGCCTCACTCCATCATCGAGGACCAATCGACAACGTGATCTAGGGCGTCGCCTTCGTCGACATCGGCCTTGAACTGATCCTGAGCCACAGAGCCATATCCCTCGGGGATGGTTGCGGGCCAGGGTGAAAAGTCGCTGACGGAGGCGGCGCCGTACTTTTCCATCGGTCCCAGGCCCATCCCGGGCTGCTCGCTGAGATAGAACTGGCCACTAGCCGACTGCGACATCCTGGGCTGAGCAAACGACTGGGTCGGTATCGAATTGGATGCCAGCGTGGTGGAGCTCTGAGGAGGCGAGGGCTCGGGGACGTTTCTCATCATGCCCTGCTTGTGAGCCGATCGTGGGGCGGTAGCGGTGACGCCCATGGGCTGGAAGTAGCTTGGATGGAGGCTAGAGGCAGCGGTGGGGTAAGGGCCAGCCGACATCGAGGGAGCCATGGTGGTTGGGCCGTAGCTGAAGATGGCGTTTGGGTCCGGTGGGGGCTGGGGCAGGCTGCTTGCATACGGATCCATGGCAGCAACATCGGCCGAGTCCAGACCGTACAGCTGCGAGGGCTGAGGCGGATATATGCTGCCGCCCATCAGAGCAGGGTTCGCCGTGGTGGTGTACATGTCGGGGGACGGGCTGTGGTAAGGATAGATGGGCTGCGACGTGGGAATGCCAAACTTGGACTCGGCTGTGGGGTAGGCCGTGGAGCTGAGGAGCGTGGGCGGCATGGCCGAGCTGTAGAGGGGCATAATGTTGGGATCAAGGACGTCTCCCTCCGTGGTCATGACGGAGGAGGTGCCAAGGCCAGAGCCGTAGGGCATGCTGTGATAGGGGTAGTTCATCGGGAGGGCCTGCATGGTGCCCATCGGGTAGCCGTACTGGGCGGCCGAGGGAAAGCCAGGGCTCTTGTAGGAAGTGTGGGCCGGGGCGCTTCTTGGGCCGGGGATGTATGGCCGCTGTGTCTTGCTGTCCATCCGGTAGGGAGCAGGATCGCTGATGGCTCTTGGTCGGGACAACTGCTTGCCGGTGGCGGCGAGCTTTTGCTCGCTGATGGCCCAATAAGCGCCCTTGCCGTGTTCGCGCATCGGCCGGGGGACACGAACGAACGACTTGTTCAGGGACAAGTTGTGCCGGATCGAATTCTGTGAAGGACAAGAGCAAAGGCATGAGCAAAGGCATGAGCAAAGGCATGAGCAAAGGCATGGGCAAAGGCATGAGCAGACCACGGAGTGGGAACGGGAAGCGAAATAGTGGGGTGCTGCCAGAACGTCGGCGAGGAGATTGCATCGCAAGGATCTGACCATGTCCCTCTGGCCATGTCCCTCTGACCAATGCCCACTACGCACATAGTGGGAGCGCAGGTCTGAAGAAAACACCAGAGCGCATCGCTCCGCTTCACAGCGGCCGTTGCTCGACTCTGTGGCCAGCTTACCTTCCAGCCTCCACCAGCCGTCCGATAGTAAGGAAAGTTGTCCAGGATCCAGTTGTAGATCTCATTGAGGGTCATTTGCTTCTTTGGGCTGTGCTGGATTGCGTAAGTGATCAAGGTGGCATATGAATGCGCGGGCTTGCCGTTGGCGTTGGTCTCGAGCTTAAAGTCGGGCGACAGCGGATCGACCTTTTTGTTGCCGACTTTTGATGCCGAGGGCGTCGGGCAGAGGGCATAGGGAGTCGCTGATGATGGGGCTGCTGAGGGCGGGTTGGACATGACGCCGTTGCCGGCGGCAGCGGTTTGGGTGACCTCGGTGACCTGGGTCACCTTGGTGGAGCCCGGTGGCCGGGAGATCAGGGCTGGCGATGTCGAGATGTTGGGGACCGCAGCCTTGGGCTGGAAGGTCTTTGGCCCGTACTTTGCGGAGGAGGCTGGGTCGATGCCGGTCTTTATCGCTGCCGATGGCGAGGCGGGATTTGCGGGCACATCGGCGGGGAGCGGAGGCAGGCATGGAAATGAGGTCGTCGGCTGGGATTTTGTCAACGACAGATCCTTGGTATCGTCTTTGAAGAGGGCCGAGCTGACGAGGTTGCCGGGTGTTGGTGTCGAGGAGGAAGGCTGGCCGGCTGGCGAGCGGAAGCCCAGCTGGCTGATCCACTCAGTGGAGTGACTGCTCTTGACATCGGAGCCAGGCTTTGGCACGACGGGGGCTTGACCGACCGAGACCGGTAGCGATGTGATCATCTGGGCCATGGTGTGAGAACTCAAACGACGAGTGGGGGGGGGAGCACGGGGCAGTCGAGAATCGAGCGGCAATGGTGCCCTTGAGCTGGGTTTGTGTGAGTGTGGGAGACGGTGGGGAAGGTGGGGAACAACAGGCAGGAGCGGAGCCGCGGGAAGGACCGACGGCAGCAGGAGCGGATGCACCGGCGAGCGGATACAATGGCGAATGCAGCGGGTGGAGAAGCAAGCGATACAACGACCGACGAAAGATCGCAGGACGCTCGATCAAGAAAGCGAGAGCAAGAGCGCACGAGTTGGGCAGAGCCTGTTGGTGGAGCGAGGGTGGATGGGGAACAAAACGATCCAACAAGAGAGGCCGATACAGCGATTCAGCGGCGGATCGACAATCACCGGCAAGGCAGTTGATAATTCGTTGGAATTGGAGAGCGACTTGGGCGCGAGAGACAACGCCCTGATCTTGATGGGAGACGGGGGGGGCGGCGGCGCGGAGATTGCAGTGACGGCTCGGAGTAGAGATCGAGAGAGTCCAACGAGCAAGTCTGCGAGATGGGATCCAAGAGCGAGGCCGACAGAGTCTGGACGAGGCAAGACTTGGATGTGCTTGTGGACGGAGGAGGAGGGGGCGGGTTACTTGGGCACCTGGCAGTGAATAAATAAGGGTTCAGCAATCAGCATGGACAGCCAGGATGAGAAGCAGGGACGGGCGCTGCTGAGAGCCACAGGGATGCCGCGGGGCAGCGTCTCGCGAGCAGCAGCGGGTGGACGAGGAGGGAAAGACAAGAGACCAAAGGCAGACGACTAATGGTTGGGGGAGGGGGCAGGAGAAGGGATGGCGAACGCCAACAGAAAAGGGAAGGCACGACAAGGATGCGCACTGGGGCCACCCCTCAGTTGCCCGAGAGCAGCGACAGGAACAGGCGGTACCCGGTGGTATGGATAAGCAAGGGAAGCGGCGAGCAAAGCGAAGGTGGGCCGTTGGCGCAATCGACGGTGCGGATGCAAACGGGAAGCAACGGGAAGCGATGGTATGCAACGGGAAGCAACGGGAAGCAACGGGAAGCAACGGGAAGCAACGGGATGCAACGGGATGCAACGGGATGCGGCAGAAGGCAAAGGCAGCACCGAGGCAGCCGACAGGAGCAAGGACAGCCGACAGGAGAGCAGAGCGACAGCAATGGCAACAGCAATGGCAATGGCAATAGCAACAGCAGCAGCAATGGCAACAGCAACAGCAATGGCGACGGCACACCACCGACCGACAGAGGCAGAGCAGAGCAGAGTAGACAGGCAGCAATAGAGACGGGCGCGATCGGCAGAGGGCGACAGCGTCCTTCTGGGGCCGGATCCATCAGCACACCGGGCCGACGTGCTTTGGAGGAAAAGGAAAGGCCAGCAGGCGGGATGTCCAAGGCCAGGCTCCTCGAGGCGGTACCATGCGACCAGTGGCTCTGGCCATCGTATGCCTGTGGCTCGTGTACAGATCCCGTTTTTCGAGTGGGCCACAAGGGGGGACTGTGTGAGCGGGGCACAAGGAGCGGGTTCCTGGCGAGTGGTCAGGGCGACGAGACCAGAGGGCGGGCATGTCGCGCGGGCTTGTTCGCAGGGCGAGGTTTGTTGTTCACGAGGGATTCGGCTGTCGCTGCCGAAGCGATAATGCGTTTAACGATGTGTTTAACAATGCCCTTAACGATGCCCTTAACAATGTGCTTAACAATGTTCTTGGCCGTTCGACTTGACCGCCCTGCTTGGCCTGGACATTCCGCTTGGTCATTCTGCTTGGCCATTCCGCTTGGCCATTCCGCTTGGCTGTCGCGCTCGGCTCGACATGGATCGGCCTCAGCGGGCACGCCTGCGAGCAAGGCGGCCGAGGCAAAGGGGGAGGAGGCGGCCCAGGGCTCGAGTGGTCCTGCCGGCGGAGGCAAAGCGCAGCGGACCAATGGGGCTGCGGCCTTGTTGGCGCCGCACCACAGGCGGGCATGCTCTTGCGGAGGCCCCACAGCCCCGTCGACGAATCGGGCCGTGCGCGGCGGCCGCGGCGGGTCACGCGTGCGCGCAAACCGGAAAGGCCGCTGTGGCGCTGTCCGTGGCGACCACGCCACGCGTCGCTCCCGTGCGCTGTGCCTGCGATGCTTGAGTGCGTCTCGGCAGGTGAAAGTTGCGACTTTGAGATTGCGGGATGGACCTCGGCGCAGACTTGCGGGAAGACATATCGGTGCGATTGCCGACAGAGTCGCGGGCCAGCCGGTCGACACACTTGGCCGTCCACTTGTCCATCCACTTGTCCATCCACTTGTCCGGCGACTTGTCCATCCACTTGCCGAGCCAGCCGCGTCGATCTCGGCCCGCATTGTCCATGGATCGCCCCAAGTCTCTGTGTGAGGCCCGCGTCTTGTATCAGTGTGGACCGCGAGTGTGCTCAGCCGGCTGCCCGTGTCGGCTCGGTTGCGGGTGGGTTTCTGTGCGTCTGCGGTGATCGGTCGTGACCTGTCCGGGGCTGTGCGCTGCCTTGCCGAGGGTCGCCAGCCCAGCGGCACGGATAACCTTGCATTTGCCGGGCGGTGTGCGGTGTGCGGTGTGCGGTGTGCCTGCTGCCTGCTGCCTGCTACTGTCTGATACCTGCTGCTGCTGCCTGCTGCTTGCATCTTGCATCCGCCATTGCATTTGCTATTGCATTTGCCATTGCATTTGCCATTGCATCCGCCGTTGCATCCGCCGTTGCTGCTGCGTTCCCTGTCGTCGTGAGCCTTTGAGCCCGGCGTCCTGCACAGCGCGAGTGGTTCTGCCACCAGCCACAAGGCCCGTGCACGCACGCCGAGGAGCAAGCCCGTGGTCAAGCCTGCTGCCTTGTTGCCTTGCTGTCGCGGCCACGCCTCGTCACAAGCCCACCACCGCCCCTGCACCGTTAATCCCACACAAGAAAGCCACACCCCCCGCACAAGGACAAAGCGCCGCCCGAAGAGGTTTTCGACCAGGCGCTGTCGCCAGAAGGAGGCGCAAGGACAGAAACACACCGACCAGCGCTGGTGCGAGAGTGGGTGCTACGGACATGCCCGATTAAGGTGCATGTCCCACAGTGTGCGATCGGTGCCATGGGGTGGGCGGCGAGGGAATGGTCCGGTGTGAGCCCACACGCGAGAGGATGGCGATTACAAGCGCAGAAAAAAAAAAAGTAACGGAGGCACGAATGCGGCGCCAGCTCGCCCATGACGTGACATCCAGGCAACAAGGGCTTCATGAAACCGCTGGGAATGGGGAGGCAGTGTCGGCCGCGGCGGTGGGGAATTCGATAAAAACAAGCGCTAATGAACGGGGTGGCGTGCAGGAATGAAGAGGGATCCGCATGGAAATCAAAGTCGTCGTCCGGCGATAAGAATGCAGGGCCTGGCCATCCGCTGGCGGGGCCCCGACAGCAAGGCCGGAGCGGTGGTGGCCGAAAGAGCGCTGGACCGCCCCAGCGACGGACGCTGGGCTCGCGAGACTGTCGGCAGCACGTATGTCGTTGCCTCGTCAAGACTCCTCCTCCATCGTCCGCCTGTCCGTCCTCGGCCTGGCCCCCGTCCAGCGGCACCGTCCGGCCGGTGGCTCTCATTCCCGGATGACCACTTTGCTCTTTTCCCGCGTGAGCGCTCTTCTGCCTGAACTACTGCCCTCCTCCGTGGGACTGACTTCTTACCCTATGTTGTCCAGGCGGCAGTAGGATCGGCGTCGAGTCGACAAGGGACGGCAGCGAAGGAGCCGGAATTGCAATGTTTGTCGGGGGGGGGACGAATACCCTCACACGGGCGGAGAAGCAAAGGCCACGAAACGCTGCGGAAGAGAGCGAGGCGGGTGTTTGTTATTTATTGTTGCCGGCACCTGCTGCCCAGGGGCAATTGTTGTCCTGTCGCCGCTGCTCATCCAGAAGGCCGCTGATTGCAGACGGCAAGCCCGACGCTGGCACAGAAGGCCTCTTCAGAAGCGTCAGGGGCCGCCGCCGGCCTCCCTCGGTGCGCTGGGGGCCCTCCGATAGGGTTGGTCGTGGAAGCGCAAGGCTGGAAGCCCGATGCTTCCTGCCGTGGCGCCGAAAGAAAGACCCGCAGCACGTGAGCCGTCGGTGCACGGCCACACAGGCACGGCGCTGCTGGTCGACGACGGATGCTCGCACTGCATTGCCGGACATTACGGCGTATCGCCTCACGACCCAAGGCAATGCAGTGCGATGGGTTCCTGATGCTGTTTCCTCTGCCGACTGCTGCAGCGCCGTGTCTGTCTTCCATTCCTCTCCCCAAAGCTGCTCGTCTCTTGCGGCCGGCTGGACCGATCACTCCCTCGCCGCCCAAACAGACGCCTGCAAACTGAAAGCTTGTCCTGACGGGTGGTCCCGCCTTCCTGCCTCGCCTCGCTCCTGCTCAGGGGCACGTCCAATCGCACTGCTTCGACCGAGGATCCCAAACCTTGCAGCCAGGGCAAGATCACGCAAGCCGCTGGTCCCTCGGCTTCCGTTGGACAGCATACTTCCCACGGAGCTTTCGTGGAAACAGCACCTCCCTTCCTTCCTTCTGCAGACCATCCCGCTCGTATCGTGCTGCTCTCGACCACATCACCACCACCACCACCACCACACCGCGCTGTCGCATCCGACAGGAGACCGCAGCCCGGCCATCGCCTCTGGCACGGGTCCGGCTGTTGTGTGCGGCCCACCCAGCACGGCAGTGTCTCGGGCTCGCTTGTGGATGCTCCTTGTGGCTGCACCCTTGTGCCCGAGCCCCTGACCTCGGCGTCAAGCCTCCCCACTACTTGCTCTGGTCGTCAGCCCAGCAAGGCGCTGGATCGGCCTCTGCCGGGGTGGACTAGGCACCTCGCCAGCCGGCCCCTGTTGGTGCACAGCCGCCGCACACATGTGTCTATCAAAGGCAGTGGCTCCTGTCCCTGACCGCCCTGTCGCCGCCTCCAGGCCCATGTCCCATGTTGTCCCTTCCGGCCTCGCCAGCGGCCCCATCGGAACCATCCTCGCGCGTCGCCATTGCCTCTCCGCCGCTTGTGCCCCCCGTTTCCCAGGAGTGCTGCCCTCCTCTCGATGGTGCTCCAGTGCGGGCGTTTCATTTTGTATCAGCGATCATGGCCGCACGGCGGTCCTAAAAGTCGTTGTCGTTGTCACTCAGCGCCCCAAACTGATCGGGCCCGGTGCCATCGTTGCCAATGTCGCTGCCGTCGCCCTCGTCGTCGTCTTCGTCATCATCATCATCATCGTCGTCGTCGTCGTCCATGTCGAGATTGCCTGGGTGTGGACAGTTCGGAGAAGACCAGGAGATCATGCGCATCAGAGATATGTCAGGCAGGCAATGTCGGTTCCCATGACGTTGCATTTTTGTATGCCTCTCTCAACAATCTACCCATCAACGAATCCTCTCGCCACGCGCGTCCTCAGATGCATGATGCCTCTGTACCATCGCCCACGAGACCTACCTTCGTCGTCATCCTCCTCCTCCTCATCGTCATTGTCGGCATTCCGGTCTTCGTCATCGTCCATATCTTCGCCGGCATCGTCGTCGATAATGTCGTCGTCCGAAAGCCCAGATCCCAGCGAGACTCCGTCTGGCTCGCTCTCGCTGCTGCTCTGGTCCGCCTGGGAGTCTCCGCCAACGGACTTTGGGTTGATCGATCGCGGGTTGCGTCGGCCGGCGGCTGCTATTGTAATGGTTTTGGACGGTTTGCGTTGACAGATGGGTGGATTGATCCGTCAGCCTCGAGTAACCCTACCCTCTGTCGTCACATGGTGTCTGCCACATGCACCTCCTCCCCCCTTCCTCTATGAATGTAGCGGGTGGCCAGAATGTTACCCTTGGGTCGCTTCAGACGGCCGACGCTTTCCTCGTTGTGGGCCCGCACGGTGTCGCGGATTTCCTTGTCGCCCCGCAACAAACGCAGCTCCTCTTCACGGAGCCGGTTCTGCATCTTCTTGAGAGACGACTCTGTTTCCTATTGTCCGTGATCACACACAGTGCATCATCAGTATTTGCCTATGGCGCTGAGTGCCATGAAGGTGGAGAATCGAGGTAAAGAGTGAAACGAAAAGAAAAGAAACGAAAAATAGAGAAGGAGGAATTGGACTGGAGATTGAGGCGGAAAGGCGACGCGGAAGGAGAGCCAGCGGAACACAGTCCCACCTCGAACTTGTCTTGCTCCTGGCGGTTGTATTCGTCCAGCTGCGACTCGAGATACGCAAGGTTGCGGAACTTTTCCATGTAAGTCTCGTACAGCCTTCCGACCTCGACCTCAATTTTCTCGTACTCATCCATGTATGCAGGTCTGTGTGTCGATATCGGCATCAGTACCCTTGACCTGACTGATCTCAACTCCCATCCCGACTATCGCACCACCCACACTACCCATAAGCGCTCCCACTCGCACCTATCACTACTACCCCCTACTTTACACCAAATACCAAGCCTGCCGACTTTGGCACCCTCGTTGCCCCCTCCCTCCGTCACTTCAGCCAGCCATATCCACCTGACGCCTTGGAGACTCTTCAGGCGCTTCTCGGCACGATCCAGCTCCACCTTCTTCTTCTCAATCTTGGCAATGAGGCTGGATTCGTCCGCACCAAGGTTCTCCATCGCGGCCTTGGTAACCGATATTTGCTCGCGGAGATTATGAATCGACTCGTTGACGGCTGCTTCCATGTTTTGGATCTCAAAGGGGCGAGAAATGACGTTGGCTCGGATATCCTGGGATGGGATGGGATGGGATGGGATGGGATGGGATGGGATGGGATGGGATGGGATGGGATGGGATGGGATGGGATGGGTTGGGTTGGGTTGGGTTGGGTTGGGTTGGGTTGGGTTGCGATGGTCGTCACGTTAGGGTACTTCTGAGTAGAAGCATAGCCAAGACGAGGGAGTGGTTACTCGACCCCTGATTCCTGGACGCGCAGCTTTGACCTACCCTGAGTTCCAGCTCCTTTCCGAGCAGATCATAGAGCGTGGCACCCTTCTCCGTGATTTCAGAGGCCAGAGTTCGGCAGATTTTGAGCTGGCCTACTTTGGAAGCAATGTCCAGGGAGGGCACGGTCGTGGCTTCCTGCACACCACGAATATACAAGCGCCGTTTGGATGAGGAGGTTTGCAGCACCATCCACGAGGCAAGCAGGGCCCAGCAATACTGCGTGCGATGTACCCGCTGGCCGCAGCGACTTCCCATCAGAATCGGCATTGGGACCGGACTCTGCAGCATCTACTGCTCACGTCTATTTCCATCCTCTCTCGAGCCATATTTCCCGACGCTGCCATCCACCGTGTAGGAGCGCTTGAGTCTCCTCCTCCCTCAAAACCAAATACACTGCCCGTCCTCTCGACCCCATACTCAACCTCGTCGTCTACAATCTTGATTTGGCTCGCCTGGTACAGGATGTCGGCAATCTTCAGGAGCTCCTTGACGGCGTATCCGTCAGCCATGTAGAGCTTGCGAGTGTTGAGTTTGATGTGCGCCTTTGGTGCCTGGACACGGGCGCATCGCAAGACCGGAGCGGCAAACATGATAAGAGCCGGAATGTTGGGATCAGCAACCAAGCCGGACCAGTCGAGGCTGGCGAAGGCCCTCCTCCTCCAGGCTTCGATTCTATCCGTTGGTCGCGTCTCGGGATCACGCTGGGGGAACGGAGGCTCAAACCGGTTACCATGAAGGTTGCGACGCTCTTGATGAAGAGTACTCGATCCTGCTCGGTGCTCAGGTCGGCCTTGATATCGACGTTGGGATCATAGCTGTTTTACATGCGTCCCCACCATCCGCCGAATATACATAATGTGCACGTCAGACCAAGATGCTTGCAGCCAAACACGGAGCTGGGAATCCTCCCCGACGCTCGTCTCAGTAGCGACTGTTCTCACGCCTTCGACCACCATCCGCTATCAGCGCGACTAGCGCGACAAGATGCACTGTCTGGTGCTCGGGCACGCTACCTCTTGATGAGCCACAGGAGTATGTCGGCCACGAGATCAAAATTGGGTGTTCGGAAGCTATCAATCGATATCAGCTTGGGATAGCCCAGGGCCCTCATTTTCTCCGTGAAAGCTGAGTGTTGGCAGTCAAACAACGTGGCGATCATGTCAGACCTTTAACGGATGGGGTGTGCGAGGCGTGGTGTGGCCGGCGTGGCTGGATGGTGCATGTTGCCTCTATATGCTATCCAACATATATCCAGGCCATCACTTTGACTTGCCTCGGACCTCTCGGAACGACATGGCTGGTTCTTGTGTCTTTGCTTGTTCTGGAGGCGGGGTTGTTGGTTGGCCGTGGACGAGAGATACCCGCGGCAATGTGCTCTTGCGTCGGATCCGGGTTGGAATTTCACACGGCGGGCACGACTATAGTCGTTTCCCACCGAGACGGGTGCCAGCCACACATCCACTCCACACACAATACTCTGGCAGAGTCGCCTGATGGTCATTCGAAGCGAGAAGCGTTCACGGCGAGAGCCAGCGAGACCCCGCGAGAGGACGTGACGCGTCTTCTCGCTCCTGGCCTGGCTTTGGCGGGCCTTTGCCAACACCAAAGCCAGGCTTGTTCCGTGGCCGACTCGAGCTGCAGCCGTCCAGGGCGACCCGAGCCGCCGCCAGCCTCCTGACTCGATAGATCCAGCGCAACTTCTCTCCTCCGCCACAGCGTCGCCGATTCGGATGGTGAGACGGGTCTCGGGTAGGTCGCTCTTCGAGGGTGGTTTGGAGGGCCGTCTCGACAGACACGAGGAACGACATCGGCTCCATGAACTTATACCGTCGGCTCCATCAATTTACACCGTCGGCTTCATTATATGGCCATGTCGAACATTTGCATCCTCACATTGCCCTTGCACCTTTACCGGCAATTCTCGCTCAATCCGCCGCCGACACAATCGCCACAAAGACAGCATCGACCTCGTGAACGATCTGCTGGAGCGGATCCGGATTCCGCTCCGCATCCAGCGGCTGGACCAGTGCGTCCCCGCATTATGGGTCACACTCTTTGAGGGTCTCTTTCAGACTCGACTCAAGGGGATCGATCGATATTCCACCCATGGAGGGCGGGGTGCAAGCGACCGGGAGCAACAGGCCCTCCGCGAAGCCAGCATCAGCAACGTCCGGATCGTGCTTCGAGAGCTCGGCCATGGCATTCTGCAGACAGAGCTGCCCCATCTGTCGGCCGAAGCCTTGGTGGACTTTGACGTCGAGAGCATCTTGGATATCATTGAGATCTTTAGCGAGCTGGCCCGCGTCCTGGATTCGTCCAGGGCAGACCCGGCAAGTTTACAGGGCGGCTCTGGATCTTGGACTCTTGCTCCGTCCGAAATCCCATCGGACCACCCGATGGATCGCATATCCTCGTCGCAGTCGCAGTCGCAGCTGCAGTCGTCGCCGTCGTCCTCCTCTGCTGTATCCGCCCATACTCATCCAACCAAGCGCCGACGACCCACCGGATCGATGCTGCGCGAAATTAGCGACGATGTGGAGCAGTTTGCCGAGGCGCAAAGGGCCTCGAGCCGGTCCGACAGCAGCGGCACCAACGTCGACCTTACTCGGGCCACGCCCCATAGCAAGAGGCGGCGAATCCGATTCGATATGAATGTAAGCGCATGCGCATCTACCGGAGTGGCAGAGACCATATGAGAGGAATGGGCCAGGAGTGCATTGTCCATCGCACGGTATGGCTCTTGGTTTCTGCTGAAACGAACAGCGCGCCAAGCGCCTGTCGATGTCGAGGCTGAAGTCGAAGTCGAAGTCGAAGTCGAAGTTGACTCACTTCAGGCTTCGTCCGGGAACTCCCTTCACTAGGTCCAAGCATACACCCCACCTGTCCTCCGGCTGGAACCTGACGACTCTCCTCACACCAAGGCGCTGAAACTCCGTCGCACTCGTCTCTACAAGGAGCATCAAAAGACCCTGGGTGCCTTGGGCCGCAGCCATCCGGCTGGTCATGAGCAATCCGGCAGCGGTGCGCCGCGGACGCCCGAGTTCCGCCCTCCGCTGCAGATTCGAGATTTCCGACACAAGCTCGCCAGTCCTTGGATCGTCGAGAACAAAGGCTCGAGGCATCCACCCCAAGCAAAAGTTCCCGCGCAGAGTCCGTCGATCCCCGAGCACAACTTTGGAGTGCTGGAGAGAACTGCGAGACGAGAACTCCCGGGGATAGCTGTTCCGGAGAGCGTCCAGACAAAAGCATGGAACGATCAGATCCGTCTGTGGGAGCGGGCACTCGACAGCAGGCTCTATGAAAAGAAAGTCGGTGCGGTAAGTGAGCAGCAAAGCGTGGGGCAGGATATCGGCCGGGAAGGCTGAACAAGTTTGGGCCAAGGCATGGTGTTTTGGGCTCGACTGTGGACAAGAGCGGGCGGAGCTGCCTACCGTTACAACTGCATCATCGTACAGTCCGCGCCGTGTTGATGTGCTCTCGCTGAGACCGATGCAATGGCGGTTCCAGATCCAGCACGAACGCCTCGACTCTGAACGACAGGCACTGCTTCTCGAGAAACAAAGCCAAGAAACCGCCCGACTGGTGAGTGAATGAGTGAATGAGTGGATGAGTGAATGAGTGAGTGAATGAGTCAATGAGCGATTGAATGTGTGGATGTGTGAGCACTGGTTGCCGGCACACTATGGTCAGGTGCAGCCCCGATTGACAGGCAGGCTATGGACTGACCTGGCTGCATACTTGGCTTCGATGCCTCCCCTCGATTATTTCGTGTCTTTGTCGACGGCGATGCCAGCAACACCTCCACAGAGAAAGGCAGGGGCAGACGGATGCCAAGACACAGCTCCAAGAACGGCATCGCATGAGCATCAAGATCGCACACCAACTCGAGCAGGCCCAGGAAGAAAGCGAGAGATTCAAGCGGCGCACAGCTGCAAAGGCCGAGACGGTACGACATGCGACGTGGCTGTCATGGGCTCGCTCGTCATGACCCCGTTACCCGGTCACGTTTGGCCAGCGCCAATCCAGGGACAGCGGCTGCAGTGGCACTCGTTGCCCACGGCCCAGGCACTTTGCCTGGTCGATTGCCATGGGATTGCACAGTCCCCCCCCCCACAGAGCAAGCCATCTTCAGCGCTGGGCATTTGCGTCTTTTCCACAGCATTGCGATTCCTCCACCGGATTGGACCTTGTTGCTGCTCGCACATGTGCGTCGTCCCGCTTCGCCCTGCAACTCCACGATGCTCTGACATGGACTCGCTCCCATTCCGGCCTCCGCAGCTTCTCTCTGGTGTCTATGACCAGTACATCAAGGCCCAGCGACAGACGATCCTGGAGGAGCGAAAGTTTGAAAAGGAGCAGCGCAAGGAGCAAGAGCGGCGCGAGCGAGTAACGCGCGAAGCCCAGGAGAATTAATATCCTTGTTCATGCCGGGAGGTGGGGGGCGGCGGGGCGTGGGGCCGGATTCCCAAGCACGACGCAAGCGAATCCTTAACTTGACTGCCTCGCGGTGGGCTGCGATGACTCTGGCTTTTCGGGATAGCACTTATAGGGGCCAGATCCAGCTACTGGAGGAGCAGCTCCAAGAACTGAAACGCGAAGAGGAAATCGTGAGCAAGGCCCAACGCGAGGTCAGTGAGCAGACGGGGGATGGGTGGAGCAGATCGTGGATGCACAGGCCGGCTGACTTTGGTGTGTCGCTACGACTGTCCCCATGCTGTCACAGGAAGCCCGGCGACGGACCCGAGAAGCCAAGGAGCGCATCCGCATGGAGAACGGCAAGACCAGAGAAAAGCTCCTCGCGGACGCAGAGGAGCGGTTTCTGCGCAAGCTCGATCAGGAGAGCATCTTTGGCGAGAAGCTCGGGTTTCGTTTCCGACCAACGCGCACCTGACTTGCCCCTGCTGACCAGGCGGAAGCCAATGCAGCATGGATGTGGAAGGGAGCCTCCGTGGACAGGCGGAACGTGGTGCTCGAAGCAAGCGACTCGGCCGATGGGTGGTTCGGCAATGTCACAAAACGATGGGCTGCCTGCGTGGCCGTGATCCGAAACAGTATTGCGATGCCTCATGCCACCGCGCCGTGGGAGCCCCGGACACGGACGAGGGATGCAGGGGGCACCGGCCCGTGAAAGACACCAAGGACAGACACCTTGATCTTGCGCGGCTGTGCGCAGACAGGGATGCGCATGTCCGGTGGCAGGCCAATCGCGGGCCAATGGCAAGCCGAAGGGGGGGGACAGAAGAGGAAAGGCGATTGGCGAACGGCGCTGTGGCGAGACGGTGCGCAGCGGCGCCGAAGGGACAGGGACCACGTGGCGGCCCACAGGCCTTGTGGGTGACGGACCGGGGCAGTGATCCGGCCACGGTTGTGTGGTGCGCCGCGCGGCTGGTGCGGAATGGGCTTGCCGCCGCCCCCCAGCAACAGCCAACAGCACGCACGCGCACGCGCGAGCAGGGCCACGGCACAGAGACAACGGCGTGCGGCGGAGCGGCGACGGCGAAAGCGGCATGGCACCAGCGGGCAGCAGCGACAATGGCAATGGCAGCAGCGACAGTGGGGTGGGACGACGAGTCCGGCACTGTCACAGTGCACCTGCAGCAGAATGGAGGAGCGCACAGAGCTGAGCCGGCGACAGTGCCATTCGACAGACAACAGCAACAACAGCAACAACAGCAACAACAGCAACAACAGCAACAACAGCAACAACAGCAACAACAGCACACACTGTGCCGTGTGCCGCGGCCCCGCCGGGCGTTTGTTTGCGTCGTCCGGCGCTGTGTGCCCGCCTCCTCCCGGTTCTGTTCCGCGGCGGCCGTCGTCCCGTCTTGCCGCGCGGCGTCGTTTGCTCGTCTTTGCCCTCATCCGTTTGCATCTCTCCCCCCAGCCAGCACCGAGCCTCTGCTGCTCCTGCAGTCGTCTGTCGCCGGCTGCTTCCTCGCAGGCGCCGCCCTATCCCGCACCCTTCCTGCCGCATCTGCCTCTCGTCGCTCTGCTCGGCTCGGCTCTCTGTGTCCCGGACTCCAATACCGCTCCTGTCGCTTTGTTCCTGTTCTGCCTCCCGCTCTCGTCCCAACTCTGCGAATCCTCCTGCTGTCGCTCTCTAGACCGCCATGAGCTGCATCTACTTTGACGCAAGCAATGCCACCAACTGCAAGGACTGGGTCGTCAACGGCGGCCAGGGCTTCTATCTAGCCCCAAGCATCATCCAGCCGCTCTTTCCCGACCCTGCCTCCTTCAGCCTGTCGCAATACGTGAGCGTTCGAAGCACCTTTCTCTTCGGCCCAATCGGCTCACCGGCCCTCGTCACGGCACTGCTCACCAACCTGACCTGCCCAGCACCTGCCACCGGCACCTTTGTACGTATCTGTCCTTCCCTGAACTTTTCATCCAGCGGCGGTGTGTCTGTCGGCGGTGTCGGCGGTGTCGGCGGTGTCGGCGGTGTATCCCAGATCCTCGCTCTGTGGCATCCACCCGGTGCTGGATCTGTTCCGGCGACACATTCGCGAATATCCCAGCCACACATCCCTGTGTCGTGTGTCGTGTCGGCCGTTGGGCAGCAGCAGCAGCAGCAGCAGCAGCAGCAGCTGTCCAGCTCGCCAACTTTGATGGGTAGCTCTCTAACCCTCTGCTCATCTTGCGTCGTTCGTCTGCTCCTCTCCCCAATCGGCTCGCCAATCTGCCGACTCGGCTGTCTCCCACCGCGCCGTGCTGTCAACCCGTCTTCTGCGACAATCTTCCCAATCATCTCCTCACCATCACCACCACCCCTCTGCTTTGGGCTGCAGTCCCCTGAAGCACCAGCACCCCCGATTCGCTTTACCGAGCAACTGATTTGCGCCAACGCCATCCAGCAGTCCGCCAAGGCCTGTCCTCAAATTGCATACCAGCCCATCTGCAAGCAAATCTGCGACGACAGTCTCACCTCCATCACCAACTTCATCAGCGTCTGTGGTGGAGCAAACAAGGCTACCCTCAGCTACAGCAACTTTACCACCGCATGCCAGTCCTTGGCCAGCCCCACGACCCCGACGTGCATCTCCGAGGCCTACTCCAACACCACAAACTGCGGTAGGTCGTCTGCGTCCGTCGTCTGCGTCCGTCGTCTGCATGACGACGCCGCTACCCATACAGCCCTTGGACGGACACTCGCCCAGCTCCTGTATTGACAGCTACTCCTTGCCTCCTGTTTGCTGGTATTCCCCCCCCCCAGGATTCTCGATTGGCCCTCCTGGAGGCGGCACTGGCGGTCCCGCTGCCCCTGGTGCCCCGCTCCCACCACCCGTCCGCTTTTGCAACGGTATCCCATCCAACAGCCGGCCATCGTGCTGTAACGCCTACCTCTCCAGCCCACCATCGCCATCGCCCACCAACAGCCCCAGTCCGTCGAGCTCTCCGACACCAGCCGCCTTCGATAGTGGCGACATTGGCGGCATCGTCGGCGGCATTGCCGGCGGCGTGGCTCTCCTACTGGTGCTCGGGGTGCTCTTCTTTTTCTGCGTCGTGCGCCGCCGTCGCGAGAAGCTGGCTACCCTGATCAAGGGATCCCGAGACACCCGAGCCGAGTCCAACGCCAGCAGCTTCCGCGACACGGCGAGCCCGCTGCCCCCTCGTCCCTCGATCCCAGGGTCGTCGGGCACGGGCAGCGACTACCAGCAGCAACGCTCGAGCCACAGCGCCACAAACATCTCTAGTGCCTTCAACAAGCAGTGGATTGCCCTCTCGAATTTCGATCCGCGAAGGGACGACGAATTGGAGTTCAAGGCTGGCGACCACATCACGTTGCTGTCGATCTTCAACGATGGATGGGCGCAGGTATGTGCATCTCTTGCACTCGTGATCCGCTCTTGTCTGTCCTCGCCCGACCAGTCTCTGGCTTTTGCGTCCACTCCCTCGCCGAGTCTCGCCTTGTCCTCACTGCCTTGCCGAGACCACCACTCACCGTATATGCGGCCTGCTTCCTTCGTCCCTCTAGGGTGTCAACGAGCGGACAGGCAGTTTGGGTGCCGCTCCTATGAGTCTGTTGCGTGAAATCAACTAGACGTCCCTTTCATCTCCTCCTCCCCTCCCCACCCCACCCGACACCATGCGCAACTGCAAAGAAAAGCAGCACGAGCGACTGCGGTCCTCAGCACATGGACGGCAATGTCTCCAGAACGAGTTGGTGGCCCGGCCAATCAATCAATCGTTTCATCACTTTCTCCTCTCTGCGCTCGAATCTTATTTTGTACTAAAACTCATCATGGTTTGCCTTTCGACCTTGAGGCCTGTATCCGATTCTTTCTCTCCCCCCCCTCTCCTCGTGCTCGCTTTCTCGCCGGCTCTGTCGGTGCTCACTCTCCCTGTCTCCAATCTGTGCTCTGCGCCTTGCTCCTGCACTCAACCCTTCGTAGCGGGCGAGGGACGGCCTTGCTTGCGTTTGCCCCTGGCTGGATCCACCGCATGCTATCGAGCCTCTCAATGTCCAATATGATACAATACATCCCAAATACAGATCCAATCCAGGCATACGGCGTGCTCGAGGACATGTCGTTGGCCTGGCAGGGAAATCACTTGTATTCGATGGCAAGACACCGGCGAGAGTTCCATCGCTCTGAGTGATCGCTTTCTTGTTGGCGTTGTAGGTATTGTTGGTGCTGTTGGTGCTGTTGGTGCTGTTGGTGCTGTTGGTGCTGTTGGTGCTGTTGGTGCTGTTGGTGCTGTTGGTGCTGTTGGTGTTGTTCAGCCCTGTGATTCTTGTTCTCGAACTTGCTCACGATCTTGCCTCATGACGATCCCGCTAGGGGGATTGATAGCTGCCCGACGCAGCTCTACTCGGGGTGGTGTTGCGTGCAGCCTGAAAGGACGGATCGCGCAGGAGATCCAAAACGAGAGATCACTACTTGGATTCGGAGGCGCTGTGGTTGCTCATGCATCGTTTGAAAGCCGACATTTGCTGACGACACAGCCGCCAGTCCTTGGTGTCCCAGTGGCAGTCCTGCAGGGCAATGTGTTCGTCGTAGCAACCGCTCCTCTTGATGCGGGTGATGTAGGGATCCTCGTCGTCATTGTCGTCGGCACCGTTGGCCGCGACTGCAGCTGCGGCCGCATCCTTGGCACTCGAGCGAGCTTGTTCCGGGTCGTCCGAGGGCATGTCCGTTAGATTGGCGAGAAGGCGAGGGCGTGTGGGGTGGCGAGGAGCCTGGGCGAGGGCAGATGGACAACCGCAGATGGACAATCGCACGGCAGGGCAGAGGACGATGAAAGGACTGCGGCTGGTCGGCGCCGACAAAGGCCGGGACAAAACCTGACTCTGAGTGCATGTTCAGCAAGCGGATGGGCTGCACTCTCCTTCCCGCCATGCCCTGCTCACCCCTTCTCTCGCTGGCACCGCCTGTGCTTGAATCCTCCGACCACCGTCCCCATGGTCGCTGCGCGGGGCTCTTGGGCTTCTCGGCAGGCAAGCTCGCCAGGGACAACAGCCTGCATCCATGGGCCAGGACCATTTGGTCCACAATGCCTTTCCCGCCATCCTCTGTCGTCGGTGCGAGATACCGCCAGCCCGTGCTGGACCCACCGAGGGTCCCGGGGACATGCTCCGGCTTCGTTGGACATGTCAATGCTATGCCATTTCCATTTCAACTCTATTTCAACTCCATTTCAACTTCATGCCAAACTCCATGCCAAACTCCGCGCCAACCCGCGCTTTCTCCCCTCCCTTCCTCCTCCTCCTCGTCTGCTCCGACCAAGTCGTTCCTGAGGCCTCGATGCATGGCAGAGGCGGGCAGACCCCCAAGGAGAGAAATTCCCACCTTACAGTACCCAGCCGTGGGGCAGAGTCTTGGGGGGGGGGAGAAATGCAGGGGGATGCAGGCTCGGCCGGGAACAGACCTGAACTCTCTCGGTGCCGGCGCAGATTTCGAGGACGCCACTTTGGCTGCTGGCGGACTGGCGGACTCCCCCCCCCCAGCCTCCCTTTGGTCTTCGTCTCCTGCGCAGAAAACGAGGCTCCGTAGACAGCGGCACGAGCGGCAGATGCGGAGGAGGGGGGTCCATCGGGGCCGTTTGCGAGTTCCCATGGCGCTGCTTCAAGTCACCTGCAAGACAGGCCGCTCGTGATGACTACAGGCGGCGGCATGGGTGTGTCCGACGTGTGCTTTGGCAACAGGGCGAGCGATGCGAGAGATGCGAGCGATGCGAGGGATGTGGCCGCACTCGATCAAATGCACCGCTGTTGTGCTTGATCAAGCCGTTCTTGGTCGAAATGTCCGCGCGTCCGTGAATCCTCCACTCCATCATCTCGCTGGGAGCCGATCGACTTGCACATCATGATCGTGCTTTTGGTTATGTTCATGTCGCGACGTTGGATTGTGGTGTATCAAATTGAGGTTGTGGTGTATCAAATTGATGGAGGTTGTGATGTATCAAATTGATCGGCACTCACTCCCGCACGAGCATACTCGATCGACTCAGGCGACGGGACTACGTTCCTTGCTCTGTCTCCACGGGAGCGGTTGTCATTGCAAGCGATGTGGGAGTATTATCATCAAGATAAACCTCTGTAACAAAACACCATGCTGCATTTGTGGTTCCCACCCTGTCGCTGACAGCCGGCGGACACTGAGCCCATGCCACAATGCCGACGGCCCGCCGTTGCTGGTGGCTTTGTCACTCGATCTGCTCTGTGCTGGATGCCGCCATGTCGCTCATGCTTGTGCCTCCCATGAACCAACTGCGTATGTTCATGTCCTTCATGGACCCACCGCTCATGGTCATGCCTTCTGCGGCCCAACTGCTTGCGGCCGTGCTGAGCATGGCACCGGCCGCCTGCCGTTCCCACAGCGGCGCTCCCCATCGTCACCGACACCGGTTTCTTCGTGCGCCGTTCCTGTTCTGAGGCCGGACAAAGCCCCCACGGGTCGGGAAAGCATGCTATTGCCTCCGCTGCCTCCGCCTGGGCCGAGGGGGTTCGCTGCCTCCGCCGGCTCAATCGGGCTGCATTCGCTGGCCGTACCAGCGGGGTGCTGCCCGGCTCCGTCCCCTCTCGCTCAGTTGTGCTGATTCGTGATTGGGCTTGACTTTGTTGATCGGCAGCTGCATCGTCGCTGCTCTCCCAACCCGTATATGAATATTGCCGTTGCTCTGCCGATCTGCACACCGACTCGATCACCCTGAATCGACTACCTGCCGAGCCACGTAGCCACATACTAGCACTTGAGCAGCCCGTCTTGCCCGGGGGGGATCTTGCCCTCCAATCGCGCTTACATCAACCTCGGCTAGTCCCTCTCCAGTAAAACCCACCGAGCTGCCCCCGCTCCCTTCCTCAGCACTTCACCTCTCTGCCCTTGCCCACTCCCCCCCAGCATCTGCTCGGACAGTGCCTCGGCTCTCGACAGAACTCGCCACCCCAGAGCGATCGACAACATCGTCGCGCTTCTATCAAGGTACTTGACGTTCGAGTGCTCAAGAATTGATTGACTGCCCTGCCTCACCAGCCCGCTGCATTGCTCTCTGGCTTTCTGGCTTCCCTGGCGACTGCCCTGGGACTGCTCCTATCATCGATCGCTATACTGCATCGGCCTTCTCTTCCTCTGCCCAAGACACGATCGCCTTGACATGCCCCTCCCCCTTGCTCCATCGCTCCTCACCACAGGGCCAAGGCCGCTGCAACACGTCCTTGTGTCCGCCGGGCTCCTGCTTATTCTTTGAGTTTCTGTGAGCGGCCGACTGGCCACACGCCAAAGCAATCTGGGCCACGGCCGTCAAACGGGGACTTTGTAACTCATCCTTTCTTCGATCTGCCGTCGCCCGTCCAGCCCAGTGCGGCTTCGCTCGAATCGCTCTCCCTGGTTGCGTATCTCGCACGGCTCTCCTCCCGGCTACTGCCCCCCCCCCAGATCGCACCGCCAAGGCTCTCGACCATCACCCTCCCCTCGCACCCAGGACACGGCTCCCCCGCTTCTGGACTGCTTTTCCACGGTAAGGGTGGCTGTTGCCGTTGTGCCATGTCTAGCTCGGCTGGCTGCTTGAGAAGCTCTGCCGTCCGGCCGGCCGCCAGCAGTGTCTGTTGCTCTGCATCGAATCCTGTTTCCACGCCGGCCTTTGCGCTGTGGTTTTCACGACGGCGATGATGCCACCGGATCGAGGCCACCCGTCCTTCGTCGTCCTGTCGTCCTGTTCGTGCCTGCAGGGGCCAAATCGCCCGGCCCCGGCCCCGGCCGTCTCGTTCGGCCTCGGACTACCTCTGTGCCGTGCTCTGGCCTTCGCAAACGTGCAACACCCCGAGCCGGTCCGCAACCGCCGCCACCGTCGAGGGAGAGAGAACGGGAAGCCATGTGCTGCGGACCCGCTAACCAGCCTGTTTCTGCTCCCTGCTGCACATGGATGCTGCCGGCAGCAACGACTCCGGCGGTCGCATCATGATATCGGGCCGAACCGCATCCAACTCGCCTCTAGCGTACCCTGTCTCCACACCCAACACCGCACGCAAGCTCTCTGCGCTGCCGCACGCTGCCGACCCATCCCCATCTGCCAAGTTTGCCTCAGTCGCCGCCATGGCCCCGCTGCCCGATGGCTCCGACCCAATGGCGATCGAGCCCAATCACGACTCTCTCCATCCGGCTGCCGATGCCACCCCACCAGCGACCCTCACAAGCGCCCCACGAGCCGAATCGCCTGTGCACAGCTATGAGCAGATCGACCAAGAGCCCACAGAAGCCTCCCAGGCGATCGCGGGTGGTGAGCAGCTCGGGTCTCTCTCCAAGCCCGTCTCCTACTCGCCGGTTACCGGTGTCCCGATCTCTGGATCCCCGGACCTCGTCCAGCCATACGTGTACCCTGAAGCCGAACAAAAGCTCGGTTCCAACGGTGCCGCCGAAAGTCCAAAGCACCACCCCGCTCTGGATCCCACCAGGCTCGACCAGCCCGTCGTCCCAGCCAACGGCACCAGCAGAGGCAATGGCAGCAATAGCAACGTCGGCAGCAGCGCTGGCATGGCGGCTTCCAAGTCCGCTGCCGATTCCCCCGAGCTCATTCACCGTAGCTCACCGGCCAAGGACGACCTCAAACCAGCCAGCGACACATCGGACGCCGTCGCCGAGCCTGCCCTCCACGCGGCCATCTCATCATATGCGCTGGTTCCGCAGGAAGACTTTGAGGCACACGATTTTTATTCCCGCCAGAAGGCCCTGCACGATAAATCGCAAAAGCCAAAGGACCGCGATGGGACCGATCCCGACGTTGCGCTGCTCTCGGAGTCGACCGCCTTAGGCGGCCTCCCCAAGAGAGCCCGCAGTCCGTTCAGCTACTCCGGCCCGCCTGACTACGTCGATCGGATTCGGGAGGACATTGTCGCGATGGAGCGGTCGCTGCGGCAGCTGCAAAAAGAACGGCACGAGCTCCAAGCCAGCTATTTGAAGGTACCCGTCCGGCCCCGTCTGACCTCGACTTTGAAGGGTGTTGCGCCTTGCCTTTCCGGACGTGCGGGGGATATTGACGTTGGAGATCGCCTCCTCTGCCGAGACGCTCGCAAAGAGTGTCCGTGCTCTCCACACCCCCGCTTGCATCCGTAGCTGTTCCCAATCCACCAACCCGGGCTTTGATATCCGGCTGCTCCTCTCTACGTCTCCGCACCCCTCACCGCCGCCATGATCAACTTGCCCCCATCGCATCGCTTGCCGATCCCACCTTTCATACAATGCTCCTGTCCCCTCCCACGGCGGCGGTCTCGCCCTCGCCCCGCCTCGCATCTCCCCCCAGTGGCCTTTGTCCGTTTCGCCTTCTTTGCAGCACCCCCCTTTCTTGTTGCTGTCGTTTGTGTCTGGATTGCTCGCCATATGACTGTTCGTGCTCAGCTCCGATAGACGGCCGCGTCTCCTGAGTCGGGTCCCTGTGGCTCTGCTTCAGCCTGATCTAATGCCCGCCCCCTCTCTCTCTCTCGCCTAGTACTATGAACAGTACTCTAGGCTCAAGATCGAGAATGCTCGGTACGTTGATGCCAGCGCACGGTATCGGGGAATCATCAACCAGCTGGTGCCAATGGTCAAGCCTCAAATCCAACACGGCGTTCAGTCAGATATGCAAACGATCAAGGAGTTCTTGGAGCAGGTTCGTCGTGTGTTGCACAACGGCTCGGCAACACCCTCGGCAACATCTTTGAAGGGGTCATGCTATTTCCTTCGCAGGCAAACGGGCGCTGCGGATGTAGATTACAGCCTTGCTTTTGCACTGACGAATTGTGCGTGCGCCCCCTTATCGCCCGTGCTGTTGTCGCTCCATCGCTCTCCTTTCACCAGCCCCTTCCGACACCACAACCGGCATCATCGTCTTTCCCCTTAGCAAATCCATCCTCGCAGCCCAAATCATCAACGGCGTTGTCTGTGAAGGTACGCCATTGCCCCGTCTGCCCCCCCCCTCACTCCATATTCGCCTTGACGGCGCTGAGTGGACACGTGTGTGTGTTGCGGCTCGCTTTCGAGCCCAAACATCCAACCCATAATCTGGCGCTGCTGACTGGCGTGTGGACATTGCGCTTCGCACTCGGTCTCGTCCGTCGATCGCTTTGCCACTCGCCACTTGCCACTCGCCACTCGCCACTCGCCACTCGCCACTCGCCATGTAACTCATCCTTGGATTCGCCAATTCTCGAACGAATGTTCTCTATTTTGGATCACTGCTTCTCTTGGTTGACGGCTCGGCTTTGGATCGACTGCCCAATCTTTCGCCGAATGTTCTCGATCGTTGGACGACCGCTCCGATTCTTTGACGAAATCTCGGTCGCTCCTCCTCCCCCTCCGTTCAAATCCGACAATGATCATTTCCGCCCACTCCCCCGAATCCGATCTGGACTGTCAACCCAATCATATGTCGTTCCAATCAGATCGAGACGGATGGCATTCGGAGTGGCGCCCCAATCGCGACAACGCCGCCCTCCGTTCCCGATGTCAGTCTCAAGCGCAAGTTCCCTGAAGAGGTAGATAGGTCGTTTCCGGTCTTGCGCCTGGCTCCCTGTGCTGGTTTCACGGCCATCGATACCTTTTGCTGGCTCTCGGATGAGTGCCAGAGCTGACGTCACTCCGTTGTCCCTTGCTCGGTGGCTCCATCCCAATCTCGATTCTCGCCCTCTTGGAAGCAGACCTCGTTCCCGGTTCTTACTTCATCAGTCTTTGGTAAGCCGCGCTCCCCCCCCCTCCATCGGTTGGACTTTGCCCAGCAAGTGTCCTTTGCTACAATCCCATCGTTGCTCACGCGCACTCCAATTGTTTAGATGCAGACATGGCCTCTCGGGCGGCCCTACGCTCGAAAAAGACCGATGCTGGTCCGCCAAAGTTCGATGCTGGGTGAGTGTCGATGGATTTCTTGCGGAATCGTTCTCGGCAAGTGCCCGATTGTACTTGCATCGGGTCTGTCGAGCTCGCCATATCGCAACGAGCGCGTTCTGCTTCGCTTGGCATCGATCAAAGCTTTATCAAGGCCCATGCCACGTAACCTACAACGGCGTTCCATGTTTCTGACACCGTTGTTCTTGTGCCCTGTCGCATTTTCCAGACCGGCAGCTACAGATCCTCGCTTCCTCGGCCACATCCCTCCAGCTCCTGAAATGACACCGACTCGATTCTCGGCATATCCCGTTGCGTCTGTGCCCAAGTATTCCCAACCCTTCCCCCATGTTGGCTCACAGGCGGTGGTATCGTCTCCCGCCAATGATGGCCGCGTCCCAGCAGGAGTCCCGAAAATGCCGCCTCAGACCCAAGTTCCGCCTGGCGTGCAGCTGCCGGGCCAGCCGATAGCGCAAGCCTCGATCTCACCGGCGAATCGTGGCCGAGTCGTATCAAGCACTGGTCCGGGCATGCCGCTTCCGGCTGTCGCTGGGGGCCCTTTTCCCGGCGCACACCGGTCCGGCGCCGCCGCCGCCGCCGTCGCTGCCAACCGACCCGAGGGCTGCCCGACCAAGGTCACGCAGAGCCTGGCTCTCCCTCACGGCGACACCGTCTGCGCCATCGCTATCTCGGTCAACAGCCGATACATCTTCACGGGCAGCAAGCTATCGCTGAAGATGTGGGACTACGAGCACAAGGAAGGCAAGATCGGGAAGTGTATCCACGCGCTGGACTGTTTCGCCGACCTGGGGCTCGGGGTTGTGCGGGCACTCAGACCAACCCGTGACGGCAAGCGACTACTTGTTGGTGGCGAAGGCTCGCACCTCGTGGTCATCGACATTGAAAAGGGTCTGGTGGTGACGTGCAAGCTCAAGACCCAGAACGTGGCCATCTACAGTATCCAAGTCAGCACGGATAGCCGTCTGGCCTACGCGGCTTGCGGCGATGGCATCGTCCGTATCTGGGACCTCTATCAGGGCAAGATCGGTCGCACACTGTCGGGACATACCGATCTCATCACCGGCGTAGCGCTGACGCCGATGGGCGATCAGTTGTTTACTGGTAAGCATTTCCGCACCCTCCTGCTATTTTTTCATCACGGAAATATGGGACAACCAGGGCGAGGTGGCTCGCCAAGGGGAATCAGGATCCAGCCGGCTGCTTTGGCTATCACCAAGGGCCACAGCTTCCTCCAGGATGTGCCAGATAAACTATGGATCCCAGCACGTCGAGACACATGGCGCAGGATACACGGAGACAGCATCGACACACATCGAGACAGGCTGAGCTCTAACGCCTATCGCCTATCGCCACCAGCCTCGCTTGACAGAACCGTACGCGTCTGGGACATGGACTCGGGCGAAGTCGGCAAATGGCATTTCGGCTCTCAAGTCTTTGCCCTGGGCATCTCGCCTGTGCGGCCCAATATTGTCTGCGGGTAAGTGTCGAGATGGGCGGGGGCGCGCGAGAGCGGACATAACACTGCGGTCTTGTCGGGTTGTGCGAGGCGCTCGTTCACCCTGGCTCTTTCATATCAGCTGGCCACCTGTGGTCCATGGGATCACCGGCTGTAGAGCAGTCTTACTTGGTGCGCGGATCGGTTGCCGAGCCTTACAACATGCGTCGCTTCGCTTGCCCCGCGGTGTATATGCTTTCCCACACCCTCGCTAATGTCCTGCCATCTGCAGCCTCGAGAACGGCGAGGTCGAGCTGGTCGATGTCAACGACCACGACGGGCTCTCCAAGAAGGGCAACAAACACACCCAGGCGATCCTGACGGTCAAGTACGCCCCGAACGGCGAGTGGCTGATCACTACTGGCCAGGACTGCCGATGGATCATCTGGTGTGCAAAGGATCTGGGTGCGCTGTTTGCGGTAAGTGCCGGTGGCTTGGTCGGGTCTGATGCCAGATGATGGGCTGTCCAGCTGACGAAATCTCGCCCTCGCCTCCCCCAAACCTGATGCAATGTCTGATCAACAGCAATCCACGGGCGGCCAGCCGATCCTGGCGTCCGAAGTTTCGAGTTGCGGCAACTACTTTGTCATCTCGTCCGGAGACACCAATGCGTTCGTCTATACTGTGAAGTACTAGATGCGTCCCGAGGCCGTCGTGGCCCTGTCTCCGGTTTCGAGGGAGCTCATAGTCGCTTCCCATGCTGTAGCAGTCCTTGCTCCTGGATAGCCGACATTGACTCTGCCCAACGCTTGCTCCGTTCGCTTGTGCGCCCCCCCCCCTGGTTCTTGGGATATGCGATGGCTGATCTGGGCATGTCCGTGGCCATCCGGCAGCCTCCTCGCTTCGAGCCCGAGGAGAGTGGTATATAGCTGGCGCACGGCGTGTCTGTGACGTTTGCGTGTCTTGTTGCCCACATGCTGACCGCCGGGTGAAATACACTCTCGGGCTGCTTGATTCTGGCGACATGACTCGGTGCGGCAGCTTGAGCACATCCAAGTTGGCCGGTCAACGAACAGAGTGTGTTTGTCTGGTGATGGCGCGGCGATCGAAGTCAGAGCCGACACAGATGCTCCAAGACCCGACGAGCGCCGTGAACATTTACATGCAGCAAATAATGCCGCCACCGATCAGGTCGTCGGTATCGGCACTTCCACCACCATCGGTATCACTGCCATCTCCATCGGTATCCCTGCCACCTCCATCGGTATCACTGCCCCCTCCATTTGCGCCCTCGGCTTTGTCGCAGCGCCAAATCGGGCGTGTTCTTTGGTGGTGTGATGCCCTTTGCTTCGTTGGCGCCGATCGGCGAACAGATCCTACGCTGCTGCTTGCCCATCCAGTCTCCGGTCTTGCCGAGGTTTGATATCTGCGCTTCCTCTGCCTGCCAGCACCCCGCCTGCTCTGGCATATATATATATACGGCGCCGGATTTTCCGGCAGCCCGGGCATCCTGGCTGCGCTCTCCTCACCGCCCTCTGCCTCAAACACCGCCGCCGCTCTTTCTGGCGCCGACCCAGTCTTGCTCATCCAGCGCTTGCCATCGCATCGGCCTTGGCTCTTCTCCTCCATCGCCCCAGTCGGCCTGGCTCGCCCTCCATCCACACCCTTTGCCGCCGCTCCCTGCTTTGCCCGTGGACTCTGCGGCCCACCAGCTCCCATCCACAGGCCGTCTGAGCGATCCCTGAGGTGAGGTTTGGCTGTTTGGCTGTTTGGCTGGTGTTTGCCATCCGACACCGATGCCCAGATTAGCCGCTGGCAGATTGCCGGACATCCGCTCACACCACCACATGCCCGGCCTTCTCTCCTGTAGACCCCGGCAATACGCCGCTTGCTGTCGACATTAGCTGAGCTTGGTGACTCGGCACAGCCTATCTATCTCCATATATCGATACCTTGAATCAGCGACGATCGGCAAACGACAGTCCCGCAGACACCCCCTGAAAGCAATCCGTGTCTTGTTCAGTCCCAAGCCATGATCAACCGATGGAAAAATTGGCTCAACATGTGCCTCCTGCTTTCCAGGCTGCTGCCCGTGATATTCGTGGTCTCAATCGTTGGTAGGTCCTCGTTGCTGTCGTCGAACCGCCGCCCAGCCTCGGTCGTCCAAACAACGGCGTAATCGGGCAAAGCCGGCAGTGCAATAGCCCTGAAGCTGTCTGAAACCAGTAGTCTATGAAGCCTCCGCCTTGTCAATCGGCCGTGCTGATCCACCCTTTCGAATATTCCCCCTTCTCTATCCTCAGCATGGTCAAGCTACGTATACCTGACACACCTCGTGCCCTCGCTCTTCACTCACGGATACGGAATGTCTGCTGGTACGCCCTGTCGAATCTAGTCTAGTTACTTATGGATGCCCTATTTCGGAGCAGATACACTCTTGCTGTGATTGGTGTACTGCTGGTCTCGGCCGCTGCAGTGATATTGGGCCTGGGAGGCACCGATCCAAGTAGAGAGATCCGGTACGGCCGCAGGTGCTTCATTGACGAACGGATACTGCCTTCCTCACAGCACTCTATATCATGGGATACCTGCCGCTCGTGGGTCTGTTCATGATGAGCTATTACAAGATCGTGACTGTGCATCCCGGAACCCCCGTCGTCAAGGTATCAGATGTGTGTGGCTGTCGGCAGCGGGCTCAGGCAGCCAAAGTTCCGGCGCCGGAGATGAGATGTGCTGCAAGCCGTGCTGCCAGTCGTCACTGACACTCATTGATGGACCGGCCTCTCTGCAGTTCTCTCTGGGTCCGCACGGTGCTCACGACGACTTTGAGCTTGAGGAGCCTGACATGCATCCTCCGCCTCTGGCCCCCAATCCCGTCGTGGGGACCGATGGCTTTGTCGAGGACGACGAGGGATTCAGCTACGAGACCGCCCCGCACGGCTCGTCGTCATACCACAATCGGTTTGGATCAGGGACCGGCATTGTCGGTGGACACGTCCCCATCTCGCAGTACGACCCCGACGACTTTATCCGCCGCGACGACGATCCGATTGCGAATCGAGACTCGATCGATCAGCCGACCTGGCGGGCTCTCGAGCTCAAACGGGACGGCTCCAAGCGATACTGCAACAAGTGCAAAATCTACAAGCCTGATCGATGCCACCACTGCTCCGCCTGCGATCAGTAAGCAGCCGCTATCAGATCCGTACATTGCATGGAAAGTGGCCCAAGGAGACACCAGCCAGAGTCGCTGACGGACCAAGTTGCTTTGTGGTCGTGCGGCCGCCTCTCTCTCTCTCTGATGTAGATGCATCCTGAAGATGGACCATCACTGCCCCTGGATCAACAACTGTGTGGGATTTCGCAACTACAAGTATTTCTGTAGGTGTCGCTTCTGTCGCCAGGGGGCTGTTCAGGCGGTGTCCAGCGGATAAAGCCCGTGAGCCGTATTGTAGTGTTGCTTTGTCAAGCCAGGGAATCGTACGATACGGAAATGCGGCGGCTGTCGCTGGCACAGGTGGCTCGCCTAACGCAAATGTCCATCCCCACACAGATCTCTTTGTCAGCTATGGGGCCCTCTACTGTATATATGTGTTCGGAACGGCCTTGGGAACATTCCTGTCGCAGCAGTCGCTCGTGAGTATGGCCTCCAACATGCAGCACAATCACTCGGCACCGAGCGACCGTTCCAGGAAGTAGCAGCAGCCGAACGCTGGACCTTCAGCGTGGAGGCGTGCAAGACCTGGATATGAACCCATCGATCCGTTGATGTGCTGCTAGTAGGGCGAGTTTTATACAGCGGTTATGCACACGACATCATCGTCCTCGACTAACAGACTCGCTACCATTGCCATGACTGCCATCATTGCCATCATTGCCATCATTGCCAGTCGATCATTGAAGTCGACTTGCAGCTCCTTTTGTTGATTATGCTCTCGGGCATCTTTGGGCTCTGCTTGCTGGGCTTTTCTGGGCTGCACACCACCTTGCTCCTCACAAACACCACCACAATTGAGTCAATCGAAGGTGCTCGGACCATCCGTCTTCCGGATGGATCGTCCGCGAGGACGGGCAAGGTCAACATCTACAATCTCGGCTGGAAGAAGAACGCCTCGCAGGTCATGGGTCAGCGGGGTTGGTGGAGCTGGCTTCTGCCTGTGTCCGATGAGTAAGTGCACTCAGCAGTATTCAGGCGCAAGGAATTGACGCTCCTGCTGCCGGGGCTGTGCATGGTGCGTGGTGCATGAGGTGCGCGAAGTGGATTGTGCTCTGACCCTATTATACTATCGACCGTAGATTTGGCGACGGCCATTCATTCGAGATCAACCAAAGCGCCTACACGAAGATTCAAGGGGGTGTGTAGAGGCCATGCCCATCTGGCGCGCCAAAGCACCATGTTTCTCCCCCTCCCTTCTCATCATTGGCCAGTCGCCGTCACGTCGCAAATGCTAGACAGCAATCGCGCATTCTTGTCATCATTCCAATTCTTATGGCCTCCGCTGTATTCAAGCAAATACAATCAACTAATGTGTGTGGACGCGACAAGTCTCACAAGGCGCATCCGCTTTGGATGTAGTCTGGGCATCAGCTGGTGGCCGGTCATCAATGCTTGCTAATCGAGGGATCTTGGTTGATGCGGCGGGCGATGAAGCCGGACTACTGACAAGACGAGAGGCCATGCGCATCCAAAGCGGCATCAGTACCGGAGAAGGCGGCTGTGCCTCCATATGGAGGTCGCTGCTCCTAGCACTGCAAACGAGAGCAGTGCCATGCATGTCTCTACGATCAGTACCGTTGACCATAGGATACTTACAGGAAGCCTATCTTATGGCTGGCGAAGTGCGGTGTTTTACCATTTGCCATTGGCGTCATCTGCGTTTCCTTGGCTTTGCTCCGGGCTGGCGCTAGAGGGGAGGATTTGTCAGATAGCCAGGAACAGTAACACCCAAAGGCAAATAGCCCATCGTTAGTCCATTCGAGGAGCGAATGACACACATGGTCAGCATCCGTGTCAGTCCCCAGCGCATCCAGAGACTCGCCGCAGACACTTACCCGCGGCGGTTGCGGTTGCGCTCCTCGTCGGATGGGGGATCGACGGACATGTCGCGCTTGCGATCCCCCTCAGGGGTGCGATCCTTGTTGTCGCTCATCCTTCGATCATCCTGGCGGTCCTTGTCGCGGCGCTCACGGCGCGGGGATCTCGAGCGAGATCGGGAGCGGGATTTGGATTTGGATTTGGGTTGGTCGCCTCTGCGTTCTGGCTCACGGCGGTCGCGCGACGGGCTGCGGCGAGATCGACGGGCCGACGAGTTGGAGTCGTCATCATCTTTCCTGTAGATTCGGATTGCGCCAGGGGGGTGGGACGGGAGAGATGGCGGCGGCGGTAGGTTTGGGATACGTCAGGAGCAGATCCGGAGCAGCAGCATGGAAGGAGGAGGTAGCCGGCACGGTCTGATTCGTTTTTCGATGTCTCCGGCAGGCGCGGGGCCAACTTGCTCAATGTAGAAGTAAAGGTATCCAACTCTGCCAAGCGAATGCGGCAGGGGAGGCACAATTGCGATCATGGCCTCAAGGGAGCGGATGTGGCAGGACGAACGGCGACAGGCGGACTGGCAAATGGTCGAATAGTCGAGTCCAGCGAGGGCACGTCATAAGCATTATCCATCCAACAGAGCAGAGAGCGACACTGTCTTTGCAGGTCCATGCCCAGCAAGATTCAGAGACAGCCGGGCGCGGCGGAGGGGGCGGCGAGGCGTATTACCTGCGGCGGGGCGATTGGCTGCGTTCGTAGTGCAAGCGAGTCAAGGAGGCACATAGACACACAGGGTCCCAAATGTCCGCAGGTTAGTTCCACCACCCAGGGATGGCGACCAAGACCGAGCCTCTGACGTACTCTCACGGCATCGACTTGCCAACCGATACAAACCTGCGACGGCTGCGGTTGCGGTCATCGTTGCGCTCGCTGTCGCGATCATCGTTGCGACGATCTCTGTCTCTGTCTCGAGTTCGGTCACGATCTGCATCTCGGTCTCTGTCTCTGTCTCGAGCGCGATCTCTATCCCTGTCCCTGTCTCGGGCACGATCACGATCACGATCACGGTCACGATCGCGGTCTCTATCACGGTCTCGATCTCGGTCGCTGCCACGATCGCGATCGCGATCTCTGTTTCGATCGCGGTTTCGGTCAGAATCCCGTTGGTTGCGGTCTCTGCGAGCGAAGATGGATTAGAAGGCCATGGGTGAGCACTTTGTCGGGATGCGTGACACTTCAGCCACCCGCCGGACAAATAGCTGGTTTGGGGGGCGCTCTCGATGGATTGCAATCTGTACTGGATGCAGTGACGATGTCAGAAGGACAACTTACCCTCCGGATTCGGGACAGTCGCGGGCCCAGTGACCTAGAACGCAAGTTGCAAGTTGAGCGGGACAGGAGGACCTCGACATCGGGGGTAGTTGTTCGACAGGTGCACTGGTACTCTGATGCTATTCCGGCGGCTACTTCCATCGGCAGAGAGTCGGTGATGGTAGACATGCTGTCCTGCAAGGGGACGAGCAGCGAGCTGCTTGACGACACAAACCTTCTCGGTGGCACTGGAAGTGGGACGTAGATTCATACCACCTGTCAACAACGCCTCGCGCTCAGCAACGGAAATGACGATGCATTCAGCACGGACGCCTACCTTGAAGCATTCGTTATCACTGGCACGGCGAGCAGCGCCGCCCTTGACCCACTCGACGACAATGCGCATGCCATTGATCTAAGGGCCAAAGTGCGGTCAGTAGTGCCCGGGTTGAGCACAGTCTGAGAGCGGGACTGCCGGCTCAACAGCTGGTCGGACATGATTGGACTGATACTTACGGACTTTCCATCGGTTCCATTCTTTGCGTCTTCCGCATCACGCTTCTCCTCAAACTCGACAAAGGCATAGTTGAACTGGGAATCAAGGCACGACAGCATGAATCTTCACTTGCCACGGCGGGTCACGGACGGAAATCTGCCGGCCGGCAACAACTCAGCCCTGCAATACTAACCGAGTGGCCCTGCTTGATCTCGCAGCTGGAAGTAGAACGTCGTCACAGACAGGCCACCGAAACAGACGGCAGACCGCCGCAGAGCAGAGTTGGTCAGAGACCTTGACGAGCCCGCAGAACGCGGAGCCGATTCTGGCTGGTGCCCAAAACCGGCTGACGCTTGCGGTCAAATGAAACACCGCCAAGCGATCGTTGCCAGAACGCTTCCCAACGGTGCTTCCCGGCAGTGCTTCCCGGCAGTGCTTCCCAACGGTGCTTCCCAACGGTGCGCCCTCACGGAACCAAGTGCACCCCCGTCTTACCGCGAGAGTTTGCCATAGGGGGTATAGAGATCCTCCAGCTCCCTCTGGCGGAGGCCTGAAATAAAACAGTGGCAGGGTAAAAGATCAAGCCAGGGGCTCAAGAGATACGAGATAGATGCAGCTGCCCAGGGCATTGCTCTGGCTGCTCGGTGGGCCGCTTGCCATGGGCCGTGATGTGTTGCTGGCAGACCAGCGCTTCCGGGGAGGGTGCATCGTTCCAAGCCCAGAAGCCGGACAGCGAATCAAGATCTGCCTCGGGCAAGAGGCGAGTCGCCGTGACAGACAAGCTGAGGACAACGCACCAGAGGGCAGGCGGCCAATAAAGAGTGCCATCGACAGCGGTGTCCTTGCGTCCAGCGAGTGCTGCAAATAGCCGGTCAGGGAAGCTTGATCAGCTCCAACCTGGTTGGGGTGCCTTCCTCCAGACCCAACGGCCTTTGGGCAGAACAACCGCACACACACACGGCCCCATCTTCTCGCCGCCTTCTCGCCGCGCGTGGCTTCTCGGTCGCTGAGTCGCTGCGCCACATCTGGGCTGGGTGTTCGCTGGGATCATCCCGCCAGCCAACAGCACAACTGTCTCGAACGATTGCCTCGAACGATTGTCTCGAACGATTGCCTCAAACGATTGTCTTGAACACCTGTCTTGAAAGAGGTCCATCGATGCAACCGCCTGCCCTGCGAAACAGGGCCGTCCATGCGCATCTCTCCGGCAGCTTTCGCTCGTGAATCACTCGGGGCTGGGCTGCCGCTCAACAGGGACTGCAGACAGCAATCGACCCAGAGCACGACAATCAAGGATGCAATGTTTATTGTGCTATCGCCGATCGAACGTCCGAGCCTGGGTATCGCGTCGACCCAGGTGTTCATGACCAATATCCCACCGCAGCGCGGTCATGACCGGCCAGGTCCTGCCACACTTCTGCTCGCTTGATCTGGGCGATGCTCCGCAGCAGCCCAAGTGTCTCTTGTGACTGGTCGCATCCATTGATCTCCAGGGCAATCGCCGGCGTCGGCCCTGGGTTGTGGGCTTCGAGAGTGTGCTCGGTTGGTATCAGACGGATGGACTCTTGGTTGATGTGCTTGACGATGGTGCGGATCAGCTCCAAGCCGTCTCCGCCAGACTCGAGCGCCACCGCATCCTCCCAGTCCTTGACGCTTGCCGCTAGCCTTTGATACTGCATTCGCGGAATGTAGGGAGGATTTGCGACAAGGATATGATACCCTTCTGGATGAAGTGCCCTGGCGAGCTGGTGAGGATCGGTGAGATCGGCTTGGTGGAACTCGGCATTTCCGATTCCAAGCCGACGCTGATTGATTCGGGCCAGAGCGATCGCCCGCGCGGATATGTCGATGCCGGTGACCGAGAACTGCGGCTGGCTGTGGGGTTGCGATGGCAGCGGTTGTCCGTTGAGATGATGGGCCAGGGCCAGGGCAATGCAGCCGCTCCCGGAGCAGAGATCGAGGATACGAATGGGATGCCGTCGATCAGGCTGATACAGAAGGCTCTTGCGGATCTGTGTGATCAGCCGCTCCACCCATTCTTCTGTTTCCCACCTGGGGATCAGCGTCGGCGGACGCACGGTAATGTCGAGCCCCAAAAACGGCTGTGAGCGAAGGAGATATTGCAGCGGCTTGTGGCTTCTGGATCGGAGCTCGGCCCAGCGATCCAGTCGTCGTCTTTCGGCCCGATCCAGTCCAGAGTAAGCCCTGACGAGGGCCTCCTCGCTGCCGTGCAGTGTCGAGAGCAACTCGAGAGCGTCGGCGGCTTTGGCCGTCCTGGGCAAACGAGAGGCGGCCGTCTTCCGGGGAAAGTGGTGCGATGGCCGGATGCGCCGCTGAAGCAACTCCTCGATGCACCAGCGAAGCTCAGACGATGCTTCGGCATCGCTGCCTGCAGCCATGCGGAACTGGAGCACCAGCGCCGCAACAGCCTGTCTTGTTGTCGCCATGGTCTTGGGTAGCAAGTGCTGCGGGTGATTGTGCGGGCTGGGACGAGACAGATCCGAAGCAAGATCAAAAGTCGTCGCGCACGGCTTTTGGGTTTCGACAGGGCTCTGGCGGCCTCAGGAGTACCATGACATGTAAACCCACGGAGCCATCCAAAGTTCCAGTATATACACCACCCCTGCACTGCGACTTGAATGCTTGTCGATCATCGCTGCAGGAGATCAGCCAGATGCTCAAGACGATGCCCCCGAAATCAACGAACCCCACTGGAACCGATCGCACGGCTGCAAATCCACAACAGTCCACAGCTGGTCGATCAGCAGGCTTCTGGGTTCTGGTGCCAGAGAAAAAGGGACACTTCCGTTTGTTTGTTTTTTTCTGGAACAAGCTGTATGCAAGTGTGCCCATTCGATTGGGACAAAGCACGGCACCAATATTACAACCCAACCGCAACCGATCTCATGACGGGGCGATCCGACCATAAGCGATATAATGCAAAGCCCTATCCGTATAGGCCAATGTAGGCGACTTGGATCAACTCTCTCTGGCCGTGGCTGCTTCTCGGCTTTGAGTTACTTTGACATGGGAACCAGCTCCGGCCCAAAGTACTTGCCGATCATCTCATCAAAGCCAATGTCGTGGTTGACCAGGTCCCTATAGAGCTCCATGAGGTCATCGCTCAGAATGCTGTTGATGATGGGCCCAGACTCGGCGCTTCGAAGCAGCGAGGCCGCCTCGGGGGTTCGGCTGAGGCGCTTGAGGCTACACTGGAGCTGCGTATGCATACGCATTGACTTGTAGTAGACCCGCTGCTGCCGAACAGCCAGAGCCGCCAGATCAGGCGGCAAATCCACATGCCGGGAGACCGATGGTCTGATTGCGGGCATCGACTCGCCCGTCAAGGACGCATCGCTCGGCTTGCGTGTGCTCATGTACTGCTCCAGCTCGATTTCGACGTTGGCCGTGCCTTGCTTGAAGATGTTCTCTGTCGACGATCGGGTGCTGGCGGCGGGCTGGATTTTCGGCGATTCGGCCGAGCTCGAGTCGTCGCTGTCCTTCCGCTTCGAAAACCAGCCACTGCGGATGGCATTTCGGAAGGTCTTGAGGCCCTTTCGGGCCTTCTCCATTACCAGCTCTCCCTTGGCGACATCGAGCTTTGACCCGACCGACGCTATCCGATGGCTGCGGTCACCCTCGGGGCCCTCGGCTTTTGCGGCACCAAAGCTTGACCTGAATGCCCAGTTACCGACGCTGCTTCTGGCACCCACTAAGCTCTCGAATGTTCCTGAGCCAGGCTGAGATCGAGCTGGGTGCTGGTCGGGATGGCTGGGGCCGCTGTCCTCTGTGTCTCGGTCCCAGCCATACACAGCACTCTCGCCGTTCTGAATGACTTGCTTCAGCAGCTGCTGAATGCCGACAACGAGGGTGACTGCATCATTGACGGTCGAGCCGATGCCGACCGCCGGAGAGCTTTTGCATCGATGTGATGCGATGGTTGGCGACGGCACCAGCTCCGCCGTCTGCGTGCTCGTACCTGCCGGGCTGTACTCGGGAATGCGGATGCGAGCGATGTTGGAATCGACGCTTCCCTTGCGATCGCGAGCAAGCAGGCCGATCTTGGTGTTGAACGGGGTGGCCAGTGGCTCGCCGCCTGAAGCCTTGGTGCCCCAGATGCTTGTTTGGTGCGAACGGGGTGCTGGTGCTTCGGCTTCGGGCGATGTTGGCCGTGATCGGGCCGAACACGACGGCCACAGACTCCTATGGTTGTTGCCCGAGACTATGATGGCATTCGGATCCAGGCCGGCTGTCACCGAAAGTGGCACGCTGTGATCCGCCGGATCGTCCAGGTAGTTCTGGACAATGTCATCGTAGTCGTTGGGCGACGAGGAAATGCTGGTCCACGAGCAGCGCCTGGGAGCAACTGAGGGCATGTGGATGGCTGGGAGACTTGGACGCCTTGTACCGGAGCTGCGGGGCCCGGCTTCATCGAGGGCCCTGAGATCGTGGTAGTGGCTATCGTCCCGGGCCGGAATCGAGAGACCGAGCTGTCCACGTACATCTGCCCGGTAGTTGCGCGGAAGCGACGACTTGCGCGGAGCCAGGACGTGGTAGTTGCCTTCTGGCGGTTTGGGGACGACGGTGGGTTGGGCAGCAAGATGGACAGGCGGCGCAATGATGGATTTGCCGTCTGGGGCGACGATGGGAACTTGCTGGCTGATCCAGGCTTGCAGCTGGCGGCCGGACTGCCCGCCATACTGCATGACTGAAGCTGGTGGCATGGAGCGGGTGTTGGGTATGGCCGTGGGAGCGGGAGGAAGGGCCGGTAGCGGCAGACTGGGTGGTCTTGACGAGCGCTTGGCCATGATGGAGATGGAGATGCCTGTTGCAGAAGGGGCTGCCGAGGATTGTTGTCGCCGGGTGTGGCCAGACGATGCGCTTTCGACGGGCTTTCTGTCAGCGAGCCGGAAGGATCTTGCTCGGCAAAGGAGCGCTCTGGAGACGACGAGGAGGCCGGATCGGACCAAAAGCAGGGTCGGCAGCGGCAATAGAGGTTGCGGCATCCCCAGGACAAGAACCCGCTTGGGCGGGAGGTGCCGCGATATATATGCTTGACTCGACACAGCGGAGAGACTCATGACCGGAGGGAGAGGGAGGCCGGATCGGCTTGGTCGCTGTCCCAGTCCCGTTGCTGTTGGAAGGGGCCAAGGCAACCCGCGGGACTCCCCTCTCGCTGCCCAGCTCCCAACGAAACCATCCGAGGCGGGGCGGACCTCTGTCCCCCAGAAGCAGCAGACCCACCGAGCAGATCGGCATCAGTCACTCAACAAACAGGGCGAGGATGTTGGGGAGGGAAGTAGTGAAAGGATGCCGGGTCGAGGATTGCTGCCGGGTCGGGGATTGCTGCCGAGGCATCATGCAACCCAGATAACAGCTGATCGCAGAACGGATGCTCTTGCGTTTGAGTGATCCCATAATCCGCACCGGCATGCAATAGATATGATGCTCGTATGAAGGGTTATGGTTGCGTGTGTGGGGGAGATCCAGAGGAGGCAGCAGTGACTGGAGCAAGAGGGAAGCGAGACAAGCGGCACCAGCAACCTCCGCTGCTTTCCCAGCCCGAGGAGAGTGCCCGATGGAGTGCACCCGAGGAAAGCATACCCCATCCACAAGAGCAGATTGCGCTCGGCAGTTGACCGCCGTCGCAGGTTGCTGCTGACCATCCCTTGCCCCTTGCCCCCTTGCCTCTTGCGTCCAGCTGCCATCTCCCTCCCCCTCCCGGCATGGTGGTCGCCTGGAGACACAATCAAGCAGGATGAGGATCCCATGCCGTCGCCCCAAGAGCGGTCGAGGTGCGGTTCTCGATCGAGCAGCCTTCACAGTCGCTGCACTGCGTCCCAGAGGGTAGGTCCATGGATGTGCAGCGCCGTATCCGCCGCGATCACGATCTCGAATCATGGTCATGACCTCGGGCACGAATCATGAGCAAGATCACGAATCATGAGCACGAATCATGGGCAGGGTCACGAATCAAGGCCACAGCAACGCTCTAAATTGGCTGGGATACAGGTGTATTTTCCCCAGGACATCTCGATACTGCGATCGGACTGTTCGGATGAGCAGACAACAAAACCATTCGTTCGTATGCGGGCTGGGTTGGATCGGGGCTCAGTTGGTCTTCTGAGCCTTGGCCTTGAGCTGCTTGTAGTCGCCGGTGATGGGGACGGCAAACTTCATGATCTCGCCAAAGAGCGACCAATCCAGGACCTTGAGGATGAGCTTGGTGGTGACGCCAAAGTAGCCGTCGTCGACAAGGGTAAAGTAGCCGGCGTTTCGGCAGATGGCATCCGAGATGACCGAGGGGCTTGCGGCAGTCTTCTTGAAGAGCACGACGATATCCAGAGCTGCGGTGTAACAGCAATCGGTTGGTTAGCTCGGAATGCAGATTATCGAATGCAGCCAGGCGAGTGGAAGAAAACATACAGGAGTTCTTGTAGAAGTTGGAGGCGATCGGGCTCGGGTGGACGACCATAACATCAACGCCCTCGGGGCGGAGCTCGGCGGCCAGAGCAGCACCCAGGTTCTGGAAGGTGCGGGCAGTGGGGAGGCGGGATGAGATGGGGGGGGGACGGTTAGCAGGCAGTTCTTTGCGGACAGGATTGTCCGTGCTCGCAGTCCATGGTGCCGAATGAGTACACTTACCGTCAGGAAGACTTTGGTGGGGCCATACATGGAGGTCAAGGGCGTGGGCAAATAGGCGGCGCCAGAGCTGGTGAAGCAGATGAAGCCTTTGAGCTTCTTGGCAATGAGCTTGCGAGAAAAGTGGTGGGCGATCTTGATCGAGGCGGTGGCGTTGGTGTTGTAGTTGGCCAGGACGGTTTCAAGGGGGGTCTCGGCAAAGAAGGAGGTCACGATGTAGCCTGTCGATGGCAGAGGATCAGGCTTGCATGCCGAATCTACTGTGCGGATGCACACAGGGCAGGGCACAGGTTCGGTGTCGCTTGACCCGAACCGCTACTGCCACCAGCGTAGCTGTATGGCTCATGCTACCAGGCTCGTACCGGCATTGCTGAAGATCAGCTGGATGTCCAACCCGTCGGTAGCCTTGATGACGCCATCCATGAATCCATCCTTGGAAAGATCGGCCTCGACAGCAATGAACTTGCGCTGCGGAAAGTCACGCTGGAGCTCGGTCATGGCTTGCTTCAAGAGTTCGTTCGGAAGCGCAACGATGACGACATTGATGCCCTGCTCGGCGCAGCGGCGGGCAATAGCCAGGCCGATACCCGAGGAGCCACCTGACAAGAAACGGACGACAACGAGACGGCGTTGAGAACTCAAGCTCCCTGCTGAGTGCGGGATCAAGCGCCTGTGCGGGATGGCGAGGATGGGCGGCGCCTACCAGTGACGAGGGCCCACTCGGCATTGTACTTTTTCTTCAGGTTCTGCACGGGCAAGTACAGAGAGATCACAAACGGGACCAGGAACGTGGCCAGCGAGCACACTGCGACCCAGGCAAAGATAGTTCCAATCATGGCGGCAGCGGGTGATGAGAGAGGCAGCGCAGGCGAAAGTTGGGCTGCAGGGGTGAACGAGGGACCAGATCGCGAAAAGCCAGCCAGCCCAACCCGGTCTTCTCGCTCGTGTGCCATGCGAGGAGGTCGTCACCGCGTCAACAACACGGCAGCTCGCTGCAGATGTACCATCTCCCGTGCCCTGATCGGCCGAGTGGTATGAATGCATCCCTCCGTTGCGAGCGGGGTATCGCTGCCGGGGGGTATCGACACGGCGGTTCGATTGCGGCCTGGAGGGAGGGGAACTGCATTCCCGCTCTCTCTCTCTCTCTCTCTCCATCCACGTGCCAGCGCATCTCCTTCCTTTTGTGGAACCCATGTCTGCCCGATCGGGTCATATTGCGCAGTCGCCCAGCCACAGTCCGCCCTGTGTTTCAATGCCGTCTTGGTCCTGGTCCTGGCCAATGTCTTTCACCCCATCCAGTCCTCCGTCGAAATGACCCACAGTCCAGAGCCCAGCAAGCGCGAGCACGAGGAGCTGCAGTATCTCCGGCTCGTCCAGCAGATCATCAACGAAGGCGCCCACAGAGCCGATCGCACGGGCACGGGCACTCTCTCCCTTTTCGCCCCGCCGCAGCTGCGGTTCTCCCTGTCGGAAAACACATTCCCGCTCCTGACCACCAAGCGGGTCGCCGTGCGTGCTGTCATCGAGGAGTTGTTTTGGTTCCTCCAGGGCCGGACCGACAGCAACCTGCTTTCCGAGAAGGGCATCAAGATCTGGGATGGCAACGGCTCCCGCGAGTTCCTCGATCGGGTCGGTCTGGCCCACCGCCGTGTCGGGGACTTGGGCCCTGTCTACGGCTTCCAGTGGAGACACTTTGGCGCCGAATACAAGACCGCTGACGACGACTACGCCGGCAAGGGCGTCGACCAGCTGCGCGAAGTGATATCGGCCATCCGCAACAACCCCTATGATCGCCGCATCATCTTGACTGCCTGGAATCCCGCTGCTCTCAAGGACATGGCCCTGCCGCCCTGCCACATGATGTGCCAGTTCTACGTATCCACACCAACCGAGCGCGACCCCATCCCGACGCTTTCCTGCCAGCTTTACCAGCGCTCTTGCGATATGGGCCTCGGTGTCCCCTTCAACATTGCCTCGTATGCCCTGCTCACAATCCTGATTGCCCACGTCACGGGCCTGAAGCCCGGCACCTTTGTCCACTGTCTTGGCGACGCACATGTCTATCTGGATCACGTCGATGCACTCAAGGAGCAGCTCGCCCGTGTGCCCCGGCCATTCCCGAAGCTGTACATCAAGGACCTCAAGAACGAGTATTCGTCCGTGTCGGAGCAAGAAGAGCTTCTCCGGCGACGACAGCGCTCCGTCGATGAGATGCTGGCGGAAATCGAGAGCTTCACCCTGGAGCATATCGAGATCTTTGGCTACGAGCCGCACAAGAAGATTGCCATGAACATGTCTGTGTGATTACCGGCGGGCTACACAGGTTCTACCTAATAAAGAAGCGGCAGCTTCTGACCTGCCCATGCTGCTGGGCACATCGGCGCCCCGACTCCCATCCTGCTGGAGAGCGAGCTGGCTCTGTGATTGAAGCAGCCCGTGGGATTGTATTTGATCGCTGGTCGCAGCTGTTTCTCGAGCAGCATAAGGGCCAACAGATGGCGACTCTCGAGCAGCCGGCGATGACGACGCTGCACGGGCTGGGGGTGGGCACGCTGCATCGCAGCATGGCGACATCGACGGGTGAGGGAGCGAGGGGGGGTTCGGCTTGGCTCTTCGCAACAGGCGGTTCGTTCAAGCTCTCTCTCCGTCAATGTTGCGTGTCGCCTTTGTCCGCTCGATCGCAGACCGATCCCTCAAGACCATCCTGCAGCCACCGGCCGCCAGAAAACTCACCAGCAGCATGTCCGCGCCCCAGTATATCGATGCAAGTGAACTCGTCAAGGATATCCGCAATCCAGCCCTCAGAAGCGGCGTCGACTATCTCGTCGTCGATGTCCGGGATGAGGACTTCAAGGTATCGCGGACCTCGCCGGCTTGCATATCGATGTTGTTAGGTGTGGGGCAATGCTCCAGGGCGACCAAGGCGCTCAAAGAGGCGATCGCCTGACAATGCTGCCGCTCGAACAGTTCGGCAACATCCCAAATGCCCTGAATGTGCCAGCACACGAGTTCCTCGAGACTGTGCCGTCGCAGATCGAGCGGCTCAATAGCGCCAAGAAGCTTGTTTTCCATTGTGCTCTCTCGCAAGGTACGTGAGGCCCAGTCCGGCTCGATGGTGCTTGCTCCAGAAAGGATGCGGTCGATTACCGACGGCGAGGAAAATGCCACTGGGAGAGGATTGTGTGGGACATTGGTCTCGGTATCCCAAAGGCCATTGACGATTCCGGCATGTCGGCCGACTGACCCAAATCTTTGCTCCAACTCAACCGCCCCCTGGCTTGCTCGCGCTGCTGCCGGTCGACACCCAGTTCGTGGGCCAAAGTGCGCCGGCCGTTACCGAACAGCTCTCAATGCCGCCGTCCAGGAGGGTACGGCGAAGGAGCAAGAGGTCGTCATCTTGCGCGGCGGCTTTGAAAACTGGGTCCACCAGCACCAAAAGGAGCCGGATCTTGTTGAAAACTACAACGCCAAGTACTGGGCCGATCCTTACTAGATCTAGTGCGGCAAATTGATCTTGTGCGGCAAATTGATCTTGTGCACAACATCATGCCACATCTCTGTAGTAATTGCGGGCCTGAAGCTCGATGATCTGTAGACCGTACGATTCCAGCCGTGTGATTGCTTTCGTTGTGGAGCTGAGGGGCGTACTATTGAATACAGCCGGTCGATCTCCATGATCTCCACGATCTCCATTCACGGTGTGGTTGTCAATCAGAGATGGCTCTGGTCCACCCCAGCCGCTCCGTCGACATGGTCATCGCGATCGTCGCTGTTCCGCTGACTCGGCTCGGAGTTCCAACCCAAAACTTCAGGCGGCACAGCGTTCAGCCGCACCAAAAGATCGTCGGGATCGGGAGTGCTTATGCCGACTGTGCTGAGGCCGTCGATCAGTGCTCGGAAGAAGAGCTGCCTGCGAGCATGAAGCAGATGCATTTCCACGCCATTGTGCTTGTGCGGTATTGTAACGGAGAGTTGGAGACTGTCCAGGCATACCGGATCAACAGTCAGGACCCGGTCAGTCAGTCAGTCAGTCAGTCAGTCAGTCAATCAGCAGCCAGCGACCTGCGTCGCACTCAGAACCGGCGGGCAGGATTTGAACCATCCCGGCTGAATGCGACGGGCTCCGGTGGATTCAAGCCACGAAGGATGTGCTGCAGTGTGGGAACGGGTGCTCGGCAGCTATACCTATACTTTGACAGAATCTGGACAAGATGGAAGTTGATGCTGGGATTAAACTCGCGCCCGTTGTCTTCGACAAAGGCAATCATATACTTTTGCAGTTCGGCGACCTGAGCCCGAGTCGTGGTGAAGTCCACCTGAAATTTGACGTCCTCGGTGATGGCGCCTGACCGGCGAATGTTGGATATCTTTTGCTTCGATAGCGCCGCATTGGAGACGTAGACTTCCTTGCCGTCCTGGCGCTTGAGATTGGCCTGCATGATTCTGTATCCAAGTGCAGAGGCCAGTGCCGATCGGACCATGTTCAAGAGACTTGCTTCAGCACAGAATTGCAGAGCCATTGAGCGGTTGGCTCAACGGCGCTCGTTGTCGGCAACAGAGATGTCCCCGGGGAGCTCACCTACACTCCTTGACATAGTATCGCTGCCCTTGCACCTCGATCAGATCTCCAGAGTCGAAGGGATGCGAAAAGAAGAGAAAGAGGATGTTCTCGACGGCATTGGTGATGATGCCGCTGATGGCAAACAGCGTACCGAGCCACACGGCGGCGATCGCTGTCATGAATGAACTGATGTCGATGTTCCAAATCCCAACCGACACGAGCAGCACAATGATGTAGACGATCGACATGACCATGTTATCGAGTTTGCCTGGTCGGGGGGGGGTTCATGGTGAATGGATGGAGTCAGCGGGTCATAGTGTCGCTTCTCTGTCGCCACTCCGCCACAAATCTGTCATGAAGCCGTCGTCGCTCTGTCCTTGCGCTTATCGCCCGTCAGCACGCCAGCCTACCAACTGTCGATCCAGTGTCGCGGAGACTGATCTCGAGTGAGTTGCGCTCCTCAAAGAACTTGATGACTGCCGCTCGGAACTCCCGCATCGTCAAGTCGCCATTCCCGTCGGCATCAAAGATCGAAAATGCCTCGGCGGCTTCCTCGGCAGTGTCGAAATACGGCTCAAAGTCTGATACGGTGAGGATCATCGACCTTTTATCCTTTCGCAAGGCAGTCCACATGCCCTTGGCCAAGGCCACGGCTTCCTTCCGAGACTGAACCATGATAGACTCGCCTGCGATCTGGACATCCATCCCAAGCGTCGTGCCCACGAGTCGACTGACCAGTCCACCCACGTCTTTGGCCCAATACTTGGCCGTCCGTATCTTGGACTCGATTTGTCGGAGAGCGGCCGCCTGGAACTTGACTGGCGACTTTGCTTCGTTCGGTGCCGCTTCTCCGGGCTTCTGGCCGTTGGTAACGCGATTGAGCTTGTGGTGCAGGCGGGCGTTGTTGAGATGCTCCATGATGGCGTGTTTGTGTCTGTACTTTGCGATGCGATCTTGATATGTGCTTTTGTGGAAGCTGAGCTGAAAGCACCGGCAGCAGACGGCGGGTGAGTTCAAGTGCACAGGAGCGGACAGGCATGAGTGACGGGCTGCCCTGCAAGAACTGCCAATCGGCATCGACACAGCCAGTTGCTGGGAGCATGTCCGGGAGAATCGCCGTGACGAAACCAGGGCAGGCGGTGATCCTCGGGCACAGCTTGTCGGTGCGATTCACTTACCGAAAAGATCTGCATCACCAGTCGCTCTGCACCAAGCATGATGGCGTAAAACAGCAGACAGAGCAAGAGTTTGTGGACGACGACCTGCCAGGGCAGCCGAGCGAGCTGTGAGATATTGTTGGTTTGGGTCGAGTTGGTGTTGTTGGCGGTCGTGTTGCTGTTCAGAGTGGTTCCGTTGGTGCCGATGCTACTGTTGGTACTGGCGGTGCCGTTGGTGCTAACGCTGACGCTGTTTCCACCGTTGAAGGCAAAGGGATTCGACGTCGTTCCTCCGGTAAAGGTGTTGTCGAACATGACCAGGGTGATGATTGCGAAGGCGAAAAAGGTCACATACGGCTTCATGAACCGCATGTAGTCAAAGACGGTGTGCACCTCCGGGTTGTTGTCTCCGACAAGGATATCGTAAAGCTTGGACAGAATCTCGGGCACCACCGCGGCTCCATAAGTGAGGAGCCAGTACACGGCCCAGAGAATACAAAAGAATATGGACCAGACAAACAGCGCAGTTCCGCCGATGGACCACGGCGAGTTGATGGAGCGCAGCTCCGAATACGATGTCATGTTGCCGAGATTGAAGACCTGGAGATCGGCCTGCACCGTCGTCGAGGCCCGCAGATTTACCAAATAGTCCACCAGAGCCGGAATTCCCAGGAGAGCAATGCCAAAGATGCCGTAGAGAATGAAGCGCGGGCCCATCGGAAGCTTCTGCATGCATCGTTTGTACTTTTGATACACATGGCTGGCATCGAGAGGAACAAACCCATCAGAAGCATAGTCAGAGACTCGTATCCAACGAGGATGGTTTTCTTGGTAACCGGCGGTATCGATGGCATGCGATGCGAGTTGCCTACCCTCTCTTCTTGGAGATACTGAAGACGCTCTCACGGTCGTTGAAGACATGCCACTCAAACGGGCTGTCCATCTCCAGATGGGGCGACAGCTCGGGCATTTCCTTGCTGCTGCTTAGCTCGGTCTCAGTCTGCGACGTCCGCACCTCACCACTTGCAGCATCGCGCGGCGCAATCGGATCGTCGATCGACACGATCGAGTCAGGACCGATCATGCGAGCGGCACCGCTGTCGGATCGCTCGACAGCAACCGAGTCGGCGAAGCCCACGGATTTTTTCGTCGATCGCGGAACCGAGATCCTCAGGTTTTGTGGGTTTCTGTCTCTGGCCAGCGAGATGCGTCGCCCGTCCTGAGGGACCGCCGATGCGTCGTTGGCATCGACGCTGTCGCTGGATGTATTGGTGGAATCGATGAGAGCGCTTCGCGAATTCATGACGCAAATCTGAGTGTACAGACAACGATGCTGGCTCAAGCGCACACATCGTGGACGATGACGACGGCGGATACAGATCGACGGCTCAGCAGCGGATGGCGGGAACATTGGGATCCGAGCCCGCCATTTGTCAGGGCCGAGGGTACTTCCGAATGGACTACTGTATGTTTGGGTCCTGAATCAACACCCTGGATGCCTTGGACACACTGAGCTGATCGGATGCATTGAATGAGCATGTATATTCAGGGTCAAGAGCGGAAAGATACAGGGCAGCTGGGAGTCGTAAAAGATAGCCTGCGAGGGCTGCAAGTATGCGAATGTCCTTTAGCACGACACATTGCCTGAAAGACTGCTGTCCTCAGAGTCGACGGTGATTTGGCCGATAGACCCGGGCGGCACGACGAGGCGGACTGTTGTCTGAATCTCCAGGATGGCGACGGTCGAGCCTCCGCCGCTCTGGCTCGAGAGGCAGCTTGGAGACGGCGGTATCGGATAGGCGACCGATCGCATGTACTCGCTTCCGGCAACGGGTCCGGCAAAGACTTGAATCTTAGAGCCGTGTCGAGATGTTCCTCTGAATCTGTGGGACTGAATCTGTGGGACTGAATCAGATAGGCCAAGCCGCCTGGAGGGAGCTCGACGAAACCTCGGACTTGGATCTGCGGTGCTGTCAGATACCAGCCCGATGGAACCGCAAGAGAGATGGCGATATTGCAGGAGCTTGTGGCATCGGCGATACTGGCATTGACATCGGCATGGGCGATGAGCGAGTCAAAGATCAGGGTAAATCCAGTACTACTGCCGAACGAGGTGTGGCCGACGGAGCCGCCAGGGCATCCAACTCCGTCGTAGGTGATGTTGAGAACCTGGGCACCGGAAGGCACATAGGGAAGGGCTTGGGCGGACCGGTGGGTGAAGCAGGCGAGAAGAGCAGTCACGATGGCGAGCAACTTCATTTCGATTGTTGAGTGCTGGGAAATCGAGCTGTCGGCGATGGAGGGCCGATCTCCTCACCGGGACTTTTGATATATACTGCTCAAGGCCATGTCTTGAGCCCCTTGCCGTTGTTTGGGGATCGGTAGCTATGCGGGGGGGGGGGCAGGAAAAGGCCCTGTTGGCAAGCCAGACGCAGACCTGGCTTTCAGGGTCCGGCATGCTGGACGGACTGGATTGGCATGGAGTGCGGCACCTCACCGTCCGGGCATCCGCTTCCCGTGGGCCTGAACCAGGCACGGCACTCTCTTCTGCATCCTGAATACACCCACCCACATTGCAATCATGACCAGGCAGCGTGTCCAAAGCGACCGACGCTGTGGCTGCCTCTGGTAATGCCCCTGGAAGGAGTATCCATTGAAACCACGGAGAATCTAACTGTCTTGACGGCGAGACCCACGGACCTGCCCAAAGGATCGAATGTATGCTGTATTTGAAGACGGTGCTCCCAGACCACCAACAGGCGGTGGTTGATGCGAAGGACACAATGGAAACTGTCCCGTTTACTCTGAACATGCTCCATCACTCTTGCTTCGAGAGTCAGGTGCTCAGCATTGGTTCCAGTTTAGTCCAAACACTTGCGTAACTTTCCCGTCTGTAGAATCGGTGGTGATCAGGCCAGAGTCCCCCGAAGCAGGGTCAACATGGATCAGCACAGAATTCTGAATGTTGACTACGGTGGACTGGCCGCAATCAGACCAGTTCAAGTTTTGGGTCGGCACGGCGTCGTACGCTCTCTTGAGGTAGTTCTTGGAGATCGGGCCCGTGAAGTCGACCGAGAACGGTGCCTGGTTGCCTCTACCTTGGAAGTAGTAGAATCCTGACTCGCTTGCGGTGCCGCTGGCTGGCAACTGTACAAATCCACGGTAGTCCACCGTCAGGATGGAGAACTGCCATCCGGGAGGTACATGGATCCCCAAAGAGATCTGGCAAAACTTGCGGCTATCGGTGATGGTGCTGCTGGGTCCGGCAGAGGCCACAAACTGATCGTAAATGAGGGTAAAGGAGGTGCTGTCGCTTGCAATCGAGGTGCCGACGGTGCCTTGAGGGCAGCCCGATCCGCCGTAGGTGATGCTGCTGATTGCGACACCGGTGGGAGGGCTCGAAGCCATGGCAAGTCCGGTCAGGGACAGGAGCCACACGAGTGTGCCGAGGAGACGGAGAAGTTGCGGGTTTTCAGCAGCCATGACCCTTGCTATGGACAAGATTGAGTCTGGGTCCAGGGAGTGTTGAAGGTAGTGTGCGAATATGATGCACGTAGGATGCGACGCTGTTGGGTGCAGGACAACGATGCATCGGGCCCCCGCCACGAAGGTCTTATAAGACCGGCCCTGATTCCCAGGACCCATGTTGAGAGGGCCGCAGTGGTGCTGGCTTTCCCGCGCTCCTTGTGAATCCGAATGCTTCAAAGGCGGGAACTTTCGCTACTGGGCGCCATGATGAGCAGGCACATGGTGTCATGTATGGGAGGCAACCCATTGCTGCTGCGTCTTGGCAGAGAGCCAGCAGCCGATCCGCACTGCGTCACATTGACGGAGGCAAGCATCGGGGCAAGAGCGGCGCAAGCATCCGCTCGGCTCATGGATGCAAGTGCGCCCTTTTTTTCACCCGCCATGTTGCCCCACATCGGTGCCGCCGGTATCCGCCATGTTACCCCGGTACATGCCTTGTGATGCCGGAGAGCCAGTTGGCAGCGACCCCGGCCCGCCCATCGACATCGGCCAAGCTTCTCGGCGCTCGATCCAAGGCGGCATTCTCCGATGCTGACCCCACGGCCCCGCTCGGCCCGTCATCGCCTCGGGCTCCAAGACCGCCTTGCTGTACGTATCCAGCAGTGGCCCAGGGGCTGCGGGGCGGCCTCGCAGGACGATGCGACGGAGATGACAACGCAGAGCGCGAGAAAAGGCGGTAGCATCTGGCGGGAAGCGCTGCCTCTCAACTGGGCTCCAGGAGTATAAAGTAGTCGCTCGACATTGGTCCTGGACTGACACCCGTCTCAGACCTTGTCCGATCAGATACACCCCGGCCATCCTCTTGAACACTACTCCACTCGTATCCTGGCACGCCCTGTCATGTTTGGCTTCTTTCACCTCGTGGTCGTCATCGCCTGCCTTGCTGCTGCCCTGGTCTCGGCTCAACCAGACCACTCCAAGGTTTACATCCGCGGCATCAGCTACGGCGGTAGCGGATGTCCACAGGGCAGCGTTGGCCAGTCGCTCAGCCAGGACTTGACGTCGTTTACGCTTATCTTTGATAGCTTCATTGCCTACACGGGCGACGGTCCGGCCAACCGCAAGAGCTGCCAGATCAACGTTGATCTCGTGGTCCCGAACGGATGGACCTTCTCCCTGGTGGGAGTCGACTACCGAGGTTTCGTGGAGCTGCCTGCCGGCGGTATTGCCACGCAGTACTCGCTCTACTACTTCCAAGGCGAGCTGACCCAGGTCTCGAACCAGCATGTGTTCAAAGGCCCTATCAGCGGCCAAAACTACTTGGTCCACGACGATATCCCGCTCGCCAGTACTCTCTGGAGCAAATGCAACGACGTCGTGCCATTCAATATCAAGAACTCGATCAATGTCAATGCCCCCGCCGGCGCGTCCCCCCAGGGCCAGATCACGACTGACACCATCGACGGCAAGGTCACCCAGATCTGGGGCTTGCAGTGGAAGAAGTGTTAGGCTTCCTGCAGCGATCCATGGACATGTGCTGCCGAGCATAGAGTGATTGCCAATGAGGCGATACGAAACGAGACGAAGCGAGACAAATGGAAACCAATTGAAATGAAATGAAATGAATTGAATTGAATTGAAGCGAGAGTGCGGGTTGCTGGATATGGCCATGGCTTCTCTTCTGGTTCTGAATACATGCTTTTGCGATGGCCATTGGCAAATACCGGCTGCTTCGACGTCATCTCCCTTGCCGCAGCATGTCTCGTGGCGCCTGCCTGGCATGGGGCTCCGTTTGAGTGCATTCATGAGTCGTATTTGCAGCGCATTTGTCAGCCCCGCCTTGCAGCAAGTTGCTTGCGGACTGTCCCTTCCTCCGCTCATTCGCCTATATATCGCTTCCAGCACACCCTCGTCCCATCGGCCCACCCATGCTCCATCGATCAGCCCGCCTCTGACTCGACCGCCCACCATGTCGCCCATCTCCAAGATTCCCACTCGCGCTCTCGGCCGCAACGGCCCTCAGGTCTCATGTCTCGGCCTCGGATGTATGGGAATGTAAGTCTTTCTTTGGCTTGATGCAGCCGGGTTCTACTCGTCTGGCCTTGGCCCAGGCTGCGAGCTGCTGATGCATGGTATTCGTCGGCCCGCACGCCGTTCTGCTCACCGATCTGCGCCTCGTGTTTCAGGAGCGAGTTCTATGGAGCCTCCAGTGAGGAAGAGTCCCTCCAGGTCCTCAACCGAGCGATCGATCTGGGCTGCACCTTCTGGGACACTGCCGATGTGTGAGTCTCGATCCCAAGTCCTGTGTCTGAGCAGCTACACCCTCTCGCCCCGCCCGCCCCGCTCGTCCATGGGCAAAGCTTAAACTCACTAAACTCATTCTGCGCAGATACGGCCTTGGTGAGAACGAGAAGCTCCTGGCCAAGGTCCTGGCAACCCGCCGAGACGAGGTTTTCCTCTGCACCAAGTTCGGCATCGTTCGCGATCCTGTCACCAAGCAATTCACCGGCGTTCGTGGAACTCCCGAATATGTCCGCAAGTCTTGCGAGGACTCTCTCGAGCGGCTCGGCGTCAAGACCATTGATCTCTACTACCAGCATCGGCCCGATGCCAGCGTGCCCATCGAAGATACCGTTCGCGCCATGGCCGAGCTGGTGGCCGAGGGCAAGGTCCGTTACCTCGGCCTGAGCGAGTGCAACGCCGAGACCCTGCGCCGTGCCCACAAGGTTCACCCTATTGCCGCAATCCAGATGGAGTTCAGGTGCGTACGCCATGTGGTTTGGCATGCCTTTGGGTCGTTGGAGGCCGGCATAGGAAAGTCCCTTGATTATTATTAGAACTATAATGATGGTCAAGACCCTGGCTGATCGATGGCTTTGTCGGCGCAGTCCCTGGGTCCTTGATATTGAACAAAACGATGTCCTCAAGACAGCCCGTGAGCTGGGAGTCGCTATTGTCCCATACAGCCCTCTTGGACGCGGGTTCCTGAGCGGACAGATCAAGAGCATCGACGACCTCGACGAGAACGATTACAGACGATTCAACCCCCGGTTCATGGGCGACAATTTTGCCAAGAACCTCGAGCTGGTGCGCAAGTTCGAGAGCTTGGCCAAGCAGAAGAACGTAACTTCAAGTCAGTACGTCCTTGCCTGGGTCCTGTCGCAAGGTAAGCATGCATTGTCTGTCTGGACACTTTGTCGATGGAACGATTCATCCTCCAGTACCGTTTCCAACCACGGCGAGCGCGCACACCACATCTGCACTCTGTCGAGCAGCTACAAATGCTGCCATTCGCTCCAATTGTTCCGCGCTGCTACAGGTATCGACTTTATTCCCATCCCTGGAACCAAGCGCATCAAGTACCTCGAAGAAAATCTGGTTGCTGCCACCATCACCATCACACCCGAGGAGGACAAGGTCGTCCGCGATCTGCTTTCGCAGTTCCCGGTCAGCGGCGCTCGTTACTACGTCAACGCCGCTGTCATCAACAGCAGCGATAGCTCGAAAAAGTAATACCCCCAGGGCATGTGTGCCGCAGAAGCTGCAAAGAAATAGCAGCAGGGGCCATCGCATCTGCGGATCGGCATGCAAAGTGTCTGGCCAAAGAAGCAATCAAGGGACGCACGATCGGGCGTGCATTGCAATATATACTGAGTGTGCTCTGTGCGATTGCAATTGTGATTACGACTCCGACTGCGACTGCGGCCACGGTTGCAACTGACCGTGCTCGAGAGCGGAGGACACCTATGCAGCATTCTGGCTGCGTTGGTATGCGAATTGATGGATTGTGGCGTCCAATTGGATCCCCGGCAGCTGGCGGTCTCCCCTTTGCCCCCGCCTCCGCGATCATTGTGGACGATGAATAGTTATGTATTCTATTCCAAAGCAGTGTCATGTTTCACTTTATGAGCGCTGTGATGCGATCCATGGCTTGGCGAATGTTCTTGACAGCGGGGTGGTCTTCACTTGTGTAGATCCCCGTGATGATTGAGTCGGCTTGGCGATAATACTCGAGGGCTTCGCTGAACTGGCTGTGCTCTTCTTCCACTTGTCCGGCCGCCGCCAGGACCGAGGCCACGTCCAGATGGTTGCGGGTGCCATGCACCTGAGTAAAGATGTCGATAGACTCGCGGTAGGACTTGAGCGACTCCTCCAGCCGGCCCTGCTTCTTCAACACAGCTGCGAGTGTGCAGAGCGTCTGGGCAATGTCGACATGGCTTCGAGTGCCGTGCAGCGCAGTGGACTTTTCGATGTTCTGCTCGCACAGCTGGATGGCCTTCGAAGAGTACGATTTGGACAGTGCCAAGCGTGCACTCTGCAGAGCGACCTGACTATGCAGTGGCTTGGTGTATTGCTCAGGGACCGTGACTTTGATGTATCGCTCGAGATGTTTGGAGAGGAGAGCGGCCGTCCGATCCAATGGCTCGACCACCTCGATCAGTGCCTCACCAGTGGCGTCAACCATCGCATCGGCCAGCAGCTCGGGGTGCTCCCACACGTAATCATGGACAACAGCCTGCACCAGCGCGTGCATGGAGTATCTGTCGTTGACTTCGGGTTGGAGCAGCCCATACTGAACGAGCAGTTCGACAAGAGCCGAGCCTAGCAGTCAAGAAGCGAGTCCGTATCAGCCGATGCGCTCCGCATGATGCCGTGGGAGTGATATATGCGGTAACGACGATGAAATAGACACCAGCGGCCACCACGCCCACCCCTGCAGCAGCTCCCATGCATGGTCGACTCACCGTCGGCGGATAGCTTGGCTTTCTGTGCGATTGCCCGGATGAGCTGGAGAGCAATGCCGTCAGGTGCCAACAGGCTGATGGCCCCAGCCAGACGACATGCATCGGCGCCTTGATTTTTCTCGAGCATCTGGGAGATGGAGATGCTGGCTATGGCTCGGAGAGACGCGCGGATTTCGCCTTCGTTTTGGAACTCTTCAAGCGCCTCGGAGAACTGACGATCGATCTCCTCGATTGGCATATCGCTGTGCTGGAAAAGCGAAACAAATAGCTGCACAACCAGTGGGTAGCCGTCGATCTTGGAGACGACGCTCTTGAGGCTCGCCTTGGCCCCGTCGCTGGAGATCTTGTTGGCGATGATGGGGGATGCGGAGAGGATGTAACGCAGCGTGGTGTTGTCGGTCCATGGCTCGAGCCGGAGCCGGTCCTCCAGGACGATACCATTGCCGGCCTCGAGGGCAGATACAAACACTCCGTCGGGCAAGGTCGGCAGCTTGGTAGTCACAATCACATCCCCTCGGAACCCGGACTGCCCAGAGCGCTCAAAGATGGAATTTGCCACAGCAATGTCGTTGACACCGTCGATGACGAGGAGATAGCCTCGACTCTGGGCAAAGAATCGAGCGGCATGCTCTTTGATCGTGGCTGGATTTGCCCCAGGGCATGCATCCATCAAGCTGCTCTTGGCCGCTTCCTCGGTTGAGCAGTCGACATGGTAGACGCTGCTGTACTGAGGGCCTGTGCCGATTGTTTCTTGGCGGAGCCGGGCGATTTCATCGCTATTGCTTGCTGCGAGCCTTCCCATCATGAACTGCGAAAACTGGCGGACGAGAATGCTATGCTCGTCTCCCTCGGCTCCCGAGAGCACCACTCGTCCAGTCAGGGTTATCTGCTTCAGGAGATTGTCGATTGCGGCCGGGTCGGCGGCAAGGGTGCTGCTGGTACGGAAAACGGTGCTGAGTCTGTCGGTGGTTTCTTCGTCGACTTGGACTGGATGCACGATGCTGAAGATTCGGTAGAGCAATCTGTGGGGTCGATCGGGGCGGTATCGGTTCAGGTACACAGACTTCAGTTCGGCCATGACCGTCTTGAGCAGGTCCAACTTTGGGTCGTCGGGGAAGCTGTAGCTCAAGGGATCAAAGTCGACGTAGTGTTCGGAGCCGTCCTTGGTTTCCTTGGTGGCAATGGAAAACGGGAGCACCGACAGGGCAGAGCTGCTTTTTTCGATATTGAAGGCCGCCTGGATCTCGAGGAAAAGTCGATTGTCCTCGCCATTTAGGGCACTTTGCACCATCGCATCGAGCGAGGCCTTGCTGAGGAACAGAAGGGCAACCTTGCTCCTGGGTAAGGCATGCAAATGCCCGTCCGACCAGGCGCTGGCGTTAACGAGACAGTCCGAATCGCAAAAGATGCTGAGAGGGCGGGCAAATCGGCGGGCCGAGACTGTGAGGAGCAGCTCTTTGAGCGGCTGGACGGCTGTACTGTCCGAGGAGGCTCGATAGGAGAGGAAGAGCTCGTGGTCGGAGCCGTGGGTCAAACACTTGTACGGCTTGGTTTGGGAGGCGGACATATTCGAAGGCGGGCTTTGGAGGCTGGGCAGTCTCTGGCGAGGGCTCGGGGAGAGAGCGGAGGAGATGAGGGGAGACAGATATGCTGGTCTGCGGTGGCGAGGGGCGGCGAGTGGTCAAGCGAGGGAGGGTATCAGGGCACGGCCCCCAAAAGCCAGGCCGAGCCAGGCCGCCGAGGTTGGCGAGAGGCGGATACCGACACCGATGGTGCATATCCAGCAGCATTGCGTTGCCGAGACCCCCGTCGTTGTTGGGAGCCTGCCTGGATCTCGATGGCCAGCCAGGGTCGTCCCTCAGGGGCCAGCCGGGCAGCCGCTGGAAGCAGATCCCAGGGTCCGGCTTCCCACGAAACATCGGCAGACGATATAATCGGGTGCGGGGCAGATGCGGTATCGCCGAGAGTCCATCGGCAAGATGGATCGCTACATACATTCGATTGTGGTCGCTGCGTTGTGTATCTCGCTTTCGCTTCGCGGCGTGGGTATCGACCGTAATCCGCTGCACACCTGTTGGACCCACTCTGTGCCCTGAGCCGTCATCGACGGCGCTATCCTCAGCAATACACATACTGACTCTGCTCTTGGCATCCATTTGCTGCTGCAATGTCCTGCGAGCAGATTCGGGCCGATGATGCCACCGGATATGACAAGTGCATATGCTACTGCTGCATCGATGCCACAAACTCGGTGCAAGCAACGTCGGCAAAGAAGTGCGATTTCAAGAACCTGCCTTCGGTGGGAGCGATTACGGTGGGCCACCTGTATCCTTGTTGCAGTTGACCCCACCGGCTGGTCCTGACAATGTTTCGCCTCGATCGATTCCCACCGCCCCTGGAAACCCTCTGGCACACTCAGATGTCGGCATCGGCGTCTGCCGATACATGCAACCAAGCAGCGTGCTATGGATCCTTTCCATTGTCCTGCCCTGTTCCGCCGAATCTGACTGGGTTTCGGGCGACATGCAACAGCTGCGCGAGTGAGTTGAACTGCACGGGAGGGAAGGGGCAAGCTCCGTCGGCAAATGGTTGTCGCAGGCGTGGGAGTATCAAACGTATTGACTACTTGCACGGTGTTTGGCCGAAGCCTCGTCCAATCCCCACGTCTCCCAGACACCCGGAAGCCCGGGGGCCGTGGGCAGCAGCGACATTACCGCAAGTACCGGCAACGCCAGCATCGTCAACAACCCATCGATTCAACAAGCATCCCTGAGCGGCGGTCGAGGCCGCAACCACCAAAGATCAAAGCTGGCCGCCTTTGCCCTCGTGCTCGCTCTGATCCTGTTTACGACGGGGATACTGATGTAGCCCGGAGTGCCGCCGTCCGATGCGGACAGTCGTTCCTGGTCGGCGATGGCCCATCGATCCCATGTGCATGAATGTCAGCTCATCCAGCGACCGAATTGCCGATGCTCAAATAGGCTGGCTGGACCAGAGCGGGACGACCTTGCTGTGCGCTGGCGTCGCATATGCAACTCCTCGAGTCGGCATGCCTTGATATCTGGTGGGTCGTGTAGTTGCGCACGATGAGAAGCGAGGACGAGCGGCCATAGACTGCTGCGGATCTACCCGCGCGACGGCCGGGTATCGACATGTGGACCAACGAGCGTTGTGGATGGCACTGCCCGAGAATAGAATGTGTATTCAGGAGTTCGAAGCAGATGGTCGTCGCTGTGGGAGCTGGGGGGGGGCTGCTAAGGCTTCGGTTGGTGTTCATGGGCGATAAGACCTGGGCATGACAATAGCCTGAACCGTGACGCTGACCAAGATCGCGAGCAGCGACGCCATCTTTGGATATGGATAGACAGTGTCATAACATGATGTTGGTAATGCTGCTGAATCGGTCATTACGTAGCATGCTTGGAGATGAATCAGATGCAGCGCTGCTACCACGCAGAGCGAGCGGCTCGAAACGCAAGCCATGCGAGCGCTGCCTCAGTGACGATCAGTGCGACCAGCTTGAGAGCGTCGGAGAGCGACGGCGCAACCGGGATTCTGAGCGAGCGTCCAGGGTTCTCGACAAACTGGCCGGTGGCGTGGAAGTGCTCTATCAGCTTGTCCTTGTCCTGGAATCGGCCGAGAAGCCACTCGGAAAAGCGACTCTCGCCGTCCTCAAGAGAGTCGCGGGACTCGGCTTCGGTGAAGCCAGGGATGGACGCGACCTCGAATCTACTGACATGGATAAAGACCCTGGCCGGACCGGTGCCTTTGAGGAAAACGTCGAGGATCGGGTATTTGTCGTAGGGACAGTCGCCCGGCTTGATGCCGTCGTAGACGATGGTGCAGTCGTAGAGATGACGGAGGGGTGCCTTTGAACGACCAGCGGTGCTGGTGGCGGTCCGCGTACCTTGCCCCCGGAGAGCGTTCAGGCTGGTCCACAAGCCCGTAATCCTGGGGACGAGGACGAATCGAGGATGCTCCCATGGATATCCGGCCTTGGCGTGGTAACTTCTCGACTTTTCGGAGGTGTCGGAGGTGATTACGGTGCCCTCAGGGAAGAAGATGAGCTCGGTCGGGAGTGGATCGCGGCGAGCCCGCTCGAGAGAGCTTACGAGTTCATCGCGGTCTTCTGCCCACTTGCGCTTCAAAAAGATGAACTCAAAGAACTGCATTCCCCATCCTGGAGGCAAGCCGTGATATTAATACATGTCACGGGTGCCGGGGCACAGCAGCTGTCGACATCTCCGTCAGCCCGGGAAGTGGATGGCGGTCGTCCGCATACCTACAACCGGTATGTTTCTGAGGCTTCTTTTGAGGACAATCTTGACGTCGCCGTGGGCATTGCGCAGATGCGCCCAGGCCCACAAGTACATCCAGTCCGTGTAAATCTGGTGGTTGGCGATCACGACCGAGTCGCCGGGGTGCAGGGAGTCGGTCCTCCAGGCCTCCCAGTCGCCAGTCAAGACGAGCTCGACAGGGGACAGCAGCGCAAGCACGGAAAGCATGCATGTCACCCACAATCGCTGGGACTCCCGGATGCACAGGCGGTAGATGAGCTTTGTGGCTGGCACAAGCGCGAGCGGCAGGACAACGAACTGGGCCAGATTGACGGCGACGGACGAGAGGTCAAACACCAGCACAAACACAATGAGCCGCAGAAGGAACTCGGGCGTCGAGACGGCCATGGCGAGCAGCGGCAGTGGTAGCAGAGCCCGGCAGGACGCAATGTCGAGGCCAATGTCCAGATGGATGTCGAGATGAGCAGCCGCGAGGGGCCGGAGTAAATTGATAGTGGGAGATAAATCGGACACGTTCTCGTCTCGCCGCGCCTCGCCGCGCCTCGCTTCGTCTCGCTTCGTCTCGCTTGTCGCCGCGCCACGACTGCGCATGCGCAGCAGATGCTTGCACGTGGTCGGAGACATCGGCTCCGCGGCCAGGTGACCCGTCACCAGCCCCGGCCGTTGTCCGGCTGCGTCATCCGTCTCCATCCACCTCCCGCCCACCCATCCATCGCATCTATCACATCCATCGCCTCCGTCCCGCTTTCACACCGCCGCTGCTGCACACTCGACGCCATGCCGTCCTCGTCCGTCTTTGTCTATGCCCTCGTTGCGGGCATGCTCTTCACCGGCACGGTGAACACCATCCTGAACAAGTACCAGGTTCTGCAGTGCGTCGAGAATTGCGACGACCCCGATGCGTCCCAGCGAAAGTACTTTGAGCAGCCCATCTGGCAGGTCCGTCTCCTCGCGATGCGTGGGCATGCTGTGCAGCAGCAAGAGCTGTGGCCGACAGACTCCATCGGCAGTCAATGCTGGTGATTTCCTCGACTGTTGCTGATCGTCCGTGACCGATCCTTGGCTCGCGCTGCCGATCTAACCGCCATTGTTCCGCAACCTCCCTCTGTCTGCCGTGTGCGATGTAGACGCTGAATATGTTCATCGGCGAGGCTCTGTGTCTTCTGGTCTACTACATCAGTCTGTACTCCGAGTCCGCCAAGTCTTCGCCCGCGGTCTCGTCGCATTCGTCCATCATCCATCCCGATGACCACGAAGAGGCAGGAGTCGTGGGCACCTCTGCCGCTGGCGAGTCTACTCCCCTGATCAGCGCCCACGAGGACGGCGCTGCCCCTGCGCCTGCCATGACGGGCTGGCAGAACTTCTTGCTTTGGCTCCCAACCCTCTGTGACATGACATCAACCACCCTGATGAGTGTCGGCCTCATCTACATCTCGGCATCGGTCTACCAGATGCTCCGTGGATCCGTCGTTCTGTTTACCGGAACGTTCTCTGTTCTGTTCCTGGGCCACCGTCACCCCCTCCACCGATGGATTGCCCTCTGCTTGGTCTTCATCGGCGTTGGCTTGGTCGGAGCAAGCAGCATCCTCGATGGCGAGCGCGTGTCCGGATCCTGGCTGGGCTTCTTCCTCGTTGTCTTTGCCCAGATCTTCACGGCAACTCAGTTTGTGATCGAAGAGAAGATTATGAGCTCGTTTGAGGTCCCGGCGCTCAAGGCCGTCGGCTTGGAGGGCACCTTTGGCTTCGTCACAACCCTGGGTCTCATGCCCATCCTCTACTACACCATCGGCAAGAGCGGTCCTCCCGGCAACTTTTTCGATCTGCCCGTTGGATACCAGCAGGTCTTTGGCACCCCGGCCGTTCTCACTGCCGCCGTCGGTATCATCTTTTCGATTGCCTTCTTCAACTGGTTTGGTCTCTCGGTGACCAAGACCCTCAGCGCCACCTCGCGATCCACGATCGACACTTGCCGGTGAGCTGGATGATCGAGATGCGGCCTGTGCTGTGCGCCAAAAAGCTGCCCTGTGTCTGCCTGTCCCGCCCCCCGCCTCCCTCTTTGAATGCTCCTGTGCACGCCCCCGTTGTCGCATCCGCCAGGATGTGAGTACACCTGAAGTGCCTCTGGCATCAGAGACTGATTCGCTGACGTTGTGTATATGGGCCCAACAGCACGCTGTTCATCTGGATTGTGAGCTTGGCTCTTGGCTGGGAGAGCTTCAAGTGGCTGCAGGTCTTGGGATTCATTGTCTTGATCTACGGGTATGTTATCCTGCTCGTGGCTCCATGCGAGATCTTGGACTGATGCACTTGCTTGCTCTGGTGTGGGCAATGTGCTTGCATGCTCATCGGCGCCGGCGAAACCATCAGCATCCGGCACTGACCCTGCGTACCAAACCATCCCCTGCCAAACAGCACATTTGTGTTCAATGACGTCGTTCAGCTGCCCTTCCTCGGCAGCGGCCATGAGAGCCACTCCGACTGAGCAGTGGCGTGATCGTGGGAGAGCTTCTGCCAGGTCCCTCCCTCCCAGTATACAGTTTGTCTGCAAAGATCGCAATGCCTTATTTCCGTTTCGTTGGACTTGGCATATGCTTCTCCCTATACACTCGCCAGAATATTTCACCCTGGCCCGCCATCGTGTCAGCCAAGGATGGGCCCGATTCGGCCATAAAATACTGAGTAAGGTGGCTTCAGGAAATACAAACACGCCAATACTCCTTACCACGCCCAGGCTGCGGTCAAATCAGCAGCACGACATGTTGCGCGCGGAGCCTTGGTAGCCATCTCGGGACTCTGGGGTGCCCCTATTTTTCATTTTGTGAGCGCGGTAAAAACACATCAACGAGGGGGGCAAAGACAGACAAATGGGATCGCGTTTGGGCGGACGGAAACAAGCAGGTGAATCAAAAAGCACAGTAAAGGAAGGAGAGAAGGAAAGAGAGAGAAAGAGAGGACAAGACAAGCAAAAAACGGCAGCTCGATGGGATATAGTATGTGAGAGGTAGTAAGGAAGGGTGCTCAGCGGGGAGGGGAAGGGAGCAAAGCCGATGCCGCTTGACCAACGCAAAGACATGAGTGCCATCGAGGAGGCGGGGCAGGCCATTCGGCAGCACTGCGTCTGGGGGTGCAGGCTGGCGCACACGGTGATTGCCCTACAACGAGTTTGTGCTGTCTCGCTCGCTCAACAGCGAGCCGAGAACATTCAGCAGACTTTCCTTCGTCACGGGTTTGGAGATGCAAAAGTCAAAGTTCTGGGAGGCGGCGGTGCTCACGTTGCCCGAAGTAACCCCGACGACGGGAGTGGACTGGTTGACGTTGTTGGTGGTTTTGATCATGCGGGCAGCAAGCTCTCCGTCCACTGGAAGATGTTGCGTAACGATGGCGTGAGTTTGGCTGCTGCACTGCATTCTGTCCGCAGCGACAGACACCACGGCCTCTCCCACTTGCCCGTCATGCTTACCGATTGGCATTTCGATGTCCATGAAGATGATGTCGAATCTGACGTCGCCCATCACACACCGGAGCGCCTCCTCGCCGTTGTAGACCATCACGCAGCGGCCATTAAACTTGGAGAGGAGTCCTTCCAGGATCTTGCAGCTCACGGGGTTGTCGTCGACGACCAGCGCATCGAACCCGCGGGCAGGGAGCAATCCACTGTTCTGCGAAGTCAGCGAGGCGCGGGTGCTCGAGCCTCCGGACTGGAAAGTCGCCGAGCTCGCAACGCCGCTCTCCATGTCGGACATGCTGCTCTTGGTATGCAGAATGTGCTGCTTGGCCTGACTCAGGTACATCTGGTGGGGCGAGCTTGCAGCATCACGCTCGCTTTCGCGCGCCTCCAGGACAGGGAACCGAGCCGACGTAACCGAGGAGGTCTCAAAGAGTCTGTTGGGCGTCTCGGTGCGCAACCCCAGGTTCGAAGGTGCGCCGCTGGCTGACCCAAGCGACTGTGTCCTCAGTCTGGACGGCAGGGAGTTGCGTCGGGGCTGCTCCATAAGCCGCTGCTTGACCTTCAGCGGAGTGCCGACGGCTCCGTTTCCAAAGAGATCCGAGGTGCTCCCATGGACCGTGGCATCGAGCAGCTCCATTTTGGGCGACGACGGTGCTTTCACAGATGTTTCGGGCTCAAGCCCCTCCTTGGAATCGGCTCGGGGCGGCAGACGGGCCACAGGCTCGAGAGGGGAGGCCCGCGGAAGCGTGAGGCGGCTCGGCAGATTCGAGGCGCCAGAAAGCGACTTTGTGCGAGCACGTTCCGTCTTGATCTCCATGTCTGACCGGATCTTCTTGACCAGATCGCTGTTGGCTTTCTCGAGCAGCGGCAGGTTCTTGTAGACAAACTCGCCAAAGTCGGGCTTCTCCTCGCCAGGGGCGTCGTCTTGTGTCGTCTCTTCATCCTTGGGAATCACCCTCTCGGTCAGCTCCAGATCGACGCGCTCCTCTGCTGGGCCTACTCCGGGCTTGGCTTGGTCCTCGGCGTCCACATCGCTTGGCTTCTTGGTGCCGGCACCACGATCGTCAAAGTAGTCCGTGTCTTCGGGGTTGGAAGGCTTCGGCACAAAGTTGGCCTCGGCGTGCTCGAGCTTCTCCCAATCGATGTCATGGAACCACGGATGCGCTCGGACCTCTTGCGAGCCGTGGGTGCCGAGACGGGACTCAATCTCCGTGCACATCAGCCGCTCCATCAGATCGCGCGCTTCGGGAGAGATGTCGACCGAGTCTTCCATCCAGTCGATCGAGCGTGCAAGAATATTGGCGAACACCTCGGTCGGAGATGGCGCGTGGAACGGCGGAAGCCCAAACAGGAATTCGTAGAGAATAACACCGAGTGCCCACTATGCCATGAGAAAGGGGCCGCGTCGGGGCAGATCAACAGCACGGGAGTCGTTAGAACAGCTCCTGTCAGACACGGCTACGTCGGATCGCACGAGCACTCTGCAGCATCGGGACAAGGTGCTGTCGCAGAAGAAGCAGGCCACCACAATATGAGTGGCCCTAAAGCTTACCCAGTCGACCGAGGCATCTTGTCCGAGACCAAGAATGCTCTCTGGCGCCAAATAGTCAGGCGTTCCGACAAAGCGCTTGTCTTTGGGGTCATCCGGCTGCTCCGCCAGGCGACTGCCGATCATGCCTGTGCCGGCATTCGAAGGCCAGTCTATCGAGCCGATCGACATTGTTGAAGCCACAGACGACCGTCGGCTGTGGGCCTTCATGTATGAGTTGGCTGGGGAGTTGAGGAGATAGTCCGCTGCCTTGAGCGGACTGGCCGACATCTGCGGCTGCGCGATGACGGACGAGAGCATTGACTGAGCCGGTTGCATGAGCTGCGTGACGGGCGTCGATGACATCGAGATTGGCAGCTTGGCTGGAGACAGCACAGGCGACATGAATGCGGCGGGTCCGAGGCTGTTGCTTGAAAGCGTGCGGTCCATCGCGGGCGACGACGAGTTCCAGACATTGTCGCAGACGCCTCGAGCGCGCCGTCCGAGGAAACCGACTCGGGAAAGACCAAAATCGGTCAGCTTGACATGGCCGCTTTGATCGATCAGAAGATTGTCGGGCTTGAGATCGCTGGGTGAGAGATGTGAATCTGTTAGCGCGACTGGTCCGCAACAAGTCTCCCGTTCAGTCCGACCCGGCGATTAAGGCAGCATGGTATCATCACCAGCATCGCGCTGCATTCTACGCTGCACGGCACAAAGACTCTTGGCCGCCCGGCGATCCAAAAAGCACCTACCGATGGACAATGCCGCGCGAGTGCAGAAACTCCAGGCCAAGCACGACCTCGGCAATGTACTGCTTGGCCCACTTCTCGTCCAGAGAGCCCGAGTTCTTGATGAGGGCCGCCAGATCGCCGCCGTTGAGATACTCCATTACAAGATATAGGTTATCTTTGCTCTGGAAGCTGTAGTAAAGCTTGACTACATACGGACTATCGAGTTGGGTAAGGATCATTCGCTCAGCCTTGATATTCATAACCTGGTTCTTGGCAATCATATCGGCCTTTTTCAGCACCTTGATTGCATAGTAGTCGCCCGTGATCTTCTTGCGCGCCAGATACACAGATCCAAAGGCTCCTTTGGAGATGGGCTTGACGATCTCATAGTCCTTGATGCTGGGCACACTCCGCTGTGTTGGGATGGACGAGGTGCTTCCAAAGGAGGTGCCGAGAAGCGCCGCCGATGGTGAAGGAAGGGCAGAGTCGAGCATATCTCGAGTCGGGGAGCTGTGGTCGCTCCGGGGGATGTTGAGCGAGCTGCTCGATCCAAGAAAGGCAGCGAGCTTGCTGGTTCGCTTGGGCGTGGTTGTGTGCGGCGAGGTGATGACTTCGACATCCATGGTGCGATTTGTGCTGACAAACATGCGCGAGCGCGGTAGGCCCAGCTTCTGCTGCGTGCTGTTGCCGCTGCTGACGATGGCAGCGACCAGCTTTGTGGCTTCGATGCGCTCGTGGGTCTCCTCTGCCGGCTTGGTCTTTCGTCGGCCGAGCGATCTTGGTGTGTTTTCTGGGGCGTGCTCGGTCGGAGGGTTGGCGGACTTGTCGGCGCCAGAGAGTCCCGACTGTGCAATATCACCCTCTGCGGCTGTTACTGTAGGCGTGGTGTTGTGGGGGGCAGGGGGTTTGCTTGTGGAGACGGCGGCGGCGGATGCTGTGATGGAAATCGGGAACGGAATGGATGATGATAGTGGGGGCAGAGTCGTAGCTGTCTCAGCCACGGAGCTCAAGCCTGGGGGGTGAATCTTGGTCGAGCTAGTCGACGCGGCCAAGGCAAGAGCCGAGCCCGCGGCTGGAACTGGAGCCAGGGGTAGGGCAGGTAGTACTGTGGGGGCCGGGGTGACTACCGGGGCTGTGATTGCAATCGGGACGGGGTTTGCCAAAGTTGAGGTCGGATCCACAGCCGGCAGCAAACCAGCCTTTGAAGCAGTCTGGTGGGCCAGAGCACTCTCGGTCGCTGGCAAAGGAGCGACCGGGTTTGCGCCATCCTCCACGACATCCGAACGAGATTCGGCAGGGTAGCTGGCGCCGTCCTTGCTTGTAACAGAGCCAGCACCCTCGGACTTGATCGAGTCCGACGAGTCGGCCTCATCGTCCTGGGCAAGGTCGTCGTCTTGGCCCGAGGCAAGTTCCCAGGCATCCTTGAGGGCACCCGCCTCCACGCCCAGCTCAAACTTCATCTGTTCCTCGCGTTCGACCGACTCGCGATACCGAGCCGAGTCCGACTTCATCTTCTCGATGTTGTCGCGCTTGCGGGTCGTCAGGACCTCGACCTCCTTGCTGAGCTCGTAGATTGAATACCCGAGCTCCACAACAACAGAGTCGAGGTTGGAGGCCTCTTCGGTCATGAAGATATTGGAAAAGTTGGTGGAGGCCAGTTTGGAAATGTCCAGTGGCTGGAACTCGGTGCCAGGCGGGCAAATCCACACGCTCTGTCTGCGGGCGTTAACAGCAGCAGCGCCGGAATTGGCGTTCTCCGGCTCATTAGCCTGTGTCTCGGTAGCGTCCGCCTCGGTCGGCAGTGGTGGCGAGGGTTCGGCAGGATCAAGCGCGTTCGGCATCGGCACGCTGAGAGAGCGCTCGATGGCATCCGTCATATCGGTCAAGTGCTGGATCAGGCGGAACAGGAACGAAATGTACGAGTAATGGTCGCTCCTCTCGAGGACGCTGCGGCGGGGGCTTGTCTTTTCGAGCTCGGCGAGGTCGGCTTGAGCCTTTTCCTTTTCGGATAGGAGAGCCTTCTTCTGGTTGGCACATTCGCTCTTGAGGTCCTTGATCTGGTCGTTCAGGAGAACAGTGTCCATCTCGACGCGGTGGACCTCCGAGCAAATCGAGGTATGCTCTTCGAACAGGGGTGCAGGCACGGACCGCTCGCAGATATGACACAGCACGAGGCTGATGGTGGTGCTCTCCAGGGAAGATGTGTCCGACTGCGTTTCGTGCACCAGGTCGTCACGGCTTGGTGACGGAGGATCAACCTGCAGCTGAGGGACTGTTGCCGGACTCAACGAATCCTTCGACTCGATTCTGGCGGCCGGCAGACACAGGGAGGAGTCGGGCAAATCGGCCGGCTTGGGCGACACCACAGCCTTGGGGCTTTCGGCCTCGGGGGCTGACTCGGCATAGTCCGAGTCGGTGTCATAGGGAATGTAATTGTCATAGTCCTCGCTGTCGGATGAGTGGATGTCGTTCCATTCGTCGCCGAGCAGACCGGTCGGGCGCACGATCCAAATGGCACTTTTCTTGAGATCGGTGCCGCGCTCGTAGAGAATCATGCCCTTGCCTTCCATCTGCAGCATGCGGCCGTCCGCGCGCCGCGCCTTGAACTGGATTTCGCTCGCGTCGGATTGGTCTCCCAGCGAGAGACTCACGGTGGCGTCCAGGAGAATGCTTTTGTCGTCGTCCAGGAGGAACGGGATGCGCTCGACGCCGACAATCTCTGTAATCTCGTATTCAAACACAAGCTTGCACACCGGGCTGATGTAGGTGACGACGCCATCGATGCCGACTTCCATCAGAACGTTCAGGCTCTGCGATTCGTTTGCGGCATCTCGCAGCTCCATCAAGCTCAGCTCCTCGGGCTTGACAGTGGACATGAGCGACATCTGACTGGGCTGCGTGCGGAGCATCGAGACGGACTGTCGCTTCAAGTCTGACTGAGACTGCAGGAACGACGAGCGCTGATTGTGGACCCGCCGCGGTCGCGATCCATCCGGGAATCGCCCTGTATCTTCAAACAGAGCATTGTCCGTATCGGTGTTGGTCATGTCTGTTTCATCGCCGTCGCTGGTTTCAAAGCCCATGCCGACGTCACGCGCAGGCTTGGCTCGATATCCAGCGCGATCGCCTCGGGAGGTGTACTTGTCCGAGGATGGGCCGCGTTCAGTCTGGCTAGCGCGAGTCACGTATCCGATGACCTTGCCGTCTTCTTCAAAGTGCTCAACCAGCCGAGCGACGCTGGCAAAGACGATAAGCAGCCGAATGATGTACTTTTTGCAATCCCACTCCGGGTTGGCGTCCCACAGACTCCGCAGAGTGTGGATGCGGTCGTATACGTCCTTGCATGTGCCGGGAATCATCAAGGTGGCGAGGTCCATGTCGATGATGTCCGTGGCAATGGCGATCAGCTCCGTCAGGGCCGTTATGAAGGGCGATATTTGGTAGTCATCGTCGGACATTGGAGGGAGTATGCTAGACGGCGTGAAAGACTGGCTGAGCTTGGTCGGGATGATGCGGGGCGAGCGACTGGGGTATCCGGCTGATGGAGCCCAAGGCAAGACAGGCAAGGCATGTTGCACGCATGGCCAGATCATGCAGCACGCGAGCCCCGGTTGGTTGTGGAGCAAAGTTGGTAGTCATAGTTAGAGTTGCGTTGGCATTCGATCCGGTACCGACCAGCAAACAGAACCGACGGCCGAGTACAACCATGAGCGGTTGCCGTTGCGACACAAACGAGCAGCCACGAAGACTCCCAACACCGGCTCTCGAGCGAGCCCCCACTACTTCTTGGCAGGCACATTCGGTCGAGCGGGTACACAAACCTTCGATGGTATTGAGCTTCTGCGCCAAGGCGGTCGCTGACGGAGCGCTCTCAGGCACGGCTTGCGCGCCCTCGGGGAGCAGTTGCGGGCTTCCGGTGAGATTAATGCACGAGACTGAGGCCTCGCTCGCCTGATCCTGAGGCCCACGCGACGACAGCGACGTGGGCTCGTTCGAGAGAGACAGCAACGAGGGCATTTCGCTCAGGGCGACATCCTTTCCGGCTTCAGAGAGAGATCGGCCAGAGATATTCATTGTCACCGAGAGCGGCGAGCTGGGGGGTGGAGTGTGGAATCCGCTCATGGACCAACTCGATCCCCGTCGATGGAAATACTCGGTTCGCGAGCGCGACACGACGCTTGCACGGTTGCTGGTATGCGTGGTCGCCGATTCAGCGTTGGGGTCGACCCAGGCTTCACCCAGGCTGAAGGACTTTTGGCTCCGCAGCCCGCGCTCGACGTACTCATTCAGCTCCGAGATGAACTTTTGGAGGTCGGTATTGCAGATATTCTTGGCGACGCTGAGGGACTGGCGGAGCTCGCTAAACTCTTTGAGGTACTCCGACAGGTCGCCGTCGCTCTGAGATCGATGGAGACCCGGCATGCCGCTGGTGCTGCTTCGGTCGGTGCGACCATCCCTTCCAGGTACGGGCCGAGATTTGCGGGAATGAGAGGTGCCCAAGGAATCCAGCCGAGCCGAGCCGACACTGCTAGGACTGCCAGGACTCGTGACATTGTCGCGGTCGTTGTTGGGGGCTTGACCTCGGTAGGATGTTGAGATCGACAGCGGGCCGCGAATGTACTTTTTCTGAGGAGAAAACGTCCGCGACGACATTGTGGCGGGGGTGAACCGATTGCTCGAGTACGATGTCGAGAATGATGAGCGGCTGTCGGTGTCGTCGTCGTCGTCGTCGGCATCGTCGCCAGCATCGCCCATGTCCATGGCTCGAGCGTCGTCGCGGTAATCATCGAACTGGAACATGGGGCTGGCGGGCCGGATATCGCCATAGGCGAATGGGAACGAGTTGACGACAGGCGAGGTCAGCTTGGACGATCCTCCAGAGTTCGTGACGGTCGATGGCATGCGGCGCGTGAGCGCGGATGTGGTTGCATCTGCGGGGACGGCGTCCTGCCACGATGGCCAAACGGCTATGGGTGCCTGGGGCCTCCATTTCATGTTCTTGACCTGTCGCGATTTGTGCAGCAGCCGATGGGCAGCCTCATAGTCCTGCTGGTTGGTGACGGACAGCGTCGGGGATTCAGTTGCTGATGATGCGGCATCGGCAGGGACGGCCGTGCGGGTGGATCGCCGTTTTTGCAATGCCGGAATCAGGCGATCGGAGGCTGAGGTCAGGGTTCTTGGGCGGCGGCCACGAAGGGGCTCGACTGTGAATGTAGGGATGAAACGATGAACAAGCAATCGAGGAATGCAGTTGGGAGCGACAGCGGATCATGAAGCAACAGCAGCCATGGACCATATCGTGACGGCAGCCATGGACCATATCGCGACAGCAGCCATGGACCATAGAGCCGCATGCAGTGGGTACCTTCACTAACTGGTTTTGACGGAGAGGGCATAACGAGCTTTTCTGGAGAGACGTCATCGCGTACTATGGTCCCAGAGCGAGCATGAGTGCGAGCGTGAGTGCGGATGCGGGAATGAGCGTGGCTGGGCGACGAGAAGAGCAACACTACAAGCAGACTTACCGGACGATTCGTCCTGCGAGCACATGCCTGAGGCCAGAGCGGCATCCTTATCCGATATCGAGTCAAACGAGATCCGGGACGAGATGTGGACGCTCGAAGGTCGCAGTCGTTGGGGCTGCAGGTGAGGGCTGAATCTGAACGGCGGCGCAGTTGGGACAGGAACGGGGACGGCGCCAGATGCACCCCCGGGCTTGGCCAGCTGTTCGGTCGAGGTCTGCATCGGGCTGATCTGGGAGGGCGGTGGGTTCAGCAGAACTGGTGATGATGGTCGGGGCGACGAGTGTCTCCATTTGGGCAGATCAGGGAGAGACGTCGAAGCCGTGAGAATGTGTTTGGGCAGCGACGAGGTGGACTTGCGATAGTGGTTGGCGGCTTTGCCGTCGATCGAGTCTCGCGGGTGCGACTTGGTCCCCGAACGGCTCTGCAGCGGGTCGTCAGTCACTTCGGCAGCGATGACATCGTCGGCAATGAGCCGGAGGGCCTGCATCATCGACGAGATGCTATCGCGATTGCTGCCGAAGGAGCCCGGGGTTGGATCGCCGCGGCCCGAGACATCTCGACTGGGATCTCCAGGCAGGTCGCGCGGGCGGGCCATTTTGACACTGCCGCGCCTACTGGGCGAGTCGCCGCTTGTGCTGGTGCCTTTCAGGCTGTTTTCTCGGGAGAGTGTGAAACCAGCCTTGCGACTCAGGAACTTTGTTGGCCCGCCGCTGTAGCGACGAGAGGTGCCGACAGAAGCATCGTCCGAGCCACTGCCAGTGTCGCCTTCGGGTCCCGAAAGCGTCGCGACGATCGAGTGTCGGCTGCTCCGGCGACTCGAGGGAATCGGAATGGACTTTGCGGGACCATCGGATCCCGTAAGATCACTCGCGGTGCCTGGCATGGCTGGCTGCGAGAGCAGTTCGTCATGGTCCGGAAGAACCCTGCTTGCCTTTCGCAGGGTATCGGCAAGAGAGCGACGCTTGGAGATTTGAGACTGGGCAGCTGCGGCTGCGGCCGCAGTGACAGCGGCAGCAGCGTTCGAGGCGCTGAGATCGCTGTAGGACTCGGGTCGAACAGGATTCCTGAGGTCTGAGTTGGTGAGACTCTTGCGAGCGGACGGAGGTCGTCGGCTGTTGGGCGACGGCAGGTCAAACATGTCGCTGCCGTGGCCACTGCGCCGGGGCGACGGGCGACCGTCTGAGCTGGGCGAGCTGGTGTCGACCTCGGTTTGCAGTGGCGATGGGCCATGGTAAGACGGCGGCGATGTCGAGAACAGCAAGGAAGAGGAGAGGTCTGCAGCTGGACGACTGAAGGGAATGGCCTCGGGCTTGGGAGCATCGGAGACAACCGGCGCAGAGCCGGCGGTAGCCTGCTCGACCGCAGCTGGCCCGAGAGGCTGGATGCCGTCGAGCGAACTCGAGTTCGGCGTGGTGGTGGTGCTGGTGGTGGTGGTGGTGGTGGAAGCCGAGCTCAGCAGCGACTTTTTGCCGGGGGCCATGGCGTTGAGCGAATGGCTTCGGGGAGGAGGCGTGTTGACTTCGGTTCCCAGCAGCCGGGCGGCATCGCGCATCGATGCAGTGGTATGCGAAATTGGAGGAAGATGGGTGGGAGGCGGATGATCCACCGGCTGCTCTATCGGAGCAGCCTTGTGGGAACTGTGAAAGAACGAGGAAATCTTGTGGGCGGTATCATGAGCGGGAGCTGGAGCTGGAGCTGTTGCTGAAGCTGTTACTGTTGCTGGAGCCGGGGCTGATACAGGCGTTGATGCCGATGAAGAGCTCGTGGTTGAACTCGTAGAAGCCTTTGTATGGTCGGTGCTTGAGGAGCCAAAGACCGAGGCAAAGGGATTCAGCGGCGATAGCTTGCGCTCAGCCTTCGGTGGTCGGGAGGTGGGCAGCTTCGGAGTCGCAGGAGGATCCATCGCAAGTGCCGTTTACAAAGCTAGCGATCGAGGCGTTGATGAGCAGTGTCGATGAGCAGCGTCGATGAGCAGCGTCGGTGGGCAGTGTCGGTGGGCAGTGTCGACAGAGGGACGTGATGCGAAATTGCCAGGGTCGGGAAGTGGTTGTGGAGATTGCGGAAGGCAGTGACGATCGGGTCGGGTCGGCGATTGCGGCGACGACGATGGTTGGATCAACAATGCATATCCAAGAGGACGGTTGATGCGAAAGCGTGTCCAGAGGAAGAGTAGTTAGGCAATTTGAATCGCTGGGCCCGCAACAACAGCGGATGGCAAGCCCCGCCGGCAACAGCAATCCTGGACAAGCGACTGACAAAAACAACAAAGCAACGGCGCAGGCGGGCCTGGCAAGATGCGATGCCGGAACATGTCGCTATGGACGACTTGCTGGTGAGCCTCAGTCGACACCAGCACTACCAAGCAGCACAGGCAGCACAGGCAGCAGGACAGTGCTGGCCGGAGCCATCCGGGCCACGAAGGACCAGCCGCGCGAAGGAAACCTACCGAGATGACAGCAGCGACGGCGAAACGGAAGCGCGGCAAGGCCAGCGACAGCCCTGGACATGCACACGCAGGGAACGGGGGCTCGCAGCAGAGGGCCGGCAAGCGGCAGATGCGGCGATGAAGGAAGACGGGCGAGTCGATGCCGGCGGTCGATACCGGCGGGTCGTTGGCGGGTCGCAAGCGGGCGCTCGGTCGCCTTGCAGCCGTCGCAAAGGGCCGAAGAGGAGGGGCGGAAAGCGCAAAGCGATCGGCGAGAAGACAACGACGCGGCGGCGCGAGCGAGGGCGGCCGAGAAGTGGCCGAGAAGGGGCCGAGAGGGGCCGCGAGACAGCGGTGTGCGCGATGGCCGATCGGTCAATCGACAGAAACAAACAGCGCTGACGGCAACGGGCGAGCGAGCACCGATGGATGCATCAAGTCTTATATCAAACGGGTGTCGCAATACAAAGGATGCATCGCCATGCGCTCCACCGAACCGTCGTGGGACTGAGCCATCCAGCCGACGACAACGGCAGAGCGATAGTACAGTGCGCCCGTCTTGGCCAAGAGAATGATATCCCAACACCAATCGGCAACGTCCAAGCGACACCATCTGCCCAAGCAACACCGTCTGCCCAAGCAACACCATCTGTCCACAGGCACGGCCAGCAAGACCCCCCTCCGCGCTGCATCCGCGCTGCAGGCCCCAGTCCAGGCCGTGCGGATGGCGAGCCAGATGGCCTGCTGTCCAGCGAACTCCCCCATTGAACACATCAACCAGCCCCGCCCGTTCGTCCGGTTCACAAGAACGTGGTGCAGATGAATCGCCGTTCTTGCTATATTCAAAGGTCTGCTCTCTCTCTCTCTATTCTCGATTCTCGATCCTTCCGAGACCCAGACCAGAGAGGCCGAGCTCGTCGCAAGAGAAAGCACGGCAAGTGCCGGATTTCGCTCAGGCATGCTTGCCGGCAAACTCGGTCATGAAGGCAGCGAGCGCGGCGCTGGCCTCGAGCGGAAGAGCATTATACAGAGAGGCTCGGATGCCGCCGACGGAGCGGTGACCCTTGAGCTGCGACATGCGGCGAGCCTCGGCCTCCTTGACGAACAGCGACTCGAGCGCCTCAGAGGGCTGGCCATCCTTGTAGATACGGAAGGGCAGGTTCATTCGCGAGCGGTAGGCCGGCTGCACCGGGCAGCGGTAGAAGCCGCTCGACTTTTCGATGGCATCGTACAGCACCTCGGCCTTGCGGTTGTTGTGGGCCGTGATGGCGCCGATGCCGCCAATGGCAATCAGGTGCTTGAAGACCAGGCCGGAGAGATAGATGGCAAAGGTCGGCGGGGTGTTGTAGAGCGACTTGTTGGCCGCGCAGATCTTGTAGTCCAGGCAGACGGGGCAAGGAAAGTCGGGCGACTTGCGGCTCAGCAGATCCTCGCGGATAATCACCACGGTGACGCCAGCAGGGCCAATGTTCTTCTGGGCTCCGGCAAAGATAACGCCGTACTTGGACACATCGCAAGGACGCGAGAGGATGTTGGAAGACATATCGCACACCACGGGCACACCCGCGGGCACGGCATCGAAAGGGAACTCGGGGAACTCGACGCCGTGGATTGTCTCGTTATCGACATAGAAGACAAAGGCAGCGTCGGGTGAGAACTTCCACTCGCTGACCGGAGGGACAGAGCCGTTGTGGCCAGAGGCCTTGGTGTTGCAGACGACGTTGACCTTGGCGCCGAGGCCCTTGGCCTCCGCGACGGCCTTCTCGGACCAAGCGCCCGTAACGACATAGTCGGCGGGCTGGCTCTTGCCGCCGGGAATCAGGTTGTAGACAACGGCCGAGAACTGGGCCGTGGCGCCGCCCTGCATGAACAGGATCTTGTAGTTATCTGGCACGTTGTAGAGCGCCCGCAGATCAGCCTCGGTCTCGTCGTTGACCCTTTCAAACTCCTTGGATCGGTGCGAAATCTCCATCACCGAGGAGCCGGTGTTGGCAAAATCGAGAAGCTCGGACTGGGCCTTTTCCAGCACGGATCGGAAGAGCACGGCAGGGCCGGCCGAGAAGTTGTAGACAGGGGAGGTCATGGTAGGCTGGACGGAGCGCGATGATGTCGATGGGGCGTGACGATGTCGATGGGGCGTGCGTGGAGGACGACAGCGAGTCCCTTTTGAGGTTGCCGCAATTGCCAAAGGAGGATGGGGGCAGATCGCAAGGGATAGATTGCAGCCGTTTTTTCAGCCAGCACGGCGGCCCTATCTGGACCGGTCGCACAAGGCGATTCGTCACGAGCGTCACCTGCGCAATGGGCCACTTGCGCCGATGATGCTCGCCCTGGCTGCGCTGGCCACGACGAGATGGGGGATCAGTGGAGGCAGATATGTATTGAGACTGGTCTCGCAGCGAGGGAGGGGTGAAGTGGGCGACCCTGGGTTGGTCGACTGCTGTCAGAGGGGTAAGATGCATTCGCTTCGATGGCAGGAGCGCAAGATCGATGGCGGAGCAGAGTTCCTCCCGATGCCTGAGCAGCATGGCAGACTTCATGAAAGCCATCGGCACCGGGCTTCGGGGCATCGCCTGGTCTATTTGCTAGAACGGTGGCTCGGAGGCGGCCCACCTCTCAAAACCCTTCAGCGCCCGCTGGTGCAGCAGATCGACCCGTTCCATCAGGCCCTGGATGAACTTGACTGCATCCCGCCGCTTCGTCCGGGCCCTCTCAAAGCCCGATTCGCAGGCGAGGTCGTCAATCTTGAGTAGGGTCTTCATCAGGAACTCGCTGGCCCGGATGTGCTCGACGTTCAGGCGCTTAAAGACGGCCGCCAGATCGTCCGAGGCGTCGTCCCGGCTTTCCGACAGAGCGCTCACGACGGTGGAGTTGTATTCCTGCACGGCCGAGAAGAGCTGATCGTTGTCGTAGACGAGGCTAGTGATTTGGCGGATCACCAAGAGCTCGGCAGGAGACTCTGTGAGCTGCACGGACTCGGAAGGATCGTCTTGGGAGGTGCTTTCAGACGACGATTGGGCTGGCATCGGACGGGATTGCCCGCTGGGGCGGGTGCGAGCTGTGTCCAAGTCTCGGTCGCCGTTGCCCAAATCATCGTCACTGCCGTTGCCCCGGCCGTTGTATTGGTCGTTGTCATGGTTGCGGTGTCGATCCCGGCGATCTTCATATTGCCGCGGCAGCGGACTACGTTTCTGCGGAGAGTACCACGATTTCATCTTTGTCTTGGCAGTACGATTCGGGCGAGGTGCTGAGTGCAAGGATGGGTGTGAATGAGCTGTCGATTTGTGGGCCTTGTGGACCGGGTGGGGCTTTTTGTAGCAAATGGACGTCGGCAGATCAGTAATCCAGTCCATGCCGTGCTGCGGCTGACGAGGGCGATTGCCAAGCGTTGTATCCCCACAAGGAAACAAGAAGCTGCCAGAAGGGAGAGACCGATGGAAGCGGATCGGCGAGAACAGGAGCGGGAGGCGACGCAGTGAAGAGGATGTGGCGGTTCAAAATCGGGGATGGCGCTCCCCGATACTCACCCCGGGCTGGATATCATCATCGCCACCGGCTCCGTCTTCGTCGTCGTGCTCGCAATCGTTCGAGAACGAACGCTTGCGCCTCGGCAGCTCGGAGCCGTGGTTCGGGGCTGCGTGGTGGCGCTGAGGATAGCGATGCGGTTGGGGGAGGTCGAGTTGTTCGGACGGACTGGCCGCCCACGGATTCCAGCGATCAAAGAACATGATGCAGATGCAGATGCAGATGCAGGTATGGTGTGATGGGATGCGGTGTGAGCCGCGGTGGTGGCTGCGACAAGTGTCGGGCAGGAGCTATGGCCGTTGCTGGTTTTGACCGCTGGCGGCGTGCGAAAGCGGAGGCTGAAGCAGGCGGTGGTCGGGGTTGGCAGAAGAGCTGACCGGGAAGCAGCGGCCTGGCTCGGGCTGCCGTCGCGCTGGGTCGCCTGTGCGCCCTTGGTGGCCAAAAATAGAGCGAGCTTCCAGGGGCTTCCAGCGGCGACACGAAAGACCGTGGCGGATCTGGGCGGATCTGGATGGATCTGGGTGGATCTGGGTGGATCTGAACGGCTGGCCGCATGGGGCACGCCCCTGTCCAGGTTGACGCCCAGGTCGCCGACTGGCGAATCGCTCAGCACCGACTCCGCCAGACCACGGAGCTGGGTGGTTGCCAACAGCCAAGTGTATTGCAGGGGGGGGGCATGGACTACAATGCATGCAAGGCGGACCGTCAAGAGTCTCTACAACTGCACCGGGGGGACGTTGCGGCTTGTCGATGCCTTGACCCGTTCCTTTACTTGGTCCACTCGGTCCATCAGCCCCTGGACCAGCTTGACGGCATCCCGGCGGTGCTGCCGCGCCTGCACAAACTCCCCGCAATCGACGCTGTCGATCTTGATGAGCGTCTGCAGGAGCGTCTCCGAGACCTTGGCGTACTCGGTCTCGAGGTGCTTGACGGTGTATCCGCTGGCGGTGCTGATGCGAATGAACTGCTCGGCAACCATGGTGTAGTGCTCGATCATGGGCAGCAGCGTTTCGTTGGTGTAGTTGACAGACGTCGAAATCTTTGCGATGAGATCCTCTTCAGTGAGTGGCTGTTTGATGGCCGGAGCAGGGGTGGGCGTGGAACTGTATGAAGTCGTTGATGTGCTTGCTTGCGTTGAAGAGCTTGGGGCTGGGGCACGATCCGATATAGGCTGGCCGGAACAACGGGCATATCATCAGCATCTTCGACCAGTCGAGCTAGGGATGTATGCAAGCACCAGCAAGTATCGAGCCGGTCCTCAAGGCGACCTCCCATCACGAGCCCTGATGCACAGCTGACAAGCCAAGGCCGCTACCTGATCGTCTCCGATCATCATGATCTTGCTGCCAGCCTTGAGCTTGTACCGATGGAGGGTCGAGACAGGGTCGTTCATGTGCACTGTGCGGAAGCAGGAGATCACAGAGAGGCCGATGAGCTCCACGGGAACTCGTCTCTCGCTTAGTGTGAGGCGGCACGACATCGTCTGGTACAAGGCAACCAGTCGGCTTCAGAGGCCAGGGGACCGGATGGACATGACACATGGTCAATGCCAATACGAACGGCGAAAGGAGCAGGCCTGGCAAGTGCTCCCGATGCGCTTGCTCCAAAAACTCTGGCCATCAACGCCGTCCTCGAGCCGAAACGGGTTTCCTGGTGGGTCGGGGCCGTTGACGGGCCGGCGGCGGCCTCGTTGATGCATGCCATCGAGCCTCGCTCTGCTGCATCTCGCCCCGAGTTCAAGTGGATGGAAGCGGCTTTACCGAACGAGCCCTGGGGGGCCGGATCCGCGGGATATCCGAGCCACTTTTCGCACCACGAACGAGCGCTGTGATAGATCGACGACGGCGAGCCGTCAGGGTGGGAAGACTCACCGCCGCTGTGCAGGAGCTTGATCCGATGGGTGGGAACGCCGGTCTGCGCCGAGCACTTGTCAAGGAGGTCGCTGAGCATGACCCATTGTGTCCAGTTGTCGCCGACTCGGGCATACTCTTCGGCAAAGGAAACGTCAAACTTGGTGCCCTTCCAGGACACCTGAAGGGACATGATGGGCAAACACGAGCTTGGAGGTCAATCGCTAGACGGGCGGAGCGCAGGAGACTGTGGATAGACCAGAGCCCTGGCGAGTGCGAATGGATGGAGGCGAGCGGGTGGAGGGAGTCCAAAAGACGGCTGGGCGAAGCGACAGTCGGTGTCCTTGCACAAATTAAGGGCAGTGGTGGTGAGGGGGGGGGCTATGCTGGTTTTGCACAACGGGGCTGGAAGCAGGATGTATCGAGTAATCGCCCGCGGCAGTCAGAGATTCACACTCGCGGCGCACGCAGACGGACGATGGGTTGGCTGTGAATGGCAAGGACGGCGTCTGTCCCAGGCGGCAGTCTGGGCAGCAGTCCGGGCAGCGGGCAGAGGATGCAGATGAGATGGTGGATGAGGTGGTGGATGAGCAGGCCGCCCACGACGGCCAAGGCGGCTCTTTGCGCGGCCAGCGGCGGGCACGTGGCGTGGCTGCAACCGCTCCGGCCGGCTCCAGCCAGCGGCCAATGTCGATTTCGGCCGATCGGCTGGCGCGAGCGAGCGGGCCTCTTGCTCCATCGCCAACGACCCGACCCGACTCGATCCCAAGCACGCACTCGCCAAACATGTCTGCGATCCTGGCGGAATGGGTTGACCGTACGTAGCGCTGCGCGGAGGGTGGATCTCGGTTCTGTCTGCACATGCGTCCCAATAGACTCACTCGCATCGCTATCGTCTTGTCGATCTTGTCCGCAACCCGACTCGACCCGACCCGACCCGACCCGGCCCCGGCCCATGACACCGGATCGTTCATGTGGCTAGAGCGGGTTGAAATCATCACGCACGACGGCAGAGTGTATCTGGTGGGTACCGCCATGGCACAGCCTCGAGTGGGCGACAGATATCTTGCATCGTGACGTTGCGGATCGGCCTGGTGACCCAAGCCGGCTGTGGCAATCCATCGGCGGCGATATGCTATGCTGACATGTGCGATCTGCACTCATTCCGAAACACCCTCCCGCTCGCCCCTTGACGATGAACGGCAATGATGGCGACTCCGATATTGATGGCGTCGATGGCATCCGCTCGATATCGATAACGACGGCAATACACACAATCCCGATTCCGGTCCAATCGACGATCCAAGGGCACACTGAAGGGTCTGGACCAAAGTACAAACGTCATCCTGACAAATACCATCCTGCGGTCGTTCACTCGTGAGGGAACCGAAGACAGTCCTATCGGCCTCTTCCTCGTCCGCGGCGACAACATGTATGTGGAGACGCAGGATGCTCTGCTGGGGCGGTGCTGTTCCTTCATGGATCTGGATCTGGATCTGGATCTGATGGATAGGGAGCATCCGTGGGTGGATTCTGCCACTCAGATCGCATTGCTAACCTCCCATGCCGCTTCACCACCACCGCCTGCAATCGGTTTCGCGTCGGACATGTCGCCGTTTCTATGACCGATTGGCACCCTGCTGCTTGGTCCCGCGCAGTGCCCTGGTCGGTCAGATCGACGAGGAGGATGACCAGTCGATCCAGTGGGACCAGGTGCGGGTGGATCCGCTCGAGCCGATCCGTTACTGAACAGCAAAAGCAGCAACATCGGTCCCCCGGACACCCACTACGAAAGGAATAGCCTCGGACGGAGCTGCTTTGCTTTGTTCCGGATGCACGATTGCATTCTGGAAACCATCCGCCTCGGCCGGCCAGGACAGGAGCACGCAAACGAGACGGGCTGTGCACTGGCGACACTTGTTCAGGGCATTTGCTGGCCCACCTAGTTATTGAACAAGTTGTGATATGCCAAATATTGAACAGAGCAAAGCATTACATCTCTTCCAAGAAACGACGGGACGCCCCGGGGATTTCCGGAATAACAACAGAAAAGAAAAAATAGATATCATGCAGAGAGGGGAGGAGAGGGGGAAGTGGAAGAGAAAGGGAGAGGGAGGCAAGGGAGGCAAGGGCGGTGTCTATGTCAAAACAGGCGACATCGAAGCTGGTACAAGGCAGATACAAGCACGCGGGAGGATGCCACCAGGCCCGAGGAAGGAGGCCAGAATCAGGCAGCGCAACAAGGCGTATAACGATTTGGTTGCTCCGGTGCACATGGTTCCCACGCGTTCTTTGGCCGTGCTCGCTGAGTATTCTCCAGAGAGCGGGTCCGGCTGGCCTTGCGTTTACTCCTTGTGCTCCTCCTCGGGGGCGTGGCCGTCGACGGGGGTCTCTCCGTCGGCAGGTCCAGCCGCGGGCTCGGCCTCTTCAGCAGCAACAGGGGCAGGTTCCTCGGCGGGGGCGGCAGCCTCCTCGGCAGGGGCAGCAGCCTCTTCGGCAGGAGCAGCAGCCTCCTCAGCAGGAGCGGCGGCGGTCTCCTCGGCAGCAACTTCGCGAGTGGCCTCCTCGGCGGGGGCGGCCTCCTCGGCAGCAGCAGGAGCAGGAGCAGGGGCGGCCTCGGGAGCATTGGAGAGGGCAATGTTGTGGGCCTGGGCAGCCTCAAACTCCTTCTTGAAGGTGTTGGCGACTGGATGAGGGTAGCGGGTCGAGTGCCGGTGGGTCAGCGGTGGGACACACCAGATCTGAATCGGCCTGCTATCCGCCCCGAGCAAACAACATCAACGGAGCACTTACTGTCGCTGTTGGCGAAGCGGATGGCCAGGAGCTCGGACTTGGGCTCCTCATCGGCGTAGTCGGCAACAACGTGCCAGACCCAAGAACGGTCAGAGCCAACGTTGGGGGCGAGCTTCATTTCGGGAGTGACTGTGCAAGACGGCAGTCCCATCGTCAGTGAATCTGCAGAGGGCTCGAGCGACGACCGACAAAACGCCGAGCGGCAGAGGTACTTACTGAAGTGGTTGGCGCAGATCTTGAGGGTCTTCTCGCGGCGCATGAGGAGGCGGATCTTGGAGCTGCCCTTGTGCTTCAAAAGCTTGACATCGCCGGTACCGCGCTCCTTCCACTCGTTGCCGACCTTGTCGAAGCGGAAGAGCTTCGAGCGCCTGGCGACAAGAGACGAGGCCGCGTCAATCAGTATCGGGGACAGTTGCCATGGTTCGCCACAGCCGCTGCGGCGCAAATCATCGTTCGCTCGGATGCACCGGCGGGACCGACTGGCATTCGAGTTCGAGCCCTACATTTTGAAAACGACCTCCTCGTCCTCCTCGAGGGTCTTGATTTCCTGGAGCTCCTGCAGCTTGACGACGGGCTCAAAGTGGACATCCTCAGAGGGAGCGACCTCCTCGTGTCCTTCCTGCGTTGGTGCCAGAGCGCGCATGGCAGCGGAAGAGATGCATATTAGGTTACCGGCGCTGGATCGCAGCAAAAGGCCCGGTTCTGGCTCTGGCTCTGGCTCTGGCTCTGGTCCAGATGGGCTCGAGTCGAGACTGCTGGACAGCAACGTGTCTCGCCGACGCCAGCAACCCCATAAGGGTCCTGCCCAAGAATCCCAATGCAAATCGCGGTGGGGTCGATGCTGAATGGTGCTGTCTCATCGGTGTCGAAAACGCATGCGAGCTTGGCTCGCCCTCTGCCGCCGAGTCGAGGAGGAGGGGGCAGCTGTTGGTCGCACTGAATCTATCGGCGGAGACCCTGGTCGGCCGCAAGCAGCTGGGGCTATCCAGCGCCGAATCCGAGCCGGATGTGGTGCTGGAGACCGTATTTCCTACGCCAGCGCCTCGCTGGAACGGGAGGTCTGCATCGAAACCTCCGAAGCAGCGGGCATCCGCCCGGCTGGTGAACAGACGCGGCCGCCACCAAGATGTCCAGAATCGACCAGGGGCATTGGCCTTGAGACCCGAGCAGCATGCGCACACGGGATGCCGATACTCACAGCAGCAACGGCTTCTTCGTGCTCGTGGTCGGCCATGGCGATAGAGGGGTGGATGGATGGATGGATGGATGGGTGGATGGGTCGGTGGACGGTTGGACAGGCGGGTAGATGTGTGCTGCGGTCGGAATCGTCCTTGGGCAGATCTGGTCCGGGGATGCCGTTTGTATTGGACAGGCCGGGGGGCCATTGTCAAGGGGGCCTTGCAATCACCGCGCCCTGCGATTGGCGCAACAATCAGACACGCCTTTCGCAACAGCCCATCGCAGGCCCATCGCAGGCCCATCGCAGGCCTATCCCAGGCCCATCGCAGACAAGCTGGCCCCGGCCGGCGAGCGAGCGGCCATCCGAGAGATATCTGCTGGACCGACCAGCCCATCAGCGAGCTCAGCAGCGAGCCTAGCAGCGAGCCCAGCAGCGAACCCAGCAGCGAGCCCAGCAGCGAGCCATCAGGCAGCAGGATCGGTCACGCAACAATCAGGCTCCTCGCCCCTGCCGATCACACAGGGGCAAGGAGGCTGTTTGGCGATGCTGCTGCCAGTGTCACTCGTACTGCCGGGAGTGCGGGCGACGCTCTTGCGATTGATGTCCAGTGAGACTGCCCCTGCAAGGGCATATCCAGCAACGCCAGTTGCCACAACTTCTGTCGGCTCTGTTACTATCCTAATGCTGCGACTGGTGCTACTGCCGGTACTGCTGTCGTTGTTGCTATCGTTGCCGCGGCGGATATCGCTACCACGACCACTGCATTCACTCAGTGCTGCTGCGATTGTTGTGGCGATTGCGGCTGTCGCCGGCTTGGGCATGGCTGGCCGAGGGATGGCCCGCCAAAGCCCAGTCCCAGGAAGCAACCGCACCCAGCCCCGCTGCCCAGATTTTCTCCCTTCCGATCCTCGCTCTCGCAACTCGCTGCACCGACCGGACCTCCTGATCAGCTCGATACCGTGGGCGAGAACATCATGGCCATGCATCATCCCAACAGCGTCAACATGCCCCAGGACACTCGCGTGTCGCTTGCCTCGGATCTCAAATCTGCCCAGATCGCAAAGCCGCCGCTGCAGCCCGCGGCATCCCAGGCCCTTCCCTACACCATCCACGACTACAGCTCCTACTCGGCTAATTTTCTTCCAGAGAAAATCAAGCAAAACAGCCCGCAGGACCAGAGCTCCCGATGGGCCAGCGGCAGCCACAACCAGCTGCAGTTCATCACCCTCAAGCTCGACAGGATCAGCATTGTTCGTGCGTGACGCTTGTCTTCATTTTGCTGGCTCTCCGATACACGGCTTTGCCTCGTCTCTTCCCCCTCAGCATTCATGGCTTTCGTCTTGAGCCGCCTGCCCACGCACCCCAATATCCGACATCCCCATCCTGCTGCTTCCACATCCGACACGAGCAGCATCACCCGCGCTGGCGGCGAGTTGACGAGAGCTGCTCCCAGTGGATGCATCGGTTGGGCTATCCTCCGCTTTATTCGCCGCCCTTCGTTCGATCGATCCATCGTGCTCCTCTGATCGATTCGTCGTGCTTCCCCTGATCGATGCAAGTCCATCTTTGTCCGCGGCTGCATGGTCGCGTTCGCTTTGTTCGTGTTGTCGGCTCGCTCCATTTCCTTCTGGAACGCGGCCGCCCCTGGCTCGACGAGACACCACGCCAAACCCATATGCACGCATGGCTGATGCAAACCTAACCGACGTTTCCTTTGCTCGTCTGGCGATGCCACCAATGTCTCGCTGCGCACACAGACACGATTACCTTTGGCAAATTTCACAAGGTCCATGTCTGCAACCTCAAAGAGTTCAAGGTCTACGGCGGACTCACGCCAAACAGTATGTTTGAGCTCCTACACGGGGGTCTTCGAAACGACACCGAGCCAGAGACGTTTTCTCTCAAATTCAAAGCCAATGGCGTGGTAGGCTGCCTCGTTTGCTCTGCAGATGCACGGATTGCTTCCCAGATGCGCTCAAATGCACCGGACACCATCCTTGTTGATGATTCACTGGGCAATCGCGCTCCGTGTGGGTCCGTGTGCAGGTCAACTCGAAAGGGCCCACACCCTGCTCATTGATGTATACTTTACCAGTATTTCCCCTGCCAGTATATCAAAATCGCGCCGCTGCTCGCCTGGGGTGCAAACTTCAACTTCAGCATATGGTTCGTCGAGTTGCGCGGCATTAGCCAGTCCGAGCCGGCGGATCAGGCGTATGCTGAGTATATGAACGTAAGCTGGACTTTGCCACTACGCGCTGGTCGTCCCAGTGTGCATGTCACGGTCTGGTGAACGGCCGCGACGACAGTTCACCCTCTCTGCCCAATAGCCATTGATAGTACTCTTGCGCTGCCGTCGTTCCATCGTTCTGATGATGCCATTTCCATTGTTGACATAGTATCGAGAGAACGAAGTAGTCCGCCTCTGTCTCAAGCACTTTCGACAGAGAAACCAGCTCGAGATCTTCGAAAGCATCCAGCGACGCACCAAGATCAAGCTGGAGGATCCGCTCCTCACCGATCTTCATCGCCATTTGGTCAGTCGACAGCCGATGCAGTTTCTCAGCCGCATTCGCTCAGTCCCTTGGCCGTCACAGCACAGCGTGAGCTAGTTCTTCTCAGATGGTACACATTCGTCAGTCTGGCAGCCATAATTGACACCGCTGTGGTCTATCATTCATTCACCACGCCGTGTTCAAATCATGAACGCCTTCAGGTGGTCAACGGAGACTTTGCTGCGGCCGAGGACGTGATCCAGGACGCAAGCCAGCGCAGTTTGTTCCAAGACTGGATCAGGCGCAGCGTCAGCTCGAACGGATGCAAGCCGGTTTGGAAGCGTATTCAGCCGGCCACTGGAGGTAACACCTTACCGCAACCTGAACCGGGGCCAAGCGGGGCCCAGCGGGGCCCAGTGTCGCTCGTGACTGACCGATGCATGTATGGCATCTTTAGAAGGATGCCCGTCGAGCAGAGGCGGACACCAAATGTGCATCGATGCAGAGGTGGGTATCCTTGGAAAGTGCAAGCGCACGTGTACGGATGATGTGTGCTCTCGGGCAGATCGGCTGCCGATGCCGCAGCTACTTTTGACGACCCTGCTCGAGACTCTTGCTTTCGTATGCTCACTATACTGGTACTCTGCTCCTTCTCTGAGCTAGTGTGGGAGGATCTACCTGTTTGGCGGATGGGACGGCTCCAAGGATCTCGCGGACTTTTGGGTCTACGACCGCACTTCGTTGCGCTGGCGCTGCATATCCCCAGACACACGAAGGTGAACGGCCTTGTTAATCTTCATCAGTGCCGCAAAGGACGGCTACACGTTGCTTCTTTGTCGCTACTACTCGCCTCTACCCATCCACACGCGAGCCCGCCTACTCTGCCCTTTTATTCACCCACTTTCTCCTTCTTCCGTTGTCAGGCAAGGAGGACCCGGCCCGCGCTCATGCCACAAAGTGTGCATAGATACTCGCAACAAGATAATCTACACCCTCGGCCGGTACATCGACACAGACCATCGCCCCATCATGAATCTGGACGCGGATTTTTGGAAATACGACGTCTCCCAGGACAAATGGACAAAGATCAGCGAGGACACAACGGTACGCCTGCGGAGCGTTTCTCCAGACGGACTCGCCATCTTGGGCGAATGGTGTCCATTTTCGCACGCTCATAGCCTGGTGCATCCCGATCCTTGTGGCTTTTGCATCCGCGACTCTACCGCACCCTGATTCACCTTGCTTTGATTCCTCAACTGCTATTTCCGACTGCAGCAGGAGGGCGGCCCCGATCTGATCTTTGACCATCAAATGGTCATCGAGGAGAGCACCCAGGTCATCTATGTCTTTGGCGGACGGCGGGTGCAGGCCGGCCAGGACGCCAACCAGAGCGTTTTCTCCGGGCTCTACGCCTACAACATTCGGGACAATCGCTGGAGCCTCCTGCGAGAGGACACCACCCCAGCCGACCACGCTGTCCAGATGAAATCCCGGGTCGGACACAGCATGCTGCTGAGTCCCGAGACCCGTGAGCTCTACATCTTTGCTGGCCAGCGCTCGAAGGACTATCTCTCGGACTTTTATGTCTACAACATCGAGTCCGACACCGTCCATGAGGTCTCGCGCGATTACTCCAAGAAGGGCGGCCCCAACCCGGGCTATACCCAGCGGGCCACCATCGACCAGGAACTGGGCGAGCTCTACGTCATGTCGGGCTTGATGAAAGACAAGATGACCTCGAACGAGCAACTCCGGAACACCTTCTGGATCTACAACATCAAGCTGGACACGTGGACGCGGGTCTATCACAACGATAGCAACCCGGACGAGGAGTACTGGGAACGCATGGCCGACAAGGAGCCCCGCCCTCGATTTGCTCACCAGCTCGTCTATGACTGGACCCAGAAGGTGCAGTACATGTTTGGCGGCAATCCTGGCCTCAGCACGAATCCAGGGCTCCGGCTCAACGACTTTTGGGCTCTGAGTCTGCAGAGGTATGTACTCGAGGGCTGCGACCAGCCTGTGGCTTTAGACTGGAAGGGTACTGGCAATCTGCTCTGCCCAATCCGAGGCTGCGAGACCGTCATGATCCAGGATCCGCGATCGGCTGCAAAGCAGTCCTCGTCCAAGACCTGTCTCTGGGACGTTGGCTATCTTAACCCACTGGCACTGGCTGATATACTCTTTCCATCATCCATTTGGGCCAGACCCCGCAACGAGGATATTCTCAGGCACGCAAGGTTCTTTATTCGCAAGCAAAAGTTCCGCGAAATGTGCGTGAGCCGAACACACTCGCCACAGCAGCTCCTCCACTATCTCCAAAATGACCTCTCCGAAGTTGTTGACCACGCCGACCCGCACGAGTCTAAGAGCTTCAGAGAGCTCACGAGCTGGCTCTTCATGTGGAACACCTTCAAAGGCCCAGGCGGCACCCCACTGTTTGGATTCTCAGACTCTGCGACGGCTGGAGGACATCCTGCAGGCCATCCTAGCGCGCAGGCAAACAACTTTGGAGCAGGGGGCATGGTTGCGATGGGCACCGATTCAGGTGAGCGGCGACCAAGCCTATCGGGGGGGGGATCGAATACAAAGATGGTAGCAATCGCAAGGGCCGCGGCGATGGAATCGATACCAGCCACCCCCGATACCAGCCACCCCCGATACCAGCCACCCCCGATACCAGCTGCTCCCAACATGCGATCTGAATCTCGAGAATGGCGATCGATCCAGCGTGCTGACCCGTCTTCCTTCCCTATTGATGCTGGTGCAGGAAACCTTCCGAACGACATCTACTCATTCCGAACGGAGCTGTACTCCAGGTTGATAGAGTACTTTCCCGAAGAGATGCGAGAGCCCAAGCAAAGCCTCGTCGATCTTGTGCCGATTATTTGATCGTCTGAGCTGCGGAGCATTAGCTGCTGGCGCCCATGACTCTGGCGATTCCGCACGAACCATGCCCGTTTCTCCACTGCGGTCTGCACGCAACGACACAGGACACCCTGGACTTTTGAGGATGGCTACCATATTTCGCATCTGGTTTCTGAATACATGCTCGCCCATTTCATCCAGCGACAGGTCTTGCGCTATGAAAAAATTACTTGTTAAAAAAATGAGCGAGAACGACAAAACGCGCTCTCGGAGCCACCTCGGTCGGCGAGAAGAGCAGTCTCTGGCGAGAGACCCCCGAGGGAAGGCGAGAAGCCTCTCGCCGTCACACACACACACTTTGCACAAGGGAGTCAAACACCTCCCATCGACCATCCCAAGAGTGATGGCAACCCCGAAGTGGACTGCCCAGAATATGGGCGACCCGGCATCCACTGTCGAAATGCACAAGAAACAGTGCAATATACTTACAGTCTATCCAGAAAGAAACGGGACACTTCCCCTTTCTGGCTTCTGAACCCCGCTGACTGACTTGTAGGCCCAGCGGGTAGGCCATGGCATTGCACTCCTGTCTTCGTTGGTAATCTCTTTGTTTTGGTTGGTCTCGGGAGCACAGTCTTGAATACACCCGGTCGATCTCCATGGGCGATGATCGACTGGCATACCGAGATCATGTTCCTGGCTGCATTGATGTCTCGACCCCACAGCGTATGGCAGCTTGCACAGCTCCGGACAAAGTGTGGTTTCTCGATATCAAGATACTCGGGTGACTCAAGTCGCTTGAATTCCCGACAATGTGAGCACACCTGGGATGTGTTGAACTCGTTCACCGAGTACACATGGATCTTGGAGACGGATCGGTCTGGTGGGCGTCTCTGGTGATGGTGGAATTGCTCAAAGTACTTGGCAAACCTGAGTCTCCTGGGACTGGATGCATATCCCTTCCCCTGTTTCCAGGATGCATTCCCAAAGGCAATCACCACTTCGGTCTCCTTTGGTGCCTGGTCGATGACTTGCTTGCACATCTCGTGGACGGTGCGCTGTCGTTTGCTGTGGAGATCGAGTCGCTTGAATCGCCGTCGCCGGGTCAGGCTGAAGTACAGCTGTTTGTCCAGCATGTCTCCATCGAACACATGGCGAATGTATCGCAGGAAGGAAGCCAACCCGGGGATCTTGGGACTTGGTGTGGTGCTCATCCATTCCTGCAGACCAAGGATCTTGTGGGTGCTCTGGATCCACTTGGTCGCCTGGGTGGTGCCTTTCACTTGCGGTGAACCATCTGGCGAGAAAATAGCGACGATGGCTAGTCCTGTTCTTGGGGAAGAGAGAATCTCCTCAAAACCAGCGCATTTTGGGCTGGCAGAGTTGTTGTTCACAGTGGCGTCCTTGATTCAGATCCAGAAACGCATCGCTCGCTCAATCAGTCGTGGGAAGACATCTTGTCAAGGTGAGTCTTGCCTGATAGCCAAACGATCATGTCATCTCGCTGACACACAACCACGCTTGACTAGGTTTCCAACCAGAGAGATTCAGATGGTGGTGGTTCTTGTCCGCAATCGGAGTGGAGCTTCCAACAATGATACAATTGGTCATTCCTCCACACCAATCGCCCACCATCACCGTCAATCGGCTCAAGGTGATACCAAATGCCGTCAACCGACCATGGCCGGATTCCAACTTTTGCTGCATCTTGGTCTACAGCGTGTATTCATATTCGAGATGAGCAGCCGTGAGGGGGACGGAAATAATTGATAGTGATGGTTGAGTTTTGCATGCGCAGCACGGCCTTGCTGCGACTTGTGCTGTCCTGGTGTTGTGTTCTGCCTTCTGCCTTCTGCCTTTTGCCTTTTGCCTTCTGCGCTCTGCACATCCGTCGGTCGACAACTGCGATTCAGAGGTCCCTCGGCGTCCAGCACCTGGCCAGAGGACACCAGAGCTGTCTCTGTGCGTGAACAGATGGGCATGATGGCGCCTCGAATTGCTGTCCGGAGGCTTCGAGCGGCCGTCTCCCGCCAGTATGTCACAGCAATGTCCCCTTGGCCTACCTCACATCGCCCCTCATCGAAGCTGCTACTGTACTCGAGCATAGGCATCGTCTCGGCTGGCCTGGTCCTCGGCTGCATCGGATACGTCGGTGCCCAGCCGGAACGCTTTCCGCGAGCAAGCCGCATTCTCCGGTTCTGGGGACAGATGCTCCCAATCTTCCTCGACTACAAGCTGACGCAGTTCCAGGTGCGCTCCCAGGAACCAGAGGAGCAGGAGCAGGCCTTTGAGGCGCTGCACTCCCGGTATGCCCGCCAAGTCAAGGACCTCATGGTTGAGCTGGGCGGGCTGTACATCAAGGTCGGCCAGGTGGGAGCGATGCGGGCTGACTTTGTCCCCGAGACGTACCGACGGGAGCTTCAATCGCTGCTGGACCAGGTGCCTCCGCTGCCAGGACCGAAAGCCCGTCAGATTGTGGAGCAGGCCCTCGGCCGCAAGATCGCCAGCGTCTTCCAGGAGTTTGAAGACACAGCCTTGGGAGCAGCGTCCATCGGCCAGGTGCACCGAGCCAAGCTGCATGACGGACGGGAGGTCGTTGTCAAGATCAAGTATCCAAGCTCATTCGAACACTTTGCCGATGACGTTGCGACTGTCAAGCAGGTATGGCGATCAATGACAAATGGCCGTGCTAGTCTGGCCTGGGACATTTGGGATTGGTGCCGACTGCATCTATTCCATTCCACCTTGATGTCGATGCTGCTGACTCTATGGCTTCGATTGCTCTGCCAACCTGGCACCCATGACGACACCGCTGCTGTCGGCCATCTCTTGCATGCACCTCACGACTGCCGCCCCGTCTCCCTGCCGAATCGGCGATTGCGGTAGTTTGTGGTATTGGCCCAGCCCGACCAGGAGCCTGTTATGGACGAACTTGGGAGACAGTTCCTCAGCGAATTCCACTTTGAACGAGAAGCCCAGGCCCTCCAGCGGGTCCGCAAGAACCTCATGCCTTTCTTCCGGAACATCGTTGTCCCGGAGCCCGTCTTAGAATATTGCAACCAGGACGTCATCGTTATGGAGTACATCCCGGGCGTCAAGTTGCTCGATGGCATCATGCACGACTACGAACGCCAGGCCCGGCGGGCCGGATTCTCGCTCCAGTACTTGCAGGAGCACGCCGGTTCGCTGACCCGTCTGGAGATGCTCCAGCTGTGGGCCGCCTGGGGCCTGGGACACATCAGCGATACTGTTCAGATGGCTGGTGCGCTGGTCCACAACACTGTCTTGTCGCCGGTGACGGGCCACACACTGCCCTATCCGCAGCCCAGCGTCGATCAAGAGAGGCTTTACAAAACCCTCCTCCGTGTCCATGGGCATGAGATCTTCGTCGACCGCTTTTTTCAGGGCGACCCGCACCTCGGCAACATTCTTCTCACGCCCGAGGGCAAGCTGGGGCTTATCGACTATGGCCAGGTCAAGAGTCTGAGTGAGCACGACATTGCCGTCCTTGCCCAGCTGTTTGTCTTCATCGCCGACCACAAAAAGGACGAGGCCGTGCAGCTCGCCAAGCAGGTTGGATTTGAAACCGAGAAGAACGACCCGTATGTGCTCTACCAAACCATGGTGGTGGCTCTGGACCGCGACGACACTGCTACTTGCGAAGGTAAGTGGCGGCGCAATCAGTCATAGACTCCCATTGTGAGTGGGGTCTAGGTCGTGTGGCAATCTGCTCTGCACTATGTATTCTTGCTGGCCACTGTTCTCATTTGCCCGTCTGTCTCAACCACAACTCGGCCGAGTCCAGGGATGAATCCGCAACAGTACATGGAGCGCCTCTCGAAGCTCGACAAGACTAGAAGCATCCCCGAGCAGTTCGTCATGGCCGTACGCACCGCCATTCTGCTGAGGGCGGTAGGATACCTGATGGGCTATAGAAGCGTCTCGCTGGCTCAGGAATGGCGGCCGTTTGCGGAGCATGCACTCCGACAGTACGGCCATCTACTTGAGCACGAATGAAGGGCTGCTCATGGATGGTGGACGATGGATGGGTGTATTCAGGATTCGGAAAACAAGATAACCCGCCTGGCTCAGAACAGGATGTCCTGTCTTGTTTCGTTTTGGGTGCGCTGTAGATTCCGTCTGGGCATATGTGATTTTTGGTGGTGTGCACGTCGTGTCCACAGAGGAAGGTCGTGAATCAGTGGAGAAGAAAATCGGAGGATACGATGAGGGCTACGCGTGGTTGTGGTTGCTATCGTGGCTGTGGTTGCTATCGTGGTCGTGGTCGTGATCATGATCATGATCATGGTTGTGGTGGTCATGGCTTTCGCCGGGGTGGTCGGACTCGCCGTTCTGCGAGTCTCGAATCAGCGGCCGCGGCGAAGGGCAGCAAACTTGCGCGTTGCACTCGGCGCTCACGCACTGCAGCAGACAGGCGTCTACCGATACGTCTGGATTGGGTTGGCTCGCACTTCCACTGGGTGAGCTGGGCCGGACAAACTCGGGTTGGATCGTGGTCGAGTGGACGCCAACGGAATGCAGCAGAACCTTGATTTGGCCGGCAATGTTCATAAAGCTGCTCTCGCTCTCGGTTTGCTGCCTGATCTCGGAGCTGCTGGCAACGACTTGCAGATGCTTGGTCTCGACCCGTTCGATTTGGTCCTTGACACGAATGTGGACCGACGCAATGACCTTGGTGTCGGACAGCTGCCAGATGTGCAGATCGTGGATGCCGACGATCTGGAAGACGCGATGAGATTAGACAGCCTGCCATGGTTGAGAGATTCGTTCGTCCTCGGGTTCAAGACTGGCCGCAGGACCAACCCGATTCTCCTCTAACGACAGAGCCACCGCCTGGAAGCCCATCGCCGGCGGTTGGGCCGCGACTCGTGGCGACACGGAAGGAGCCGGAGCGTGGTGCATCAAAAGCCACTTACCCCCGGGATCTCAGATATCTTGGTCTTGACATCGTCAATGTTGATCGACTGCGGAACACCGTGCAGCAGGATGTAGCATGCGCTTTGAACCAGCGGGACAGTCGAGTGGATGATGATGCCCGAAATCAACAGCGAACAGGCGGGATCCATATAGTACTTCCAGTCTCCCTCGCAGAAAATGACGACCAGGGCGCTAATGACGACAGCGACACTGCCCAGTGCATCGCCAAGGACGTGCAGGAACACGCCCCGCATGTTCAGATGGCTGTGTCCAGACTCTTTCTTGGGCGAGTCGATCTCGGCGCTGTTGAGCGAATGCGCTCGGGATGCTCGGAGGGCCTTGGCTTTGTTGATGATGTTGAGCCGCGACTGCCCCTTTTGGATCTTGGGTGCCGGGGAGGGATCGATGTCGATGATGCTTTCGAACGACTGGGTTGTTTCAACAGCCAGGCGGGAGCTGGAGGGCTCGCCGTCAGAGGGGGTGGGATTTATGTTCAGGGCGCTCTTGGAGCCGTGGTTGGAGCGCGAGATGCTGTCCTGGGTCTTGGAGTTGTCGTCCTCGTGCTTATGCCCGTGGTCGTGGTCATGGTCATGATCATCGTGATCGTGCGAGTGGTCGTGACCATGATCGTGCGAGTGGTCGTGACCATGATCGTGCGAGTGGCCATGGGAATGTCCGTGAGAGTGGCCGTGGCCATGTTCTGAGTCGAGATGCGAGGGGATGCGCAAATGAGCACAGGCACAGGCCGGTGTTGTTTAGAGCAGCGACGACCATGGTGCAGCAGCTAGCGAGACGTACCGTGAAACAGAAAGAGACTGACGATGTTGAAGAGCAGTCCAACGGCGCCAACGATGAGCACCAGCCACGGGTTGTCCATGTCTGCAGGATAGGGAGCAGCGAAGCAAGAGGCGTTAAAGCTGCATCGGCTGACAGGACCTGGTGCTAAGCCAGCGGGCAAAGAGCCAAGGAGGATAGGTTGGGCACTTACGACGTTCCAGAGAGACGAATCGCTGGATGGCTTCGATGATGATGGTGAAGCAGAGGGCCAGCAGAAGTACACCGTTGATGAGGGCGCCGAGCACCTCGGCACGCTGCCATCCATAAGTGTAGTTGGAGCCGTAAGCCTTGGTGGCGAGCCTGATGGCATACCAGGCAACATAGAGGGCAGCCACGTCTGAAATCTAAGCGATGGGTGGTCGGAAGAATGAGAGCGTGCGGGAACATTAGGGCCGAGCTGGGCGACTGTGACTATTTCTTGTGGCGGCCGTGATGAGGCTTATGGCCGACGAGGAAGTAGGAGCCTAAAGGAAAGAATAACGCAGCAAGGACTTTGAGGCGGGTGAGGGAATCGACACGAACCATATGGAAGCTGTCGGCAACGAGAGCCACGGACTGCGTCGTGTAGCCCACAATGATCTCGAGGAGGAAGAAGACGGCCGAAAGCCCGCCGGTGATCAGGATCTTGGTTTCTCGGCTGAGTGGCATCGCGATGGAAGACGATGGAAGAGGGACGGCGGTGTGGTGGGGTGCAGCCGACGACGACTCAGGGAAGGCGGTGCCCTGGAGAGAAGGTGTGGGGTGGCCTTGGAGGATGGGAGGGCGGGATCAGCGGCGGGAGGACGGGCGCTTTATGGCTGGGTTGTGGGCAGCAGGAAGGTACTTGCCCAGGCGGCCGGGGAGGTACTGGGGGCACTGGGGAGGTACTTGCGCGGGCGGGTGAGGTACTGGCTGGGGAGGTCGTCGCAGCGCAGCGTGCCAGTTCGCGGGGCGGGCGTGGATGGGTATGTGCATGTGCGAGATGAATATGCGATGCATATTTGGAATGTGTATTCGGGGTGTGTATTTGGAATGTGTATTTGTGGTGAATATTTGGGATGCATATGCGATACGGAGCTGCATGTATGGGCCGTCTGGGCCGTCTGGGCCGTCTGGGTCGGCGGCAAAACGAAACGACTCTGGGTTGAACTGTCGCATGGTGAGTCACGACCACGCTCGGGTGCCTTTCCAGCCAGCCAATCGACAAAAATCGGGACACCACGGATTTTGGTCGCTGAAATATGCTGTTGCCTCAAAACATCGTGCGCTGGCCATGACCGTTCAGTGATGTGTTTCTGGATCCGAATCAAGGACGCTTTCTCGCACAGATGGCTCCCTGCAAGCGAAGGGCACTGTCACGAGATGTGAAAGCAAGATGTGCAAGCGAGTCGTGGATCAGGCACCAAGGGAGACCGATATTGTGATTGCCTTTGGGAATGCCTCCTGGAAGCAAGGGAGGGGATATGCATCCAGCCCACGGAGACTCCGGTTCGCCAAGTACTTTGAGCAATTCACACACCACCAGAGACGGCCACCAAACAGATCCGTCTCCAAGCCCCATGGATCAGCAGACTTGTGTCGCTGATGCCAGAAAGTGACTGTCCCGTTTCTTCTGTACAGCGATTGGCCGTTCTTGTGTGTGTCAGCGATATCGATACAGGCGTGTTGGAAAGATAATGGGACACCGTCTTCTCTTTCCCGGGGACTTGGCCACTTGGATTCATGAATGCGCTTTCTGCGACCAGCTTGCCGTCAGCGAATCGCTGGTTTCCAATGGCTCGGGTCCAGCAGCGCCATTGCTTCTGCCTCCCATCTATGCCCTTCCATCACATCCTCTATCACATCTACCACATCCATCACATCTACCACATCTACCACATCGCTCCCGCCCAGGCCCGCACGTGCCAGCGCATGCCGAGTCCCGTCCTCGCTGGCTCCGAACTTGCACATGCTTTGTGATACTCTGCCGATCCAGCGCTTCGTCGAACACTTCCGCCCTGGAGGGCATCAGCGTCCCTCCCCGCCTTCTTCGTTGGATTTCTGCCGAGCCGCCTTCCTCGACATCACTCTGAGCCGCCTCCCATCACTCCCAGGCCCTTTCCCAGCATCTCCTCCCCTGTTGGCAACAGCTCCCAAGAGCCACTCGCCCGCCCACCAATCTCCTTGCCACTGTCGCTGCAAACATGAGCCGCAGAGCCCTCTCTCGTCGCTCCGCCCTGACCCGGAGCGACATCTTTATGATGGCTGGCGCCGCTGCGGTCGGCGTCGGCGCTCTCTATCTCCTGTTCAGCTACCTCTGCAAGCCCTCTGGTCCATCACCTCAGCCGGACCCGCTCGCCGATGGTGCTCCCGAGCTCTCCGCCAGTTCCCTGCAAGCGCTCCGCCAAGACACTTCTCGCTCCTGGCCCTGGAGCAAGTCAAAAAAAGTCCTCACCATTTCTGCAAAAAACGTATGTCAGAGCACCCTTGTCTCTGCCTCTGATCATCGCTCTCCGTCATATTCCTGTCGCAAAGTGGCCGCCTTGTCGCTGTTTGCATCCTCGTCTTGCGATCATTTGCATCGTCGCTTCCATATCTACCGGGTGCACCCACAGGCGCATTCATCCCCATATTCGCTCCATTGACTTTTGTCCATCTCTTGGCTTCCTATCCACTGCATCGAATCTATGCTGTGCCAACAGGTCCTTCTCTGGAACCCCTCGCCCGATCCGTCGCAACCCAACTTCGCCTTCCGAGAGAGCTGCATACCCTTTCTGCAGAACATGCTGCAGCACGGCCGCTGGCTGATCCACATCATCGTCGTTGTCTCGTCAGACAAGGAGGAAGAGCAGATCAAGGCCTTGTTCGAGGCATCGGGGCTCTACGAAGCGGGGCTGGACCCAAAGCGAGTGCTGTTTTGCGAGTCTGAAATGGGCAAGTCCCACATTGTGCGCCACATCAACCCGGCATGCCATGTCGACGGCTCGGATCAAGTCATCGAGTACCTGGCTACCGTCCTTCCACAGGTCATCCGAATCGACCCCCAGAGCAGACTCGAGGCTGCGGCACTGGCAGCAGTGGCCCCGGCTGCCTCCAAGGATGCCGATCTGATCACCCCCGACTCTGCTCTCGCCCATCCTGGTGCTGGCCGTCCTTCCTCTGCGGCTCTGGAGAAGCCACTCTCGCGCATGTCGTCGCTACGCAAGTCTACCAGCCTAATGGCCCTCAAAAACCCGCCACGGGCCTCGCCGCCGTCGCCTACGATTCTCTCGCCCTTGGACACCATGCCGTCGCCCGAAGCCCTGCCCGATGTATCGGCACCCCCCGGCTTGGCCAGAAGAAGCAGCAGCGGACTTTCTGCCAGTGCTCTGAGCCGCCTCGGTGTCAAGACATTCAGCTCAATCTCCCTCATCGACATTGAGTGAGCGCCAATCCCAGCACCCAAGTCAACCCCACAGCCGCTTCACACAATCGCAGCTTTTGGACCGGCCGCCTGTTCAATGGCGGTTATCGTTACCTGTGGCCAATTGCCAGTTGTAGCGCACCCATGTCCTCGTTCGTAAAGGTGCTCCTTTGCACAGCCGGAGCCTCAAACATCGTACCACTCTCCAGGACCCGTATCAGCTGCACAACGCTACCGAGAATCCTGCAGGCAATCCTCCCGCATGCTTCTGCAATTTGGCCTCGCCTGTCCCTGTGCCCTTCATCGAATCCCTTGGGCTTACCGCACTTTACAATAGCCGCCAACATGTTTCGCCCGATTAATTCATACAAGTACCCGTCCTGCCCGCAACTCGTCGCCTGTGTCAGCAAGCGCGACACATATCCACCCTCTTGAATACACCCAGTCGATCCCTGTGTCGACAATCGATTGGCATGATATCTCGGTGTGGGAGTGTGGCGCATTCATTCGACCCTCTGGGCAGCTCAATGGTCTCTCGAGATCAAAATACTCGACCTTTTCGAGTCGCTCAGCGCCTCCGAGTACTGTGGGCACGCTGTTTGGTCACGGTGTGTGTGTATTCAGGCCTGGAAATCAACGACCACCCCCGCTCAAAACAGGGTCACCTGTATCGCTTGGTCTTTACTGTTGGGATCCATGGCGAAATGTGAGCGTTGCCAACGACCGGCTGTCGAGTGCCGCAGCACGATATCACCTCGTTGGCTCAGTTGGTATCCATACTACTGGGGTGGATGCCTACAGGATTGGAAGATCGCCAGTAAGGATCGGAGCAGGTCCCTACAGAATGCAGACCGCTCATTGTCCCAGCATTGGAGAAGAGCGCCCGCTAAATTACAGATCGCGTGCCGAGGCAGCCCGTCGTTGCAAATGGGCTCCTCAGGTTGGCGCTCACCTGTGATCTTGCCAGTGGCCGGATCGGATTTGATCAAGAGCTCGTGGACCTTCTCGATCGATTTGAAGTATCGCACCGTTTTGACGTGGAGCTCGAGCGTGGCGTCTTCGTCGCAGACAATCATGCCACGGGGATGCAGCTGGATCGCCGAGACAGTCCACTAAACTCGCAGGGTTCGCAGGCGTAGCAGACTCGCATCAGCTGCAGACAATAGCTTGTCGCTCTGTGGCAAGGCTCAGGCAGCAGTCGCACTCACCATGTGGTTGAGTCCCTCCTCAATGCACTTTGCCAGGGCGAGGGCCTTGTGGGCACCCGTGATGAGAACGATGACTTCTCTGGCGTCCATGACCGTGCTACAAAGCGAGACAGCCAGAAGTAGTTAGTGGGATCCCCCCCCCCAAAGAGCCAGTGGCAATCAATCGTTTTGAAAGAAGAGTCGAAGAATACTCAAGTGCACACAAGATGCGCTTTCACTGTCAGAGCTATACCACCGCTTGGAATCCAAGCACCCGCAAGTCCTCTCTGGCCGCCACAGAATCACTCACAAGCGAGCTCGATCGACCAACGTAAGTGCTCAGTGCCGACAGTCCAAATGCACGATCACTGCGATGTACGTACGCAACGCCGACCGTCAAGGCCAGCTTGGGAACCTTGTTCACGTCACCGCCAAAGAAGCGAGAGTTGGCGATAATGGTCTCGTAGGCCAGGGTCTTGATGCGGGTTCGCGACGAGAGCGACGATCCCGGCTCGTTGAAGGCAATGTGTCCATCCGGACCGATGCCGCCGAGGAATAGCTCGATGCCACCAACGGCAGCAATCTTTTCTTCGTACTTTTGGCACTCGTGCTCCAGATCGGGTGCGTTGCCGTCCAGGACGTGGGCGTTCTAGAGTCGGTCCAATGGAGGGCTCTGGGTGAGTTTTTACTCTACGCCACTGTTTCTGGAACTTGGTGGTCATGCTCTCATATCCAACCAATTTCATCCATCTACTTTCATATCCAACCGCCTCCTCATGCTCCCCATTCGCTCAGCCCTACAATCTACCGCACACGATCCTTCAAGATCACAGGCTTTGCTGCTCCTGCTCCGTTTTCATCATCAGGGTTTATCCAAGCCAGATCGGCTTGTGGTGCATGAAAAGCAGCGCGTCCATCATCGTACCTCGGGCAAGATATCGATGTGCTTGAACAGATTGTTCCACATGAATGAATGGTAGCTCTCGGGGTGGTCCCTGTGTGTCAGGCGATTTGATCAGTCCACTTGCAGAATGCAGGCACTCGACCGATACCGACTGCATGCATGGTCGAGCCGATCTGCCGCCAGATCAATGGTTTACCTCGGGATGCTGACGTACTGGTGGGCAGGAATGGATTCGTTTTAGTCCAAAGTAGGGGGAGACGGGTGATGCGGCTCAGATGCTTTGACCGGGCATGGCGATCATCACTCAGATCGAGTGTGGCGATCATCACTCAGATCCAAGTGGCAGTGGACGAGAGCTAATCCAGAGGGATAAATCCGCAGTGAAACCCCCATCAGCCAGGCTGGAACAACCGATACCTCGTCCATGTTGAAGGAGATTACATTCTTGAACGAGAGCTCGCCGTTCTTGTAGTACTGAACCAGGCGCTTGTAGACACCAATCGGCGAAGATCCGGTTGGGAGGCCAATGACAAACGGGTGCTCGGGAGTTGGGTTGAACTCGATGATACGATGCTTGATGTATTGGGCTGTCCTCCCACACACCCGTTCCCGTCCACATGGTCAATAACGGGATCGCTGGTCGGCATGGGGCCGAGAGGTGGCTCGTCGCAACCGCCCAAGAGTCACCCAGAACCGATCTATACGCGTGCATCGCCGAAACGCATGGTGGTGCCGGGACGACAGCAGATGTACCTACCGATGTACTCGGAAACGCCGTCGTAGTCTTCTCGGATGACGAGTCTCATGGCGAGGGTGTTGCAGAAGTCGTTGAGGAGAGCGCAGGTGGGCGAGGGTGAGAAAACACGCGATCTGATCAACAGCGATCTCACACGAGATTGATCGCCGAACGATCGAGGCGGGAGGACGATTTTATGAGGACAGCTTGCCGGGAGAGCGGCGACGAGTGGCTGGGTGGGTCGGCTGTCGGCGGAGCTGGCTGGGAGCGATTAGAGGGCCATGCTGGGGGTGGGAACTGCCGCCCTGGCCTGGCTCCCTCGCTTGCTCTGATGCAGCAGCAGCAGCGGCCCTATTTGTGTCGTATGGAGCGGCATCCGTGTGCCAATGCGTACCGGTGGGTGCCTGTCTCGCTCGAGACGACAACTGATGTTCTGCTACCTGCTGCGAGTCTGAATCGGCAAGCGGTTTGGTCTGGTCAACCTCGACCGCCCCAGCGGAAACGAGAGCGGGAGTCATTGCAGGCGGAAGGTGCTTTGGCGCGGAATGCACCCTCCCCCCAACCAGCAGGGAGTCCCTTCGCCGCTGCCGTCGTGGTTGAAGTAGTCGTGAGGTCCGTCTCCAGCCGCAGCTGCCGTCCGGTCGATCGGCGTTGGAGCACATTCGCACCGAGGCTGTCCCAGGCAACGACAATGGTTTTATTGAGAGCAACTACTCGGCCCCCTGCACTTGAGCAGACGTGTCCAGCGCCTGGGCTACAGCCGAGAGCACCGTTGAGTGGATACGACTTTTCTGCTGGCCGTCAAAGGCACAAGTTGCGACGATGCCTCTGTTTGCGGTGAGATATCGGCCCTGCGTAAAGTCCAGCGGCCGGCCATTCGCATCCGATACAAAGCCGCCAGCCTCGGTCACTACCAGGGAGCCAGCAGCATGATCCTGGTCGTTACCCCCCCCCAAGCAGCAATACATTCAGTTAGCTCGTTCGTGTGTCCACCTACAGTTAATAACGTACCACCAGCCTACTAGATCGAGACAGGATGGGGCGGCATCGGTGGGAGCGGCAACAACAGGCAGTCAGAGATCCAGCGTACCCATATCTTCTCGACATAAGTATCGTCGACAGGAAGCCGCAGATACAGTCCAGCTTCGCCGCGAGCAACGACCCCGTACTTGCACTGGCTGTCCATGCGAACCGAGGGCCGGTGGATGCCCAGAAGTGAGGCGATCTTGGCATTGTCGCCGTGCGAGGAGTGACCGGCCTCGACCGACTCGCAGAAGATGGCATCAGACGGACTCGCAAGCCGAGCCACCTGGATCTGGGTTTCGGCGTCCGAGTCAAAAGCTCTCTGGAATAATCGGGCCGAGGCAGCTTTGGTGAGCAGGATCGCTCGAGGCGAGTCGACCATCCAGACCATCGATACGATCCAGCGACACCCTCCGTAGTTTCCATTGGATCGCATCCTGAATGAAATTTTCAGCGGGAACCGCAGAAACAACGAGAACTTACCTGGAAAGCGCCCTGCCCATCGACGGCCACCATCAAGTTGCCGCGGCCGCTCTCGGGTTCGTTCAGGCGATGCGGGAGATTGGGACAGCCCAATACGCCGACCTTACGGGCGATCCAATAAAAAACGGGACACCCGGGTTTTTGACCATTCATCGAATATTTTGTTACCCAAAACCATCGCACGCTGGCCATGACCATTCGCCACACAAACACTCTCCAGAGGAAAGTATCACTCTCACTCTGCCACACTGCCATCCACCGAGCAGGTCTCTCACACAAGAGGGCAACACACCTCTACAAGTCCAAGCGACTGGATGAGCGAGTGGCACAGTTCAGGGACCAGGCCCGCTCCATCGACCCGCGGCGATTCGTTTTTGTCGATGAGACGGGGATCAGACGAACCACCTTTCCGCTCTACGGATACTCGCCGAAGGGTGCTCCTCTTCGCCAGCGCAATCACATGAAGCACAAGTCTGTCTCGGCTGCATTTGCCATCAACCACTCTGGTGTGCTGCATCGCATGTACATCCCCACATCATTCAAGACACACTCGATGGTCGAGTTCTTTGAGCGAGCGAGCTTCCCAGACGACTCTGTGATTGTGATGGACAATGTCAGCATGCACAAGACAATGGCTGTCCTGGACTGCATCGAGCGCCGAGGATGGTCAGTGATCTTCACCCCACCTGCCTCACCCGACTTCAATCCCATCGAGAACTTCTTTGGGGTTGAGTCCCCATCATTTTGGGGTTGAGTCCCCATCAATTTTGGGGTTGAGTTCCCTCCAATCAAGCCGCCATTTTCACGCTCAAATCCCTGGCTTGAACCTCTCGGCGATTTTTGAACAGGGCCGCTTCCCAACCAACCCGCAAAGACGGGTTCCTGCTCTCGGGTATAAATGCCACACCTTCCTCCTGCTGCTTTCTTCCCTCATCTCGCCTTGATCTGATCATCGCGCTATTGTACGATAAAAAAAAGTCTCTGCTCTGACCAGTACCACTGGCAGGCATCCAGCATCCTCTGCCCCCATGCCTCCGAAGCGCAAGGGTGCCGGTGATGGCCAGCCTCGGCCACCCAGGCCCAAGAAAGCCAAGTCACAGTCGGAGCCTGTCTCTGGTTCGTATTCTGATCCCACGCATGCTTGGTCGTCTGTTGCTCCGTCGCTCACCACCACTGCTTCTACAGATCCAATGGATGTCGATCCCACCGAGCCTGGTCCCTCGTCCGGCCCCATCAAGCGATGTCGCCAGTGCGATGGCACCGATCACGAACGTTGCAACACCAGCAAATGTCCCAAATACCGGCCCCTCAAGAGTTCTGTCGTCCCACTCGTGGATGGAAGGTCATCGGCCCCTCAGTTCAGCTGCTTCAAGCAGACGATGGATGGCTGTTGTCTCAATCCCGCTCTCCGCGACAAGATCCAGGCCACCGTCGAGGCCATGACCCAGATCCAGTTCGAGGCATCCAGGCTGCTCAACCTGCACATCCTCCGGTGCATCGAGCAGGATCTTCCCGTCCCCGTCATCTCCAAGTCCACCCCTGCATTCATCCGCCAATGCTTCAAGATCGTCCAGGACGGTGCCCTCTCCCCGACCGGGGACAATGAGAAATACAACGAGCATCTGGTCGCTTCCTTTCGCGACTACCAGACCACTCGGCACGCAGACCTGCCTCCGGCCCCTTGTCTGCCTGATGGTGCTCACAGTCAGCTTCTCACACTGGCTGTCAATGCCTATGCCACCAACTGCACCACCCACCTCAACCTGGCCTACTGGAGACTCCTTCGCCGCTTCTGCGCTGCCGTCTTCCCAGCCAACAAGCACAAGCACGAAGCCATCGAGGCCTGTCTCGAGCTCTTCGAGAAACCAGGGCAGACTCCACCCAAGGCCGATATCGAGTTCCTCTATCCCGACTTTGGCCACGTCCTGGACGAGTTTCGGTACAGCAACGACCAGGACCGCTTCCGGGCCCTCCATCGCCTCTCACACCATGTGGGGATCCTCGCCCGAGACAAGATGGTCGACAATGTCCACAAGTGGATCGACTGTGACATGCCCGCCCTCCGAGTCACCGAGCTGCAGCGCCAGGCCAAGCTGGACAAGCTCACTACCCAAGGCATTCCCTCCGACGACAAGAGGTTCACCACGGCCAAGTCTGAGCTCGGCACCACCAAGTCCAAGATCAACAAGCTGGCATCCAGGCTCAAGTGGGCTCTCAAGTAGCTCGCTCTCGACACTCCTCCGGCCGTGTGCACGATGGTTCCTCTATGCACCACCAAGGCCAAGTATGTCAAGATCGACACGGTCACTCTCTGGGAACTCCTGGGTCCAAAGAAACGCCTTGGACTCACCAGGGACATGCTCAAGGAACAAGGTGAGGACGGTATCAACAACCAGGATCGTCTCTGGCGCAGTTGCTTCAAGCTGCGTAGTTCCCTCTTCCGTGACCGGGATATCAATCACAAACTGTTCAACTACGAGATCAGTACCGATGGAATTGGATGCACCATCGGTCTCGTCAAGTTTCTGCCTCGAACCGATCACACCGAGACCATCGAGCCTCCTCCGACTGCCGAACAGCGTATCCAGGCACACATCGGCGACCCAAACCCCGATCGCACCACTTGGATTGGCATCGATCCTGGAGTCGGCTCCATCTTCACGGCGGTCATCCAAGCACCGGGCCACCAAGACGAGGTGGTCTCATTCTCCAATGGCCACTATCAGCACATGTGTGGCCACAGGTCCGATACTAAGTGGCACAATACCAAGAAGAAGCAGCTCAGCATCGAGACCTGGATGTCGACCACCCCCTCGCCCAAGGTGTCGTCCTCGGAGGCCTTCAAGATCCATCTCACCCATGTCCTGCGACCGGAGCTGCGAGTGCAGCTCGACTTCCACCTTGGCAAGAAGGCCCGTCACCATCGCTTCACGGGCCACAAGAGGCGCCAAGTGGCCGTCGACAGGATGTGCAAGGCCGTCCTGAAGCACGCCCCGAGGGAGAAGGATGTGGTGATCGCCTTTGCAATGCATCATGGCGTCAAGGCAAGGGCTATGCATCCAGCCCTCGGAGGCAGCGATTTGCTCAGTACTTTGAGCAATTCGAGCACCACCGACGCCGTCCCAATCACCATCATGGAAGCGTCAAGGTGGCCTCGACGAACGAGTTCAACACCTCGCTGGTGTGCTCCAAGTGCCTGGAGCCAGTTCGGTTGGAAGGACTCGATGCGCCCAGTGTTGCGAATTCCCACTTTGTCAGGAGCTGCAAGAATCCCAGCTGCCGGACAGTGTGGAATCGCGACGTCAATGCGGCGCGCAACATGATCACAGTATGCAGGTCGATTGTGGAGATCGGAGAGCGACCGGCGGTCTTCACTCGGAGGCTGCCAAAGTGATCTGTTTTATTTCTTGTGGCTTTGCTAGACGCAAGCACAGCACATACTACATGTTCATGGAAACGGCTATATTGTCCCGTTTTTTTCTGAATAAAGTGTAACGCGACCGTCTTCAACGAGCGCAAGGCAGACGGCGAACTGCTCTCCTCGCAGGAAGCCCTTGGTACCATCTGAGGGACCATGCCACCTCGGTGGTCAAAATGCTGCCGCCGGGCCGCCACACGATCGCGGGCCTGCTGGACAATCTGGAAGCGAGCCGGTGCAGGGGAGAGCTGGCCTACCGATCGGGTCGAGTGTCCAGAACCGCCCAGATCCACCGCCCTCAAAGTTTCCTTGGTCGATCACATCGCAAAGCTGAGAGTGACAGGCAGCCAGAATCAGGTATCCGAAAGACATGCCCCCAACCAAGAGATCGCTTGGACCACATACCTCGTCGCCAGATGGGAATCCAGGCTCCAGCACCGAGTTGGCAAGCTCCAGGACCCTCTGGAGAGTGGCTGGGCTGTCTCGGAGATCTTTCGAGTCTTCTTCTCCAACGATGCGATCGCCGGGAAAGTGTCGCAGCAGAATAGCGTTGACGACGCTCTGGGCACCGAAATCGGCGACTGGCAAATGCAACGGCCGTTGTGAGCGCTCCTGCGTCGGCAGCACAAACAGGAAGAAACAAAAAACGAGCCCTGTCGAGCCTCGACTGCCGATGCAAGCAGCAGCATCGGCGACATTCACCGTCCGCAGATCCACAGCCCATGTGGCTCCTTACCGGTGACGGGGGACTTGTCCTTCTTGATGATGGTCTCAGACGTCACCAGTTGACGAAAGACTCTTTCACACAGGCGGCAGGCTTTGGTGACTGCCTCGATGGCAGCCACTCGCTCCTTGACATATCCTGCTATCGTGGTCGAAGCAGGGTCGGTAGCGAAGGGATATGGGGACAAGCGAGTTTGGAATCATGGGGGTCAGCGAAGGGCGGAGAGATGCACGGCATAGACAGCGGCCGAGCCGGCGGGCAGACAGGCAACCTGCAATGCCATACATGGAGAAGCTGTTGCCATTGTCCTGCCGATGTGAACCAGGCTGCGTTTGAGGCTCATAGCCGATCGAGACGATGGTCGTCCACCCGCCACGCCCGACATCGTCGCTGGGGAATCCTGGCTGGCGCCGCTGCCACAGGTCGCACAGCGAGCGGATCAGGCAATCATTGATAGCGAGCCAGGGCTGCCATGAACATGCAATCGAGGCCGCAGTTGGACATGGCGGCGCTGCAGCAGCCATCGGCAGGCGATCGGTACGGGCTGCTCGTTGCTTCATGCGACAGCTCTGCGCCGCCGCTGCTTGACCTGTCCCGGCTCTTCTGCTCAGCTGTCCATCGCCTGATCCTGGGCAGCTGGTGTTTCGGACAAGCGCTCTCGCAGGCCAAGCGACGCGGCTGCGAGGCCGGCTCATGAGCCTGCTGGTGCTGTGGGTGCATCGCTCGCGGGGCAGGATGGACTGCCTGCTTTCCTCTGGTCCAGTTGCATCTATCCTGGCCCTTACTCATTTTGAACGCAGAGGCATCTCCGCACATTGGCAGCCCTTCCGGTCCGCCCCAGCCATCGCAAGTCGCCGCCTGAAATCCAGCCCAGTCCCATTGAGCCCATCGTCCTCTCGGGCCTGCAGAACCATACTCCCCTATTGCAACAGTCAGCTCCTGAATCGCTGTCCGGACCAATCTGGGCCAGCACTTGAATATGACGGCCGAGCCTATATCACCTCTGCCTTTGGAGATATGGATGCGTGTGATTGAGCTCTTGAACTACCAGTGCATTTGGAAGCTGCACCGTGTGAATCGCCTCCTGCACTCTCTGGCCATTGGGCGACTGACCCACCTTCTCCGTCAAGCCGACGACACCCCAGGCGCCTCGAACAGTCAACTATCGGGCAAAGGCAAGGCTGTGGTTTTCGCCATCTCCAAGCTTCCTATGCTGCTCAACAACTCCAAGATCGTAACGGCACTGTCGCTGCAGTTCCAGGGATGGTGTGCCAAGACATGGGCCTTTGAATACGCTCCCGCTCCAAGAGCCGTCTTTGGGATATGGGTGCCGTACATGGGCTTCCTTCCGACAACCGAAATCGACCAGACGACCCAGTTCTGGTTTTCTGCCCGCAGCGTGCCGCTTCTGCATGTCTCGGTGACTTCAGCCAGTCCCATGTCTGTTGAAATGCTTGACAGCACGATCCACAGACTTCTCGACCACGCCGGAGCGCATAGAGTTGCCTCAACCAAGGTCGGAGAGATGATTCCGAACTCGGGCCGCTATCTCGCCGAGCTGGCCAGTGGCGGCGCCTGGGTCGACTACCAAGTGCTTACTCAACTCGAAGAGGTCCGTGCTTCAACCGACGGCAGCGCCACCGCCGAGGAGCCGAGCGGAGAAGACACCAATCCTCCAGCATCATCAAACCGGTTCGGCATCATTCATGCCCTCCGAATCCGAGGCGAGGTGCTCTTCGACCCCAGAGCCGGAGCGCAGAGGCGGACGAATGTTTTGACCGAGTACTGCACTCCCTAGAATACAACTGCTGGGAGGGCGTGCGAGCAGTCCCGGTTGCCGGGACGTCATTCACTCGCAGTAGCATCATTCACCCTCTCCGGTGAATGACTTTGAGCAGCCAGACAGGGTGGTTGGCTTGTCTGGAGCAATCGGCAGTGGTGCGGAAGCCGACACTTGTCAAGCTGCCCTCGCATCCTCGCCGAGAGCGACAGAGAGAGCAGGCGAGAGCATTCCCGCCGACACCCCCACCCACAATCTCCCAAACCCAAACCCACTGATGATTTCCCCTCTCCTCCTCTGGGCATCCATCGCAAGAGCAGCTCTCGTCGCTGCAATGCTATTCAACGCCTGGGTGTGCTGTATCGTCTTTGCCCTGCTGGGCATCGGCATGCTGGCGCCATATGTGAGCATCCCCATGCCGATCCCCCGATGCCCATCAAGTCTGTTCTCTGTCTGAACAGCCTGACTTTCCACATGGGCAGCCGCATCCTCCCGGCTGCAGCCAACCGCTGACTCTGCTGATCCTTTCCGATCGGCTCCATCTCCCTCTGGCTCGCATGGCATGCACCTGCGCTGGGCTTGCTCCCGCCCGTTGGCCGAATCCTCCAGAACACCCACATCATGGCCTTTGGATGGCATCGACAGCGGCTCAAGCACTCTGCGTTTGCGGATGTCGTCCACCTGTACGTAGCCTTTGTCTACATGATTGCCGAGAGCACTGGGCTGCTTCTGTGCTTGCTTCTTGTCAACAGAAAGGTAATCCTCCAGGCCCGGGCTGCGTATTGGAGAGCGCCCACATCGCCTTGCTTCGATGCACTCATGGTCCTGGTTGTTATTGGGCAGTTGAATGTCGGTTGACACATCGCATCCCGCATCCCGCATCCCGCATCCCACATCCACATCCCGCATCCCGCACCCCGCATCCCGCATCGCACCAATCCACCAGTTTTCCCTCGTCCGCCGGATCGTCGCAGCGCTGGCCCTCAATGCTACCATCTTTGCCCTGTGCGCCCTGCTCTCAAGCACACCGCCGTCTCTCGTCCCGCCTGCTCCCTACTTTGCCGTCCTCATAACCCTCGTCGTCGCCACCGGTCTGTCCTGTGGAATTCTTGAAAACGGTGTGCTCCAGCTCGTTTCGTGCTTCCCGGCCGTCTATATCCAAGCCGTCGTCAACGGCGAAAACCTGGCCGGTGTTCTTGTCAGCATCGCCGAACTTGCTTCACTTCTGTATCCCGGCAACGATGCTGCCGCCTCCTCGGCCATTCTGTACTTTTCAATCACAACGGGGCTGTCGCTCTTGTGCATAGCTGCCACGCTGCATCTGTCGCAGCAGCAGCTCTTCAAGCGATACTATCGGCTTCCATCGCCTGCCGCCCCGGCCTCCTCGACTCTGCCCGTTGCCGGGTTACCCACCGACGGATCGGCGGGCGTCGTGTCCTTGCAGCGCACCACAGGATATGGCTCCCTCACCAACTCTGGTTCACCGTCTCAGCCGACCGGCCCTTCCACCAATCTTCCAATTATCGAGGAACAGGACTCATTCGAAAGCGGTCCATTCGGAAACGAGCAACAGGCTCGCCAGCGGAGAAACAGTCTATTGAGCGCTTCCCCGGCAGGGTCCCTCGGGACTGCGGCGGTGTCGATGATTCTGGCTACCTCGCCGAAGCGATCGTCAAGTAGTCAATTTGCTGCTGCCTCGCCCGAATGCGATGTTGGCTCGATACAATCTCCGTCGAGACCAGACACGTCGATGAGCCGGCATTCCGACTCGGATGGCGACGCCCTATCTGATCGTCGGCAGAATTCGGCATCACCCGGCGTATTCCGACGACCGGAACTCGACACTATCGAGGAACAGCAGCCGTTGCTCTACCAGATCTCACCCGTCTCACATTGCATGGATGGAAACCATCAAAACAGCACACACCCCAGTGCCGATCTAGCGGCAGCATCGCCGGACAAGGCTGCAGCGACTGTATCTGCAGTGCTACCGAAACTCCTCGTGCCAGTCTCGACGATTTTGTGTCTCTCGATCCAAACGCTGTCGATCTTTCCAGGTGGATTGAGTGTCGTGCTGCTGTGATTCCGGTCAGCCCTTACTTTACAGGTGCCTGTCTCGGGCTCTGGTTTCTAACTCACGTCTGGAATCCAGGCATCATGTCGTCGATCGAATCTTCCGCTGGAGACGGTCACCTCAGCGCAATCTACTTTATACCGGTGACCTTCCTGCTCTTCAACATCGGGGCGTGGATTGGCACAACTCTACCGTCACAGCCACTCCTGATGCCGCCGCCACAGAGATACGATGGCTATCTATCCATCTGGACGGCAGCTCGGTGGCTCTTCCTGCCGCTGTTTCTGGTGTGCAATGTGGTTTTGCATGATGCAGAGGTACGTCGAGCACCAGCAATTGCTTGTCTTGAAGTTTCCGTCGTAGGAGTGCGTGGGAGTCGTCGTCCCATGCAGTCGCTGACCCAAGCGGCTCTGCAGGGCAACCCCATTCCGTCCATGTTCCCCAAGTTGATCGGCCACGATTGGATCTATGCTCTCCTGGTGTTTGGATTTGCTGTGTCGCACGGCTATCTTATATCGCTGGCTCTCATGGGTGCGCCGGAGAAGGTCCGGGAGGACGAGGAAAAGCGAATCGCCGGCGGGCTAATGGCCGTCATGTACTCGGCCGGCTGCTTTGCGGGAACCCTGGCTGGGTTTGGTCTCAGGTCCGTGCTCTGTGGATGCAATCCTTTCTGGGACCCGGCTCTGTCCTGAATCACTTGTACAGGGTCGAGTGGCGAGCCATGCAAAGTATGTTGCATGGGCGCATGTGCAGATACCTGGCAAACAGGCACATTTCTGTAATAGATATCATTTTATCGCACATGTCCCCACGCCCGTCAGCGACCGTCAGGGCTCGCCTTCTGAGCAACCAAGGGATGCACAGGAGAGTTTGCGTGCTCCGAACGCATGGGTACTGCCAGTGCCGTGGATAATGTCAGTTCGGCAGCTCGGCAGCTCGGCAGCTAGAAGAAGTCCGATTTGAGGTTCCCGTAGAACTCGAACCCGCTGATCTGTACAAAATACTTGGTGGGCACGATGATTCTCAGATAGCGGTAGTGCTTGCCGCACTCGACCTCCCATGTCTTGCTTCCAAAACTGCCGCCGAGCACGCTGTCGCGGTGAGTCGAGATCAGATCCCAGTCAGTGTTGTTCGTTGAGCCCTCGAAGCCCCAGATCCGCATGTTGACGTTGTCCTTGTGATGGCCGTGCTGAAGCGTATAGTGCGTGGGCTTGAGCGCCATGGACGGACCAAAGTCAATCGAGATCCAGGCGTTTGGCTCGCAGCGGGTGCATGTGGCGATCTGCTGCCGCGACGAGAGGTTCTCAGGAGCCCCTGTCAGGACCGAGGACATGCGGCACTGAACCAGCTTGCTGAGATGGGGGTTAGAGAACCTGGTGGTGCGGCCCTGCGACCCAAGGAAGTAGAGCACTCCCTCCTCGTCAAAATCACTGCGGTATGTGAAATCTCGGCCGGCCCGAGTTTTGCGCTGGCGGGTGGCCCTGTGAGGTAGTGTGCGGACGAGCGGTTGCGTGAGCCATGCGATGCCATGTGCCCCCCTATGAACGCAATCTAAGCATCACGAAGCCCATGACGTTGCAATTTGTGCGGTATCCCGTCGCCTGTCCTTGGCACTGGCAACATGGGTTTTATCCGTCCGCTCGAGCCGTTTGCATCGAGGCGTGTGCTCTCACCTCCCGACTGTGGTGACTGGCAGGCCTTTGGCCAGCTTCAGGCTGATGAGCAGCCCCTTCACGAGCAGCTGCTTTGGAACCAAGGGACTGGCTGAGGCCTCCTCGAGCTGCTCCACAGTCATTTTCTCGAACGAAATCTTCTCAAAGAGCTCAAAGACTTGGTCGCGGTGGAGGGCATTGCTGCCCAGCGACCATGTCGACGAGTACTCGTCTTCCTCGAGGCTGCTGGCGAGGCCATTTTTCTCGACATAGAGCAGCACGGCTTTGAAGAGGCGGTACTCGCAGTCCAACACCAAGGACGCATGGCTCAGCAACTGGATGAGGGTCGGAAACTCCATGAACGACAGATCGGTGTCGATGGGAATGGAGTCAAAGTTGGCGGCCAGAACGTCGAGGCACTCCTTGACCGACTCGTGCGATTGCAGGCGGACAGCCTCCTGCATAATCTCGATGATGTACTGCGACACGATGTCTGGGTTCGACAGAAACTTGGACAGCTGTGCCTTGCCGAGTCGAATAAGTTCCGTGATCTGCAGCTGCTCGGCGGCGTGGATGATCGGGATGATGTCCTTGATGCTGGCGCTAATCTTGCCCGTGTACATGAACTCGAATATCCGCGGCAGGATCTGGCTGGTGTCTTCAAAATGCAGCTGTATCCTGCCCTCATGGCTTTCGCGGAATGGCGAGTCGAACAGGGCCTGGGGGGCAAGGATGCCGTTTAGTACCGGCTAGAGTTGCATGCGCGGATAGCGCGGCGGTGAAGGAGAGAGGATAAAAGGAGGAGTAACCGAACAGCATCATCATTGTGGAGCGTGGCGACGAACCTGGAAAAACTCGCTGTGGTTCGCTGGGATATCGCCGCATGAAAAGTCGAAGGGATGTTGGTGCCATTCAGCTCGTGCTCAGCCGGGTCCACGGCAGAGTCCGTCCAATGCACGCGAGGATACTCGATGCGTTATCACCAGGGACATCGTCAGCCTGGGATCTGATTCGCAGGCATTCGCAGGCTTACCTAAAATCACCCGATGGACAGGGTGCTCCGAGACCTTTCCATCCGAGCTTGTGGTCGCGACTGTCGAGGACGTAGTGAGGGTCAGCATACGGCGGCTGGCCGGGGTAGCGACACCAGCTGCGTGATGCACTGCTCGACATGATGCTGGGGCTTGATGGTCTCCAGTGCGTGACGTACCCACAAAGTCGGTATATTTGCCCATGCGGAAGAAGCTGGCGAAAGACTTGGAGCTCTCCAGGATGGAGCTCGACGCGTTCACAGAGTCGCTGAAGGTCATGGCGATGCGTTGATTGCGTGGGAGCGATAGAAGCCGGCGAGGAGCAGGCGATGCAGCAGACACATCGGCGCCCGGCTCCTCCCTGCCCTGTCCCAGCGGCTGCCGGCAAAGCGGCCCTTGCGAATCATGATCCACCGAGCCGAACCGAGCCAAGCGAGCCGCCAGCCAACCCGGGAGGGCTGCGCGGATCGCCACCAAACATGGGTCACGTGCCATGCACCAGCCCCGACTGCCTCCACCGACAACCGCCGCCAACAACAACGGCGAGCCTGCGTCTGCCCTTTGGCCGTCATCGAACCTCGAACAATGCGCCGGCCTCTAGTCCACCTCGGATTGCTGCCGACCCTCTGCGGGCTCTGGGCATCTGCAAGCCATCTCGGCACAGACGCCCTGCGCATCGGCCCGTACGTCTATCAGCCCGACGAGCCGCAGCTCCATGATCCCCAGCCATCCCAGAGCCAGCTGCGGCTGCACCAGATATTCCACTTCAGCATTGCCGCCGACGTCGATGTTGGACCAGGCGCCTCCATCGCCTCAAGCCAGCCAGTGTTCAAGGTCTTGGATTTGCAGGATCCCCAGGAATATGCCCGATTTGTGCGCCACAGCTCGCATGCAAACCCGTCGAGCCTGCGATGCAAGGCGGCTGCGGCTCTTGAGCCCTGGCTGCTCAGCGAGTGCCGCCAGCTGTCCAGGTTCGGGCCGGTTTGCTGCCAGCACGACTCGGAAGAGCAGACCAATCCATGGGAGTTCCAAGTCGCACACCAGCCTGAATCTGTGCCCATGTGGAGCACGGCTCTAAGGAAACTTCCTGCCGCAGCCCGACGAGCGAACGGCATTGACTCGGTGCCCCTGCGCAATGCCAACGATCAGGTGTGAGATCGTTCAAATGTCTCAGTGCGACGAATCGCTATCGTTCGGCAGTCGTGCTGACCAGTTTTTGTGACGTGGCATCGCCCGCTGGCTTGCCGGCAACCAGGACGGAGCCTCACTACACATCGCATCAGCCCCGATCCGGGTGCAATCCAAACCGATTCGCGGGCCCAACATGGGAGACCCAACCACCATCCGAAACCTGGGTCAAATGAGCCTGAACTCGTACTTCGAGCCGAGTGCCAGCGCAATGCAAAACAAGTGGGAAAATGTCCCTGGGTTTAATCAGGTAACATCTGGCATCGGCCGCCTGTTCCGTGGAGCAGCAAGCCGGAATGACATCCAGACGGATCCAGGATTGCCCAAGTGCCCAGTCTCCCCCGTCTTGCAGCTACTGACTCTTCGGCTGTCGATTCGTCGATGTCGATGTCATCTCGCACCCAGACCGAGCGCTTCGGCTGGCTGGACAACGGTATCCGTGGCTATGTCTTCAGCGACGCGAAACGAGAAGTAGTTGTGCTTGCGATCAAGGGCTCTGGTTCTCCCGACACCCCCGTGCCAAGCGGACCGACCAGCGAGCAGGACAAGTTCAACGACAACATCATGTTCTCGTGCTGCTGTGCGGCTTCGTTCTGGTATCCCATCTGCCAGTGCCACAACACAAAAGACAAAACCTGCAATCGGGCATGCATCCTCGGCCAGTCCAACTTCAACAGCTCCTACTACAACATTGCACAGGTAGGGTGCTTCGAGTAGTGAACTGGGCACAACAAGGCGTATTCATGCGAGTGCTGATTCCCTCGACCTTTCTTCAGTCCATCTATAAATCAGTCGAGACGTGGTACCCAAGAAAAGCGAGTATCTGGGTAAGACGAGATTATCGATGGCAGTAGCGCGATGCGTGAAGGCAGTGGTGGACGCATGATGGCAGCGACGGTGCTGATGCGCTCTTCGAAGCCAGGGCGGCGCTAACGCACAAATGCAAATGCCATCTAGGTCACCGGTCATTCTCTCGGCGGCTCGCTTGCCTCTCTCCTCGCTCTCACAAACGACGTCCCGGCAGTGGCCTTCGAGGCACCCGGAGACATGCTCTATGCCGGGCGGATCGGTCTCCTGCCGGCTCTTCCACCTCGTAGCGGAACGACCCGGCCGGACTATACCCAGTTCTTCAAGACGCTGCCGATATACCATATCGGGAATACCCAAGATCCCATCTTTTATGGCGAGTGCACAGCCTGGACTAGCGTCTGTTGGCGTGGCGGCATTTCAATGGAGTCCAAGTGCCATGTCGGAAAGGAATGCATCTACAACGACGCCTCGAAGGTGGCATCCTCGTCTTTGGATGCGCCTCCGGAGGCTCAGGGGTTCGACATGAAGTACCATGGCATGGGATTCGTCCTCGATCACTTCTTGAAGGCCTGGGATCGCGTTCCGGAGTGCAAGCCACAGGAAGACTGCCAAGAATGCACCGAATGGAGAGAGGTCTGAAGTGAAGCCCGCTCCAGAGAAACGGGACGTCGGTCGCTTCAGAGCATGTCGCGCATATGGGTGTAGCGCTCGTCGATTATTTTCTATCGATTCATCACCACCACTGTCACCGGCGCCACCTCCGCCATCGGTCGTCGACAGCTAACTTGTCTCGAGAAACTCTGTCTTGAATACACAATGTCAGTCGCTACGAGCAGCGAGGGAGGGTGCGACGGATGGCTGTTGCTCTTGGACACGTTGCGGGAAAATGCAACTCCCAGCCTGCACTCTCGTGCTGTTGTCCGTTAATCCTGCGACGCGCATGATCGAAGGGCCTCGAACTCCGAAGAGCACCCGGGTGCAGTCCACCAGTGCGTCGACATATTGGCCAGCCGGCTTCCACCACTCATCCTGCTCCCGCATCGGTCCTACTGCCGCTCACCTGCCGTCTCCCTCAGCGACTCGTCATCAGCTATCGCCAGTGAGTATTCGTTTGTCACGGTCACTCACATCCACAAGCCCATGTCGACCAGTTGTCCGCTCGCCTATTTGTCCACACTCTCGCCGCATGTCTCCAAACAGTCCGCACGATAGGATGCACACCCATATTGATCCGTCTCCCAGTGAATCACAGTGACCCTGCGTGAATGCAGGAACATCAGCGCCAACATGCCAGAATATTTAAGCCTCCCCTCCCAACAGGCCTGGATGGGCACGGCCATACCGCATAGGTCGATAACGATAGCATCAAATCGCCACATCTTCTCCCACTGCACACCCTTACCCAGCCTTCTCGCTTCCAGTCTCGCGTTCTGCACGCCATGACGCTTCCACCCTGGAGACACATGCTCGAAGAGAGCATCCAGAACAACTATGGAGCGAATACAACCAATAGTAATCTATCGATGTGATGCTGAGTGGCAAGCAAAGGGGCTCTGGAGACATAGATCGGCGCTGATGTGTGCTCGTTTGTCCATCCACTCTCCTCCATGCCATCCCTCCCATCAGTGTATGTCTCTCTGGCGACGATCAAGCCGTTTGGCCGTCCCGCCAATCGCACCATCTTCTTCAGGGGCTTTCTGACAGACCCTTCATGCTCCGAGACGCACCAGCCCAACCCGGTCGACGAGACCAACACCGATAAACCGGTGCCCCTCAGCGCCAAACAGCCTTCCTCGTTGACGCTCTTTGGAGACGAAGACCTCACCGACGAGCCACAGAACTTCCAAGACGAGAGAGTCTCGAAGGAGCTCGACCCATTGCACCGCGACAGCCAGACCATCAACTACTCCAGCCTGAGCGACGAAGAGCGCCTCGGCAACATGATTGTCTTTGTGCTCGACGCCCGAAGTGGCAGCGTCAACGATCTGCTGCACGGCTCCAATTTCGGTGAAGTGTGCTGGTAAGTCATGGCCGTGCCGTGCTCGTTGGCTCCTGGATCTGCTGTGGGCCACGCATCATGACTTGCCGTCTCAAAGCGTTCGATCATGAGAGAGCGGCGTCTGGTTGCTTGCTCAACTCCAGAGGCCCGGCTGAGCTCTGATCCCAACCCCTCCCCCCACAGGTTCATGCCCGAGACCAAGCACCAGTACCGTCTTTCGGGACGCCTCCATCTTATCGTCTCGCCACACCACTCGCTGGTAACCAACCACATGATCAGCGATCTCTCGACCTCGGCTCTGGATTTCCCCAACATGGACTGGGAGAAGAAGCGTCTGGAGGTCTGGCATCAGATCTCGCCCCTGCGCCGCGCTTCGTTCGCCTGGCCGAGCCCCGGCAAGGAAAAGTCCAATGATCAGGAAGAATATCTCAAGGAGCTGCATCCGCTCGAGATCAACCCGGCTCTGTGTGAGCACCACGATGCCAAGACAAAGCAGTGGCATGAGCAAGCCTTGCAGAACTTCTGCCTCCTGCTTCTGGATGTCGACGGTATGGACTTTTTGAACCTTGGCGCCGTTCCGCATGTGCGAACCAAGTTCAGGCGGACGCTGTCGCCTTCCGAGGCCGTGGGCAAAGTCCGTGCCGACGTCCATGCATGTGCCGAGGCCATGACGCAATGGACGGTCCAGGAGGTCAATCCCTGAACGACAGCCGCCACAGCACCGACGGACGGGCGCATCGGGATTCATCCAACATCCATTGCAGACACAATCCTTTGCTAGGGCAGACAGCAGGCCAGCTGCATGAGCGTGGGGATACTTGAAGCTTGTTGTCGAGAGTCCAGCTGGCACATGGATATCCGCTGTTTGCTTCATATTGAGTCAATAAAATGCATGTCTTCATTCTCATGAGTGCTGGCCATGTGTGATAGAGTTGCCACAGCAGTCAAGGAGCTTGGTGCCCCCAGAGATGTGTGGGGATAAGGGGCAGGACGGCATCGCAACGGATCAGCTTTGCTCTGCTCTCTGTCATGCTCTGCCATGCTCTGCCGTACTGTGACATCACCAGGATCGCTGAGCGTAACTGGTCTGGGCTTCGGTGACTGAGTCATAGTAGTATTCAACACAAGTGCGGTTGCAGCTCAAGGCGGCCTTGAGAAATGCGGGACAATAGTCGACCTTGGCCGTCGTCGGGCTCACAATGCACTGAACAAAAGGGGCAGATGCTGTCTGCAGCCATCTAGGTTCCATATTCACAAACAACGGCGTCTAGTCTTTCTTGGAGGCGGCGGTGGCCTTGGAGTTGTGGGAGCTGAGTCGTCTGGCGCTTCTGGGCTTGCTCTTTTCGTCGGCCAGACGCTGCAGTTCCTCGCGGGTGCTGGTCCATTCGTGCTTGAGGAGGTTGGGGATGCCCCGGGTATCGCGCACCAAGAAGAACTTGAACAGTCCCGATTCCAACAGCTGAGTGTATGAGATCAGAGGCAAGATGAGGTGCTGAGAGAGAAAGTACCAGCACATGCCAAAGAGGGTGCCGATAACGACGCCCACGGCGGCTTGTTCGGGGCTGTGGTAGTGGAGATGGATTCTGGAATACGAAACCGCAACCATCACGGCGCACAGGACGGCGGCGATAACGTTCTTCCAATACGAGCTCTCAAAGGTCAGCCTGGAGAGAGAGATGGCGGCAAAGAGCTGTTAGCGAGCTGCAGAATGCCACCGGCTCTGTATGATGCCACCGGTTCTGTATGATGCCACCGGTGCTGCCACACTGTTGCTTGTCGAAATGGTGCCAACGCCTCTACGGCCTATTGCGAGATTGCCTTCCCAGCCGGATAGAGTGCTGTCTCTGGCATCACAAGAACGGGAGGTCGTACCTTCGGTAGGTGTACAGAATCAGATAAACCGAGAAGTAGGCGATGAACTGGGCGTGGCTGGAGGGCATTCCATAGCCTTCGCCCAGATGGGCTGCAGCGTCCGGGTCAGCAAGATACAGAAGCGTCAGTCCAAACACCCAGGCTCCCACTCGCCGCCGTCGCCACCAGCCAGCCAGCGGTCCGAGTGCGGTGGTGCGTGATGGACTGCAGACCTGTGGGTCGTCGTTCCCGGATCGAGTTTTTGAGCAGCATATTGAAGGCCTCGTTGAGGAGCTGCCCCAGGAGCATCACGCCCGTGGCAATGTCCCGGCGAAAGAGGAGCAGGGTCGCATAGGAGACCAGCAGGGCAATGGGAACGAGCGAGGCCGCGGCCAGGAGCTTCCCGAACGGATCCGCCGGATCATAGAGGACCAGAGTGAGGTCGATAGCACGCAGATGGGACAGATCGACAGGGGGCGACATTGGGCAAGGCTGGGGAAGCAGCAGTCAGGGAAGAAGATCGACGACAACGATAGATATATACAGGCCCTCGCGCGAGAGAGGGTGCGGATCGGCAGCGGAACAGTTTGGCCACCGAGCGGGCGAGAGCAGAGGCAGTGGATCACAGAGAGGACGGATGAATGGCGGCCGGCAGACGATGGGAGCATCACCGGGGGGGGGCGATATATGGGCCAACTTTTTCGGCGAGTTGCACCACGCACGCGGGTCTGCCTGCAGAGCAGACATATGCGGGGATTGCTGGCCCACATGTGAAATCGGTGCACCGCCCGGATGTCGATAGCACACCGGCACAAGGGGACCAAGCGGGGTGGGTGTTCCTTGCCTCGGCTGCCTGCTTGCCTGCCTTGCTCTGCCTGCCTCTGCTGCTGATCGGGCCACGCTCTCTCACTTCTCCCGAGTACCGCCGGCATCTGCGGCGCTGAGAGCAGGGCACAATCTCTGCGGACATGTGGCGATGGGAATTGTGTATTCGGGAGGGCAGCCCGTTGTTGAAGTTCAGGAGAGACAGTGAATGTGGTATTGCTTATTGCGAGATGCCAATGACACCGCAGGCAAGGCGACCTGGCGGGAGCGAGAGTTGGTTAATATCTCGTTTGTTCCGGCTCTCCCGCCAACGGGACGACTCGGCTCGGCCACACCACCGATTATCGACGGCGGGTGTATTCGCAACAGCCTCCGTGCGGCACTCCTTGCGACCCGAGTCCGACGATCGCGCTTGCTACGCTCTCCGCAGAAGAATTGTGGGAAATTCTCACCTCCAGCGTTGCCGGTGGTCTTGGAGAGCTCGTGCAGGGTCTTGCCGAGATCGTCCTCATCAGCGTGGACGACGACGGTGCGGCTATGGGTGTCCAAACGAAAGGAGCGATGGATGTGGGTCAGCAAGCTGCACAAAAGGAATGGCTTTGATCACTCCAAAAGTAGAATGCCGCGACACTCGCAAAAGTCAACGGAGCATCTTCTCCGCCATGGTATTCAGCCACCGATGGTCTGGTTCGATGCAACTGGTGGCGCCTGGCCTCGACAGAAAGGGCGATCTCGACGAGATGGCGGCCAGTCTTGCGCTTCCCATCCGATCATCCGCGGAATCTGGATCTCGTCGCGCACTCGAGCAGCAGGGGCTCTTACCCAATGACGGAGAGAGGGCCGAGGAGCTGGACCTGCGAATCGGTCAGGACGGTCTTGACGGTGCCATCGGGGCCGGCAATGACGTTGCCGAGATCGCCGGCGTGGCGAACAGCGTCCTCGGGAGCACCGTGGGTGTGACCGTGGGGGTTGAAGTGACCTAGACGAACAGACAAAGCGGCGAGCTGGGTTACTTGTCGGGTCGACTCGGCTTGGGGTTGGCTAGTCTTGAGGCTGTAGCGCAGAGTGGGCTCTGGCTATGCCGTGAATGGCCCCAAGCAGTGGAGGACATCGATCCTTACCTCCAGCGGAGATGCAGCCGTTGGTGTTATCGCCGAACTGACTGTGGGCGGCAGAAAGACAGAGCGAGGGTCAATTTGGGCCTGCATATGCTACGGAGCAATTCACGGATCGCAGGGACGCCCGATCGGCGGCCGAAGGCATTGGGTGCAGCCGCAACATGGAGCAGGGGACCGGATCATGACGGGCGGCACCGCGACAGAGCAAGCAAGCGAGCAGACAGGGCTAGGACAGGGACTCACTGGACGTGGAAGCCGTGCTTGCCGGGAGTCAGACCCGAGAGGGCAACCTCGACGGAGGTGGGGGTGTTCTCGGCCTCCTGAACAAAGGTGATGGTGCCGGTGACGGTGGAGTCGCCGCGGACAACGCAGACAGCCTTAACCATGGTGGGATGGAATGTGATGGATCGCGAAGGGAAGAGATCGGTGGGAGCAGCGAGAGCAGTGGCGGCAGTTGGCCGGCGGGGGGGCAACCGCCAGACGAGGTATTTATGGGCGTCGCAGTCGTCGCCGGGGTGCTCTGCCCCTCCACATCTTCCGACGGCCTCCACCAGCGCTGCAGAGACGTTTTGTTTTACAAATCTGCATCTGTTGACGGGACTGGAGCCGCAAAAAGATCGCAGTCACGTGTGCGATCTGCGAGACTTGTGCGAATCGCCCGCGATGGCGACGGACCGGCTGGCGCACGGGCAGGCTTGGATGGCTTGCGGGAGCGACTTGCAGGGGCGGCGGCAGAACGGATGGACGCAGGGGGGGGGGAGCAGAGCCGGGGCAGGAGCAGGGTGGGAGCCGGCAGGAACAGGAGCAGGACGGGCGTGGTCCATGCGTTGTGATCGCGGCGGGGCTCCTGGCGGAGATGTTGCTCCAGATCGACACAGCGCACGCCGAAACGAGCCGCGGAGGCATGCAAGTACGAAGGTGCAGCATCACAGCACAGACAGAGCACGCCGATTGATGGACATGGGTGTATTCAAAATCCGGAAAAGTGCGCTGCAGTTGCAAAACAGGGCTGTTGTTCGGTTGCATGCGTTGGGGTTGCTCCGCGTCTCCAACTGTCCCGGTCTAACTACAAGTCAGCTGTGCCGTTTCACTCCATAGCTCGACTCTGGGGCTGTCGGCGAGTTTGCTGTTCAGCAACGTCCATCCACAACTGAGACAGCAGCCGTTTCTGTCGTCGCTCAAGCAGAGATCTTCTGGCGGAGCAGGTCCTCGAGCTTCTTGCCGTCCTTGGCAAAGTTGCGGATGCCCTCGGCGAGCTTCTCAGTGGCCATGGCGTCCTGTCGTTGCAATCACAGTCAGTAAGTGTGCGATCGCGCTCGACATGGCGCAATAATCCCCCCTACCTGGATCGACCATTGACCCCACTGATCCGTCGATCGCCAAGTGCTGACAGTATCCTTTCCGCCTCGGCCCAGCACCCCGACAATGGATGTGAACTCGCGCAGCCTACCTCATTGAGCTCCCAGCGGAAGCGCTTCTCGTCGTAGGTGACCTTGGGGATATCCTGGCTCTTGGCAGTAGCGGCCGAGAGTCTGGGCTCAAGAGCCTTGTTGCTCGACTGGAGCTCTTGGAGCAGGCCGGGCGAGATGGTCAAGAAGTCGATGCCGGTGAGCTCCTCAATCTCGCCAACGTTGCGGAAGGAGGCACCCATGACGATGGTCTTGTAGTCGTACTTGCGGTAGTAGTTGTAGATGCGCTGGACAGAGAGGACGCCAGGGTCCTGGGCCGAGGTGTAGTTCTCGCCAGTGCTCTTCTTGTACCAGTCAAGGATGCGGCCGACGAAGGGCGAGATCAGGGTGACGCCAGCCTCGGCACAGGCAACGGCCTGAGACAGTACAGTTCGAACAGGATTGCCAAAGTGTCAGGAGGGCAAGGTGAATAGGCATAAGCAGACGGGAGCGTCAAGCAATCACTCCGTAATGGTACCGAGGGCATCATAGCCGAAGCAGTCCACTCGTCCAGGTCCTGCGCTCATTTCATTCCAGGCTCCCAAGAGGATGCCCCCCCCCACACGACCACGCAACTGACCTGGGGGAAGCTGAACAGAAGAGTCAGGTTGCAGTGGATGCCGTACTGAGCCTCAAGCTCGCGGGCAGCCTGGATACCCTCCCAGGTAGAGGCGATCTTGATCAGGACACGGGTCTTGTCGACGCCGACTTCCTTGTACAGATCGATGATGCGGCGGGCCTTGGCAATGGTGGCGTCCTTATCGAACGAGAGACTGGAAAGCCGGGGTGGCAACGGCCTCATCCGGTCAGAGCCACGAAACCCATACTGGTGCAAAGAGTACCTCGCCATGCACATTTCAATGATCCAGACGATCGCATGCCGAGGAGAAGATCATACCGAGCGTCAACCTCGGTGGAAACGCGGCCGGGGACGACCTTGAGAATCTCGACACCAAAGTTGACGAGCTGTTGATAGGACACGCATTCATGAGTAATGGAGGCTCGCAGTGCAGGGGGCCCGAGCTGGGTCGAACTGGGTCGAACTGAGTCGAGCCGAGATTCAACAGATGCACCGCCGAGCCAGCCAGATCAAGATCAAGATCAAGACGATCTCCTACAACAGGCCGTTGCACGCCGACTCACCAGCTTGTCCAGGGCCCACTCGAGCTGGTCATGGTGGTTGCTTGGAGAGATTACGATGCAAATGGGAAAGGGTTAGACCAAAACCGCCGACTGGGTCAACCGCATGCATTCAAATCGTCGCAGCAGAATCCGAATGAGAACGCCGAGCATCCAAGCCATCCGAAAGCGGGGCTGCAAGAAGCATACCTGCTCTTGGCCTTGCCGTACGCGACAGCCTCGTCAACGAGCCGAGCGTACTGGGGCTTCTGGGTGGCGGCCAGGATGAGCGAGGGGTTGGTGGTGGCATCCTGGGGCTTGTAGGCAGCGATGGCTGAAGAGTGCGGATGATGAAGGTAAATGAGGGGTTAATGAGTCATGAGTCGCCGGGCCGCGAGTCCAAGATGCGGATCTGAACCAATCCGACAGCAGATCCGCAAATTACCTTCAAAGTCACCAGTGTCGGCGACGACGGTAGTGTGCCTGCGAGAGCGAAAGGCAATCCCCAAAGTGTCGGTCAGCAATAATCAACAGCAACCAGCAGCAATCAGCAATAATCAGCAACGGCCAAGTCGGAGGGAAGGAGGATCACGAGCCAAATGCAAGCCGAGCAAGACGGACGTACTTCTTGAGATGGTCGAGGGCGGTAGACATGGCGGCGAGAAGGACAGATGACGATCGGGCAAGCGGGTTGAGAGCGATGGGGGGGATCAAACGCAAGGATCGGGATCAAGACCAGGGCGCAAGCGCGGCTGGCTAAATAGGCCGATGCCGCTGGGATTGCTGGGCCGGGGATTTCAAATTTGTCGGGCGATGGCGTTTGTTGGCTGGCGCCGACTCCGTTGGGCCGGGAGGGCGGTCGTTGCAGCGATTGGTCTGCTGGGCAGATTTGGGGATTGGCGACCGGGCTGGGGCGGCGTCACGACAGCAAGGCCGAAGGACATTCGAGCAACGGCGGCGGAGGGAGGGGCGTAACGGGTGCTTGCGAGCAGAGAGCAATGTGGACGAGCAACAGCGGCCACCGAGAGTCGACGGGCGATATCGCTTGGCCAGGCAGCAATGTGGGATGCATCTCGAAGTGATTGATGGCGCAAGGATGCCGGCATCCAACAAGCCCGGGCTCGGGTCAGGTCAGGTCGCGATCTGGATGTGGCCAGGGGCACGATCGTGGCGCGCAGGACCACCACCAGGACCACCACCAGGGCAGCAGCAGCAGCAGCAGCAGGACAAGCTGCAGGCGTGCATGCGGACAGATCCCGGGCTCTTTGGCTAATGCATTTGCTCAAACTGTATTCGGCAGGCGGATGTGTCGGGACTGGCCTCGTTGCTTTGTTCATATCATATCGTCGTCCAGGGGATGCGCATCGTGCCAGGGCCCGAGCCGATAACAACAGCGGGCATCTGTGGATGTTTCCCGGCGCTGCTCAGCCAAGAACACCCAAAAGCCACTTCAGCGATCCTCACATGGTGGCTCCCTCTGTCGTGTGAACGAATGCCGGTGGTGGCTCCACATCGGGCATCCACATCGGGCATCCACATCGGGCATCCACATCGGGCATCCCGCCGCCGATCCGCCGCCTCATGCCGCCTCGGTCTTGTGGACGGTCGAGGGCAGGACCTGGTTTCGGTAGCGGAACTCTTCGCACAAGTCCGTCAAAAGATTCTCGAGCACGCGGGTCCGCTGGTGCAGCGACCACTTGTCCAACTTGCCGCCGCCGTTGACAACTTTCCCGTCGTCATCCACCTCGACGCCAGACTTGCAGACGCTTTGGCTGGTGAGGGTATAGACCTCGCCGTTGCTGTTGTTGCCGTCGGGCGACGTCGTCAAGGCTATCACCAGATACTGCAGCTGGATCCGCGGGGAGTCGGGCAGGAGCGGCGAGACAATCTGGGTTGTGAAGGGCTGGAGAATGACGTAGAGGGTCTGGGGCGCTGCTGTCGACGGGGCGGGGGCATCCGAGACTTGTTGCTCAGGGCTGACGACAGGCTGGTTGCCTGCTTCGGGCTTGGAGGTTCCGGCCAGCTTGAGGAGACGCCCAAGGATATGCTATTTCCCAAGCACAGCCGCGGAGCGATTCCAACCGAGGATGGACACGGCAAAGATACAACGCCAAAGCCATGGGGCGGGCCGACAAAACACAGACCGATCAATGGGCAGCCCGAAAGCCGAGTCAGGAAGCTGGAAACACATTGACGGAGCTTGGGCATGCCACTTGGATCCAGTACCGCCAAGAAAGAGCCATCGACTGTGGGAATCCGACACTCCCGCCGAGCGACTCACCTCGCCATTCGACATGGCTGCCTCGATGCCTTCGGCAATTTTGGGCTCGGGATCCTTGACCGAGTTCACAACCACCTTCTCGCACAGGGGCGAGGTGGTGTCGACATGATCCACGCCGCTGCCACCCAGCCACATCTCGTTGACGGTCGATTGCAAAAAGTCGTGGAGCATGTCCAGGTCCCGGTCGTCGTCAAAGCTCTCGAAGCAAAACCAGATCGTGATCGTCGAGGCGTACAGAGGCAGGGCAGTGGGCACTTTGCTCGCTCGTTGAATAGGAGGGGCCAGCGTGTCGACAAGGTTATTGACAGAGCTCAGCGTAAATTTAGAGAGATCGTCGCCTATCGGGGGCAGACGGAGGCAAGCCAGGGTGAGTTGGGTGCTCCAGGAAGCGGTGATCGGCAACACCCGGCGATTGCCTCTCGTGTGATCAACAGATATCATGCATCATTGCCCTGCCGCTCCTGAGTGCTGCGACCACACCATTCAAAGCACCGACAGTGTCTGGACGCAGCACGGCCATGCTTCTCGATGCTTGCTCCTTTCGACCGAATCTGTCTGCTCGCCATCCAGCCCAAGTCGTGCTCTCCATCCGACTGGCCCTGGCTCTCGGAGGCACTCACTGATTTTGTTTCCTTCGCTGAAGAGGTCCTTGACGGCCTCATTCGTAACGACAGCCTTGGTGGTCTCGTCGGCAATGATCCTGGCTGTTTCCAAGCCTTTGCTCAGCGACGACACAGTCGCCGACCCAACCAGCGACGCCTGTTGCTGGGCGTTCGACCAAATCGAGGACCAGTTCCAGGCATTGCCAGTACTGACGTTGGCGTTGGCGTTGGTGCTGGCGCTGGTGTTCGCGGACGAGGATTGTTGTTTGGCCCCGGTGTTTGCAGCTGCGGGCCTGGAGGCGGCTGTGGCCGAGACTGGGGTCGGAGCAGCTTTGGTGCTTGGGGACGGCTCCGTGGACGAAGCCGCGGCGGGGACGGGCGACACCGATGGCAAAGAGCTATTGGCAATCTCGTCCAGGAAGCTGAGGACATCGTCTTTCGATCCAGAGGCAGCGCTGGAGGGCAGCTGGACAGAGGGAGACGGGTGTCCGCTGGCATCGAGATCCTCTAGGAACCTATCGTTCGTGTGTTTGTTTGAGAAAATGGCGACCGTATCGGCGGCAGGATTAGCTGGTGCATCGGCCGGCTCGTGGGATCCGACGGTATGGAGACAGATCCTTGGCACCGATCATGGTTTCATGGGCCAAGCTCACCCCCCCCCATCATGGACCGGTTCGTTTGGGGGAAAGTAGCGGCAAAGCTCCATCGCTGGCGGCGAATGCATATGGGCCGACAAGCAACACACGTACTGAAGAACATCCTGGTTGTCGGTCATGTCTTGAGCGGCTTAGGATAGCTGGGCACTGCACTGAGCACACTATCGGTAATCGGGCAAGGGATTGCAGGCAGCTGAGGCAACAGGAGGCCGGTGGCAGGTCAACGTCGATGCCAAGAACCAAGATGAGAGCCAAGGCGAGAGGCGAGGCCACCAACCAAGCGGGGTGGGTTTCGAACGCGCCCCTCGCCACGAAGCCCAGCGAACTTGCTCTCGCATCGCACACCTGCATCCTGCACAGCCGATTGCATTCCGGAATGGCAAACCCCAGCGAAGACACCGGTAAGCCCAGGGGCGGTCTGTCGGGGCAGAGGTATCGCATCTGGGGAAGGCAGTCGGGTGCTGCTACCGAGGCGCATCGATGTCGAGAGGCTTTGCCTGGATCGAGCTGACAGCCCCCCTCCTTTCCCGCTTGGACTTGTTCACTGGCAGAATGGAATGACATCCTCCGGGAAAAGGGCATCCTGCCACCCAAGGAGCCCGAGTTCACCGAAGACGACATCGTAGAGCTAGTTGAGAAGGCAGTGCATGAAAAGTACCACGGCAAGTCCATCGAGGACCGTGATCTTGACGAACTGGCCGAGCTCGAGGACATTGAAGACGATCGAGTGCTTGAGTACGTATCCACCCACCTCCGCCGGGTGTCATGGACTGAGTGGGCATTCCGATGAATCGCCAGCATGGACTCGGCAGGCAAAAGCGACTGATCTGTCTGGATTCCAACGCCGTAGCTAACGCCGGCTCGCTTCCTCGCTGCAACCGCCGCAACCGCTGCGGCTAGATCCTACCGCCGCCAGCGTCTAGCCGAGATGCAAGCCGTTGCTGCCAAGGAAAAGTTTGGCCAGGTGCTGCAGATCACCAAGCCTGACTACACCGTCGAGATCACCGAAGCCAGCAAAGACGCATGGGTGGTGTTGCATCTGTTCCAGGACTATCTGCCGCACTGCCGGCTGCTCAACGCCCATCTGGCGACGCTCGCCGCGAAGCATCGAGCCATCAAGTTCTGCAAGATCGTTGCCGACCAGTGCATCCCCAACTACCCTGACCGTAACTGCCCGACCTTCCTGATCTACGGCCGCGGCGATCTCCAAGCGCAAATCGTTGGTATCGACAAGCTCGGAGGACTGAATGCCAGGGTCGAGGACGTCGAGCGGGTCCTGGTTGCCGTGGGTGCACTCGATTTGTCCAAGGTTCTGTCGGCAAAGAAGAAGGGTGGCAACGGCGACGACGATGATGACGACATTGACCCCGACCGCAAGATCCGCTCGGGCTTTACCCGAGCCTCCAAGTCCAACAACCGGTCTGGCGACGACGACGATGACTGGGATTAGCCACCGCCGGCGCGATTCAGCTGCTCGACATGAATCGTGTGGAAATACAGGCTGTGGTTTGTATTTTGACCCTGCCGATGAATGTCAGCGTCGACAAGTGAAAAGTGGCTCCCCAGTGCACCGCTGCTCGAGTGATTGCAGATCCAAATGACGGATGTCCGCAAGCAACTATCGATCCGCCGAGCGATGTGGTTTCTACTTGTGCGGTCCACTGGTCGAGACCGTTGCGGCTCGAGTGCGCCCAGGTCCGTGAGGCGATTTTTCAGATGACGGCGTCGGACTGCTGGCCTCGGAGTGGAGGGTGCTGGTGCGGGGTGTGCCGTGGGAAGAGGAGGCGGCCGACCCTGCAGGCTTGGGGACCGAGAGGCTGCGACCTCGCTTGTCGGCCTTCTCGGAGACCAGCTGGAAAGTGCTGGTGGGGCCGAACTCGATCTGCGAGTTTCCGGCGAGCAGCAGGATCTTATCGTGCTTGATGTTGAGGTTGACGGTGGACTCGTTGCTGAGCAGAGCCAGGCAGTCAACGACGCCCGAGCCGGTGCCAGCGACAGCCTCAGTGCGTGGGGCTGGTGGCGGGGCGATCCACTTATCGGCCTTTGGAGTGCTGGATGCGTGTGCAGACATGCAGAGTGATGAGCAGATGGCCGGCAGTGCCCACTGGCAGCGTCCCGTCAGCATCCTTTCATAGCAGGCGCCGAGGGAGGGAAATCTCGGCGGCAGTGCTGGAAGTCGGGATGGAATGTGTCCTGGAAGCGTGTGCCGCGATGCAAAACTCATTCTGCATTACAGGCAATCCAATAAAAAACGGGACACCCGGGTTTTTGACCGTTCATCGAATATTTTGTTACCCAATGTTATCGCGCGCTGGCCATGACCATTCGCCACACATCCGACTTTCGCACCGCCGCATTGCGATGCTACGATCTCATCCATAGCCTGCGTAAGGTCGCCTCCATATTCAGTGTATCCAAGAGCACCATCCATCGATGGCACCGAGGATGCAAGCTGGATGACCCATCCCGAGTCACAGCTCGCAGATCCACTTTCTTCGAGCAGGCATGTCCAGTCATCCGCACCCTGATTGAACAGGATCCGTTCCAGGCTGGTCCTGTGTTGCGATGCAAGCTCGAGTCCATCCTCCAGAGGAAAGTATCACTCTCACTCTGCCACACTGCCATCCACCGAGCAGGTCTCTCACACAAGAGGGCAACACACCTCTACAAGTCCAAGCGACTGGATGAGCGAGTGGCACAGTTCAGGGACCAGGCCCGCTCCATCGACCCGCGGCGATTCGTTTTTGTCGATGAGACGGGGATCAGACGAACCACCTTTCCGCTCTACGGATACTCGCCGAAGGGCGTCCCACTCCGTCAGCGCAATCACATGAAACACAAGTCTGTCTCGGCTGCATTTGCCATCAACCACTCTGGTGTGCTGCATCGCATGTACATCCCCACATCATTCAAGACACACTCGATAGTCGAGTTCTTTGAGCGAGCGACCTTCCCAGATGGCTCTGTGATTGTGATGGACAATGTCAGATGCACAAGACAATGGCTGTCCTGGACTGCATCGATCGCCGAGGATGGTCAGTGATCTTCACCCCACCTGCCTCGCCCGACTTCAATCCCATCGAGAACTTCTTTGGGATTGAGTCCCCACCGATTTGGGGTTGAGTCCCCACCGATTTGGGGTTGAGTTCCCCAATCACGCCGCCATTTTCACGCTCAAATCCCTGGCTTGAACCTCTCGACGATTTTTGAACAGGGTCACTTCCCCAACCAGCCCGCAAAGACGGGTTCCTGCTCTCGGGTATAAATGCCACACCTTCGTCCTGCTGCTTTCTTCCCTCATCTCGCCTTGATCTGATCATCGCGCTATTGCACGATAAAAAAAAGTCTCTGCTCTGACCAGTACCACTGGCAGGCATCCAGCATCCTCTGCCCCCATGCCTCCGAAGCGTAAGGGTACCGGTGATGGCCAGCCTCGGCCACCCAGGCCCAAGAAAGCCAAGTCACAGTCGGAGCCTGTCTCTGGTTCGTATTCTGATCCCACGCATGCTTGGTCGTCTGTTGCTCCGTCGCTCACCACCACTGCTTCTGCAGATCCAATGGATGTCGATCCCACCGAGCCTGGTCCATCTACTTCCTCGAGTACCGGCAAGCGATGTCGCCAGTGCGATGGCACCGATCACGAACGTTGCAACACCAACAAGTGTCCAAAATATCACCCCCTCAAGAGTTCTGTCGTCCCACTCGTGGATGGAAGGTCATCCGCCCCTCAGTTCAGCTGCTTCAAGCAGACGATGGATGGCTGTTGTCTCAATCCCGCTCTCCGCGACAAGATCCAGGCCACCGTCGAGGCCATGACCCAGATCCAGTTCGAGGCATCCAGGCTGCTCAACCTGCACATCCTCCGGTGCATCGAGCAGGATCTTCCCGTCCCCGTCATCTCCAAGTCCACACCTGCTTTCGTTCGCCAATGCTTCAGGATCGTCCAGGCTGGTGCTCTCTTGACAGCCAGGGACATTGAGAAATACAACGAGCATCTGGTCGCTTCCTTTCGCGACTACCAGACCACTCGGCACGCAGACCTACCTCCGGCCCCTCGTCTGCCTGATGGTGCTCGCAGTCAGCTTCTCACACTGGCTGTCAATGCCCATGCTACCAACTGCACCACCCACCTCGACCTGGCCTACTGGCGACTCCTTCGCCGCTTCTGCGCTGCCGTCTTCCCAGCCAACAAGCACAAGCACGAAGCCATCGAGGCCTGTCTCGAGCTCTTCGAGAAACCAGGGCAGACTCCACCCAAGGCCGATATCGAGTTCCTCTATCCCGACTTTGGCCACGTCCTGGACGAGTTTCGGTACAGCAGCGACCAGGACCGCTTCCGGGCCCTCCATCGCCTCTCACACCATGTGGGGATCCTTGCCCGGGACAAGATGGTCGACAATGTCCACAAGTGGATCGACTGTGACATGCCCGCCCTCCGAGTCTCCGAGCTGCAGCGCCAGGCCAAGCTGGACGAGCTCACTACCCAAGGCATTCCCTCCGACGACAAGAGGTTCACCACGGCCAAGTCTGAGCTCGGCACCACCAAGGCCAAGATCAACAAGCTGGCCGCCAGACTCAACTGGGCTCTCAAGCAGCTCGCTCTTGACACTCCTCCGGCCGTGTGCACGATGGTTCCTCTATGCACTGCAAGGGCCAAGTATGTCAAGATTGACACGGTCACTCTCTGGGAGCTCCTGGGTCCAAAGAAGCGCCTTGGACTCACCAGGGACAAGCTCAAGGAAGAAGGCGATGACGGTGTCAACAACCAGGATCGTCTCTGGCGCAGTTGCTTCAAGCTGCGTAGTTCCCTCTTCCGTGACCGGGATATCAATCACAAACTGTTCAACTACGAGATCAGCACCGATGGCATTGGATGCACCATCGGCCTCGTCAAGTTTGTGCGTCGAACCGATCGCACCGAGACCTCCGAGCCTCCTCCGACCGCCGAGCAGCGTATCCAGGCCCACATCGGCGACCCAGACCCCGACAAGTCCACTTGGATTGGCATCGATCCTGGAGTCGGCTCCATCTTCACGGCGGTCATCCAAGCACCGGGCCACCAAGACGAGGTGGTCTCATTCTCCAATGGCCACTACCAGCACATGTGTGGCCATACGTCCGACACCAGGTGGCACAACACCATGAAGTATCGACTCAGCATCGAGACCTGGATGTCGACCACTCCCTCGCCCAAGGTGTCGTCCTCGGAGGCTTTCAAGGTCCATCTCACCCATGTCCTGCGACCGGAGCTGCGAGGGCAGCTCGACTTCCACCTTGGCAAGAAGGCCCGTCACCATCGCTTCACGGGCCACAAGAGACGCCAAGTGGCCGTCGACAGGATGTGCAAGGCCGTCCTGAGGCACGCCCCGATACGGACCGATGTGGTGATCGCCTTTGGCAATGCATCATGGCGGCAAGGCAAGGGCTATGCATCCAGCCCTCGGAGGCAGCGGTTCGCTCGGTACTTTGAGCAATTCGAGCACCACCGACGCCGGCCCAATCACCATCATGGAAGCGTCAAGGTAGTCTCGACGAACGAGTTCAACACCTCGCAAGTGTGCTCCAAGTGCCTGGAGCCAGTTCGGTTGGAAGGACTCGATGCGCCCAGTGTTGCGAATTCCCACTTTGTCAGGAGCTGCAAGAATCCCAGCTGCCGGACAGTGTGGAATCGCGACGTCAATGCGGCGCGCAACATGATCACAGTATGCAGGTCGATTGTGGAGACCGGAGAGCGACCGGTGGTCTTCACTCGGAGGCTGCCAAAGTGATCTGTTTTATTTCTTGTGGCTTTGCTTGACGCAAGCACAGCACATACTGCATGTTCATGGAAACGGCTATATTGTCCCGTTTTTTCTGAATAAAGTGTACAGCCAATTCGGAAACAGGACACCCCGTTTGAACCAGGACAGTTGTTTTGCTCTGGAACCTGAATACACACACAGCCGTCGTTCCCATGGCCAAACAGTGTGCTCGCAGCGCCGGGAAGTCAAGCGACTCGAAAAAGCAGAGCAGTCTAGAGTGTCGAGTGAATGCACTACCCTCCTGGATCCAGTGGATGCACCACCCTCCTGGATCGAGACATCAATGCCAGTCGATCGTCGCCACAGAGGATCGACCGAGTGTATTCAAGAGTACGCTTCCCAAACCAACCAAAACAAAGAGATTGCCAACCAGGACGGGAAACAATCGCACGGCTTGCTCGCCGGGACCAACGGATATTCGGCAGGCTTCAGACATCTGACGCCAGAGAAGGACTGTCCCATTTCCTTCTGGATTGACTGTATGATATCAAAGCTGTGCCCTGTTTCATTATTCGAAGGTTGTATGCCAAGGGGTCGTGTACACCGAGGGCCGTGGTTTCCAGTGTTCTGGTGGCTCGGCAGGGCTCCCAGTGCCCCAGGTACGGCTCCTTCCAGCTCCCTCCTTCCAGCAAGCGGAAGCGGGCTTGTTTGTTTGTTGACCCTGGCCCAACAATCGGTAGTGCCATCTGCGCTGCTCGTCGCGACGCTGCCAGGGGCCTCACTCCCGCATCTCGCGCCCGACGCACTGCCGACAGCGCTCGACCAGACAAACGATGGGCGGGATCGCTGGGCGGGAGAAGTGGAGCCAGCGGTGGTGGCTCGAGGGGCTGCTTCCCTCCCAGATCTCGATTTTGGCGCGCGCTCGTCGAAAAGGCGCTGGAAGCCATGACCACTACTTTCCCAGACGGGTTCTCGCTTCTCTGCGGGACATGACTGGATCCTCGCTGTTCCCGCTCTTGTCCTGCACACAGAGCCTGTGGGCGATGTAGCGCTGCTCTGGGTGGGTGTCCGCGGTTGGATGCTGGCTGGGTCCGGGCCGAGAGAGCTACCAGCTTTCTCGGCAGATGTGGCGGTTGTCTCAAAGGCGCTTCGAGCTTCTCTTCCCTCCTCCGCCTCTGTGCCTCAGGAATCGTCGGCGGGAGGTCGCTTGGCTCTATATAGACACGAGGAGGAGTCGCATTCCAGATAATCAAGCGGAACTGAATCATCGTCCGACCGTCTCTCGCCCACGATCCGCCACTGCCTTCCACCATTCGTTGGCACCAGAGCAATCAGGACTGTTTCCGGTCTCACGAAACACGTTACTTGAGCATCGACTCTACCAGGATCCTATCGACCATCGACCACGACGACAACCGCAGTTACAATCACGACCAGAACCACAGTCTTCCTCTTCGGTTTCTCCACATTTCCTCCACCCTCTCTCTGATCGCATCGACGTGCTTGGCCGCCTCTCTGTCAAATTGGAGCCAGAATGCTCACGGTGATAAACCCGATGCTGCCGTTCAAGCCCGAGCCAGCCGTCAACCCAGTCGCGCCCCACAAATCGCATGATCCCTTCGTCGACGCAGCCTCAACAGCGGCATTGGCACGCAATGCCACCGCGATGCCGGTCGGTTCCGTCTCAAACGTGCTCCCAGTCTCGACCCCAGCCCCGACAGCCGTTCCCGGTAATCCCCCCTCGTTGTACAATGCGATCATCAAGGGGCGATGGAAGCTTGTATGTATCGTTATGGGCAGCGGGCAACGCGCATGAGCACCAGCTTGACGGGGCCCGGGCGAAGTGGTCGAGAAGATCGCGCCCAGGCTCGGTTGCCAGCTCGGTCTTGGGGAGTCGCGGAGAGCCTTTCATCGATCTGTAGTAGAGTAACTCACGGCACGAGGACAGGGCTGACGGCGACTGCTGTTGATGTTGCTGTTGCTGATGTCGAAGATCTCGACAAGATCGGTATCTTGCTGCTGGCTCGACGCAATGACCCGCGTTTGACTCCTCGGACGACCACCCCTCCCCTTCCCACATCGCCATCCTCAAACAGGGCAACATGATCGGCAAGGGCGGCTTTGGTGAAGTCTACAAGGCCCTGGATCTAACAACAGGCGAGCGAATTGCAGTCAAGATTGAGCATCCGACGGCAAAGAAGAAGGTGCTTCGGCTCGAGGCTGGCGTGCTGCGGCGGCTCCAAGGTAGGGTTAGTACGAAGCGTCCGGTGGAGTTCGTGGCTTTGCATCGAAAAATCCAATCAAGCCGCGCTGTGCATGGCTCAGATATAGTCCAACGCAACCAGCAGTAGTAGGATGTAGGTCACGGCCCAAAACATCTCAATTTGATGACCGGATGTAGCGGGCCGAGGCAAGCAAGTGCTGGCCGGGCAACGGAAGTCCAGAGATGAAGCTGCGAATGGTATCGCAACGGAATCATGGACGACGGGAAAGATCGATTGGGGCCGGAGCGCGCAGGAATCTTCCCGAGGAGCTCCTGATCAGCAAACTCACCAGCATGTCGCTGGCTGACCATGGCATCAATGGGCTCATCTGCTCTCTTTCCCATGGCACTCAGGACGCAAACACATCCCGCAGCTTCATGCATGCGGTCGATATTTGACGTATCCGATATCATCATACGGACCGGGGGTTAACGTCGACGATGTAGCGTCGACCTATGTGGTCATGCAACTACTGGGGCCCAAGTAAGTTGCGTGGAAGCGCGCGGATGGCAAATCAGGTGCCGATGGAGGATCAGATTTCGCGGTTCGAGACTGGTGGGTGGCAGGAAACGATACCGTGAAAATGGTCCTGCAACGCCGCTAATGACATCTGAATCCTGTAGTCTCTCCGAGGTCCGAAAGAAAACAAAGACGGGCAGGTTCAGTTTATCAACGACGGCGTTGCTGGGAAAGCAGATGATCAAGGCCATCCGGGAGATTCATGAAATCGGAATCATCCATCGCGACATCAAGCCAGGTGAGACCGCGGTGTTTGGCTCATGGCCGTCCTGGCTCATGGTCGTCCTGGCTCCGCAAGACAGCTGCTTACTGGCTCTGATTTTATCCGGCTCGTATGGATTGGCAATCAGGCAATTTTTGCATTGGACTGCCGAGCACAGAAGGGCAGCCGGGATGCTATCTTGTTGATTTTGGACTCGCTCGAAAGTTCACGAACGGCTCTGGACAGCATCGATACGTAAGGAGAATGGTTATCTGCTGTGATAGCCCCGGAGCCGGGTCTCGGTGGGAGCCGCTGATGTGAGACTTGGGTCGGAGGCACCATTGCTTGCGAAGGACGGCCAGCGTTCAGTTTGTCTCACAGCGAACACCACACATTCCTGATTTGTTTGACACTATCCCAACGGATGACAGCCGCGAGAAAAGGCGGGATTCAAAGGCACAGCGACGTATGCTTCCTTGCACGCACACCAGGAAAAGGTAAGAGCCCACGGCGCCCGGTACGGCATCATGGAAGCGCTCCGCGGTTCTAACTTGCCCTTGGTGGTGGCAGGATCTGTCTCGGGTGGACGACTTGTGGCCGCTGCTATACATCACGATAGAGTTCCTCAACGGCCAGCTCCCGTGGAAGGGCAAGGAGAAGGTATGCACAAATAGCACTTTTGCCCAATGGGATGGCACCGTCGCTGGTAGGCAGTGATGGAGGAGCCGGCACCCTTCTGCGGTCGTGGTCTCATTTGCATGATCCCACACCAGGCTGAAATCAAACATCTCAAAGAAACCATGTCGATGCACGACCTGTGCCAGGGATTGCCAGAGCCCGTGGTAGAGCTCTATCGCTATCTAGCGTCGCTGCAGTTCTTTGACGAGCCCAGCTACGACTATCTCGAGAGCCTTTACGACCGGCTGCTGCAGCTCTCGGGGTGCCCGCCCGACGTTGGCTATGACTGGGAGACACCGCCAGAAGGGATGCCGTCAAAGCTGGAGCAGCTCGCCCGGTCGGATCCTCAGTTGAAGAAGACGCAAGTGGCCTCATCGATGACGACGATACCACTGTCGGTGCGGGAGACGAATGCGGTAGAGAATGCCACGATGGAGGGCAATGGCCGAAGCGATGTCCCAAGCCAACGGGAGAACCGGTCCTCCGTCGAGCGCGAATCGCGCGAGGATCTGATGAGCACACGCATTTGGAAGGAGAAGACGCTGGATGAGCTGGACCGGATCGGGTCAAACAGCAAGCTGCATGGCAGCTGCCCCTTGATCGAGCAGTCCCGGAGCCTGCCAGAGAAGGGAACAGCACCAGCGGTCCAGCTGTCGACGTCGTGTCCTCGGTCCGAGTCGATGGCGATGTGCTCGTCCGAGCTTATACCAAGGTATGTGGACATCCAGCGGCGTCGGAGGTGATGGCGATATGGGCGACAGGAAGATGCGGTAGCTGGCGGGGCCATGAAGGGCGTTGACGAGCTGGAGGCGAGCAGGAGAGGCGAGCAGGAGAGGCGAACAAACCGATCCGGACCAGCCCAACGAACGAACGAGCGAGCGCGTACAGCCGAAGCAAGGGTGGTTTGGTTGCATAGGGCCCACGACGACACAGGAGCGACACCGGAGCGATACAGGAACGATGCATGAACGACATGCAACGGATGCGGGTCCTGGTTCTGCAAATGAGGCGCTGGCACGAGAGTGGATGTCGTGCGCTTCCCGCACCATGTCGAACGAGGGCCATTCTTCCCCCCCCTGGAGCGATCTCGAGCGAGTCTGCTTGGTTCCCGCCGCCACCCGAGTACTTGCTGATCCGGAATGACCCCCGTGCGTCAATGCAGACCCCCAAGCTCGCCCCCGAAACACCGGTTCTTTCTGCGTCCGCGGCGGCTGCTGGCTCCAACACATGTCGGGCCCGCGCCTGGGTCGGGCGCAACAGCAACGGCGCTGGGTGGATCGCCTTCGTCACCAGGAGAGCCCGCGGCACCCAAGACGGCGCCGGTGTCGATGATGGGTATTCCAGACACGCATTCCCAGCAGCAGAAGCCCCCGCATCCACATGGACATCCACATGGACATCCACATGGGCATCCACACCCACATGCACATGCACATGCCCACCACCCTCCGCAGACAACACGATGAGCATTGCCAGAACGCGTCTTGTCCGGAGGTTGCTCGGACTCGGCGAGGGCGAGGGCGAGCAAGGGGGGCCTGGCGACCATTGTGTGACGACAATCGGACAGCAAGGGGACATTGTCGAGCACAATCAGCATCGCACAGAGAGGCGCCCGGCAGGGGTCTTTGCTCGACAGGGTTTGCAGCCGGTGCGCGGTGCGCTGTCGGACAATGCAGATGGCGTTGTCAGTGTGGATGGCGCTGTCAGTGTGGGCACTGGGGGCAGTGTGCTGCTGTTGCTGCTCGCTGTCTGTGTGGCGGCGAGCAGCTGTATCAATGGATCGACAGAAGAAACGCGCTCAGCACTCTCGCGCACCGGCACACGGACAATGCGCGCCGACGCAGCCAATCCAGCCCCACACGCTCTGTGCGCCGGCCTGCACGGCAGCCACACCGCGGCCACAGCGCCCCGTGTGCTGCTGCTGTCGGCGTGCGTGTGTCTCGCTCTCGCCCCTCGCCCCTCGCCCCTCGCTTCTCGCCCCTCGCTGCGCCCTCGCCCTGCCTCATCTCCTTGTTCTCGCCGGTGCTCCCCGCATCTCCCTCCCCTCTCTCTTTCTCTCCTCCCTCTCTCCTCTCTCTCTTGCCTCTGCACCCTTGCACTCCCGCTCACACCGGCACATATCCCAGCCGACCGCTCTTCCCACTGCTCGACTTTAACGCGTTCGCCTGTCTCCGTCGCCGCTCGCTCGCTCGTCATGAGAGAATACAAACTGGTCGTCTTGGGCTCCGGCGGTGTTGGAAAGTCGGCATTGGTTAGTACCGTCTGCGTCGCCCTCTGGATTGCCCGCTGTTCTATGCTATCGAGGCAGCTGTCATTGCCATTCGCCATCGCATTTCTGTTTTTGCTGCAGCTTCTGTTGCGGTTGCTGCTCCGCCAGCCGGTCCTTTGCCTCTCGTCCATCGAGCATGTTGGCCCTTGCCAGAACCCAGCTCGTTGATGTTTGCGACCTTTCTACGAGTCCATTATGCACTTTCCGCCCCCCCTCCCGCGAGCAAGGGTCTATCAATGCTTCCACAGGCTGTGGGCCAGCGACACCTCGCCATTCCTTTCTTCCCACTGTTTTCCTCTCCACAAGAGGCGTATTTTTCTGCGTCTTTTCCTGCCGTGCTCCTTCTTTGGGGCCCTATCCGTTCGGCTGCTGGCCCTTGATGCCAATGCCCTCGACAGGAATGCAACGCCACGACCGCGGGACTCTCGGACCATTCTCGGCTCGCTTCCTGCTCTGCTCGTCGATCGGTGTATGAACCAGCGCTGCGTTGGCTTTGAAGCACAAGCGTACTCCAACCATTATCACATCAGCACGAGCCTGGGCACCACCACCACCACCACCACCGTTGCCGCATCGACACTGCCAATCGGCTCGATACCAAGTGACGGATTGCCTCTCGCGGCTGCTGCCCACTGTGGTTCACCCTCGGAGCAGCTTTGCTGGTCTACCCAAGCGGGGACCCTCAGCATCGCCCGCGACGACGCTTCTCCCTGTCGCCAAAGCACCGCAGCTCCTCCACCACAGCACCTTCGCCGAGCAAAGTCGAGCAGAGCAGAACAGAGCAGAGCCGAGAATGCCCTCCGTCCCGGTTGGTGGACGGCCCACGCCTCCTGCGAACTCACGCCGAGTCATCGACGCATCCGCTGTGTCCGCTCGCCTTCGTTCCTACTCCTCGCGCCTTGTTTGCTGCATCGCCATTGCCATTGCTCGCCTGTTTCATATGGTCCGACTGCCAGGCCACTGCCAGCCGCCGGTTGTCTGCTATCCCCTTTGGCTGGCACTGCTACGCGTGTTTGCGCCAAGCAGTCGGTTGGTCTGTGGACTGGCTGGTCAGCGGCCGCCATATGCGCTGTCCTGGCTTTTTAGCTTGCTTTTTGGCTTGCACTTGCACCCGTACTCATATCCCGTCGCACTCGTGTGGCATTGCGGGATGGCGACCGCGTTTCGGATCCCAGCCGGGTCACCATCGCATGACTAACCATCGTTCGCTCCTCCAACGGCCCCGGTGTCTTTTGCTGAAACCGCTCTTCGCGACGGGGACCACGATTCATTTAGACCGTGCAATTTGTTCAATCCATCTTTGTTGAGAAATATGATCCGACAATCGAGGATTCGTACCGAAAGCAAGTCGAAGTGGACGGACAGCAGTGCATGCTCGAGATTCTCGACACAGCCGGCACAGGTTGGGATCGGGTGATGGTGCGATGCTGCGTGGGCGTTGCTGGCGGTCGGTGGTTTAGGTGGAGAAGCAAAGCGTCGCTGCAGAGCTACAACTCGGTCGGGCATCATGACACAGCTCGTGCATGTACCATTGAGTCATTGCCCGCAATGCCAAACGCGATGGTCTCGTTGGAGACCGTGTTGCTTCTGCACAGCCCTGGTGCGGGTGGCTCATACTGTTCTGGCCCCGGCCATGACTTGAGCGGTGCTGCGACCGGCGAAATGAGTCAACATGGATGCCCCGGAAGGGTCGTGTCGCTTGGCATGGCCACTTCTGTAAGCCTAGAGCAGCATCGATCTAACCCGCCGCACCATCCACGCCCTTCTGCCTGACAGAGCAATTCACGGCGATGCGCGATCTCTACATGAAAAACGGCCAGGGCTTCATCCTCGTGTACAGCATCACATCACAGGCGACCTTCAATGATCTCGTTGAACTCCGAGAGCAGATCCTGCGAGTAAAGGATACCGATAAGGTGAGCCCCTTCAGCTGTGTTTGACAGGGTGGGATCGAATTGTGTGTTTAGGTCAGACAGCAAGCCGTCGTCCTCCCGGCCTCCGCCAGCGCAGAGCCTGAAACAACCGGTAGCAGTCCAAACTTCGATACCAAGCCTCTTACAAACGGTTACTCTCGAGTATGCAATGAACTGGCACGCCCAAGAATGTTGTGGCTGATGCTCGGATCGGAATCCAAGCCCTCACTCTGTTGAAATCGTAGTCAATCTGCCCGAATCCTCAGTTTGGATACGAAGCATATCGATCCCAGAGACGCAGCAACGCCGTATGCGTGTTTCTAAGCCGGTACAACGATACAACAGCAGTCGGCCGAGTCGGTTGGATTCGACACACTCGCTCGATCGACATCTGCCAGCGACCCCGGTATCGACCGCACAACCAAAACAACGGCAACGGCAAGGGCAACGGCGAATGCGACTAATGCAAACCGACCCGTTACTACTCTGCGCATCTGTGGCTCCGGTGATCGATCTGGGCACGCTCGCGCCAGCTTCTGACCCTCGGACATACCGATTCTGCAGGTCCCAATGGCTCTGGTCGGAAACAAGTGCGATCTTGAAGACGATCGCGTTGTAAGTAAGCAGCAAGGTGCCACCCTCGCTGCCCAATGGGGCGGCTGCACGTTCATGGAGACCAGCGCCCGAAAGAAAATCAACGTGGACGAAGCCTTCTTTGACTTGGTCAGACAGATCAACAAAACTATGCCTGAAAAGGTAAGGGTGTCTGGTGTGCTCCGGAAGCCTCGTTTGCGGTGACATGCAGATGGAAGAGGGCTCCATATGTCTCAGGGATACGCGGAGGGAGCGAGAGCGGAAAGGAAAGGAAGGCAATCTGGAGGTGCGACCAGAAACGGAAGGTCTTGAAGCGGCTCGCAGTCTGGCGGATACTCGCAGTCTGGCGGATACTCGAGTATTGCTGAAAGGACACCCTTGAGTTTGAGTTGTCTCCATGAGTCTGCGCAATGCAGCCAACTGATGGCGTCGCTTCGTCCCCACACAGAGTACAAAAAAGCCGGAAAAGAAGGGAAAGTGCCACATTCTGTAAACTACGCGGCAGCCCAAACCCCCGCCACCACCGATCCAAATCATCCCATCCGGCTCACAAAGCTCCGGCTCCTTCAGCAGCACGCTCTCTTCCTCTGTCCGTCCGCTCCCGGGCCTCACCTTCGTCTCGCGCAGTGGTTCACCTGCCCCCTCCTCCCTTTTGGCTCGAATCAGAACGAGGTCGTCGTCTACTCGCTTCTCTCCGCCTCTTCTCACCACTGTGCTCTACCCCCCCCTTTTTTTTCCAATTTGTGAAAGAACAGATAAAAAAAATGACTAAACTCCAAAATAACTCCCACTCTGGCTTGTCTCTCCCGCTCCTTCCCGCTCTTGCCCCTCCCCTCGCTCTCTTTCTCTCGTTCTCTCGCACGCCTTTCTACTCGCTTGCTTGTTCTGTTTTCAGCCCTCTACTCTCTCCCTATCTCTCTCTCTCTCTCCCATTCACATAATGACAGATTCCTAATGAAATAACGGTTGAAACAAGCGCACGCAGTCACACCTACCCCTCCTTCCATCACGATACACCGCGATGTGATTCCTCCGCCCTCGTTCCTCACACTTCCTCCACTTTCTCTTATCCCCATGACTGTGCAACCCTCCAACTTGGTGATTTGCATGCTGCTTTCCCGTCTCGCGGATCCCTTTTCCAAACTCAAGCCTCTGCCTATTTTGTTAGATTCTTCTTCTGCTTTGATCCCACTTTGCCTTGACGCCACCATCCCTTATCCTCGACTGTGTTGTTGATTTAGCTACCTTTTTTCCTCTCATTCTCGCTGTTATTGTTGATCCACCCCCGCTCTGGGATTAGATTAGAACTCAAAGATCAACTGCACGATATGCTGTCCGGGCCAGTTGAGTGCAATTGTGGGAGGCATGGGAGAAAGGCGAATGTGGCGACGACGCGGAAAGGGACATTTATTGGCGATCAGGCATCTTAGAATTGAGGGCTTGAGCGCCGAGACTCAGAGCTCAAAGGTCCAGACCTCGACATTATGGCAGTAGAAATCTGGGTGCTGCGCCAGAGGCTCGTTGTTGTAAGTCGGGCACGAACTCGAGTGGCCCCGATACAAGTCTTCGTCCAGCCACAGCCCAAACTTGCCGTTTCTGATGTGGGTTTTGTTGTTTTTGGTAATCCGGATATCCAGCGAGTATTGATTGAGAAGGAAACAAGTAAATGGATGAGATAACAAGGCGATGGCATGCGGAAGAGACTCGGCTGACCAGTGACGTTTGATCGCCACGCTGCGGAATGAAGGACACAGCCGTATCCGTGGGAATCAGGGACAGGGACAACGAGGACAAGCGGCAAACCACTGACCCGCCGCCAAAGGCTATGTTGGCCCCGCTCTCGCTGAGGATGTAGTATTCGTTGAGGCCGGTGGACAGGTATAGCGACATCGTATCGACGGCGTGGTTGTATCTCCACAGGAAACTGCATCGGCGGCCCAGACAGAGCGACAGAGAGAGAACTTGTCAGCGGAGATGTGGCCATTGACGGACGGCAGAAGAGAGCCAGGTCCAATGAAAAGGAAGAACAGACAACAGGTGCAGCAACCAGTTGCTTGTCTTTGCCGCGATGCACTCTCCCCCTTTACATGGCCGCCTTACCATGCACCATTTCCATAATACCCGCGCTTGACCCTCTTCAGGGGAACATTCGAGAAGGCACCGAACACCCCGCCGTCGTCGTCTTGGATCACCAGGAGGATCGGATAGGGCGGTCCCTCGTCTGGGTTCTCGCCGCTGGAGTCGGTTGATACGAAGCTCGAATCGCCGGGGACACACCTGGAAAACAGGGTCGTCAGCGAGGCACCGTCGTCCTGGAGATTGTAGAGCAGTTTCCATTGGCGGGCTTGTTGTGGAAGCGGCGGCAGGAATGGCTGGATCTACGAGAGAAATCACAAGTGCCTACATCAACACCAGCATCAAGCAACATCGACATGATCATGAGCGTGGGTGGGCAGCGGCATTTAGACAGCAAATTCGGGCATTGGGGAATGTGCGATGGCTGATTCGAGCTGCAAACTCGCAGCGGCAAAGTACCATTTCAGCCAAACGTGCGGTCAGGATCTGCTCAAAGTCACCGGGCTTGGACGATCTCGACGAGACCAGTTCGATGCTGGTGGTGGCGGCTGTCGGGAGCGTGAAGCGGCGGACTGGGATTGATGGTCGAGGCGAAGGAGCCAAAGTCAGCGAGGCACTCCCGGCGCCCTGGGCGGATGGCGGGTTGCGATGCATTGATTTGGACGGGCGCCGTCGGGTCGGAGAAGCAGAGGATGTGGCCGACTGTGGAGTCGAGCAGGAAGGCATCTCGATCGAGGATGACGGATCGGCGCAAGCGACAGAGCCGGCCATCGCGAGCCATGGATGCAGATCGCGTTTGGGCGAATGCCGCTGAAAGTCCAGGGACGATTTCGACTGCAGGGCCTGTCCTGCTGGGTGCGAGCCGGGAGAGCCTGCGAGGATGGGTCTCCGATAGGGCTTTGGCGGCGGCCGCGAGCCATAGGCCAGAGCCGAGGCCGGACGAATGTGCCTCCGCGAGCATGGCGAGCTTGACGATCGATCCTGTGTGGGCGACGGGTCCTGACCGCGTGGGTGGTTTTGAGGTCCAAGCTGGCATGGGATCGAGGAGCGGGCGACCGACACAGATGTCGGAGGATTGGATGGCCGGGACCCAGGGCCGGGCTCGGATGAGGAACAGGCGTCGGGGGACCGCTGGTCTTGCGAGAGGGCCAGGGTATGGCTCCAGCGGGACTCTGTGCTGCTGGACAAGGTGGCCCTCCAGGTGTGCAGCATCTTGGAGATCCTGGCCTTCAAATCCGGCCGGGGTTCGGAGAGATTGGGGTCGTCCATAGGGAGTTGCGGGAGAGCCAGGGTTGACGGAAGACAATGGCCTCTTGTGCCGATGGCAGATCATGCGAATGGACATGGAGAGCGGGGAGCAGCGACCGATGGCCAGGCAACTGGTGCGTGGGGACGGCGCTGGGCCGGCGCTGGTCATGGCCATGGGGCGTTCGCCTGGACATGGCTGTTTTCTCATGCAGGCCAGGAGGAGTACAGAGGAGCACGGCTGCATATGACGCTGCATTTGATGTTTCAACTAATGCTGCAATTAGTATTGCATCTGACGCTGCAACTGATGCTGCATCTAGTACTGCTGAAAATTGCTCATGGCCACTGCCTGGGGCTCTTTGCTGCATATGGGCCACGATAGCTGCTGCTGAATGACAAAGCCAGGAACAATGCTCTGCGACAATGTCACGCCGCCAACGACCCTGGACATGAGCGCTCTCTGTCCCATGTCGGGCTGAATCGCCCCGGCCTGCTATGGCCGGGTGCCTGTGCGTTCTCACGGCCGATGGGGGCGCTCGCGGAGAAGGTCCGAGAAAAATGCATGCGGCCTCCCTCTCCTCAACGACCAGCAGCGGTCCCGTCACATCGATCCGCGATCCGGGCTGCGGTTCCGTAGAGGGTCGGCCTCCCGGTGCTCGACAGGCGGCCGTCGGCATCTGAAAGGCGCCGACGGAATCAGCAACGGGAGCATCGACGGGAGCATCGACGGGAGCAGCGACGGGAGCAGCGACGGGAATCAGACCGCGTTCCCACCCGCGCCCCAGCCAACCAGCCGGCCAGGCCTGGTGCGACGAGGAACAGGCACACCAGGCGCACACTCACTCAGGGCAGTGTGGGTGCGCGCCGGGGACGCACGGGCGGCGGGTGCGATCCCGCGGCCAGCCGGGCGGAGATAAGCTGCTGCGCAGCCGCGCCTGCCGTATCTGCCGTTGCCTATCTCGCCCCGGGCGTCGCACAGAGATAGACGGTCGGGCGAGGCGGTTATAAATATGGGACGGCGGCCGGCCGTCTCTGTCGCGGTTTGGGCGATCGGGCCGCCTGGCGCCGAAGCCTGCCGCTCTGATATGCAACTCTGCCGCCGAGTCAACTGCCGTCCCCCGTCCGTCCGTCTGCGATGTCGTCGCCGGAAAGCCGCTGCTGTCGTCAGCTCCACCCGCTTCTCGTCTTGCCAGGCCGTGTCGGCGCTCGCTGTTGCTTGCGCTGGCTCGACCCTGGATCGAGTGCGTCGGCTGGCTGGCTGGCTGGCTGGCTCGAACGTGCGCATCTGGCGCCCAGCGATTGGTGCGGCCGGTGGCGCCAGATTCGGGACCCGCCAGCTCATTTCTGGCCAATGGCTGTGTGCCGCCGAGCGCCGTCTGGTCAGGCGGCGTGTCGTTCCGGCGCGTCAGCGTGCGGGATCGGAGCAATGCGCAGCTGGGCGGCGATGTGGGGCGCGCGGCAAGGACGCAGGCTCTGGGCTGGCAGCGCAGGCGTCGCACGGGGCGCACCCGCATTCCCATAAGCGGCGCTCTGGGGGAGGCCTGGCAGCACGGGGCGGTGACGTCACCGCCGCCACCGACACCAGCCCGCGCCAGGTGACCAGCGGATGCAAACTCTGTGCGACGACGCGGGACGGCCGCAGTGTGTGTCTGTTGTGGCAGCGACAGCGACTGTGTCTGCCTTGCTGCGCTGCTGCTGCTTCTGTGGGTGGCGGCGGGCCTTGAGTAACAGAACTCTGCAGCTCATCCGCGACAGAGACTGCTGGGGGGGGCTGTCCTGCCCTTGCAGAGCACCGCGAAGGGCCGGCGCACAGCGAGCCAAGGGGCGGCGCTCGCTGCGGCCGGGAGGCACCCCCCACAAGGGGGATCTTGCTCTGTATCCATGTATGTGCTGCTTCATTTGTCCCTGCCTTGCTTTTGCGTTCGGTACGCGTCACAGGTGAGGCGCAGGCGAGGTCCAATCGCGTGCGAGCTCTGTGCCAGAGAGCACGGCGAGGGCGCTGTGCGAGACGCTGCGCGGATGTGCGCGAGCTGTGTCTGTTGGGGCGGCCCTGATTGGTGGAGACGCGGGGTGAAAGTGTGGCATTGTGCGGCCGCCCATTGTGCCGGCAGCAGACATGCGCGTCCGGCCGCCTTGGGTTTGCGGGCTCCAGCCCAGCAACTGTGTCTGCAGCATCAAGCGCAACTGTGCCTGCCTGGACAGATCCACAGCAACAGCGCCAGCCACTCCCGCTGCAAACAGCAGCAGACTCGGAGCAACGCGCCGCTCCACCGGCCTGGGCAAGGCGGAAAACAAATCGCTGTCCAACAAGGGCACAACGAGCCCCATGAACGAGCCCTCCCCCAGCGCCTTGCTCTGGCCGGGGAGCGAAATGGGAAAGACGCCGCCTTTTAAATAGTCTGCGCTCTCCCGCCTCGCTGCCATAGGTGACTGCATCAACCCATTTCATTTCGCTTCGGTGTCTTTCGTTTGTTCGCTCGTTCGTTCACTCTCGCTTTCGCTCTCGCCTTCTCTCTCTCCCAGGAGCAGCCCATCTCTGCCTCGCTCGAACACACCCAGGCCGCTTGATGCTCTATACCGTCTCTCTGTCTCTCTGAGCCGCTTCTCATCTTTTTTTCGGATCTTCCGTCCGTCCGTCCCTGCCGGCTCCTTCCCGCCTTTGCCTTTGGTCTCGCTCCGACTGTCGACCCCCCCCAAGCCCCTCCGCTGTTCAAGCCCTCTGAATTTCATTCTCCGCCTTCCCCACACTTGTTCTCCTGCGCCATGGTCCGCACCCTCGATACCTCCAATGTCGACGATCTCCATCGCTCCCTCTGGGGCTACTCTGCCTTCTCGGGAACCCCTGCCAAGCCTGCCTCCATGTTCTCGTCGATGCCAGAAGATCCAAGCATCTACGCCAACCCTGGCCATGATCTGATTGACTATTCGCTGGCCCAGTTCGGCCTCGGCGACCTCGAGCTGGTCGCCGACACCACCTCCCCCGCCCAGTCGCCCTCGGCACACGATCCCACTCTCGCCGGCGGCTTCCATGAGCTCCGGTCGCTGATCTTTTCGTCGCCTCCGATGGACGCTTCCTTCCCCGTCGCCGTCACCTCGGCTCCAAGCGCGAGCCTCCGGGCACCCACCTCGCTGGCCTCGGCGCTCCCGGCCTCCCTGGCGCCTTCGCTGCCAACGTCGCTACCTGCCTCGCTGGTCTCGGCGCTTCCAGCCACCATCGCCGTCACCCTGCCTTCCGCGCTTCCTACCACCCTGCCAGCCTCGCTCTCGACGACCCTGCCCACGTCGCTGGCCGCGACGCTCCCCACGACCCTGCCTATCGATCTGGCCTTCCGCCCTGCATCCCCAATCCTGTCGGCGCCTGCTCTCCCCTATTCCCCGCCGACAACTCCTTCTTCTGCCATGCTCTCGACCCTGGCCGCTGCCGACAAGCCTATTGTCGATGCCACCGCTGCCTCAGGCGTCCTCGCGCCCTACGACGAGCAGATCGGTTTCCACCGCCTGGTCTCGTTCGCCCGTCGTCGCCTCGGCAAGTGGGAGCAGGCGCGCCTGTTCTACGCTCTGGCCCAGTTCCGGCCCTCGTCCATGGCCCGCCAGGCTCCGCTGTCGGTGCAGGATCTGATTCTTGCCGAGCAATGCATCCAGCGCACCCTCAAGGACTACGAGAACCTACTCTTCCTGACCGGCACTCCGACCGTCATCTGGCGAACCGCCGGTGAGATCGTCATGGTCGGCGAGGAGTTCACCGAGCTGACGGGCTGGTCGGCCTCTGCCCTCATCCTGGGAATGACCCCGAACAAGGCCCCCGTCGCATCGGTGCCGCCCTCGCAGCACAACAACATGCTGATCACCGAGATCATGGACGGCAAGTCGTGCATCGACTACTGGGAAATGTTCTCCAAGAACGCCCAGCTCGGCGCCTCGGCCGACTCGCCCGTCTCGGGTCGCTGCATCCTGCTCCGTCCCGACGGCCAGCCCCTGCCATGCGCGTACTGCGTCACCATCAAGCGCGATCTCTTTGATCGTCCGGCGCTGATGGTCGGCAACTTCCTCCCGATGATGTGCAAGCCTTGAAGGATGAGAAAAGCCATTCCTCGTCCTCGTCTCCTCGACAACTGGTTCTCCTGTCTGCTCCGCGGCCGGCCTCTGTTCCGCCCCGCACCACCCCTTCTCCCACCCTTTCTCGCCCTTTCTTGCGCCGCGACGCGCCTTTTGATTCTTTTGTATCTATATTTGCTCGGGGATCTCTCCCAGACGGGGGTCTCCCTTCTCCTTTCCCGCCGCCGGTGCCTGTGGCCCGCTGGCTCCCTCTGTTCTCTGCGCAAGCCGCCCGTCGTTGCTTTGCCCCTCCAATGCATGTAAATACTTGGCTTCACATAATACGAATAGAACTGTTATGAGCACCGATGTCGCTTGGGATCCTTTGGGATCCTTTGGGAAGGAGGTGTGCGCCTGTGTGTGTCTGTGTCCGGGCTCATGAGGATCCATGCGGACGCGCATGGCTTGGGCCCATGGATGCCGTCGCCATGGAGCATCCGACATGTTGCCGCCGTCCAGTCGCCGTCATCCGTGTCATGTCCTATTCCATGGCGCCGCTGACATGCAGCAGACACGGCGCAGACACGACCCAGACACCGCTGGGGAACAATCCCACCATCATCAAGCAAGGGCACAATCGAAGGCGGCCCGAGATTATGGTCGACAGCTGTGTTGCCCGCATCGGCATTGCTCTATCGTTGCGTTGATTGCGTCGGTCGGCAATGCAGTCGACAATGCAGTCGGCAGACAAGTGTGCATGAATCGAGACTGCTTGCCTCGGCTCCGACCAAGAGCTGCGGTTCCTGTCCTGTCTGTCGGCGAATCATACGCCATCGCCCGAGTTTCAGGCTTTTCCTTTCCTTTTGCCTTGATCCTTGCATCCGTTCGCCTCACGAGACAGCGATAGCCGGTCCAAAGAACCATATCACGCACGGGCCAGCAGTTCCAGCAAGACAGGCAAGAGCCATGGCTGTGAGCAGCTCCTCGTCCTTCGTCTCCACGGTCGCGCTTGTTGTGGGGGAATCCTGCACTGCTCACAACTACATCCTCCCCAGAACCCAGGCAGGGGACGGTGGCCCAGATCGCCTTATCTGCAGCTTTTGAGTTATCGTCATGCGACCAGAGCATCTGGCGAAGCAACGTTGCTGCTTCTGATCTCTCTCCCTTCCCTCCTTTCCGCCAGCCCGTCTTTCTCGTCGGCTTGTTCGCCCTTTCCCACTTGCTCTGACTCTGGCCCATCAAGCCTTGCTGGCCAGCGCGGTGGCTGAGGCCCCTCCCCCATTCCCTCGGGCCCGTCTTGCTTCTCCTCAGATATTGAACGCATCCGCGGCTGCAGCCCGAGCTCGAAAGTTTACTTTTGCCCGAGACACAAGATCACATTCACGTTCACGCCAGTCTCTGCGAGGACGCCAGCAAAGGAGGTCACGCCTGCACAGCACACCCCGTGAAGCTGCTCGGCTGCTCGGCTGCTTGCGCCTGTCGAGACGCGCTGGTGGGGCAATGTACATCTCTGTGCAGGTTTGTTGCATCGTGGACAGGGTGGGGAAGGGCCGTTGATAAGAGACTGCCACCTCTACACATTGCCGGCCGCCGATTCAGCAAGATGATTACGGTCGGCGCCGTGTCCAGCGCCTGCTCGAGTCTGCCGACCGCCGTTCCGACATCGCATCTCTCTCGCACAGTAGCTGCTGCTGCTCGAGCGGGCAGAACCAGACACACCCTCAGCAGCACCAGCTCTGGCCCGATGCAGCGTCTGGGCACAGAGACGACCGCTGCCGCTGCATCGCACAAATATACAGCGTGACCCCGCCCAACACGAGCCCCATACAGAGTTTGCCCCTGTGCGCCGTCGCACGCGCATCACGCCCCCTCACGTGGCTTGGTCGCAGCGGCCTGGCTCGCTGACAACCGGTTCTGGCCCCGGGTTGGTTTCTCCCATGGCAACGGCCGGCCGACAGCAGGCAGACCAATGTCAGGCAGCGTGAAAGCAAGCAAGCAAGATGGGCCCGGTAAGGAGCGTGTTGCAGCCGATGCGGCCTTGAGTTGGGAGGCAATCATCCGATGAAATGCATAAATACCGGCCTGTCGCCCGCATCCAAGATAGAGATCCCAGGCTCGATCCGCCGCACACTCCTCCTTCTCCTCTCCCTCTCGACCCAACCCCCCCCGGCTTCCTCTTTCGCAACGATGCTGCTCAAGACCGCTGCTCTCGCCCTCCTCGCCTCTGGCGCTGCCGCCCAGTCCTGCTCTGGCTCGGCCTACACCTGTGTCAACTCTGGTGTCTCGGCCTCCTACACCATCTGCTTCAGTATGTGCTGTCTTCTCCCCCATGCTTCTGATCTGCCTGTCTGACTGTCTGCCCGTCTGCCTTCTGTTTGCTGGGGTTGCTCCTGGTGGTGGAGTCCATGTTCCCGATCTGACTGACCCTCCATCTCCATCTCCATCCTCGTGGCTGTCTCTGCTCAGACGGCGGCCTCATCACCATGAGCTGCGGTGCCGGCACTGCCTGCTACCAGAGCGGCGCCAGTGTGGTGAGTACCGACGACGTGTGTCTGAGAGCGTGTGCACACTGCTGATCGGACCTCTAACTTGCACATCATCCTCATCCTCGAATCGCACAGTACTGTGACTTCCCCGGCAAGGGCGTTACCACCACCGCTGCTGCCTCCACCACTACCACCACTACCACCAAGAGCTCCACTACCAAGAGCTCCACTACCAAGAGCTCCACTACCAAGCCCACTACTACCAAGCCCACCACTACCACCACCACTACTACTACCCCTTCCAAGACCACCACCACCACTGCCACTTCCACGTCTACCTCTACCTTCGTCCCCCGCCCCGCCCCCAACGCCAACGGTGGTAACGTCGGTGTTGTTGGTTACTGGCCCGACTGGGCTATTTACACCCGCTCCCAGAACAACCCCAACACCATCAACGTCTCCAAGGTCACTGTTCTCAACTACGCCTTCTTCGGTGTCAAGTCCGATGGTACCCTCTACAGCTACGATCCCTGGGCCGATTTCGGTGGAAGCAGCGCCACTGCCCCTTGGGCCATTGATCCCTACAGTGGTCAGAACAAGGGTATTGCCAACTTCATGGCTGCCCGCGCTGCCAACCCCAACCTTCGCACCGTGCTCTCCATCGGTGGCTGGTCGCTCTCTGGCACCTTCTCGGATGTTGCTGCCAACCAGGCTGCTACTGACAAGTTCGTGTCCCAGGTCGTTGCCTTCCTTGACCAGTTCTGGTTTGACGGTCTCGATCTCGACTGGGAGTACCCCGGAGGTGGCGGCCTTCCCTGCAACCATGTTAGCCCCAACGACGCTGCCAACTTTGTCAACCTCCTGGCTGCCCTCCGCAAGGCTCTTGGCCCCAACCGCATCCTCTCGATTGCCGCTTCTGCTGAGCCCTCGCGTTACACTGCCAATGGTGTCAACTACCTGACCCAGTACGCCAAGTACCTCAGCTACTTCCAGATTATGACCTACGATTTCTACGGTTCCTGGGTTCCCTACACCGACTTCAACTCTCCTCTTCAGCTCCCTGGTGCCAGCGACCCCCAGCGCCCTGCCGGAAATATTCAGTTCGGCAACGTCCAGTTCTCGATTGCCACTGCCATGGCCAACTTTGCCGCTGCCGGTGTTCCCAAGAACCAGCTTGTTGGTGGTGTTGCCTTCTACGGTCGCTCGTGGGGAATTACTCCCGCCGATGCTGCTCTCAACAGCGGCCTGTTCCAGCCCTGCAACAAGGCTGGCCAGGACAAGACCAACCCCACTGCTTGCCCTCCCATCCAGGGTGACCAGCTCGACACTCTGTGGTCTGACCCTTGCGGTGGGTCGTATGTCTCTGGTGTCTGGATGTACACCAACCTCCGCTCCCAGGGTGTCCTCTCCACTCCCACCACCGCTGGTTCCGGCTGGACCCGCACCTGGTGGAACTTTGCCCAGAGCCCCACCATCACCGACGGCAGCCGTTTCATTGCCTACGATGATACTACCTCGATTGCTGCTAAGACTGCTTGGCTCAAGTCCAACGGCTACAGTGGCACCATGTTCTGGGAGCTCTCTGAGGACTACAAGGGCGAGCTCCTCTCCAGCCTTACCTCTGCCTGGGGCAAGTAAACCGGATGTAACCCGGCCCTTTCGCTGGGGAGTGGGCAAGTCCCTTAATCGCCCTGGCACTCTTGCAGCTATGGTGTCCAGTCCCAGTCCCAGCGCCTCTTTCCGTTTCTAGTCTATATGTGAACAGATGAGTATAATAAAATTATGGATTTAATATTACCCAAGTCCCCCTCCTCTCTCCTTCCCTCTCCCCCGTTCTGGCCTGCATCCTTCTCATCTTCAAATCTCTGGCTCGAGCGCCAACCCTCGGGCCCTGGTCGATTTGGGTTGGGGGCAGGCCGCGTCGTCCGCAGCTCTTTGTGCTTTCTCACCCCCTCCCGGTGCCGCTCCTGCTTCCTCGTTCGCGACGGCGATTCCGCAAAGTGTACTGACCGATCCTCCTCTCATCGACCCGAACCCACTTCCATAGCTGGTCCCGTTGAGCATGTCCTCTGGCTTGGATCTGTTTGCTACAACCCCACCTCCTCGAGCTTTAGTAGCCGCTCACTTCTCGTTTGCCTGATACGATGATGTTGGTAGGTTTGATCTGCTCTGATTCCAGCTCGATCTTCGTTGGGTCAGCTCGGCCGGCGAGTTTACTTTGGGTCTGAGGTTTCTTCGGCAATGCGCTGAACTTTCGACTCTCCATCAGGACCTTGGCACGAGACAGAAGCGTCGGACCGCACCAGCAGGCCTGCTACACATGGGTGGCGGTTCTTGTCAACACCAACGAACAAGACACCAGATCACCGGCTGACTGATCACATACATGTCGAGTCTGTGCTGGATGAAGCGCGACGGCCAACATTGCTGCAAGGTATTGGCATCAGCCTGGCCACCGCGGTGGGCATTGGCCCGTCTCTCGGCTGATCACGCCCAGAGGACAACATGCCACGCGATCGAGCCCGGATGACCTGGATCCTCCACTTCGTCGCGAACCCGGCAAGCCGATGCCGTGGGAAACCGAGCCGGCGGGACGTGGGCCTGTATGATCTCAGCTTATCGTCGAGACCAGCGGCAGCCAACAGACCGGATGCAAAGGAAGACCGACAAGACGCTCCTCTGGCAAATGGGACTGGGCCCTTTCCGGTCTTGCTCCCCAGGAACCAGCCAGGCCGCCTCTCGTGACGGGCGGCGTGACCCCAAGGCTTATCGCTTGAGCAACCAACGTGCCGATGCAACGAGCCTGTCCCCCCACCCCGATACGAGCTGCCTGATGCCCACGCACGCAGCCGACAGAATGACCAAGACCGGAGCAAGGCCGCGACCCAACATACATGGCGCCTGGCGAGCAGAGAAAGAGCCCGCAGAAACGAACAGACCAAGGCAAGGCAGGCAGGGCGGATCAGATGGCCGGCACAACCACGACGCGAACGAGACAACGGCGAACGAGACGCAGCCAGAAGCGCAACAGAAGCGCAACAGAAGCGCAACAGAAGCGCAACAGAAGCGCAACAGAAGCGCAACAGAAGCGTAACAGAAGTGCAGCCAAGCTCCATCGACACGACATCGAATGGACCCGCCCACACGCGAGCAGCGCCGCCCGGGCGGGACAAGCACAGCAGCGTGGTCGCGGCAGTCACGCCTGCGCACAAACACGCTCGTGTGGAAGCACAGAGCCACCTGCTGCGCGACAGCCGCCGGGATCCATCACGTGTGCGAGTCACGCTGGCGTCGCCATGCGCCGCAGCAGCAAGGGCGCACGCCCTCGTGACGCAGCCCATGGGCGGCGGACTCGTCGCACGGGCGTCCGGGCCACGGGGCCCCTGGCCGCTGTGCTGCCGCCGCCACCGCGTCCTCAGTTGTCTGTGGCACCGAGTGCTGCTCAGCACACGGACTGTGCTGTATGTGTGCTGCGCATGCTGTGGCGTTGTGGGCGACTGTGCTGTATAGCGGCCACTCAGCAGCAGCACTGTGACTGAGCCGTGTTGGCTCTGGCACCTGGTTGCGCGGACTGCCACACAGACCCAATGCACTCTCAACAGCAGTACCACCGGCAGTTCCATCAGCAGCCTCGATCACCAACACACCGCTGCATCGACTCAAGGTCCTCAGCGTGGGAACTGCAGCTGCGACATCGGTATCAACGTCGTCGTTCGGCGCACTCGGCTGCGTCGGTTGCATGTCGACTGCATGTCAGTTGCACGTCTGCCACGATACGATGCTTGGATTGATCGGATGCCTCCTATCCGGTCGCTGCCTCCTCTGCTGCTCCGCATTCCAAGTCGGTGTCGTGTGCTTCCATGTCGAGGCCCCACCAATGCCCCACCGCGGCTTGTTGTGCTTCCCCACCCCGGTCTGCCTGGCCTTGGGACCTGTGCTGGGTGCGGCGCTCGTCCTTGTGGGTGCTGTTCGTTTCTTTGCTGCCGGATCCACGCTTCCAAGTCTCGTCGGGTCGTCTGCTTCGTTGTTCTGCTCCTGCATTTGCTTGTCGCCCGTGGCCACCTGAGTGATCGTACCACCGCCTCGCGATCCCCATCACGCTCTGCTCGCCTGACCCTTCCCGTTCGCTTACAGGATGCTGCCCCGCCCCCCTTCGATGCCGGCGTCTTTGGCAGACGAAGAGGAAAGAACACGCCTGCATCTGCCCCAGCTCGGCTGTTCCGGATCGGCCCCAGGACATAAATAGCGCCGGCGTCTCCCTCGTCCACTCTTCTCGTCGTCCAAGTCGGAGCCTCCCTCCTGCTCATCACCCTCCCTCCCTCCGATCTTCTATCCACATCTCATACCGATGCTCTTCAAGGCTACCACCGCCGCCTTGGCCCTCTTTGCCACTTCGGCTGCCGCCCAGTCCTGCTCTGGTTCGGCCTACACCTGTGTCAACTCTGGTGTCTCGGCCTCCTACACCATCTGCCTCAGTACGTTGCCACTCCGGTCACTGTGGCCGCCGCATCGGCCGTTCATGCAGCGATTCGCCCTTTGCTTCACCAGTGTCGCTGCTTCATATCCTTGGATCTTGTTTGTCTAATCGAAGCGATTCCTTTGATCCAGATGGCGGTCTCATCACCATGAGCTGCGGTGCCGGCACTGCCTGCTACCAGAACGGCGCCAGTGTCGTAAGTCTTGCGAGCAGCACGCTGCACATACCTTCTTCCGTCGGCAATTGTTGCGTTTATCGGCCGCTTCCGCTTGAATGCGATTCTGACTCGACTGTTTGCTTGTTGCCTTCATCGCACAGTACTGTGACTTCCCCGGCAAGGGCGTTACCACCACCACCACCACTACTACTACTACTCCCGCCAAGTCTAGCACCACCACCACCTCCACTATCAACTCCACCAAGGGCCCTACCACCAAGAGCTCCGTGACCCCCTCTACCACCACCACCACCACCACCACCCCTGCCAAGTCCAGCACCACTACTACCACCACCACCACTACTACTACTACCACCACCACCAGCACCACCACCACCACCACCACCACTCCCTCCAAGACCACCACCACCACTTCGGCTGCTGCTTCCCCTACCAGCACCCTCCAGCCCTGCACCACCCTCTGGGACTCCACCATCGACTACACCCAGGGCACCCAGGTCACCTACAACGGCCACCTCTACCAGGCCAACTACTACGCCGCTAAGGGTACCACCCCTGATGGCACCAGCGGTGCTTGGAAGGACCTCGGTGCTTGCGATGTCAACACCATTCCCAGCTTCGTCCCCCGCCCCGCCCCCAACGCCAACGGCGGCAACGTCGGTGTTGTCGGCTATTGGCCCGACTGGGGTATCTACACCCGCTCCCAGAACAACCCCAACGCCATCGACATCTCCAAGGTTAACGCCCTGAACTACGCCTTCTTCGGTGTCAAGTCCGATGGTACCCTCTACAGTTTCGACCCCTGGGCCGATTTCGGTGGAAGCAGCGCCACTGCCCCCTGGTCCATTGACCCCTACAGTGGCAAGACCAAGGGTATTGCCAACTTCATGGCTGCCCGCGCTGCCAACCCCAACCTCCGCACTGTCTTGACCGTCGGTGGCTGGTCGCTCTCTGGCACCTTCTCGGATGTTGCTGCCAGCTCCACTGCCATCAACAACTTTGCCACCCAGGTCGTTGCCTTCCTCGACCAGTTCTGGATCGATGGTCTCGATCTCGATTGGGAGTACCCCGGAGGTGGCGGTCTTCCCTGCAACCACGTCAACGCCAACGACGCTGCCAACTTTGTCAACCTCCTGGCTGCCCTTCGCCAGGCTCTTGGCCCCAACCGCATCCTCTCGATTGCTGCCTCGGCCGAGACCGACCGCTACACCGTCAACGGCGTCAACTACCTGACCCAGTATGCCAAGTACCTTAGCTACATCTCCGTCATGACCTACGATTTCTACGGTTCCTGGGTTCCCTACACCGACTTCAACTCTCCTCTTCAGCTCCCTGGTGCCAGCGACCCCCAGCGCCCTGCCGGCAACCTCCAGTTCGGCAACGTCCAGTTCTCGATTGCCACCGCCATGAACAACTTTGCCGCCGCCGGTGTTGCCAAGAACCAGCTTGTTGGTGGTGTTGCCTTCTACGGTCGCTCGTGGGGAATTACTGCTGCTGAGGCTGCTGTTAACGGCGGTCTCTTCCAGGCTTGCAACAAGGCCGGCCAGGACCCCAACAACGCCACTGCCTGCCCCCCCATCACTGGTGATCAGCTCGATGCTCTCTGGACCGATCCTTGCGGCAGCTCCTATGTCTCTGGTGTCTGGATGTACACCAACCTCCGCTCCCAGGGTGTCCTCTCCACTCCCACCACCGCTGGCTCCGGCTGGACCCGCACCTGGTGGAACTTTGCCCAGAGCCCCACCATCACCGACGGCAGCCGCTTCATCTCCTACGATGATACTACCTCGATCTCTGCCAAGACTGCTTGGATCAAGTCCAACGGCTTCAGTGGCACCATGTTCTGGGAGCTCTCTGAGGACTACAAGGGCGAGCTCCTCTCCAGCCTTACTTCTGCCTGGGGTAACTAAGCTTGGGACCGCTTGACGACCTTCAGCCCCCTCCACCTTTCCTCATTGATGAACAGGAGCCCTAGTAGTTTGAACATAATATCTTCGTATAATACTTTTGAAATGTCTCTGACTTGACCACCGACCCAATAAACTCGTAAACCGTCTTGGGCCGAAGCCCTCTTCCTCGATCCGTCACCTGTTCCTTCTTGCTGGAGTTGCCCTGGCCGATTGAACTGCACTGACCTTGCTCCACCTCAATCCTTCTTGCCTGTGAGGAGCCAGCCACGTCGGATTGCCTGCTGCTCAGGATGCTGCCTGGTATGCTTGACAGTACTGATGCGCAGTGATCAAGGAGTGTGTGTTCTCTGCATCAAGGTTTCATTCCATCCGTCTGCCGGAACACTCTCATCGCCCCGATCGACCGTGGAACATTCTTACTTGCGGCACACCTTGGCGGGCCTGGGCTTCAATGCACAACAGATATATGTTGCGGTCGTTCGGTTTGCCTCTGCCAGCAAGAGCCCAGATACCGCACGGCTGGCATGTCTTGGGCCCTACCTTTCCGCTTCTCGTGTAGTTGGCGCTGCCGTACCAGCTCCGGGAGCTGCTGTGTTGGCGCATCTCTTTTCCTCCTTGGGGCCGATGTCTTTGCGTCTTTCGTTCTTGCTGGCCATGCCCGTCCCGAGGGCCTCCACATTTATCACACGGGCCAGCAGCCCAGACCCGGCTTCGGTCTCTGGGAGGGGCCCAGGCCGACAGCCGCTTGCATTTGGCAGAGACCAGCCAACGATGCTTAGCACTCTGCTCGTGCAGCCGACCAAGATGCCGCCGACAATGTCGGATCGTCAGATGACGCCGGTGCCCATGGTCGGCCAATGCTCAGGCGATCACGTTTGGTGCTCTGCCAGGGCCATCTCTTTCCTCTGCAAACCGCCATACACCCAGACGACCGCCATCGCGAGCACCTGAGCTGCCCGGCGTCCGCCGCCCCACGCATTCCACCAGACGCAAAAGCAAGGGCCGTCTGTAGGCACCATCACAGTCCACGGTAGAGACAAGCACGGTGCGAATGAAGCCGAGCGCGACCCCGCCATGGCCCTCGCTCAGTCCAATGCTCACGCGTTTGTGGCCGATGCCTGAGCGGTGCGTCGAGGTGGGGTGACCGCTCTTGTGCAAACCGCTGGGCCCCTCGTGACGGGCCTGGGGGCCTGACCCCGCCTCAGTTGATCCTGGGGCGCGGCCCGGGGCTGCTCGTGGTGCGTCCCCAGCTCCTCCCGGCGCTTCTGGTTGCTCTTTCCGAGCACCTTATCTCCCGACCATCGCATGGTTCCTGTCGGCCCAGCAGGCGTGCCTCTGGTCTTGTGGCCAACAGAACCTGTGCCGCGCGTTAGCAGCGGCGTGACCTCGGCAGGTCAGGCGGGCACGTCACGCCCCTGGTCGCTTCGCGTCTGCGCGCGTGGGAAGCCGATGGTTCCTGTCCGCCAGCGGCTCGCCTTTCCTGTTCTCCCGTCCCTGGGGCATATATAGAGGCGCCGTGTCGGCGGCCTGGAATTTGTCTTCGTCCAAGCCGGCATCTCCTTCCTCCCCATCGGCCTCCAACACCCTCTCCTCCTCCTCCCTTTTCTCTCCGAGATGCTCTTCAAGTCCGCTGTGGCCGCCTTGGCCCTCCTCGCCTCTGGCGCTGCCGCCCAGTCCTGCTCTGGCTCGGCCTACACCTGTGTCAACTCTGGTGTCTCGGCCTCCTACACCATCTGCTTCAGTATGTGCTGTCTTCTCCCCCATGCTTCTGATCTGCCTGTCTGACTGTCTGCCCGTCTGCCTTCTGTTTGCTGGGGTTGCTCCTGGTGGTGGAGTCCATGTTCCCGATCTGACTGACCCTCCATCTCCATCTCCATCCTCGTGGCTGTCTCTGCTCAGACGGCGGCCTCATCACCATGAGCTGCGGTGCCGGCACTGCCTGCTACCAGAGCGGCGCCAGTGTGGTGAGTACCGACGACGTGTGTCTGAGAGCGTGTGCACACTGCTGATCGGACCTCTAACTTGCACATCATCCTCATCCTCGAATCGCACAGTACTGTGACTTCCCCGGCAAGGGCGTTACCACCACCGCTGCTGCCTCCACCACTACCACCACTACCACCAAGAGCTCCACTACCAAGAGCTCCACTACCAAGAGCTCCACTACCAAGCCCACTACTACCAAGCCCACCACTACCACCACCACTACTACTACCCCTTCCAAGACCACCACCACCACTGCCACTTCCACGTCTACCTCTACCTTCGTCCCCCGCCCCGCCCCCAACGCCAACGGTGGTAACGTCGGTGTTGTTGGTTACTGGCCCGACTGGGCTATTTACACCCGCTCCCAGAACAACCCCAACACCATCAACGTCTCCAAGGTCACTGTTCTCAACTACGCCTTCTTCGGTGTCAAGTCCGATGGTACCCTCTACAGCTACGATCCCTGGGCCGATTTCGGTGGAAGCAGCGCCACTGCCCCTTGGGCCATTGATCCCTACAGTGGTCAGAACAAGGGTATTGCCAACTTCATGGCTGCCCGCGCTGCCAACCCCAACCTCCGCACTGTCATCTCGGTTGGTGGCTGGTCGCTCTCGGGCACCTTCTCGGATGTTGCTGCCAGCTCCACTGCCATCAACAACTTTGCCACCCAGGTCGTTGCCTTCCTTAACCAGTTCTCCATCGATGGTCTCGATCTCGATTGGGAGTACCCCGGAGGTGGTGGTCTTCCCTGCAACCACGTCAACGCCAACGACGCTGCCAACTTTGTCAACCTCCTGGCTGCCCTTCGCCAGGCTCTTGGTCCCAACCGCATCCTCTCGATTGCCGCTTCTGCTGAGCCCTCGCGTTACTACGTCAACGGCGTCAACTACCTGACCCAGTATGCCAAGTACCTTAGCTACTTCCAGGTCATGACCTACGATTTCTACGGTTCCTGGGTTCCCTACACCGACTTCAACTCTCCTCTTCAGCTCCCTGGTGCCAGCGACCCCCAGCGCCCTGCCGGCAACCTCCAGTTCGGCAACGTCCAGTTCTCGATTGCCACTGCCATGAACAACTACACTACCAACGGTGTTGCCAAGAACCAGCTTGTTGGTGGTGTTGCCTTCTACGGTCGCTCGTGGGGAATTACTGCTGCTGAGGCTGCTGTTAACGGCGGTCTCTTCCAGGCTTGCAACCAGCCCGGCCAGAGTACCACCAACCCCACTGCTTGCCCTCCCATCCAGGGTGACCAGCTTGACTCCCTCTGGACCGATCCTTGCGGCAGCTCCTATGTCTCTGGTGTCTGGATGTACACCAACCTCCGCTCCCAGGGTGTCCTCTCCACTCCCACCACCGCTGGCTCCGGCTGGACCCGCACCTGGTGGAACTTTGCCCAGAGCCCCACCATCACCGACGGTACCCGCTTCATCTCCTACGATGATACTACCTCGATCTCTGCCAAGACCGCCTGGCTCAAGTCCAACGGCTACAGTGGCACCATGTTCTGGGAGCTTTCTGAGGACTACAATGGCGAGCTTCTCTCCAGCCTTACTTCTGCCTGGGGTGCTTAAAGTCGCTCTAATGCAAACATAGTTCTGCCATAGCTTTCTATGTCCGAGTCACATTCTCTTCCCCTTCCCTCCGTCCTCCCTTCCTTCCACCGTCTTTCCCTCCGCCTCGTTGTCCGAAAACAAAAAAGTAATACAGTTCTTGAAGAATGTGGTTCTAAACTACCCAAAGTCGCTTTTGCTCATCGCTGTCAACGGACCATCTTTCCCTTGTTTGGGTGCTTCATTCGCCTGAGCCTCCTCGGATTTACAACTTTATCGGGTCGCTGGATATGGCCAAACTGTGCATCCAAGGAGACCGGGATTGTGGGGGCATTGGAAAAGCATCGTGGAAGTAAGGAGTGTGATATACAATCGTGCCCGCGCACACCCAGAGTTGCAATGGTGCTTAGGCGCTGTGAACGGATGCATATCTGGTAGTGCTCAATGTGTGCCCAGTAAGCGAGCTCAAAGCCTCGCAGGTGTGCTCCAAGTGTCCGGGGCCAGTCTGCTTGGAAGGACTCGATGTACCCAGATGTGCCCAGATGTGCATATCCCGTCTCGATCTGGAGCTGTCAGATCCCGGTTACGATACAGTGCAGTGTCGTGATGACAATGCACAATATAGTGGCCATGTGCTGAGCGATTCTGGAAACCAGAGTGCGATTCTGGAAACCAGAGTGCGATTCTGGAGATCAGAGTGCAATCCCATGGCTGCACACTGGGGCTTACAGACCACTGAGGGTGGCCGTTGATGTGAGAGGGCCACCCAGAGACACTGTCCCGTTTCGCTCCGAACAAGCTGTTAGGTACTTCTTCCCAAGAAACCTCTTTCGTCGGCTTGGTTTTGTCGCGTTGCCTGCCTCGATCTCGATCTCGATCTCGATCTCGAGCCTCTCCGCCGCACGGCCATCAACAGCCCCGCCAACATATCTTTACAGCCATGCCCCGCAAGTCCACCATCATCATTTTGGCCCTTGTGCTCATCGGCGCCTATGTGTTCTTCTTGCCCACACAGCCTGCCGACCTCAAGGACTCTGTCCTCAGAGGGTTCCGAGCTGGGGAGTCGACAACCCTCTCCAAAACCGGCACTGCTTTCCGTCCGCCTCACTCTTCGCCGAGCCCCGCGGTCCCCAGCGATGCCGTTGAGAGTGTGAAAAATCCCAAGAGCACCTCTGCTGTCGTCAAGCCGGTCGATCCTGAGGCCTTCACCTCCAAAGTCTACCTGGATGTTGCCCACGGCAACAAGACGGTGCGCTCCCTGACGATACACTAGATATCTTCATCGGCAGAGAGTCTAGTGCTGTCCAAATCTCCTTGAATCAGTGTCCACCTTCCATTCCACTGCCTTAGGGAATCGACGCTGCCCATTCACTTCAGCATCGTCCTCCACCGCACCTGTTGATCATGTCTGCTGGCTCTCTTCGTTCTGCAGGTCGGACGGATTGTCATCGGCCTGTACGGCAACATCGTTCCCAAAACCGCCGAAAACTTCCGAGCTCTTGCCACGGGTGAAAAGGGTTACGGATACAAGGGCAGCACCTTCCACCGCATCATCAGCAACTTTATGATCCAGGTACAGGCGAGCTTGCGATATCTGCAGCCCAGGAGGCGTTGGGGGGGGGTCTTGCATGGCCTCCCAGACGGTTAGAAAGCCACTGCGAACCTTGCATCGAGCAATTCATGGGCTCTGTATGCATCCATCTCACTCTCTTGTCTGGCTTTGTGGTTGCACCTTCTAGGGAGGAGACTTTACCAATGGCGATGGGTAAGCTGGTCGAGGACGGGTCATCGGGCGCTGTATATACCCTTCTCCCCGGCTCGCTTGTCGTTGGTAAGCCCAGCGACCGATCTGGAACCTTCGAGTGTGCTCACATTGTGACTCTGTGCTCGCATCGTCTCAGTACCGGCGGTAAATCTATCTACGGATCGGCTTTTGAAGACGAAAGCTTCAAGCTGAAGCATGCTGGCCCTGGATACGTTAGCATGGCCAACAGTGGCAAAAACACAAACGGTAGGCAAGCGCAATCGAATCTGTGTCTGGCCTTGCGCTCACGACAACTATTGCTGACCATTTATTGTGGCAACTCAGGCTCTCAGTTTTTCATCACCGTCCGTCAAACTGCGTGGTAAGGTCCATTGGTTCCCTCTGGAAATGCTCCTGCCCTCCACTCTATAACTGCTCATGTGCTTTCCATCTCGTACCCGCGCCGATCGAGTCGGCCGGTCGGCCGACTCCTTGGTTCGATATGCTGGATCTGGCAGTCTCGATTTGCGCTAATGAGGCCGTGGATACTTTCCGGACTCGCAGGCTCGATGGTCATCATGTTGTCTTTGGCAAGGTGATTTCCGGAATGGATGTTGTCAAGGTCCTTGAAGTTGTCGAAACCCGCTCTGGCGACCAGCCCGTCGTGCCCGTCGTGATCGTCGACTGCGGCGAGCTGCCCCTCGACTCGAGCAACTGATTTCGATCGGGTGCAATCACACAGCCGCTTCTGTGTCTTCTATTTCACGGGGACTCTCGAGCAATCTTACACTTTGCTCATGTGCAAACGGGACACTACCCATTCCATGAACATGTAGAATGTGATGGCTTGCGTCGAGCTCAGCCATAAGAAATAGAACAGATCACTTTGGCAGCTTCTGAGTGAAGACACCGGTCGTTCTCCGGTCTCCACAGTCGACATGCACACTGGTCTCGGAGTGCCAGCGGTGAATGGTGCTCTTGGACACACTGAATATGGAGGCAACTTCTCTCGGGCTATGAGCAAAGGCGTAGCACCGCATCACAGAATGGCCATGGCCAGCGCGCGATGGTATTGGGAAACAAATTATTTGATCGGCGACTAAAAACCAAGGTGTCCCGTATTTTATTGGATTGGCTGTAAACAGCGATCCCAGTAGCGCCGATGGCCAGGAATGAGCACTCTTGCTCGACACAGCCTCGCGCTGGTCACAATAGAGCAGATTTGGCCCGCCGACTATTGGCGCACATCGGTATTCCTCTCCGTGGACCTACTTGTCCTCGGTCTCCAGCGTGCCTTACAATGGGTCTGCGTGCTCTGTCCCCGCCTTGGGCTTTCTCTTCCTTCTCTTGGATTCTGCAGGAGGGGGCTGACTCTCCAAGATCTGCTTGTGGACCTTGAACAAGTCCAGCAGAACAAGCGAGTCCATGGCGGCGTAGTTGAGCTGTGCTCGCCGAAGCGGCCGTCTGTTCCAATCAGAGATGCGGTGAGTCTTGTCGATCGATCTTTGGAGATAGACTTGCGTAGCCTCGCCAAGGGACGGCAGGAACTTGGAGCGCCCTCGTTTCTTATTCGATTCAAGATGTGCAGGCTCTTGTCTGTTTCCTATTGGTGATGACGCTAGCGCATCGATTTGTGCCTCTGACGGAAGCGGCACAGTGGAAAAGTCAACTAGATTCCGGATCTGGGTGGGAATAGCCGGATACTGTGCTGCTAGCTTTCCAATATCGCTTCGAAGATCAAATCCTAGACCAATACCACAGGGAAAGAGGGAGGTCGAGGGAGTGTAAGTTGCGTGGTCAAGCTTGCTGTTGAGTAGAAGCATTCGCAGTCGATACGGCTGTCGCATCGCAACTAGAGCAACGCCCATATTCGTTAGCGATACATGCGCGAGGGATAAGACTCATACCCAATTTGGTGTAGTCCACTGAGTCGAACACAGTGCGGATGAGCTCCGCAAGAGCGGTGTTGTCAAGACAAAGCAGATCCACAATAAAGCACACCTGACCCCCCTCGGCCGCTCGTTCGAGTGCGAGCTGCAGTATTGACGGGGCGATCGCGGCCGCGCCAGCATCGACGGAGATGTTCAGGATATCAGGTCGCCACTCGCAGTCAATTCCAACAGCCACGATATCGACCGGTGCTTCTGCGTCAGCAGGCCCCTTCAACAGCTCTAGCAGCGCCCCAAGCTGCTCAGGAGTATCGACAAAGTGGATGGGCGCAGGGTTCGTGTAGATACTGAGCTCAGGACGGTTGCTGCTATGTCGAGTGGCCTTGAGCGGAACGGTCGGCAGTCGGACCGCAGTTTGATCATAGAAGCTCCCGAGAGCAAATCGACTGGCCAAGAATCGAGCTGTGGGCTGTGTCTCTGTGTGCTGGAGGAAGCGAGCGACGGCAGCCTTCTGCATGAGCGGTTTCCAAGAGCGGCGGATCTGAGCTTGCTGGCTCACCGGCTCGTTTGGAGACGGATCTACCGTGGCGGCAGAATCACACAGCTCGTCCGATTCCATGACGATGGCTTCGATGAGCTCCAGGATGCTCTCGCAGCCCTGCGGGTCAAAGTCCAAGCGACAGCTTTGGGAGAAGATACAGTCGTTGATGAGCCAGAACATGGACTGCAACCGACATCCGATCGAGAGCGACAGGAAATTGGGTAGCGGCAGCCTCCACTTGTTTAGAAACTTGACCCCGTGCTTTGACAGAACCTTGAGTGAGCTCAACGTCTCTGGACTAGGCCATCTGCCACTGTCCAGGGCTGCCTCAGCCGTCTCGAGATGCTGGGTGCACTGACGCTCCAGACGATCCGCGAATGACTTTTGTAGATCTGTATTCTTGCCGACCACCAGCTGAACGCTATGCATATCCATCCACTCGACAAATTTGGAGAGCAGCTCGGGGATGTCGAATCGGCCGTAGAGCCCGTATGTCATCACCAATTGCGTGAGCTCGGGCGAGGCTTGCAGTTCACACAGGCGATTGAAGAGATCGCAAAGGACGCGGTCGTGGATCGGCTCGTCGATGGGGAGCCGGAAAGATTCAATCAAAATTGACAACAGCGGCGTGATATGCGGATCCTGCAGCATCTCCAGAAGCCGCTCCTGCTGCTTGATCAGAGCGTGTCCTACTGGCTCCTCCAAGACCGGCTCATTCTGTTGATGGAGCCGTTCGCCTTCTCGCTCTTGTCGGTTGAAGAGCTTGTTGCAGGTGAAGGCAAGCCCTTTGACGAGCTTGCGGATCACCGGGACAGATCGCTCGGCGACGATCTGGGGCGAGAGCCGCCGAGCGACACTGAGACAAAAGGCGACAGGATCGGGGTGCTTGCGTACATGGGTCACGAAGGTGTCTGGAAATACAGCATCGCTGCTAGCCGGAGGGGGCGGCAAGATCTTGCTGGGAGTGTGGGGATCGTTATACTCGGAATGCGGCTCGGAATGCGGCTCGGCATCAGCAGATATCAGTGCCGCTGCTGCTCCTGCCGTGGCTGTGGGAGAAGTCGCAGAGCCTGTCCTAGGCTGGCCATAGAGGCAGTCGAGCAGGCGATCCAACGCTGCTTCAGCGTCGTCGGCCGAGATGCAGTCCACAAACGACGGCGGCTTCGGGCCTTGTCTGCGTCTATGCGACATGATGATGTGGGTGGCAATCTTCTGGCGCCCCGAGCAATGCAAGATCAGGACCAGGAACAGGACTGAGAACGCGAGCGGTCAAGCCAGGACGAGTCGCCCCTCGCCGCCGCTGCGCACGGAGAGCTTGTCCTCGGCTCGTCCTCGGCTCGTCCTCGTTTTGCTGCTGCTTTTGTTCGTCCCGGCCCACAACATCCGAATCGATATACTCAGCCAGCAGCAATGGAGGGCATCGGGTCAGTAAGCGAGCTCATTTCGGCCGCAGACGCCCCACTTATGCCGCATCCCGTGGCCGTGATTACAGTATGCGAGGATTATCTGAGGAGCATCCGGCCAGTCGTCGGCATCCGTCTTGCGATTTGCAGATTCCGATCCCTGGCTCCTTTTGCGGAAGCTCCCCAAGCGGTCGAGCGCCCAGAGTCGAGGCAAGGGCGGCTTTGAGCACCCAGACAAACGCTGCAGGCACAGCACGGTCTGGGAAGCAGATGGATTCTTTACCGACTCTGGCCGGATTCCCAGCGACGAATCACAAAGGCCTGATATGAGCCACGGGGTAGCGCTTCTTCGAGTCCAACTCAGAAATCGGTTCGAGATCGATCTGGCATGTCACTACGGCCGATGCCGAAGATGATGGAGGCACAGGCGATCAGTTGCACTCTGCGGTAATTTTAACCTCACATCTCTATCCACCTGTCTCCAGCAGCACACAGGCGGTGTGGTCTTGCAAAAATATCGTTGCGTATATAATCCAGGCGGACTCTCCGTCAAAGAAGCGCAAAGCGACGGACGACGAAGGGTAGGCCAATCTCCGGTCTTGATCCTGCACACATTCCAGTGCCTGGGCAGACGAGATAGTGAAGAGAATGCAGGAACAGCACGCTCAACCCCACGGATCTGCCTCTGGCTCAATCCCGTCGGGCTTCTTGTCCATGTGCAGTTCAGCAAACGCTTTGGCAACCAGCACCCAGCGGCTGTATGTGTTCGGGCCGCTTGCCTCGGGCGACTCTCTCGACATTGCTGCATTCGAGGGCACCTCGATCGAGCTCGACATCTCGCAGCACAACGGAAGCGAAATCGTCTTGCTGAGGTGGAGCAAGTCCGGCGACTCGCTTGCAGTCGTTGATCGTACCGGCCGGATCGCAATCTGGACCAACAAGGTGAGGATATATCGTCGAAGCCTTCCAGGGCCATGTTTGCACTCGACCCACCTCGATGCTGACCCAGGTTGTCTTATCGTCTCATTCGATGCTGGATATTCAAAGAACTTTGTCAATCGCTGGTCGTGCTCGGAGATCGTCGATATTTCGGAAAAGATTTTGGCCTTTGAATGGCTCCACTCCTCTCAGAGGTTTCGATGCGGTCCAGCTTCACCACCTTCCCAGTCTTTGTCGGAAGTTGTGGACTTGACTGAAGACGGTGCCTCTGTACTTTCCTCGAGCAATGGTATCAGCGGCAATGCAGCCGCACGAAAGGCGCCAGAATATATGCCTCAAAAGCAACCGGCCGAGGGTCCAGTCGTCGACGAAGGACAGCAAGCCTTTTGTGTTGTGACTGAAACAGGACAGGTGTGCCCCCACGATTCCTTCTGCAGTGCGCGAGATCCGGTTTGTGTGAATGCTGTACTCAGCGACCTTTCGTGCTGCAGCTTCGCCTGTTTTATACCAAGGACTCGGCTCCCCGCGAGGAGTTGTCAATGACACTCCCTCCATTCGAGCGACCCAGTGAAGATGACGTCCTGGGACAAACCCTTGGCGAGATCAAGCACTTTGTCGATTCTGCTGCGATACAGCTCGTTCCAGGTGGGAGGCAACTCGTGGATCGGCCGGGCGAGGATCCCGACTCGGCTACAAGGATATATTTGAGCGCAATGCACGCCCATCTCTCTGATACCCCTGATACTTTCGACCGGCTTCAGATGGTGGCATCAAGGTCGCTGTTTTCAGCTCATCACTCAACACCAGACTGGTCTTCACACTGTTGATCATGGCCTCGATTGCTTCGTCGAGTGAGTCGCCGGGGTTCATTTCCAGTCTGCGGACGAGATATGCGGTTGAGAGATGTATCGTTGTCAGCTTCTCGATAATGATGGATTTCCCTATCGAGGATGAAAGTCCACTGTCGCTGAGGAGCATCGCATGTTGGTCTTGTGTAGGGGCACTCGCTCATTGCAGACTCTCGAACATCCAGCCATTGAATGTACACAGGCATCCACAGTCGCGCTCTCCCGCCTGGCTCCAGATATGATGGCGGACAGCGACTACTTTTTGCGCCTGGCCAACGCCAGCTTGCTGCTGCAGATAGGATGGGTTACATCCACACGCCTTTTTACCCTGCATAACCTTGGCGAGAACCCCGAAAGCGCGGACGAGTTCAGCCACAAGAGCACATGTTTCATATGGGAGGAGTCGAGCAAGGTGAGCCCGGCCGTTGTTACATCAAATTCTCAAGCGCTGTCACCAGCACGGTGCCTCTGACTCTCAAGGACCGGATTATGTTCCGAGTTGCGCCGTGCGTTCCACGCGGTTCAACTCACATTTGATGAATTGAGGCGTTCTGACACAACATCCATGTTGCAGGAATGGACGATGGAGGCATGCCATTTTTCCATGTCATTGGCACAGTCCGCCCGCCTCTTTAGGAGCGTTGTCCACACTGAAGACGGTGAACCCGAAGATACGGTCGTGTCGCTTACTTACGAGAACGGGATAACCGAGTTCCGGAGCGGAAGAAGCCTCGTTCAAAACTACGTTGCTCGACCATTCAGCATGCCTCTGGCTGGTAAGCAATTGCAGACGCCTTCACGATGGAGCACCGCTTGGTGCTGGCGAGATATGGTGACCCCTCCGTAGATCTAGTTGTATCGATATCGATGCCTGGTGATTGTGTTTGTATTACTGAGCACGTTCTGTCTGCCATCGACCCAGGTCCATCGTCTGCTGATCTTGCTCCTGATATGAAAAATGCCAAGGCAATTGCTTTATCGCCAAATGGCCTTCTCGGCATTGCATTATTGGACAATCAGGATGATATCTTGGGAGGAACCTTCTTTTCCCTCTTTGAAACCAAGCTTGGACTTGATTCCGGTATGGTGACTGGGTTTGACCTGCTACGCCTTCCCGCTCTCCTGACCCACAGAGCCTCGTCGGGCTATTGCACGGGTGTGTCCCCCTCAAGCGCTGCACTGATAGCGACATCTCTTGTGAATCTGTGATCCCGGCATCCGGCCAGAGCCGTTGCTTGAGCGTCTCTGCAAAAGCACAGTAGTAGGGCTGTTGAATGGATATGACTGCTATGACAACATTCTGGTGCTCGTTCAACTGCAGCAGGAGATTTTGCGCGACCAAGGTACCTGCGAGGATATGCATGGATTGATCGTCGCTACATATTGCCCAGAGTTTGTGCATGGCAGGTACTGATGTATTCGTGAATGTCAACGGACAGAGCTTGCATTCAAGTTCCTGAGTCGGCTGTATACCAATTTGGAGCAGTCCCAGATCGCGGTGACCAAAAACAAGGGGTCGCTTGTCGAAACCATCCTTGCGGCCGTTGGATCTCCTGGGGAGTTGCACCGCCGAATCCTGTCCTTCCAGATGCGAGTGTACCGGTACGAGTGCACGCAGTTCTCCAAGAGTGCTGGAGGCTGCTTCGGAGCTGTTTCTTGGGCAGCTGTGGAGTGCTTCTCTGAAAGAACGTGATCCAGCATGGCTTTTTTTTGGGAAGGGATTGGATCTGCTTGGTCAACACCCACTCTGTCAGCCGTCGACTGATACAAATTGCTTGCAACTGTATCGAACTAGGTCGATCCCAAGATGTCAAACGTTGTTTTCGAATATTCACACCATCATCAGCCTGAGCGCCATGACGTTTGGAATGAGCTCTGCCATGCCTGAGCCCCAGCCAGTCAGCGACGCCATCCAAAGTATCCTGGATGATAAGATCTTCGAGTCCAACAAGTGTGACACAGTTCTTTACTCGCTTGTCAACAAGCACGTCTACACGGGATCGTCCATGTACTGGGTGGCTGCATTGGTATCATGGATCCTCGAGTATTGCGCCTACCTTGCTCGGCAGCTCTACCTTCTGCTGAATCTGAAACGCAAATCAAAGAACCTAGCAGGTAACTACGCATGATTGTCGTGATCCGACGAGCATCGACAGAGTTTGGATTGCTGCTATTGGGTGCGGCATCGAGGGACTGTTGGGAGCAGTCGGGAGGGGGCATCTCGACTTCGATCGGATATCGCTGTGGTCGTTTCGTTGTTGAGTTGCCACTATCATGCTTGCTTGAGCGTGTGCCGATTCGCCCTCGCTCTAACCATCCAACGCTGGCGGTATTGCCGACGGGACTCGCCCGCCGTCTCCCACAAGAAGGGCTCAACTCGGATATCCTGGAGCGTTCAAATCCGCTCGTGATACTGTTCCACCCCGGCTCTCGTCGGCTTTTGCAAGAAGCTGTCCTCTACTGCAAATACTTCAGGATCCAACTGGCATGCGTCGTCCGGAAGGAGCAAGCCAAGCTCAGCTCTGCTGGAAAAGGCGCTAAGCCTTCGCAAAACGCAATGGGGTTTCTTCGAAAGCTGGATCAAATGTTCATGCGCACCCGTCTGATGCTGGAGCCATTTGCCGAGTTCCTTTTCAAAGTGGACCGTATTTTGAGGCCGATCGAGACTCAGCTTCAAGAGCAGCATGGCCATGATCAGTGGAAGCAGTGCTGTGCCGAGATGCTCATCAAAGGCTCCGTACCGGCAATGTATTTCAGCAGCATTGCAACGATCAAGCAGCTGTTTGAAGCCAAGTCGCCGGGACTTGCCTTTGTGTGGACCAATAGCGGCGCGCAGCATGCCAGCCCAAACCTGACCGAGCAGCATCCGTCCAATCCCATGTTTGTGGGATCCGATGCCTCTCGGCTCTACATTGGCCGTATCATCGAGCCCTTCGATCGGGTTCAATCAACACGGAAGCGCGCTCGGGGCGATAGGGACAACGCCGCCTCTGTAAAGCCCGACGAGCCCACTCCCAGCGCCATCCAGGTGGTGAAGCAGCACCACGATATCATCACACGGCATCCAATTCTAACCCCCAAATGTGTTCGGCAATGCACTGGCTGCTTCCACTACTCGGGGGGAGTGGCCGATCTCGGCACTGTTGCCTCGCCAACCGTAATCAAGTTCAAGGCCGAAAACACCACCAAGGGTATCCGGAAGCCTTTCTTTGTCGAGATCCGGCCGTCAACTGCCGAAGCGGGCGCCGACCGGACCAAACAAGCGGTGCTGATGCCGCCGTGGGATCATCACTATGCTTCCATGTGTATATGTGGAAGCGACTGGAAGCGCGTCCATTGACGAGATTCTTGCTATGGAGAAGCATCGCTCGTACTGGAAGTATCAGGGGGAGGGCACTTGGATTTTCGGAATCTCTGGCTAGCGCTGGATGGCACACGTCCTCAAGGGTCTCCACGCACTCGTTAGTATTGGCGGGCGTCTCAGGCGGCATTCTACTAAATATACGAGGCCATTAAAATGGAGGCCGACTTGCGCACGACGACCACTCTCCCGGCTGCGTCGGCATTGCTAATGTGTGTGGGCTGCGGCGCATCGCTGCGGTTACTTGGCCCATTCACCGAGGCATCCTTGGATGTTCAGCGCGAATGCGAGTGCCTTCGGGATCGGAAAGTAATTACTAGGGCCCCAGCAGACCGCATCCCATTCACAGTTGACTACAGCAACTCGTTTCGGGGTGGACAGAGCGTATCAGCCTCTGTCCAGGCCATATCTGGTGTGGATACGTCGATAATACTTGGATCCGGGCCAACCACGAAGACCGTTCCCGGTCTCGCGCCAATTCGAGGACAGCAACTGCCACGATAGCTAGTAGCGCATGAGCAGATTACCCGCTCGGAGCAGCAATGAGCGGTACGATTCCATGCTTCTCTGCTGATGGCTGAAGAGCTGTATTGCTGAAAATGTACATGCTGATCGTCGACCGCAACATGGTGGGCTTGTCTTGGACCGGTCAGGTTGGAGCCAATACAGTAGCGGTGGATTGAAGGACATAAGTTAGAAGGGCTGTTCGGGCTTGGATGCTTGTTTGGCGGCTCTACGTTCCTGGTAAAACAAGCAACACCCAAGGGACCGGTTAGCTTCTGATTCTCATTTAGTTTTGCGGATACAGAGACACCCGGCGGAGGGATCGCTTGGGGGGGGGTACTTGTTCCCGTTTGCTTGTGGAGCAAGACATACCTTTCTCCAGGTGGCGATCCTGTCGGCCATGCCCGACATGTTTTCCCGGATCTTCTTTTGTCTATAGAGCCAAGGTATCGAAGGTAACACCGCGGTGGGAGTCAGTACCTGGTCCGTGGTTGGCATGGACCGTCCATGATCGACATGGGTTGTCCGCGGCGGGCGCGGCATCTCATGTTCTGGAGGAACCCTCGTCCCAGGCTCCAGATGCGGCTCTCGCGATCGCAAGCCGGACGCAGGACAATTACCGCTCGTATCGATCGACTTCGTGCTGCGAGCCCCGCGGGAGCTGTACGGTCTTCTCCTCCGAGACCTCAGGCAGACCGACGGTCTTGACAGGATCCAGCCCAGCCATCCAGCAAGCCTCGCGGATGCGCTCCTGTTGCTTCAGCGAGATCTTGGGTGGGCGTGGTCGGCCATCGAAGAACGTCGTCGGATGGAACTTGTCGGCCGGCGGCGGGAGGGCGATCTGTTTCAGAACCCAGTTGGTGGGCATCTTCTTGGGGAACCGGACGGCGTGTGCGGCGAGCTTGGGTGCAGACATGGTTTTGGAGCCGCTGTTATTGGAATCGGACGAGCCGGACGGAGATGCTTTGGACCGGGGGACGGGAACCTGTTGATGGAGCAGCAGGTCCGTTGGTAGAGCCGCGGATCAGTCGATGAAACAGCGGATCAGTCGATGAAACAGCGGATCAGTCGGCGGCAGGAACACGACAAAATCGCAAGCAAATTTTTTCACGCCCTGCTTAGCCGTGGCAGCAGCGCACAGAAACCGCGCACCACCACCAAACCGCAGCCGCGATCTGGTCGCCGTCCGGCAACCACCCAGCTTCGCTGTTCGGCAACGATCTCGATCTGCGACGGCAAAGCTGAATCGATCTGCGACGGCAAAGCTGAATCGGCCTGCGACGGCGGCCATATAGCTATCTGCTGGACCCGGGAGCCTGGCCCGTCTCCGTCTGAATCGAAGCCAGCCCGAACCCATCGCCGCTTTCATCTGCGCCAGCCTACGCCAAATATCCGTCTCGCATATCGTCGCATCTGTTTCCGCCCAGAGTTCATATACACCGCAGCATCATGCCTCTCCGGGCCCGCTTTCGTCTCGACCACACATCTGCCCCGTGGGCGGCGTCACAGTCTGTCGGTTCTCTCCGGCTACCTGTCTCTGTATACCGAGCTCACGAAGCTCGGTGCTATCAAACCTTTGTCGAATCCGCGGTCTTTCCACAGTCCTCTTCCAAGTACTGGTCCCGGACAGAGCCGCTTCGTCTTTGTCGCAGTGCAATCGCAAGTCGTAGTGGGCCCGGAAACAGACTCCGCGCCTCGTCAACACTAGCAGCAAACGAACCCCAAAAGACCGAGTACATCAACAAGCCTCTGTTTTCGCCATTCAACAGCAGCACGCCTGATCTCCAGCGACCAAAATGGCGCTCGGCTCGCTCGATGCACAACCGCATCATTCGCGAGACTCTCCGAGAGATTGTGCAGCTCATTTCCAGCAGCCCAATTTCCGAAGACAGGCATCGCAAGTACGACGAATCGTACCGGAGCACCATCAAACGGTTCTCACGCATCTTGCCGAAGCGGGACACCTCGGTTTTCCTCGACAGCTCCGATGACCTTCACCCAGTCCTGCAGAACCCCGCATGCTGCATGGTTTTGCTCTTAGTATGGGACTGGTTCACCGCAGTCAAGTCGACCGGAGTTATGGCCGATGCCCTTTGGGCGTCCATGATAGAGGCGCTGATGGAATGTACACGGCTGGCGCTGAATCCCTGTGTCGCCGACTGGGAGCAAGCACTTGCTCGTTTCGAGTCAACAGACAGAGGCAATCCCTCTGCGGCGCCAATCATGGCGCTTTGTCTGGCATGGAACTTTGTCCACAACGACCGGATCGACCTTGCCGAAAGAATCATACAGCGATGTGTCGCTCGTGGCACGCAAGAGCCATCGCTCCCGAACCTCGAGATTGCCTATCTCGGCATCGTAATCCGACACGCCATATTAATGAATCGCATCGAGCAGGCGCAAGTTGTGTTTGCCTCGGTGCTGCAGACTTACCGTGGCAAGGGTAGCTCTCCGGAGCTCGCCAGCCTGGTGCTGGACCCACTTATCAGTCACTTTGTTTTGCAAGACAAGCTCGAGACCGTCTTGGCCCTGGTCAGACAGATTCAAGAGCACGATATATCGCTGGCTCGCACAACTGAAAATCTGGTGCTTCGAGGCCGCTTCCGAGCCAGCGATTTCACAGGAGCCGCAAAGATGCTGGAAAGCATATCTGCAAGTAGCAAGCTCTCGGGTTTGGAGATCGAAACAGTCGTCACCGGGCTCTGTCAGCTGGGCTACGCCAACGTGGCGTATACGATACTCCAGGCTATCTCCGTCCGCGGTTCGATTACATCACCGACCTACAACGCCGTCATGATTGAGTTGCTCGCAAACCGAAACTTCCAGCATGCACTGGCGTGTTTCGACGAGGCCATTTTGAATCCAAGCTACGTCCCGTCAAGGCAAGTCCTGGTGGCCTTTATGCGCTCATCAGCACATCATCAGATGGTTCTGCACGGGCTGCGCTTCTATCGCCTCTATCTCCAGTGCGAATACGAGCCCACGATCAACTCGTACAACGCCTTGATCGAGCTCTTTGCCAATGCAGGTGATACTGAGACCGTCATGGAGGTCTTCACAGACTGTCTGATCGCGGGTTGGTCGCCAAACGTGCATACCTACTACGCCATGCTGCGAGGATACTCGAAACAGAATGAAATGATGAAGATTTCGGATCTTTTGGCCAAACTTCGACTATCTCGACAACCACCGACCTTGTCGATGATGAATCAAATTGCCTTCACTTTTTGCATGTCCAGGAGCCCTGATGACTATGCCGAATTCCTTAGATTCTTCTCGAACGAGGCGCTCCGGCTACTGAAGAACAGCTCGCTCAGACTGCCGCCTGAGTTCTTCATGGCTGTGGTGTCGACGATCTATCGAAACAAGGATTGGACGAGACTGCAGCAGGTCCAGCAGCTGATGGAGAACCACGAGATACCAATGACCAATAGCGTTGTTCGTATCCTCTTTGATGGATACCGCCGGGCCAAGATGGTCGACGCCGCCCTCCAGCTCTGCTACAGCAACAGGAACGTCTTTTCGATCGTGGCGACAGAGAAGCTAGAGCTGTTTTTCCGGACGCTATGTGCGAGCCCCAAGCACAAGGACGATGCACTCCAGTGGCTGCGTGCCTATTTCCTGGCAGGCCACCAGCCATCGTCCAACATGTATAACTCGCTCATCTACATGGCGATGAGCGCAAACGACTCTGTCCTCGTCGATCAGATTTTTGAGGAGATGCACCACCGCGGTATCGACTGGACACACGAAACCACCCTCTATCTTGCCATGCTGCACTACGGAGCCAAGCCGGGTGGCCTCGAGACCGCCTGGGATTGCTGGCGGCGCTATATTCCGATCGCGGAGCAAGATTCGGACGCTTCGGAGCGGTTCTTCCGGAAGTGCCTGAAGCAGATCCTGGTCGTTGCTCGGCGGCACCGCAAGCCTGAACTCGCTGAGGAAGTTTGGCGAGATTGCGAACGCGTTCTGGAAACCGAGCATCCAACATGGACGTTGTCTATGCCAGACGTGGAAGCGCTGATTGCAGAGGTCTGGGCAAAGTGGGCCGATGGACAATGAGGCGTTGGCGGCTCGAGGCGAGACCCTTGCCGCGGCCCCCAAATTTGAAATACAAGCTACCGCAGGAGCATTCCTGCCGATTCCACAGTCTGCTCGTTGTGGGTCGCCGATTCATGCTGCTTGTGGCAGGGAGCTGATTCATGCTGCCTTTGGCCAGCCAGCCAGCCAGCCATTGCATGGTTGGCCGCCCTGCAACCAGGAGGGCTTCCATGCGCGTGGCGCAGCAGCGCAGCTTCTCGCGTCTCGCAACAAGACAAACGCAAAAAATTTGTTTGTCGGTCTGCGATCGCCCAGGTTCTCGCTGCTCCCAGAACGATCGCACTCACCAAGCGCCGCAAGTCCGCACATCACACTGCACATCACACTGCACACTGCACACTGCACACAGCGGCTCCGGAGCTCAGCGATGGTTGTTCGAATTCGACTTTCCCGATGGGGCGCACGCAAGAACCCATTCTACGGCATTGTGATTGCCAACCACCGAGCGGCACGAGACGGCAAGACAATTGAGCGGGTGGGCAACTACAATCCCGTCCCCGATGCTCAGGGAATCAAGAATCTGGAGCTGAATGCGGATCGTATCAAATACTGGCTCGGCGTCGGGGCACAGCCATCAGATAAAGTGTCGTGGCTGCTAGCCAAGGTAATGGATAAGGGCACAAATCCATCCCGCTTGGCACAACAGAGGCCCAGACCCTCGGCGATGCTCTCTCGGATCGGCTGGATAGACAGACTGTATAGATTCAATGAATCTTTGAGCTCCGCGGATCGGCCGGAGATCGGGATCGGGATACTCGCGCTGCAGCAGGGTGGCATGGGGTCTCCGAGGGACTCAGTAGCTGCTTGCAAGGGCCTGGTCCCAAAAACTCTGCCTGCGACGTTGTCGTCGCTGCTTTGATCCCACACTGACTCAGCCTCCTCATCCAACGGCTACGTATACAGGCCAATCTGATGCCGCCACAACCACATCAGCTGGCGCACCAGGGATTATTCTCGCTCAATGATCCCAAGACTTGGGATGTACGAATAAGGGACGAGAACGGCACCGTCCTGGCTGATCTGAGCTCTGACACGGCCCGCGCTCGATACGACCGCCATCCCGATTTCCAGAACCTGCCTGGGGACCTGCCCACGCCTGTCTTCAGCCGGGTGACTTACGAGAACATCAAGCTGGACGGTGTGCCCCCAACTGCCCCACTCACCCCTGCGGAGGCTCTGAAGGTCCTCAAGGAAGTTGCTGGCCTCCGATAGAGACTGGTCGGCGACGGTGTAATTGCTTGGACGCCCGGGCGGTGGTACTGTTTTCATCAAGCAGGAGAGCAAGCCTGTTGACGTAAGGAGCAGCCACCCACTGCCAACGCAGGGTGCGCTCCGCCGTGATCGCTCATCGCTCATGGCTGTGCCGATCATTCATGAATACATTATAACACAGTGCGAGCCAGCTCTGCAGGCCGGTCAGTGACAAGTTCATATCGATCATAGATGCGCTCCAGCCACCACATCGAACGGCGATTCGCCCGTCTGGCGGATCTTGTATCAATCAGCCTGAGCAGGTCGGGCACGGGTGACGACATGCCCGTCCAATCAACGGGCTCCTCTGCCCGACACAATGAACATCCGCGCTGGTGAGAAAGGCCCGGCGATTGTGCGCCGCTGATGTGGGAACATTGAGTTTGCTCGCAAGTGCGTCCTGTTGGCGCCCGTCTTGCAGATAGAGCGCTCGTGGACACCTTTCCCCAGAATTCCTCGTCGCCGGGACAAATCATCCCAGCTCAGCAAGATCTCCGCATCCACTCGAAAGCCATTTGGCGCATCCGATCGCCTTGCGTGAGAAAGCCGATAATCCGTCACCAAAAGATAGCCCACAATTCCCAAAGCACGCGTTCTTCGCCATCGAGCACAGCCAATATTCCCGCAGCCCTGCGAGACAGTATGAGAGAAAAGGTGCTGTGGTTTTGATGTCGCGACACTAGTCACAGCGAGCGGTACATCGCTGGCCGTTCAGAGCCCGAGTCGTTTACTGGAAGCTGAGCATCGCGTGGTCCATCAAACGCACTGGATGTTCTAAGCACTCTGTCCTCGTTGATTGCGCGGCGGGTTTGGGACTGCAGGGACAAACCTCCACACTTTCGTCGTTGCCGAACAAGCCGAAGATTATATCATCGCTATCGAGGCGAGCTGCCGGAAACGATGGCCGTGAGGTGGGTTGGTGGCACTCTGGGCCGTCTTTAACAGTATCCCAAGGATACGCAAATGCGGCATCGTATAACATCATATAACATCATATAACATCATATAACATCATATAACATCATATAACATCATATAACATCATATAACATCGGATACCCTCCACTTGTCGTTACCAGAAGGCTATCACTGTGATCACCCGCGACAACATCCGAACGCTGCGCCCTCATCTGCCCAAGGGCACTCGCCGCGGCAACCAGGTTCTTGTTGTTCCATACGACTCCCTCCAGAGGGTTCAGGTATGTCCGTTGCGTTGGCTTTAACCGTCGAGGACGACACCCGTGCCGAGTTTTGCGAATCTTGACGGACCAAAGCGTACACAACCGACGCGCTTGTTTTGCGCAGGATGCCTCGGTATTTTTGAGCAAGGACGATCTGGAGAAGCGGAACGCCGAGCTGAATAACCAAAAACTCAAGGCTATGGAAGCCGCGAAAAGTAGAAAGGTATGTGGTTTGAGCCACTCGCCCTTGTGCAGAGTTTCTTTGTGTGCGAAAGTGGTTCGCGGCTAGCTGCAGGTCTATTGCGAAGGTGGCACTGTTTGTGCCTGGACCACCGAGGAGCATCTGGATATGTCTCGAAAAGCGACTTTGCCAGGTTGGCTCAACTTCGTCGCTTCATACACTCATCCAGGCCGCCATGGAAGAGTACGATCACCAGAGGTCGCAAAATGCAAAGCTGTCGGAGCTGGAAAAAGAAGCCAAAGATCGATCCAACTATCTGCTCGCAAAGGCGCAAATGCAGTTGGAGGAGCAGGAGGACGAAATCAAGCACATGAATGAAATGATGCTCTACGCCAAGTGTGTGGCCATTCGAGATTCTCAAGTCGAAGAGAAGGTGCGCGAAAGCAAGCAGGGCGAAGGAGAGGAGAGGACACGGAGCTCTCAATGATCTGGCCCTAAAGTTACTGCCAGGGATGTCGCTGACTAGGTGCACTCTGAAACTGGCGTATGCTCGATCCATTGCAACTAAACTGGCAATTCGCACCGAAATCGTGCAGAAATCCATCATGAAAGAGCGGAAAGATGAGGAATTCCGGCTGGACATGATGATGGAGACTGATAGAGTGAGCGAGCTCAAGAAACTGAAGGACCGAGAAATCATGCGTATAGAGGGTACGTATTTGTCGAGGGAGGGTTGGCTCGGGATGGCTTTCCGAGGACGCCGCCTTATGAAGTCCGTGACTACGGCTGAGGTTGCGGCTGCCACTTGGGATCGCCGGCCCAGATATTGATCAGTTGACCGCGACTGACAAGCGAGAGAGGCAATGTACATGGACCTTATATGAACAAGCATCAAACAGCTCACTCAAACTTTTGGATTGTTTTCAGAACTCCGCAAAGGAGCCTCGAAGATTCGAGCCCAGATCGAGGAGCGCAAGGAGGCCGCGCTTCTCGAGCAGGAGCGACGGGACCAGGAGACCAAGCAGATCCTCAAAGCCATTGCCGATATGAATGAGCAGGATCGCCTCGAGAAGCAAAACAAATTCAAGGCCCAGAAGCTCCTAATGCAAGAGGTAAGAGCCGCTGACTTGTCGTGACAGCGCTCACGGGACCAAATCGAACCAATGGCTAAGGCTGTACTGTGGCCGTCGGATCCAAATAGGTTGTGAAAGCGAACCAGGAATCCATGGAGCTTAAGCGCCAAATCAAGCTCAAGGAAGAAGAGGAAGACATGAAGGTGCTGCAGTATTTGCTGGAAAAGGAACGACGTGACATCGAGAACGACAAACTACAAGCTGCCAAGAAAGCCGAGCGAGAGAAGGAGCTGGCTCGGCTACGGGCAGCCCAAGAGAAGGTATGTCGTACTTTGGGCTGGATTAGAAGCATTTGATGAACATTTAGAACAGACCCATCATCAATACTTACCCAATCGATGCCGACACTGTTCAACAGATGTCTGATAAACAGGCCCAGCAGGACGCTCTTCGTGCTCAGCGAGCATACGAGGCCTACGAAAGAGACTGGCGAAGGAAAGAGAAGGAGATTGCGGAAAAGCACGCTGCTCAGGAGCAAGAACTGAAGGCCGAGCGAGCCAAGCAGCAACAGGCACGCGAACATGCCATCGCAGTAGAGGCACAAAAGATGAGGGAGGAGTTTTACGAGAATCTCAGTCGCCAGAAAGAAATCGAGTCCAAGCTCCATCTCGAAGACGTGAAGCGTGCTGAGCGCAACAAGCAGTATTCGCTTGAAGTCAAGGTACGGCCCTTTGCGCAGATGAAGCCTCGGCGAGTGATTGAGTAAATCTGGACTGCTTCGGTAGAGAGCCGTGACTCGATGTAGAGGAACATTCAGCGCCAACTGATCATACGGGTGTCTGGATGCTGCCAGGCCCAAATCAAAGAGAAGGAAGAGGCACGCCGCCGAGAACGTGTCGATTTCTTCATGGAGGGTGTGCGCCAAGCACAGGAAAGGACCGAGAAGAAGAAGAAAATCGATCAGATCAAGGAGCGAAAGATTCAGGTACTTTGTGAAGCATAGGATGCCCCCCTAGTGCGCGAAATGGGCATTCAACCCCTACGGGTCGCTAACCATTTGACTCTCTACATTAAACTCAGGAACTGCGGGGTCTGGGGGTGCCGGAAAAGTACTGCAAGGAAATTGAGCGTAAGGTTCACATGTCCAACAACCTCAAGATCACGGGTCCTTGAGCCTAAGAATGCGCATAGTCGGGATCTGTGGGGCAAATGAATAGTTCAAGCTGACCCGGACAGCAGGCAATGGCAAGCACCTCCCTGCATTTCCAAGACAATCAGTGAAGTGCCATGGATATTCAACCTTGTGGAAGAGCTGCCAAACTTATTGAATAATAAAGAGTGAATGATTAATATAGCGTTCATATCAGTCGAATAGGCATCCCATTTTGTGATCGATTGGCTTTGGTTTTGACGAGCTGTGATCGTTGAGCCTGCATCTTGGTGGGACGGGCCAGTCCTGGCCGGCTGGACTCGCTGTGGCGCAGGATCTGTGCCGCTCACATGACCAAGGAGGCCCCAGCCGCACACCACCCCGAATCCAAGTCGGTCCTGGGACAGCATCCCTCGCCTGTTCTCATCCCCGACGCATCGGAATATCTACCATGGGCAGCCGCTCACCCGAACGTCGAGGCAGCTCATACCGCAGCGACCGACCGCAGAGCCGCTCTCCCCCACGCAGAAGAGATAGAGATGAAGATCGGGAGCGGGATCGCCATCGAGACCGGAGTGCCGATCTGGACCGAGACCGAAGGCAAGATCGAGATCGAGGACGAGATCGAGGACGAGATCGACCTGCTGACGACGATCGCCGCCGATATGCAAGCAGATCACCATCTCCCAAGCGACGTCGCGATGCAAGCAGGTCACCATCTCCGAATCGATCTAGAGATTCGCCGGAAAGATCTCTGTCGCCCTCACACTCTAAGCGCAAGCACGACGACGACTCGGACGATGACTCGGACCGCGGTGGCGATGATGGCTCGTACTCTCGCAAGCACGGCCAGAAACACAAGAGCTCGAAATCCAAAAAGTCCAAGAAAAAGTCCAAGAAGAAGAGAGAGACTTCTGCGGAGCGCCGAATCCGCAAAGCGGAGGAGCGGGTTCGTATCGACAGAGCGCATCAGGGTTGTCCCAGAGCAAGAGACGAGAGGCTTGCCCATCTCTTGTTTACATCCCTATCACGCCAACGAACCGCCAATTAACGACTTGCGCTGATATACAGCAACTCAAGGAGGACCTCCAGAAGCAGAAAGAGTCCCAGATCGCTGCCCAAATGAGTGCCACGCTTGGCTACACCGACAAAGACAATCCATTTGGCGACTCAAGTCTGTCGACAAAGTTCATTTGGGTTCAGAAGATCAAGAAAGAAAAGGTCATGGGCATTACATCCGAGGATAAGCGACGCGCCGATGCCGAGCGGAGACACGAGCTTGAGGTAGGAATCGCCGTTCTGTTCGATTGGAGCGGGTGTATCTTCTTTCGATCGCACAGCCTGTTTGCAGCGATACTGGCGAGCCTTCTTCCTGGCTGTGACTTGTGTCGGAGACTGATGCCTGCAGCGCTGCAGGGCCAAGAGTACATGGCACACAGACACAGAGGATATGCTAAGGCACCCCGATCTTCTTGCACCATAGCTCGAGCTGGCAAAGTTGAAGAAAAGGCGCGAGGAACGAGAAGTTGAGATGCAGCTCCGCGAGCAGGAGCAGATTCGCATGCAGAGAGAGCAAGATCGGATCGCCTTTGGAGACTGGGAGGAGCGTGAAGCTGGATTCCATCTCCAGCAAGCCAAGAAACGAGCTCAAATCCGCATCAAGGAAGGCCGGGCCAGGCCGATCGACATCATGGCCATGAATCTCTCGTTGGCGACCGACACCGAGGTCGCGGCCGAGTTCGACGCCCTTGGACTCGAGATGGACCTGGAGGAGCCCTATCACATCTTTGAGAACATTGGCGAGTCCGAAGTCGAGGAGCTCTACAAAGACATTCAGCTCTATCTCTCGCTGGAGAAGGACGAAAACAACCGCGCCTTCTGGGAGGCCATGATCATTGTCTGTGATGACGAGCTGTCACGACACCGAGCCAAGGGCAAGCCGCGCACAGGCGTCTCGCTGCAAGTCGAGCAAGAGATTTCTGCGATGCTCAAGGGCAAGACCTTTGATCAGCTCCGCATCTTGCAGAAGCAGGTCGAGAATAAGCTTTCGAGCGGTGAAGCTCTGGACTTTGAGTACTGGGAGGCCCTGCTCAAGTCCGTGATTGTTTGGAAAGCCAAAGCCAAGCTCCGCGACATGCACCAATTCATGCTCCATCAGCGCCTCACCAAACTGCGAGAGCAGCAGCGTGCTGAAGCCGAGAAAGCGCAGCATGAGCTGAGGGAGCAGGTTTCTCGCCCCATGACCAGCATTTCTGCCTTTGGACTGGCACGGGAAAGCCAAGCTGTCGCAGGAGCAGAGGACGAGGGCGACCTGGAGGAGGAGGAGGAGGCTGAGCTCTACGATCCCTCGATGAGCCCCCGCATCAGCACCGAGATCGACAAAGCCGATGCCGACTTTGACGTTGTCGACGAAGACGCCGACTTTGAGAGCCTGGTACGTCCCCTATGCGGCTGTTCTGCACAACTGATGAGGTGTGATACTGGATCGACTCAGGATCGCCGCCTTTGGCAGTAGAGCTGCGATCTTTGCCGCGCTGTCCTGCCAGCTCACTCTGTCGATGCACGCCTTTTTGACTGTCAACACAGATGAAGCAGCGCATCTTCTTGCTCAAGTCACAGAATCGGTCCATACCAACTTCATCCGCCAGATCGATTACTGCAGCGGCCGCGCAGTCCTCGATGGCAGTAAGTGCACCGGCGATGGATCCGGAGGCCGCATTTATCAAGGAGTCGGCCGCCCGGATGGGGATCGACGAAGAAGAATTCAACATCGAAGACATGGGCGCAACAGGCAGCCAGGTAACGTGGGGCGTCTATGGTCTGTGACAGCGCATCAATGTTTTGGTGACCATATGTGTACCTCTCAAGCCTGACCCCTCCAATCCCTCTGATGCTGGACTGCAGACCTATCTCTGGCAGGACAAATATCGGCCCAGAAAGCCGCGATATTTCAACCGCGTCCACACCGGCTATGAGTGGAACAAGTATAACCAGACGCATTACGACAGCGACAACCCACCACCCAAGGTCGTCCAGGGCTACAAGTTCAACATTTTCTATCCGGATCTTATCGATAAAGCCAAGGCACCGACTTTCAAGATCATTCGCGATGAAGGCTACCCCGATACCGTTATTCTGCGCTTCATGGCCGGCCCACCGTACGAAGACGTTGCCTTCAGGATCGTGAACCGAGAATGGGAGCACTCTCACAAGAAGGGATTCCGCAGCTCATTTGACCGTGGCGTTTTGCAGCTCCACTTCCACTTCAAACGCCAGTTCTATCGTCGCTAGTACTCGATCCGCAGCCAACCGAGTGCTGGATCAATGCCGCTTGTCCCGAGCGGAATACGCAGCCCTGGATGATGCGCAAGATATACTCCTACGTGTATTCGCCATACCAACGGGCCGTCTCTTGGTATGACGCACCTGCCAGCGACCACGACCAATAAAATGCGGATTGTCCGATCGATGATCAGCTGTGGCGGCAAAGCCATGCTGGCACACGTCTTGGACTATCTCTTACATTGACCAGGGGCGTCTATGCCAGCCGCTTGACCTCAAAGAATCTACAGGGACAAGAGAGTTTACACATGAATGGGGTGTCGCCGTTGTCTCTGGCTATGTGCTTGGTGATGCTATCGATCCTAACGACGAGTAAAGTCCAGGGGACTAGTCCATACCGAGTCAAATAACCGATCTGGATAGCCGAGGCAACGATCACAAAGAGGGCTTGGGCAACTGACCACCAGGCAACTCGCGAGTTAATGCTCTCTGAGGCTGTATCGTGCAACAGAGACATGTATCGGTCAGCTTTCGACACCCAGACTTAGCGATGCCTCGCGCCGTAGTTGGCTGCATCAGTATCCGCTCCTGACCTCCCGCAAGCTGAAGTTGAGATTCAAGCGCAAAGAACTGGACTTACTGGCTTTGTGGTTGACAAGACTCTCCCTGTTCAGAGTCTGTCCATCTTTGATGTCGTGGATGTTGCTCGAGAGAGCACGGATGAGGTTGTAGATATCCCGCATATGCTCTGTTCACCCGTCGGCCAGACCATGACAGCAACGGCGTTAGATGGGCGATTAGCTCCAGCATGCGAGCAGGCCAAGAGGCTCTCCAATTGTGTGCTCGCAATGGTTTGACGATCTGATGCTGTCGGTATGCCGCGAGATGTTCCCACCAACGATGCCAAAGGCAAGCCGAGGCGAGACACGGCTCGCCTTCGGGTCGGAAGTCGGGATCAACGAGGACTACCGAACAGCGGGAGCGACCTCGCTGATGGCAAAAATGGGTCATGGCATTCAATGACTGTGCTCGACCAGGACCCGGGGCTCCTGCCATCATTACCTGTGTTGCCGCCGGAGGACTCGTACTCTCGTTCCTTGAAGAGCTTGCGTTCGTCTGGTCCGACGGAAATGAACGACATGCTCTTCACGGCACCGGACATGCTGTTGAGGAAACAGTAGGAATAGTGGCCCTCTTCGATGGCATCGAAACCAAAGTTGGAGTTGGATTCTTGGGTGATTTTGTGCAGCATCTGGCTACTGGGGGTAAGAATCTAGCAGCCATCGGACGCGCCAGCGTCAGTACGGAAGAATGCTCTGCAGCAGCCTGCGGCAGTCGCAGCGGGTGCGCCATAATGTCTCGATGGCGAGCCATACCCAAAAGTCGATCAGCATATCGCCGCCGCTCGAGACTTGGAAAGACATGTCGAAACGATCGCCTTTGTTCAGGTAATCAAAATAGCACTGTTTCTGGTGACTGCCCAGGTCGATGTGATAGAGATTAGAGGCCGACGACGACGAGATCAGGGCGGCCAAGAGACAGGCCAAGGCCAGTATGGCAGAGACAGCGCGGGACATGGCTCAGCCGACTCGATCTTGGGACGCAGCTGGGGTGAGAATCGATGGGCTGGCTCTTGAGACGGCGCTATTTGGCGACGACGGTAAGCGAACAGCCTTCCTGGATGGTTGGCGATGAGAGAGAGAGAAGACCAGCGCGTGCTCTCGCCGGCTCTCGCTGTGGCCGAGAGGGTCTCGGCGGCAGGAAGAGGGCCAATCGCGAGGCGGATCGTGTCGGCCAGGGACGCGCCCGGCCATGATGCTGAGCAACGGCGCCGAGATCGTCGACGACCATTGACAGATGTTCAGTGGCAGGCAGCAAGTGCAGGGCAGCGAGTGCAGGGCAACCGGATCGTCGATTTACGTCGCGGTGCTCGGCCATGATGGAGCAAGTCGCCTCAAATCCCGCCATTCGCCGATGCCATCCTTGCGCTTGGCCCACACCAACGCACCACCCGCTCCCTCGCGCAGCCCAGAATGCTTGTCAATTGCCGCCAGAGATCGGCGAGCTTTGTTCAAAATCGGGCCCCACGAAAGCCAGCCGCTCTCCGGGGAGCCGCTGGCTTTTGCGTCAGCGAGCAACAGCGATGAGGAGGATGAACGCGGCGACTCTATCCAGCTTATAGGATACGGTAATGAGTTGTACTATTCGGGGCATCCCGCTTCTGTCAGAAATAAGCTAGAGAAAATGGAAAAAAAGGGAGGGGGTTCACTCTTTAGTGGTGATGGTCATCGTGCTCTTGCTCGTACTTGAAGACGTTTCCGCAGTGGGGGCAGCGGTCGTGCTTGTGCTGAGGGTTGAGGGTAAGCCAGACGGCCTCGTGAGACTCAGCGGGGAAACCTACAGAAACGCAAACCGAGAGCTCCAGGTTAGGGCGGCCAATACACAAAATACATAGTGCATCCAATACGCAAAATACGCAAAATACGCAAACGGAACCAAAAAAAGCCAGAGCGGCGTGTGATCAAAGCGCCGAGACTGATGGCTTGCAGCACCAAGCGCAAGGAGATCCCTTCTCGAGTCGCGGCGAGGCTCAAGGGAGCATCGTTGCCGCACATGCTCATATCGCGATGCCTTTGTCGCTGATGCTATCGAAAGGTCCTTGTGCGGAAGTACTTTGGGGGGGGGTTGCCACACGAAAACCCGAGGGAGAAGCACCCAGAAGCACTCTTGCCCTTGTCCAGAGTAGCCATCATCGCACCACGCCACGGGAATGCAGTGCTTGGTGCCCACTCCATGGTCTCTGGAGGACCTCAGATCTCGAGCGAAAAGAAAGCGCCAGTCAGTGGCGATCAAAATAGAGTACACACCGGTGCAGGCAATGTAGCGGACGGGATCGACACCACGGAGGACGATGGGCTCCTTGACGGTTCCAGCCTTCTCGAGGTAAATGGGGTGCATGTCTTCCCAGGGCTCCTCGCCCTTGAGGTACGTCAGGTACTCGTAGCGGTGGGCACCCGTGGCGACCTCGTAGTTGGTGGAGATGGCGCCCTCGCGAGAGAATCCAGGAGGAGTGGTGGCATCGGCAGCCTTGTGCTTGTCGGGGGTGGCGGCTGCTGACGACAGGATGCGAGGTCGGCGATGATGATGATGATTCGTCGAGACAAGTCGAGTTTCGTGCAAAATCCAGTGAGACAATCGTAACAGAAAAGTTTCAGCACACACTGTTCCTAACTGACCCGAATGAGGGTCGTACTTGCGGCGCGTGGATGCCAAATGGGCACATGATACGATTCGCAGACCAGCGAGCCAACGCCTTGGCCAATGCGTGTGCGTATGCGGCCGGATGCGTGTGCTGGTGTCGCTGATATCGCTGGATTGCAGCGAGTCGGCTACGAGCATCGATCCTCGGCATTGTCAGCAAGATGGCGCGGCAGCGAGTCGGTTACCTTGGGCGACCGGGCGGGCGACCGAGAAGGCGCGGCGGAAGGCGGGGGCAGCAACCCTGGGGAGCGAGCGGCGGAGAGCGAACATGGCGATGCCGAGCAGAGCAGACGACGAAGAGGCAGGTCCTGGAGCGAGCGAAAGAGCAAAAGACGAACGGTGTTGCCCAAAACACACTGGTTTAAAAGAAAAAACGAGGACGGGCGAGAAGCAGCGAGGCACGGGCGAGGGACCGCCAGCGAGAGCCGCCGAGTCATCGGCGGTCACCTGCGGCGCGGCACGGTTCTGTGGCAGGCGGGCGCTTCTGTGGCGGCTGCAGAATGAAGTTCATTTCGCGCAAATCTCGCGCCAATACTTCCATTCGCGGCACCATGAGTCTGGTCGCGACTTGCTGATCTGGGGATCGCCTGGGGAGAATCTGGGCAGCACCCAAGCAGGACCATCCATCCGCGCCCACTCCGCCTCTGCAATCTCGTTATGATGCTGTCCCAGCTGCAGTCTACGGCCGCACGTCGGCTGGTCCTGGGCAAGCTGCCTTGGAGCCCGCTTTCTCCAAGACACAAATCATCCGCCACAGTCGTTGGCCAATCTAAGCCCTCAGTCATTCGCATTCCGACACGCAAGGTCTCTCTCTCCGACGTGGAGGGCGAGCTGCTCATCTTCGAGCACAACAATGGCCGATTCTGGAAGTTTCAGTATATCAGCGCTCTATTCCAGTGTGCGTTGATGCTGACCTGTGGCGCATTCGCATACAGAGAATTCAACTTTGGAGAAAAGTAGGTCGACGTCGACATTCTTTGTCCTGCAGATTCATGTCCTGGCCTTGCTGGCAAGGCTCACTCCGGGCTCCACGGCTGCGATCGCATATCCAGCTCGACCGCCTCGTCGTTCTGGAAACGAGTTCGGGGGCGGACTCTCGGACCCTGCTCGACGGCATTGCGCCTACTCAATCGCAGCTCGCATCGCTAACGTTCCCCTTTGCTTCAAGAGCGCAGAAGAAGGACTCGGCAATGCCGCGCTTCTTTGAGAAGTTTAGTCTTTCGGGCGATGTTCCATACTGGTAGGCTGGTTGTCGGATATGCTGGGCGATTGAGTCGCCCACGGCAATGTCTCTGAGCCACACCAGTCCAAGCAGTGGCAACGAAACTCACCGATTGTGGATCGCTGCCTCAAGTCGTGGCTGTTTGATCGTCTGGCAGCCCCTCTGGGCCATGCGGTCCTTGGGAGAACAGCGAGCTTACTTTTGTGCGCTGTCGCTTCAACTAGGATGAAGACATATGTCCCGCCATCGTTTATGGCCTTTGGAGTCTGCTTCCTTGGCTTTGTCCATCTATCGGCATCAAGGTGAGATCGCCACCGGCGGCGGAGCGGGACTTTGAATACTTGTCGTCAGCGTGCCCGTTCTGATTGCGTTGCTTCGGTGATCTGCCCAGATATGTCCGCACGGCGTACATCCGCAACAAGGGCTCTGAGATTCTGCTGGAGACCAGCAACCTCGTCGGCAAAAAACTGCATGTGGCCGATGCCTACAAGGTCTCAATTCGAGAGAAGATTGTCACCAACCAGGGTAGGCTTGGCCAGTATCAGCTGGCCCTGTTGCCTGTGCAGCATCGCGGGAGCGTCTCCTCCACCTGGCCATGTCAACTCTGCGTTATCGCACTATTTCGGTTGTGCATTGGCTCGGCATGCAGCCTCTACTTCACAGTCGAGTCTGACACACTCGGTGGTCCCCCGTCGCAGGCAAGTCTCGGACAGAGGGAGCGGTTTCATCCGAGGCCCCGTGGTATCTCAGACCCTTCCACCAACACCGAAGCACCTACGTTGTGCTCCACACGGACCAGCAACGATTGCTAAAGTTCAAGATGGACCGCAGTGGCAACTTTGTGCGGCCCGAGTTCTTCGATGCAATGTTTTTCAAACCATAGATGCCAGTAAAGTGACTTGCGACGAGGACAAGCACGGCCAGTCCGGTAGGGCAGTGGGCCACCCAAGAATGCACAACCAAGGCGGATGTTGCTGCAGTAGGGGAGGGTACTGCGACAGAGCATGAGCTTATGCCCTGCCCTGCCCTGCCTCGAGCTACCAAGACAGGCGAATGCTTGGTGTGTGAGCAGGACGACCACACATGCGGCGACGTATTTCTTAGGATGCTCCACTCGAAGCGACCGGATTGCAGCGAGACATTCGTCTTTTGAAGAGTAGGAGGCGTCCCGTATTCTCCCATGTCCGCTGGGCAAGTTGGCCCTGTCCGAGCGATTCTGTTGCTCTTGGACACATTCAGCCCGCGGGGGCTTCATTCGCGGTCCCCCAGCCCAGTTCGTCCTGGATCGGCGCGTGCAAAAACCTCGCCCGCAGGCCCACGTCCCAGCCGGGAGCCTGGTGCAGACATCGCAAGAAGGGCACACGTGCACGGCGCTCTGGCTTGATGGTGATGGACGAGCCAAGGTGATCTCGGGGTGATCTCAGGGATATATTCACAGCCATCAAAATTTCCCTGAGACCGCTGGTGTGCGTCTATCGCAAGGCAACGGGAACAGAAACTAGAAAACATAAACAGGATGCGGATGAGGCCCGAATGTGAACAAAGGACAAAGGGGCTGGGAAGGACTCGGTGTGGTATCGGAACTCGAGTGGAGACGGTGCCAGGACTCAAGCAGCAATAGGGACGCTGCCGGCGGCGCTCTCCACCGACGACACCGTGTGGGGAAGGACTAGGACTGGGCACGGAGATCGCTGCGAAACATATCCAGTGATGCTGCCTGCTCAAGAGATTGGCGCAGACGCAGGCGAAGTGTCAGCAAACAGTCATCAAGCAAACAATCTCGATGTGCTTCCACACGGCTACAGCGGCATTGCGGATGCGACCGGCCACACCAGGATTACTTACCAGTGCCGGGAAGAACACCGTGAGCGTGAGCGCCCATGACAACAAGCCGAGGGGAGCGCTCGTTGATTTCCATCATGATGTAGCCCTTGGCGTCGCCGTGAAGCACATTGAGTGAGATCTTGTTGCTCACCCCGCTTGACTGGACAATGTCCTTGATAAAGCCGGTGAACTGCTGAGTGATCTCATCGATCTCACGGTGCTCATAGCTGGTCTTGAGAGCGGCGACTGGGTGTGGGGATATTATCGAAGAAGAAACGGTATTGAGGGCATCAGAAACTGGAGAGTAAGAGACACAAAGACAAGTGCAAGTTCCAGCACCCAAGCGAGCAGTCATTGCCGGAGGACTTACAGAGCGAAGGCTTGATGATGTGGAGAACCTCGACCACGTCGTCGGGCTGCACATTGTGTTTGAGGGCGTGCAGGATGACGGCGCGCGAGTGCTCGGAGACCGAGTCAACGGGGATGAGGACAACGTTATTTTTGGCCATTTTGGTTGTAAGAGAGAGCTGGAGCGCTGAGAGGCTAGAAGATAGGACACGAAGAGCTTTGCTTTGGAGGTTCTGAGGCGAGGTGGATGGTGGTGTGGGAAGCCGGGTGAGGGATACCCTTTTATACTTTTGGAGGATCTTCTCGCCGCCTCCACCGGCGTCGACGCAGCCACCCCGGCATGGCCATGTGGTGGTGGGGCGGCGAGGCCTCGTGGCGACAGACGGCTTCCTTTCTTTGGCGAGGACAAGGCCGGGAGCGATGACGAGCCACCTGGGGAGTCATTTGACCGCAACCTATTCAGAATTGGTTTGCATCAGTCCGCCCAGTACTGCGCCTACTGTTCCTGCTGCTGTTCTTGGTGCTGCTGCTCTTGTTGGCCTGGCCGCTGCCTTTGGATGCCGCTGGCGCTAGCCGGGGCCCCGGGGCCACGCGGCCGGCCTCGCTTTCCCACGGCTGCCCAAAACGGCAGCGCCGCTCCGGGTTTGGGTCATGTCTCATCGCCGGTGTCCCTCCTGGCGGGCAGGCAGCGCTGCCGGACACATCCCGCATCCAATCGAGGGGGTCTGGCCAGGCAGCGGACGGAGTCATGCGGCCGGCGACAGTAATCCCACCAATGGATTCAAAGTACTTTGCGAGTGGTTTAGGTTGCACGAAGCGTGTGTGTTTGTGCTTCCGTCTGGCCGCCAAGCACAACGATGGCGCTGCCGCACAGACACAGAGGCCAGGCAGCGCCTCTCCTCCTCCTCCCGACAGATTGTTTCTCCTGCGCTCGCTGCACCAAAAGCCCTGTGCGAGCCTGGGCTGGGTCGGCTTGGCCTGTGCGTTGCGAGATAGCAACGATGAGGGGGGGGGCGATGAGGCAATCGGCTGCATTTCGGAGGCGCTGGCTGTTCCCACGGTTGCTTCGATGGACACATGGCGGCCCGGGGCAGACATCTGCCTGGAAAGACGGAGCGCCTGCCTCGGAAGACAGGGTCACCCCCCGAATCCGAGCCAAGACGGAATGAGGCGCCTTGGGGCTGCAGCGATGACTACTCTTCGACACATGCTTTGCTGTCCGGAAGGGGTGATGCGATCCATCGGGTTCCCCCTCCAATATCAAGACGAATCGCCACATACCTGCCTGTGCCTTCGAAACACCGGCACGGCCAGAGTGCGTTTGGCTTCGGGAACAGCTTCAAATGGGCACTGTTCTGCTGATCCGTACCAGCAGAACCCCGCCCTGCAGCAGCCGTCGGCCAGCTCCTAATGAAACAATGACTCGGTGCTCCGCAGGCTCGCGAATCAGTGTGGGTGCGTTCGCCGCCGTTGCTGCATCCGCCTGCCTCCCTGCCCAGCTTTCGCTGAACCGTTCTGGTCCAGATTGCCTGGACGAAGGCGCTGGTCTGCCGCCCTGTGCACGTATCGTCGAGCTACTTTCGAGTCATAATGAAGCCGGGCCACCTGCTGGCTCTCGGCCCATGCCGAATTAGCATCTCCGCAATACCCTCATCCGCAGGCGCCTTTGGGAGCATCCGCGCCGACATTCGCTGCATGCAACATCGATATGGCAGCGGGCTCAGGGCCAGCGCATCCGGCCGACCCAGTGAACCCAGTCCATTCATTCCACTCAATCGACTCAACCAGTCCAGCCGTGCATGCTCTCCGAAGCCAACTGAAGCGTCTCTTCCATATGCCTTGCAAGCCCTGCGATGCGCAGGGGTGCTCGCAATCGCCGTTGCTTTCGGCGGATGCTTTGCATTGGCCTCAGACCCTGTCCACGCGCATTGGACCAACTCGCTTCGGGCTCAGCGGCCATCGCCCCGCAAAAACACCTCGTAAGCAGAGCCCTTGTACTGCTCTTGGAATCCGTTGGCGGACATTCTCGAACCCATCCTGGACTCGGTCGTGCGGATAACCGTCGAGATAGGTGAGCGGGTCTGAGACCGTGACTTGGGACTGCTGCTACTGCTGCTGCTGCTGTGTCTCTCGAGATCGATAGCGCTGCGTGTCTCGCTCGGCACAAGATACCAGCTGAGTGATATCCGCTCACCCAGTTTGCTCATGCCTGCCTTCATCCTGGCTCAGAAACGAACAGCCTTATCTTTGGCAAACGTGCCTTCGTCTCAGCGGGCTCGGGCTTCATCATCGATGACAAAGGCACGATCTTGACCAACGCCCACGTCGTTGGTGATATGGCCGAGGACAGCAAGGTGAGGTAGTCGCCCGTCTCATTACATTGATGATGTGGCGGCGACCCAATCGTAGCTGCGTCGATTCTTCCTGTCGATACGTCGGTCTGTGGCACCTTTCGCAAGAGGAGCAGCGCAGTGTCTGGTTCCTTTGATCGCCAGCTCATCCGCCCTTGGCCGTCAGCTTCTCATCACCACCAACAGCGGGCTTCAGTTCGATGGCTATGTGTATAGCTCGGACGAGCTCAGTGATCTTGCCATCGTCAAAGTGAACCCCTCCGAGGCACAGGCGTACCATCTGCGCGAGCACCGCCATATCTGGCGACCGGTGACATTTGCACCGCCCGAGAAGCGTCATAGGTCAGTACCTCGCTCAAGATGCTGCGACAGGCCAGACGTCAAGACTGGGATGGCATCTGGCTTCGTGTACCGCTACGGAACGGCCCATGTGTGAGCGATAGGTGCTGATCCTGCCTTAACGCCAGAGTCGGCGACATTGTTCTGTCTGTGGGATCGCCCTTTGGCCTCTACAATACCGTCACGGCAGGAATCATATCATCGCGGGCACGCAAGTACAAAGAGATCGGTGGGCGAGACTCAATGGTCGAATTCATCCAAACCGACTGTGTACTGCACTCGGGATCCTCCGGTGGTCCGCTCATCAACACCGACGGTGAGGTCATTGGCATCAACACCACGCGGGCGGAAAGCGATGGCATCAGGTAATCGATAAGTAATCGATTAGCAGGCGCTAAGTGCATGAACACCGGATTCGTGCTGCTGTTGGCCTCAGATTTGGTACCAGGGATATTCCTGCGACCTCTCGAGCACTCAACAAACATCGGGAAGTGGGACTCATTGGCGATTCGACAAAGCGCACACAGTCATGGCAGTACCTCCGATAGACCCCTGTATACTGTTAAACCCTTGTATGCTGCCTTAGCGATATCCTTCTGCTCCGTTCGCCAAGAGAAGCTCTGCTCGAGTCGCAGCTATCGCGTCGCCATCGTCTTGTCGCCGCCACGACGGCCTGACTGGACTCCCCACTGTTCTCACACTACACGGACTCTCTTTCTGCCTCCATAAGCTTTGCGATCCGGGTCGATAAAGCTCTCGGAATGATTGACCAGTTGCTGACGCACGGCAGGATCATCCGTCCGTGGCTTGGTCTCAAGATGGTTTCGCTGACCGAGTCCGTGTGGCAACAACTGCTTTCCCAGCAGTTTGAAGGCGATGTGGCAGATCTGCCACCATCAAAGCGAGGTATCCTTATTGCTTCGGTATGTTTCCACTGCGAATCTGGGCCACGAATGCTGACCTGTCACTAATCCTCGTTGCGCTCTCTCCGCACCAGGTCTTTGAGGGATCACCGGGGGATTCTGCTGGATGCCGGGCAGGAGATGTCATCGTGGCGGCCAACCACGAGCCCATCACATCAACGTCGCAGGTACGCTATCATCTGTCTCCAATGGTCCCGAGGTTTGAACGCAAGTAGTAGACCTCCTGAGTTTCCCATCGAAGCAGATTCTCTAACCTTCCCATGGCACCCTCAGCTACTCGGTTTGATAGGAAGTCGTATTGGCATTCCGTATGAGCTGACAATATGGAGAAACCGCGTGCACAAGACCCCAGACTCTGGGAAACAGACCAAATCGCTAACACACGGCCAAACGCACGACGAACTCAAGGTCTCGATCACCCCTGAGGAGCTGGATGTCCATTCAAGCACCGAACATCTCAATTTTCTCCACACATAATCAGCCGTGCTGTCTGTTTAGCGGCGCCGCTTTGCTTCCACTGCATAGGCTACGCCACGGTGAGATCGTCGCTGTTGTTGTAGCAGAATGTTAAACCCACTATGTTGGAATAGCATCCGAATCATAGACGGCAAGCTCGTAGCTCTCGACACCAGCCCTGTACCTGGCATACCTGAAATACAGATGGATCACTGGCAGCCACTCGTCTTCAGTGATGCCTGTTCTTTCGAAATCCAGGCTCTCGTCTCGGATGCCGTTCTGCTCAAGCGTCAGAGTCATATCCAACAGAATCCCGAGGCGCTTCCACATATATCCCTTTGCATGTGCATTGAATGCCATGTAGCGCTCCTGGATGGCATTCATTTTTTCTTCCGAGCACACCTTTGGTGTTTGGCATATCCAGCCAGAACGTTTATCGCCAGTACGATTTTAGCGGTCATTGTCGTCCTTGTCGAGCAGCACGGCCAAATATGTGGCTCGGGTGCAATTCGACGCCGGTCGAGAGTGTGCGAACAAAGTCTCGTTGCCGATGCATAGCCCCCACGAACCACAAGACAGCACTCCCGTTCCGAATACATTCTTGCGAGACGTACCTCCAGGATGTGCTCGTCTTTGGTCAGCATGTTGACGATTCTGATCTTTCGGGTCTTGGCGCTTAGCTTGCCGACAAAGTACTTTTCCTTGTCGATCCACCAGGGTATCGTTGGCTCCGATCGCCAATCCGAGCGGGGGAGGGCCGGAGGCACGTCCAAAAATCGCCCCCACGGCGTGTAATAACAAACGCAGCCTGTGAGCGGGTTGACATGCGTCTTCAACTAGAAGGTGCATGTCGTTGTCGCAGCACAACGAAGCAGACCCATCCCATTCCCGTATGATCGGCCGGACGAACGTTTGTGCCGTTTCCACAGAGTAGCCATGGTCAAGTGGTTTTTTTATCGTTTTCGAGATCAAAGTAGATCGGGTTTGTTCAATTCGAAAGAGTATGAAATGATTAAAGCCGTCTGCCCGGTGATCGAAAGTAGCCAACCATCACAGCCGCAACCACCATCCACAGCCATCGCCCACAGCTGCCATAGACACGGTCGCCGACATGGCCATCGCCACCTTACATCTTCGGTCTGTGGGTCGAACCAGTGAGAAACGTCCTTGCCGGCGAACTTGAGGATCGGCCCCAAGAGCGGGTCCGATTTGTTGTGGATAGCCAGCGGCGTCAGGTCGTATACCTTCCCCAGCCACGACACCCACAGGTCGTCGGAAGAGTTGTGCAGTTCAACCTCGGAAGCCGTGAAGTATCTCTCCGTTGACTTGACTGCCTTGGACATGGCTGTCTACTCGACGTGGCGGGATGGATCAATTGTGTTCGCGCAGGAGTGTCTTGTGGTCGTTTGGCGATTCCGGCGCCGTTTCTGTCGATGGATGGGATCGTCTCGGTTGGTGCTGTTGTTGAGATTTGACAAGGTGATTCCATCTCCTATCCCGAGTTCAGTCAGCTCGGCAGACGTCGTTCGACAGTGTGAGCTGAATGGCTGAAGTATCTTCCCTCCCCCGTTCCAATCAAAGTGATGACGTTGCGGGCCAGCATCATTGGGGTCTGACTGCGGCTCTGCGATTGCATTCTGAGTGAATGCCGGCCATTTACCAAGCGGCTCACCGATCTGCCGACAGGAGCGAGTTCTAGCGTCTGCCGGTTCTTTTTTTTCCATCGTCTCTACTATCACCGTCGCTTTTATTATCGTGTCGCAGTCCAGGGATCGCCTGGACTCTCACATCCCTGGCCGCATCTGCTGCTTGTGCGGGAACCTTCGCTTATCCAGAATCACACGCGTCCTCAACACAAACCCAACATGGGCACGGATTCACCAAAGGTCAAGGACTCCAAACAGAAGGAGGCAAGCAATTCCAAGATCAATTCGGGGAAATCTGGTCTGTCCATCACCTCGGGCCTCGGTGCTGTTCCAGGAGGAGGAGATAGCCTCAGCAAGTCCAACGTAGCGCTGGAGAAAACCAAGGGGACATTCCGCGGAACTTCGGCGGCGCTGAAGCGCAAGGAACCAATCCACCTCCAATACTGGCATCTGGTCGAACACAAGTACAAGATATGGAAGGGCGGATTCTTTGCGATGCTGTGCGCTCTCCTCGTCGAATCCCACAACGCGACGGTCTCCTACCTCACCATGTTTATCGAGTTCCTCCAGACCCTGGCCTTCTCCTTCGACAACATCAACTGGGGTGTATGGGGGTCGTATATGGGCATGGTGCTCAAATTCTTCCAGGTATGTTCGCGGCGCGGATTTGAGGTGATCAAGCACCCCCAAGGGTCTTGCCCGGCTCTGGTCCTGGTGATCCAGTGACTCTGCCCGGCGACTCTGCCAGAACTCAAACGGGAACGAACGAGCAAACGAACCGTGGTGGCTTGCTGACTTGATTGATTCTTTCACTCGGATCCGTTCGTTTTGGGTCCCCCGCTCGGCCGCGCTGACATTGTTGCCATGGAATCCCTGTCCACACGTTAATGTCCGGCCTCGCATGGGCTGACGCACGGGCACGTCTTTGTTCAGATCGAAACCGCTTTGACGTTCTATCTAGGCACTCCTGCCCTCTACGTCCTGGTGATCTTGTCGCTGATTCTCATCATCATTATGCTGAGTTTAACCGTCTATGTCGTCAAGTCGTTTGTGTCCAAGAACTTCCAGGCTGGCGTCTGGCCGCTTCGGGCATTGAGGAGCTTGGGTATGTTCCTCCCACATCCTCTCCATGTGCCGAGCAACAGTGCGTTGGGTGCCCAGCCGGTTGACAGTCGACAAACAGCAGAATCAAGTGCTTGCTCACGGCCCTGACGCTAACAGCGACCATCTTTCGACTGTTGGACGCGCTCTTCAGTCGGAATGCTGTCGTCGGTGTTCTATCTGCCGGTTCTCTATTCCATGATGTCCATCTTTGTCTGCGGAGACGGTGCCACACCAGCACAATGCGCGGCCATCGAGCGGCTGATCCTCAAAATCGTTAGCGGGATTGTCCTCCCAATCTTTGTCTCATTCACGCTGCTTATGTCGCTCACCTACTTCAACCCCAACCCGCTCTCTACCTGCGTGGTAGCGCGACCGTCGGCCCGTCTGGAGTTTGTAGAGCTGACGACCAAGACTATCCTGGCCTGCTCGTTCGTCTTTGCCGAATCGGTTCCACTCCTCAGGGCGTGCATGACTTGTCTGTGCTCGATCTTGATTTGTGTTTTCATGCTGGTGTTTATACCGTACTATCACAAGCCCATCAACAACTATCGGTTTATTCTAAGCTCGCAGGCACTCTGGGGCTCATTCGGTTGGTATTGGTGCTTGATTTGCCAAGCGCTCTCCTGGAAAACAAGCCAAGTGGTTGTATCTGCGCGGGATCCGCAGGGTCGGCAGGGTCCGTGGACCAGCCTCCTCACACCGACCGATTCCGGCGCTGTGTGGCTCCCTGCCACCGATACGTCCTGTTGATTTGTTTCTTGTCCACCACCCGCAGGATCCATCATCGTAACAGCGCTCGGACAGGCGCAGCAGACTACCTTCCTGAATTGGGTGTTCATCTTTTATATTATTGGCATAGTACCATGGGGTGTTGGCTGCTATTTCTTCTTCAATTGGAGACAACAGAAGGCCACATCGATCAACATTGCCAAGCTATGCTTCCAGCCTTCGCGGGAAACTTTCAATACCTGGGAGGCCGAGCCCGTCACCGCCAAAGAAAGCCGCTTTTGGCACCCCTCGCAAGTTGAAATCGCGACTCGGTTTCTCATCGAAGACCGCTCGGTTGAATCAATCGACGTTGCCGATCAGATGTTCATCAAGGGCACCCAGCTGTTTCCCACGAGCGCCTCGCTTATGGTCTCCTATGCGATCTTCTACAGCTCCTATCGGCCAAACGACCGGTCGATGTCTGCCCACTATCTCAAAAAGGCTGGCCAGTGCAACCCGCTCATCGATTTGGAGTTTATGATCTATCATCTGGAACAAGAGCGGCGCCAGACGATGAACAAGGTTGGGGATCGTATCCTGGATGCCGTCGATCGGGTCGAGTTCAACCAGCTTATGCGCAAGGCCCTCACATATCATTGCGAAGCCAAGAGTCACATTGCCAACTTTTGGCAGGCCATCATGGCCTCTGGTAGGCATCGCTCCGTGACTTGGCTTGGGATGGCTTGAACATGGTCGGGGCGAACCATTGGGTGGCAGCTATCAAAGTCTGGGCACCTGACTGGCTGTTTCCAACACAACAGGGGGCGACTCAAAGGTTGACGCCAACACGCTGATATCGCTGGTATCCATCATCGAATGGAGCGACCGAAACGCAACAACGGCATACAAGGTGAGACAAATGCGACTCCGATTCTGTCGTATACTCTGAGAAAGATTGCATTCCTTGGTGATGCCATAGCCTGGTCTATTGCTCTACAGCCTCGCGTCCTTGGGGACATTGGTCGGTGAGGCTAGAGAACAGGACGCAGTGGCTCTGTATTGAAAAGTACTGACTCTATCTGCTCGTCTTGTCTTTCGATGGCGTTTGGACCTTGGCTGCATACAATCCAATGAGCAGCAACTTTTGAATCGCTTCCCGGACTCTGTTCGAGTTCTGTCCAACTATGCAAAGTTCCTCGACGAGATCCACAACAATCTGACCGAAGCTGACCTGATCCTCGCGCGCATCGACGAAATCCGCGAAGCCGGTGGAAGCGATGATGCCGGTGCCGTGGGTTTGGAAAAGCGACAGCGACGGAGCAGCAACACCTCGTATTCCAAGAACGACAAGTCCAAGAAGCAGCGCAAGGCTTTCAAGGAATACCGACGCCAGGTGTTTCTGTATTCAAAGGCCCTCAGCGCGCGGCTGATGTGGATGATTCGAGGTATGCGCACGCCCCAGCTGCTCCATGGCGGAAGCAGCGAAGCAGGAGCAGTTGCAACTGCTCTTGAGGCTGGAGTATTGATTTCTCGTCGATCTGGGACGACAGGCGTGGTCTTGTTGTTGATCGGCCTTGCCGGAGCCCAGATGGTGATCGTGTTGGTGGAGGTTTCCTACCTGTTCAGCTACATTGACGATGCCCAGACAATCAACTCGATGCGAATGGAAGTTGAAAACATATACAACGAAGTTGTTGCTCTGGCAGCATCGGGCATGCAAAACGATGTGAATGGATTCCAAGGACATCAGCAAAACCTTGTGATAATGGGCAACGTTTTGTACTCGAGCATTATCGATATCACGAGCAAGCTTCAGCCGGGTTATATCACGTACCAACAGTGGACCGCGCCGTTGGTGATGATCATTCGCTATTCGGGGGCCCTGTCGATCCAATCGCCCAAGATAGACAGCTACACCTTACTGGATACCTGTCTCGACTTTGTTCAGAGTCTCGGTAATATTCTCAACATGGTGCCATCCGACTTTCAGCGCAGCATCACGTTTTCAAACGCTACTACCAACGTTACCCTGAGGTTTTTCGAGGACAATCACGACTGGAGGGTAAGCAATGTGGTTGATGTAGCACTCATGACAAGTCAAGTTGAATGGCGATGCACAGAGGAAAGCAGAGTACCAGCGACGGGTTATGCCTTGTTCTTACCGTTCTTTGCTCACCCTTCCGCATCATATCTATGGTCATCAATCGTACCGATTACCTACATGCAATCTGGAAACTGTTGCACTTCGCCGATCATGAATGAACTGACACGTAGTTTGTCTGCGACAACGGGCCAACGATACTCGTCGACTCGCTGACGTCTCTGAGCGCCGTATACGTGGAACGCTACACGGGTTATATCATGCTCTTTGGATACGTTCAGATAGGTGAGTTGTGTCTTTGCCTCGGTGGTACTCAGCGACACGCGACCAGCACGCTGCTGTCATGCTGCTGTCATGCTGCTGTCATGCTGCTGTCATGCTGCTGTCGTGCTGCTATCATGCTGCCATAGCAGCAGGTGGTCGCGCTTCAGATTCATATACTCACTCAGAGCTCCCTTTAATATGAACCAAATGAAGCTATATATACAAGCACCCTCATCATTCTAATTCTGATTGGGCGGTTTTTGTTTGAGTCGGCAATCAACCGAGCAAAGCACGAGCGTGTCACAAGTCTAACAGCATTCTTGCAGGTTGGTCCAGCCCCCGGGCGGGTCTGGGACTTGCTTGGTGATGCTGTAGCATCGAGTTCGCCCTAGTTTGTCGGTTCGATTGAGCAACATGCATACTGATAGCCTGCTTGTGCATTTCGCTCCAGATTCCAAAGTCAGTCTGCATGAATGTCCTCAAGAAATACTACGTCCCACCGCCATCACATTCCAAGGACGAACTTGCCGAGGTCGACGAAGAGCAAGAAGTCGAAGACGAATCCAATCCTGATTCGGGGAACGCCCAAGGCGGCGACGATTCCAAAAGATCTGTCGACGCTGTGCACAGCACATCGACGATGGGATACGATAAGCTCAAGCAAATGTACTTTCACGGACTCTCTCTCGCAGCCGTGGCATTTACGCTTGCGCTGATCCTCAACTTCCGATGCTCGCTTGTTGCCTATCCGTTCAACGGCATCATTACAGCCTGTGGTCTTGCACAGGCCCTTGTTGGCCGCATCGCCATTGCTGCTTCCATTCCAATGCAGGCGGGCTGGTCTGGCACAGGGATATGGACAAGCCCCAGCGGACTAATGAGCCAAGATACCCCGGCGCTGTCGTATACCCAAGCCGCACTGCTCTACGGCAATGACTCGATGTGGATCCCACCGCGATCGTATGCACCGGGGACAGACTCCTGGCTCTCACAGCCCATTGGCTCATTCGGCACCGATCTACCAACCACCATCCGAAACTACCTGGACTACGCGCATGCCTATACAGATGGATACCAGCATGGGAGCTTCAATGCGAGTGCTCAGTGGATTTTACAAATGAGTCCGGCGATTATTCAGCGCTACGGCAATATCAGCGACGTCAACATGGCGTATTCCATCTCGACGATCCAGTTCCTCAGCGATGCATCCATCATTGCCTTCACGGCAATCATCTTGGTCACATTTGGGATTTATATGTGGTACTTTCGCAAGATTTTGTTCTACCTGATCAACACTGAAAACGAAAGGACGCTCAAACTGCTTCTAATGATTCCCATGGAAGCCGTCAATGAGATCGCGTCGCTCCGAGATCTACTCCACCTGAAAAAGACGTTTGCCCTCCCAGCCAAAGCAGCCGAGGCCCCACAGCCCATCGATCGACGTCAATCGACGCGAGATGATGGCCACCACCATACAGTCGGCCACGACGCAGATATCGGAAGTGCCGATGGCAACCCGACCGGATATGCTCGGAGCCGACGAGAGCACTCTCGGGGGTCGGCCACGCTGGAAGGCCAGTCCGTGCCTGGAAGGAGACGCGAACACTCCGTTCCGCATGATATCAAGTCTCCGAGCACGGGCCAGCGTGAATCCTCCTTTACCGCTCGAAGAGATTTCGGCGCCGACAGGGTGGCGAGCTTTGGGCGAGTCGGGCCAAACATCGAGCAGCGAGATGACTTGCAGCTGAATCCGGCATTTGTCGCCGAGAACGAGATACGTGAATCTGACCGGACTTAGACAGATGTCGAGTGTGGGTGCAGATTGCGGCGATCGTATTCGATCGATCGCAATGGACAGCGACATCCTGGTTTCGATTTACACTTTATTCAGAAAAAAACGGGACAGCACAGCGGTTTCCATGAACATGTAGTATGTGATGTGCTTGCGTCAAGCAAAGCCATAAAATATAAATCAAATCACTTTGGCAGCCTCTGAGTGAACATCATCGGTCGCTCTCCGGTCGCCACAATCGACCTGCGCACTGGTCTCGGAGTACCAGCGATGGATGGTGCTCTTGGACACACTGGCGAATGGTCATGGCCAGCGCGCGATAACATTGGGTAACAAAATATTGGATGAATGGTCAAAAACACGGGTGTCCCATTTTCATTGGATGCGCTGTAATGGAAATAATGATTCGTCGGGACCCGACCCGACCTCAACGAGATTCGAGTGGACGGAAACTGCTGAGCTCTCTCTCAACCACGATGTCTGGGCGTCTCGCTCGTCATTGGAAAGTTTGGAGCTTGCTCAGGCACTCCTTGCATCGGCTCCTGGCTGTCGGCACTTGGCTGTCGGCACAATCGGTTTGCTCGCAGCACTGCGCAGCCACCAGCCCCGTGACACAAGACGCCATGGCGCAGGCCGATTGTGGCGCAGGGTCTGAGCGTTCGCATGACCTCGGCCACCGACACCCGGCCTCGTCCAGCATCGACTTCCAACCCCAACCATCGACATCCAACCCCAACCATCGACATCCGCACCGCGTGAACATCGCCATGCCTGCCCCCAAGCTGACGCTCCTGGCCCGCTCAGCCCTTGCCAAGCCGCTCTCCAGCTATGATGCCCTGCTGGTTTTCTTCTCCAAGCCATCGGCTTTGCACGCCTCCGCCACCCTTGCCGATGCTCCTCAGGTGGTGGACTCGATCAAGGCCCATCTCCAGATCGATCCCTCGGCCAAATCCTCCGCCTCGTTGCTGCATGCTCCCAGCGCCCCTGGTGCTCGCGTGATGCTGGTTCCCGCGGGCTCGGTTGGTGGCGACGTCGACGATGTCCGCAAGTACGCTGAGGCGGCTCGCAGGGCCGTTGCCAAGTGCGCCGACGCCGGCATCCGAAAGCCGCTCGTTGCCTTTGCGGATGCGCCCACGGGGAAAAGCCATGTGCTGAGAGATTTCAAGCACTTTTTCGAAGTTACGCTGCTTGGGCTATTGCAGCAGGTCAGTGTCTATCTGTGTGTCAACGAGTCCCTCACCTCCAGGTGTCTCATCCGATCGTCTCCCTGCCATCTCGTAGAGCTATATTCCTCTCCAGGCCCGCGAGCACTTTACCGCCACCTCTGGCCATGATGGAGAGATTCTGGAGGAGATTGGTATCCTGCCGCCCGAAGGCGAGCAGTACGAGTCGGCAGAGATGCTGAAGCGGGTGCAGGCCATAGACCTGGGCCGTCGTGTGGCCAAAGACATTACTGGCGGCGATCCCGAGCGTATGGCGCCATTCAAGTGCGCCGAGTACATCGAGGAGGCCTTCAAGGGCACCAGGGTTAAGGTTTCGGTCCACAAGGAGCACGATTACTTGGCCAAGAACTTTCCTCTCCTCTTCGCCGTCGCTCGTGCCTCTCTGCAAGGTGGGCTCTGGCTCCCAGAATTGCTCCTTCGATTTACTCGCCGTTGTGATCATGCCGGCTTGCTGATATCTTGTTGGCTTCTCCACCTAGTGCCCCGCCACCATCCCGTCGTTGTTCGATTGGAGTATCAGGCCGACAAGGCTGAGGAAAAGTGAGTCCGCCCCTGGAGCCTCGCCTGTTGATACTCGATCGCCCACCACGGAAGCAGTGTTGCTCGAGAGCCAAGCAGATTCCCCCACTCTGTTTGGACTTATTGCTTGACCCTCTGCCGACCATCCGTCGACCTTCTATTCACCCCTCTGTTGATTCTCTGTTAACCAACTGCTGAACCTGGTCGTTCCCCCCCCCTTCCCAGTCTGTTCCTGGTCGGAAAGGGCGTCACGTTTGATACTGGCGGTGCCGATGTCAAGTTTGACGGCGTGATGCGTGGCATGCGCAACGACAAAGGTGGGGCTGCAGGCTGCGCCGGATTCATGAAAACAGTGGCCGAGTTGAACCCGAGCCACTGCAACGTTGTTGCATATCTCGGATTCGTCCGCAACTCGATCGGTGCAGACTCGTATGTCTGCGACGAGATCATCAAGAGCCGTGCTGGCGTGCGTGGTAAGTACCGTCGCGGCCCCTTAACGAAAGCCCTTCGTGCCTATGCTCGTGTACCAAGTTCGGACATTGGTGCGCTGGAGTAGATCCAGTCCACATCCTTGCTTTGTGTGGATGTGCAAATAACCGTCCCTCTCTCACGATTGCCAGTGCTCATTGGAAATACCGATGCCGAGGGTAGAATGGTCATGGCAGGTGTGTTTCGGCAAAGCAAATCAAACAAAGCAATGCTGGATAGCTCATCTTGGTAGACTATCTAGCCGCTGAAGCCCAGGCCAGCTAAAAACCTCGACAATGCGTTAATCCCTACTTCCTGATGATAGACCTACTCGCCCTGGCCAAGGAAAGTGCACTCGCATCGCCCCTGCCCTCCAAGCTGTTCACCGTTGCAACCCTCACAGGTAATTTTGAAATGTGCTGCTACAGGGGAGCGCCGCAAGACGTGCAGCTCGGGCTGACAGACACCTCCGCTGTTGCCTGCAGGCCATGTCATCAGGGCCTATGGATCCTATGCCGCCACTCTTGACAATGGTCCGGCTCGCGAGGATGGTGTCAGCCAATCCATTCAGAGAGGCGGCCACCTGTTCGGCGATCCGTTTGAGATCTCGACGCTCCGTCGCGAAGATTATAGCGTAAGTAGCGTTGATGCAGCGGGTGCAGCCTGTCACCCCACCAGCATACACACCTGCGAATGCCGCTCGCTGACTCTGGCTGTTCTACATCGCAACTGTCCTTGCTCCATGCAACTCTTAGTTCGGCGCTGCTGGCGCTCCAACTGAAGAAGTCGTCCAGGCAAACAGCAAGGCATCGTCGATGACTGCCCGCGGTCACCAAGTGCCGATGGCGTTCATGAGTGTTGCTTCTGGCATTTCCACCCATGGTCTGGATTCGGACCAGCCCATCAGCTACACCCATCTGGACATTGCCGGCAGCGCTGAGGAGGACGGCGTTGGACTGAGCCTTCCCCCTCCCACCGGCTCGCCCGTGGGTGCGCTCGCAGCGACCTTTTTGTTCCGTGCTTACAGTCAATCCAATAAATAACGGGACACCCTTGATTTTGAGCATTGGTGAATGTTGTCACTCAATACATCGTGCACTGGCCATGACCATTCTATGTAAAATGAATAGTCACCCAAATCATAGGGCCGTCTTTGCCATCTTCCCCGCACAGCCACAGCCCCGTTTATCGCTTTGCGATAGTCGCCATCCATAATACCTTGTGCCTTCGTGTATGAAGGTGCGATATCGCCGATCAAATCGGCTTTGCTCTGTGGAATCGAGAGGCCGTGAAATTGCTCCACGGCGCTGTATTTGCATTTCATCCGGATCCAGCCCCAAAATGAGGGCGCGGGCCATGAGAAACCGTGCGCGGCATGCTTGATTTGCCCGCGAAGACGGCTTGGTTCGGTTGCTGGCACTTGACCCTGCAGCACGAATCATGGCAGCCATGATCAGCCAGGCAGCATCAACGCGAGCGCCCTTCTACACCGAAGATGAAATCGACGAGGGCCATGTCGGCGGATCGGCGTCAACTCCGCGGGACTCGGCCGTGCGATTCCCAGCCGAGGCCGGCTCCAAGCCAGCAAATGCAGCCCGGCCGATCCGAGGCGCGTCCCCAGGCCGTATCGGCTACTCAAACGACCTCGAAAAGCAGGTGCGATCGCTGGAATCTCCACGGAGGGGGGGGACAGAGGGATGTCGTGGTCTATGAGGCATGGAGAGCAACTTATGCCATGCCCATATTGCTTCCACAATGACCAGCTGGCTACCGGCATGGAGCTCATTACCGACGCATTTGAGCGAAAGAATACGCAGCTGATGGCTGAAATCAATCAGTGGAAGCAAGTTTCGTCCAACCAGCGCCAGCAGGTGAGCAGGTTGAACCGCTGCGTGCTCGTGGCAGTCCACCCTCAATGGCCTCGCGCCCGACAGACCCGCAGCGAACGACGCCGGCAGCAGGACGGCATCTTCGCGTTTGTCGGTGGCCAATAACCGTCCCGCAATTGCCGAACAGATTATTGGTCTCGAAGGAGAGATTTCCGGCTTGAACCACAAGGTGGTGGAGCTGGAGCGTGCCTTGGCTGCAGCCACGGCTGAGAAGAACGCGGTGCTTGCGTCTCGGGCTTCGATCGTCGAGCGATACAATGCTCTTAAGAAGTCTGCCGCCCAGCTCGAGTCGTTCCGAAAGGTGTGTATGGAGACGACGGCCTCTGGTTGCCCGTGCCCCTTGATACTGAGCTTGGCTCCAAGGCGCGCCGTTCTGCGGCGACCTTGATATCGAGTAATACGATTCCCACCACCGCACATACCAATTCCTATTGTCGGCGAATGAACCCCAATTCAATTGACTGACTTTTGGCCTCCGGGACGCTGGCATTGCGCAACGTCCGAGAACAGTCGATCGTAAGCATGGTCGAATGCGGCCCTCCCACAACCGTCGCTGCCGTGTCTGAGCTGGACCGATCGTTCGTCGAAGCTGCCGATATATCAGCAGACCTGTCCATGTCGTACTTTCGAGAGTCCAGTGCACTCAACGGCAGCCCCCGTCAGAGGTAAATCAACTGAGATGCATAACCCTCGGGCTGTCTGTGCATGCACTGAAGTGATCGGGCTGTCGATCGAGATGCTGGTTAACGCTTCTGTCCTCTTCTTGCTAGGGCGGGCTTTCCCGGGGATGCGTCGTTGGTAAGCTCAGCCGAAGAAAGTGCGCCACGGTTTCTGTCGATTGGTACAGGAAACGTGACCTCGGTTACTGGCAGCTTCGGTTGAGAAGGAACAATGGAAGGAGCCATGGATATGTGCCTGTGGTATTCTCCAGGAGCCATGTCCAAATATCGCATGTTCCTGCCGCAGTCCGTTCCTCCAGCAATCACGCTCACTTGGCTTGTTATGCAGAACTCCAGGTCATTCGAATACGCGCCGTCAGTAACGTTGCTCGAAGAGCCAGAGGCGCCGCTGATAGCCCAGAATACCTCCATCCTTGGGCAGATGCATGCACCCACCCACCGAGATAGCGAGCACCAGCTCATGAACATCAGTCCTCAAGCTCGCCTGCGACAAAGCGTCGGGTCTGATCGAGGCGCCATGACACAGCTCCCACCCGCGCAGCGAGGAAACGATCCGGCTCGCCCGCTTGATGGAATATTGAAGCGCCCGCAGGGCGAAGGAGGATCAGCAAAGGAGAGGTCCAAGGTCAGCATTTCATTCGATCGGCCAGCATTAGCGAGGCCAAGCTTCGTTTGCATAGTGTTGCAAGCCGCACGTTGGCGCTGCTGTTTGTGCTGACACCTCTCCAGGGCACTGTCGGTTTCATGTCGCCGTCACAGACCCCTCCCTCGAACCTGCGGAACATTCATCAAAACTTTACAAGTGCACCTACTCTCCGTGCTGGATCGGCTCCGGTTCCCGGTCCTGTTGCAAACGGAGGTGGACGACAGTCGGCTTCGTCAATGGCCAACGCAGCTCTCGGTGGCGGCGGTGCTGAGGACCCCAGTCTCGGTGGCGACGCAAGAATCACCAAGACCACGACAGTGATCGACGCGCCGACATTATACAAGCAGATCCGCGACTCCCTCGAGCCCAAGGAATTTGAGGAGTTTGCCGACAACATCAGCCGCTTCAACAACTCGCAACAGACAGCCGAGCAGACCGTCGGAAACATCTCCCGGATCGTCACCGATCGAGTGCTATGCTCGCAGATGAAGCAGCTGATATACACTGCCCTGGCCGAAAGTATTGGGCAGCAGTCCGTTAGAGTCGCCGCGGCTGTGCAGGGACAGAGTCGCTCGATTGAATCACGCTGAGCGACCCTTCCAGATCCCAAATATACATGTGCACATCCAGTCTGTTCAAATCATTTGCCGTGTCCGGACGGTACTAATAAACCCCGACCCCATGTCGAGTTTGGCAGCGCTTCAAACGGTGATGACTGCGGCTGTGCACAGCGAGCAGTGCACTTGGAGCAGCTGTCTTATTACGCTGTGGGCGGTATAGGTCAAGGGTCCCTCGGTCCCATTATGAGGTAATTGGTTCGCCATGCATCACTAGCCTGTCACGTTTACCATGGACGTATATTGAACTGCTTCTTGCTCCATCTGGTATGGATATCCAAATTACAGCATCACCCGCAGCTGGTGTTAATGCGGGATGAACACAACCTGAAGCAACGCAGCCTCTGGCCCGCAAACAGCAGCCCCTTGCCCTTTCCAAACATCCGCGAGGCCCAAGGCTTGTTTTTCAGCAGTGGGAGCGGTCGCGGTGGGTACAGAACGTCGAGATTGTGGATGGGCTGCTGATTGAACTGGATGGTCTTCAGGTGCGGCTCTGAATGAGGAGCGGCCTGCACAGGCGAAAGCGTGGCTGGAAGTCCATGAACCGTCTCGGGTTGATTGTGATGTGCCATCGTGACCTGGTGGTTAGCAAAACTGTGAACCAGTGCCCAACCTGTCTCGAGAGTGACCATGGCGCTGTAGATACCGCTGTCAAACGAGAGAAGTCGCTGTTGCTCCAGCGTCCGTTGCCGCTCGGATTTGGCTTTGAGATTTTTGAGTGATTCCGGAATCAAGGCCGAGCGCTCAGAAGCCGATGCGGTCATGTGCATCAGCTGCTCTTCGTGGTTGACAACCAAGATGCCGATGGCCCCGGCAACTTCAGCCCAGTATATCTTCTCACTGAAGGAGCAGTTTCCGCGCTTCAACACAATCACTCGGCCTTGTATCGGGACTAGATGGGCCAGTGGCAAGGGCTGACAGCCATCATCCAGGTCTTCCCACCATCCCTGATCGGTGTTGTCCTCGGGATGCAAGACCGGATAGATCTCGACGTGCTTGAGGGTCTTTTCGAGAAGAGGGCCAATCCAGCCCTGAGTGGCTTGGAAGACGAGCGGCTCGGTTGCGTAGTCGCTGACCGTAAAAGTACTAACCGAAATCGCCGGCAGCAGCTCCTCATCCGGGTCGATGTTTTCGTACTCGTCGCCAATGATGAACTTGACGCCGCTCGCGGGCACAGAGAGTCTCTCCGAACTTTGGATGTCGATGTTTTCGATTCTGGTGATGATATAGCCACCGTTCTCATGCACAAGAGTGACTGTTGCCCCCTTCAGGGTATCGGCAATATAGCCGCCAGGAATCTGGAAGCGAGTTGAATTGGGAGGTTGAATACAGGGGTCTTGAGAGCGTTACCCAATCGAGGCAGTGCATCGTTGTCAGGAGCAATCCAGATGCCGTCATAGTTACCCGCAGGATCGCAGGAGCAAGCAGTGGCCCAGTATGGCCGGTGGGAACGATTCTAGTGGTGAGGAACAGCGAGTCAGTTTCAGTTACCATCCTCGCTCTATCGCTCTATCGCGCTGTCGCGCTGTTGCTCTGCTCCGGCATGGGCTTGGACTCCGTGTTGTCGCCAGCTTGCCCAGGACATCGAGATACTGAATCGTATCCTGGACCGGCGCCATCCATGTGCTCATCCCGATCTGGCGCAGGCATCCGATCGTCTCATGGGCGCAGTGGTACATGCATTACAGATAAAGTCGACAGCAATAGCCAAGGGCGGCCAGGAGTAGTCAGGGGTGATCAAGAGTAACATAGAGTCCGGCGTATCACCAGAAACAGAATGAAGATGCAGATCAGGGTATGTCGATCATTGGGATAGTGCATATCATCGGGGAGTGCAGAGCATCTGGGAACGCAACCAGAAAAGTTCAACATAGACAGGGGAGGAGATGCGCAGTCCAACACAGGGCGTAAAAGTGATGATGGGCAGGTCGCATAAATAGACTCGAGCATGCCGGCGAGACTAGTGCAGTGAGATAGAGTGAGGGGGTGTTGTGCCAGAGAGATCTTTACATGGGCTGCGGACAATGAGCCAGAGGCCCAGCGCCGCCAAAAGCTCATGTCTTTCCTGCCAGGATGCCGCGCGCCAGATCGAGAATCCTCATGCTGATGTACACCAATATCAACAATCGAATCAGATCTTGGGCAAGATGTGCATACTTGATTTCAATGGGTGCGTTTGGAGACCCCGGGGTCGACGACGGCAAGCTTTCTGGCTGTATTCGGAGAGGGGCTTGGGCCGGGTGGCTTGATTTGTCATCGATCCAGGGGTATTTCGAGGCGCGGCCGCCCAGAGGTGGAGCGAGGTGGGCAATACCGACAGCCTGGTTGATCTTGTGAATCTGAGAGACATTGACTGGAAGGGGATATGGAGCCATCGAGAGAAGAGGCTCGCGGGAGACTTGTGGGCACACGTGCTGGGCCGTCGAGCTCTCGTTGGCGTTCTTGAGGAGTCTTCGAGGTAGCGACAGAAAATGACCCTCTACGGATCATAGGGTTAGTGGGATACTCAGCCGTGCTAGCTTCTGCGCAAACATTGTACCTGTGGTGAACACAAAGTTGCTGTCGACTCGGTTCACAAAGTTGTCTAATCAGAGAAACCACCAAATGTTAGATTTTGGTCTCATTCGCTGCACAGGCGACCTTGGCGGGGGGCGTCGCAATGATTTACGAATTGCCACGAATCTTGCAGCAGTCCGGCTGATAGTGCGGTGGCGCCGCCAAGACTTGCCTGTGTCAAACAGAAGGTACAGATACTTGAGTGTCTCACTCAGAAAGAAGCTCTCCATACGGTCTTCCTTGCGTTTCAGATACAGGTTGCCAAGCGAGGCGAACCCGCATTCGGTGCGGGCAAGGCGCTCTATATCCTTGAGGATGATTTCTCCGACTTCGAGATAGTATGGGTTCTTGGTGGCCTGCTTAGCGGAGCCGCCGAAGGTCGGGAGGATCAATGGCACATCGGGGGTGGGGCAGAGATTGCATCGATAACCAAAGTGCTCGCGGCAGCGCACCTGGTAGAGCATATACGTCGATTCGATGAGCTCGGGCCGTAGCGGATACGAAGGTATGGCGAGATTTCGGTGGTAATAGTCAAATCGCTCGGGCATTCCGTGGTACTTGTTCCATATCGTGAAGTAGAGCTGGTGGAGCACCTTGGCTCGCTCGACATCGCCAACGAGGACCTATTGGTACAGAGCAAGTCAGAAATCTCTAATCGGTCAAGTCAAGCCTGGATGCGCTCCGATCCAAGGGCAGTAGCGTATTGCTGGAGGTGGGTGATGGATGCCGCGACAATCGAGTCGATACCCACTTGTAGACCGGGCCAGAATGCCGACAGCGAATCAATCCACGTCGTCAGCAAGTGGCCCTTCTCCATATGTACGTTGCGATAAAACAGACCGCCCGCATCGGGGAGATACTGCTGGACAGCAGAATAGGCCGTCGCAAAAATATCAAAGTATCGCTGTTCACCAAAGAGCACGTATGCCTTGAAGATGTACTGTGGATGTAACGGTCGCAGTATCGATCAGCTTGCAACCCGTGTCCGCGCGCATCCAGCGTATCGGGCTCGGCTGCCGTGGATATCCGGGACAGGCCTACCTCGTAGAAGGAATCAATCCCGGCCCCGATTCCGGCCATAGTTTCGAGCCACTGCAAAAGTAAGCGATGTGAATATGTGATCGCACATTTCGGTACGATCCGCTACCACCGCGCATCAATGCCACGCTTGATGGTGCTATCGGCGGTGCTTGAGGGCGGACCATGGCGGCAAGTTTACCTCTCCGGTTTGAACGTCGATGGTGTTGCCGACAAGGTTCAGCTTTGTGCGTCTCTTCCACAGCTCGTCAAGCGCCTGTGTATAGTGCCATCGAGGATGGGGTAGTAAGGACGAGGTAGCAAGGCGTCATGTTGAGTGCCCACAAGAGCGTCGAATGAAGGTGCGGCACTGCCGGAGGTCGTGTAGCTTGGATATTTGCCATAGACCTCGAGTCCCACGATCAGATCCGGCACCGAGGATGATGTTCTGGAGTCTGTGCGTCGCACCACAGCTCAATCTGTGCACGAACCAGCTTCCATCACCGTCATAACATACCCGCCTGGCCAGATTCTAAAGTTGCGACATCACGACTCGATTATTACGGCATTCGTTCGTGGCGCATCTCCGCAGCCGCGGGTATCGGCGTTGTTGTACTCGACCTACCTCGTAAACGTCGTTTCCGGTGAGCCGGCTCAAAACGCCCATTTCCAGCACCAGCGTGCCGGCCCCGGCTGTGCAAGTCTCGTTTGCCTCATAGGACAGCACGCCCCGTTGTAAATTGACCTGGATGGAACAGGCTATGCTTTAGCACTCGTATACCGAAACACTACGCAAGGCGAGCATCCAACAGAGACAGTCCACGAAACATCGCGCCCATCACAATCGACTCACTCGGGGAAACGGGATTCCGGTCGGGCTTTCGGTGAAAGCCGGGAGAAGACGATCGGCAAGGTTGGTTGCCAGAGCCAGCAGCTCGCCAGAGTACCAGTCGATTCGGAATCCAAAAGCAGGGTCGCTGGCAAGGATGTGCGCTGACAGCAGCCCACCCATCATCCGGATGGTGACTTCAAAGACCTGGACTCGAGAATCCAGATCAAAGTGTACATGTTCGATCGTCTTCCTGACCGCGGTCTCGAATCCCTTGAAGTCGTTCATAATCTGGATGCACGGCGGCTGTCAGAATGGCGCCCGAGTTGGAGACTCAGGAACACAGCACCAGGCGATAATGGACGACGATGCCCACCACAAGCGTATCGAGAGTATCGACCAGCGTCAGCGAATAGCCGCCGAGCACGTCATTCACATTCCTAGAAATCAATTCGGTGAGCGGCGATGCGAGGCTTCAGCGGAGGTTCAAAGGGCAGCACTGACACTGACACCGACACCGACGCTGCAGTCTAGCAAATCGCTGGCAAATGAACCCGATATGGACACACACCAGTTGTTTGGATCGTTATCCGGACCTCGGCCGTTGCACTTGATGGGATTGAGCTCGTCTTTTGGAAAGGCGTACGTCATGTAGCTGTTGTAGCCTGCAGGAGCGACAGAGTCCGTTAGGCGAGGGGTACGGACTCGTTTGGAGTACGCTGACAGGCCCAGCTGAATACCCCCCCCTGGTTGCTCCAGTGTCTGTGCATGGCTCGCTATTACCATGGTAAAACATCTCCTTGACTTTGTTCCTGATGATGTGGAAGTATACATCCACACAGTCAGCACCTGAGTATGCCTTCAGCAACCGTCTGCAACCCTCAACCCAGCCGAATCCCTCAGAGCGCCAATGGGTCCGTTTGATCATTTACCTCAGCCGAAGCCGGTGCGAGTCTTTCATGGCCTCGGTGTGGACTGCTAGCGACAGCACAACACACAGGACGGCCATGGCCCAGAGCGAGCGGATGAGAGCGGCCATGGCGATGTCGGGCTCAAAGTCGGCTTATTAGAGTTCCAGGAAGAGTGGTGTGTGGGATAGGGTCCAGGCAAATCGGCGCAAACGGCACTTTGGTAGAGCAGACAGGCGATCGAACGGAGTGCTTGTTGGCGAGGGCGGCACCGGCAGCAGCAGCACCAGCAGCAGCACCTAACGCTGTACTCCTCCTTCCGCCAAGGCCCAAGATCAGACCCAGGCTCCTTGGGGATGCTGCTGTCGCTCGATGAAGCTGGCTCGCGCTGGTTGGAGCACGGGACAATGCAGCGGGTGATTGCGCAGCGAGAGCGAGAGCGAGACGCGCTCTCGGGCAGCGAGCGAGAGCACGCCGAGAGCCACGCTGGATCCATCCATCGACTCGAACCGCCCCAGGCCGCCTTGCGCCAATCAGCCCCGCCGGCCAATCAGCGCGCCGGACCAAGGCGAATCAGCCAAGCCGGCGAGCGAAAAAGCAAACCCGGCTGCATCGTCCTCCTGGACCAGCATCTCCCACCGACCCGCCGATCCAGTATCCCCCGCGCACCATGGCCGACGTCCAGTACATCAAGTCGCTTCTCCGTGTGGTCCCCGACTTCCCCAAGAAGGGCATCATGTTCCAAGGCATGTCCGCAGTGTCCCTGCGATTGCTGGCCCTGCTGGCCCTGCTTGTGCTATGCTCACCCCGTCTGACTTACCACTGCCACCCCGCGCACATCAGACATCTTCCCTGTCTTCCAGGACCCCAAGGCTGTCGAGGTGCGGTGCAAAGGCAGAGTTGGATATGCAGTTGTGCATCGCCGCGTGCCGTCCGCTTGTACACGCACCCGCCAATGGGTTCTCACCCTCGCTCTTCACCTCATCTGCCACAGATGCTGATTACCCACATTGTTCATCACATCCTTGCCTCGGGTCTGCCCAAAATCGATGTCATCGTTGGTGAGTCCCAGCGATATCCTCAGTCAAGAGAGTGCGCTCAAGTCTGCTCAAGAAGTGTTGAGTGGCTTCGAAATGTTGTCCGGGTGCTGACGCTGAGAGCAGACCTCGATTGGCGTGCCGATCTCAGCATCCATTTCTCGGCTCGCACTTGGCCAAGCGCTCACTATCCCTACTCCATTCCGTGTCTCATCTTTGGCTCGCTTCACGCTTCAGGCCTTGAGTCCCGCGGCTTCCTGCTTGGCCCTGCCATCGCTCTGCGTCTTGGTGCTGCCTTTGCTCCTGTGCGCAAGGCTGGCAAGCTTCCTGGCGACACCATCGTTGTTGGCTACGAGAAGGAATACGGAACGGTAGGCTCCGGCGCTGGTTTTCTGGCATGCCAGCGATACCTGCCTCAACTGGCCAATCCTGGTTTTATCGATATGCGTGCCACCATCGCCCGTCAACCGATGGTCCCTCGATGCTTACTGACGACGATGTGTTTGCTGGGCGACAGGACTACTTTGAGATGCAGAAGGGATCCATCCAGCCTGGACAGAACGTCGTCATCCTGGACGATCTCATTGGTATGCTATCTGAGCTTAATTTTGTTGATGGCTGCCCGTCATCTGCTCGTTCGTCCGTCATATTGGCCACCGAAGTATCTTGCGATGCGAGCCTCCGAAATCGGCATCTCGTCCTGCCGGTATACGCGAATGGTGTCCCTTGGCCTCTGAAATTTGCTCTGTTTTGCTCTCCCCCCCCCTCCACAGCCACCGGTGGCAGCGCCAAGGCAGCTGGCGAACTGGTTGAGAAGTTCGGCGCCAAGGTTGCCGAGTATGTCTTCTTCATCGAGCTTTCCTTCCTCCAGGGCACCAAGGCTCTGAACGCCCCCTCCTACAGCGTCATCACCATTGACGACTGAGTCTGAGCCCTGACGCCGGACTTGTTGGACTGCAAGAATACACACGCCTCCACTTTCAGCATCACAGCTTTCCTGTCGTGTCGTACTTGAGCAGCCCAATCTCGGTCGTGGCTGGTATGAAGGATCAAGTAGCTCGCGCTATTGGGGTCGGCCTGGGTCGGGTTGGCTCCAGAGTGCTTTTCTTGGGTCGGTTATGGTACATGGAGCAACCGCCGCAGAGTGGACGATGGCAGGACAACCCCGTCTTCGCGGCTGATTTGCACTCAGTCATCCTGTTTCTTGTCTTTGATGGTGTACTTGCCGTAGTCCTTTTGCGGGTCAAAGACCTCCCACCGACTTGCAGGGAAGATGTGCTTGTTTTTCTCGTACCAGGACCGCTCGATGACCTTGCCGGCGTGGGACTGTCCTCGGAAAGCGGGAGTTGAATTGGAATATGTGTCAGCGGCTCTCGTTCGACTCGATTGGTTAGCGGCCATGATGACGGCGGCGACAGGAATACAAAGCACCAACAATAGTGGGTTCGAGAACGGAGGCGGCAGCGTTGACACCACCCGATGGCCCCTTACCTCCTCGGTCTCAACGGATGCATCGTTCTGCAATCGAATGTCGTCGTGGACATCAAACGAGAACAGCGGTCCGGACTTGCCACGGGTCTTGTTGAGAATGAAGTCGTAGAATGTGTAGTGCTAGTGTCGCAAGGCAAGGCAAGGCAAGGCAAGGCAAGGCAAGGCAAGGCAAGGCAAGGCAAGGCAAGGCAAGGCAAGGCAAGGCAAGGCAAGGCAAGGCAAGGCAAGGCAAGGGCATCGGCGGGAAATAGCAATCGCACGAGTCAGTCAAAGATCGCTCATCGCCGGAGGACTGGCCCACCCCCATCTCCAAGGCGGTGCGCATGGCAATCAAGAGGGGACACCACTCAGCACTCACATGCGGGATGATCAAATCTTCCTTGATGTACATCAGGTTGTCCACATGAACGCTGCGCAGCTGATGGCATTGTTGTCGACACTTTTCCAGGAATTGGCCGATGCTGTCTCCTTTCACGCAGTCGACTTGCATTCGATGACCCGAGCCGTCCCAGTAACTGCATGTGATCTTGATTCTCTCCTCTTTGCAACGGCACATGGAATCGCAGAGTTTGTGAGCATCGGGCTGCAAGTGTGTCGATGTCACGCGACAGTATAAGAGCAATATGATGCTGTCGACCATCGATCTCTGTCATATCTTGCTACATGGGTCCCGAGGATACGTACTTTGAATCAATGCCTGTTGCTGCTCCCACTCCTTCTGCAATTCTTCGCGTTCGAGCTGCTCGGCCGTTTCGCGCTCTTTGTCGGGCAAGAACGATGTGTCGATGGTGGGGTCTTTCTTGATCTTCTTCTTTGGGACCTCCTCTGCGGTAGAGACAGCCGAGGGGGCAGGTTAGGGTTCGTCATTCGTGCATCGACGAATCGCCGATGTGCCGGCTCTTTACTGGCCCATATCCGAGCACAATGGCGCCTGAATGCAAGTAGACCATGAAAGTTGGACATCCAGCTTTCAGACGAGGCTCTCAGCGAGAAGATTAATTCGTCTTTCGGATCTTGGCTTTACTCGTTCGTCGGGTCGGCAGCGTGATATCCGACCATCCTGCCACGAAGCAGAGACGCATTTCCATATACTGAAAATGCAAGAAGCAGCGGGGTCCGGGAAGAGTGGTCCTCCAGAGCACCACAGCCTCTCCTCCACTAATGACTGAATGGACAGAGGCAAGCGTCCGGCCCGGCTGGGACGAGGAGCGATCCGTATCCGTAGAAGTTGATACATGGGGTTTGCATCATGGAGCTCGTTTGCACTAGCTGGAGGCCGCAAACTGATCATCCTTACACAGCACCCCCGGCGAACGCCATCGATCGGGCTTGCTATCAAGGCGGGTTTCTTTCGGTTCACACAGGAGCAGGCTGATGCTCCGGCGGATCTCCCAGACCTATACGATAGTATCGCCGGTGGCTCACCAACTATACCCCCAGACACGCACCTTGGTCTGCATCTGCGTCTTCCTCTCCTTCGACATCGAACGACAGGTTGATCTTGGCCGCCTTCTTTTTCTTCTTTTTGACAGCCTCGGGTCTGCGGCAACAAAGGCATCAGCGGGCAAGGCCTCGGATGGACCAACGTCTATGGGAGCCGCCACGGAAGCAACGGAAAGCAGCGCGCGGATAGCGAACGCACTTGAGAGAACTGTTTCGCAGCTCCTCCTTCTTGCGATCGACGGTCTCACGGATCCTCTGGAAGTCCTCGAGCTTGACCAGACCGATGGTCTGCTGCTTGAACTCGTTCTCGAGCTCGTCGTGCTGGCTCACAAACTTGTCGGCGCCGATTTTGACTTGAGCGTCCTGCAGACCGAGGGCATCCGACCCATATAGCCACCCAGCACAGAGGGGGAAAAGTGGAGAGGTGCCGTTCCGGAAAGTGTGGGTTCAGTCGGTCGTGTCTTTGCTGCAGAGACGAGCCATGAGCCGAGTCGAGAGTTGACTTGAGCCAAGCGACGGAGACTCACCTTCGAGATCTGCTCTTTTTTCTTCTGAATCTCGTCCATCATACGAGTGCGCTGTTTTTCCAGCAGCTTTTGGCGCTGGCCCTCGGCCTGGGAGGTGGCTCCGCCGATGCTCGACATGGCGTGTGTTGCAAGGATGTGGGGTGTTGATCTCTAGATCGCCAGGGAATGTCGGGGAGGCAGCTCCGGGTGGTCAGCAACGGCGCGGTCAGTCGCAGCCGAGGCAAAGGTACTGACGAGCACGACGGGGAGGGGAGCGATCTGTTGGACGGATGGAAACGATGGAGGCCAAGGCGGATGGAGACGATGAAGGCCAAGTCGGGCGGGCGGGCAGCGGTATCAGAGGCGATCGAGAACCAAGACACATCCGCGGCAGCGCACCAACGAGCGCCAGCTGCCATTTTTTTGCTCGCTCGCTCGCAGGCTCTTGGTACTTGCTGTCCCCATCTCGCGGCGGATTTGGCGACATCGACAGCAATGTCCACGACAAGCGGCAGAGCGCTCCGACAGTGTTCGCAGTGGATCGGCCAGCACCGTCCTCGCCTGTTTGCGGCTCGCTTCTCGGCCTGCGCCCAGAGCCACAACGTTATCCAGACACTCAAGCAGCGGTCGTTGATCCAGCAAACAACCAGGTGCGCTCCCAAGCAGACATCTCACCGGGCCGAGTCGTCGCCAGCATTTACATCGCCGGACTGATGCCGTCGCCTTTGCGCTGTCCTATTCCCCACCCTCCAAAGCGATGCCGTTCAGGAAGCTGTCCGTCGACCCAACACTGTGTACGCTGGATTCGACCCAACCGCCAGCAGTCTGCACTGTGGCAACCTGGTCACCATCATGGGCCTGCTGCACTTCTATGCCCACGGACATCAAGTCATTGCTCTGGTAATGCAGCCTCTGATCTTGGCTGATCCACACCCGAGACACCAGTGCACAGTAGCGAGCCATCCGTCCTTGCGCTGATCATGGTTGCGCATGTCCTGCACCATTCATTCCCGACTGTCCGCTACCAGGTTGGCGGAGCAACAGGCACAATTGGCGATCCCAGCGGCAGGTCGACAGAGCGGACGGCGCTCAGTAGAGACGCTGTCGAGCAGAACGTCCATGCCATCCAGCGCCAGCTCGAGCGGGTGTTTCAGAACGCCGAGCGCTACATTGCCAAGCGCCAGGGCATCAACCAGGCTCTGCAGCCGATCAAGTGCGTCAACAACTACGCCTGGTATAAAGACATGTCCTTCCTCAGTTTCATTTCGGATGTTGGCCGACTCATCCGGGTCGGCGACATGATCTCACGCGACAGGTAGGCGGCAAGACGAAGCAATGGAGTCGCGGTTACCTGGATCGACGGTATATCTGTTGTTGTTGAGGGCTGGGGCTGGAGGGAGGTGCCCAAGAGATGCAGACTAGTTGATCGACTTTCTGAGATCGAGGGACACAATGGGATAAAGATCGATTCGGCATGCCTGCGGCTGACATGCCGATGCAGTGGGGAAGGCATATTCCGAACGAGTAACTTTTGACATTGGCACGACATTCGCCCGACCCGCCTGAGACAGCGTCCGCAGCCGGCTCGATAGTCCGGAGGGCATCAGCTTCACCGAGTTCAGCTACCAGCTGCTGCAAGCATATGACTTTTTGCACCTCTACCAGTCCGAACGATGCCGGATCCAGCTGGGTGGCAGTGACCAGTGGGGCAACATCATCACCGGCACCGAGCTGATCCGCAAGCGATTCAACGAGAAACTCGAGCAGGGCCGCGAGGCAGGATCGGCCGCTGAAACAGCCATGGAAACCCCCTTTGGGGTCACGATGCCGCTGCTGACGACGGCAGCGGGAGAGAAATTTGGCAAGAGCGCCGGCAATGCCGTATGGCTCGATGAGAATCTGGTTTCACACTACCAATTCTATCAGGTACGCCGAGCTGCCGGTGCGGTATCTGTCGGTGTATGCTCGTTGTACCTAGTGGTGCAGCAAGGACCACGGATCAGCGACGGGATAGCAGTCTGGCTTTTGGTGATTCTGCTGACCCTCAGTCTTGTTGCCCAGTTCTTCCGGAGAACACCGGACTCGGAAGTGGAGAAGCTCTTGCGATTCTTCACGTTCCTGCCGGTGGAGACGATCAACGAGCTCATGGCACGGCATGCTGTGAGTGACCGCTGCTATCGCTTGCGTCTTCCCTGGATCCTAGCAGTCGTCCTGGCAGCTGCGGTGTCTATCGAAACCTGTGGTCATCGACTCCCCCCCCCAACGCCCATACTTACGCCAAACTCTTACCGGTGCTGTTGGGCCACTATCCTCAGGCTGATCCAGCAGGCCACCTGCCTCAGCGAACCCTGGCACGCGAAGCAACCGAGCTCGTTCATGGAGGTAGGGCTGGCGCCGAAAGGCAGCAACAATCGAGAGGAACATGACCAGGCGGATGTGAGCCCAGCCCGAGACAGCCTGGTCGGATCTCCCATGGCAAATCAGCCCTGCGCCTCATTTACAAATGTATCTACTGCACACAGAGCAAGCGGCAATCCGCGCGGAAACCAAGTCCAATGTTCTGTTCGACTCGGACTTTGCCGCTTTCACGCTGGCGGAGATCCTGGATGCATTTGAAAGCGACGAGATCATGATCCGCATGCCGCGCTCGGCTGTGATTGGCAAGGGCATCATGGAAGTTGCGGCGGAGTCGACGCTGACCAAGTCGAGGAGTAAGTCGTTGGCAGCGTGGCGAGCAACCGGAACTCGCCGCTGCTGGGGGCGAGACGAGTAATTGGAAATCGCTGCTGTGGCCGGGGGGCTCAGCGGCCGCTGTTGCTGGATCTGCGGCGCATCTGGTATTGAGCCTAAAACCGGCTCTTGATCGCGACTGGCTGACCGCTCCGCCTGCCTCCCCTCCCCCCTGCTCAGGCGCAGCCCGCAAGCTCATTGGCTCAGGCGGGCTGTATATCCAGAACAGGCCGGTCGCCAGCATCGACCACGTGATCGCTCCCGACGATCTGATCCATGGGTCGCTGCTGCTGCTGCGCTCGGGCAAGAGCCATTACAAGATCGTGCATCTCGCCTGAACCCACGATGCGGGGCGCAGGGACGCTGGCTGGCTGCCGGAGATGCTCGGGGCTGCCGGGCGATTTCGGGCGCTGGAAAGGCTTGCGCTGCGGGCGCTTTCGGGCCCTGAGGGCGATTTCGGGCAGCCGCCCTCGGGCGCTTTCGGCTGGCTCGGGGTGTTTTTCCGGGCAAGCCGCGCGCTGATTGGCTGGCGTGGGAGCACTTTGCGAACGCTGCGCTGTCGTGGGTTTGAAGGTCCGGCAAAGGTCTCTCTGGCGGGTGTTTGCAATGCTTGCTCTCCTGCCAGCACCGGGCCTCTCCGGAGGAATCTGCACATAAAAGCTGGCGCTTGCCCACCTCGGCATCGACCTGCACCGACCCGCATCGACCTGCATCGACCCGCACCGGCCTGCATCGGCGCACGGCATCCAGCCCCAGTCACCCATTCCGGCCAAAACCCGGTCCCAGGCACGCTATACCCGCAAACACCCATCCGTCTCCATCATGGCGACCCTGCCCGACGCCGCTCCTCGGCGCTTCAAGAGCTTCAGCCAGTCCAATTGGTTCATGCGCTGGTCATACTTGTTCATGGACCCAATCATCCGCAAGGGTCTAAAGAACGAGCTGGCCCTCGAGGAATATCCCGACATAGAGTAAGCCGCCGCCCATCCTGTCGCCGTCGGGAGCCCATTCCGATTCCGTCCTGCCTCCGGCTGCAGGCAGCAATTTGCATGGCTCTCAGCCCTGCGGTGAATGCAAGCACCTTCGATAGTGTCCGCCCGACCTAACCCATGCCAACTCTCCCAAACTTGCCCCTCCGACTGAACTCTCCTTGCACCATGACATCCTCTCTGGCTTATGCATCGCTCACCACAGCCACACCGACTCGGCCGAGGAGCTCTGCGACAGACTCATGAACGCCTGGAATGCCGAAATCACTGCTCGCGGCCGCGACAAGGCTAGCCTCCTCAGGGTCTCCTGGAAAGTCTTTGGCATGGATTTCATCAAAGCCGGTTTGGCCTTCCTGGCCGAAGCCATATTCAAGGTTGCTCAGGCCGTCTTCCTGGGCAACCTGCTCGTATTCTTCCAGACCCCCGGGGCTCCCGTCGCCCAGGTATGCTGCATTGTCTGGTGGCTAGCGCTTGACTGGAATGCAGCATCTGTCCGAAATCGAGCCTTGACCCGTCTGCGAGCAGTCACTGGCCTGTCCCGCACCTTTCTCACCACTCTCACTGTCGGAATGTCTCCTCTCTTGGATGCAGGCCTATGGATATGCTACTGCTCTGTCTGTTTGTGCCTTAATCAATGCTGTTCTTCATCACGTTGACTTTTTCCTGGTGAGTGTCCTGCCCCTGTTCGGTGCAGGCTGGTCTGCCAAACATTTGCTGTGTGCAAGGCACGCCACCGACAACACAGGGCCGAGGTGGCGGCTGGGATGCAAGCCGGAGGCTGACACTGCTCGCTTCCCAACAACAGGCCATGCGGGGCGGAATGCGCATGCGTATTGCCTTCATCGCTGCCATCTACCGCAAGTGCCTCTCGCTCTCCATCTCCCACACGGCCTCAACGGGATACATCGTCAACCTGGTCTCGAACGATGTCCAGCGCTTTGAGGACCTTGCGCCGTTCGTTCACGCCATATGGCTCGCCCCACTCGAGTCTGTCGTGGTCCTCTACTTCCTGTGGAATCTCATTGGCTGGGCCTCGCTGGTGGCGATTGCCGTCATGCTCCTGATGATCCCCGCTCAAGGCGTCATTGCCAGATCCTTTGGCCGGATCCGCAAGGATACCCTGATCCATCGCGACGACCGCATCAAGAGTCTCTCGGACATGCTTTCGGGCATCATGATCGTCAAACTCTAGTAAGTGGATTCTGCTCAGCTCCCACCTTGTTCTGGCAGCGTCGTGCCATTGCATCGTTCGATGGCAAATGCGGCCGGGTTGCTAACGGAGTCTCGATCGACTAAACAGCGCATGGGAGCGGCCCTTCTCTGAAAAGATCACCGAAAGCAGGAACAACGAGATGCGGCATGTCAAGAAAGCCTCGATCCTGCGAGCGCTGAACGAGGCCATCTTCTTCGCTGCCTCGAGTACGTAGCAAGCGTCCTCTCGATCTCTGCTGCTTGGGCGGCCGTGTCTTTCCTTTGGTAGCAAGATCAGCCGCCCTGATTGCGAACTGGCAGCATTCGCTAACCTTTCGCACCCACCTTCTCTGCTGCTTCCATCGACCAGCCGTCGTCTCAGTCTGCGGCTTCATTACCTTCTACTTTATCCAGGCCGGCCCCTTCGTGGCCTCTCGAATCTTCACCTCCATCACCCTGATTCAGGTCGTGCGGCTGGATATGACCAACTTCTTCCCGAAGGCCCTCCAATTCGGCTCCGAGTCGCTCGTGTCGCTCAAGCGCATCCAGCAGTTCCTCTCGCTCCCCGAGCTTGGCACTTCGCGCAACCCTGAGCACGAGAAAGAGCTCCTCGGCAAGATCAACAATCCTAGGGCTCGGATTGTTTTCGAAGATGCCTCGTTTGCCTGGCCGTCTTCGTCGTCCATGGACAAAGTCCCTGCCGTCAAGTTGCAGCGCCAAGAAAGCGAAGTCGTCAGCTCCCTTGGACAGCCCGGGCAAAAGACCGTTCTCAAGAAACTCGACTTTGTCGTCTGTTCTGGCGAGGTCCTGGGTGTCTGCGGCCCCGTCGGCAGCGGCAAGACCTCGCTTCTGCATGCCATTCTCGGAGAAATGGAGTGCGTCTCTGGTCGCTCGGCACTCGGATCGCGAAAGATTGCGTATGCCACACAGAACCCTTGGGTCGTGGCGGGAACAATCCGGGATAACATCACTTTCGGCCTGCCATTCAACCCCACCTGGTTCAACAAAGTGATCAAGGCATGTGCCATGGACACAGACATCGCAGGCTTCCCGGACCGAGACATGACCATCGTCGGCGAGCGCGGCGTCGCGCTTTCGGGTGGACAAAAGGCTCGTCTGGCCTTGGCCCGTGCTCTGTACTATGATGCCGATATCTATGTTCTTGACGATCCCCTGAGTGCCGTCGATACCAAGGTTGGCAGGTAGGCATCTTGGTGGCCAGGAGGCCGTATCCCTGTCTGCAGATAAACACCGTGCCTTCGGTGCGGGTGCGGGTGCTCCTGGAGACGATGCCTACATGGCGGTGTCTAAGATGGTGGCTCGCATAGTCATTATCTGGTTTGCTGTAGCCAGCGCTGCCTTGCTCCTGTGCTCCGCTGCCCTCGCGCCGTGTTTGTACTTATATGTCTTTGGCTGCCCCGTCCCACGACCCTGCGACAGGCACTTGTTTGAGGAGTGTATCCTCGGTGCTCTCAAGGACAAGGCCACGGTCCTGGTCACCCACCAGCTCCAGTTCATTTCGCGCTGCAGCAACATCATGGTCATCGAAGATGGCAGCGTCTCCACATATGGCTCCTTCTCTGCGATTCTTGACAATGAAACCTCCAAGTTCTGCGGCGTCCTGCGCGACTTTTCCAAACAGCCGATCAGCGATGACTCCATCGACGACGCTATGGGACCGGCCAGCGCCGCCAACTCGGAAAAGATTGCCGAGAGCTTGGTCATCGAGGACTCGTCTGTGTGCGAGACAACCAAACCATCGGATCTCGAAAAGCCCGGCCTGGCCAACGCCGACGACTCGGCCAAGCCCGATGCAATCAAAGAATCGGCTGCCCAGGGCAAGGTGTCGCTCTCGGTCTACAAGTCCTACTGGACAGCCGGCGCCTCCATCCCGAGTCTGGTTGGACTGTGCATGCTACTGTTTGTTGGCGAGGTTATCCGAGTGACCTCGGACTGGTGGCTCTCCCACTGGGTCCAAGCCTCCAACAACCAGGACACTGTGTTTTGGACGCTCTACCTCGCCCTCGGAGTCACGACCCTGACGATCGCCATTATTCGGGCCATCTTCTTTTTCTGGATCAGCTTGGAATGCTCCAATGCGCTGTTCCGCAAGATGCTGCAGTCGGTGCTCAGGGCGCCCATGTACTTTTTCAACACCAACCCGCACGGACGACTTATGAAGTGAGTTACTTTGGTCCCGCCGGCTGTGCCGCTGCATTCGCCGCCATCGCTCGCTCGCACGCATGCACAGCCAGTGGTAGTTGCATCTCTCATGACCGCCGATCGCAAGGGACACTGTGGCCTTCAAGCTACTTTCTAACCGCTGTGCACTCCCAACTACAACGTAGCCGATTCTCCAAGGACCTGAACCTAGCGGACGAATCTCTGCCGCTGATCCAGTTCGACTTTCTCCAGTGCGCCTTCATGGTCCTTGGCACGATGGTGCTGTCGATTGTCGTCATCCCCTACGTGGTGGTGCTGCTGCCTCCCATCGGCATTGCGTTCTACTACCTCCGAAAGTACTATATTGCCACCTCGCGGCAGGTGAAGCGTCTCGAGGGCATCACCCGCTCGCCCGTGTACGCCACCATCCCCGCCACCCTCGAAGGCCTGTCGACGGTCCGCGCCTTCAACGCCGAGGAGCGGTTCATGAGCCGCTTTGTGCACCTGCAGAACGAAAACACCACGGTGTACTTTATCAACATCACCGCGGCGCGCTGGCTCGGCTTCCGCCTGGACTTTTTGTCGGCCATCTATTTGACCTGCGTGACCTTCCTCGCTGTGGGACTCTACCAGTCCCTGAACCTGCCACCGGCGCTGATCGGCCTGATCATGAGCTATGTGCTGCAGTTGATGGGCATGCTCCAGTGGGCTGCCCGACAGAGCGCCGAGACTGAGAATCTGATGACCTCGGTTGAGCGCGTGGTCGAGTACACCAAGATCGAGAGCGAAGCCCCGGATGTTACCGATGCCAAGGTGCCGAGCCACTGGCCCACCCACGGCAAGGTCGACATCCAGGATCTCTCGCTGACCTACCCCGGTACGAACAAGCCCACCCTCAAGAACATCTCGATCGTGCTCCAGCCGGGCAGCAAAGTCGGCATTGTTGGTCGCACGGGTGCTGGCAAGAGCAGCTTCCTGCAGGCACTGTTTCGGCTGGTGGAGCCGACGCCCAAAGGCTCGATCCGGATCGACGATGTGTCCACGAGCGATCTGGGCTTGACCGACCTTCGGAGCCGAATCAGCATCATTCCACAGGAGGTATGTAGGCCCCTGCTTGTGAACCGACCGGCCGCATGATCGAGACGGCGTTGTCGCTGCATCACCAGAGTCGAGTCGGTGATGGCTCGCCTGCGGTTCTCTGATCCATGTCTTGCCTTCATCAGCCGTTCTGTTTCAAGGGCACTCTGCGTTTCAACCTGGATCCCTTTGGCCATCACGACGACCGAACTTTGTGGAGGGCTTTGGAGGCCGTTGAGCTCAAGGCAACAATAGAAGGCATGCCGGACAAGATGGAGAGCGAGGTTGCCGAGAACGGAAGTAAGTAGCTGGCTCGTGGTGTGGGGAGGTGATATATCTCGGGGCTCGTTTGTCTGCGGCTCCAGCCGTTTTCCGAACAGCCTCGTCAAGTAAGCTGACCACGGGATGTGTCTTGATCACACAGGCAACTGGTCGGTCGGTGAGAGGCAGCTGATATGCCTGGCTCGCGCCATCCTGCGAGACACCAAGCTGATTGTCATGGACGAGGGTAAGTGGATACTCGCTTGGCACTGCCCCTACAATCCTGATTTGGCTCGCCGTTGCGATTCTGCACATGGTCCTGTCGGCGTGCTGGCTTGCAGCTCACTCTGTTTCTCCGGTGCCTGTTTAGCCACATCCTCAGTCGATCTCCACACCGACGCCCTGGTGCAGAAGGCCATCCGATCCAAGTCCGGGATGTTCTCAAACTCGACGGTTCTAACGATAGCCCACCGCCTCAACACCGTCATTGACTTTGACTACATCATGGTCCTGGACCAGGGTCGCCTGGTCGAGTTCGGGCGTCCCTGGGCCATGCTCCAGAAAGACGCCGGACATGCCGATGCTTGGTTTGCGCGCATGGTCAACGAGATGGGCGACGAGGCCCGCCAGAATCTCCTCGACATTGCTTACCAGAAGGAGCAGGAGCGGCTGTCCTCGCCCGAGGCATCCAAAAGCCCCTGATCGGGACGCACGCTGGGTCGGCTGCGCGACTCTTGACTCTCTGGAACTCGGGTAGCAATGCGCCAGGCATCCTTCTGGTATCCATTCGGCACCCACTCGGCTTTCATTCGGCACCCACTCGGCATCCGCCTCGCGCACACCTGACATGTGCATTTGTCACCCGTCTACATTCATTCCACCATCCCCGCTTCACGTCTCCATGTCAGTGTCTATTTTCATATGGCTCGTAACGAGAGCTAATATACTGTTGTGTCACTCAACTCTCCAAGTGTTCATGGTTGATGCCTATGATGTATTTTTTTCAAAACTCAAAGGAATCCCCCAAACAAACCATCAACCGGCTTTGAAATTCCAAGACGCCCCGCCTCGCTGTGGAGATACTGAGAAATCTTCTACAGTTCGAACACGGAGCACAGGGGGCGGGTCACAGATCGCAACGACAGGCCGCGATGGCCAACACACTCATCTAGATCATGGACTGCTGCCGGACCGGGGTGGGGAGCTTTGGTCGGGGCTTTGGAACCGGGAGGGAGCTTGAGGGCTTGCCCTGGTTCACGCGGGCCATCCAGCGCGAAAATCCCTTCTCAAGATGAGCCTCGAGCGCCAGTCTCCAGCTCTGTTCCGAATCGAGCTGGTCTTCCAGTCCTTGAGCCGCCCGCTGTAGATGCCGCTTGGTGTCGATATCCATGCCGGGCTGCTCCTTCAGGATCTGGGCAAAGAACTGGGCGCGCCGCTCGGGCGACAGCGACTTGGTGACGACTTGCATGGCCTGCTCGGGCGGGACCATGGTGAACTGCACAGGCGTCTCGGAGAGAGATGGCGACGGCGACAACGGAGGGTAGCTTGGAGAAAAGTCTGGGTCGATGGGGCTGTACGGCGGCGAGAGCGGGATGGGCGACGCCGGTGACGAGGCCGCGCCAGACCGCAGCGACGAAGCAGAGGTGTTTGAGCTCGTCCTGGACCGTGAGGATTTGCCAAAGAGCTGGGCCGCAGCAGTCATGATTGTCCTCTTGCTCTCGGGATCGATGACGGCAACACACTTGAGCGGGAACACACCAAGCTTCTGGGTATTCATGTTGTATCCATGGCACCAGCCGTCGGTGAAGGTCTGAGGGACAGAGTCGTGGTGGAAGCCGACATGAGTTACGTACGAACAGGAGATGGGCGACGCTCCCGACACCGGGGGGTATGGCGTGCATGGGTATCGTGGGCATCATGGGTATCATGGGTATCAGAAGTGCCGGCATGGCAGGAGGCAACGGGGTCGGCCGATTGGCGATGGGGCGCAGCAGACAGCAAAATGCTCACCATGGAGACAGTCACAACGTCGCCGAGACGCAGCTGCAGCTGGTCCGGTTTTTGGGGAAACAGGTCCTCGATAACGACATAGGTCGGCAGGCTGTCGTCGCTGGTGTCGAGAATGAGCTGAAGCGACTCCTTTGAGACGCTGGTTCGTCGCTGCAGGCCGTCGCCAAGATCAATCGAGACCATAGGCTCTTCGTCGCTAGCTTCGTGTCCGTCGAGATAGTCGCTTTCTTCTCGAGCGCCGCGGGTCCGGAGCGGATAGGCGGTGTCTTGGTCGGCTTCAGGGGCCTCCACGATGAAGGGCGAGGTCCCCGCCAGAGTGTCGGAACGGGACTTGCGGACAGAGTTGTGCCGTCCAAGCAGGGAGACGGTTGAGGAAGTATCGTCTGCAGGCAACAGCGATTCCTTTTCTTTGTCGGCCGTTGATTTGCGTGAAATGGTAACGGAGATCCGCCTCGACAGCGGTGTCGGAACAGGGTCCTCGACGGATTTGGACCACAGTGACTCGAGCTGCCGTCGCTGGCGGTATCGTGAAATCCAGAAGGCCGCGAGGCCGATAAGGGCCAGGAGCACCAGCGAGGAGCAGACGGCGATAGCGATGATGGCGGACGAGTCCATGATGGTGATGGATAGAAAGCGAGGTTGACTGCGAGGGCTGGCTGCAAGGGTTGAATTGCAGCAAAGACGACGGGGGCCGAGGGAGCGAGCGACAGGCCCCGCGCAAACAGGGAGATGAAAGGCAGGCCGGGGAGAGGGGCGGTGCTGGGCCAAGCTGGAAGATGGTGTCGAGGAACAGAAGAGGCGAGGGGGAGGAGTGCTTGGCAAGGCCGCGTGGGACGAGCGTGCTGTGCGCGGCGGGGAGGTGAAGGGGTTCTGGTGCTTGGTGTATGGCCAGCGGGCCAGGACATTCGACGCCGATGGCGATAGTGATGGTGGTGGTGGTGATTGTGATTGTGATGGTGGTGGTGTTGATGGCGGTTGGTGTGCCAGGAGATTCGATGCGGTGTTACGAGCTGTGTTGTATGGACGCCACGAGCCGTGAGTGGATCTGGATGATATCCACGATCGATCCATCAGCATCCCGATATTCGCATCTCTCCCAAGACCTCGCTGCCCTTGGCCACCCACAATCCTGCTGGTCCAACCGACCCTGCCCACCCACAACCCCGTCCAGCGACGGAAGAGAAAAGACCGCCGTCCAGTGTCTCCTGCGGGGATGCAGCGCAGCGGTCCCCTGGACCCTGGGTATCGCCGAGTTGGCCCTCAGTCAGTCTGTCCTTGCGGATTTCCCAGGGCAGCGAGCTGACACAGCATACCCCAGACCCTGGCCCCAAGGAAGGCGCAAAAGCGACCCGCACTCAAAGGGACATCCGCACGTTCTCGCTGTCGCCGTCGGGAAACAGTCTCCGCAACTCCTCCGAGATTACAGGGCTTGGGCTGTATCACCAGGATGTCTTTTCTCTTTGGGACACTCTGCCGTGTCCCGCACCCGCGGTTTGCACCCATGTCTTGCACCCATGTCTTGCTCCTTCTGCATCGCCGCAGAGGCGAGCCCCGTGTACTCGTCGCCAGACCGATCCCTTCCGTCGACCGTCTCATCCTACCGACAGGGATCGTCCGCCTTCACTCCCGAGTCTGGCAGCTTTGCCCCGAGGCATAAAGCGTGCGGCTTTCGCAGCACTCTGAATCGCCAGCGACAGCACCACCCAAGCCGAGTACTTCCTTCATCCGCTCAGCTACTCTCCTCGGCTCCTTTCCTTCGTTACTCGCCATGATCTTCGCTGCACCCAACAGCCAGTCTTGCGCTGCCTGGCTGCTTGGAGCCGCCTGCCTCTCCAGTCTCGTTGTGCCTCACACCCGGGCCGATACCGTCCAGGCTCGCTTCCCGGCCGCACCCAGATTCCCTGAAAACACTTTCACACGCATGTTTCCGACTCTCCATTCGTTCGGTCCCCAAGACAACGCCGAGCGTCTCCTCGTCGAAGCCATCGGCGCAATCTCGGGAATCGTTGATGCCGGTGACATTCCCGGCGTCACCAACCCCAGAAACCCAGACAATCCCGCCATGACCGCCGGGTTCACATTCTTGGGCCAGTTCCTGGACCACGACATCACCTTCGACAAACGATCGGCCATCAATGCCACGGCGGATCCATACCGAACCATCAACTTCCGCACCCCGGCCTTTGATCTCGACTCGGTCTACGGCATGGGTCCCGACGGCTCGCCAGAGTACTACCAGTCCGACCAGGTATCTTTCCGGGTCGAGCCCATCCCTGGCTCCGACAAGGCCTCTTTGGCCGGGGTGATCCGCTTCGACCATCCCCGAGACTCCAACAACAACTCCATCATCCCCGAGTCCCGAAACGACGAAAATCTGATGGTATCGCAGCTGCATCTGGGCTTTATGCTCTTCCACAACGCCGTTGTCGCAAACCTCCGATCCCAGCCAAAGTACAAACATGCGCACCCCCGACGGCTCTTCAAGGACGCTCGCCAGATAGTCACCTACCACTACCAGTGGATCATTGTCCACCAGTTTCTGCCCACGACCATTGGCCAGAACGTTGTCGACAGCATCCTCCAGGGCGGCCTCAAGTTCTACAACCCTTTGCGATTCCCGTTCCAGCTGAAGCAGCTCGATCAGGTCCTCAGCCTCGCTGACGACGACCAGTTCGGCTCCTCAGCCGCCAGTCTGGCCCATACCCGACGTACACTGCCTCTGGTTCCGATCGAGTTTTCGGTTGCTGCGTACCGCTTTGGCCATTCGCAGGTTCGTCCCGGCTACCGTGCAAACTTTGGAGGGCCAGCCGGCGTTCCTCCAGCATTTGCGCCTTTGGTCTTCAACAACAGCATCAGCCCCACCGATCCCGACCCAAACGATCTTCGAGGCACCCACCGGGCCGCCCGCCGCTTTATCGATTGGCAGACGTTCTTCCCTATGGCCCCGAATCTGCAAGGCAGCATTGTGCCGCTCCACAACAAAAAGATCGACACCAACGTCTCGTCCCCTCTGTTCAATCTGCCCGGCCAGCAGGCCCCCCTCGACGGCCTTCCCTCGAGCGGGCCGTCTGCTCTTCCAGCCCGCAACCTCGCCCGCCATGTCAACTTTGCCATTCCCTCGGGCCAAGCCATAGCCTCTTTCATGGGCGAGACCCCGCTGGTGGTGCCTCGACTGAGCCCGTTCGGCCTCAACACAAGCACCCCGCTGTGGTATTACTGCCTGTTCGAGGCCGAGACCACCCAGCAGGGCGAGCGGCTTGGTCCTGTCTGCGGCCGCATCGTCGGCGAGGTCTTTATTGGATTGCTCAAGTTTGACCGCAACTCGTACTTCAACCTGGCCCCGCACTTTGTGCCTTTCCTGCCCAGCGCCGTGCCCGGCAACTTTACAATCTCTGACCTGCTGACCTTTGCAGGCGTTGTGTTCCCACTTGGTCTTTGATGCTACATTCCAAAATGCAAGTCCTGATTTTACTCCCCAAAACGAAATGGGGGCAGAGTGTTTTGAGCCAGATTCATTAGTTATCCGAATTCTCTTTCTGGGTCCTGAATACATACCCACAGTGATCAATCAGTATGACCAAGCAGCGCGTCCTACGGGAGCAGTGTGGTGATCGCCTTTGGCAATACATCGTGACAACTAGGCAAGGGCTATGCCTTCAGGGCCGGGAGACAGGCTGCTTGACACTTTGGGCAGTTCAAGCATCACCTCTGTCGTCCCAATCGCCCTCTTGTGAGCACCACGCTGGCATCGACGAGCGGGTTCAACCCTCATCGGTGTGCTGCAAGTGCCGAGAGCCCTCTCGACTGTCGATTGGAGATGCACCAGGTATCGCCATATCGGAGCAGTATCGAATACATCTGGTCGACTGGCATTGATAGAGCAATGCAGGAGTGTAGTGCATGCTTTCAATCCTCTGCCATTTCTCATGCGTTGCTTCCACGGATGCCCGATCATGGTGGCGATGGATGGATGCATCGAGGACACAGCCATCTTCCTCAGTCGAGGCTGTGATCTCATTGGGGGTCTGGATGGACTGGAGTTGCAATGGTCATCATCACTCACGGAGATCCACTAGCGACAATGCGGGAGAAGGCAGTGCCCCAGGATATCCACGACAACTGGTGTCTGCTCTCGATTGATTTCACGGCCAAGTGCGGTGTGTGGACTGTCATAGATTGTGAGGGATTTGGACTCGCTTCGGGTTCAGCAACCACAAAGCAGGATCGTCTCACACCACAGCACCAGAGCTATTCTCCAGTGTGAAGAACTCGCAATCCGATCGGACGAAGTGAGATGTCGGAAGTGTGAGGAAGAAATTTGAATTGGAAGAAACAAGCCGAAACGGAGTGGAGTGGAGTGGAAAATATAGACAATATTACCCGGAGAATGAACACATGACATTGAGCAGCTCCATGCTGAGCTACCTCGAGAATCGGCCAAAGGTGTACTCGACCGAATCGCTGAACACCACTCGACATCCCTTCGGAAGCCCGGAAATCCTCCGGCGAATGATGCTCCATCCAAGACTGAAGGAGCCAGCATATCGGTCAAACATGTCAACCAACAAGGATCGATCGGATGGCCTCATACTTGAGTCCAAATGCAGTGTCTTGAGCGAGGGAAGCTTGTCGACCAGTCCGCTGACTCTGCGAATCGATCGAGGGACGTGAAGAATCTCGAGCTTAGGATACGAGGGAATGTCATCCAGCGACGCCAATTCGCAGCAAGCTTGCAAGTCGAGGACTGTGAGGGAGCTTTGATTTACATGCAGATCGGCCAGGCTCACAAATTGACTTGAGAGGACGAGATGATTGAGCTTTGGCATCCTTGGGAGTTGGCTCAATGGTGTGGGGTTTGCGCGAGGAGATTGTGAGCTTGGTGAGGACGGAGGCTCCTCGGGAACATCGACGAGGGCCTCAATGCCGGTTGGAATGTCGAGCTCAAGCAACATCGGCACCGCTGACGGCCAACCAAGAGACGCGAGTCCAATAGATCATGGGGATGTGAGGAGCTTTAGCGAAGGCAGTTCCCTCGGCAAGCCTCCAAGGGACTCGGCGGACTTGGGGAGCTTTAGCGTCACCAACTTTGGCATCTCAGGCATTCCCTTGAGCGACTTGAGTTCACTGCATTCACTCAGGTCGAACCATGTCAGGCGAGGCAGCTCGTTTGGCATGCCTTCCAAGGACTCAATGGACTTGGGGAGCACAAGCGCTTTCAGATGTGGCATCTCGGATATTTCCTCGAGCGATTTCAATTGGTTACATTCTTTCAAGCTGAGCCTTTCAAGCATGGGCAGCTCGTTCGGCATGTCTTCAAGGGATTCGATGGACTTGGGGAGCCAAAGTTTCTCCAACTTTGGCATCTCAGGCATTCCCTTGAGCGACTTGAGCTCACTGCATTCACGCAGGTCGAGCAGTGTGAGCATTGGCAGCACCTTCTTAGGGACATCTTCAAGGGACTCGATGGACTTGGGGAGTTCAAGTTTCTTCAAATTCGGCATCTCGGGCAGTCCTTTGAGCGACTTGAGTTCACTGTACCTCCACAGGTCGAGCTGTGCTAGCATGGGCAGCTCCTTTGGCATGCCTTCAAGGGACTCAATGGACTTGGGGAGCCAAAGTTTCTCCAGCTTTGGCATCTCAGGCATTCCCTTGAGCGATTTGAGTTCACTGCATTCACTCAGATCGAGCCTCGTAAGCATGGACAACTCCTTCGGCGTGCCTTCAAGGGACTTGATGGACTCGGGAAGCTGAAGTGACTTCAACTTGGGCATCTCAGGCATTCCCTTGAGTGATGCCAGCTCACTGCATCTATTCATATCGAGCCTTGTAAGCATGGGCAGGACCCTCGGCATGCCTTCCAAGCTGATCAGCGAACCAGCCACTTGATTCCAGTCTCTATGCTCGATCGCCAGATTTGAAATATCGGAGAGTGTCTTGGGCCATCCAGACACTTCCAGAAATGACACATCCTCGATTATCAGCTCCCGTTTGTTTGCGCCGTCGATCCATGGGATGTCGAATGGCAAAAGCCTGGAAACATAGGTGTTTCTGTCTCTGCTCTGGTTGGGTCGAATGGTGACACTGTACGCTCCTTCGACCACTATTGGCCACTGGGAGCGAAAATTTTGACTCTCAGCGATGGTGATCATCTCCTCGACGGATGGCTGCTTGGAACTGTTTGGTCTTGCGTCCTCAGGAAAGCGGAACTCTGGATCGGTCACTTGACAGAAGCGTTGCACTCGGCTAAACAGCTGTTCGTCTCGATAGACTTCGGACCAGAACTCGTTCTCCTTCTCCAGCATCGATGAGTTGGTTGGCTTGTGCTGATTCTGGCGAAGTGCATAGCAGAGGAGCCCTTGGGCCACTTTTAACCGATCGATGGAGGGATCGACACCGTCGAACAGGAATTCAGGTGTGATTTGCAAGTCGGCAAGCGATACCTGCACCCATATTTTGTCGGTATCGAGGATGGCCCGAGTCTGCTTCGAGACTCTCAGAAGCTTGGTGAGCAAGGGTGGACTCGCAGTGTGAATGAAGGCGTCATTTGTGATCAGGATGGTGAGCAGGTCGAAGCGAGCGAGGTCCTCCTGGATCAGGGTTGATTCTGCCATCGTTTCGGTTGAAGCAGGCGTGGCAGAAAGGAGCGATGGAGACAGGCCGCAGATGGGAGACAGCCGAGGCAGATCGGAGAGGCGGGATGATGATGAAGAAGCAGGAGCAACGACGAACAAGCAGAGGCGACAGCGGGGTGTATGAGGGGCGATGTGCTGATTTCTCGTTGATACCGTCCACATGGTGTGGCTTGGTGATACCATCGTCATACAGACCTGCTGTTTCGGGACGGGTGTCACCCAGCCAGAACAATATTCCTGTGAAGCAAGATTCCATCCGATTCGGCCTGCAGCGACAGATGTGTGCTGGGCAACACATATCGACAGATGAATGGGATGACATGGACGGCAGAGCGTTGATGGGCAGTCCCAAGCCGGTGGACATGGGGAGTACGGTCTGGGACAGTTGTCTGAATCCACTCCAATCCACTCCAATCCGCTCCAATCCATGAATGGCATCAACGAGGTGAAGTGCCATGTGGGAGGTGGAGGGCTCGACAGTGTCCAACTTCTCCCGAGACTTGTCAGTGCTTGTTGATCGACTCAGTTTGTTTGGAATGGAACTGGACAGAGTGTTCCTGGGTGTCTCTCACGTCAATCCTTGCCTGTTGGTTTCCAGAGCAGTCTCGAATACACCCGGTCGACTGGCATTGATGTTGCGATGTGAGAGTGTGACTGTATGCATCCGACATTTGGACAGCTTCGTGCAAACTATTCTTGATATCAAGACACTCGACCTTCTCCGGTCTTGGCACATTGTTTGGTCATGGCGGGCATCGGATGAGGGTGTATTCACGATGACCACAGCGGTAACCCTGGCTCAGGAACAGGGTGTCCTGGTTCAATGTGACCGATATTCCCCAGACAGTACACCACAGTCAAGTACATCACCAACGAGTCCAGTAACAACGACTCAAATTCGGCCCCCAATCCTGCTATTTGAGAAGCGAGTCCAGGTTCGGGGTGCACACCAGACGCTTCTTGACGTCCCCGAGGACAACTGCCCTGCCGGCTTCTGGCTTGACGACCACCAGCTGTTGTAACATATTTATATCCGGTGCCGGTGCAACCTTGTATCGAGTCAAAATGGGGAGGAGTCGAGGACGTGAGTACCCCTTCACCCAAAGGCAGCCCATCCACAACAATTCTCCGATGCAGCCGTCAAGGTCGTCACAGTTACTACGGCTACCGAAATCCCGAACCGGTCATAGCTGTTCAATACTTACATCAAAAACAATGTTTCCCATCTTGATCTGGGCCGCTCCTGACCGCCGCACGACAAGCTTGCCGAGCTTGCCCTCGAATCGGCTGAAAGGGTGTCGCGAGAAATCCTCAATGGGGATGGTATCGCCATCGACGGGCATGCTCTCGAGCTTTGGAAGAACTGCCGGGAACTGAAAGTGCAAGAGCTCGTGCGTGGGATTCTGTCGTTCAAATGGCCAACAAAAGGACATGAGCACACAGGTCCGCGGATCAAGCAGCGATACAGATGATTCGCTCGTTGGTCCCCGAGCCGCGGTTCAATGATTCACAAATAGCAGCTACCTCGGCATCAAAGACATTTTCTCGAAGACTCTCCGGCTTGACTGGTTCATTTGGCTCCTCTTCTTCGTCGATGATATCATCGCCTGCTGTCCCCATGCTCACGTCGCCGTCCGGATCGGGCTTGACTGTCGAATACATATAGCCATGAGCATCTGTGAAAATGGGCTGCTGGCGGGGGGATTGCAGCCATCGGCACACTCTCCAAGCGTCGGTAGCGAGAACATGCAGCTGAGCACACTCGCAGGGGAGGTCGGAGGAGAACCTACTCTTGATTTTCTTTGATTTGATGGCGGTAGGAGGCTTGGCCAACACAGACCTGATCGACCCAAGCTCGACTGGTGTCCAGTTGTCGGAAGGGTCAAAGCCAGTGGGCCCCTCGACATCGTCGAATTGTTCAGCGATGACTTCTGACTTGGCCGACACGGGCGCTGACGGCGTAACGATCGCCGTGGCTGCTCTTGTCCGAGGAACGTATGCGGCCGGGCCCATCGCAAACGGGCCAGCCATCGAAAGCACAGGCTCTTCTCGGCCTCGGCCTCGACCCCGACCTCCTCCTCGACCGCCACGACTGCCTCGACCAGCCTCAGAGCCTCCGCGACCTCGACCTCGTCCGCGACCACGGGGGGCATCTGTGCGAGTCGGTGTCTGCCGACAAAAGAATGTCAATTTCGAAGGGCGTGGAGATGAGGCGATGCGACCTAATAGTAACTTAACGTCGGTCGATCACGGCTCCAAGATCTACGATATCGATGGATGTGATTGCCGGTTGGCGATCGCATGCCGCGGGAGTAAACTCACAGGTGCTGCTTCTGTTGCTGACCTTCAAAAAAATGAATGCGACACATACAAATGAGATCTCCCGATCCAGATTCTCCCTCGCTCAGAAGTGCTTGCGGGCACAGCCACCCATCCGGCCACATTTCTGGTCGATTTGGCAGCCGAGTGGATGAGGGGCTTGCACGATCGGGGACATACTCGGTCTTGACCTTCCGAGGAGGAACTCGTGGTGCAAATTTGGGCTGGACGCAAGCGAAAACGGCGCTGGGATGAGAAGAGATGCTCTGCCGGGCAGAGCCAATGCGGTTGCCCCGCGTCGGTTGCTGGGGTCGAGGATTAGCAGCCAACCTTTGAGCCGCTGGATGAGTCGCCTGCTACGGGGTGTGGTCGGATCGCCACGCCGGTGTGGAGTTGGCGAAGGAAGACAGGATATGGAGATGAGAAGGGCTGCGTTAGTGATCGCGGACACATGAATTGGGTGGAGGGCGGGGCAGATCTAGGCGAGGGTTGGCAGTATCGGCCACAGCGAGCGGCACCTGGTTGATCCGACATGTTCGGGCAGTATCTGGATGGGGCTGATGCAGAGCCGAGCGGGTTGGATCGGGAGAGTCGGTCGACGGGGCAGAAATCCCTGGCTGATGATGGGCAGAACCAGGTCCAGCCCACAAGCCCTCATGCCAGGCAAGAAAAAAAAAATCGGATGGCTTGCCACAATCCCAGACCTCGCCAGATTGCTCTCGGGCCGTGGCCGTCGCACTCGATCTGGCCGCATCGACCGCTCCCCCAAGTCGTCTTCGTCTGCGATGTTGGCCAAGGTGGCTCGCTTTGTCGAATGGATCGGCCGTGCCGGCGTGCTTGCTAACGTCGATGTGCGAGCCGACAGCGCAAACGGATACGTCCTCGTTGCCAAGAAGCCGCTGCATCGGTCCGAGCTGGCATGCTCCATCCCCGTCGATGTCCTCGTTGGCTCGCACTCGGCCAGGAAGATCCCGACACTGGCTGCCGTCTTCGAGGCCGTCTTTCCCTCGCCAGAGGGTCTCCCGAGCACCACCATCCTGGACTACCAAGATGACCACCTGCTGCTGATGCTCACGCTGCTGCACGCAAAATCCCATCCTGTGCGGACACCCTGGCATCCGTACGTCGACCTGCTACCGGAAGCGTTCGCCAACTCGCCTCTTCTCTTCGATGACGACGACTTGGCTCGGCTTGACGGCTCGCCGCTCGCAGAGCTTGCCCGGGGCATTCGGCAACAGGTCCAAGACACATACGATGCCGTGATGACTCCGCTTGCGGAACAGTTCGGCGATAGCTTCGTCACGGCCGAGCATGCATCCTTCCCGGCGTTCCTGTGGGCCCACATGGTCGTCGAGTCAAGAGCATTCAAGATGCGTATCGGCGCACCTGACGGCCCCGACCCCGAAGCGCTCAGCACCGTGCTGGTGCCGCTTGGCGACCTCGCCAACCACTCGATCCAAGGCGAGCTGGAATCCTGTGGCATCTCGACCGAGACAGGTTGCCTGGAGATCCGGATTTCGAGCAAATCTCGGTTGGCTGAGTATCCTGCGGACTTCCCGCTGACGCTGACGTACAACAGGCTCGCCAACTGGGAGCTACTGATGTATTACGGTTTCTCGCTGCTGGACAACCCGCTGGAGCGCATCGCGCTGTCGTTCACAAGCCCCAGTGAAGACGAGGACGGCGACTACCTGCTGAACATTCGCAAGGAGCTGCTGCTGGAGCTGGGCGAAGACCTGGGTCTCGGCCTGGACCACGAGATTGCCCTGGGTGCTGCCGGCGGGGTGCCGCAGACGCTCGTCGGCTCTCTGCGCCTGCTTTTTGCGACTCTGGACGAGCTCGAGGGATTCGAAATCGGCAATCTCGCAGACATTATGGCCTGGCCCATCTCGATGCGCAACGAACGGCAGATCCTCGATACGCTGAAGCTCCTCCTGACCACGATGAGGGATGCCTACCCGTCGACGCTTGCGGAAGACACCGCACGGTTGGCCCGCACGTCCAGCGCAAGGGAGCGGTATGTGCTCATCTACCTGATCGGGCAGAAGGAGATTCTCGAGTACGGGCTCGAATGGATAGCGGTGCAGTCCAGCCGGCTCAACGAGGAGCGACCGGACGAGTAGAGCCAAGCAAGATCCCAGGCAGCAACCCGGAAGGATCCGTGGGATCTCAACCCAGCGATGCCACCGCAGATGGAGGAGAGAGCTCGGTGGAAGCCAAGCAGCAAACCGACACAGCCAAAGCGACAGATGGATCGCAATAAAATTGTCCTAGCCCTCAGGTGTCCCCACATCAGAGAATATCTCGTAGGGAGGTTTTTAGAACTGGCTTTCAATCTTTGACGTCGGGAACGGGAGGGCCTCCATGGATATAGAGGTCTCCACACTAGGACGCATTTCGGATTATAATTGTTCGAAGGCGAAAGAGAAACCGGCCGCCGCGCTCGAATTTATTCGCCCGCCCCGTTCATTCATTTGGCGCCCGCCCAAGCCACGTCTGCGATCGGCTGATCAGTGTGGTCACGTGTGTTGTGCGACTCTGTCGCACGTGAGACCCTGGTCGGGGCTTGCGGCATGACACCGGGCCAGCGCGCCCCATGGACTGCGTCTGCATCCGCTCTGCAAGCGGGCCTGCATCCTGCCTCCGTCTCGCCCAAACATGACTGCAGAACCGCTGGTCTTCTCTGGCTCTCTAGCCGATGTGTATTTTGATGACGAGGTGCCCGCCCAGCGGTAGGATCCGGTACCAAACACCGCACGGCGCCGATCCATTCTCCACATGCACTGATCCGCGCTGCCGTTCTTGCGGCTGCCCCCCCCCAGCGAGCGGTACCAAGCCTTGAAGGAGAGCTTCCACAAGCGCTTCGGGGTCTGGCCTGATTTCTATGCACGTTGCCCCGGGCGAGTAAACATCATCGGTACAAACATCGCTGCTTGCGCCTCAGTCTTCCTGCCTCTCTGGTCGCTGTGTCTCTGGCTCCGCTTCTTTGCCCTCTACCGGCCTGCGCCTTGCCATTCTTTCACCAAACTCATATACCCTCTTGCTTGATCGCAGGAGAGCACATCGACTACTCGGGATACTCTGTTTTTCCAATGGCGGTCTCTCGAGATGTAGTTGTATGTGTCCATGTCTCGAGTGGCAGCCACGAAGCAACAGGATCCGGCTCACTTGCATTCCAAAGCACCAGCACAAACCACTCACACTCTCACGAATGCACTCACCGCGCATCAAGATTGCTGTGGCATCTCTGGAATCGTCGATGCCTGTCCAGGTCACAGTTGCCAATCAGGACCCTCGGTATACCGAGACGTCGTTCCAACATCAGTCTGACTCGATCGTCCACATCGACTCCTCGGTGCACGACTGGATCAACTACTTCAAGTGCGGATACAAGGCAGGTTGCTTTCTGGGCCCGTCCTTTGTGGTAGTCGACGACAAATCTGCCCAGAGTGGGCAGCGGCTTATGTGGACCTAACCTCAGTCGCCGGTTGCAGGGGCTCCTCGAAAGCCATGGCAACATCCAGCCAAGGGGATTCCGAGCCTTAGTCGACGGCAACATACCGACGGTGGGTCTCTGAGCTCGAACGACTTGAATTCGGGTGGCTGTTGGGTTGGATATCATACAATTCACCCAGTCCGTGGCTCGCGACACGATTCAGATCCATAACTCACACTGACACTCCTGAATCCCCTTCATGGCGTTGGTCCAGGGCGCCGGCCTTTCCTCGAGTTCAGCATTCGTCTGCTGCTCGGCTCTCGCTACGATGCAAGTCAACGGCATCAAGCTCAGTAAGGTATGCTTAGCTTTCCAGACGCCGTGCTGTTCACACAGCAGCACCAACGCCAAAAGCGCCCAGACGGTCTATCAGGGAACCATCCACACAAATGATTGACGACGCATCGGGATTCGACATTTCTCATCCAGCTCGAGCTGACCCAGCGAGCCATCGAAGGCGAGCAACATGCTGGCGTAAAGATCGGGGGGTAAATAGTTCTCGCACGCCCCGTCTTTCCTCTGCTAGCAATCTATGTGGAACAAGCCGCGATCAACTTACTCTTTGATGACTTTGGCAACAGAATGGACCAGACGGCTTGTGTCAACGGCGTTAAAGAGCAGGCTCTGTTGATCGACTTTGTCCCAGTCCTGCGCGCCACCCCGGTTTCTTTCCAGCCGGTTGCTTCTTCGGCCCCAGTGTTTGTTATCGCCAACACACGGGTCGTTGCCGACAAACACGTCACGGCCCCCACAAACTACAACCTGCGTGTAGTTGAGACTCGTATGGCGGCGGCAATCCTGGCCAAGCATGCAAACCTTCATAACGTCGCTACATTGCGTGATTTCCACAAGTCATTTATCCTGGATCAATATGGTGATCAGAGCCAAGGTCTATCGGACGACAGACAACTCCAGATTGTTCTGGCGTACATTGACACGAAGCTCAAGCCCGGGTACTACAGTCTCGAAGACGTTGCAGCAGAGCTCCAGACCTCGGTACGTGATATGCAGCTATACTACTGATCCGCCAGGATTTGATACCTCATCTCTTTGAGCCCGTCGATGCTGACTGTCGACGATCTTACAGGTGGCTCAGGTACGGTCCCGCCTCGTTGCGGACGTTACCATTCGAGCATCTGGCTTCCAGCTCCACAGCCGCGCCAAGCATGTTTTTTCCGAGGCGCGACGAGTGTATCAGTTCCGAGATCTCTTGATCAGCAGCGACGATTCCTCCGGCGACTTGCTAAAGGTAACATGGGCTTGGGGAACACAGACCCCCGTGTCGGAGAGCCGCATTCCTCCACAGCTGCGACTTCGTGAGGGAACGATATGGCATTCATCCAACTCTTGCTCAATATCGTCAGGAACTCGGGGAGCTGATGAATCAGTCGCAAGCGAGCTGCAGCGACCTTTTCCATTGCAGCTGCCCCGAAATCGACGAGCTGGTCGAGATATGCAGGTGATTGTGGGTTGGGATCGAGTGCATATGTCCGGCTGTGAGAACCTGGTCACTCTGGGGCTCACACTCTGCGCTGTTTGCTCTCGTTTGTCATATCTAGGCGCTCGGGTGCTCTTGGCTCCAGGCTCACGGGCGCTGGCTGGGGCGGATGCGTTGTCTCGTTGGTTCAGCGCAGCGACCTGGATCGGTTCCTGGACCATGTGCAGGAGGAGTACTTTTTCCGCAGATGGCCAGAAATGCGTGGCGATGGATCCATTTCGAACTATTTGTTCGCCACCCGGGCCTGCAGTGGGGCCGCTCTGCTGCCCGCCTGAGGTCCTCGTGGACCTGCAGCCATGCTGTTGGCTGGGTTCGAGCAATACAATTCTGGGTCTGGGCTCGAGGGCTTGTCTCGGAGCAGAGCACGGAAACCAGGTCCCAGGGAGCATGGAAGCCTTTGGCCATGTCCGGCTCATGGGCAAGCGCGCCGCACCCTCCTCTTTCCCAGCGCTCCGCAATCCATCCGTCCATCCGTCCATCTATCCATCCGTCCATCCGTCCATCTATCCATCCGGCCCGCCATCTGTCGAAACGATCCGACATGCAGCCTGAGCAGTCTGAGCAGTCTGAGCGGTCGCTCGGACCCAACATCAGCCACTCGGAATATGTCGCCGATGGCTTCGTCGCCCCCATCGACATCTACACACTGACCTCGTCTGATCGCTTGAGCCGCGTCGTGCTCAGTTCGCTTGGGGCAGCCATCTCCCACTTTATCGTGAGCGACAGGGATGGCAAGGAGAGAGACGTCGTCCTTGGATTCGACAATCCCAACGACTATCTCTCCTCGGTATTCTACTATGGCGCCTCGATCGGCAGAGTCTGCAATCGGTATGACCACATGCCAGCAAAGCCTGCACGCTTCTTGGTGGCGTTCTCGATCGCCTCCGTACTGACACATCGACAACTCTGATACCGCCTGTAGCATTGCCAAGGGGCGCTTCGATCTCGGAGGACATACCTACCAACTCGCCATCAACAACGGCGTCAATCACCTGCATGGCGGCCTGGTTGGCTTCGACAAGCAAAACTGGAAGTCCTGCGTGATCTCGCAGTCACCGCCCACAATCGAGTTCACTCTGGTCTCGCCCGGTGGACAGGAGGGTTATCCGGGTACGCTGCAAACCAGCATCGTTTTCACACTGGAGGATGCAGGTGCCTTGGCCATGACCTTCGCTGCCAGCCTGGACGGCAGCAAATCCGACCAAACGATCGTCAATCTCACCAACCACGCCTACTTCAATCTCTCGGGCCTCACCCGACCGAATGTGCTCGACCACGTCGTTCGCCTCGAGAGTAGCGAGTTCCTGGAGCTGGATGAGACCCAGATCCCAACCGGTAGAAAGCTCCCGACGGTCGATCCGAGCTGCATGAACTTTGCGGGCGCAGGCAAGACCCTGGGCCAGGATATTGGAGACGCCTATCTGGCGACTACCAGGGGCTACGATCATTTTTTCCTCGTCCCCAAGCAGCAGGGCCAGCCCACTGTTCGTGAAGTAGCCACGGCGCATTGCCCTTCGACCGGCCTGACGCTGCAAGTTCTTTCAGATGCGCCAGGATTCCAGCTCTATACCGGAAATTGGCTGCAGAACGTCCGGGGCAAGGCAGATCAGCAACATGCCGTAACTGGGCCGTATGCAGGTTTCTGCATCGAGGCATCGCAGCCCCCGAACGCTGTCAACATGCCCGAGTATCGACCAGCCGTCGTTCTGGAAGGCTCGCAGCGTTGGGGCCAGAAGACCGTATATATTGTCCGTGCCAGCTGATATTGGTGTCAATCCGATCCAATTCGCCCCGTTGCGTATCAGGACAACTGCACATGCGAACACGGCGTCGGCTTGTCTCTCTGTGGATTTGTTGAGGGAACATCGGATACTTGGAGGGAATTGGTATTCTGCCTGCGCCGTGCTCGAGCATAGGCAAATTGTTGGTTCTTTCAGGCCGCGCCGGATCAGATGGCCCATCCAGAGGGGAGAGAGCTAGGCGCAAAGCTTGTTATGCGCTCCTCATCGATGCCGGCTTGTTTCCGGACGGCTGGCTTGCTACCGAGTGAGCTCGTCTGTCCATAAGCAAAGTAAAGAGTGAGCGGTTGCCACGAGACTCTGCGAACCAGAACTGCGATATGCCCGCCATGTCGTTATCAGGGCCCACTATTGCTCGACCAGGACCAATACTTTACCTGCTAGCCATTCCAGACCTTGATGGACACCCTGGCAGTAAAGGGCGCTACATGGGCTAGATAGCACGTCAGGATATGAGAGGCGAGCTCAGTGCAACTTTGGGCCCCTGAGTGCCTTTCGACTCCCGCTCCGCCCCCCAGCAGACTGGCCTCCGAGCTTGCAGTCTCCAAATTACCATATGTGCCAGTTGTGCTCTCGTATGCTCTCAAGACCCAATGCTGTCGAGATCTCGGCGACTGTCATGCCGGCTTCAAGATCCATCTTATTGGCAAAGAGGAGGATCGGGATTCTCTTGGACTGGATGGCTATGGGCCCCGAGAGAAGGTCGGATGGAGCCCAAAATCGCCCATCAGATGCAGGTTCAAGATCTGTTGTGGATACCAATTGCTTTGCCTTGGCGGACTAGCTGTTGGCTCCTCTTGAGGGTGGGGATATCCATCACCGTGGTTTCGAGCAGTCTACTTTCTCCCAGACCTCTGTCTGCACAGGGATGTGACCACTTGCGGAATGACGAGAAACCAACCTGGATGCTTCAACATGCCCTCGAATTCGTCTCTCACGACGCATATCCGCTGATGATCTGAGGCGTCGATCACAAAGATGATGGCATCCAGCTCGTTGGTGTAAAAGTGCTCCCAGAGGTCCCGATACTTGCCCTGCCCGCTCATATCGAAGCAGGTGATCTGGAGCTTGGATCTCGAGATCTGGAATTGGTCTGCTTTGAAGCCGATGGTGGGAACGATGTCGATTGAGGCGAGCTTCGGAGCATCCTGGCGCAGGATGAAGGCGGGGAGGAGCACGATGAGATACATATCATGACGCGTTTTGGGGAAGGGTGGAGGCGTGGGAAGATCTGTCGGCCAGGGCGGCGCAACTTGGGCAAATCACAGCCGGCTCTCTTACACCAGGGTTCTGGATGGACCGATTGCTTGTCGAGTGGATGTCGTACTCTTTGAAATTGTGCTCGAGCAGGGTGGTCTTGCCAGAGTTATCGAGGCCGACAAGGATGATGGACACCCGCCGCTTGATCAGCCCCAGGCTGGCGAGCAGATTGGACCAGATGCCCATGACAAACGCAGTGCAGTTCCAGCGGTCGATCCGGAGGAACGAGAGGACGGCACCAGATTCAACCGACAAGCGAGGCAGGGAACGAGCAGCCTCGATCAAACAGGAGAGTGACGCTGGCACATTTGGGCGCACTGACAGGGCAGCCTGTCCAACCGATGCCGATGGCCAATCGTGCGAAACCCACATCTGATCGGAGAGACGCCTCGCGAAGAAATCAGGACTATTGCTCAGGCATCCTCGGGCGATCCAGCTGGGTCCGTTGGGCGCCCCTTCCAGGAAAGTTGGATGTCTGCGGCCGTTTTTGTATTCAAACCTGGATAGCAACAGCCCACAGACTCCCCAACACAGCCAGTGTCTCCGGCTGGCGCGGTCTGAAAGATATCTCAGTCTCGAAAACCGAAAGGGAGAGCAGTGTGTTCGACAGAGATGAGTGGCCACAGGCCATGTTACAGTTTCCCGCCTGTATTGGGCACAGACGGCGGAGGCGACTCCTCGCGATAAATAGATTTCTTTGGGATACCATAGTGCTCGAGCGAAAAGATATGGCCCAGCTCCTGGATGAGCCGCTTCCGTCGATTCAGCAGCAGCGTGGTGCTCTCGGACACTGGCCGAGGCGCTGGCGGGGCGGCGGCCTGCTTGGACTTTTTCTTCTTGACTGCCCGCTGGAAAGATTCGACCGATCGATGGTACAGTGGAAGAGAGGAGCCAGAAGAACAGTGGGAGGCAAAGGAGTCAGTCATACCGACTGCTCGGAAATACACTGCTACTTGCTGGGTGTGCAATCAGCAGCAAGTATACAAAAGAGCGACTGCTCGAAGCCGCCCAGGCGGCTACATCTGCTTCTACTCACAAATCGCTTGATGTATGATGCCTCTACTTGCTTGTTGATTTCATCCAGTAAGCTATTGTATTCTTGCCACGCCATCCACTTCTTGGCCACCTCCAGCAACCTGTCTTTGCGGAATCGATTGACTGAGACCTGTGAGCGCAGCTCGGCTTGGAGCCGACGAAGCTCTGCCACGATCTCGTCGTCGCCATCCATGGACGTGTCCATCTGCAGATGTCGGAGGGTTAGTTTGGTCGAGTCGGGTTGCCACCAGGGGCAATATCAATCGGCTCGGCTTCCCTCGAGTCACAGCCAGAGCGAATCGATGGCCATGCCGCAATATCCCGCCATCACGCGCCAGGGGTCGTGCACAACTCGCCCGGTCTAGATGAGGTGACATGTGTACGGCAGCGATGCAGCCCTTGCCACCTCATTGGGCTCGTTGGTCGTGAAGCTACTCTACCTCTTCCTCCTCCGGCAGCAAGCCAATAAACCGCAGCTCGTTTTTCAGCCGCTCCTCGAGATCGCTCATCTCTGTTTTGGTTCTAGCCTTCATGCGAGCGGCCACGGCCACGGGATCGTCGGGCTCATCGTCGTGGTAGTGGTCCTCAGCGGCCTCAAGAAGATCTTCATGGAAGAGCGAGGATACAATGCGCTCTGTCAGGGATCCGAACCCAACATCGCCCGGAATGACGCCGTCGTCTGTCTCGTCGTATTCCCTCGGCTGATTGCTGGCGCCCTTGGGGTCTTGCGAGTCCTTCAAACCGTCGGCACTTCCGCCTAAAAGAATCATATCCTCCTCATTCCATTGCTCAAGGTAGTGCCTCCCTAGCGGCGGAATGATGTACGGAGTGACGTTGTCATCCTGCCACCGTCCGACCAGGTCGAGAAGTTGGGTTGAGTATGTGCCGGAGCGGTGGCGATGCAGCCTCCTCAGACCGCCATCGATTACACATGCGAGGCGCTGGCGTCGACTCATACACTTACGCACTCGCCCAGATATTTGAGATCAGCCTCGGTGAGGTTGCGAAAGTATTGATCGCAGAAGCTGTAAAACTGTTGGAGCGGGATCTGGTTGGCCGGCTTGACGCGTGTAAAGTCGCCATCGGCCACCGAACCCGTTTCGTCTTTGCCCAGATCCGAGGCATCATCGGCATCTTCTTGCTTGATCTTTCTTCGCTTCTCCTTTGGCTGGGACGGGGTATCTTTTCCTGTGCTTTTCTGTTGGAGCGACCATGGAACAACGTCAGCAAGTCTATGGTTGTCTTGGCAGCTATCCGCTCGGCTTCGAGAAGTTGCGGGACTGTTGTATCATATTGACTGTGGACACGCCAGAGGCACCTCCGAGGAGTGCCCTGATTTCCGACAAAGCGTGGTGAATGGAGATCTCGCATCAAAGCGGCGAGTCCTTACCGATTTCGACGGTCTTGGGGTGCTGGCGCGGAACGGAATGGCAGACTGTCCCGTGTAGTAGCTTGTGTTCAAGGGCGAGCCCGCTTGACTGTTTGTGGCTGACGCCGACGCTACAGGTCCCGGAGTGGAGGGCCGTCCGCTTGTCCGAGAAAGATCGGCAGACACGCTGGAGCTCGACGGACCTGCCCCGGACGACGATGACGATGGCGGCCATGGATAGCCCGCTGAAGACGATGACACCTCGGGCGGCCTCGAAGCAGAGTCGAGTCCGGACGACAGACTGTCTTTCCGCAGCTTGATGATGCCATGATGGGTAATCGAGACTTTGATGGCGTCGCTGCCCGGATTTTGTGTGATATCTGGCAAAAAGTTCGATGAAGGTGTCAACGACCAGTACTGGGCATACGCAGATAGGGTCGACTCGTAGTCTCATCCTGAGACAAGGTGTGCGGTGCCCTTACGTTCGGCAAGTACTTCGTTGCTGGACGATTTGGATGACGCGGAAACAGCCGGCGGCGGAGGCGGCACAACGTCGCGCTTGGCAGTGACAGGCTCTGCATCGGCGCTGCGTAGCGTGAGAACCGCTGATTAGTGCTCAAGCGGCGATTCCATTTGGTAAAGATAGCAGTATCCAGCGTCCCAACATTGCCAGGCCGAGTCCAAATCTGCCAAAGTATCATATGGCATTTGGTGCCATCAGTTGTCCCCATCCATCGCTATTGAGTCTGTCCTTCGCCGATCAAGCTTCCGTTTGCTGGCAGTCAAGTCTTCATCCATCATCATCATCCATCATGACCATCAAACTCAGCCCCAATATGATGGCCTGTCCAGTGTCCTGGTATGTTCAATCGCAGGGTGACGATCTTGCTCGACAACTTACATTGGGGTGTCTGGAACGAAGGCGCCAATATGGGGATGTTTACAGAGGGGTTAGCGGCACGAGACGCATCAAGATACTCAACCAGACCTGCATCCTTCGCATCAGGCCTTACTTGCATCCTCGACTTTGATCTTTTCCAGCAATGTCGGTACCGGCGGGCCAGGTGTCCGAGACGGTGGTTCTGTTGATCACACTAAAATCAGTAAACCGACACGACGACAGACATGCTCGCTCTCAAGGGGTTAGCGCTGGAGGAAGGGTACTCATTCTGACTGGAGCCGCTTATGGAGTTCACGGTGGCACGGATTCAGTGTGTCGCCGGAGCAATGAGATATTGTAGCGCCGAGCTTACCTTCTTTCTTTGCCCGTGATGAGTCGTGTGTGTCTGAGTCTTCGGTCGCAGGCGTCTGGAAGCCTGAGCTTGTGATGGACTCGGGCTGTTTGGGATCGCGGACCAGGGTCTGCGTATCCTTGGAGGCATCGAGCTGCCCCGAATCCTCCGACTCCATTTTCACGAGCGATCCGGCGTCACTCGCCCGCCGTGCGCCGCTTTCTGGTCGCTCGCTTCGGCTACTGGATAGGTCATCGGCATCGTTCTGGTCAAAGTCGTCTCGGCCCCTGGAGCCTTCTGCGATGCGTTCGAAGCGATTTGAGGATGTCGGGGTAATGAGGTTTGGATTCTCTTTGACCCACTGATCCAGTAATACCAGGTTGCTGTCAATGTCGATCTCGGTCTGGGTGATGTTCTTGAGGTGCAGGGTCAGTTCCTGGCGGATCCGGAGGAGATCCGGGGTTGAGGGTAAGGTATTCTTGGCGATGCATTCCAGCAGGAACTTGGTGGCTTCACTGGGGACGTAGTTTAGAGGATCGTAGTTCAGATCTGGCCCAAGGATTTGCTCGTTCGATGCCATTTCGAGGGCTGCTCACAGCTGGGGCCGCTGGTGCGAAGACAGGAACTGTGGGATCACAAGCACTGAAAGGAGAATAGAACGAACAGGGTGCGGCAGCCCACGGCCTGACGCAACAGAGCAGCAAGAGCGCCGCGGGATAAAAATATGAAAACAGAGATGCAGCAGGCACAGGCCGGGATCTGCACTGTCGAGCCAAAGGACAAACGCCAGGGCAGGGCAGAGGGAGCCTGACGATCAAGAGCGAAGCGCGGAGGGGGGCACTGCAGCAACAAGAGCAGACGGAGGGGCAGTGCCCATGGGGGACTGAGCGGAGAGCGAGAGCAAAGGCCGCAGGACAAGCAGACGGCGGTAGTAGCAGCGTCGGGAGCGAGACTGCGCCGGGAGGGGTATGCAGCGCCAAGCAGGAAGGACGATGGCCAAGACGGATGGCCGAGACGACGGCCGAGATGGGTCGCAAGGACAAGATGGTGCGATCGGAGGCCGGGGACAGGCGCCGCGCGGCCGGCCACAGTCTGGCCACAGATATTAAATTAATACGTGCAAAGCCGGGCGGGATCTGGATCTGGATCTGGATCTCGGAGCGCCGATCTCGGAACTGGCCTCGCTGTTGCTGATCTGGAATACGGGCTGCAGGAGCACGGCAATCGACAAGCGCCCCGCCATCGCCCCGCCATCGCCCCACTGCACCAAGACCGATAGCGCCCTGCCATGTCAAGACACGAGATCGTTTCCCCCGAGGGTACGTCAGCTCACACTGTTTGGCGCTGACAAGCATGCGATCGTGAATGCCGTGTTTGGCCGACCATCGCCATCGGGCATCCAGCTGCGAGGGCGGCACCCGATGCAGCAATGTGGTTATTAGTTAGTGCAGCGCTCGGCAACGGCCCTATCGCGGCAGCGTGGCGCTAACGACTTTCGATTCCGTCCGCAGGACTGCGAGTGGATGGAAGGCGGCCTGGTGAGCTGAGACGCATCAACTGCCGCACCGGGATCTTCACACAGGCCGACGGGTCTGCATACATCGAGATTGGAAACACAAAGTGTCTGGCAGCCGTCTACGGACCTCGAGAGGTATTTTACGCACGGCGGCTTGCCCAGTTTGATGCGTCCTCCGCCCGGCATGCCCCTGGATGTCGAGGTTGCGGGCCTGGACTAAACAATAGTATCGATCCACACAACATGGCCCTTGGGCGGTATGATATGCAACGTAGCCACAGAAAAAAGGTCAGGCCGTCCACGATCGAGCGTTCATATCAGTCGAGTTCAATGTCGCAAGCTTCAGCTCGGGCGAGCACAAGGAGAAGTTGCGACAGGACAGGTGCGTCCTCGATAGCTCCGCATGAAATGCTCTCGCTGAGCCACCGGCAAAACGGCTTGGGCATCTGTCTAGTAGACCACCACAGTCATCTGGCAGATATCCTGCCATGTACTCAAAGACTAGTACTGCGTCGAGCCAGCGTCTGGCACTCATGTAATTCTGCCCACCTCCAGACGTCTTCTTGAACTCGGCACCACCATCCGACAAACCTTTGAGCCGGTGATCATGGCACAGGCGTATGCTCGCTCCGAGATCGCCATCTTCATCCAGATTCTTCAGACAGACGGCGGTATGTGGCCAGCAAGCTGCGGATATGTGAACGCTCTCTTGCTTTGCCCGTGATCGGCTGCGTCGCATGCGACGTTGATGACTGTTGGATCGGACACGGAACCATCACTCTAGATGCTGATTCGTCCCATACGACTGCGCACACGAGGCAGGCATCTTGCATACTGCCATCAACGCAACTACTCTCGCCCTGATTGATGCAGGCATCGCCATGACCGACTATGTCGCTGCCTGCTCGTCCGGATTCGCCAACGACCACGCCATCTTGGGTGAGTTGAGTTGCGCGTTGGAATTGCTTTGGGACGGCGATCGTCCGCCGTCGCGACAACATCAGTACTCGTAACGGAGGAGCAGGCACCGAGGCTCGATGCTACAACCTTCGTCGCTGTAGTGCGGTCACAGCATATTTGCGAAAGTGACAGAGCGGCACGACTGGGTCTCCAAGCTAATCTTGCATCGCTGTGATTGCTGCTGCGCCCGGTCTCGCTTGCTGTCAGATCTGAACTATATCGAGGAAATGGCCGAAGTGCCGGCTCTCACAATGGCCATTCTACCAAAGACAGGCAAGGTCACTATGCTTGGGGTAAGCTTTGCCGTCCTCAATATCTGCATGGATGAGCTCTGATTACCGCAAGATTGGGTGTCAGGCCGACTACCGGGCCGCTAAATGCCTGCCCCAATGCTCAACGACATCGCACCACGATGCACTCTCGCTCGCTCGCTTGCAGCTCGAAGCACGGCTGCATCTGGACCACTTTGAGGCGACAATGAACCTGGCCAACGACGGGTGTGCGGCTGTCCTGGACATCCTGGACGAGGCCATCCGCAAGATCACCAAGACAAGGGCCCAAACCATCTCATAGGCCGATCGACCACCGAGATGCGCTGCATGCATAATATACTGCGTGGCTGCGATCGTGCCGAGCCTGGGAATCGACTGTGCTGCCGGTTGCCGGTCGCTGTGCGGGTGTGGGTTCTGCCGGCCCGCCGGCTCGATCCAGTGTCTGTGCGACAGCGACAATCCAGGGTGTTGTCTGGCTCGAGTGCACTCGAATCGCTGTCCGCGCCCTCGAAAAAGCGCAAAACGGGGGCTCTGGTCCTGGATGAGCCAAGGCATCTGCCAGCACCATCTGCCTCAGCCAACGGCTCATTTCCCTCCGTCGTCGCCCGCAACCATGCTACGGACTGGAAGAGTCGCCAGACCGTCCCACTCGCTGTTCATGCACAAGGTAAATACAACTTCCTGCTGAAGTGCTCGTCGCCGGCCCTCGTGGATCTAGCCTCGCGCGACTCTCAGTTCGGCCTCCCGCTGTCGGCCAGGGATGCCACAGCGCCGCGGCCTCGTTATCAGGGATACTGGATCCTGCCGCCTTTCCAATGGCCAATCCCAGAGGACATCTGGCGCATGTTGATACTACGGCAACCAGGAGGATCTAGCCCTCAGTCGGCGTGCGTGTCGCAAACTCGGCTTGCCATTTCAAACTCCCCACCCCTGGTCGGCAGCTCTGCTTCCGTCTTGCCACTGACGCTTGCCTGCTTTACTTGGTCCCGCAGGGCATCCGGCTCTACGCCTCGGCCTCATCCACACCAAAGTCCTTCTCGCTGGTCCGATGGACACTTGCGACCTCGGTGCTCCTTGGATCGGGATATGTCGGAGCCGCTTACTATGCCAACCACGACCCCCAGTTCCGAAAGCTCTGGATTGAATCGGGCGTCCCCGGAGGCGAAGCTGCCCTCGATGCCGTCAAGATCGGTGCTGAGAAGATCCAGTCGACCTCGATCCAGGAGGTGCAGGAGCAAGTGTCAGTCCAGACGGCCAAGGTCACGCAGACCATCGGTGACTATTCGAGCAAGGCTTCGGAAACCCTCGGCCAGGCCACCCAGACCGCAACCGAGCTCAAGCAATCTTTCGACAAGAAGCTCGGAGAAGCTGTCCAAGCCGCCAGCGACGCGAAGGACGTTGCCACTGCAACGATCTCCAAAGTTGGGAAGGCTGCCAACGATGCCAAGGACTCGGCTCTGGAGATCTACGACACCACCTCCAAGAAGGCTTCCGAGATTGCCACGACCGTTGGTGGTTACGTCCACGACACGGTAGAGTTTGTCGGCAAGGTCCAGGAAGCCACTGTCGATACATACCACAAGGTCGAGAACTCGGTCAAGGACGCTTCCAACAAGGTTGTCTACACGTTCGAGAGCGTCAAGAGCACCGTCACTGGCCAGCCTGCGCCTGAGAAGCCCAAGAAATCAGCCTCTATCCCTCCCGCGACCGAGACCAAGCCCAGCCCGGCCTCGTCTCCCAAGAAGCCCGAGGCGCCCGAGACTGTTGCTGCCCCCGCCGCTGCGAAGGAGTCGTCCCAGCCCCGCGAGACGACCACAGCTACTGTCCCTGCTGTTGCCGCCGCCGCTGCTACCGTTGCTGCCGTCGAAGTGGCTAAGTCGGAGGCTGCTGCTGCTGAGAAGTCAGCCCAAGGCGAGTCTCATCATCGCCACCACATCCTTCCCGAGGACCCTGTCCCTGAACTCACCCAGGAGATTGCCGAGACGCTGACGACCGATGGCGAGCTCAACGAGACCGATTTGTTGGTGGATCCTGTCGAAATCAAGCACGTCGAGATCAAAGAGATCATCAATTTGATCCCCGAGGACCCCACCCCGGCCCTCACCAAGGAAATTGCTGAATCAGTCAGCTTTGACGGCGAGCTCGGCGACCCAAGCCTGTTGCTTGGTTTGATTGAGACCAGGAGCTCATCCGAGGCCCGGCCGAGCAATGATGAAGCCTTGCCCGCCTCCGACTCTGCTCCTGTCGCGACACTGCCAGAGTTTACCTTGCCTGAAATCACACACGAGCACCCCAGCTATCGGCGTATGGCCGAAGGCATCCACGCCCTCTCCGAGTACATCGGGAGCTATCTCCAGTCGCATCCAGATGAACGCCTGGCCAAGGCGCGCGAAACCTTGGTGGACCTGAGCCTAGCTTTGGCTCACATCGAGGCCGAGGAGGCTCGTCACATCGACCGCGAGCTCGAGAAACAGAGCGAGCAGTTCAAGGCATTCTTGGACACCGAGGTCCTCCGGTTCCAGATCGCCTTAGCGGAGCAACACGAAGCTGAGAGCCTGAAGCACGAGCGAGTCCTTGCTACCGAGCGTGACCAACACAAAGCCGAGCTGATTTCCGAGATTGAGCGCCTGAACGACTTGTTCAAGTCCGAGCTGGTGCGCCAATCCAAAGATCTGGACGAGTACTGGCAGAAGGAGATCAAGGCTCGAGTTGATCAAGAGCGCGACGGCCGCCTGGCCCGACTGGACCACCTTTCCCTCAAGCTGATGCAACTCGAGAAGATCAGCATCGACGCCGGCGAGTTCGGACAGCTCAAGCACCGCATCCATCTGCTTCAGACGGCTCTGAAGGCCCTACGAGGCTCGTTGGATGCCAACACTGTCCAGCCCTTCTCTACCGAGATTCAGATCCTGCGAAAGCTTGGCAAGGGCGATGCCCTGATCGAGTCTGTGCTCGAGTCGATTCCCGAGGATGTCTCCAGGAGCGGCATCGTTCCGTTTGACGGACTGAAGAAACGCTTCTACAGCGTTGCTAAGTATGTCCGCCAGGCCCAACTTATGCCTGAGAAGGGTGGCCCGATCTCGTACATTGTCTCGCGTGTGAGCTCCAACCTGCTCTTCAAGAAGCACGGCCTGATTCCTGGCGAGGATTGTGAGGCCATCCTGGCCCGCACCGAGCAGCATCTACGCCTCGGCGAGCTCGAGCAGGCCACTCGGGAGCTAAATCAGCTCAAGGGCTGGCCCAAGATCCTGGCCGGTGACTGGCTGAAGGCTGCTCGCCGGCATCTCGAAGTTCGCCAAGCCATCGAGGTAAGCCCAAGGAATTGTGCGACGCACTAGTGTCCAGAACAGACGAGGGTGGCTCCCAGTTCATAGATTCGTGGATCCGCAGCAGTCCTGATGGAGCAGTCCCGCAAAGTGTGCTTGAGCGATCCTAGCCCTATCTGTCCTTGACTGACATTCGCGCTGGTCCTCATCCGACAGGTTGTGGATAGCCATCTTGATCTGCTGGCTCTTGGCACCGTCTCGCAGTAGCTGTGAGTCGCTCAACCACCTTACTTGTTCCCGAGGCGGCAAATCTCTGCTTCCGTCACTCCCAAACCTGTGCTTTCGTTCTTCAAGAGCTCCTCGCGAAGAGGACTATACTTGTATCCGCAACCACTCTTGCGTTGATCTTTATCTTCATGGCACACGTTCTCGCACACATATACTCCCTTTATTTTTCTCACTCGCTGCTTGAAAGCTCGTGGTCTGTTAAACAGCGGCCGTGGCGTCATGATCTGGAGAGAAGGATTCACCGCGCCGAGTCGCCCGTTATCGCTCTCCACGCTTTCTCACTGCATAATTACAGCCGAACGCTCGCCATCGATCATACAATCAATCCAGAAATAAAATGGGATAGCGTCCATTGTCCCGGTATCAGAGGACCAAGTGTGCAGGAAGTGCGATCCAACCGGTCGGTTTAGGTGGCATGGTCTTGAATACACATGTGGCGACCATCAAGTGACATAATGCGATCATGTTGTTGGCTGCGTTGTTGTGGAAGTGGTGCATGCATCCGACCGTCTGGGCATCTCTGTGGCCTCTCGATATCAAGACACTGGGGGGTTCGAGTCACTTGATTTCCAGGCACTGTGAGAATACTATTTGGGCATGGTTGTGATGGGCGGTGGGTTTTCACGTTCCAGAACAAAAAATAGTCCTGGCCGAAGGAGAGTGTCCCGGTTCCAAGGAAATGGGAGGCGGGGCGACCGGAGAAGGTCGAGTGTCTTGATATCAAGAATAGTTTGCACGAAGCTGTCCAAATGTCGGATGCATACAGTCACACTCTCACATCGCAACATCAATGCCAGTCGACCGGGTGTATTCGAGACTGCTCTGGAAACCAACAGGCAAGGATTGACGTGAGAGACACCCAGGAACACTCTGTCCAGTTCCATTCCAAACAAACTGAGTCGATCAAAAAGCACTGACAAGTCTCGGGAGAAGTTGGACACTGTCGAGCCCTCCACCTCCCACATGGCACTTCACCTCGTTGATGCCATTCATGGATTGGAGCGGATTGGAGTGGATTGGAGTGGATTCAGACAACTGTCCCAGACCGTACTCCCCATGTCCACCGGCTTGGGACTGCCCATCAACGCTCTGCCGTCCATGTCATCCCATTCATCTGTCGATATGTGTTGCCCAGCACACATCTGTCGCTGCAGGCCGAATCGGATGGAATCTTGCTTCACAGGAATATTGTTCTGGCTGGGTGACACCCGTCCCGAAACAGCAGGTCTGTATGACGATGGTATCACCAAGCCACACCATGTGGACGGTATCAACGAGAAATCAGCACATCGCCCCTCATACACCCCGCTGTCGCCTCTGCTTGTTCGTCGTTGCTCCTGCTTCTTCATCATCATCCCGCCTCTCCGATCTGCCTCGGCTGTCTCCCATCTGCGGCCTGTCTCCATCGCTCCTTTCTGCCACGCCTGCTTCAACCGAAACGATGGCAGAATCAACCCTGATCCAGGAGGACCTCGCTCGCTTCGACCTGCTCACCATCCTGATCACAAATGACGCCTTCATTCACACTGCGAGTCCACCCTTGCTCACCAAGCTTCTGAGAGTCTCGAAGCAGACTCGGGCCATCCTCGATACCGACAAAATATGGGTGCAGGTATCGCTTGCCGACTTGCAAATCACACCTGAATTCCTGTTCGACGGTGTCGATCCCTCCATCGATCGGTTAAAAGTGGCCCAAGGGCTCCTCTGCTATGCACTTCGCCAGAATCAGCACAAGCCAACCAACTCATCGATGCTGGAGAAGGAGAACGAGTTCTGGTCCGAAGTCTATCGAGACGAACAGCTGTTTAGCCGAGTGCAACGCTTCTGTCAAGTGACCGATCCAGAGTTCCGCTTTCCTGAGGACGCAAGACCAAACAGTTCCAAGCAGCCATCCGTCGAGGAGATGATCACCATCGCTGAGAGTCAAAATTTTCGCTCCCAGTGGCCAATAGTGGTCGAAGGAGCGTACAGTGTCACCATTCGACCCAACCAGAGCAGAGACAGAAACACCTATGTTTCCAGGCTTTTGCCATTCGACATCCCATGGATCGACGGCGCAAACAAACGGGAGCTGATAATCGAGGATGTGTCATTTCTGGAAGTGTCTGGATGGCCCAAGACACTCTCCGATATTTCAAATCTGGCGATCGAGCATAGAGACTGGAATCAAGTGGCTGGTTCGCTGATCAGCTTGGAAGGCATGCCGAGGGTCCTGCCCATGCTTACAAGGCTCGATATGAATAGATGCAGTGAGCTGGCATCACTCAAGGGAATGCCTGAGATGCCCAAGTTGAAGTCACTTCAGCTTCCCGAGTCCATCAAGTCCCTTGAAGGCACGCCGAAGGAGTTGTCCATGCTTACGAGGCTCGATCTGAGTGAATGCAGTGAACTCAAATCGCTCAAGGGAATGCCTGAGATGCCAAAGCTGGAGAAACTTTGGCTCCCCAAGTCCATTGAGTCCCTTGAAGGCATGCCAAAGGAGCTGCCCATGCTAGCACAGCTCGACCTGTGGAGGTACAGTGAACTCAAGTCGCTCAAAGGACTGCCCGAGATGCCGAATTTGAAGAAACTTGAACTCCCCAAGTCCATCGAGTCCCTTGAAGATGTCCCTAAGAAGGTGCTGCCAATGCTCACACTGCTCGACCTGCGTGAATGCAGTGAGCTCAAGTCGCTCAAGGGAATGCCTGAGATGCCAAAGTTGGAGAAACTTTGGCTCCCCAAGTCCATCGAATCCCTTGAAGACATGCCGAACGAGCTGCCCATGCTTGAAAGGCTCAGCTTGAAAGAATGTAACCAATTGAAATCGCTCGAGGAAATATCCGAGATGCCACATCTGAAAGCGCTTGTGCTCCCCAAGTCCATTGAGTCCTTGGAAGGCATGCCAAACGAGCTGCCTCGCCTGACATGGTTCGACCTGAGTGAATGCAGTGAACTCAAGTCGCTCAAGGGAATGCCTGAGATGCCAAAGTTGGTGACGCTAAAGCTCCCCAAGTCCGCCGAGTCCCTTGGAGGCTTGCCGAGGGAACTGCCTTCGCTAAAGCTCCTCACATCCCCATGATCTATTGGACTCGCGTCTCTTGGTTGGCCGTCAGCGGTGCCGATGTTGCTTGAGCTCGACATTCCAACCGGCATTGAGGCCCTCGTCGATGTTCCCGAGGAGCCTCCGTCCTCACCAAGCTCACAATCTCCTCGCGCAAACCCCACACCATTGAGCCAACTCCCAAGGATGCCAAAGCTCAATCATCTCGTCCTCTCAAGTCAATTTGTGAGCCTGGCCGATCTGCATGTAAATCAAAGCTCCCTCACAGTCCTCGACTTGCAAGCTTGCTGCGAATTGGCGTCGCTGGATGACATTCCCTCGTATCCCAAGCTCGAGATTCTTCACGTCCCTCGATCGATTCGCAGAGTCAGCGGACTGGTCGACAAGCTTCCCTCGCTCAAGACACTGCATTTGGACTCAAGTATGAGGCCATCCGATCGATCCTTGTTGGCTGGCACGTTTGGCCGATATGCTGGCTCCTTCAGTCTTGGATGGAGCATCATTCGCCGGAGGATTTCCGGGCTTCCGAAGGGATGTCGAGTGGTGTTCAACGATTCGTTCGAATACACTTTTGGCTCATCCCCAAAGTAGCTCAGCATGGAGCTGCTCAATGTCATGTGTTCATTCTCCAGGTTTTACTCTCTATGTTTTCCATTCCACTCCACTCCGTTTCGACTTGTTTCTTCCAATTCAAATTTCTTCCTCCCACTTCCGACATCTCACTTCGTCCGATCGGATTGCGAGTTCTTCACACTGGAGAATGGCTCTGGTGCTGTGGTGTGAGACGATCCTGCTTTGTGGTTGCTGAACCCGAAGCGAGTCCAAATCCCTCACAATCTATGACAGTCCACACACCGCACTTGGCCGTGAAATCAATCGAGAGCAGACACCAGTTGTCGTGGATATCCTGGGGCACTGCCTTCTCCCGCATTGTCGCTAGTGGATCTCCGTGAGTGATGATGACCATTGCAACTCCAGTCCATCCAGACCCCCAATGAGATCACAGCCTCGACTGAGGAAGATGGCTGTGTCCTCGATGCATCCATCCATCGCCACCATGATCGGGCATCCGTGGAAGCAACGCATGAGAAATGGCAGAGGATTGAAAGCATGCACTACACTCCTGCATTGCTCTGTCAATGCCAGTCGACCAGATGTGTTCGATACTGCTCCGATATGGCGATACCTGGTGCATCTCGATCCGACAGTCGAGAGGGCTCTCGGCACTTGCAGCACACCTGTGAGGGTTGACCCCGCTCGTCGATGCCAGCGTGGGCATATCCGACATACGGCGTCATTTCAGTTCCAATGAATACACTTGGCGGCGCAAATTCATCCTGCGTGGATCTTCGCTGAGATGTCGGGCCGATATTGGGGCCGTCCCTCGCATTCCGACCCGTGGAGCAGCTTGGGTCTTGGATCGCCATGAATGTCGCCTTTTTTGTGGTGAGTCTTGGTGCAGCGTGTGGCCCGGCTTCTCTGGCGCTCTTTCTCCCAGCATCTCGCAGCCCTCTGCTACAGCAAACTCGCTGAAGCGCCGAAAGCCGCCCCAAATCGCTTATCTTTCTGTCGAGGCATCCGTCCGCCCGCCCAGGAGCTGTCTTGCTTTGATGTTGGCACTACCGTCGGTGAGCATCCTCGGATCAGGTTGAGATCCTCCAGTGTTCCTAACGAGGCTTCTCCTTCTCGGACTAGCGGCACTCGAAAGGAAACTGATCCTGTGCCATGATGGTGTCCTTTCTGCCCGCCCTGGGTGATCTTTATACAGGAGGACGTTTCCGATGCCTTGCATGACTCTCTTCAAGCGCTTTCGCTCTCAAAGTCCGGGGAAGCGCCCCTTGGAGAGTCGTTCGCCCAGGTCCAATGCTCCCTCGAGGTCTATGGCGAGCTGATCCAAGAGCGAGAGCGAGCTGTCGAGGAGGGTTATGAGTCTTCCAGTGTCCTGGATCCCATCCGTCAAGATCTCGAGGTTATTATCCTTCGGCTGTCCTCGCATTGACCTTGCTATGCAGGTTGCTCCTATTGGACTCCTGGCCGGGGCTTCAGTGTCCCTTTGGGTGTCTTGTTCGTTTGCTGCGACGTGGTCCCATCTGACCGACTTTGGACCCGTGGTTGTTGAATGACATTCGACCACTGCTGTCTATCCTTGGTTTGTGTCGATGTGGGTGCCTGGCTTGGTCTTTGTAGAGCCTCAAGGATGCACTGCAGGCGATGGTGCAGAGGGAGCTCAAGCATCGCGAGAACACCTTCAAGAAGATTGCGCGAGTCAAGGTGTAGTTATCCGGCTGGTTCTGCAGTCTGTAGCGATCGCCATGTCTGCGGTCACAGGGCACTGAATCGACATGGCATGCGAAACTGCGGGACATGCCTCGACTCGCCCCTCATCCGACCCATCCGAATACGGCCTGCGGTGTGGTTTTGCGGCTGTTCGTTGACTGCTTCATGCCTATCGCCTCCTTTGACACAGGATGAGATAGCTCAGCATTGCTTGTGGCTCGGCGAGGATCTCGCCCAGCATGTCAACGACTCGACCGTCTCCTCCAAGTCGTCCCTTTATCGTCAGTTGGTCGACCTGGAACAAATCCGTGGGGCTGTCGGAGAGGTAAAATTCGTTCACACTTGCTCCGAATTGCTGCTGGGTCTATGTCACTGCGCTTTGCTGGGAGAGGGGCCAGATTCATTATGGACGCCTGCAGATGCACTCATTATCTTTCTTTTCATCATTCAATTGAACTAGATCGTCAAAGAGCGTGCGGCTCTTTGGTTGAGCTTGGTTGCTGAGATCAGAGCCATCAGTTCGCGTCTTGGATACGACACCGGCGAGTATGTCCCGGCGCCAGGATGCTACTCGTTGGCCAGCCTCGATGGCCTCCGATCCAAAATCGGTCTTCTGAGCCAGGAGCTGCACCACAAGATCCAGATCCTCGCCACACTTTTCCTGGCTCTCATTGACACTGCGCGTGAAGCCGACATCACTATTGTGGACTCTGTCCTGTCACCTTTGTGCCAGGACCTGAGTGCTGTCTTGGCGATGGACAGCGTCGGCGACCGCCCAGTGACAGCTCAGGAGTATATTCGATCTCAAGGAATCGCTTTATCCGACGACTTTACGTCACAAGTGCGCGCTGCACTCGAGACGATCCAGAAGCAGTACGGCCAAAAGTTGGAAGCCCTCAACATCGTCATCCGCGAGATTCATATGTTCTGGGACCAGATGGGAGCTCCTGTCCAAAACCGGATGGAACTTCCTCCACTACTGAGTCGCTATCAGGAAGTATGTGTCTGCCAGACTTCATTGATGAATCGATGCGGGAACGGCCGGTGGTGCCACATGGATACTCACAGCCTCGGTACCGGCTGGGCTTGCAGTACCGCCAACTTGCAGATTACTTGCGCATCGAGTGGAAGCGGCAAATGGAGGATCAAGTCAACAAGGTTAGTATCCATAGCGACCCGGAGTGTATTTCTTTCACAATTGTCCTTTTTGGTAAAGTTGCTTTGGAGAGTCTTTGGCCTGTCAGACCTGGAGGCCCGGCCAGAACGCCAGTCATCGCTGCTGTATCTTGGATACAGCTCGTATCCCCAACATCCGTGTGCTCACTCGTGTGCTGATTCGGGCTTCATAGCTGCTTGAGCGGCTCCAAGAACTCTGGATCAAGTGTCACGTCAACGAGTCCGAGCGCGAGTCCTTCATGAATAAGATCAAAGAGAGTACGTACATTTGCGACCCTGCCGCCGCTACGATGGGCTATATAGCTGATACCGTCTCCGACTGTCCTGGCAGATCTGTATTCTCCCGTTACGGTGGAGATGCTGAACGAGCAGATCAAGATTCTAGAGCAGCGATACGAGCAATGCCATCAGCTCTTTGTTAAAATTGAGAAGCGAACGGCGTTCATCGAGGTACTTTCCGCGGCCACACATCCTGCTCCTACCCGAATCGATTGCCATTGGTAACCAGCGTCCGGTCTCGCGGATTCTGACTGTGCACTCTTGCAGAAAATCGTTGATTTTGAGAAGCGTGCCCAGGACAAGAACAGACTCTTTCGCCCGTCATTCCAGCTTGTCGAGGAGGAAAAGTTCCGGAAAACTTGCTTTCCTACGCTGTTGAATATGGAGAGTGATCTACACCGCGACGTTTTGGCCTTTGAGAGTGGTATGCCTGCATTTGCTTTGGCTGTGTCCTGATTCTGTGAGTCCGAGGACAATGGCATTCGTGCCTCGACTTCATCGCGCTCTGTGGTGGCCTCACTAACACTTTGCCTGCGGCGGATCCATCGCGGCGATTCACAGAGACGGGCCAAAGCTTCCTGTACAATGGCGCTCGGTGGCTTGATACGCTGGTATGTCCGCATGCGCTCGTTGGTCGGCAACACTGATTTGCTCTCGCCGTGGCCCATGGACTGAGGATTGCTTGCAGCTGACGATGATTTGGTGCCTTGTGGTGACTCAGAATGCCGAAATCCAAGGCCGGTTCATCAACGAAGGCGTTTTTGTGTTTGAATATGAAACCGAGCGAGTGAGCCGCACGGATTCGGGTGCACTCCGAACGCCCGGACGTCGCCCATCGGCGATGGTTCTGGGAAGTCCGGCGATGGCCAAAACTCCGTCGACCTCTCAGACACTCCAGGAAAAATCCATTTCCAAGGCTCCGTCGATCAGCAACCTGCGCTCTGACAAGTTGAGGCCGCCGACACAAGCGCCACGTCCGCCGTCGGCATCGTCCTCGACATCCAGCCTTGGCCGAAAGACGAGCGCCGCCAGCCTGAACGTGCCCGAGGAGGATCCCTCGGATGGCAAGTCACTGCGCAAGATCAAGTCGCAGGTGCTGGGGCCCATCAAGAACATGATATCTTCGGCGGCAGGAGCCAGAGTCCCGTCAAAATCGAGACTAGCTGTGGATACTGGCCGGGGCACTGATTCGCTGTCAGCAAACAACGACGGCCCTAGCAGTCCGTCGGCATCGCCACAAATCAAGTCTCGAATCCCGACCACGCCGCTGAAGCGTGTGGGATCGATCTCACAGTTGTCTGGCGGTACCAACAGCAACACCGAGGGCATCAACAAGACCCCAACGAGCATACGCCATGCCTCCTCCAGCCAGACTCTGCCCAGAAGCTCACCGCAGATTGCTCCTTCCCGCCGACCCGTGGGTACAGCGCCGTCTTCGCCTGGATACTCAAGCCGACGCATCTCCCAAGCCGAGTCTATTTCAGGACTCCGTCCGGACAACCAAGCTGACAGCCTCCGTGAGAATCCGCCTGCAATGGCTCCACCTGCGTTTGACTCTGATGGCGTTCCCAAAACACCTACAAAAATGACCAGAACCCGATCCATAACCAGTCTCCTCGACACTCGGAGCGCCAAGCGACGACTCACGCTCTCCGAGGCCGGCAACGATATCAAGGAAGCTTGGAGCAAGTGGAAAACAGGGACAAGTAGCGGCGCAAAAGAGAGCGGCACTGGCAGTCGCTGGTCCCGTGCACGAATGAAGAGCAACTAGTTCGGTTGCTTGCTGCTCTGCTTGCTGCTCTGCAGCCATGCGGTGGTGACGGAGATGGTGTATTCGAAGCCTACAGCCGGCCAGGACGACCGCTTTGTGCGTACAGTCGGTCCAGAAAGAAACGGCACAGTCACTTTCTGGCATCAGCGACATAAGCCTGCTGAATTTCCATAGGCTCCAGTGGGCCGGCCATGCGACTGTTCCCGTCCTGGTTGGCAATCACTTTGATTTCGTTGGTTCGGGAAGCACAGTCTTGAATGCACTTGGTCGATTTTATGTGTCGATGTGGACGTGTGGTAAATCCATTCGGTGTGGGAGTGCAGTGCATTCACTCGACCCTCTGGACTGCTCCAGGGTTTCTCGATATCAAGATACTCGGCCTTCTCGAGCCGCTTGGCTTCCCGGCACTGTGAGCACACCTGGAACGTGTTGAACTCGTTCACCGAGCACGCATGAGCGAGAACGAGGCGAGAACCGGGCGTGGCGGCTTCTCGGTTCTGTCGTTTCATGCCTTGGTCGTGATCAGCACAGCGACCGGGACCGCCTTCGATCGCATCCGCCATGCCATATGCCTTGTGAGTAGAGGCCGATATCGACCTCCATGCTGCAATCGACGAGGCCCATTCCAGACATCGGCGGTGCCCCCGATTGTACCTGAAGTTTGTCTGTCCGCCTCCCTTGCCTTGCAGATTGGTGTGGTCGATCGTCCACTTTGCCTGAACTGACCCGAGCCCCGGGACTCCAGCTCCTATCTCGTCCCTGACCCCTCGCTGGCAACCCTCTTCCAAGACCGTCTCACAAAGGTCCTCAGCGCTCCGCTCGTTGGTCGCTTTCAGGTTCAATGCCGGCTATACCACTCTGTGCTTGCCAAGGGCTCGCCCGACAGCAGGGGACAGCACACTACGGCTTCCTCCCGTCCACCGGAAGATGGCAGAGCCCTGCTAACGCCTCCAGCCGCACCCGTACCTAAGCCAGCACCGCTGGCAGCTTCTATGATGACACACTCGACTTCGACCGCAACATTGCCAGAGTCGAGCTACTCGTCCGTTATCCCCACACGACAACACACTCCTGGAGCTTTTGAGAATGGGATGCCTGAAGATTCGACGAGTTTGTTGGCGCAGATCCATTCATCGGCTCTGCAGCGATCCCTGCAACGGATGCCCTCGCCTGCTCCAGCTTCTGCGAGCCCAGCAGCAGGGTCGACCACGACGCCCAAGTCGTCCGATCGTTCTGGGAGCCGGGTCATGATATCTGTACACCACGCGAGATTCCAGAACTCCCATTTTTCGCTCGTCTATCAGAATCGAAGTTTGATTTCCGCTGTCGAGGGTAGCTTTGAGCTTCAGCTGATTTTGGGCAAGCTCAAGAACATCTGGACGCTTCGCCAGATGGCCAAGATCGAGGTATGCGATGCGCGGACTTTGATTCCGTCGAACCGCTTGTCGATCGTCTCGGATGTGGGCGGATTCCGCTACCTATCTGAGGCTGCTTCACATACTCTATTCGGGAGCTCGCATCTGACCAGCTCTCGCCCATCGATCCCGTGGACTGCTCGTTCAGGGCCAAACATACAAGACTGGAGAATATGTTGTGTCGATCGGGGTTGTCGAGATGGGGTCGTCGCCACACGCTGTTCTCATCGAGGTAAGGTCCCGATCGATCGCCGATCGCCGATCGCCGATCCCGACCGGTGGCTTGTCGAGGGCTATGGCAAGTGAACCGAGTTATACCCGGCGCCGCTCGGGGCGAAACGGTTACCTCGGCGATCTATGCGGTGAAGCGGATTTGACAGCCCACGAGGTGCTGCCAGGAGCGCAGGCCCAGGAAGCGATCGCACGATTTGCAGGCGACTTACTCGGCATTTGCACCCAGATCGAACACACATCCGCAACAAACAATGCCTGCCTTCCACAGATCCATGGGCTCCTGCAGAAGCTATGCAGCGGGTCTCACAGTGTTTCGTTCGAGCGGCTGCCACACAAAAGCGACGGTCGCAGGTTCCTCCCAGCTATTAACGCAAAGTGCGTGCCTGTGTACGAAGGGCCCGACCTGGAGCCATATCTCACAGCACAGCAGAGCTGGTTGGACGAGGCCCCGCTGGATGAGTCCCAAGGTGAAATCGAGCCACACGAAGGACGATCGCAGGCAGCCGAGAAGCTGAATCCCCTGCCTCGTGATGGCAACACCTTGCGCGGGGTCTGGCAGCTGGTGGATTTGCTGAGAAGCCAGTCTATTCTGTAAGCCCGGCACGAAGGGAATATAGAGACCAATGCAGAGTTCGGCTGGCATGCCGTCAACATCGATCGGTCGACCGCACTTGACCTCAGTCGACTACACGAACCATATTTCCGCAGAGCATCGCGTAGCGCATTGCGCAGAGCCGACTACTATGCCAGCTTGGTAGCCGCGGCACCTTGATTTGCTGAGGTGAGCGCTCTCGAAGCCATGTGCAGATTAAACTTGCGATACTTGTCGTAGAAGCTGGGGAGGATTGATACGCCGCAGACGCTCTTGAATATCGATATGAAGATGACGTAGTCCGGCTTGGTCAAGTCGATTCTAGTGGGCCCCGAGGCAGAGACAAGTCATCAAGGACGAGGAGGGACGCCATCGTCAGCAAGGCTCGAAGCCTAACTAACAGCAATGATGCACCAAGGCAGACTGGGCTTACTTGAAGTGCGTTGGGATCAGCGCCGCCACCTCGTGCTTGAGGCTTTCCTTTGGAATCGTGGGGCAGTTGCGTATCTCTGCAACGATACAGACTGTGGCTGGTCGAGCCTCATCGTCCGCGTTCTTCACCGGCAGTTCGCTTTCCATCAGGGGCCGGATGGTGTCCACGATCTCTTTGATGTCCGATGGGCAGACGTGGTGGATGGGAAGCAGTCGCTGGGAGTCGATCGCGACTCCAAGTCAGTCGATGAAAAGCCCAGCTCAGTCGGCCACCAAGTTGGTGCCCTTTTTATCATCGCATCGGGCAGCCGATCAAGCAGCAAGTCAAAAATGCATACCGAGCAGTGGCTGATCTTGGAGAGGAGTTCTCCGGCGGCATCGGCTTCCAGACTCGCGACATGATCTGTTGGAACAGCGTCGCAATTCATCAGGCTCCCCACTACCTACATCCTATATCACACATATCCACATTCTATATCACACCCATCCACACTATGTCCCACACATCCACACGCTATGTCACATCCCACACGTATTGGCAAAGCGTTATGCACAAGCAGAGCTCGCGACACAACGGCAGCGTCGGTAGCGTATGTGTGATGCGGGCGATCAGTTCGGTTGATACCAAAGAGTGCTTCGACAAAAGTCTTGGGGACGACGTCGATCCGGAATCGGATGAACAAAAGACCAGCACAGGCGGTGTCAACGACCTGGAACTTGCTGAGCTGCTTGCCGCCTTCCTCGTCATCTTTCTTTGCACGGTGCGGTCGCCGTGGTGGCTCTGCGGCTTCGCCGACGATCTCCAGATCAATGTCTAGCTCCTCCGGTACCGGGATAGGCACCGTCTTGTGATCGGGGAAGAGCTTGATGACATACTCATCCAGAAACGACCGTATTTGGCCCTTGATGCAGCCGAGCAACCAACCCCGGTCGAATCGCCCAAGACACGAGATAGTGAGGTTGCCAATGAGGTCAATGTTGCTTGCCATGTCCGCAAACTCAGCCCCGGAGCAGGCCATTGCCGAGCCGCCGTGACTTGCCAAGCTCGAAAGCCTACACCCAGCGGTTGAAGGCCCAAACATGCCAACCTACAAGTGCCCGAGTTTCGTTGCGAACGCCGCAGGACACAAGCAGACCCAGCGGCGGATCGATCTTGCGAAGCAGAGAGGCGTGCTTGCGCAGATAGCGATTCTTGAAGCGGCCGCGGGTGATCGGGATGGTGTGAGTCTGGTCCTTTTTCTGTCTTTTGGGGGCGGCGGCCTTGGGCTGGCTGCTCGCCTGGTCTTGGCCCTCTTCCACCGGTAGTCTCTTCATGATGGCGATGTCGGCGGGCGATCGTGCCAAGCGATCTCGAAACACCGAAATGGGGGTTGGTCGGCCGCACGAACGGAAACGTGACACCCTCACGACAGCACACACACACACACACGCCCATCAATCGGCCAGCGAACAGCACACCGCAGATGTATTCACGAGCTCGACGATCCGTGTGGATATGCCTGTCTGGTCGTCTCGCTGCGAGAGACGTGCACTTGATGTACAGATGGCCTTGTGGCTCACACAGCGCACGGCGATCGGCACAGCATGGCAATCGGCACGCCCTCTCGAGCATCGGATCATCGCCTGCAACATCTACAGGCCGACAATGTTGATGATGTGAGGCAAGCTCGGCGTCTGGACATAGTTGGCGGCGGCTCCGATAGCCTTGGGCTTGTCTCGGTCGTCATGGTGCTTGACGTTTTCTGCGGCAGCAGCGGCGGTGGCAGGGGCTGTCGTCTCGGGCTGCTCAATCGTCACCATTGCCCTCCATTGGTTCAGATTGTAGACGCCGGGCACAGTGAAGCAGGCAACAAAGCTCAGGGTTGTCTCCTCTTCTTGTCCGAGCCGGCCGTGCAGATTGGTGACGCCGCACCAGTGAAATGGAACTGCCTCGACAAACTTCTTGCTGCTTTCGCTGAGCGGCAGAGCGGACACAGGTCAATATTAGTGCATTGTCTGCAGAGCGATGACGCCAAGTGGGGCCGAAGGGTGCAGACGATGCACTCCCGACCGGGGCCAGCATGCTCACAATCCTCTCCGAAATGGCTATGCCTACCTTGACGACGATGACGCCACCACTTCCACAGCGTAGTTGATGGGGTTGGTCCACGAACTATTGCGCAGCGACACCTGGATTGGCAGGATGCAGTCGCTGCAGTCGATTGTTTTGCGGGGGATAGAGCGTCTAATGGTCAGTGCCACCCCTATTGCGCATTCGGACAGTCGATTCAGGTGTCAACGACTGGATTTGCGCACGTACCCGTTGGCAAAGTCATGGCTATGGAGATCAGGAGCTCGCAAAATGACTCGAAGTGGGCTGATTTCCTTCTGGTGGCTCTTCATGAGACTCGTCAGCAGCGCCCGCTTCTCGCGCACTGTTGCCGCAAAGAGTGCCTTCCCGTAGAACGCCCGGTCATTGAAATGCGCCAGTTTCTGTTGCAGTTGGAGGGGAGCCTGGAGTCCCAGATTGATGCCAATGATATAGTGGTGCCCGCGGACAACATTTGTGGCGGTTTCAGTATCGATCAGGACGACATCCTTTGACTCGGACCGATTGGGAATCATTTCCCAATACAGCGACAGATCGACGTCTTCCGTAAAGTACAACGGGAAGAGATCCGAGACCTGGCTGCGTGTCAGGCCAGGATAATGGTTGAGCAGCGAGTTCATCTTCCACTGCAGACGCGAGTGGCGGGCAAGACCCTGCAGAGGCGAACTGTCAAACGAGATTGCAGAGTCGTGACCCAAGCTAGCAACGTGAATGTGAACGTCGGGCGCCTTGGATCTGGCACCGTCGTCGTTGCTCAAAAGTCGCTCGACGGACTTGGTCGTCCAGGCTTCGGGTGTGGTGTCGGCTGCGTCCTTCAGACATCGTGCCGTGCGAACAAACCGGAAATAGACAAACAGAGTCTGTTTGCCAGAGATGGTGCATCTATCGGGTTTGAAGGTTCTGTGCGCGAGCAAAGTCGAGGTTAGTCGCCGAGGGCCACAGCCTGACGCCCTCAAGCGGCCCGATTTGATACTTTGATCGGCAGTCGGGCACACTGGAGGTCAAAGGCCACTGTACTGCGCCTGTTATCAGGCGGACTGCGTCGGAAACACACTGCTACTCACGCGCCATCAAGGGCAGTAATGGCCCATGCCGAGCTCATCGACGATATTTGGGTCAAGCGGACCTTGGCGGACGACTGCTGCAGATTCTCGATCTGGACGCCAACAGACCGGCGTTAGTCCTCTGAAGGGAGCAAATCGCATTCCGCCAATCCAGGCCGCACTTCACCGAGCAAGACGGCTAGGGCAGGTTCTCACCTCCACGCCAAGGATGAACTCGTCGAGCAGCCCTGTGCTCGGTCGCGTGAAGGCATTGATACGGAGTGAGGGGCCGACTGTGGTTGGTATTGTTACGCGCAGGGTTCGGTAGCTGATCTTATCATTCAAGTTCTGCGGGGCAAAGCGCAAGTCATTATCAGCAACAGCGCCGTTCTTCCTCAGCGAGTACAGCACAACCAGTACAGCCCCTCATGATGCATGATGGCACGACGTTCTACCTCGGATTGATATCCGAACAGAAACTTGAAAAGGTGCTTGCCAATTCTGTCTCCGCGAACCCACACTGGAATCAGTGCCTTCTCGCCCGGGCCGAGCGAGCCGACCTGGACAAGCGACTCGTCACTGCCGGGAAGGTGGATGGCATAAATGCTGGGGTTTGTCAGGGAGTTGTTGAAGACATAATCTTCATCTGTCTTTCCATCCGAGGGCTGGATGACTGGGTGACCCAACGACATAAGGGTGAGTGCTTAGTTCGACATGGTCGATCCGCCAGAACAACCCGAGCAGCACCGACATGAAGCACACACCGCTCTCGCTCGATTTCGATGTGCTGAGTATTCCGGGGCAGGAATGAGCAGCTTCATCTTCCCTGAGAAAGAGAACCGGGCTCACCATATGCATCCTCGCTCAAGGAACCGCCAATGCGGCCAAAGTGGAAAAACGTGGGATGGCTCATCTTCAGTATCAGCCGCTTCATATCCTTGTTGCCGCGGTTCTCGATCTCGAGCACGTTCCTTGTGACTTCGCCGCTCAGCAAAGAGGACGGGAACTCGAGGAATTGGGCATGGAGCATGGGCATCGGGGGATTGACGATCAGCTTGAGGGTCTGATCTGTGGAGTACTGAGGACTGGCCTGCGATCGCTGTTGGAGCGTTTCGTTCAGGCGCTTGCCGCGCTTCTTGAAGGGCCGGTATGCCGGAATGGTGTTCATGAAAGTGTACCGCAGACCGACGATTTGAAGCTGCCCCTCGACTTTGGGAAGCACACGAAGCTGGATCTGTTACCACATCGCATAGGTGGATCAGTAACGTGTGCGCCGCGATGCAGAGCCGCGATGCAGAGCCGCGATGCAGAGCCGCGATGCAGAGCCGCGATGCAGAGCCGACGGCCACTTACCGTTTTGGTTTCCTTGGCGGCCAAGCCGACTCGCTCGAGACACTCGACGTCGTATACGTTGTTGGAGATTCTCCTCGAGCGGTTCTTGCCGTCCACAACGCCTGCCTCGAGGATGGAGACTTTGATGGTCCGGATCTGCTCGTCCGGGACCGAGTCATGGGTGCACTCCAAGAACACATCCTCCAGCGTGACAGGTGTCTGCATAGGGTTGTGAATAGGGATAGACACAAACACAGGCTCTGGACAGGCACGAAGGTGTTCAGCAGCAGAGTTAGAGCAGATGTGGAGCAGTGGTCGGCGATGGCAGTGCCAAGCAACATGAACGAGGCTTACCTTGGACGGCACAGATGGTTTTCCCAAAGGTGACCGCCTTGGTGACCTTCTTTTTGAATCCTAATATCTCGGCGTTGTTGAGGCCCTCCTCGATCAGGTCTCTCTCCATGGACTCCCAGACCTCTTCTTCGACGACGAGCGAGCTAGAGACCGCGCCGGAGCTCTTGTTGAACTGCTCATCGAGAGAGGATATGTATATTTGCGAGTCGTTGATCACCGGGATGGGCAGCTTGGGCAGCTGACTAACATTGGTCAGGCTGTTGCGGACTGAATATTGCTGGGAAAGACGGGGCAGGAGCCACGGCCGGTGAATATACGACAGAGGCAGAGCATCGTTGTCAATTCAGCGGACACAGCGGGTGGACTAGCTTGGTGCGTCAGATCTGCCGGCTCGTGAGAAGCGAGCCACCCGACCCTATTCACGGAGAGAAGCTCGGCCTGGCAAAACGCTACCTTGTATATATACAGGAATTCGCTCATGTTGGAGGCTTGTTGCTCAGCCGTCTGCCGGCTTTCCTTGAGTAGCTTCAAAAAGAATCCCACGGACGACTCAAGGTCGCCAAGATGGAAAGATTGGCGACCCAGAGTAAATGAAATGTGGTCATCTATCAAGCTCCATGACAGCTTGGAGTAGACGTGCGAGGCGTTCGTGTAGCAGCGATATGCATGTTGCCGCTGGAGATTTGGGCGATTGGATTTGTTTAGTGGTCGGCACTGTTTCGACATCATTTGCGTGTTGGCGGAGAGAACAATGCGAGAGCCCCGATGCCAGTGCCGGCACCATCAAGTCTCCGCTTGCACGCACTGTGGGTGAAACCATACCAGACTGCATTTGGAAAATCTCTGCCCGGCTAGAATCAGATAAAATGCGTATTTGCGGATCATGGGTCCTTGTGCCACTCGGATGTGGCAGTGTGCCGCCTGTTCATAGAACAGTCCACTACGGATGTCGGACTCCTAAATTTTGAAGCAAATGATTCGAAGCATAATCAGGGGTTGCCGGGCACGGTCAGCATGGTGCGCCCGTCAGCATACATGATGGTGCGATGTCTATATTGCATCCGTGTCCAGAGGGTGGGGGCGGTCGTCGCGGCTACGGCTCAACCTACCTCGCCGGTCATCTTGATAAGCAGCTTGGCGGCATCTGCATGCCCGCTGCGATCTTTGAGTCCCTCATAGACCATCATGGTGGCGCGCGCAGCATAAATGGGGGTCTTGGCGTCGTTGTATCCAAGAACGGCGTTGTCAAGAAGAGTCTCGATCGACCCCTTGGTAACGGCAGCGGCGTCGGACATGAGACTGCAGAGCGCCAGCATCTCTTGGGTGCCTGCGTAGTATTTGCAGGCCTTGTCTCCAGCTTGCTGGAAGTCCTTTCTGGCCATGTCATAGATAGCGGAGGCAAACTTGAAATCGCGGAGCATAAACGAATAGTCGGCGAGCTTTCGGAGCAGGAACTCGGGCGAGTTGAAGGGAAAGCTACATGGCACATGGTGGCGCGGTTAGAAAGCATCACAGACGCCGAGTGGAGATTCTACCACCGACTGGCCGTATCCTTACACAAGAAGCCCATCCACGTTGGTTGAGGGAATTGGCACACCAGCAGGCTTGGCGGAGGCGCCAAAGTATTTGCGACCGGCGTTGAACAGGCGGCCAGTAATACCCCTTCGCGAGCTGGCAATCTACATGTGGAGAGTAGGAGCAAGGTTGAGTACAGAGTTCGCTGCGATGCTTCTATGGCACACGATGACTAGGCTTTAGTACCTGCTCGTTCCAGTGCTGCACGCTCCGCTCCATCGATGGCAGGACAGTTTTGGATAAGAGATCCCTCATGAAACTCTCGATGGCTTCAATATCGGTGTGAGACATGTACTGGCCCAAAGCTACACTTGGGGCTACCGGTGACGCGGCCACCACGTCGATCAGGCTCTCCTTCTTTGCCGCCGCGTCTATAACAGGGAACCCATCTTCCGTAATGGATGGTGCTGAGGGTGGCGTCTGAATGCCGGCATGCAACTTGTCGAGCGAGTCGTAAAGCGGCTTGAACTCATCCACCGAGGCGGACCATCGATCGGCGACGACAGGCTTGGGCAGCACGGGCATTGCGAAGGGATCGTCGATGGTGGGCTTCGGAATCGAATTGACGGAAACGACGTGGCAGCTCAATCCGAATGTTTTCTTCATCAAAGCCAGCATCGACTCGGCGCTGATTGCACGAATGTGGTACGGGCTCGGTCAGCTGCGAAACCACAGGCATGAGAGACGGAGGATCGCCGTGCGGCCCTCGATCCAGAGACCAGCACAAAGTACAGAATAGCGCTCCGTATGGCTCTTACTCGAACTGGCCGCCGGTCTTCTGGACGTCATTGACGAGCAAGTAGTGCTTTGGAATGTTGTGGTCCAAGTATGGGCGCTCGACAAAGGCTTGATGCGGTCGTCCGGGATCAAACAAGGACGACATGGTCTTGATGGGATCGGGGTTGGACGACGAAACCACGATCAAGCCTGGTTGGTTGGTTGGTTGGTTGGTTGAGGGATCGAGCAGCAGTGTGAGAAACAATATCGGGAGGGCTTTCAAGGGCCAAAGCAGGCCATTTCTGTACCCCTTGGTGCTGTCCTTTGCACCAGAAAACTGATCGATTATGACGTGGAGAACTTACATGCTACTGGATGGTTGAAGGCTTCATGCTCCGATATCCCGCCATGAGCAGATACATATGTGCGGTACCGCGAATACCACGGAGTAAGCTCCTCGACGGTTACTGTAAACCCAGACCATTCGGCCACAAATGTCAGCACAAGGCACCAGGAGAGCCGCTAAATCGTTTCTCGTTCAAGAGTGATTGTCACTGGGCAGAGCGGGAATGCCAAGTCTGGCCATGTTATGCTCACCGCTCGAGGCAATATCTCGGGCATCCGACTTTGTTGCGAGGGGTGGGGGCTGGGTCAGCGGACGGTGATGGTCCCGAAGCTGCTGAACGGCCACCTTGCCGATGACGGTGGAGCTGAAGTTGTCGAGAGCATCCAGATAGTTGAACCGGAGCTTGAACCCTTCGACTGAGACCGCCTGGCTGCTGGAATCACGCACCTGGACTGTTGTGTTTCTCGCCATCGAGCCATGCAGGAAGGAGGAGTGAAGGTCCAGTGCCAATAACAGAGTTTTGGAAATCGAATTTGCAGTTGTCGACCAAAGCAGCGAGGGTAGTTAGCGGCCAGAGCCTCGGAGGAGCATATGACGAGGGCCAGATAGCGATGTGGAAACTGGCGGGCAGATATTCCCCACTGCTGGCGGGCAGATATTCGGCATTGCTGGCGAGCAGATATTCGGCACTGCTGGCGGGCACCCGGTACCTTTGGAGTTGAACGCCCCAAACGGACGGATGAATTGCAGAAACGAGCTGAAGTTGCTCTGCTGCAGGACAGGATCGACATCCTCGGAGGTCAACACAGCCACAAGTGGGGAGAGCGCTGTGCTGACAAAGGCTCTTCCGGAGGCATCCATTTGGGCGGCGGCGGTGTGGACGGGGGCGATCTGGAGACTTGCAGCGGCGTTGTCGCAGGAACGAGGCTCCTGGTCGATGCAGGCCAGGGAGGCAGGCGGACGGGTGCAGATGGGTGCTGGGGTGGCTGGATCGGCCAGGCCGCGAAGGAGGCGGGAACAAAGGGGCGTGCGTGTGTGCATGCACGTGACGGCGGCGGCTCGATCCAGATTTTTTTGGCCGGCATGGCTTTTGGTGGCGATCGCAACACCAGCAGCGACCGGCACATCACACTCCGATCAAGAACCGTCTGACCCAGCATGCTGCAGCGCATCCCTGGCCTCGCCGCCAGAGCGACGCTCTTCCGCCCGTTCAGCCCGTCGCTCTTGCAGATCAATCGTCTGCAAGCACAAGTGTCTTGGCCTCGGACAAGGACGATCGCTTTGCGGACGCTATCGACAGCCCATGTGCGATTGGAGGATCTCAAGGGATTCCAGAGCTTGGCCTTGCCTGCGCAAATGATCCAAAGTATCTCCTCCAAGGGTATCGCCCAGCCAACGCTGATCCAGGAACGGGCCATACCGGTGCTTCTGGAGGGCAAAGACGCCATTCTGACGGCCGAGACGGGGTCCGGTAAAACGCTTGGTAAGTGTATGCTGGCTGCGCTGTGCCGGAGTGCCTGACGAAGGTCCATCGCAGCCCCAACAGGACTGTTCCGCAGTCTTCTGCTGGCCTGTGCCAAGCGATTTACATGTCTACATCACTGTTGCTACGGACTACTATACAACCGTCAACACTGTCTGGGTACCACATCGGACACTGTGTGCATATCACGCACGGGTGTTTCTCAGCATATCTTCTCCCGATCCTGGCGCGGATGCAAGCGCTCAAGAGCCAAGGCACAGATCAGGAGCCGAGCGAGCCCTCAGAAAGCGCCCGCAATTTAGACGCTCTGTCGCCAACGGCCCTGTTTGTCGTTCCGAGCCGGCATTTGGCCATCCAGCTGCTGTCGGTTATCCAGGCCGTCCAGCCGACCGGGCTGACGGCGCTGCTGGCACCCTTCCCCGCCGATTTTCCAGCGCACCAGTTCAGGCGCCCGGACATTGTTGTGACCTCGCCGACATTCCTGGTCAACATGAGCGATCCACAGCTCAAGCAGTTCTTCCGCCGAGTCGAGTTTGTGGTCATTGACGAAGCCGACACGGTCATCAACTCGTACTACAACATCAGTCTGCGAATCATGAATCTGGGCCTTGCCAAGCGGTCGCCTGGGCGGTCGCATCGGCCCCAATATATTTTTGCAGGAGCAACACTTCCCCCGGTCAAGTCGGATCGAGAACGGTCCCCACGCGCGCTGATGCTCAAAAAGTTCCCTGGGATCGTTACCCTGGGAACGCCGGGTCTACACCGCCTGCCGCCAAACATCCTGGAACTCTTTGTGCGGGTCTCCGATGAGACCGAAGGCGAGACTCCGTCGAGCGACGAGTTCGGAACCAAGCTGAAGGGCATGCTCTCTCTGCTTCTCACGCGCGTGCGTGAAAATGCCGAGCATGAAGACGGACCCGAGCGATGGATCGTCTTTTGCAACTCACAGCACAGCGTCGAGCAAGTCCATGCTGCGTTGACGGCAGCAAGCACGATCGAAGGCCAGAATGACGACCTGTCGCCGGGCTGGCTCCAGTCGATTCCGTTGCACGCGGGCATGCCCAAAGCCCAGAAGGACGAGTCGCTTGCGACCATTTTCGGACAGCCACAAACGGCGCTGATCCAAACAATCGTCAGCAGCGATGTGTATGCACGAGGCATGGACTTTGCAGATGTTTCCACTGTCGTCAACTTTGATTTTCCCAACGATGCGGCGGGCTATGTGCATCGGGCCGGCCGAACGGGCCGCGCTGGCCGATCTGGCGAAGGTGAGTTCCATACCCCACAGAAAGCTGCCTTCTTGGGTAGACCCGATGTAGTCGTACCATGGCAGCAACGAGATGGAACGGGTAGAGGGCAGGCATGCGACCCTCTTGGCTGACTCACTCTGGAACGTTTGTTTGGTCCGTCTCTGGGTTTGCCTGGTTGGCGGATGCCCTCCGCTTTGATGCGCGAATCTAGTGATCAGCTTTGTGACCAAGGCTGATGAACGGCTGGTGAGCTTTATCGAAGCCGCTGCCTCTGGCGACACATCCAACACACGGCTCAAGATCCACGACAACTTTTACGAGAGCCTGGGCTCGGGCGAGTCGGTGGCAGAGACGTCCATGCAGGCGGTATCGAACTCGGTCAAGTTGCCACTGACGGGCGTCCTGAGTCGCAAGGGCTCCCTCAAGAAGGCCATCAAACGCAAGGCCCAAAGGTCCTCTGGACCCTCGTCGTGAATATATTGTAGATACGGAACGTCGTATGCGATCCTTGCGCGAATGGAGCCAATCGACACATCGTGTCCTGCATACCTCGGTGCGGAAACTGAGAGCAGCGAGGACTGCAACTATGATGCGGCTGTTATCTCGGCGGGGGATGGAAGTCGGTCCTTTTGTTGCGCATGTGCGATTCCTTTCCTGCGTGAACAGAGAGTACAACAGCGGTGTCACCGGGCGTCCTCAACATCAACCATCACTTGGTTTGGGAAACACAATTTTGGATGCAGATTGTTGGTCTCCCGTGGCGATGTGAGAGTGTGGTGCATTCATTCGACTCTCTGGACAGCTCTATACTACAGCGTTTCCAAAAATGAAATGGGACACCCCGTTTTGAGCCATGGCAGGGTTTTTTCTGTGACCTGAATACACCCACATCGCTGCACTGCGACCGGTGGTCTTCACTCGGAGGCTGCCAAAGTGATCTGTTATATTGCTTATGGCATAGTTGGACGCATGCCATCGCATACCGCGCTGACAAATGGGTTGTGAGCAGGTGTCCCATTTCCCCCTGAGTAAAGTGTATCAGGTGTCTCGTTTCAAGTACCAGACACACACACACACACACACACACACACACACACACACACACACACACACACCACGCACACACACCACGCACACACACACGTGCTCAACCTGTCCGCTCTGCGAATCGGGCCAGACACCACTCTTTGCCCCGATCAATCCCAACGAAGAAGCAAGCTGTCGCCGTCACAGCAGAGCCAGCAGAGCCAGCAGATCCACAGCTTCCGATGCAGGGCAGCAATTCCGGCGGTGCTACTGGTCGATTCCCCGAGCAATCTGCCAACGGCGATCTGGCGGCCCAAGTCCCCGACCTCGGCAAACTCACAGAAACAAGTGGCCTCAGCAATAAACAGCTCGCCCAAGGGCCGGACAAGGTCACAGATCCCAGCACGGACGAGGTCCAAGGCACTCCAACGACACCATCATCCATATTCACCGTCAGTGGGGAGCAGGCTGTCTCGCGCCTGGTCCTGTACTGCAACGACCTCAGCAAGAGCAGCGACGCTTCTATCAAGCCCAACTACACTACCAAGACTAATGCCGATGGCCGGTTCACCTCCACACTCGAGATCCCGTTTGGGTGCCCGACAACACTGAAGCAATTTGCTGGCACGCCCCAGACGACCAAAAACGACGCCATTCATCAGGTCGCTCGGATGGCTCTAACAGAACTACGGACCGAGCGCATTCTCGATTCCAAGCTCAGACTGCTCAGCAAGCCCGATCTAGAGGACCACCACTTGGCCTGGATACCGCCGAGCCTGGACCCGGGCAGTTCGTGGACAACGCACTCGGAGCTCTGGGTCTCGGCGGTCGAGTTCCTTTCCGGATCGTCGTGGCAGCGCGAGATTCTGGGGCTGGCCACCTGCGGCCCACTGTCACCTGCACATCAGCCGATCGAGCTTCATCTCACCATCCGAAAGGCCTCGCGGATCGTCCGGATCGTCTCGGCCCCACAGCCGATCAAGCTCAGTCCCGAGCAACTCCAATCGTTGCTTACGTTTCACCTGGGGGTCGTTCAGAACACCGTGCGAGAGACATTCAGCGACGAAGCTCTTGAAGAGCTTGGCCAGCCGATCTTCCTGATAGTTCCGATCTGCTCACTCGCCATCAAGCCGGGCGACCCCGGTGAGATTGACTGGAATGAACTGCAGCGGCTTGACAGCTTTGACAAAGCACCAAGATCGATAATGGATCACCTGCACCTACCCAGCGAAGAACTGACCCAGATGGTCGTGGTTGACAACTACTACCACTCTATTCGGCGGTACAAAATCGAGTCCGTCGACAGGAGCCAGAACCCCGACTCTGTCGTCAAGGTTCAGGACTACGGCAAGCACGAAACGCCTTTCGCCTTTTATACGTATCGGCTGAGGTGCAAGGGGACCATCGATGCCACGCAGCCACTCCTTCACGTCAGGGAAGTGCCGTCGATTGATCTGCTTGAATCAAACAAAGACCCGCCCGAGGAGACCGTGTGCCTACCGCAGTTCTGTGAGGTTGTTTCGGTCCACGCCAAGCACCTACTGGCAATGACCCCCTTCCCCATTCTGATGACGGAGCTGTATCACTGGATCCGAGTCCGACAGCTGCTAGAGGCCCTTGCGCTTCACCCGGACTCGGAAGGTCGAGTTCGCTCGGCCTTGGTAGGGCCCGGCTACTCGTCAGAGTTCAACTACGAGCGCCTTGAGACCCTGGGCGACAGCTTCCTGAAGATCTATCTCGGTACCCACTTTTTTTCAAGCTGCCCTGAGGATAGAGAAGGCAACCTGACGCTGGACCGCATGCATGCCGAGAACAACTCGAAGCTGGCCGAAATCGGGAGGGCAATGAAAATCACGCAGTACTTTCTCGGACAGCAGCTTTCGCGCAAGCTGTGGAGCCCCCCGTCGAATAGCTCGTACATCAAGTTGACAGAAGATATGACTGCTGACGTGGTCGAGGCTCTGATTGGATCGCAGTGCGCCTACGACCTTGACGCAGCTGCAGCCCTGGCGGTGCGTCTGTACGGGTCCATCGGCAGCGCCAAGTACCTGCCATCGTTACGTGCTTACAGCGATCTATGGAGATCGCAGAGCCAGCAGTCTGATCAAGAGTCTGGAACCATCACGCCCGACCAGCAACGCAAAATCAGTCGTCTGGAGCAGCTTGTGCGGTATCGTTTCAAGCACCCATCACTTCCGCTGGAGGCACTGACGCACGGCAGCGCACGATCGGTGCCCGGTGGGGCCTACTCGGGCAACTCATATCAACGGCTCGAGTTTCTCGGTGAGTTGAGCGGAATGGGGCACTGTATGGATGTGACCGTGTTGTCGTCTCCGCCGAATGCGAATGAGCATGCAAAATGCCGATCGGAGCGAGGACCCTGATTCAAGCGAGAATCGATCGATCCGATCAATCGGTTTGCTTTCGTACAATATCGCACGGCATCGCACTGCATCGCACGGCATCGCGCTGTAGCCGAGACACGGCGCTGATCCTGGTCCTTTCTCGCTGGTGAGCAGGCGACGCTGTCCTCAACTTTGTTGTGACCCGATATGCGTATTCGCTGGATCCGGCCCTGGCACCTGGTCAGATAACGGATCTGCGGTCGGAACTCGTGGGGAACTCCCTGCTGGCCTGTGTCTCGGTATCGCTGGGCATTCACACGATGCTTGATCATGTTGGACTGGAGAAGACGATCGATCCCTTTGAACAGTATGTGCGGCAACAGCAGCGAGAAGGACCCACGAACCACGGATTCTGGAACTTTTTCCGTGGAAATCCTCCCAAGGTCCTGGGCGACGTGTACGAATCGTTGCTGGGGGCAATCTATGTCGATTCTGGGTTCGACACTGATGCGATCTGGGGCGTGGTCAAGCGCACGCTGATTGCGCCGTGGTGGGATTCGGCTACACGCTATCTCCAAGACACCCGAACGAGGGCCAAGAAGAAGCAGCTGGACAAGAAGAAGCGGGCCAAGAGGAGAGAGAAGCAGGCCGCTGCGGGAGTAGAGCTGCCCGAGCAAGCCGAGCCCCAGGTCGTCCCGGTGGGTGTCGTGCATCCCACTCAGCAGCTCTACTGGATGCTGAATGACACTCTGACGTGCAAGCAGCCAATCGATTTCCGGTGAGTCCCGCAAATGTGGATGGGAGGGTGCGAACGGAACATGGGAACATGAGAGCATGAGACGCTGGGCATGGGAACATGGGGCTTGCGCTGTGCCTGGGACGTGCTTCGACTTGATATCTCCCACTGACCGAGCGAGGTGCCGGGCTGCTGGCTCGATGCAATCCTTGAACAGGATCACGGTTCATTCCAGTAGCCAAATATCGTGCGCTGTCGTCGTCCACCAAGTGGAGCTGGGCCAGGCCACGGCAGCGACCCGACGGCAGGCCAAGAAGGACGCCTCGGTGCGGAGCTTGGACTGGATCTGCGACCACTTTGACAAGTTCACGAAAATATGCGGCTGTGCGAGCCCGACAAGCGATGCAGACGGAGCATGCTGGACAAAGGACGACGAAGCCACGGGCAGCACCCCGGCCGATCTGGCGGCCGAAGGTTGGGTGCTCGGCGACCCAGCAGGGTTGGTCGAATGAGCAGCTGGAGATCAGCAAATGTATCCGGCCTCTGCCCTGTTGGACTCGAAGCGAGCCCAGCATTCCCCCCCCCACAGGCGCACCCCTCGTGGTGCCAGTGCGTGCTGGTGCGGATGTGGAGCGAGCATGCGTTTGGGTGCCGCCGGGCGAAAAGGAAAGACAGGGGGGGGGGAGGCTCTTTGCGGGGAAGGCCGGCGTGTCGGGGACAGACCTTTCTGCTTTTTGCGGGGAAGGACATGGCCAGCAAGCAACGGAGCAGGTCTGCAGATCAAGCGGACAGGACATGGCCAGCATCAGCAGTCCGCTTGTTGGCAGCCCTTGCCGGATGCCCAGCAGAGACGCAGGAACTGGTTCTGCCTTGTGGGGGGAGGGTCACGGCGCGAGCCTCGAGGCTTGGTCATGGGCCGCGGCGCAGGCGGTGGTGCTGGCTGTGGTGTTGAACATGGTGTTGTTGGCGAGGGCAGGAAAGGCATTGGCAGCAGTGAATCGCTGGCCCTCTCGATGAAACCGAGGTGCAAATGGACATGTTGCCGATGGACAGCACCGAAAGCAGGCCAAGGAACAACATGCGACAGCGACATGCCACAACATGCCACACCATGCCACAGCGGCAACGGTGCGGCGCTGTATGGACGGCGGGTGCGCAGCAAGGCCGCCTTGCCGGGTGGCGGGCACGGGGTCGCCGCGGTCCCGAAATAGCAGCGACCCGCCACAAAAAACAACAGAGAGTGTGCGACTGTGAGACCGGGGTGCTGAGCAGCTCGCACAGAGACAGTGCACGGGCTGGCCACTCACGGAGACACACAGACACTTGCACAGACACTTGCACAGACACTTGCACAGACACTCGCACACGGACTGCAGACGCGCCCTCGCGTAGTGCTTGGCGTACCACCCCGCATTCGCGCCACAGAGCGGCCGAACCACACACGCACTGTGTCGCATTGCACAGCGACAGTGCAACCCCAACACGCGCTCGCTGCAACGCGTCGCCCCGCGCACGCCGCCGCCGCCGTCCCACACAAGCAGGCCCCGCTTCGTGTCCCCTTCGATCTGGAGCGCCTTCTTGCCCTGCAGCAGAAAGGGGTGTCCTCGCCCCTCGGCAAGACTGTGGCTTTCGGTTGCCTTCTCCCTCCTTCCGCTTCGATCCCATCTGCTCGTCCATTCTCCCCTCCTTTGCGGCCCCGCTCTCTCCCCCCCTCATCCGAAATGGCTCGAGAAGACGAGGAGGCCTACACCCAGTACATCGCCTTGCGGCAGTGTCTGGCTGACACGCTGCAGTCCCTCATTGACGACGGCACCCTCGAAGACAAGATCCGCCAGTCCCAAACAAAATCCAAGCTGGGCCGCCTCTCCAACTGGAACATCATCGACCTCGCCCTGGACGTCACGGATGAGATTGCCCGGCGCAACGACAAGAGCAACGGTACGTCTCCTTGGGCCTTACGGACATCCTCCAGCTCGCCCGTTGGGACGCCATTCGAATCCGTCGCATTACTGGGTGTCTGCCTCGAATGCCGCCCATCCTAATCGCTCTCGCGATGCAATGTGCTGCAGTGCCCTTCCTCCCCGTCCGATCCGATTTCCACCAGAAGCGCAACCAGGCTCGCCAGAAACTCGCTACTCTGGCCTTCTCGCGGTGTATGGATCTGGCTCTCGACATTTGCTTCGAGATTGAGAAGCGCTATGACCACTTCATCGACAAGTACGAGCGGGAATACGAAAGCACCGTAAGCGCCGCCCCATCTCCTGGCTTTGCCTCATCTCCTCGCTTTGCTCTCCCAGAGTCTGTTGTTTCCTTTTTTGCAGTATCCATCGCAAGCGGCTGCATCGCTCGCAGCTGCCTTGGTCCCGATGCAACCCCTCTCTCGCTCGGGCCTTCGGTGCCTCATCTGCCGTTTTTCGGTGCTTGCACGCCCACCTGTCTCACATCGGCGACGCATTCATCTGACGCAATAGAACCAATCTCTGAGCCGGCGGACATCCAAGAACCCATATGACGAACCCCATACTCCTCTCGATAACCTGATCAGCGATCTTGAAAAAACTAAATCATCTGGCGGAAAATCGATGGTGAGTCGCTGACTCTGATTGCCGTGTCCCATCTGTCGTCAGCGTCCCTGTCAACCTCGCCTGCATCGCCATTGGGTCATTTTCACCGTCGCTACTTGCCTGTCGATGCCAATGCTAATGCTAATGCTAATGCTAATGCTAATGCTAATGCTAATGCTAATGCTAATGCTAATGCTAATGCTAATGCTAATGCTAATGCTAATGCTAATGCTAATGCTAATGCTAATGCTAATGACCTCTGACTGGCTTCTCTGCGCAACCGGATTATAGGACGATTCGTCCCGTGCCAAGGAAGACAACAGCCAGCAGGTCGAGCAGCTCAAAAGCGAGCTCAGTGCCCTTGAAAAAGAGAAAAAGGTAATGCAGCCGGTTCTCGGTGACTCTGAGAACGATGCTCAAGTCTCGAAGCGCTGCCACAGTCCGGACTCACCGACTCGCTGACCCGCAGGCCCAGATTACCGAGCTTGAAGTCCGACTCAAGAAGGAGCAAGACGTAGGTCCACCCCCGGGCAGAATTCTTTTGTTGGTGGTCCGCCTGGATGCACAAAATTGACTTGGATTGCACCATCTCACACAGGCCATGACAGCCTTGCAAAAGCTGTACGATCAGCTGCAGGAGAAGCACGATCGGCTGAACGAAGACTACCGCACGCTTCGGGACGACTTTGACAAGCAGAAGGAGGTACAGTCAACCTGTGCATGTGGCAACCCATCATTTGGCCTCGGTCTGGGTCATTTCCCCCGCTCGTGGATGCGACGGCCCGTCATATTCCCCTGCCCGACCCCTCAGCTACTCCCAACCTATTAATTGCTCCATCTGCGCATCTTCTCCAACCAGATTGGCGATGATATCCGCGCCGAGGTTGCATCTCTGCTGGAAGAGATCAAGTCTCTCACGGCCAAGTATCAGGATCTGGAGCAGACACACAAACGGGATGAAGATCTGATCCGCGACCTTACAGACGAGGTACAGAGCGACGAAACAACACTTGGCCCGTGTACTTGGCTCTAAGCGAGGCACCCACGCAGCATCTGTGACTTTTGTGGCCATCGTCGTTGGCCGAGACAAGCGCGTTTCACTGATTCATGCCACTGGCCGTCACTCTCTATGCACAGAATCGCCGCCTCGAAGGCCAGCTCGCCGATGTGTCGGTCTCGGCTACGCCCAAGAGTAAGTATGGGCTCGGACTCGATCCTGTTTTGTCATGACAGCACCCGTTAAAGCGACATCGCTACCGCAACACCTCGTGGCCCGCTGTGCTGCTGCATCTACTCATACGTGTGATCTTATCGCTCGCTCTCCAGCCCCACGCGACCGGTCTCGCGATCCTCGTGATCCTGTTCAGCGCGACCGATCCCGAACCCGCAGTCGCTTGATGCGCTCGCGGTCCCGGGGTCCGTTGAGCCCTGCTTCCGAGTTCAAGGAAATGGATACCAACGATTACAGCGCCGAATACAATGCCATGGATCGTTCCAAGTTGGGTGCATTCCATGCAGCGACCGATGATCTGCTGAAGGCCGCCAGGTAAGACTCGGCATGGTCTGGACCACTGTGGTTCAGTGTGTCGGCCATCCGTAGTCCTTGTTCGTTGTCATCCCTCGACGCTACACCTTGCATTCTTCGTGAACGGCCGTTCTCCTCACAAGATGGTTGGCGCTTGTGGCTGCGCTCGATTTGTGCTGTCGCCGGTTCTCATTACTCTGTTTCCATCACCCCTTCTATCGCACACTCACGATCAAACGGAGCAGAAGCGACGTACCCACCAGCGTGCTGGTTCCCATGAAGGCAATTGTGCTGGCCTGCAAGCGTATCAACGAAGACACCGAGTCGTTTGAGGACAACCATGGCCGCCAGCTTTCGGTCAGCGACCAGGACTATCTTCAGACCCTCAAGAGCAATCTGTCGTCTGCCCTGACCTCGCTCATGACTGCCGCCAAGAACCACGCCACCAGCTACGGATCCGGATCCGGTAATACCTCCGCCAACCTGGAACAAGCGACCAACGGTCTCACCTCTGCCGTCTTGGACCTCTCCAAGTTCACGCGGAGCAAGAAGGAGACCTCGTCATACTCGAGCTACTCACAGCACGGTACATCGTCCCCAATCGAGCGCGGAGATCGAGACCGTGATCGTGATCGTGATCGTGATCGTGATCGTGATCGTGACCGTGATCGTGATCGCGAGGGCCGAGACCGCGACCGCTCCGAGACTCGCGAGAACGCCCGACCGGGCCGTCTGTCGGGTCGCCAGTCGATCCGTCGTGACCGACCCAAGAGCATGGACATCAACGAGCTCAAGGTTTGTCCTGATTCTTAGTTCCCACTCTGTAGTATACCCTTGGTCGCGCCAGGCTTGTGCTCATCTTTCTGCCACCACCTTTTGCCTCGGCCACAGTCTTTCCTGGAGCAGCAGACCGACTCGATCGTATCTGCGATCCAAACCCTGCTCTATGCCATGCGCCAGCCCGACTCCTCCAACCAAGAGTTCAAGGACACGGTCGATGGCATCACCCTTATCGTCGAGAACCTGGTCAAGGTCTCCCGACAGACGCTCTCCAAGCCCTCGCCCACCTCGCGCAAGCTCGGCGAGCGCGGCAATCAGATCCTGACCGACCTTGCCGAGGCCAACGTCAAGCTCATGGACCTGGGTCAGACCATGATGAGCCAGGCAAGCAGCAACACCGAAAAGGCGAACAAGGCGATGAAGCAAAAGCTGGCCTCCTCCTCATACGATATTGCAAAGGTAATCGCTGCGTGCTTGCATCCATGCGGCGTTGGCCTGCGCGCCCTTGCCGGTGCAGTCAGTGCGGATGGTGGTGCAGTCAGTGCGGGTGCCGGCTGCTCCACCCCGTCTATCCCTCGCCACCGTCGCTAAACTACCTCGCTCTTCGACGATATCGTCAACTGGCCCATCCAGTTCGTGAAGGAGCTCATCGGCCTGATTGACTAAGCGACGACGGACCAGCCAGAACCGGGAAGCTCAGGACAGAGGCCCCAGGATCTGATACCAGGAGCAAACGAGGATCGAACATCGTGAACCAAGCGCCCTCGTCGCCCATCTCTGCCTTTCGTTTTCTTCTTTCACCCTCTTTTGTTACATCTCTCTCTCCCCTCTCAAGTACCGCTGCAACGCTTGATCAAAATCGAGCTCAGCTCGCGATGCTTTGGTTCATCATGCTCCCTTCCCCCCGCAGTCTGGGGCCGTTTGTATCGAGGACGTGTCGGTTATCCAACGCCTCCAGCTCAAATCCCAAGCGGATACCGAATTGCATCGGCTCGAGTCAGAATCGCACTGATCCGAGCCGACCGAAGCCATGGAAAGTCACCACTGCAAAGAAGAAGAAAGCAACACACTCACACATTCAACACAAGTCAGTTACGACAACCTCCTCCCGGCATCACCGGCCAAAGTGATAAACAGACATCTTGCTCTCTCAATTCCAAGTTGGGTCTTCCTTGCTACCACTGTGCTGTGCGCGCATTCTTCTTGATTGTCGGCCCTATCCTCTCCATCCCTTTACCGTTTTTCCACATCCCCATTTCCTCTGCGCTTCTCCCTTCTCCTTTGCTCCCCCTTCCTTCCCCTCCGCCACCAGTTCGGCCATCTGGTCGTTCAGGGCTCCATTCACCGTTTGGCAGCCAGCATGATGTACGCAGTCTCTTTGCTATCGTTGTTTCGAGTCCCGAGCCTGGGCTCTGTCGTCTCCGTCGCCCTTTTTTCTTTTCTATTCTCTTCGACCTAAACTCGATCAATTCTATGAGGTATATGCCCCCTCCCTCTCGCATCCTTACTTTTTTTTTTCCGTCCTCTTGTCCAATGCTGATGCTGCCTCGTTTCCGTGCGATACATATATCATGATAACAGAGGTACTTTTGCCCCCCCCCCAAGTATCCTTTCCCTTCTCCATCGCTTCGGCTTGTCTCCTCGCACCTGCCTCTCGATCTTGTATCTCACTGGAAACATTTTGGCATCGACTGTGACAGGTTTCGGAAGGTGGGCGGGAAGCACCAAGCAGCACCACATAGTTGAATGATATCGTCCCTTTGCCCTGCTCACCAACCCATCTCAAACAAACAAGCAAACAAGCAAGCAAACAAACAAAATGCAAGCGACAACTTGAAGCAAATGACGAGGGATAGCCTCGCCAAGCCCTCACCCAGTTCAGCGTCTGGTCCAATGTGAGAATGCCCGCCGGAGCAATGCAAGCAGCCAGCTGCGCTCTCTACCTTCGTGCACGGGCGGTTGTCGGCCCTTCCGCACATGCTTTCCACACCTTCAGGAGTCAACTCCACCACCGACGAGACCTCATCCCATCACCCTCGCTGCTCTGTTTTTGTTGTGAACTCAAGGCGCCGACATCATTGCCCCCCCCATCTTTTCTTTCAAATCTCTCTCTGTCCGTTATGCTTTCTGTCGTTCTGACTTTCTGTCTGTTCGCCGCGGTACCAGTTGTCGCGGCACTCATCCATTGCTGCAGAGCAAGGACTTTGTGGATGCTCTGGATCCGCTTGGTCGCTTGGGTGGTGTCCTTGATTCAAAATACAGAATGGTCATGGCCAGCACATGATGATCTTGAGTGATAGCATTCACCAATGCTCAAAATCCGGGGTGCCTCGTTTTTCATAATTGCATTTGGCTGTAATGGATGCGCGTGTATTCCCCATTCAAAACAAGGTGACTTGCTTCATCTTGCTAGCGCTTTCAACTCGCGGCACACTCCCGATGCATCGTCAGGAGTACCCCAGTAGCTTATCGGATGAGCAGATCGGAAGAACAGATCCGGCAAGCTGGCCGATATCAATCCTCAACTAATTCGATCGGGCTCGGCCAGCTATACATTCGAGTCTGCAACGATTTCGGCACTCCTCCGCCCTCGCCTCAGGGTCTGCTCGATCGGAGCCGCCCTGTCGAACGGATCCAGCCCCGAGAGGCCTCGACTGGCCGAGAGGATACCGCTGAAACTACCGCTGGTGTGCTGGAGCTGCAAGGGGATAATCTCGTGGATCGTGATCAATACTACGCCGGAGTAGCTTACGATCACGATGGTGCCGAAACGAAGGCAGACCATGGCAATATTGGGCAGCTTGGAGTTGAAGTAGGCAGCGAGGGCGAGAGCGACCACCCCAAGGGCGCTGCGAGTTTGGGTCCATTGCCAGTCGGGAGATGGATGGGGACATGAGTTGAGAAAGAGAGAAGCGTGGGCGAAATCATCCACCGAGAATTTCCAGTGTGGTTGTTCAGGTATTTTGGGGGGGGGTTCGTGCGCATTCAAGTTGATGTTGGTGGTTTCCCAGCCGTGCATCGCGACAACCCGTCCCGCATGTCCATCATCCGAGACCGGTGAGATCCCGGGAGTCCATCAGCCAAGAAGAACCAGAGCGATGACGATGAAACGGGATTCGGATATCAATATGTGCGAGGGAAATTAAAATATCAATAATCGGAAACCGGAGCAATCAGACATGATGAGAGCCCAGGATAGGACCGATCGGAGCTGGTCCAAGGTCGAGTGCTCGATCCAGATCCGAGATAGATCAGAGACGGGAATGTCTTTACCCCCCTTTCTTCCCGTCCTCAATTCCTGACTCGCGCACTCCCTTGATTCCGCGCCCCATCCTCTCCCCCTCCAACGTACCATATCGCCACTTGTATCCTGTAGATCCGGTTGGCAACGGTGATGCTGGTTCTCGGACCGAGTTCGCGCTTGCGGGCGGTCGCCAAAGTCCCCTGCGCCGGCTGGTCGGCTGATTTGGTACCGCCAAAGAGTTTTCGGATAACGAGATGGATACAGGCAGTCCATGAGACGTAGATCACCATGGCATAGATAAACTGGGCCACAGTTTTCCATGTTCGTAGAAAATCGACTTGGGTGAAGGCCAAGAAGAAGATGTGCATAACAGCTGCAGCGGCATAGCCGATGTAGTCCTGTGTCCAACAGCGGCAGCCGACATCGAACTTGGATTAAGAAATGTGGGTTGGTAGTACTGCGCCGTGCACTGCTCTTTGTACTGCAACTCGAATGCCGTGTGCGCACACAATTTCGATCTCGGGCTTACATAGTATTTGGGGTATCCGAGTGTTGGGTGCAGGCTTTGGATGGCATGATGCTCGGCCCCAACGACACAGATTCCGAACAGCAGCAAAAAGACATTGTTGATCCTGCTGATTGTCAGAAAATACGTGTTCTGAATATGATGAGAAAGTGAGCAAGAGTTATATGCAAGCTCCGCACAGCCTCATGCTGAACATGGACATCGGATGAATTCCCCCTCTCCTTCCTTCCTTCCTTCCTCCATCGCATGCGATGATGATCAAGGCCGTGGCTTCACTCTATCCTACCACGCTGTCATCAGTATTGCCGTTGACGATTTGGGTCTGCGGAGCTGATAGCGTGAACGCGGACGCGATGATACTTGGTGATATCTGTTGACCGGAGGGGAAACATCAGCAGGGCCGCGAGCGGATGACTCGCAAGGCCAGCGCAACTACACCCGGCAAAGGCACCGGCCGAATGCTGCGGGCCTCTCACCAAGCAGACTGCAAAGATCGGTGCTATTGTTGCCCAGTTGCTTTGGGTCAAATAGGCACATTTGAAGCTCGAATACAGGATCGTGATAATGTTCATGGTGCTTGCCACGCCCAAGATCATGTACTGCAAGGCCAGCGAGTCGTTTGGATCGAGGTCCGGCATGCTGCAATCGGATTTGCGCTGTCCGTCCCGCGGAATGGCTCCTCAGATCTGCGATTGAGATTCAGTAGACGGTCTAAGCTGGGCGTTGGCTCGGCTTGGCTCGGCTTGGCTCGGCTTGGCTCGGCTTGGCTCGGCTTGGCTCGGCGTGGACTGGACTGGGAAGTGTGGGAATAGTGCCGACCTTTGGCCCGCTCTGTGGCTTCTGCAAAATGTACCGACCGGCGCTCCAGCGACTCAAAGGCTCCGCAAAATCCCGAGTCATCGTACAGCGCAAGACCACAACCCTCAATTTTGCAGCCAGCGATCGCATTTTCCCCTAGGTCGCCCATTCGCTCATCCATTACCGCGAGTGTCACGCTGCCGCCGGTGATGTTGCCCTTCGATCCACGACCTGCGTAAGGTTCCCCTCATCTCCAGCATCCAGCTTTGTTCACCATCGATGACGTACCCAACCCCGATGTAATTCCGGCTCTGATTCGTTTGCCATGGCGACGATTGCCGTGGATCGCCCGCGCCGCGCAAAATACAAAAGATCAGCCGGATTTCTTCGTCCACCTCGGTTCAGGCCAGAGCAAAATCAGCACCCAAGAATGAGTGAGCGGCTGTTGGAAGCATCGAGATATCCCTGCTTATGAGTGGAAGCAGAACGAAATCCAGCTCGCGGCGGCATGAGCCAAGAACATCTTCAGCAGCCTATGCCCACTGCAACCCATATCTTGCTCTGCCCACCAAGTTGAACCACGTCAAGCCTGATATACTTCTGCCTCGGAGAAATGCTTGGCTCTGGAGGCTATTTTTCAATTCCAAAGATTGGATCGGCTCACGGTGCATGACGACATCCACCTCACCAAGTAGACCAAGCAGTGGATCGAGTCCCGAGCCTGGAAAGAAGGCTTTCTGCCAGTGAATGCGCCCCTCCACTTCGGAGTTCCAGGGCACTGATTTGAGGAGCGCAAAAGACTGCAGCGAGTCGATGCTGTTCGAACATTGCTTTTATCTTACGCTTCTGTAGCATACAAAACTGAACCCCTCGTCATTCCCAACGGATACCACACGCCGCCAAAGTGCTAGCTACAAAATTCGACATTCGAGCTTGACTGCACGGTCGATGGCGAGATCAACGCAGCCGAAGCATAATCGGCGTCAAGCGCTCGGACTCGATAATCAGAGATTGTAAACAGCATCGTACCGAGGAGGTAAAAACCTCAATGTGCGCTGAGATGAGAGTGAGAGCAGAGAGAACAGAGAGGAGAAACAAATCGACACAATCGGCGGTACTATTTGGACTTTTGACACAGCTGGATTGCCCATTCCATCCCGTCGGACACACCATCTCCAGTCTTGGCCGAGCAGGGCTGAATCTGCCAGCGACGATCGCGGATCGAGTTGAGATTCAGCGCCGTCGCAATCTATGAAGCCAGATAGGCGATCAGTGCAGGGTCAATCTTGGCTCAGTCGGTCGATACTAGACCCTATGCCTCTGGCTCTGTATCGCTGTGAAACAGCGGCACTATACCAACACCACGGCTTGAAACTCAGAAGAGCCCAAGGAGGCGCAGAGCAAAGACAGTCGATCGGATTCAGATGCGCTCACTCTCCCCTCTCGACTTGCCTCATCCGCCGGCAGCGCCGTAACAAGATCTTGCTTGTTGGCAAACACCAGCAACGGTACTCCGGCGAGTTTGGCCTCCTCGAGCAGCAGATTCAGTTCCTGGCCACTGCGTATTCGGTTGGATGGTATCGGTGAATGGTTGTCTCGACCAGACACGGCTGTGTACTCAAAGCCTTAGGCAACCAAATGAGGCAGCAGCACCCGATCGCATTCCGGAACTTTTCACTTACGTTTCTTCAAGCCGACGCCGATCGGAACTATCAATCACATAGATCTATCCATAGGATGACGCCGGCGGGTGAGATGAACGTGTTGCATCTGCGTGTCGACGAGCGAGGCACTCGGGCAATCGCCAGAGTCTTGCCGAAAAACAACGCACCAGAATATCGGTACTCTCAAAGTAGTTGCGCCAGTATGGCCTGATGGACTTTTGGCCTGAGAGAGGAGTGGGGCATCCACAATGAGAAGTTGAGATATCCACAGTGCGCCACGCCACAGACAACGCGACCAGGATCATTGGTGGTTGAAACGGCCGGGACGATGGATTTGCGCTCTCGGAGCGAGGGCCCAGGCGAGGCGCTCAAGTCGGGTACCCTACCGCCAATGTCCCACACGTTCATCTTGAAGCCGTCCTGCGAGACGGATTTGATGTTGAAACCTTGGGTGGGCTTGATCTCGGTGATGTCCTCGGACGCGAGGCGCTTCAGCACGGACGTCTTTCCGGCATTGTCGAGGCCAAGCAGGAGGATGCGGACCTCCTTGTCGGAGCGCTTCAGCTTTCTCAGGAGCGAAAACAGTCCCTGGTCCCCGAGAAGAACGCGATATCCGAGTCAGCCAGCAGGGCGGCCTGGGCAAGTGCTCGTTCGCTCGCGCATGTGCGCATTCACAGGACTTTCATGTGGGGAACGACAGACACACGCACACGGGCCGTGCTGCATGATCCTACCATCATCTTATGAGCGTGTACAGTCAAGGACGGTCGCTGCCGTTGCCCGGGCTGCTGCTTGGATGGGGTTGATGCGGGGCGTGGGAACCGGACCAACACGGCGCTCCTGGAAGGGTGGGGCGGCCAGCGCGTGAGCAATCTGCCGAGCGCTTTCACGTGTGCGTGTGTGTGTGGCGCTGATAGGACGGCTCTCGCTTGCGTCTCGCCGGGGCTCTCGGCGACCCCGGTCCTGCACCGGAAGCTGTGTCCACACAGCCTGTGTGATCCCGCTGCGCTCTCGCCGCGCTCTCGCGGGGGTGGGTGCTGTTCGGCTCTTGGGCTTGGGTCTTCTTCGTTCGCTCGCGCATCGCCCAACGTCCTCATCCGCACACCGCCTGCCGCCCTCCATCCCCGCGGCCTCGCCAAGCACTGCTGAACTCGCTCATACCGCTGCTCAAATGGCCTCTTATCTGATCTGGCTGGGCGCCGTCGCCCTGCTCGCCGCCGCCTTCCGCTTCGCCAATCCATCGCTGTTCAAGTTTGTCTACAAGCACATTCTCCTCGTTTTCATCATGATGGCCACCTCCTTCTATGGCTGCACCATCTCCATCCCGCTGTTCCTCATCGGCAAGGGCGGCATGGTCAACTACTACACGGGCTCGTTCATGGCTGCCATCGCCTCGCCGCTGCTCAGCGTCAAGTACAAGGTCGTCAACGAGGATCTCTTGCACACCGACTCCTCGGCTGTCTACATCATCAACCACCAGAGCAGTCTCGACCTCATTTCCATGTCCGTGTCCCATCTTTGTCTTGTCCAAACGCTCCTTTGGTTGACATGGCTTCTTGGACAGGATCCGCTGCAGGGCGTCTGTTCCCGAGTGCGGCATCGCTCAGGCTCACGCTCGACGGGCGTCGCTTAGCCTACTCACTGACCGTGCCATTCCTCGCTCTGTGGCCGCGATTCGCATCTCCGCAGGTCCCGAGGATTCCCTAAAAACGCCGTTGTGCTGGCCAAGTCCATCATCAAGTGGTACCCCTTCCTGGGCCCTTACAGTAAGTGCATTGTCTCGACGGCGATTCGGCCCATGCTGTATGCAGCAGCGACGGCCAGCCGACGGTGGCTGCCGTGCGCCAATGATCTTTGCCACGGGTGCTATTCCTGCAATCTCGGAAGCTGTCGATAGCCAGAGCGTGCTTCATGGCGTGTATCCATCGCGGTACATCTGCCATAGAGCGACCATAATGCTCTTTGATCGCATCGTAAAGGAGCATCGCACCTGACGACTAAGCCTCGGCCATTTTCTCTGCATCTTCTGCATCTTCTGCATCTTCTGCATCTTCTGCATCGATACAGTGATCTTTGCCAACAATGTCTTTATCGACCGTGGCAACCGCCAGAGCGCCATCGACACCATGGCCAATGTCGCCAAAATCCTGAAGCAGAAGAATGTAGGTCGTCCAATGCTGATCGACTCTCCGCACTGATGCACGTCGATGGCTCCAACGGTTTCGCCTCCATCTTTGCCTTTGCCCTGCGTGGTCGATCGGGATTATTCACGATGCAGTGGTCATCACAGGAGTGCGCCATCGTCGCTTTCCTTTAGCCGTCACTAACACCCCTGCGATCTCAGCTCTCGCTCTTCATCTATCCCGAAGGTACTCGCTCTGGCCAGACCACCAACACCCTGCTTCCTTTCAAGAAGGGCGCCTTCCATCTGGCCGTCCAGGGTCAGATCCCCATCATTCCCATCGTCTTTTCTTCGTATCACTCTGTCTACAACGTCAAGCGCCGCCTCTTTGAAGATGGCGAAGTTACCATCAAAGGTGCCGTGTTGATCTGCGCTGCCGTGATATGTTCGTGGACTTTCAAGTTGCTACCGATGACGTCTATCTCCCCGATGGCATCGGTCTTGCTCCATCTTCTGTGGCTTTGCTGACACCGCCTCGACCTCTTTTACTCAGTGCTCCCCAAGATTTCAACAGAGGGCCTCACCACCGCCGATGTCGACGCCCTGATAGAGAAATCCAGAAACCTCATGCTCGAGACTCTGCGCGAGATCTCCGGCCCGCCGCTGGACGACCCCAGCACCGTTGCTGCCTCTGCCGAGACCAAGAAGAAGGAGTGAGCCCGCGCAGCCCGCTGTGCCAGCCTTCCTGGATTGCTTGATCGCCGCCATGAGCGTATCCTCTGTGAGAATCAGGATGCCCCGAGTTTCCGAGGAGTGACGGCCGCGGCGCCTTCCTGTTCTGAATATACATATACTTCACCCACCGACATTCATTCGCCATCTTTCCTTTCGTCCGTCCCGCTGCCCCGTCTCTCGTCTCCGCCCTGCTCGTCGTCTGCTCACCGCCACCATCCACCCCGCGCGTCGGTGGAACCGCGGGTCTTGGCCCAATCCCGGATTTCAGCCCCGGTTCGTTCGCCTCGCCCTGGTCTTTCGCCCCACCTTCATCTTTCTTCCATCCAGCCGCCCCGCCGACAATGTCCTACACCCGAAGTGCGTCCTCGTCGTCTGGCTTTGACTCTGGGCTGGGCTCTGGCCGCCAGCCGGTGCCATCTATCCCTGTTCGACCGGCCCGCCAACTGGCTGCCCCGGCCTATTCAGCGCCTGCGTTATCGAGCCGGTCGAATCTTTGCCTGCCTCGCTTTCCCTTGGCGCTCTGCTCCGGCTAACGCAACCCTCTTTGCGTTCATCAGAGGCAACCTTTGCTCCCCAACCCTCCACTGTCCGCGGACAGGCCGTCCATCTCGGCGGCGATCCCAAGGGTGCCAACTTCCTGTACACCAACGGCCGAGCTGTCATCATCCGAAACCTCGAGGTAGCCGGGAACGACTCGCTCTGCGCTGCTGCGATGAGGATGCTCTTCACGGACACGCAGCACTTTCGCATCCAAGGTCCCACAGGTCCCACAGCCCAGAAAGATCCGACGACGGAAATCGGTGCATCGCGATGATCAACGGATTGACACCCGACTTGCTGCTTCGGCTGCAATCTCCTTTCTCTTCTCACAGAACCCTGCGATTGCCACCGAGTATTCCGGCCACAGCGCTCAAGCCACCGTCGCTCGCTATGCTCCCAGCGGATACTACATCGCCTCTGGAGGTTAGGCCCTCCGCGCAGCTCTGGCGTCGAGTTGTGTCGAGTTGCGGCTCGCAAGGGCGACAGGTTGCGAGATGATCAAGGGCCAAAGAGCTGCAAGATGCGGACCAATTTGCCAGCCGCTGTTCTTGATCGGCGGCCACATCACCATCGCCAATGCCCCTTCATCTATTGTTCACTGCGCTATTGATTCGCCTCACGAGCCATCGTATCGATATCGCTGACCATCGCTTCCGTGTCCCGCCATAGACGTCAACGGCAACATCCGAGTCTGGGACACCACCCAGGCCGAGAACATCCTCAAGACCGAGACCAAAGTCTTTGCCGGCCGCGTCAACGACATCTGCTGGGACCATGAGAGCAAGCGAATCATTGCCGTTGGTGATGGCCGTGAAAGGTGCCGTCCACGCTCTTGGTAGCCTCGATCGCCAGGAGTTTCCTCACTCCATCCGGGCGTTCGTCGGCCGAGCTCAAGCCCTCGTTCTCATCTTCGACCGATATCCCCTTCCGCATTTGCCCTCCCCACTCGCTCCAGATTTGGTCATGCCTTCACCTTCGACAGCGCCTCCTCGGTCGGCGAGATCAGCGGCCACAGCAAGGTCATCAATGCCTGCTCGATCCGCCAGGAGCGCCCCTTCCGTGCCGTCACCTGCTCAGACGATATGACCGTCAACTTTTACCACGGCGTGCCTTACAAGTTTGTCAAGTCAATCACCGACCACACTCGTTTTGTCCAGTGCGTCCGGTTCTCGCCCAACGGCAGCCACTTTGTTTCGGCTGGCATGGACGGCAAGGTTCGCAACAGCACCGCAAAGTTTGGGTTTCTATGTGGGCCGTGGGTCATGCCCTGCTTCAACCAGCCATGTAGCTCTGTCACTTCGTCGAGCATCAGACGCTCCTCCCTCCTTAACTGATACCTCCCGCTTTTCTCAGATCTTCCTCTACGATGGAAAGGAAGGCAACCGAGTCGCCGAACTCAGCGCTGCCCCCAACAGCCACACCGGCGGTGTATTCTCGGTCTCGTGGAGCCCCGACAGCACCCAGCTCCTGTCGTCCTCTGCCGATGGCACCGTCAAGCTCTACGATGTTGCTGCTCAGCAGGTTGTTAGGTACGCACAGCCACTCATCAGTGTGGCCATTCAGCAGTGCTTGAATGGTCTCGATATTCTTGTAGGGGCACCTGGCCCTCAACTCGCTGTCGCTGACCCAGATTTACGTTTCTGTTTCGGTCGACAGCACTTTCTCCCCCAGCGACGCTCCCGGCATCAACGACCAGCAGGTCGGCAATCTGTGGCAGGGCCAGCACCTTATCAGCTTGTCGCTCTCTGGCGACATCAACTACTTTGACCGCAGCGTTCCCGGCAAGCCCTCCCGCGTGGTCAAGGTGAGCTGTCAATGATACTCGATGGAACTTCCTGCTGGCCGCTGTATATGTGCACCGGTCGGGTCTGGCAGCGCACGAGACATCATTGGCCCAGCTGATCCATGCATTGCTTTCCATGCATTGCTTTCCATGCATTGCTTTCCAGGGCCATCAAAAAGCCATCACTGCCATCACATTTGCCGAAGAGTCCAAGACGCTCTTCACTGGCAGCTACGATGGCCGTGTGCATGCCTGGACCGATGGTCGCGATGGTGGCCTCGATATTGCTGGCGCGGGCCACACCAGCCAAGTCAGCGTCCTCGCCAGCAGCAAGGGCAAGATCTACTCGATTGGTCTGGATGACATCACACGATGCATCGATGTTCAGCAGCAATCTTATGAGTAAGGCGGGTGCGGCTTGCTGGTGAACGGGCCAGGCAATCGAAACGGCACAGTTGATTTGCAGAGTGGGCCGCGCCGTTTGCAATGGCAGTGCAAGCAACCGCGTGAATTGCGCTTCGTTGGCAGTGCTGCCGATTCTGACTCTGCGCATCGGCCCTACATTTGCCTGCCAGCGCTTGGACCCGCTCCACTGGCTCCCAGCCCAAGGGCCTCGCTGTCCATGGCGACGTTGCCGTCACTTCGACGATCGATCAGACCCTTACGGTCACCAAGAACGGTGCCCAGACCGGCTCCTTGAAGGTCGACTACAGTCCCTCGGTCGTTGCCATCTCTCGCGACGGAGTCGAGCTAGCGGTTGGCAGTGCCGATGTACGTACTCCTATCCCATCGATGTGGCACACCCGTGCGGTTCTGAACTCCCCAGGAGTGCACCGTTTCTGACCCAAATCTATACATGCATCCCCAGGACAACAAAATCCGCTTCTACCGCATTACCGGCGGGGGTCTCGAGGTCTCGGCGGCCCCTGTGGCCCACGTCGAAGGCAACCGCGGCCCCGTCACGGCGCTTTCGTACTCGCCCGATGGCCAGTTCCTGGCCGCTGCCGACTCGCAGCGGGCCGTCTTTGTGTACGAAACCAAGACCCGGACCGTCAAGATTCATCAGTGGGTTTTCCACACCGCCCGCGTCAACTCGATTGTGTGGTCGCCGGACAGCCTGCACGCGGCGTCCGGCAGTCTCGACACCAACGTCGAGGTCTGGAGCGTCGCCAACCCCATGAAGCACATCAGCATCAAGGGTGCCCACCTCGAGTCGGTCAATGGGGTGGTGTTCTTGGACAACGACACGATTGCCTCTGCTGGCCAAGACTCCAGCATCAAGGTCTGGATTGTTTGGTTTTGCGGAGAGATGCAGATGCTTGGTGTGCAAGGCGATGGCTGCTGCGGGGCAGATGCACGGGGCTGTGATATCGAGCACGGTGCGCTTGATGGACTGCTGCGACATCGATAGTAGTGTACTGCTGTGTTGAGTCGCCCTCCTGGATTGCAGATGGGTATCTCAGCCAGCCCAGCGATGCGTGGCCGCCGAGCCGCTGGGCACTGTGGACTCTTGGCATGGCATTTTGCTGTGCGGCGGATGTCTGTGTCGACGGCGCTCCTCTGATCCTCCCTCAACCTGCTTCTCTTGTAGATTTGGTCTCTCAAGCACTTCTAGATTCCCAGCCAAGGATCCAAAGGCTGGCCATGTGGAGCCCCTCCACCGCTTGGCGATTTTGGGCTGCGAGACCTGTCTGACCAGGGTCGATTTCAGGATCTGGGCGCAATCTGCCGGGATACTCAGGCGCATTGAAATACAGCACGCCGTCTTTGCCATCCGTGACCTGGCTGTCTTGGATCGGGCGGTGTGAGGGCAGCGTGAGGGCGGCCAGGCTTGCCTCAACGGGATTGGGCCGCTGGGTGGCGAGCGGCGAACGTGCGGAACCAGGGCGTTCGTTGGATCCTTCGCTGCAGCTAGAAAATCCTGCGGCCCGGCTGCTCTTGGACATTGCCTGCATCCGCTTGGTCGTCGCCATCGCCATCGCCATCGCCATCACCGTCGTCATTCCTCTAGCAAACTGTTCATCCCGGAGGCTGCTATCCCACCATGTCGATGGTCGCTGACACCCATCCGCAAGGGCCGATAATCCCGGAGCTCTATCCAAAGAACCACGGCAAGCCTCGCACCTTGGGTCCTGCCGAGGCCTTTTTCATCTCGTCGCTTGCCCCAGCCTGTAAGTCCAAGTCGGCTGATGTGCCGGGCGGGGCCATGCTCGATCGCCCGTCCCAGCAGCCTTTATGCAGCAACGTATGCTCTATCCCTTCTTCCTCCAATCGACATCAGCGTAACAGCATACCTGAGCCTTCCGGCCGGAACTAACGTTTTCCACTACATCGGACTCGATCGAATCCTGTCGTGCCGTCGCTGGATCGCTGCCGTCGTCGGATCGTCGTCGGGCGAATGGACTTTGGTCTTTCTGAATTGCTCGGTCGACAGTGGCGGTTATCTTTACGAACCCATTCGACACCGCAAAGTATGGTTCCATCCCCGTCTCTCCCGATGCCATTCACCAGTCGAAGCGAGGCGAGCGAGACCGGTATGAGCCCTCACAACGCCACTCACCATCCTCCCATCTGTCTCAGAGTCCGGCTGCAGCTCCAGGGTGAGCGGATGAAGCAGATCATGAAGGCGGCCGTGACCAAAGAAGCCGGTGAACTGGCCGCCAAGAATGCCATGGTAGCTATCGTCGTCGATACCTCCCGAATTCGCACCGATGCCGCCCAGCAGCCTACTCTATTCTACTCTATTCTGTTCTACTCTATTCTACTCTATGCCCCACAGCCAACCGGAATCTCTGTTGGACTGACTCGACTACCTTCAATCGCATGCATCTGTTGCTCCACAGGTCTACAAGGGCTCCTTCGACTGCCTCCAAAAGATCTACATCAACGAGGGCCTGAAGGGACTGCAGAAGGGGCTGACGCCTGCCATGCTGCGAGAGTCATCCAAGAACTTTTTCCGTCTGGGCATGTACGACCCGATCATGAGTGCGATCCACAACCCGGCCGATGGCTCGCCGCCTGCATGGAAACGAGTCATCGTCGGCTCGATCTGCGGCGCCATGGGTGCTCTCTCGTGCAATCCTTTTGAGCTCGTGAAAACGAGGTGGGTTTTGGAGCTGTGTGCGCACAGGATTCGTGATGGATCGTGCACCCAGTCGTTCAAGCAGCAGCGGGGCATCCGCCTGTCAAGACATGCTGCATCTCTAAGTGGCATGCTCCTTCATGTGATGATGCGCTGACTCTCCGCTCTGCCGGAACAATGGGACTCAGACTGCAATCATCTGCTGCTGGCAAGATCGCTGTTGGACATCAACACGGGTAAGCTGCCATGGGACTGCGTCTGTCGTCACCGTCTCTTGTCATGCAACATCTGCAAGCCTGACTCGGCGAACCTGTCCTGACAAACCTATTCTGGAAAGATGAGCGTCACTGAATGTCGTCGCACTCCCTAATGGTCCACTTGTGCATGTGTTCCTGTCCTTTTTTACCGACGTATGCCGCAGTTACACCGGCGTGATTAGTGCGCTCAGATCAATCGTTTCGACAGACGGATGGACGGGGCTGTACCGCGGATCGCTTCTCAGCGTCGCTCGTTCGATCGCCGGGAGCGGGAGCAACTTGGCCGCATACTCGATGCTGAAGGAGTACCTCATCTCAGACCTGGGATGGGAAGATGGCACACGAATGGACGTCGTTGCGGGTCTGGGAAGTGGCATTGTATCTTGGTAAGGATCGCCAGTCTCGGGGGCCTGTCCAGGATTGACCGATGGCGGTGTATGGGTTGGCTGGCTGCCTGCTCGCTCTCAGGCCAGCAGACGGCCACACCGCCCTCTCGCTCGTTGCTCCGGCTGAAGCGCGACGTTTACGTTTCCCTTTCCAGCATCTTCATGAACCCCATCGACGTCGTGCGTACGAGGTACTACAATCAGCCGTACAAGGACGGAAAGGGTTTGATCTACTCAAGTGGACTGGACACCATCAAGAAGCTTGTTGCAAACGAGGGTGTTACTGCCTTCTATAAGGGTGCCTTGACGCACTTTTTGAGAATCGGGCCGCATTTCTGTCGTAAGTGGTATATTCAGCCGCATCGCGACTCAGCCTGTCTGGCCACTGATCCATTCATGACTACTGACATCCTATCCGCACCGCCAACTTGACTCCTGTTCCATCGACAGTGACCTTTGTTTTCCTGGGGTGGCTCCGCCGCGGGCTATCAGACTACTACGCCCGCCGAGATCTTCAGGACTCATTTTCTGTCTTTGACGAAGACGGCAATGGGACTCTTGATCGCTCTGAGGTGTTCCACGCAATAGAAAAGATCTTCCCCAGACCCCTCAATCTAGGGCAAGACGAATACAGAGCCCTGGTGAGTTGCTCGCGACCGCATCCGGCATCCGTTTTGTATACCCAAGTGTATACCCAAGAGCCTCTCGCGTCACCTGCCCGTTATTACGGATGTGTAGAGTTGTGCTCGTCAATTGTCGCACCCCCCCCCTCGCCAAGCCTGTATGATGCTCGGCTGGATCCATGAATACTCAAAAAGCACATGCCCCATCTGCTTGCTCCAGCTCTATCGCTATGCTTCCCAGGTGATTGCTACCGCTGATCGCAACAAGGACTCGGTCATCAGCTTTGACGAATACGACGCCGCCATCAAGGAAATCAAGAAGCTGAGAAGCGACATGCAATTCCACAAAACACGAACCTCATTCGCATAGCCTGCATCGCCCCGACTACATGAGGCTCTGTGGCCTCGACGCAAGCTGCCAGAGCATTCCATTCCACCTTTCCTATGCTATACATCGTTGCTTGTCTGTTCGTTTGCAACCCCTGTCATGTGCATATCCCTTCTCGACCCTCTAGATGTCTTGGGGCTGTCGCCTTACCTGGTCTTGCCCGCTGGGCTTTGGATCATCGGAGCCAAAGAAAAGAAAAGAAAGAAACAAGACCTCCGATCATAGATGATGGATACCTTGGACCACCTTTGTCTAGCCGGTGTGGTCCGCCAAAAATTTGTTTCCGTCGCGTTTGACTCTCCGCTTCAGTATGACGGACCTGTTTGTCTGTTCTATGCACTGTCTGCTCTTCAACATACTCTGAGAAGCAAACCAAAAGATTCCTCTCAACTCTGCTTCAGGATACCGGATATATCTTGCACAGCCGAGTTGCTCACTCCCTGTCCGTGGTGACTGATGTGCTCTTGAAAATGGTTCACGTCGTGCAAGCACTGGGCTTGATGGGAAGCCGGGTGCTCTTTCTCTCTCTTTCCCTTTCTCTCTTCCCAATCCTTTCATTAGCCACCGGGCCCGGTCATCAGTGCACCGGCCACTGGCCATTTCCCCCGTCTGATTCGCTGTTCTGAGAGACATAGACACGTGATCTGCCATGGGTGCGGTTGTCCAGCAATCGCCTCCACCTGCGACCGCATCATCGCCCTGGCCGCCCTGCCGTCCCTCGCCTGCATCTCCTTCGCCAACCAGCGCAGCGATGGGGCAAATCGTCTCGAGCGCCACGCCCTCGGCTGCCACAACAGCCATCATCGACAGCTACGTCTCCGAGCTTCCCAACATCAGCTATGAACGCAGCTTGGGCACTGGCCGGTTCATCAAGACCATCAGGTGTCGACAGGGCCCGCACAGTCTTGTAGTTGTTAAAATCTTTGTCAAGCCCTCGCCATCGGTGTCTCTGGACATCTACACCAAGCAGATCCAATGTAAAGTCCTGTCTGGGGCAGTCTTTGATCTGCTCTTCGATACTGCGACGACCGCTCGTCTTCATTCCTGTACAGCCGCAGAGGCATCCGGGCTCGGATGGGCATCCTCGTCTCCGGTGCCTGCATATGATGAGAGCGTCGGCTCCCATTCGCTGACCCCAGCCACCGCCTTGGCTTTGGAACATGCCTCCAGACGAAAGAAGCATCCTCCAGGACATTCCCAACACGTTACCGTACAGCCGGATCCTCGAGACAGAGCGGGCCGGATATATGATACGTGGATGTATCCATAGCAATCTCTACGACCGGATCAGGTTTGTATGCGCCTCGAATGCTGTGTTCTACGCCATATGGGTGTCTCATGCGGTCGGCAATCCGCGCTGGTCTGTGTTTGACTCTGCTCCGCCCTCCAATTCGCATCCATGCATTCCCCCCCCCCCTGTGATTCTGGGTTCCTGCTCTGGGGCCTCCAGCACCCGGCCGTTTCTGGACTCTCGCGAGAAAATATGGATTGTCTTTCAAGTGATGTCGGCGCTTTCGAGTGCACATAGCAAGCAGGTGCGGCGCCGCCGTTGGGTGAAGAACAGAGAGGACGGATAGGGTCGGTCATGCCAAGGACACTGTTGCAATGCCTCAACTACATACGGCAATGGCCCGACCGGATAATACGAGCCCGGACATCTGCGGTCGAACAGCTCTGACCCCTGTGTCGCTTCGGCCGCATCAGATATTCCATGGCGATATCAAAACAGAGAATATTCTTGTCACCACCTGGAATTGGGCCTACCTCTCCGACTTTAGCAACTTCAAACCGGTCTATTTGCCTGAAGACAACCCCTCCGATTTCTCCTATTTCTTCGACACCTCCAGTCGCCGCGTCTGCTATCTGGCTCCCGAGCGGTTTTACGCCCCTGGCGAAACCCTCTTCACCAACAAGACGGGCCGCTGCACGCCTGCGATGGACATATTTTCGATGGGGTGCGTCGCCTGTGTCGGCATTGAGCTTCTTCCGCACTATCACGAAGTGCCCCCACCTCATAACCTTCCAGAGCTGGCGGGAATCGATCCAAATGGTGACTCGGTAGCCCCAGCCACTAATAGTGCAGCCCTGCTGACTTTCGTTGTTCCGGCATATCGCTGTCTCTGTTGCAGCTGTACCATCGCGGAGCTGTTTCTCGAAGGCATTCCCATGTTCTCATTTTCCCAGCTACTAAGATACCGCAGCGGTGAATACGACCCAAGCCCGCAGCTGGACAAGATTGAGGACGAAAACGTTCGGGTAGGATGATGCCGTCCTTTGCTGGGCCGAAGAGCGAAAGAGCGACACCCGCTGGTGCTACTGAGGATCATCGGCCCTCGCCGACAATCCTGAATGCTCCACTGCATGTACTGCCCACGAACGTTGATTTTCTGAGCCGGGATTCAATTTCTGCGCTGCTAGAGCCTTGTCAAGCACATGATTCAGCTGGATCAATCCAAGAGACTGTCCGCTGCCGACTATTTGTACAAATGGTGCCGTATCCAATGGCATGACGAGGATGCTCTCTGGCCCTCCTAAATATCATCGTGCTGCAAGTAACTCATCCATGCTTTCATTGATCGACAGGCGAGGCACGCTGTTCCCGCACTATTTTTTCGATTTCTTACATCCTTACATGATCACCATGTCCGAGCCCACATCCTGGATTCGCGGCCCAGAAGAGAGCACTCCGTGTACCTATGTGATTGCGAATGGAGGGCGCAGCGTCGTGCCCATCGTTGCCGAAGCCGACGCCAAGATTGGGAAAATATGGTCCGACTTTGACATGATCTCTTCGGCGCTGCAAATCCCGCTCGACCCCAGTGTACTGGCCAAGAGCCGCGAGACAATCAGGGTTGGTTCTCGTCCAGACTGACGCAGTCGCATTGATCAAGGCAGGGCATCTGTGTGAGCAGGAGGAGTCTATCGGAGATAATTAACATTGCTCCAACTCAGTCGGGTGGGCTCCCTGTCGTCCTCGGCATCCCTGGATACAACATCCCTGTGACAGCCATGCGCAAGGTTCCCGAGGCTGGTAAGAGGATCAAAGGGCTTTGCATATGGAGGGCCAATGAATATCGCTGTGTGTCGGTAAACGGGCGGATGTGTTTGCAGTCCGGAGTGGCACAGAGATCGAGTGAAACGGCGATCAAGGACGATGTGCATTCGGCCCTCTCCGCTGTCGGCCGGACGATCGCTGCTGACGATTCTCTGGGTCTTTTGCTGGAAGAAATGTCGTGTCTGGCCTTCACGTCGGTTGTGTGCTCGTACATCCGGAACGTGGTGTTCCCGTCCTCCAAACTCTACGGCATCGATCTTCTCTTGGCATTCGGCTTCCAGCTCTCGGACGAACACCGGATCGAAAGAGTAATTCCGTTCTTGATCACTATGGTCAGAGACGAGAGTGCTCAAGTGCGAGCCGCGGTTATTCGTGCCGTTACTCAGTTGGTAAGAGACCGTTGTGATAATTACTGGGATGGTTGCTGCGACCCGCTTGTCCATTCACCCGACACCGACATAAGTCCGCCACACAATCGCCAACCCACTGTCTGACGCTTGTATGCAACACCAGCTGTCACTTGTCGAGACAATCACGGCCTCGGATGCCAACCTGTTTCCAGAGTACATCCTGCCCCATTTGAAGGGTTTGTCGCTCGATCCAGATGTACTTGTGCGCTGCGCCTTTGCCCAGTGTATTGCCACTCTGGGTAAGTGTGGTCCGCCGACTGTGCGACCCATTTAATGACCTTCTCGGTGACCAGCAGTCTGCATCTCTTGGTGTCATGCCCAACAGCAGTGGCGAGGGCAGCGGGCTGACTCCGAGAAACCTGTCTTCTTTCCAGCGGAGACCGCTCTCCGCTTCTTGGAGCTGAGTCAGCTACTCAAGAGCGAAATGTCGCGCGAGGCCGACAAGGACGCAAATCTACTCATGATGTCATATGACACCTCGCTCAAGGAGCTTCAGGAAACGATCCAAGAAGACGTCGCCGCCATCTTGGCCGATGTTGACCCAGTCACGAAACGAGGCATTCTTGCCGACATGCCACGGCTATGCATCTTCTTTGGTCGCCAGCAAGCCAACGACGTGCTCTTGGGGCACATGATCACGTATCTCAACGATCAGGACTGGCAGCTGCGATGGTAAGCGTGGCTTTTGAGGTCCCTGCGCTGCCATTTGGTTTTTCGGTCGCAACACACTGACTTTTGTCCTCGGGACCTTGTATTGGCAGCGCTTTCTTTGAAAGCGTTGTCGGAGTAGTGACGTTCTCCGGCCGCCGTACCCTCGACGAATATGTGCTCCCGATCATGATACAAGCCCTGACAGGTAGGATGGCTCGATCCCAGCTCAGTCGATAAGGGGAGGAATGGATCGGGATTCTGTATCTGATGAGCTTTGCCCCTTCCTCGATTTTATGCTGTATCCAAGATGCCGAGGAGTATGTCGCGGAGAAAGTCCTGGCCTCCCTCGCAAGCTTGGCAGAGCTGGGATTGATCAGCAAGATCCGACTCAAAGAACTCGTGACGATGATTCTTCCGCTTGTCTGCCATCCGAGCATCTGGATCAGATATGGTTGGTATCGCAGCTGCCTGCTGTCGGGTCGCGCCTGAGGTCTTTAGCTGGGCTTACCAATGCACTGCCAACATCACCACAGCCTCGGTTTCATTTGTTTCGTCGGCATGCCGGCTGCTTCCCAGCCTCGACGTTCAGTGTGTGGTCTATCCCAGCCTCCGCCCGTTTCTCAGGATGGACATCCCAGAGATCACGGACATCCTCATCTTGGAAGCGCTCAAGATGCCCGTGAGTCGGCTGCTTTACGACCAAGCCGCGCTCTTTGCCTCCAAAAGCCCCCAAGGCGGTTTCGGCAAGGATGACCAAAGCGATATCTCGACAAACGGCGAAAGGTAAGCCGAAGCCGATGCGATTCAATCCGCTGTGCGAGTCCGGATTGAAAATGAAATCGACTGACCAACGCGGCTCCTACGAATCATTCGCCTTCGGCACTTGTCCTGGCGGTTGCCCCGGGTTCGCAGCGCGCTGATATCCAAGCTGCGGGATCTGGGAATGTCCGACGAGGATCGCGAGAAGCTGTTCTCGCTCAAGTACTTTATCTTCAAATCGGCCCAGGCCAAAACGAGGTGCGACCGCCTGCCTTCAGCATCCCGCAGCGCTTGGCCCCGGCTTGCGCGTTGTGGATAAAGCCCAGTGCGTTTCATGTAGCTGGGCTCGATGTTTGCTGACTGCCAAATTTCGAACAGTACCAATGGCTCGCCCGAAGAAGCCAACCCTGGTAACCTGGTCTTAAAGGCACTGGGCGTCACCGCACATACCGTTTTCTTGACACCGCCGGCCGAGCCTGTGGCAACCAGAGCGGTGAGTTGGCAATGAGTGCTCAAGGATGTAGTGGCAGACCCATCGTCGCCAGCGCGAGAGAACGATGGCTTCGTCGACGAAACTGCTGCTGCCGTTGTTGTGGCGAGTGATTGTCAGCAGAGGTACTGAAGCACTCATCCCCGATGTGTGTGCTGTACCAGCGTCCAAAGTCGCCAGCCAATCCTCCCCAACCCACCTATGCAGCAGTAGCCAGCGGCAACACCGACCGACAGATCGCGAGTGAGAGGCAGAGGCTCTCCCGACTGGGCTCCGACACAAGCGACGCTTCTCGCACCAAACTCACTGGTGCCCCGGCGAGCAGCTCGTCGCTGCCCTCTGGCCCGCGCGACGAACTGCTGTCCACACGAACGAGCCCAGCCGGCCCATTGTCCCCTGGGCTCTCCCCGGGACTGCTTCGCAAGCCGCACACCCGAGCTGCGTCTGTGATGAGCTCCGGCACCAGCGTCACGGCCGAATCCGAAGCCGTTACTCGACTTGCAGCCAGTGGGGATCCGCTGAAGGCCCTTGTTGGTGAGTCTGGCTTTGGCATTGGCGCGGCTATTAGCACCAGAGGGCACTGATGCGAGCTCGACATCGCCGTTGGTCAACAGGAACGGGAGACAGCAAAGACAACAGTCTGCGGAAGCTTCTCGAGAACAAAACAGCCGAATACTTCCCGCCGCCCATCCCCGGTAGGATTTTGAATATCCAGAGACCAGATGATGTTGCACGTATGCACCCTATCTGCGTCGAGTGTGGTACGAGTAGCTAACAGGCGTACTTCTACACACAATGGATCTGTAGAGCTCGGCAAAAAGGTGATCCCGCCGAACGTCGGACCTGTGATTGTTCCGCTCCCGAAAGACAATCGCTCTCGCAAGGCAATGCCAGCCGTATCCACAGACCTTAGGACGTGGAGACCCGAAGGCATGTTTCTTGGCGATGTGGCTGCCCGCCGCCGAGTGGACTCCATGTGTCGAGCTCAGAAATCGGCTGTCGAAGGGTGGCGATCTAGATCGATTGATGACTAACGGGCACGTCTCGAACAGGCACTCTGGTATCCCATCTTGCCGAGCACAAAGGGCGGATCCATCAGCTGAAGCTTGCACCCGACCACAACTTCTTTGCCACTTGTTCGGACGACGGCACAGTCAAGATCTGGGATACCCAGCGCCTCGAGACCAATGTTTCAAATTGCTCGCGCCTGACTTATTCAGCACAGGGTGCGTGTTGGCGACGCATGAGCACAGTACGGAATGTCGGCGCTGCCGGTATCCCCCACATCTGCGGCCATGCGAGTCTCGCAGTCTTTGGCCGCAGCACTAGAGCTACTGACTGACAGATCCTCAACGCTCTCCAGGTGGCCACATCCGCTCGATAGCTTTTTGCGAAAACACCCACAGCTTCATCTCGGTATCGGATCGCGGCTCGTTGCACGTCTGTCGAATCGAGTATGTCGGCACGTCGACCCTGCCAAAGTACAACGGAATCCAGACCGTGAGAGAGGTCTCGACGACCGATGGCGACTTTGCCACAATGGTCCATCACTACGACGCAGGTACAGCTTTGAGACCTGGCTGCCAAATGCAGAGACATATCCGTCTCTGGGACGGACAGCCTCAAGCTTGACATCCTGGATTTCTTGGCTGATCCATGTCCCACACTCGCTTGCTACGCTGGCTCGCCTCGCTTATCCGCCGCGCCTGCCCGCCAGATACTCAATCCATGGCCGTGTATGCCACCGCCAAGGGCAAGATCCATGGCCTCGATCTTCGCACCATGAAAGTTGTGTGGTCGCTGGACTCGCCAGCACACCATGGCTTCCTTACCAGCTTCGACTTTGATCCCCGGCACCTGTGGATGGCGACGGCGACTCAGCGCGGCATCTTTTCAGTCTGGGACCTGCGCTTTGGGCTGCGGCTCAAGTCATGGAGCCACCCAGCCGCTGGACGCATTCACAAGATTTCCTGTGCCAGCCCCACCACCAACCTGACCCGCGCCAATTCGGGCAAAATCTGGGACACCCAAGCCGGAAAGATTGTTTCGCTGTCGATATCGGGCCAGACCAACGAGATCTCCTCATGGGATATCGAGAGCGGCGACTGCCAAGAGGTTTGGTGCATCATGAGCAACTCCAACAACACCAAGAGCTCAAACAGCATCGACAGCGACACCGATGTGATGTCAGTGTATTCAAACGGATATGCGGTAGGTAGAGGCCAGCCTGTATGCAGCCCGCCTGGCGATCGGGCTGTGATGGCGCTGCGTCCACCAGACACTCAATGTTCCGTTGTGGTGTGTGCCATGGTGCGAACGGGCCCTGTTGTACTGGTGGTTGCCTGGGTGCAAATCGCACCTGCGTTATCGACGTGGCTTCTCACTCCCTTGGCGGAACGCTGTCAACCAGGCCTCCCTCGTTCCGGAGCGACCGAACTATGTCCCAGCAAGTACCATCGCTTCGCCTTCGGTGAACTCAAAAGACGGCAGCCCGCGCTGCTTTGTAGCGCGCAAGGGTCTGCCGTACATGATTGCTGGCGGCGGCGACCGCAAGATCAGGCTTTGGGACTTGGCCAACATCGAGAACTCCTACATAATCTGCGGGCATGACGCAGATGAAGTTGCGCCTCGCTACAGGTATGCGGCTCGTCTCGCCGCGACTATCGGACTTGCATTTGGTACTCCGCAATGCCGGCCAGGATATCGTTACTGAGACTCACATTGTGTCCGCGGCAGCTCTCACAAGCAAGGCAATCTCTCCTTCAATCTCGAATACGTCCCGGCCCACTCATTTTCCGGGCCGACGGGACGAGCATCCACTCCCTCTCAGTCGGGCACTGCGTCGCCAGGCGCGGCAAGCTATCGCCCGCTGCGCCAGGGATTTGGACTGCAGCGATCCGCCTCGGCTGGCGGGCCTGGCGGAGCCGGAATGATTGCGACGGGGACGGGCAACACTCTGCACCTCGATGCCGTCGTGGACCTCGAGATCACAGAGGTTCCATATCCGATGATCGTGAGTGCCGGACGCGACGGCATTGTCAAGGTGTGGAAGTAGATTGTGGGCGATTCGTTTGGCTCCGGCACCCAAAACAAGATACCGGCAACTGTCGCTGGCCGTGGCTCTGTTTGGGCCGTGAATACCTACGTCCATCCGGTGCGCTCCAAGAGTACCGCATCCTGATACCGAGACCATCGAGGACGATGGATGTGTGTGTGTGTGGTGGCGGGGGAGGTGAAGTTCGAGACAGCCGAGCTGATACCCTCCCGGCTGAACAGCCAAATAGCCGACCTGTTCAAAGCTCCCCGGCCGCTCCGTCGCATCCGTCAACAAGTGGCCGCTCTAATGAGCCCCTCGCCAAACGCCATGACGACATTCGATAACACTGCCGCAGCTGCCCGCGATAGTCTGCTGCGTTACTTCTCGCATGCCTCTGCTGAACCAGACCCGGGAACACCCGCTGCTTCAGCCGGAATGCTGGCCGACACAGAAGCTGCTCTGCTGCGGACCAACACCATCCTCGACCGCCGCCAGAGCGATCAACTGCGCCAATGGATCTCAAGCCATAGGACGGGATTCGAAGGCGCCTCTGAAGACGACTTGCGACTCCTCCGCATCATCGACCGTGAAATCAGCGCACTGGCCGCGGAAGCCGCAGAGTTCACTCCCTTGACCAATCGGTTCGGCCAATACTTCCGCAACCTGGCCGCCGATGTCCTCAGGCAACTCCACATACGACTCTGGAGATTCATTGAGTGCCCAGCGGCTGCCCTCGAGCTGCTTGTGCTTCGGGGCGGCACGCCGACGACTCTCGTTCGGCTCGCCGAGTTTGCTCGGTCGTATGCCTCTGGAGCCGGATCGCCTTCCATAACCTGGTACGATCACATTCTGGCCGGCAACCTCGGCTCCGAAGACCCCTTGCTTGTGACTCTTGAAAGCAAAATGCGACCGCCGCTGAAATCGCCTCGGGCGACCCTCGAGGCTTGGAGGCAACGACTCTTCGAGCGTTTTGGGACCCACGCCGAGTTTGCCAGATATATGGACTCGGTCGCCAGCTGCCGCCGAGTCGCCGAAGCCGTGAGCGCCGAGCCGATCATCAAAGCATTCGCCGACCGTGAGCTCGTCCGCGGCCACCCTGGCCTCAATCCCGAAGGTCTTCCTGCAGAGCCGGCCAACCTGGGCCAGATCGACCCGTATCTCAGCCAAGTGTTCGTATCGCTATGCACCATCTCGATGGGCATGGACGAGCTGGCGATCCTGCCGGCGGATCCAGACGATGGGTTTGCCGTCGGCGTCCAGGAGATTCATCAGCGCATCGCCCCGGAACAGCACTCGCTCCTCCATACCTATCCAGCCGAATTCCGGGCCATGCGCAAGACCAGGGACCAGCACGACGGCCGGCTGCGAGTGTTCACCTTCTTGGACAGCCTCTCCGAAGGCCAGACTGAGCTGGGGCGGAGCCTGCTCTCTACCAGATGTTGTGAGCCGCGGCTGCAGCACAGTGGCATTGCCCGCTATGAAATCACCAAGGATTACATCGGCAGCAACATAAGCCCGAACTGCGAGGACCAAGACGCCACCAACAGCCTCCGCATCTCAACCTACCTTTTGTACGAAAAGGCATTCGGGTCTGGACTGCTCTGCGGCGCAGCTGGAACCGCCTGGCAGATGGCAGTGGTCTACCGAGCAGGCTTCAACAACAGACCCAAGGCCACCAAAGATACGGTCATCAGCTTCATTCTCGCCATGTGGCAGTACATGGGAGTGCTCCAGCACACCCGCGCCGAGATTGTGTGGGCAGTGGCGAACGAGCTGGAGGTGAGCGTCCTTGACGTCTTTCTCTATTTCCAGGAACTGGACGCTCGCTGCATCCAATAGGCCGCGGGACGAGACGGCAAAGGACAGAACGTGCGCTCGCAATCGAGATTCCAACAGAGCTATATATTCTGATCCACTCGTACACTGGGAGTTGCTCCATGTCGTGTCGTGCATGAGGATTGATACAGGCGCCGCCAGTACCCAGCAATTACGACCTAAGCGATCTCGGGTGCTTTGGCGGCGGCAACCAGGGCGGGAGTGAGCTTGCCCGGGAGATCCAGAGGCTCGCCCACGACCTTGAGAAAGTCGCCAGCGCAAATAGGATTGGCTCGGGCAGTATCCTGGTATGACAGTGGTTGGAGAGAGAACTCAGAAAGTCTGATGGGCCCGGCGGCTGCCGTCTGGTCGCTCGGCCTCCGGGTTCCCAGAAACCAAGCCGGGGTGCGGACCAAGCTGCTCTTACCACTTTCCCGTATCGGCCAACCAGGCCCAGACGCATGGCAGTGTTCACACGCTGCCGACGGGCACTTGAGTGTCGACCGAGGTCCTTCTTTGTAGCGTGCGGGCTCAGTTGGTTGTGGATATACGCCTTCAGCCTGGGGTTTTCTTGAGCCCATTTCTCGGTGGTCATCATGTCGCGCATGTAGTTCTGAAGATCCTGCTCCTCGTTGCGCAGCTGGTCGGTCTTGGTTTTGTCGAAATCAATGCTGCGCTGCCGCTCACATTGCCGGGTGGCTTGCGCTTGTTCCTAAGGGCCAAGGAAGTATGCGAGAGGCAGTTCGGGTTGAGAAGATGAGATTGCCCGGCCGGAAAACCCTGGCATCTCGGCCGACAGCAACCACCGGGCCGATCCAGGGCATCGGTGTTCGGGAATACCCCATACCCGATGCCCCATACCCCCGGTAGAGTTCCAAGCTTACCATCTGGTGAATGTGGAACTCCTGCAGCTTTTTGCCGGTCTCGAGGTTTCGGGCTCGCCTTCGAATGTCCTCCTCAACCACCTCTTTGTGTATCCTCATGTACTCATCCAGCTCCTGCTTTTCGAGCTGCTTGCGCACTTTCTGTGCCTCTTCGGCTTGGCGAATCTGCATGGCGAGAGATTCAGGGCGACAACAAAACATATCATGGTGAGCTTCAGTTTGACTCTGCTGCAGCGCTTAGTCCAGGACTTCTGGCCAATCTGCATATCCGTTCTTACCGACTCCTTAAAGTACAGTTTGAGTTCCTCCTGCTGCCGCTTCTTCTTGTCCTCCTGGGCCAATATCTCCGTAATATCATGGACTTCTTTCTCCTTGGCGGCCTTGGCGATTCTCTCTTCGAGCTTGATGTCCTCATCTTTGCATATCTTGAACTGCCGCTCGCCAAGCTTCTCGCGCATCTGGATACCATCTCTGTTCATACATGCAGTCAGTAGAGCGCTGCAACTGCAACAGGCTGGGAAAATATGCTCCAATATGGCGTCTTGTACAGATGTACACTTTTTTTCATCAGCCATGCGAATCGCCGAATGGTGCCCCTTCCCAGCCCACCATCACAGCATGCAGTGGATGAAACGTACTCGATCCATTTCTTCTCTACCCGTTTTCGCTGGGCAACCTGCTGGGCTTTGCGGACAGTCCAGGCGTGTATTCGCTTCTCTTCTTCGAGATCTCTCGACTTGGCCGACTGGGCTCGCACCTTGGTATCACGGGCCATCTCCAGCAACTCCTTCTGCAGGGCCTTTCCCTCGGCCCTGCGCTGGATTTCGCGCGCCTGTTGCCACATCTTATACTCTTGGTCTGCTTTTAGCTCTGCCTTTCCGAGCTCGACATTACGCTGCATTTGGAGAATACGAGTATAAGCAAGGGATTCGCGAGGGGCCACCCGGAGAAAGGCGAGGAAGCATCCAAAGCACAGCGAGAGATGGGCTATGATTGCCTCGGTGCATTTGGCTGGACAAGTCCGAGATTTGCGTGCATCAATTCGAGCTATCGGTGTGCCGGTACCTACCTGGATCTCTGCCTCCTCTTTATCCAACTTTAGCCGGTGCTGCTGCATCTGGTCGTGCGCTGTGGCGATGTCACGCTTGCGGTTTTCGTTGTTGACCTTTGCCTCTGCCTCGATGTCTGCTGCAAGCTTGGCCTCGGCCGCTCGTAGATATTTTCCATCCTCTGCTTTTTGGATTTCCTGTCTCTCCTTTTTCAGGGCAAGCTGCTTGTCTCTTTCCTGGAGAGTAGCAGAAGTAATATAATCAACTTGATGCTTGGCCACAAAGCTACATGCTCGACAACATCCTCCGATTACCAAGCCGACTTCCAGACGGGCATTGCCGTAGTTAGAGCTTCTGTGGGCTCTCCTCTTTCACGCCAGACAATGGCAACAGAAATTCGCGGTTACCTGCAGCACTTGGTGCAACAGCACTTTGCTGTGGAAGGCCTTGACGAGATCTGTTTCATAGTACTGCAGCTTCTTTGCGCGGTTGATGGCCTCTCTTCGTCGCTCGGCCTCGTCCTGCTTATACTGCTTATCGAGAATCTGTCTCTCGGCTTCCTCGGCCTCGTACTTTTCCTGTCGAAACTGCAGCTTTTTGCGTCGCTGTCCGGCGATTGTGTTTTCCCAGTTGGCTACTCGCTCTTTGGAAAGCCGGTAGCGTTCCTGGCGCTGCCGTGTTGTCAGCGATATCGTGAGAACCAAGGTCGTTGTGGTGAGAACGCGGGAGCGGTACACGGCTGAGATGGGAGGATGACATGCAGTTGACGAAGAGGGGCACATTTCGGCAATGTGACGAATGCAGCTGCCAGGGATAAGGCGGCGATGAGAGGCAAGATGCAGAGACTTGCGATGATGAACTCAGAGAGCGTGAGGGAGGGCTAATATTCATCTCCATACGTCGTCCGCTTTCATCTGCCGCAACTTCTCTTCCATGCCATAGCCCGCAATTTGCTGGGTCAGCTTCTTGAGATCGATGGCGGTGACGATGACGGGCTCGTCCAGCCCATTGCTGACCCAGAAGTAAAGGGTGAGGGAATGGCTCGGTGGCTATGTGCGCATGGCTGCTCCTGCAAGCTGCGTCAGGCTATCGGGTCTCCGCCATAGTGACGGAGTGTGCACCAGCTGCCCGATTCAAGAGTATATCGACAACAACGAGAGCAACCCACCGACGGTTTACAGAGTAAGGTGGGTGGCCGCGAAGGAGTTGGTCTGACATGACCTTGACCGAGGGGTCGCCGGCTTTTGGCAACCAGCAAAGGCGGGGATAGCATTAGCACTCATCAACCGTCACCGGCACTATTGCCTTACTTCAAACCAGGCAGAAGTATCCCGGCCCATGGGACTGCGATAAAGCAGCTGGATGCCTGAGGTTGGCTTCAGAACGATCGCGATACAGTCTGTGGGAGATGGCCATTCGATGCCCGGGCTTAAGCCGGGCGGACTTACGATAGTGGCTGATCTGGAAAGTGCCCAGTCGAGCCTGCTCTTTATTGGATGACGCTGAGCCGAACCTCATGGTGCTGGGATCTGGAGGATGCTCGCACAGAAACGGCACCTTGCGAAGGGGAGGGACGATCAGCGGCGCTTGAGCAAAACATCCAAGGTAGGACGCTGTTGCAAGCAAAGACGGCCTGCAGCACGATAAATTTCCGAGTCCGCGATTCATAGCGGGCTATGATCGAGTGATGCTGCAGCATCGAGAGGAAAGAACGGGCCATTCGGACGATCCGCTGGGATTGGACGGCTTGACTCAGCACAGCGGCCGCAACCCAACACAGGGCATGCAGATGGCCCTTGGACGAGGCAGAGCATGTCCTTTGATTGAAGCCCGCATCCCCACACCCACATCCTCCTCGTGCCAGGTGTGTGTTGTTTCATTGAACTCAGGTCGTCGGATCTGCAGCAACTCGTCGCTGCTCACCGCTCTAGCTCGCTCCATCACTGGGGCAGCCCCTCCAAGACAAAACGTAACATCCCAGTAGAATTTCCCACACGTTGGAGTGGTGCTCACCGACGGGACTTGGAATGAATTGACATTGTTCATCGCAGAGTTCAATCAATCCAAGCTTCATATGTCCAAGTGCCGCCGCCGAGCCGCAAAGCTACATTGCTCACAACCAATGTGCTCCTTCGACGCAGCTCGCGACAACCAACATATCGCCGGCGACTCTGGGCCGGGTGAGAGCTAGAGGCCAAAGAATCCAAGATACTTATCGAGTCGCTCCATCGCTCGGCGCAGGCGCTCTTGATTTCGGTCGTCTCCGGGCACCTGTTTGACATCCGCGAGCCACCAGGGAAGGATGTACTCGCAGAGGTGGTATACTCGACAGGCCTTGACCACAGCAGGGTCGGACATCAAAGGCACCTTGATTCCGAGCGCCGAGGCCTCTTCCAAGAACGCCGACCGGAGAGCTGAAAGATCCGAGATGGCCTCGGCCTCGGCTTCGTCTGGCTCGTCCAGTTCATCGACCAGGCGACAGCCGGCAAAGCTGAACCCTTCATGCCATTCACGGAGCCAGTCGGCGGGACCTGCAAACTCGTAATCGACGAGCCCGCTGACCACAATCCGGCCGCTTTCAAGGCGTCCGATGACATTCCGCAGCTCAAAATCACCTTGGGTGAATACCACGGTTGCGTTATTCTCGGCATCGATCCAGGCGGCGCCTTGCTCGTGAAAAAGCGCCTGGAACTGGCGGATTCGGGGAAGCAGCGACTGCAGCGGTCGCAGGATCGAGTCGATCGCAAGGTTCTCCAGCTTTTCGACCTGAGTTCTGATCTTGTTCTCGATGGCAGTCGCCCACGACGAGGCTCGGCCAAAGCCGATGAGATCGTCGACAACGACGACGGTCCTTCCGTCTGGGGCAAGGGACAGACTTCCTGTTTCTTTCCAGCTTCCCGTCGTCCGAACCCGGTGGAGGATCTTGGCGATCTGCCGGACGGCATCCAGTTTCTGAGGAAGTGTCAGGCTGGGCCACAGCTCCTCGAGATTGCTGCCCTCCAGCTTCGTCATGAGAATATACTCGTAGGCAAGGAGCCCCGACGCCTTGCACTGATAACCGAGCAGCCGCGGGGCGAACTCAGGCATGCTCTCTCCAAGAATGGTGAGGGCGACCATCTCATTGAGGGTCTTGGTCTCCTTCCAGTGGCGGCCACACAGCCGCAGGACATACTTGCTGTTGACGATGAGGGTCTGGTTGTTGAACCCACATTCGACCGGCTCGACGACGCAGTCGCTGTCGGACGGGATGCCGTGGGCATCCAAGATGGCCTGCACCTGCGCTGCGGTGACCTTGATCCCCGCGCGGGGGGTGTCCGTGTCGTCGTTTCCGAACTGCTGCATCTGCTGCATCTGCTGCATCAGCGGGGCCGATCAGCGATGGCGAGGAGAGAGCAGCTTCGTTGTTGGGGCTGTCCTTGTCGGTGCGACGCCGTCCCGTGCTTGTCTTTGCCGATGCGTCGTTCTTTCTCGTTCGCTCCGTGGTCTTGCTGTTCGCCCATCTTCCATCTGTTCGCCAGTCTTGTCCATCGTCGCTGCTGACGCTTCTGCCTCGGTGCCTCTGCCGCCATCTCGGCTGCCTTTGCCTCCTTCCGGCCACACCTCTCTCGGGGGCTGTTGAGACCCTCCCCCACTCCCTGTTCTCACAGCAACGTCGATCGGCCTGACTCCTGTCCCCTGAACACCTCCACCAACGCAATCCAGACTCGCTGCCACCCCAAGCCGGAGCAACTGCCGCCTGCCTGATCCCACCTTGCTTTGCGTTTAACTGTCCCGCCGCGGTCTGCAACTACATCTCAATCGTGTTGTCTACACCTGACTCGTCATGGCATCAACGTTCTCTGACCGATTCCGGAGCTCGTCCTTCAACGGCTTTCCGATGATGCAGTGCATCCTGCTTCTCACCAATGTGCTTCCCGAGGTCCTCATCCACCACATGCTGGTGCCGCTGTATCCGTTCATGGCCAGGACCCTCATCAGCCCAACATCTCAAGGCATCGTCATGGCCGGCGACAAACCGGCCTATGCCTACTATGCCGGCCTGCTCCAGTCGGCCTACTTCTTCCCCACAATCTTCATGACAATCGTCTGGGGCACAGCCTCAGACAAAGTCGGCCGCAAGCCCATCCTCCTTCTCGGGCTTGTCGGCTACTGCACCGGCACACTGTGCCTCGGCCTCAGCACGCAGTACTGGCTGGCCGCTCTCGGCTTGTCCATCAGCGGTGCCTTTGCTGCCAACACCGTCGTTGCCAAAGGCATGATAGGCGAGCTTGCAAGCGACGACCAGAGCCGAGCCTGGGGCTATTCCATGTACGGAGTGGTCTTTGGTGCTGCCGGCATCGTCGGCTCGCTGCTTGGAGGGCTCCTTGGCGACAAGGCTCTGTTTCAAGGAGTGCAGTTTCTCGAAGAGCGACCCTATTTCGTTGCCTGTGCCCTGGGTGCTGTCCTGGCCCTCATCGGCATCGCCCTCGACATTCAGTTTTTGCGAGAAGCCCACGACTCGTCGCACTCGTACCAGGGACTGACCGGCCAAGACTTTGGCGAAGAGCTCGATCCCCTGGACGAGTCGTTCATCATGGAGCCGGTTGCAAGCTCCGGCTCCAAACTTCCCCACGATCATCTCGTTGGCGACGACGAGGGCGATGATGACGACTCGTCCTCCTCCGATGTAGTCCGCGGCAAGTTCAAGCCATCCGTGCATGGTGCAACAGCCGTCCCCGCATTCCTGCGACCCATGGTCCAGTTCTTCCGTTCTTGCTGGAGACTACTTTCGATCCGGACAATCATGCCGATGCTTTTGTATTCGATCTATGCTCTCTCAAACAGCATCTACGGCACCTCACTCCCGCTGCTTGCTTCGGCAAGCCACGAAGCCGGCGGCTTTGGCATGGGCACTGGCGAGACCGGAGCCGCAGTTATGACCACAAGCATCGCAAAACTCGGGGCCAAGATCCTCTTTTACCCCGTCCAGAGACGCTTCGGGACCGTGTGGACGTACCGCATCGGCTGCCTGCTGATTATCCCAGCCGTGCTGCTCCCTCCCATCTTTGGACAGATCTCGACCTGGCCGGCACTGATAGCGGCGGCGTGCTTTATCGGCGTCGGCGAAGGATGGCTCTACATCAGCGTGGTCATGATGATCACCGACTCGGTCAAGGTCAAGCACTTGGGACTTATCCACGGACTTGCAGGATGCATGGCCTCGGTCGTCCGCACAATTGGTCCGGCGGTCTCGGGGCTTGTTTGGCAAGTGGGCTCGGACCTGCATAGTCCCTGGCTCGTTTTTGCGATGGCCTCGCTGTCCGCAACCTCTGGCTTCCTGGCCACGTTCTATATGCCGTCGCGGGAAGGTCCTTCCGGATATGCAATCTGATGTATGCCACGCTACAAACATCATCACCCGTCCGAAGGCGCTATGGTCCAGGCATGTGCCTCATGGCTTCTCAAGCTCCGCATCTACCATCTGTCCGTGGGGGGGGGAATCAACCATTCTGCCATACAACAACGGGGATCTGCGTATTGTTTGATGATCGTTCATGGCTCTGGGGTTAGCCGCTGTATCTCTGGCTCCTGAATACATATACACTCGCTCATCGTAGCGACCACCCCACTGGAGTGCGTGCAGCGACGTTGATTCGTCGATATGGGCGATCGGCATTCCACGATCCACCAACAGGGCAGCTCTTGTGGATGATGACGAACTGGATTCCAGCCCATAGCTGCATCGAGAGACCGCCTTGGGGCTATTTGCACCTCCTCTCGAGTAACAGTAACAAAGTTGCTCGAAGCAGAATTGTTCCATTGGTCTGTTGGCTACCACAGCGCATTTACGTCGGGTGGCATATCTGTCGCAAGTACAAATGGTGTTAGACTGCGGCGCTCTCTGCTGCGATACCTGCATAGTGTGATAGACATGCCCCTTCGCCAAGTCGTGAGAGCTGACCGCAGACCTGGCTGACAGTGTCGAAAAATATTTGGGCATATTCCTCCCTGGTGGTCTTGCGGGGCAGTATCGAGGATACCGATGAGCCAGCCACCGGCTCGAGGAATGCTCGGTGGTTTTCTGGCATATAGCTGAGATTGACATGCTTCGCAAGTCCATTGGAATAGGTCCGGCCAACGCTTAGTTGGGCTATGCTTGAATCCAGATGAGCGTAAATCGACACAAGATAACGTACCTCATTTGCATAGTCTGTAGCCAGCTCGTCGCATCGCCGGGCATCTCCGAGACGCACCAACACCGAGCTGGATTTGCGGCTATACCGAATGGCCTTCCCCAACAATGCCGCCGTTATGGTTACGTTGAAGTTATCTGTCTCGAGCGCCTTGAGTAATGTGGACGGCGGCGTGCCCTCAAACTAATGCAGAGAGGTCATCGGTGGTCAAGTATCATCCGCAAGTTGGCTGTGAGCCTGTGGCTCTGTCCCGATGATCCGAGGTCCCAATTTGGCGGGTCAAGTATCTCCCGGTACACCACACAACGAATGCATCTCACGCTGAGGATAGCACACACAACCAGGTCGTCAGGCCACACTGCTTACCAGCGGCAAGCGATACACGCCATATTGGACGTAGCCCTTGTTATCAAAGATCGGGATGCCGGTCCAGCCCTCAGACACAACGGACCAGTTGTCGCTGATGTTGATCATGGTGCGAACATCAATCACGACCAGCATGCGCTTGGAGTATTTGCGTCTTCGATACCACTGTGCCGCCGGCAATTGTTGCAGTGAGCCCGATTCCATCGCCATCGATCAGTACGCTACAACACCGCACGGCGTGATCGCATAATAGCACGAGTAGTTCGGGTAGGAGCAAGTTCTTACATGGAAGCCGTCGCGCCAGACGGGCGATCGATAATGGGAGTCCATGTCGAGCGACGATACGGGATGCAAGTCGTCTGCGAATACCTCGACGGCGGCAGGATCTTTCTCGTCATGGTAGAGATGTGCTGGCGGACATATCGACAGCAGTGCAAAGGCAGCACCCTTGGCTGACAGCTTGTTGGCACTATCGACCGAAACGCAAAATCCACACTTGGGATCATATGGGCATACGTATGCCGGATTCACATCGAGGATGCGACTGTCATCGAAACGAATGGCTGCCAGCTTCTTGGTGGTCTCTGCAGCTGCCTGGTCGCCGGATAAATCCTTGCGGTCGGCCAAGACACACCGCCCGTACCCAGCTGGCCGTTAGTGCACAATCAACACCGCTGCTGATCCATCCGCCCCCATGCATCGCCTGGGCAAGGAAGCAATTGGGTACTCCAGAAGCCTGCTTTGATGCATAGCTCGGTCTGAAGTTGTCAATATAATGCCTGCTCTGTGCAAAAATACCTCCTCTTGGGCGTCTTCTGGCTCTGCTACATTATGAGAATAATGTAGTCAGCCAGCGGCCCAGAAAGCATTTCCTGGCACTCGATACGAGTAAGCTCCGAGTTGCTCAGAGTCTCATGCGGTGCGACAGCGGGTCATGAAATTCTGACCCCCTTTTGGCAAAGGTCGCAAAAGCATACCTCTCTCGTCCCTGGACCCAGCGAGTCCCTGCTCATCGAACCACCATACGTTTGTTAGCTACATTGGCGACCTTTGGGGCTTGCAGGATCATGGCAGAGTCAGTTAAATGTCCACGTCTATGCACAATCAAATATGCACCTGTTCGCTCTGCCGCTTTGCCTTCTCCATCGATATGAGGAGCTGTATCGATTAAAAAGTTTGCAGCAATTGAGTCAAGGATAAGAACAGGCAATTGAATATCCCACGGCTGAGTCGAGATATCTTGACCAAAGTCAGCGCTCTGACCCATCACAAAAAGGATATCTCTTAGAGTCATTGTGGACTTGATTGTGGCAAGATACGGATAGATCTGGCGCTCGTAGGAGCTCGGTTTTGAACGCAGGGTATTGTACTCTTGCTTGGTGGACAGGATGGGTGCATCTGTCGAAATGGCAGCCTTGCCGTCAGAGACAGAAGCGCCGAGCCGATGCTCAGCCGTGCAACTTGCTTCACATCCTTACCGTCGCTGCTCGATTCCACTATGCGTACCAACAGTGTCGCACATGGAAGCCTGGTAAGCGGGCGAGAGAGACCGTCAGATCCGCGAGAATCCGGGATGCTAGATAGCCTATATCCACATACGCGACGACTCAAAGTGCGCTACAAACACACTTGGGCTCATTATCCATCGATCGTGTCGTGAGCTGAATGTCGCTCTCTGGAAGTGGTCCCAGGCGGAGACTGATACTGAATGCTCCCTCGTTCAGGCTGAGCTTGCTGACAGGGCATTTGGGCTGAGGCTGAACCCCAGTATCGATGTCGACAAAGAGATTGCACAATGCAGTCCCGACGAGCACGACTTGTTTTGAAAAGACGTCGATCCCAAACATCTTGAAGACAATGACCGCAGTGGGGTCGAGGCTGGAAGGTTGGTAGGACTTGTGGAACTGGCGGAGGCGAGTGGTCAGTGTTCGAGGAAGGTAGGGGACTCGCTGGAAAGTACGAGGTGATGTCGTGCTAGCCGAAGCATACTCACATCGAACGATGGAAAATACCGGAGGGTGTCTGGGTTGAACAGGGCTCGCATTTCGGCTTCGCAGCCACTGAGCTTCCGATGTTTGGCCGTGAGGACGTTGGCAATGACGCAACAGGGGCCCAAATTGTCGGGCAAGAAGCGGGCTGGACGCGAATACATTAACAGTGGTCAGCTGGAGGGTTTGTTGAGGTTGGATGGAGATGGTAGCCAGTCCAGCGGTCTTGATTAGTATCAAACCTGAGTCGATGCAGCAGTAAAACTTGCTTCCGAGTTTGAAAGTTGTTCTGGCAGCTAGAGAGTGGGAGTGATTAGCACGGATGTCTGGTGGATGTGGTGAAGGCGTTTTGGAGGACCGCGATCCCCTCCACCTGCCTGATCGCTTTGGGGTAATCAGACTCCAGGCCGATTGTGGGATGGGGAGCTCGTAGAGCCGAGGTGAAAACATCTTGACGCCAGACGGATAGACCGGGTCGACGGGCTAATGTGTGAGTGGCTCTCTTTCGGTTGCGGGAGCCGGCATATTACATTCGCTGACCATGCACGGCGAAGAATCACGGAAACACCCACCTGCTTCTCTGGAACGGTATCTCCAGCGAAGAGTGTGATTTCAATGCACGCATCATTGTACTTGATCGGAGTTCCATTGACTGGAATGCGAAACAGTGGCAGACGGTGCTTTCCAACCTTGAGAGCTGGGATCGGTACATTCGATTCAGTGAATACAAGCCCCTCACCCGGCAGAGGCCAACAAGTGCAGCAGGACTGGCCACTACAAGCGCGATCTACCTGGGGCCGAGCCATTTTTGGAGCTGAAGAGCCGCATTTCGGTAAATGCAATCGGCACCCAATCCGAGTTGTCCTCCTGATGGATCGCGGTGGATTGAAGTACAAGCTATGAGTGAGCACCAGCTATCTCCAGCGAGGCCCGCACTCCACCTGTGCTAGATCAGGATCTGCTCGAGATCAGCTCGGGATCGCTGGTGACCAGAAAAAAATAGTAAACCGAGTCGATCGGTGCTGTGGTTGGCCCGTTTTCTCACCGGCTCTGGGAATATATCGATGGTGATCCGCCTGGAGACCGAAACGGCAATGTCTTCAAATATCTTGGCACTGTTGGTCTCGGGCCATCCATGGCTCCCGGCGTCGGCTCCGCACTGGGGGGGGTGTCAAAAATGTGCAGTTTGGGTCAATACTGACCCATCCCGAGAAGCGACTGACTGTTTGTTCAGAGTCAACTCAAAATCTCTGAACTCAAAATCTCTGGAATGCACAGCCGACACGTACGTCAGCAGGCTCGGTGATGAACTGCTGGGCTCCATCGGCACCACCCTCCGGGGCTTCGTCCAGGATCGTGACGCGGGCACGGGGATAGAAGACATCCGGAAGAGAGTCGATTCGATCAAACTGGACGCCGATGCTTGAATAGCGCACACAGCGGATGGGGAACAAGTCGCGGTGTAAGTAACAGCACCCAAAGCCTTGTATGCATGCACACACATATGCAACCAGCCTCACTAAAATGCACTGTGTCATGGGTACCTTGCAAACACAGCCGTTTCCAGGTCCAGATGCGGCTTTTCGGTCTCGACCGGAACCGCAGGCTGTGGGCGGAGCTCGGCCATCGAGTCGTACCGGCCCTTTTCTTTCTGACCAAGAGGGTCTGATGGGTCGTCGAACACGGGTTCCTGGAGACAGAAACGGGCCACGGTCTCAATACAAGAGGCTCGCAAGAGCACAAGGGCAATGGCTCTGGTGTCGTTGCAGCGCCGATATCGAACATGCCTCGTTCTTGTCGTATCGTTGGTGTCGGTATTGATACCGATGTGTTGGTGGATCGATGGTGAGACCGTGGTGGGCCTTGAATGCGCTGTTGTCGATGATTCGGAGATAGATCCCCATTCCTCGAATACTGGTGGAGGGTGTGTGTGTGAGAGAGCTTAAGTACCCGTGTAGAGCCTCTGGGACGACAAGCGGTTCATCCTACCATTCCAGCGACTTGTATGTATCTTGGGTCGTCCTGTCAAAGTCGATGGGTGGAGCGAAAACTGGTATTTTCCTGTAGCATCCACGGAATCATCAGTGCTTGCAAGGCAATCATCCGTCTTAGAGTAGATTTGCATCCAAATCGGTGCCAAGGCAGAGCAAGCCGTCATGCCACAGACCAGAATCCGTGGTCAAGATCAATGCTAGTGTTGAACAGGTCAAAGCAGCTCCACCCAATCAGCTTCTGTTCGTTCGATGCTTCGTATTCAAGCTGAGATACCCGCACGTCGACAAAGACCCTGTATGTCCGTACGGCTGGGATCTAGGGCGCAAGTCTTGTCAGTCGTTTTGATCACCCACAGCAAGATTCACTGGAGAGCACCAAAGTGGAGGTATCCCGGAACAATCCTGGAAAACATTAGCAAGTGAACAAGCTGCCACGCCTCGACCGTCACGTCGACCTACATCCAGCAGCTTGGAGGAGCTACTCAGCGAGGAAAAGATGAATTTTGTATTTTCGTCGGTTTGGCAATCGTGCGGCTTTAGATACTTCAGCTCCCGTCGGCAGGTGCTTCCAGAGAATATAGCAAAGCCAATGATGACCGAGCGGCTGCGAACCGATGAGGGCAATCCGCCAACGAAATCCCTGCGGCAAATCGGGGACAGAGAGGGTGTCGGCAAGCCAGATTGCAGCCATATCTCTAACTCCACGAGAATTGGACTTCTGGAAGCGTTGGAAGGCTTCACTCTACGACAGTGTGCAAACTACCGCATCGGGAGCGCTGCGTACTCACCAAAATATCGTGAATCCCTCGCTGGGTATGTACATGGACGAGTCTGGTTCGGCGTTTGCCAGGGCCATCACCTCTTCGCTTGTGGACTGTGGAGAGGAGACACATGTGTATCGGCGAGTAAGCATCTTCAATCCCACCGGGCCGATTTCAAAGGCCCTGAAAGTGTGGCTATCGACACAATCGCTGCACTGGCTTCCCGGATGTATTTGCATTCAGCCACAAGTCTGTACATGCTTACCCGAACCGGGGTTGAGCCGCCAAGGTTCGTGGACAGCTGCTCCAACGAGCCACTAACGGGCGAAGCAGTGCTTTCGCCAGCATCGATGTTGGCGTACTTGTATGGAGCCGCACCAGCTCCAGCACCCATGCCTCCGGTGTATCCTATTCTCCTTTCAGTTCAGTGGAGGGGATCGAGAGGCCATCGTCAAACACAAACAGCACGGATCAGGTCAACTCCGAGCTTACGAGCGCCGCCGTACCTCTTAAACTGATCGAGCTTCATCTTTTGATTAATGATCTCCCTTTCGTTCTCCATTCGCAGGATGATTTTCTTGTGATCCAGACGCATTTGCCTCAATTCTTCATCCTCTGAATGGACGAAAGACTGTTCAGCTCATCCGAGTGCCCTGAGAATCCACCGGTTGGCGCATTTCTTTGCAAGGTACCTCCTCTGTCTCATTGGCGGCACATACCAAGTCGGTCGTCACTCCAGCCTGGCTGAGTGTTCGGCTCGAGCAGATCGAGCTGAGACTTGCTTATTTCTGTGGCCACGTTCTTCATTTCCTGAGCTCAGCGAGGAAGGGCAAGCAAGTCGATGGAAATGACCTTGAGAGTTTAAGCGACCTGCCCCGTGGTTACTGCCACCCAGATGACTCTGGACCATGAACTCTATACCCGAAACTTGTTCTGCTGGAGGATGGATATGGGTTGTATCATCAAGCCAGTGGAGAAGTAGAAAGCCGCGACATACTTTGAGTTTCGGTGCTCGTTTCTGGCTGTCATCCAGGCCCTGGAGAATGTCCGAGCGGTCGGTGTCCTTGGCGACACTATGATCGACACGCAGGGCTTCTTCCTCCAGTGCCCGCATCTGAGCGAGCAGCTTCGGGCTGGACCCTCCGTTACGCAGATACTGATTTCGCAAGCGACCAATCTGCTTCAGAATCGGGTTTTCATCATGTTCGATCGAGTCGTAACTACCGCGACACCGAAGATAAGTGAGGCGAAGGGAGTGGTGGAAGCGGAGGTCGTGGATGTAGAGGTCGTGGATGTACAGGTCGTGGATGTAGAGTTCGTGGATATACAGGTGGAGAGATGGGGCATTAATATCTGTTGCACAGCTCAAGACAAAGCAAAAGTACCCGAGGCATACCCGAGCGAGAAATTGTATGGTCCCATGACAGGGACGTAATGGCGGCGGGACCAGTCACTCTCCGGGTCTGTCGCAAAGGGATCGTATGCAGATCCCAGCTTGGTCTGTGCAGCGAGAGTGAGTTACAAGCGTTGGTATATGAGTGTTTGGGCATCATCCAACGCCGGGGGGGGGAAATCGGGGCTGTTATTGCTGGTGGCGAGTGCGAGTGCGAGTGCACGCAGCCTGAGATGCACCTTATTGTCGGAAGAATGGTCAAGGGACTTGTTCTGGAGCGGCCATTGATGTCGGCGGACGCAGCGGAGGGTATGGTACTTATTAGTTACCACGGCGCGGATACCAGTCCATGGTTCTCGGCGGTCTTGCGGACGCATACGAATTTGAACCCACCTTTCCCTCCCGGAACCTTTCGGCCCGCCTGTGGGCCTGCTCAAGTTTCTGCGCAACAAGTTGGCGCTCTCTGTAGAGTCTTGTTTGCGTCCACACCCATCGCCAGATCAGTAATCGTTGGACAAACATCAGAGGGAAGAGTCATTTGGTGGAGAGATCGGTTGGAATTCTCTCCCGAGGGCAGTCGTAAGAACCCATCGGCCATCAACAGACCTTTCCTGGAGCCGAAGCTGCTCGTGTTCGTCTCCCTCATGCGGCTGGGAGAATTCAAGAGGTGCAGTACCATCAGTCCTGGCCCGTGGAAACTGTGAAGCAAGCGAAATGGTTTTTGGGATGCCTCACCTTGCTGGCTGAGGACATGATCACGACACTGACACCAGCAGCAGCGGAGACGGAGACAGAGACGGTGGATGCATTGACGACGAATGTGTCGGTGCTGTTGGTGTCGCTGTTTCCACTACCGGTGGCCCACAGTCGATTCAGTATATCCAAAACAGGATTGGGACGGCGTGTGCATTGTTTTTGAGAACGATCCATTGTTGGCAACAAGCGCCCGGTTGCCTTTGGTTGCATACCACAGCGCGAGCGACGATCGACATCATTCAGCCAGATCGACCAGCATCATTCAATCCACACAAGACATCGACATGTCTAAATGCCCCGTTTCAATGCGGACACGCTGTATTTGGAACTAGGGACGGGCTGCGGTTCACATCCCCGACTCTACACGACCGAGTCCGGTCTGTAATCATCTGGCGGACTCTATAGTTGGACAAAACAGATATACATCGGCAAGGACACAGCGTGAGTTTTTTTTTTTTTTTTTTTTTTTTTTTTTTTTTTTTTTTGAGAGAGAGAGAGAGAGAGAGAGAGAGAGAGAGATAAAGAGATGAAGAGATGAATGGGAGGAAGGGGCTCAGCACGGCCCGGTCCGAGGCTTGATTTTGATCCTGTAGGTCTCCGACGCCAGCCGCAGCGTCACAGCCAACACGAGATCCTTGGCTTGGCCCGGGACGTCTTCGATCTCGTATTTGCGCAAAAAGTTGGCCAGGAACAGCCGGATCTCCATAAGCGCAAAGTTTCGGCCGATGCAGTTGCGCGAGCCCGAGGAAAAGGGGAGAAGCTCGCCCTTGGCTTCGTGGGACTTGAATACCCCGGTGACATGCTCCAAGTCCAGGAAGCGCTCGGGGAGGAACTCATCAGGCTCGGTCCAGATCTGGGGATTGTGGTGGGTTGCGATCGTGGACACAACGACCCGAGTGTTCTTGGGGATAAAGTACCCGCCAAAGATCATGTCGGATGGGAACTCGCGAAGAGGCCCGCCGGCAACGACCGGTACAAGCCGCAGGACCTCGTAGATGACGGCGTTGAGATAGGGCAGGCTCTTGGCAGTGTCGTGGCTGATGAGGCCAGAGGTTGGCTCGACGTGAGCTGCGTCAATCTCGGCCACCAGCTGCTTCAGAGCTCGTGGGTTCTCGAGGAGCTTGATCAGCGCAAAGGACATGGTCTGCGGCATCCGTGTTTTTGGACGGCAATGGTTCGTTAGTCAAAGGCACCAACTTGCCTGGTTGATTGCACGAGGCGAGCGCTGTAGCCAAGGATACTACGCAGCAGGAACATATCCTCGGCGCAAGCATATGTGCTTCGTGCCAAAGATCCGGAGGGCAACCTACATTGCCTGTAGTTTCGCTTCCTGCAATCAGAAACATGACGGTGTTTGCAGCAACCTCCTCATCGGTGAGAGGCTCTCCCGTTTCTGGATCTTTGGCCTCGATGATCCGCTGCAGAAGATCACCTCGCTTGGGGCCGCTGTCGGTCTTGCGTCTCTGCTGAATGATGTCCCGCATGAATGCCTCGATGTAGCTCAGGTCGGCGCGCTCGTCTCGGACACCCGGGAGGAAGAACAGATAGCGGATCCAAGGAAACACATAAGCTGTGATGGTAAAGTAGAATCTGCGGACAATCGCCGAGGGAAGTGGATGGGCTTGCTTTTCGATCTAGACGAAGACAGTTGAGCAAGTCTTAATGTGGCTGCGCTCGCTGGAACGGACATCCCTGACGGCTTGCCGTGATTGCTGCATGGGCCAGAGCGCTGGGCCAGAGCGCTGGTCCGCGCCGGTTCCCGTGGCTCGCCAGCATGCTACTTGCCATGTTGAAAGAAAGGCCAAAAGCCGTCTCGCCAATGACGTCGAGAGCAAAGCATCCAAGGAACCGCCACAGGTCGATTGTTACGTACGCCGGATTGCCGGATGCCTCTTGGGCGTGGAGATAATCGAGATGATCAAAGGTGCTGGTGATGCATTTGTCCATAAAGGGTTCCAAGGCACCGAGCTCCTGAAGACCAAAGGAATGAGACTGCATTGCAGCACTGTCAGCGCCGATACCAGAGTCAAAGAGTTGGAGGTCATCGATCGAGGAGGTATCCCTCAAGGATGCACAGCGTGGGAAGCATCGAGGGACTGCTCATCGATGAATACAGCATGGCGCTCCAACATCCCCGACACTGTGGCCTTGGAAGCACTGATAACAATGATCAGAGGCCTCGGGAAAGCGCAATCAACTCACAAGGGTGCGGCGCATCCTGCGATGGTACAGCTTATCGGTAGTAGAGAAGAGCGAGTCCGTCGATGAGTGCCCGACAAAGCGAAAGGTTGTCGAGTAGCTCGCGGGCTTCGGAAAGTCGTGGGTGACCAGGACCAGCTTGACAAGCTCGGGGTCAGCAACGCTGATGGTATTGGCGTCGGTAACAACGACGGGGCCATGTCTAGTGCAGGTGATATCGGTGCGAATCCATGAGCAGAAAGAAGGCACCGATACAAATGCTGATACGGGCGCTGGACAGCGACAGGCGCCGATGCAACCGAGATAGGAAAGACGTACTTTTGATGCAGGCAGTGGATATGGTTGAAGAAGGTCTTGATGCCGATCCGAAACCGATCCAGCGGACCCAGAATCACAGCCCAGAAGGTGTCGCTGGCAGCCGGGAGCTTTCGCAGAGGCGATCGGAAAGCCCGCACCAAGTATCGAACGTAGTTCCAGGCCAAGTATGAACCCGCGAGGGAGCCAAGAAGCACAGCTGCCGAGCGAGTGCGAACAAGCGTCATGATAACAGAGTACAGCGGGATGAAGAAGCGAGAGCCGGCGACACTTGAGGTGGATCTGGTTCCGGGCCGAGGTGGCGTAGAGAAGTGTGCTATGTGAAGATATGGGCCAAATCGATCGAAGAACAATGGCCAAGGCGGCGATAGTTCAAGGGCCGAGGGAGATGGGCGGACGACGGAGGACAAAGTGCGGACCAGGATTTGGGGGCCAGGGTCGGGCCAGGAATTGGGGGCCGAACGGAAGCGAGACCGCAGGAGAAGGCGATCGTGGCGAGAGAGTGCTTGCGGGGGTGTGTGGATACCGACACCAGTCCAAGATAGAAATCCAAGATAGAAATCCAAGATAGAAATCCAAGACGCAAGGCCAAGATAGAAATCCAAGACAGAAGACAGACGAGGAGGCCGACAGCGACGACGGCAGACGACCGCAGATCGCGGTTGCAGATCGGGCCGGGCCATCGGAGCCAAGCCGAGCGGGCGTGACGCGGAGTGACGGGCGTGCGCAGCAGCCACGTGTGCGGTCTGTGGCGAGCAAGACTTGGATGAATGTCGGCCATGGTCGAGACCAGAACACAGCCGGGTCGGTGGGATGGGCGATGGGCGATAGGCAGAGCGAGCGAGACAACCATGCGTGGGTGCGCTGCGGTCTGCTGGGTGAGTACCGAGGGCTTCCTCTCCGGATCGCACGCTGTCTGGGCGAGCATGATGTCGACCAGGCATGACCCGGCCCGCCTGCGCGTTTTGCTTTTTCGGGGCTTGGCTCCTGAAGGTGCTGCTTGAGTGCATCGCATCCTCTGCCGCAATTAACCATCGCTGCATCCAGTTGATCGCCCACTGCATCCAGTCAATCGTCCGTCATGTCGAACCTGCATCCATCCGGTAAGCACGCGGCACCGGCTTTGCTCCCGACCGGGCTCCCTCTCTGACCACAGATGATCCGCCTCCTCCCATACGGCCCTCTCATCTTCCACCGACTGGCTGGCAGAGGAGGGCTTCTTTCGCCGCACCAAGCGCAAGTTCCTGGAGAACCCCTTTATCTTCCCTGGTACGCACTGTCGCTGCGATCACCCGATGCGCTGTGCATCGCCAATGAGCGGCTCCATGAAACACGTTCTCTTCCGAAAGCCCACAAGTCTCGATATGCCGACTGGGTTTAGGATGCTTACCCGCCCGATTGCTCTTTGATCTGGCCCATCGCCAATGCGCACCGCATCCGATCTCCAATGCCGATCTTCAATGCCGATCACCAACTGGCCACCCTTGAACTGCACACCTGAATTGCCGGGCAGGATTCGTGGCCTGTACCTATGGCCTGTTCCTGATGATCCGCAGCCTGAACCGGGGGGACAAGATTGGGTTCCAGTATGGCCAGCGTTTCCGAGTTGGTATGGCATCGTCGACACACTGCCGGAGCAAACCGTTGGGGCTTGCCGTCGCTCAGTCCATCAGACTCGATGGGGCACTCAGGCTCAGTCCAGCAGATTCGATGGGATACCCCAGACTCACTCGCTGCTTCCCTCCCCCGTCTTATTCGCCCTCGCCGTAGGCGCCCATGTCCTGACGGTAGCGTTCTTTGCTGGCGGCATGCTCTACCACGACTGGAACAAGAAGCAGAAGCAGATCCAGGAGAGTGGGGCAGCAGCCCAAGCCTGAAGCGCTTCCCGGTATCGCCGGCACTGTCCATCGACCGCTTTTTACCACCAGCACCTACTCTCTGGACCAGCACATGCCTCTGTAGACTGCAACGACGCTTGTCCATCTGCTCATCTCCGCCTAATATATCAACCATCGCTCGGCATCAGCATGAGCGCGCTGTTGCATAGACCAAGGCTGCTGTGATCGGCCAAATGCTGCTACCGGCGGCTTGATGTGGGGGGGGGGCGACCAGAAGCATCCCGCAAGCCTATGGCCGACGTCGTCCGCACACCTGCAGATGCGGTCTGATACCGAATGCACGGCCGGACGATGCCCAAAGGTCCGGCACCGCCCAAAGACGCCGTGCAGAAACAACCCCCGGTCAGCAGGATCGCCGTTCATCCAGCCGGCCCCCCCCCGAGCCGCAAGAGCTTGCCTCCGATCCAGACCTGCACCCGCCTGGTCTCCTTTTCCCTCATCGCTCCGGCTCCTGTGCCCCCGCACCTTCCCCGTGCCCTCTTTTGCATCGCCTGGTCGAGGCATCTTCGCCCACCGCCGCTGCCGCGACCCCCGCATCTGCTGCCCGATCCATTCCGCCAGGCCCCCGGCATTTTGTCCATCCGCTCTTGTTGCTGTCTCGACAAAGCCAAGTCCGGCCCGCTTCCCTCCTCCCGTGCGGCTCTACCGATATCCGAAAGCCAGCAACTGGGCAGACATCTTCTCCCGACCCCAAACCGTCACTGCTCTGGCCAGGAATCGACGCCTTTCGCTCTCAGGTCCGCCTCTCTCTCCCTCAGCCATGTCAAAAGAGAACGACGTTGCATACCAGCAATACCAGATCCTCTACCCCTTTCTGCAGGACTTTCTGCAAAGCCTCACCGCCGAGGGCTCTCTCTCCACCCGGGCGCTTGCTGGCAAAGACAAGCTCGTCCGGCTCGCCAACGGACAGCTCACCGATCTTGCCCGAGATGTAACGGACGAGCTGGAGAGGCGACGAGCGAACAATCCAAATGGTACGTTTTGGAGCGTGCGGAGGGGGGGATGGGCACTGTGGTGAGCACTTTGAATGGCGATTCAGGGCACAAGAAGGGAGGCAAAATGGTGGATGTTGGCACGGCCGAGTCGGCAGTTTGCCGAGAGCATCTTCACTATATTCCAACGAGCACCGACCCCGGACGACAACGAACGACAATGAGCGCTGAGCCATGCCGCACCCTGGCAGAGGAGCCGAGCCAGACTCCCCCAGACAACGCATCACATCCATACCGAATGCGATCCGACTACAGTTTGTCGATGAACCAAATGGATCGCGAAAACATCTACCTCGAGTCGTCAGCGCCGAAAGCGTGCCTATCCCAGGAGATCGGTGCCGAGAGCATGCACGTCGGAGAGCCAAGATTCATATCGTGGACTCTCGGCTGGGGTCTGCTGGAAGATTCGCTTTCGGCCACTCAGCACAGCGTCTTTGCGGCTCACCCGTCTCGTGCTTCAACCTCACAGTGCCGTTTCTGCCCGTCCGAGAGGAGTTCCACCAAAAGCGCAATCAAGCCCGTCAGAAGCTCGCCACCCTGACCTTTACTCGGTATCGCGACCTCGCGGCTGATGTGTTTTTTGAGATCGAGCGTCGCTACCCTCACTTTCTCCAGGAATATCGGGTCAAGCACGGCATCCCGGTACGGAACGACGCCGTCGGCGCCGCTCGCTCGGCCATTACCGATCGAGCGCACTGCCTTGTGCCGGGCTGGCTCTCCAGTGTTGGGCTTGGACCGATTGTTCTGGAAGAGTAGTTGGAACGTCACTCGATGTTGATAGATCCACTTTCCATTTGGTTGACAGGAGCCCATCCCGGTGGCACCACCTCGTGCTCAAAGCTCAATGTCTGGAGGGGTAAGCGCAAGCCACAGAATGCAGATCGCCGGCACTGCTCCGATGCGGAGCGCACAAACTGACTCGTTCGGATGTCTACTTTGAAACTGCCGCTGGTGGCCTTATTAGCAACGAGACGATTTGTACACTTTGGAGAGAAACCCTCCGAAAAAGTCCATGCGCCCCGAGTCGGCCATCAACTTTGCCAACCTGGATCGGCTAATGACCGATCTCGGCACGATGGTGGTGTCGAAAGAAGGCTCCGACACCAACTCTTTGGTACGGCTCGATCGGGTGGCGAATGCACCAAGCCCGAGCGCTGGACATTGATTTTAACACAGTATCATGCTGTCCCGCACAGGATCGATCATCGTCCAATATGCGCCCCAACCCAGGCGATGGGCGCATCGAGTTTTTGAGCCGACGAATCCGTGAGCTGGAGGCAGAGAACTACGTAAGTTCCTCTTTGACGCAGAGATCTCTTCCACGGACGACTAAATAGGCTGCGCGGAGGCCTCTGACTCGCATATGCATTCTCCCCTCCCTATATGATTCAGCAACTCCGAAGCAAGGTCATTGAGCTCGAAGAAGGGTACAACAATGCTGTCGAGGTGGGTAGCCATGGCTTCGAGTGTTTCATTTGCCGATGTGCTCTCGATAGAGCTGCACTCTTCCTTGTATCGATGGCGGGAGACGTCAGCCACAGAGGTTTATGCGATCACTTCACGATTGTTCGACATAGAAACAAAGGAAGGCCGAGACCGAGCTGAGCCAATCCCAGCAAGAGCTGTCCAAGCTCAAGCAAGACCAAATCTTGTTGCAGGATGCGTACAACAAGCAGCAGCATGTATGTGGAAAGATGGTACTGCGCAGCAAGCACTGAGAATAGACACGCCAAGAGATAGTCCGCAGAGGCTTTGCGGACAGGTTTAGCGTGAGCATCACGCGTTTCGAGGATGAGTGCCCTGATTCATTCGTCACGATATGCACATTCCCTTGGCCTAGCTCACGGGTGATATCCAGTCGGAGGCATCGAACCTACTCGAGGAGATCAAGACGCTCTCCAAGACCAACGAGGAGCTCGGCGAAGTCAATACCCGCAATCAAGCAGTCATCCGACAGCTCACCGAGGAGGTACACAGGCCCATGCAATTGCGTCATCGGGGGTTGCTTCTCGCGGCTCCCATTGTGCACGACTTTACGATGCGGCGGGGCTGCGAAGGGTGTTGACTGTGGAAGCTCTGGTGACTAAACCTTGCGAAACATACCCGAACCAGAATCAGAGACTTGCCAACCTCAAAGGAGTGGCGCCGCTCAACAGTAAGTTACCCGCAATGGATTTTAACAGGGTATCAAGTGGGAGTGTGGGGAAGGGTCCGATTGTGCATCTGGAGTTTCATATCAACAAAGCGCTCATGCGGTCGACATGTGGTCCAGCTTATACCGAAAGGGCTATATCCGAGGACCGCCTCAAGGCTCTGAAGGATGCTTCTGACAATCTCCTGATCGCGGGGCGGTGAGTGATGCCATCGCAGAGCCTGAGAAGAGCCGCACAGCCCTTGGCGTCGGAGTTGCATCACCAAATGCCGTCGGCTAACTTGGATCGTGGCCAACCAACGCAGCGGCGATTCGCCGACCGGAGTCTTGGTGGCGATGAAGGCCGTGGTGCTGGCGTGCAAGAACATTACTGAAGACTGTGAGCGATACGAGAACTCTGTCCCGCTGTCGGGCGAAGCCCGCGGACACATCGACAATGTCAAGATGAACATGTCCAACTCGCTGACCGGTCTCATGAACACCACCAAGAGTCACGCCACCAACCTCGGCAGGTCGTCCGTTCAGCTGCTCGAAGCGGCGCTGGGCAGCCTATGCAGCAACGTCACCGAGCTCGCCGAACTCCTCAACGGGTCTGGCTCGACAGCGGCAGCGGCTACAAGCGAGGCGCGCGTGGCGTCCGGGGGCTACGAAGACACGTTTGATGTGGAGTATGGGGACCAGGACTATGACACAATGCCATCGAATGGACGGCCAGAGAGCTATGCGATCGAGGAGCTCAAGGTAGGAATGAACGTCGGCACGACGCAATGTGCAATGTGCAATGTGCAGTCGGTTGAACAAGATCAATCCACAAGATCTAGGAATGGGGATGTGCCATCATCATCATCATCATCATCATCATCATCATCATCATCATCATCATCATCATCATCATCATCATCATCATCATCATCATCATCATCATCATCATCATCATCATCATCATCATCACCATCGTCGTCGTCGACACCATTTACTAACCATATCGCTTTACGCAGATCTATCTGGAAGACAAGACAGACCAGATCGTCCAGGCCATCCAAACCCTATTGATAACGATGCGACAGCAGAGTCAGTTTGGCCAAGAGTTCAGGGACACCGTCGGCCGAATCACAACAATCGTGTCCAATCTCTTGGGAGTATCTCGATCGACGCTGTCCAAGCCTGGAGCACAGTATTACCATCAGGAAGGCATGGCTATCCTCGGGCTGCTTGAACAGGCGAATTACTCTCTCGATGAGCTCGGAAACCGCATCATGCAGAATCCACAGTCCAAAACAACAAAGCAGCAGCTGGCAAGCTCCTCGTACGATATCGCCAAGGTAGGTAGTGACTACAAAAATGATGGAGAGGGAGCAGCCCCCCTCCGGCATGATAAGCCCTGGATGAATTTGCAAGGCTAACTGGCTTTCCTGTTAATGCTGTTGCCTTTCCAGTACATCAAGGAACTAATCAACCTGATTGAGAGCGATCATTGACCCATATGTGTTGTACCGGGCCACCACGCCTCCCGATGTGAGAGTATGTCAGGGTTCACAAATTGAAGAGTGACATCCTGCTGGAGTCCCCGGGTTTGGCTTCGGGATCGTGAATATAAGCAAACGCTGATCTGGAAATGACTCGGAATTGTGATGACGGATCAACTCAGTGTCTATACCTCAGGCATCACCGTCGGGAGCCTCTCAGCTGTCGGATCGAGATGCACCAAGTATCGCCATATCGGAGCACAGTATCCAACACATCTGGTCGACTGGCATTGACGGAGCAATGCAGGAGTGTGGTGCGTGCTTTCGATCCTCTGCCATTTCTCATGCGTTGCTTCCACGGATGCCCGATCATGGTGGCGATGGATGGATGCATCGAGGACACAGACCACAGCCATCTTCCTCAGTCGAGGCTGTGATCTCATTGGGGGTCTGGATGGACTGGAGTTGCAATGGTCATCATCACTCACGGAGATCCACTAGCGACAATGCGGGAGAAGGCAGTGCCCCAGGATATCCACGACAACTGGTGTCTGCTCTCGATTGATTTCACGGCCAAGTGCGGTGTGTGGACTGTCATAGATTGTGAGGGATTTGGACTCGCTTCGGGTTTGACAGCAACAAAGCAGGATCGTCTCACACCACAGCACCAGAGCCGTCCTCCAATACGAATATCACACAATCCGATCGGACGAAGTGAGATGTCGGAAGTGTGAGGAAGAAATTTGAATTGGAAGAAACAAGCCGAAACGGAGTGGAATGGAAAACATAGAGAGTAAAACCTGGAGAATGAACACATGACATTGAGCAGCTCCATGCTGAGCTACCTCGAGAATCGGCCAAAAGTGTACTCGACCGAATCGTTGAACACAGCTCGACATCCCTTCGGTAGTCCTGATATTATCTTTCGAAGTCCGAAAGAGTCAGCATATCGGCCAAACATACCATCCAACAAGGACCGATTGAATGGCCTCATACTTGAATCCAAATACAGTGTCTTGAGAGAGGGAAGCTTGTCGACCAGTCCGCTGATTCTGCGAATCGATCGAGGGGAGTGAAGAATCTCGAGCTTGAGATACGAGGGAATGTCATCCAACGACGCCAATTCGCAGCAAGCATGCAAATCGAGGACTGTGAGGGAGCTTTGACTGACATGCAAATCGGCCAGGCTCACAAATTGACTTGAGAGGACGAGATGATTGAGCTTTGGCATCCTTGGGAGTTGGCTCAATGGTGTGGGGTTTGCGCGAGGAGATAGTGAGCTTGGTGAGGACGGAGGCTCCTCGGGAACATCGACGAGGGCCTCAATGCCGGTTGGAATGTCGAGCTCAAGCAACATCGGCACCGCTGACGGCCAACCAAGAGACGCGAGTCCAATAGATCATGGGGATGTGAGGAGCTTTAGCGAAGGCAGTTCCCTCGGCAAGCCTCCAAGGGACTCGGTGGACTTGGGGAGCTTCAGCGTCACCAACTTTGGCATCTCAGGCATTCCCTTGAGCGACTTGAGTTCACTGCATTCACTCGGGTCGAACCATGTCAGGCGAGGCAGCTCGTTTGGCATGCCTTCCAAGGACTCAATGGACTTGGGGAGCACAAGCGCTTTCAGATGTGGCATCTCGGATATTTCCTCGAGCGATTTCAATTGGTTACATTCTTTCAAGCTGAGCCTTTCAAGCATGGGCAGCTCGTTCGGCATGTCTTCAAGGGACTCGATGGACTTGGGGAGAAGGAGTTTCTCCAACTTTGGCATCTCAGGCATTCCCTTGAGCGACTTGAGCTCACTGCATCCACTCATGCTGAGCCATGTGAGCATGGGCAGTTCCTTCGGCATGCCTTCAAGGAACTCGATGGACTTGGGGAGATAAAGTGTCTCCAACTTTGGCATCTCAGGCATTCCCTTGAGTGACTTGAGTTCAATGCATTCACTCAGGTCGAGTTTTGCAAGCATGGGCAGCTCCTTCGGCATGCCTTCCAAGCTGATCAGCGAACCAGCCACTCGATCCCGGTTTCTATGTCTGATGGTCAGCTCTTGAATATTGGAGAGCCATCTGGACCATCCAGACACTTCCAGAAATGACACATCCTCAAGAGTCAGTTCCTTTGTCCACATGCGGTCGATCTTTGGGATATCGAATGGCAAAAGCCTGGAAACATAGGTGTTTCCACCCCTTCTCGCACTGGGTCGAATCGTGAAACTTGGCCATCTTTCCATCTCTATCGGCCACTGGAAGGGAAAGTTTCGTCTTTCAGCGATCGTGATCATCTCCTCGACGGATGGCTGCTTGGATCTGTTTGGTCTTGCGTCCTCGGGGAAGTGGAACTCTGGGTCGGTCACTTGGCAGTATCGTTGCACTCGATTGAACAGCCGTCTGTCTCGATAGACTTCAGACCAGAGCTCGTTCTCCTTCTCCAGCATCGATGGGTTGGTTGGCCTGTGCTGATTCTGCCTTTGGGTATAGCAGAGGAGCCCTTGCGCCACTTTCAACCGATCGATAGAGGGATCGACACCCTCGAACAGGAATTCGGGTGTGATTTGCAGTTTATGGAATAGTAACTGTTCCCATATCTTGTCGGTATTGAGGATGGCCCGAGTCTGCTTCGAGACTCTCAGAAGCTTTGCGAACAAGGGTGGACTCGCAGCGCGAATGAAGGCGTCATTTGTGATCAGGATGGTGAGCAGGTCGAAGCGAGCAAGATACCCGTAGACAAGGGATGATTCTGCCATCGTTTCGGTTGAAGCAGGCGTGGCGGAAAGTAGCGATGGAGACAGGCCGCAGATGGGAGGCAGCCGAGGCAGAGCAGAGAGCAGGAACGACGACGAAGAGCAGAAACGCCGACGAAGAGCAGGGGCGACAGCGGGGTGTATGAGGGGCGATGTGCTGATTTCTCGTTGATACCGTCCACATGGTGTGGCTTGGTGATACCATCGTCATACAGACCTGCTGTTTCGGGACGGGTGTCACCCAGCCAGAACAATATTCCTGTGAAGCAAGATTCCATCCGATTCGGCCTGCAGCGACAGATGTGTGCTGGGCAACACATATCGACAGATGAATGGGATGACATGGACGGCAGAGCGTTGATGGACAGTCCCAAGCCGGTGGACATGGGGAGTACGGTCTGGGACAGTTGTCTGAATCCACTCCAATCCATTCCAATCCATTCCAATCCACTCCAATCCACTCCAATCCATGAATGGCATCAACGAGGTGAAGTGCCATGTGGGAGGTGGAGGGCTCGACAGTGTCCAACTTGTCCGAGTCGTCGGGGCGAGGTGTTGTGCCCGGAGACAGCAGAGTATTGCCCCAGAATCTCATGTATATACGCCCTATCTCATTCACGTTTCCTTGAATGATCTCATCGGTTTGATTCATTTGACGCTCTCGCCGCCAGGAAACCACACGCGGTTCGGAGCAGCTCCACGAGTGGAATGCATGCCCCTCCCTCCGCAACTTGGCGATTGAAATGGCGCTGTTCCTCCTCGATGATTGCACTCGATGGAATGCCCAGATGCTCTCTCCGAGACACCATCCGACATGGTGCAGCGCTGTCGACAGAAGCCTGCCTGGCGCGCCTCCACCCGCCGTGTGCCAGCCGCCGAACTGCGCGTGGCTCTGGAAGCAGCAAGCCGACGCGGCCTGGCGCCTTGCTCCTTTGCCTCCCAGCGCAGCGGCGAAGCCACAAGTTGTGCCGCACACAGACAACGGGCATGTGTGCCGGTGGTGGCGGGCGGGACGCGCTGGTGCCTGTACCGTAGCCGCCACCGGCGTGACACCCCGGGCTCACCAATCGCAGCAGCCAGAGACGCACCAATCGCGGACGTGCCTGCAATTGACGTTGCACAGGGTGGGACAGACAGCAAGGACGGGTCCGCGACAGTGGCTGCAGCGAAGGCAGCACAGACACTGTGGCCACAGTGTCCCCCCAGTGCACCGGCAGTGTGCTCACAACGCGACCACACAAACAAAGGGCGGCACCGGCGCGCCTCACCCACCGCCTTTTGGCTCTTCCCGGCGCGCCCATGCCAAAGCCGTGGGTCGCCGCGCCTTCATTTGCGCATCCACCGGCCCATGCCGGAGTATCCCATCCCCAAGACCTGCCCCGTCTTGCCCTTCCTCTTGCCCGTCGTCTTGCTCGTCGTCTTGCCCTCCTCCGACGAGCCGAGCGCCCCTCTCCCTCGCCAGCATGGCTGCACCTCTGCCGACCCAGCGCGGCTCCAGCCTGTGGCTGCCGTTGCTGCTACTGCTCTCCCGTCTGGCCCAAGTCGAGTCTGTGAATGTCGGGTTTGTTGTAAGTTGTCTCGCCATCACCCTCACCAATCGTTCTCCCATCCTTCTTCTAGTGCTGTCGCTTTCCTCTGGGCAGTTTGCCTTTGCTCCACTCACGCTCAAACCCTGATGGCATCTCTGTATCTGCTCGCCCTGTTGGCCCTGTTGCCGCTCGCTTACCACAACCTCGCCGCTTTCCCGTCTCGGCATCGGTCTTACACAATCCCCATCTCCAGAGCCCGACTTCGTCCGACGTATGGGGCTCTGGCCAGCACACAGTATCGCTCTCGTACGATACCGCCTTTGGCGTCCTGGCCTTCGGAACCCGGTTCGACCTCGATTTCGTGGTCAGTCTCGGTCCCTTGGTTGCTGCCATGCTTGTCTTTACCATCGCTCTTGTCTCAACCAACTCATGCTCGATCTGCGCTTCGTGTTCACCCTCTGACGCTGCGTCCTCGATGACCCTCAGATGTTCGATGGCAGCTGGCGGAGCGTTGCTTCCAACCAGGTCCTCACGGGCCCAATGTCGTTCTCCTACCAAGTCAGACCCAGCGACCCGTACGGCTACGCCCAAATCGTCTTTACCAGCTCCAACAACTTCTTCGCGAGCTATTCAGACGCTTTTCTCGTCTCCCCAAACATCAGTCCTCCACCACCACCACCACCACCACCCCCTCCTCCTCCTCCTCCTCCTCCTCCTCCTCCTCCACCACCACCACCACCACCGCCTCCTCCTCCTCCTCCTCCTCCTCCGCCGCCGTCTCCACCTCCACCGCCCTCGCCTTCGTCCACGAGTAACGCTCCAGTGCCTGCTCCCAGCCCAGCCATTTCTTCGGTCCCAGGATCTGTGGTCCCATCTTCCACTGCTTCGGCTCAGCCCTCTGCACCTCAGCCTGTTTCGCTTGGGCCACCAACTAGTTTCACGCCCTCAGTTGCACCCTTTGCTCCAACGCCCTCTGGGGCTCCTGGTGCTCCGGGAACGAGCCCTGCAGCCAACACAACAGCCGGGCAGGACCAGAGCCCATGGCTGACGCCTGTCATTGTCACATTCACCATCATGGCCCTGGCTGGCTTCGTCGTCTACTTTGTCTATGTCCGATGGCGAAACAGTCGACGGTTCCCCACAGGCAACAGCACCCACAGACTCAATGACCTCCTCGGCAACTTTGCCACCAAGATTGCCGATCCCGATGTCGAGGCCCCGATAGCGTTCTCATCCCTGTCGTCCATGCGATCCACGAGCTCAGAGAACGTCGCTGCCTCCTCGGGCTTCAGTCCCTCAATCCCGTCGACGCCGGTGCCGCTCGTCCTGTCCACCCGGTACCCGGCCACGGCAGCTGTCCTGAATGGCGGAACGGCCGCAAAGTTCTCGACCGAGCGCATGTCAACAGCATCGCTCTTGGTTACATCGCCTTCGGCCCAGTCGCTCACGAGCGAGCTCGTCTCCCTCGAATCGCTCCCACCCGCCACCCTTGCTGTGCTGAAGCGCTATTCCCACATGCTGAATGCCAACTCTCTGTTCAACCCGGGTGCTCCATCCACACCCTCGACCATCACGCCGAGTCTGATCGCTCACCCTTCTGAGTCTGCTCTCGGCAGTCCGGCTGCCAGCCTCGTCCCCATCGGTGAGAACCCGTTCAACGAAGCTGTTGTGCTGTCTGGAAGCCAAATCGTCACAAATCCCTTCGCCGATACCGCTGCCGAACCCAACACCTTCACCCCCATTCTTGAACAATACGCCGTCCAGACCAAAACGGGGACGCTGACCCGCCATCTGTCCAAGCCGATCGTGCAGGTGCAGGGCCTCAAGACCGTCGACGTGACCGAAGGCGCCCCGGCCAATGTCGATATTGGCAGGCCCGTGGTCATTCGACAAGTGCAGATCCGGGACGACGATGATGGATCCTCTCTCTTTTCCGAAGACCTGTTTGGTCGAACGCCCTCGCTCCGGGCCTCGCAGAGTCTGCGCTCCGTGCACCGAACCGAGTCCCTCACCGACCAGCTCGTCGAAACCCGAAATGTCATCCTCTCGCAGAGCGCCACGAACCTGTCGTTCTCGTCGTTCTCGTCGTCGCCCCAGATCACCAGCGGCCTGGTCTCTGGAAGGAGTCTCCAAAGCATCGACAGCGACGCATCGAGCCCACCGTTCGCTCTGCGCGTCTTTACTCGCATCGACGAGTAGCTGCCGAGACAAAGCCGTCTTCCAGGGCCCAGCTATCCCACTATCCCTCATCCTTCGACTCCTGGGTGGAGTCTTTCGCTTTCAAGCCATCGATTCTTCCGTGTGTTTGTCGAAGAGGCACGACGACGACCATGCCAAGTTGACATCGATCATTCTGGATGACTACGACGTGAACCTGAGCAAGCACTGTAGCGACAAACTCTGCCAACTGGACCGCCTTGGATCATGGATCCCGATGGGGAGGAGAGTTTCTTTTTTCGACTTTCCGAGGCCCCAGCGATATTGCCCCTGATTCTTTTGACTTGCTCTCGACTTGCTTTGCGTCCTTTACATCCGCGCGGCTCATATATCGATAGAACAATGTACAACCACCGAGAGACTGCATGCCCACCCTTGGCCCCATCGACGACAAACGACGTGCAAACACTGACCTGTCTCTGGAAGACCGTTTTCTGTTTCGTGTTGGTCCACGTCGCTCACCAATCTGATCTGATCTGTACCTGTACCTGCACCTGTACCTGTACCTGTTCTCCAGACGCCAGCTGGAGCTTGCATTTGGCGACAACAAAGACCCGAGCATCGACGGCCAAGCAGCAGGCACAGCATCATTTCGATGAACGGCTTCATGTCCTATAGTAAACCCGCGCATCTCGCTGCATCTCTTCGGCAACTGAGTTTGTGACCCCATTGTCGCTGCGTTGATTCTCGCTCTGGCCCCTTCGTCTCCCCGGCTCCTCGATTTCCTTCTAAATATTGCTCGTTAGTTCTGTCTGTGCTGCACTCCGTTTGCTTGATGCCAGTTTCTGTCTCTCCTTGGGGTCGTGTCCAATACACCTATGATCGTATCGTACTCTCGTGTACAGTTGTTGCTGTCGGTTCGTCGTTGACCCGGCTTGGAATGGTACCTGTTCCTCTTGTTTCCATTTGCATCCTCGAGCTGCGCCAGTAATAGATGAGCACCACACCAAGCCCAAGATCCCCAGGGTGGCTTCCTTCCTGCGATACATTCGCCATGTGTTCGATGGAGACATGCTGGACAAACAGCTGGACAAGCAGCCTGACCCGGCGACGGCGATTCAAGCAACTCGATCTCCAGGAGTGCTCACAGTGCCGGGAAGCCAAGCGACTCGAGAAGGCCAAGTATCTTGATATCGATACACCATGGGATTGTCCAGAGCCGAGTGAATTCAGCACACTCTCACATCGAGTGAATGTACCACACTCTCACATCGAGACATCAACACCAATCGCCACATAAAATCGACCGAGTGTATTCAATACCATGCTTCCCAAACCAACGAAAACCAAGAGATTTGCCGACCAGAATGCGAAACAATCTCATGGCTTGCTCACTGGAGCTTACGGATCAGCAGACCGGTATCACTGATGGCGTTTTCTGGACTGACTGTAGAATCCGCGCTGTGGCTGAAGATTGCATTTCTTCCACGAGACTGACGGAGCCGGTTCAGCCCCGACCGCAATTTCTTCATGTACCCTTGTACCTGATTCGTCCCATCGAACGAATAAACATCAGCATTGGTTGGAAAATCACCGCAGTGGCTCGTTGCTCGGGCATCAAGAAGCAACACGGCAATAGCAGGACAGCAGCACATCCATCAATCAGCACAGGCTACATACTTGTCTTCCATCTGAAGCCGCTTGTCTGGATCGATGGTGTTCTGCAGGCCAATGAGCGTCTTCGAGACCGCCTCAGTCGCCCCAATCATGGGCTTCAGAACAGCGCTTGGCACAGCACGGATGACTGCCTTGACGCCGCTCTAGAGCATCGATGGCATTTCGTGAGCGGAGAGAGTCAACATCATTGTCGTGCAGCACACCAGACCAGCATCGAAACCGTTTGGCCAAACCTCACCGGCACTGCTGACTCTCTGCAAAACAGACCGGCAGCTTCCGTTCTCAATGCTGTTTGCTTCAACGTCAACCCACCTGGCTTCCGCCGCGGTCGTACATGTTTGTCGGCACCGACATGATCGTTTTGGCAGCCGTGCCAAGATTGCGACTGAGACTGCGGTATGCCAGCCCCACACCTTCGCGGACATCCTTGGGCTGGTCCGAGTACTTGCTGACAGCCTCTCGGCCCATGCCCCCGTCACCGCTGGCTTGGTCATCCTTGTCACTCGAGAGGATGTCGTCGGCATGCTCTAGCAGTACTTGCGTGCCAACAGCAAGCTGGGTGGTCAGCTTGATCGTCTCCAGCGTCGCCGCCTTGGCAAACGCTCGGGTGCCCTTTTGGATACCTGCAGCACCAACGTCCAGCACCACAGCAAGCTGGGTCAGTGAAGTTCTTCGATAACACCATGTGCAACTGCATTTCGTTGGTTCATCGCGACCCACGGATCCACCCTGCTTACCGCGCAGGATTCGCCCATCCTTCTTGTACTGCTCGATCGGCATCGTGAACAAATCGGCGATGCCCGCGCCCAGGTTGACGAGCGTACGAACGCCGCTGACGCCCGAGATGACCCTGGGCACCTGAGTCTTCTGAATATGCGGCAGCCATTCTCGCACAAGATTCTCGACAAGTTTGACCCATCCTTTGATCTGCAAGTGCAAGGTATTCGATCGTCGGTAGAGATATCATCGGCGATGAGTTGACAATTTCCAGCAGGGACGCAAGGCTCCTCGGCCACAACAAGCAAAGCTCGCGGCCTCTCGTAACCCGCAAGTGCCGCCTGGCAACGCCACCGAAAGATACCAGCGACGACCAATGTCTGTTCTTCCCAGCCATCCTGGTGCGCTCAGAGCGCCCACGTCCTCTGCAGTACGGGACTTTCTTACTCCGTGGAGTCTGACTCGTTCCAGCATCAGCTCGGCACCATCGAGATGGAAAAAGTTCATGATCTCGGTCAGTTTGCCATCCTTGAGCTGGGAATAGTCGACGTGCTTGGGCTTGTAGTCGAGTTTGACCTGGATGGGCTCGATCTGAACCCATTCTGTGAACGTAGGAGTGCAGCCACGGTCTCGTCAGGGCTGTTTTGTCCGAGCTAGATCCGGTTGTGCTTATGATCACACTTTGGTATACCAGAGCAACGAACGAGTCGCCGGATCACCAGCACGGCACTTCTCGGCAGAAACTTACGGAAAAACGTGTTGTCTTCAGTCTTGCTGCGGCCAGGGTTCTTGGGCACCGTGTCGTCTTCGAACGAGAAGAATTTGAGCAGACAGCTCAAAGCATCTTGATCAATGTAGAACCGGAGAGGGAGAAGCTGGACCTGTGACAAGCCGAGCCAACCCATATTCCAAGCCAAGCGACGTTGTTAGGTGAAGTGATCGGTGCAAACAGATGCCTGAGCCATCTCCCTCCATTGCAGAGCCGCTTTTCAGTTCTTCCCTACACTCGGCCATGCAACAACACACCTTGAGTCGCATCTCTTCCGCCGGACTTGTTCCAGGCGATGGGCGAACATTGAGCATCTCAATTCGAAGCATGCTGGATTTGGTTTCACGCGGCTGCCCGTCGGCTCTCATGTGGCCCATGAACTTTCGCCATACAGAAGTCGGCACGTTGTCAATGATCTCAAAGTCACGAATCTGAAAGACCAGCCGCGAGGCGTACTGTTCGTGGGGGAGATACTGGTCGAGCTCCAGGCTGATGTTTGTGGCTCGGAACTCGATGCACGAGCTTTGGGAGCGTGTGAGCATCCCCGAGCTCTGATCGGGCGGTCGCGGGAATGGAGTCGGGCGGGCTCGATCGGTTGTAACGCTTTCCTGAGCGACACTGCGACTGTGCCCAGATCGGCGAGAGGCAGCCTCGGAAATTTGGTCTTCGGAGCCATATCCATACGTATTGGAGGCGCTGTCCTCATCCACGGGAGGATAAAAGTATCCGGATCCATACGCAGACTTGAACACTTGAGCGCCCTGATCAAAGGAGTCACTCAAGTCGTCGCCGTAGCTGAACAGGTCCAGAGTCGGTACAATCATGGGCCCCATGTTTCCGGAGCTTTCCGAGCTGAAGCTGTCCTTGCGTCGCTGGCTTTGAGGTGCGCTGGTGCTGCTTGCGGAGACCTTGGCTTGAGGCACTGCGTCTTTCGGTCGCTCAGAGCTGTGCACCTTCGAGTGCTGTTCGCGCGACTGGGCCCAGTCGAATCCTTCAAAAATGCGCCAGGTTACATCGAAATCTTTCACCCGAATGCGGATCTTGCTGGGCGGGAGTCTTGTAGTTGGTTCAGACGTGAAACACAAGGAAAATGTTGTCAGACTCACCCGACGAAGCGGCAAAGATCGCGCTCGACGGCCATGTTCCTGTTCAAGTCCGGCCAAGATTTATGGATACACAAAATCTGCTTTACCCACCCTGTGATGGACTCAATGGAGTCATCGTCGTTTCCGTGGCTGGAGTGCGCAAAGTAGTCGTCCACAAAACATATGCTTTCGCTTCCCTCGAATACTCGGACAGTCACTTCACTGGCCTCAGCAGTGGCAGAGCCAGCTTGCTTGCTGGACTTTTCCCTGAATCTAACTTGCGCTCTCGTTCGCTCGACCTCCTTCTGGGATACAGCAGTTGGAAATTCAGCCTCTGGCTCAATCAGGATGGTCTGCCCCATCGTCCTCAAGAAAAAGTCGTCCTCGAGAGCGGCGTCGATTTCGTCGTGATCGAGACCAGGGCTGTGCTGTTCGTATGGTTGACTTGGTCTCTTGGCATCGAATGCATTCTCCTCGATATGGGCTATGCGGAATCAGACACCAGGGAAGGGCAGCATATTCAGCGGGAGAATGATCCGGCAATCAAGAAATAGACACGCAAGCAACCACAAGCATCCAAGGATACGTCTAGCATACCCATGATATCGTCGTACACGGCAGCATCGGGGAGGCTGTCGTCGTCCTCGGCCTCGGTGTCGTCGGGGGTGAGTGGCGGGGCATTTCTGTGTCGCCGTAGTTCAATCTACATTAGCGGTTTAGCAGGATACCGTTGCGAAGGTCTGCTTGGCCGATTCCAACCAAGCTGATCAAGTTTGACGTGATATAGGTTGCTTGGACCTACCCATGGATATCCTTGCCGCTTGCCATGTACTGAATGAGAGACAGGGTCGTCGCAAGCGTGTCGGCACAGGTGTCGATGTAGATCTGCTGGTTGGTAACCTCGAGCTGAAACCGAGGCAGCCATCCACCAATGACATTAGGGACAGAGTCATCAGGGGCGTTAACATCAGCCAACATCAGTCAAAATGCATATCTGCTGATTCGATGAAAACCAGAGACTGTCCAACAGGGTAATTCCTACCTCGAGTTCGGGCATTATGTCGCCACGGTTGGTCCGGAGGAAGACTTGGAGCTCTTTGATTTTGGCGGCGCTGACAAAGCCGCTTTGCTGTGAGAGCGAGGGCGAGCGAATCGCAGAGTGAGCCTATGGCAAAAGATAGATGGGAGAAAAAATAGAAAGCCTAGCGGAAGGATGAACGACGCGACGATTTTGATACCTCCAGAGACTCAGAGAGTCCCATGCCAAGATATCCAAAGTCGGTATTCTGCTGGACAGGAGTGCATCCATCGAGCAAATACAATGCCCCGCTGTGCAGATTGAGCTCCAAGCCCATGGTTGGCGAGTCGGTGATGAGGGTGCTGGCGGCCTATAGGCCAAGCAAATCAGGTTAGCTCAGTACGGGCATTTCATCAACGCACGAATCGATCGGAAGTGCACCCAACACCGATGATCTTTGGCTGGCTGAATGCATCAGGTCGTGGTTCATGGTGCGGGTGACGAACCTTGAGTCCCTCAATTCTGAAGATCGCTCGGGTTGGCAGGTACATAGGCCGGTAGTCGATGGAAATGTCTCGCAACAGGGCAGTGAGCTTCGTGAATCCGCTGATGATTTCCGGGTAGATGATCTACAGAGCGCCAACTGTCAGCACGCATTTGATTCACCAGGCCATAGCGAACAACGCAGTACAGGATGCGTGTTCAGCGGATGCCCAGCGGACGCATCGCCAAGAGCTTACCCCTTCCGGCTCCTTGAAAAACGGAATCAGGTCTTCAGCAATCTTCGAGTTCAAGATAGGTCGTAGCGTTGTGTTGGACAATCGGACAAGTATCGAGGCTTCCTTGGAATTCAGGCTTGCATCAAAGGTGGAGACAACATATACGGACAATACGGGCGTGCTCTGTTGAATGGAATGTGTCTGTGTGAGATGGAGAGAAGGATACATCGACGTCCGGGGGCTCGCTGGCCTCAACACTCACGTCAAGCGGACGCGGGATCGTCCTGTAGACAAGTCGAGTAGTCTCTTCGGTCAAGGCATTGCAGTCCCTGGCGACCATATCCTCGCAATCGATCCAAAAGTAGGACGTTGGCTGGGATAGAGATCGAGAATACGGGTCAGCGATACTGTGCTCGGCCGTTGCTGGGAGCCCAAAGAACGCTGCTCTTTACCTGGCCGTCGTGGCTTGCAATGCCAAAGATCTTGAGCTCATCGATATCGAGGCCATAGATCCAGCTGCGAGAAGGCTCGGCAGTCATTTTCCCTGGATGCTCCGACGAAAACAGCCGCACATATGCTGATGTATGACATGGATGAAGCCAGTGGGACAGCGTGCGCTCGTCAGATGTAGCACTCCCCAGATAGAGCACTCCCCAGAGATAGCATTCCCCAAATATAGGACCACAGAGATATTTGTGCATGCCCATGCACTGGAAGTCACATTCAGGCTGGGCACGACGAATATGCGGCGCAGGAGCGTTACGTCACACCGATTCCAACACAAGAACGGCGCCTTTCGAACTCAACAGCAGCAGAAATCAACTCACCCTTGTCGATCCCGGCCAGGAGCGATAGCGGTGTGGGCTTGGCTTCCACATACTCGCTTTGTGGTATGTGCTGCTCCAGTCGAGGGCTATAGCCCTCCATATTTTCGTGGTTCCTCTCGGAAGCAAACCCATCTGGGCCGAGCTTTATGTGAATGCTCGTGTGCGCGTCTTCGTAAACGCTCTGGTTCTCGCTCTGGCTCATCGCAGATTTGTGCATAAACGTCATGAAGGCAGGGTCAGGTGTGGACGGGGAGAACGGATCGAGTTCTTGGCGAAATGGCTGCCACAGCGAGAGCTGATTGATTAGCGTCTGAAGCAGATCCAGCTCGGGTTTGGCTAAGGCGACGTGGGCGGCCGAGATGCTCCAGTTCAAATAGATTAACTGGGGACATCCGAAAAAAAAGGTAACGCCGCGATTCAAACCCAAAGCCATAGGAGTGCCCAGGTTGAATGATTGTGCAACAATACCAGCGGCCGTGGGTAGTTTCATAGGCAATGGATGGTGCCATGGCGGCGGTTAGTGCACCATCTGACACTTCTCATATACTTTGGCAACTTGCTCAAGAGTACCGAGACCACAGCCGGTCCGCAGATGGAGAAGGAAATAGGCACAGCAACCAAGCTAGTCTTACCGATTCGCGAATGGTTATTTGCTTGAACCACAATTCGGCGTCGTCGTGATGTGTGCTCTTGGCCCTATCAAATCCAGGCCCAGGCTGGGATCCTTCTCTCCAACGGTGTCCAGTGTTGCCCAGATCATACCAACTCTGTGACCCAAACTGCATGTCCTCTTCCATAGCAGCCTTCGAGAACGGATCAATCGCAGGGCCGTCGCGAGGCCGGGACTCTTGCCCGATGCGGACTTTGGGGGTGACAGTGACTTCAATTCTGGGCCGATTGCCAAAAGTGTCCAAACGCGAGTTTGAGAATGGGTTGGTTTCCGGGGCATGTCTCAGATGCAGGAAGGGCTTGACATCGACATCTATAAAGCAGAGGAATAAGCGTCACGTTTTCCAACTGCATCGCGACTCCGTTGATACACATTTGGATGCACACGAAACGAATGTGCTCGCCGGCGAAAGCGCAACGATCACCTTACCATATACAAGGCCATCGACAATCTTGCGATTGAGTTTCGCAGGCACAGCCAAGCTGCATCCCACCTCGGAATACTCGATTGCAAACTGCATGGACTCGCCCAGCGCATCGGATCCAGCAGGATGGGCTCTCTGATCAAAGCCGTGTTGTCGAGACTGCAAAACTGAGGTGGCTTTGATCCCGAGAACGTCGATACAAAGCATCTCTGGGGTGGTGAAGCATCTGTTCTTCTTTGGAGAGTGCAGATCTTGCGACAGAGAATAGTGCATGTTTGGAGGGATGATCCACCCCCGCAACAGCGGACAATCCAAGGTCAAATTGACCGACCGTGGGTCCTGAGTTCAGAAGCACACGACAATGAATATTGAGTCAGTATCCGAGCTATGGCTGTCTCGAGACAAGATGCTCTCGTTCGTGAGCGAAGCATGCTGCTTAGGCAGGTCGCTGACTGGCATCGACATTGCACGAGCCTAGCAGCACGGTCGCATCTATGGCCAGCCCACGGTCGATGTCGAATGTGGCCCACCAATTTTTCCACAGCTACAGATTGGCGACATTCAAGCCTGCGACACTGACACACAAAAGATGCCCCTTATCGATCCCAGGTCATCTTTGGTTCCTGAGCGCGACTCCTCTGCACAGGCATCAGATGACTGAAAGCGCAATTAGCTTACCGGTGAGAGAGGCTCTACCTCAAAGTCTCGGTTTAGATGGCTGAGAGGCTCGCTGTCGCTACCGCTCGTGTGGCTTTGATGGAGCTGTTCGGGTTTTTGGAGCGCCTTGATCAAGGTCTCCATGCGGTCGATCATCAGAAAGTCCACAAAGAGAAAGGTCGGCGCAAACGTCACGGTCACATTCGACGACCCGGTCCCGCTTTCGACAAGGATATGAACGGCTGGACGCTTGACCTTGGAGGAACTCAGCCTGTGTTGGCCCGGAGGTCTCATTGCGGCTAATCCCACGCTACTGCTGATTCGGGGAGAAGTAAAGGGAAATCGCTTGGGCTGGGGGGGATGGCTCGAGGAGCCTGACACCTGCGCCAACATGTTGGAAACGTGCTTGGTGTCAAAGTTGGGATCGAACTGGAGAATGGGATTGTACGTGCGGAACGGAGGGTGATGCTGCTGTTTCTCGTGAGGAGTCCCTATAGGTTACAGCCGCGACACAGGAAGTGTATGAGTCCCATACGAAAAGGTCGTGCATCAGTCCCCAGGTCCAGGCTGTGCAATCGCCTACCATCACCACCACAAGTGCCGATTGCTCTGCGGAACAAGCTCCAATGCGCATCATGGCCGGAGCGCAGACACTTACAGAAATTTGCCTCCGGCAGCCATTCATCGATCTCGATCTCTTGCAGGGTGACCGAGAGCGTGTGAACGGGTGTTTGGAATCCGGAAGACGGCTTTCCGTTGTCGAGACGCACGATGAGATGGTGGAGCTCGACTTTGATATGCTCGATACCAATGTAGTCCGAAACGACATCATCGACGCCGACACCAACACGAGTGTTGAGCTGGGTGTTAACTTGGGTCAGGAAACTTGATGAGAGATCGGAGCCTTGGGCTGGGAAGGCGGCTTGATTGGAAAACAAATCCGAGTTGTTGAAGAGCAGCGAGTACAGGGTTGCTACATGGAACGGCGGCGGCGTGTTGTCGGTATAGGTTGCATAGGCATTGAGCTGCAGGAGATGGAACTTGAAGAGGAAGTAGGTGGGTTCTTGGGAAGGAGCCGAGGAGGCGACCGAGAGTCTCCGATCGTATTGGGGAGGAGAAGATGGCGCATTTTTGCGTGCGCTCGAGGAGGCTCTCTGCTGCTGTATCAGCTCCTGCCCCTTGGCCAAGTTTTCGACAATTTCAAGGAGGATTTGAAGCTGCGAAGGAGTTACAAAGGCAGCAAGACACCGCACCAGCACATTGACCTCATACTGGGTATAGCTGTCGTCGTCAGGATCGTCGTCGGGGTCTCTCGTGGATGGCAGATCTGGGGAGTGAAGCGTCTTGATTGTGACTCGGTTTTCTTGCTCTGGGGGCATGGAGAGAATCACAGACTCCCAGCAATACTCCTGGTCAGGGCCATGATGAAACTCTTGACTGGCACGCGATCCGAGCGATGCAGGGGTCTGGATACCGTCAAGCGGCGGTATACCGGCCGGAGTAAACTCGTGTGAAACCTGGTTCAGCGAGACATGGATCCCATAGAAGCTGACGACCTTGGTGATCTCTGGAGGCAATATGGAGGAGGAGCGAGCAGTCGGGGTGTCCTTTGGCGCTCGTTTCGAGCTCGGCTCGACTGGGTCATCGTCGAGGCCTGGGGTTTCGTCGCAGTAGCTGATCTTGGGGATACACAGATCCAGATGGTAGTGGAATCCGTCGTCGCGCTCGAGTTGATGGTCGTCGCTGACGGTGGATAGCGTGGGAGCCATCGAAATGGAGGACCGATGGTGAATCCTGAGGGTTGTGTCGAAGGCCGAAACCTGGATGCGAGCCAGGATCTTGTCGATGACCATGGCCAAAAGCTGCAGGCCCTCGGCACCGGGATTCCCGTCGTCCGCTCGGGCAGGTTCGGGCCTGTTTGCAGTGGACGACTGGCGCATCTTCATGAGATGAAACTGAGTGATGGACTGTGCGAGGTCTTCGGAGTCGGACTCGGACTTTATGAAGTCGTCCGCAAAGTGGATCGATGACGCCATCAAGTGGACGTGATCCTCGGTTTGGAGCTTCTCGAGGACTGGAGGAATGGACAAATGGGCGTCAGCTCCTCGTTCGGACCGGATACCCGCCAAGGCGTAGATATACCCACCATCGTCTTTGCCGGCCAGCATAACCCCCAGCGTTAAGCCTCGAAGAATAAGCTCGCAGTTGCCTGCCCACAGGCTGGTCCAGGGCACGACGGCGGTTATCTCGGAGATGTAGCCTTCCTTGACCGTCAGGGGCAAATCGGCAAGGACATCGTTGATGGCCTAAACGACAGAATCGCACATCGGCAACCAAAGAAAAGGAGCAACAGACGAGCGATGATTCGATATCGGTGGCATCAGAGGACGTCTCGAGGGCACCAAGTGGAGGCGGCTCGGGCTTGAGCTTGCAGCCAGACCGGGTTTCTTGCCAAGCGGCCTGCCGCCCAAACATCAGTCCGCTCACCGCATATCTCCATACCCTCGCCCAGAGGTCTTGCCGCTCATGCATCAGCAGTGGCTCACCTCACAGTTGAGCGAGAGGTTGCGAAGCACGACCCTGCCCTGGCTGAGCTGGACGTCGAGGTCGTCGAGCTCCAGGTCGTGCGCCAGGAACTGACCAAGGGCCTTCTTGAGCAAGAACTTGACGAGTTTCTTCTGGAGATTCTGGGGCAGTCCCCACGACTGGAACGAGAAAAAGGACATTTTTGTGGACGATGCGCTAGAATGCGATGCAGCGCCGTGTGGTGCAGCGCGATGCCGTGTGAGAGCAGGCGAGACCCAGGCAGGGCAACGGCGAAGGAGGCAGCCCGGGCAATGGCCTGGGCAGAGGCCTGGGCGAAGGCCTGGGCCACGGGCCAATCGGCGCTCGCTGTCGGACATTGCAGCAAATGTCCGCCAGTGCATTCGAGCCAAGATGCCCCGGCCAACGATTGGAGGACTCGGACTGCCTGCGCACATGGCTGCGCATAGGCCCGCCGCCTGGCTTTTTCTTCGGGCTGGCAGCAACGCCGCCTCGGTCGACGCACTCTCACCGATCGATAGCATTTCCTGCGCCTGCAGCCCCTCCCTGAGCCCTCTCCCTGAGCCCCGCTCTGCCGCCATGTCGTACGCCAGAAGAGAAGAAGACGGGAAGGACATCATTGTCTTTGTCACCAAGGAGGACTCGGACCGCGCCTTTTCGTCCAAGAGCGACAGCCAGGTCTCCACCAAAGACGAGTCGTCCTCCGACCTCGAATCCAGCCAGAAGGCCGCCTACAACCCCGAGACGGGCGAGATCAATTGGGACTGCCCGTGCCTTGGCGGCATGACCAAGCCTCCGTGCGGCGAGACCTTCAAGGCCGCGTTCTCGTGCTTCGTCTATTCAACCACCGAGCCCAAGGGCATTGATTGCATCGAGCAGTTCCAAGCCATGCAGTCCTGCTTCAGAGAATACCCGGATATCTATGGGGCCGAGCTGGCTGACGACGACGACGAAAGCGCCGCTGCACCAAAGGCAGACTCTAAGGCTTCGACTGATCAGTAAACTGCGGTCATGGCCGGAATGTCAGCCAGCTTCATCGTGCCATTCGCTGTGACTCGATCCCAGGGGCAGTGTTCCCCAGCCAGGCCGCCCGACCGGCACATCCACGGACCAAACCATGACGGCGCTGTGGCTCTGGCACTCCCCGGCTATCCGCTTCCTGCTTGGGCCGACCGTTAATATTTTTGTTGTTGCTGTTGAGAGGGCTGGTTGTACACGGCCCTTTGTAATTCGCACTGGCTGGTTCCCGCCGTCTGCCCTCATCCACGAGCACCCATTTGCTGTCCCAGTCCTCCGAGCACGTAACTTGAATACACCACGGTTGCTCCAGCCCGTTGCCTGTCGGCGAAAGTGCCCCATGAGGACCGCCCCTGGTGCTGGGCTTGGCTCTGCAGCATCGTCCACGTGATCCGGCTGTTCCACCCGGCGATGCCGACTGCTCCTCATCTCGCTGTGCCAGCTTCCTTCTTGATCGGCCATCGACCATCGACTATCGACCATCGACTATCGGCTATCGGTTATCAGCTATCGACGACCCGGCCAAGACCAACACATCGTAATGGGAAAAGACAAAAAGGAGGGCCGAGTCAAGGGCAATCTGCAGCCCAGTGCGAGCAGGTAGGTGCTCCCCTGCGAACCCAGCTGTGTTGGGTTGGTGGGTCGTCCAGATCGAGCAGCGCCCTAGCAAGCGTCATATCCTGCGCCGATGGAATGTGTGAGCGCTACTGAGCATCTCCTCAAATAGCCGTCTTGCAGACATGATGGGCGCCGTGCCCTCGTTTTCGCCCGCCGGTCTGGGCATGTCGTCCTTTGGACAGCCGGCATCGGACGAGTTTTTGAATCTAGATCCGGATCTGAAGGTGCGTCCAACAGCCACGCAGCCGATAGACTCGCACAACGTCCACTCGTTCTCTTGGCCACAATGTGTTTGTCCCATCGCGCTGTGGGCCATGCCTCTGCCAGAAATGAGCCTTCAGATGGATTGATTCTGAGGATATGGTCGGCTCGCGCGGTTGCAGGTGATTCTGAAGAAGCTCTCGAAGAAGGACTCGGTCACCAAGGTCAAGGCGCTGGAAGAACTGGCTGGTTATCTTTCAGCCGCCGATGCCGAGTCGCTGCAGCCACTGCTCTCGACCTGGGTAAGCCCGCGCCCAACACAGCGCATTTAGAGTCGACCACGCCCACATAGCTGCTGCACTCGATCCCGGCTGCTGCCCGCTGACGCTTTTGCCAACTCTTTTGCCAACTCTTTCGCCGACTTCCACCATGCTGCAGCCCAAGTTGTACGGCCGGCTCGCCATCGATGTCGACCGCCGAGTCCGCGAACTTATCAATAGCAGCCATCTGGTCCTGGTTGAAAAACTCAAGAAGCAGATTGCGCCTTCGCTGAAGGATCTGATCGGTGCCTGGCTTGGCTGCCAGTTCGACTCGCACCGTGAGGTGGCCCGGCTTGCCAATTTGTCGTTTGAGGTCAGGCAAATCTATGTGCACGAGGCTTTGGACATCACAACAACCGCTGCTCCTCTTTATCCTGGCCGTGCCTAATATCCTATCCCCAACATTGCGGGCATCTAGACAGCCTTTCCGAACCGAGCCAAGGTACTGGCATTTTGCCAGGGCAATGTCATTCGATACGCCTCAGAACACATCCTGGAGCAATCTCCGGAGACGCTCAGTACGTGCTGTCGCCCTATGCATGTGCAATCCTACCGAAGCCATCACCCGAAGCGGCATGTCGACGGTGATATGCTCTGTCGTGATCCTTAGGACGTGATCTCCAACTTATCTCGCTTGAGGCAGGCCGTGCTGCTTGTACAGCGATGCAAACATGCATTGTCCATCTGCTCCATGTACACTAATCGGCACAGCCGTCCAACTCTGCAGGTGATGCTCGTTTCACCGAGCCCGAAGATATGATCACCAAATATGCCCGGGTCGTTCATGAATCCTTCAGCGTGCTGACCGTGCTCTTCGAAACCTTGGAGCAAGAGGAGCTCCAAAAGTGTAACGACCAGTATACCGAGCTTCTCGACAGCCCCAAGGTCTGGACCATGCTCAGTCACGACCTTCCCCTTATCCGCAAGGGCGCATATGTCTTTTTGAAAGCCCTGTCCTCCAAACGCCCAGGTACGCAGATTGTCGGACGTGGTGCCCAGATAAATGCAGCGTATTTGCCAACATGCCTGATACAACTCGCGCCACTTTGCTACCCAATGGGCCTTGTCCAACCCGACACTGCTTTGTCTCCATAGACCTGGTCCAGGAGCGCCTCGAGACGATCAGCTCTGCATTCCTTGGAAAGGTGTTTGGCGATAAAGATGCGTCCACGCGCGCAGAGCTCTGGGATGCCCTAATTGTGTTCACCAAGGCCTTCCCGGACTCGTGGATCTTGGCCTCCAAGAAGAAGCCGGCCGTCAGCAAGCTCTACTCATTCCTGAAGCACAACGCCCACGGATATGTTGCGGCCTCGTACCCAAGCCTGCTGGCCCTGCTTGCCAGTCTCCCCGCCGAGGTGAGCTACTGTCGACACGACAGTCGACATTCCCACTGGGGCGAGTGCATGATCAGACCGGTATCCCCTATGCACATGCGATTCCTGTTCCTGGCGATTTTGAAATTGCCCTGGACTGGAGTGTCGCCGACAGATTCGCGCTCGTACTCGTTCCTGCCTCACCCACGTGCGAAGCTATTGCATATGCCTTCTTCCTGATCGGATCCGCGAGCTGCGTTCTCGATGCGCCCGACGGGCTTTGATTGAGGTCCTCATCGCTCGTGACTCGTGCGTCTTTCTCTATCGCTCGATCATCTCCAAAGCTCCTTTCAGGACCCGAAAGCACATTCGAAAAGGACTTTTTTGAGAGCTTTTGGAAGGGCCTCGGCTGCGAAACGATGGAGCCCAGCAAATCCGCCATCTTTGTGCAAGCCTATTTCGAGTGCGCACTCTACTACCTTGTCAGGACTGGGTAAGTGCGCCCACCCACTGCTGTCCGTGGAGTATGCATGGCTCCAGCTCACTCGATCCCGCCCCGGACCCACAGAAACACTAGCGAGCGGCCTTTGGATGCCCAGTTTATCTCGCCAATCGAGGCGTGTCTCCTCCCGACCAAATATCCTGAAATCCAGAACAAGCTACTTCTGGCCGACCTCTCAAAGTATGGCGCCCAGTTCATTGCCCGCTTGGCCACAAGCTCCCAGATCTCGGCTCCTTATTTCGACAAGATTGCCGCGTGGTTGCAGCAAGTCATCGAGTCTGGCCTCTTCGAGAGCGACAGCACCCGTCCGCCAGCGGTCTTTGAGCAGTTTTGCGAGCAGTCGGCTCAGCTGTTGATTGATATCAATGAAGCCCGAAGCGTCGCAAAGGGCGAAACCACTCGACTATCGGTGAGTGGCGGATCGCACTGCGGATTGCGGATTGCGGATTGCGGCGTGTTGACCTGTCGCTTCAAGATGTCGCGCCTCGGACCTTCGGCAAATGTCGTGCCTACTCCCGACACGCTCTGGCACTGTGTCGCTCATTCGTCCCGTCAAACTGCCGTCTTTGTTTCCAGACGGCCCTCGACAGCCTTGTCTTTTCTGTTGCCCGTCAGACTTTTCCCAGAATCCTCCCGGGACCGTACCTGACGGGGTATGCCATCTTTATCAGCGACCTGTCTCGCGGCTTCAGCACCGAGCTTATCTCGCATGACGAAACCCGTGCGGCGCTGATCCATTTCATCGACGAGAATGTACCGGCCTTGGTGCAGTCTCAGTCGCACTCAATGTCCCACCTGCTCGACTTGATTGTTGGCTACATCTGCACCGACAACGAGTCCCCTGACCTGCTGCGAAAGCACTGGGATCACCTTCTCGCCTCTGCGCTTAGCCAAGCCGTCAGCACAAACACGCGCGCCGAATTGCTTGATTTAATCCTCCAGAAGCTCCTCAAAGTCCGCAATCAGATTCACTTTGACCTGGTCAATCGTGGCGCCACCGAATTTGTGGATATGCTTTCAGCGGATCTCCAGAGCGGCTCACTATGCGTCTGCGAGTACGAGAAGCATGGAAATCAAATTTTGGCAGCAGTGCTCAAACTCGGCAAAGGTACGAATGCGACACCCCCACAGCTTTGGACTCAAGCGCGGAGGTGTACTCGGTGGCCGTTGGTTTTGTCCCCCCGAAAGACAGCCCGCCCCCACGAAGCCCTGCTCAACGTCGGCATCTATGAGTAGACTAACACATTGGTGGCCGTGGATGTATCCTCTCAGATCACTCAATCGTTGAACACTCCAGTCTGGAGCGGCTCAAGCTGGCGATCGCACAGAGTCTCCGACTTGCACCCCGGTCTGCCCTGGAGGCCCAGAGCTTGCTCAGCTGCCTCAGGATCCTTGACGCTCTGGCTGGCGAGGATGCCGATCAGCTGTTAGAATCCGTCTTTGAACTCGCGACCGCGCACGTGCTGATGATCGGTGTCTTTGACGTTGCCGTTTTCAAGATTGCGCCGCAATCGGGAGCTCTCATTGACGAGTTCGAAGCATATATGGGGCTGGTCGAAGCAGCTGCCCAGTCTTGTTGGGGAAAGATCCGCACTCGTCTGCGCTCGTCATCGTCGACATCTGTGTCCGAGTGGGTGAAGCGGTTCATGACCCACTTCCAAGCTGCCCTGCTTGACATCGCCCACCACGGCAAGCCCAGCGAGTACGCTGCTCAGATTCAAGAGCTTCTCTTGCTTGCATCGGACCTGGAATCGAGCTCGCTTGAGCAGCAGGTCCTCGACTCTGCGATTCTCTCTCAAGAGGCTTGGAGACGCCTCCACGCACCGTTCGCTCTGTCGGACATTGCGCTCGGAATCGAAAAGCCTGTTGTTATATGGTCCGGTGTCTCCCCGTCCGGCACAGGATCGACTTGGCAGACCGATTACGATGCCTTGGGCCTGACTGTATACGCCCGCGTTGGAGAGTTTGCCACGCTTCTGCTCGAGCAAGTGACATGGGATCGACTCTCCAAGAGCGGCCGCGAGTGGCTGTTCGTCGAGTTGCTGCGGCTTCGGAACCTGGAGCAAGACTCGGACGCCTTGGGGCTCTCCAGCCTGTGGAGCCTGCAGTCCGAGTATGACGAACACGAGTATTGCGATCGCATAGGCGCTCTGCTTTGCAGCGCTGTATCCGCCGCAGGACCACACGGACAGAATCTGTGGCTCAGCTTGGACGCCGAGAAGGGCGACGCAGGATCGGTCTCTGGGCCAGCGAACACGCTCCGCGGCGTCGTCAAATACTGTACCGAAAGCCTGAAGTTGGACAACGCCACCTCCTACCTCTGTGTCCTCGAGAATGTTGCAACCGAGGCTGTGGCTCGCCATGGCGATCGAGTATGGATCGATGAGACTGTCAGTCAGACTGTGCGTATGCTCAAAGGTATGCCAAACCAAGATACTGTCACCTTGAATGAGCTGATTTTAGCACTTCACGGAAGGAAGAGAGCGATGTTGGCGATTTGGGGGGGGGGCCAAGGCTGACTTGTTCCATTGCCCTTTATTATCCAGAGGATGCAGCAGACAAGCATGCTGCCCTTGCTGTCCTTTCTGGACTCGCGCACGGCGGCATTGCTCCATCCGACGATATCTCGGTCTTTGTGATCGAATGTAGCCGAAACCTGAGCAAGATCGATCGCAGTCAAATCGCCACGCACGAGGGCCGCAAGTGTGCGCTGTCTCTGCTGGCAGCCATCAACATCCTTGGCGAGCACATCCTGCCATCGCACGAACAGCAACATGACGGTGCAGTCATTACATCCTCAACGGCCAACGTCCTTCTGAAGCAGTTTCGTCGCTGGTACGAGTCTGCCAGCGGCGATCTGGCACCGGTCAGCCAGGAAGCTGTGGCCGTGCATGCCCAAGTGACGGCGCTCGTTCGATTGATTGTTCGGCTCAATTGCGAATTGGATCTGAACTTGCGGGGCTTTGTTGCGGCTCTGTGCATTCACTGGATCAAGGTAAGCCTTTATCTGTTTTCGAATGGACGACCTTCCGAAATCCTGCTCAAATCAAGACAACAAACTAACTTTTGCGCTCTCTGCCAGCAATCGGCCGGCTCAGCCAGTCTCAAAGTCCTGCTGTACCACGCCGTGTTCCTCGCCGATGAGCTGTTGCGTGTGTCGCTGAAGCACCCCAAGGAGTGGGTGGTTGTGGAGCGTGTCTGCGCGGAGCTCCGAGCTACCACTTTGGATATATACCTCTCTGAGTGCCGTAAGTCGATCTGGCAAGCTGGTTGGCAGGAGGTTCACTCGATCTCTTGAGCCATGCTGGCACCAACGATTCACGCGACAACAATATCGCCGACTTCTTGTCTCAGGTCTGCCCGTTGGAACAATCGTCACCAAGCCCCAGTCCAAGCTGCAGGGTGCTCTGGGCGGCTTGTGTTCGGAGATATCTGGCTCGCTGGTGATGAAGAGCCAAATCTTTGATCCCTTGTGCGAAGTGCTTTACGCTCAGAACGACGTTGCTCAGATCGCGGCGTACTCGCTCCTGCGTCCGCTGATTGCCCAAGCGATCCAAGAGGTCTCTGTTAAAGTTGAAATGAGGTCCTCTGAAGGTATGATACCTGGTAGATGCCGTCGTTGTGTGATTTCACATGCGCGGGATATACCAGAAGCCGCAGTGGCAAGCGAGGTGCTGACAGCGAGTGTCTGATCGAAATTGACGAGCTTGGACTCTCCACTGCCATCGTTGTAGACTTGGGTGAGCAGCAGCTTCCCGCATCTATCATTGCCGCCTTGCAGCACCCAACTCCCAAAATCGAGCTATCGGCTATTGAGAGCGTAAGTGTCCCCCCCCCTCGAAGCGCAGACGCCTCTGGTTCTGGTTACTGACATGAGCGACTCAACGCGCCCCAGATCCATCCAAGTGAAGCCACCTTGATGCTGGGCTATCTTCTATCGTGGATGGCATTGTTCGATCACTTTGAGGATGCGGTAAGAGCAACGATGCTCGAGCGTGAAGCGCCTGCCGATAACTCCGTAGCCTCTGCGTGTGAACGGCGTCACGACAACACACAGCACACCGACGATATCCGCTCACCCGGCAACCAACCCTCAATGTCAGACATTCCGGCTTAAAGCCGAGTACGCTGCTCACATCCGTAACTTGGGCGACCTGTTCCCACGGTTCCTGGAGTGCATCTTCAGGATCCTGGGCGTGGGCGCTGCTGGGCCAGTGTTTGAGCTCGGTCGTTGGGGCTTTGACACACTTGTGGTGAATGGTACGTACGCGATTGAAATGCTGGTTGCTGGTTGCTCTCTATTGATCGACTGCGTCGCTTCATCTCCAGGCATCGACGTCACCTCCGAAGTCGCCTTTCCCCTACTGGCGGCCCACCTGTATTGGAGAGCCCTCCGTTCCCTTCCGGCTCTCGTGCGACTCTGGTGGTCCGAATGCAAGGCCAGACAGCTTACTCTTGGCGTCGAGAGGTTAGTTGGCTACATTTGCTTTCGTGTACATGGCTTGTTTGGCCAACGCATGGCGTCACACTTGCGCAAATGTCCGCTGGTCGTGGTGGCCAGCACGACTGCAAGCATACCAGAGCCAATGAAATACTGATCGATAGCTCTTCTTGTGATGACATTGTAGCTACACCGAGAGCTATTACAGTAGCCGCCTTGTTGGCCGTGAGATCTCGGCCGTGCTGACCAACAACGCAACCCCTCTCGACGGACTCACCATCAAAGCTTCCAAGAATGCGAATGAAGTGACAGCTGCATACGAAATCGAGGAGACGACCCTTGAGATGATCATTCACTTCCCAGCCACCTACCCTCTCCGCCAGATCGAGGTCGAAAGCGGAAACAACCGCGCGGGAGTCAGCGAGGCGCGCTGGAGATCATGGCTCCTGGCAGCCACCGCTATAATGGTGTCGCAGTCTGAGTCGATCCTGGATGCCCTTCGCATCTTCCACAAAAACATCTCCATGCACTTTGAAGGTAAGATGCACGGCCGTGTGCGTCGGGCCTGTGACAGTATCATGAATGCATGTCGCAGCCTCTGGCCGAAACAGTGCAGCCAGCGGGTTATCTCTCGGACCCAGATGGCTGACCGGCAGCGCCTTTGCGCCCGATACTATTACAGGGTTCGAGGACTGCGCCATCTGCTATTCCATCATCGGGGCCCTCGATCGTGCTCTGCCTACCAAGGAGTGCAAGACATGCAAGCACAAGTTCCATGCGTCGTGCCTGTATAAGGTGAGTTTCCCGACCACTCCTTGCATGGATCGTGCAGGTGACCGATGCAAAAGCAGCTCGCCCGGAGCATCTGCAGGACCCAGATACACACGGCCTGTCGTGGGAAACAGGGTCGATATCGTGGTCCACCAACGCCGATCCCCTCGCCGCACACTGACCTTCCCTGCTTCTTGCGCGCCACCTGTCCCTCAGTGGTTCCGAACGAGCAACCAATCGTCCTGCCCACTGTGCCGCAGTCAGTTTTAGCGGGCGGCCCACGACAAGCCAATGCCGGGCGATCCGGGGATGCAGTCGCTCGCTCGGCCTGCTCGCTCGTGGGGTCCGGAATGCCGCGGGCCGGATAGACTGTGAATAGCTCAGTGCCTGAATGAGCACTGCAATACATCGTGTTGAAGAGATGATGAGAGCAGCGGGACCGGCTGGGTGCAGTGCCTCATGGCCGGCGGCCCAAGGCAACACCAGCCCCACGACCCAGGCAAGGCGATCCCACGAACCGGCGCTGTGGGACCCCCACGCCCAAGCCACATCGGAACCGCATTTAACCCGAGAGTTTTCCTCCATCTCCAGCAGCCATCTCCGGCAGCCATCTCCAGCACCTCGATCCCGCAGCCCACAGCCCACAGCAGCCCGCAGCCATGTCCAAGACCAACCTGTTCCAAGACTGGGTCCAGTCGCTCAAGCGAACCCCCTCCAAGAGCTCCCGCAGCCGCGACGATCTGTCGCTGTCTTACAAGCCCTATGAAATCGACTTTTCCATGCACGTCGAGCTGCGAAAGAAGCTCGTCGATCGCATGAACAACCTGCCCCAGGAGAAGCGACACGCCAACGCCGCGGTCCTGCTCGATGGTGGCTCGGAGCTGCCAAAGTACTGCACCGACACCACCCACTGCAACTTCCGCCAGGAGAGCTTCTTCCAGTATCTCTTTGGCGCCCGTGAGCCCGACTGCTCCGGCGCCATCGATCTGTCCACGGGCGAGTCGATCTTGTTTGTGCCCAGACTCTCGTCCGAATGGGAACTGTGGTGCGGCAAGGCCCCGACGCTGGACTATCTCAAATCCCACTACCAGGTCGATCATGTCCACTACCAAGACGAGAAGCTGGAGGTGCTGCAGAAGCGCGGCATCGTCCATCTGCACGTTCTCTACGGCCTCAACACCGACAGCGGGCTCTATACCGTGACGACCGCCAAGTTTGACGGCATCGAGGCCTTCACCGTCCACAAGGACATCCTGCATCCCGAGCTGGTCGAGTGCCGCCTCATCAAAACCGAGCGAGAGCTCGATCTGCTCCGATGGATCAACACCATCTCCTCCGAGGCGCATGTCCAGGTGATGCGGACTCTCAAGCCGGGCATGATGGAGTTCCAGGCCGAGAGCCAGTTTCTGTACTATTGCTACATGATCGGCGGGGCCCGCTTCCACGCCTACACCTGTATTTGTGGCAGTGGCCACAATGCCTCTGCTCTCCACTATGGCCATGCCGGCGCCCCAAACGATAAGGTCCTCAAAGACGGCGATCTGATTCTCAATGACATGGGCTGCGAGCTGCACTGCTATGCGTCCGATATCACCTGCACCTTCCCCGTTAACGGCAAGTTTACCAAGGACCAGATCTTTATCTACGAGGCTGTTCTCAAGTCGCATGACGCCGTCATTGCTGCCATGAAGCCGGGTGTCGAATGGAAGGATTTGCATATCCTGTCGCTCCGTGTCCTTGGCGAGGAGCTTCTCAAGGGTGGGCTCCTCGTCGGCGACATCGAGGACCTGATGAGGCACCACGTTCCAGCCTACTTTTACCCGCACGGCCTTGGGCATCTGCTCGGCTTGGACGTCCACGACGTCGGAGGCTACACCGATGGCAAGACCCGCACCCCGACCAAGTCCCTCTGCAAGCTGCGTTGCGATCGCGCGTTGGAAAAGAACATGGTCCTGACCGTCGAGCCGGGCTGCTACTTTATCGATGCCCAGCTCGACGACCTCCTGGCCAACCCCGAGGCGAGCCAGTTTGTCAGCAAGGACGTTCTCGCTCGCTTCCGGGGATTTGGCGGCGTCCGAATCGAAAGCGACGTCATCGTGGTTGAAGACGGCGCCGAGAACATGACCAAGGTTCCCCGCACAGTTGCTGACATTGAGCAGTGCATATCGGCCTGATTCGTCGATCGCAAGCAAGACTGCCGGCGTCCTCTTGTATCGCACCGCATTCGTGCTTGAGGCGGCAAGTCTCTCCCGTCTCGGCCTTAAAGCGGCTGGTAATAAACCCTCACCGTGAATGATGACCATGAAGATCATGAGGGGCTATGAATGCTTTCGGAGCTGTAGCTATTCTATTAGGGAAATGCACACGTGCGGGTGGTTGACCAGCCAAAGGGAGAGGGGAAGTCCCGGCGAATCAGTACTACAGACAAGACAAATATTCGCTGGGCTCAGATGACGGCCTGTTGTTGCGGATAGGCCTCGAGCAGGCCAGAGACGAGAGAAAACGGCATCCGTCCAGATTCGACCAGATGGCGCTCGTACGGACCGATAAAGTCCTGCGAGCAAACGGCAATGAAGAGGTGCATGCTCACGATGGCCGAGAGCTCCAGCAGCCATGGCGGGAGCGACTGAGTGAGCGCCCGGTATGCCAAAGTCTCCCTCCAGAGCTCTTCCACGATCACGACGATGCCTTGGAGCACAAAGAACCGAATCGACATCAGATCGTAGTCGTGGAAGGAGGCCGAGGTGATGTAGGCATGGCAGGCGCCGCTGATCAAGAAGACAGCCAAGACGCCGCCGGCCCTTCCAACTCGATCGCCAAAGCGAGGCAGCAGCCATTGATGTACGGGCTTGAACCCAACCATGACCCACACCGTTCGAAAGGCTCGGTGCCATCGGCGGCTCCACAGATCGCGCGGGCTCGAGCTGAGGTTTGGGCTGATGAACAGCTCGTCGAACATCGAGTTGCGGGTTCCGAAGGCGAGAACCAAGACGGTGTGCATGATCTGGCCGGCAACGACCATGTTGAAGAGCACAAATTGGCCACAGAGGTAGCCTAGGGCCAGCCTCCAAAAGTACGAGTCGGGGTCGCTCTTGGTGAAGCTGCGGGCCACCTTGATCATGTAGAACATGGCATCGTAGATGAAGTACTGCAGACCAATGAGAAAAACCTGCTTGACGATGTAGAGACCATCCGAAGGGGGGTTCTTAACATTGGTTCTCTTGGCAGCGGGCTGCTTGCCGTCGCAAGGGACCTCGGCCACAGCTCGGCCCCAGCCGGTGATAAGGAGATCCTGGAGCCTGCCCCCGAGTGAGCTTGAGGAAGCGGGCTGGATGAACATCCACTGGGAGCCAGAAGACAGATTGTGAGGGGAAACGACGCACGCAAGCGACGCACGCAAGCGACGCACGCAAGCGAGGCATGCAAGCGAGGCATGCAAGCGACGACCGAGACATTGTTGTAGCCGAGCGCACTCCTCAGCCCAGGCCGAAGCACAGCTTGCTGGACATCCCACAAGCACTTACAACAGCAGACTTGACGAGATAATACGATGCGAGCATGGCGACAGTTATGTCAAGGCGGGCGTCTGTTGTCGTCCAGAACCACGCCGCCCAGAGGGACCATGCATTCAGCACAACGAACACGGTCGATCGGAGGGCGAGGGCACCCGGCGGGAGTTTCTGCGAAGCGACTGGTGCGAGATGAAGCAGGGCCATCAGACGCTGTTAAAAGGAGCCACGGCAAGACGACCGGGGGATGCAGGACAGCAGCCGACAGGACATGCGGTTGCACTTGGCTCACTCTGGCATGCCAACGACGGCAACATCACCGCGGCCAAGAGGAAGTGCGGTGCAGCAGGACGGAACTCGGACGGAGCCAAGAAGGCTCGGGAATCCACGATGAAGTGCATCGGCGAAAATCAGATGGGCAGATGTCGGTTCTTGCGGTGTGGGAAACTGCCAAGGGTTTTTATGGGACCGGCGGGGGCGTTCGGGCAGAATCGGTTCAAGGGGCAATGCAAAGGCGAATGCGGACTGGGGGCGGTGCCATCAGCAAGGAACGACGGCCGTTGTGCGCCTGGGGATACCCACGGCGTTGGGCGTCAGTACACCGCGGGGGCTCGATGGGATGGTTTGGTGTTGATGTTGATGTTGAGGATTTGGTGTTGATGTTGATGTTGATGTCAATCCAATAAAAAACGGGACACCCGTGTTTTTGACCATTCATCGAATATGCTGTTACCCAATGTTATCGCGCGCTGGCCATGACCATTCGCCAGACGGTGTGGAATCGCGACGTCAATGCGGCGCGCAACATGATCACAGTGTGCAGGTCGATTGTGGAGACCGGAGAGCGACCGGCGGTCTTCACTCGGAGGTGAATTGTTGAATTGCATGTGGTTCTATTTTTTATGGCTTTGCTTGACGCAAGCACATCACATACTACGCTGACACATGGGATCGTGAGGGTGTCCCATTTGCTCATGTGCAAACGAGTCACTTCGACATGCGGTGGATCGGATATGTTGGCCGATCTGACTGAATGACATCGATCGGCGCTTGCCCTGCGTGTTTCCTCCCTCATTCCAAGTGTGTCCTCTTGCCCTGACTTGCAGCGACTCGCTGGCCCTGCCGTATCCACTCCTTGCATCACTTGCTCACGCTTGTGTCGGAGAGAAATGGTGCGCCCTTCCCCTCTTTTTTTCCCCCCCAGCGCGCTGTCCACAGGACTCGACCCAGGCCCAGGCGCCCCGCGTCGGTTCGGGCCTGCTCCATCTCTGTCCTCAAACGGCCTCCATGCGGGTCCGCTGTGTCATTGATTGCATCCACCAGTTGACTGCACCGATCGCACCAACCGATCGAATCTGCCGGTCGTGCCAGTTGATCCCGTCTGCCGATCGCCCGGCTCTCTTCGCATCCTGCTGCAACAATCAAACGTGAGTTCGATCATGGCCGAGAAACGGAAGCCCGATGAACCTGCTCTGTCGGAGCCCAAGACCCGTCGCTCTGCCTCGTCTAAGGCGACTCTCCTCAAGGCAACGGTGCATCCCGAGTTTTTTTACATGAAGATCAAGCTGTGAGTGCTATACTTGTACACAGTAGAGATCATCAGCCGTCGATCGTTCAGTCCGCTGCCAGCATTGCCGTTTCCTGGCCTCGATGAGGGCCAAACTTGCCCACATCTCAGATCCATTAATGGACCCTCGGGAACTCCTCCTCCTCCTCCTCCTCCCACAATCCAAATTTTCTCGATGGAACATTTCAACTGCTCCATCGATCCCGATAACGACGTTCTCCAGTACCTTCGAAGACTCGCACAAACTTGATGAACTGTATTTCAAAAACACCATCTTCGAGGCCCTGCGATCGGCATTCGGTCTTGTTGGTGCTGGCCACCAGGTCGACTTGCTGTCCTTTGACGAACAAACCCAGTCGGGCTTGCTCCGAGTCCCGTATGAGTAAGTGGCGATGGGGACTCGTTGCCCTCCTGATCTTGCCTCGTAGTGATCGTGCAGCTCGGCAGTATCATAGCGCTCGCCAAACCAACTGGTGCCCTCTGTCGTACCCTCACAACGATTGGCTTCAGATCCTCAAAGACTGTGCGAACGGCTCTGTCGCTCTTTCGGACTGTCGACGAGCGGAGGCTGGGCAAGTTCGATGTGCTTGATGGCTCGGCGCATCTCGCAAGTCTTGCGGCTTCCAGTCGGGACTGGGACCCTCAGCCATAGCCATGCAAGACTTTACCCTTTCTCTCGACAACAATTAGGAAAGACTGAGGTATCCACTCTACCCATACGAATCTCTCAAGCCGACATTGGGACAGCGCGGTGTCTGAGATTTAGCACCGGGACGCTCAAAGCGGGCCGGTCTATCTGTATTGACGACCACCGACTACATTCCCTGGGTATTGAATACACACATTGCTCGCTGCGGAGCACTGCAATTCAAAGCCGGGGTGCAGTCGTCCAAGACTTGAGCTTCAAGTCACCGTGCCTCCCTGGCGTCGGCAGCGAGTGTTGTTCAAAACGAGTCCGATCGCAGGAAGCCGTAGCGCTCAGTGCCGGGACACGCAATGTTGCCAGCGCATCCACAATAGATGCCAACGGGCTGTCGGAGATACTTGGCCAGGTCGTCTTCGTCGCCTGGTCCAAGGACCTGCTGCTCCTCGCCCGGGGTTGGCGAGGGAAGGCGGATGGGTCGAATGATTTTCCACATCCATCCGCCGTCCTGCACGTTCTGGCGATGCGTCCGGCTCGCCCAGGCGCTGCCCGTGCTGGCCGAAATGCGGTCCAGAACCTCGTTCGGGAGCAGGGCGCTTGGAAATCGGAGCTTGGCAGCGTCGGTGGAAGTCAGTCCGAGCCTCGAGATGGCCCAAGCCACCAAGCTTTCGAGATACCTGGCGAACGTATCCAAGGGCACCAACTCGACCTGGCCCTGCTTGATGGGTCTGCCGACGAAAACTTCCCGGATGTTGATCGTCGGGGCTGACGCTGTTTCGGGATGGCTGCGGAACTGGGCCAGCTCCGCATTCGAGGCCTCGAGGATGGCATAGCCAGCAACGCCGTCTTGGCCTGTGACGATGCCGCTGATCACGGTCCGGCGAGAGTCTTGGTAGTTGCCGATATACTCCTTCCAGTAAAAGTCCGAGTCTCGGCGGAAGGAGGCCACCAACTGCGTCTCCGAGATCCGATAGAGTGCCTTGATGGTTTCCAGATCAGCCTCAAAGTCAATTTGCCGACACTGGAGGCCTGGCTGTGCCAGCGGGCCCAGACCGGCCCCGATCTCGCAGGTGGTCAGGAACATCACGCAGACTTTCCAGCCCAGCTTGGCATAGAGCGGGACAGCGGTCGACGTATGCAGAACAGAGACGTCGATGCCCGTAGCAGCCATGTAATCGACCGAGGCTTGCAACAGCCTTTGGGCCAGCCCTCGGCGGGTGTGACTTGGAAGGGTGGCTACATCGCCGATTCCGCCAACGCTGTACTGCAAGTCCTCAAGAAAATTGACGTTTCGGCGATAGACCCTGACGGAAGAAGCAATCTGAGCGCGATAGAAGGCACCGCGAGGTGACGGCATGGGGAGGGGTGTTAAGGACCGTATGTCGATGAGGGGCTCGTCACTCCCTGCAGACAGACAGCATGCGCGCATATCGCAGACCATCCACGGCGGCGACGACGGCGCAGAGCCTGGGATTGTTGGCTCAGGAGAGGGCGAGCAACGCCGGCACTGACCTCAGCGGGGCTCTTGCAAATGGCAACGAAGACACCCTTGTCATCGCGGTTGGGATCGGCGAACCAGTGGTTCTGGAAATAGAGCCGGGGTGTGCCGACGGGACCAAAGACGGTGGTAAGGTGATCAAAGAAGGCATCGAGGGAGTTGGGGGCCGGCGACGCATCGCCAGAGAGCCTGATGTTCTCGACGGTATAGTTGGTGTCCATGTGGAGGGATGACCAAGGGATGACCAAGGGATGGCCAAGGGAGTATTGATCAAGTCCAAGGTTCCAGATGCAGCGAAAAGGAGACAGGCGGCCGAAGGCGGGGACGAGGAGGGAAGAGGAGGGAAGAGGAGGACGGGTGCTGGGAGACGGGGGCTGGTGGTTGGCCGCCGAGTCGAGCAGTCATGAATGTGGCCAACAGTGCATCCGCCCCGCAGGACCACTCCCGGACGACTCCTCGGCACTGGCCGCTATGCGCTCATGGAGGACGGCGGGGTGCATCGGCGAGCATTCGTGAGGAGCCACCTGAGCGTCCGTGTTGGCTTATCTTGAGACCGCCCAGGGGCAGAGTCTATGGGGTCTATTGACTTCAGGGAGCACTCGGCTCGGGTTGGCGGCTGAGGGTGCGGCCAAGGGTGTGGTCAAGAGGAAGGGATAAATCGGCAAACAGAAAGGGCCAGCCAATCGTCGAAATGCACATCGGCAAGCGGCAACGGGCAGAGCGGAGTCGGTGGGCTATGGAGGGGTGATAGGATGCAGAAGGCAAGATGGAGAAGATGAAATGAAGGCAGGTGTGCTCATGGCCAGGCATCAGGTTTCAGGAGAAATGCATGGGGGAAGCCGGCGGTCAGTCCCAGCCCGGCGCAAGCTGGGGACGGTCAAGACGGCATGATCGACATATTCAAGAGACAACAGGCGGTTCTGGAATTAGGGGGGAGAGTCGATGCTACTGAAGGTCAAGTCCAAGCTCCGGAAGCAGGGCCGAGTAGCGTTCCCAGGCTTCGTGGATGAATCCGCTGAGGCCGGGGCGACGGAGCTTTTGCGAAAACTCAAAGATAATATCCCAGTTGGGCCGGCCGAGCTGCTCGCAGCCGATCGTCTCGTCGAGCAGGGCGAGCATGGAACTCCCGGTGGTGCACCAGGCTGCGGCGATCCAGTGCTGCTCGCTGAGCTTGACGCTGCGCTGTTTGAAGGAGCGGACAATGTCCTGGGCAATCTGGACGTTCCCGAGCCGCAAGCTGATACAGAGCGCCTCCGAGAGGACCTGGATATCGGCGAATCTCGACGGCGGGATAGTGCTGGCCCGCTTGGGCGCTGGCGGCAGTGTCGATCCCGATGATGCTGTCCTGGCTCGGCCGCGAGGCAGAACTGGGCTGGGCTTGGGAAGATTAGCCTGGTACTCCGTTTCGTAAAAGGCCAACAGGCTCGTGCAGAGCAGCCCGTATCCTCTGTAGACGGCCAGCCGCCAGAGCAAATGCAGTAGCCGCGGAAGGCAGCTCTGGTCGCCATCGTCGTCCCACTGGTCGGCCCAGACCGACTTGCTGGGTGGACGGACCAGCCGCTGCTGATCAACAAGCCTTCGAACATTGGCAACAAGAAGACAGCAAACCGGCTCCTTCAGCAGACTGAGAGGAAACCGGTCCTGCTGCACCTTGAGTTCCAGGAAGGGGCCCAGGCGGAATATCTCGGCAAAGACCCAGTCTCGGTGCCGCATGAGCCAGGACGCCTGCAGCCGCGGTGACGACAGCAGCGAGTGGAACTTTGAGTGTGCCCGGCTGAGGCTTGAGGGGTGGTCGACATAGAGACATATCTGGAACAAGACCTCGGTGGGCAGATGGGTGAGTCCCATGCCTGTGTCCGGAGAGTGTGGTGCCGGCTGGGGCACTGTGTTCTGGAAGACCATTGCAGCCGGCAAGGCGACGGCTCTTGGATGGTTCGATGTGAGGTCTTGCCTGATTTTGGGATAGGGGGTGCTGGTCTGGCGCTTGAGTGTGAGATGGCCTGAGGAGTAGACGGCAATGACGGGCGACAGCCGAGTGCGATGCTGCAGGGACAGCGGCTGGACAAGTGAGGCGGCCCGAACCGAGCCTCTTGGTCGAAGATAAGGCCAGGCGAGCTTGCCCCGGGCTTGTTGCGGGGGGGGGTTCCTGAGGGCGAGGAGCTGCGGGGCCGAGGCAAAGTTAAGACGGGCGGATCAGTAGCGGCTGTTGCTGTTCAGGGCGGCAGGCGAGATGAGACGAGCAGAGCGCAAGGCGTCGATTTCCTCCCAGAGCCCCCAATCCTCAACCGCCGGTCGACAGCGACGGACCCCAAGCCGGCCGCCGAGGCCCGCACAGCAACCGCATGCATCGCCCACCTGCAGTCTTGCTCGGTCGTCTGGTGGTGGGAAGAGCCGATCCCTTCGAAACTCCGCTGCGGGGGGGGGGAGCGGGGGTGTTCTCAGCATGCCCACCGCCCGTCGCAGACGAGGATATCTGCACACCTCGGATGACGAGTGCGCGCAGGCCCGTCGATCAGCTGCCAGGGTCGATCGGCGATCAAGCAAGGAGCTCGCCTGGCGACGGCATCAGGCTGTGCTGCTGTTGGCACTTTTGTTGCTGTCCCAACACACTGCTTCCGATCATCATCACCAGCAGCACCAGCGTCAGCAGCTCTCGATCAGCGGCTCTGATCAAAATACTGAATCACTGCCTCGATCGGCCGCAGCGCTACGATGGCGACCTTCGTACCCTTTATTCAGAAAAAACGGGACACCACACCCGCTTCCATGAACATGCAGTATGTGATGGCTTGCGTCCAACAGAACCACATGCAATTCAACAATTCACCTCCAAGTGAACACCTCCGGTCGCTCTCCGGTCTCCATAATCGACATGCACACTGGTCTGGGAGTGCCAGCGGTGAATGGTGCTCTTGGAGACACTGAATATGGAGGCAGCCTTTCTCAGACTATGGATGACAGTAGCGCCGCATCACGGAATGGTCATGGCCAGCGCGCGATGGTATTGGGAAACAAAACATTTGATCAATGACCGAAATCCGGGGTGTCCTTTCTCTCTGGATTGACTGTAAAGGTGAATGTATTCAGGACTGAAGCTGGCTCAGCGAGGCCCGAGTTCCCGCTACTTCATTCGCAGGCTGCGCTTGCGAGCATGTTGCCAACAGCCCCTGCTTGACAAGTTGCAGCTGCATCAGTTGCGTTTCGGTGGTTTCAGCTTTGAGATTGGGCGGAGCTCTTTGCGTCCGCCAGCGGTCGGCACAGGCATCTTGGAGGGTGGCTCTGGAGAGAGAAAGCAGCGAGATTCGATGAGCATCAAGCATGCTGCTGGTGAAAGATGGCCCAAATTCGCACCCCGGTATCCGAATCCAAGTGCTGGCCATGAACACGAAATATGGAGGCAAATGGGACGTGCGGGATCGCTGTATACGCAGGAGAATATGCCGAGCAAGGGTGCGAACGCGCCGAGGCATATTTTTGATCCGCACATCTCTTCGGAGCATAGAGCATCGCCGCTTTGCTGTGATATTCCTCGAGCCCAAACAGACCGGAGAGCCATGACCTACTTACGCTCGCTCTCTTCGTTTGGCTTCTTGGTTGGCATGCGCAATGGAATCGCCGAGCCAAAGACCGGCAGTTTCGAGGTGGCTCCGACGCGAGCAAACTTGGCTCGCGACTGCCCTGGGTCGTCGTCTTCGCGCACCGAGTTGGACTTTTTGATTTGATACTTGGACAGGTCAGGTAGCATGCCACCGAGGTTCAGAGGCATGGAAGGCGACGATCCGACTTTTGCTCGTGGCCCTGGCGAGTGCTCAGAGAGCGATACGGCTGGACTCTGCGGGTTACTCGAGGCAATCGAAGCGATCGACAGCCTCCGCAGCTCTGATGGAGTTGGGATGTTGGACGAGGACTCAGGCACAGTGGGCTTTGTGATCGTGACCATCACGTTGGGCTCCATTCGTGCAGCGGGAATCTGCTAGAGATCGACACAGAAATCAGGCACGACTCGGAGGTCATGGAGGAGCGTTCCCAACATTCCATTGGGCAGGTAACTCACTTGCGAGGATTTTTGTGTTGCTTTGGCTGAGCTTTTCAAGCCGAATCGACTGCGGAGATTGCTTGGTTTGGCCAGCCTGGACGAATGGCTGGAGGGGGCCGAGGGCGCTATTGAGGTCTCCTTAGTCTTTTGAGAAGATGCAAACGGCGACTTGAAGTTGAAGATCGAGTGGGACAGTGGCGACGTCGGCTCGCTTTGACTGATGGATTGGATGGTGCGTTCTGCGCTCCGGAGAAGCTGGATTCGAGATGGGTCCGCGGGATTAAGCTCTTGCGGTTGAGCTTGAAGGCTTTGAGCTGGATATCGACGCACCGTGATAAAGGTGTCCGCAACAACGGCGAGCGGGTGAATAAAGCGACCTCTCCGTGTCGAACAGGCGCACTGGCTTCAGAGAGCCTTCTGCGACTGTGCACCGGTTCACACAGCACTTACAGGGGGATGGCTTGACAGACGAGCCGCTGTGGTGCCCCGCGGGTGCACCAGGGCCAGCATAAGAGCTTTTGGATGACAAGAACTGCTCGTCAAGGGCAAATATCTTTGGGACGGCTAGCCCCGGCAGCGCAGGATTCGGATTTGTGTGCGTGAGAGGTGATCTGGCGATATAGGACAGCCACAGACACACGATAGTGAGCATCATTCGACGGCGCACAAAAAACGCTTGCGGCTTCCAAAAGTGAGAGGTGGATCCGCACAAAGTAAGGGTCCCTCACCCCTCGACAGGGCCAGGCAAGGCTCGATAGGTGACCGGCGGCGAGTCGACCAGATCCATGTCAGCGGGTTTTTCTTCATTCATGAGCTCGCATCCCGCTGTATAAGATTGTATCATTCATGACGACAAAGCCAGACTTGTTAGTCAAACTGGAGCCAAGGCCGATATCGTATGTGCACCGTTAAGCATCGTGTGCCCGCATACACCAGCATTGGGTTGGATCCATGGCACCGAGGTCGTGTGAGCACGGTGCAATGTACGTGAGGATCTACCAGTGCAATCTTTGTCCAGACGCAGGGTCCGCTTTAGCCGTACCGAAGAGCTTTGTGAATGGACTGCCCTTTCTACTTTTGCTGAAGAGCCTGAGATTCGGCGACTTTGGGGTCTTGGATACCGGAGTGGTCAGGTCAAGGCTGAAGGACGAGTCCTGTGATTTTTTTTGGAACGGGCTGGTCAGATCCAGGCCAAAGGATGTATCCTGAGACCTTTTCTGGAACGGACTTGCCAGGAAGCTGAATGGCGACCGCGCCGCTTTGGGCTCCAGCGAGCCGGACAGAAAACTGGCGTCCTCGGGGATTTCGCCGAGATCCTTCATGCGGGCCAAGTCGGCGTCAGTTAGTGCCGCGTTGGTGGTCTTCATCTGGGAAAAGGGCGATGCGCCTGGAGCGGCGGTCATGGGGCTATCGGTGCCTGCAAAGAGCGGCGTTGGCGGCTTTGTATCCTCGAGGTTCTCGGCGAGCATCTGAGAAGCGTCCTGGTTCCGGATGGGAGTCAAAGGAACGAGATGGATGTCGAACATTCCGCTGTCAAGTCTGGGGGTCTCGAGCTTGCCGGTGTTGGCCCATTCGGCGCTCTTGGTCAACGGCGATGCATCCGTGTGGCCGGGAGTCTTGAGGCACGGCGAGCTGAACGAGAAGACGTGGCCAGAGGGCGAGGCAGTCTTGAAGGCAAATGGCGACGGGCGAGCCACTGACGGAGGTGATTGCGAGGGAGAGGCCAGCAACATCGGATCCATCGTCGCGTCGAGGTTCATAATCTCGTCTCCCTGCGAGTTGAGGACGTGACGCATGTCGGCAGCCTCCAAATCCACCAAGTCGTCGATGTCGTCTTCAACAGAAGTATCCATGTTGGAACGCGATGAGGGGAGAGTTGTCGACTTTGCTTGTGATTTTAGTGCACTGCTGATTGCGTCTTCCGTTGGGAAATGGCTCTGGGTGATCGCTGACGCTGACCCGCGGGCCGATGGGCGAATGCAGAGCCTGGATCAAGCACGACGGAACAGGACGAGGGCGGGCGGGACAGCCCGCAAAACATGGCGCCGACTTTGGCCAAAAAAGGCAGCGATTGATGCACGGGTCGATCCGGCTGGATCCATGCCTGAGCCGGGACGGATGTGCGCAGCAGCTCCAGTTGCGCCTCGCACTATCAATTTTTTCCGACCCCTCGCGGCTGCCCATCAGCAGAATCCTCCCCTGCAGCCGATCTCGACCCAGCCCAGATGAGCACCCCGTCCCTCTTCAGCCGCATACTATCTTGCTTCGAGCGGGCAGTTGCGGCTGGCCACGTCATCTTTACCGACTCGACGTGTGCCGTTGTCGAGAACGCCGGCGTTAATGTGAGTCCAATGTTGGCCGAGCACCACCGACCCCGGTCACTCTCCCCGCTCGACCATCGCTATTTGGAGTTGACTTTTCATGGTCCCCAAAACCCACTCTCCCATTCGAGTACCCTTGCTCTTCGTAGTGCTTGATGACTCACGTTTCATGGCAAGCTGAGGCGCGCACCGCCGCTCGACTCTGGTCGAAACTCTGCATACGATTTCGGATGCAACTCTCAGGTTGCCGACGTCACTGATGTCACTGATATCGCTGGTGCCGCACTTGGCTCTGGACACCGTTTTAGTTCCAGGTGCGTCTTGCCCCCAGTCTCGCCAAGAAGCCAACCGGCGGCTTGACAAGAAAGCTAGCCCAGAGCAAGCCTTTCGATCCGTTCCTGCCGTACGATCCGAATCTCTATGTGGATCAGTACGAGGACCATAATTTGCTGCTCAACAAATTCAGCATAGTTCGCGGACACGTCCTCTTGACAACCAAAGGTCAGCAAAAACAAGAATGGAAGCATTCAGCATGACTGGTTGCTGGCTCGGCGACGCTGGCACCCGGCCATGCCCTCATGGCCAAGATACGATGGTCGCCCGGCTTCATTCTCCGTTGCCCTCTCCTCGCCCCACCAGGGTTCGCAAGCCAGTATGATCCCATATCCGAGTCTGACTTCAAGGCTGCGCTTGAGTTTCTGCGTGATCCGTCGCTGCCCAGGTTTCTGGGCTTCTACAACTGCGGGTCAAAGTCTGGAGCCAGGTGCGGGAGAGCGGGTGGGCTCGCGCAATGACCAAAGCCAAGACTTGATTTGAGGGCCAACGGATAGACGCCGATGTTGGCTCTGACTTGTCCCTCTCATGTATCTTAGTGTCCCACACAAGCATCTTCAGTTTCTGCCAATCGAATCCGACCTCCCCATCGAAGCGCTGGTTCTCCGGGACGCTACGCAAGGCAAGCCTACGCAAGGCAAGCCTACGCAAGGCAAGCCTGCGCGATCTGACTGCCGTCGACTTCTGCTGGTTTTGCAACTGCACCTCGTCTCAACTTCGATGCTTACGCCACTCGGCGACTGTCTCGCTCTTCATCAGCACCTGAAGATATCTACGTTTCGGATGCTATTCCGTTCGCTCACGCGATTGCTCGCTTGGGTGTCGAGACGACCGCACACGACATGTGGACCCGCTATGTCGCTGTTGTCAGGCGAGCTTTCTTGTCTGCGGGTCTCGATCCGACCGAAGTCCTCACCCCGGGAGTAGTGCCCTCGGGTCAGATAGTGGAAGGACAGATCGAACCCATCAGCTACAACCTTCTCTTCACACGCGAATGGATCTTGGCGGTTCCGCGCTCGCAGGACAACTACGAGCCTGGTGATGGCGCAGTCGAAAACCAAGTCAAGATCAACGTTAATTCGGTGGGATTCGCGGGTATGATGCTGGCAAAGTCTCAGTCCGAGCTGGAGACTATCGTACAAACAGGGCCGATCAACATTCTTGAGGGCGTGACCTATCCCAAAGCACTCGCTGCCTAGCGCATGCAAGGCACCCAGCCCAAGCACTAGCCTGGTCATGTTGGTGCCAATGGAAACGTATATGCGGCGACCCAACGCCCGGAGTAGGTGTGATTCATCTCAATATAACGGGCCAAACGAGTCAATCGTCCGTCCGTCCGTGTGCTCCGGGCCTTGGGCGTCTTTGGCAATGAATGGGCATGCATTCGGGATCCGGAGAAAGCTACTATCTGGGTGCCACGTTTCGTTCTGCGAATGTTAGGAACAGGACACCTGAAATGACCCTTGAGGTCTTGGGAGATCTCGCCGTTCCCAAAGGAATCGCAATAGCACAGCCCAATGAACGGCCCATATGGAACTTTATTGATACAGGCTACTAGCGGTGTGGCCCTGGCCGTGGCGAGCGGCGTGGACTGGCCCAGATACCGCCCTATGAGATTGTATCACTCCGATACAAAGCCGGTCCTTTGAAGGTGTTGCTACTTGCCCGCAGGAGGTCGAGCTGGGTCGTCTGTCTGGACGGAGGCTTTCTCGAGCTCATCTCGCGTCTCAAAGCCTGTGACGAAAGCGTCTGGAATTAAGGCCGATTTTCTCGCCACACTACCCAAGTTCATCTGCGTTATGATTGCGGATCTGCTTTGTCTCAGGCCGGCGTACCATTGTTGTGTTGGACAAGGAGAATTCTTTGACCATCGACCGGACTTTTAGCGGGACAAAGAGCAAAGGGAGGCCGAGGCAAATGAACTCAAGGTACCCAAGGCCGTTGTTGAACAGGGACGAGGCCACGATTTGCTGCAGATCCACTCGAAGAAACCGCGTGCAATGCAAGATTGTGAGGCACGCCAGAGTTGCAATCTTCATGATATTGTCGGTATAGGAGCAGTATTGCTGTCATCCAGATATTCGTCGTCAGCATATCCGTGAGAATGGGATCGATTGCAAGGTCAAGACTGTGGACATAGCCCACGATTGTCGGGCTACTCATCCCACGGGGATTTGCATTGCTTCTCACCATCATGAAGGATCTCTCGATCGTGACCCCGGCAAGGTACAAAAACGACACGGCAAACACCGTGGCTGCTATAGAAAGGAACGTCCATACTCAGTTTATAGTCGCTGTTTCATTGCGGATCATCACGAAGATCGACTCTGCCGATATTAACTAGGCGGTGGGCATTGGCATGACCTCGATAACTGACCATGTTTCCACTGGTACTGAAGGAGAACGACTGCAATTGTTCTCTCGAGAATGTCGAGGATGATCAACTGTTGGAATAGAAAGCAAGGATCGAATCATGGGCAGTTGGGCAGATGGGCAGATGGGCAGATGGGCAGATGGGCAGATGGGCAGATGGGCAGATGGGCAGATGGGCAGATGGGAAAGGGGCAGATATTGATCCAGTCGCGACGAATCGCCGACTCATATATCGGCCTTTGTTTCGGGCCCAGACTTACCCAGTAGTACTGTTTCTTGAATGGCCTGTAAAGCGCCGAGTACGCAGTGTCTGGCAAGGCATTAACCGAGTCAGCATTGGATCCCTCGTGAACAGCATCCATGCAATTATATCCTTACCAATATTGTAGCTGACCAGGCTATGTTTCTTGAGGTACCGCAGCTTGCGGATGATGTGGAATGGAATGATCCCGACCAAGGTGACCATTATGGCGCTTGCTGCAAAAATCACTGGGATTCAAAGGCAGAAAATAGGATAGGTTCAGTGCAGGAGCTGCCGGAGGCCTCATATGTCCTCGTTCAAGTGGATACCGCCAGCGTCCCAATGAACAGTGCAGAGTCTCTTACGGATGTAATGCGGTACCGTCCAGCACTGAATCGTGGGTTCGATCTGGAGAAGCTGCTGCGAGTTGACCGAGAGGCAGTTGAAGGTAGATATCGCTAGCAGGATACAATATTCCGCAATGTAGTGCGTTTAGTTCGTGCGCGTACCCGAACTTGTGCCAGCACTCGACCGGACACACGGTTTCTCGAAACTTGTGCTCGATTCGCTGGACACCCAGAGTATCCGACTACCCCACCTGATGAAAGTAACGGGATGTTGGTCGACTGGTGGTATTGGAGAGCGTCAGTGTTTGGTAAGTGACTGATTTGTGCGGACAACGGGCGCCTTTCTTCAAACCACAGCCAGAGTCGGGCGGCTGCCGAGTTTGGGAAAGCAGTCGGTCCTACCAAGTAGAGATCAAGGACGGTCGCAATGGCTGACGGAATGAACCCCATCTTTGAAATCGACCATAGGCGTGCCGATATCCGGTAGAGTGTGGTGTTGGTGTTTTTCCAGTATGAAAGTCGGCCAATGTACCTTCCGGCAAGGATAATGATTCCCAGCTCAGCGAAGAGCACCGCCGGAAAGAGCATCAAAAACAGGGTTTTCTGCCAATGAGGAGCCGCAGTGATGAATTTTGTGACTGAAGGCAGAGGGGCGAGTCTGTGTCATTGACATGCTATCGACCGCCGAGAGAGTGCTGATACTCACATAGAGCGAGCGGATCGGTAATATGCAAACAGGACTGCCAATATCAATTCTCAGCGTGACCACGGCGAGCCTGAGGGTTCGTGAATGTTTCAGCAACGACACATGACACGATGCTGATCGTTCGGGTGTCTCTGCACCCTGATGTCCGTGGACTCGCTTACAGCGTGGTGATCCCGTCGGAGGAGTCGTGCGGAAGCATTGCACAGAGCTGATAAAAAAACGCCTGCACCCCCCGCGACAACAGCCACCCAATCGTCAGTTGGTGAATTGTGCCGAAGTAGAGTAAGGCGCTCACAATGCGAAGGATGTAGTCAAGTCCACCAGCCTACCAAGTCGACAACAAAGTAGCTATATGACTTGGGAATGAGGATGTAGATCGTCAGACACAGAAACGAGCCGATGGCAAATGTTATGATGATGCCGAGGTAGCTTGTCCAGTCGCAAGGGACACATGCCGATCGCCTGCCGTTTCAAAGTCATGGGTACAGTAAGAATCACCGAGTTTGCAGCGAATCCACCGCCAATGCGCTTTCGGCTTGATTACCATTCAAACAGCGAGCTGTTCGAGCAGTAGGCGCACAGTGGACCTTCAAAGCCGCCTTGGCAAAGATGCTCGAGCTCACATCCACCTAGATTTGTTTGGCAAGACCAGCGCCCGGTTGAGCACTGGTACGTCGCATAACCCAGACATTTTAACAAACGAATCGTGCTTACCCGACGGACAGCACTGGCCTACACCACAAACATCAGAGAGATTAGGCACTGCCGGTAGTCCATAAGACTGCACAGGCTGCAGTACGTGCTTGAATCTGCTCAGAAGACACACTAAGCATCGCATACGCACTGTTGTCTTGGCATTCGAAGGAAAGGATTTCGCCATTTTGATCGAGACCAATCCAAAAATTGGCCTGCGCCGTCACGGGACTGCCGGAGAGGCATGTTGCACCTAGCCAAACAGAATTGGTGGCGAGTCATTATCAACATCAGGGGAATGCATGCCGCGCTGTTGACATTTACCGGCAGGGCACATGACACACTTGGTTTGCATAGCGTTTGGATAGGACCCTGTGACCATCGAGCGTTGTATAGAGACTTAGCGGCAGGCAAGGTGACCGCCCGCAGGCAAATGCATGCACTTACCATCCGCGCAGGGTTGGCAAACTACTTGTTGTCGAGACATTAGAAAGACGAACGATCGGATGGTGTAGTTTGGGCAGACTGTGTGTTCGTGGGTTGTTAGCGTCTACTCTGTGATTCTGACTTGGTCAAGCCGTCCGGTTACTTTTGAGCTGGAATTTGGCTCCGTCAATTGTGGATTCAGCAAGAGTGTACGGGCGCCTACCAACTGGGAGGATATCGGTAGGAAACTGAAAGATACGGAAGTTTGTGAGCAGTACAATACATTTACCGCATTGATGAATGCTTGCATATCCAGCCCCTCTGCTTACACTGCCGTAGAAGCTTCCGTTGAACCAGTACGTCATATTTACGATTGTTTCGTTTTCCAAAACTCCGACGGGAACAATGTTTGGATAGTATCCCACATGCGGATCGAATCCTGAGCCTATAAACTCAATGTAGTTGTATGGACTTCAAGGACAATCAGCAGTGGGATCAGAAGCCTGCAATTCGCTCGCTCGCTCTCGGGGTAGCTCCAGGTGTTTCTCGGAGCAACAGCGAATAAACTCGGGGTACAAAATGCTCTAGGAAGTGAGGCAAGCTTTGACTCAGCAAAGTAAGGATCTAGCAGCACCTACAGACTCGTATCGCCGTTGCTGTTCAGGCGCAAATTTCCTGTGCAGTTGCTGACCAACTCAAATTGAGATATGTAGTTTGCCGTCAGAGCCTCTCGCGCGTCGGCGATCATGCTTGGAGTGAGATTTTGCTGATTGCCCAGGAGCTCATGCAGCGCGAGTCCGAGAAGACGCACGAGATCGTAGGCATAGCTGTCGAAGACATGCTCAGTTAGTACTGCTATGTGCAGGTGCACGTCATTTCTCCATGGGACAAAGATATTCACGGTATGGAGCTGGTGCAAATCGAGAGCTTCGTACACAGAATAGACATCGGTCGCAAGGGGCAGACTGATGTTGCATATTGGAACAGTGCTGCTCAGCTGCTCCCAGATACTGGGGAGCTCACACTGCGGGTTGTATGTAAGGGCCAGTTCGGGGGTGATGATCCCCCACAACCCATCCAAAAACTCGGGTGTCATCAGGTTCATTTTGATCGCGGGTGGCGCGATGGACATGAATACGTAAGTGTCGCCAAGAATTCTGGGAAAGTGAGGACAGATATGAGCGAACCTCGATGTTGAGATCCAGGGCGATGCATTTTGACTCATACGGTACGAACTTTCTCACTCCGTAAAAGTAACTCGCAACATCGAACGACGACGAAGTGATCAAGACCAAGATGTGCGATCCGCTCTTGATGGCTTGTTTGCAGGAATTGCTTGTGGTTGTGTTGATATCTGAGCAAGCCGGTGGGGCAGAGTGAGCCAACGGCGCAGGTCGGGCATGTACAGCACGGCCGATGGACTTACTCTCGCTCAGATCAAATCCATAATCCGAAACAATAGTAACATTGAGGATCTGGCAGCTGATTTATAGCCATTGGCTTCGTCAAAATCCAGCAGAGCGGGCTACATTGATGGGGGAGGCGGGCAAAGCTGTCACTGCGATTCGGCGACTAACCTACCTCTGGCGAAAGATATTGGCCACTACAAGGCACATGAGTTAGTGGTAGGCAACAGGGCGCGCCGCGATGTTGCGGCATCACTTACTTCCTTTTCCAAATGAGTCGTAGCTGTATACCATATTGATATATGACCATCCGGCGGCTTTGATATAGTACGGCAGCGACGCTGCTACGCAATATGTTGCGTATATTGATCCGCGATTAGTGGCACTTTGATGCTCTCCTTGCAAGTCCAAGTGCCTCTGGGATGCTACTCACACGAAAACGCCGCCGAGACACCAAATCTCCAAAAGTACGGGTAGCTTGATTTGTCGGAGAGGGTCGGGTCCCCAGCATACACACTAAACTGATTGAGGTGGTAAACACGCCCCAGTGTCGCCAGTGCCACCGTCGTCTTGGGTGTGCGCAGAAAGGCAGATGATAGGTGTGGTGTGAGCTTTGTCTCAAGGATGGCTCAAGCTCCATCGCAGCGGTTGATGTGAAAGGGCCGCCGTCACCATCTTCGAGCATGGCTATCGGAGGCCTCGTGTCGTTTGTAGTGCAATGCCCATTCGGTTTGGATCGAGGACAGAAGGCATTTCAGTGGCGAATTACCTGCATGGGAATGAGGACGCAACTCACCTCCGATGTCATTTCGCCGAATAGTGACACTATGTTATCGATAGACTGCAGCTTCATCCATTCGCTCCTGGAGGCGCGCAACACGTACTGTGAGTGGCGTGAGGGAGAGCTCGATACGGCCAGAAGAGATAAATAGATCCACACGAATCACCAAATCAAGAGGATGGAGTAGCCTTACACTCCCGTATATGTGTTGTATTGCCCAAGGCCGACCGAAGTGTCGTAGTCAGGGGCTGGTCGGTGGTGTTGCGCCAGCGTCGAATGTGGGAACGTCGATAGCACGACGGTCAGAGAGAGTGTGTGAGTGTCGCAGGATATTCAATGCTTGTCCCATCCTCTAGGCTGGTCGGCACCAAGTCCAATATCACCCCGAGTCATCTCGCTTTCCTCGTCATAGCTATCTTTGCTATTTGAGCATAGGCAAGCGGGCTTTACCTTGGACCAGATTGATTCTCGTGTACGGCAGCACCAATGGATCGTTGTTCAAAACCTCGACCGCACAACGCACGGCGCACTACATGAGAGACGATACCGACCGTCAACACTTGCCTGCACCGATATGCGCTGTGATGGCGAGGCGGATCCACTGAGCTCGCCTTACCTTCAAAGCTATCCGGTATGATAAGAGACGCGTTCGGGTTATTAAAGGAGTGATCAGTGTCCATTTGCATATCAGAGCAAGCGCAGAGGCTGCTCAAACGTACCTTCCAGATTCCATTCTATGAGTGGCTCCGTGGGCATCAGGTAGCCCAGCGTGATGTTGTTTGTTTTGCTTGGGAGAACCGCGCAGACTTGCTTGGCCCCTGCAAGGATATGATAGGATAAGCACCAAAGGCCCTATTGCTTCCTGTTCCAATATACCTTACCTGCAACAAGCCATGCCAAGGCAACAGCGACATGGGCATATCGCATGGTGGCGCTGATGTCGCTCAATTCAGGGGTGGGTTCTTCACAGCCAAGAACAATCCTCGGTGGTTTGTTCGGCCGTTGGACGATCAGCCGGGTTTGCCGCGAGTCCCAAACCATCGGAGCATTTCACATAAGCCCAGGTCAATCACACCGCCGCTGGCTGGAGAAGCACCAGCATGCAACACTCCGACCGGATCCTACGCGGGTGGCTTCACACTCTTTGCCCAGGGCGTGCGGCGATTGGCGGCTGGCTGCGCCACGCTTTTTTTCTTTTTTGAAAGCCGAGCAGCACCTCCGACTTCAGGCCGGCCGAAACACTGCGTCTGCTGCGACTGCCTCCATCGCTGCCAACTCAGCCGCCTGCTCTTCGTCGAGACCCGATATCGCAAGCAGAACAGCCGTCGCCATGGGAAAGGGACCGAATGCCATCAACAAAAAACACAAGGATTCGTGGAGAAGCGCCAAGATCAAGCGGACCAAGGTCAATGCGTCGGCCAACCGCCTGCCAAAGCATCTGGTCCAGCGAAGCAATGACGGTGTTCTGGCCGCTGCCGAGGAGCACGGCCTGCCTCTGAAGCCCGCCAAGCTCGGCAAGAACCAGCGGCTGGTTCGGGCCACTCTCTCGAGCAAGAAGAAAGTCCGATTGCTCAAGCGGGATGCCAAGCTGGTACGGCCGCATTCGGAGCAGCGGCTGCTGGAATGCATGCTCGACAGCGCCTGCGTGTATTATCATGCAATCAACTGGGCTGCATGCGCTCTGCATGCGCTCTGCATGCGCTCTGCATGCGCTCTGCATATGGCTCTAGGCCTTGCACCGATTGCGAGTCAACGAGGCAAACGACGAAGAAGCGACGCATGGGTTTAGCTGACCACCTCTACTTGGGATTTTGCAGGATCACCAGCGAAAGGTTTCCCTGGGGCTGGCTGATGCGGAAATGAAAGGTACTGTTATCCCTGTCCGTCCCTCTCCTTTCTCTTCCATCTTTATCTCTGCATCTCTCGTTTTCGCCGCAGCTATGGGATTGATGCCTGCTGTGCCCGTGTCGACCTAAAATGCGATGCCAAGCGGTGGGGAACGAACAGGAATGTGCATGTAGCTGTCCTGCTTCGAACGGCTTCTGATCTACTTGTGCAAACGTGGCCATGCTACTGCAGAGGAGGTTGAAGCTGCCCCCAAGTGGGCCCTTGCCAAAAGAGTGAAGCCCCCGAAAGAAGCCATTGCCGAGGCTCTCATTACACGACTCACGCAGTTCGGCATCGTGCCGGTAATGAGCGAAGCTGGAACGATCCTGGGACAGCCGCCGCACCTTTGAGCGAGTCAAAGTACTGCAAACAATACAGCTGCCAAGATGCTCGCCCGCACCTGCCTGCTGTCCGTATCCTGCTCGAGCCGACGGCGGTAGACAAAACATTTTTGTGACTCTGTACATTCATGCATGACACTGGTATTGCGACGCCAGGCCAAGAAGACACATTTGCTGTAATATTGAATCGCAGTCGTCGTCGCCTGGGATCGTCGCCACTCTTCTCGCTGGCTCAGCGAGCCCTGTGGCTACTGCGGAGCAGTCCACGCTCCCGGAATGATCCGCAGTTATTTGGTTGCTGGCTCTTGGGCAGGGGCTCAATGTTGATCATCTGGACACTCTTGAGGCTCTCGAGTTGTCGATGGCCCCGGCGCAGTAGATATTCTATCGTCGCAAAGTCCTTCCTGGCAATGTCATTCGCGTTCTGCCGAAACTGGGACTGAACATGACTGAAAAAGTTTGCCCTTGAATCCTGGTGTATGTTTGATGTTCGTGGCAATGTGGACGAAAAGAGGCGCATCGATTGAAGATTAGATGAGGAAAGAGGATGCAGCCAATTCGGACATGCGATCGATGCATGGGTTGGCGATGAGTTGATTTCGGTATTGGCGATATGAGTGGCGAACACGGAGGACGCATTGGGATTGCCGAATATGGAGGGGTACACGGCGATAGTCAGTTAATGATTTGTTGGCCACAGTCGGATATGTGCCGTGCATTCTTTGAGAGTTTGCAGGCAGCAAGCACACTAATCGACGTGCCCTCTTCATCAGCGTCCATCTAATGCACTCCAGATCCCAACGAGCCAGCCGCACCCGGTGGGATTGCTGTTATCGAGGCGCACCAGCGGTTTTTCCTGGATGGCCCGCAGAAACAGGCGGTAGAGCTGGATCACTTGTATCTGCAGCCCTGTTCTCCTCGACATCCTGGCGATGTTTGGGGACGGGCTCAGGTCCTCCTGCGATCGGCGCCGGCACCTCGATCGGGCCATCAATTAACGCCGGTCACGTTTTTTTTCTTTTTGTTCGAGGCCACAACGCATCCAAACCGCCTGCTCGCACGGCACATGTCGCCGCCCACTCTCTCTCCGTCGCTCGTCCCAGCAGCCGCAGCCGCATTCCGCAACAATGGACGGCGGATTCCACCATCGGTCGTCGCAGAAGCAGCAGAACAAGTCCTTCAAATCGAAGCATGCCACCAAGGGCCAAATCAAGTCCCAGAACAAAGGTATACTTGCAGATCTGGGACTGGAGCGGCTGCACGCAAGTGGCCGGATCGGCACATCGTGTGGCCATCCGATGTCCTCGGCTCGGGCAGCGGCCCACAAGCCAGCCGGTGCTTCCAGGCTCTCCAGGCACTGTCAATATTCTTTCTGACCACTGCTTTGGTGGGGTGCAGGCAAGGTCGAGAGGACTGCAGCCCACTCAGTGAAGAACAAGACCCGCACAAGACTGGATCGCAAGAACCAGGCCCGACTGATCCAGAAAAACAAGCGCGATGATGTCCTGTCGTCGAACCGCCTTTTCATCGGATCCAACAGTACACCCAAGATTCTGGTACGAGAGCACTGGTTGATCTGTCGGCTCGATGCAATCGGCTCTAGGCTGCATGTCAACCCACACCACCACGATGAGGCTGCCAGCACATGCCTGGATTGATTCTGCCCGCACAATGACCGAGCGTATGCAAAAGGGGCACGTTGTAAATTAACCATGCTATTCCGCTCCGCACCCTTTGAACGATGTGCTGGCCCCTGCTCTGTTCAAACCAAACCAAACGTTCCCAACCACCCGCTTCACCAAATTCCAAATGGGTCGGCTGCTCGATGATAATCCTCCCAGGCTGTCGTTCCACTTTGCCCCGACACCGATTCCGACTATTTTGCCAAGAGTCTTTTTGAAAGCATGGAGGTGGAGATGCCAGATACGCCCGGTCCACTGAATCTGATGTAGGCTTCTCATCTGCCGCTGTGATCTGCAGTCAGTCTAGCTCTGCACCATCTATGCCCACACGCCCGCGGGTATTATTCCAGTGTCCAAGGGTTCAGTGTCGCGTCGTTCGTTATATCCCTATATTGAGTCGGACTTTGTGATCCCCTCTGCGTTCAGCCTCGAACGGTTTAAGCAAAAGCTCCAGATTATCCGTCTCAAGAGGAATCTTTTGGATATCCTCGATGCCGTCAAGGTCGCAGACTACGTTGTCTTCCTCATGTCGGCCGAAGTCGAGGTTGACGCCTTTGGAGATCTGTGCCTCGCCACAATCAAGGGCATGGCCGTCCCCCAGCCAGTCCATATTGTCCAGGTACAGTGTGCAATCCAGCCTGCTCGAACAGGATCGGGATGATGGTGGAGGCGTTGCTCGATATGCGACTGCAACTTCGCATTGGTACCGTAACAAAATATTCTTGATCTACCTGCTAATACCTTTGAACAATCACCATGCCCAATATAGCATATTCCGAAAGTGCCTGCTAAGAAGCAGGAAGGGATCCGAAAATCCCTGATCAGCTACATGTCCCATCACTTTCCTGGCGAGCCCAAAATCTTCACGACCGATACTCCTACCGAAGCAGTCAATGTGATCCGGTACATCACCAGTCAACGACCCAAGGGAATTGCATGGCGAGACCGACAGGCTTACATGCTCTGCGACTCAGTCGACTTTGAGTCTGGCGATGACGATGAGGTAATGGGTGTCTCGAGTCTCTTCGTATGGCAACTCACTGCGCACTGGTGCATTTCGCTTCCCCAATATGTCTTGCTGTGGCGATTGTGTATGGGGTACTCTGTAGATGACCATGGGTAGAGTGGATTGCTGGATGGAGCCCGGCTGGAGACCCCGAGAACCTGTGAGGGTACCGTACCGTACCGTGAGCACTAGCTGAACGATGGCTATCAATTCACGGACAGACTGGAACATTGAAGATTACTGGCTATGTGCGAGGCTCCAATTTCTCGGCCAACCGTCTGGTCCACTTGCAAAACTTTGGCGATTTCCAGATCACCAAGGTGGGTAGACCGCCGATGTCATAGGACTTATCTTGACCCTCCAAAATTATGATTTGGTGATGCTGCAAATCGCGCCACTCTCTATTCTCTGTCTGATCACGGTGTTCTCATCGCCACTGCGGCTTGTACATGCGCGCTCGTGACAATCGGATGCTCTTCGCCTCTGGACTAGATTACGGCCGCTACGGCGCCAGGCCAGCGCGACGTCAATATGGATGCCGAGTCGACCGTTTTGGACAGTCCTGATCCCATCAACCAAGAGTCACTCGTGTCCGAAAACGACGTCGATCCCATGGAGGGCGAGCAGACGTGGCCCACCGAAGAGGAGCTTGCTGAAGCCGACGGTAGGATCCAAGAGGGGCGTGATTCCCGCGAACAATCGTCGACATTCAGCGAGTACCCGCTGTGCCGATGTTGGCTGAATACGGGAGGGAGGAATCATGCTGGGTTATCGATTCGCATTGTCCCCGAGCTTCATATATGCCTCTTGCATGTTATCCTGTATCCTTTCTCACAGAGCGCGTCAAGCTCTTGACCTCAGAGCAAGGCCAGAGGAAGAAAAAACTCGTCCCCAAAGGCACCTCTGCTTATCAAGCAGCCTGGATTGTTGATAAGAACGACGAAGAGGATGATGAAGACGATGACGACCAAGATGGCAGTGACAGCAATGACGACGATGACAACATCATGGCGAGCGACGATCAGTGGGCCAGTGTCAAGCTTGGCAACACCAACGAAATCTCTGATGATGACGCATCTGAAGAGTCGGTTGAGTATGAGGAAGTCGATGTCGAAGACAAGGATGCACTGTTAGATGCCGAGTTCAACGAAGAGCAGGAAAACGCCGAGTAAGTTGAATAAGCCTGGGAAATCTGAGGCCCTGTCTTGATCCGCCTAGCACACCAATAGCGAGCCGGGCGTCGAGACATTGCTACGATCAGTTGGTATCCTGAACCCTTCCATGATCCAACACCCAAAAGTCGAATACCGATATCAGACGTAATGCGCAGGACCTGCAGCTGCCGTTCACATCACCAGACGCCTGACTGTAATTGAATTCACCCCAACCTACCCCTCTGCTGGTTTCGCTCCCCGCAGCTATCTGAAGCATTTGGAGAAGCAACGTCAATCGCGTGAGGATCTCGAGTTCCCTGACGAGGTGGATACTCCACAGCACATTCCTGCGCGTGTCCGCTTCCAACGCTACCGCGGCCTCAAGAGTTTCCGGACTTCGCCATGGGACCCCTACGAAAATCTGCCGGTCGACTACGCGCGCATTTTCCAATTCGAAAACTTGCGAAGAACCAAGAAGCGTGTCTTCCAGCTTGTGGACTCGGAGCTGGACGGCGTTGTTGTGGGCATGTATGTTACTGTCCATCTGGCCAATGCCCCACGCAAGGCGATTGGTAAGTTTTACTTGGACTCATCGGTGCTGAGAGACGATTTGTAAAGACATCTTCGCCGTCAAACCCAGTGCTCGTATAATCGCCATGGCTGCCACGCACATAACTCAATCACAACTGCCGGGCTAGCACAGGCATTAATCCAAGTCTTGATTGGTTGCTGCTCTGATTATTCTTGATGTGATCCAGATACATACGATCCGGCCCGCCCTTTCGTCGCCTTCACGATCCTGCCACATGAGCACAAAATGTCGATTCTCAACTTTTTGGTTCAACGCAACACCGAAAACACGGACGCCGTGAAGAGCAAGGATCCGGTGGTGATCCACTGTGGCCTGCGCCGTTTCGTAGTTTCGCCCATCTACTCGAGCGCAAGCCGAAACAGCACCAACAATGTTCAAAAGTTTGAACGGTATTTGCAGCCTGGCAGCATCAGCATCGGCACCGTGTTTGCCCCGATTCAATTTGGGCCGGCACCTTTGCTGATGTTCAAGTATGAAGAAGGCATGGGCCAAACTCCTGGTATGCGCGATTCGATCGAGAGAACAGTGATTGCGGCTGTCCTGCTGGTGGTTATGAAGTGGAATGCAAGCACAATTGACAACGGGCATGCTCATATGACTCAACCACGATAACCGATTCACCCTCTGCGCCATGTAGACAAACCGCCAACACTGCTTGGTGTTGGTTCTGTTGTTGATTGCGATACCAAGCGCATCATCGCCAAGCGCATCATTTTGACGGGCCACCCCTTCAAGGTCAATAAGCGCTCTGCAGTGATCCGGTTTATGTTCTTCAATCCCGAGGACATTGCCTGGTTCCGACCCATTCAGCTCACGACCAAGATGGGCCGCAAGGGCCATATCAAGGAATCTCTCGGAACTCACGGTCACATGAAGTGCGTCTTTGACGGACCGCTCAAGAGCCACGATACTGTTTGCATGTATCTTTACAAGCGAGTCTTTCCCAAGTGGACCACCAGGCTATATATCGACGGCACCATCACGAGGGAACAAGACGTCAAGGACGACGAAATGCAGATTTAGTTTGGCAGAGTGAAGCGGAACACCGCCTTTTATTCTATTGTGCTTTGCTGGTTGGAAATACAGCTTGCTTAGAACGAAAGATATGATGTGTCCCTGAGTGCCTCTCCCATCAATCCTTGCTTGTTGGTTTCGGGAGCACAGTATCGATCACATCTGTTCGGTTGGCATTGATGGTGCAGGAGTGTGATGCGTGCTTTCGATCCTCTGCCATTTCTCATGCGTTGCTTCCACGGATACTCGATCATGGTGGCGATGGATGGATGCATCGAGGACACAGACCACAGCCATCTTCCTCAGTCGAGGCTGTGATCTCATTGGGGGTCTGGATGGACTGGAGTTGCAATGGTCATCATCACTCACGGAGATCCACTAGCGACAATGCGGGAGAAGGCAGTGCCCCAGGATATCCACGACAACTGGTGTCTGCTCTCGATTGATTTCACGGCCAAGTGCGGTGTGTGGACTGTCATAGATTGTGAGGGATTTGGACTCGCTTCGGGTTTGACAGCAACAAAGCAGGATCGTCTCACACCACAGCACCAGAGCCGTCCTCCAATACGAATATCACACAATCCGATCGGACGAAGTGAGATGTCGGAAGTGTGAGGAAGAAATTTGAATTGGAAGAAACAAGCCGAAACGGAGTGGAATGGAAAACATAGAGAGTAAAACCTGGAGAATGAACACATGACATTGAGCAGCTCCATGCTGAGCTACCTCGAGAATCGGCCAAAAGTGTACTCGACCGAATCGTTGAACACAGCTCGACATCCCTTCGGTAGTCCTGATATTATCTTTCGAAGTCCGAAAGAGTCAGCATATCGGCCAAACATACCATCCAACAAGGACCGATTGAATGGCCTCATACTTGAATCCAAATACAGTGTCTTGAGAGAGGGAAGCTTGTCGACCAGTCCGCTGATTCTGCGAATCGATCGAGGGACGTGAAGAATCTCGAGCTTGGGATACGAGGGAATGTCATCCAACGACGCCAATTCGCAGCAAGCTTGCAAATCGAGGACTGTGAGGGAGCTTTGACTGACATGCAGATCGGCCAGGCTCACAAATTGACTTGAGAGGACGAGATGATTGAGCTTTGGCATTGTTGGGAGTTGGCTCAAGATGGTGTGGGGGTTTGCGCGAGGAGATAGTGAGCTTGGTGGGGGATGGGAACTACATGGGAACATTGATGAGGGCCTCAATGCCGGTTGGAATGTCGAGCTCAAGCAACATCGGCACCGCTGACGGCCCACCGAGAGACGCGAGTCCAATAGATCATGGGGATGAGAGATGCCTGAGCGAAGGCAGCTCCCTCGGCATGCCTCCAAGGGACTCGGCGGACTTGGGGAGCTTTAGCGTCACCAACTTTGGCATCTCAGGCATTCCCTTGAGCGACTTGAGTTCACTGCATCCACTCAGATCGAGCCTTGTAAGCATGGGCAGCTCCTTCGGCATGCCTTCAAGGGACTCGATGGGTTTAGGGAGATTTAGCGTCTCCAGTCGTGGCATCTCAGGCATTCCCTTGAGCGACTTGAGTTCACTGCATCCACTCAGGTCCAGCCATGTCAGGGAGGACAGCACCTTCTTCGGGATATCTTCAAGAGACTCAATAGATGGGGGGAGTCCAAGCACATTCAGATGTGGCATCTCGGATAATTCCTCGAGTGATTTCAATTGGTTACATCTGATCAGGCTGAGCAGTTTAAGCTTGGGCAGCTCCTCAGGCATGTCTTCAAGGGACTCGATGGACTTGGGGAGAAGGAGTTTCTCCAACTTTGGCATCTCAGGCATTCCCTTGAGCGACTTGAGCTCACTGCATCCACTCATGCTGAGCTGTGTAAGCATGGGCAGCTCCTTCGGCATGCCTTCAAGGGACTCGATGAACTTGGGGAGTCCAAGTTCCTCCAACTTTGGCATCTCAGGTATTCCCTTGGGCGACTTGAGTTCACTGCATCCACTCATGCTGAGCTGTGTAAGCATGGGCAGTTCCTTCGGCATGTCTTCAAGGGACTCGATGGACTTGGGGAGATAAAGTTTCTCCAAATTTGGCATTTCAGGCATTCCCTTGAGCGACTTGAGTTCAGTGCATTCACTCATGCTGAGCTGTGTAAGCATGGGCAGCTCGTTCGGCATGCCTTCAAGGGACTCGGCGGACTTGGGGAGCTTGAGGGTCTCCAACTTTGGCATCTCAGGCATTCCCTTGAGCGATTTGAGTTCACTGCATCCACTCATGCTGAGCCATGTGAGCATGGGCAGTTCCTTCGGCATGTCTTCAAGGGACTCGATGGACTTGGGGAGCTTGAGGGTCTCCAACTTTGGCATCTCAGGCATTCCCTTGAGCGACCTGAGTTCAGTGCATTCACTCATGCTGAGCTGTGTAAGCATGGGCAGCTCCTTCGGCATGCCTTCAAGGGACTCGATGAACTTGGGGAGTCCAAGTTCCTCCAAATTTGGCATCTCAGGCATTCTCTTGAGCGATTTGAGTTTACTGCATCCACTCAGATCGAGCCATGTGAGCATGGGCAGCTCCTTCGGCATGTCTTCAAGGGACTCGATGGACTTGGGGAGCTTGAGGGTCTCCAACTTTGGCATCTCAGGCATTCCCTTGAGCGACTTGAGTTCACTGCATCCACTCAGATCGAGCCTTGTAAGCATGGGCAGCTCCTTCGGCATGCCTTCAAGGGACTCGATGGACTTGGGGAGATAAAGTGTCTCCAACTTTGGCATCTCAGGAATTCCCTTGAGTGACTTGAGTTCACTGCATCCACTCATGCTGAGCCATGTGAGCATGGGCAGTTCCTTCGGCATGTCTTCAAGGGACTCGATGGACTTGGGGAGATAAAGTGTCTCCAACTTGGGCATCTCAGGCATTCCCTTGAGTGACTTGAGTTCAATGCATTCACTCAGGTCGAGTTTTGCAAGCATGGGCAGCTCCTTCGGCATGCCTTCCAAGCTGATCAGCGAACCAGCCACTCGATCCCGGTTTCTATGTCTGATGGTCAGCTCTTGAATATTGGAGAGCCATCTGGACCATCCAGACACTTCCAGAAATGACACATCCTCAAGAGTCAGTTCCTTTGTCCACATGCGGTCGATCTTTGGGATATCGAATGGCAAAAGCCTGGAAACATAGGTGTTTCCACCCCTTCTCGCACTGGGTCGAATCGTGAAACTTGGCCATCTTTCCATCTCTATCGGCCACTGGAAGGGAAAGTTTCGTCTTTCAGCGATCGTGATCATCTCCTCGACGGATGGCTGCTTGGATCTGTTTGGTCTTGCGTCCTCGGGGAAGTGGAACTCTGGGTCGGTCACTTGGCAGTATCGTTGCACTCGATTGAACAGCCGTCTGTCTCGATAGACTTCAGACCAGAGCTCGTTCTCCTTCTCCAGCATCGATGGGTTGGTTGGCCTGTGCTGATTCTGCCTTTGGGTATAGCAGAGGAGCCCTTGGGCCACTTTCAACCGATCGATAGAGGGATCGACACCCTCGAACAGGAATTCGGGTGTGATTTGCAGTTTATGGAATAGTAACTGTTCCCATATCTTGTCGGTATTGAGGATGGCCCGAGTCTGCTTCGAGACTCTCAGAAGCTTTGCGAACAAGGGTGGACTCGCAGCGCGAATGAAGGCGTCATTTGTGATCAGGATGGTGAGCAGGTCGAAGCGAGCAAGATACCCGTAGACAAGGGATGATTCTGCCATCGTTTCGGTTGAAGCAGGCGTGGCGGAAAGGAGCGATGGAGACAGGCCGCAGATGGGAGGCAGCCGAGGCAGAGCAGAGAGCAGGAACGACGACGAAGAGCAGAAACGCCGACGAAGAGCAGGGGCGACAGCGGGGTGTATGAGGGGCGATGTGCTGATTTCTCGTTGATACCCTCCACGGGGTGTGGCTTCGTGATACCATCGTCATACAGACCTGCTGTTTCGGGACAGGTGTCACCCAGCCAGAACAATATTCCTGTGAAGCAAGATTCCATCCGATTCGGCCTGCAGCGACAGATGTGTGCTGGGCAACACATATCGACAGATGAATGGGATGACATGGACGGCAGAGCGTTGATGGACAGTCCCAAGCCGGTGGACATGGGGAGTACGGTCTGGGACAGTTGTCTGAATCCACTCCAATCCATTCCAATCCATTCCAATCCACTCCAATCCATGAATGGCATCAACGAGGTGAAGTGCCATGTGGGAGGTGGAGGGCTCGACAGTGTCCAACTTCTCCCGAGACTTGTCAGTGCTTGCTGATCGACTCAGTTTGTTTGGAATGGAACTGGACAGAGTGTTCCTGGGTGTCTCTCACGTCAATCCTTGCCTGTTTGTTCCGGAAGCACAGTCTCGAATACACCCGGTCGACTGGCATTGATGTCTCGATGTGAGAGTGTGACTGTATGCATCCGACATTTGGACAGCTTCGTGCAAACTATTCTCGATATCAAGACACTCAACTTCTCCGGTCGCTCCGACTCCCATTTCCTCGGCATGATGTTTGGTCATGGCGGGCATCGGATGAGTGTGTTTATTCACGATCCAGACCACAACGACAACCCTGGCTCAGAACAGGGTGTCCTGTCCGCATTGGGCATGCTGTCATATTTTAATACCGTATATTTTCTTCGTCTTCTTCTTATATGTTGGCATATTCATAGCGTTAGAACAGGAGATGGGTCAACCGATTCACTTCAGGAGTTGGGGCAATAAAGCAAGGAAAGGGCAAGCAGATAGCAACGGGCGGTGCGAAACAATAATATAAAAAAAAGGAGGATAAGAATCCAAAGGAATAGGGTGTCACCACATTTATAGCATAGAGGGCTGGAGGATGTCATCGATAGTCCAGGATCCGAGTGAGAGTGCGAGATTGAAAGATAGGAGAGACGGCCTGAATAGGACCAGAGTGGATGCGCGTCACTCTCGCTACCGCTCTTCCTCTTCCTGTCGCAAACACGGTGAGCCATCCAAGCCAGGAGGGAGAAGACTCAAAAACGAGGGTGCGGTACAGCAGACGACGGAGGCAGAGAGGCACGATGCGCCATGGGCTGGTGGAACAGGAAATGGCTGGCCGTCCAGAGAGGACGGGGGAAGCCAGATATGGCCAGCAGAGGCGACAGAAGTCAAAAGGGAGAGGAAGGGAAGGGTAGAGAGGTTGTGAGCAGCAGGAGGGGTGAGCGGTGGATGGCAGTACCAGGGGAAGCAGCCAAGGCCGCTTTCAAAGAGGCCTGGAGTCCTCTAGCAAGGATCGAAAGCTAGCCAAAGCCAGCAGGTCAAGCGGATGTGAGGGGCTCCCGCTCTCTTGTCTCTCAAGCCACATTTGGCAGGATTGAGATGCGGTGGTTGGAGACGCCCGAAGCCGTGACCCAATTGATGACGGACGAGTCGAGGCGGTCGGGGCCACACACAAAGACCTTGAAGTTGCTGTTGTCGGTCGGATCAGTGATGTCGACGTACTGACTCAAGATCCGGTGCAGGTCGGCGTGGTTCAGCCGGCCAGAATACGTCCGGCCAGGGGGTGGTGCAGCCACCTCTTCCGGGTGCACGCTCGAGATGAAGTGATGGGCGTCGATCTGGTTGCGGTAGGCAAGCAAGGCGCCGTCGATCAGGTCCGCGCCGACAAGATCGTTGGCATGCTTGATGCAGTTGATCAGCACGAGGCGGGTCTTGGTTCCGCACCGGGCATAGGTCGCCGTCAGGGGGAAGACACCCTCCTGGCGGGTACTGGTGTTTCGAGCATAGACCCATCCGTCCATGTAGTGGCGCCGGACAATGATTTTCTGGCCAGCCTTGGCCTCGAGCTCGTCTGGGGTCGAGGGCGTATAGTCCATGGCCACCTCAAGTGGCGTGTTGTCGGGCAGCAGCAGGCTCTTGATCATTTGCAGGAAGGGCGTGATGCCGCTTCCACCCGAAATGAAGATGTATGTCGCTGGGATCTCGACGACGCCGCCTTGCCCGCGCTCCGCCACCTGAGCCGGGAAGATGGACAGAGGCTTGGTAGGGTCGATGATCGGGGTTCCAAAGGGCCCGCGGAACTGGAACTGGCGGTCACCGGGCCGTTGGCGTTGCAGATAGCTGCCGGCCACTGCATGCGGGCCATAAACCTTGACGATGACTTCAAAGGCCACGGTGTTGCCGCTGATGGGGGTATAGTGGCGGCTGATCCACTTGCCTGCGAGGTGGAACCGCATCTCCATCGACTGACCGGGCAAGAACTCGGAAGGCTCGTTTATGTGGCTGTCATGCGGGTAGAGCAGGCAGAACTTGAACTTGTAGTGGAGGACATCGCCGGTCTCGCACAGCTTGACCTTCTCGGTAAGGGCGTATCGGCGGAACTCAAAGACGTCAAAGCTGGGCGACTGCATCGGGGTCGACGCTGCCTTGGAGATCAGACTCGTGCTGGAGGTATTGGAGCGGAAGGTGCCGAGTCGACGCAGGGCCGCCGCCTCCTTAGTGCTTCCGTCGGCCACGAGTTCGCCAACCATAAGCGAGGCCATGGTCTGGATGCCGCTTCGGGAATGGACGTGGGGGCGGCGCGTCGTCTTGATCAGCTCCCAGTCGGTCAGCCGGATGATGTTGGAGTTTTCGATGGCCTCGACGACGACAGCGTTGGGTTTGTAGGGGTTCTGGTTGACGACGGGGCGCTTGACGTTGGCGTCTTGGGGGTTGTGCGGGTTGGTGCTGGGGATGTGGGTGTCGGGCAAGAATTCTTGGGCATCATATCCGGCCTCCCTGTGCGTCGAGGGCGAAGTTTAGTCCCGGACAATACTGTCAGCCAAGTCGAGCGAGTTGACACCGACTACACTGCGCGGAACCGCACAGGTTTGCATTGAACAATAGTGTCTCCCCCATGTGGTCCTGCATGCGCTAGACTCTGCCAAGGAATCGATGGCAGCAGAGTCGTGACGCACAATAGCGATGCACAGTAGTGATGCACTGTCGTGATGCACAGTCGTGGTGCACTGTCGTGATGCACAGCCTCCTCCTCTCACCTGAAAAAGTCGTTGCTGATATCAGTGCCAGCAGCCGAATACAGGATCTGCTGGCCACCAGGGTGTGAGCGCAGCCAGGATGAGATATCATAGACATATTTTCCGTTGCCAACGACCAAGAGTTCCCTAGATGATCGACGGGAGGCAGCAGCAGAATACTGTAAGCGATCTGCTTTGCAGCGACTGCCCTGAACGAGCAGCGCAGATCCCAAGCCTGGAGGCACCCATGCGGCTTGGCAAAGGACGGCTTTTCTGTGGTCGCAATGACCCAGTGCTGCATACCCGCTAATGACGCTTTCAGAGAGGCTCTGCCAGGTAAAGCAGCGCACGCTCTTCTTGGCTCGGGTTGCCTCAAGCAGCTCCTGCACTTCCTGGCCGTCGCGGATCATCTCCGTGAGCGAGAAGCGGTTGCCCTTGGGCAGCGGCGTGGTTTTGGTGCGCTCGCTGTAAGGCGTGGCGGGCGAGGTGAGCTGGATGTTGCTGTTGGTGCTGTCGAGCATGCTGATCTTTGCACGGTTGTTGATAAAGAAGTTGTGCAGCTCGCTGATGCCAAAGGCAACGATCCAGATGAAGACAACCATGCTGTAGAGGATCCAGCAGGGCAGACCGCGGTTCATGGCTTCGACCCAGGGGAAGAGCGTGTCGAGGCCCAAGTAGACCTGTACAAAGGAGGCCAGCAGCGACAAAGCGCCGATGACGCCGTGGGCAATCTTGATGCCCTTCTTGATCTTGGCAAAGCGATCGGATGAGAACCCCAGCATGTTGAGGGAGCCAAGGCCGATCTGCACGAGCAGCAAACTCATGAGGACAATGCCCAGGATATCGTGCGGCTGCGTCAGAGAGATGTAGCTGAGGAGAATCATGATCAGCGAAGTGACGGCAAGGACGATGCCAAAGATCTGCAGCCCTGCGTGGATGTTAATCCATCCGGGCTTGGAGCGGCGGAACCGCGCCCAGTAGACGGCCGTGGGGAAGATCAGGAGCCAGGCGGTCGACATGCCGATGGCGTGGATTTCCTTCCACAGGATGGGAATGGCGGTGTTGGTGTCGACGTGGAGCTGGCCGTTGACCGAGTTCATAAAGTTGAGCTGCTGGACTCGGCCGCGGTTGACGGTGCCGTGCGAGAGAAAATGCTCTCCAAAGTAGTTGAGGGTGGGGTTGGAGGGGTTGAAGGCCCACAGCAAGGAGGTGCCGGAGGAGATGTCGACGTGTTCAGCGTCGCCATAGAGGGTTCTGTTGAACCGGCAAATGAAGGTGACACCGGAGGTTGAGGAGTTGGAAAAGTAGCCGTCCTCGGTGCGGATCAGGTATGTGCCAAGATAGTGTTGCTGGTGGGGGGTGAGGACAGGGCAACAGATCGAGGAGAGCGAGAGCAGCAGCGCGACCGACGGCGAAATGGCGTGCAGAATGGTATTGGGATGGAGTGGTGCCCAGCAGGGCGCCAGGAGGTGGAATGGGGCCGGGCCAGATATGCCGTTTGAGAATGGGCCAGGGCCATGGCCATGTGAGAAGCAGGGGCGAGTCGTGTGGGGAGAGTGAGCAAGGAGCAAGGGCCAGGGATTGGGAAGCAGGCAAAGACCACAGGAGAGGGAGAGAAGACGAGGGTTAGTACCCATACCGGACGCTTGAACGGCAGACGCATCCGATTTGCCTCGCAACATCCAGAGCTGCTTTGACGGCGGTGCGTCGCAAACGAGGGCAAGAAAACGGAGAAGAAAATGGCAAAGGCGGGGAGATACATGGCCGACATTGCTTACAGGAGAGGCATACTGGTTGCGGCTGATGTGCTCGTGGATCTGAACCGAGTTGGCGGCGTCGTTGAAGTGGCAGACAACAAACTGGGCATTGAGCATGGAGGTGCCAAAGCCAATGCCCATCCAGGGATAGGTGACCAGGTTGTTGGACGAGATGGTGAGGGACATGGCTGCAGAAATGTAAGGCGTGCCCGTGGCGGCGTCGGTGTAAAAGTTCCATCGGAGCTGGTAGACGTAGGGATCGGCCGAGGTGAACTCAATGAAGGTCTGGAGATAGGACAGGTCTGGCGGAGGCGGGGTCTCTGAAGTCGGCACAAAGTTGGTCGAGGCCGAGACGGAGGCGAGCTGGGGATCGGCCAAGGCCACACGGGCCAGCGTCGAGAGCAGGCCAAGCAACACGGCGCAGACCAGGGCGAGATTGGGCAGGGCCATGGCAGGTGGAGGACGTTGCGGGGAAGCAGAGCGATCGAAAGCGACGATACGGCGGCAAGCAGCGGACTCTGTGCTGGACCAGCGAGCGACACACACAGGCAGGGGGGGGGGACGCAGAGCGAGCGAGGGTGGCCGATGGGGGATGTGCTCTGGGGGAACGAAGGGAGAAGCCAAAGCGCCGAGAGAGCAGAGCGACAAGCAGCAGCAGGAGCAAGCCGGGATGACGCCTGGGCGAATATATAGCGACGACCACCGGTCGAGCAGAGGGCTCCGACGAGACAGGGGAGGCAGAGACGGGATGAGAAGGATGCGGCCGCGAGGACGGGCGTTTGGGTGGTGGTGGTGTTGGTGTCGCTGCCAGTGGGGGAGTGCCGACGGGACGACAGGGCGATTGGTGCAGATGAAGAGTGGGCCAGGGGAAAGCGAACGCAGAAGCACAGATGGCCGACGAGATTGCGGCCGTTGTGGGCAACGGGGGGATGTGAAGAAAATTGCGGTGTGCACAAGCGGCGACTGGGCACAAGGCGCTTCATCGCTGGGCTGGGTGCGATCGCAGAGAGACTGGAGCGACAAAGGCCGACGACAAGAGGACCTGTGCAGGAATACAGGGCACAACAACGAGCAGGCAGCACAAGAGGCGAGTCAAGGAGCGGCTGACCGAGCGGCAAGCCATGTTTCATGGAAAGAAGGGGACCTCATGAGACATGTCTCGCAGGAAGCGACAGGCGCGACGGATGTGAGATATAACACGGCGTGGAAGAAACCAAGTCGCGACAGAGACAGAGACAGAGATGCGTGGGAGAGATGCGGAGGAAAGCACACCAGCAACGGCGCAGGAGGCGACAGGAGGCGACAGGAAACTACGGGACAGATAGAGACCATGTGCCCGGTGCTGTGCAGCCGCGCTGTCTGGCCTGGGGGGGCACGACGCTGATACGCAGCAGTGGTGTGGCCAAGGCCGCGAGCGAGGGCAACATGTCCGGCAGCCGGAAGGATGCCAACACAAACGCTCTTCCCGGGCGACAGACGAGACCAGCGCCGAAAGCGACGCAAGACGGCCAAGACGACATCGGCGCAGATGGCCGGCAAACAGGGCGGCTGGGGAGACGGACGGATGTTGAAAGAGCGAGAGCCGCGAGCGCAGAAGGGGTGAAAGACAAAGCGCAAGACAAGGCACACCACGACGGTGCAACGACAACGGGGCGCCAATAACGGCGGTGCGACGGCTGTGCAGAGCAGGCGGATTGGCTCGATGGAACGAGGGTGCGATGGTTGAGAGTGAGGAGTGTGGAGTGAAACTGCAAGGAGTGTAATTGCGAGTGAGGAGTGTAATTGCGAGTGAGGAGTGTAATTGCGAATGAGGAGTGTAATCGCCAAAGATGCATTCCTTGCTGCCCATGCCACAATATACTGCGCAGCCACCACCCAGCCGGTCCCCCCACGCCACACTCCTTTTGCTGTCCTGTTGCTCTGTTGCCCTCAAGCAGCGCCCGGACCACACAAGGGGCCTCGCGCGAGCTGAGCAAGGGGTGTCCCCAGGGCCGGCAAGGGGTGTCACCCACGGGACGCGCTCGTCCCACCCTTGGTGGATCCATTCAGGATCCAGCCAGGATCCAGCCGGGATCCAGCCGGGATCCAGCCGAGTGCACACTCGTCCCACCCTTTTTGGATCCATCCAGGATCCAGCCGAGTGCACACTCGATCCAACCGTGGATCCAGCCAGACACGCACTCGATCCGGCTGCAGTGCTCACCGCGTCCCCGACAAGGCCGTCTGTTCGCGTCTGTTCGCGTCGCCGCGCAAATTTGCAGTTCTTCATGACCCTCCCCCAAACCGAGTCGCTTGCTCCGCGGTGCTCCCTGTTTCCATCCGCGCTGCTTGTCGTCTCCAGCCCAGCGTTGTCCGTCGTCGGCCAATCGCTGTCCATGAGCTCATCCGTCGCTCTGTCCGCGGTACTTTGCGACTTCATCCTCATCCCCAAGGCACCTCTGGACGCACGGCTGATTCTTGGGTCCTGTCTGCTTGGTCCGAATCGGACCAACCAACAGCAAGTAGTGCCAGGCACGTTCGCGGCCCATATCGCCATCGCTCGCACGGGCACGCCAACCCAGTCTTGCGTGGCCATCACCAGCGAGCCACTCTGGCGACAAGATCCGCAATCCATCGACACAAGCCTCGGCAGCAGTGGCACAGAGAGCACCTCCATGCGCCAGAGGCAGCACCAAGGACACAGCGTCCATGAATGCAGGGGATAGGACCAGCAGGGAATCGTCCGAGGCCGTCCTGAATGCCACCGGCACCCACTGGCAACCCACTGTCCCCCCCCCAGGAACATTCGCCGACAGGAGCCGTGCCGCCATCGCCCGCAAACAGCAAGACGGGAAAGAAACCTTCGGCCAGAGGCATCCCGAGCACCCACAAATCAGGCCCTGCGAGCCTCCCCATGGCGGGGGCCTGTGCACATGTCGGCTCGGCTGGCCGTGTTGGCTATGCCGTGTTGGCTATGCTGCCTGCCTGCCTGCCTGCCTGCCTGCCTGTCCGTCCGATGCGATCGTCCAAGTCTGTCCGGTATCTTCTCTTGGGTGCGAGTGCCTTGCTTCTCCTCGGCCGACCAATCCCGCCGCCTCACAGCCGGATTGCAGCACCAGACGGGCAGCACCACCCAGATGCAGGATCAGCCCATAGCCCAGCCGCCGCTGCCACCCCCCGGCCTTGCCTCCTGCATCTGTCGCTGGTTTCCAGTCCATGCACCCAGCCTGCCCAAAAGCCACCCAAGCGCCAACACAGCCGAGAGGACTCCCCTCGGGCTGCACTCTTCCCAAATCAAGCACACGATCGGTCCGGCCAGCCGCACAACACCCGCGGGGGCGTGCAAATCGCAGGGGAGGCGGGACTGGACTGCACTGGAGCTGTCCCCCTGGCGACACCAGGTTGCAAGCCCGGCGTTTGATGAAAGGCCCTCTGCGCGCACAGGATCGCTGTGGCAAGCAGCGTTCATCGCTGGCCATCGATGTGGATGGCGGATGGGCGGATGGGCGGATTTGATACTGCAGACATGTTCCTGCAAGAGAGGAGGAGGCTCCTGCTGCCATGGGAGGGGCGAAACAGCCCAGCGACAGCGCTCGTGCTTCTTGCTTGGCCTGGCCCACCATGCATCGAGCACAAGATCGCCGGTATCAACGCATGCAGATGCGATGGCAGGCCGGGGGATTGGCGTTGCTCGCCTGGGCGCGACCAGGCATGATATCATCCAGCAACAATCAGTGATATCATCCAGCAACAATCAGTGATATCCTCCAGCAACGAGCAATGACATCCTCCAGCGACATGCACCACATCATGCACCACATCATGCAAGCCGCCTCGCCCCGCCGTCCATCGAGATCGCTCCCCCTGCACACGCCTCTCGTCTGCCAGCGCCTGCCGACGCCCCTCGGGTGTCTCGGCTTCTGGTCCGCTGGTGGCTTCTTGCGCAACCCCCACCCCATCCAAGTCCAGGCGCAACCATGCCCGAAACGGACACGGCCTGCTGGCCAAGCACCCCCGCCAGCAAGGAAGCGACAAGCGTTGCCATGGGTCCTGCGCGCGCCGATGTGCATCTCCGGCGGGTCGAGCACCCACCCGGGCGAATCGCCTGCTGCATGATGGGCCACTCTTGTGCGGCCGGACAAAGGCTGGGCCAGCGCTGGCCTCTCCACTTGGCCTCTCCACTTGGCCTTCAGCTGCTTTCCTGTCCAGCGCCCGTTCTGTTGGGAGGCGACAAGACACAGCAAAATGGGGATATTCCACCGCGGGCAGCGAAAAGGAAAGACACCGAGCACAAGAGCCTGTCGGGCCTGGGGTGCCAGCCGATCGCATTGGTCCTCAAGGCAAGCAACCCCGCTCGCCTGGTGCTCCTGCTGCCCCTCACCCCCCTCAACGAAATTCTCGCCACCCTGGCTGCTATATAGCCCGTGTGGGCATCCTGGCTCGCGGGCGAATCCTCCCGCTCCCTGTCCCTGCTCTGTTGTCTCCCAAGTCGATCCTGGCTTCTGTCGGGCCGCTGCTCCTGCTGCTTCCATCCGTCGCCCCGTCTGCATCGCAGACTGTCGTTATTACGTATGTAGCGTACACTTGCCTGCGTCCCCTTCTGTTCTCATGGTCTGCTGCACCGACTCGCAGCACTACCGGCCCTGTCTGTCTGTCTGTCTGCTCTGGACTGTCTCGGAATGCGTCCTCCTGTCGCCAGCGAGCCCGGTCGCAAGAGCACCAGCGGACAGGTTGGAGACAACCCGGCCAAGCAGGGCACAGCATGTCTTCGCGGAACATGTCGCTCGGTCGCTGTTGGGCACAGAGCACAATCCCCCCCCTCATCCACCACCCTGTGTGGACCGGGACAGAGCACAGCAACTTTTTTTGCATGGTGCCCGGGAGCATCCGTCTGCGTTACATTGCGTCGAGCGCACACACCATCGAGCGCCTGCATCAGCCCGCATCACTTGCTGTTCAGCAAAGCGCAACGCACAGCAGAGCCAGTCCCCAGCAGCGCAATGCCAGCGCCGCCCTCCACCACCACCACCCGAGCCCGGCCAGCGCTTACTCGTCTGTCTTGCTGTTTGCTTCCTCTAGTATTCCTGCGCCGATCCCGCCTCGCCATCCATCGCATCGCATCCCCCCTCCCTCGCAACCCCATCAACCATGGACCACGGCTCCTCGGGACACACCGAGGACCTGCTGCGACAGCTCGCCCGCGACGATTCGGGCTCGGTCGCCACCCTCGTCCCGCTACTCAGCACCCTGAGTCCCGACCAGGTGCGCAAGCTCCGGCAAAAGCTCGACGACATCCTGACCATCCAGCAGATGCTTGTTGTTGAAGACGCATACCAACACTCGAGCGACCTCGAGAGCCCCGTCGAACGATCGCCCTCATCGTCGCCCAACTACGGCACCGCCAGTCGCTCGGTCTCGTATTCGTCGTCAACCGCGGATCTGTACGAGTCCGGCACCCAGCCATCACCCGGAACCAGCAGCTCGGGTTTTTTCTCAAGCACAGCCCAGCGCCCAGAATCGTCCTTTGAGCGGCTGTCGATCTACCAAGCCCCTCCGCTGCAGCGCCGTTCGCTCTCGTATGTCAGTAGCAGCGTCTCCAGCGCGTCGCATTCGCACTTTTCACACTCTCCGCATCAACACCAGTCCCACCGGAATCCGGTCTTGACGCCGACATTCGGCACCCATCACCATGAACGGACACAAACCTCGCTCGAGACTCCCACCTCCTGCGCCACCGCTACCACCACCACCACTACCACAAACACCACAAGCACCACCCCGACTGTCGTTGCTCGGATGTCGTTCTCGCCCATCACGCCGTCTTCGTCCATATCCTCGGCCACAACCGACGACGATCGCAGCCCAACCCACACCAAGCCCGGGGAGTCTTCGCGACGGCTGTCCAGGCCCAGCGGTCGCCACATGCCCAGCGTTACCCTGAGCGAGGGCCCCGACTATAGCACTTGCACCTCCGTCGACAAGGAAAGCGTTGGTGAGGTCCCCATGGCCCTGCCTGTGCTGTCGTCGCTGCAGCATATCATCTATGTGTCGCAGGTGGCCAAGAAGCCGGCGTCGTCCTCGGGTCTGAACAAGATCCGTCCGTGGCCCAAGACCTTTGCCGTCCTGGTACCCGGGTGTCTGTTTTATTTCAAGGTGAGTGCCCGGCGCTGAGTGAGAGCGAGAGTGAGAGTGGGGCGCCGTGGCATGGTCGAGCTTTTGATGCTGGGGATGGCTTTCTCGTGCATCGCCGTCGGTGTGCTCCAGCTGCATCTGGACTGGATTAACCCTGAACCCCTGCCTCCTTGTTCCCCCGCCAGAGCTACAAATCGTTCGAGACCGCTACGGACGCATTCCCTCTCAAGTCGTGCGAGTACTCCTCGTTCTACAGTCTCACCGGCAAACCCATCATCCACATCCGCCCGCGCGAGCCCGTCTTCTACCAAAGCGCCCAGTTTCAGTGTGAGGACGACAACGAGAAGCTCCGGTGGCTCTCCATGCTCAAGCGCGCCGACATTGGCCGGCTCTGGGATGATCGGCCTGCACCTGTGCCCGAATCGATGCATCCCGCTTCCAGACTCGACCACATCGGAAACATCCACAGTGAGGTCAACTATCAGCGCGCGCTGGATCGCCAGCTGCCCGAGGAGCTCCAGACGTTTACTCAGAGTAACGATCGGGGGGACTCGCGGTCGTATGCATACCACCGTGGTGCTGCCGTCCTCACCAACCAAGCCGAAACCTCGACTCTGTCGCAGGGAGTGCCTCCACAGCAGATGCAGATGCAGATGCAACCCCAGGCCCCGGCCCAGGCCCCGGCCCAGGCCCAGCTCGGCACAGAGCACTCGAGCTATGCTCTCCAGCCGCCGTCCCAGCAGCAGTTCCAGCAAGCCTCGCAGCAGCCGTCGCAACCGCACCTCCTCCCGCAACGCCAGCAGCATGCCCCGCTGCTGGCCCGAGTCGACGAATACGGTGCCGTGCCTTCTCGCAACTCGTCTCGGCCGCAGCGACCGGATACCGGCCGAGCCCAGGGTTTCCGCATCGCCCCGGTGATTCCGCCGCGGACCCAGGCCTCTCGCAACTACACTCCGCCTCCGGGCGAAGACCCGGCCATGGTCGAGCCCGATACTCCGCACTCTGGGCAGTCCGACCAGGACATTCGCCGCGAGCTTTCCGAGATTCGGCGGACCCAGACTATCTCCGAGGTCGACACCAACTCGATCCTCCCCGAGAACGAGCTCGTCTTCACCGTCATCGACAACCCTGATGACTTGAGCTTCCGCAGTCACTCAATTGCCCCCGAGAGAAGCGAGGAGGGCTTGCCTGAGACCCTGGATCGGACACAGGCCTCGAGCGTGCCCTCCTATCACTCCAAACCAGAATCAGGCTCGGCCTCGATTTCGCTGCTCGCCGAGAACCCGTCACTGCCGTCATCCGTGTCCAAGTCGGCGACGCAGCTGGGCGAGTACCTCGCCCACCACGGCATCTACCCGTATGTGCCTCCTTCGTACGAACCCACCGACGAGCTTCCGCGCTACGATCAAGTCTCTGGGAAGGAGATCAACCGCTCTCTCTCGGCCACGCAGCTCCAATCGCTCTTTGGCGAAAAGTCCAGCACGGACTATCTCAAGTCGTCCGGCAACGCCCCGCTGCCGCCCCGGTGGGCCTCGACCACGGCCTACCGACAAATGTCCGCCATGTCGGGCTCCAGCACCAACACCACCCACACATCCGTGTCTACTTCGTCGTCCCTCTCGACGCAGCCGTCAGTCTCTGTCCGCCAAAACTCCACCTCGCGGGCTGCCGTCGATCCGACCCTGACCCTGACCCTGACTCCAACCTCGACCGTCTCGACACCGAGCTCGGAAGTGCCGGCCCTTGAATCGGCCGTGCTCCTCAAGCCTCTCGTCGACGAAGATGAATCCGCTATCTCGCAGCTACCTCGGCGGGCAGGCACGATCGACGGCAGTGTCGGTCGGTTTGCGAGCAAGGGCATCGACGGCGCCGACATTGTGCGCGCCACGGCTATCAAGCCCGACCCTCTGCAGCGGGCGATAGCCCTGCTCGAGGAGCTGGAACGCAAGTACCCCAAGAGCCCGACCGACTCGCCGTGTGACAGCGCAAAGTCGGCGTAGATGCAAGCAAAGCCCGGTGTCTCGATGAAATCTTAGCAGTCTCGATAGCTGCCCTCTCCCTTCGCTCCTCGCACGTCTCTCCGTTCCTGAAACTCGCCAAACACAACCCCAACCCAACCCAGCCCAGCCCCGACACTCCCTTTCCTTTTCTCGCCAGTTGCTCCGGCTCCAGCGCTATCTACTCCAGGAGCAAAGCGAGGATCTAATCCGGGGCGGCAGATGGGCAGTTTTTGGCATCCCCCGTTCGCCGCTGCCATGGATTACAATCATCAGCACCGCCGGTCTCGCTTCATTCCGCGGATCCAGCATCGATTCTCCCCCCCCCAGCAGTACAGTCGATCGATCGAAGCACACTTTCCCCCTCCCCTTCCGTTCCTCAAGATCGGCTCTGCTTTAATGCGCTTTACCACGTTGTTGTCGACACCGATCGAGGACACTGTACGTAATCTCCACGACCCAGGTCCACTCTGTGGCCCCTGCCTCGAGCCTTCACGCTCTCAAGCTCCCCCCCCCTTCCACAACTTCAGCCCTCCCCTATATACAACATATAAACAAGAAAGAAGTTGGCCAGTATTCCCCTCCCTCGCCAACTTCTCGGCAATTCACACCCTCTGATGTGTCAAGTGAACCGCTTGTATGAATCGTTCTCGAAAACCAGTCCAACATGAAACCGCAACAACAGCACAAAAACACCAAAAAAAAGCCTGCACAACGCGAACACCGCCCATCTCCTTCACCCCTTCCATCAAGGGTTGACTCTGTCCGAGACTTCCGGAATTCGATCTAAACTATGACAGAACCAAACCTGGATCGCCAGTGGCCGCAGCGCCGTCGCTTTCACCCCCCCCGCGGCGCCACTGCCACAAGACCACGTAGTTCTTCATTCTTCGTCTTCCCCCGCCTCGCCTGATAGATCATGCATGAATCCCTCATACCTATAACTCCACGTCTCTCTCGCTCTTTCTTTCGAGATTTTGCTCTCTTTCTCTCGCTCGCTCTTTTCTAGTCTTGCTTCGCTGTACTTCCCCTCGAATAACACTTACTCGCTTTTCTACATGGGATCTTTGGTCACTCATGAGGTGTAATGTGTGATGTGTGATGTGTGATGTGTGATGTGTGATGTGTGATGTGTGATGTGTGATGTGTGATGTGTGATGTGTGATGTGTGATGTGTGATGTGTGATGTGTGATGTGTGATGTGTGATGTGTGATGTGTGATGTGTGATGTGTGATGTGTGATGTGTGATGTGTGATGTGTGATGTGTGATGTGTGATGTGTGATGTGTGATGTGTGATGTGTGATGTGTGATGTGTGATGTGTCGCCGATATCTGGGCATCGCCTTCCCTCCGCCATATTTGAATATCAAACTCTGGCTTTGACTCATCACCTCCAGCGGGCTGTATGCGCACGCATGTATGCATATATGTACGTATGTTAGATTCGAGAAGAGAAGAGAAGTGACACAAACGGGTTGGCTCCATAATGACATCGCTTCGATATGCGACTACTTTAGCAGAAGGGTTACCACAGCGGACCAGCCAGAGCCACGAGAGTGACAAAACAGCTTCAGCCATACGAATCATAGAAATCATAGAAATCATAGAAATCATAGAAATCATAGAAATCATAGAAATCATAGAAATCATAGAAATCATAGAAATCATAGAAATCATAGAAATCATAGAAATCATAGAAATCATAGAAATCATGGAAATCATAGAAGTGATTGGAGCGGTGAAACTTGGGCAACGAGGATCTAATCAACGAGGATGCGTGTGAAAACGTGCCAACATGAAGAATGATCAACCAGGTGCGAACGGCTGCATGGCCATCTTTCGGTAGGGAGAAGCGAAAGCGAGAGGAGAAAGATCGGAGGGGTGAGAAAAGGAGATGCAAAGTTCAATTCACCCCAATTCAGTTCTATAGCCCAGCGAACGGGCATGAGTAAAAAGATAGCAACGGCAGATTTAGAGGGCGGCAGCCAAGAAATATAGACAATAGTTATCGAGAAGAGCAGAGGGTGGAGAGGGTGGAGAGGGTGGAGAGCGAGGGAGGAGCAGACGGCGGCCATGTGCGTCGCGGAGAGGTAAGCGAGGAGGGCTCAAGCGGTTGTGGCAACAGCAATCGCTACTACTTCCAGATAAAGCAAAAGGAGCAAAGAGGCGATATTTGCGGTTCTCGGCGATGAGGTCCTGGCCTCGAGTACAGGGTCTGGGGCACGTTTCCAGCGACGAGACGGCCAAGTTTCACTTCGGACCAGACCAGATGCGAGATGTGAGATGTGAGATGCGAGATGCCGGACTCAGAGCATCAGCAATGCTTCGACGACACCGTCTATCCGCTGTGGGCGCTGATGATCGACACAACCGAGTTCCGATGATAGAGCGACGGAGAGCCATGCGAAAGGCTTTGTAGCGAGGAGACAGAGAAGCGACGGGTGAGGGTCGAGGACGTGGTGATTGGCGAGCACGGTTTCTCGCAGCCGGCCGGCTGCTCACGCTGATTGAAAATGGCCTGGAGCTGGGCCTCGACTCTCGATCGGGTCATAGAAACGAGGTAGTTGAAGACTTGATTGGGCAGCGCCGAGCTGAGGAGCTGGCCGGTGGCCGAGGAGGCAGATGCTTGCCCCTGCTTGGGCTCCCGCTCATGTTCTGAATCGTATTCGGACTCGTACTCAGACCCGTATTCAGAGCCGTACTCGGAGTCGTACTCCGAATCATACTCTGAGTCGTACTCGTACTGCTGCTCGGTCTCGCTCGGGGCATCACTGATCACGGTAGTGCGCGTCGATGCTACCGCCGACTCAGTCATGTTGCTCTGGTGCTTGAGCGTGCTTGGAGGGAGAGAGACCGATTTTGTCATATACAGGGCTGCTGAGCTCCCAGGACGCATGTAGGTGCTGCGCTGATAATGTTGAGGGAACTCGAGTTTGGAGACGTCGTCAATGACCGTGAACGTCAGCTGGTCTTCGCGCATCATCGAATCGTCGTCCCAGGTTTTGGGATTGACGTAGATGATGTGTCCTGTCTTGGCGGAGTGGAAAGGGCCCGGTGCAGAATCGGTCGGAAGGGGGTGGATAGAGGCGGGAGCACAGGCCGGGGCCGGCGAAGCCAGAGTCTCTGCGGACGTGGTCACCTCGCCGTCGGCGGCTTCCACTTCCGCTTCGGCCGCAGTCTGGGCTGAGGTTGTGCGGATGGGGATGGTCGGATATGTGCGCATGAATTGAGCAAACTTGGCCATGCGCTCGCTCTTCTTGACATCTGCGCGCGGACGCGAGGGCTTTGCAGGTGTTGCCTGGACGCTCCGAGCAGCTGTAGGCTGCTTACTTGGAATCGCAGGAGCATCGTCCTTGGGTGGTGGTGGCGGCGGCGGGATGCCACGCCGACCAGCGAGAGCTGGCTTGGGAGGAAGCGGGAAGGTCACCAGCTTACTAGCATGGTAGGTGACCTTTTGAAGATCAGCAGTCTCGAGCATGTACAGCCAGCCGCGCTTCTCGAGATCGTCCTCGCACTGAAACTGCAGACTGGTGGTCCCGGTCTGGGTGCGAGAGCGGATGTGGATGATGGGCTTGCCGATCCGGCTGATGAACGACGAGCACTCGATGTTCTCGAGGAGATGGACGTCTGTGGCGACCTCTGTGCACTGGCTTGTCTGGACGGCAAAAAAGAACGTGCGACGCAGATGATGCGAATGCAGTCGCGGGAAGGGAGGGAGTCAGAAGGCTGCTGCGTATATGTGGGTGGCCGGGTCCGGGTCCGGGTTCGGGTCCGTGGGAAAGGGACTTGTGCGTGGGAATGCGATGGAAGCGAGCGTGGCAGCATGTACATCCGATCCAGCCACCACTATCGGACTTGGCCGTGTCCGAACCCTGTCGTCGCCCAGCCACCCCCGCAAGGCCACTGGCCACCAGGGCCACCAACGCACACAACCCACCTTGAAATAGAAGAGCATCCCGGGCAGCAAAATGCCAAACACCTTGGGCCACGGCCGAGCGTTGAAGCTGCGACGATCCCGCGGCGTCCTGCCGATCCAGCCCGAGTACAGAATGCTGTCGAAGGAGATTGCCGAGAGCACAGGCATGGTGACGGTCGCGGACGGGTCGAGGGTTGCTTCGGCCGAGGACGGAGGGGGGAGACTCGGACGGCCTGGCGAACTGGCGAGACGAGGGATCGGCTGGGCAGCAGCATGTTCGGCGGCCTGGGCGGCATCAGACTCGGATGGGTGGAGCAAGTACGAGAATGCGGTGGGAAACCACTGACGCTTGGGATGGGTATGGTCGGGGCGGCTGCTGGTCGGATCGGAGAAAGCACGACTGCGGCTGCCGCCTGTTGAGACGGGCGACGGTGACCGGGCCATCTGACCCAGCGAGGCTGGTGGGATGGGATTGAGGGGAAACCCAGGCACCGGGGACGAGACCGACCGAGGCGTAGGCCGCTGCGAGGGGGAGCTGACACCCCGCTCCACGGGCGTCGTTGGTCGCAGACCAGCAGAACGGGCGGGTGCTGGTGAGGCGGACTGAGCATCCGCAGCTTCCATTTGGAAGGGGATGCCGGTTTCAAGATAGGCGAGATCGACTCGCTTGGCGATGACCCCGCGCGAGTGGTTGGCGGGACGGGGATGATGGCCCCGCCGGCCGGTGTTGGCAGCCTCCTGCGCTCGGATCTGGTCGAGATGGCGGATGCGGAGGCGCTTGGAGTCCATGGCAGGGCTCAGGTCTGGGCGAGGCCGATCAAGAGACAAAGAAGGAAGAGGGGATGGGTCGAGGGATTGCGCAGACAGATGAGGATGGAGACGAGAGAGCGATTTGGGCAGACCTGGCGAGCAAACAGGAGGGCGAGGATGGCGGTTTTATGCAGAGGGCTCGGCGCAGGCCGACAAGGACGCCGAAGCTGGGCCGGTCTGCCGGAAGCAGTTGGGCAGCAGCGGCTGGGGAGATGGGTGGGAAAAGAGTGGCAACGACAGCCGTCCCGAAGCCCGTGCGAGCAAGGCCCGTGGTAAACATTGGACCTTGGGGAAAGTGCTGTGCGCCAATGGCCCAGAACCAGTCGCGGGCATTTGTTTGGGTCTCCTGCCACCAACACGGCGTCTCGTGTGGGGCGGCGGCGGGTTTCTGAGCAGGACCAGGCATGGACGCGGGGGGGGGAGCGAGGACATGGACGAGGGACGCAAGACATGGGCAGTGCGGGATGTGCACCGCAGGTGAATGGAAAGCAAAAGTATCGCGAAGGTGGCGGATGGGCGCAAGTACCGAGTGGGAGATGCGTTGGAATGGGTTGATTAGCGGGAGTGGGCGGTGTGTATCAGCCGGAACGAACGGCGATTGGTGGGAACGGAGCTGGCAAGTGTCTCTGACTTTGCTGGAATGGAATTGGCAACTCGGTCTGATTCGGCCGGGTGTTTCTGCTCGGTCGCCCCACTCCAAAGAAACATCCCCGGCTTGGACGCCGATGGCAATGTCCTTCTGGCAGCTGATGCCTTGGGACGGGCGCCTGCGTCGTTGCTGTTCCGGGGCAGTCCCCGTACGCCAGCGACAGCAAAGGCTGGATAGGATGCGCCAACGCTGCGTCTTGTGGGCGGCGTGCGTCTCTGTCCAGGGCATGCTTGCGCAGGAATAAGGGTGCGCCGAAGACACTCTGCTGCCAGCAGCCCGTCTTGCTGCAGGCGGGGCTCGCTTGTCGCTGGCGCATGAACAGACGGCCGGCTCCGTGTTTGAGCGCGGGTGGCTCTGTATGCCTTGATGGTACGCACCACTCGAGGGCTCCAGGGCAGACCACAAGGACATGCGCCAACCGGGGGCAGCCTGGCCGCATGGGCCGCGGCGGGGTGCGTAGACATATGATGCGGATGCATGGAGCGACAGTAGATGCATGGGTGGTGCGATTGTTAATGCGATTGTTAATGGGATTGTTAATGCGATTGTTAATGGGATTGTTAATGCGATTGTTAATGTGATTGTTAATGCCATGGTCAGCGCAGGTCGGTTTGTGACCAGAGAGAGCACCCGCAGTCGCCGCTGCTGACTATTTCCCTCCATGTCGCTTGATCCATGTCGCTCGCTGGCGCTCGTCCTTGCTGGTTGGTCCTCTGCCTGGTGTGCCACGGCGCAGACCGCCTTTCCCATCTGCCACGGGAAGGTACTTGCGGGCGATTGGCCAAAGGCGTCTCGATCGACCAGCGGCCCGATGCTCCCTTGCTTGCCGCCGATGGCAATCGGGCTCTCGCAGCCAGCATCACTAATCTCTTTCCCAGTCCTCTCCCCGACAAGGCAGCCCGTCCCATCGCATCGCTCTTGCTGCGATCGAGATAGACGGGCATTTGGGGGGGGGGCGATTGGGTGAAGAGTTCGGGAGGTCGTTGCGGTCTGGCTGAACGAGCAAAGTAACAGCCCATTCAGCTCGGTCGGCGGTGGGCCAGCATATCCAATGCACCACCCAGACGCCGTCCACTCTGCCCGGCACACAACCCCATTCACCGTCCAATACGCACTCTCATACCCAGCGCCATCCACTCCCATTCGCAAGCCAAGGCTGACTCCCGCTTCGAGGCCGGGGTGTCTGGCCTGGCCGCATTCATCCTCGCACGCCATCGCAGGCCATCGCAGGCCATCTCCCGTCTCGACCAACCACGTCCCGGCTGGCCATCGGCCCTGGAGCCAGACGGCGCCACACCCCGGCCTGGCGAGCTTGCTTCTTGCCTGCCATCTCGCCATCTGCCCAAGCTCTGCCGACCATGGCTGCTCCCGACGATGGGCTGCCTCCCGATTTGGTGCCCCGGTGAGAATACAGCCAAGCCCTGCTGCTCTGCGTCGGCCGGGTGTCAGCAGCACTGTCTGTTCGCAGAACCGCCATTCATCGCATCGAGCGGATATCCATCCGATCGAGTGGATATCCAGCTCATCAAGTAGATATCCATCCGATCGAGCCGATATCCGCCAATCGATCTTCCGTACTCGGCCCGCTGAGCAGCCACACAGCCAGCGGCATTGCTGCCCAGAGCTCCTCCAAGTTGACCTTTGATATGCCGCTTGCAGATGGTGCCACGCAACCGACACTCCCAAGCTGGACTCGACTCCGTTCAGAGCGATAACCACACCATCCACCAAGACCCCGACCAGCTGGTGAGCCAAAGGTCCCTTTTCTGCAAGCAGCAGTGCTCTTTGTCCTCCGCGCTCGCTACCCAGGGCTTCTGCTCATGTTTGCCGCAGCCGGCTTGGTCTGCCTCCGTCGCATTCGCATCCCGGCCCCGAATCGTGCTGAGACGGCCGAGACTGCCTCCACGGACCGAGAGAGTCGCTCGCCGGCGGTATCCCGCTGTATCATGCTGCTGTATTATTGACCCGATCGTTGCTGCCTGACAGGACGGCATTCTCGGCCAAGGACAGCACGGCCATCGAGAACAAGTATAGGATCTTTCTCGAAAAGACCAAGGATACCCAGAGGAAGGAGGTCTTTGGAGCAGCACACAATGCAACCGAGGACATCATCGGCACTCTGCTCTCGACCTCATTGCCGTCAGCCGCAACGGCTATTCCTGCGGCCGTCACTGGGTCGGCTCCCGCTGAATCCGGGTCGTCCGTCACCACGGCCGCAACGAGCAAACCCATCCCCGTTCCTGGCGCCACGCCCGCCCTGGCTCCGACCCCGGCCCCAGCGATTGCGTCGTCACTCGCATCGTCGCCGACCAAGCAGCAATTGCAGCGCACCTGGGACAACATCGACACCAAGGTTGCCGTGTGCGAGGACGAGCTCTTCGAGGTCGACGTTGGCAACATGGAGATCTCTCCTGGTGAGCCGCGCAGCTTGCCGTACTCGGCCATGTATCCGCAACTCCGAGCAACGCTGCATCTGCCACAACGCGTAATCTGACATCACTGTGTCTCACGCCACGGACATATGCCCCTACTCTGCGCTGCCGCCATGATATCGACCCTGCGATTCATGCAACCGGTCGCCCATAACACTTCCACTGCCGATGCGGCAAGTCTACTGGCACGGCCCGACGTATGAAATCCGCCGCGGAACCTGGTTCTATTCGCCCGATGGCAGCAAGTTCTTCCCGTGCGACGAGAACCTGGCCCGCCAGCTCGAGGATGGATACAAGTAAGCACATGTGTCGCCGCACTGAGAGAGCAATCCCTTGGCCGCAAATAGGGGCCCTGAGGCGCAACCGCCCTCTGGAACCTGCAACATCGCAGCGCCTGCACAGTCATGTCCTCGTTGGTGCAGATGGCGCTTGTATTCACATGCTTTTGCTCGGGCCATCAGAAAATTCCAGCCCTGGAAGGACAAGCCCCGGCCAGTGTCCAGCGTTCCTACATCGCTGTCGTCCCAGGATACGTTTTCGGACGGCAGCAAGGCTCCGCCGGCGACGGCGACAGCATCGGAATCAAAGTCCAAGCAGGTGAGCGACAGTGCGACATCCTCGGCTGCAAAGATGCAAAGTGGTATAGCGGACATCATGTCTGCGCTTCTGCCGAAGCCCTTGCAGACGGCTTCCCCTCAAGAGCGCACATCCGCTGGCGTCAATCAGAGGAGAACTGTCCTATGCAAAAATCGCAGCAATCGCAGCAAAACGAGCCGCCGGTGCGGGCTGAATATCCATCTCAATGAGCTTACATTATCCCCGGCCATTTTGGATTGCGCGTGACAATTCCAACCCTTTCTCTGCACTAGCGATGGGCCCTGTTTGGGCCTTACATGAACCAGTTCGTCGTCTACACCGGTGGCAGCCAGGCCTGGCTCCACTCGGACGCCTTGACCTCCAAACTGAGCCGAGCCGTCCGAAGCACTCTGATTGGCGGTGTCGGCGGCACCCGTCTGGTTCGTGGCTGGTCCGAAGTCGAGAAGCTCAAGACCAAGCCCTCGGCGGCAACCTCTCCCAATGCTCAGACGCCTGCGCCTCCAGTGCCACCCAAGAAGGACGATGGCTCTGTGGCAAAGTCTCTCAAGCCCGAGCCTGGCTCGGACACGACCCCGGCGGCCCCGGTTATTGTGGAGTCCGACGAGGTTCCTGAGGATGAGGACCGAAGCATCCAGCATTTGATTTTCGTCATCCATGGGTAAGCTCTCGGTCCTGCGGCAGTCCTTGCAGTGCAGATTCGAAGGCATCTCGAGTGCCCTTGTGCGGATCGCTGGCTCATGCTGACTTGCCAGCGCCGTCGCTTTTACCTGCTCTAACGCTACCTTGTTCACCGCACTTGTTCGCTGAAGCATTGGCCAGAAGCTCGGCGAGCGAGTCGAGACCGTCAATTTTGTCGGAGGTAGGTTTGACCTGCCATGTGTGCGGCGGCAGGGGAAGGGTGCCGCAAGCGCAAGCCCCGATTACTGGCTGCTTCAGACATAACTACGAGATGCGCTTGTATGCTCACGATGCGTTTGTTGCCATGGCCATCTAGATTGCTCGAATCTCCGACAGACTATCAAGAACTGTGCCAAGCAGTGTTTTGCATCGCCCAAGGACAGCCTCGGCCGTCCGGGCAGCGTCAAGAAGCCTGTTCTTCCGGGCATGCCTGTCGGCGGCGGTGTCCAGGTCCTGCCGGTGCAATGGCGCCACCTCATCCAGTTTGGGCAGCGTAAATCCAAGTCTGATCTCGCGGCAAGGGATGGCGACGACAGGCTTGGAGGAGATGGCCAAGCCGGACCCGGAACCGGAACCGGCGATGCCGAGGGAGCACAGCAGACCGACGAAGAAGAGGAACTGACGCTTGAGGATATCACGCTCGATGGCGTTCCAAGCATCCGCATGCTTGTATCAGACGTGATTGTTGATGGTAAGGCCGCATGGATCCGTGATGCTGGGGCGTCGGCCCCATTTTTCACTTGTGGGTGTGTCGCGACCATTGTTATCGGCATTGGGATTGCTATGAGCAGAGTCGATTGCCCTCCAGGACGCTGGCTCTGGAGGCGTGACCGACCCGGACATGCATCCACCGTCTCAGCGGCATGTTTTCGTTCCTGGCATAGTGCTTCTGTACATGACCCCCAAGTATCGACAAGAAATGGTGTTCCGCGTAGCCGATGAACTCAATCGGATGTATCGCCTGTTTGTCTGCCGCAACCCAAAGTTTACGGGCAAGTTTTCCATCTACGGACACTCGCTCGGTAGTCTGTTGGCCTTTGACATTCTCAGCCACCAAGGCGTGAGCCCAGCCGTGGTCGCGGCCAACAAGAAAGTCACCCCGATTGGCGAGCACGAAGTTGATCTCAGCGAAATGTTTCGTCAAATGTCATCTGCGGGTCAGAAGCGCAGTCTCCGTGGTCTGATGGAGCATGCCCCGATCCAGTACCCAAAGCTTGAGTTTGAGGTCGACAAGCTGTTCCGTGAGTATGACTTGGGTGCTCCAAAGCAAGCGGAGGAGCGGACTGGTGTGCGAGTATATCTGCCGATGCGCTTTGAGAGTCTTTAGCACTTCTGAACGCATGCAAGCCAATTACTGACCCTGAGCCGGAATCCCGTACCACCGGGCGTCGGTTTGTCAGTGGTGGGATCGCCCGTGGGGCTGTTCCTGCTGCTCAAGAACAACAAGTTGCGAGGCTGGGCGAATCAAGACCATGTGCTCGAAGACGGCATCTCCAGACCTCTGGTCCGCGGCCTTTACAACATCTTCCATCCACACGGTATGTCCGGTCCAGTGACGAGCGGTACTTGTGAAGATCAACCCTGACGAACGAGCCGAGCACAATTATCGTCGTCGCACAGCTAGAATATGCGGCATGATGTGGCAGCATCGCTGGTGGCCTGCTCATGCTATCAATCCGCACGGCTTTAGATCCGGTGGCGTATCGCATCGAGCCGCTTGTCGATCCAAAGCTGGCATCCATCAAGCCGCACTACTTGCAGTACACCAAGGGAGGTCTCAAGGTAGATGGGCACCTGACAGCGTGCGGACAGGGCAGTGCATATGCTGGCTGAATGAACGAGTGTCGGGCGACCACTCCCTGGATCCAGCAGCCAGGGCTTCTCACACGACGCATCCTCGCTGCTACAGGGCACGATCGTCGGAATCCAGGACCTCGGCAACGACATTGTCGATCGCGGCCGTAGTATATACGAAACCATGCGAATGGGCATTGTCTCGACGACAGCAGGCGTCATTGGCCTGCCGCGGAGCATGGTGGAGCTGGTTGGGTTCAAGAGCTCGCTCACCGCTCCTGCCTCTGCGCCTTCGCCCACGCTCGTTCTTCCTCCAGCACAGCTTGGCCCGCCAGACACGGAGCCAGGGCCGCCAGCCTCAGTAAGCAACAAGCGATCCTCGGCCATCCTGGATGCCGGCGCCTCGAGCGGGACTTCAGCCTCGGCCTCGGCCGGAGCAGCAGGACCAGGCCAGACCGGCTCAAAGGCAAGCGGGTCCAAGTCACAGTCGCGCGATGCCGAAATCCGTCTGCTCAATCCTCGGGGACGACTGGACTATGCTCTCCAAGAAGGCGTGCTCGAGAACGCATATCTGGCTGCCCTGGGTGTCCACATGAACTACTGGAGCGACACCGATGTTGCGCTGTTCATGCTCAAGGAGATTTATACGGCCGAGGACCAACCCCTGCCTGCAAGCGCCGCCGTTGTCAGCACAGGCCCGAGCGGTGCTCCTGCCGCTGCTTCCAAGAAGGAGGCACCGTCAGCCGAGACCCTGGCCCAGGACATCTCGAGCTCGCTCTCCAAGGGCACGCTGGCTGGATTCGGCCTGTGAATGGCAGCGATCGAGCGATCGAGCGATCGAGCGAATGGCTGACACCAGCAGTGCTTGACCCGCAGTCCCATCGTCCTCTCTCACCAATACACCGACCAGTCAAGAGCATTCCATGCAGAATTAGAGTATTGGTGAAGTTCACGGAATGGAAGCCGATGATGGGATACGTGTGTTTCCTCCTCCCCTGCGGCCTCGTGGCTCCGGATGGTGCACATCTGGCAATCAGCAAAGGGTAGCGAAAGAAACGTGACGAGTACAGCAGATGCGAGACAAATGCTTGGGAATCTACAATCAAAGAGGACGATTCAGCGGGATAGAGATCGACGCAAGCCGACAGCCGGCGATATTGGAGATGACAGGCGTGGTGGCAGGCCAGGTGGAGGGCCGAGGAGCTCATTGGGCCGGCGGCTGGGTCGAGTAGAGCTCTGAATATGCCGGAGCAGGCTCGGACGGGACCGGCAAGGGGCCAGATACATAGGCCACGGCCGTGGGGGCGACTTGATATGCCTGGTAGCTGGTGTGCGGCTGGACAACAACCGAGACCTGCCCTTCGTCCGAGTCCTCGTACTGGTCGAGCAGACCATAGATGCCGCCTGCAATGGCTGGGGGCGGCAGCGTCCCGTTGAAAGCCAGCGACGACTTGACTGGGACGCTGTAGAACTTGCAGTTGACCGTCTCGGCCAGACTGATGTGCAAACCGTCAAAGGAGACGCCCGCAAAGATGCCCTTGCAGCGGACGACCAGATGGAAGGGCTCGGGAGCACCCGAGGCCAGCGACGAGGCGCTGTTCGAGAGGCCGTGCCGGCCAAACGAAGCCGAAAAGTCACGGCCGATGGTGAAGCTGGAGCTGGAGGCCAGGGACTCGAGAGCGGCCTCGGACTGGATGAGAATGAGCACCTCGGTGAGCTTGAGGCCGATCTGAGCCGGTCGGGAGCCAGTCGGGAGCCAGCCGGGAGCGCACCGGCGAGTATGGGCAGGAACAAGAGTTTGAATCAGAGGCATGGTTCTGCGGCGGTAAACATTTGGCTGCAGCAGAGCCCGGTATGTCGGACGGCGGAGAGCAAGCGTTGAGAAGCATCGCCATCACCGCCGAGGTGGTTTGAGGCTGTGTCTGAACGGAAGAAGCTCACCATGAGGCCCACAGCTGCTCCACGGAAATCGATGGCCAGGGGAGCGGACCAGCTTCTGTCAGCAAGGCGGCCAAAGAGCAGTCCTGAGCCGCCTTTGATGGAGGCCGGGCCAGCGCCAACCTGCTTGAAGTGTGCGATGGCAATGCCCTGGAGAAAGCACAAATGCAAAGATATCGAGGAGGGAGTTGAGCGACGGGAGTTTGCCGACATCGATGGCGGAGCAGAGCCATCAGCAGCAACAGCAGCAGCAACAGCAGCAGCAACAACAACAGCAGCAGCAACAACAGCAACAATCGCACCTTGGCACCGCGTAGTTTCTCGGCATCGATCAATTTGTTTTCGACAAAGTATGCCAGGGACTGGGTGGCCCTCGTGCAGAGGATCTCCATCATAGGAGCCATCCTCGGTGCTGCTGTCGAGTTGGTGCGTTGACGATTTGCAGGGAGTGGCGGACGGCCTGGGATGGAGCTGCTGGGAGTTGGAGAGAGCGGCGCCAGCGAAACTCAAACGGGATGGGCCGACAGAGCCCCTGCCGCTGAGAGAGCGCATGCGGCTTGCAGTCCAGCGTGTTGAGCCAAAGAGGAAGCCACATAGTCGCTTTGGGAGAGACACGCCGGAACTGGATCGCATTCATATTCATACACCAGGCCGAGAACGACCAGGTGGATGAAATCCTTTCCTTGGGTGTGGTATGCCCTGCGGTGTGCTGTGTGAACATGCAGATGCAGTGAGTGAGTGAGTGAGTGAGTGAGTGAGTGAGTGAGTGGGCACGATAATTACCAGCGAGTCGCTGCAGATGCCGTCGCTGCAACTCAGGGCAAAGAGCAGAGCAAAATCGCTGAATCTCATCAGCCGAGTCTATCGCAACCGCGCGAGTGCCGGCCGACGTCACTGATCCAGGCGATCGATCAGCATACTTGTGGGTTGCTGTTCCGGCCGTTACTGATGCCGCGATGCAGGGAGTTTGAAACTACACCAGAACCAATGTTCGAAACAGAGCACCCTCGCAAGCAATCGCCGCTCGTTGTGGCCGCTCTACTCGCATCACGTCTCTGGCTGGAGCGACCAGCGGGTAGCGGTGTTGACGACTTTGGTGCTGCAGATGGACATGTTGTGGACGACATGGACAGCACAGATGATGCCTGCGATGCAGACAGTGCGAGGCGTGTGTGGACGATCTGACATGAGGTGCTCTATTGTCCCCACGACCCCTGGGGTTGTTTCATGTCAGCCAGTGCACGACGGCCCACATGATGATGACCGAGACGACGATGCCCGCAAGCAGAATCCAGTTGTCGACGGCCGTCCGCTGCTCGATATACCGGATCAAGGTCGTCGAGAGGCCCAGCGAGTTGGCAATGTCAAGCATGCGCCGCTGTGTGCCCTGCAATCGAGCCCACCGGGACAAAAGCGGGGGGTTCAGGATGTGGCATCAGATCCAGAGATGGCAATCGCATCCAGCGTAAAAGAAATAAGCGGCAGACGGGTCAGCAGGCGAACCATGGTGCGATCCGACGGCCTGTGCGTGCTGGCGAGTGAGTTTCGACGAGCTGTGAGCCCACCTTCAGAATCGACTTTTGTTCATAGAGTTCCTGCAGCGCCGCCCGGCCCGAGTTGATCAGCCCGTCGAGTTGATTGCCGACGTTGTTGAGCGCGCCGCTCTCTTGGGCCATGTATTCATCCAGCGAAAGCTGCGCCAGATTGTTGCCATTCTGGAAGAACTTGGTGGGTCCACGCTGCGAGGCGATCGGGCGAGTAGGCGACAGGAGATGCGATGGCCGTAAGCGGGAATGTCGGATCGAGCACGGAGCCGGGTGGAGGATATACATCTATGCCGAGACCGGGCAGCCGATGTGCGAGAGCTTGCACACAGCGATCCGATGGCCGACTTGCAGCAGCTCGTGCAGACCCACCTGGTGCACTGCCGAGGCGGCCTCGCTGCCCATCAACATGGTGCGCTCTTCTTCTTCCCGCTGCGGGTTAGAACGAAATCAAGACGGCAATGTCAGGACGGTTGTCTGGATGCGACGGGGGACTCGCCACAGTGGGTCAGCACATCACCGCCCCTCATGCAGTCGATCGAGAAAGCGCACCTTCTTTTGATACTCTTGCTTGAATTGGTCGAACTGGCCCTTCAGGTTCTGGTATTCGGTCCGGATCTCCTGCGACCGACTGCGGTGGATATGCACGGAAACGATGGGACGACGACACAGATTGGAGTGGAGTTTGTATAGCTTGTGGAGCAGGACCGGATGTGCTCCGAGGTGCTGAGCCGACAGGATGCGGCGATCCAAAATGCAGTGCCGGTGATCCGGTATCCACCCATCCTCTCAATCGACGGACCCAATTCGAGCGATTCAGCAACCGTCGCTGCTGCTGCGAATTGGTCGTCGAGTCGGCATTGATACCGGGACGGCGGACGTAGCTCCAGCGACCCAGTCTCGAACCTTACGTTGCTGCCAGCTCGCGCTTTTCCAGGGTAATCTCTCTCTTGGCCATGTCCGCCAGATCGTCCGAGGTCTTCTTGAGCGTTGTCAGCGTCGAGGTGATGGCGCCCATGTGTCCCGGAGAGGTATCATTGCCGGTCAGGAGCTTGTCGAGGTCGAGCTTGAGCTGCTCGACCTGCTTGCGGGCAGACTTGTAGAGGACGGCCGCGCTCATAGGTGCGGCGACGAGTTCAATGCCGGCACGGTGGTATCAGAGCGGGGGAGCTGGGTGTGGCTGCCCGAAGGAGCCGGTGATGGTCGGGGATTGATGGGGGGAAGAGATGTGCTGGAATCGAGTCTGTGGTTTTCTGGACCCAAACAGCGCCGGAGTGCGGCTGGCCAGAGCGAGGCCGGCTGTACAACGGCTGGCTGTGGTGCGGCTGGCTATGCTGCGCTGTGCGACGCGGCTGCCGCGCCACCATAGCCAGGAGTGCTGCGCTATCAGCTCATCTGTGTCACCCTGCCATCTTTCCTGGCGCCTTCGAGGGCATCTCTGGGCTGGATGGCATCGCCGGGCGACCTTGCCCTCCGTCGCCGGTGCAAGCATCTGCCGATCCCACGACCGATCCCAGCACCCAGCGAGACTCGTCCCCGCCAACTCCAGCAGACACATACAGAATGTCGGCCAAAAAGGTAGCCAGTCCTTCGACCCAGCGAGCAACTTGTCGCAGATGCAGCAACCAACTCGTCGCCGATCCCGACACAGCTTACTGACCGGGGCTCCTCATGCTGCAAACACTCGGATTCCCCTCGTCGCTCTAGTCCTCGGTCCCTGCTTACCAGTCGCTCACAGCCGGCGCCATTGCTGGCGCTGTCGAAGCTACCGTGACCTACCCCACCGAATATGTCAAGACGCAGATGCAGCTGCAAAACAAGTCGACCGACAAAGTACGGAGTCGGCTGGGTGGCTCTGATGTGGCGGCCATGGCGGCTTCGATCGAGTGGCCATGATGTCTTCAGATCCATCATGGATCCAGGATGCCGGCCGGCTCTCCAGCCGCCGCTGAATGCCTTGGCGCTTGCTGTTTCTTCTCGGCGGGGTTTGCGTTTGGTAGCCTCGAGGCATTGCTGACGCTCGGTTCGCTTCTCCGGATCCAGAAATTCGCTGGCCCCTGGGACTGCCTCAAGAAGACCGTGAGCGAAAAGGGCGTCTTTGGTCTGTATCGTGGACTGTCGGCCATGGTGATCGGCACCGCTGCCAAGGCTGGTGTGCGCTTCCTTTCCTTTGAGCAATTCAAGAAGCTGCTCAAGGATGAGAACGGCAACCTCTCGGGCCACCGGATGATGCTCGCTGGTCTGGGTGCCGGCGTCACCGAGGCCGTACTGATCGTGACGCCAACCGAAACCATCAAGACCAAGCTGATCCACGATCAAAACTCGCCCAACCCGAAATACCGCGGGCTGATCCATGGCACCTCGACAATCGTCAAGGCTGAGGGCATCGCTGGCATCTACCGCGGCATGACCGCCGTCGTCGCTCGACAGGGAGCCAACTCGGCGGTGCGGCTGACGATCTACGGCATCCTGAAGGAGCGAGTCCAAGGCAACTATCCCGTTGATTCGGTCACAGGGACCCGGCATGTCCCTTGGTATGTCACCTTTGGAAACGGTAAGCTCGCCTCCGATGCCGCGTATCGATGCTGCCTGTCAATGCCGCCTGTCGATGCTGCGTATCGATATACTAGCATTTTGTGTTCCCCGCTGCTCACGGTTCGCTGTTTGATCAGGTGCCCTGGCCGGCATCATCACTGTGTACAGCACCATGCCGCTGGATGTCATCAAGACCAAGATGCAGTCGCTAAATGCCAAGGCTCTCTACAAGAACTCGGCTCACTGTCTCTACCGTGTTGCTCGCGACGAGGGCATCCTTGCGCTGTGGAAGGGTGCCACTCCGCGCCTGGGTCGACTGATCGTACGTAGTGTGGGCTCGATCGCTACCATGAGAGACGCTGCTGCTGAGGACCGCTAGCGGACGGAGCGATGTGCATATGTCGCTAGATACCGGCGAGCCAACCTGCGCGCAATGCTAACTAACTGCCGTCTTTAACGACCACCGCACGTGGCGATCGGCATTCGACCGCGCTCAGTTCTCGGGTGGCATCGTATTCTCGGTCTACGAACAAGTGTTGCTGGGTTTCAAGCTGCTCGGCAAATGAGTACCCACATCATCCCTGCAGTAATGGGCAAAAGCTGCGCCGTCTGTTCGGCTGTGGCAATCGCAATCGCAATCGCAATCGCAATCGCAATCGCAATCGCAATCGCAATCGCGGGGCGTCGCTTTATTCCCTCGATACATCGTCAATACATCCATCCTGCTAGACACGAACGGATGCCGAGCTCCACGAGAGAAGTAGAGGGACAATGTATCGGCTTGTGGAGCAGTGACACGGCTTAGTTGTCGGCAGTAACCCACTCAGCGTTGGCGACTGGAATCAGCATACGGTGCATCGGTATCAGTACGAGTTGGTGTGGCACCCATGTGGAAAGAGCTGCAAGCCAGTTCCGGAGAGACGCTGTCTTTCCGCCGCTGAACAACGATACTTACACTCCCAGTCGTACACCTCGCTCTTGCCGAACCAGAGGGAAATCTCCTTGGTGGCAGACTCAAACGAGTCCGAGCCGTGGATGATGTTGCGGCCGACCCTGAGCGAGCGCAGACAGCATTGATCGGGGAGATCGCCCCCACGCAACAATATGCAGGGTGAGCAAAGGCATTTGTCGAAAGGCAAGGAATCCACGCAAACAGCCAGGCTTGTCCGCCAGGTCGGTCAAATCAATCCACACTGCACTTACATGATGCAGTAGTCGCCACGGATGGTTCCGGGAGCAGCCTCTGAGAATGCAATCGGTTAGCTCGGCTGAGCATATTGACGACAACATGCTGAGTGCTGTCAGATAGAGAGACACCACTCACCGAGGGGGTTAGTGGCACCGATGAGACGGCGACCCTGACGAATGACATCCTTGCCTTCCCTGTGAGCGGTGCGAGCAGAGTTTAAAAGGCGTGAGCCGAGGAGGCAGGAGACACTATGTTGGCATGCAGGCCTTCATGCGTGCCGATACGATCAGCTTACCAAACCATGGCGATGACCTGGTGAAGAACCGTGTGTGTTGCGAGTAGTGCGAGCATAATCAGTTCGAGCGGCTCGTTGGATCCGGTGCGCCACACATACTAGTACTAGCCAAAGCTGTGACGCCACTTACGGGAGCCTTGCCGCCAGTCATGTAGTCGACCAATCCTGATCAAGTTGAGGGAGACAGAATCAGATCAAATGGAGGAAACAGTGTCATATCACATCGTGCTTGAAGACGAGCGGACTGGTGGTAGCAGCTGTCGCAGTCACGTCCAGACAATATAACGATGGTCGGCTATGGCTTTGAACTTACCCTTGAAGAAAGGACGGCTCTTGACTGAATGGACAGGATAATAGGTGAGAGCAAGGGTGGCAGCTCAGCATAGAATTGAGAACCTTGTGGCGCACGGGCCAGCCAAGTCCATCATCAGAAATGCGCCGAACGGATCACCAAGTACTCACGGTCCTCGTAGTGCTCCTCAGCGAGCTTGGCGGAAGGCACAATGGCCTTGATGGCAACGAGCTTGTAGCCCTTTCGCTGGAAGCAATCGGCATCAGCAGCAAGTCGACGGGCTTTCGAGTCACCAGCACACACAACAAAGATCCCCAGAGAGCGAGAACACAGCAGGGACAAGCGTTTCGCCCACCTCAAAGCGCGAGATGATGTCGCCAACAAGACCGCGCTACCGATTGACAAACGAGACCGTCTGATTAGCACACACATGTGAACGATGGACCGGTCCTGCCAACATGACCGACGCGATACGTGCTGCACCGCCATACTGTTGATCTGGACGCCAGCAACCAGAAGCATGGCCGATGAAGCTATAGGCACGACGGGTGACGCCATTGACAGGACCAGCAGCCCAGAGACCATCATCCCGAACAATCGCCTCACACCAGGCCAGACATACGGCAGCAGATAAACGCAGCTGGACATACCTGGGTGCCATCGGGCTTCACGGCGATAAAGGTGCGTTCGATGCCGCCCTTGACGCCGGCCGCGGTCTTGGTGGGGGCGGCCTTGGGGGCATCGGCCATGATCGCATTGCTGGGACCGACCTGCAGAGCAGCAGCGCCAGCCAGGGCACCGCCGACGCAGACGGTAGCGGCCAGCCATCGAAGCTGATCATGCGAGACGATGAGCTTTGTCAGCATCCGTCTGGCACAGCTGGACGAAAGACAATAGCCCCCAACGATCGCGATCTGGCAACAGCCAGGCTCACGCGTTCCTTTATGGATGCACCATCGCGGGCCATACCTTGCTGGGAGATGCGGCCTGGAAAACGGCAGCCGACCGAGTCGAGAGCTGGCGCGAGAACTGGCGAGCAAAGGCGGGGGCTCTGAAGAACATGGCTGGAGACAGGAGCGCGGGACGGCTGGATGCGACTGGCAGGACAGTTGCGGGACAGATGCAGGACAGAGCCGGGCGGGGCTGGTGGATTGCCGCCATGGCCTTCTCTGTCCTCTCGCCGAGGAGAGAGCGAGCGCGATGTGCTGCGCATGGCCTCCCAGCCGGATCGAGCCGAGTCCAGCCGAGTCCAGCCGGATCGACGCCGCGCCGAACTTCTGCGCAGCACTGTCGTGCAAGCACCGATCCCCAGACACGCCCGGCTCGCCCCACCACCGGCGTCCCTGTTGTCTGTCCTCGCATCTCCCCCAGAGCCGCACACTGACCAGCGCACATTCGCCAACGACGAATACGCACCGGGACAAACAGATCGCAACGCAGCCTGCATCTCCGGACGCCAGCCTCACACAATTGCAGACATGAACCCGCCGCCACCGCCACAGAGCCGATTCGACTGGTAACTTGGTCGGGACCGCGGCTCTACTGTCGGTGCTGCTCCCTGGTCCCGCCGCTGACCCTGTCGGATGCGCTCTTTGCCCCCAGGGAGACCGAGATTGGATGCATCGAAGCCCTGGCCGCAGACACGGCAGAGGCTATTTTGGAGCGAAGCCGCGCCAGCTCAGCGCTGGTATCCACGAGCACACTTGACCACAAGGTCAAGACAAGCATCCAGTCGATAAAGTCGAAACTGCAGCAGCTCGAGCAGCAGCTGTCAGCAGCCGAGGAAACCGGGCAGTGGTAATTAGCAATGTGGAGGGCTGCAGTATCGTAGCCTGGGCTCTTCCATCGGTGCCGCTCGAGCGAGAATATTCAAGACGTAATACCATGACTCATGTCTCTGCAGGAGCAAGGACGAACTGAAGAGGTGGGAGGAGGCTGTGCTGGCCCAGAGCCGAGAATGCGACAAACTAGAGGCACTGGCTGGCGAGTCCTCTGAGAGGTAAGTGGCATCACGCAAAAGGGGCACAGATTAGCCCGTCATCGCCAAGCAGCCCAAGAGGAACCTAACCCAGTCGGCCACTTCCAGGATGCAACTCCTCTCGATGCCGGAGCCTCCTGCGGGCGGATCAAGCAGCCGGAGTAAGGTCACTCGATTTGCCGAGCCGCTGGTGATCGAGGATGCCTATGATGCGAGCAACTCGGAAATGGTGCAGCTGCAACAGCGGATCATGCAAGGTTTGTCGTCTCTCTGGGAAGACTGCATCAGAAGACTGCATCAGAAGACTGCATCAGAAGGCAGCGGCGCTTCCCTGGACACGAATGTGCCATGCCACTGTGCCAACGATGACGATAGCTTCCTCCAGGCATTGATCAGTAGGACAGCCCATGCTGGCAAATCCTCGGCCACTAACTCGGTTGCTCCCGGGCAATGCAGACCAGGACTCTCACCTCGACCTGCTCAGCGAAAGCATCCTGCGTCAAAAGGATATTGGCATCATGATCAGCGACGAGCTCAACATGCATGTCCAGCTCCTGGAGGAGACTGAGCAGTCGGTTGACAACCAGAACAGAAAGTGAGTCTGCCAGGGCCGCCCCTCGAACTGCATGCGGAGCTTGGACGGCCGCAGATATGGTCGACATTGCGCAGGTCGCTTATCGCGCAGCTATCGATGCTTACGCCATCCTTTCACGCACACCCAGTCTCCGACAAGCCCAGCGGAGACTCAACGAGTTTGTCGCATCGACGCCAGCGAGCACAAAAGGTATCAGCCCCCGTTGGCGTCGGCGCTATTTCGCGAGCAAAGTGAGTCATTCGAAACGAGCCTAACCCCGCGGACCACAACTGCTTCGGCTCGGGCTCTCGTAGGATACATGGTGATTGCCGCCCTCCTGATTATTTTGGTCATTGTAATCCTCGCGCGACGGACATGAGGAGCTGCTGGCCGGACCGGGTCGTCCGTTCTGCTTTTGCTGGCGCTGGAATCTTCACAGCATACGATAATACATAATTGCTGTATACCGGATCCGGGCGTGTCGGCTGGATTGCGTTGTTGGTGGCCTGCACTCTCGAGGGCTCTGGCTGCTGCGGCATCGGAGTCGCCGATGGCCCTCAGGAACAGCGGAGTCAATGCAGGCGGAGAGGGATCCATGCTCCGCGGCTTCAGGGAATGGTGGCAAGTGTCAACTGCCGCGTGATCTCCAATCGTGCTCTGCTGGCCGGCTTTTGTCCGAGAATCGGGCTCTGTTGGGCTCATGTGGTGCAGGTCTCGTTGGCGGTGGGTCGATCTGCGCTGCTTGAGACGCCAGCATTCGCCAACATTCGCCGCACCCTCCTGATCTCCTCTGCTTCCATTACCACCAACGGGATTGAGCGCTGACTTGTATCCATCAACCAGATTTCGCACGTAAACTTGCCCAGAAAAGTCGTGATAAATATGATTCATGATCCAACCTTTGAAGGGTTCCTCAAAGATAACGGCCTTGTTCGTTACAAGGACATCTTCCTAGAGAACGAATACGACACGGTCGAGCTGGTGAGCAAAGGGACTTGGATGCCGCTCGTGCTCTCTGCACCCCTGCCGATCAGCCATCTGGCCCTGACCATTGGCTGTTTGTTCCAGCTCCTTGCCATGGACGAAACCAGAATGAGAAAGCTGGGAATGAAGGATGGTGCCATGTTGAAGCTCCGGTTGGCTCAAGACAAGCACAGCGCCAAGGTGCAGGCTGGCATCATCCAGCCTCACGCTTATCTCGTAGCAGCCAAAAAACGACCAACGGTCATCATGTGTCCTCGGGATTACACACCAGCAACACCAACTGAAGGATGGGCGTGCCGGCTTGGCCTCGACACGCACGATGTATTTATCAGGTATTGTATGCCACCACACTTGCCATCAGAACATACCAGGACCCATCTGCCAACTGACCATGCAAACCCTCACAGCCATCGAGTCGGGAACGAGACCGACAAGGCCACCGCCCTTCACGGTGCTCTGTCAGCCAACGGACCAAGCCAGAATGCCGTCCATCCCTATCTCGATAGCCTCTGCCTTTGCGGCGACGGGGATTGGGAGCAAGGCTTCATCAACGGACTGTATCGATCGAATGTCATTGTCTTGTTGCTCTCAGAGGAAGGACTGAGGGCCACTTTCGAGGCACACAATGCACCAGACAGTCTACTGCTCCAGGTAACAGTCACTTCAGTGTCCATATCTGTCGCTGATACCACATAGTCGCACTCGCACTAACATTCGCACTCACAGATCCAGCACGCTCTCAAGAGAATGAAGGACACTGCTGGTACCGACCATCCGGTTGTGGTTCAGCCGATCTTCATGTGGTCTACATTCTGGACCAACGATGGACGCCCAATATCGGTACCGTACTTTCCCAATGCGAGCGACTTTCCTCAATATCCTCCGATTCACAACAAGAGCCCACTGTTCGACGGACTTCCAATGACAATCCAGCAGACGTTCAAAGACTTGATGAGGCTTCAAGCTTTCGTTGCCGCTGGTGATGAAAATGCTCTCAAGAGGTAACAGCCACTCGCCATGCCGACTGATCATCATATCCAAACCTGAACAACCTGAACGACTCGCTCACTCACTCACTCACTCACTCACTCACTCACTCACTCACTCACTCACTCACTCACTCACTCACTGACTCACTCACTGACTCACTCACTCACTCACTAAACTCAGGCTTGTCCCCAACATCCGAAACCTGATCACCAAGACCAAGACTGCTGCAGACCAAGGAGTAACATACCACCAAGGCGGGCCCATCCAACTTGATGCCGAGCAAGACTCGCTCCTGCGACTCCTCCTCGATCCGATCGATTCCACTTCCGACAGAAGGGCACTCGAGGATCTGTATGTCGAGGGCACCCGCCAGTGGCTGTTCGACCAGACCACCGACTGGGTCAACCAGGACACCACCGACACTGTCCTGTGGGTCAATGCCGTTGCCGGTGTCGACATGTCTGTCGCTACCGCCCAGATCGCCAACATCCTCACAGCCACCAACCAGCTGGTATCGGCGCTGTTCCTCAAGTACAACGACACCCGCAAGAACAACCCTCGATCGGTGCTGAACACCATCGCATACGGTCTGTGCAAGTGGTACTCGCCGATTGGCCGCAAGTTGCTCGACGCCGGCCACAAGAAAGACGACCTCGACAAGATGAGCATCCCGGACCTGTTCAAGGCCGTGATTGCCGATCCACTCGAAGCCATCGGCGACTACAGACCCAAGGGATCAGTGATGATCCTGGTGGATGGGCTGGACGAGTGTCATCCCCGTGACGAGATCCTCGGGTTCCTGGCCAGTGGACTACAGCGACTGCACACGAAGCATCCGTGGCTCAAGTTGCTGCTGACGTCCCGTCCCGAGGACGATATCAAGGCGGCATTCGATGGAGTCCCGACCAAGACGATCGAGCCCTCGAGCGAGGAGAACGTCCGTGACCTCGAGGTGTTCATTCGCCACCGACTCCGAGTGCACGACACTCTCAATGACTCGGATCGCACCGAGGCAGTCGCCATCCTGCTGGACCAGTCCAAGACATTCGTGTGGATCAGCCTGCTCCTCAACACCGTCGATGCAGCATCCAGAGCCGGCCCAGTGACCCTCGCCACGATCAAGGACATCAACGACAGTGCCGCCGATGTCGGGCAGCTGTACCACAAGACATTCGCCAAGATCCACTCGCAGTCGAGCCACCCGGCCGAGCTGGTCACGGTGGTGTCGGCGATCGCCACGGCCCAGTCGATCCTGACAACACAGATTATCGCCGATGTGTTTGGACTCGAGATCGGCGTCGTTCGCGAGTGTCTCAAGAGCCTCAGTCTGGTCCTCGATCCTGGTGCCAATGGACTGGATCCCCGAGACAGCCAGTCCACCAACACCGAGGTCAAGTTCAACCACAAGTCGGTGGCGGACTATCTCCTCGGCGACGCATCGACTGGCCATCTGTGGCATGTGTCGGACTCGTTCCACACGGTGTTTGCCCAGGGATGTCTCGGCGTGATCCTCTCGCACGAGCCAGTGGTCAACATCTGCGAGATCTTCGACTTTCACGACAAGATCCCAGACCTCGAGGACAGGGCCTCAGCCACGATCACACCGTCGCTGCGATACAGCGTCGCCCACTGGATCACACACTTTGTGTGGTGTGTGGACGGAGAGGCCGAGTCGAGTCCGGTGTGGCAGTCGGCCGAGATGGTCGATGTGGCAGCGGTGCTCACTCGATTCGTCAAGACGCATGTGTTCTTCTGGCTCGAGTGTGGGTCGCTCACACATGTGGTCAAGCCGATCATTGAGCAACTGGCTGTGCTGCGAGGAGTGGTCGCCAAGGCACCCAGCACCATCGTCGACGACACCACGAAGGAACTGGTCAAGGACACGTATCGATTCATCCGCGAGTTTGCCGACCCGATCATCAAGAGTGCACCACAGGTGTACAACTCGGGGTTTGCATTCACACCGAAGGGGACGGCGATCTACAAGACATATGCCACCCAACTCGAGGACAAGATCCCGTTCCTGGTCGCGACCGGTCCAGCACCCACCTGGGATCCGTGGATGATGACACTCACAGGACATACACACTGGGTGAACTCTGCGGCGATCTCGCCCAATGGCAAGTGGATTGTCTCTGGCTCGGTCGACAACAAGATCAAAGTGTGGGATTCCACCACAGGCCAGGCAGTCCTCACCATCGATGCCCACGACGACGAGGTTGCGTGTGTTGCACTCTCGTCCGACGGCAAGCTGATTGCCTCTGGCTCGTGGGACAACACGATCAAGATCTGGGATGCCACCACTGGCGAGCTGAAGCGGACGATCAAAGGACACAGCGACGCTGTGCGATCGATCTCGTTCTTTCCTGACAGTGCCTCGATTGTGTCTGGATCCAACGACAAGTCAGTCCGTGTTTGGGACGTTTCCACTGGCCGACTGTGTCTGTCGATGGACAAGCACGGCGATGAAGTTCACTCTGTGGCTGTTTCAGCGGACGGGTCCACGATTGTGTCTGGTTCGAGCGACAAACGCATCATGGTCTGGGATGCCACCACGGGTCGGTTGAAGCAGACCATTGAGAGAGGCAGTGACCACGACGATGATTTTGACGATGACGATGATCATGATTTTGATGATGAGGACGACGAGATGGATGACGGCGGCAACGTGGTCAACAGTGTTGCTGTGTCGGCCAATGGCCAAGTGATTGTGTCTGGCTTCGGCGATGGCGCGATCGAGATCTGGAAGTCATCCACGAGCGAGCGAATCACACTTGATGGACACAGCGAAGATGTGACCTCGGTTCAGATCTCGTCCGATGGCAGGACCATTGTCTCTGGCTCGTGGGACAACACCATCAAGATCTGGGACGCAGAATCGGGTCAGTTGAAGCAGACTCTCGAGGGCCACAGCAACTGGGTGAACTGTGTGGCGATATCGGTGGATGGCGCAATGGTTGTGTCGGCCTCCAGCGACGAGTCGATCAAGCTGTGGGATGTCGACACAAGCGGCATTCTGCCAAACAAAGCCACCAGTCAAACCACCAACTCAACCACCAGCCAAACCACCACCGAGCACACTGCCGATGTGAGTGCTGTGGCGGTTTCTGGTGACGGCCAGTTGATCGCATCAGGTCCAGCGACAAGACCATCAAGATCTGGGACGGACACAGTGGCCAGTTGATCCACACTCTCGAAGGCCATGACACCGGCGTCAAGTCGATCAACCTGTCCTTGGACGGTGACTTGCTCGAGTCCACTGACTGGCAAGACAACCGCACACTGTGGATCAGACACAACGGATGCTTTGTCCAGTCGGAAGTCTCGGGCGAGGAACTCCTGAAAGTCTCCACAGATCCACTGGCACTCTCGACTGTGTGGGAGAAGGTTGACATCCCGCAGTGGATACGGCAAGGAGATCAGATGTGCAAGGTTCCACATGGAATGTACGAGTGGAGCTGCCACCAAGTCAACAAATACGGGACATTGATCATGATGAATCGACGGCCGCTGGTGATCCTGGTGAGTCCATGGCTTTGGATCACATTTGAATGATCACCTTGATGGCAGGCTGACTCGACTATATCTATCTGTGTGTGCAGACACGTTTCAGTCTTGGCTACCTCTTCATGGCCCGCGGAAATGAAGGAGATCTGAGCAAGGCGTTTGGATGCTTCAAGCGTTGTGCCTATTGGGGGCTATCTGAGGCACAGATGCGTGTTGCAGAGTGCTACGAACAAGGTCGTGGGACCGACAGCGATGGATTTGCAGCAAGACATTGGTTCAGTCAAGCAGCACAAAATGGGCATCCCGGCGGACAGTTCCATCTCGGACGCTGCTGGGAGAATGGGATCGGTGGATCGATCGATCTCAGCGAAGCCGTCACTTGGTACCAGAAGGCAGCTAATCAAGGCTACGCTCACGCTCAATATCATCTCGGTCGGTGTCATGAAGAAGGAACTGGAGTGCGTATCGATCCCGTTGAGGCCATGATATGGTACCAGAAAGCCGTGATCCAAGGTCATTCTGATGCTCGGCTTCGTTTTGGTCAATGCTTTGAACGCGAAATTGGAGTGGAGATGAATTTTGATGCAGAAAGTAACTGGGACCAGAGAGCTTCGAATCTCGACCACGATAAATCTCGCACTCGATATGCCTTTGTTCGCGGTTGGATCAACTTTATCGGTCTTGGCGTCCCTCAAGATGACTCTAGTGCTCTCAAATCCTGGGAAGAGGCCCATGCCAACTCCACCGACTCCATCTACCACACTATTTCCACACATATGCTTGGCTGGATGCACTATCTTGGCCGTGGAACTGAGCGAAATCAAGAGCTCGGCATCAAGTTGATCCGAGCCATTCAAAGCACCAAGTTCCCGCTTCGAGATACCAGTTGTATCGCGCCGTCGCATTGGTCCACAACAAGCCTCGATTCGGAGGAAACTCGAACGTTCTTCAAGCTGTGTCGATTGGGATCGAGCAGTGAGTGGCTCTGTAGACACCTCTTTGCTATCTGTCTTATCCAAGGATTAGGAACCACGATAGATCAGACCAAAGCTGCAAGAATCTTCGAGCAACTCGCCAATGATGGCCACGCCGAAAGTCAAATATGGATTGGAGAGTGTTACAGCCGCGGCTTGGGAGTCAAAGCGGATATCTCCGTAGGGTTTCGATGGTTACTCAAGTCGGCCAAGCAGAGCAGCTCCTATGGGCAATGGATGGTTGGCAGGTGCTATCGCTATGGATGGGGAGTCAATAAGGACCGCATTGCGACAGCCATGTGGCTCCAGATGTCGGCCGACCAAGGGAATCGATATGGGCAAGTATATATGGGTCGATACTACGAAGAATCTTGGGGTGTCGCCCGGAACATTGCTAAGGCGATCGAATGGTACCGCAAAGCCGCAGACCAGGGATGCCAATCAGCCCAAGATCGGCTGCGGATACTGCTCGGATAGACTTTCTCACATAGCCACCAGAGTTTTTCCCCCAAGAGGCTCGTTTTGCCATGTGCAGCGTGCTGATATAACAGTGGGACACAATTTATCTTGAATCATATCATATCATATCGCACGCTCGGCCAACAGCGACCAAGTGGACCACATCGCTTCCCCAGGTGTTCTGTGCGAGCATGACGAGGCGGCTGGAGTGCACTGTGGCGCAGCGATATGTCACGTGGGTATCCTCGTCGCGACCCGCCAGGCCAAAGAGCGCTCTGTTCCAGGCGGCGATCTTTGATCGTTCACAGGCAGGAGAACCGGCCGAAGACGAACGACAGCAGCCAGACCGTCGGCGAGCAGTGCAGCCGTCTGTGAGCACCGCAATACAAAAGGCCTGGCTGAGCGGGCGCCACCCGTGCTGTCCGTGCTGATGACAACGCTGCCGAGGATTTTCATTCCCAACAGAGCATCATCGGCTCTGGATGAAGGTTCGGATGCTGATGGATGCGCTTGTGCTGGATATTCGTCCGTGTCCTCGTTGCTGTCGTGGTTGTCCCAGGAGCCGCTCCCTGTCTCTCTCTGATCGGCGGTGTCGATCTACAGTATGACGATAATCCTGAGTGGAAGAGCAGCACCCGGTCCTGATCGTCGCTCCTCGCAGTGCATCAGTCTTGTGTATTGGCCTTGGGGGCTGCAGGCGACCTGAAGCGAGTCTTTTGCATCCGAGGGATCGAACGAGTGGCTGTTTCTCAGAAACAGAGGCTCGGTGGGGAGGGCTCGAGTCGATACATATCCTCGCCCCCCCCCTCGCTGCTCTGTCTTCTGCCGAAGCATTCATTCGCTCTGTCGCTGCGATGCTTGATGAGCCTGGCTGCCCTCTGGTGGCCGATCAGGCGTCTGCCAACTCATCGACCGTGCACTGGGCCGCATTTGCGTGGGGCCGACCGGGCCGGAAAGCTCAATGCCCACCATTAATCTTGATCTTATCTGACTGTGGGTCGACACCGCACCGCCAGGTGTATTGAGGGAGCTGCGTATCGGAGACTCTGGAATGCACCTCATGCGATCGATCGACTAACAGACAGCGATTCTATTTGGAGTGATATGCGGCAATGCCCAGCGATGCCATCAGCGATCGGCGTGGATAAGTGGAATGAGAGATGCGCCCCCCCCCAGTCTCGCCTCGACGGTTGGCTCGGCTGTCGTTGCTGGCGGAAGGGCCGGTAACCCGAGCAATTACTGGCTGCTTGGCTTGGGTCCAGTCGACGCCTCTTCGTCCCGCAGCCGGCTCAGTTCCCCAACATAGTCCGGAATGGTCTGGATTGCAAGTGATGATGGAGATTGGGTCAGATCCATGTCGGATGGCGGACAGAGGAGGATGAGGAGCTCTCCGTTCGCCATTATGGCGCCGCGAGATGTGATGGTCTGTGACTTTACCATATCGACTTTGTAGTAGGCCTGGACGGCGACGCTTCCTGTTGATGGCAGTGCCAGGGCGGAACTGTTAGCAGAGCCGAGCCCGCTATATGCCTCCGAAGCGTGGTGGCTGCCGGGTCTCTCTCAGCCTTCGCCAGGGCGAATCTTGGAGCCGAGTCAATTCCGGACGATGCGGATGTCGCCATCACTCATATCCCTGTCGCTTGTCCCGCGTTCCATCGCCGACTCAGATGGCCCGAACAACCGTACCGAGGTAGCAGCCGGTGAGCATGGCCAGCAAGCCGAGGGTGTAGCTGATCTTGATTGGGCCCTTTGGCACAGCAGCGGTAGCGGCGGCGGCGGCAGCAGGTCCTTTCATGTTGTCAGATCGCAGATGCCGTCCGAGGACGACACAAGCAGCGAGGCCCACACCTTGATCTGGCGCTCGCCCCTCAATCCATCCAGCCAGCGCACCAAACCGCACTCGAGCCGGCCGATGCGGTGTGACTCGCGCCCAGCGAAAACTGGCATGCAGATCCATTTCTCGTCTGGAAACAGCACCCACCACCACCAAGTCAGTCTCTCGCCGCACCGAGGTGCCTGTATCTGCTTCCACAGGGATCGCCCTCCTCGCCAGCAGCAGCAGCAGCAGCAGCAAACCACACCCCGGCATGAGCCAAACAATGCCTGCGATGCGCCGTCGCCTCGCCGTCTCGGTGCTGGCTCCGCGACGTCTATTCACAACGGAGCCAGCAGCCCCCTCTGACAGCCCGCACAAGCGAGCACTGACCCCGGAGGAGCGCCGGCTGATTGCGTCGATGCTCCGAGTCGACCACGCCGGCGAGCTCGGTGCAACGTGGATCTACAAAGGGCAGCATGCCGTCCTGGGCCGAGATTCCAAGATCGGCCCGCTGCTGCAGCACATGTGGGACCAGGAGAAGGTCCATCTTGCCGGCTTTGACCAGATCCTGGCCAACAATCGGGTGCGCCCGACAGCCCTTCGTCCCTTCTGGGAGGTTGCTGGGTTCGCCCTGGGTGCAGGCACCGCTCTGATGGGCAAGGAGGCTGCCATGGCCTGCACCGAAGCCGTCGAGACTGTCATCGGCGAGCATTACAACGAGTAACGTATCGCCTGCGGCTGCGAGTGACCATCGAGCCGATGGTGGCCTTGACCGGTTGGGTTGCTGTGTGAACAGCCTGGGCTGATTTGATGGTACATCCACTTCACAGCCAACTGCGGGAGCTCCTCAAGATCGATGACCCCGAGATCGCCAAGCTCCGGGCGGTGAGAGAAGCCTTGCTATTCAGCTCGCAGTGCGGGGGTCATCACCAAATGACATGCAACGGCCGTTGCCCTCGCTCGAGGACATTCGGTTGCCAGGAACACGCACCTGCAGATCCCGCTCGTCCTCTGATACAATCGACTGTGAATCGGCCACGCGCAGGTGATCAAAAAGTTCCGTGACGAAGAGCTCGAGCATCTGAACACGGCCGTTGACCATGAAGCCAAGAAGGTGAGATTGCGCCGGCGTCTGTTGTCGCTCTGTGACTCCTCGCTGCGGCATTGATGTTCACTTCCTCTGGCAATTCTCTATCCGCAGGCTCCCGCATATCCCGTCCTGACGGGCCTGATCCAGCAGGGATGCAAGACCGCCATCTGGATAGCCTCGAAGATCTGAACGGCGCAATTTCCAGCCCCTCCATGCCGCAAAGCACTCGTCGTCGCTGGGCGAGGTGGCAAGAAGCCCAAATACACAAGTTCGTCCGTCTGCCGCGGAGTGACCCGCAGGCTCGGCGCCATGAGCCAATCAATGGGCAGAAATTACATCTGCCGGACGCCGAAGCAACTCGCCAGAGCGATGCAACGGCTGGCTGATTATCCCGACGTGAGGGCGTGGCAAGTCGGCAGCCACGGATTGCGGAGATTGCCATAGATTGCGGAGAATCAGCATCGAGAGTCGTCGGTCAGCGTCTGTATTTCGGCTGCACAGGCGAGAGAGCTGCAGATGAACCTTGGGCGAGCGAGCACAGGCACAGGGCAACATGCATGAGCCGCCAGGGAATGGATCATCTTGCTCGCATAAGCTCCTTCCGACAATCGACCAGGCGGCATGCCGTGATTAAGCTTCCAACACCAGGCCCCAGGTGCGACGAAATGGGATTCTCTGGATGCATCGGCGGTTGCAACGAGGCGGGCCATGCCACAAGCCCCCGAGCTTGCATCAGGGTTGGTCTGGCCCGGCCTACTGGCTCTCGTTCTGCTTGAACTCTTCCTTCATTTTCAGCGCAGCCTCACGGATCTCCTCTCGGTTGCGAGGGACTCGCTGTTTGGTGGGTGTACGGGATGATGGTGTGCGGCATTTAGCAACAAACCCTTTGCGACCGACACATCCACTGCCGGGCACTGCCGCTGTGCAAGAAGGCCGATCCAGGGTATCTCTGGGTGCTTCCTCCAGCTTCTTTGTCCTCGGTCCTCCGACTGCTGATCTTCCGACCCCCGATTCGTTGATTCCTCATCGTTGCAGCCGCCGCCTTGGTGTACGAGTCCCAGCACTCCCATTCCACAGCCACTCGATCCACTTGCTCCAATCGCTCCAACTGCCACGGATGATAGTGTGTGTTTCTTACATAGAGCGTCTCGGGGTCCCGGCGGTACTCTTCCAGAACCGTCATCTGATAGGAGATCGAGGCAGAGGCACATGTGAGAGGCTTGCATGCGACTGGCCGGCACCAACGACGGTCGAGACTCTCGATGTTCTGGAGGGAGGGATCAATCGAACCCCCAAGAACGCGGCCCGAGATAGCGTGCATTACCTTTCCCTTTCCAAAGAACATGTCCTGAATCTCGGGGCGGTTGTAGACATACAGCGACAGCACAGGGAAGAGCGTGTAGATGCCAAACTGCTCGGCCGTAAGCGACGAGCCAGTTGAGCACGTCAGTTTCATGGGCCATGGCATGGTGCGTGATCCCATCCCGCCAAAGACGCTGGATGCGTCAGAGAGAGAGAAAGCGCGGCATTGCTGGATAGTGCAGTTGTGGTTGCAATCGTCGCTCATGCGGCTGCGAGATGACCAGTACACATCCACCCATCCATCCGACAAATCATGGCGGGGATTCCAAGGATTCCAAGGATTCAAGGATCGAGACTTGCCTTGAACATCTCACGGTTGACGGAAACCTGAACCTTGGGCATGGCGGTGGCGGGTGCGGCACAGAATCGGCAAAGTCGGGCAGGTGGGAGCGGGCGAGGATGTGCCGATGTGGGGCAGAGAGTGCAAGAAAGGTGTAAAATCGGAGGGATGGTGAGGCAGACGAAAAACGAAGTGACCTGCGATGAGTTGGCCACAGCGCAAGGAGCAAGCGCAAGGGGAAAGGGGTAAGCGTAAGCCGCAAGAGCCAGACGAGAGCACCCGAGAGCATCCGAGAGCTGACCGAGAGCTGACCGAGAGTGCACACACACACACGGCTGTCTATTTTTGGTGCCGCGCACTCCCATTGGCCAGCGCACCCATATGCTTTTTCTTTTCGCTCCGCCGTGGATCTGTTTCGGGGTTTCGTTGGCCCGATTGACCTGAACAGCCGCATTGACCTGGGTCTCTCTGCTCTTGCCCTGCGCTGTCCTGCTCTGCACCTCCGTCGCCATCGTTGCGTCCCGCCCTCAAATGACCATCGCCGACATCGACCCCCTCGAGTTCGCCAAGAGCGACCCGGCCACGTACTCGCGGCTGGAGGAGACCCTGCTCAACAGCAGCGGCTCCGTTGCGCTGCACCAGCGCTTCCGCGCACTCTTCACCCTCAAGAGCTTCAAGACCGACCAGGCCGTCGACATCATTGCCAAAGGTGGGTGTCTGGCTCATATCCGTTTGAGTGGGCGGTGCCGCCTATGTCTCGACAGAGCAGCAACAGGTGTGCTGTGGCTCACACCCTCGCCGCATCCGTTCCCTGCTTTGCCATGGAATGGCTGCCCTTGACTGGCAAACCATGGTCCCTGCTCAATCATCCACCAATCCTTGCACTATCGACACTGACGCCTCATCATGCGAATATCGACTCTACTGCCACCATCATTCCATCCTGTGAATGTCATTGCATCTCGAAACAACGTCCGGCCGTCCACATGGCCAGGATTCTCCGACTCATCCATCCTCTTCAAGCACGAGCTCGCCTATGTCCTTGGCCAGATGAAGAACCCCCACGCCATCAAGGACCTCGTTGCTGTGCTCTCAAACACGACCGAGGCTCCGATGGTCCGCCATGAGGTGTGCCGATCGATCGATGATGCTTGATCGGCGAGTGCTCCTGGCCGCTGTCGCTGTTTCTCACCCTGCCCACCTTTGACGGGCTGTTCCCATCCTGCGACCGCATGTGGAAATCCAGGCTGCCGAGGCCTTGGGTGCCATCTCGGATACTGCCGCCCTTGAGACCCTGATCCGCTTCAAGGAGGACGAGAGCCGGGTCGTTCGCGAGACGATCGAGCTGGCCATCGAGAAGATCCAGTACGACGAGAAGAAGCGACAGGGCTTGATCAGCGAAGATGTCTCCAACAGGTTGGTGGCAGAACCCCTCTTTTTTACATGTATCGGAATCGGTCTGATTCGACAATGTGCGCTCCAGTGCCGGATGGCTGTTGACGCAATCGATGTGATCGACAAAACCCATCCTACGATCGTGGAATTCTGGCTCAGGAATTCTGCTTGAAAATGAGCACAAGGGTCGGATGAATGGCATCGGATATGGACACTTTGTCGGAGCACTTGCTTTGAGTAACCAACTTGGTTTTGATCTTGCTTTCGTATTTCTGCTCGCTGCTGTTTGCCATCGTCTCGGTCTCGACCAAGCCTGTACACGTCCATCGACCCTGCCCCTCCTGTCACAGAGCAAGGCCAGTCGGTCGAGGAGCTGCGGAAGGCTCTCATGGATGCTTCGCTGCCGCTCTTTGAGCGCTACCGTGCCATGTTTGCCCTGCGCAACCGAGGCGACACCGATGCTGTGCTGGTAAGATTTCAGTCCGGATTGTGCGGGTGTTTTGGAGCACCTGGTCGTCTGGATCGTGGCTGATCTGCCGTGTCTGGTCCGCCACTACAGGCTCTTGCCGAGGGCCTCGAAGATGAAAGCGCTCTCTTCCGACACGAGATTGGTAAGTTAGGAACCTCGAAGGTCGACCGAGCGACTGTTTGCCCGAAATTAGTGGGATCAGGGTTGTTCTGGATTCGGGCTGGAATGCTTGTGTACCATGTGTTGTATTCCCTGCGGTGTGCAGGACAGTCCAAGCTCAAGACGAGAGCCCCGCTAACGCCTGCTTGCTCTGTTTGGACAGCATATGTGTTTGGACAAATGCAGCACCCTGCCAGCGTCCCTGCCCTGGTCAAGGTACGTCGGCGACACTGGATCGCGCTATTGGCCCGATGGACTTTTGCCCTAACGACACTTGCGTGAACGGGTACTCGACCTCGCTTGCACTTTGTGCATCACTTACGGATCGGCATTTTGACTCATGTATGGTCATTCCTTCCACCACTCGCGGTTACACCCTGTGACCTTAGTCTCTGTCCAAGACGACCGAGGAGTCGATGGTCCGACATGAGTGCGCCGAGGCCCTGGGCTCGATTGCTACGCCCGAGGTCTTCCCTGTGCTGAAGCAGTTCAGCCAAGACCCCGAGCGGGTTGTCCGCGAGAGCTGCATCGTGGGCCTGGACATGTACGAGTACGAGACTTCGGGCGCCTTCCAATACGCCGATGGACTGTCCTCTTGAAGCAGCGGCTGTCCCGCTCCCGGAACATATACACACTCCTGTCTCCCCGAGTCGATCCCACGTACTTGAAGCACATTTGCGCCGCCGTGTCCGAAGATCGGGGGTCTGCGATGGATACCGCAACAGAAAAGCGAGGGGAGAATGTTGGGTTGTGACCCCATCCGCCGATTTTACTCCCGATCTCGGATCAGTACAGGCGGCTGTGCCTGAAGCGGCTGTCCCTGGTAGTGATGTGCATCATCTACAAGGAATGGGTCATGAATGAGAAGCATTTAAGAAATTGGAAGCTGCTTCCATTGTGACTTTTGTATTTTACATCGGAGAGGGAGGGAGAGAGGGAGCCGTGATAAGAGACGAGGCCGAGCGTGGTTCCGCACAGGGGGGGATATTGGGGGCTCGAGCAGATCACAGCGCCACAGAGGGAGGGCGAAGGATTGGTTGTTGAGCCGCAGGTCTATTTTCCGTGCAGTCTCGCGGGGGAGGGGGTTTTAGGCTCCAGGAAATATGGAGGAAGGGAGGGGGAAGAAAAAGGAAGCAGAACTGTCCAAGCAAGTCCGAGGTAAGAAACATCAAGCAGCGCCAAGGGCGATTGATTGGGGAGGGGGCTCGGCGACAGGGAGACAGTTACAAACGAGAATAACACCGCCCAAAGACGGGAAGGCGGCAGTGCCAGAGCAGCGACAGGGACGACAGCGGAGAGAGATATTGGCACAACGAATGGACAGACGAAGAAACGAAGAAATACACATCAGAATGACGGAGCGAATAAAGCGGGGAAAGACAACAAAAACGAAGAGAGGTACAACTCGGACTGTGCAGCCGTATCACCGAATCGGAGCTCATGGACACTGGCTTAGAGGGCGAGAGCACCGACGGCGCCGAACAGGAGCGAGACGGCCATGGTGCTGAAAGACCAAGATCGCGTGGCGGCGCTGGCGGTGGGAGAGGAGGTCGCAGCCGCAGAGCTCGACGAAGCAGCGGCCGAAGTGGTAGCGGTCTTGGACGGAGCAGCGCTGGAGGAGGAGGCGGCGGACGAGTTGGAGGGCAGGTTGAAGGTCTTGTTGGTCTGGACGTTTCCGCTGGAGTCGATGACGACCAGGGTGATGCCGGGAGAGGAATAGTCGCCAGGGATATCGACGTCACAGCCGAGGGTGTCATGGCCAGCGAAGCACGGGTTGTCGACGCTGTGGTCAAAGGCATCGGTGATGTTGGGAATCATGCAGCAGCGGATGCAGAACTCGGCACGGGTGGTGTTGGGAATGACACCGACGAGCTCGATGTAGCGAGTGTAGCCCAGGCAGCCGGATGTAGGCTCGACACCCCAGGGAGCGTCGTCGTACTGGCCGCCAGAGCCGGGGGTGGGGTCGATCTGGAGGATGTTGTTGTCGAGGTAGCCGGTCATCTGAATCCAGTTGTTCTTGTAGTCGACGACCTGGTGGGCAAGGAGCACGGCCGCAGAGTCGAACTGGCGGGCGCCGGGGGCGTCGCTGGGGTTGGTGCAGTACGAGACAGCCTGGCCCTCGGAGGCGCCGATGCCCATGCCCTTGGTGGGGGGCAGCATCAGACAAAAGTCGGTGGGATCAGCGGGGTTGAGGTAGGTCCATTTGCCGGCGGTGGCATTGGGCCCGGCGAGGACGCTGGTGGAGAGCATGGCCAGGGCACCGGCGACCCAGGAGATCTTGTTGAGCTGCATTACGGCAGGACAGACGACGAAACAGACGACGGAGAGGGAGGGGGAAGACGAGACAGAAGGATGGGTGGTGCTGGGAGAAGCGAGCGGCCAAGGGGAGTTTATATAGGCTCAAAGGCGAAGCGAAGGAGGGGTCTGCTGCCTGCTCTGTGCGACGGACCGTGGCGCTGGTGGTGGCCAGGGCAGACCAAGCGGGGAGGCGGCGATCGCACAGAAGAAGCAAGGACGCACTGCGGGAGTAGGGATGGGAGGGCGGTGTGCATTGGGGTGGGAGAGCGGCGTGAATGGGGGCGTGCGAGGCAGGGCGAGGCAGGGCGAGGCAGAGTGGAATGAACGAGGCAGAGTGGAATGAGCGAGGCAGAGTGGAATGAGCGAGGACAGACGCACATGGATGGGGCTGGAAAGGTCGCCGTGGCGAGAAGACGAAACAATCGCATGCAGCAACGAAACGACGTAACAACCGCAACCACACGCACAGGGTACCGAGCAGGCCGCAGATCGGTGGCCTGGACGCACCACACGTTTCGGCCGCAGCGGTCCTCTTCTGCAAGGGGGCAACGAAACGTGTGGCCCGGCAAAGACAAATGCAATTTCGGCGCGTGGCGACACCGAGGCCTTGTGCGCGGCCAACAGCGGTCACGATGGGCAGCGCGCGAGCCCAAACGGGTCACGGCTGCGAAGATTCGGTTGGACAGGGCCTTCCATGGGGGTGCTGTGTCTGACCCATCGCGGCGCGGGTGGCACCGCAGGCAAGGCGGGCAAGGCAAGGCAAGGCAGGCAAGGCAAGGCAAGGCAAGGCAAGCAGGACCAGAGGCAAGGCAGCCACAGGCAGGAGCAAGCCGATGCGGTGGAAAGGCGATCGCGAGGGAAAGATCGAAAGTAACGACTGGTTTGGCGAATGGTCGCGAGGAGTTCATTTGACATATACAAGCAAGTTCGAATATACAATCAAGTTCAAATATACTCCCATGCGGAGCTGCCCGTCAAGCCGGCGAATCAAATGCCGTGCGCCAAATGCGCGATCCAGCTGCAAACCAATCGCCTGCAGCCCGTGTGCAATGAGCCCCACAGAACAACGCCGATGCTGTTGCACAACAGGGATCCTGCTCAGCGACCGCGCTGTGCGGGCCGGAGGAACTGCCTCCGCCCGCGGGGTCTGCAGCGCCGCCCTCCAGGCTGTGCTGCTGCTCGTGGTTCGTCCTGCTCAAGCCAGGGCCTTGTCCTCCTCCAGGAGAGCCGCTGGGCAGAGCCGCTGGGCAAAGCCGGAAAGCCCAGCACGGGGAACACGTCTCGCCACCCACCCACAGCCCGCAAAAGTGGTGGCGGGCAGGAGGCGAAAGTGCATCTCGCCCATGGCCATGGCCGTGGCTGCGAGGCGAAGGTTGCGAATGTCTTTGGCCTTCTCGGCCATGGTGTTGACGGGCGACCGCCATGAACGACCGCCATGAACGACATGCATTCAGCCCAAAGTGAAACCAGGGCTTGGTTTTTGTCGTGGCTCCTTGGCGCGCCCCTGTACTCGTCCTCTGCCCTTCATCTCCCGAACGCTCATCCCCCGAACGCTCATCTCCCCAACGCTCATCTCCCGGCCATGGCCGTCTCCGTCGGTCCGTCCACCTTCCTCTCGACGCCCTTCCTCGTCGGCGCCGTCTCGATCCTGATCTACTTCTCTGTCCTCGGCGCCGCCCTGCTGCTGTGTCTGCTGCCGGTGCTCTCGGCTCCGTCGTCGGCTCGCTCGTCCTCCGTGTGGATCTATCTCACCTCGGGTCTGGCCACCTTCGGCATCACCTGGTTCTACATCTTGCGCTGGATCGGCAGCGATCTCCAAGCTTACTGGATCCAGGACCCCGTCCAAGGCTTCACCAACTGGGTCGTCCACTCCGATCTCTTCGATGCCGCCTATGTCGCCGTCGTCAACAGCAGCGCCGGATGGTGGTGGTCGTGCCAGCATCTTCTGTACACCTTGACCGTCATCGTCTTCTTCTGGGCAGAGGGTCCGCACCGCCTCGATCCAGCAGCAGGCCCCAAGGCCAACACCAACACATGGATCTTTGTCGTCCTTGGATTTCTCGGCGCAATGGGCTTCAGCGTCCCGTTGTTCCTGGCCCAGCACCATATCTATGCCCGTGGTGAGTGCAAGTCCTTGTCTGTGCATTCTCATCGAACACAGGCATCCATCAGGCCTGTGCGTTCTGGTGGGCCCTGGTTCCTCCAAAGGACAGTGCCAAGCTGTCTGCTCAGTCCTCAAGACCCACATCTCGCTTTCCAGGCTCACTTCCGGTCCTGGTGCAGCCACAGCCGTCGATGCTGCTCTCGATCTGCATCGGCCTGTCGCTCCTGTCGGTGGTCTCCACGACCTACACCCCGCTCGACTCGCCGCTCTTTGGGTTCAACCTCAAGCTCCTCCACGGACTGCTGTTCTTGCCGATTGTCATCGCGGGCGGCCTCGGTATCTTTGCGCCTCGTCGCAGCGATCACAGCGATCGCAGCCCCCCAGAAACTGCCCGCCACCGATCCCACGACAGCGCCTCGCAGGGGTATCTCTCGAACTTGTATTGGCTCATAGCCGGGGCTGCAATCACGTCGCATGCCATGCTGACGCTCGACCACTTTTCGACTCGCAAGCTCGATGCGCTTGGACTCTGGGCTGCCATCTGGACGAACGACTGCCAGACGTCAATCTCGGTCGACTACCTGGCTTCTCTCGTCGTGATCACCTTCTTCATGGCGCGCGAGATCGTCCGCCAGTTGAGCCAGACGAGCCAGGCTTCAAAGCCTAAGCAACAGCAGGGTCTATTCCTGACGACCGTCGCCGTCGGGCTGCTCTGGTCCGGGCTGGCCGCCTTGGCACTGGTCGCCTCGCTCTCGGTCGTCTTCCCCATCTTTCTGGCTGTCCGCGAAGGCTGGAAGCTCTCAGCTGCTCAGCGGCACAAGACTGAATAAAGCCAATCGGGCTGCTGGACAGAAGCAATCAATCTTACTCGCCATAACACCCGCTCGTGCGCCACAGGGGCCAACCCGAGCAGCGGCGTTCGCGAACAGTTGCTCCGCATCTTCAACGGCCATCGATTCACATTGCTGATTGCCATGTCAGGCTGTGACAAATTTCAGAGGCTGACAGGGCCACCGTCTCTACAAGCAGTAGCGTCTTGACTGCACACCTGCTTCCTTCATTACCACCTTCAATTGCAACATGAGCACCATTCGCAGCATGGGCCTCTGCCACCTTCATATACGCCGTCCACAGATCGGTTCATGGACACAAGCTTCGTCCATGGTCAATGGTGTCAATATTCAGCCGAAGAGCCACAGGCACCCTTCCCGATGTGCATATCCCAATCCGGCTCTACCCCCACTCTCATACATCAAACTCTCCAAGATCCCTTCAAACAACCGTAGTCAGGATCTCCTTGATCTCGAGCTCAATCGCATCCAGCTCACTCTTGACTTGCTTCTCCTTCTCCGACAAGTCGCGCTTCAGCTGCTCGGCTTTGCTATCGGTGCCGCCACCCAGGACCGTAACAAGCTCCCGGTACATCGCCTTGGTCTTCAGGATCTTGTGCCTCTCCAGCGCCACGAGCCGCTCGAGCTGCGCCGCGTACTGCGGAGAGACAATCCGGGCAGTCTCGGCGATCTGCTTCATCTGGGCTTGGTTAGTCTCGATCTGGCGGTAGATCTCGTCCGAGCTGGCCTCGAACTTGGCCGCATCCAGCGAGCGCTTGAACTCGGTCATGGCCAGGCTCAACTTGAACCCAATCTGGATCTGCTGCGTTTGGATGTCTCCGACTCTCTGTCGGTGCTGCTTCAGCGCCCGAGCCACCACGGCTGGATCCTGTCATTGACGAAACAAGGGGAGCCGAGACACAGAGGCGATGAAGCGGAGAGTAGAAGAGGATCATGACAGCGATAAGAACGATAACTGGTCAGTACCGACAACAACGGTGCGCGAGGGAGTCGATTTGCGTCGCGGTGCTCGTGGGAATGCCAGATATCACGCCAGTCATACAAGTCCACAAGGGGCAACAGGCACGAAAAGGCAGTTCCACAAAGTGCTCGACAAGGCGCAAAGTCAAGAGGAGGGGGAGTGGGAGCTCTGTAGTAGAAAACGACATGCGGCCTGATAATGAGAGAAGCAAGCTTGTGAAATAGATCAAGCACTCTTGAGCAGAGAAGGGCAAAGAGAGCCCGAGGGCCACGTTTGGGTGCATAAATGGTGTGGTAAGGGGGGGGGATAGCCAAGATGATGCATGGGATTCAAAGGCCTCCCTGGGAACTGGCTTTTTTATTTGCTCAAAGAGAGTGTGAAAGGAGGGGTGGCGGGAGGGAGCGGAGCGAGAAGGGATAGGGGGGCGAGAAGGGAGGGAGCGGTCGAGCCGTTCGCAGAGTACCGTTGGAATCAAAACATAAAGCGGAAAAGTGCACATGTGATCATGCAAAAAGAGGTAAAAACGGAGACAAATGGGGGGGGGGAGAGGAGATGGGCATGTTCAAGCCAACCAGGTCGCCACTCGTTGGGCATATCCAGAGGAGGCGGTGCAAGAAGGCCACCGGCTTTCAGCAAAGCAGAGTGGCCTCCAGCCCAGAGACAACCAGGCCAACGCAACCCCTCCCCCATCCATACCGCCGAGCAAAGAACACAGAGCACAGAGAGACGCGAGACGATGAGCGACAAGAAATCAACGCGTGGTGCTTGCCTTGCTGATGGAGAGATCGAGGCGGGCTGCAATGATACCAATCAAGAAGATTGCGCCAAAGGCGGCCGACACCACCAGAGGCTTCTGGAAGATCCTCCACGCAGGGAAATCATAGACAATCTGTCGGAAGGAGCACGCAGACAAAACAGTGCGTGAGTACATGCATTGTGTGGACAGACAAAAGCATGAAGCGATCAGCAGGGGACGCGCCGGTCGCTGGCAGTCAAGTCGGACTCGGCGTTGTGGGGAATCGTTCCACGCATCCCCTCAAAGAAGACGCACCTGAATAGGCGCCCCAAACTCGTCCACCATGTTGCGCTTCTCGAGAACGACGGCCTGACGACCAGTGGAGTCGAAAACGGTGTAGTGCTTCACAAACGTCTGCTTGTCGAAGGTGTAGGGGCTCAGGATCTCGACAAAGCTAACACGATGTGCGGCCAAACAAAGGAGTGCATGAGTGGTCGGATTCAATGCTGGCTCGCTTGATGCTGGCTCGCTTGATGCTAGCTCGCTTGGCACTCCACAACGGGGCACACGCGATCTGGTCTGATCGCAGCGAGACACAGATGCTGTCGTCAAGAGGGCAGAGTCTTCCCCGAGCACGATGGTGGTTCGTGTCTGTCGCCGCATACATATCTCATCCTTCCCGCCATCTGAATGCCAACCACAGCCGCTGCGAACACCTCCAGCGCAAAAGGTGCGAGTGCCCGTCCAGATCCAGCACACTCGAGCACTGATCCGCGCTGTTGCTCTGATCTTTGCTGTCACTCACCTGGCACCTTCGGGGAGAATGATCTTGAAATGGCCGTGGTCGACGGTGACGTTCGGGATACTGCCAAGGATGGGGACTTGCAGGATGTAGCGGTCACGGTGGGCATCCTTCTTGACAAACTGATCGAGGGGCACATCGAAGGTGTGGTGCCAAGTGTACTTCCAGCCGCCAAAGACAGGGTATCGGGGCTTGATCTGCAGCAGCGAGCGCTGACTGTTCTGGTGGAAATTTGAGGTCGAGACGTTGCCGATGGCATCGCGGTAGAAGACGTTCTTGATGTTGGGGGGGAGGGTAATGTCGAGGGCCCTGAGGGCGTTGGGGATGGCCTTGAAGTACAGATCGACGCGGGCGTAGTGGCCTTTGAGCCTGCGCGAGGACGAGCGTTGTGGGTGAGGCGCGGCGATTAAACCACCCATCCAGTCGGCGTATGGCCGAGTGCAGGACCGAGGCCTGTCAACCGAGGCGCACGCGATCCACGAGCATCACTTACTTGGCGCCTTCGTTGTGCAGCTCGTAGTGTTCCTTGACAAACATGTTGTTTCCCCAGTGGCTGAGCTCAATCTCCTTCTCGTAGTTGCGGGCCACAGCAACGATCCTGGGGAACTCAAAGTGCACATAGAGAGGAGAGCGCTCAAAGGCGTCGACGGCGGTGTAAGGGCCGTACACAATGTCGGTGCCCTTCTTGACGACAGGGAGGTTGGCGTTGGTGTAGTTCTTGACATTGGAGGTGGGCAGGCTGGACGGATGGTCCGGAGCAGAGCGTTGCGGGTCAGATGGAGGTTGCAGGCGGTGATCGGATCATGCTCGTCTCGAGTCGCGTCGTGATTCGAGGGGCCATGATCGCCTCAGGGCCATATCTCGATACATCAAAGCTACCGAAGCAAAACCGCGCCAACGCCGGTCGCTCTGCGGGTCGTGTCGACGACGGACACGCCTCCCTCTCTTCATGCGATCGGTGGGCAAAGAACGCGACTCTGGACCGAGATCTTACTGGACAGTGATGCGCTGCTTCTCGGTGAAGTACGGGGTGTGGAAGTAGACCGAATCCGAGAACTCCACAAACTGCACGTCTGACTGGGCAATTGCCTTAGGGTAGGGCTTCAGGACATGGGTGTAAGCCACGTTGATCTGCAGGGTCAGCTTCTCGTCCTTGGCCAGGGGGCTGGCGAGCTTGACCTTGAAGTATTGAACATCGCTGGACAAGACGGTCAACAGCGAGACGGGAAGATTCAACATAGTCAGTGTCGGGCCGAGACAGACAGCTGCTGCAGATGCACTCTCGAGCCATCGCGCGGTATGTGTATGTGTCTGCGAAGGTCTTGGTCCGGCCCCGACCAGGCGCCGCAATCCGTCATCAGCGATCGCTGAGACGGGACCGGAGTGGGATGGACGCGAGGATCGTGGCGAGATCCATTGCCTGGCCGAGCCGGGGGATACTGTCGTTTCGGGATCGCATGCATGGAGATCACCCAAAGAAGCAGTGTATGCACACAGAGACGAGAAAAGAACTTACTTGGCAGCGTCGAACTGGCTCTTCTCGACGAGCAGGTCCTGTGGGGCCTCCTTCTTGGGAGCGGTTTTGGCAGTCAGGAGACTGAGCGAAGCATCCGCAAGGGCAGCGGGGACCGAGAGCCAGTACTCCGAGGCAGGACTCTCGCCCTTGTTCTGGATGATGATGGTCGTGCGCTCTCGCACGATGGGGCTGCTGAGATCGATGAAGCGGTGCAGGTTGCTGTTGACAAGGTGCTGGGGAATCGATACGGGGACGGCCTTGACATCTTCCTTGTCGCCCTTGGATCCGGCCAGAACATGCTGGGAGAAACAGAGCAGGGCAACGAGGACGCCCAGCAGCAGGCGCAGGCCGCGATGGGTGTGAACCGACTTCATGTCGCCGTGGATCGGTCTGCTGGCCGAGGAAGTTTGGCGAGCCGGTTGGGTTGGGTTGGGTTGGCGAATGAGCGGCACGGAGAGCGTGGAGTCGCAGCTCGGCAGCGCAGAGTCGCGATCGCAGCAAGCATCGAGAGCCGCACAGGCGAGCGCTGCCGTCGCCGATCTAGCGTGTGTAGGGGAGGGGGGCATGCAGGACCTACCTGAAATCTGGAGATGGGAGAGGCCCGTGTGGAGGAAAGCAGCGATTCTGGCCCAAGATGCCTCGAGATTCCACAATCCCTCGTTTTCCTTCTGGCTGGGCGCGCAACCCTACGCCAGGGTGAGCAAGGCATCGCAGGGTTAGGGCTGGCGCGTCTGGCGCGGGCCAATCAGCTTGCGTGCGGCGAAAATGCCACGCCCAGCACCACGCAGGAAAGAACCTATCCAGCCATCCGCTCTCGATATGGGTGATGGATGGATGGATGGATGTGTATTCAGGACCTCGAAAAGGCCGCCAGTCGCGCTCAGAAACGATGGTGCCGTTTCGGTTTGTGTGAGGTTCTACTTCTGCGATCTAGACATCTCAGAGCCGGCGGCATGGCAGCCCTCACACACCATGACGAGCGAATCATAGAGTATAGCGGCCGTTTTCCGTGATCGACCCAGCAATGCCATCGACGCCGCTCGTTCCTCACGACCAAATGTCTTTGAGGTATCGCTTGGTGTTCGACAACTCGGCGAGGAACTCAATCGCCTGCACGGCGCCCTCAAGCTTGCCCTCCTTCTGCACAACCTCGACGAGCGCGTTCTGGACTTCCTTGGCCATGGCAACCGATCTGCAGATGCCATTTGGCGAAGCATGAATGAGCAGTCAAGTACAGCACTAGTCTGATATGCAAACTGTCACAGACGGAGGCGCCTCGGCTCTACTTCGACTCATCCCACGGGCAAGGACGCATCTGATGGCAGCATATCCCACAGGGCAGCAGGCGGTGTGCGCAGACCAACTCGCTGCAATCAGCCCGGATACCCCAGCTTACCCGCAGACATAAATCACAGCATCTTTCTGGATCCACGACCAGATGTCGGCCGCATGAGCACGGAGGTGGTCCTGCACGTATTTGAAACCCTCGGGCTCGCGCGACGTGGCAACATGCATCTCGGTGAGCGAGCCGTCCTTCTTGAACAATTCAATCTCAGGGGCGTACAGAGCATCGTCCTGCTGGAATCGGCGGCCGTGGTAGAGGAGCGCGGGGCCGACAGGGGTGCCTGAGTGCGCTTTCTTGTGAGCAGCGCGATGCTTCAGGAATCCAATGAACGGCGTGATGCCCGTGCCGGCAGAGACCATGACAATCGGTCTCTCGAAGGACTCGGGCAGGACAAAGTCACCTGCGGGTCTCGGGAACATGGCAATCTTGATCGCCTTGCTTGTGAGATCGACTTTGCCTTGCTCGACAACACTACCGGTCAGCTGGTCCAGCCACGTCGAGCACAGACCGTGCACGGTTTTCTTGTTTGGCCCCTCGGTCTCGTACTCGACAATGTTGAAGGCAAAGGCAACCTGGTTGGCGCCATCGAGGGGGGAGGATGCGACCGAGTAAAATCGAGGTTGAAGTCGGGGGACAGCCTCGAGCAGGCGATCGACAGGAACATGGCACGAAGGGAAGGTGGCGAGGATGTCAAGCAGGGTGGGGGCTTGGGCACGGAGGGCTTTGTATGCGTTGCTTCCTGCTCCAAATAGACACATTATAGACAGCAAACACAGATATCAATACTATGAAGCCTGCCAGTGATCCGTTGCACATTGGCATCAGTGTCGGCAATGCTGAAGATGGCTACCTTGAGTGCTCGACAGGAACATGAGCTGGGTCTTTTCCTTCTCATCGGACGTGTACTCGGCCAACAGACGGAAGAGGGACTTGCGGGGCAGCGAGTGTAGGTCCAAGAAGTGGCGGAAGATCTCGTAGTAGGATGGCGGGATCTCTGTCTCAAAGGGGGGAGCTGGGGTTGGGGTGGCGCAAGCCAGGGCGGTGGTTAGTGTAGCTGCACGACGAACAAGTATCGAATGGCAGTATCAATGCAGGATGAATTGCGCTTCACGGACGCTCTCATAACTACCATCTTCCTTTTTCTTGGGCTTCACCTCGACGACGGTTTCGGGGTCCAGACCAAGTCGCTTCAAGAGTGGCAGGACCAGTCCGTCAGGGTTGGGACAGACGATGCCAAACGACGAGCCTGGGACGTAGTCCCAGTCCAGCGCTCCGAGATCCAGCACAATCTCGATGACTCTCTTGAGGGCTTTGTTACCGGTCAGGCAGCGGACCGATGCCAACTTGGCCTGGGTGTATGGAATATGCGCCGTGTATGCATACACTGACGAATTGGCGCCGTCCTCGGTCGTGAAGGTCTCGGCGGGATTCCACGTCGACGTCGAGAACGGGAACACGATCGTCCGGCTGGCCTTGAGCAGACGGGGCTCCTCAAACGGAATGACGTCCAGATACGTGGGAGGGAGCTTGGCCAGGCCAGTGAGGGACGTGGCCTCTCCCAGAGACGACATATCGACGACAATCGGCACCGGAGTGTAGTCCGGCTGTTTGGGCACAGCCGGCAGCGCCTCGGCCAGCTCCTTCACGACAATTGTCGCAGTAGACTCAGCGGGAGCAGGCTTGGACAAAGGCTCTGCAGCCTTGGGCTCTTCGGGAGTCTTTGCATCGCCAGTCTTGGTACTGCGAGTGCCAAATGCGGAGACCTTTCCTTCCGCCTGCACTCGCTCGTGATAGGACTGAGATTTGGTCGCATCGAATTCGACGACATTCGGAAGCTCCTTCCACAGGGTCTCCAGCCAGCCCTCGACGGCCGGCTCAAGGCTGCACAGGGCAGAGGGAGTCCAGATGAACCAGTCAGGACAAGGCTATGACACCGAGCGATGCAGTCAAAGCGAGTCTGGCAAGCTCTGGCTTTCGGCGCTGCTCCTACCCGGTTGCTTCATCGGCGAGACCCTTGGGGAACAGAGGCATGGCGCCCAGATCGAGCAGCTTTCGCTCCAAACGCTTGGCGGCCTGGCAGAAGTTGGAATAGTTGGTATCTCCAAGACCTGAGGCGAGTGGAAGCAGCAGTCAGCGCTTCGGATAAAATCGAGGCTCGGCGGACAGACACAACGATGGCGAAACACCAGGACGATGGAGACTGTGGTGCGCTAGCGTCGATCGCTGCACTCACCGAGCATGACAAACTTTTTGTCCTTGAGCGCATCCAGCTCGCCTTTCTTGGCACGACGGAACCAGCGCCAGAACTTTGTCGAGTTGTCTGGCGGATCGCCGTCGCCGGTGGTCGAGGTCACAAAGACCAAAATGTTGTTCTCGGCAAAGGGAACCTGGCAAGAGAGAGCAACAGCATATTCAATGAGCCGTGTGCCCGATGAGATCAATCTGCCGGATGCAATTAGGCTACAGTGCGAGCGGCTTGCTTGTGCGGTTGGGAATACCTTGGCATAGTCGTCCATGACAAAGTGCGAGGACGAGTATCCCCGTTCCTGCGCTTCATGGTGGATGTGCGACGAGATCCACTCGGCATTGCCGGTTTGCGAGGCGTAGAGGACGACGATGCTGCTGGCTTTCTGGGACATGGCGGGTGCGGCGGGGTGACTCTGGACAGATGCAGTGCAGACGCCGGGCAGACGCTCGGCAGATGCTGGGCAGATGCAGGGGAGCAGTGGGCGGCGAGCGACGAGGCAGATCCGATGGAGAAAAAAACGGCCCTGCTTGACGACATGCGCACCTTTTTGGGGACCGTGGCACAGACTGAGCCGCGCGGCTTCCTCGTGACAGGGGGTGAGGTTTGGGGCGGCGGGGATGCTCAGCCCAGACACGTGCCATGATGTCGGCCTTGGTGCCACCGGTCCTGATGCGTCGCCGAGTTGATGTTGCCACAGCGCCGGCATCATCAGATAAACGCCATGAAAGCCGCATCAGGCCCTGAGACTGGCAGCGACGACACATGCTTCGCCGTCTCCGTACACCAACGCTGTTCTCGGATATGAAGCTGCGGCCATCTGTCTGTCTGTCGACGACACCACAGACTCTCTCCAATCATGCGAGCAGCCTTCCGGCCCAGATGCGAGCCCAAGCCCCGCCGCGACAGAAGGGCGCTCCGACAAGTCATTCGTCCGCCTGTCCACACATCAAATCGCCACACCACACCCACATCCGCGTTCCTCCAACGCATCAGGAGACAATCCAGGGAACCTGCTCCAACATCCGCCAGGGCACATCCTATCCCTGCTACTGGCCTGTCGTTCGCGTCGCTCCTGGATCTGCGCGAAATGAAGCCCAAGCAGGATGAGGGCAGTTGCTCTTTCGGAGAGCTCGCGGCTCCCCCAGCCGCGGTAGCCCCGCCACGCATCAAGAAAACCGATCCGCTCGCGCTCGACAAGTTACAGGGCAATCTTCTGTATCCAGATTCCATGTCCGACATCACCGCCCGCAACGGAGGCGTCCTCTACGCATCGCGAACCACCATCGGTACCTCCACGTACGTTTCCGAAACCGTGCCGCTCGTCGACAGCCAGTTCCGCCCGACGTACTTCACCTACATTTCGGCCGCAAACGAGCGCGTCGCCGAGGCGGCAGAGCGCAAGAACCACCTGAAGCAGTACTTTTCGCTGCGGGTTGTTCCGGGACAAGTGGCCATCAATGACTACGAACCCGGCAAAAAGTATCAAGCCACCTTCAAGATCCAAAACTTCTCCAACAAATCCCAGAAGGTCACCCTGCACCCGCCTCGCAGCCGATACTTTACGCTGGTCGGCAAGGAGATCTTCAAGGATATGCAGATCGCGCCTGGCATCGAAGCCGAGGCCAAGGTCGAGTTTTCGGTGTCTACAGCGCTGTCCATGACGTCACTCGCCCGCAGCCCGCATGGCAGCCTGCAGTCGCTGCAAACTCAGCAGCCCGACAGCAGCTCAGCCGAGATTTACTCGGACAAGATCCAGATCGACTCGGATGCCTGCGAGCCCATTGTCGTCACCCTCCATGCCTACCCCGCTGCCCCTGTGCTCAGATACGACCGATGCGTCGATTTTGGGGTCGTTGTTGCTCGACGAGGTGCCGAGCCCGCACCAAGCCGTCCTGAGCGCAAGGTCACTGTTGCCGCCGAGTCGAGCGCCAGCAACAGTGTAACCGAAATCTCCAAGTCGATCGAGTCCTTGTCGAGCCGCAGAGACTCTCAAGAGACGATTCCCGCCATCAGCTGTGAGCCTGTCGTTACGTACCTCCAGATCCGCAATGTCGGTCGAGTCAATGCCCAGTTTAATGTGATTTATGACCATTCACTGCCCCTTCGCATCACCCCGACCTCCGTCACGCTCGGTGCAAATGTCTCCGGGAGTCAGGATCACTGTGTCCTCAAGCTTGGAGAAAGCACAAAGTCCAAGCGTGCCAGACTGCCCAGCTCGTGCGAGCTCAAGATTGAGCTATTTCCCAGGGTCGTTGGCGTCTTTCGAGAAGATGTTCTCATTGACATCTCTGGCCAAACCCTGATTGCGAGGAAGCCCAAGGGCGCAGCTGCAACATTAGCTACCGACGCAGTGCGACAGCTTCGCGACCAATCTTCGCTCGGCTTTATTGTCTCGGCCGTCATCGTTCCGCACAAGCTGCGCCTGCAGAACATCAAGGGCACGTTTGAACTAGACCCAAACAACATCCACTTTGGATCAATTTACTATTCGCAGGTCGCAAAGTTCCCCGCCAAGCTCGAAAACCGCAGCACGGGCACACTCAAGTGGGTCATCACCCACGCCGGCCAGAGTGCACCGATGGTTCCGTCGCAAAAGGACCTTCTTGGACAACACAGCCGCTTGACAGGCACCACTCTGAGTGGCATCGAGGAGAACAGGGCCTTTGTCTCCGTCGTTCCGACAGAGGGTATCCTCGAGCCCAACGAAACCACCATCATCGTCTTCCAGTTTGCCCCATCGGTCACCAATCCGCTGACAGGATTCAAAATCTCTCGATCCGATGCACCCCAGCAGCTCTATCGAGTGCCTATGCAGCTTAAGATCATTGACTCGTCCTCGCAGCAGACTCCCTCCTCAGGCGAAGAACCCATCGATTTGCTTCTCACAGGCGAGGCCTGTCCGATTCGATGCACGCTCTCCAACAATGAAATCGACTTTCCCGACACATTCATCGGAAACTTGACATCGACAGAAATCAGCCTCCACAACTCGAGCGAGCGCTTGGGTCTCAACTACCGATTTGACAAGGTCGCTCACTTCACCGTCTCTCCGAGTCACGGGCATCTCAAACCCATGGAGTCGACGAGCATCGCCATATCCTTCAAACCGCACCAGCTTGGGTTCCTGAAGAGGAGCATGCACTGCATCATCTCCTCGACAGACCCGCTTGTCATTGGATCGGCATCGGGATACAACGACTTGATTGATACTTCGCAGTGTGTCCAGGAACTTAAAACCATCGAAATTCGACTCCAGGGCAGCTGCGTGGCAAAGAGTGGCTCTCGAATAGCACCCAGACCCCTTAAAGAGTGTGATGCTGGCGAGGCGAGGGCAGTCCAGGTGGCCAAAAAGCAGCCGCTTTACAAAGGTACGTGGGCGAATGGAAAATACCGGGCGAATGGAGTCCTGGAGAAACAAACACACACGTTTAGAGGGTCCAAGGACGGACATTTGTGGTTGCGGTTGAGGCGGCCGCATCTGATCGCACTGAATGCCCTCACTCACTTTCTCCAAACTTGGCGTTGTTGCTTTGACCATGAATGGATCGAACGGCTCGGCCGCTTTGCTCTCTGCCAATCGCTTTCTCCCACGCCACTCTCTCACACATTGCTCTCCCCTCAACCACTCCCCGTCACCCTTCTCTCCCACAAATCGCTTTCATGTACCCGCCACTGTAGCCGAGGTCGCCGAGTTCCCCAACAACATCTCCCAGCTTCGAATACCCTCGATACACTCCAAAGAAATGATGCTCGACCAGTGGCAAGACAAGTCGTCCAACCGCCATCGATTCGCAGACTACCTCCGGGATTCGCGAACAGAGCGAGTGAAGAAGGGCCGATCCGAGAATCTCGGCGATGATGGAGTCGTGGTCGACTACCAAAAGCACTCTGTGTACGAGGACTACCATAATACTGATCCGCAAACGGGCCTCAAGATCTACGAGCCAGTCTGCAAGGCACTGAAGTACAAGTCACCTGCATCGGTCGACAACATCGATGATCGCGCCTTGTTTGAGCCCGTCACCAGCGACAATCGCAAGCTGAGGCTGCTGTTCCAGAAGCTCATGGAGCCTGTTGTCCACAAACTCAAGCCCACACTCATCTCCAAAGACAGCAAAGACCGGGCAGATCGCGCACTTGTCACCGCCGCCGCTTCCGACTACGATACGGCCCTGTCGAGCGCCGACCTGAAGAGCATATTTACCGGCAAAGCCACATTGGAGTTTGGACAAGTGACCGTCCACTCGACCAACACGCTGCCTCTCAATTTTCTCAACATCACGCCAAACAAAGCCCCAATCCACATATCGATGCTGCCGAGTGAGTTCAGCATCAGATCCGACGACGTCTCTGGCAATCTGTCGGTAGCACCAACGCACTTGGTTATCCCTCCAATGTCTGTGGCGGGGTTTGAAGTCAACTTTCAGTGCGACACGCCCGGCAACATCAGCAAAAGCATAACGTACCTGGTGAATGGTCGATACAAATATCAGATTCCGGTCGGGTGCACCGTAGCGCCCGTCAACCTCGAAATCAGCGAGGAGAGCCTTGAGTTCTACGTGCGTATCCGCGGTAGCCCCGGTAGTGCTCCGACAGGCTCTCTGGGAGGCATCAGCAGCGATCAGGGAGTCGACTCGAGCGTCACTCTCGCGCAGACCTCTGCAATCGGCAGCGCCAATACCGCATCGACCCACGAGGCGCGCCGCATGTCAAATCTTCAGGCTCAACTCGCAGCGGCCAAGCCCGTCGTCGAGGCGGCTGTTCCATCGACATCAAAGACCATCAGGCTCTCAAACAAGGGAAACTATCGAGCATCCTTCCAGTGGTTCATTCCGACATTCGAGTCAGGAAACAAGACCGACGATAGCGGCGACAAGGTGGCAACTCTTCAAAGCCAGACTTCTCCGGCGTCGCCATTCACTGCCGAAGGTTTCTTCCGCGTGTCTCCCATGTCGGGGACGGTCGAGCCGCACAGCGAAGTCGAGGTACAGGTATCTTATACGCCAGGGATCAAGCATTTCCTGGACGATGTGCTGCAACTGCGGATCTTGGACGATGCCGATGAGGGGTCGTCCAAAATCAAGAACATCCTCAGTCTACCGTGCCACGGAGAAACGGACGTGTCGACCTGCAACCTGCTCACATCCACCAAGCAGGGGCCACTTGACCTGGGCACACTTGCAACTGGCTTTGATCGACTGTCCAGCCCTCACGGTGCACGGCGGGTCTCATCGCACGCCCGTCGTTCCTCCATGACGTCTGGCCCTGGACCGTCGTACCATCTGTACAACAAGCTATTCGAGGTCATCATCGGCGCGCCTGTTGGAAACAGCTCCTCCAACACGAAGATACCCCCACGCGGGTCCAAGATAGTGCGAATCAAAAACCCCGGGTCCTCGCCGTGCTTTTTCCATGCACATACGGCCACGGCCAACTTGGATGTGACAATCCATCCGCAGTTTGGTATCATCGCTCCTGGCACCATTGCGGAACTGATGATCTCGGTGCTTCCCTCTCGGACCGGCGTCTGTGAGGACTCGCTCGTCATCAATTTGATCGGTAACTCCAAGGTTCTGCGCGTCCCCTTCAAGTACGATGGAAAGTCGTCCGACGTCAGCATCCAGCCTGTGGGGCCCGACCTCGAACGGGGCACCATCATTGGCTCGTGGAGCTCACGCGATCTGAACATGAGCAACCGCGGCATGACGGCGTCGCGGATCCTGTTTGACCTGCGCAAATATCCCGATTATGAGATCCGGATCAAATCAATTTTCGACGGAGTCGACGCGAGCACCTCGGCATTTAACCGGATCAGCTCGCCCATGAACCGGAACCGAGCAAAGTCTCCGGGGGCCTTCCAGCGAGGTGGGGCGCTGCGTCCAAAGGAGGACATGCTTCTGCTGGTCAAGCAGCGGATCAAGGCGATAGGATATGTCGACGACTACTTCAACTTTGATGGCACATTTGCCCGTAGTAACTCTGTGCACCAAAGCCAATCGCAAATCCGTCGTCCAGACGATCTCGGAAAGAGAAGGTCCGTCACCGAGCGAGAGGACTTTATCAATTCGTCATCGTTTGGCTCGCTGTACTTGATTGATATTCTGCCCTCCGAGACCATGATCTGTGAGTTGGTTTTCCATCCGCGGTCAGTGCAAACATACTCGTTCAGGCTGCCGGTGTGCATCCTCGGCTCGGTGAGCCAGCCAACCATATCAGTCGAGACCGAGGGTGTTCCTTCGCCCATCACCATCAATCGCATGGGAATCAACTTCAAAAACAAGGTTGTGTTCAGGGACACGGGCTCGTCAGGCATATCGCATTTGAGCACCGCCGCCAAGGACACGTTCAACTTTGAGAGCAACCTCGACGGCAAGCCGATCGAATGGTGGTTTGATCTGGAGCCTCTCGAGGACAGCGACAATGTTTTCAAGTTGGATCCGAGCCGCGGGGTCCTGCCACCGGGCGAATCGCAGACCATCATTGTCTCGTTCCAGCCCGAGACCACAGGCGTCTACGAATCAGTGCTGCCGTTGCATATGGACTACCTCGGAGCCAAGGCGCCGTTCATGATCACGCTGCAGGGGACGGGTGTGGAGCCGTCTCTTGCATTCGACCCACCCGAGATCTTCCTGCCAGTCGTTCCCTCGGGCAGCGAGTCCACAGCCATCTTCAATGTCGTCAACTATGGCTGTGAGCGCACAGAAATCAAGTACAACATCCAGAAAGCCATGTTTGAGCGCCATGGGTCCCTCGATCTGATCTTTCCAGAGGGTAGGCTGCTCAAGAGCGACGGCGAGAAGCTCACGGTCGTGGCCAAGTTTGCTGGAAATGCCGCCAATCCTCCAAAGCCCTTCTCTTTCATGACCAAGATCGAGTTTTGCGATAACAATGGGCGCACCTTCTATCTTCCGGTCTCTGGAGCCTTCGACACATGTATTCTTTCGCTTCCGAGCTATTTGTGGATCAACCGTGCATCGCATCATTATGTCGAAAGTGAAGCCACCGGAGGAATCCGGTTCGAGAGCATTCGCCCCGAAGCCACCTTGGACGAGAATCAGAAACGGTTTGTGCCAAAGCGCATGCGCTCCAAAGGATTCAGCACCAATGGTTTGGTGCAGCTCCCGATGCTGATGCTGCCTTGATCACACCTCGTTGCAGGACTCGAATTCTCTCGGGACCGCGTCCTTTCAAGACACCGTGTGGCATTACGCTAGAAAATGGTGCCGATTTGGCAGCGATTGATGTCTTTCTGCGCGAGACGGGCGATACACTTGCGCGCTGGCTCGACGATCATCTAGGCGTCAGCACGGTAAGCACTGCGAAGACTCCCTACGCGCTCCTCTGGGTGCGAGTATTATTCTGCATCCCTGATCCCGGCTCGCTGAAGGGAGGATGGTGCAACCGTGGATGCTTCGGCTGGAGTATTGAATCTGTCGATCGCGTCGACTTTGACGGCAGGCGCTCGAGACTCCGTTCCCAACAATGCTGACCAACGGCAATGGCAAAGTTATCTTCGACCTGGTCCAGTCGATATCAGGAAGGAAGGTGCTCGGCCTTGCGTCTGCCGGAGCTCTGTGTAAGTACAGCGATTGTATTCGGCCCGGTACATGATTAGAAAGCATCGACGGCTGACCATACTTGACCACGACGACAGCCACCAACGCAGATGACAAAATCAAGATCCTTTACAAGCAGTACGTTGACTTGCTTGACCAACTCGCGGCCGTCGGTGGGCTTGTGAGCTCGGTGCGTGCAGAGTACCTCCTTTCGTGCGAAGACTTTAAACGGTGCAACAACCAGACGATCGAGGCGCTGGTGAGTTGGCTTCTTGTGCAAACAAGAGCTTCTAGATGAGTTCTTGCTATCGGATCAATCAAGCCGCCTCACTGAACACCATCGCTTGAGAGGGTGGCCGCCCTATCTAAACGCCCGTGCTGCTGATGCCTGTACGACCAGAAATCCGATCACGGAGGATACATCCACGACGAGCAACTCGAGCAACACCGTCGTGTTGAGCGGTACTTTGGGATCATTTCCAAAGAGAACTGGATCGTGGTGCTTGCGCAGATTATTCGGGTGTATGTCGCGCAGATGCAAAGCCTCAAGCACTTTAGGGCTCTCCAAGGGGTGCAGAAGGACGAAGCTGATCTCGATTGGAAGCATGGAGGACCCGGAGACATCTACAGTGTCTCGGAATTTGTGCTGTTGAAGTGGGTCAGCTACCACAGCTGGAAGGTAACCGCAGTCTCGCTTGAAGCCTGTGCTTGCGCCGTGACCCAGATGCCAAAGTGGGGCTTGGATGATCTTAGCAGCACGGGCTCGAGTCTGTTAGTACAGGTGCATCCATATAGATGGGAATTCGAACATAGCACTGGAGTGATTGATTTGTTATCGGCCGCTGCTGGAAATAGCTCACCCTATGATCCGTCCGAACAACCCATGGATTCCCTGACTTGACAGCGCACTGGAGTCGTCAAGCGCCTGCTCGACTTTTCACAGAGCTTCAAGGGCTGCACGCCCCTGATGGATTTGCTCGTGGCACACATTCCCTCGTTGCAGCAGCTCTATTTTTCCGAATTCAACCGAGATCCGGTGGAGCAGGAGGAGATCTTGAACAATGCCACAATGATCACGGCCGCCCTCTGCGACCTCTATCCGAACTGCAGCGGCGTCAACATCCCGCTGCACCGGCTGCTTGAGCCCGACTACCATGAGATCTATTTGCTGCTGCTGTTTCTGTACCAGACACTGCCGAGCTTCATTCCCAAGGGCACGATCGAGTTTCGCGGGCAGCTTCACGAGCGAGTGACGCACTCGATCGAGCTGTTCAACCCAGCGAGCCGAGTCCTGAGCTATACCTACAGCATTGTCGGCTGCCCTCACTTTGAAATCACCAACGAGCAGGCTCTGAGTCTGAGTCCCAAGTCGTCGACAAAGATCGAGATCTCCTTCAAGAGCCGCTTCAGCCGCAACGTTGAGGCGCAGTTGATTCTCAAGTCCAAGAAAATGGGTTTCAACAACGCATCCATCGTGGTGTTCAACCTCGTTGGATTCGTCACCGGATCCAATCCAAAGAAGGCGTTTCGCATGGAGTGTCCCATCTATGCCCTGCCACCTGCGACAACAGATATTCCGATCACAAACCCGTTTCCGGAGAAGGGCCACTTTTTCGTCCGAATACGCCAGTACCGGGTATGTCGGCGGCAAACTGGGGCCGAATATGCAGCAGGAACGGGCCGAGTCGGCACTAATGCGGCGACTCACTTCCATTCGTATCGTAGAAAGTATCGGCTCAAGCTCATTCGCAGAGCATCTTGGGAGACGGCTCCGTGGAGCCACCCAGCAAAACAAAGGCATACGAGGTGGATAAGCCCGTCGCGTTTGTTGGATTCCAGGGTGTCAACGCTGTTCATTTGCGCTGAGACTCGTCGCTGGGGTAGCCAAGAGAGAAGGATGCGAGTGACGGTGCGAGTTGGTCGATCCGGACTGCGGTTCCAGCTTTGCGACACTTACAGTTGATACGATTCCATTTGTCACATCAGCTTATCCCAACCGAAGTCTACAACCCATTGCCATTCCGCATCAGCACCGAGGAACTGTCTCTTGAGGCAAACGAGACCGTGGCAATCACACTGTCGTTCCTTCCGTTCGAGGCAAGTGCGGCATCGCTGGTGCTCCTGTCTCTCGCTCTATATCGGTCGTCCTATGGCATGCTCTCATAGTCGCGAGCGCCACATTGATGGCAAGTCACCGCATGAGTCACTTTGCAAAAGCTAACCGGATCAATATGCGCCCTTGGCCATAGTATGGCTTGCACGAGTGCATTATCGAGTTTCTCGACGACAATCTTGGCGAGTTCTCCTACCGCATCGACGGGCGAGCCACGCTTCCACAGCCTCTTGAGTCCTACCAATGGACATGCAAGGCATCACTGAATCTAGAGAAGCCTGTGAGAGTGATTCCGATGAATGTTCACCGCGACAAGGCTGTGCACTACATCCTTCACACCCCGACGGTCAGCAAAACGCATACGGGCGGTAAAACTCGGATCAAAGAGAAGGCATCCAGTCAACTGCTTGACCGTGATCAGTACACTATCCCAAAACGGAGCGGCCGATTCAAGGTAGAGTTCCGCGGCTACAACAGCCGGTACAGCGACACGGACAATGATTGCTCGAGTTCTGAGTAAGATTCGTGCCGAGAATATGCTCCTGATCTGATCTACTCTGTTTAGGTCGAATACTCGTCGCAGTACTTCCACGGACCAGCAGAGATTTTGGTCAAGGCGCCATCTGACATGTCTGTGAAGGACAAAAAGAACGTATATAATGTCGACCAAAACTATACGGAGCTGCCGATCACTTTCACTCCCCAGGTGTGCATGAACAGCATCCGAAGATGATGGGCATTGGCTGCAAAGGAGCATCGGTCCAGCGAGCTAACAATCACCATGACACAACAGCTGCCCGGAAAGTACGTTTGCAAAGTCGTCCTGTCGTCCGTGGAGGCTTCGGATGTCCGCGTGTTCTTGATATATGGCATCGCCATGTCGGAGGGAACCAAGGCCGATCTGGAGTTCACAACACCGGCACGGCAGCCAATCACCCAAGATATACCTATTGTGAATCGAACCGAGGAGGACTGGACAATCAAGGTAATTGGCATCGGTGCCTGTGCAGATCCTGTTGTCGATAGATGCCGATCACAGCTGCTCACATTTCTGTCATCACCATCACCATCACCATCACCATCACCATCAACATCAACATCAACATCACCATCACCATCACCATCACCATCACCATCACCATCACCATCACCATCACCATCACCATCACCATCACCATCACCATCACCATCACCATCACCATCACCGCGGAAACCGCGCTGTAATGCACTATCAGTCGACACTTCAAAGCCAATACTTCTTTGGTCCCTACTCCGTTACTGCCAAGGCCGGAGCCTTGACCAATTATCCGCTTTCGTTCTGTCCAACCAAGGCTGGCGAAGTCCACGGGGTGCTGACTCTTTCAAATCTCCAAACCGCACAAAAATACATCTACAACCTGCACGGGTTTGCTCTGAATCCGCTTGCGGAGGAGCATCGAGCGATCAAGTCGGAGGCACGCACGATTGTAAGTCGAGAGTGATGCCGTGTTCGAGCCGGAGGACATACAGTCGTGCTCTCTCTGACGATCAAGATCATCCGCTGCCGCACGCGTGCTATCTGTGCCCATGGCTAACTGTCGTGGTCATTCCTTACTTCAACCACTTTCATACTCATCGCCGTTGGTCAAACTTTAGCAAAACGAGGTGTTTATGGTGCGAAACTACACGGAACACGACTCAGAATACGATGTTGTTACCGACATCCCTCATGCGTCCGGTGACGCCGTCATCTTCGTGCCAGCCGGCCAGACGGTCGAGTACAAGCTGAGTATTGTCACCCGCAACTCGGGAGAGTTTACCAAGAGCATCACGTTTACCAACAAGAACGACGGGAGCTTTGTCTGGTACACTGTACAGGTAGGTCGCAGCGCTCAACGGGTTGCTTCCGATACCGAGTATACAAGGGTTCGTTGGGCCCTGGCGAGTTTGATGCTGCAACTGTCGCAGCACGAGGACTGGGACTAACGGATGGTCGCGCAGCTTTCCATCAAGCCGCCAAATCACGAAGGCACAATCAAGATTGCCTCTCCAGTGCGAACCGCCGTCGCTGCTGAGATTCCGTTGGCCAATCCGCTTGACGAGGAGATCGAGTACCAGGTCGCCATCAGCGGCGTGGGCCTTCGTGGAGAGCCGACCGTCCGAGTGGGACCCAAATGCCAAATCACATACAGCCTCATCTATGCCCCAAGTAAGTAACCGCAGCAAACGAGCAGATTCTGTGTGGAGACCTGCGGCGCTGGCCCGGCTCTAACATCGGATGGCGTCATTCCAGTTGTCAGCAACGTGTCGATCGGGAGCATCAAATTCAGAAACGATGCCGTGGGCGAGTTCTGGTATCAGCTCGATCTCGAGTCTACAGATCTTCCCCCGATCCCACTCACCGAAATGAGCTGTCCACTCGGAAAGTGCGCGGTAAGATCAGCAGAGATCGACTCAACAGCCTTTGGTGTTGCATCGTAGTGCGCACACCAGACTCCCCATCTTGAGCATAACCGTGCTACATGCTGGCTGCTGCTAATGATAATGATAATTTGAACACCCCTCTCAGTTCCAACTCGTTACGATCGAGAACCCGTTCGACTACCCAATCGTGCTTGAGCTCCGACTTTCCAATATTACCGACTTTCAAGTCGTGCACCCGGTTATCTCGGCGCAGAAGCTGGCCAAGATGAAGCGCATTTCGCTGTCTAACACAGCCAGCGTCACTCTCGAGCCGTTCGAACGAAGCGAAGTGCAGTTGATATTCTGGCCAAGCTCCCTGACCGAGATTCGACAGGGGTCTCTGCATATCATGAGCAGCGCCATCGGTAACACCGAGTATCTGATCAAGGTGAGTCTCGGCCATGACGAAAGCGCTGTGCTGGCATGTTGTTTCGGATATTCAGAAGGCAGAGTGAGCAGTCTTGCACGACGACGCAGGTTTGCCAGCGACTGACAGCCTTGATCGTGCACAGGGCCGTGGACTTCTTCCCGAGACAATGGAGGAGTTTGTTGTAAGCGCCGAGCTCGATCAGACGACAACATCGGTGCTGGTATTTACGAACCCACTGGTCGATCCGATTCCAGTCAAGATCGCGCTGAAGCCAAGCGATGCCTTCAGCGGAAGCGCAAGCGACTTTGCGCTGATTCTGAACAAAAAATCAAAGTACAGCGTGGGAGGGCTCGAGAACCTGGAGATTCCTTTCAACTTCACGCCAAAGACCATGGGCAAGGCTAGTGCTCAAATTGTGGTGGAAATGAGCGAAAAGCTCGCCTGGGTGTATCCTATTCGGGTGAGTGCTCAAGCGTGCCCGCAACCTGACTCGATGCATAAGCCGCCTGGAAGCCGCCTGGAATCCGTGTCCTGAAAGCAGATGTGCTTTCCCGGCTCTGCGGTGTCTAGGGAATCGCCGAGACGTCTATGCCCCATCAGCTGCAGGTTCTCGAGTGCCGCTCGCGGGAAAAGATCGAGCGCCATGTCGAATATATCATGATCGGATACAACGACATCGCCGATGGAGCAGCACACAAGACTAGCGGCTGGAACACCAGAACACGATTCGCCCTGGAGTGCTCCAGGGATGTCAATGAAGAAGAAGTCAAGACCTCGCTGGCCTGGCGCATAACAGAAGGCACTATGACGAGAGAGGGACTTGTGCTGAGGTTCAACGTAGGTCTCCGCAAAGCAATACTCCTCCAGCAGTTTGACTGCTGGGCAGCGGAGAGGATAATGGCCTCGCCTCACAGAAGGGCTCACTGTCTGACTGTTACTGCAGGTCACCTACTCGCCGATCCGGCCAATCGAGACACTGCTAAGCCTGGTTATCACCCAGAACTCGACTGGGTCTCGATGGAAGTACCCCCTACGGCTCATTGCCCGACCACCGGCAATCGACGATGTCATCGTGGTCGAAGGAGCCATCAACAAGGTTTCAACCGTGAACTTTGTCCTGAAAAACATGTCGGCGCTGCCTCGGCAGTTCAGGGCGTACTTTACCCACGAGTCCCCAATTGAGTTTCAGGTGTCCCCTTCGACGGGCAGTCTGGTGCCGGAACGAGACCGCCGCGAAAGCGACAATATGTTTGTGATTGGATACAAGCCCATCGCATACGGAAAGACTCTCATCGGAACCTTGATGATCGAGGTGAGCCGAGCTCCCATGTGGACGCAACTTGAATCGGGCGGCGTCATGTATTTTGACCTGGCAGTAGCGAGCTGGTTGGAAAACGCCCATTTTCGGTGGCTACTGGTTGGTGGACCATGTCCCTGAGTATGGATGAGCAGAGGAACGAATGACCGGCTCTGACAAGCAACTCACACACCCACAGGCCGAAGACATATCGTGGACATACGAAGTCCGAGGGGCCACGCCGCATTACCACCAGCCTGCAGGCTCCAATGCCTCTGGGTCAAGGAAAGGCTCAGGATCACGGACCACATCGAAGGCGCCGGTATCCAAGAAGAACTTTGTGCGGGATGCTTCGTTGAACCCGTCTGTTCGCAAGGTTCTGGAGCGACTCGCTGAGTAGAATGTAACCAGAGCACTTGATTCCGAGAACGGCACGGCGATGCAGTTTCCGACACGGCAATTCCTTCAACCCTCGTGGATTCCGTGCTGTAGCCGCATGAAATGTCATATCGTTGGCTCTATCGTTTGATATCGTTTGATATCGTTTGTTCTATCGTTTACCACACGGGACATTCCAAATAAGCATGTCGAGGCTTACAAACGAATCAGCGTCCGTCCAGGCTGTCTTGCTCTGTAGAATCAGGACGACAGTATATCCAGAGCCCCATCACGATGTTGCACATTTGTTGGCTCTTCGGTGTCAATCGTCATAGTCAAACAGGTGTATTCAGAGTTGCATGGCTCGAAATAGATTTGTCGTCAGGGCTCTGGGCTTGAAGTGGGCCCGAGAATGTTTGTGAGATTGCATCCGGGGCAGCGTTGTCACCAGGACGCTTGCCATTGCTGCCATAGATCGAGGTTGTTGGCGCGGATGTCGCCAACGATGGCGGTGTCGTTGTGGGCGCTTGCTCCTCAATGGCTCCTGTATCAGTTGGAGAGGTGTTCGAGCTCAGCATACCAGTTTGAGCGATGTTGTTGGATTGGTGTATGGTCTTGGCTTTCTTGGTGGGTGGCGACGAATTGGCGGCACCCGATGAAGCGCCGCTCCTATATGCCGCCCTGCGAGCAGCAAAGTCGGGCTCGTTGTTCCTTGGAATCGAGTTATACGCACGACGAGGATCCCAGCCGTCGGATGGCGGATACGAGTTGATGTGTCTGTAGCAGAGTGAGGCAGTCAGCCATATCCCTCCTTCGTGATGAACCCGGCAGAGGGCACATCGACAAAAGATGTGTTTCTTCTTGCCTTTCGTCTCGATGCCAGGAGGAGGAGGAGGAGGAGGAGGAGTCGGGGGGCGGCTGCACAGAGTGGGCAGACACTGCTCACGACGGACAGGCTGCAAGGGAGGCAAGATCGACTGTGGAGACTGTGGAGACTGTGGATGGACGAGTGCACTTGGACATGGAATGGAGACTGGGGAGGTGCTATGGAGAATGGGCGGGGCCGGGTGGTGCGAGACTGCGTAGGGGGACGGAGACGGGCACGGCATTGGATAAAATTGTGACATGGGGGGCAGGGGAGACTGCATTGGTGGCGCTTGCGATGGTAGAGTTCGATGGGGCAAAGAATCGGGTGGATGGCTGCGGATACGTGCTGGATCGTCGAGCCGATGTCCTGAACGAGCAGGAGCAGGGAACAGACCGGGCCATGGCAGGATTGAACCCGGGAGAATGTGATTCCGAGGGAGAGGCGCTGCAGATGAACCGAGCGGATACGGAGCTGGCCAGCGATGCGGTGGCGGATGGTTCTGGGAGTCCGGGCGATCCAGAGTGGGTTGAGGATGGGGAGGATGCTGTTGACTTTGCCGTGGATCGAAAGGCAATTGGGCGACGGGTTGGAGAGGCCTGAGTTGCAGTGGGCCCGCCCGGTGAGGACGCAGCCCTGGCTGGACGGCGTCCGTGGTCGCTGTGGGGCTGGCGACGGGGGTGCCAGGGACCAGATCAGAACCCATGGAGATCAGGCGCAACCAGAAATCATGGCCGAAATGCGATCTTTGGCCGCGACGTTGCCAGGGGCGAGGCGAGAGGCGGGCGAGAGGCGAGGCGAGAACGAGGCGAGAGCCTGGGCTGTGCTGTCCTCGTCACACGAGCGCCGAATCGCGCGTCCTCATTGGCGCGCCGTCCATCTCGCTTCTCGGCGAGAGTGCCTTCTCGCTCGCGGGAGATATGCTTACGTAACACGGCCGCCAGCCAGCCATCAAAAAAGCAAAACGCTCCAAAACGAGGGCGGCTCGGCAACCAGAATCCGCGTCCATTTCTTGCGATCACCGCCATCGGCAGCCGCTGGACTCATCAACACTCAAGGTACCATAGACGCCTGTGCGATGTCGGGCTGCGGGCTGCACATGGCCGCAGGGCGACGGCTCGCAGTGCCGAGTCGTCTGATGGCCATGGCGGCATCGCTGATAGCACAGCACGTCGCTCAGAGCGCCCCCCAATCGAGCCCGCCGACCTCGATCTGGCTGTCGCATGTTGCCGATCCGCTGTCCGATCGCTGACGCCGTGCGGTGCCACGCCCCGACCTTTGCTTTCCAGATGGAATCTCTCCAGAATTTGGTGCTGACCACGCTGGACCGGGAGCAGGTCATTGAGAACTCGATCGCCCTGACCCTGGACGGCGCTCCTGTCGACCAGCTGGCTCTCCTCGGTGCTCTCAACGCCCTGACCTCGAGAGACGTACGTGCCGTAGACATTGACGCTTCGAACAGCACGCAACACGGGTTGATGTTATTCGACCGATTCGAGATGGTGGCACGACAGGATTCGTCTTTGCCACACTAACCCGATCCGCGACCTGCAGGTTATTGTCTACACCCCCATCGATGTCGAGACCTGGGTTTTGACCGACGAAGGCACATCGATCGCCGATACCGGCAGTCACGAGGCCAAGGTCTTTAACAGCGTCCCTCAGGGCGAAGAAGGCATCTCAATCGCAGAGGTCCAGGTACGACAGGCGTCTGGCCTTGTCAAGTCCTCCGAGTCAGGGACGCATGAATCGGCAGATCGCTGGCGATGGTTTTGGGCCGCACGAGACGTCGCCGCTGCATGTGAAAAGCTCGACACGAACCTCGGCTCTGCCATCGAATGCAAGCACATCTGAGCCGTGCAAGACCGGTCCTAACCAGCCTTGACTCTCAGAAACTGCTCGGCGAGGTCGCCAAGTTTGGACAGGGCAAGGCCTTCTCGAACAAGTGGATCAAGAAGAACGGCAACAACCTCGTCCGCCTGGTAATCTCCCGATGCAGCAATACCAGCGATATGTGCAAGTCGATCGGCATGTGGCAAGCCCCACCCCATGATCCTCACTCCATTGCTCACTCCATCGCTCAACGATTCACCCGTCCAGACCGAGACCATTGTGGACAAGACCCAGCTCGACCTCCAGCAAATCCGTGATACCGGAAGCCATTCTGATGCTGTCACTAATGATCTGAAGAAGCGCAAGCTCATTGAGAAGAGGTCGGTCTTGGCATCAGTCCGATTGCCGGCTGTACATGCATCACCATGATGTCCACTGCTCTTGTCGGACACAGCCGCCTGTTGGAACGGGTCAGTCTTGTTGGAGTATGCATGCTGACTGCAGCGGCTCGGTTCACAGAAAGTCGAGCTCTTTTAAGGTCGAGAAGGGCCCCAAGTTCACCCTGAATGTCGAGAAGGAAGCCACCGATATTACGCAGGAGATGCTGAAGAGGTACTGGTCGAAGCTCGGGGCGTTTCTGGGTTTTGGCGTGCTGCGTGCGTCGGCCAATCGCCGGGAGTAGCAACGCGATTGCCAAGACGAGCCTATGCGATTCAAGCCATGGAGCCGGGATATGCGTCGCCTCACACCATGCCGACCTTTTGTGTGTAGCGGCGCCTGGAAGACCGCCAACTTCAAGAAATACAACTTCACCACTGCTCAAGGTATCGCTCCCGTCGGCGGCCATGTTCATCCTCTCCTCAAGGTCCGCGAGGAGTTCCGTCAGATCTTTTTCGAGTTGGGGTAAGGGCTCCGCTGTGGCTTGCCATATTTACGCATGCCGCCATCCAGGGCGAGCTCTGTCTGGCGCAGCCGATACGGACAACCTTCCGCATGTCTGACATCGCTCAATGCCACAGCTTCTCCGAAATGCCCACCAACCGTTTCGTCGAGTCGTCCTTCTGGAACTTTGATGCGCTCTTCCAGCCCCAGCAGCACCCTGCTCGCGATGCCCACGACACCTTCTTCCTGAAGGACCCCGCCACCGACGACAAGCTGCCCGCTGATTACCTTGAGCGTGTCAAGAACGTCCATAGCAAAGGCGGTTACGGATCCATCGGGTAAGCCCACCCTCATTTTCAGGAGTTGTCTGGAAGCCGACCGCTCTTGCGCCGTCTAGCTTGCACACTTCCGCAATCCGACTTGGCGCTCATCGATCGACTGACCGAATCCGTCAACACCGCCTCCATGCAGATACCAATACAACTGGAAGATCGAGGAGGCTCAGAAGCTGGTCCTGCGAACCCACACGACCGCTATCAGCTCCTGGATGCTCTACCAGCTCGCTCAGGAGGTAACCTCGAATGCATTTGACTGTCAGTCACGGAGGCGTCGACGAAAATCTCGGGCACTCACGCGATCTATGGCTTGATTCTGGGCCATACCAATTCATCCCCTTACTGCAGAAGGAGTTCCGTCCCGTCAAGTGGTTCTCGATCGACCGTGTCTTCCGTAACGAAACCGTCGATGCCACTCACTTGGCCGAGTTCCACCAGATCGAGGGTGTCATTGCCGATCGCGGCATCACCCTGGGCGACCTCATTGGTGTCCTGCACGGATTCTTCCAGAAGCTCGGTACGAACTGCCCTTGTGTTGATCAACTAGTTTATCGCTGCTCCGCGCTTCATGAAGCACTCATCCAGCTCAAGCATATCCGATCATCGGCCTGGCCGACAGACGATACTGACTGTTTCAACGAACTCCACAGGCATCGAGAAGCTGAGATTCAAGCCCGCCTACAATCCTTACACCGAGCCCAGCATGGAAATCTTCTCGTGGCACGACGGCCTGGGCAAGTGGGTCGAGATCGGCAACAGTGGCATGTTCCGACCCGAGATGCTGCGGCCCATGGGTCTCCCCGAGGACGTCTCGGTCATTGCATGGGGTCTTTCCCTCGAGCGCCCGACCATGATCAAGTATGGCATCGACAACATCCGTGAGCTTGTTGGCCACAAGCTGGATCTGGATATGGTCTACAAGAACCCGATCTGCCGGTAAGTAATGGCCTGCAGACGCTGGACGCTGCATGCGGATGCTTGCCTCGCGACGATTGGTCACGATGGGAGTTTGTGCATTGAGGGGGAAAGCGATGCCGTGACTGGCGACATATACTGACCAGCGATCATTCTTGGCACCCTTCTTGTATGGTCCCAATGCAGGCTGGACAAGAAGATGGGCCGCGAAGGCTAATGCAAAGGCTGACTCGCCTATGCTCCGTGCTTTGTCCTCTGCGCCGTAATACACCGATGATGTACCATATTTCAGTCAATCCAATAAAAAACGGGACACCCGTGATTTTGACGATTGATCAAATATTTTGTTACCCACTGGCCATGACCATTCTGTGATTTGAATCAAGGACGACATTGTGAACATCACTGCCAGCTTCAAGACGCGCTGGATGAGCACCACACCAAGTCCCAAGATCCTTGGGTTGGCTTCCTTCCTGCAATATATTCGCCATGTGTTCGATGGAGACATGCTGGAGAAACAGCTGTACTTCAGCCTGACCCGGCGACGGCGATTCAAGCGACTCGATCTCTACGGCAAGCGACAGCGCACCGTCCACGAGATGTGCAAGCAAGTCATCGACCAGGCGCCAAAGGAGACCGAAGTGGTGATTGCCTTTGGGAATGCATCCTGGAAGCAAGGGAAGGGATACGCATCCAGTCCCAGGAGACTCAGGTTCGCTCAGTATTTTGAGCAGTTCATACGCCACCAGAGACGACCACCAGACCGATCCGTCTCCAAGATCCATGTGTGCTCGGTGAACGAGTTCAACACATCCCAGGCGATGCAGTTTGGTGTGCATGGCCGGGGCTGGCCGGGGCTGGCCGGGCTGGCCACTGCGAGGAAGCTCTGTTCCTATCGTTCGTCAGGGAAAGTGGATCAGGCCGACTGAATCGTCCGCCTCGTGATTTTGCGGATCTGGGGCCCCGGAAAGAGAGCCGTCGGACTCTGCTCACATCTCGCTCCGGATGAAGATCATCACATGGAATGTCAATGTATGGCGGCCCCATCCCTCTCTCTCAGCCTCTCTCGCACGACCGGCATTCATATGCATGTTGGTGATATGTATCTGCGGATGTGGATGCGCTGACATTCCGGAGGTGCATGTACACTCCATCACTTGCAGGGAATTCGGTCGCTGAGGGTTCGTTGGGCTTGATGCACAGATGCTGGGCGATCGACGATGGCAGCACCACTCGGCTGTCGACAAACTGAATATGCCTCTCTGCCCAGCGCTGATATGACCGCCCAACATCCAGCAAGACGAGTCCTGGGCGCACTGCAAGGATTTCGCCGCGATCCTGCAGGAACTTGATGGAGGTTCGTGCTCTGCTGGAACATCGGCTGCGGGTTGTGGATCGATCGCAAAGACAGTTCATTTCTCCTCTCAGCCTCCCTCGCCTCATCCTGCCCCTTGACCCTAGATATTATCTGCTTCCAAGAAACCAAGGTCAGCCGCAACAAACTGACTGCGGACGTCGCCATCGTCAGCGGATACAACTCGTTCTTCTCGTCACCCAAGGTGAGGGGCAAATACCGTGTCTCGGCCCGTTCTCGATTTCGATCTCGATTTCGATCTCGTTACAGCAGAGACTCCATGACTTCTACGTGAGCTGTCTGTTCGCATCGATCCTCCTCCACCCTGACCCATATCCCACTGATCTGACGCAGCTCACCCAAGGGTACTCTGGGGTCGCCACCTTTTGCAAAGAGTCATGGACGCCTGTTGATGCTGCCGAGGGTCTAAGCGGCTCACTGCAGAGCCAACCACACCCGCTCGAGGTGTTTGCTAGCGACTTTCAGGCAGCCGAGCTCAAGGCGCTCGACAGCGAAGGCCGAGTCCTCATCACCGACCATCGACTCTTTGTGCTCTTCAACATCTACTTCCCCAACGATCCAACCGACGAACGGACTGCGTTTAAGCTTCGGTGGGCTGTCGGGCTGTTGCTGATGTCGAGTGAAGCCGCTTCCATCGTATATTCCCTCCCAGGTTTGGCTAGAGTGATGCCATCTATATCTTCGGGACGCCGCAAGTGCTGATGCTACTACTGCTGCCGATCCCCCTTCTCCTCACACATAAGTTTTTACGAGGCCGTGCAGCTTCGCATCGAGTCGCTGCTCCAGCTCGGTCGCTCGGTGGTGTTAGTAGGCGACGTCAATGCCTGTCACCGACCCATCGACCATTGCGATCCCGACGAGAGCATCAGACGGAATGGATTGCCGCATTTCCAGGCCGAACAGTCTCGGCAGTGGCTCGACCGGTTTCTCTCTCCAAAGGGCCCCATGGTGGATCTGTTCCGGGCGCTGAATGGCGATGTGGAGAAGGCCTTCACATGTTGGAACACACTCACGGACGCAAGGTAAGCGATCGGTGCGGTCGCGGACAGGCCGCGGATATCGATGTGCCCTTCCCGGAGGGCCTCCGGCACTGTCTCGACAGCGGCGCTGATCGATGGGCATTTTCGGGTGGATTGACGGCTTTGTGCTTGTCGGCTCGATCGACAGGGTCTCCAATTTCGGTCAGTCTACCACTTGCATCGCATCCCACTCCATTCCATCGATACACGACCCGAAGACGCCGATCGCCGATGTGGATGCTCTCGGAGCGATCGGCGTCGAGCCACAGGCATCATGGATGCCGCGTGTGCGCCAGCCAGATTCATGACCTCCGATTTCATGTCGGTGGCTGCCCTTCTGACTGTGAGCCACCGGCTTTTGCAGGCACCCGGATCGACTATATCCTCACGAGCCCATCCCTCCTCGACTCGTTTGAGCGATGCACGATCGAGTCGCATATCATGGGCAGCGACCACTGCCCTGTCTCGGCTATTCTCAGGGGCAGCTGCATCCCGCTGCAAGACTTGGAGCCGCGGCCTGTGCCTTCGATCTGCACTCGGTTTTGGAAAGAGTTTTCGGGCACGCAGCCCCGACTACTGGACTTTCTGGGTCCTCGGAGACCCGGGGCGGAGGGCGTGTCGTCGTCGACGGCTTTTGCCGGCGAGCTTGGCCAGACGGCAGCGCTGCCAAGTGCAGTAAGTCATTGGACACCCCTCGGGCGATGGTGGTGATCGCAGCTGGTTCTGGATCCAAGCTAGGCTTGACCCGAGTGCCAGGCCTGTCTCTTCCTACTCATCTCATCTTCTCCCCTCCACCAGAGCGACCAACCACCTGGCCCGCCAGACCCGCTCACCCTCCGCAGATCCAACAGCTCCATCCGTGGCAAGCCACTGCAGCGATACAACAGCGACTCCTCGGCGCTTCTCAAAACCAAACGCAAGCCTGCACTCAAGCAGCAGACACTCTCTGCCTTCATCAAGATCGGCTCCGCCTCCAGAGACGCTGGCCCTGTGCCAAGTGAAGCTGGCCAGAATACCCAACAAGAAGCCGCCCGAGCCTCCCAAGAGGAGTGCGAGAGTGCGGCGGCGGCATCTCAGGAGAGCACTCCAGAGCTGCCAGCGATCGAGCAAGTCAGTGCGGCAAGAGAAGATGCGCGGCACAGATGGAAGCAGCTTCTGGCGCCAAAGCCAGCCCCACTCTGTTACCACGGCGAGCCCGCCAAGGCATTTGTCGTCAAGAAGGCCGGCACCAACAAGGGCAAGCACTTTTACCTCTGTGCGAGACCTGTGGGACCCTCGTCGCCGACTCTATCGTCGAACGGTATCACTGAGCACCGGTGCGATTTTTTCGCATGGAAGTGACCTCAGATATCCGGAGAGCCAGGCCTCCGTCAAGATTGCCGAGAAGCCAGCTGGATTGGACGCAATGTGATGCGATACGTGGGCACGGTGGGAGGATGCGATGTTCTGTCGGATGCTACCTCGCCGGCGATGCGTTGCTGGAGATCAGAGATGTGTATTGGACAGTGTGCAGCACCTCTGCACTCCGCAGACTCAAAAAGCCGGAGGAGGCTATTTCTTGGTCTTTTTCGCAGGCTTCTCGATGTACGCATCGGCATCCACCTTGACCTCGACCTTCCTTTTCTTTGCCTGGCACGGATCGCATTTGTTGAGGGAGGGGATCGGCACGGTGTAGTTGCAGTGAGCGAATGGATACTGGATGATAGTCGCTGGCCAGAACGCGAGCGGAGCACCGCGATTGCATGAATCGTGGGTTGGCCATGCGCCAAAGCAATCTGCCACAAACAGCGCACATACACATATACACACATACACACATACACACATTCACACACATTCACACATACACACCTTCTCAGTGAGCTTCTTCTTGAGATCGTCGATAGAGAGCTTCTCCTCCTTCGAATCTGCAGGCTGCGAGGGCTTTGCCTTGGTTTCGACGGGAGGGACAAACGCCTCGCTCCGTTTCTTCTCTCGCTGGACGTTGGCTTCATTCTGAGCCTCTTGCTTCTTCTGCCGCTGGATGGACTCTTTCTCGGACTTGGAGAGGAAGTACTCTCCCGACTCGATTTGGAGATCAATCTGGTTGGGTTGTATGGGAATGTGTCGTTAGGATGCAGTGGGGGGGGGCGACGCAGTGTGTCGCCGTACCAAAGCTCGAGCGCAGATACTTGCAACCGAGCCCCAAGAACAAGTATGATGCCGGGCCTCGTTTCGGCCGTGCTCGAGCTGCGTTCGACACTACAGACAAACCTCACCTTTCTAGGGGTGGGCGCAGGGGGGAAGGGTGTGTATTCAGCCTTCTTGGCCTTCTTGGGTTTCTTCTGGGCTGGGGCGCTCTTCTTGCGGAAGTGTGGCAAAAATCGTTCCCAGGACTCGTCCTTGAGCTTGTCGTCCTTGGCGAGCTCTCGCTTGATCATCAGTTCCTATCAAGGCCAGGCACAGCAGAACTCGGCTGTTAGTGGTGGGGGTCGCTCTTGAATGAGTGGTAGAGCACCCGTATCCTCCGCTGAAAGGCTTGGTTTCGCTCCAACATCCCCATGAGGACACTGGGCAGAACAACGAATCCACATGCCCACCTTGATGTGATAAATAGGATGGATGTTCCCAATGCAGTCAATGACGATCCTTCGGACTTCCTTCAGACCCTTGTACGGGCCCATGGCCGAGACGGTGTTGCCCTGAACCAGGACGTAGCACTTTGTCAGCAGCTCAATGGCCTTGAGGGTGTTTCCGCTGGGTCCAAGCAGCCGCTGCCGTCTCTTGACAAAGCGCTCCTTGTTGCGGATGATGTTTCCGATCTTGATGATGTCGCAGGCGATGCCGTCTTCCAGAATCTTGACAGCCTAGATATTGCGTCGAGGGAGGGAAGGGATTAGACTTGGGCTCGATTTGCAGAGGCCCAGTGGTTGCTCGCCGGGACCCGTCCGTGCTCTCCGCTCAGGGTTTGCCGCCCGATGGGCACGGATATAGGAGCAGCAAAGTCCCCATTGGACTGCAGGGAGGCGGACTGGCGATGTAGGCGATGCGGATTCTCGCCTGCTGAAAAGGAACGCTTCTGGCGAGGAGCTTGATCAAATCTCGTGCTTTGAAGATGATATATGGATCAAAGGTCTTTCGTGTGGTTTTGACGGTCATGCTGCCTTCAATCAAGTCCAGCACACAGGCAATTCCCTGTGGACCGAGTCCAAGAGCGGAACAAGTCAGTATATCAAGCGCTGTCGTCCATGGAGTCCATAGTGTCCCGACAGGGTTCCCGACTGTGCGCTCCCGTCGGCAAATCGAGAGGGCAGCAAACACTTGCCACTTTCTCGAGGGACTTTGTGACTTGGGGCCAAACCTCCTTGAGGTAGTGCTCGCGGTACTTTGGAAACAGAGTGGCAAAGCTGCTCTCCTCCAGGAACGAGGTCTTGTTGTCCTCGGGCTTGAAGGGCTCGATGGCCCACTTATCGATGTCGTCGGTGTCCCATGCTGACGTTCCCATGGCGGCCAGACAGCGCGGTCACATTAAAATTATTGGCCACGATTGTGTCGAGGGAGAAAGCAGATCCATGTTAGCCGGAGATTTGTGGACTGGGGAATCGGGAGCAGCCCAACATTTGAGCACGGCGCTCGCTTCTCATCGCCGAAAGCAGGAATGTTTGGGAAGAGGCAAAATCCGGACGGCGATGAGGATCGACAGCGATCTGGCCTGGCCGATAAAGAGTCGGCAGCGACAGTCACGATGAGGATGAGGATGAGGATGAGGATGAGGATGAGGGTGGGGATGAGGGTGGGGATGAGGGGCCAGGCATACGTTTGTCTCGTCGGTATTTGTTCTTTTTGGCCTTCCGCTCAGCCTCGAGCTGTTCAGGCGTGGCGGTTTCTGATGGACACGGAGATAGACGATATGGGGTTACGGATTGTGTCAGAGAGACCAAGCAGATCACACCCGGGATGTCCTGAGGACGAGCGATCCAGGGTTGGCCGATGGCCGAGCACAAGTTCCGTGGCCAGCAGATATCGTTGATCCGCCGTCGCCAGCACCACTCTCGGACGCATGCTACCTTGGTGCTCGGTATCAGACATGGATGCGTGCGGCCAGGTGTACTCGGGGCGAGATGGGACGCAGACAGCAGCAGGACAGCGCCGCGATGCGATGCGATGGAGACAAGAGCAGCGGATATCGAATCCGGTGTGGATGTGGACTGAACAGTGGCGCTCTGTGTATTTGTGCTGCGAACCAAAAAGAAAAAATGCGGCTGCGCTTCATATGCGCGCGCAGCAGGCTAGAATGCGTGGCGGCAGGAAGCCCTCTGTTCTGCCTCGACGAATCCATCGGCATCGATGTGGATGCCCTGTGCAGCCAGCGACGGAAACACGCAAGACGATTCGAAGGCGATGCGATTCAAATAGCAAAATGCGGTGCAGGGCAAGAGATTGGAAATGAGGTGAGTATGGGACAGGACGCAGTTTTGGATGCAGTCCCATTCGGGGCTGCTGCCGGTGCGTTCGGCGCTGTTCCCCTTGGCGCTGGGACAGAGACCAAGGACCCACCTCGTCGCTGAGCAGTTTGAGCTTGCGGTTGATGTGGTCGCCGTGGCCCCAGTCTCTGCATCCCGAACGCAAAGTGGCATTGAAGAGTGAGCGAATATCGAGCCCATCTGTTTGCCAGACTCTGGCAATGCCAGCCCCCACAGCCAATGCATCATCCTGCCAGACTTACCCAAAGAACCCTCCGATATAATAATTCGAAGCAAGCACTCGGTGGCATGGAATATACTGAGCCGCAGCGAGCCGTGATGGTGTTAGGAGCCGCAATGCTTGCTCGAGCAACCCGATTGTCGGCAGCCAAAGGGGATGGGTAGACCAGCCTGGGCGACAACTCACCGGTGCCCATGGGTTCACCTTCAGAGCCTAATCAGCATGGGGGATGTGTTGGCATTAGCGTCGGCTCTCGGTCACGGAGTCGATTTCGACGGAGCCACAGATAGATCTGCCAATGCCAATGCCAATGGCCGACTCACCTGGCCGACTGAAGGTCATAGCCCGGCGATGCGTGAGAAGATTGCATAGTGCAAAAGCAATGGGTGTGATGCAGTTATCAGATGAATTAATAAGCGCTCAGATGAATGAATAAATGCCCAGATCAATGAGCAAGCGCTGGGTGCGTGGGCTCCCAGTGTGAGACAGCAGCCACAATCGCACTTACCGGCTCTCGGAGAGCTATGCAACTTGGCGCTCACATCCCTGTATGTCGCAACGGATCCGGCTGGCGATGATATTAGCAGGTCAGCATCGCATGCATTCTCCAGTACAGATGATCTCTGGCAGCCGCCGTCAGAGCACCCACCAGGAATCTGGCGAATGAGGTCGTAGACCTTGTACTGAAACTCTGTCACCGGGCGGCCGGTGTGTTTGTTGCGAATGACTCTGGTCTTGCGTTGCTCTGAGCAGCGGAGAGAGCTTGTGGGGTGAGCTGGGAGGCGATTCGCTCACAATGAATGTAAAAACGACAGGGGGGAGGGCTTGCCTGCACTTGGATATTTGAGGGGCATATCGTCGTCGTGGCTTGGGGAGATTCCAGCAGGGTCGGTCTCGGCATCGAGGATCGGCGAATTGGAGGCGGTCATGGTCGGCAGGTGGGATGGGATGGGACGATGAGTGTGGAGGAATGAATGTGCGAGGAATGAATGTGGGGACGATGTCGATCAGTTGGAGGAAATGTCGAGATGGATCTTGCGCTTTTCAGGCCCAACGGAGCAGCGAGCGTTTCAAATCTGCGAGGCCCACGAAAACAGTGCGAAGTTGCGGCCACCCACGCGAACCCGGTGGATGCAACACACCGAGGAAGGATTGGGCGAGAGCCAGGATGTGCGGAGGTGCCCCTCCCCGGACGACCGGGCTGTCCCAGGACGAGGTCCAGCGACAGCGGACCCATGCGGGTTGGCGGGTCTGGGGACGCTCGTGCCTCCCTCCCCTCCTCTCCGCGACGAATGTGGGCAGGAAAACGGATCTCTTGGCTCGGACGGCGGGAAAGAGAAGCGGCCAGAGGATTGGTGCGGCGACGGTTGCACCGCGGGCCGAGCGGCAAAACCTCAGGCCATCAGAAGACCCAATCCAACGGGAAACTTCGGGAGAGGGCTCATTGCGACTCACCGCCACCGCCCCCCCCCGCAGACCGGTCGTGTCCGTCATGAACGATCGAGATGCATCGACGACAGCACAGACCCACCCAGCGAGGGCGACGGGCCAGCGCCAGGTGACGGCCACGAGATGCAGTGGAATGGACTGGGCGATGCGGTGGAGTAGGGGCGATGTGAATGTCGTTGGAAGGACTGAGCGACACTGGAAGAATGCGAATACCATCGCTCGAAGACTGCAACCCCTTACTGCACTGCACAGGGCAGAGCTCAACCGTGCTGGAAGGGTCTGCACCACAACACTCCCCGCCAGCAAGGACAGCACAACAGTGCGACGGATGCACAAGGCTGCACAAGGCCTGCACGAGGCCCCCCCACGGGCGGCCCAAAGGCAAGCCAGGTCAGAGGCAGGTGGGATCTCGCACCCCATTGGCCGGCGTGGTCACACAGACCCCTTCCCTGCACAAGGCCGTCAGCAAAGATGTCGCCCCCCCTGTTCCGGGTAAACCCGAGGAACAATCCCCCGGCCCGCTCTCCGGGGCATTCTGGGCGATTCGCCAGCACTGCAACCACTCGCGCTGCTGTTGGTCCCGCTGTTTGCCAGACCCGCTGCAAACACGCCCGCTGAGCTTGCCCTGCAGCAAGGCCATGCCCCGTCGTCTCCCTGGGTGGGCGCTGTTGCAACATCGTTACGCGGACAAGCCGGGCGCATCCCGGCCTTGTGCACACCCGGTACCAGCGCTCACCTTTTGCTGGCTTGCAATTCAGCGAGGCCGTCTCCAAACGCTGATCCCGCCACGAATCGCCTCCCAGCGCCAACCGCCGCGCAAGCCCCGCACATGCTCCTCTGGGCATCCAAAGTGCTCTCCCCAGACATCCGAATCTCCCTCCTCCTCCTTTCAGACCTTCCAACGCGCCCTCCCGACTTTGGCCGGCCGCACTGTCCCGAGCTGGTCAGAAGGCCCCTTATGCCGGTCTGATTCGAGGTACATAGCATGAGTCAAGGTGACTCATTTTTCCTGAGGCGCCTCGCTGCCTCGGGCCGACCTTGTCGGTCACCGTGTCGGCTCAGGCGGCTTTCTCTCTGCCCTTGGCTTTTAGCGGACTCGGCCGTCCTCCAATGCCTCTTCCCGAGTCTGCCAACCCAAGATCCGTTCACGATGGTAATCTACTTGTCCTGTGCTGCTCGCCAGCCGCTGGTCGGTGCTGATGACCCCGGGGTGGCTGGACTGCCACGCCGTGCTCTGCCCTGGCGCCGCTGGATGAAAAGGCCCAGCTTTCTTGCGCGGAAAAACAATGCCGGTGTTCTTTTGCACTTGCAGCAGCTCGATTCTCGCCGGTCCTATCGACGCCCAGGAGCGCGGTCAACGATGGTGATGCCTGCTCGCCAGCGACTATATCGACTACATCGTCGCCGGCCGTCCCGGAAGCTGTTTCCTTGACTATTAACGCACCCAGACTCGGCCATCGCTTCCGGATAGTTCCGAGACTGTGTTTTTTTAACGCTCTGGCATATGTTTTTCCCCTGGCTGTTTCGCTGTTAGTACGCCCTATCGATTCTCGATCACCCATTCCAAGTGCGGTGCTCAGGGTTCTCCAACAAAGTGATGGGGAGAAAGATCGACCCCATCCCGGTTCTCCAGCTGTCATATTACGATCCAGCCCAACAGATCCATGTCACAGAGTAGGTGCATCCTCTGGATCGCTGTGTGGGCACACCGCTTCCCCCTGCATCCCTGTCCTTTTTGCCGAATCGACGGCACTAACCCGATTGACCGGCAGCTGCTAACCGTCTCGCCCGCTCCTCAGTGCCTCGGCCCTGTCTGAAGCTTCCAGATTCGTTGTTTACGTCCAGCTCTTCTCTGAAGATGGCATGCAGAACCTGAGCAACGTCCTTATTCCGCCCAACAGGCTCAACCGAGCCGCCCATGCAAGGTTGGCACTTCCGTTCTTGCATTCTATGTTGTCGCGGCAGGATCGAGTTGTTTTTTCTGTCGCGATCCTTTGCCTTGGCTCCAGAGCCGTTTTGCAGCGCTTTCCTCCCGTTCCTGCTCGATCGAGCCGTCTCAGACGTGTAGACCGGGTGCCATCGGTTCGTGAGCTGGGTGTCTGGAGCGGCCGGCTCTATCGTTTCTAACGACAGCCAGCCAGAATGCACCGCCGCTCGCTGCCTAAGAGGATTGTTACTCGCATCCTAACCATGTCGTTGGCCGATTTCCAGCGAGTCCCATATGCACCCCTTGCCAACGCCAGTATCCAATACCCCGTCACTGTCACATCCGCATCTACACCCGCAAACCCCTATGGCTTCCGCCAGCCCTCTCACGCCAGAGCCGACAACCTTCCAGTCGAAATCCGAAATCGCACCGGGCGCTGTTGATTTCCCCAGAGTCTCTAGCGCGAGCTCGTCGGTCGTCATGCAGGAGCAGGCCGGCACGCACCCAAGCCAGGTGGTGCCCAGCCTGTTTGGAACGCTGGTCTCCCCAAGCTACTTCACCCGCGACCTGGACCAGCGGCTTGGTGTCTATTTCATCTTTGGCGATCTCTCGCTCCGCGTGGAGGGCACCTTCAGACTCAAGTTTCTGCTCTTTGATCTCGCTGCGTCTCTGTAAGTGCACTCGAGCTGTCGTCGATCTGCCCCCCCCGTTTGGCGTGCTGTGAAGCGGCCCCCCTTCCCGAGCGGCTTTCTCCTCCCCACTCCGTTTCTCCTGCCTCGCTCTCTGTGTGCTTCTCTCTCGCTCTGGAACCTTCGTCGTGGCACTGGATCGTCCCGCCGCTTGCTCATTATGCGTCAAGACCCGGATCCTTTCACTCCCTGTCGCTCCATTTTTGCCACCGGCGTGGTTCGTGCTGTCAAATCTGATTCGTTCGGCTCGACTTCACCATCACCGTTGCCTGGGGCTTGGTGTCTCGATGTGTGGCTCATCGTCAACCCCTCACATTCATCAACGCCTCCACAGGCCCATCCCCGACATGAACACGCCCTCCCGGCCGATTGCAACCGTTCTATCCAATCCATTCATGTCCCATAGCTGGAAATCCTTCCCCGGGATGAACCGTAAGCCGATCGTGCCAAGACTGCTCACAGTATCGCTCAGACGGGCCATGTTGCCGTGGCCCCGCATTCACTCCGCTCCGGACTCGGTTTCGTCTCGACTCGATGCCTAACGAGTTGACTTTCTTTACCCCTATCCGCGGCTCCCCCGGTCAACCGCCACTGCAGGAATATCACCTCTGACCCGACACATCATCAACCAGGGAATCGTCAAGATCATTCGACGAGCCAACCTGACACGCGATTGCGATCAACCAGAGTGTCTGGCGTCCAGCCCGTAGAAAGCAACCGAGGCCGGCCCTGCCTGTCGTTCGCTGGCCCCGACACTCTGGGCCGCCAGCCTGCTCACCGGCCGGCGATAGAGGAGCGTGACAGCGCGTTGTGCAATCGCCAACCAGCGCCCGTTGGCCCCTCGTGCGTCCGCTCTCGTTTTACTCCGGCTGTGCATCAATGGCCCCCGGCAACTCGCGCGCCCGCGGCTCTGCTGCTGGTTGGCGCCTCCCTCCGTCCTCCGTTCTCCGCCGCACGATGGTCCCTGCCGTGTCAACCTCGCACACGCTCGGTCGCTTTGCTCCGCGCGCTTCCTCCTCATGGCCCCGCGTTCCAATTGCCGCCGTCTCGTTCCTTTGCCTTGTTGCTGTAAGCGGTCATGTCTAGGCCCATTCGTTCCGTCGCACCGCACTCCTCGGCGCCCTTGGTTTCGGCTGTATATGCATGATGCTTGGTTTCCCCCCTCCGTCTCTACTCGCTGCATCGCTCTCCCACATCCGGCCCTCCAGCTGGAACCCATCGGATTGTTGTTTGCTCCTGCTCCCTCACGATACTCATTTCTGGCATTGCTTGTTACCAGCGCCATCTTATCATTTTCGTTTCATCTCACTCACTCACTCACTCACTCACTCACTCACTCACTCACTCACTCACTCACTCACTCACTTAGTCAGTCACTCGCTCGCGCATCCACCACCGCACTTCCCCCCGCCCCCATCTTTCTTGGCTTGATTCCCACCAGGGCGGACGGCACCCATTTCGCCGCCAATCACTCCGTATCTTCAACGTTCGGTCTCGGCCTGGGACGCGCCTTCGACTCGCCCAGCAGCAAGTCCGAGGGAGGAGGGGGCATCGCTACCGGCCGTCCCCGTCTCCTATGCGTCCTCCTCTGCCTCTCCGTCTGCCCGGCCGATCGCCCTGGTTCCTCGTCCCTCTCAATATACATGTTCTGCATTTGCACTCGTCCACAACCACCTGTCGCCGCCGCCGTCGCTACTGTCTTACGATCTGCAACCGCTCTCAGCCGTGCCTGCAATCACTCGGATTCGGCAAAGGATCCCGACACGCCTCTGGGACTCACTTTCGACTCAGTAGGCCGTCCATCCTCGGCCCTGGTCTCAAAATGCGACTTCAACCCAGGTAGGCAGGTAAGGGCCGCTCTGTGTTCTCTTCCTCCTCCCATCGCCCTCTCGTGATTCGATCTCGCCCTCATCCAGGCTGTTGCAAAAGCTAAGGCACGACTGTCTCTGCCGCGGATACACTCGGTGTTTGGTGCAGCTGCTGGGTCAAGTCCCTTGGATCTTGCGCATCCTGGTCCCTCGTCGCAGGCGAACGTGCAGTGTGTGCTCGAGTGGTCTGCATGGCTTCGGCAAGAATCGATGCTCGAGCGAATGGGGGGCTTCGAAACCTGTCTCGCGACTCAAAGCCACAGCGACTCGGATTCCTTGCAGAGTCTGACCCATTTATCATCGGTAGATCCGGCCGAGGTCGATCTGCGTCGAGGAGGGCCGTTTCAGCCAGGAGGCCGACAACCCCTCACTTGCCGCCTCCTTCCAATCTTCGATGTCCCAATCAGACCCAGTGGAGTGACTCACCTGCCGACATTGTGTTTCGAGACCCTCTCGGGAGATCTCGAGCACGAATCAGGGCCGGAATCGGCATCCAGCTCCAGCGATGCAGACGGTGGCTGGGCGGCTTTCTGAGCTGCATCCCCAGGTTTGTCCAGGACGCTCGCGGCGCTTGTGCGTGATATTGTTGGTCCTCGGGTTGTCTCCGGACCTGCTCCGTTGGCACAACGATCGATTCAAAAAGCACATCAAAAGCACGCCCGGAGCAAAGCACGATCAAATAACCTCGCCAATGCACATAGTGCGGACGATGAGCAGGGCTTGATTGGACTCTGGCCCTATGACAGGAGGCCGACCGACCAACTGCACTCACCCCGATCCGACGAACCGTGGGTGACCCCGATTGTTCCCCGAATGCCGATTCGAGCGCCGATTTGGACGGCCGATGCATCCAACGCAGACGCAAAATCTTCCGAATCGCTCCCAGAGCCGCTGTTTAGGATCCGGAGTTGCTTCTCGGTGGCAAGCTGGGCGTCGAAGCGCTCCCATGGCCGACTGCTCCGGCTGCTGTCCCGCTTAACATCGGAGCCATCTTCGGGTGCCTTTCTCTTCTGCGGCACCATCTCAAGCACCGACCGGATATCACTGCTCGTGGCGAGGCTATCGGCTGCAGTCGATTCGAACGAGCTGGCTGGCCGGCTCTCGAGTTGCGCGGACCTGCTCGCAACGCCTTCGTTAGCACCGATGCCGATTCCGAATCGGCTGGTTTCTCTGTCGATTCTGATTCTGTATCGGCTCAAATCCTCGCCTCCTTTAAGCCATACACGAGCTCGATTGCCCCTATCAGCCCTGCCTCTGTGGCTGTCAGTGGGGCCTTTGGCAACAAGCTGGATTCTGCACACCTCGTACTGCTCCCGCCGTTGCCGCCGCCTCTCGGATGAACGTCGTCGGGCTCGGAGTCGCTGATGATAATTGGATGAGGCTGCATCGGAGCCGTGCTGCAGCCTTTCACAGGCTCCCGAGGCGCTTTGCACTCGAGTTCGATATCGGACTCTGCGGATGGATTCGGCGTGCGGTAGAGTTCACATTCGACATCAGCAAAACAACCAGTCTTCTCAAAGCAAGGCGGCATGCGGATTCCTCCCGCCCCTTTCCAGACCTGCAAATAATCCCTGTCATGCACTCACTGACCATCGTCCGTCAAGGACCACATATCGTAGAAGCCCTCGATGTCTGCGATGATGTGCTCTGGAATAGCGCCAAGCTCGTCGGCTGGGCAATCGGCATTACTGTCGCTGTCTGACGCAAGCGCAACCATGTTCTCAGTCCGATCTCTTGGGTGCTTTTGTCGGCAGTAAGGCAAGTGGTCGGCAGTAAGGCAAGTGGTCAGCTTCCTCTCCTCGCGCAGATTGCATCCAAGCAGGTCTGGTTATATCTGCCTGCAGAACACCCAACACACCTCGGTCTCGTTTATCAGATGTGTGAAGTGACAGTCAAGCCCAACTGCAAACGACGGATAGGAGAGCAATCAGCGGACAAAGTAGCAGAGAAGATGGGGCTGGCTGCCAGAGGGTCGGCCGGCGATCATCCGGGGTGGTTCGCCCACCATGCTCGTCGTGCAGGATCAACATCTCAACCGCCCCCTTGGGCGATCCGATCGAAAACTTGAACTGGATGGGCTCCTCAGCGAGCTTGGGCAGGCTGGCGAGACCAAGAGTAACAAATCAATTCGAAAGATCTGCCCCGAGTTTTCGATGGCAGCGGTGCAGACGAGGGCTTTCTGCAACCAAGTCGGCCCTGCAGTCGTGTGGGGAGCATATCCAAGATCTGCGCACCGTACCCGATGCTTCGGTGGTGAAGGTATGTCGACCCCACAAATGCAAGAAAGAGAGCCTTGCGGAATCGCTTGCAGACTCTGCCGTCGCTGGGACTGACGAGGGTGATCGTCACCCACAGCTCCGCATCCTTACTACCGCCTGCCTTTGCAAATGTCTCAACCTGATCCCGAAACATGGCATCATCGCCAGGTCAGCAGCGAGCCAGGTCCGCCAAGCTGGCACTGACAATGGCAACCTGACCGCCTTTTTCGACTCTGCTGCGGGGCTCGTTGCATCCATACCTTTGCTGCGGCGATGGTCAGCCGTGGAAACGAAGAGAGAACGTCCAAGATCTGTATCGCGGGGATCCAAGGAGCGAGTCAAGTGGCTGCCGCCTGCAAGCTGACGTTCTAACTCTCAGGGCTGTAACCTCCCACTCACCTTGTTCCCAAACGGCGGGTTCCGACCAACCAACTAACAAGCACAAGGGAAGGACGAACGTCGCTGTGAGCAAATTTCCTCACGAAGCGCACTCAGGATCGATTGCGCATCAGCGGCTGAAGCGGTCTGAACAGATAATCCTGCATCCGCACCATTTCAATTTTCCGTGGATCGCAGCGAGCCAAGTCGGCAAGACTGTTGATCCCGCCGCGGCCCAGGCTTTTGGAGAACTGGGGGCCAATGCCGTCGATCTGCCGAAACACGTTCGGAGCGGTCTCCCAGGCTTTGGCTGCAAGGCATTGGTGACTGGATGCAGGAATGGATACAGGAGTGGATACAGGAGTGGATGAAGGAGTGGATTGAGACATTGTGGCAGATTCAGCGCCACTGATTGCTTCATCGCAAGGGTGTGCCAGTGCTGTTATGCTAGGTCGCCAGTGTCCATTGATACGCACACCGCAAACGCCGCCATGATTCCCTTGGGATGTCTTGTCACCAGCGACATTTGTGAGAGGCCTGTTGGTCCATCAGGGCCAGCACCATTGACGTAAAATGTCAATATAGACAGTCGAAATCCGGCACACCAATGGATTCGCCATTCTGCGGATGCTGCACCGACTCTTGGCCAGTCTTGGAGCATGCTGGAATATCGTGGCGGTTTCGAGACCCAGATTGACACCGCAGGCACTGCCGTCAAGAGGAACCGACCCCAAAGCGCACTGTATGATCACATCAGCACGGAGATCATCCAGTGCGGTGGTTAAATCACTCGAACAGGCCATCCGAGCATATCTGTAGACCAATTCTGCGAGCAAACGACAGAGCTTGTCCCAACCTGAATCAAAATGTACACTTTCTGAGCCAGATCCTTGACTCGACCCTTGATCGGGTGGCGAATGGACTTGCTGAGCTTGTTGAGGTGGGATTTGTCGCCGCGGAACCGAATCGAATCGTATTCGCTGCACCCGGCGAGGCAAAAGAGCTTTGACAGGTGCAAGGAGCGACGAATGTTGAGTGGCCCAAGTCAGAATGGCGCTCGTTTCGACAGGTGCTGTCATTTGGGACAAGACGAATACGCCTCTCACCGCACTCGGCACATCAAAGGGTCTCTGGACAAGCGCGACCATGCGGACAACCGAATCGAATGACACATAGTACTTGGCCATGATCCTGCCGTACTCTTGGACTGAGTGTTAGCATCCTCAGCAGTAGCGCGGCGCCGTTGCGACACCATCGCCTTACCTGTGCTGGTGATGGTATGCTCATCCTGTCCCTCCCGTTCGACAGATATCAGCTGATGGCTCGAGAGCAGATCAATGTGCTTGTTGCATATCACTGCATGTAACATGTGCCAAATGGGATGGGTTTCGGACTGGTCAGCGATAGTGCCGAAGTTGCGCGGATTGCTTGGGCGAGGCGACTGCGACTGCGACCAACCTGTCAAAAGCGACTCCGAGGTAGCCTGCGTGTCGGTACTTTCCAGCAGCCGGTAGTATTCTGGATTCTTCTTGGAGCGGACTTTACCCACAATGGTCAATATGATGCCTCGGACCGATGCCAATGGTAGGCAGACTCCACTTACTGTACAGATACGACGATTTGAGCCTGTGCAAGGATGCAAGGAGGGAGATGAGTCGCAGATGCCAAGTGCAAATATCAACGGCCGGTGCACACGCACAACCTTCCCACGTCTTACCAGTCCAGAGCTCCTTGGCGCGACTCAATGGTTCCCAACACCACCTCGGCATTCAGGTGCTCGATGAGATGGAGATGCAGGCTGTCGGTGGAGTGTTCAGTTCGGTGATCAAGAGTGTGCACATTCACTTTCCGCACCGGACAGAATCGAATTGCATCACGCCACTCGTATCCCGCAGCATGTCATCACAAACCTGCTCTCGATGGTCTCGGACCCTTGCACCATCGCCTCGTATCGCTGCCGATTTTCATTCGTTGTGAGAATCAGGGCTCTGCCGCTGGAGTCAAACTATCACCGGTATCAGTATGAACACAATTGGCATCATAGTAATACACGACTGTGTTGTACAAGTGCTGGCATCGCTCTTGGGCTCGGATCCTATCGAGAAATCTGTGCGCTGACTCGTTGTTCTGTATTCCACCCATATGCGTGCTTACCTGTGGTCTGCCAGCTCGGCCAATCATCTGGAGAAGATCCAGCTCGCTGTATTCTTCAAACTTGCCGTTGCGGTACTGACTTGTTCCTTTGATGACAACAAGATAGGCCGGCAGATTCACGCCGACAGCCAGCGTCGTGGTGGTGCAGATGACCATCACAACCCCGTCGAGGAACGCCTGTTCAATCGCACGGCGATCGGCAAATGCCATGCCTGAACCAATGGAAGGCCCGAATGAGTTGATATCTGAGCATTGCTCCCCAGGGCCCATTGCATTCCTAGTTACCTCCGTGGTGATATGCGACGCCTTCGGAAATGAGGCCTGAGGGCAGGCGATTGTTACCAAAGAGAACTGCGATCCGCGCCATGGACAAGAGGCCCGCATTTCAAGCCACCGAACCTGCGAGTTTCCCGTCTGTGATGCTGCTTTTGATGCGGGCAAGTCTGTCAAGCCGCGCGGGCGCTAATGTCAGACCATCTAACCCAAGTGCCCGGCTATCAGCTGCGAGGCGATCAGCTGCGGCAACAGCGGATTTGCGGCTGTTGCAGAACTGGAGACGATGTCATATGGGTCAGACACAGATGTAATAAATCCCAGCAACTCGATACTTGCCACAAGAACCGATTTGTTGTTTGCATATCGGCGTATCACGTCTAGCAGCTTGCTGTCCATGATCTTTTCACACACGAACATGTTGGTGCTGCTGTTCGAGAGCCCGATAACAATCTTCTCGATGTGCACGGCCCGGTACTCCTCGCCAAACGCACGAACTGTGGCTCGTTGGTGCGTATCTGCGTCACAGAGCCATTCTCCGATATCTTCGACATTTGGGACTGTTGCCGAGACGGCCACAATTCGAAGCTGGCTCTGCGGACTGCGTGCGTTCGTTTGACAAGCCGAGCGCCGTTCCCGAAGCTGTCTGTTGACGGTCTTCATGCGGGCGACGACAACCTCCATCGTAGCCCCACGAGACTCTTTCAAGACATGGACTTCGTCGACCTGATGTGGATGCGCTTGTTAGCACCGTACAGACACTCATGCATCTCCTTCCACGTCGCTCGGTACCAGAAGGAGCCGGACTAGGCCCATGAGCTGTCGGTTGTCTTTCCATCGTCTTGTCGTCGAATCCCATTTTTCAGGCGTTGTGACTCTGGGAACGACAGAGGGTCAGAGCACGATACGATGTTCAATAAAGCCATTCCCATGATCCTACATGATATTACTCCGCTTGACTTCGGCCAGATTTGCGTTCTCGGTGTCGCCCGTGAGCATGTTGCATGTGATACCAAATGGACCGAATTTCTCCTTCCATTCACTGGCTTTCTCGGTGCAAAGAGCCTTTGCGCGCAGACGAGCACACGTTTGGTGGGTGATGCAGACAAGAGCCAGGTTGTGTCAAGTCAGCCGCAAGGTGGAGACAGCACGGCCGATGCAGCTCCAGACCTTGGTAGGCGCCATGTACACCGCCTTGGCATTTTCGCCATGTGGATCGACGAGCATGGCGATGATTGCTGGACCGACGGTGCCGATACACCCATGTCTGTTGTGAGTGGGCGGCCACTGATAATCCGCTTTGAGAGTGGCTGGAGGCATCTTGCCTCGGAACACATACCGAGCTCCAGAATCACTGTTTTCCCTGATCCAGTGGGTGCTGTGGGTGGATTATTATCGCGGGATCCAACATAGCCCTGCTGTGTGTCCAAAGGAAGGGTCTGGTATCTTACCGCTGACGACAAGATTGTTCCGAGTTCGATAGATCTGTAGCAAGATTGTGTTTAACGGCAGAAAGCAGGCCCGGCGAGGCAATTTTCCTTACGTCGTTAAAGAGAGCGGACTGGAGTTTATTGAAGCTTTTGAACGGAAATATACCACTGTATGGCATCGCTGGCGGAGTGCGAGGGTATGCAGAGTCAGCAAGGTCTGTGTCATATTGAGTACTCATGGGACTGCCGATGCAGCATTGGACAGCTCAGCGGGCTCACGTATGCACGAGGTCGACATTTGCCCAGCAAGAGAATCGCCGTGTTGGGTAGCCGATGAGGCCGTTGGTACGAATGATGCAGTCGAGGAGCGGTAGTGACTGCACAACTGGCGAGTTAGCTGGTGAAGTGACTCATCCACGGGTTGCACTGCCAATTGAAAGATGATGCATTCTCTGCCATGCCGACCTGGGATCACCTCTCTGCAAGGGTGAAGAGTGGAGAGTGGGGTAACGCGGGGGTGGATATGCTGTTGGCACGACACAGTCCAAGAAGCCGTTGCCGTGACGGAGACTGTGACGAGTGCCGCCGAGTTTTGTGCCGCTGCCACGGGTGCAACTCGGACGAGAGTGTATATCGCCGATGTCGTCAGAGAAGAGGAAGCCGGCCTGATTTCCAGAGACATCCTCGTTCGCGACGACATTCTCGTTTGCAGCGCCAGCTCGGCGATCCCAGTACCATTCGTTCTCCATGAGTCGCGGCCGATGAAGCCCATGAGCATCGGGGGGGGGAGGGTGCGATTTTGTATGCCCGAGGCGGTGAGTCAGACATGGGAACTGGTGGGCCATTCATATCAACACCGCGCTGTCTCGTGCCCAGACATGTGAGCGTCCCGTCCGCGCTCTCGCTCGCCCCTCGCCGTGCTCTCGTCCGCCGCTGTCTCTGTACAGCCGCGTGCTGCGCCTTTCTCGCCGCGCTCCCGCCGGCCCTTGCCTCTTTGGGCCTGTCGCGCCGCTTCCCATTCGTCCGCCCCCCGCCTGCTTCCGCTGCATCCGCGCGGTCTGCTCGTGGCTCCATCGGCTCCAAGACCTCGCCAAGCCAGCATCGACCCATCCGCCTCGGCTCCGGAGACGCCCTTCCCGCAGATCAAGATCCATCTCCCCGTCGCTGCCTCGCCTCCAACCCTCGCCCCCGAGCCTAAGCCATGTCTTCCACGCTTTCGTTCGTCGGCAAGGTGGTCTCGTCTGTGGCAGACTTCTACAAGGACATCAATCCTGCCACCCTCTCCGGCGCCATCGATGTCGTCGTCGTCGAATCCGAGCAGGGCGAGCTTTCGTGCTCGCCATTCCACGTTCGCTTTGGCAAGCTCAAGCTGCTGCGGCCCCACGAAAAAGTTGTATGTATCTCTGCCAGGCGACTGTGTCGTTCCCGTCCGTATCTCTGGGTTGGAGGACTGGCTGCATCATATGGCGGTGTGCTTCTTGGCACCATTGCCGAATCGCCAGCAGCGATACCCGGCCCATTGCCGCCCTCAAATACCCATCGTGGCTCGGTGCGGTGGCTCGCTGAACGGTGGAGCGTCCTGCCTTCGGCTCCAATGTGACTCACCGTCATCGCCCAACTGCTGCTGCTCAACCCAGGTCGAGCTCGCCGTCAATGGCCAACCCACAGGACTCGAAATGAAGGTCGGCGAAGCCGGAGAGGCATTCTTTGTCATCGGAACAGAGGTTTGTGTCCGCCGCTCGCTTCGACGGCGGCTGCCTGCAGGCTGTCGCCTCGGCATTCGACGAGGACTGTCTCGAGACAGTGCGTGCGTCCGAATGCATCCGGCCGATACTGTCGTCGGGACCACCTTGGGCATAGACTGACCCGCAACTTCTTATCGTCCCTCTGCGGGGCTCTGGTGCATCGTCGAGCACAGGAGACGGTTCCGTCGGAATACGCCACTTCTCCAATCCTTCAACCCGCTTCGCCATTGGTACGTTACTCGGCAGAATCGCCTGGTTTCGCCATGATCCGCTAACCTTCATTCTCCACTCGCCGGCGCTGCTGGTAGACCGACACGGTGGAAGTCTTTGACCTAGGCGACGCTGCTCCAGGTCCCAGCGACCTTCAAGATGCCGGTCGAGGTGATATCGCAGTGCGTCATTGTGTTTGGCTGCAATTCGGCCCTTTTGACCCTTCTCTGCGTGACTCGGTTGATCCTTGTGCTCAGGAAACGGCTACGTCAGCGCCCACGGCTCGGATATTGCGCCCGATGAATATCCCTCGGACCAGGTCGTCCTGACGGTATCGGAAGAAGCCGTGGTGGTGAGCACTACACATGACTTGGAGGAGGGCCAAGCTGCTCCTGCTCAGCCAGAGAGCACCAGCCAGATTCCGCCACAACTGGTGGACGGTGGCCCCGATTCTGCAGACCTGCGCGTTCCCGCTGCCGACGATCTGCCCGAAGAAGGTAGGATTGGGCCGCTCCCGCACGCATTTCCGGCTTCGATGCGAATGGCTTCCTCCACAATCTCGCCCAACCCATGCCGTTCTGGTCCCCGTTCGCCTGTCCAGTCTCCTCAGCTGCAGAATATGATGGGCGAGCATGCTTCGTCCCTCCTGGACCCTTCCTCTGTCTTTCGCCATTCCCTCGCGTGAGCATCGAGTACCGAGGCATTGTCCCAAAAGCCACATGCCCCACGCATTCTCCGACCTTGCACTTGCCGATCCCCCCTGTCATGCTAACGACGTCCATGATCTCCATTCTGCGACTCCTCGATAGGCGACGCAGACTTGCTGTTGCCCCGCCCAATCCGTGCGCGAGCACTGTCGAACGATTACTCTGATTGTAAGCCGATCGAGCATCCGCCATTCTGATCGTCCGATCCGTCAATTGTAACGCAGAGACCCATTGGCTGACAAACCTGTCTTTCTCCCATAGCCCGCGCGGCGATGAGGTGATATTTGCAGTGGCCTCTCATTCACTTGAGCATCCGAGTCATTCACCGCATGCAGATTGGAGCTGGATCGATCGTCTGGTCGTCGTTGTCCAGTCACTGACTCTGATTTGCAAACTGCAGCCGCTTCGCTGTCAAGAGTCTCCCCGAAGGACCCCAGAGCGATAACGAAGTCGAGGTGCGTGCTCTACCAGAACTTTGAAACGGTTGCTTGGCAGTCGAGCTTACTTGTTTCGCATCGTGCGCTCATATGTGACGCTTCTCTCGCACCTTGACTTTCGTTTGATAGTATCAGGACAGCCAGTCCACTAGCACCCGCGATCGATCGGGATGGAGCTGGCGCTGGGGTGGGCTGCCGGTAAAGTCCAGCGATGACAAGTGGGCTGCCAATCCCGTCGATCCAGTCACTCCCGACCAAAGCGTGCCCTTGTCGACCCAGGAGAAGGTCGATTCGTACCTGGCGACGCTCTCGTCGGCGCCGCCGCCGCCTCTCAACGAAGGCGCTGTATCGATCCCAATCCCGTCGGACACGGAGGCTCCTCTGCCCGAGTCCTCGGCGGCTTTCTCTGTGGAGCTGTCGTTGTGTGGCAGCAAGGATTTTGCGACGTTGGTCGGTGCTGTAAGTTTCGATTCTGTTCCTCGTCATCTCACAGTACCGGAGGGCTGATGCCGCTCGACAGAACCGATGATTCCGCTAGTGCGTCTCGCATCGTCAGATGGGATCCGTATTGCTCCAACGAGTCTTCATTCCCTTGGAGCAACCATCACAGCATGCATTTGTTCATCCGACACCCTACCAACTCTGCCCCAGGCTGCCGACGAGCTGTTCGAGAAGCACAAGGTCGTCTTTGATCAGTTTTCTCAGTCTCCGGCTATCCTCAGCGACCCCAGCCTGATCATTCGTCTTGGCAAGACGTAAGTCGAGACGCACATGTCCACGGCCGATCACAAGGCCAATATGGCCGCCGACGCCACTGCTCGAGTTGCTTTCTCACACCCTTGCGCACAGTCAGTACCACCAGTGGCAGACTGCAGCGCCCATCATTATCTCGCAGGTCGCCTTTGGAAAGTCGATCTCGGACGCAACTGTCAAGAAGACTGCTGAGAAGACCAGCGAGTCCAATGAGCCCAGCGGATACTGGGGTCTCAAGGCATGGTGGTCCCGTAGCGGGGCCAAGCCTGAGGCCGAGGTTGGTATCCATTGTCGCTTGGCCGTCGTGCTTGCATGGGTCGATCTCGCGAGGCCGTTGAGCGTTCAATATCGTTGCGGCTGGCTGGCAACTAACCCATGTCGGCAACCGTATCGCGCAGCACAAGGAAGGCGGACCTGCTCCACAGACGGGCCCGACACTTGAAGCACCTGCGCCGATGATGTCGCGGAGCGTCTCTCTGCCGGGAGAGGTGACCAGGACGTCGATTGAGCCGCCAAGTCCGGCTCTGATCCCCGAGACGCCAACACGCAAGCCTTGGACGAACTACGCAAAGTCTCTGCGTCTGAACTCCGATCAGCTGGTTTGTGCACCGCAATTGACTGTTGTTGATCCTTGCTGAGCAAGAAATCGCTCCAACGTCCGCAGATGGATGCCTTTGGGTGCAGTCTTCAGCGACAAGGCTGTGAGTATCAACGGCCAGGTACAATCGCTGCTGACCCAGTTGCGCCCTCTCTACCGACCATCGACCATGCAGAAAGCCCTTAATCTCAACAAGGGTGTCAACACCGTGACTTTTACAGTCACCACTAGCCTTCAGGGAAAGGCTGAATGCACATCAAAGATCTTTTTCTGGGACTACAACACCAAAGTGGTCATTTCGGATGTCGACGGAACCATCACCAAGTCGGTATCGGTTCGAGGAAGGAGGGGATACAGCTACCTCGCTGGTGTTGAGCGTTGGCTGGGGGTCGGGCTCAGACTTTGCACCATGTGTTCCTTTACAGGTCGGACGCCCTGGGGCATATCTTTACCATGGTTGGCAAGGACTGGACCCACTCGGGCGTGGCAAACCTGTATACCAACATCAAGAAGAACGGCTACGAGATCCTCTACTTGACCTCTCGAGCCATTGGCCAAGTACGTCTCTGCATGGCGCTGTCATGTGCAGGCCCCCTTGTGCTAACCCACATGTCTGGATTCCAGGCCGGCTCCACACGAGACTACCTCAAGAAAGTAGAGCAAGGCACATACCAGCTCCCTGAGGGACCCATCATCATGAGCCCCGATCGTCTCTTTCGGTCATTCCACCGGTAACACCCTTCCACATGCAAGCGACGGATGGAGCGGCTGTCGCAGACAAAGGCGCTGTACTTACGCAACATCACCTCTGGCTTGCGTCTTTGCAGTGAGGTTATCCTTCGACGGCCCGAGGAATTCAAGATCGCCTGTCTCAGAGACATCCAGCGCCTCTGGGGGCCAAACGCCAAGCCTTTCTATGCCGGGTTTGGCAACCGCATTACGGTGAGACACACGCAGCTGGTTTGTGCTGTGGCAGTATATCGATTCAGCAGCCAGCTGACTGCGTCATTTCGCGCCGCCACAGGATGCCCTGTCATACCGAAGTGTCGACATCCCCCCGTCTCGTATCTTCACGATCGATCCCGCTGGCGACGTCAAGTTGGAGCTTATGAACAACTACAAGTCCACGTATGTGTCCCGCAGTCGCAATGGCGTATATGCACATATGCGGTCGCTGTGCCGAGCGACAGCATGATCCGTTGTCCGGCACCGCTCCTGCCGCTTTCATCGATGGTAGCGAGTCGCCGCACAGCTGTAGCTGATCTCGATCTTTGATAATCCACGCGGTACACCTGCCCTCACACAGATACGTCAAGCTGAACGACATTGTCGATCACATTTTCCGTATGTATACTGGGGGAGGGGCACTTCCCAAGCTTGGCTTGTGGTCGAGTGCTAGCGAACCCTGTCGACAGGGTCGCCAAGCCGCACGATATCCGACTAGTTGATGAGCCCTGCCCTCTTCTGACTGCCGTTTCTGTCGTCCCAACGCTCCCTCCACTCTCCATCCACCACCAACTTAGCCTCGCCTGACTCTGCCGAGGCCGTCGACTTTTCCGATCTTTCGTTCTGGAAGTCTGTGATCCCGGAGATTGATCTCGAAGCCGAAAAGCAAGCGGGCGTCGTCGCTCAGACCCCGGCTACCACTGCTGACGCGGCTGCCGCTGCTGCTGTTGCATCTGGCACTGCGGCGGATGCTGGAGCTCAGCTCGGGGAACAGCCGCCGCCGCCGCTCGATCAGCGCGACCAGGGGGATGACAAAGACGTCGAGGCTGACGATGAGGGCGGAGTCGAGGATTTTGAGGACGACAGCGACGAGGAAAGTCGCTTGGAGCTGGAGAATCTCAAGGCGACGCCGTATCTGTGATCGTGTGATGGTCGCCAGCGAGTGCGGACACAGGTTCCAGTTGACTGCTGGGTCTTGAATACAAATGAAGGAAAACGCCCAGACACTGCGATGGCTCACGAGTGAGGCTTCCGTTGGACTAGTCTGATGTGCATTTGGATGCCTTTCTGCTCTCCCATTTGCCGAGGGCGATGGACACCGCAGAATGCAAGGCCGCGTTGGTTTCCTGGTCGTCTGGCTTTGATTTCCTGGCCTTGATCTGGTCGCGCCGATCGTTCCCGCCGCCTCACCCATCCTCCAATCGCAATCGCAATCGCAATCGCACCCGCACCCGCATCGCCATCTCGGACGTCGTCAACAGGATATGCCTCCGAAAAAGAAAAAGAGCAAGGCACCCAGCACCAGGGGATACGCAACCACGTCGATACCGTCCAAGCCGGCCCAGCTCGCCAGCGAGGCGACCGACACTCTGCCCGATACCCAGGACCCGAGCTTGCTTCCCGAGCCCATTGAGGCCAGTGATGCAGCAGCTCTACTGGACAGCACACTCGCTGTCGAGGCGAGCTACTTCCAAGCTGCCGCTCGGGATGCTTGGGAAGATCCTGACGAAATCGTGCTTGCGAGCAACGCGGCTGCCTCGACCGGCCTCTTGCAGACCAAGGTTGAATCGAGCTATCGCCAGGCCGAGCGTGCCCGGCTTGAGGCCCAGACAAGCGAGATCCTTCCGAAACTCAAACTTGAAAGCCAGTCGGAGCACCTTCTGATGGAGCTTGCTCGGCAAGCGCTGGACGAGCGAGGTACAGAGTCGTCGCCTGGATCGCATTTCGAACAGCCATCGATCGGGCCGCACTTGGGCTGATATTTCGTTGATCCTTCTGACTGTATTCTGCCTCTGCTTCTGTTTCCGATAATCATGTCATTTTGGCCGCCAGACTGGTTCCTCCCCGAGGCCAAAGAGAAGAGCAGCACCGAGAAGCTGCATCTCCATTACTGCTTGCTCGAGAGGATGGGCTTTCAGAAGGGCCACATCCAAGAAGCAATGACGGCATGCGGCGGCATGCGTCTCGAATCGCTGCTTGACTGGGTAAGGAGTATTCGCAAGGCTCGATAGTCGACGATGCCGATGGATTTGCCGCCCTCGCCCCACTCTTGATCTGATGTCGCGGTTTAAGGCCCCGTTTATCGAACGAACGGAACTTGCACAGACTTGCTGACTCGGGTTCCAGCTCTGTATCCATGTCAGGTCCGAGGACTTGCCAGCTGGCTTCTTTGATAACATCCTCCATGACGGAGGTACGTTCGACTGGCGGCATCAGATCAGGGGCTCCGCTTACCTCGTGCGCACGATGGATTTAATGCGGATGCTGATGTGACATGCAACCCCACGAGTACTGGCTTGAATACCACCATGAATGCCACCATGAATGCCGCCATGAATGCCGACGTTAGGTTCTCTGATCGAGCTTTTGCAGATACCAGCGCCCGAGATCGCCGAGATGCAGACCGAGTAGCCACCAGTCAATGCGATAATCAGGCTGTCCATCCTCGTCCGCACTCCCCTGCTCCGCCACCAAAGGACAGCGTCAGACGGGAGGAGAAGGATCTCAAGTCATGGATTCTACAGCAGGCCAGCCGATGGGTAGGTGCTCACTCCGTCAAGTTGCCCTTCCGCATCAATACATCATTTTGGCTGCCCGCTTCTTTTGGAGGCTCATGAGACTGTTGTTGTTGCCAGGATTTGGACGAAGATGAAGACGATCTTGTCTCGGAGACGAGTCAGGAGCCGGTGAGCACTCGCCATGCAAAACTGAAATACGAGCTCGAGCAGCTCCTCGCAGAGGCTCAGAGGGCAAAGTCATCCAAAGACGTCGCCAAAGCCAAGCAACTTGGGACATCGATTGGTCAATTGCGCCAGGCCATTCGGATTCTTGAAGACGACGATGACTACGACGTCAGTGCGTCCAGCAGAGCATTTAAACAGCTCCTGGATGAGAAGCAGCAACAACCACGGGAGCCAGAGCGCGAATCGTCTCGCCAACCTCCAAGTCCGGACGCCAGCCCTCGAGGCCACGGAGACAATGATGAGGCAGAGGATCAAGATGAAGAGGATGGTGGGATGCTTGGTATGTTTGACGAGGATACCGAGTCGGCACCGCCGGGTCCAACCACCCTCCCGCCGACCACCAAGATCCGCGATATGAGCGTCGCCAAGTGGTCAGGCCACATGCCCAAGGACCTCCTCGCCCAGTGGCTGAACAAGAACGCAAGGGGTGCCAAAGCCAGCTATCACCTATCACGAGACGGTGTCGGATATGCATCGACTGTGCGTCTCAGCGGCCATCGGTTGGTGGAAGGAAAATCTTTTGAGATGGCCGACCGTGCTGCTCAAAAGGACCAGGCCTCGCATTTTGTCTCGGTGAGTTTGTTTTCTGGCCTCTCGATGCTGGATCTTGCCACCTGATAGTGAAGCAACGGGACTGACTTGATCGACCGTGTACTCCAGGTGATTGCACTTTATGCCTTGAGCAAGCCACAGCAGTACTGGAGACAGCTGCCGCAGCCATATGCAGATCTGTGGCGGGAGCTTGAGGCAAAGGAGGTAAGGGGCAGCACCACGCTTTATGCACGACGTGCTTTGGATGATGCTCTTCGTCGAATTCCCGTTGCTGTGTCTCTGATGCAGCTCTGTGCCCTTGGCATCCCGACAGAACGAAGTGGCTCAGAAACATCAACACGGCATCACCCAGGAGCGGGGCAGCTTTGTTGGAAATCTGGTCAAGCAACGAGATGTCAAGCTCGAGGTGAGTGCGCCGATCCGATTGACAGTCCTTTGCTGTGCCAAACATAGCGTGTGCGATGTGGCCAAGCAGCACATACTAACTTGGCATCCTATATCGGCCAGGAGCACAAGAGCAGCCTTCAAGACACCGGCCTCGGCGATGAGCTCTGGCATAGTCCTGCCCGTGGCGACATGGCCCTGCCAACCTTTGCCAAAGTCGATCCACAGACTCTCCTTGCAGAATTTTCAAAGAGAAAGAGTCGGCGAGGTTATCAAAAGCTGCTGGTGGGTAGTGAGGGGGGGACATCTAACGAGAGAGTTCGTCGATGCTCTCAGCCGCCACGGCTCACACGACTCTTAACAGGCTGATCGAAGCAAGCTTCCTGTATACCTCAAGCGAAAGGAAATCCTGGATGTCATCAGGAGCCACCAGGTCGTTATTGTTTCCGGTGAAACTGGCAGGTAAGCCTCCAGCTGGTCAAGGCGCTGTGCGATCAATTGAGTGACTGGGTTCCGTTCTCTTCTTTGCTGGAGTGGCTGATATCTGTGTTGTCGCGCGGCCTTCTCCTTCCAGCGGTAAGAGTACGCAAATCCCACAGTTTATTCTCGAGGACCTGATCGAGACCAAAGCGAGCGGCTGCTATCAAGTTCTATGTACTCAGGTACGACCGAGTCCGAAACGACCACATGCACATATCCAAACGGCTGTTGCATAACCAGCTAATGGGCACTTATACTCTGCTGCATTCCATTTGCAACGGCGTCGTTTCCAAACGATCTTCGACGCCATCCCTTTAGCCTCGGCGAATCTCGGCCACATCAATTGCGTCGCGTGTCTCCGAAGAGATCGGCGACCCGGCTGGAGGCGTTGGTGCAAAGGGTGCCTGGGTGGGCTATCAGATTCGTCTCGAATCCAAGGTTTCGCCCACGACGCGGCTTACATTCTGCACAACGGTAGGCGCTGACCATTCCTCGCTAGCAGCAAGCTGATCGTCCAAAGCCCACATCCTTTCGAAGCAGCACCACGAACTCACTTCCCTCTTGTTAACTCTGCATTGTAGGGTGTGCTCCTGAGGCGCCTGGAATCAAATCCGACCCTCGATGGAGTCACGCATATCGTCGTTGACGAGGTTCACGAGCGATCCATGGACTCGGACTTTCTGCTGATACTTCTCCGTCGGCTGTTGAACATCCGACCCGATATGAGGTGCGCTACAGAGCACCAGTGATCTGCATTGAGAGCGAGACTCCGCAGCGATGCATCACTGCGCCCCGCACCCTGCATTCACGCATGCAAACTTGATCCGGGGGCACCGGCTGACACACTTGTGCCCTCCTCAGACTGATCCTAATGTCGGCAACTGCCGACTCGGCAAAGTTCCAACGTTACTTTGAGTCGAATGGCCTCATCAAATGCCCCGGCATCAACGTGGCCGGACGCACCTTTCCTGTTGAGACCTTCTATCTCGAGGATGCCATCGAGCAAACGAGTATGTCCACCAAGTGCACCCCATCCGGGTATACAGAGAGGAACCTAACTTTACACAGACTTTGCGGCAACATTCTCACAGCTGCCCGTTACTCGCAGACTTTGTTATCGACCCTGACTCGGAATACGCCCGAAAACCTGTCGTTGTCAGACAGAGTAAGTCGGCAGTCCTACGATTCTGTTTGTCGTCTCATGTGGATTGGCTCGGTTGTTCTGACGCAAGTGGGTCTTTGCCAGGCGCCGGGAAAGTTGGGATCACAGTCCGCGGCGGAAAGCGCATAAACATGTCGCTCGAATGGGACGAAGAGGTTTATGACGATGATCAAGACGACGACAGCATCACCGAATCGATTTCCACCTCTGATGACGTCGATAGATTGCCGCAGTACACCAAGAAGACCCTAAAGACTGTGTCTGCGATGGATCCGTATCGGCTGAATCTAGACTTGGTCGAGGCGCTTGTGCGCCATGTTTGCCGGGTGGCATCGAGCCGGGGCCAATCCGGTGGTCGTGACGATGACAAAGACGACTGGGAGGCCGAAGTTGATGATGCTGGTGGCGTCAATGGCGCTGATGATGCGAATGCCGATCGCGGCAGTATCCTTGTGTTTCTTCCGGGTCTTGCCGAGATCCGCAAGCTGCACGAACGGCTTTCGGCCGAGCCGGCAGATCGCCAGAACAATCCCGGTCCAGCAATGGAGGTGCTGCCTCTTCACAGCACTTTGGGCAGCGCCGAGCAGGCCCGGGTGTTTTTGCCACCGCCCAAGGGCAAGCAGGTCGTTGTCCTCGCGACCAACATTGCCGAAACGGGTATAACGATCCCGCACGTTCGATACGTCATCGATACGGTTCGAGCTAGGGAAATCAGCTACGACGAGCGCCGAAACATGACCCGCCTGAAAGAAATCTTTGTGGCCAAGGCCAACTGCAAGCAGCGCCGTGGGCGAGCCGGTCGTGTGAGCGAGGGGATCTGCTATCATCTGATCGCCCGAGGCGCCTTCGAGCAACTGGTACGAAGGCAGCACTGCGCCTATTGAACGCTATCGCTCGAGCAAGCGAGGGTGTCGAGGCGCCAGTGCAGCTTCCACCGGCTAACAGACGTTGATGCTTCCTTTCCGCAATCTCTCATGCCGTCCCGCAACTTTGTCCAACCGACACGGTACTTTACGAGCATAGCCAGACCACCGACCGCCCGAGCTAACGAGACTCCCCCTGGAGGAGATGTGTCTCCGGGCCCGCGCAGGTCGACACAGCGACAGCTTTTACAGCCTCTTTCAGGAGGCTTTGGACCCGCCGCCGCGCAAGAACGTTGACAAGGCGATTGCGATTCTCCAGCAGGTGCGTTTAGCCTGTCGCAGCATCAAGCACGGCGGTGTTGTCGAAGCTGACTGAATGCTGGCTGTATCTGCTCCTGTTTCTCGACAATGCCTCCAAGGCAGCACCTCTAATAACCAAAAACTATGCTATGCTTCGCTTCACTAGGTCCAAGCCATCGATTCGGAAACCAACCTCACGGCACTGGGGTATCGACTTGCACAGCTGCCAGTCGACTGCAGGCTTGGCAAGACACTGCTGTTTGCAGTTGCACTCCGATGCCTCGATCCGATTCTCACCGTGTGCGCGGCCCTTTTTATGAGCAAATCACCTTTCCTCCGTCCCTTTGGCAAGGAAGCTGAGGCCGACCAAGCCAGGGCAACCTTCCGTGTCGGTAAGATGGACGAAAACGGGGTCTGGCTCACAAGGGTCCCTTTCCGTGATGGCGACGGAGGGGATCCGCGGTCACTTGGCTCATACATCACAGCTGATGTCGATTGATTGTGGGTGTGCTGCGGCTTACTTCCACTTCGTTGTCGATGGGATGTCCACCGCCTCATGCATGCCGTAATGGCGTGTCCCTCATTCGTTCTCTTGTGTGGCTCGTTTTTACTCTCCGTGCCGACAGAAAACTCGGACTTGTTGAGCATTGCGAGTGCCATGTCCCGCTACAGGGATATCGTAGCCAGAGGCGCCAAGTCAGGCTTCAGCATCCAGCAAGAGTGCAGCCGAGCGTTCCTCAATGCTACCAACTGCTCCCAGATTGAAGATGCAAAGGAGCAACTCCTTCGACTCTTGATAGCGTCCGGCACCCTGCCTCTGGAGTGCCGCGTTGAATGCAGGTCCGGGTAAGTACTGGAGAATACCGGTGCGAGGCTCCCGAATGGTGTAATGTCCCTATGAAGCGCATATCATGGAAACTCCAGCTTTCTCGAGCGCAATGGCCATGACCGGTCGACAGTCCTGAGTCCACACACGGAGATAGCCCACCATCTGATCCAACCTTATCCGCTCTGTATTACTCGTCGTCCCCCCCCCTCCAACGACGCTGGTCAGGTCCCTATTCTCGGTGCTACCACCTACCCCCGGCATCTACAACCACAACTCGACCGACAACCCAATTCTGCTCAGTGTCTTGACCGTGGGCCTCTTTCCCAACTTTGTGTATGTGCGCAAAGAGATCCAGGGTCCGCTCCAGACTCGACCACAGTTGCACCGATTCAAGACGCCAAACGGCCTGTGCTGCTACGCTCTTCCTTCTGGCGAGGCAATATCCATACATAGATACTCGCTGAACTCAAAGGGAATCGACGCCGCAGGCGGCGGTGTCTATGTCTTTTACGAAGCCCAGCGCAACGACCACAGCACCTCTGTCTGGGACATCAACCGCGCCAATCTCGTGGCATCGATTCTGTTCAACTCGAGTCGCTCGGTCCAGCACTGGGCCCGTGTTGTTATGCTCGGTGACAGCGACCAAGGCACCATGGCTGTTCGTCTGCAGTGCTCTCCTCGGACGGCAGTGCTCCTTCGATGTGTCGGGGATCTTGCGTGGGCGCATGTCCAGGCTACCCTTGGAATCACCGCCTTCCCAGCCGACCCAAAGCTACAGGAGCGAGGCCAGAAAGCTCTGGAGCTGTGTGAGCGTATTCTCGCGGTGAACTGAGTCCGGGACACTCTTGAGAAGGGCGACAGGACTCGGGCCCATAAACATGAATGCGATATCGATAAACTTGGCAAGTCGAGTAAATACATGTATTGGAACTCGGTTTCACTATACTGAAAGACCGCCGGACTCTTGACCCCTTCCGGTACCAGCGTTGGCTGGTAAGTGCTTATGGCAGACCGACTGCTGCATTGTGCGGTATCGGCTGTACTGCCCCATGTTGACCCAAGTCTCAGGTTGCACTGTTCTCCGATCGTCGACGACTTCGGACAGCCTTTTTAAGCTGCAGCTTCTCCTGCAGGCCCTTCAGCCTGCCCTTCGCTTGAAGCACACCGAGGATGCCTGTGATGGCACCAGGCGGTGCGGGCTCTTCCTTTGACTTCTTGGTCAGCGTCGTCTCAACGGGCCCCCGCACGACCACTTTGAATTCGGTGGGGTCCCGCATGAGCAGAGCAGAGTGCCGGTCGAACCCAGCGATGACGGGAGCGACGGTGTTGGGCCGATGACTACTGCCGCCACTACTCGAGCTTGCTATCCGGATCGCTGCGGAGGACAAGAGAGCGGCCGAGGAGTGCGTCAGACTTGTAGCCGAATAGGTAGCAAGGACAGACGAGACGACAGGAACACTCGACCCGGATGTTGTCTGGATATACGGTAAGATGTCGTAGTAGATGCTGATGGCGTATGGTGGGATGCTGGTGGGTTGGTCGGGCTCCGAGGAAGGCAAGCGATGGGTTGGAGATTCACCGCTTCGAGAGTGCTTGGCTGGGTTCTTGCCGGGGCCGTGTATGCCAGCGAGCTTTGAGAAGTGGCCTGGATCAATGTCGCCGGGGGAGTTGGGACGGCTTGCGGAGCCCGGCCCGGTCGACATTGAGTCGTAGCGCTCGCTACCAAAGTAGATCTGGGGACGGGGAAGCATGCGCGGCATTGATGGAGTGGCAGCATCGGCGCCCGGTTGATTCTTCGCAGTCTCTCGGGTCGAGCTAGTAGTTTTCTCGGTGTTGGAGCTGCCTGGTCTGAGGACGGCAGGGGCTGTTTCGACGGCGGTTGGAGGCGGGGCCGGATCGGGTTCTGTGGCCTCGCCGGTCCCTGGCACCGCTGCCGGTGGTGATGGCGATGACGCTGTACCGGCGTGGTCGAGTGCCAGGGAGGATGCTTTCGGAGTCTCGTCCTTGGGGATCCTGAAGCGCTTGATTTCGGGAAAGTAGTCCGCGAGCGGGGCGAAGACGTTGCTGCAGACTATGCTTTCCCGCTTGCTGCTGCGGCTCTTGATGGCCGACTTTTCGGTCTCAGCCAGAGGCGCTCCTCGTTCAGCGATGCCATCTTGGGTCGCTGGTCTATCGTCGCTCGCTGGAGCAGCCGAAGCAGCACCGGTCTGGGCCGAGCCAGGGGTCTGTGCCTGTGAAGGGCTCACTGTGTGGGCGGTTTCGTCGCCCTGCTTCCCACAGCGAGAAGCCTCGTCCTCGGCGGTCCCAGTCAAGCGCCCCGGGGCCATACGGTAGATGATAATGTCGCCCGGATGGACGGCGCCGTCATGGGCATGCCTTGCAATCTCGCACTGCAGGCGGTAAATCGTTGCGTTCTTGGGCAGGTGGATCAGCAGCCCGAGGTAGTCCCAGTCAACCTGTTGAACCCTCAGGACCACGTTTTCATTCTCCTTCTCTTCGGCCAACACCCGGCGGACCTGTTCGGCATGTCGGGTAAAGGCCTCTCTGGCCTGCTGAATCTCCTGCGACTCGACCGCGGCTGTGCTCGGTGGAGCGTCTGCGGGCGCATGCTTGCTGGACTTGCCCGCCTTCTTCTTCTTGGGAGGCATCCGATTTGGAAGATCGGCGATGGATGAATCGGGGAGTGGGTTGGCGAATGAGTTGTCGGCAAGCTGCTGTCTGTAGCAGCGGCCTGGGACTGAGCAAGTGCGAAAGTCTCGACTGAGAGCTTGCTGGGGCAATGTTGTTGACAAGCGAACGGCTCTGTCTGTCAACAGAACCAGGACCGGTCAAGGTGCTTTAGAGCAGTATCCGCCACCCTTATGCCCTTCATCGATTGTGGCTCTGATTGGACTGACAGAGTAGTATGGACGCATTGTTGAGATGATTTATCGATTCAAAAACGAACTGGGACACCCCGTTTTGAGCCAGGACAGCTGTTGTTTGCTGGAACCTGAATACACCCGCCCACTCACTGCAATCACGACCAGACAGTATGTCCAAGGGAGACCGGGGTGGTGACTGCCTTTGGGAATGTCTCCTGGAAGCAAGGGAAGGGATATGCATCCAGCCCACGGAGACCCAGGTTTGTCAAGTACTTTGAGCAGTTCATCCACCACCAGAGACGGCCAGGTGTGCTCGAGTATCTTGATATCGATACACCATGGAGCTGTCCAGAGGGCCGAGGGGCCATAGTATCAATTGCCGTTAAAATGGTGTATTTGCATTGTTGGGGCTGTAGCGCCGACAGTCTTGCGCCCGAAAGCTCCGCGATTGATGTATTTTGTACAAGCTCCTGGCGGCTCGAGCAGACCAAGATCAAAGTTCAAATTGGTCAGACTAGTTGAGCAGGCTGGTGTAGCCAACAACAGCATTTTGGCCGTTCGGGCCAGAGGTGCCCATGAGACCAGAGACGCCGTATCGGATCCAGAAGAAGCCCTCGGTTCCTGTTGGAGAGAGAGGGTGATCAAGACACAACTGTGAGTGACAGACTCACAAATGGAAGCGTGGGCAGGCCAGTCTCATCGTGGAAACCGGTCGTGCAGTTCTGACAACGCATCCTTGGTGAGACTGTGAGCCGAGGGTTTTATATGCAAGTACGGCGACTCACCCCAGTCGGTGCCCCAAGAGTTCTTGCAGAGCCAAGCCTGGACGCTGTCGTCCCAGCCGATGCAGCTGATGGCGTGGCCGCCAACCTTCTTGGTACCGGCGGATGGGAGGTAGACGCGGTTGTTGGCGGTAGAACTGGGGTCTTGGAAGTCCTCGTAGACGATGAATCCGGTGGCAACAGCACCGTATGTCATGATGTGCTGGCGGATGGCCGAGAACGAACTCAAAGCCACCGCATTGAAACGGGTGCGGGCAGTGCAGGCCTGTGAGGCATACGTCGACTGACACGGCAGATCCGAATCCAAATTGGCGGGATAGGGATAGCAGGCCCGGGGCACGACGCCATACTGCACGACGGCCTCGGCGGCAAGAGCCGGGTCCCATCCGGTGCTGCATCGAGGGATCTGTCCCTCAAGCGGGTAGTTGGGGCCGAGGCAGAAGAAGAGATCGGCCTCGGAAACGGTGCCCTTTGGACCGAGTGGGCAGTGGAGGGGTGCACAATCATGTGAGCATGTGGGCACGAGATTCGTACGATGCGACGCATTTGCTGGGCCAGGGTCCATCGAGACTCACATCGGTCTTGGTGAGGACCCTCCAGGTGGTTTCCAGGGTCGAGGCGGTGGCAAAGGCAACGCACGAGCCGCACTGGCCCTGGTCCTTGATCGAGGTCACCCAGCCATAGTCACGAGCATCAAAGCGCTGAGGCTCGGTGGCGGCTCGGCCGTTGCTTGGGGTGCTTCGTAGAGCAGCCTCGGCCAAGGCGGCATGGTGAGAGTCATCGATGTTTTCTTCTTGCTGGGAACAGAGGGAGTAGGCGCGACAGCGGAGTGAGAAGGGGAGAGTTGGAACGATGGTGGGAGACACAGACATATCACGGCCAGAAAGAACATCTCCATTGTGCCGGCTGAGTAGCGCGGACGCTGATCGTGCAGGGGTTGCAGGGCATGGCTCACAGCGATCAAGGGGACTCGAGGTGCTGTGGGATAACCAACTTACAAAGATGACACGCAGGATATGGTCGTTGGGGATGGAGTCGTCCTGGAACAGGGTCAGGGGATCGATGCCGGACTGCTGGATCTTGTCGAGGTAGTCCTGGGCCTTGCGGATCTTTTCTTGGAATTTGGGGTCCTTCTCGAGCTTGAGATACTCTTCGTAGGCTTGCTTGTCGGTCTCCTCGAGGTGCTGCAGCTCCTGGTCGCTCAGCGGGCGGAGGACATAGTGGTGGGTGCCGTTGGAGTTGGTCGTGGGTGTAGTTGAGTTGGAGCCATCGACAAACGTAAGAGACCCCGCGGCGGCGATGGTAGAGGCTAGCGATGCCAAAAGCAAACCCAGGTGAGGACAGGATGCAGCCGATACGATGCGGCCAGAGAGACTGGGCTTGAACAGATCCGTTTGCCCAGAGCAAGTTGACTGCGAGATCAGCAATGCAGCACATACCCTTGTTGGGGCCGAGCGAGAAGCCAAGGGCCAAGGGAGCGATCAGCGAGACTGGTCGATGGAGACGAAGGCGGAGGTTGGTCAAAGGGCAAAGCTTGGCTGGGGGAAGGTGGGCCTCGCTGGCTGAGGACGGGCAGCGGCCAAAGGCGGCCCAAGCAGGACTGCTGTATCATGGCCGGGATCACGGTGCATCCTTGGACATACCAACGAGCAGCTTGGAGGTCAGCATGGCGGACAGCGAGACAGAGGACGGAGATGGCGACGAACCCAGGCAGGCAGCAACGAGGGCAGTTATACGAGTCTCGGGTGTCTCGCCACCTTCGGGCCAAGGTTGGATCCCTCGTGGCCACCGCGTCATGTCGCGGCTGTGACGACCTCGCCACACGAGTCCATACATTCGACCGCGCCACGTTACGGCGAAGGAAACAGCACCGCAACGGAAGGGAACAGGCCGCGGCGATCGCATATGCAATCTGGTGACGACGGTCGCCGGAGCATCGAAGAACATGCCGACCATACGGCAGGCATAGCTGGCGTGGTAGGAATGTCCAATGCTGGATGCTGGGCGGCTGGCCAAGGGTCCGCACGCTGGATCGGCTCTGGCAATCCATGTTCCACAACATCGGTCAGCCGGCCTGGGCCCATGGGCATCTTTGGCGGCGGTGCGCGTGTTGGATGGAACAGACGGGCTTGTTGGACTGGGCAACCCCAGAGCATTGGCGCTGATGCGAGGATATGGATTTGGCATCAAACCACCTCCGTCAGAGACCCAAGCCGACGACCCGAAAGGGAATGCCCGAGATGCCCAGTCTCACCAGCCTGACTCCCAAGACAACTTTGCGGCTTTGACTGCCTTCCCTCGGCCCCCACACAGCTCTGGCATCTCGATGCAAGCGCCTGTGTCCGACTCACAACCCTGGAAGGGCTGCCCCTGCTTTCCAATCTGAGGCTATTCAGGCTGCCGCAGCCGAGAGCTGCTGCCCCCATGGAATGCATCCTGCGAATACACCGGGTCGGGCCAGACTCGACTCTGCCTTACAGGCAATCCAATATAAAACGGGACACCCGGGTTTTTGACCATTCATCGAATATTTTGTTACCCAATGCTATCGCGCGCTGGCCATGACCATTCGCCACACATCCGACTTTCGCACCGCCGCATTGCGATGCTACGATCTCATCCATAGCCTGCGTAAGGTCGCCTCCATATTCAGTGTATCCAAGAGCACCATCCATCGATGGCACCGAGGATGCAAGCTGGATGACCCATCCCGGGTCCCAGCTCGCAGATCCACTTTCTTCGAGCAGGCATGTCCAGTCATTCGCACCCTGATTGAACAGGACCCGTTCCAGACTGGTCCTGTGTTGCGATGCAAGCCCGAGTCCATCCTCCAGAGGAAAGTATCACTCTCACTCTGCCACACTGCCATCCACCGAGCAGGTCTCTCACACAAGAGGGCAACACACCTCTACAAGTCCAAGCGACTGGATGAGCGAGTGGCACAGTTCAGGGACCGAGTCCGTTCCATCGACCCGCGACGGCTCGTTTTTGTCGACGAGACAGGGATCAGGAGATCCATTTTTCCTCTTTACGGATACTCACCGAGGGGTGCTCCGCTTCGCCAGCGCAATCACATGAAACACAAGTCTGTCTCGACTGCATTTGCCATCAACCACTCTGGTGTGCTGCATCGCATGTACATCCCCACATCATTCAAGACACACTCGATGGTCGAGTTCTTTGAGCGAGCGAGCTTCCCAGACGACTCTGTGATTGTGATGGACAATGTCAGCATGCACAAGACAATGGCTGTCCTGGACTGCATCGAGCGCCGAGGATGGTCAGTGATCTTCACCCCACCTGCTTCACCCGACTTCAATCCCATCGAGAACTTCTTTGGGATTGTGAAGCATCAGTACAGGAAGGTGGCAGCGCTGAATGCGTCCGAGGGGTTCAGAGTCGGAATGGTGACCCTGTTTGAGTCTGCCGTTCGGAGGGTGCTTCCAGATGTCTTCCCACGGCTGATTGAGCGAGCGATGCGCTTCTGGGGTTGAGTTCCCTCCAATCAAGCCGCCATTTTCGCGTTCACATCCCTGGCTTGAACCTCTCGGCGATTTTTGAACAGGGTCACTTCCCCAACCAGCCCGCAACGACGGGTTCCTGCTCTCGGGTATAAATGCCACACCTTCGTCCTGCTGCTTTCTTCCCTCATCTCGCCTTGATCTGATCATCGCGCTATTGTACGATAAAGAGAAGTCTCTGCTCTGACCAGTACCACTGGCAGGCATCCAGCATCCTCTGCCCCCATGCCTCCGAAGCGCAAGGGTGCCGGTGATGGCCAGCCTCGGCCACCCAGGCCCAAGAAAGCCAAGTCACAGTCGGAGCCTGTCTCTGGTTCGTATTCTGACCCCACGCATGCTTGTTCGTCTGTTGCTCCGTCGCTCACCACCACTGCTTCTGCAGATCCAATGGATGTCGATCCCACCGAGCCTGGTCCCTCATCTGGTCCTGTCAAGCGATGTCCCAAGTGCGATGGCACCGATCACGAACGTTGCAACACCAGCAAATGTCCCAAATACCGGCCCCTCAAGAGTTCTGTCGTCCCTCTCGTGGATGGAAGGTCATCCGCCCCTCAGTTCAGCTGCTTCAAGCAGACGATGGATGGCTGTTGTCTCAATCCCGCTCTCCGCGACAAGATCCAGGCCACCGTCGAGGCCATGACCCAGATCCAGTTCGAGGCATCCAGGCTGCTCAACCTGCACATCCTCCGGTGCATCGAGCAGGATCTTCCCGTCCCCGTCATCTCCAAGTCCACCCCTGCTTTCGTTCGCCAGTGCTTCAAGATTGTCCAGGCCGGTGCCCTCTCGACGGCCAGGGATACCAAGAAATACAACGAGCATCTGGTCGCTTCCTTTCGCGACTATCAGACCACTCGGCACGCAGACCTACCTCCGGCCCCTCGTCTGCCTGATGGTGCTCACAGTCAGCTTCTCACCCTGGCTGTCAATGCCTATGCCACCAACTGCACCACCCACCTCAACCTGGCCTACTGGCGACTCCTTCGCCGCTTCTGCGCTGCCGTCTTCCCTGCCAACAAGCACAAGCACGAAGCCATCGAGGCCTGTCTCGAGCTCTTCGAGAAACCGGACTCGACTCCACCCAAGGCCGATCTCGAGTTCCTCTATCCCGACTTTGGCCACGTCCTGGACGAGTTTCGGTACAGCAGCGACCAGGACCGCTTCCGGGCCCTCCATCGCCTCTCACACCATGTGGGAATCCTCGCCCGGGACAAGATGGTCGACAATGTCCACAAGTGGATCGACTGTGACATGCCCGCCCTCCGAGTCACCGAGCTGCAGCGCCAGGCCAAGCTGGACGAGCTCACTGCCCGAGGCATTCCCTCCGACGACAAGAGGCTCACCACGGCCAAGTCGGAGCTCGGCACCACCAAGGCCAAGATCAACAAGCTGGCATCCAGGATCAACTGGGCACTCAAGCAGCTCGCCGTCGACACTCCTCCGGCCGTGTGCACGATAGTTCCTCTGTGCACTGCGAAGGCCAAGTACATCAAGATTGACACGGTCACTCTCTGGCAACTCCTTGACACCGAACATCGTCTTGGACTCACCAGGGACAAGCTCAAGGAAGAAGGTGAGGACGGTGCCAACAACCAGGATCGTCTCTGGCGCAGTTGCTTCAAGCTGCGTAGTTCCCTCTTCCAAGAGCGGGACGTGAACAAGAAGCTGTTCAACTACGAGATCAGTACCAATGGCATTGGATGCACCATCGGTCTCGTCAAGTTTCTGCCTCGAACCGATCGCACCGAGACCATCGATCCTCCTCCGACCGCCGAGCAGCGTATCCAGGCCCACATCGGTGACCCAGACCCCAACCGCACCACTTGGATTGGCATCGATCCTGGAGTCGGCTCCATCTTCACGGCGATCATCCAAGCACCGGGCCACCAAGACGAGGTGGTCTCATTCTCCAACGGCCACTACCAGCACATGTGTGGCCATACGTCCAACACCAAGTGGCACAACACCATGAAGTATCGACTCGGCATCGAGACCTGGATGTCGACCACCCCCTCGCCCAAGGTGTCGTCCTCGGAGGCTTTCAAGGTCCATCTCACTCATGTCCTGCGACCGGAGCTGCGAGTGCAGCTCGACTTCCACCTTGGCAAGAAGGCTCGTCACCATCGCTTCACGGGCCACAAGAGACGCCAAGTGGCCGTTGACAAGATGTGCAAGGCCGTCCTGAAGCACGCCCCGATACGGACCGATGTGGTGATCGCCTTTGGCAATGCATCATGGCGACAGGGCAAGGGCTATGCATCCAGCCCTCGGAGGCAGCGGTTTGCTCGGTACTTTGAGCAGTTCGAGCACCACCGACGCCGTCCCAATCACCCTCATGGAAGCGTCAAGGTAGTCTCGACGAACGAGTTCAACACCTCGCAAGTGTGCTCCAAGTGCCTGGAGCCAGTTCGGTTGGAAGGACTCGATGCGCCCAGTGTTGCGAATTCCCACTTTGTCAGGAGCTGCAAGAATCCCAGCTGCCGGACAGTGTGGAATCGCGACGTCAATGCGGCGCGCAACATGATCACAGTATGCAGGTCGATTGTGGAGACCGGAGAGCGACCGGTGGTCTTCACTCGGAGGCTGCCAAAGTGATCTGTTTTATTTCTTGTGGCTTTGCTTGACGCAAGCACAGCACATACTACCTGTTCATGGAAACGGCTATATTGTCCCGTTTTTTTCTGAATAAAGTGTACAGTGTCGCCACCAACAGCCACCGCCGCTCTGGGCACGCGTTCCGCAATCTCCAAGGAGCTTGGTCTTGCCTCCCTTGGTCTTGCCTCCCTTGATCTTCCCTCCCTTTGATCTTCACTCCCCTCTCGCGTTGTCCGTTCCCTGCGAAGATGTCAGAGGTGTTCTCCTGCTGTCTTGGACGGTCTGAGCGACCGCCCGATCGATCCGTCTCCGAAACCGCACCGGCTGCCGAGCAGCAGCCGTCTGTCGAGCCTGTTCCGGCTTTGGAACCCGCCATGCCGGCTCCTCAACCCAAGTTTGCCCCTCCTATGGACCCTTTCGATCCCTGGGTGCACCCGCTCGAGGCCGCTGTCAAGATGGCCCAGAGAGAACCCGACGCTGTGGCCGTTCTGACCCTTGAGCGCGGCCGAGTGGAGCGGTATAGCTACCTCCAGCTCTGGCAACGAGCGTATTCGATTGCGCAGGGGCTGAAGGCCCTTCCTGGCTGGGACGACGAGGGCCACAATGTGGTTGCCACCTTTTGCGAGGCCGAGGCATCCTGGGCCTTCATATCGATCGCTCTGTGGATCCTCGGAAAGTAAGTTGTGAGAGGCAGGGGAAGTTCGGGATTCACCTGCCGCATTCTAGTCCTGAGGGAAGCTCAGAGAGTCTTGGCTTGGATGGGTTTGGTTCGGCAGCAAGACTTATACCTCCTGTGTCATATTTTTTTCCCAGACAAACCATCAACCTCGGACTGAACCTGCCGTCTTCTATTCGAAGGGCCCTCTGCGCAAGGTATGCTGAGGCCATGTTCTCGAAGACAGAGGTCGCTTGGCTCATTTCCCGTCCACCCTATCTTCCAGACTCGGCATCATGTTTGTTCTTCACCACATCGCCAAGCCCAGCCGACTCGAAGGCGTCTCTTCCATCGACGTCGAGAAATTTGAAGTGCTGTCAAACGTCCCGGCCCCATCGCTCGAGCTCTGCAAGCCGATCGATGAGTATATCGGATACATGTGCACTTCCGGAACGACAGGTATGGGCAATCCGAAGCGAACATTGGCGATACTGTACCTGAGAGAAGAATGTGCCTCATGCCGTCATGACCGGTTCGCTCATCCAGTTGTTTTTCGGCGAATATAGGCACCCCCAAGACGTGAGTATCGATGGCATTCTCTGGACTGGCCTGCGTATAGCCCAGCTAACGGGTCCATGTGGCACTAGATACAAGCTCTCTCATCGGATCTTCCAGTCCAGTCGCTTCTCGGCCGGTGTTCCGTACGGCAGCATCGAGATTTCTCAGGTAGTTGCTGATATTCTGCTCTTTCATCGTGTCATTGCGAGAGTCTAATAATCCCAAAGGCACCTTCGTTCTCTGCCACCGTGGCGGCGTTTCTTCTGGCCATGAACATTCGAGGATCCGCGTGGTTCCCAAAGCCCACGCCGAGCCCCATCGACAAGGCCATGGGCATCGTCCAGCTTCTCGACGAAGGCTTGGACATTAGCTTCTCGGTAAACATCGAGGACGCAGCTTGAGTATCGGGGCGACGTGAGCAAATTGACGGATTGTAACTCGAGATGTTGGATCCAGACGGCGACGTTCTTGAAAACGGTTTTCAGGGTGGCACTCTCAAAGAATGCCCAGACAAAGTGGACCAAAGCCAAGCGCATATGTCTGGGAGCCGAAATCATTCCTCCAACACTGCTTGCGCAGGCAAAGGAGCTGTGTCCAAATGCGGAGGTGCACTGCGTGTATGCATCCAGCGAGGTGAGCATTTCGGACTCGTCGCTTCAACGTGATCGGATGACTGCATTGCTACTAACACAGTCGTGCATGACTCAGGCGGGTGTGCTTGGAGCCATGTCTTTCTTCACGAACCGTCCCTCCGAGGCTCTGCCACCAAAGCTGGTCTACAGACTGCCAAAGCCAAACATTCGCTGTCTGCTCTTTGATGAGGAGGGCAACGTTGTCGACCAAAGCGTTTCCAAGAGTGGCATCCTCGTCTTTGCTGTCGACAAGGACGACCCCATCAAGAACCATCCCAACTTTGTCAATGCCGATCCAAATGACAAGCTCGCCTCGTTCGGCTTCCTCGAGGATGGCTCGCCCCGTGTCTGCACCATGGACTGGGTCGAGATGGTTGGCGATAAGCAGTTCGCGGTCGTTGGAAGGTGATCCTTATGTTCTAGTATCGCATTATTCTCGATGGCGATTCTCGTTCACCCAGTTGGACACTGATTCCATGGGCCTCATATCTCCCTCACTAGATTCGGTCAGAAGGTCAAGGTCAACGGTGTCTATGTCGACCTCAACGCCCTCGAGGAGCTCACCAGCCAATACATGGGCCATGTGATTGTCGACTGTACCTTCATCCAGACCTCCGAGAAGAAGATCGTGATGCTGTATGCCCCCAAGAAAGGATCTGATCTCAATGCAGCGCCAGGGGAAATTCTGCAAATGACTGAGGAATTGTTTGCCCTCAAGAACATCGCCAAGTTCCCGATCCACAACTGCTTCGAGCTCGACGAGTTCCCCTTCAACGACTCGGGCAAGCGCGACCTCAAGAAGCTCAGGCGCATCGCCGAGAATGTCGATCAGTTCGGCAAGTCGGTCGAGTACCCTCGTTTGAACTTGGTGGACATTCCCCTGTCCCGCACCGCCGCCAAGATCTCCACACTTGGCAGCCAGATCATCGACAACCCCGCCCTCGACGGCCGCAACTACTACATCGGCGGCGTCGGCTTTGACTCGCTGAGTGTCGGTCGCCTGGCCCTCGCCATCAAGGACGAGTTCAATGTCGAGATCTCGCCACTTATCTTGCTGTCGAACGGAATGACACCGACTGATGTCGCCCAGCTGGTTGTCGACATCCTCGACGACAAGCCTCTCATTCCCCCGACTGTTGATCTGGCTGCTGAGGCCGCCAAGCTCGACGATGCGAGTGTGACGGCCGAGGGTCTTCCTCCGTTTGTCTATCCCAAGGACCCTCGCGGCATCGTCCTGACCGGTGCCACTGGCTTCCTCGGTGCCTTCCTGGTCTTTGAGCTGGCCCACAAGTTCCCTCGGGCCAAGATCTACTGCCTGGTCCGAGCCAAGGACGAGCAGGAGGCTGTCGAGCGCATCATCAGCACGGCTCAGAAGCTGGTCCTCGATCCGAGCCAGAGAGCCTTCCTTGACCACAGCCTCAAGTCTCGACTCATTGGACTGTGCGGCGATCTGTCGCAGGACAAGTGGGGACTCTCGGACGAGCGATGGAAGGAGATCGGCGAGGAGACCGACATGATTGTTCACAACGGCGCCGAGGTCCACTGGCTGTTTGACTATGACAGACTCAAGGGACCCAATGTCCTCGGCACGGCGACGGCCCTGAGACTGGCCACAACCCACCACCTGAAGCCGCTGCACTACATCTCGACCATCGGCACGATCCCGATGGCCAAGAAGGCAGACAAACCGCTCGAGGAGAAGATCTACTCGGCCTGGAACATCTCTGGCGGGTATGGCCAGACCAAGTGGGTCTCTGAGCAGCTGATCAACAAGGCACGATCGAGGGGAGTGCCGGTGACGATCATTCGTCCAGCCGTCATTGCTGGTGACAGCCAGTACGGAGGTGAGTCGAGTGTGGTGTGATGTGGTGTGGTGTGGTGGAGATGTCTCATTCGTCCCCATGGACTGGCCATGAATCGATGGTCTCGATTGTCAAGTGCCACTCATCACCAACTGACACCAACTGACACCTTCACACCCTCCATCGCTCCAGTGTCCAACTCTGATGACTACATCTGGCGATATGTCAAGGGATGCATCCAACTCGGTGTTGCTCCCTCGCACGCCACTCCCGTCACCCTGACCATGGATCCCGTCGATCATGTTGCCAAGGTGGTTGCCGAGATTGCCGGCTCTGAGGAGTCCCTGTCCAAGTTTGTGTTCCACATCAGCGACTCGGAGCACAGGTAAGGAGTGTGATATGTGGTGTGCGATGTGGATTGCCGAAAGTCGATTGCGATGATATGGTGGTGGCTGACGTCCGCTGAACATACCCGACACTCACTTACTCCTTGTAGCACTATCACTGAAACCAAGCTGTTTGAGCTCGCCAACGCCTATGGCTGGTCTGTCCTGTTTGATACCCGCGAACAGTTCAAGAGTCGTCTCGAGGCTAATCCCTCACCAGAGAGCAACGCCCTGTTCCCGTTCATGCACATGATGATGGACATGTCCTTCAAGATCGACAACACCAACACCCGCTCGATCTGCGCCAGCCCGACTCCGCCCGCATGGGAGATTGCCGGCCGGTGTCTGAACTATCTGTATCGAGCTGGGTATTTGCCGAGCCCTCAGAAGCCTCGCTCGTCGCTGAAAGAGGACCACTATCCCGAAACCAGCATCTTCACTCGTACTGGCCGATGCTCTGGATAATGAGCCCGATCGATCGCGCAGACGCCGTAGTATCCACACCAACAACCCCCGATATCTGAATATGAGCGCAGGTGGCGGTAATGCTCGACCTATAGTCGAGGCATGGCATACCCCGATTGAAGGAATATATCCCTGCAGGATTACAGCGTATGAGAGCTACCATAGATGATAAGTCCATACTGCATCCGCTGTGCATCGTTCGGTCTTGAGAGCATGTGGAGCTTGCTGACAGCCACCCATGGGGCACACGGCTGCCGATCCTTGCAATGCACGCCGCTGAGGATGATCTCCAGGATGTATTCAAGATCGCACACAGAGCGGAGGTTGCGAGTAGTAAGCCCTTGAGCCGCCGACATGCAGCCAGCGGTTCGGACAAACCACAGACTCAACTCCACCGAACTAAAACAAAAACATTCTCGACACAGGAGAGAGGCGTGGCGCTCTGTTCGTCTCAATGGACTGCACCCGATGGCCTTACATCCGACGCTTCTCGCGCTTCTGCGTCCTCCGCTTCTCCTTCTCGCGCTCGAGCCGCTGCTTCTCCTGTTGCTCCTTGATCCGGGCCTGCTCCTTTTGGTGCTGGAGCTGGGCTTGGGTGCTGTTTGGCGGCATGCAGCATGTGAGCACAGTCGGATATCGATGGTTCATCAAGACAGGGCCAGTAGACTCGCCGCTCGACGGCAAGGGCGCTACTTTAGTGCCAGCCGAACCTCGGTTTCCATGACGGCAGCATAGCAAAGAGTGGCGAACAACTCAACCGCATTCTTACCGCTTGTTCTGCTCCTGCTCCTTGACGACGTCTGCGTTGCGGTTTTGAAAGAGTCCTGCATGCAGTACGATGGCTCAGCTTCAACATCAGGCCGACACGCTGGTCGGGACTATGATTCAACACCGCCGATCGGGCGGCTGGCTTCCTGGTGGCCGCCTGCTCGCCCAAACCGATGATGTCGAGTCGAGCCATCGCACACAATTGTCCGTCATGGCACACATACCCTGCTTCTTCAAATCCACCGCCTCGCTCTTGCCGCTCGTGTAGACAATCTCGGTCTCGCCGTTGGCGTTTTCGACGACTTGATCGATATCGTAGCCGTATTGTGCCAGCAGGGCTTCCCGTTGTTTTCGCTCCTCCTTCGTCAGGACCTTTGGGGCATTGTGCGGCCGGACGTCCGACGCTCCGGTCTGGAGATCCTGCTTCTCGAGCTCTGGAGCAATGCAGATGCGTATCAACGCCCGATCGAGTTTGACTGTGGGCCTGCTTTTGGTTTGAATCTGCTCAAGTGCTCGCAAGCCGCTTCGACTGGCTTACCAAGCGCTGTCTTCAAATACTGGGCCTTCGACTCTTGCTGCTCGATTTCAAGTTTCTCCAGATGCTGCTTCAGATGCTCGAGGAGTTGTGCCACAAACTCTTCGACTGCGTCACGATCCTGCATCAATCAGAGCGGGATCAGTGTGCAGATTGCAAGGGCGTCATGTCGTCGAGGCATGGGATGGGTGAGATCGCCGTATGGCATCGCTGACCCACCTCGTTCAGCTCTGAAAGATATTCGCAGATGGCCTCCTGCTTCTCCTCGGGGTCGATGGTGTCCTCTTCGCATATGCCAACGATGTACTCGATGACAGCCTTGGTGTGCGATGTTGGCAACATCGAGGGTCAGAGGGGACTCACGTCAGGATCCTATGCTGCCCATCGTCGGCCGCACATGCTCGTTTTGCAAGAGATGGCTGGGCACCCGTACCGAATCATCGATGCCCAGGGTCCGAATCGTTTCATCCAGCCACTGCTTCCAGTCGTCCGCTTGCGACATGGCTACTGCTTGCTCGGGTGCCAAACTGCAATCAGAGGCTCAAACCGGTTCTTGGGCAGAAAATAGGGCTGTGTCACCTGACAATGTTGGCTGAATTGGCTGGATTGGCTGAATTGGCTGGATTGGCTGGACTGGCTGGATTGGCTGGACTGGCTGGACTGGCTGGATTGGCTGGACTGGCTGGACTGGCTGGATTGGCTGGATTGGCTGGATTGGCTGGATTGGATGTGGCGATCTCCCTGGCTCTGCATTATCCCGCTCCATTCCATCCCATCATCCCATCCAACCTCCATGACCGCAGAATCACCGTTCCCGATCGAAACCATCCACACGTCCCGGGAGATCAGGGGTGTACCGACGCAGGCCTGCGTCATGTACTTTGCCGACAAGATCTGGGTTGTCGTCACCCAGTTCAACAAAGTCGGCAATCTGGTCAGTGGCTCTCTCCGTCGCGAGCACACAGCGCCGCCTTCCATTCCAATCCACCTGAATGCCATATATGGAGTGGGCTCTCTGGAGTGAGATATATCGCCCCACTCGTTTGGCAGTGGCATTTGAATGAAGCCTCGCCAGTGCATGACTAATCCTTCCGTCTGGCCGGGTGCTTCCGCCCGTTCTTTGCATCGAATCCAGGTGCTGGCGACCCAGAGCACCTTGGCCAACCCGCTGCTGGCACCACCCTCTGGATCCTCGATATCGACCAAGGTTCTTCTCGGACAGCGAGATGACCCACGCCTGTCCATCTATGCGTCCTCAATCCTCGCGCGCATCACCACTCGTTCCCCTCTCGAAACTCGGCCATTGTTGCTCGGGATCGCATTGCATCCCGATCCCGACGACTCCGCCCCCAGCCAAGTGTTTGAGGAGGTCATGGACTTGCTCGAGAGCATCAATCTCTTCTGAGTGGGCACCCATGACCGTATCGGCGGCTCCCCTGTCACACGGCTCTGCCAGGACTCTCGGGCGCATTCGATCGTAATCAACCCATGCCACGAGTTCGCTGTCTTCTCAATACATTGATACGCATTTGTCACAGCCATCCAGGGCAGCGCCAACGGTTGTGTCGCTCCTGATCATGATGCTCTTCTGAGACCAAGCTTCGAGCATTTGCAAATCCAGTGGGCAATCATCCCCGGTTCATGCGATTGCCCCATCCCTTGGGGTTGTCGTCCTTGAAGTCGTCCCAGGCCCTGGCTTTCATGGTCGCCGCATCAATGGTGGCCTCTTCATCCTCGTCATCTGGCTTCTTCTCGGGCTTCTCACTGAAGTGGAAGGATACGTTCGTAGCATGAGGCAGTTGGACGTAACTGGCAATACTCAGATTGGCGTCGTGCAGTCCATGCCGGTTGCTTACCCGCCGCCGGAGATAATGTTGCCTCGTTCGCGCTCTCGCTCCAGATATTCGTCGATGGTCATGGTCGGCAGGTTGTGGCCGGGTCGGAAGACCCGATCGAGAATGTCCTGGCGTTGGTTGGTGATGACAAAGGGACGCATAACCTGGATGCAGGACGACGAGCAATAGGATCAGCCGTGAGCATCAGCCCGGCCCGACATGCAAGGAAAGGACCCATGGCGCTTATGCGTTCGGCATGATCGAGGCTCGCACCTTCCCTTCCTTCGAGAGCAGCGGCCCAGATGCGCTGGAGAGACTGATCTGCTCAACCCGGGTGGAGAGCGCATCTGGATCGGCCTGGGCAGCCGCCAGTCGTTCCTTGGTCCTTTGAGACTCCTCCACCATCTTCCTCTCGTCCACGATCATGGGGATGCTTGTGATGGATTGCTGGATGCCCAGATCCATGGTCGTGAGGATGATCTCGCGGTCCAGGTCCTCGTCGATGCCTTCCACCTCATGGGAGTTGTTCTTGGCCGAGGTTGCGATCTGTTGGTTGAGCTCCATGAGCCTCTGCTTCGTTGCCTTTTCTCGCTTGTATCGGGCCATCTTGTCCTCCCGCCGCTTGGCGAGGTCAGAGATGCCGCCCTTGAGCTGGATCTCGAGATGGCGTTCGTCCTCTTTCTTCAGAATCTCGTGGGTCTGGCATATGCTCAAAAAGTTCCGGAGGTGCCGCTAGAGCCAGTGAGAGCGGGTTGGAATAAGGGGCCGTTGGTCAGAAGCGACGATACAGGTACCGGGACGCAGAAAGGCGACGGCAAGTAACAGAGCCACTGATCCAGCATCGCCAACCTCGGCCGCCTCCAAGACCACAAGGCGGTCGTCCGAGATCCGCTTCATCAGCACTTCTCCGAGATAAAATTCCGAAAGCAGGAACCTAGATTCAAAGACGAACGGTCCGCTGCTGTTAGCGAGAGGGGGTAGGTGGGCAGGAAGCCGAGGATGTCGTCGACAAAGCAGACCGGAGATGATGCAGCCAGTTGTTCTGCACGTTGCATCCTCATCCGCTTCCTCCTTCTCGCCCATCTTCGCTGCTGCTATCGATCCAGTACCGCAGATTGGTTGTGGAAATGTCTTCCAGGATCTCATTGTCGCTGAACATCCGGAGATCGGCCGCCAGTCGAAGACAGCGCTGGAAGGCAAGAACGGCGCGATCGACATCGGCCTGCACGCAAACGAGAAGGTGATGGGTGAGACCGGATTGAGATGGGCCAAGTCGCTGAATTCCTTGGAGACTCTAATCAGCGAGCGCAATGGCCTGGCATGGACGGGCCATTTGGGCTTCTGGTCGCTTGGGTTCCTGGCTGGAGAGCTTGCATCCACAAGCCAGCATGCAAAACCAAAGTCACGGAGCACCGCCGAGACTGGCCGACCTGATATGCCGGGTCACTTCCGGAGAGGTCCGAGTCCTCCAGCTTGCTGTAGAGGCTCTGTCCGAGCTGGAACTCCTGCTTGATCGAATATGAGCCCTCCTCGACCATGGTGATTTGATCCGCTGATTGTGCAAGAGCAGCACCAGCCAGATGAGACCGCGCCATCGACGATCTTTTGCTCGCGGCGAGAGCGAGATGCCTTCTCGGCTGTTCTCGCGGGGAATAGTGTCTTGACAGAAACAACCCATCAAAGGCGAAACCGCAGAGGTTCGTCGCTGGCTATGTATCTCTTGATCTCACTGGCTGGTGGATCGCGATGCACCCGCTCCGTCCACCCAGGTTGCCCATCGTGTTGGCCTCACGATGGTTAATATAGGCGAAGATGTGTTTGTATTCGCGTTCGGAATGTAGGTCCCCGAAACAAATCCACCATCCGCGCTCAGACACGAATACCCCCGTTTCGGTATGTGTGGGCTGCAGGGTAGTCAACGGCTTCAAAACAAAGTGATTCGCTCCTGTTGGGGTCGGACGCTGATGGAACGAGCCTACTTGGCGGTTTAGAGCTCATCGTGGCCCTTGGGCGACTCGTCGTCGTCAAAGACTTCCTCAGCGCTTCCCTGCTTCTTCTCGGTCTCGGCCTCGGGAGCAGGGCGGATCTTGACCGTGGCCTGGGCATCAAGAGAGACGCCGAGGTTGCTGCGGACAACATTCTCGATTCTCTGGGTAAACGACACCCAGTCTTTCAGGCTGTAACCACTGCGCAGCAAGGTTGTCTCATAGAGGACCTGGGCGGTTTCCTTGAGCTTGGGATCCTCGGGATCCTCCTGGACCTTGGCGAGGAGGTTCTGAATGATCGGATGATCCTGCAATACCGAGAGGAGCGACTCGAAGATTAGCAGTCATCATATACACGCCCGGACGACGGAATGCAAAACCAACGAGCCGGCAGAAATCGATCCCAGGTGATATTCGGTAGACTTACAGGGTTGATCTCGAGAATCTTGCGCTGGTTGCCGTAAAAGTTGGTGTATCTGTTTTCCGCAGAGTTGGAATGAGCATCCATGAGGCGCTGCATGGTGCCAGACACGCCATAGGTCGGGGCGGTGATGGCGGCAGGCGACTTGGTGAGCTTGTTCGAGATGACCGTCTTCTCGATCGTCTTCTCGAGGATGCGGCTGAACCAGCTGGTCAGAGGCTCAAACTTCTCGATGAGGGCCTCCTCCTCCTCTTTGGAATCCTCGTCTATGAAGAGTCAGCGTCGGGTGAGTGCGTGTACGCTTCGAGATCCGCTGAGCGAGCACTCGCTCACTGGCGACACCAGCGCGGTGGTATAGTAGAACAAGCGCGAACCAGGGCAAGCCCTGATGGGTCTCACTGGCAAGTTGCCGTATGCATACCTTCATCGCCAAACTTGACTCCGTCCTTGACAATGTTGTGGAACGAGTGGCCGCTGTACTTGGTGAGGTGCTGGATGACGTACTCGTCGAGCGGGTCGGTCATGTACTGTGCGGCGTAGAGACACAGCATTAGGTCGCGCACGATTGATACCGGCCGTATAGACACATCGTTCCTGTAATCCTCACACTTCTGTCTCGGATGAAGCAGTCTGAATATAGCTCACCAGAACTTCGTAGCCACGGGCCACAAGCTTCTCGGTGAAAGGAGAGTTGACAGCCTCATCCATGCTGGCGCCAGTCACGCAGAGGATCTGGGTCTGGCCCTTCTTCATGCGAGCAATGTACTGGTCCAGGCTGGTCATCTTGGCAGTCTCGCCCTCCTTGAAGCTGGTGTGGAACCTCAGCAGATTGGCGAGCTTGACGCGGTTGGTTTGGTCCTCCTCGAGGATGCCGAACTTGATGGCAATACCAAACTCCTTCCAGAAGCGGCTGTACTGCTCCTCGTCCTTGGTCATGGACTTGAACAGGTCGAGGGCCTTGGCAATCAGTTTCTTCCGAATCAACTTCAGGATCGAGCTCTGCTGTAGAGTCTCGCGCGAGACGTTGAGGGGCATGTCATCCGAGTCGACGAGACCCTTGAGGAACTGCGGTGGTGGGCGGACGAAGCAGTGGCAGAGTTCAGCATATGCAGCTCAATCGAATCGGACACGCTCGAGCTCGAGATCGTATGCACACGGAACAAAATTCGAACGGCCGGCTGATCGCGTATGCCGAGTCAATATACCAAACATGCAAGAGCGCAAGGAGCGATGACCAACCTGCAAGTACTTGGGCATAAAGTCCATGAGCTCGTCCGTGATGAACACACGGCGCACAAACAGCTTGATGTTCTTGAAGAGCGTGGCATCCGAGGGGCCCTGCAAAAAGTTGGACGGAGCCTTGCCAGGCACATAGAGGATCGAGCGGAACTCGAGATCGCCTTCGGCAGAGAAATGGGTCCAGCCGATGGGCTCATCGTAGCCCTTGGTGAAGGCACGATAAAAGTCCTTGTATTCTTCCTCGGAGACCTGGCGAGGGCTGCGGGTCCACAGAGGCCTGTTCTGGTTGACGAGCTCCCAATCGTGCGACACGTGCTCGACGGTCTTGGTCTTGGGGGTCGACTCGGAGGGGGCATCCTCGACGCCATCCTCGTTCTCCTCGGTGGAGGCAGACTCGTCGTCTTCGACAGGGACCTCCTCCTTCTCGACCTTGGTTGACCACACATAGATAGGGAAGTTGATGAACTCCGAGTCTAGAAAGGCAGCAGAGGGACGGAGATGGATGTCAGCTCAAAGCCACATATGTGTGCACCGCCAAGAGTCGCTGAGTCGACAAAACTCACATTGCTTGATCAAGCCCTTGAGGCGATCTTCCTGCAGATACTCCACAGCATCTTCCTTGAGGTGGATAGTGATTTGGGTGCCGCGGCCGAGGGTGTCACCGCGAGGATCTTCAAAGATGGTGAAATCTGCGATTGGCAACGATTCGAGAGAGTCGTCAGGTTCCGGACTGAACAGGGGGAAGCAAACGGGCGAGGCAGTGGAGAAAACAGTGGACCAAGCAGACAGAGCAGCTGGATACGAACCACTGGCAACGCTGGATTGCCAGACATACTGTTTGTCTGAGTTGTGCTTGCTGACAACGGTGACACGGTCTGCAACGAGGAAAACCGAGTAGAAGCCAACACCAAACTGGCCAATCAAGCCCTGCAACATGAATCAGCGGAGCCGAACGATAGGTAAGCATAGGATCGGCAGCCAGGAGTGCTTATCGATCCAATTGAGCAGCATCGCTGGCTGGAGGAACTGCGGGCTTGCTGTGAGAAACGATGGGCGATCGAGTCTCAGCCGCACAGCACACAGGACACAGCAGCGCAACCAGCGATCCCGTTTCACAATGTGCCTCAGGCCCCGGCAGACGCAGGGCCATCCGATAGAACACTCGATCTTACCACGTCGCTGGTCTTGTTGCTCTCCAACGAGGCCAGGAACTCGGATGTGCCGGACTGTCAGAGGAACGCACAAGGCCAGTCAGATTATGCACCATGAGTGAGCCAACACATTGCGGAATCCGACGCAAGCGACAACCGGCACGCTCAAGAGGCCTGTCAGCCCTTACCTTGGCGATGGTGCCGAGGTTTTTCTTGAGGTCCTCCTTGGTCATGCCGACACCAGTGTCGGTGATGGTGATGGTGCCGTCTTGGGGGTTGGCCAGGACGGTGATCTTGAGATCGGGGTTGGTGGAGAGGGCGTCCTTGTCGGTCAGGGCCAGGAAACGGATCTTGTCGATGGCATCCGAGGCGTTCTGAATCGATATGGAGCGGGGAGAGATGGATCAGCGATCACAGTCGTCTCAGCGCGCGGGCCACGACGACAGATCTCCAGGAAGGAGGCGATGATGCACGTCTCGAGACGATCGCTTACCGAGATCAACTCGCGCAGGAAGATTTCTATCGGATCAGGAGTATGAGTCAAGGCCGCGGGATGTTGGATCAGATCGAGACCAAATACAGATCGACGGTCGTAGCCGCGGTGCGATGTGGGCGAGCAGGCAGCAGCACGCGGATGGAGCAAGGCCAAGGCGAGCGACAGGACAGCTCGCGGCAGGAGCTCGCGGCGCACCTTTGGTTTTGTACAGGCTGTTGATGATCAGATGCATGAGCCGTCCGACTTCGGTCTCGAACTGGAAGCGCTCGCCCTTCTTGGGATCGACATCAACGAGGGGGACAAAGTCAGAGGGCAGCTCGTTGCCGGAGGCGACGGGAGCGTCCGTGACAGGGACAGAGGCATCGGCAGCGACGCAGAGCGCCAGGGCCAGGACGGCGAAGAGCAGCGAGAACCAGCGCAGTTTCATTTGCATGCAAGGGCCAGACAGGCGATGGAGGGTGCTGGACGGAGACGCAAGCCGGGGGGGTATAAAAGCGGTGGGCATTGGGGGTGGAAGGGCCATGCCGCGGTGTGACAAAGCCGTGGGAAAGCGCGATTGGGCGGCAGGATCGGCGGCTGCCATTGGCTGGTGGGGGGGAATCAAGGAGGAAAAGGCGAACAGGAAGAGGCGAGCGAAGGGCGCTGAACAGGATCGCCAAGCGAGCCAGTAGTCCACCGACACGGGTGAACAGTCCACCGATCAAAGCGAACAAGCGAACAGTCCAGCCGGCTGACACTTGCCGGCACAGCACCTGGCCAGCAGACACAGGCGCTTAGACGACCCTGTCACATGACGGCGTCCCCGTGCCTGAGCGTCACGCGCGCCGCGGCTGTGCATGTGACGCGGTCATGCGCGCCACCCAGCCAGGCCACCGCGTCGCTGGTGCCCAAGGTCCGCGCTCGTCTCTCCGCCGAAACAACCCGCTGCGGAAAATATCTCGTTAGTATGTATATTTAGTATCGCTGAGTGGTAGCAGCAGATCTGCTCACGAGCTTTCGGGGTGCTGCGCTCTGCTCTGGGACGACCCGCGTTGGTCAAGCATCTCTGGCTGCATCGCCAAATTCGAGAGTGTCTGGTTGGACTCGTCCGAGTGCGGCGTCAGCTCTACCTGGATATCGTCGATCGAGTCGCTACTCGGGGTCGGGGCATCGGCCCGGTCTGCGGCCGCCTCGCGTTCGGCCTTCATCGGCTCTGGTGTCGGCGCCAGTGGGACAGGCGGAGGCCGCGGCGGCGGCAGTGGGTCGTCGTCCTCGCTTGTTTGTTTTGGCAAGTCGATGAACGTAAGCGGTCCGGAGATCTGGGCGACGCCATGTGGGACACTGGACGGCCAGATTGGGATGACGACCTCCCGTCCCCGTGAGATTGATCGCGAGTTGATGGTATGGATGGTGATGTGCATGAACGGCAGTGTGATGCCGTAGATCAGCACGGATGCCATGACAAGGAAGCTGGCGATACACGACGTCAGAGTTTGTCAGAATAACCCCCTGTTTGGTCGACGCTCACTCTTGAGCGAGCAGCAATGCGCAGTGGCTCGAGCACAGCGAGTCGCATACCTGACCACGGGCACGATCCACTCGTCGTCGGGGAGGGCAAGCTTGGCAGCAGCCTGCAGTAGGAACACATTCATGCATCAGAGCTGATCAGAACTCATTACAACATCGAGGGCACTCACCACAACCGCATGGGACGCTGCAGCACCAGCCACTCGGGGTGCAGTCATCCGCATATGTGCGCACCAGCGGCTCGCCAAGCCAAGACAGCGAGCTGGGTGTCTGCGACGCTACAAAACTCACCATATACCAAAGTGCCCCGACCCCCATCGGACCGAACCAGCCGACATAGATGGCCTCCGGGACCGAGAACAGCGGTGCATTCATGTACCGATAGAGCGCCACGATGACCGGCAGTCGCCGCACCACCAAAATTGCCACCGAGACCACCACGAGCTTCCACAACGGAAGCACGGCTGTGTTGAACGACGACCACGGGATGATGGCGCCAAAGTAGATGAAGAACACCAAATTGACCAGCATATCGATGACCTCTTGGACTTGCGCTTGCTGCGATTCTTCGTGGGAGCTCTCGTCCTGGTGCGCCGCAATGCGTCGATTGAGTAGCGATTCGCGGTTGGTATAACATCGCAAGTCAGTGAAATGGGGCTGAGTAGGCAGACACACGAGAATGCTCGCTCTTGAAACGACACAGGTATAGTGTGGCCATCCAGACAACCGTTATCAATCGGCAGTGCCCACTTACCCATGCAAAGACCAATCCGCACGTGAACACGGCCATAAACGAAGCTAGGCCCAGGATGGTGCTGGCACCAAGGGTAAAGAGCTGCGAGCGGATGGGTCTGCAGTTAGCATCATCCAAGTCTGAGGAGGTAGACACGAAACTGCTCGTGCGGAATGTCAAGCATGCCGGCGGCTCTACCAATCAATGTCGTCAAAGCTTCGAGCCTCGGCGATTCGAATTCCGGCAAAACGAACACTCACAGCCAGGGCAACTTCAAAGCTCAGAAGATTCTTCTTGTCGATAAAGTTGTTTCGTTCAGACAGCCGCAGCATCCGCCGCGAAATGTACCCGACAACAGCCCCAAAGATGGAGCCCACAGCCACTTCGTATCTGAAATCGCGGCAGAAACGGCATCAACGTCTGGATTGTTGCGCTTGTATCAACATCCTCCATCCAATTGACTCCAAAGCGACACAATGCAGGCGGCAGACATGCACCCTCCGAGGTGCAGTACATACAGAATCACCCGCCAGAACCAGTACCACAGCGTGGTTCCAGAAGCACCCTTCTCGATAAAGTAGAGTCCAAGGTAAAACAGCGGCACGGCCAAGCCTGGCACGGAATTCATAGAAACGCATGAACGAGTGAGTGAGCAGGGCAGAAGCTTTGCAACACAGGCGCAATCATGTACATACACACTTACCATCGTTGCAGGCACTGTGACGTCAGCGAAGGAGCGCAATTCAAACGAGTGCACAATGTGATAAGTGAATATAGTGCGGCGTTGCTGTTGACATCAGCTTGGCTCGCAGAGTCATGTCGAACAATTTCCATGACTCACAAGTCCTCTCTGGAGCAAATCGATACCACGATACCTACCTTTCGCCGCTGAGGATGCGCCGAACAGGAATGGAAATGTACATGTCCGCAAAGCGGCCATTGACGATGCTGTTGGCCAGAACTGGATCAGTCGGGGCGGTGCACGCTCCGACGATCAGCGAGACAAACAGCGGCAGGCCTAGGACAAAATACAGGATCACGGCCGTCGAGATCCACATGTAGAGCATGACGGGACCCAGCAGAATCAACAGCGACTTCCATCGTCGCAGCCAAAACTCTCTGTTGCGAAGCAGGCCGAGGGAGAGGGGTGTGTCAATAGAGTTGCAATAACGAAGTATGGCACCAGCCACATGGGGGCGATCCAGCGCTGAGGATCGCTGCGACAAGGCTCTTACTTGGGAAGCGTCACGGCGGCCGCCATGACCTGAATGGCGATGACGATTTGCGAGAACTGGAGAGTGATTTGCTGAATGTCGCCGGGCCATTCGAACGGGTTGAGCAGATTGGCGGCGATAGGGCCTACCGCAAGCCAGGGAAGGAAAGATAGTGAGTGCACCACGGGGGAGTACATTACAGCAGAGGGGATTTCGGCTGAGTGCATCCCAGGAAAGTGCACTGCGATTCCATCGGCGAGATGCTTACCAAAAGCGATTCCAACGAGGGTCGATACCAGCGACTCTGACAGGAAGAGCCGCTCTTTGATGAGTAGCGAGATGTAGCCTGCAGGGAGGGGGATTGTTGGAATCGGAACGATGGCAAAGTGCATCAGTCAGACGGTAAGGAATCTAGGCTGATGGCGACCCAGACTCGCGAGATGCGTGGAATGAAGCGATATTTTACAGAGAGCGATGCGATGTGCGTGCCATGCGCTCCATGCCGCGTCGCCGGCTCAAGCAAATGCGATTCGAATTGAAAAATGGTTCGCCGACGCCGATGCGGCACCATTCGGGTGCGTAAAGGTATTGGCAAGATTCCGACCGGAGGAGCGGCTCGAGCTCGTGGCTCAGCGACGCGGAATCTCACGACAGAGCGGATGTCCACGGACATACCAAAAATGAGAATGAATCCGCCGATGAGGCTCAAGACGCAGGCAACGTTGTTGACTCCGAAAGTGACCAGGCCCGAAGCGGCGTCAGTGGAGTTGCCCTGGACCATGGCGACAGAACGGGCGCGAAGTGAGGAGAGCGACGTCCGCAAGAATGGTGGTGCTCGGCTTGTCTTGGTTGGCTCGCTTGCTCGCTAGAAGATCGATGTCGATGCCGATGAGTGTCGCTGATGCGCGCGAGTCGCTAGCGTGCAGGGGGGAGGGCCAATGCCGCGGGCGAGGGCGAGGGGTGGCAGCTGATTATATATCCATCCGGCGTCGGCCATGATGGGCCTTGCAGGTCCGATCGCAGCCGCAAGGTTTCGCACTCAGCAACCGATTCGGGAACCGAGAGCCGCCGCCCTTGCTTGTTTGCCGGGAGGGACAGCTCACGTGGACAGGCAGTCTGTGTGGGACAGCTGCTGCTGTGCCCCGGCGCCGCTCAAGGTTTTGTGCTCGGCCCAAACAGTCGCACCAGCCCTGGAGCGTGGCGGTGCACGTGGGCGGTGCAGTGCGCAGCATCCAATTCATTTGCGGCGGCGCCGTTTTTTGTTTTTTGTTCGTGTGGCGTGGGAGAACGCATCAGCCAGCAACCAGCGATCATCCGGCAGATCGAGGAGCCGACACACACGCAATCGAGACCCATCCGGCGCACGTCCTGACTGGCATTCGATCGACTCCCCGCCCCTCGCTAGCACCCGGCCATGAAAAAGTCACAGAAGAAGATCAAAGCCTCGGCAGAGCCTGCTGCCGAGGAGCCGCAACAGACCGCCGCGGCTGAAACTGCCGTCGCCGAGCCGGCCGCACTCGAAAAGTCTCCAGCGCCAGCAACCGAAGCTGCGGATTCATCGGCCGCAGAGGCAGCCCCCACAAAGAAGAGCAAGAAGACCTCGGCAAAGGCTGCGGCTGGATCGGAGACCATCAACCTGGGTGCTCAGATCAAGGCCCGGATGAGCCAGGAAAAGGAGGCCAAGCGTAAGGCCCGTGCGGAGAAGCAGGCTGCTGGCGCAAAGGCCAAAGAGGACGATGCCGATGCTGAGGAAGCACCCAGCGCCGAGCAGGAGGACAACCCAAGCCCAGACGGTGACGGAGAGGGCGACGAGGCCGATTCCGACAAGCCCAAGTCCAAGAAACAGCGGCAGCGTGAGGCTTACAACGCCAAGCGGGCCAAGAAGCTGGCCAAGGATATGAGGCACCTGGGTAAGCTCTCTTGCAGTCAGGCCCAGCGACAGCTTGTGCTACCCGATACGGCACTGCTGATGATATATGGTTTAAGGATTGCGCATGTCGACAAACTCTCAGGATCGAGACACGATGCTGTGCACTGTGTTGACTGATCTGGGTGACAGATCTCTACCATGCACTCGTTTGCTGACCTGTCCGACTCTGTCCATCTCGGGCTGTGCTGTTATCAGAGGCTGATCTGCCCAGCAGCATCGCCCAGGCGTCTGCATACCTGACGGGCTTCTGCAAGGACCGCAGCAACTGGAAGTTCAACAAAATGACCCAAACATGGATTCTGCGCTACATCCTGGATGCGGACAAGGTGCGAAGGCGCTGTGCAGAGATGTGTTCGGTCCGCATGCTCCAGCAAATGACATTGTCGGATCTGCATGCCTTGGGCTGCATTTGGTCTGCGTCCTCCCCCGCCGCGCAGAGCGGGCTTGTGGCCGAGATCATGACCTGAATCATCCACCTGATATTCCGTTTCTGAACCATTGGCTACCAACCAGATCAGCGACGCCGACTTTGAACTGGCTCTTGAGTATCTGGAGGGGCTCTCGGGCCTCAGCCGCCAGGTACTGCACGAACGAACATGACCACCGTTTCAGAGCGCCGCAGCTCGCCGATGCCAACAGCTATAACTGCGGGATGCAACTTCGAGGCCGTGCTGACATCGTGCCGCATCGACACTTGTTCTGTCGCAGCTAACCATCGACCAAGCCAGCAAAGTGGGCGAAGACTCGGTCCAGCACGATCGTGCCAAGAAGATCCTCGATCTGTTGAAGAGCTCAGGAGACCCCAACTTTTCCAAGGACAGCGTCAAGCGCAAGACCAGCAGCGCGGCAGCCGAGCCCGGGTCTGAGCCCGACCGTCCCAAGAAGAAGAGCAAGTCCGCCAAGACCGCGGAGAGTGCCGATGTAGAAATGACCGATGCCGTCGGCGGAGCAGAGAGCAGCAAGCCCAAGAAGGCTTCCAAGAAGGCCAAGACCGACAAGAGTGCCGATGCGGCTGTTGCTGGCAAGGAGGAGACCGATGAAAAGGAGCCCGCCAAAGAAGCCAAGAAGAGCGGGAGCAAGCCCGAGAAGGCCCAGAAGGAAGTGAGCAAAGTGACTGCTGATGACGCCGGCGACAGCAAGTCTACCGCCACCAAGGCCAAGACCAAGGCGGACAAGAAGGAGAGCGGCAAGAAGGACGTCGCTCAAGCGGCCAAGGAAGACGATGAAAAGCCCAAGAAGGAGAGCAAAAAGTCTGGCGAGAAGGGCAAAAAGGCCAAAGCCAAGGGCTCAGAGTCGTCGTAGTTCTGCATTCAACGGTTGCTTCCTTCTGTCCTCTGAATACATATTCATCGATGCTGTCTGGCTCCCCCAAGCTCGTTCAGCGACTCCACTATTGCCACCGCCCAATGATAGTGCACCCATCTCACCGGTGAATGCGGCCTATCGCAGTCGTGCATCACAACATCAATGAAGTCAGTGGCAGTGGTGAAGATGATGCGCGAATGCATGGCCAAGAAACTGACCCCATGTATTCAGGATCGCAATGCCAATCCAGACAAACACGGTGCTGAAAGCTAGCGGCAGCTGAATTTGCGACGACGACGAATCAATCAGAGGCCGTCGGGATACAGTCCCGAAGCCCGTGCATGTATTCTGAAGGCGACAAAGTGATTCACTCATTCGCACTCTGTCCCGAGGGCGAGTTGTAGCACCAGTCAGCAATAGCAAAGAAGAGCTGGGTTTACGGAATGTATCCGGCAAGCGGGCTCAGGACCGAGTCGATGTTGTTGACGACCAGGTCGCGGGTTCCCAGCTGGCCGGTGACGCCAAGCCAGTTATGCTCGATGAACTTGATGATAGATGTGTGCTCCATCTGGACGTGCGAGATGTAGTTGGACTTGACCAACTGTGGCATCATTGAGCGGGAACGGTTTGTGTGAGCATGGACAGAACAAGGGTGGCCAGATGACCGAGGCAAGTCCAAGTATCCTCGCAACTGATCTTCGGACAATGAGCACCACAGGAATCGGTCCCTGTTCTCAAATCGACTCCCGCTCCCACACATTGCACTCAGGCGACCACCTCAACGGCTCGTATGATGCTGTTCCACTTACGTTGCCAGCGGCGATGAACCAGGTGCGAGCGCCGTTGGGGTGCGAGTCGTAGCCGTCCCAGGTGGGCGGAGGAGGGACGTGGTCGTAGAAACCACCGCTCTCGTCCGGCAGGATCAGGATCAGCGTCTGGTTGGCATAGGGAGATGCCAAAACCGAGTCAACAATAGACTTGACAAAGGCGGTGCCGTCCGTGATCTTGGAGAGTGAGGGGTGTTCGCAGCGGGTGCCCAGAGGCTTGATGTAGCTGACCGAAGGCAGCGAGCCAGAGGTCAGGGCAGCCTGGAACTTGGTAAAGTCCTGCATGTTGGGCGAGTCGCCGATGCCATAGTAGTAGGAGAACGGATTGTCGCTTGCGTCGTATTTCCTGTGCATTGTTGCGGCAGATTAGCAATGCTTCCGAGAGCCATTGGCCCGGCAGAATGCAAGTTTGACAGCGAAACAGTAAGTCCTGTACACCAGTCACCGTCCCCTCGTCTTACCAGGGATAGCAACCAATGGACGAGGAGTCGTAAGCCTCGGCATAGAAGGCCCAGCTAACGCCGCAGCTGTTCAGAAGGTGGCCGATGGTGGGCTCGTGTCTCCAGTAGCCCTTCTGGCCAACCAGCACGCATTGGGTGCCGTGCGTACAGGCAGGCGACTCGCTGTTGTCGTAAAAGACATGGGTGCCGCGGGCCAAGTACATGTCGTTCTGGGCACTGGCGCCGGCAGCAGGATGGAAGTAGTTGTCAGCCATGGCGTACTTGCCAGCATACTGGTGGTAGACGGCGACGGTGTTGACGTCGGCAACAGCAAAGTTGCGGTTGTCGGAGCAGGAGGTGCCATTGACGTAGCCGTCCATCCGGCCGCTGTCGATCTTGGTGAGCATGCAGGCATGTTCATGGTTCGGGTCAAAGGCAGTGTTGGCGGCGTCGTTGAGGACCGTGGGCTGGACGCCAAAGACCGACAGGGGGGGCTTCTCACAGCACTGAGGACCGTATTCACACGTGGGATTGGAGAAGGTCGGGGCTTGACAGTAGTTGCCAAAGTACGAGTCGAAGGAATGATTTTCCATCACGATGGTGATGATGTTCTTGATGTTGGAGTTGGTGGTGCCGGCGCTCAGGCCGCACTGGACAGACATGGGGCTGACTCGGATCAGACCAGTCGTCGCGATGGGGTACGAGTAGGCATTAACCTGTGGTGGAGACAGAATGCATGCTATCAGTGCCGGGCCTGCAACAGCTGTGCTGGTGGTGTCTCATGGGTACTGTAGCCGGGAGCAAGCGACCATGGCCAACTTACACCGCCGTTTCCACCCGATTTGTAGTAGATGGCCTTGTAGTAGCCAGGAGCACCTAGCATCAATCGCAGCGAAGCGTTAATGCAATCGTTGACGAGCACAGTGCTCTGGGAGTGCCAGGTTGCGTTCGTTTGCAATTGTAGAGCCGACCCGAGAAACGCCTACGGAGTGTGTTTGGTGGTAACTTACCAGGAAGCGACAGAGTATAGGAGCCAGAACTGGCTCCGCCGGTGAACACCCAAATGAGCAGCGGCGAGTGATCCGTAGTGGTGCCAGGGATGTAATAGGGATAGATGCCGATCCAAGCATCCGATTCGGCCGCAAGGTTGCTCCAGCTGAAGGTGATGGCTGAGCCCGAGACGCCGGTAGTGGTGAACGACAGGTTGTCGGACCCGCCGTCGCCGCTGGGCGAAACAGGGGTGCTGGTGGCCATGTGGCCGTTCTTTTGGTTGGAGAACAGACGGAATTCATAGAGGGCGGCGTTGGAGGCCGGGATCTGGATGGTACAGCTGCCGGAGGTGGCAGTGCCGCTGATGGGGCAGACAACGTTGGAGTTGAGAGGCGAGGAGCCGCCCACAGTGAACAGGTTGACAGCGCCAGAGGTGCCCTGGGGGACCTGCCAGTTGACGACGATGTTCTGGTTGGACTGGCTGCCGATGGTGACCTTGTGGTTGGCATCCGAGAGCACTGGCGGAGCCCAGGCGTTTCGTGGCAGATCACAGAGCCGGTATGTGTCAGACGGCCATGCTGGCAGTCGTGCCAATTCACCCGAGGAAGCACTCCTGCAAGTGATACACCATGCAACAGTCCAGGATCATAAATATGAATCATGCGCGCGAACGAAACGCTCAACATACCGCGGAAGTACGATGACATGGCCAGGATATTTGTGCGGCCGCTGTCGCCAAAGTAGTAGACAACGTAGGTGCCAGGAGTACACTTGGTCGGAACAGTCAGAGTCTGGATTGCGCCATGGCAGGTTGTTAGAGAGACGGTGGCAGTGCGAAATGCGGCGGCCGATGATGGGGTCGCGGAGATGCCGACGTACCTTGGTGCCGCTCTTGGTGCCAGTCCAGTCCCAGGTCCACGAAGGCGAGGTAGCGCTGGGAATGTCGTTGATGCCGTAGAGGCCTAGGTGAAGCCAGCACGAATCGATGAGCAAATGAGCGAATGAGGGAGCCTCTCGAATACCCTGCAGCTCGAGGTGCCTGGTGCAGCAACTTACCGATCCAATCGTTGCTGCCATCTGGAAAGCGATAGTAAATCTGGTGTGAGTACGCTGTACATGTGCATATGCATGTGCATGCGGCATCGCAATTTCATGGAGCTCCAGCAGGTTTCCCACCGATGGCCAGGCCGTTGAAAGTCCATGACAGCTGGATGGACTGGCCAGGCAGCACACCGCTGAGGGGGGACATTTCAAAGTAAGTCAGGTTGACCTGGCTGCCGCTCGCGGTCGAGAGGGCCAGGCACAGAGCCAGGACGGTCAGAGCAAAGCGCATCGTGTCGATGGAGAGGGCTCAGCGGCCGGTGGTGAAGTGGAAGAGAAAAGTACCCGGGCATCGACAGCATTTATATATCCGCGACGGAGGTGGACCCACCCAACCTTGCAGTCACTTCCACGTGAAGTTCCGGGTGGATGGAGGCTGGATTCTGCACGCGCGCAGCGAGAAAGTGGTTCGGGACTACCGAGTGCACGAGGCGGGCGATGGCACACGCGGCGAAAGGGAAAAGCGGGTGGCGCTGGGAGAACCCACAAGCCCCCACGCACGGGGTCCGCCAGCTCGAACGGATTGTACTCGGCAGTACATGTTCTCTGGATGGGGCTGATCCCGACGGAAGCTTGGTGCTGTTGCGGGAATGCAGCAGTGCAGCTGCGTGCAATCCTGCGAGCGGACGTGCTTTCGTCTGTGCTGCTTGGTCGCAGATCGGCAAGGCCAATCTGTGCTCGGTGAGGCTTGGATGAATGGTTGGATGCAAAGTCAAGGCAGGCCTCGGAAGGGTGGTGTTGGTGTGTGTGGGGGAACTCTGAAGGAAGAAGGCACACCCAGAGCCGGAGACTGCCTCAAGCATGCGCGGCGATTGAATGCAGCCGGGCACGGTTGCCGATGCTGTTGCCGATGGTGTTGCTGTTGCTACCGATGGTGTTGCTGTTGCTGCCGATGGCATTCACCAGCCCGGCTCTGTTCCCACGTTGCGCCACCAACTGATCCAGGCCCACGGCTGCGTGGCGCACCCCGTGGCAGCACGCATCTTCTCCGTCGTGCTGGGATTGCTGCGTGCTTGAGAGAGGGCCAAGCGCATGCACCTCCAGACCAAGACCAAGGCCAAAGCGCCGAGCACGATCCCGGATCGACAGCCCGCACGCACTTCCGATTGGCGCTGCAGAGAAAGCATTCTGGAATGGCGCTGCTCCTCGGCTGGCCAAGGCTGCCCGTCGTGGCAACGGCGGATGTTCCTCGACCAGGCGACTGCGATTTGGGCCTTGGAGGGCACCCTATCGGCGACATGTGGGTGCAGGAATTCGGCATACCGTGCGTCTGGTCAACCAAGCCAGGCTTCGCGGCTGCCGGTGGCCGTCTCTGTTGCCGGCAACCGATCAGCGTCGATGGCGACTGCCGTCGATCCTCTTGGCAGAGAGGCCCCTCTGCCCTTTCGCCCCCGTCCAACCCACGTCCGGCCAGCCACCAGCCCATCCCGGGCAGTCCGCTCTCCGATCTGGCCATCTTGCCTGGCCGGGACGTTGCTGCCGCGCTCGCCCGCCCAGGCACTTCCAGCCGTCTTGATCCCGCAAGCCGCTGCAGCGCTCGCCTGCCAGGAGGAGATGCGGCCTCGATCCATCTGCTCTGCTGACCGTCGCCGCTGACCATTATTCTGCCAGATGTAGAGCACCTGTGCGCCCCATCCGGCGGATTGTCCCGCTCTGATGCCCCGCGTGGTGCCGTTATTTCGCCCAGAGCCAAGGCGCGAGCGGCACTGCCAACAGCCCAACATGAGGCGGGCACAGAACAGCGGCCTGCTGCCCTCCACTGGCTCTGTGCGATGGCCGCTTGTGCTGCGCATACACCAACTGCCGTCGCGCTCGCCCCATTCTGTGGCGCTCGTCGCCCTGTGCGACCGCACCGTGCCGCGTTTGGAATCCCCGCCAGTACAAATGCTCGCAGCTGCCCGCACCACGGGAACGAGCGGTTGTCTTCCCCGCCCGTGGTTTCCATCGAGAGAATCTCCAACCCAAACCTTGGTCGCCGCTCACCCCAGCGCCTTCGATCCCATAGAACATACCCGCCATGGTCGGCCCAGCCCTTCGCAGGCGCACCAACCGCCTCAGCGCCATTCGACAGGTCGGCGGACGCCAGGCCCTCGTCTCTGTTCATGACTCTTTCAAGGACCACTTCCGGAGAGACCTCCTCGAGCTCAAGCTCAAGGCCCTCCGCGAAAGCCTGACCTGGGAACATGTCAAAGGCTGGCTCGCCAGTACCTTTCCAATTATCCCGCAGATCGGATCCTACAATCTCAAGCTCTTTGGCGAAGACATGGTCGCCGCCCTGACCGTGGCCTTTGTTTTGATTCCGCAGGTATGCCTGGATGTGTCCGACAGGTGCTGGATCGGTGGCGATCGTGTCCGCAGATATCACTCTAGAATGCAGCGATTGATTTTGCCTGCGGTTCCCGAGAGGCATTTGTCGATCCGATCGTCCCGAACGGTATCCGCGACCGATTCGGGTTCTTGGGCATTGCCGTGGTTCTATCACTGATCCCTTCACCCAAACCACTTGCGTTCGGCGCACCAGTCGATTGCCTACAGCTCGCTTGCTGAGGTCCAGCCCATCCGCGCACTCCTGTCGTCCGTCTTTCCGGTCATCATATATGCCATCTTTGGCCAGTCCAAGCAGCTCTCTGTTGGTGAGTGTTTCGAAACGAAGCCGGGATCCGATCGAAGGTCTCCGGTGGAAGCGCGCCTGTTCCATCCATGAGACGAATCAGCGACCAAAGCTGCCGTCTCCACCCAATCATCTGCGGCAGCTGCTTGCCCTCTGATCGAGATCATGCACCCTGCCCCGAGAGACGGCTGGCTCCGTCCTGATTTGGTACTGCAGGGGCAATGCGCCTGCCATGACTTTGACTGGCGCACGTTCTGGATGGCTGATCCATTTCCGATCCCATAGGTCCCGAGGCTCTTTCCAGTGTCCTGGTCGGCGTCACTGTTCTGACCGAGTCCCAGAATGGCTACACCACTGATCAACTCTCGTCCAGTCTGGCCTTCCTGGTCGGAATCTTCCTGCTCATCTTGGCTGCCCTACAGGCTGGTTTCATCGACAACATTCTCTCTGGATATCTGCTTGTAAGTCAAACCCACTCCTCATCTCTGTCGAGTCTGTCACGCAGGCATTCCTTACCCCGTCGTGGATGGATGTGGCTCGGGTATCTGTCGGCACCAAGAGCCCGCCGGTCGCCAGCGATTTACTTTGCTGGTCGGACCTATCCACATGGTCAACTCTCTCTGCACTTGCGATTCCTGATTACTCTCCACACCATGCACCGTGCTTGATCTGTTATTGCCCGCCCCTGTTCGATCTCTATGCTTGCGTGATAAACTCACGCCTGTGCTGGCCGCCTACCTTCGTTTGCAGACCGGGTTCGTCACGGGTGTAGCATCTTTGATCATGGTCGAGCAGCTTCCTGAGCTGCTTGGCGTCAACGATTTCCCGGCCGGCAGCCTCTCGACCATCCAAAAGCTGGTTGAGGTGTGCAACCACCTGTCCACGACCAACTTCAAGACCCTGGCCTGCAGCATCGTCAGCATCGTCTTCCTGCTCCTCCTGCAGATCGCAAAGAAAAAGTACGGCCACAAGAGCATATATTTGCGACTGCTCCCCCAGATTCTCGTCCTCGTGATCATCATGATCTCGGTCTCTGCCGCGGCCAACTTCAGCTCGCTGGGAATCCGTGTTCTCGGCCAGTTCAACAACCAAGTATCGCCTCCCACAATGCCTCCGCTCAACTTCCCCATGGTCCAACGGCTGATCAATCCAACCATTATCTTGACCATCGTTGGGTTCGTCGAGTCCCAAACCGTGACCAAGAAGTTTGGTCTCAAAAACGAGTACTCGCCCTCGGGCAACCGCGAGCTGTTTGCCCTCGGTGCGGCCAATCTCGTGGGCTCATTCATGGGCTGCTATGTTACCTTTGGCTCCTTGCCCAGATCCAGGATCCTGGCGGTGGCTGGCGGGCGCACCACGCTCGCTGGTCTCTTCGCCGCCATCTTGGTCCTGATTGCCTTCCTGACCCTGGTGCCTGTGCTCAAGTTCTTGCCCAAGAGCACTCTGGCTTCGATCGTCTTTGTCGCGGCCTACAATCTCATCGAGTGGGACGAGATATTCTTCGTTCTTCGTGTTCGGGTATGTGGCGTGTGATTTGGACGGTGAGGCCGTGCGGTCTTCATGGGCTCCGACTCACCGTGATCCGGAGGAAGCAGCCTCTAGACGCTCGCTCCACAGCTGCGTGCATCCGCTTGTCGCCGCTGCAGTCGGGCGTTTGTTTATTGGAGCGGTCGGGTTTCTGTGCTTGCATACTCAGCTGGCGTTGTCTTGGTTGGCCGCATCGATCCCGCGATTTATTGGTTGCTGAACCTTGGCTGCTGCTTCATGGCGATCTGATCTATTCCTTCTCCGCTCCTTGGTTTCGCTCAATCACAGGGCTGGATCGAGGTTGCTCTCTTCCTGATTACCTTTGCCCTGACACTGACCACCGACATCAGCGACGGTATCGTCCTGTGCCTGCTGCTTGCTGCCCTCATCATCATCAAGCACACCACTATCGTTGACATGTCTGTCCTGGGCTGGGTACCGAGTGGTCATGCTGCCGATGCCGGCGGTTACTTTGTCGACATCAAGGAGCACCCTGAGGCTGAGCTCTTTGAGAATGTCTTGATCATGAAGATCGAGGCTCCCTTGATGTTCTACAACTGCGGTACTCTCCAGCGCAAGATCGATCTGCTCATCCACGCGGAGCGGAGATTAGCCATCAAACATGCTCGCGATGCCGACCCCCACTTCAGCGCTCCTAACCACGAGGAGGACTCGGAGCTCACCGACAGTGATCCCGAGCTCGATTTCGACGACTCTTCCGATATCGATGATGACTTGGACGACGTCAATGCCGACACCATCTACAACACCATCGCCAACATGAACGATCACATCCACGACGATAGTTATATGCATCCCAACCCCTCAAGATCCGACCAGGAAGGTATCCACTACCTCCACAACAATGGCAGCCACTACAACTACTACCACGGCAACGACAGTCGCTACCGCCACCACTACTATCATCACCACTCTCCGTACCCACACCACACTTGTGATTGCCATGGCCATCACCCACACAGCTTTGACGGGCAGCCCTACCAACCCCACGGCGCTGATCCTCACGGCTGCAAGGACTGCCAGCCCCATTCTGCTGACTGTCGCGACTGCCAGCCACACGGCATTGACCACCATCACAGCATTGACCACCACCATGGCATTGACCACCACCACGGCATTGACCACCACCATGGCTCGCCCATTCCCTGTGCCGTCTGTGAGAGCCACCAAGCTCATCATGCGCTCGAAAACACGCTGCAGCCTGGCCCCGATGGACAGGAATATCCTCCGCAGACTGCTGCTGAGCACGATCAAGACCATCGCGACAACCAGGACGAGGCCCCGCCACTGGATGGCCATGACGTGGGGCCCCAGACCGACAAAGCCCCAGAGTACCCTCAAACGAGCACATCCGAGGCCGAAACAAATGCTCGCGACGTTCCTGCTGGACCTGAGCTCAGCGAAACCGATGGACGGCATCTGCTTGGCGACGAAAGCGTCAACCCTAGTGTCCAAAACGTTGCCGGCTCCGACCAAAGCCATCGCTCCACTCCACGAGACAGCACCGCCGTTAACGACAGCGAGCCTGGACCATCAGCCGAGAGCACCCGGAATGCGGCTCTCCCGAGCACGGCCCAGAGCGTGCGGAGCGCATATGCCGTCAACAACCTCGACAATATCAACAGCCCAAGCTCCAGCCACCGTCCTTCTTCTTCCCACCACCAGGTCTACGCATCCAACAGCAGTGCACATCTCGGCCGAAGCAACACCGCCAATGCCAGAAGCAGTGACTCGGTCATGTTGGGTCATATAAGCTGGTCGGCCGCATCCATACGTACGCCAGCAGTCACGGCGGCCCATCGGGCAGTCTCCGCCACACCCACAAGCCTCACTACATTCTGATTGACCTCAAGAGTAGCTCGGACATGGTGAGTCTGACCCGCCTGCACCTCGATCGACGCAGCTTTCGCTCGGCCTCACTCTGGCTGATTCCTCGGAAAGCACTTTGACGGAGGCGCATCCGGGTCCCCTCCCCCGCGACGAGCTTGGCTGGTTTACTGTGTCCTGCAAAATCAGGACACATTTCCGATCGTGTGAAATCGGGGCCTGGCACTGACGGCAGTAATCTCACCCCAACAGGACTCGGCCGCCACGCATACGCTCAAGACTATCACCCGCTCGTTCAAGCGGCGCAAGTTCTCGATCTACTTTACTGGCCTGCGAGACTTCCACCAGGTCCTCTTCCGGCGCTCGGGGCTGTTGAATTTGGTGGGATCCGAGCACATCTTCAAGACCATCCCTGAGGGCATCGATGCCATCGACCGCGAGGTTGATCTGGAGGATCGCCTGAGATACAGCCGGGCCCATGTTCCCCTCGAGCCCCCATCGGCTCGAGTTCCGGCGACAGCCCCGGTGCCGACCGAGGCCAACGACCAAGAAGGCCGGACGGCAGATGAGCTGAACCATACCGTCACCATCACTCCTAACTAAAGCCGGTCCTCGACAGGGCTCAGAGGGGACGAAAAACGGAGAAGCCGCGACTCCTTCCTTCTTTCCATCCATCCTTCCTTCCTCACATATGGAGGAGATTGCATCGTGCGATCCCGATTCCTCTGACGGCGATGATGATGATCATGATTTGCTATTCGTTTACCCCTCCCCCGTTTCTTGTTCTTCTTTCCTGCTTTTTGCTTCGTCCATATGCATCCATCCATTGCACAAAATGGAAACAAACAGAAGAAAAAAAATACGGCATACCCCCGGATGCACCTTGCCTCACGATTGCCCATCTTGCCTCGCTGCTTCAGGCCGCGTTGGTGCAATCGTACAGTGCCCGCAGCGCACCGGCGCACATCTGATCGGCATTGCCTTCGTGTTCGATCGAGCATCGCTGCATGGCCTCGATTTGCGCTGAGCAGCGCTCCTTGGTTCGTTTCAGATGGCCGACGCTATGAACGAGAATGGGGCAGACGGGGTAAGCGACAAGCGAGCGAAAGGGGACGGAGAGCTCAGCGCAGTCACAGGCCGGGCCATGTTGCTGGCGATCGATCAGTCAATCAATCAAAGTAACGTAGGGATGCTGACAGGCACAGTAGCGATGGGCGGCGGCGGCACAGAGCCAGGATTCAGGTCAAGAAACCGTACTTTTCCTCGGCACATTTGGATACGGCCGACTTGCCCTCCCTGCACTTGATTGTCCAGTCCGAGGGGTTCTGCTCGATGCACCGGCTGGGCTCGAGTGGATTCGTGCAAATCGATGCAAGATGGAAGATGGAAAATCAGCCCTTCCGATCCCACTCTCCAGCTTGCAGGCCTCAAGCTCTCCTTCCCTCGCTCTTCATCGCCCTCGGTCTTCGGCATCTATCTTGTTCCCAGCGTCCCGGCCTACCTGTACAGCTTGAGCTGTAGCCCACAGTGCTTTTGCACCTCCATGATGGTGTTTTCCATGGCAGACATTGTTTTGTCGCTCGCTCGCTCGCTCGCTTCTGGTCCGGAGAGGGTCGGCGATTGCGGTTCGAGATCGAGGTTCGAGGTTCGAGGTCGGGGTCGAAGAAGAGCCGCAGGAAGAGCCGGCAGAAAAAGCGCACAAACGCCAACGAATGCGCAGCCGATCCTGTCTGTGTCTCTGCGGGTTGCTTTCTTTGATTTAGACCATGGGAATCTCATGGGCATCTCATCGCAATACCATCGCAATACCATCAGAATACCATGGGAATACCATGAGATGAAACGGGTTCTCATGGACAGGCAAGCATCGCTTTCTATTGTTCGACATGCCTGGGCAGGCTACAGATCGCACAGGGTGCATAGCCAAGGCCCTGCTTCGTTGGGCCACTCGATCCTGACCCCAGCCAGACCAAGACGCCGTCGGGTGCTGGCCAGGGCGTCGAGCTGGGCCTCCTGGTCGACAATCGGATGGCGGCTGCATAGCCCAATCTTCCGCAGCGTCGGTATCGTCGCAATCGCCTCGAGCGTCGAGTATCCTCCAGAGAGCCCGACAAACTCGAGGCTCGACATGGTCTGCAGATGGAGCATGGATGTCTGTAGCTGTGGGCAGCCCTCGATGTCGATCCGATTCAGCCGGTCGAGGTGAGCGAGAGGCTCGAGCGAAGGGATCTGCGTGCATCCTCCCATATACAGCTTGCGGAGGTCGGGCAACGCTGCGACTGGCTCGATCGACTCGAGCTTGGTGCAGGATGTCAGGTTGAGCTCTTCCAGCGCCGGCAGCAGCGACAGTTCGTCGATGGCTGTGATGCGCCGGCACTCGCTAATGTTCAGGCTTTGGAGGTTTGGGAGGAAATTGAGAGGCTGGATGCAGCTGATTCGGCTACAGCCTTGGAGCGACAGCGACTGCAGCTCGTTGCAGAATGCCAGGGGCTCGATCGACGATATCTGCGGGCAGTGGTCGGCCACGAGCACCTCTAGTTGCTCGAGCGCAGATAGAGGCTCGATGCAGGCGATGCCCTTGCAGTGGGCCATGTTTAGCATCTGCAGCCGGCCCAGCTTCGAGACGGGCTCGAGGCTCGTGAGCTCCACGCAGCCGCTGATGTCGAGGGATTGCAGCTGCACCAGGTTCAAGAGCGGGCCCAGCGTATCGATGGACTTGCATCCGTGCAGACAGAGCCGTACGAGCGAGTACGAGGCCGCCAGCGGCGCCAGTGTCGAGAGCCGAGCGCAATCCGTCAGATCGAGCTCGTCGAGTTGGTCGAGCTTGCTGAGGGTCGCGATCGACTCGATCCGCTCGCATCCAAAGAGCGACAGTTGCCGCAGATCCTCCATGGGCTCGAGGAACTCGATCGAGGTCAACTGCCGGCAATTGTCCATCCAGAGCCCTTGCAGCCCCGCAAGCGCCGACAGCGGCTCAAAGGACACAATCGACTTGCATCCCTCCAGGGCCAGCACCGCGAGGTTGGAGAGGCCGCGCAAGGGCTCGAGCGATACCAGGGATTCGCAAAAGTTCAGATGCAGGTTCTCGAGAGTGCCCAGGCTCTCCAAAGGCTTGAGGTCCGATACCAGCAGGCATTCGCTGAGTCCCAGCGTCCGGAGATGCCCCAGGTTGGCAAGGGGCTCGATGTCGGTGATTTGTCTGCACCCATCCAGCTGCAGCGTCTCGAGCTGGATCAGATTCCGGAGGGCCTCGATGGAAGTAACCGCGGCGGAGCTGCAGACGGAAAGCGTCTCGAGCCGAGCGAACCCTGCAAGCGGCTCCAGCGCCTCCACTAGACTGCATTCGACGATGTGGAGCGAGACGAGATTGTCCAGATGCCGCAGCGGCTCGACCGAGGATATCATCGGGCACTTGAGCAGATGCAGCGCGCAGAGCTCGGGCAGCCCAGATATCGGCTCGAGCGTCGTCAGCCTGGGGAGGTTCCCGACCAAGAGGGTCTGGAGACGGATGTTGTGGCGGAGCGGCTCCAGCGAGGTTATCAGCTCGCATTTGTTCAGGGCCAGCTCGCGAAGTGCTTTGAGATGCCGGAGCGGACCGATGGAAGAGACTGACGGACATCCTTCAATCAGCAGGTTCGTGAGCAGACTGCATTGCCCGAGCGTATCCACGGCGGAAAGCAGCCAGCACTCACGAAGCGAAAGCTTCTCCAAACGACATGGCCTTGGGCCGTCGCCATCGTGAGGCCCGCTTGAGTTGGGATGGGAGTTGCCGCTTGGATACTGGCAGGAGGCAGCACCACCGAGGCTCTCGGCCGTCCCTGGTGCTGAGAGGCCGGTGCATCGGTCGTGGATGGTGCCGCTGCAAGCGGGTTCAAGGCCGAGGCGAGGTAGCTCGGTCACCAGGGCATATCGGATATCGAGCTCTTTGAGCTGGCTGCAGAGATGCGCAAATGTCGTCGGCAGCCGCCTGAGGGATTTGGAATGGATGCTGAGGCTCTCGGTCGTCCAGAAGCAGGTCGTCTCGGGCAATTCAGAGCAGCTGTGGTCGTCATCGATCCGGAAGGACTGAATCTGCTGCTGGAGCCCAATCGAGTCCGGGAGGGTGCCTTCGACGATCCAGTCGTGCAGAAAGGAGGGCGATTCGCCTTCAAAGAGATGAGCATGCTTCCAGCGACTTTGTAGATGGACCTGGTGCTGTTCGCAGAGCACCCTCATCCTCGCCAGGAGAGCCGGTGTTTGGCAGAGCGACTCCCACAGCGACCCTTCGATGAGATACGGCGATTCTCTCCATCGGCGCAGGAACGAGTCTGCCCCAGCAACGACGACAGAGTGCCGACACGACTGCGGAAGCCTCCGGTGCGGAAGCTGGAAGTAGCTCTGGAAGATGACTTTCCAGTGGTATGGGCTGGAGAGCAATTGTCGGCATCGCCGCGATAGCGAGCACAGCTTGGTCCATTCGACAGGACCGACAAAATCGACGAGGAGCACGAGGATGGTGAACTTTGCCTCAACCTGGAGGCTTGAGAAGCCTTGGCCGGAGTGGAGGCAGGGTGCGGCCATGGTGCGATAGGATAGAGGAGGATGGGCGACGAGGCTGGAGGAAGGTGCGGCAGATGGGAGCAGAGTCCAGGCGCTTGATGGAGGACTGGCGCCGACATGGACGACCCCACATCAGCACCAAACGTCGCAGCAGGCCAGCGCGAGCACAGCATTCCCGATGTCCTTGGTGTCCTTGGTGTCCTTGGTGTCTGACGACCGAGGCCTTGGACCGCACTCGCCGATGGCAAACCTCGGATGCTGCTTGGAGCATCGACGGCGGGCGGTCGGCTGCCCCAGTCCGCAAATCCAACGGCACTCGATCCGGAGGCTGCCATTACGTCCGAACAAATGAGCAAGATCACTCTTATCGATTCACAAACAGCAAACGGGTGCTGGCCGTCCCAAGCAGCTCCAGCGGAAGCGGCTGCCTCTTCAGCTGGCGCAAAGGAGAGCCCGGATGTCGTCGACGGCGGTCAGGTCCGAGGCAGTCTGGCCCTTGCGGTCTCGAGTCGCTTTGAGCCCAGCTGGGTCTGCCGAGGTGTTGAGTATGAGCCGGACGACGTCGAGATGGCCGTTCTGGGCTGCGGCATGCAGAGCTGTCTGTCCTCGATCGTCCTGGCCATCTGGCTTTGCGCCCGATGCTAGGAGCAGCTTGGTGACGCTGAGATGACCCTGGGCAGCCGAGCGGTGCAATGCCTGGGCGACACAGAGAGCGTTGAACGAGTAGATCAGTTTGGATCAATCTGAACCGACCGGGCTCGTTGCAGCAGCGACCAATATCCAATATCCAATATCCATCATCCATCGACGAGTGACCCACCGTTGTTTTGAGCTGCATCGTCGCCGCGTTCGGATCGGCACCGGCATCGAGCAGCATGCGGCAGAGCGACACATTGCCCTGTCGGCTGGCATAGTGCTGTTGTCCAGAGCATGGGCAGAAGATGGGATTAACGAGAGCAGGGTGCGGTGCATCCGAGGATGTGCACAATGCTACGTGCTCCCGATCGTGCAGATCGCAACAGGGCCGAGGCAGCTGGAGCATCCTTACGAGAGCAGTATAGCCCGAGGAATCCGGCTGGTTCGGATCGGCACCCTTGGCAAGCAGCTTCTGGACCCGAGACGAATCGCCCGACTGGGCCAGCCCCGGCAACGAGCGCTCAAACTCGAGCTCGTCGAGCGACTGGGCGTATACAGGGTTGGGAATATGGCAGCCGGCCTGGGAGCAGTCGTGGTGGCGATGGGCCGACGACATTGCGCAGATGAGACCGCGCAGATGAGATCGCGCAGATGAGATCGTGTGGATGAGATCGTGTGGATGAGATCGTGATATAGCCTGTATTACAGGCGATCCAATAAAAAACGGGACACCCGGGTTTTTGACCATTCATCGAATATTTTGTTACCCAATGTTATCGCGCGCTGGCCATGACCATTCGCCACACATCCGACTTTCGCACCGCCGCATTGCGATGCTACGCCCTCATCCATAGCCTGCGTAAGGTTGCCTCCATATTCAGCGTGTCCTTGGTACCATCCATCGATGGCACCGAGGATGCAAGCTGGATGGCCCATCCCGGGTCCCAGCTCGCAGATCCACTTTCTTCGAGCAGGCATGTCCAGTCATCCGCACCCTGATTGAACAGGACCCGTTCCAGACTGGTCCTGTGTTGCGATGCAAGCCCGAGTCCATCCTCCAGAGGAAAGTATCACTCTCACTCTGCCACACTGCCATCCACCGAGCAGGTCTCTCACACAAGAGGGCAACACACCTCTACAAGTCCAAGCGACTGGATGAGCGAGTGGCACAGTTCAGGGACCAGGTCCGCTCCATCGACCCACGACGATTCGTTTTTGTCGACGAGACAGGGATCAGGAGATCCATTTTTCCTCTTTACGGATACTCGCCGAAGGGCGTCCCACTCCGTCAGCGCAATCACATGAAACACAAGTCTGTCTCGGCTGCATTTGCCATCAACCACTCTGGTGTGCTGCATCGCATGTACCAAGGGCTATGCATCCAGCCCTCGGAGGCAGCGGTTTGCTCGGTACTTTGAGCAATTCGAGCACCACCGACGCCGTCCCAATCACCCTCACGGAAGCGTCAAGGTAGTCTCGACGAACGAGTTCAACACCTCGCAAGTGTGCTCCAAGTGCCTGGAGCCAGTTCGGTTGGAAGGACTCGATGCGCCCAGTGTTGCGAATTCCCACTTTGTCAGGAGCTGCAAGAATCCCAGCTGCCGGACAGTGTGGAATCGCGACGTCAATGCGGCGCGCAACATGATCACAGTGTGCAGGTCGATTGTGGAGACCGGAGAGCGACCGGTGGTCTTCACTCGGAGGCTGCCAAAGTGATCTGTTTTATTTCTTGTGGCTTTGCTTGACGCAAGCACAGCACATACTACATGTTCATGGAAACGGCTATATTGTCCCGTTTTTTTCTGAATAAAGTGTATTCAGGGGACCAGCAAGCACATCACAATCAACAAAAACAAAAACAAAAACAAAAACCCGTTTCCGGTCGCTGTTTGGCTCAAGACCTGGGTTCGAGACTGCATCAAAATGTCCCGAAGGGCAGGTCCGGCCACAGCAAATCACAGACATTACTTTGGTAGCAGGATCGTGTGCTTCGTCTGCCCAGGGCATCCGGCGTTGCTCTAGATCTGCGACCGCCAGACACCCCAGGCATCCGCCGTAAATTCATCACCACCCATCATCCTCGTCGTTCGATGCTCCTGCTACTACCAGCGTCGACATACGGCAAGCCACCATCGCATGGTGGGAGCCGCCCTTCACCAACGATATCCATCCACTTCTGAGGATATCGTCTTGGCCCGGCAACATCACAATCGCAGGGATATGAGTCGCCGGGAGAGAGATGGACATAATCAGAGCCAATGCCACAGATCGTCGAGTCAAAGCCATGAATCGACACGGATCGACATGGGATACTTGGATCGCTGCGGGTCGACTTGGGTTGCCGCGGATCGGCGTGGCACATTGGCGTCGACTGGCCGTTACTCGAAAACCCTGCGGACCCACCGCATGAGGGGCTTGTCCGAGTAAGGGTCCCTATAGCCAGGCATCAGCCGCGGGTTGTCCGAGAAGAGGTGGTCTTCGGGACGAGGCGGCTTGGACTTCCACACGACCTTGCCTGTGCGGGTGTAGTATCGTGTGTAGCGCTGGTAGATGGCCAGGATGTCGACCGAGGTCGAGGTCGGGGCTGGAGCCTGCAAGGCAAGCAGGTACTTTGGCGTCCACGCCAAGTCGTCGGGCCCGGTGAATTGGGTGATCTTGGACCGACAGAAGGGGCAGTTCTGGGCCCGGTTTGAGTCGAGGGTCCGAGCACAGGCAACACAGAGACTGTGCCGGCACGGAAGGATAACGCAGTCGGTGAATGAGGTCATGCAGATGGCGCATTCGAGGTCGTCGAGATCGATAGAGTCGGACCGGTCAAAGTCGGACGGAGACGGAGACGGAGACGGAGACGGGGACAGGGACAGGGACAGGGACACGGGCAGATCTTGGAACATGGCGGCGGACACGTCGGATGGCGAATTAAGATGATTGTCACGGGTATTGACTGCCGTTGGTATTGGGTCTGCTAACACGATGCGTGACGGTGTGCTGCTGAAGCGATTAAGTTTGGTTTGGGCGAGACCAGCACAGCGACAAACAGAGGGATTGTTGATTAGAGCTTTTGGAGAAGAGCGTTGATATTCGATGGACACGGCTTGAGGCGGCGAGAGCCCGTTTGGGAGGAGGGCCTGGACTACTGCTATCGGCAGGAAGAAGACGATGAGGTGCGATGGGAGGTTGGTGGTATTTGGGAGAGGAACTAACCGGGAAAGAGCAGCGAATGCTTGAGAGGCGATGGAGCCGGGCGCTGGCGGGCTTAAATAGCCGAGAAGGCGGCAGAAGTGTCCAGAGCGACAGGCGATGGGGCCGCGGGGGGGACGCATGTCCAAGGGCGGCATGTGCCTTTGTCGGGGGGGGGGCACTTGACCTGCGTTGGAGCGAGGCGGCGATCGGCCGTTCCAATGGCGCTCGCGGCCATGTGCCGCAAGGATGCGTGACCCGCCACGGCCGGGCCGGTCGCGGCTGTGCGCCGGTGGACTGAGCAGTGCGGCTGAATGTGGCTGAATGTGGCTGTATCGACTGCGTTGGACCGGGGCGGCCGTGCTGCTGTGCTGTTGATGTTTGTGTCGATCTGTTGATGTTCGAGTCGATCTGTTGACATTCGAGTCGATCTGTTGACATTCGAGTCGATCTGTTGATATTTGTGTCAATCTGTTGATAGCCAGTGCCCTCGCCAGCAGTATCGGCCTTCGTGGTTGTATCAACGCCGCTGGTCTTATCAATGTACGAATACCTTACACAGATTGTACAAACACCATCCCCGATTGTATCGCTGTCGCTCCCCGCCCGGACCGTCGACATCGACGTCGACTCCCGTCCTGCACCCGCCCGTATCGATCGGGGTGCGGCGGTGCTATTCGTTCGGTCTTATCCCGGCCGTCACCGCTCCCACCCGGTCCATCCATCCATCTCTCCTGCTCGGTCCCTCCCCCCCCCCATGACTCGGTCGCTTTGGATCCCGGCGAATCAGGTCCTGCTACTCACAGGCACGTTCCTTTCTGCTGGGTGCTGGTCGGGAGGACGGGCCCACGGACGATCCCCGGGCCGCAAAACCAACGATGCGACGGCATGAGCAATCGCACAGGCAACAGCGGCATGAGCAATTGCACGAGCAACGGCAGCGGCAGTGTTATATCGTTCATTCGTTCGTTCGTTCGTTCGTTCGCTCGTTCGTCCGCTCGTTCGTCCGCTCGTTCGGCACCGCGGACAGCCACATCTGCGGCCGTCTCGTTCGGCCGAATGCGATCAATGCGATCCGCCCCCTCGCTCGCTTGCCTTTCCTTTTGCCTTGTCCGTCCCCTCGACTGTCCCGGCGGCCGTGTGGATCGCCCTCTGTGGTCGTCGGGCTGCTCAGCAGGCCCCGAGCAGGTCCCGAGTACGCCCCCCACCTGGTCGTTCAAGACCACTTCGTGACGGTCACAGACTGGTTTCGTGATACGCCCCACACTGGTTTCGCCGCCGCGTGGTGACCAAACACTTTCGCCATCGCTTTATTGCTCGTTCGTCATCATGTTGTTTCCAGCCACCTCGGGTCATGCGGGCTCCTGCATCCGCTGAATCTTTCATGCCTTGTATCCACCCGTCTCGATGCGCCTGGCGTCCGCATGTCCCTGGTTTGTTTCGGGTGTGCCTGGCTCGTCCGAGACCACCACGAGGCAAGCCGGGAGCCAGGCTCGCTTCTCTTCCGTTTCGTCGAGGCAGACAAGCCTCCTCCGCCATGCAGACCTCTTCCGTTTCAGCTACGAGCCACCGAGCTGGCGTGCTCGCGACAATGCTACCCTCCTTCCATGGTCAAGGGAGTCCATCGTCCGTGTATCTCGCGAACAGGCCGGGCTCCATCGGCTCAACGAAAGATTTTGATCCATACCCTCAGCCATGGCTTTTGAGAGAGCATCTCTTCAAACTCGACCGTGCCGACGGGGTTCTCCGGGATCAGTCCCTCCTCGGGTCGCGGCGGCTTCAGCTTCCACACAATCACTCCGGTCTTGGTGAAGTAACGGTGGTAGCGACCAGTCGACACTGCACCCCAGTCCACCTCCGACGGCAGCGGCGAGGCTTCGCTGCGGCGACCCTGCGAGTCCCCTGAGCCGGTCTGTGGACTCGCCGGCGGGTCGTGCTCCGAAGACGTAAGCCGAAGCTGGTCGCGAGGTGCAATCGCATCGATCCGAGTCCGGCAAAAGGGACAGAGCGGGCTGTTCTTGAACCGATGGGCGGCAAACCCGGTGGGCAGTCGGTTTGCCGATCGGGCCAGGGCCGCAATCTGTATGAAGCACGCTTGACAGAGAGTGTGGTGACAGGGAACGAGGAGCGAGTTTGCGCTGTTGCTCATGCATATGGTGCACTCGGCCTGACTGTCGTCGTCAATTTTGTCCTGGACATCGAGTGCCTCGCCGGTGCTGCGGCGGCTGTGACAGCGATCAAGAGAGGCATTTTGCGCGAGGCTGGGACTGTGTGTCTCTGCCGAGTTGGCCTCGGATATGGCCTCAGATATGGTCGCGGATATGGCTTCGGGTATGGCCACGGATATGCCTTCGACCATGGTCAGATAGACAGGGTGATGCGATGAATAGCAACTGATGCGAGAGATGGCGATGGCCAGGGAGGGCAAGTGATGGCGAATGTCGGTGCGGATGTGTCTTCTTTGCCGTGTGAATGACTGAGGATTTGGATGCTCGTGGTAGGGGCGGCCTGAAGAGCGCCTGCGTTGCTGTGAGGATGGTCGACGATACTTTCCGATGGTACTTTCGGGTGGGCGACGATGCTCTCAGACAGACACTCGAGCAGGTTGCTTGTCGGATGGCTGCCAATGTCCTGTGGGCGATGAATGATGCTGGCGATAAATGATGATGATGATGATGGTGGTGGTGGAGATGGTGATGATGGTGGTGGAGATGGTGATGATGATGATGATGGTGGTGGATCGGCTCTTGACTGCCCTTTCGGCGAGTGCTCACTTTTTCCCTCTCCCCATCCGTCGCCTCCACCTCCCGTCCCTCCCATCTCTCCCGTCCCAATCACAAAGCACAGTCGGTCTGACGCCGCGGGGAGCGCATGACGACAGTCGCTTCCAGTTGTAGAAGTGGCTATTGGGCACGCCTTGGGCCTCGTGTTGTCCGCCAAGTCGCCCTCAGCTTTCACTTTGAAAGTACTTTATTGGGGGGTTTTTTTTTTCCGTTTCTCTTCCACTTCTGGAGTGGGTTTTGCTGTGCCGCCAGTACTTTTCTCCGCTTGGGATCCGGGGACCGGCTGACCGACCGGATGCGGACAGTTTGGCGGGGGCAGACGGAGCGACTGGCGGAGGGGGGGGGCATGGACTCGCTTCTTCGCTGGCGGGCTCGCATCGAATTGAGCGGACGCTGCTCCCACTTGTTGGACAATCCCCGTCATCCAGGGAGGGGCAGCAGGACGGCACCAAAGAGTCAGTGCGACGGTGGATGCATTCGATCGAGTCCATTGTATTGAGAGAGCTGTGCAGTCGCTGACGACTCTCAAGCACATCGCCATATACTCGAGATTCAGATTCAAGGTGCATCAGACACGCATCGATGAGGAGGAGGATGAAAAAAAGGCAGGAGCGGAGCGAGCGCGGGGAATCAAAGTCTTGATAACGATATGACCAAAGCCTAGTTGCCGCTGCGGGCCACCAGCTTGCCCCGGACACCCTCCCACAACGGCAAAACTGGGAGGGTCTGCTCGACGGTCTGGGTGGGCTGGTCGAGGAATCCGACGGCGACAAGGTATCCGAGGTACAGTCCCATGAGGTTGCGCATGTCGCCGCAGACGACGCCGGCAGGGTCGACCACGCTGCGGATGTGCTCGTCGCCCAGTTGCGGGCCCTTGGTGCTGGTGGGCAGGTCATCCAGGACAAAGTGCAGCAGCGGGAAGAGCGCATGGTCACTCGACGCCAGGGTCAGATCCATCAGGCTCGAGCGCCATTCGATATAGTCCGTGTCGTGGACGTCGTAGCCGTGCTCCTTGACGAGCGAGAACATGTCCTTGAAGCGGAAGTGGTGCGGGTTCCAGATGTGGAAGACCCCGAGGGAGATGTGCGCCTCCGAGGCGGCGACTTCGGCGACAGAGGCAGCAACGTAGTCGACGGGGCACATGTTGACAATGTTGGCGATCTTGGGCACTTGCTTGAGCTGCACGCAACCCTTGACCAGGCGCCACAGGAAATCATCGGTGTTGCCGACTGGACAATGTACACAGAGATATCACGAATTCGTTAGCATGAGTCGATGGCGAGCGTGTGAGAAGTGGGCATGAGGGAGTGGAAGCTTCCCTCTCATTCACCCTCTATGCCATCCGCCCCGACTGTGAATCTCTGCCCTCCCTGTTCTCCAGCATTCACCATTGTCCGAGGTATCTGGTACAACAACAACAACAACAACAGCAACAACAACAACAACAACAACGACAGCAGCAGCAGCAATCCCCTTTAGCCCACTCCAGCCTAGCCCAGCTTGGCTTACCTCCGGTGTGCGAGTCGCCGACAATGTAGCCTGGCCGGATGATTGTGGCCTTGACACCCCGCTCGCGCGCTCGCATGACGAGCTTCTCCGAGACCCATTTGGTCTGGCCGTATCCACTGGCCAGGCCCTTGCGCGAGCCCTCGAGGTTGTCGGTTTCGAGGACCTTGCCGCTGGAGCCCAGGTCGGCGCGGCGAGCGTAGTGGTCCGTGTCCAGGACACTGGTCGAGGATACAAAGTGGAAGGCCTTGGATCGGACCAGGGTCGCCAGCTTCAGGGCCTCCAGGGTGCCGAGGACGTTGGGCGCCCTCAGTTTGCTGTACGGGTAGACCCAGTGGACAAGCGCGCCGTTGTGGATGATGACGTCGACTTGGTTGGCATAGGCCGTCCAGTCTTCTTCCGAGAGTCCCAGGCGAGGCTCGCTCAGGTCGCCCATGGCCGCCACGATGCGGCCCTGCTGCACCCAGGACTCGTCCCAGACCAGGTGGCGCTCGCCGTTCTCGCGGATGCGCTTGAGAGCATCGTCCTGGCTCTTGGCGCGGACGAGGGCAATGACCTTGGAGTGCGGGAAGCGCTTGAGGACCTTTTCGAGGATAAAGGCTCCGAGGAAACCGGTCACACCCGTCACAAAGAAGACTCCGCCAGAGGCCAGGTCCGGGAACTGGAACTCGGGCAGGCCCTCGACGGTCACGGCCGAGTCGTCGACCGTGTCCAGGTCGGCGGCATAGTCGAAAGCCTCGTCCTTGCGGACTTCCTTCATTTGGTCGATGCTCTTGACCGTCTTGATGCTGCGCTTTTCGGTTTCGTCGTCTTGGACAGCGCCGCCGACCAGGTTGACGTCGGCGTCGCGGATGCGCTCGACCTCGCGGGCGATGCCGCGGATGGTCGATTCCTTGTAGACGATGCCGAGGGCAATGTCGACAGCAAGCACCTTGCGGATCTGGAAGACAAGGCGGGTGGCCAGGATCGAATGGCCGCCGCAGTCAAAGAAGTTGTCGTCCAGGGGGATGCTGCCCTCGGGCTTGTTGAGAAGCTCGGCCCAGATGGTGCGGATGGCGGCTTCGTAGGGCGTGGCTTCCTCGTCGGTGCGGGCCGAAGAGCCGGCGGCGCCGGCGAGGGCCGTGTCGGGGAAGGGCAGGGCGTTCTTGTCGATCTTGCCGTTGGGAGTCAGGGGCATGCGGATCAAGGGCACGTAGACTGTGTGTGCCGAAAGGCAAGGGAATTCGGGTGGATATGGGGGTCCAAGCGCAGCCAGGCGACCAACGTCGATGGCGAGGACAAAATGAATGAGAAGGAATCGACAATGTTAGTGCGTTTGGTCGATCGTTTTCCCTATGCTCAGCGATGGCGTCCGGTCGGTCAGAGCCAAAGCAGCACGTCGTCAGCGTCGGCGAGGCAATCAGAGCCCCACTGCCTTCCTCCTCCGCCTCCTCCTTACCAGTCGGAATCGCGTAGACAGGCAGCTTCTGCTTCAGGTATTCGCGAATGTCCTTGATCAGGATGTCGAGGTCGTCGGTGGCGTGGAGGGGCACAAAGTACGTCACCAGCATCTTCTCTTCGTCCTTGTTGCGGCGCACCAGGGTGACGTTCTCACGGACACGGGGGTGCTGGCTGAGCGGCGTATCAATGTCGCCGAGCTCGATGCGGAATCCACGGATCTTGACCTGGTCGTCCGCTCGGCCCGTGCACTCGACGCTGCCATCGGGGCGGTAGCGGCCGAGATCGCCGCTGCGATACATGCGGTCGCGAGGTCCCTTGTAGAACGGCAGAGCCTCGCCCTCGGCGGTGATCTGGGGTCCGCTCGGGTTGAACGGGTTGGCCAGGAACTTTTGGGCCGTGACTTCTTCGAGGCGGAGATAGCCCTCCGAGAGACCGCCGCTGCGGACATAGATCTCGCCGACCTCGCCGACGCCGCAGAGCAGGCCCGAGGGGTTGACGACCAGGAGCTGAACGTCCTTCATGCCCTTGCCAGCAGGCATGATGTCCTTTTGCTGGCTGAGGAAGGCCGGGTTGATACCAGGGGGCGGGATCTTGAGATACGAGACGGCACGCTGGGTCTCGGTGGTGCCGTACATGTTGATGACGTTGGTGTTGGGGGCCAGGAACTGGAGACGGCCGACGTCGCGCTTGGTGAGAACATCGCCGACAAAGAAGGCGTTGCGCAGGGTTGGGATGGAGTGGGTGGCGTTGGCAGACAGGAGCTGACCCATGGCCGGAGTCAGATGGGTGATGGTGACGCCGTGGAAGGCCATCCACTCGGCAAGGCGGCCGGGGGTGCCGATATCGTCACCCGTGGGAATGTAGAGAGAGGCGCCGAGGAACAGAGGGGTGAAGACTGGGGAGAGGATGGGAGGCGAGAACAAGATGGTAGAGGATCGAACGTTAGTTGCTGCCAAGCCAACGGCATGACACAGCAGGCGCCGAGGGGTACTTACTGTCGCGCTGAATGGGGTCGTGCGCAATGCCGCTGAGCATGGTGAAGTGCTCCTTCTCGGAGAGCTCAAACTCGGCCCTCATCCAGGGGTAAAAGTGGGTCAAGGAGTAGTGGCGGCCGCGGACGCCCTTGGGAATGCCCGTGCTTCCGCTGGTGAAGCTGAGGGTGCCGATGCTGTCGGGGCCCAGGACCACGCCGGTGTTCTGGGTCGCGAGCGAGCGCTCAGGGTCCAAAACATCGGCATCGTTGCCCGCAGAACCACCAAAGACAATGCCGTCGTCGGCAATTTCGAGGGCAGGCACCTCGCACTTGATCTGGAGCTCGTTGGTGATGTACTGACGGACATCGTCGTGGAGGGCACCGGCCTTTTTGAGCACGACGAGGCCGCGGGGCTGAGCGACGGAGAGATAAATGTTCTGGCGGGAGGGCGGGTATGCAGGGTCTGGCGGAGGCGATGGGGGAGGAGTGGCTCGGTCAGTGAAACGGTGCTCCTGCTATCAGTGATGTTGCACGGCGGCGATGGGAGGCGAGTGAAGGCAGCAAAGCATGCTGGCAGGGCAGGGCAGAACGGACGTCTTACCAATGACGCTGAAGGTGGCTCCGGCCTTCAAGACACCCATGACGGCAACGACGAGGTCGACACCGCGGTACGAGTACAGCACGACGGGGTCCTCGCGCTCGATGCCGTTCTTGATGAGATGGTGGGCGAGGATGTTGGAGGCGTGGTGGATCTGCTGATAAGTGAACGACTGGGTGAGGTCCAGGCGCATGTCTGGCGAGGGACGACTCTCGACGATGCACACGCGGTCGGGGTGAGCCTCGGCGTTGCGGGAGAAGATGTCGGTGATGGCGCCCTCGAAGCGGTCCCAGGCAAGATCGGCCGTGGGATCGGGCAAAACTGGGCTGCTGCTGGGGGTGATGAGCGAGATCTTGCCGATCGGAGCGTGGGGGTCCTGGGCAGCGGTCTCGAGCAGCTGGCAGAGCTGGTCGAGCATGAAGGCGATACGGAGCTCGGTGAAGAGCACCGAGTTGTAGACGACTCGCAGCTGGATGGGCAGCAGCCTTCGCAGCGAGGGCGACTGGGAGATGAAGATGGTGATGTCGCTGGTGGAGGAGCCGCTGGCGCTGGCCTCGAGAGTCTCGGGAGTGGTGTCGGTGAGGTTGAAGAATCGGACCTTGAACAGGGACGGGGCCGGGTTGTCGGCATTGGCGGGGCAGAGGGCATCGAGCAGCGCAGCGAAGGGCACTTCGTCCTTGCTGGCGGTGGCGGTGGTCTGTCGAGCGATCGGGGGGGAGTGGGGCAGATGGCGTAGAGTACGGTGTGATGTGGTGCGGAGTGTGGAGTGTGCAGTGTGATGGAACGTGGTGTGGAATGGATGTGAGAATTCGCCGATAGTTTCTCTTGGCACCTTTGCCGCCCTCACAAATCCAGGCACTCCTCGCTCGATGCGTGTGCATTCATGAGCTGTCCTGACACCCCCACCCGCATATGGGTCACCGACGCAGTTACGGTCGCACCCATACGCACCTCAATAATCTTGCGGATGACCTCGACCATCGAATCCGAGTCGGCGACGTTCATACGCAGCACGAGCGGGTTCGACGACAGCGACGACGAGCCGATGGTGATGTCTTCTTCGCCGGTGTATCTGTGCAGCAGGATCGCAAAGGCTGCCAGGAGGATATCAAAGGGCGTGGACGAAGCCGCGCCATTGCCGGCTCCGGCCGAGACCTTCATCAGGCTGAGGGAGAGCTGCAGGACCGCAAGGCTGGTGGACTCGGGCAGGTCCAGGATCTGCTCGGCATCGACGACCCTCTGCGGGATCGGGCGCGGGTAGTCAGTCGGCAGGATGAGCTCGGTGAGACTGCTGAGGCGGGATCGCCATCGCTCGATGAGGAGCGGATCGACGGATTGGTTGGAGGTCAGCATCTTGGTCGGTGGCTGGCTAGCTGGCTGGTTGACTGGCTGGCGAGGAGTAGTGGTGGATCCGAAGGCGCCCGGACTATGTTGCTGCAAGAGGAATTGAGCGGTGGTGATGCTTGCGACCTGGCGAAACAAGCGTCCAATGGCAAGGGACGAGAGGGGAGAGGTGCAGATCTGGACTGAAAAGATGGAGGACGACGAAGGGATCGGGACGGCGCCGTGGGTTTAAATCCGGAAAGCAAGGCCGGCCAGAGTGCGTCACGAAGATCAGATGGCGGCAGATGGAGATGGAGGACCGGCCTTATCACAAAGAAACGGAGATGCGAAATCGTGTCGGATCGATAAGCGCGCTGTGCGACGCTGTTTGTGTGTGAGCGGCAAGCTGTGGGGACGAGATCGCTGCGCATCTTGTGCGCCCGGCGACAATGGCGCGGAGATGAAGGCGGGGGAGGGCTGCGCGCACACGAGTGCCACGTGGACGTGGGAAAGCGAGCACCACGGATGCGGAGAGCGAATCGAGAGGGTGTATTTTCGTGAAGCGGGTGAAAAAGGGGGGCCAGGCCGCAATCCAAAGGGGGGGAGGCCTGTTTCATTTTGTACAGACGAGAGAAAACTATCAACAGAGGTTCACAGCTGATCTACTTTCGTTGGGGGTAAACAAGCTATAGGCACGGAGCGAGGGGGAGGGATCACGCCATGTGGAGAGGGGCGGAACAACAAGTCAAGAACATGCAAAAGTGGGCTGAGGAGAGTGGAAGATGGATGAATGGTAGAGGTCGATGGAAATACACAATCGATAAGAAGCGCGAGGGCGGGGGGTGAGGATTGGACGGGATAGTACAGAATCGGTCAGTGTCCACAAGCATCGACAAAAGTATCCAAAACATCGACTGCAACGTGCCACAGTCGCTGTTTCGCCTCATCTTTAGGACCACTCTGCTGATATCTCGTCCGGATTAGTCGGATTGAGGTACTGGCTGCTGTGGATGGTGCGTGTGTGCAAAGAGCGCACAGAAGTTGCGCGGCGCCGACGTTGGGAGACGCTTGTCGGAACGTACGAGGGGGGGGGCACCATGCTGCCAACATCAAGGATGAGCCGATCCATAGGCCATCAAACAAGACACAGCTTGATGGAAGGAGGGGGCGGTGGCTTGCTTGCGCCGCATTATATGGCCTTCAGGGGCTCCTTGACGGGCTCGGATCGAACAGGGGCACTGGGAAAGGGCGCATGATAGTTGTAGCCGTAGTCATAGGGCTGTTCGTTGAAGAGCGGCCGCGGCATCATATGGGGCGCCAGAGCAGGCAGCGAGTTGGGGTGGTGCGGCGGGTATGGATACGCCGGGCTGTACGGCGAGTACGAGGGCTGTGGCGGGAGCAGCGGGGATATGGAGTGAGGAAGTGAGGAGCGTCAGCGACAAGGAATATGCCACGATCGCGGGTCGGCCGAATACGATGGACCGAGTGCGATGGCCAGGGATACGTCGGCAGGCATACCTGAGAGCTCGGAGGATATTTCGAGTCATAAAATGCCGAGGGAACTTGCGTGGGTGGCGGTGGAGGCGAAGGGGTGCCGATGTGGGCCGGCGAGGGATAGCCCGAAATGGAGGGCACCTGCAGTTGCGGAGCGGAGAAAGAAAGGACCGGTGGTGTGAGACAGAGCCGGGAATGCGCAAGGAATGGCAGCAGGAGGCCAATGTCTTACCATCGAGTCATGGCCGCTTGGGGGGTGGTCCAAGAATGATCCGCTGGGCGAGTACTGCTGTTGTTCGGACAAGCAACCCGTGCAAACCCGTGCAAACCCAGGTCATGGGCAGACACCCGCGACGACATGAAAAGTGCAGAAAGGCGACGTTGAGGCCGAGCGGGACAGCAGGGAACCGCGACACGGACACGCATGTCGGTGGCCGAGTCGAGGACGCAAGGGCACGGGTGGAGCGCGGATGGCAGCAGACGAGAGCACGAGCCGCAGGAAAGAGTTGGCGAGGCCCCCGAGGAGAATGTGGCATGGCGCGATGGGATCGGTGTTGAGCGGATGCGTTGCGAGAAGGCGGATGGGGTTGGGTTGGTTGCGTTGTATTGCGTTGGTATGGAGAGGCCGGGGGAAGAAGAGTCGGAGCGGCGAACAAAGAGGAAAGAAGCCAAGAAGCGGTCAGCCACAGGGCCCAGATCCCTGTCCACTCACATTTGTCACGGCGGCGCAACACGCGCAGCACACCCTCCATGCTGTGCGACAGAGTATGGTCGCACGGAGGGACAAATCGCGCCAATGGCTGCGGAGCACAGCGGCAGCAAACGGGCCACAGCGACAGTGCCATCCGGGGGTTGTCCTTGGGTTGTCCTTGGGTTGTCTGGCCAGACTCGAGCAGGTTGGGCTGGGTCCGGGCTCGGCGAGTCCCGGCCAGGACCAGACCAGACCAGACCAGACCAGACCAGACCAGGCCAGGACAACCAAGGCCGAGTCCGGACTCACAGAAACAACCGCCCCAGTGTCGGCGTGACACAGGCACTGGTGTCCGCCACACCGCACACACTCCGCGCACCGCTTTGTGCAGCCCCACACAGACTGCGGCACCGCCAACTGACCTGTGCACCCCCGCCGACAGGGTGGCGATAGTGGTCGCGACCTGGATATGGGCCTGCGGGGTGAAGCGTGCGATCCTTGTTCGCGGGGCCACCGTGACCGCCGCCGCCGCTTGTGCCCGTGGTGCCGGTGCTGCTGGGGTTGCTGCCGCGGCGCTTTCCGCCCGAACCAGCCGAGGTGCTGCTGTTTGATGACCGACGGGCCTTGGAGATGCCGCTGCCCTGCTGCAGGATCATGTCCGGCGGAGCGATATCTGAGGTGAGTGCATGTCCGCGCTCTCACGGAGAAGGAAGAGAGGGCGGGATGGGGGCCAGGCAGGATCCGCCCCTTGTGGCTGAGCGCGACGGTGCGATGGTGCGGTGGTGCAATGGTGCGCAATGCGGTGGTTGTGGATGGCGGTGTGCAAGCGGACCAAGAAACCCACCTTGGTCTTGGTGACCTTGGCGTCGACGGGCACAGGAGCGTCAGGCCGAGACTCTGGCCGAGGTGGCTGCAGGACAGCAGCAAGAACGAGAAGCCACCAATTGTGAGCAGGCGTGGGCAAGCAATCGCAGGCGCAGGAGCAAAAGTGGGTCTTGATGGGAGTGGGAAAGCGGATACGCTGGGGCCCCGGGGAACCGGGCGGCGGATACAACGGCACAAAAGGCGGTGCCGTCCTCCAGCCAAGCGGACCGGATGCAGATGCGAGAGGGCAGAGACCAACGGCGGTGCTCGAAAGACAAACGGAGAGCCGCAGACGGGAAGCCAGCCGAGGCACATTGCCGGCGAGTGATGCATAGCAGACACGAGAGAAAGACGCAACTACCTTGGGTTCGAGAGGAGCAAGTGTGTAAACTGGGGCGGTCTGGAGCGGGCCGGCTCGTCTGAGCGAAAGCAGCGTGTCGACGGCCATGGCCAGCACTGGATCATCCTCCAGTCGCCACCGGGGATCAGCCAAGGTGTGTCTTGGCGAGTCAAAGTATGCAGGATTATATACTGGCTGCGGGAGGGTATAGGGCTGTTGCTCCGGATAGAGCGAGAGTCGGTAGCCTGGTGAGACCTGGCGAGAGGACGAATCGACAAACTTGCTCATGGTTGGCGTGTCTGGACAGAATGGAGCAAGAGGGTGACTTTGGAAGTGGAGAAGGACGAGGGGATAGCGGCTCAAGGGCGATTGGCTGGTGCCGTGGGCAGGATGAGTGCTTTGGCGATCGAGCAGCGATGGCGAGGAAAGGGGATCTGGCTGGGGATGCCGGTGGTGAAGAGTTTGGAGAGCAGAAAGGGCAGAAAGATGGCAGGCGAGGCCGGATGGGACGATTGAGAGACGGCACCGACTATTGGACCCGGCGGGAAAGAAAGGGCGTTGGTACTGAGGCGAACCAACACAGACAAAAAGGAAGGCGATAGAGAGACTGAGCAGCGCGAGCAAGAAAGGAGGGGGATGGCGAGCAGGACCGATCGGAGAAGCAAAAGCACAGGAGACGGCTTGGGAAGCGATGGGAAGCGATGGGCGGGGAAGCGAGATGGAGGAGCAAAGAAGCCTGGAGGCGGCGAGCAACGGCGCCGAAGACGATCCCAGGCGAAATGTTCTGTCGCGGGGGCGTGGAAGACAGGGAGGGCGGGCGCCGCGAGGAGGTACAAAGGCCGAAGAGCCGACGCGGATTGGCCACCCGAGTCAAGGAGGGGCCAGCCGCGAGGGCTGTATGCGGGCTGTGGGCGCCACTGGGGCAGTGGCGACGGGGCCACAGAGACCTGTACAGGGGCCGACACAGCGCGCACAAGCGGCTCTGGGCGGCTGTTTGGCGATGTCGTGTGTCGGGAGGCGGTCTTGTGCCCTGTGCGAGCGCATGTTTGGGGGGGGGTGTCTGTGGTGGGGTGCGCAGGTGAGAATGTGTTGGGGAGTGATGAAGAACATGGCATGTTTGTGGTAGAAACACACGTTGCAAACATCACCGGACGCTCTGCCATCGACGTCGGCGGATCGCATCGCTCGGACGAGTGGACCCTCAGCAGGGCACGTCGATTGGAGCGCCGCTGATATGGAGGGATTTGACCATGTGGATCAGTTGATTTGATTTGACCATGTTGATGTGGATGGATTTGACTTGGCCATGTTGATGTGGATGGATTTGGCCATGTTGATCAGTCGATTTGATCAGCGTCATTCATCGACGCCTACTATCATCGCCGACCATCGTCGCCGGCGCTGCTGATGCAGTATGCAATATCGAGCCGCGCCGATTTCGGCGGAGACGGAGAGTGGGCCGAGCCGCACAGACAACAGTGCCGCGGGCGACACGGTCGCACTGACGGCCAACCGCGTCATCACAGCCACAGGCGCAACGCGCCCGTGCAAGGGCGGCGGGGGAACGGGAAGGCGACCGAAACAACCGCCAATGAAACCGGCACGCGCAGAGCACAACAGAGCGCGGCAAATCAAAATCACGCCCTCGCCCGTCACACACACACATTCCGTCGCGCGGGGTCGCGGCTGCACAGCGGGTGAGTCAGGCGCAAGGATCGCCACAGCCGCACAGGGTCAGCGCGCAGTCGCGTGGCGCCCGGACACGGCGCCGGACAACCTGGCGGCCGCGATCTTGAGCTGTGCTGATGGGATGACCGTGAGAGGCGGTCTTGAGATGTACTGATGGGATTGCTGTGAGGTATACTGGCGAGTGGCCCTTGCCACCGACTGCGGCGCCATGTCGCCATAGAGCGTTCTGCAACCCAGCCATCCAATAATGTGTCTGGCATCAGCACTCCAGCAGCGCCTACCAACCAACCAGCCGCTTTCGTAGACAACATCCCCGAAAACAAACTCCATCAAATAGTCTGATCGGCCGTGATTGGGTCTGCCATGATCGACTCTGCTTCTACCAATGCGACCACAACTGTCGCAGCCACTCTCGCTGCTCGGTACAACTGGCACTTCCTCCCGACTCGCCATTTCCTCGGCTGGCTCTCGTCCCGTTGGCTTCATCGACTGCTCGGTCTGCATCCTCCGTCGATAGTCCTTCCCAGCCAGCTACTTCCCAATGACACTCATACCCATCGTTGACTCCAAGGCACCGCGCGTGCTCAAGCTCCAGCTCATGCCGAAGGGGCCGCAGGTGCACGCTCTTGACTATGACAAGCGAATGATGGATCTGTCCGATTCGCATCGGTCCGAGATGCGCAAGAAGCTCTATGGAGACGACCGAGACAACCGCACGATGCGTATGGCCCACTCTCTCGCTTTCTCCCCTCCCGCCGTGTCCTTCCAGATCACCATTTTGGCCCACCACGCGTCCATCCATGCCACCACACCACATTTGCTGGCTCGTATCCGCGGCCTGTCGTTGCAGGGCCGCAGACGTCTGAATCTCTCTGATTGTTCCTCTCACCAGCCTACAGCTATCTCGAGGCCGGCACGCACCAGCTGTGCTATGCCGACGAAAAGCCGCCGCCATGGAAATCGACGATGCAGGGGGACTACATCACCAAGCGTCTGGATCGTACCGAGCTTCATCGAGTCAACGCCGAGAACAGCGAAAGTGGGTGCCGTCTGCGTGGATTCTCTCGTTTCAATGAATCCGATTTCTTCCTTATCCGACTGCGGTGGTAACCTCGGCCTTATCGGCTCTACGTTCCCATTTCCATCTCGTCCCGTTTCGCCATATCTCGCTCCGTCTCGACATATTCCTAGTATCGGCATTCATCAAAGCCTCTCATTTCAAGATTGAAGGGCCCGAGTCGACCTCGGAGACGCCCATCAGCACCACCCGCCGAGACTTTGCGACAAAATCGATGCAGGTGCGGCCCAGCACACATCCTGGCACACATCCATGGCACACGGACAGGCCCTCCGTCCTTTGGCCTCTGTGTACTTGCATCCACCTGATTCCTCATCCGTGCCTGGTGGGAGTCGTTGTTGCTCCAGGGGGATACATCGGATGTTCGTCCATTCGCTCGTCTATTGACCTAGGTCTCTCCAACACTGTATCGACGGCACCGGTGCTGTTTAGAGCGTCGGAAAACACGACCCGAAGAGACTCATGGAGTCCTACCAGGTTTGAGAGCGGCAAAGTCGTTTCGTGGCAGCTATTGTCTGCGACAATGATCGGAGGCTGTGGCTCGCTATCTTTCAGCTCCAAACATAGCGACTCTCGTCGGAACTGATCAAGCACTCGCATGCATGTCATTCCTGATACTTCATTGGACAGGCGTTTCCTCCAATCTATCGAGACGAGCATCTCGAGACGACAAGGTCCCAGTACCAAGAGTCGTTTTCCTCAGTAGGTTGGAAGCACAGTCCAAAAACTCCCGTCTCGCCACTGGGCTGCTCCCTGAGCCTGACCATCGGCACTTTGCTTTCTCTCCCGCGCTCCCTCAGCGATCGGGGATAAAGGATGTCTCTGTGGTCCATGCCAAGGTTCCAACTGGGACCCACATCAGTCTCGGCGGCGACTCGCCGGACTGGGAGTCTGTCACAAGCCGTGCTTATCACCAATCCCCCAAGCTCGGCCGTGTCGATCGAGTGCTGGTCAAGAAAGTCGAGGCCAAGAGCTCGGTCCTGGACAACCCTGACGGGGAAGTGGGCAGCTTGAGAAGTGTCCAGCAAGAAGGCAAGTGGAGCCGCCCGGCTCGTTTAGTGGGCGAGTAGCATCGGTTGTTCCCGGTTGCTCGTGTATCTGATGGCGACGGTGTCGTTCGTCGACGGACACTAGATTTCCAGGTCGACCCCAACCTCGATCGCTCCAAGTTGATGGTCGACACCAAGGGATTCATAAGCGAGATCAAGGCCACGCACTTCACGGTATGTGATAACAATCGGGTCCCTCGCTTAATCTCAGAGCAAGCCGATCGCATGGGCTTGTTGACCCAGGCGATAACCAGAGGGTGTGTCAAGTGCGGCCGATGTATTGACAAGGGTGCATACGCAGCGAAGACGAGGATAAACAGTAGTGTCTCCAGCCACCGTATCGCAACAGCAGTTCCCTTGTCGCAGTCTTTGCTGGTGATGATGCTAACAACAGTCGCCATTTATCCACTGCGCAACGGCGACTTCAGCTCGGCAACTCGACCGACAACCAGCCGCGGTCGCAGTATCAGGCATCTTTCATCCAACATGGAGTCGACAGCGTCCCTGCCACACAACGGTTCCGCTACATCCCCAGCAACGTACACTTTGAGGAAGAAGAGACCACGCCGTTCAAGTCGACAAGCTCACACCACATTGACTTTCAGCAGAAGAAGCTCAAGAGCAGCGGCATCATCGTCGAGGGCAATGGCCGGGCTCAGGAAACCAAGGTTGGATGTCAGCAGCATCGGCGGGGAAGTGCGATCTGCGACCTGCGACCTGCGATATACCTTTACTCGCTGCTGCTCACACTCACACTCACACTCACACTCACACTCACACTCACACTCACACTCACACTCACACTCACACTCACACTCACACTCACACTCACACTCACACTCACACTCACACTCACACCCACCCCCCATTAGCACTCGGATGGACACACATCCGTTTCCCTCGGCACCGACAGCAACGAACCAGCCACCTCGGTCACGACGCTCTCCTATCCGTCGCCCAATAGCCGCGACCCCGAAGTCTACCGCAACCGCAGCACCTTCCGGTTCCGTTCTCAATACAACCCAATCTCGAATGAGCCGGACGACCAGTCGCGCCAGCAAAGCCTCACCCGATCCAACTTTCTGCCATTCGATCAGCGAGCCGTCAGGTCGATTGGGCGAGCGGCTGGGCACGTCGCTGGCGTTCACGACTATTCCCAGGGCCACTCCGACCCTCATCCCGCTGGCTCAGGCGACGGAGAGCTCAATCTACTGCACGATTATCGGCAGGTCAACGAGGCCGGAAACGCCACCAAGGCCTTCTTGAGAGGCCACCACTTTGAGCTTGGATCTGGGGCGTCTCCGGGCACGGGTCCGACGTCGCATTCGGAGCACTTCCAGAACGTCAAGCCCACAGACAAGGCCGAGCCGGTGCCGCTGGACTATTCCTATGAGACAACCTTGCAAAACACGGTGACGAGGTTGTAGAGAAGGGAGGGGACGAAGTGTGACTCGAGGGGCTTGGATGGGACGCATCTGTTGACTGAGAGGACCGAGGCGAGCCGCCAGTCCCACGGCCGTACCAACGAGATGGCCATTATTCCCTGGTGTGGCCGAGACTGCCTGTTTCCAAACAGTCTTACTCACTCATCTTGGACGGCGGGTGGGATGCGATCTCACACCTCCATTACCCCCCCCTCCTCTGTTAGATACCCCATGGACTCGGCGACGTTCGAGTCCGTCAGCCAAAAGACATACGGCAACTTCCCTTTCGCCCCCGACCCAGCCTTGCCCGTCCCGGCCAAGCCCGACACGATCCAAGAGTACATCTCGACGTTCCCAACGGCCTCGCACTTGCCAAAGCGTCCTCGGCCTGCGAGCACCTCTCGCTCTGCACCAGCGGCCGGAGCCGAGTCCGCCGGCTTGAGCGCCTACCACGAGCAAGCACGTGGGTCGGTGGCCGGGTCTGCCCCCGCTGTCTTCAAGCCGGACATGTCGACAGTCACCCGCCGCAGCTTTGTCCCGCCCGAGGTCATGGTCTACAAGCAGCCCACCGATATCCATCTCGACTTTGACCTCAAGCGGCAGTGGGAAAAGCAGTACCCCGAGGCCGCTGCGGCGCTGCGAGAGCGACACAGGCGAACGGCAGAATCAGCCGCAGTCGCATCTGCCTGAGGAAGCTCGAGCCGCTGAAAGCACAAATTCCAAACTCCAGGCTCCAAACTCCAAACTCCAAACTCCAAACTCACCAGCAATACCACAAGAAGACGCGGCTTATCGCGCCTGACTTTTCAGAAACAGGTCGGGGACTGTGTTTCTCGGTCTGCTCGATCTCGATGCGGCCCGAATTAGGCCCTTCTCCCTCAAGCCTCAAGTCCCAATCACACCACACTACACCACACCTCACCACACCTCACCATACTTCATCACATCACATCTACATGCCCGTCCGACAACAGGGCCACAAGATGACACTGCCGCGGATCCGACAGGCTCTGTTTGGAAACACAAATGCGATTCTGGATACCCAGGCAGGTAGATTGGACGAGTGGCGAATTGGCTGAGCCTAGCAAGCAAGCAAACAAGCAAGCAAACAAGCAATGAAGAAATCAGGCAGGCAAAAGTTGTCGAGCAGGCGTATAGTGTAAAAGAAAGCAAAACAGAAGCGATTCAAAAAGGAATAAAAATAAAAATAAAAAAGGCGCTTTTGGCGGAAAAGGAAAGGAATAAGGATGGGATGGGATAGAATAAAACGCAACATAAAAAGGAGTGGGAAGCGAACAGAACGAAGCAAAGCAAAAGATGGGCTGATAAAAACGCTGACGGCAGAGGTTAATAATAAAGGGCCAAACCCAAAACACAAAGCCCGAGGAGCCCAACCTCACAGCGGAAAGGGAATGCAAGAGCAGTGGAGTGGATGGGAGTGAGATGAGAAATTGAGGCGCTGCTGCCGACCTGCTCGGCCGTACTTGGCTCAACACATCGTCAAGGTAGCAATAATAATAGCGATAATAGGAACGATCGAAAGAACACTCTCCTCCCCCCCCTCCTGGTTCGTTCGCCGCCAAATCTATAGCCAGCACATGGTCAGCCCAAGAGGCGCGGTCCGCTCACAAAATCGGACAGCCATAACGCCGGCAGCGGCATCAAGAAAAAAAAAGAAAGAAAGGTCAACAACGACAGCAACAAGAACAACAGCAGCGGTGGCTATAGAAATAACAGGGCGCTCATTTTCTACTCGAAATATCCATGAGGAGGGTTTACAGTGAGCTTCATTGATGGAGAGGAGAAGAGGGGTGGAGAAGGCGAGGAAGGAGGAGGAGGAGGAGGGGGGCGGTGGAGGAGGAAGGATCAAAAGGAGAGCAGAGCCTCAGCAACACTCAGCGAACCGCCTCGGTGTCGCGGCTGCCACACCACATGAACATCTTCTTCCACCACTTGACCTTTTTCCTTTCGCCACGTCCGTTGGCATTGTCGACCTGAGGCTGGGTCGTAGTCACAGGCGTCGGCGAGATCGGAGGAACAGGGGTCGACGGCTGCTGAGCAGCCCCGCCGGACTGTTTTCGCGGCAACGAGCCCGAGTTGTTGACTGGCGCCAGAACCCGGTGAGCGCTGGCAACGTCCTTGAGGTTGGTCTGGGTCGTGCCGGGGGAGGCCGAGTAGATCACCGAGGTGCCGGCGAGGGCCTGAACGCTGGCGTTGGGGCCGGTGTTGGTGTATGGATTGGCTGACGAGGGCTGTCCGGTGTACTGGGTGACATTGGGCGAGGAAGTATGGCCGGCAGCGGCGGCGGCCTGGTAACGGTACTGGCGGTCCCGCTCGCGGGCCTCGCGCTCACGCTCGCGCTGCTTTTCCTTTTCCTTTCGCTGCTGGTCCATGATCAGCATCCAGTCAAAGATTCCGTCCTCGACTTCGCCTTGACGGGTCAACACTGATTGCGATTGAGGCAGCGTTGAGGGAGAGCGAGCGTGAGAGTGTGTGCAATGGTCTTGTGAGTCATCGATCGAGATACACTGGTAGAGTGGCGCACATTATAGCGCCAGAGAGACGTCGCAGGGAGCTCACCTTTGCTGAACAGGCCACGCAGATAGTCGTAGTCAGGGGTTTCTTCGAACTTGAGATTACGGACATAGGAGAGATAGGTGGCGAACTCCTCTGTTGACCAGCCACGCCGATGCAGAACAGATCAGACACGAGACAGAAGTGTAAAGCCGTGACAACCGACTGATGCAGCACGGAGCCCCATGCATGTGCGGTGGGCTCCAGAAACCGACCTGGGAAGGCGTCGCAAAGATCGCGGATGCTGGTGGTCTGCTTCTTCTCTCCGATCTTTTCGTACTTTTGCTTGTTGGTGGCAGCCTTGAGACCCTGCCAGGGCAGACTGCCTCGCAAAAAGTACATGAAGACGTGGCCCAGGGCCTCCAGATCGTCGCGTCGAGATTGCTCTGTGGATCCAAACATCACGGTGGCGACGGGGTGTCAGAGACGGGGGGCCAAGGATGATCGGATGTTGAGGAGCGTCGCAAATGAGTCATCGACCGATACAACCAGCGACAGCATCAATCCAGCGCTCGAAACACGACAGATACGATGGACACGATGGGCGCAGGATGGACACGACACACAACATGCACAGCACGCATGCTGGACGTACGTACCTCGGCCAAGATGCGTGTTTATACTCATGTAGCGGGCAGTTCCGGACAGCGACTTCTTCTCGCGGTAGGGAATGTGCTGCTTTGTTTTGGGGTCGCGGTACTGCTTGGCCATGCCGAAGTCGACAATGTAGATCTGAGAAGCGGGATGAGGGCTGGTGGGAGAGTGGTTGGCAACAACGCTGTACGGGTCTACAGAGGGCGCAGGAGACAACGAGGGTCAGCAGCAGGCTTGGCCAAGAGGCAATGCAGGCAGCAGACCGAGCCGCCAGTGGATCAAGTTGAGTCAATTGGTTGCAGCAAGGAATATCGGCGGTATTCCGTGGGTTCGGTCGAATCAGAGACAGGTCCGATGAAGCCGGTCGAATTTCATCTACCCACCAACGTCGGGAGGGGCGTTCGGGTTGGCCTGGATCTCGTTGTGTCGCGGCAGTCTTCCGATCAGGAAGTTATCCGGTTTGATGTCACGATAGATCAGGTTCTTTTCATGGATTGTCTGGACACGGGTGATCTGCGATCGAAGTGGCCCGTCGAAGGGGAAAGAGAGAAGCAAGTTCGTTCACGCGAGGCGACGGCAGAGTGGGATGGGATGGGATGGGATGGGATGGGAGATACGGTCGAAGAGTAAGCCGACGGCCACGGACACGCCTCTGGATCGCGCAGATTGGGCTTGGACACGACCTCTGTCGATATCGCACCCATCGACGCATTTCAAGGACAGAGAAACTGGGCGTACCATTTGCTTGGCAGCCATGCACACGGTCTTGATGCTGAACTTCCGGCCACAGAGATCGAACATGTCTTCCAGACTCGGACCGAGCAGATCGATACACAGAATGTTGTGAAGTCCTTCCTGGCCAAAGTAGTAGGCGTTGGGGATACCAGCTGTGGCCGCAAAACAAACAAGGGCAGCCGAGAGGAAGGGGCAGAGGGAGGTACCGTTATGGCTCGTGCGGACTGTTCAAGATGCTCAGGATCCCATAGCATATATGCAGCGCAGCAGCCACCGAAGACACGGCGAGGTGCAGGGCTCCAAAGGCAATCAGGATGCGGCAGGTATCCACGTACGGCTTCCCGACATGATCTTGTATGTCCTGTACTCGTCTCGAAGCTGAGGGGCATCGCTCTTTCGGGGCTCAAACTTGATGGCGATAGGTTGGTTGTTTGCGAGATTTGCGCCTGTGGACAGCAGACGCGACGATGCGGGATGCAATCAGACATCCGTTTCTGGGCGGAATCCTCCAACGATACAGAGCAGGGGGGATCGAATAATGTCCAGGACCCGAACACGCAGCGTGTATCCGGATGGATTGAAGCTCTGTACATCAAGCGGGACAGGATGGACAGGATGGACAGGCCAAAGAGAAAGGTGGATGCATGGGCGGAGCAGAGAGAGCAATATCCGAGTGGGATCGTGGAGGCGACGGGATAGCCGGGACAATGGAAGCGACGAACGCCACGGAGGCAACGAGAATGGATACGGAAATCGAGAGCGGTACGCAGGGCCGGACAAAAGCGGCGCCCAGGCTGGACAGCGGCGGTTACCTTCGTAGATGATGCCAAAGGATCCCTCTCCAATCTTCTTTCCAACCTTGTAGTGGACACCGACGACATTAGGGCTCGAGGACGAGTGGATTCTCGACGAAGAGCCGGCGGCTGCGAGCTGGGGCTGTTGGCCAACGGCTTGTCCGTTTTGAGGCGCCTGCCTTGACGACTGCACATGGGTTTGTGAGTTCTGTTGGACAGGCGAGCCGGAGAAGGGGAGGGGATTCAGGCAGTCGCAAGACGCAACGGGACGAGACAAGTGTTTGTAGAGGAGCAGGGACGGCGATGGATGGCGGATATGGACACAGTCGTTAGCAGATGCCAAGGAGCGGATGATACCGCGGCGATTAGCCGATAGCCAGGGCCGCCACCGCGGGAGGCGTCAGACTCGGCTAGAGTGGCGAGGGAAACGAAGGGGAGAGGCAGGGATGAGCGAGTCTATTACCAAGGCGGGCTGGGAAGAGGGAGGAGTGGTGGGTTTCTGCGGGAGAGACATGTCCTTGGCCTGAGCCCTGGACTCAGGGGGCACGCCCACGGAGGAGCGATGTTGCTGCTGTTGCTGCTGTTGCGAGTTCATTTCCTCGGGCGATTTCGGACGCGACATCAAGTGGCGATCCCAAGGACGAGCAGGGACAGCAGATGGGGGGGGGACGGGCGGCTGGCGTGGGCAGAGGGGGAGAACAGACGAAGGCCAGACGGAGCCGAAGAAGCGAAGAGATGGAGAAACTGCAGGAAGACCTTTGGCGAAAGGACAGAAAGCCGAGAGCGCAAAGCCGAGAGCGCAAAGACGAGAGCGCAAAGACGAGACGAGGCGAACGCGGGGCCGGACGGAAAGGAGGCGAGAGCCGCCAGCGAGGACGAGAAGCAGCCGGAAAGCAGCCCAGGCCCGAGCGAGGCGCAAGCGAGACGGAGGCGAGAGCGAGCGAGGCCGAAGCGTGCAAAAAAGAAAAGGCCCATTAAAAGCGAGGCCAACAGTGCGTGTGGGTGGCTGTGGGAGTGTGTGTGTGTGCTGGCGAGACTGACTGTGTGTGTGCAAGCGCTCGATGGCGCGGCGCGTCGCCAGACAAGTGTGCGTGTGTGTGCGGGGTGGGTGTCGGTTTGCCGGCGGGCATTGGGGCTGTGCGGTGGGGGAAAGCTGCGGCCATGGCTGCCGCTGTGAGCGTCACTGTGAGTGTGTGTGCGACAGCGAGTGCACTGCGAGTGCACATGCCGCACTGTCTCTGTGCGACTGGCCGTGCTGTGCAGTGCTGCAGTACTGTTGCTGGTGCTGTTACTGCTGTTGCTGAGGCGTGCTCCCGTGTGGCCTGCCCCCCCCGGCACGCGTCGCGCCCGCGCTGCTGTCCCGTTTTGTCGGACGGTCCTTCTGTGGGCTTTGTTCCAGCGGTGCTGGAGCAGTTCCAGATCCACTCAGCTCTGTTTTGCTCACTTCACGCCGCGCTGTGCGGTATGCACTTGATGCATGGCTGCTGGGTGAAAGCGTGAGCTTGATGCAGTCGCGCTGTCTGAGCGCCATGTCCAGAATGCATCATCGCCGCTCTCGAGTCGTCCCTCGCAAACAGCAATCCAGCCGGCCACGACATCCACGGCACTCACGCCGCCCTGGCGCCCGCACATTGCCTGACCAAACGCGCACGCTCCGAGCAAAGGCACCGGATCCCGCCACGCACCTCTCGCCCCCACCGCCTCGTCTCCTCTCCCCACGCCCTTGTCGACGGCGGCCTCCTATTGGTCCTGCGCCGCCCTTGCCGTCTGTCCGACCACTCGCACCGCTTCTGTGTCTCGAACTGGTCACACCCATAGACCGGAATGGAAACCCGTCACACCACACAGGGACCCACGCCGTGACCAGCCGGCAAATCTCTTGCGCCTTGGCGTCCCAGCCCTTGCCCTATCCAGCACCCCAGCCCCTGCCCCACTCTTCCACACACACACACTATCCGGCTCCATCCGGCTCCATCTGGGATCGAAGGTGCTCAAACCCAGGCGGGATTGGATTCAAGGGCATTGCTGGCTCGCAAGGGGGCGGGTCCCGTCGGCGACGACGACTGCGTCCCTGCCACGCGACCCCTGCAATCGCATCTCCCGAATGGCCCCCTGTTCGTGTCCACACATATGACGTCGCTGCCATAAGTGCTCACCCATTCTGTCTGTGTCGCCACAAAGACATAATTGGTGCAATCAGGCGTCGAGCACATTATTCGCCTCTCGCAGATATATGATGACCGTACATATCTTGTCTCTGCGAAAAATAGCTTGCCGTGGCTGTTGCTTGTCTGACCGCCACCCGTCTGCCTGCCGCCCACTGTTTGTCACTTTGGCCCTCTCCAGCGCTGTGGGCTTGTCGATCGATCGCCCCTCCGATCCGCAAAGCCAAAGCAGCCCACATACACGGCAGTCATCCTTTCATTCATCCCTCTCGCACCTACAAAAACAAGATCCTTGTTCGAAATTGCTCTTTTTCTCCCTCCTCCTCCTCCGGCCCTCCTCCTCCTCTGGCCTTCTTCCTCCTCTGGCCTTCCTCGTCTCGCATAGCTCTAGGCTTGGTCAAGTGTTTGGCCTTGTCCTGATTAGTCTCGCTCCTGTCCATTATTGCCCTTCGTAGGTAGCAAAGCTCTAGTACCCGAACATCAATACTGCTTTCCAGGGAGGGAGAGAGCTGTAGCAATCTATTCACGTCCCAAAATTTCCAGGTAACTGATTATCTCTCCGGCGTCTGTGCTTTGAGCTTTGCTCGCGGACGTTGGCATTATCCTTGCTCCGGACTTTCCCACGATGGACTGCTCCCTAGTACTGGGCTGGTGGAGCATCGGCTGTAGGTCGTCGTCATCCAACACTAATCGGCACACGCTTCCTCTGTGCACCCAGTCGCAAGCATATTTTCACCGCAAACGACCTCCTGTATTTGAATTGCTCGCCAGTGTTGTATGCATACAGAAACCGAATACTTGACGCAGTGGTATGCAATATCGATGCAAAGCCGCCCATGTGCCATTTCACCCGTCTCTCTGTCGATTCTTTGGGTCTCTTGGCGTCTCAGCTTCACTTCATCACTTGGTCTTCATCCATGTTTTCTCTGCGGAGTGCTCCCCAGAGAGCCTCGCCGTGCAGCGTCGTCTGCGACGCTCGTGAACCCAGTCGGGGTCAATGCCAGCGGCAGTGTTGGCGTTGGCTCACTCTATTGGACTGTTCTTGCGCTCCCATTTCGCCTCACTTCACCTCTATTTCGTCTCCACTTCACCTCTATTTCGTCTCCACTTGACTTCTATTTCGCCTCACTTCACTTCTATTTCGCATCCATTCCGCCTCTATTTCGCTTCCACGCTTGCCCTGCTGTCCCGGCGTGCCATACTCTCCGCTCCGTCCACTCGAGATCTCAATACCTCGCCCTCATTTCTGCCCGCACGTCCACCCCACTGATTTCCTTCGTTTCGTTCGTATTTTGAACTCTCAGATACCTATAGAATGTCGGACTATCCGTATTTTTCAGAGTCCAACGACCCGTCCTCCTCCGGGCTCTTTGGAGCCTCCGAGCTTGGCGGATATTCGTCCATGATGATCGATCCATACCACCCCGACGAGGATCTGTCGTCGTCCAACCCGTTGCCCATCAAGCGATCGCTCTCGTGGCTGAATTCTCAGGCCGATCTGCCGGACAACACAGATACTGCTCTGCTCAGGTCGTCGCTCTCTCACTCCAGCCTGGGGCACAGGATGCTCTCGATCGAGGCCTTGAGCCGTCAGGTCCACCACGAGGGCGACTTTGCTTTCTTTTCTCAGACCACCAAGGCTTCCAGTCCCCTCATGATCTCTACCGGACTCAGCACGCTTCTATCGTCGCCCTCCCATCCCCGCTCGGGCGAATACTTGACTTCCTTGCGCGACCCGACTTCGGCTCTGTATCCGCCCAACGCATCACACCGCCCCCCAATCTCGACACCCTACTCCTTTCCATCCGCCGGGCCGGCTTTCCATCGGTCAACTCACGGAGAGACCGCGATGCAACTGCACCACACTGCAGATCCCCACGGACCAAGAAAGACTTCCGACTTGATGTCCGTTGGTACCATTTCAGTTTCGCAGCTCAGTCACCCGGATCACGACCATCGCGCCGATCCGGGGGAAGTGCCTCAGCGTTCACACTCGCCAGGCTATCGCTCTCCGTTTGTGTCATTCCTTCATCCCGAGCGGCATGACGACGAGACATCTGAAAGTCGATCCGGAGGTAACTGGACTCAGACACAATCTTCGAACGTCGAGCATTCAAATATGCTCGAAGCACCTCACAACATAGCCTGGCTGCTTCACCGGCCTCCTGCTTGCGCCGCTAACATGCCATACTAAAGCGGTCGATAAACGTACCCGAGCGGTGTTTGTGGCTATGCCACAATGTCCACAACCCAAGACCTAACGCTTGCTCTCGTTCGTTTTGTGATGGCTATTTTCTCTCACCGCTCGGCAACCACGTACCAGAACATGCAACCTTCGTATCTACCCATGATGAAGCTCCAGGTCTCGGATATTCATACGACCCACAGTCCATGTGTATTCATCCAGACGAGCGCTCGATCTCGCCAGACACATCCAAGCCAGAAACCTCGCCGCTCGGGCGCAATCGAGAGGGCACGCTCGACCTTCGCAGTACATCCAAGTCGGATTCGACCCTAGTGATGAAGATCGATTCGAGCGTATCTGATTCGGAAGCTGATCGCGGCGGTCACGGCACAGGTGCCATTTCGAGCCAAGTGGTCGAGGCAAACAACGCTTCCACGCCCATTGAGGACGCGAACGGTGCGGCACTGATATTGAGATGGAGTGATGGCTCGCCTGGTGCACTATTTGATCACACACCAGTACGAGCCCTGCAAACATACTCGACTCCTCCACATGAGAGCCCAAAACGCTCTGTTATGCGCGCTGGCGCCGCTTGAGCCTGTGTCGTGAGAGACAATGCTGACGCTCATTGGCTTCTCAGATATGAACAGTATCGAGGAGTTTCATCCCTCCGACACCAAAATCCTCACCCAGTCGGAGATTCATCAATGCGCATCCTTCTGGGCCCTCCAAACTATCCAAGCTTCGTCCGAGGGCCTGCCTGGTAAGGTTCCCTCCCCTCGCGCGAGTCTTGGTCCTGAGGGAATCAGGACTCCCTCAGACCGCCACACATCGCTGCATCGTCGAGCATTTCTGACCCACGACTCGACCCACGACTCGACCCACGACTCGACCCACGACTCGACCCACCGGACGGCAGCTGACGGCTCCCATTTTTCGTTGGGCATGTTTCCAGTTGCAGGGTCAGCTACGCTGGATCGAGTCATTGCAACAGGAGCCTCTCCGCCGATCGAATGCGCACGCATCCTGGCGCCAGAGCTTTCGGGCGATTCCCACGGCGACTCGAATCCGGAGCTGTACTCGTCGTGCACCACCGTCTCGGATGTGTCAGCAGACCTTTCCTCAACCATCAATCCCGCCACTTCGTTTGCTTCAGCAGCTGACGTCGCTCCTCTGGCTGACACCTTGGTCGAAGGTAGCACGGTACCTGGTTCAATCGACGCTGCCGGCGATGGCTTTGCGCACAGGAACGGTAATGCCAGCATCTTGTTAGAGCTGCTGGTTGGAGCTACTGGTCGGACGCATTTCGATGATCCCTCGGAGCATCATTCGCGACTGCGTATATCGCCTCAATTGGCCTCTCGTTCACACTCAGGCAATTCCTCAGCACCGCTTCAGCCACCATCAGGGCATGCGGGCCTATATGCAATTGAGCCTCTGGGTGCCTCAGCCGCCGCTCCCCAAGATCGCCCTTGCCACCCATCGGCACCCGCTGCCTCGCTTGTCGGCATTCCCATGATTACAAAGCCTCAAGGCTCGACCGCCCCAACGGGCAGCCAGAGCAGCCGGGCCAAGCGCGAGCGCAACCGAACACACACTCCTCGTCCCTCCAATTCTTTCATCCTCTACAGACGGGAAAAGCACGCCGAGATCACCGCCAACTTCAAGGGGCCCAAGGGCATCAACAACAACATCATATCCAAAATCGTTGCGGCCATGTGGAAGTCCGAAACGCCCGAAATCAAGGAGATTTATGCAAAGAAGGCCGAGGAAGAAAAGAAAGCCCACATGCTCAAGTATCCTGATTACAAATACCGCCCAAAGAAAAGCCCAAACAAGAACAACATGAAAGCCAAGAGCGCCGGCTCGTCCGCAGGGGCTCGATACCCACATACCCAACCGCTCACCTCCGCACCAACCGCGAGCAGCTCTGCTCTGGGCCTGGGCCTGAGCACAAAGGATATCGGCATGCACCCCGGATGCGATGTGTCCGGCGGCAGCGAGCGGGGAGATATGGGCATGCGCTATGGCCCCGGGTCGGTTACCGATCCAGGCCGCTCTCAAACCGCTCAGATGCAGATGATGGGCAACTTTGACGGCAGCAGACAAGGACTCGTTGCTGGTCTTGCGTCCTCATCGCCAGCCTTCCACTCGGGAGTTGCTCGGGGTGCACCCTATCCGATGATCGGTCCGCACGCTGGCGCTCAGCTGCAGCGAGGCTTCCAGCTCTCGGATATGCCCAAGCCCGGGGGCGTCGTCAGCCCCAGCCCGTGGTTCCACGGCTCGCTCGAGGCGACTCGGTCTCCATGTATCTTTCCTTCTTCGAACATGTCCCAGCCCTCCAACGAATATGCCATCCCCAAGCCTGCCGAGCTGGCTTCGCCCTTTGGATACCCCGCTTCAACCCCGCGCTACACCGCATCAGTCTACGCCTCCAAGTACATGTCTGTGGATGGCAAGCTCCACCAGCCCATCATGGGCGAACACCCCCACGCGCCGACCAACCTTTCTTCGGCTCGTCCCTTCATGACCCAAAGCGGATCGGACGAGGAACGAACCAATCCGCCCAATTTCTTCAATGCCCTGTCCAAGGGCGTCCCGGTATCATACGAGGTATCTGGAGGTCTTCCAGCGACGCATGTTCCATCGACAATTCAACCTGCCTGCGCCGGGTTCGCTCCCAAGGGTCAGGGTCACATTGAGCGCAGATACGGTGGCGTCGCCCGCATCGATGGATCAAACATGGTCTCGTCGACCTCGAGCATGTACGACCTGGAGGTCTCGGGCCAGCTGCAGCTGAACGACCTCTCGCACGATGGAAGCGGCGTCCTCAGAATTGATGGCATCGAGCAGGGCTCGTCGCTGTTGTCGGATGCCCATCGCAGCAGCACCGAGATTAATACGGCCGGATACGACCGCCCCGCATCCGGTTTCCTCGGGCGGATCGCCTCGGCAGCCCAGCCCTCCAGCATGGGGCTAATGAACATGTACAACGTCGAGGTTTGTCGCGAGATGGACACGGACGAGTTCATCAATATGGATGGCGGACCCGAGGAGGACGTCTGTCGCGAGATCGACTTTCATGCCTGCGAGGAGACGCTGTCGCAGTACCAAAGCCAGCTCTACCCCCCGCAATCGCTGACAATGGGCCAGCGACATGTTCCTGACCCCCGCTTACCACACTCGCATCTCTTCAAGTCGCTGCCGAGCAACGGATCTTACCCCCAAGTCTATTCGGCCACACACTCGCTGACGCAGCCGCACATTCAGGGCCAGACCCCGGGCCACAAGCAGGCCAAACTGCAGGCCTCAGTTCCGAGTCCGGCCCACAGAACGGGTGTTAGTCCGGCCATAGGATTCACCACCACCCAACTCCAGTCCCAGCCGCAATCTCGAGGTATCGCAAAGATGGCTCCTTCCACCCGCCCACCGTACTGCTCGAGCGTCCTTCCTGGCCGACCCGTCGTGGCGCACCCAGGATACACTGGCTACTACTACGAGTCACAGCCTGAGGTTGCCCCGTCGGCGCTGTTCACCCGGGGCGGACACTCTGCCTCGTTCTCGTCGTCATCGTGCTACCTCAACGACCCTCCTTCGTCCTCAATGTCATCAACCTCGGCTCTGTCGTCGTCCATTCACTCCCACGATCACAGCCACCCATCTCCCCTCCATCCTGTCAGCGCAGACATGGCACTCGCAGTCCTGAGCGAATCATTGATCTATCCAGAATTGAGCTCGCCCCAGACTCTCGAGCACCAGGCCGATGACAAGGACAATGTTCACGGTGTCGGCGCTGGTGCTGACCCAGGACAGGTGGGAGCAAGCTCGCCCAAGTTCGGCATCGCCTCAAACTATGGGAAGGAGTGTAGCCCCTGGAGCCACGGCAGCGTCCTTCAAATTTGAGCCCGCTGGACGCGGAATCAAGTCCAGCGGGCTCAAGGACGAAGGAGAGCAGTAACACCAATTCCATCATCTACATTCCGAGCCCGACCATTTTCTCTCCTCTCCTCTCCTCTCCCGTTCCATTTGCCACAAGCACATGCAGTAACACCATCCAGCAGGCCACTCGAGTCGAGAACGGCACCGCCAAGTCCAAGAATCTGCACAGAGCGGCTGTTGCTTAGTCTGCCCTGTGCCGATTCTCTCCCACACATCAAACTTCTATGATTGTTCCACTTTGTTGTTACTCCTACTCGGCTACGTCATATTTCGGTCATGCCTTTGCAGACATAGCAGTTCCCCCCCCCCACAAAATAAGTAGCATGTGGGGGGGGGGGCACATATCCTCCATACACTGCTCACCCTTTTCCGTTCATTCGTCGAACATCATCGATCATTGGCATCCCACTACCTGGGACATACCCTCATGCCAGCCACTATTGACCAACCACCCTTCCCACCCCACAACGTCGATCATCCATCATCCATATCGTCCGCCATCAGATCTGTTTATCACAATAGAAACGCTTTCAAATAGAACGGGATATCTGTATTGAGGTTGATGGCCATTTTTTCTTATTGGCGATCCAATAAAAACGGGGGGCACCCCGGGTTTTGACCATCGACCCTGTTTTTGTCACTCGAGACAAATGCGCGCTGGTCATGGCCGCTTTCCACACGCCCGACTTTCGCACGATGCTATAACATCACACGCAGTCTGCGCAAGGTGGCTTCCATCTTCAGTGGGTCCAGGGCCGTCCTGAAGCACGCCCCGAGGGAGAACGACGTGGTCATCGCCTTTGGCAATGCATCATGGCGTCAAGGCAAGGGCTATGCATCCAATCCCAGGAGGCAGCGATTTGCTTGGTACTTTGAGCGATTCGAGCATCACCATCGCCGTCCAAATCGCCCTCACGGAAACATCAAGGTGGTCTCAACGAACGAGTTCAACGTCTCGCAAGGGTGTACCCATCTCGAACGTGTCCGAGTCCAAGCTTCACTCAGGGAAAGGGCATCGTAGTGGTGGCTATATATTTTATTGGTTTTGGACCAACTTCGGTCTTCTGGATGAGGAGTGATGCATACAGTACACGATCATAGAAAGGCGAGGCGCTCTGTGCCTTGTATTCCTCAGACTATCTGCCAGTTATGCGGCTCTTTGGTCGCCGTTGATCTTGCGGAGAGCATCGATGGCCGGCTCGTAACCCTGGCTTGCCGATCGGCCATAGAGCTCGACGGCGTGCTTGAGTTGGCTTCGGAGAACACCTTTCCCCTCTTGGTAACAGGCGGCCAACTTATACTGGGCTACGGCGTTTCCTTTCGCGGTTGCCTTGCGGAACCAGCTCACGGCCGTGGTAGTATTCTTCTTGCAGCACTGGCCGCGGTAGTAAAACTCGCCAACCTGGACCATAGCCATATCGTAGTCGTTCTGAGCGAGTTCCAGATAGAGAGCAAAGGCGCGGTCGAGCTCGACCTTGATCCCGATGCCCCGTCGGAAGCACTCGGCCTTGAGGAATTTGCAGAACGGATCCATTTCGGCACCAAGGCTGCACCAGCGGTAGAATCGCACGTAGAGGGTGGAGCGTTCGCAGTCGCTCGAGGGGTAGCTTTGATGTCGCTCCCAATCTTGCTTCACGCCCCGACCGATGCCGTAGCACCAATGCAGCAGCAGTCCAGTCAGTCGTTTCAAAGGCGAGCTTCCGTCTGGGATCTTTTGGTAAAGCTCCTGCCAGTAGGTGATTGCAAAGCTCTCTTGCTTGTTCACACCAAGACCGATAAAGTAGAGCCACCCTTGGTGGAAACGAGCTTCGAGCACGCCCGCCTCGGCAAGTTTTCGGTAAGTCGCGGCGGCACCTTCCCACTCTTGCCGACTTGTGGGCTGGAGTTTGGCAACAAAGGCATTCACGGCCTCAAGATAGTGGCTTGAGTTGGGACAGGAGCGAAGCATGCTGTAGAGAGCCGAACATGGCGTTCTCAGCGCAGCAAAGTCACCGATGGAGAGGCGAGCCAGGGCAGCACTGTTTTCTGTCGGCGAGGGTCTAGTTGTGGAATCGATTTGGAGCTTCGTCCTTGATTCAGTGCTGGACTGAACATTTGACTGAACGGGGGATTCGGCACTCGATCCAGTCACGGGCGAGGTGGCGAGACCAATAAGGGATTCGGTCACTGGCTCAGTCGCGGGCACAGTCTTGGGCTTGGTCTCGATCTTGTGATCAAAATTGGGTTCGGCAGGAAGTTCGACATTTAGCTCGACAAGAGGCTCATCCACAGACTCGACCTTGGGATCGACATTTAGCTCGGCAGGGGGCTCATCCACAGACTCGACCTTGGGTTCAGCAGGAAGCTCAACCGCACGTTCAGCAGGAGGTTCAACAGTAAGTTCAGCCACGGGTTCGGTCCTGGTTTCGGCTGTGGGCCCGGGAATGGGTTCCAGGTCGGCAAGCCGAGGCAAATCCGGCGTCTCACTAACTACAACCGGCATGATTTCGGCGACTGGGCCTGGTGCGTAGGCTTGCTCAGGATAGCGACTGTTGTGGGCTACTATTGCCACGGGTGGTACAGGGGAATGCCCATATTCTTGATTGCATGGGTCAAAATAGACGTCCATAGATGAGCTCGGGCGAGCCGGGACACTGGTCATGACCGGCCCCTTGAGCGGCTTGAGCTGGGCGATGATGTCGGTAAATTTCGGCCGTTCTGCGGGTTCCTGGTGCCAGTACTGCGTGATCAGGCACCATATATTCTCGGGAATGTCGTCTCTCTTGCGCGGACGTATTTGATGCAGGATATGGGAGGTAACAGCCCGAGTATCCATGGGAGTCCCTGTGTTTGTTGTCCATGCTTGGCCCTTGGCAAAGGTCTCGTAGAAGGTGATGCCAAAGGCAAACACGTCGGTCTTGAAGTTGGTTTGGCAGGGGTTGTAGTCCAGGAGCTCGGGAGCCATGTAGTCACAGGTTCCACCAACCCTGTTGGCAGCAGCCATGCTCGAAGTAACCTTGGTATGGGACATGCCAAAGTCCGAGATGACTGCACGGTAGCCGGCATCGAGGAGAATATTCAGGGACTTGAGGTCGCTGTGGACGATGCCCTTGTTGTGGAGATAGGCCATCCCGGAAGCAACTTCATACAGGATCCGCACAACCTCGCCCTGCGGCGGCGTCCAGTGCGGATGGCTGACGTATTTGTGGAGCGTCCCGTTCGGCATGAACGGCGAGGCCATGAAGGGCTTCTCGATCGTGTCGCAGGCCCCGAGCAGCGTCAGAATGTGCGGGTGGTTCAGGGTGGCCCAAATGGCGATCTCGCTGCGAAACTGGACCATTTCCCTTTCCGGATAGCTGGCCAGGAGCTTCTTGACGGCGACATCAGTGCCAAAGTAGCTCGCTCGATAGACCTCACCAAAGCCGCCGCTGGCAATCGGCTGTGGCGACCAGTCCGTGATCAGGTTGGACGGTATCCGCCAGGTTTCGTTTTTCATCGAATGGGCAGCCCTGGACTTGGACTTGAGGAGAGCCAGCAGCGACTGTAGCATGGTGACGAGGTACTGGTCGGTACGGGAAACGTCAGCAACCATCCAATAGAGGACCTCGGTGGCCTGACGAACCTTCCACTCGGACATTTTGTCAGGGTCGATGCCGGCGAGAACGAGGGCATCAACACTGCCTGTCTGGAGATTGGTTTTGATCTTGGAGAGTCTCAGTTGTTGTGAGTTTTTATCGCTCTGGAGGGCCTTGGCGAGGCTGTCGTCGTCCAGGCCCGTGACGGTGACAATGTTGAGCTCATGGGCAATGATCTGCCAGAGGGAGCCGAGCTCTCTGCAGCGGGTTTCGGCCTGCTGACGCAGCCTCTGGCACCGGAAAATGCGCTCGACCTGGAGGCGAGTCGCAACCTCGTCGTGGTAGTAGCGTTGTGTGCTATTGAGGAAGGAGTGGAGTCGCTCGATCTGCTGGGGCAGCGAGGCAAGGTCTTCATCGTATACTGCGAGGCACTGGAGGACGTCCACCGCCGAGGCGATAAAAACTGTCCATGTGCTTGGGTTGTCGCTGTCGGATTCGATTTCCTTGTAGAGGGACTGGAGAGCCTGAAAGAGGGGCTGCGCGAGGCTGTTGGGGAAGTTATGCATGAGGCCGGCGAGGCTCGCCTGGCTGGCGACGAGATTGAAAGACATGATGCGCAAGAGGGAAGAGCGGGGGTGCTGCTTAGCGGACTGGTCTGGAGAGTCGCGGCCGCAGCTTGGGCGGCAAGAGTTTGGGCTCGGGGTTTGAGGCGATGGTCGATGGAAGGCAGAGGGAACGGCTGGCCTATAAAAGTGCTGTCCGAGGGGGTCTGTGCGGTTGGCTCATTGATACCCCCCATCGGCCGGAGTAACCCCAGCGGATGAGCAGCATTGACCGCAATTGCAGCTTCTTGGTCATCCAGTCGTCCTTGGCGAATGGGGGGGGGTCATGCAAGCCTCCCCAGCTTGCACAAGGTCATGAGTGGAGACCGGCGTTCCGCGTTTGGGCCGCAGCGGCCTGGATTCCCCTGCGTGATCGAGGCGGGTTGCCAAGGACCGAGCCGAGTGATCCGGCCTGATTCACAGCCTCCAGACATAGGCGTTGCGGACACACAACCGCAGTGTCATCCATTCAAGAGCCAGATGACATATGGTGAACCCCAGACATACCTCACTGCATTCTCAGACCATATCTGACCCGAGATCATGTTTTGGGGACACTTGTCGCTTCGCTCTGAATATTGTGTTCCGCATACTCCTTGTGCTCGAGAGCGTCGTCCATCGATTCCCACATCGACGCCATCGTGAGCAGGGTCGCCCGCTGTGAAGATACCATCGCCGACAAAACGACCCAAAGCAAGGGCGGCTTGCCGTCTCCCAGTTTGCGGCGGTGCAGTCAACATGCACGCTCAAAGACCGGCGGCAGTGTTGCTGGAGAGAGCAAAGAGAAACTAGCTCGGCCGATCGCGCGGGGTATCTGCTGCGATACTGCATATCACAAAACCTGCCGTCGCCTGCCACAGGCCAGGCAAGCCTCTCCAAACAAAACATCCCTTGTGCGATGGTATCACGGAGGAGGTTGATACCCAACTGTGGAGGGTGTGCCTTGTTCGGCGACGCGCCAAGGACGCGTCTGTGCTGCGGTCGGCTGCATCCGGCTCGAGCCGCGCCGGACACGTGGCCTCCTCCTTGGCTGCGCCACCTCGTCGCCGCCTCCTATATTTTGGTCGCCCCCGCCCTCCATCGCAATCCCCGCACTTTGCCGTCTGTCTCCCTCGGCCGTGCGACCAGGAAACCGCCTCTGCCCTGCGATGGCTCTCGAAATCAGCGCCATCGTTGCCGGCAGCTCCGCCTTTGCTCGGCAGCACACCAACGGCCCCCTCTCGGCCGTCTTCCAGACCGCCTTTGGCCTCTTCACCGGCATCGAGTCGATCGATGAAAACCGGCATCTGTGGACGGCCCTCGCCAACCATGCCTACGACATTGTCTCGGCGCTCGTCCAGGCAACGCTGACGGCTCCCGACGCCACCGAACAGGTTTGGCGCCTCCAAGAGTCGCTGACCCAGATTCTGCACTATGCTAATGAGATCCAAGTCCTCACCAAAGTCGAGCGAGTCTTCAAGGGCCAGCGCATCCGCAGGAAGGTCGAGGCGCTTGACAGGGAGCTGCAAACCCTCTGGCAGTCTGTCTCGGCGGCGCTCTCCATCCAAGCCACCGCCGAGCTCGGAGAAGCAGCCATCCAGGAAGCCGCCCGCCAGGATAGCGACGATGAGCAGTCTCTTCTGACCCGCATCGCAAGCCTCCTCGAGAATGACGACGCCACCGCCCTCAGCGAGATGGACATCCGTCTCGATCGACAGCAAGAATGGAAGATCCGCCAGGCCACAGACGCCCTCCAGAGTCTCATCAAAAACCAAGACGACGACGACGATAAGGCCGACACGAACACACAAAACACCATCACTCGCTTGCTCTCCATGCTTCAGGCCAAGTCCCCGGTCGCCAAGTCCGTGGACCGAGTCAACTGGCGCATCCCACCCAACTCGATCACGAACCGCTCGCACCAGCCGATCGCCCGTGGCGGCTTTGGCGAAGTGTACACCGCCTCGTACTACGGCACTGACGTTGCCGTCAAGCAGCTCCTGACCAACTACAGTGAATCCGAAATCACCGAGTTTCGCCGCGAAATCGGCATCTGGCACCGACTCGTCCATCCGAACGTCCTCCAGCTCCTGGGTGCCTGCGACACCGCCGAGAGGCCTTTCATGGTCTCTCCGTTTATGCCCAATGGCACGCTCCGCAACTACGTCTCCGATCCCGACAAGCCGCCGCCGCCGATCGGAGAGAAGCTCAAGCTGATGTACCAGATCGCCTCCGGCATGAGCTATCTGCACAACAACAACATTGTCCACGGCGACCTCAAGTCGCTCAACATCCTGCTGAGCACGCCCCTTGATGCCGTCATTACAGACTTTGGCATGTCCCGCACCAAATACACCTCGGCCTCGGCCATCCGCGTCAAGCCCGGTCAGTCCGTCGGTGGCTCGCTTGACTACATGGCTCCTGAGATGCTGGATGACGAGGAGCCCGCTGGCTCGTCGCGCAGGACCGACGTGTATGCCTTTGGCGTTCTTTTGTACGAAGTCCTGAACGACTGCAAGCCGATTTGGGTTACCGCCTCCGGCGAGCCGATGCGTGTGCGCACTGTCGAGGCCCAAATCTGCAAAGGCAGCCGTCCTAAGCGCGTCGACGGAGTCCCCGACAACATCTGGGCCTTGATTGAAAGATGCTGGCACCAACGGCCATTGGAACGGCCCAGATTCCCCGATATTCTCCGTGAGCTCGAGCCCTATCGCAATTACCAACCGCCTGCACCTACCCCTGTCTTTGTGCCTGTATCTGTGTCTGTGTCTGAGTCGACTCCGGCTCCGGCCCCCGAGCCCGCTCCTGTCCCTGAACCTGCTCCGGTGCCCCCTCTGGACCGAACGCCCTCCAGGCCTCCTCTGGTGTTCCCCCAGGCTCCAACGCCAACGCTACCCTTTGCGAATATCTCCACAGTCAAGTACACCATGTCGCCTCCTCCCCAGATTCCTATGGCGCTACCCTATCCAGCGGCCGTGCCTATCGATGACTTTATGGATACTTGGGATTCCAATGGTGCCCTTGGTCCAAAAGAGAAGCGACGCTTTACCGTGGGCCTTGGTCCTCCTCCAAACTGGCCGCCTGCTCCCCAGCCGGCGGACGAGATCATTGCCTATTTGGAGAAGCATGAAAATGTCCCACGCGTTACTCTGAATCGCGTTCGCAAATTTGAAGCTGAGGCCTGTGTGCAAGCTGCCATCGGCATCTCGAACGGCCGTCCCTCGGACGATCCTGTCTGGGAACTGGCAGCCAAACTCCTCCAGATCAGTGCCGATCAGGAAAACGTCGAGGCCTTCTTCTACCTCGGCTGGCTGCATCTTACCGGCGTTGGCGTTCCGAGGAAGGACGTGGACGCCTTTGCGTACTGGCAAGAGGTCCACCGAAAGCAATCCCATGATCCCGTGATCAAGCCCATTGCCACCTTCATGCTGGGATGGTGCCATATCCTTGGTCGCGGCACCCAGCTGAACAGAACCAAGGGCCTCGAGCTCATCCGAGAGAGCAAGACTGCCGATTTTGGTCTTGGCGAAGAGTGCCTGCACTGCAGCAATCCCAACGTGTCGTCCTCCTCTGCTGCCGCCGAGCGACTCTTCTCTGTGTGCGAGTTTGGCTCGGACCAGGAGTGGCTGTGCAAGCACTTGATGGCTGTCTGTCTTGTCAACGGCTTTGGCGTCCCCAAGGACCAAGGCCGGGCCATGAGCATCTTCGAGCAGCTCGCGTACAAGGGACACGACGTCAGTCAGCACTGGCTTGGCCAATGCCTCAACCACGGCTGGGGAATCCAGCAGCAAGATGCCCGAGCGCTCGAATGGTACCGTGCTGCCACCGAGAAGGGCAACCTGTATTCGCAAGTCATGGTCGGCCAGTGCTACGAGCATGGATGGGGCGTGCATCAAGACGAAAACCAGGCTGTCGAGTGCTACCGCCGGGCCGCCGATCGAAGCAACGCTCTGGGAGAGTACCACCTTGGCCGGCTGTACTACACCGGCGAGGGTCTCGGCCAGAACCACACTCGAGCTGCCGAATGGCTGCTCCGATCAGCCGAGCGCGGCAATCCGGATGCACAAAACAGCCTGGGCTTCTGCTACGAGAAGGGACATGGTGTCCGCGAGGACATGGACGCCGCCTTGCAGTGGTACCGCCGTGCTGCCGATCAAGGCCACAGCGGCGCACAGAACCAGCTGGGTCGATGTTATGAGTTTGGCCTTGGGACTCGTGCCGACAGCGGCGCTGCGGTCGGGTGGTACACCAAGGCGGCCGAGCAGGGCAACTCAGCTGCCCAATGGAACCTTGCCCAGTGCTTCGAGTTCGGCAGCGGCGTTGTCCAAGACGTCCAGGCGGCTGTCCGCTGGTACTACAAGGCTGCCAACCAGGGCCTCAACGAAGCCACGAACAAGCTCATCGATCTGGATAGCAACTAAGCTCAAGCATCGTCCATCGACAGCGGCAACGGACATGAGTGTGTGCCGCTCGATGTGGCCCGATGTGCCCTCCGATTCACCTGTTCTGGTCCTCCATTTTGACTCCATCCGCTTCTTGATCGATTTCTTTGTATCCCGGGCACTTCGGTTGCTCTCTCTTCCTTCCTGGGACGGCTCTTCCCTCCTCTTTCAATACACTGCTTGTACATTGAGCCCCCGAAGAGGGAAGCTGTCGATTGACAACCAGAGCCAGAGCCAGAGCCAGAGCCAGGGGCTCGCCTCTTGGCCCATGTGTGGCTGTCAAGGGCGGCGGCTCGCGTGCTCGGGGCGTCGCATGCTCTGTGCCTGGGCCCATTTCGGCTCTGCACTGAGACTGCGCGGCCCGCCGCGTCCACAACGCCCCCGCCCATGACTCCGACGCGCCGCACCCGCGGAGCAGCCACTCTGTGGCAGATGCAGCGCGTCTGCCCAGCGGCGCCACCCTCTCCGCGCCCGCCTATTGGCCGTCACGCGCCGCTACGCGTCCGCTTGTGCGCGCCGCCCGATTGGGAGCCGCGCCGAGCCGGGCTCCCCCTGCCTGGCATGCCCTTCCTCGTGGTCGTCGCTCTCCTCCTTCTCCTTCTCCTTCTCCTTCGCTGGCCTTGCTCCTTTGCGCTTCTCCCAAGAGCTCTCTCAAGAGGTCTCCCTGGATTCTGCTGTGACCTGCTGCGATGCCCGAGGAACGCCGCCCCTCTGAGACCTGGTCGCCCATCGATCCTGCCAGCCCCGAGGTCATCTCGCCGGGCTCGCTGTTCCCGGTCGATCAGTTCGGCCAGTGGATGCATCCCCTCGAGGCCGTCGTGAAGTTTGCTCGCGAGGAACCCGACATCCTCGCCATCTTCACGCTGGAAAATGGCTCTGCCGAGCGATACACCTATCTCCAGCTCTGGGAACGAGCGTACTCGATCGCCCAGGGCCTCAAAACCCTGCCTGGCTGGGACGACGAAGGGCACGACGTCGTTGCCATCTACTGCGAGCCCGAAGCGCACTGGGTATTCTATACCTACGCAGTCTGGATCCTTGGCAAGTACGTGTTGCTATCGGTCTGTGCGCTGTCCTTCTCCCTCTCGCGCTCTGTCTTCGTCGAGCTGGACTCGGCGGTCATGCGGCCAAATGCCTGGTGTCTCTCCTGCGGCGACAGGGAGGCACATGCGCTGGTGTGTGCACATCGATCCCACCGCCATGGCCGACCTGGCAGCTGGATGCAGCCGATCGCCACGGCGAGTTCCCCGACCATGGCCAGAGCAAGTTGAGTGCCAGTGGCTTTCTCCTGGGTGTCTTGTCTCGCTGTCACTTGTCCATCCACTGGATCCCTCCGCAAAGCCGATCGATTCTGTCCATTCCCGCCATCGGGTGGCATTGGGGCCGATGTCATTCACATCGCCCTCAACACATGCTCCGCTCAACGCTTCACCCGACCTGCTTCGGATCCTCAATCCCTCAATCCCTCATCCCGTTGCCCGTCTGTTTCCCCATTCTCAGGAGAGTTATCAACTTTGCTCTGAACTGGCCGTCTGCCATCCGCAATGAGATTGCCCAGAGGTAGTTGTGTGAGCGTGCCGTAGCCAGTCGACCATCTCGCGAACGAGACCCATGTCCGGCGCCTTGACCACTCTTCTTTGTGTGCACCCACTCCTGACTCACTGCTTTGTCCCCTTCTCCCCACCCTAACCTTATCCCATTTCGCCGCATGCGTACAGGGTGGGCATCCGCTACATGCTCTGTCACATGGTCAGACCCGGCCGCATCCCAAACGTCGAGGTGGTCGATGCGGGTCAATATCCCCTGGCTGAAACCGTCCCCGTGCCATCTCTGGAAGTCTGTGCCCCGCTGCAAGAGTTGATATTTTATTTGACCACCTCAGGAACAACAGGTACGCACAACTGGGCGGCGTGCCTTCGAGCTACAATGTCCACCAGGCGGTTACATATTTCCATCCCCGGAATGGCCCAACTAACACGATCGCACTGCGCTGGTTTATCCGCCTCCTAGGTGTTCCCAAGACGTAAGTCCTCCGAAATTTCACAGTCTTGACCGTCTGCTCCGATGCGCCCCGCTGACACCGCCGCTCGATATCCCACTTTGCCACATCAGATATCTCGCCAGCCACGTCGTGTGCGCTTCTATCCGACCAGAGTGGGGAGTTCTCTACGGAAAGTTTGGCGTGTTCTTGGTCAGTCATCCGTCCCTGTTGAGATCCATGCCGCAATATGACATATGCGTGCCCAATGAGACGATGGTCAAGCAGTTATCTGCTCGGTGTCTGCTTGTGGGTCTAATATGCTGTATCTTCAGGCTCCGTCTTTCAGCGTCTCCACTGTCTTCACAATACTTACACCCACATTCAAAGGCTCGTTGTGGTTTCCAAAACCCGCATACACTCCCGCCGATCGTGCCGAGATGGTTATCCGGCTCTTGGACAGTGGAATGGACGTGCTTCAAGGGGTAAGTCCGTTCTCGCCATCCGCGTTTGTTCTGGGTTTCGAGGAGCGCATATTTCCTGCCGGTGCAATAAGAGCAGGCTAGAGTGACATGACCGTGGAGAGCCAGTCAGTGGTTTACTGCATCCAAAGAGCCACGACAAAGATCGATGGCCACAGGCATTCAGGCCATGGTACCAAAATCAGGATACCAGCCCCTCCGAGTAGGCACTCGGCCACTTACGCATGCGCATCTATCGACAGACACCATCATTCCTCAAGCTCGTTTTCAACCGCGCCGATGCCATGAGGGCCAATTTGAGCTGGCCGGCTGTGCGCAGAATCGCCCCCTCGGCAGAGCTGGTCACCATCAGCCTTATCAAGCATGCTCGAATGTTCTGTCCGAATGCGACGATACAGTGCGGATACGGTTCAAGCGAGGTAACTCAAGGCACTACCACGATGTCGCCACGGCCAGTGATCGGGTGCGGGAACTGCCCCCCAGTGAAGCGAATGAGTCTCCAACCACTTTTCTCCACCTCCACCTCCATCTCCATCTCCCTCTTCTCCTCAAGGCGGCACTACTGAGCGCCGTAGGCACGTGCATCATCCGATCCTCGGATCCCATCCCAAGCCGCATCGTGTACACCATCCGCAACCCCGCTGTCCGGTGTCTTCTCTTTGACGAGCATGGCAACACCTTGGATACCACCAATGTCAAGACAGGCATCTTGGTCTATACCACTGAGAACAGCGATCGCATCCGAAACCACCCTGACTTTTTGAATGCCAATCCGAACGACAAGCTATCGTCGTTTGGGTTCCTCGCGGACGGCTCCCCACGAGTCTGTACCATGGACGAGGTCGAAATTGTCGGGACTAGGAAGATTGTTGTATTCGGAAGGTGGGTGAGCCCGCAACGGAGCAGTCCAATCTCCATCGTGACCGTTACAATAGGTTTGCCAACCGACGATTGGATGTGGCGTGGATTGTCCAGTGTGAGCTCGGCTACTATCGATATGAGGGAATTCGATGCCTGAGTCATTTCTGTTCCAATTCTGGCAACTGATGGTCGTCCTCCCGGTCGCTGTCGCAACCACGCCTAGGTTCGGCCAGAAGGTCAGAATCAATGGGACCTACATCGACCTCAATGCCTTTGAAAACATTCTGACAGCAGCCATCTCGCATATGATCTCGGATTGCGCATTTACGATCACCTCGGGCCAGCAGATCGTCTTGCTCTACGTTTTACGCAAGGGCACTCCCATGCATTTCACATCCCGCCAAATCTATGATGCCGCCGATACCATTTTTTCTCTTCAGAGCCCCGTCCTTTTCCCGATCCACAATTGCATCGAGCTGCAGGCAATGCCCTTCAATGACTCTGGAAAACGGGATCTCAAGAAGCTCAAGAAAATTGCCGAGAATGCGGACCAATATGCGCTGGCGGTGTCATATCCGGCCCTCGAAGATGACGGAGCATATCAATCCAAGATCGCAATCAAGGTTTCGCGCATCGGCAGCGTAATCCTCGATGTCGACGTGCTCGACGGGCGCGACTATTACCTGGCCGGCGTTGGCTTTGACTTCATGTCCGCCAGTCGGCTCGCCCTGGTCATCAAAGAAGAATTTGATGCGGGCCTCGCCCCATTGATTCTGCTCTCCCATGGAATGACACCCCGAAGCATCGCTGCCATCATCTCGGATATCCAAAGCAACAAGTCCCTCACATGCACCTCACTCGACCTCCTTGAAGAAGCCGCCCGGCTCGATGACCCGAGCGTTACGGCCAAAAATTTGCCACGGTTTGTTTTCCCGACATCGCCTCGCGGCATCGTACTGACGGGCGCAACCGGCTTCCTCGGTATCTTCCTGCTCTTTGAGCTGGCGGCCAAATTTCCAAGCGCCCGGATTGTATGCTTGGTCCGGGCTGCGAGCGAACATGCGGCCCTCGAGCGTCTCCAACAAACGGCACGATCCCTTGTCCTGGCTTCGCATAACGCAACAGACCCCAAGTACAACATCTGGGACAGGGTCGATGCCGTCCCAGGCGATTTGGCGCTGGACATGTGGGGGCTCTCGGTCGCGCGATGGAACCAGATTGCCCAGGACACGGACGTGATTGTCCACGCCGGCGCCGTGATCAACTGGATCCAAAGTTACGAAGAACTCAAAGGGCCCAATGTCCTTAGCACGACAACAGCCCTGCGACTGGCTACCACCCATCATCTGAAGCCGCTTCACTATATCTCGACCATCGGCGCCGTCCCGACAGCAAAGAACAGCAATGAGTTGCTCGAGGAGCGCGTCTACTCGGCCTGGAACATCTCCGGTGGCTATCTGCAGACCAAATGGCTCTCTGAGCAGCTGATCAGCATGGCGCGGGCCAAGGGGGTTCCAGCGACGGTCATCCGGCCAAGTATGATTACTGGCGACAGTCTCTATGGAGGTATTTAGCGTTTCGTCGGCTGCTGAGGAGTCGCTGTGGCAAAAGTGACGATCGTGCTCTGTGCATCGATGCACATCCAAGCGGCTGGCATCCAACAGCGCCATAGAAATGAACCAGATGCGCTGTGGCGGCGCAACCGAGAGCCGACTTTTGAGGCTGGCGAGCAACCACAGTCGTGTCTCGCATACTCACGCAGCTCGTCTCCGTGCTCATATTCGACAGTCTGCAAGTCGGACGACTACATTTGGCGATACATCAAGGGCTTCATCCATCTTGGCGCTGCCCCGTGCCACGGGAGCACAGTGACCATGAGCTTCGATCCCGTCGACCATGTTGCTCGTGTGACGACCGAGATTGCGGCTTCTGAGCAAGCTCTTTCGCTCTTTGTTTTCCACATCAGCGACCCGGAAAACAGGTAAGCCGCGAGGATCGTGAGAGTTCACTCGGGAGCGATAGTCGGCAACGCCGCCCGGCTCGGCTGGTGGAACTGACTCGCTTTCGTTCGCTCGCGATTCTGCTGATTCCACAACCTCCCGTCACCCCCCCCCCGCTGACAATCCTCTATTGGCTCGCATGACATCGCTCCAGCGCCATCAACGAGCCCACAATGTTCAAAGCAGTCCGGGACCTGGGATGGGAGATCTTCTTTGAGACCCGCGAACACCTCAAGGACGCCCTGGCCCACTCCCTCGCGGCTCAGGAGAACGCATTGTTCCCGTTGGTGCACATGGTCATGAGCATGTCCTTCCGCATCGACAACCCGCACACTCGCGCGATCTATCCTATTCGCTGCATCTCGTCTGCGCTCCAGGCAGAGATCTGTCTGCGATATCTGCTCAGCATCGGATTCCTGCCCGTGCCCGGCAAGGCGTCTCGGACCATCCGCTGAGCCCTGCTCATGCGACCCTCGTAGTATAGCACCTGTCAATACACCGCATTCAAGCGCACTGTGTCCTTTGCGTCGCGCTGTCCCTCCTGAAATCGCAGGCATTGGGGGTGCGGGTCTGGCAGCGCACTTGCTCCTCCATCGTCCATCCCATCCCCCCCCCAACTCATCGCCCAACGCATCATCCAAACTCGTTCCCTCATCCCATCGCTCAACTCATCGCATACGATGTCATCTGCCGCTGGTAGCGAGCCGTTCCAGTGCCCCACGCACGGGCCCAAGCATGCCTTCTTCCTCTCGCATTGGCGCTCATCCGACGAGCAGATTGCCCGAGACCTCAAGCGCCTCCTGGCTTCGGTCGGCCAGCGTCGCCATGGCGAGCCCATCTCGGTCTTTCTCGACTCGGACTGTCTCGACGGGACAGCTGGCGTCTCCACCGATGCCCTTCCCGGCAGTGCCGTTGCCGTCCTGCTCGTCAGCAAGTCGTCCATGAACGGAATGAAGGAACTCGCCGACCAGGGCGAACCCGACAGCGTCGTCGACGAAATCAGGACAGCCCTGGATCTCAAGGATGCCAAGCCAGACCTGCCTGTCCTGCCGCTGTGCATTGCGACTCTGGAGGATGTGGGTATCCATCTGGACGACCTGGCATCATGCCATCATCGGACATGATCTGATATGCAGGGCCCATATCGGATGCCACTCACTCACTCACTCTCTCACTCACTCACTCACTCACTCACTCACTCACTCACTCACTCACTCACTCACTCACTCACTCACTCACTCACTCGCTCACTCACTCACTCACTCACTCACTCGCTCGCTCGCTCGCTCTCGCAGGGTGGCTACATCGACTTCAAGCCGTATATGATGTCCTTCCCCAGCGACCCCAAGTTTGCCTCGCTCAAGCACACCATCGACCGCATGAACCAGATCCAGATGTACGGCTTCCGCCCCGACCAGCCCCACAAGCGTCTCTACCGTCTGCTCACCCTCTTCAGCCCCATCTTCTCCAACCCCGGTCTCCGCGACGCCATCCCCACAAAGTACTATGTCGACAACCTGTTCCTCGGCGACATGGGCCATCTGGACTCGCTCCTTCGTCAGGTCACCCTGACTGGTCGCGCCGTCGTCTCGGGCATGGGCGGCATGGGCAAGTCCGTCCTGGCCCGCCAGTTCCTCCAGTTCATGATGGGCACTCTTGCCGTCAGCAACGACGGCGAACTCGACGGCTTCAAGCTCGAAACTGTCGGCATCAAGCCGCAGTACAGCCGCATCTACTGGGTCAACTGCGCGACCGAATCGACGGCCCTCGACAGCCTGGTCGACATCTTTCCGCACATCAAGCCCGGCGAGATCAAGCAGCATGCCTCTCGGATCCTCTCCCAGAGCCGCGAGTATCTCCTGGTCTTCGACAACGTGGACGACATGGCCGTGGTCGACTCGGTGTTTGAGCACTCTGTCGCGGCCGGATTCAGCGGCGACGTCGTTGTGACGACCCGGTTGTCGGCTCTCGACGAAGGACCCTTCCTCACGGCCCTCGGGGCCAAGCTTGACGACTTCCAGCAGGCTCCACTCCGCCTCGAGTCGTGGAAGAGCGAGACAGCCTTTGACTACATCCTGGCGACATCGCCAATGATTGCCGTGAAGGTGGGCACCGACCAGGACCGAGCAACGCTCCGAAAGCTCATGGACCGGATCAACGGATATCCGCTTGTGATCCAGACGGTGCGGATCTATGCCGAATGCAACGACACGCCGATCGACGAGATCGAGGCGCAGTTTGCCCAGGCACTCGAGGAGCAGGATGGCGAAGACGAGACCCGGTCGTCGCTCAAGGTGATCGTGGATCTGTCGATGAGCACGCTGCTGAAGAAGGGTGCAGTGGGAGTCGAGGCATGTCGGCTGTTTGGGGCGATCAGCCTGCTGGCGCCAGACGACATTCCTCTCGAGCTGATCACAGCGATTGCGCAGAAGATGGAGCTCTCGGCCGATGGTGAGTGAGTGACGGCAGAGTTGTGCGAGGGATGTGGGCGAATATGCTTGACGGTGTGGATGAATGGCAAGCGAATGCCCAGGCGATGAGTAACTGGCGATGAATGCACAAACACACGAATGGCTGACGGTGATTGACGAACCATATCTCTGTCCAGCTGCCCATTTCGTCAAAATGGTGTGCGAGAGTGGTCTGCTCCGGCCCGGGCCCGACGAGCAGTACTACACACACTCGCTGACGCAGAGAGTCGCCCACGAGTGGGTCGCAGCGCACACCGAGCTCAACAGCGACCGGATCGAAGATGCCACTGGCGAAGCACTGCTGGAGCTGACACAGCCCGAAGACAGGAGTGCATTGGCCCTGTCCAAACATCTCGATCAATATGTCGAGAAATGCGTACCCGAGTGCTACACCAAGCCGCTCCACTCCCAGGTCGAGTTCAAGGCTGCGCGTCTATCGCAGCAGCGGGCACAGTACAGCAAAGCATCAGAGACTTATCAACGGAGCATGGAACGCTCGATCCAGTTCTATGGCGGTGAAGATAGAGAGCATATCGCGAGGATCCTCGGGGGCATGGGCGAAACTTCGATCGCACAGGGACGATTTGGCCAGGCGCTCCAGCAACTTGAAAGGGCTCTCGGGATCTATGTCAAGGTTTTTGGCACCCGCGAGCGACTTGAAGTCGCTACCATCCTCAACGCCATGGGCTTGGCAGCTCGATTCAAAGGGTGCCCTGACCGAGCGATTGAATACCTACAAGAAACACGCGACCTCCGGGTCAAAGTGCTTGGAACGCAAGATCATCCCGAAGTAGCCACTGTTCTCAACAACATGGGCCTTGTGCACACTGACCAAGGACGCCCGAGCGAAGCACTCGCGCTCTACCAGGAGTCGCTCGAAGTCTGGCACAAGATCCCCAATGGCCGTAAGTATGCCGACTTTGCCGCAACACTCAGCAATCTCGGCAATGCTGCGTCCGCACAAGGGCGTCTCAACGATGCGCTTGAGTTGTACCAGCAGTCGATCGACATCTGGAGCGGCATCTTTGGCACCCGAGAGCACTTCAGTATTGCCACTGCTCTGAACAACATGGGCGGCGTGGCCAAGACGCAGGCGCGCTGGGATGTCGCCATCAAGTACTTCCAAGAATCGCTCGACATCAAGCTCAAGATATTTGGAACGCGCGAGCACTTTTCTGTCGCCACCACCCTCTTCAGTATGGCACTCGTAGCAGCCGCACAAGGGCGCCTGGAAAATGCCTATGCGCTCGGTCAGGAGTGCCTCGATATCAAAGTCAAGGTCTATGGCACTCGCCAGCATGCCGAAGTCGCCGAGATCCTCGATGGCCTGGGCACACTGCAGCGCAGTCGAGGACGTCTAAACGAAGCGCTCGTCCTGTATCGAGAGTGTCTGGATATTCGAGTGAAGGTTCTGGGCACTCGAGATCATCCCGATGTTGCCACGACACTCAACAATATGGGATTGCTTGCTGCCGCCCAAGGGCAGTACGCCACCGCCCTCAAGCTCTATCAAGAGTGCCTTGACATCAAAGTCAAGGTGTTCGGAACACGAGCGCACCTCGACGTTGCGACCGTCCTCAATAACATGGGCGGGGTGGCTCAGAAGCAGGGCCGTCTGGACGACGCTCTTGCCTTCTACCAAGAGTCAGTCGATATATGGAGCAAGATTCCCGGCAGCCGAGCGGATCGCATTGTTGCCACGACCCTGCTTGCAATGGGGAACATCGCTAGCAGTCTAGGATACTACGACCGCGCCCAAGCGCTCTTTCAAGAATCCGTCGAGATTCATGGCCAGATCACCGAGTCCAACGATAGCGACATCGCCGAGGCTGCGCATGCTTTGGGAACCGACTTGCCCAAGGATCGTGTTGTAGCTGCGGCACTTCGTGGCATGGCCATGGCGGAGAGCTCCAAGATGCAGTATAGCGACGCTCGTGAGCATGCCAAGGATGCCGCTGCGATTTTGTCGCAGATATCCCCAGCTCATCCTGATCTTGAGAGCGTGACTGTGATTCTTCAAGAGGTCGCCGAAAAGTCCGGGGAGAATTAGAGGCAATGCGCCCCACGGGTGAGCGAGGGATGTTATCTATGGACGAGAAAGCCAAGCGACTCGAGAAAGTCGAGTATCTTGAGATCGATACACTCTGGAACTGTCCAGAGAGTCGAGTGAATACCCCACACTCACACATCCAGTGAATAAACCACACTCACACATCGAGTGAATGCACCACACTCACACACTCACACATCAACACCAGTCGATTGTCGCTACAGGGGATCCACCGAGTGTATTCAAGACCATGCTTCCCAAACCAACCAAAACAAAGAGATTACCAACCAGGACGGGAACAATCGCAGGGCTTGCTCACTGGAGCCTGATGCCAGAAAGGGGACCTGTCCCGTTTCTTTCTGGATCAACTGTACACATCCGCTCTCTCGATGACAGCCGGACTGGGTCGCTGGCTCCAGAGCCAGGATTCATGCATGTATTACAGGCAATCCAATAAAAAACGGGACACCCGGGTTTTTGACCATTGATCAATATTTTGTTACCCAATGTTATCCTGCGCTGGCCATGACCATTCGCCACACATCCGACTTTCGCACCGCCGCATTGCGATGCTACGCCCTCATCCATAGCCTGCGTAAGGTCGCCTCCATATTCAGTGTATCCAAGAGCACCATCCATCGATGGCACCGAGGATGCAAGCTGGATGGCCCATCCCGGGTCCCAGCTCGCAGATCCACTTTCTTCGAGCAGGCATGTCCAGTCATCCGCACCCTGATTGAACAGGACCCGTTCCAGACTGGTCCTGTGTTGCGATGCAAGCCCGAGTCCATCCTCCAGAGGAAAGTATCACTCTCACTCTGCCACACTGCCATCCACCGAGCAGGTCTCTCACACAAGAGGGCAACACACCTCTACAAGTCCAAGCGACTGGATGAGCGAGTGGCACAGTTCAGGGACCAGGTCCGCTCCATCGACCCACGACGATTCGTTTTTGTCGATGAGACAGGGATCAGGAGATCCATTTTTCCTCTCTACGGATACTCACCGAAGGGTGCTCCGCTTCGCCAGCGCAATCACATGAAACACAAGTCTGTCTCGGCTGCATTTGCCATCAACCACTCTGGTGTGCTGCATCGAGCGCCGAGGATGGTCAGTGATCTTCACCCCACCTGCCTCGCCCGACTTCAATCCCATCGAGAACTTCTTTGGGGTTGAGTCCCCACCGATTTGGGGTTGAGTCCCCCAATCACGCCGCCATTTTCACGCTCAAATCCCTGGCTTGAACCTCTCGGCGATTTTTGAACAGGGTCACTTCCCCAACCAGCCCGCGCAGACGGGTTCCTGCTCTCGGGTATAAATGCCACACCTTCGTCCTGCTGCTTTCTTCCCTCATCTCGCCTTGATCTGATCATCGCGCTATTGTACGATAAAAAAAAAGTCTCTGCTCTGACCAGTACCACTGGCAGGCATCCAGCATCCTGTGCCCCCATGCCTCCGAAGCGCAAGGGTACCGGTGATGGCCAGCCTCGGCCACCCAGGCCCAAGAAAGCCAAGTCACAGTCGGAGCCTGTCTCTGGTTCGTCTTCTGACCCCACGCATGCTTGTTTCTCTGTTGCTCCGTCGCTCACCACCACTGCTTCTGCAGATCCAATGGATGTCGATCCCACCGAGCCTGGTCCATCTACTTCCTCGAGTACCGGCAAGCGATGTCGCCAGTGCGATGGCACCGATCACGAACGTTGCAACACCAGCAAATGTCCCAAATACCGGCCCCTCAAGAGTTCTGTCGTCCCACTCGTGGATGGAAGGTCATCCGCCCCTCAGTTCAGCTGCTTCAAGCAGACGATGGATGGCTGTTGTCTCAATCCCGCTCTCCGCGACAAGATCCAGGCCACTGTCGAGGCCATGACCCAGATCCAGTTCGAGGCATCCAGGCTGCTCAACCTGCACATCCTCCGGTGCATCGAGCAGGATCTTCCCGTCCCCGTCATCTCCAGGGCCACCCCTGCTTTCATCCGCCAGTGCTTTAAGATCGTCCAGGACGGTGCCCTCTCCCCGACCGGGGACATCGAGCAGTACAACGAGCATCTGGTCGCTTCCTTTCGCGACTACCAGACCACTCGGCACGCAGACCTGCCTCCGGCCCCTCGTCTGCCTGATGGTGCTCACAGTCAGCTTCTCACACTGGCTGTCAATGCCTATGCTACCAACTGCACCACCTACCTCGACCTGGCCTACTGGCGACTCCTTCGCCGCTTCTGTGCTGCCGTCTTCCCTGCCAACAAGCATAAGCACGAAGCCATCGAGGCTTGTCTCGAGCTCTTCGAGAAACCAGGGCAGACTCCACCCAAGGCCGATCTCGAGTTCCTCTACCCGGACTTTGGCCACGTCCTGGACGAGTTTCGGTACAGCAACGACCAGGACCGCTTCCGGGCCCTCCATCGCCTCTCACACCATGTGAGAATCCTCGCCCGAGACAAGATGGTCGACGATGTCCACAAGTGGATCGACTGTGACATGCCCGCCCTCCGAGTCACCGAGCTGCAGCGCCAGGCCAAGCTGGACGAGCTCACTGCCCAAGGCATTCCCTCCGACGACAAGAGGTTCACCACGGCCAAGTCTGAGCTCGGCACCACCAAGTCCAAGATCAACAAGCTGGCATCCAGGATCAACTGGGCACTCAAGCAGCTCGCTCTGGACACTCCTCCGGCCGTGTGCACGATGGTTCCTCTATGCACTGCAAGGGCCAAGTACATCAAGATCGACACGGTCACTCTCTGGCAACTCCTTGACACCGAACATCGTCTTGGACTCACCAGGGACAAGCTCAAGGAAGAAGGTGAGGACGGCATCAACAACCAGGATCGTCTCTGGCGCAGTTGCTTCAAGCTGCGTAGTTCCCTCTTCCAAGAGCGAGACGTGGACAAGAAGCTGTTCAACTACGAGATCAGCACCGATGGCATTGGATGCACCATCGGTCTCGTCAAGTTTGTGCCTCGAACCGATCACACCGAGACCATCGAGCCTCCTCCGACTGCCGAGCAGCGCATCCAGGAGCACATTGGCGACCCAGACCCCGATCGCACCACTTGGATTGGCATCGATCCTGGAGTCGGCTCCGTCTTCACGGCGGTCATCCAAGCACCGGGCCACCAAGACGAGGTGGTCTCGTTCTCCAATGGCCACTATCAGCACATGTGTGGCCATACGTCCAACACCAAGTGGCACAACACCATGAAGTATCGACTCAGCATCGAGACCTGGATGTCGACCACCCCCTCGCCCAAGGTGTCGTCCTCGGAGGCTTTCAAGGTCCATCTCACGCATGTCCTGCGACCGGAGCTGCGAGTGCAGCTCGACTTCCACCTTGGCAAGAAGGCCCGTCACCATCGCTTCACGGGCCACAAGAGACGCCAAGTGGCCGTCGACAGGATGTGCAAGGCCGTCCTGAGGCACGCCCCGATACGGACCGATGTGGTGATCGCCTTTGGCAATGCGTCATGGCGACAGGGCAAGGGCTATGCATCCAGCCCTCGGAGGCAGCGGTTTGCTCAGTACTTTGAGCAATTCGAGCACCACCGCCGCCGTCCCAATCACCCTCACGGAAGCGTCAAGGTAGTCTCGACGAACGAGTTCAACACCTCGCAAGTGTGCTCCAAGTGCCTGGAGCCAGTTCGGTTGGAAGGACTCGATGCGCCCAGTGTTGCGAATTCCCACTTTGTCAGGAGCTGCAAGAATCCCAGCTGCCGGACAGTGTGGAATCGCGACGTCAATGCGGCGCGCAACATGATCACAGTATGCAGGTCGATTGTGGAGACCGGAGAGCGACCGGTGGTCTTCACTCGGAGGCTGCCAAAGTGATCTGTTTTATTTCTTGTGGCTTTGCTTGACGCAAGCACAGCACATACTACATGTTCATGGAAACGGCTATATTGTCCCGTTTTTTTCTGAATAAAGTGTAGCTATGGAAGCCCATACAGTCAAGCGGCCGACTCTGCTGGTCAGTCCGACACCACAAACGCCGACTCGGCTTCCATGCTCCGATACCACTTCTGGAAGGCCCGAGTGTAAGGACACTGCGGCGAGGCGATCTTCAGCACCCACTCACAGTACGGCCGGTCGTGTTCATAGACCCACCCGTAGGTGCAGTTGGGATATTTCCCAAAATGCATGATCGACGAGAGGTCCTCAAGGACCTCGGAATCGGAGCTCTGATCCCCAAGCTCGTCGTCGACGTTGTAGGCATCGTCTAGGTCCACCGTCTGGGAGCGGCCGTGCTCCTCAGACACTGCTGTGGAGATGCTTGCACGCGAGGGTATCTGTATCGAGTCGATGTAGTCCAGGAACGATTGGTGAGGCTTCTGACGATACTGGACCGGGGTCTTGGACATGTGATGCTTCAGGCAGTATGCGTCCGGATCTCTGCCTATAGCCAGTGCCAGCTGCTGGGCGCTGAAGCTGTCGGCAGGAAGGAGCTCTTCGCACAGAGTGCAGTAGTACTTCCCGTAGTTTGAGTCGGGGTCGCTGTCAGAGTCGACGATTGGTCGGGCAAAGTCAATGACAGGCTCGTCATCATCCGAACTGCCATCGTGGTTCCGGACTTTGCGGCGACGTCGGCTGCCTTTACGAGCGTCAGCCATTGGCTCGTCTTCGCTATCGTCTTCGGCATCGCCATCGGCATCCAGATCTACAACGGCACTGTCGCCTTGCTGCCCGCTAGGATCAACCTGATGCGAACGTGTAAAGTAGCGTGTCTGTCTCGGCGACGACTGCGGGGACTGCGAGCCCGGCGGCTGCTCGTTGGAGGAGTTGGCTCCGCTGTCGATTCCATCGTCTGACAGATCCTGATGCCGCAAGCGACGAGGGCTGAGTATCATCTGACTTTTTGCGCTGTTGGTGCTCGATGGTTTGGGCCGTGTGCGCGAGGATCTGCTGGGAATCTGGGGGCCGCTGTCGGACCGGGATTCAGAGTCCGACGTGACCACATAGCGCTTGTGCCGCTTGGCCGATCCGGGGGGAGCTGCCGGCGATCGGATGGGCGGATGAAGGTTGCAGGGTGGGGAGCTTGGCGACAGTTGTTTGGGGCCGCTATCATGCGAATCAGACAGGGACTGGATCTCCGGGCTCTGTGGCGGAGGCGGCATTGGGCCGCCCGTCTCAGCCGAGAGTCCGGTAGAACGTTTGCGTTTCCATGGGCTTCGCTTGAGCGGAATGACGATCTGGATATTGCCCTCAAAGTCCGAGTTGTCATCTGAGCAAATAGTGGTATTAGCAAGTATCTGCGCGGCTGGTCGAGGATGCCCTTGCTACCAAAACATCCATCGGTGATGGAGGGATGACAAGGGTCACATCAGATCAAATCCATCACCAGTGCGTCAATCATACCTTCAGAGAGACCCAAATCGATGACGGTTGACTGATTTCCTGTCTGGGCTGGGGCGGCTAGTGGCGGCGGCGGCGGTGGTGGTTGGTATTCGTCTTCTGAGTCCGATACGACCACCATGGACTTGGCTATTCGACTGGGCGACAAGATGGGACTGGGGTCGCGCTGAGGCGAGACAGCCAAGTCCGCTTCAAGATCTGCTGGGCCGTCAGACTCGAGATCGGACTCGGGGACGAAGAGCCGTCGGTTTGGTATGGGCGAATGCAGGACTGGCGAAGGAGAGCGGGAGCGTGGCTGCCAGAGGGAGGGGCCAAGATAGCCCAGACGCCCCGCCCTCACAAACAGAGACCGGGCGGGGGTGGGACTATGCGGCGGGGAGTCAGAGTCGGAGGAGGAGAGCCGAAGCGGACGCATGGGCTGCGGGCTGCGTCTGGGGAGACTGCAGATGGATGCGAAGGAGCGACGACGCGGAGGACGGGAGGTCAAGCAGCATGTTCGGCTCGGCCGATGACCGGCCGATGACCAGCCGATGAGGACGGGATCGCTGTGAACAAAACACGCCAAGTTTGCTCGCAGCGCACTGCATCGCTTCGCACTGTATCATGTCATGCCGTATATCATATTGGATATCATATTAGATGTCATATCGTATATCATATTAGATGTCATATCGTATATCATGGTGAATACCATATCGCATCATGCGCTCCCCCGAGAACGACCCGGTGGATTCCATCATTCCCCTCCAACCGAGTCCACGATTCCACTGTATCTGCGGTCGGCACCTCATCGGCCGATCGACATCGTCCAACACACCCAGCATACCCAACCAACAACCCATCCACATATACAGCATCGGTTTCAAAATGAGCACTGTATTGTCCACACATCGTGCGGGAGACTGACGAGCAGCATTTGCGCCGCAACAGTCCTCCGCCCGTCTTTGCCAGCCAGCCAGCCAGCGCCATCAATCCCAGCTCTATTTGTGGGCCGCTATCCACTCGGGCGTCCGTTCGTCGTGGAAGAGCCAGTCGTATTCCAGTCCGCCCTCCAGGTAGGACGTTTCGCCGTTGAGATCCAGGCGCCAGGGACCGGGCGCGGAGGGGTCGTCCTTGGAGACCTTGAAAAGCGAGGCCACGCCGCACTTGACAATCAACTGCCGGTCGCTGCAGAGTGCCCTGCCCACACAGATCATCGGGGCTGCGTGGGTGACGATCAGGATATCGCCCTGGTCCTCGTATTCTCTGGCAATCCGCAGCACAGTCTCCCTCAGGCGGTCGTGGAGGCCTTCCTTGGATTCCCAGCAGGTGTCGTTGTACTGCAGGGGCGACCGATACGAGGGGTCAATGTTGAACAGGTCGAGAGCAGCAAGTTCATCCAGAGACGGCGCCGTGGCCGGGTCTTCATCCACAGGCTCGTCGGTTTTGAACCACTCGCCCAGCCCGTAGTCGATTTTGATGGGCAGGCCCTGGCTTTCGGCAAAGGGCCGGACGGTCTGCAGACACCGGGTGAAGGGGGAGCAGAAGATGTGCTTGATTTTGCTGGACTCGGTCAGGCCCGACAGGTACCTCGACAGCGCCTGGGCCTGCTTCTCGCCGATTGTGTCGGCCAGGGGCGGATCCACATCCGAGCCGGTCAGCGAAACGAAGGGCTCGGACGAGACGAAATCCTGGCGGGTGCCGTGGCGGGTGACGTAGATGGACTGCGGCGACATCTTGGGGCGGATGTTGCGGCTACGAATCGCTGGTGGGTGGGTCGGTGGTGGATCGGTAACAGGTGGTGGTAACAGATAGGCTGGCGGCGGATGTCGATTCGGCCGAAATCAATCAGCCGCCCAGGCTGCGCATTTTTTTTTTCTGGGTTGCCAACGACGACATCCGTTGGTGCAGCCGGTCTCGAATCCCATCGTCCATCGTCCATCGTCCATCGTCCATCGTCCATCGTCCATCGTCCATCGTCCATCGTCCATCTGCCATCTGCCATCGGCCGTCTCGGCATCCACTGTCTTTGCCACTTACCAATATCCCGCCGCACTTGAACACCACCGAGCCGCCGTCTGAATCGCCTCGCACCAGTGCCTGCATCGGATCCACACCATGCCCAACAACAAGAAGCTGTCGCTCAACTCGATCAAGGGCAAGCAGATTGCCCATCCGTTCTCCAGAAAGGCCAGACAGATCCGCAGAGTCATCAACCGCGACGGAAAGCTGGCCAACCAAAAGGTGGTTCGAGATGAAACCAAGCAGCGGATCGTCGACCGGCTGCTCTTCTTCAAGTTCGCCGTCCCTGTCGAGCAAATGTCGGTCACCACGGAGCAGCTGCACGATGCCGTTGTGCTGTACATCAACCGGAAAGAAGAGGACATCAACCGTCTGAAGCAAGAGCACCAGAAGCGCCCTCCGGGCCGGTCCAAGCCCAGCCAGCTCATCAACCTCGAGAACCTGCGAGATGCCGACCAGAGGGAATATGACACTGGGATCGGTAAGAAAGCACAACCAGCTAGGATATGCATCCACGTTCTCGTCCTTTCGAGCCTCCGGGTTGGCTTTGGTCTGGCACAGCGACTTGCATAATCTCACGCAGTTCATTCTGTCCGACTTCCACTCGGCATGGTTGGTCCTGTGGGTGCAGAGGTGCCTGATGTGACCGATCCTACAGCCCTGGCCATGCTGCGGGACTGGGAAGGCGACTACAACGGCATCACCCACATCAAGATGGTCACGGTCCGGAATCCGAAGACGATGGTCAAGTCCGGCCCCGACTTTGTTGTCAAGGCCGCCAAGCCCACATCGGTGGATGAGGAGATGGACGACGAGTGACTCGAAAGTCGCAGAGACAGCACATCCCAAACGTTTGTTGTCCACGACGACGGATGGTCCGGTTTCTGAATCTGCTGCCGACAGACCTTCCTCTCCTACCACCGCGGAGCGAGCGCCAGTGCCTTGACTTGCTCGATTCCGTTGATTCCGGTGTTGTTGACTCTGTGCTTCCGTTGATGTTGTTGACTCTGGTGCCTCTGTTGATTCCGGTGATGCTGCCATCGGTGATGCTCTCCGTATCTTGCACCCGGAGAAATGGCGATGGCCCAACCAAGGCCCAGCAATCACTTTGGGTACTCCAGCCCATCCAACCTTTCAATATATCGCTGAGGAGTTACAGACATGGCATGGGCTTTGTATTTCCAAAAGTGAGGCGACGGGCGGCAGTGGTGCTGCTCCCGCCATTGTGCAGACGGGAGTGGGGACAAGACTACAGAGCATATGATGTTGAAGTGAAGCTCGGATGCGACGGGGTGAAAGAGCCAATGCACTGCTCGACAGGGACGGCCACGGTATATGTCAGAGAGCATCAGTGTGCTTAGAACTCGCTGTAGATGGTAGCGACAGGCTGCACTCGATCCAGCTCAAGGGCCCCTATCTCGGTGTCAAAGATGGCGGCCCTTGAATCGTTCAGCGACCGGAACAAGTTCCTCATCGTCAACAGGACTTGCAGCGATGGCGGACAGCCCTCGTCCAGAAGCCAGCAGAACAGAGCCGTACTTCGCTGCGGGTCCTGGAGTCGCGCCATGGCCTCGATGCCAATCTCATAACATCCAGACGGGATCGCCTCGGACGGGAACCTCGATCGAAACTCGTCCATGAGCCGATAGAGATGGTCCCAGTGCCTTAGCGCATACAGACCCGTCGTGGCTGCCAACAGTGTCTGGCTGCAGCTTCGGGGGTTGAATGCTTCGCGATCATCCAGGAGCTGGGTCCAAAAGCGCCAGAACTGCGCGGTGTTTTTCTGGGCCAGATGGAATCGGATCAGGTTGGCGTACATTGCATCGACGTGCCGCCATGTTTCATCCAGCTTTGATCTTGCTGATCGACGGGTCTCCAGGGCTGCGTCGCTGTTGCTGATGAGGGATGAAAAGGCCTCGAGAAGCTCGGCCTCCTCGTCGGGATGCGCGTTGTGCTCGTTGGGCCCTGGGTCGGCATCCGGACCAGCACCTTGGCACGCGCCGATGTGCGAGCTCTCCGTTGTGGTCAGCGCCGCATGAAGTGGATAAAAGTTCATCGATTCCAGCAGCACCCCGTCGCCGTCGTTTTCAGCAAAATGGGCATGCAGCGAGCCCGCACTGGCCGAGGTGGATTCAGTGAGGGAGTCTGCGGCGAGATGCTGCTCAACTTGTGCCGACGACTGCAACAGCGCCCGCTTCAGCTTCTCGTTGAGCAGCTTGCGATGTCGGGTCGAGTGATGGAAATCGCCGCTATGCTGCTCGCTCTGTCGTGAGCTCGCAGAGCCTTGGTGGTTTTGATGAGCCGGGAGCCGGTCCGGTGATGCCGTGTCCGTTGTTGCTGTTGGCGGGGCGTCGCTGTCGGGGCTGCTCGCCAGTTCGTCCCTGAGTCGTGCGGCGAGCCGCACTTGCTGGTTATGGAGCATCGACTCGGCAATGTGGGACTTTTGGTTCCGGATCGCCCATTTGATCAGGAACGCCGTTGAATACTCAGACTCTTGGATCGTGTCCGAGTGTCGGTCCCACAGCTCAGTCAGTAGCTCGTGGACATTCCGGTATGAGTAGCCTGCCGTCGCGCGGCTGACAACGGGTTCCAATAGGCGATGGCTGCTGCCGCGCGGGCTTCGCTTGATCAGCGTAATGCGGTTGTTGCGCAGATGCTCCAGATTAGAGAGAAGATACCGGATCGAGTGCTTGTCGTCGATGGCCAAGCCACGATCTTTGGCAAGTAGGTAGAAGCCGATGGCTCGCCGCGGCTTCCGCAGAATGTGCCAGCCTCGGAAGATGACGTCCACCGGGGGCTCGGGGTAGTTCTCGAGTTCGTTCAGGATGAACTCGGCAGCCATGTACGCCTGCGGATCGCGCGTGGAAATCAGCACCGACAGGAACTGGCCCAGGATACCTGCCTGAATCGACTCGGGGAGAGCCCATGTCGACTGGAGGGTGCGGCAAAACAGCCGGTAGTCCGACGCCCAGCCCCATCGCTGCAGGACCTGTACAAAGGCGGTGTAGACCCTCCGCGGGATGCGAATGTCCTGGGCCCTCATGTCTCGCAGAATCGTCAGCAGCCGATCGAGATGGGCCTGGCTTGGCGTATCCGAGTGACTGATCATGTGCGAATACATTCGCAGCAGCAGGCTCTGGGTGATGCGCTTGCGGCTTTGCAGTGCTTCTAGGTCATCGCTACTCGAAATCGGTGATGTGGCTGTCGGAGACCGCTTTGAAGCGCTTTGCTGACCAAGGCGGGTCCACTGGCCCGCACGCTGTTCGTCGATTCCAAGGCTCCAGCGATGGGATATCGTCAAATACTGTGTCCACGGGTCTCCGAGGGTGTGGATGAGCTCGCCAGCGGCCGGGTCCTTGTTCTGGATGAGCGAAAGCAGATGCAGCAGGATCTTTTGCTCCCTAAGCGGGTCGGCCGAGAGCATCTTCTGCGGCTGGAACCACAGATCCGAAAAATAGGGAATCAGCTTCTGCTTTGCGCTCGGCTGGATCTTGAGCATCTTGGACTGGGCGACGATTCGGGCGCCCGGCCGTGCAATGCACTCCGGGAAGGTGTGGGCATGGTTGGGGAGCTTGTGATTACTGCGGTCGGCGACGGCGAGGTCGAGCGAAACAGCGGTGCGGGCTTCAGATGCGGCGCAGCGAGTGGATGAGAGGTGCCTTGGACGGGAGGAGCCGGTGCGGACAACAGTGCCGGCCGCGGAGGCGGCAGCAGCCCTGCGGCATCGCTCCATCGAGAGCATGAGGAGATCGAAGGTTGGATCGCTGCTTTGGACGCAGCACGAACGAAGACAAGAAGCGGGCGATGAGAAACCGGGAGACAAGCCGGCTCGAGTGCGGATCGAGGGCGGATCTGTTCTCACACGACGATACATGCATGTGCATGCTCGCGAGAGATATTGGAACGTTGTTCGGGGCGATGATGCAGACAACAGCCCCCCTCCCGCCATCGGTGTTTGTCCCCGAGATCGGCCGGCACCTTTCGTTCCCACCTTTCCTCCAAAAATAATGAAAGCATCAGTGCCCGCGGTACAGTCAAACCAGAAAGAAACGGGACAGCCACTTTCTGGCTTCAGCGGCCTGAAACCCGTTGACTGACTGTAGACCCCAGTGAGCAAGCCGTGAGATTGTTTCCCGTCCTGGTTGGCAATCGAGTGGCCAGCGCGCGATTGCATTGGGTAACAAAATATTTGATCAATCGTCAAAATCACGGGTGTCCCGTTTTTTATTGGATTGACTGTAGCAGCCACAGAGTTGTATCAGAGTGCAGATTCGAGAGCCTCCTTGACGCGCAGGCTGCTCTTGAGCAGGTGCAGGCTTGCCAGCGCCCGGCCCGGACTGCGACTGCGACTCCGGCTCTGCAGCGACTGGGGCGCCGGGGGGTGCGGCTGGCTCAAGCCCGCAAGCGCCGCATAAGGGTCGATGCTTCTCGATGACTTTGGAGCCACCATGCCAGCCACGGTCTCGGAGAGGGCGTGCCCTCTGGACCGACCTCGTCCAGTCCGATGTGAGCCGACATCGTTCTGTGTGGCCTCCTGGGCAGCGTATCCATGGACAATGTCGCGCAGGATCGACAGCTGCTCTCTCTGCGAGATCGTGGGACGACAGCGACAGTAACAGCGACGGTGTCGGTGTCAGCCAAACCGGACAAAGGAACATGTCGCCGCCTCAAAACTCGCCCACGCAATCCGTCAATTACACCGACTGTACCTTCAGCTCCATGTTCTGGATCACGTCCCGGAGTCGGTCGCCCGCGATCTTGAGCGCGCGTTTGCCGCCGCCATCGGCCACGGTATCGTATTCTCGAACCAGTCCTTGGTATTTGCTGGGATATCGAAGATACGAGCGATCAGCAGATGCAGCAGTGCGCCCTTCACAGCCAGATATCCCCTCGCGGCATATCGCTTCCAAGGCTCGGGGCCCACCGACCATGCGTCGATACTGCCCACGCATACCCTTTCAGATACTTGTACTCGTCCTCCACAATCTTCAGGACATGGACCAGGCTCTCGATACCGCCATCCATGGCGTACTTGTGCAGTTGCTCGTCGCCGGAGCAGCTTCGGCACTCCTCGCTGTCTCGGAGTTCCTGATCTGAGCTGGCCGATTTGCGGCGGCTTGACTGTCGGCCACGGCTTGGATATCGCGACTTGGTGGGCGATGTTCCCGCGAGGCTCTTGGCGCCTGTCCCCGGCTGCCGCGTTCGAGAGCGCGAGCGAGAGTTTCGTGCATCAGGGTGGGTCGACTGGGGCGGGCTGTGCTGTCCGGCTTTCCCCTCGCGGCTCTGACGCTTGCTGCAAACCGAGCACAGTGCCGGATTATGCGCCTTGAGCAGCGAAAACACCTGTTGCAGATTTGCTGTGACAGAGTAGGACTTGCCAGCATTCTGTGGGGGGGGGGGAAAGGACCGCTGTCAGTTGCGATCAAGCCGCCTTCCTGGCCTCACTGGCGACTGCACCTCGAGCTGTGCACCTCGAACCTCGCGTCTCGAGCACAGTCGCAGATATCCACAATAGCCCGGGTGGTGCACATTTCAGCCATGCTCGCTGCGCACTCACCGTCCCGATAATGAATGGCATGGGCCTGCCCAGATTCAAGTTGTGGGCCTCTCCCAAATGCTCGTCGTCCGAAGCGTGCAGTTTCGGCCGCGCCGAGTCAGTGGTGGTGGCATCGGTGCTTTGGCGCGAGTTTTCCGAGTCGCTCTTGGTGAAGGCAACGTTGTGGGCCGGTGCCTTTCGCCGATGCTGGTATGTGGGTAGGTGCTCCTTGTTCGACACAGGCGGCTCTCGGACTTGGGCAGGGGGTTCTCGGACTTGGGCCGGGTGCTCCCTGGACGACGTTGCGTAGCCTCGGCCTCCATCGACTCGCTTCCAAAACGGCTCGGTCTTCTCGGTGCTGTCTCTTACGGCGCCAAAGCCGCTTGGCTGAGTAGTACAGGTAGCAAGGATCAGAGGACAGATGGCATCAGTCACGTTAGCGACAGCCCTGGCTCTCCTTGCCGACATAGCACCGCCCGGCAAGATCTGTACGAGGTGAGGCCAGTTCCGGGTGCAATCCCAGCGAATAAACGTGCTGAGCGATCTGGGTGCTCACCTCTTTGGCCGATGCGCCGCGCGCCTCCTTGAGCATGCGATTGAGGATGATCTTCTTCACACGCATCCGCTGCTCCAGCTATGCAATCCCGGGTTCAGCGAGGACAGATCGGAGGTGTCAATTCATGGTTGTGTGGGCAACAAAAGGGTCCCGCGGATGCGCTCTGGGATGCGCAAATGGCTGTGGCCTTGGTAATGTGCATCACAGGCCCATCAAACGGATTGCAGCAAGCTGCTACCGCATCCGGCCTCAGTCCCAAGCATACTCGATTACCCACCGGAATGGTCTCCTTGCGTACCGGGGCTTCGTCTTTCAGTCGCTCTCTGGCCATCTCTGGTCGGCGAGGCTGGTCAGAGGCGGATTTGGTACCGGGCACACTCGACTGGCCCTTGGACGGGCGGCTCTGGGGCTGGCCATCCATATCCCCGGCATGCGTAAGATTGTGCGCATGCTCCGTATCGGCAGCAGGCCTCTGTGCCGCGTCATCGGACGATTCGCTCGACTGGAGGCTAGGCGACTTGGTGTGGATAGGTCTTGTGGGCTCGTCGTTCGATGCCGAAGACGACCCCGACGACAGCGGGGCAAACAGAGGCCCAGCCTTGGCCATCTCGATGCGGTCGCGGTTCTGTGTTTCTTTGTCCTGCTCCATTCCCATTTCCATCTCCATTTCTATCTCCTTCTCCTTCTCGATTTCATTGTCGACGGCTCGTTCCAGAGTAGAATCGCGGTATTGTTTCCGGGACTGCTCAAGTGTACTTGGCAGCTGCCACTGTCGTTGCTCCATGCTCTCAGCTGCCCGAAGCAGCGGGTTCGCATCGGCGCCAGACCCCAGAGTCGCGCCGGACGGCATTCCAAATGTACCCGGTGCCGGGAAGTCCTGTTCGCTCGACTTACGGAACACAGGAGATCCGGGGTTGTTGTGCTGTGGGCTGTGTCCACTCAGCGGGCCTGAGCTTGGAGATCCCAGACTAAATGCATACGAGCCCGTGCGCTCGTAGTCGACGCCGCGATGCAGCGCAAGCTGGAGACGGACCAGTTCCTGGCGCGCGAGCTCGAGGCCTTGCAGCGCCTCATCGCGCTCGGACTTGGCGAGTCGTGAGGCGTGTTCTGTGGAGTGCAGTCGCCCTTCCAGCAGACTGGCCCGGATTTTGGTGTGCTCGAGCTCGGACTCGAGATCTGCGAATGGGTTCGTCCATTAGTGTCAGGAACAAAATCGCATGGTCCTGTCCGACCCAGTTGTCGCGAGTGCATGCAGAAAGGATCACCTCTGCGGACTCGAACGGATACGTACGCCGAAGCTGGCTGTGGGGCAAACCGTAGCTCGATAGGTCAATTCCATCGTCTTGAGGTAGCCGAGCCGTGCTCACGCCGGTGTCGAGAATCCCGAGCTTGGGGCGCTCGCCAGCAGTCGAAGGTATGGGGGAGGTGGTGGCGTCCTTGAATCGTTCATCACGATCCAGCAACGAGGAAAGACTTGGACACTGTTGTGCGGCGTCAACACCGGTTTGCGGACTGGGTGAGTCGACAGCCTGGTCCCTGACGCTGGGCTGGTTGACGGAAGCATCGATCTTGATGTCGAGCGGCAGCGACCACTCGGGCCGGGCGACAGGCTGACTGCGCGATCCGGCGTTCGAGGGAACCGCAGCAGGCATTGCTGTCTGGGATTGAGGGCGAGAGCCACGAGAGCCTCTCGAGAGCGGCAACTCCCGCTCCAGGCTGTGGGTCCGCTCCTCTTCCTGTCGCTTGTATCGCTCAGCTTCTTGCTCCATCTCAGTCCTATCGAGCGATCCAGCCGGTGGACGGCTGCGTCCCAAGCTGAGCCTCGAGGAGCGATCTACGAGCTGTAGTCTCTCGATCTCGGCCTGCAGTGAAGCGGCTCGGTGCCGTTCCAGAACAAGCTCATGGCGCAATCTCTCCTGCTCCTCCAGCTGCAACTGAGTCTGACGCTCCTGCTTTGCCAACTCCTCGCGCTGCTGCTGTAGAATGAGTTCTTGTCGTTGATATTCCTCGAACTTGAGCTGTTGCTCGTTCTGATCCTGGGTCTGCTCAGACTGCTGTTGCTGTTGCTGCTGTTGCTGCTGTTGCTGCTGTTGTTGTTGCTGCTGCTGCTGAAGAAGGGTGACGTTGCGGCTCTGCTCGGCATAGAGAGTCTTTTGGACGCGCTCGAGTTCCTGCTCAAGCACGGCAATCGTAGATTTTGCGGAAAACTTTTCGCCCTCAAGCAACACAACTTTCTCCTGGAGCGCCCTAAATGCATTCAGCACAGCTGTGATGAAAGACGCCAAGTCACAGATATATAATGATGGAGAAGGTAGGGGAGGGGAGGAAATGAAACGGTGGACGGACGCCGGGTATGGAATGCGTCAGAGGAGCTGCATCGAGCGCTGAGTGCTCTTCCGAAAGCAGCACAAAGTGGACGATGCATTGCGACTGCATTCCTTTATCAGCACCACGACCATACGCCGGAGAAGGCACAGTGGCACATCCATGAGGAGGACCAAGGAAGACAGATTGGCGGCACTCAGCCAGGCTTATCGACATTCGGATGGATGCTGTGCTTACCTCGACTACTCCCGTCCTCCTGATCCAGCTTCAAATCAAAGTTGGCCGAGTTGACCCGAGACACGCTCGGCAGACGACCGACAGTTGGGATGCGGCTGCGATGGCTACTTCCGTACACCGAAAGCTCGCTTGCTCGGCTCTCGCTCGATCTTTGCGCCGCTGCCAAAGTTGGATCGGCAGTCTGGGCACCCTCGCTACGGCTCAGGCTGGTTGCCCACTCGGCGAGACTCGATGTCAAGTTGTGTCCGGGCACGGGCTGGATGGAATCCATTGCAGGAACTAGCTCCGAGCCAGCCGCCGGGCTGGCTGCGATGTACTCTGCAGGGGCTGGTGAGGGCTGTGGCGGTGACTCCAGGGGGTGAAAGGAGAGCGAATCGACAAAGTTTGGCGGGAGTCTTTCCGAGAGACTGAAATCATCCAGGTGGTATGAATCAGCCGCCAACGAGTTGGGCGGAAAGGCTGGCGGGGGATATGCGGAGAAGGGACTGCTTCGGGACTGCGGCGAGTGATGGACTGGATCGTCCACATCGGACCGGTTCCTGCGCCCCAGACTTTCAAAGTAGTCGATTGTTTCGCGGACGGGCGACACGATCGGCTGACGGGCGCCTTCAGGAGACCCGCCGTCGATCATCGAGCTGTAGAGCCGAGAAGCATTGACGGCCAGAGGCTTGATGGCGGCAGGACGATGAACCTCTGGCGAGCTTTTGGACGGACGATGCTCGTTGTGCCGCAGCGAGCCCTTGGCGATCAGCTGTGGAAGCGAATGCGTGGTCACGGACGCAGCAGCGAACGCCGACAGCGACGAAGCATGAAGATGGAGATGAAGATGAAGATGAAGATGAACATTGTAGAGATGTGCATTATGAAGAAGGCGATCAAGGCAGAGTGCAGATGCGGATACGATGCAAGCGATGATGGCGGCGGCGGAATGCAGCCAGTGGGCGCGACGGCGAGCACCGATACCAATACGACAAACGATACCGAGTTTGGTTGAGCAACGAATAGCGCCGTGGATCCGAGAGGCAAAAGTGCAGACGTTGGCAGGTCAGCAAGAATCCGTCGTTGGTTGCAGCGTGACGGGTGCCTCGGTGAATCCAAGAAGTCGTGCCGTGGACAACGTCGACGACTCAAGTGGCCCATATGTGTACCCATGCATATGGCACGGCCTGCATTTGCGGCTGCTCGAGTGGCTCGTCCCTTGGGTCGAACGGCTCGCTCTCGCCGTCGACTGGCTTCCTCCATATCGAGACTCGTCTCTCCACCCCCTCGCATCAACTTGGCAAACGTTACCGGTGCACTGGCAGAACTGGTACCTTCCCCGATGAGGGCATCGAATCGCTGTTCGAGCGCTGCATCGTCGGCCTGATCCTGGTGGAAGGCTGGTCCCTGGTCAGGAGCAAGTCGAGAGCCAGACGAAAGCCGCTGCGAGAGACGCTGCGAGAGACGCTGTGATAGCCGCAGGGACCGGCCTGGCTGGGTTTCTGCCGCCGCCGCCGCATCAGCAGCGGCCGGAGTACCAACGCCCTCGCCGTGGGCTGCAGACGGCCGCATCGAGCTCTGGTCGACGGATGTGGCATCGTAGGAAAACGAAAAGCCAATGTCCTTGGAAGGCTGGGCGTAGGTCGCATAGTGGCTGTCGTCGTTGATGATGTGATAGCTCGGAAACGCGCCACCGCCGACGTCGAAGCTGGTCTGGTCCATCGAAGGCGAGTATATCGGCGAGACAAAGGGCCCGGTGATGAGCGAGGTTGGATCGTAGAGCCGCATGTTGCTGATGTCGGCGACGGGCGAGCCGAGATTGAGAATGTCCGGCGAGGTTGGGTCCTCGGCGGCATCGAGATCGTGTTCCCGAGCCGAGTACTGCGAGGACGACGGTTGAGGCTGCTCGAGACTCATCGTGGATGGCGACGAGCAGGCTGATCGGCCGCCGGATTCAGGCCAGGATAGACAAAGGAGCGCGCACCAGAGAGGGTACGGGAGGGTATGCAGCGGACGGCGGCAGATTGCAGATCAGGAACGGGCGATCCGAGAGCACGCTGGAGGTGTTTCGGCAACCCCACGGGACCGACCGGGGCGGATGCCAATCACACACGTGCGCGGAAACATCTATGTATGTCAGAGCGGATCAGAGAGCGAGCCGGCCGTGGGACGGGCGGGTCCAGGCAGAGGGCAGCGACGGCGGATGTCGACGAAGAAGGTGTTGCTGGATGATGGTTGAATGGTGGTTGAATGGTGGTTGAATGGTGGTTGAATGGTGGCTGTGGGAATCGTCGGTACAACGAGCAACATGCGGCGCCGATTACCGATGGTCTCGGAACGGAAGCCGTCGGCGGCCGCAGCAGATGTGCAAGGCAATGCCGCCTGCGACATGGCTGCATCGCCCGGAGGAGGGCCGATATCAACTGGCGCAGTGCATTGGTTGGACGTGGGCGATTGCGCGACGGATCGATGTCGAGACATTGGCACCCGCTGACATTGATTCGTCTCTTCTTCTTGCAGCAGGAGCCCAGCACGCCGACCAGCCCGGACCAGCCCGGACCGTAACCCGGAAGGCAGCAACAATTAGCATCCAGCAACGGCAATTACCATCCAGCAACGGCAATTACCATCCAGCAGCAATTAACAACCAGCAGCACCATCCGCAATGCAAACCCTCGACGACTTGGTGGTGTTGGCCATCATGGACGACGCCGACGAGCCCCATTCGCTGGCATCGACCTGTCGCCGGTTCTGGCGGCTGTGGTCGTCGTCGCCGGCAACCAAAGTGCGGTTTCTGCTCAGGCGGTTCTCGCCGATCGAAGCCATCGAGCGGTCCATCCAGGCAGCCGACATCCGGATACTGCAGCGCATCCTGCCAAAGACAATTCGGCGACCAACGCCGTCAAGCTCGCTGTGGCTGGCCCATTTCCTGGTGGACCTGACTCGCAGCCGGGTTGCAGAAGGACCCGATAGCGAAGGCAGTTGCCAGCAACCGGACTCGGCCAAGTCAACGAAGCAACCGGCCGCCCGCTGCACCAACCCGACCGACGTCGCTGTCATGGCCCCTCAAATGGGCCGAGCCGAGCCATTGTGGTCGACAGGACCGGCTGCTCAGGCGGCCACAAGCAAGCGTTCTCACCAGGGCCAGCCGACGGAGCTCGAGAACCGCATTCGCTTGCTGCTGCACCATGGTGCCGACCTCAATGCCGACATGCGGCTGTATCTCAAGTCGCTGCTGTTTGGTGACCCCTTGGGCGGCTCGCATTTCGAGATAGCCCGCCTGCTCGAACAGGCCCAGGGCCGACATGTCGGTGCGGGCACAGCGGCCGTCTTCTTTGCATCGCTGCGGGGCATGCCTCGGGTCGTCGACGTCCTGGTTGCTGCGGGGGTGCATCCTGTTGAGCCGCCTGCGACCCCTGGCCGCCGAGAGATGCCCTGACCGCCGAGATCATGGTGCCCCGGCCAATACTGTGGGGGGGGGAGTTGCGTGTCCTTGCAGCCCGCGCTGCAGGCGATATCCACTTGTCACTCTGTGGTCTATGCTGCAAGTCGGTTTGACTGTGTCTGTCGCAATACCATGTCGCTCTGACAAGCAAAGCAGTGCAAAGGGAATTGGATCGGATCGGATTGGATCGGAGTCGTCGATGCTGGGCTGTGCTCGGGTCGGCAATTTGTGCGGTTGGAGGCCAGCAAGCACCAACCAGAATGGCCAGATCGCCGATGGTGACAAAGTACCATCGGCGAGGACAAGTTCCGGCGATGAGGACAAGCACAAAGGCCAACCCCCCCAAAGGACAAACCGCTCCTCGGCGGTCGACCACCCTTACGCACGGCTGAGGACATCGCCATGGATGGTCGCGACCCCAATTGCTGCATATCGACCCCGTGCTCGAGCATTGGCTGCTCTTGTGGCCGCACGAATTGCAGACCCCAGAGTGGTTGATTGACTCTGGGTCTTGAACACATCCGTCGATGGCTTTGCTGGACGCAGCAGACATGCGGGATAGGACGGTGTCGCAGAATGAGTTTGCGGATGCAACAACCTCCATTCGCACCGTCTGCACGAGCACTCGCCTTGCATCTCGGCCGCATGTGGCTGCTCGGCCCACCCCCGACAGCTCGCAACTGTCGCCGATCGCATCTCTCCATCAGCCACAGCCCGCTGGCTCGGCCGCCACCCAACGTTGTTAGCGCATGTGCTCTCTCGTCCCGGCGCTGTTCGAGCCGCGGCCCCGCTCGCCCTCAACCTCGGCGCACAGGACCATGCTGCTTGTTCCATACCAGCGCCGTACTCGCTGTACCCCCTGCCCCCAGGCGCCACCGCCCTGTGCTCCCTCCCGCATCTCGCCTGCGCTCTTGCTCCAAGGCTGCTGTGCTCGGAGGCGTCCCGGGAGGCTTCGTCGCCAAAGGAAAGAGCCAATCGCCGTCTTGGCCGCGGCCAAAGAAAGGGTGCAGCGGCGCCGCGGTTGCGTTGTCTGTCGCAGTCGCCACATTTCTTGGTCAGCGCTCCCGCACTGCAGCGAGAGCCCGTTCATCGCCATCGCATCCCCGTCTCCGCGGCCCTGACTACATATGCCGCCCGTTGCCTCCGAGTCTTGGGTCGCTCCTGCAGGCTTCCGCCGGCTCACGGCAGCTTCCCTCCCATTCTCCTCGCCCGCCGAATCCGCTTCCTCACGCACCTGCCTCCAAGTACTCCCTCACACATCATCAGTACTTTGTTCTTTCCATCCACCCTTCCGACTCCTGCTCTCCACAGGTGCTCCCTTATCCTGCATCCACCAGGATTCCACATCTCTCGCCAAAGTCCCTCTTTCCGCTGCCCTTGCGTGGTCAGCAATGGCCCCGCCAGCTCTTCTCCAGCCACAACCAACCACTGTCATGGCCGGCTTTACCACAGATGCTAATGAATCCGACGTCGCTGGACAGCATGAAACAACGATCGTTGAACAGCCCCCTCCTGATCTTTGGCCCGATGCTGTTGACTCGTCTGCTGTCGACAGTGCCTCCCTGGATCCGACGGACCTTGCAACATCGTCCCCCACCGCAGTGCCGACTACCAACGCTGCATCAGCAGTAGTGGTAGCTGCAGCATCCCCTGGATCTGACAGCGGTACCCCTGCTCCAGGACGCATCTCGAATACCCCTGTCGCGTCGTCTGGGGTCTCAGCATCGCCGAGCGTCATTGCTATCCCACGGCCATCGGGGCTCCCGGGCACGGCTTCTCCTTCACTCGGCCTCACAGTGAGCACCCTGCCGTCTCCGTCATCCTTGGCCCCGGCTTCACCAACTGCAAGCAGCATTCCAATGTACATCGCCGTGGCTGTTGGCGTGCTCGTTGCCTTGCCCATCCTGGTGTGCATGGTGGTGGGATGTCGGTCTCGGTCAGCCCGTCGCCGGATCCAGTCGCCGGGACTCCCACAGGGTGCTCCCGGCACCCGCCCATCGTCGTCCATGTGGTCCTCCAAGCATGTCAGCGATGAGATCAAGCACTTTGCCAACCGCATTTACGAGCGGTCGCCCAAGCTCTCCATGATCGCAAGCCTGACCCACAACAAGGACGACCGCACGACCATCGGCCTCGGCGACATGCAGCCCTCGCCCATCCGGGCCAACTACTCCTACGACGCTTACACCGAGGAGGAGGTTGGGTGGCAAGTCAAGCGACTCAACTCCTCCACCCTCTACGACAGCAACACCATCACCAAGGCCCAGGCCGCCTTCCAGGTCGAGAGCGCCCGGGTTATGCGGCACCAGAACTCGCAGAGCATCAGTCGGTCCGAGGGCAGTCGCTCCGACGACAACAGAGCGCCCAGCCGCAGTTCTAACCATCCGTCCGCAAGCCGCGACCGTCATCAGGAATCTGTCCCGCGCGTCTCAACCGATCGCCAGTCGTCGCTGCGCTTCTCCATCGATACGGAGCAGCAGCGGCCCATTATCCCGTGATCGTCCTCGCTACTCTGCGAGTCCAGTCTACTTCTATGGCCCCAGTTCTCGTCCCTGGCTTGTCTTGGTCCTGTCCGGCTCGACAATGCTCGGCCACGTTTGGGACAGGCCTCGCTGTTGTCGTTGCACTCGGCAGGGCCGGGTCCCACGACCAAACATGTCGCCTCCGCAACTCATACCATTTGATTTCCAAAAATTGCAAATATGCACTTATAACTTTCAATTCATCCTTTTCGGGCCCCCAACGTCAGCCGTCAACCGTCAACTCGATCGTCAACTCGACCGTCAGCAGCACACTTGTACAAGCACTCGATCGCCGAGTGATCCATCACCACAGCCTCACACCAGCCAGCCACGCCGAGACGAATCCCATCGCGAACTGATACGGGCACTGCTCTCAGCAGCCCAAGTGTCAAATCAACTCCGGTGGCTTCACCGCATTGGAGTCGCAGCACGAGTGCAGTACATTGCATGGTTGCGGCGGGCAAGTTTACAGCATTCGCACAATGAAAGGGAACACCCTGCTTATGCAGTCGATCATACTTTTGCATCGCGATGCCAATGTCAGTCGCCTGTCGTCCATGGAGATTAACCAGGTGTATTCAAGAGCATGCTCTTGCCCCCCCCCTTCCCGGTCCCGCGAGAAAATTTGGCTGCCAACCAAGACAGGAAGCAATCACATGTCAAGATCATGCAGCCTGCAGATCATCGGGCGTCAAGCCCGCAATTGCACTCATGCAGGAAGCACGGGACAGTGCCCATTTCTCGCTGCAGCTATAGATGAATAAAGGTATGAAAATCGCTCATCAGAGTGAATGAGAAAATGACAAAGCAAAAGTAAATCAAACGGAGGGGGGGGGGAACATCGGTCGCTGCTCTCCGCAACCAAAACCAAGGGTTCATGTTTGTGTATCTAGTAAAGGTTTGAGAAAGGCGGTTCACAACCGCTCCGACACCATCGGTTCTGCTTCTCGGCTTGAGAGTGCGTGCCCTCTGGTATTCCTCGCCTGCAGCCGGTCGAGGATGATCCTACACTTTATTCAGAAAAAAACGGGACAATATAGCCGTTTCCATGAACATGTAGTATGTGCTGTGCTTGCGTCAAGCAAAGCCACAAGAAATAAAACAGATCACTTTGGCAGCCTCCGAGTGAAGACCGCCGGTCGCTCTCCGATCTCCACAATCGACCTGCATACTGTGATCATGTTGCGCGCCGCATTGACGTCGCGATTCCACACTGTTCGGCGAATGGTCATGGCCAGCGCGCGATAACATTGGGTAACAAAATATTCGATGAATGGTCAAAAACCCGGGTGTCCCCTTTTTTATTGGATTGCCTGTAATGAGAGAGAAACAAAGTGTCAAACAGTTGCGGAAGGAAATGTGAGCACAGTCATGGAACCGGCCTCACAAGACTACAATCTGTAGAATCTACGTCTATCGACTCTGGTTTGTCGACGGGCGGGACCGCTTGGGCACCCGCTCAGCATCCATCGATCGCGGTGTTTGTCTCGAGGACATCTCAGGCCAGTCCAACGGTCTCCTTCTCAGTGAGAGCGAGGACGATGGCAAGTTCCTGGACGGCGCACTCGTCGTCGTCGTCGATGCGCTGGAACACCCCGTCGAGATACACCGATGGGCTGACCGCAGCCAGCTGCAGGATGACCCCGCGGGCCTCCCCAGTCTCGACGGCATGCGGGTTCATGCGGAGGTTCCGAACGACTTCCTTGTGGTGCGGGTTCTCGACGAGCTTGAGCTTGAGCGCGACGATCTGGCGGATCAACACATGCAGCAAGTTCTTGGGCAGCGGCGTCAGCGGGGCAAAGGGCGCTGCAACCAGCGGGCCGCCAAACAGGAGGCTGGCCTTGGGACCAAACAGGGTGTCGCAGCCGTTCATGGAGTCGTCCGTGACCGAGTGGCTCGCGGCCGTGTACGAGGCAATCGTCGACGGCAGCGACACCATCGAAGCCTTGCCGCTCCGCAGCGAGATGGTGTCCGAGGCCGAGGAGCTTCCTCCGGACCCACCCGGTGGGCGAAGGGTCTTGAGGTACCTGAATGTCTTTTCGTGGCAGCTGATGGCATCGCGGTAAGCCTGGCGGATCTGCGGGGTGACCACGCCCTTGTAGTTCTGATAGGGCTGCAGAACCAGCCGCGAGAGCTGGCGATACGACTCGACCGAACGGGCGTCCAGCTGGCCAAAGCACTTTTCTCGGAGCTTCTTGGACTTGCGCGAGTTCTCGATCGCCCCGTCCAGATCGCCCTGGGCCGCAAGGCACTCGGCGAGGTGGTGGCGGACCTCTGAGACCAGCGTGGCATCCGAGCGTAGTCCCAGATAGATGTGGAGGGCCTCGTTAAGCTTTTTGGTGGCATCCTCGGTTTGCTTGAGGTGGTTGAGATAGACTCCCGACTGAAACCGGACAGCGACAGCCAAAGTTAATCACGGCAGCGTGGGCGGCACTCGGACCCTCGGCTCCTGTGAGGTTCAGCGCCGGAGCACCTGGAGCGATCGCAGGAAGGAAACAAGCACCCGGCCCTCATGAAACAGGCATATGAATGTCCAAGACGTAAAGACACACGGCAAGAGCGCATAGCAAGCAAGGCAATGCCTCATCACCGCACATGATGAACATCCACGGCATTTCCAGACCAATATCGTGCTATCCGAGGCCAGCACAACACCATGGTGCCAAAAATCGACGGCCCCACCAAGGGCGATGCTTCCCGCCCGTTGTCCAGCGACACCACTCAACGTATTCACGGCGACCAAAGCAAGAGGAACCGGTCCTTGCATGCTCACAGAGACTCCATGCAGCGCCACTCTCGACAGAGCTTGGGTGACCGAGCTGCTCTGCTCGCCTCGGGCTGGCTCCAGCGGCAACAAATCACATCATCACGCTGCTTGCCTGCTTCACTTACCACCGTCAGATATCCTGCCGTCACGCTGTGGTGCTTGCCCAGCGACTTGAGGGCAATCTCCATGCTGATGCAGTGGAACTCGTAAGCCTGCTGGTACTTTTTCGCTGTCATGTAGCAGGTGGCCATGCGGTCGTGCAAAGCCATAGTGATCGGATGGACTTTGCCCCAGTGCCACTGCACATTGGCCAGGGCTTTGGAGTAGACCGAGAGAATCTGAGTGTCCGGGCCGCTCGAAGGGTTGGACTGCACGCGGCTCATGGCCTCGATGAGAACTCCCTGAGACAGGCCCCACAGCGCCGAGTTTTTGGAGGCCGCCGAGGTGGCGCTGCTGGCGTACAGCTTGGCTTCTTCAAACCGGCCCGTCTTCAGGTAGTGAGTAGCCACCTGGATCAGAGCCAGCGCACTGGCGTCAGACTTGCCGAGGCGCTTCAAGCTGCCGATGGCCTTAAAGTGCCGCGCCAGGAAGTAGGCCATGCGCTCGTCCTCAGTGAAGTTGGGATTGGTCTCGGATGTCTGGGGCAGACCATTGACGGACTTGGCTCGCGGCGCAAAGGAGACAAGGCGATGACGGGCGATGCAGCTGATGTTGTCAAAGTCGTAGTCGAGCGAGTCTTCGAACTGGACGCCGCACTGTGGCACGGTTGTCGTCGAGGGAGGCGAGCGGCTTGCTGGTCAGCAGAAACGACGACCGACCATTGCCAGAGCATCCGAATGCGAGCGCTAAATCATCGCCATTTCGATTGAGGGAGGCTGTGTGGGTGGGCTACTTACATGGTACTGCATCGCCAGGAATAGCGCAGGGCGGTGGAGCACGGTGTATTCATGAAAGTCCATGTCGTACTCAAACTTGTGTTCGATCTCGTTTCGCAGCTTTTCATCAAAAAACTTGCGCGTCTTGTCGCCCACGCCAAGAAGGAGCTGGAACATGGTTGCGACGTACCCCTTCATCTCTTCGTCGATCTGGGTGGCGCCAACGGATCGAAAGTGGGCGATGGCGCTGCGAACTCGGCTCTGGAACAAAGCCTTGGAGGCCCGGGCAGCCATCTCGATCGTGGCCATCTCGCGGATGCAGGGCAGGGTGGAAATTCGCGCAATCATGCCTGGGGGACCGCAGATGAGCAGTTGGCGTTTAGCTCACCGATACTCACCGCCTGAGGATATGCAATGGCGCACACACACAAAGACTGCCAGATCACAGCGACAAGCATGCGGTTCGCAGCGCTTACCAAGGTACCGTACATTGACTCCGTAGCGATGCATCTCCGTCACGAGCATATGCGAATCGATCGGCCGGACCTCGAGCTCGTCCAGTTTCCTCACAAAGGCCGGAACCCAGTTCTCGCGCAGATACTTGGCCGCCCTGAGGGCTTCGCCATCGTTGACCTCTCGCTCGCGTCGGCCCGAACCCGACTTTTCGGTCAAAGCGTCGCTCGCCAGCTCGGCTTGGTACGCCTTGACAAACTCTGGACGGAACCGCTTCTTGCTGTCAGGTCGGGCGACGGCGGTGTTGAGCTCGCCGTTGGATACAGACGAAGGGGCCAAGGATCCGCCTTTGGGGCCTACGCTGCCCTCAGCCGAATCGCCAAAGTCCATCGGAAACAGCTCGTGCAGGTTGACGGCGTAGAGATGCCGGCCAGTCTTGTCGGCGTGGGCCTGTGTCGACCAATTCAACGAGTTGCGGCGAATGCGTCAAGAAAAGTACGCGATATCTCGTGGCAAAGATTATGGGACGCGACCACATTACCTCCATCGAAGCTGAACCGTGCACGGAAATGCGTCGCTCATCGTCGACATTGACGACGTGGGTCTTGAGATTGGCAAAGCGCGCAACAGCCGACAGGGGTTCGGCGACCCGCTCGTCGATCTTGGGACATCGAGATCCGATGCTGTGAACGAGGGTCACCTGTGTCCGAAATCAGACACAATTGAGCCGAGTTGGTGGGCGCCGAGCACGCAGGATCATGGAAACAGATGTCTAGCACTGCAGAGCACGAGGCTGAGGCGGCCAAATGGTAAACCGACTACCACAGCGCACAATGCCATGGAGAAAACATTACCCTCTCGTCCAGTCCCATGTCGGCGAAGGCCACAATGCGGAAGCCCTTGTAGTCGACTATGGTCATCAAAGCCGTGCTGATCCGGGCTCGGGACTGATTGACTGCGTTGATGCCTCGAAGCTCGGCAGAGGTTCTGCAGAGAGCCTCGTCAATCTCCTCTGGCGATGCCTCTGAGTCACAAAACAGCCACGGCAAGGAGCAGATATGACAAAGATCATCCATGCTGGTCAGCGGGATGCTGCGTATAGCCTAGCGAAAGTTCTTTGGCGATGCAGTCGAGTCAGGCGACGGATGGGAGCTCGATATCGGCTCGGCACGGACGCATGGCTCACCGTCGTAGTTGCAGGCGAACTGATACACCACTCCCTCGTGGTACACCGTCAGCTCGCCGCGCGGCCCATGGATGTACTCAGTCGAGGTTCTACTGCGAGTATGGTACTCATCGATGATGCGGCACGCATGCGTCTTGGCAGTTTCCTGGAAGTTGCCGACCATTTCCACGATCTGGAGATCTGCGTGCCACACAGATGCCCCGGTCGGTAAAGGCAGCTATTTAATTACCGCGATACAGTCGATTCGATCCCCGGGCTGTGGCGAGTTGGTATACTTGGGTGTCCGCTGTGTAGCCAGTAGCAACTGCTCGATGCAAGAACAAGGGCAGCGGGGACACTACCACGTTGTGTTGCTTACGATCTGCTGCAAAACCAGCCTAAAGTGTTCGCTCACATACCTAGCTTGAGTCGGCTCTCCGTATCATCCGGAAACAGCGACAAAAGTCGCTGGTACTTGTCGTTCCAGTTCTCAGGCAGGGCGTTCTGGCTGTCAAGGTGGTAGGGATCTGTGGCGTGTACCGAACGAAGGATCCATATCAGTCAACAGCCATATCGTTTCAAGAAGGGTGTGCATTGGGTCGCCGAGCCAGCAGCGCTCAAGACAGCAACGTTCAGAACGACAGTTGGCCACTCCGACCGTGCAGCAACATCGATGCGCTCCGTGATCCAGCGCGTTGAGATGCAGGCTTCACTTTGCTGCTTACCCTTGCGCTTCCTCAGAGGACTTTCCTCTCTGGAAACCAATTCATGGTTTATGTTAGATGTTGCTCGTATCACCTTTCGGGCTGCCATTGGAAGGTGAGTTGGAGGAGGGGTATCAAGCGCGACTTACTTTTGCACGGTGATGCTTCCCATCTGGGCCAGGTCTTGGGGCGTGAGAACGGGCTCTGAGAACAGAGACTTGGGGAAGAGGATTGGGCAAGTGTGAACACAGGGAAGTATCGCTCTCAGAGGCGTGAGAGGTGAATTGTAGGGCCAATGTTGTGGTATATGCGACGGATGACGATAGACAAACTCTGACTATCGAACGCACACAAAAATGCAAGCAGCGCAAAGATTACCAGGGTCTCGAAAGTCGAGTTGATGCTGCGGATGTCGGTTTCCTCGTCATACGCGGTCGAGCCCAAAGCAGCCGAGTAGAGCGAGCGGTCGTCTCGAGAGTAAGTGGAAACAGTGTCGTCGCGCTCCTTGTACAGGCTGGGTCTCGAAAGGGTGCTGAAGCGCTGGAAGGGGTTCTGGCTGGGGGCCTTGATGTTAGGCTGGCTCTGGCTGTGAAAGATGCCGGAGCTCTGGGGCCGAGAGGAGTCGTGGTGGGCGGAGCCATCGCTCTTGCCGCGGAGCGGGTCGATGCGTGACTTGGACTTGAGGCCGCGATGGACAATCGGCCCGTGCAGGTACTGTTTGAGGAGATGGATCCAGTCGTCACGCTCGCGGACCGTTGGGGCGGCAAAATTGAACTGCGAGATCAGGGAAACACATGTCGCAGCGGGCAGGTGTAATATCGCAAAGTAACCGCGCGGGGTTAGATGCACGAGCAACCAAGGTCGCAGTATCGACAACGAGCCGACTTGGCTCAACGACATTCTTCTCGACCTCACCACTCTCGGAGCGACAGGTGACGCTTTGGCAAGGTGCTCGCTCGCCTACTCCAGCCGTGATAGCTCGTTCGCGCTGACGCTGCATGCTCGCCGCAAGCCGGCTGCCAGCCTCCACCCACATTCATATGCACATCCAACTTACGTTGCGCTCGCGCGTTCTCAAGCAGAACTGGTAGTACTTCTTCCTGGAGCTGTCCGCGTCGTCTGGGAGCTCGATGGAGGCCTCAGGCAGCGTAATTTCGTGCTTGGCCGGTCCGGTCTGGTCCCGTCGCTCGTAGATGTAGAGAATGGGATGGGGCTCACCGTGCAGGACGACGTAGACATCCTTGACACGAAACCTGCTGATGAGGCCGGTTCCTCGCTTGCCGATCCAGCCTTGCTTGACGGGCCGGACGGGACCCGCAGACTGTCGCGAGGAGCCGTAAGCTGAGAGCATGACGGGCTAGTCCTGCACGTTCAAAAGGGCTGCCGGAACAAGAGGCGACGTGTGTGAGATGTTGGTTTTGGAGACATTCAGTGCCGTGAAATGGCGAGAAGCGGGTCCCAGACGACGCCGAGCAGGAACAGAGTGGCTGGCATGCATCGAATGTGACAAGCGCGGCGACCCAAACGTACTTATGGGCGGATGGGAAAAGGAGGGCCAAGTGCGGAGCAGCGTGAGTCGGGACCGAAGCGACGAGGGAGAGTTGAGAACGGTGGTAGTGGTGGTGATGGTGGTGGGAATGGCGACGGGGTCGGGTGGGAAGCGCTGGAACCGCCCGGGCAGCAAGAAGGCCCAGATCCGCCCATCGCCCCTACTCTTGACCGCCATGCGCCATGGCCAGCAGCACACCGGGCCAGCGGGCGGTAGAAGATCGTGTGATTGGGACCGGGGCGGTCCAGCCGCTGCTCGATTGCGATGCTGTCTGGCTCGGATGATATCTTTGCCAGCGAATGAAATGCAAAGGCGATCTGCAACTTGACCCTCCATCGTGATTTGGCTGGCTGTCGGGCCTCGAACACTTGGACTCTCTGCATCCGCACGGCCGAGTGCTGCCGCCAACAATGAGCACTGCAAAACAGAAGGATGCAGGGTACTATGGCTTGAGCCAGCAGGTAAGTCGGCCTAAGATCAAACCCGTCATGGTCGCAGAGGATATGACCATGCTGGCCAGAATAGAACATCGTCGTCTCCTCGCCTGCTTGCCCTGACCCGGATGCTGCTCCAGGTGCTGCTTGTCGACGAAACAGGGGCTCCATGGGACAGGCGAGAAGGCCGCCGGCCGCTCTCGATCCAAATGCCTCGGATCCAGGACTCGCCAGTGCTGCAGGAGGTTCTCGAGACGAGCCGGCTCCAGATCACGGTGCCGAGACTCGCTGCCGCTACCAAGCTGCCGCTGACGCTGTTCTGCGAAGAGTTCATCTCTCCGATCATGGAAAACGAGACCTTGGACAAGAGCCCGGGCCGGTACACCCTCGGCGGCATCATCGGCATCCTGTCGCTGCTGCGGTCGCTCCAGATCCGCAATTCGCAGAACATTACGCTGTCGTGCTTTCGCCTACTACAATACTGGCACTTTACGGTCCCGTCGGTGATATCCTTCATCATCTCGTTCACGCCCCGGATCTCCAACAGCCCAAGTGAATTCGATCGATACTCGGACATATTTGTGCTGCAGTGCAGGTTCTTCCTGAAACAGAACCTTGGGCAGCTCGAGGGTGTTGCGCTCGGCTTGATCCAGTTTATACCCCGCGACGTCTTTCTGGATCTGATCCGAAACAACGATCTCGAGGTCGCCGACGAATGGCATCGCATACGCATCGTCAAGCAGTACCTCGAGGCCATCCATGTCGAAGGTGAGTCCATGGGACTGCCGCTCGGCGAACGCCTGACATATCGCAGCGGAGCCATGCTTCCATCCGAGCCGGAAGGCTTGTCCTGATGAGCCGTTCGACGGTCTTGGTTCCCGATGCTGGGTTGCTGACTGCTCCACTTGATCATGCTGGCTCGGCTCTCTGCTCGGCTCTCTGCTCGGCTCTCTGCTCGGCTCTCTGCTCGGCTCGGTACTAGATGAATATCGAATGGAGCTTTTATCGTGCTTGCGTCCCGAGAACATCGTGGCCTATCCGTGGCATCGCAGCCGACTGCTTGTCCTCAGCGACGAAACAGTGTTCCCTCGGGCATGGATGCAGTCGGTGACGCCGCTGGTCGAGAGTTCGCTCGAGGGGCTTCTTCCTCCGTCGCTGGCCGGATGCGTCAGGTACCGCTTTGGCTCTGCCTTTGAGATGGAGCCCCAACCGGTCAACGGAGAAAGCAGCTGGATCGAAGGCGTCAACACCGCCGAAGACTTTTTATCCCGGGTCCGCAACGTTGATCAGATTTCCAAGCCCATGAGCGTGCACCGGACGGTCTGGTATCTGCAGATGGGCAGCGACGAATCAAGGCAGTCCATAGTCTTCAACCTCCATCGAGTCGACTGGGCGAGCACTGCCGCAACAGAGACAGAGGATGTTGCTCCGGTGGACCGACTCACTCACATCAACGCATGCAAGGAGCGCTATCGCCAGGCGGCTGCATCACCGAGCTCCGTCCATAACTGGAGCACTCCCAATCGCCCCAACGAGGAACCGTGCGCTACGGACGATTCGCCTGTCTCGGTGTCCGTCGGGTTCTCCCTGCGCCTCGGCGAGAACATCATCCCAATACCCTTGGACCAGTTCGTCCCACAGGTGGTCCGAGTTGGCCAGTCCATCCCTATCTTCCAGCTGTCGATCCAAGCCCTGATCGCCACCCTCAAGCTGGAGGACTCGATGAGGAAAGAGTACTTTATCCCGTTGCTCGACATCAAGTTTTACGTGATCCTGGAGATTGCCGTGGTGAGCAGTCTCTGATGTGCTGCATGTGTGAAGGTCGAGGCAGGAGACCACCGCAGGAGACCACCGCAGGAGACCTTACTTACCGAGATTATCCGGTCCGTCTTGGCGGCTGATGTCTGTTCACCTGTCGCATGGCTTGAAACTACTCCCTGGGATTGTCTCAGTTTGCACCGCCAAGTCCGTAGATCCTTATCCCTGTCATGGAGCAAATCACCAGCACCGTGATGCAAGCCGATTCTTGCTGCCGACGGTGATTCTGGTTGAGCCAGTATCCACTGCGAATCATCGATTCTAGATCAGTCGTTGCTCCGGACCGTGGTCCTGCCTCCAGGCCAAGAATCCCGGTCCCATGCGCATTTGCCGATATCGAGACGCCATCTCCAACCAATACATGTCGTCTGTCTCGAGGCATCTCTCCTTTCTGCTCGAGAGGATCCCAGATCGATAGTACTGTAGACAATACCCTGCAGCAACAGCACCTCGTCGTCGACGCAAGGAGAGGCATGATTGCGTCCCGCGGCCGACACAAGCGACTCCCTTTGGAGGGTTACTTACCAGTACTGGCTGGTGCTGTTCCCGACAGACGAGCACAACGCAATCGGCTGTTACTGGCGCCTTCTATGCATTGTGGAGTCGCCACTGATGTCAGTGGATTCGTGGTCCCTGCGACCAGTCAACTATCGCTATCGTCGGACCAGATGCTTTGCGGACACACTGCCCACTCCAACACTCCAGGGCGCCCATTTCGCTGCTCGTTCAGTATACTGGAACGGACAGGGAAAAAGTGCGGGCAAAAAAAGCGGGACGGGGGGACACCCCCTGCGACAATGGCGGGTATGCGAGCCACTGCCGGACGACGTGGGTCAGGCCACGGCGGAGAGGGGAACTGTCGAACGAGGCCCGCTCTGAAAGCTAAATTTATTCAAATGACTTGAACTCTCGGGGGCTGTTGGCTGTCCGGTCAGAGGCCAAAGGGGGGACCGTTCAGCGGCCGCTCTTTTCGTCTTTTTTTCAGCGCCCATCGAGCTCGGCAAAATCAAGGCTCCTCGCAGTTGCCGCTCCTCTTTCCACCTGGACAAAGACGCACCCGACGACTCGCTCCCATCCCAACGTCGACTCCTGACCGGGGCTCGCTCACATCCATCGCTGCGCGGCCTGGGTAAATCATGATCGCCAGCATGAATACGGTGAACCCGACTCAACTGGCGCTGCCGCCACCCCCAGAGGTAGACCGCCGTGACTGTTCCCTGCATCGATGCTGCCGTGCGTGCTGGTGCCGGTTGCATGAGGGAGGGCCGGGCAGCCGCGAATCGACGCTGCTTCCACCGTATTTCTGGCGACCGGCTCGCGCTGAGCCCGTCGCTGATGAGTGCGAGCGGCTCGGGAAGTAACTGTGGGAGGACGCTTTTTGTGGTGGGGAACCTTGACACGATCCATCTGCTCGATCTGATCGCCGAGTGCCTCGGGTGGTTGACGAGGATGGGCTCGCTCGTCGCTCCGTGCTGGCGTCGGATCGCTGTGCTGTCTCTGCACTTGATACTCCTGTTCTCGATGCCTTTCGCTTCGGTTGCTCGCCTGGGCTCGATTTGCTTCGTCGGACGCAATAGTGCCAGGATGAATCCGTGCACGCGCCAGAAACGAGTGCTGCTTGGCAAATGTGGCCGGGGGTGTGCGAGCACAGAGGTTGAGCTTCCCTCCGAGCCTGTTGGTCGATTCGGGTAGTTTTATCTGCAGTGGATCAGCGCTAGGATATGTGATGGAGCCCACAGCTCGCTCGTGGCAATGGCTTTTGATGCTCTTCTGCGGGGTCTCTCGTAACCTGCTGTTCCCACAGACCCGTGTCTCTTGATTCTTGCGGTGCTCTGGGATCTACAGTCGCTGATCCGGCCACTCTGTCTTCTATCCTTCATTTCCTCTGCTCCCACCCCACTCAATGGATCGTGGTGTCCGCCATGGCAACACCCAGGAATCCATCTCGGATGTCCTGCCTGCCCACATGCTCGTCGAGCTTCTGCGCTGCTACACCGACGAGGCGCTGGAGGAATGGTCCAATCACGTCATGACAAGACTGCAGCACTCGAACGGCCGGGAATATCTGTTTGGCGCTGGCCACCGTCTGGAGTGGGACACAAATCCCGAGGAACACTCGCCATCGGAGCTGGCGGTGCTTGCCGAGAGAAAGGCCAAGATCTTTGCCGAGGTCAGTTCGGGCATGGGTGTCGTGTGTGGGAATCAAGCAGGCCGTGCCATCGCTTTGAGCGACAGTCTTGCACATGGTCTCGACCAAACGTTGCCAATGCTCTCTGGTGTTGACGCATGATCGTGCTCCATCGCCTGATCGTACTCCATCGCCTGACTCTATCTCTACGGTCTTGTATCCTCACACTATCCCGCGACCGCATCGTTCATTGCCATGTCGCCATCAACTGTCACCATCAACTATGTCACCATCAACGATGGCACACCAACTATGTCACCATCAACTATGTCACCATCAACTATGTCACCATCAACTATGTCACATCAACTATCCAGGCAAAGGATTTCCGCGACGCCTGGTCCAGTCTCTTGGAGCGAGCTCGCATGCACATCTCTCAAGTCAGACCCTGTCGACCCTTCAGCGATCTAACTGCCATCCTCACGGCAATTGAATATGCGGTCGAGACCAACATCGTCAACCTGCCCGGCCTGATCCATCTCAACAACTGGTGGCGTGTGGTCCGCTACGTCCAAAAATCAAGGGCATCGCTGGGCCCGCTCTCGACCACGATGGCAGCGGCAAAGTCCAACGACCTGCCCAGCCTTTCGGCCGGCCTGGGCGAAGTGCTCGTCAGCAACCCGTCGTTCCCAGGCGTTGCTCAGCCGATCCAGAGTGCAAACGCACCGAATCTCTACGGCACCGCCTTTCCGGTCTTCAACGGCGACGATGCTGCCTTTGTCGAGCCGCGCTATGGCCTGGATATTTTGCATCTTGCTGGGGCTGCTCCCGAACCCACGCCGATGGCCAGTGGGCCGATCCTGTCCAATCTCTACGACTCACCGTCGCCACCAACGCCGCCACCGCACTCACAGGGCCTTCCGATGCGAACCAAGCCGACCCAGTCCCCGCCCTATGGGGTGCAGGGAGCCATCCAGAAGACGGGCCCAAAGACCCATCACCAGCGCCATCATCCGTACCGACGCCCCAAAGACGGCTCTGCCAGCGACCTGAGCGAGCCATCGAGCCTATCGCAGACCACAGCAAGCCACCAGGACTCGGCTACGACGCTAGTCGACAACCGGATGGCCGGCGATGGCTCAGAGCGCGACGGCCAGTGGGATGGTGCATGGGCCGCATGGTTCTAGAGCGCCAAGCACAGTTGTCTCATTGGCCAGGGGTACGATGATCATAACGAAAAAAACTAAATCATTCCCAAAAAAATAAAAATAAAGGAGGAGGAGGAAATCGGAGGTACCCTGGCTTTTTGTTGTTGCCTTGGTTCGTGTTTCTTTCATTGCCTGAATATACATACTCGTCTCAGCGACCATAGACGCCGCCCTTGCACCCTTGGTCTGGTGCTGCGTCGCTGGCTGAGGCCGGTTCGCAGCCAGAGTCAAGTTGCATCGAGTTTCCAAATGCTACACCCCCAAGCCGGAAGGGCGGTTGAGTGTCGCAAGTCTGGGATGCTGTTCGCGATGCCCTCACGGATTGCCCGAGGACAGCAGATTGCCTGAGAGTGACTCTGCGTGCGACTTGAACGAGGCCCGACTTATTGGTAAAAGTCTGGCTTCTTGACATTGATGCCGTAATCGCCCAGCGCCGCGGACAGGTCCTCGACGGTGAGCACTGTTTTCCGATCCTTTGAATTCCAGCAAAACGGTCGTCAGCACCGAGGATGTCTGTCGATAAGGCACCCATTCCCAAGGCCATATGTGACGTCTATGACCCATCGTCCACATGTGCTGTCTGCGACCCATCGTCCACCAGAGACTGCCACTCCATACCTTCAGTCCCATCTTCCGCTCCTTGCCCTGAGATCCCTGGCGGATTTTGGAATATTGCAGCGCATCTGTGGCGATGTCGGCGACAAACTTTTGGGCTGCCAGGCCGAGCAAGCGCTTGATCCGCTGATCAGAGCACTGAACCCCGGCCTTTTCGAGGTAGTAGTCCGTAACGGCATCCGGAATCTACATGCAGCGAGATGCGACGCAAATTGTGGAGTCGATGAGTCTGCAGATCAGGTCACCTCCCTTCCCCAAGACCGTCTCGGTTCGGTTCAGGGATCAAAAGGAGGATCGCCGTGGTAAATCCTGCATCCGCCCTCATCGTCCTTGAAAGCCCAAAGACACGATGCATGGAGCGGCGGTCGTGGCTTCTTGGATCTGCGCTCGTCTGCTCCAGTTCATGCAGCGCCGTCTCCTCTCCGGAATAGCAGAGCGGGGACAACCTACAATCGGAGCAAAGTCGTCCATGGCGACGAGGATTTCGGCCAGACTCTTGTCGGCCTTTTCGTCTCGGGGGGTGTACTTTTTGCCCTTTGCGGTCTGGCTCTCGGCCTGCTCAGCCGTTGGCTGCGGTCCAGCGTCCTGTGGAGATGCGTCCATGTCTGCGTGTGGCCGGCTGGGGGGCCGTATCGTGGTGGCCGATGGGTTGGATCTTGGACGATGCGGATGAGCGGAATGAACTGCAGCGATTGGGCAGGAACGGACAAGCAGCCGAGCCGAACCGGTCCAGCCAGCCGATTCGAGCCGGCTGGACTGGCTGGCGGGCCACACACACACATCGATCCGCAAAGACAACCAACACTATCAATTTTTTTCGGCCCCCTCGCGGCTGCTCATCTCGGTCACCTGAAAGTCACGTTGTATGTGGCGCAGCAAAAGTTGGAATGAACCCATGGTCTGTTGACGGCATTTGGTATCGTCTTGAGCCGATTGACGGTGGTGGTGGGCGATTGGTGTGGAGGAATGACCAATTGGATCATTGTTGGAAGCTCCACTCCGATTGCGGACAAGAACCACCACCATCTGAATCTCTCTGGTTGGAAACCTAGTCAAGCGTGGCTGTGTGTCAGCGAGATGACATGATCGTTTGGCTATCAGGCAAGACTCACCTTGACAAGATGTCTTCCCACGACTGATTGAGCGAGCGATGCGTTTCTGGATCTGAATCAAGGACGCCACTGCACAGTATCTCTGCCAGCCCAAAATGCGCTGGATTTGAGGAGATTCTTTCTTCCCCAAGGGCAGAACCAGCCATCGTCGCTATTTTCTCGCCAGATGGCTCCCAAGAGAAAGGCACCACCCAGGCGACCAAGTGGATCCAGAGCACCCATAAGAACCTTGATCTGCAGCAATGGATGAGCACCACACCAAGTCCCAAGATCCCTGGGTTGGCTTCATTCCTGCGATACATTCGCCATGTGTTCGATGGAGACATGCTGGAGAAACAGCTGTACTTCAGCCTGACCCGGCGACGGCGATTCAAGCGACTCGATCTCCACAGCAAGCGACAGCGCACTGTCCACGAGATGTGCAAGCAAGTCATCGACCAGGCACCAAGGGAGACCGAAGTGGTGATTGCCTTTGGGAATGCATCCTGGAAACAGGGGAAGGGATATACTTCCAGTCCCAGGAGACTCAGGTTCGTCAAATACTTTGAGCAGTTCCACCACCACCAGAGACGACCACCAGACCGATCCGTCTCCAAGATCCATGTGTGCTCGGTGAACGAGTTCAACACATCCCAGGTGTGCTCACACTGCCGGGAAGCCAAGCGACTCGAGTCACCCGAGTATCTTGATGTCGAGAAGCCACATTTTGTACGGAGCTGTGCAAGCTGCCATACGCTGTGGGATCGAGACATCAATGCAGCCAGGAACATGATCTCGGTATGCCAGTCGATCATCGCCACAGGAGATCGACCGGGTGTATTCAGGACCATGCTCCCGAAACCAACAAAACAAAGCGATTGCCGACGAAGACAGGAGTGCAATGCCACGGCCTGCCCGCTGGGCCTACAAGTCAGTCAGCGGGCTTCAGAAACCAGAAAGTGACTGTCCCGTTTCTTTCTGGATAGACTGTAAGTATCTTGCACTGTTCCTTGAGTATTTCGACAGTGGATGCCGGGTCGCCCATATTCTGGGCAGTCCACTTCGGGGTTGCCATCCCTCTTGGGATGGTCGATGGGAGGTGTTTGACTCCCTTGTGCAAAGTGTGTGTGTGTGTGTGTGTGTGTGCACTGTGTGTGTGTGTGTGTGTGTGTGTGCACTGTGTGTGTGTGTGTGTGTGTGTGCACTGTGTGTGTGTGTGACGGCGAGAGGCTTCTCGCCTTCCCTCGGGGGTCTCTCGTCAGAGACTGCTCTTCTCGCCGACCGAGGTGGCTCCGAGAGCGCGTTTTTTCGTTCTCGCTCATTTTTTTAACAAGAACTTTTTTCATAGTGCAACCGGCCTTTGCAGCTCTCTTGGCCGGCCACAGCACCGAAACATCGCCCAGACACAAGCTCCCGGCTGCCCTGCCCAGGCCGCTGTTGCGCTATCGCTCCGTCTCTCGCCTTTGATATCCCTCTATTGCCGCACCCGTCCGCATGGCTGCCGCCGCCCTCGCTGCCCAGCTGCTCTCCTACAACGTCCCGGAGCTGCGGCTCGATCGGGACGTGCTGACCAAGACCATCCGCACTTCGACCGAGGTTGCCTCGGCCCAAGCGCGAGAGTGGGGCATCTTTGTCGTCAAGACCGCTCTTGTACCTGGCTGGGCTCCGTTCCAAAAGGCAGACGCTGTAAGTATTTGTCGGATATCTGTGGGCGACAGTGGTTGGCCGGATCACAGATCGATCGCACTGGCTGCCCCAGATCGCGGGAAGGAAGTTGAAGATCCGCCGCATTTGATCAATCGATCAGTCGATGGTGTCTGTGGTGGCAGATGTGCTGTGTCGACGGTTCTTTGGGCGCTGTCCTTGGAAGCGGTGCTGAGGTGGGGCCTTGGTCCGCAGAAGGACGAACATCACTTCCGATGCCGGCTTGCAAGCCAAATGTCCGAAGGCATGGCATCGGTGCGCCTGGACAGCCCGCAGCACAGCGGCGGCGGACACCAGAGGACAAACAGACGAAGGCAATCATGAGGACACGCAGGCTGTGGGATAAAGACGAGCCATGTGGCCGGGGTCATGAGCGCGATTCGCCATTCCCAGCCTCGCATCTCCCCAGCGACCGTATGCGCCATATTGACCCATCCCCGGATGTCTTCTCTCGCAGGACTCACAAGTTACCACCCGAGCACCTCTTGCGACGCTGCTCTCGTCGATCCGCCAGGCCCTGATTGCCGACCTCAACGAGCCCGGCGACTGGGCCGAGAACATCTCGACCCTGGCACGAACCTGGATTCAGTCGACCCCGCCAAAGCTCGACCGTCCCACCGACCTGGACCAGTCCCTCCGTTTGGATCTCCAGTATGAACGATCGCTGTCCAGCCCGCGCTACCTTGGCTCCAAGCACGCTCCTGTCTATGAGCTCATCCACAATGTCATCAAGGAGCGGTCGGGATACATCCTCAAGACCGAATACTTCAAGTTGCTCCGGATCCACCAAGCTGCCCTTGACGCTCCCGTATCCTCAAAGTTCCCAAAGCTACCGGTCATTGGGCCTGCACAACTCGAACTGGAGCACTCAAGCCTGAAGGAAAAGTGGACCCGGATCGAGTCAGTCGTAAACGACGAGCTGGTCCATGGCCTTGAGGATGCCTGGAAGCTCGCACACCAGGCATTCGACTGTCTGCTGACGACGACCAGCCGACAGAAGGATCTGCGCGGCAAGAGTATCGGCCGAGCCGCTAAGGAGTTCACCAGTCAACACAAGGACGAGTTGCAGTCCTTTGACGACTACTGGGCCGCCGTTTCGGACCGGTTCAAAAAGAAGGGTGGCAGGGGCAAGCTGGATGGCTCCTTGACGATCGACGAGCTTGACGGTGCTCTCGACGCCTACGTCACGGCCCAGATCAAGATGATCCGGGACTATGACGAGGACGTCCTGGGCGGGGCCATGGCCGAGTCTCAACAGATCCTCAAGAACTTTGAGCAGACCTATCTCCGGATCCTGAGCGAGGTTGAGAACAAGCAGACGCATCAAGACTCCCAGTTCTTCCAGCGCCTGCTCAAGTCACGACAGATCGTCGTGGCGGCCGTGCCCAAGATCGCGCTGTCGATGAGCCGCTTTACGGAGCAGCTGCAGGCCGAGCACCAGGAGCTGGCAGCAAAGCTGGAGGCCCTCAAGCAAGCATACTACAGCGAATCATCGGCAACGATTGCTGGGCGCCTCGAAAAGTGTGCCAACAGGGAGTTCAAGAAGCGCACCAAGGATATCGAAAGCGAGATTGCGCGGCGGCGCACCGAGCGGCAGACGCAGATCGTCTCAGTGTGCGTGCCCATGAAGGACCTCACCGATGCTTGTCTGCCGATCCTGGAGCTGACCCTGGAAGAGTGCGAGAGCTACGAGGCCGAGTTCTTGGCCGGCTACAACGCCTCGTACCAGACGCAGACGGCCGAGTGGATGCAGAAGAAGGACGAGGTCATGGACCGTGTCGAGCTGTCAGTGGCTGTGGGCATGATCGAAGTTGCCAAGGCCATGGCGGCGCTGTTCTTCAAGGAGGGAAGACGCCTGGTTGAGGAGATCCTGTCGATGAAGGCAGAGAGGAAGCTGCTGGGGACGCCGACCAAGAACGACTCGCCTACAGCCGCGGCAACCGAGCCCGGTACCGAGGGCAGCGACAAGAAAAAGTCCAAGAAGAAGAAGAAGAAGGCTGGGACGCCTGCATCTGCCGACGCACTTGCAGACTCCGAAGTGCTGGCCCTGTCGGTGACCGGCGATGACGACGGCGAATCAATGCAGGCAAGCATCCGCAGCGACGCGGGCGACCTCAATATCGACACTGACCTTGTCGTCATCAACAACGGCGATGTGGCCTCGCAGAGCCCGCTGCAGGAGCTGCCGCCTGGACTCGGTGGCCAGGGCAGCTCGGCTTCGTCGCCTCCCAAGGCCACGCACCCGTCCCTCAAGTTTGTCCAGCAGCAGATTCAGCAGCGGCAGCAAATGTTCAGCCAGCAGCCCGGCAGCAGCGCAGTGACCGGAGCGCCCCCTGCGCCGGGCTTCGGCCCAGTCCCGTCCCAAACCGAATCCCTGGCCGACTTTGACACGCTCGAGGGCGTCAACAACCCGTACTTCCGGCCTCCGCCTGGGACGTTCTATCCGCCCAACCACATCGCCCCGGTGGTTCCAGGAGTGTCGGTTCCCATCAGCGGCTCGGCGTCAGCGCCGTCCGCGGTGTCGACGCAAATGATCCTGCGTGAAATGGCGATCCTTCGTGAAGAGAACCGACTGCTCAAGCAGGAGATGGCCGCCGCCCTGGCATCGAACAAGATGCTTGTGGAGGAGTCTCACCGGCTCAAGAACGAACTGGGCGTGTTGCTGACCGAGAACCAGATGCTGGCCGTCAAGTTGCGCGAGTCGATGGCCTCGGAAGCGTATCTTCAAGCCCAGCGACCCGAGCGGCCCCTGCCGCAAGGAACAGGCCTCGGCGGTGATGGCCGCATCCCGCCGCTGAGTCGCAGCACCTCGGCGTCTACCACCGCATCGGCCGACCGCGAGCGAGCAGCGGGCTGGCGAAGCCGGGACCGAGGCCACACCCCAAGAGATCCCAGCAGCGGCGGTGGCTCTCCGGCGACAGGCAGCAGCAGCAGCAGTAGCAAGCCCACCGATGGTCGCCCGACCCGCGGCGGCCGCCCGACACAAGTGATCCGATGCAGCAACTGCGGCCTCAGTGGACACGAGTCGACGACATGCACGGCGGGCTGCCGGTACTGCGAGGCGCGAGACCATCTGAGCGAACACTGCCCGGGCAACCGGGGATGAACGCGAGGGAAGCAGACAGATGCCGTGCTTTGCCAGACGGTCATGATCGTGGGAAGTGGGTGTCGACGCTGGGCATTCGGTGGGCATGTGCGCGATGTTGTATGGAACGATGAATGTGAAATGGTCATGGTCGTGAAATGAATGAATGGATATGAATGTGGATATGAATGTGGATGTGGATGTGGATATGAATGTGGATGTGGATGTGGATATGAATGTGGATGTGGATGTGGATGTGGATGTGAATGTGGATGTGGATGTGGATGTGGATATGAATGTGGATATGAATGTGGATGTGGATGTGGATGTGGATGCGACGGCGCGGAACAATGGCGGTGGCTGATATTGCTGCAGTGTCGGGGGGAGCTGGCGGTGCAGGAGATGACAGGCATTCGCTCATATCGATCGATCCATCCATCCATCCATCCATCCGACACCGCTCCGATGCCTCCATCCAACGCGGATCGGACCCGCCCATTGATGCCGGCTCCGCGCACCCGTTTCGATGTTCGCGCTGTCCATGGCGGCTGGGCATCATGTCCGAGCCCATGCCGGGCTGTTCCGAACCAACAGAACAGAAGCTGGCAAGCCATGCGCGGGGTGCCCCTTTGCCATTTTGCGGTCGCTTGGCCTTGTCCGTCTGCAGTCCTCCACCACCAAGAGTGCGCTGTATGGAGACGGGTGTCTCGTCGGCTGTGGGTGTCTTGCCGAGTGCTCCTGTCTCGATCGGCCGGTGGGCCGGCTGTCTCTTTCTCTGCCGCAAAGGCTGGTTTGGCGCAGACTCGCCAATGGCGACGACCAGCCAGGTGGTGGTGGGGGACGCCCGACACGAGGCAGCGAGGGAACGTGCTGGGACAGCCATGCAGCACGAGCACATCCCACCGCGGTGGTGCAAGCAGCGTGTCGACAAAGCAGCGAGAAAGGACAAGACCGGAGCCGAGAGCGGTGAGACACAGCGGGGAGCAAGCGCGGCGAGTGCTGTTGCTGGGACGTTTGCGCTGGCAACATGGTCGACCGGAGATGCATTGCTCCAGCCGACTTGGCATCCGCCGCGACGACTCGCCATGACAACTGACACAACCATTCAACTCGACTTGACAGCAACTCCACCCCCCCCGACTTGACAACTGGCTCGAGCACCCAATCCGGCTTGACAACCGGATGTACCACCTCACCAAGCAAGTGTGCGACCGCAGCCCAGCAAGGGTATCGCTCCACCCATCAAGTGTGCGACCCCATTCTACAGCCAAAGACTCAACAACGGCTGCGCGCCACCCCTCCCTGACCACAACCCAGGACATTTTGCAGACACTCGGGCTGTCCCGTTGTGCACAATCACCCGGCGTGCGCTGCCGGGCTTGCTCGTCGTCGCCATCGAACTGAAAAGACCGTCGACCTGCTCGCCCGCCATCTGCATCGCTTCGTCGCTTGCTTCGTTGATCATTTTGCCATTCGCTTTGCCATTCGCTTTGCCATTCGCTTTGCCATTCGCTTTGCCATTCGCTTTGACATTCGCTTTTGCTTTCGTCCGTCCGCTCCACCCCGCTCCCTCGTTCCCACCATCCCTGCTTCGGTGCAGTCTCCTCGCAGCCTTCTTTCTCCATCCAGCTCCGTTTCTCACCGCCCACCACCGGCCCATCTCGTCGCGCTTCATTCTTTTTTTTCTTTCCACCATTCCTGCCCATGTCTGCCTCTCTTTCGTCGTCCACCAGCATTCCATCACCACAGGCATCCTTTGACACCTCGCCGTCGCCTGGCGGATCGTCGCTCAGCACCGGAGCGTTGTATGCCATCATTGGCGCTGCTGTCGTCGCCATCGTCGCCCTCGTTATCCTCCTTCCCCGTTTCCTGGCCCGCCAGTCGCTGCAGCGCAAACGGCTGGCCAGCATTCTGTCTCTGATCCCCCGCAACATTGCTTCCTCTGCCGGCAGCCATGACATCCGTGCCTCTTCGACCAGCGTCCAAGATACCCGGGCGTCGTCGGCCAGCAACCCTGGCGCTCGAGTCTCCAACCACGGCGCCGTGCAGATTCCCATCCAGAGCCCTGTTCCCTCATCGACATATCCCGTCTCATCGCGGTCATCCACTCCCCAGCCAAAGTCGATCGATCATGCCCGGACAAAGTCTGACGGCGTCTCGGTCACCATGTACACCACCACCCCCGAAATTCCGCAGAGCTCGCTGCCAGGCTTCATGAGCCCGCGCGCTGCCTCGAGCCGCATCGATCTGGAGATGGGCTCGGCCAACCCGAGCCCGAACTCGTCGCCTATCATCCGGCCGCAAAAGTCCGTTGCCTCCATCCCTGGTCCCGGATTCTCTGTTCTGGACCCGGAGCTGATTGCCAAGGGCCAGGCGGCCTTCCGCAACGGCAAGCAGTCAAAGTCCTCTCCGTCGCAGCAATTCTCGGTGCCCAAGATGTAACCAGCTCGCCCGAGTGCTTCGTCGGCCGACTTACTGCTATGCTCGCCGTCTGCATTCGATCGATCGCACATCCATCGATGCAGATTGCACTGCCCCCTTGCCGTTGCCGGTAGCGACTGTGCCGGTGTCCTGGTTCCCACGTTGGCTTTTGCGGCCGCTCCTCGTCTTTAATTCTACACCCAACGCACGCAACACACCCAACACTTCGTGGCTCTATTCTCCTCGCGTGCTTTTGCCGCCAGCATTGCTTGCCGGGCTGTTCGCTGCTTGCTGTTTTCATCTCCCATCGACACTGTTCACCAGACCCACATCGCCTTTGTATTCCCGCATCACGATACCGCCCACTGCGAACCATTCCCCAAGCCCACGTTCCATTAGCATCAGTCAGCTGCACCTCCTCCCATGTCTCATAGTTCCGCTGCTCCTCTTCCTTGCTACATTTCACAGTAATAGACACCCGCTCCAACCTGTCCATCTGCCCATCCATGCATCCGCCGTCCCTCGCAGAGTACCAGAATGTCCTCGCGTGCTGCACAAGAACCCATCCTGCCATGTGCTTGTATTGTCATGGCACCGCATCTCGGGCCACAACACAACATCCGTGTCGTTGCTACTTTTTCTTTTTCGGCTTGGAACTCGGCGGGCGGTTGTGTGCCTGTGCGGCACCCGACTGCTCGGCGTCGACGGGCGGCGGTCCACTCCCACATCCCGGGCCCTCGCCTCCGCCAAGGCCGACAGTGTCTTCGTCGACCGGAATCGAGACATGGGCAGCATCGGTGCGTTGCGGATGCAGCTGCAGACTGAGGCGCACCACCGGCGCTGGTGGTATCTCGGTCTCGGTCCAGTCACAGCAGAGCGACAGCGCAATGGTCTCCTTGATGACGAACTGACATGGCCGGAATGAAGAGAGGTGGGTGTGACCTCGGGTAAGTATGGTGTGGTCGGGGCATGAAGAAACTCAAGAGCCTCTCAGCCGCCACTGCCGCGATACCCGAGCTGACCTGGTTCTCGAGAAAGATGTGGGTGTCGAGCCTGCCCTCGGCAACGACGGCGACTTCGTGCAGCGCCGGCACCCAGGGAGCTGGGTCGGAGGAAATGGACGTGGTGGATGAGATGAGTCTCCGAGTCTCCGAGTGCCCCGCTGTCTATCCCAACAGCTCCGCGCGCAACTTTGCCGCAATGCCAGAAATCAACCCCATCGAGATATGATCGCATATAAATCCGGCACCGCTATCGCAAGCCCACCTTCTTCTTCGGCAGCCGCCTTTCCGCCTTTCTTCTTGTCCTTATCCTTGTCCACCGCCAGCCTTCCCTTTCCGGCGCTCTTAAGTCGGTCTCCACTATTTGGTCGGCTGCTCGACAGCTCGTTGGTCTCGACAGCTTTGGGCTCCTGTTTGAAGACATACTTTTTCCGGACCAGCAACACATCAACGCCCACTGGGAAACCAATTTCATCAGATCATCCATTGGATATCCCACTCAATCATGCCGCTTGGACGACAAGAGCCAAAGTAACTCTGTCTCTACAACACAGAGTGTCGCCGTCGTTTGTAACCATAGGGCGGTGCCTGGTTGGGGAAACCTCCGTACAAAGGAAACCATGCTGGAGCTCACCGCTGAAGGCATCACGGAGTTGCTTGCCCACGGGAAAGGCGACTGTCTTGGAAAAATCCATGACCACAGCTTCACCCGTCCATTCTTTCAGACTGGTTGAGATTCGGTGCTTGTTATATCCAGTGACGACAACGTCGATATTGAAGAAATGCCTGTGACGACGATGATTCGAATGAAGCAGTCAGGCCACCATGCAGGGCAGTGTCTGATTCCTTCCGCACGATTGAGCGCTGCATACCCCCGCCCAGAGCGTCACCAGCGCAAAGGGAGGCATAGCAAGTGTCCGTTGCCGCTGCTGCTGCCGCTGCTCACCGATCTGGCGGTTGTTCAGGGTTTTCCGGGGCCACAGGCTCGATTGGAGACAGTCCCTCGACATCATGGACATGCAACTTGAGCGCAGCCTCTGAAGAAGAGCAGCGTCGCCGTCTTTACTCACGTCCGACAAGCAGATGCCGTTGCCAGTCGCCCAGAGAGGCACGGGCACTTGGAATGCCCGGTGCAGTCATGGTAGGCATTGGAGTTTTGCTCATACCTCGATAGCGGATCATGCTCAACCCCGATGCCAGCTCACGCAGAATGCCTTCCCGCTCGAAGACTGGAACAGGTACGTCGTCGAGCGAGACAAGCCGCTGCAAGCCATGGATGCTTTGTCTACGGTAGTGCTCAAAGAGCCCGATTGGATTGCCCTTGAGCCAGCCGAGTGGATGGAGGCAGTCAGGGAATAGTAACCATCGGGCGGATGGTGATCGTTGGGTGAAATCTTCGCGACGCCCGGTACAACCCAGCACAGAAAAGTGCAGCCCACGGAGTACTTGCCATCAATACAAGGGCCTTGAGATTCGGCAGCCCCTGCAGCGTCTCGACAATTTCATCCAGGCTTTCGAGGCTGTTCCAGCTCACATCGAGACTGACGAGGCTGGCTGGGAAGAGGTCTCTGGGACCAGCTCTGGGTTTGGGCGACATGGTGCTTGAGGCCGCCCGGAATGCCTTGATTTGATTGTATGCGAGGCCAACATGCTGGAGCGCAGTGAGACCACCGAGAAAAGGCATCATCTGGATGCTGGGGTGCAATCGGGTAAGCTGGCGCCGAGTTGAGATGCAAACGGCATTCCTGGATGTCTGGATCGGCTCCAGTGCTCCAGTATTTGTCGGTGACATGCCGTCGCCATTCGAATGGGTTTTTTGGCGACGAAAGAACAGTACTCTACCGGTTGGCATTCAGATGCAGGGTCTTGAGCGACTTTGGCAAGTGGCCCACTGCTTCGAGGTGATTGCCGGTGAGGCTCAGCTCGGTGAGATTGCGGAAGGCCAGCATCTTGGAGTCAATGTCGCCGATTTTGCGGTCGACCAGCCGCAGCGACTTGAGGAAGGCCTGCAGGAACTGGTGGGTCAGAGGCGCCGGAGGCTGGCTGCGTTTGCCTGTCTGAGCCTCGGACGAGTGCTTTTTGTAGGTGCTCTGGAGCCGCTTGAGCTCGTTTGCTTCGTGGGACCAGTCCAGGATCTCATCATTGCAGTCAAAGTTGTCGATCTCGGGGTCTTCAAAGTCGAGCTCGCGCGGATCGATGGCCAGGAACCCAGGCGGGTCATGGCATCGAGAACGAGTATTGGGTTGAAGGGAGCCCCGTTGGAATCTCGGACTTATCCCTGGGTGCTTGTCGCTGCTGTCCAGGACGGGGCAGATCTTGGACTCGTCCACGGGCTTGATGCCGGTCGTTTCATTGAGGATATCCAGAAAGGCGCTATATGCCGACACGGAGGTCTTGGTGGAGCTTTGGATCATCCTGGCGGTGTGGGAGCGATAGCACCAACTCTGAGTCGAAGCAGGATGCATTCGTCTTCGGACCAGAGGCACGCCGATGACCATTGATACGGATGCCGTCAGCAGTCGGCGTACGTCAGAGGGGGACACCAATCGCCGATTGAATGGTGGTCGCTCCATGGAGGATTCGCACTGTATTCAGGGAAGCAGAGTGCATGGCTATTGACAAGGACGAAGGCGAAAGTGCTCCAGCACAGAGCAGAGTGCGATTTTCCACATTCTGGGCAGTCAGTAGCAGCATATTGTGCAGTGACTGCACGCTCATCTATCACAACGGCTGTCCACAGTAAGCAACATCGACACCTCGATGACCTGGGCTTCAGCGAATCCAAGAGCGTTGCCGGTGTCGTTGCGAGTATTCACTGGCCGTGGCGGTTGTGCCGATCGAGGGCCAGGCCGATGTTGCTACATCTCAAACAGCTTTCCCAGGGCGCCTTCCATGTAGTAGTCTGCAGTAAACAGATCCGTGATCTGGGCGAATCCCGAGGGCCCCCGGGCAAATGGATCGGCGCCATGCATGAGCAAGTACTCGACGATGCGTAGATGCCCATTGTGCGCCGCCATGAAGAGCGGATCATCCCTGTTCTCGTGCAGATCGGCCCCGAGGCTCAGCAGCAGCTGGACAATGCGCAAGTGTCCGTTCAAACACCCCAGCCCGAGAGACGTTCGGCAGATGGCATCTTGGCCGACGCCTCGATCGCAGAAGAGCTGCACAATGTCCCAGTGGCCCCGGGAGCAGGCGATGCGGAGTCCAAAGCCGCCCTGAGCGTTGACGTCGGCGCCGTGCTCGACCAGGAACTTGACAACGTCGTAGTGGCCCCGACTCGAGGCTGCCATCAGATTCTGGTTGTGCTGATCGTCGACAGGGGCCCCATGATGATGGAGAACACGAGCAAGGACAAGACGGCCCTGTTGGCAGGCCAGGAACATGGGCTTGCCGTTCTGTGCCCTCGGGTTGGCTCCGTTGGCCAGCAAGTACTCGACCAGATCCAAATGGCCATGGAAAACAGCCCGACAGAGCCCCTCGTCGTCTTCGTAGCGAGTCTCTACCCGGTTGCGAACAAGCAGCTCGACCATTGCCCGATCGCCGCGCTTGCAGCAGAGCAGAAACGCTGTGTTAAGGATGATGCTAAAGTAGTGCCGCTCGATGAGGGCCTGGTCAGCAAAGGCCTTCTTCTCGATGAATGCCCGGAACGACGATCTGGCGATTGCCGAGGTGTCCAGGGCCCCGTCGAAATGCGCCAGGAAGCGCACCAGACAGATGCACTCAACCAGGTGCACATGGCGAAGGGCATCGAGCTCTTCCAGCAGCTGGGCTGCGAGGCCGTGGTGGCCTCGGACGACGGCCAGCAAAAAACACAGATTGATGATGTTGGGCGGCCACACTGCACAGGAACGCAGGGTACGGAAGATGGCGGTGCCGCCTCTCGAGACGACAAAGCAGAGTGGATGGGTGGCCTGCTCGAAGGTGATCATGGAGCCCGAGAGACCTGCAGGCGAGTCGGTCCACAGGATGTTGCGGGTGTCGATAAGAATGCGGCAGACTCTGCGATCGATTTCGCTGCCCAGACGGACCCGCAATGCTCGGGAGGCCTGCCCAAGAGCGAGAAGCGACGGGATATCGGAGCCATGCCGGGCGATCCGGAACAGCAGCTCGTTGGGCAGATCGACGAAGGAGGGGCACATAGGCTGGGCTGGGCAGCGGGGCCGGCGACGGTGCAGATGTGGGCGATATGGATGCTTTGCGAGCCGTGCCGAGGGCAGTGGCCGGTGCTAATGTCTCGGGGTGCGATGGGCCGATCTGTCTCTGAATGCGTCGGATATCTCGGTTTCCAATGCGAAGGAAGTGCTCAACCAAGACCCTTGTTGTCGATCCAACCGACCATCGCTGTCAGGCAAAGTCTGCATCGGTGCAGAGTTTTTCTCGTCCGTCCGTCCGTCCGTCTGTTCGTCCGTTCCAGAGTTCGACCCAGCTGGATCACCAGCTTCTGCCTGGAAAGGCGATCATGCCGGCCAATCCCAGAATCAACCACCTCGGAAGAACGGCCGGCTCCCGTGCCGCTCTGCCAGGCTTTCACGGGCCAGACTTTCAGACAGCCGACGAGCCAGCGCCGGCCGCCGACAATGCCTCCATCAACCCCGTCTGCTGCGATGCAGAGCAAGAATATATCGAGGTGGGTCGAGTGGTCTATCCCCCTTCCGCTGTTTCGCTTGCCTATCGGGTCCGCACGAGGATGATTCGCTCGCCGAGAAACAGCACGCAGGAATGGTAACGCAGCGAACCGTGGCTTGACGCCCGATGCGACACTTCATCGGCTCCAAACCCAAACGGCTTGCAGCGAGAGCGGCCTCGGCGAGTTCCGAAAGGATCCGCTCGGCTTTATCGTCCGACTGACCTCCGAGTCGACTCAGTACTATGCCGGCAACGTATGTAGTCCAGCCTGACGATGCATAGCAGTCGAGCAGCCGAGCAATCGAGCAGCCGAGCAGTCGAGCATCACGGGCATGTGTTTCAGACTTATCCAATGTTGCTTTCGCCGGTGCTTCTGTTGGTGTCGCCCGTCGCTGCACATTCCGGACCAACAGGGATGGCAGTCGTATCGGGACTACATCGGCACCCGCATCATGTTCATGCAGTACGCTGCCGAGATCAAGTCGTCCCTTCTGGCTTCGCCAAAACGTAGGTCGTCTCCTCCCACCAGACCGCAGACTCGACTGGCCAAACCGCAGACTCGGCCAGCCAGATCAGATCCCCGCCGTTCGATCGATCCGTAACCAGGTCGCTTCTCCGCGAACAGTCCAGAAATCGATTCAGAGCTTTGCTCTCGCCAGATACAACCTGGAGACAGACCATAAACTAAACTTTGAGGATATGGAGAAGGAGTATTACGCCAAGGCTTCGCAAATCATCGACAAGCTCATTGCGAACATGACTTCGATCACCACCGTGCGGTACGGAGCCCTGTGGCACTGGCGGAATGTCGTTCTCGTGCCTGGCTTACGAAGACACAGCAGAGGGGAGGCTCTCTATTGACTCCGGCTGGACTTTGCTTTCAGATTCATTGCCTTTATGACCGGCAACATGCTGATGCGGCTCTATCATCAGGGAATACACATTCGCGAGAGCGAGTGGCGCATGGTACGGGCAAATGCCTGCTCGTGGCGCTCCGAGGTCACTCCCTGCATTGATGGCATCGAGTACAGAGGCGGCGAAGAGGAGGATATTGGCTGCAGAAGCTCGATTTGCCACCGACACTATTGATAATCCATCATACATCTTGCCGGTGAACTGGGATCCAGCTTCAAGAAACTGCCAAGCTTGCCGAGAAGAAGGGGCTATCGCTGATCGTTCTGCCATGCCACAAATCGCACATCGATTATCTTGTCATCAGGTACGGACTCTAAATGCGAACTGGAACGCTGGTCCAGGTGATGTGAAGATGGGCCTGTCCTCTGCTTGCATGATTGCCCCTGGCATGATTGCTCCTCGCAGCCGACCAACGATCCGTTGCGCTTCAAGCTCTAATCAGGCCAATGTGTTCTTTGGTGGCTGGCATGCCTACAATCTCCAGCTATGTATTTTATCGATTTGGACTGGCCCTGCCCCATATTGCTGCCGGCGACAACCTCGATCTCCCGGTTATCGGCCCGCTGCTTCGATCGGCCGGGGCCTTCTTTATCCGTCGCAAGTGGAACGACGACGCACTATACACCACCATCATGAGGGAATACATTGAGGTATGCTCCCACCGCAGCCTCGACCGCGAATGGATAGATGATTTCCGTAAAACGGTGATCAAGTGCTCTGGGCCTTGCCCATCGAACGCAGCGACCCGTGCTCCTGACCCTTCTGTACCCTCGCTGTCCTTGATGCGGATATATGTACATTTGAGCACTAGCTGCTCTTGTTGAGGGGCTACAACATTGAAGTGTTTATCGAAGGCACCCGTAGTCGCATCGGCAAGCTGCTCCAGCCAAAGCTGGGAATCCTGAAGATCATAATGGATGCTGTGATGAACAGGCGGGTGCGCGACTGTTTGATTGTGCCAATGAGTATCGGCTACGATAAGGTGGGTCCATGTCGCTAGCTGAGGGTTATGCTCTATTCCTAGGTGTGCGGCAGAATTGATTTTCAAACAGGCGAGCGTATATCCATATCTGTCCGTCGATGTCTTTGTCTATCCGTTGCCCTTGTCTATCCATTATTGCTATGCACACCGGTTGGGTCTGTGAGAATTAATCTACCCCACCCGTGCGCTTTGGTAGGTAATCGAGACCGAGTCATACGTCCACGAGCTTCTCGGACGCGAGAAGGAAAAGGAGAGTCTCTATCAGCTCTTCAGTAGCGCGAACGTGCTGAACGTAAGTTTCATCTCAATTACTCAGCGCCCTATGTGCTATGCGTGGTGGGGCGGTTGCTACCACTATGGCAGACTTCCCGATCCATATCATATGGACTGCTGAATATGAATGTCAACACCAATCTCCAGCTCAAGTGGGGGCGAGTCGACATCCGCTTCTCTCAGATCTTTTCCCTGCGGGAGTACATCGAGGAACAGATCAAGAGTCGCGGGTAAGTCGAGGTATCCAAGGATACGGTTCGAACTGGGGGCAGGACACCAATGGTTCATCTGCCCAAAGCCGACTGGGGATACCAAAGACTCATCATCAATGGCGTGCTCTCAGAGATACATTTGATCCAGTGAACCAGTCCAAGGACCATGATGTACTGCTCCAAGCGCTAGGATTCCGGTAAGGACGAGGCCATCTGATGGGATTACCGAAGCCGATTGACGGATGCTATATCTAATGAGGCTGGCACTGCTCGCTTATCAGAGTGCTCAGCGATATCAACTCGGTCAGCGTTGTTATGCCAACAGCGCTCGGTAAGTGCGGATTCCTGTGCTCCCAGCAGCGAGCCCCCAGTAGCCAGCTCCGAGCCTGAGCTGGGTATGGGGAGGGACACGATGACTAATCTATTATCTTGCTGATTCTTGTTTTGTCCTTCAGTTGGCACTGTCATCCTGACGCTCCGTGGCCGTGGCGTGGGCAGAGATGAGGTATGGTGGACTGGTGGCTTGGGAAAAATCCAGTTTCCATGCAGGACACGATCATGACCAACAAAGCATCCTTGACGGAGATGGTGGCCAATGCAACGCAGAGGTGCCCGAAGGAGAGTGGTGTTAATCCAATGCTCGCTTATCAGCTGATTCGAAAGGTCGACTGGCTCCGAAATGAGATTGCGTCCAAAGGTGGCAACGTTGCTGACTTTGGCGGCATGACGACGGGCATGATCGTGGACCGAGCAATCCACGACCTGAAGCATCTGATTGGGCATCGAATGGATCTTTTGGAGCCTGTGTTCTTCCCACTGAAGCGGTTCGAGCTCAGCCTTTACCGCAATCAAGTCATTCACTTGTTTGTGCCCGAGGGTGAGTGTTGTGTCAGCAAGGAGGGTGATGGGAGCGCGCAGCGTGAGTGCAATGCCCTGGTCGAGGGCAGTGAGACATCCTGCCGTGACATCACGATAACTCAAGCCTCGCGTTGGTATGTCGCTGGATTGCGACGCATCTAGCAATCGTGGCCACGTCCATCTACACCAAGATCAAGTACGGAGGGCCGATTGTGCAACAGCGTCTGCCCTACCACCCAACACTCTTTGAAGAGGCATCGTTCTTGTCGCACCTGCTCAAGGGCGAGTTTATCTATGGGCCCAGTGGCATGGACAAGAACCTGGATGCGGCAGTGCGATCGCTCCACGATGCCAAGGTCATATCCATCGAGGAGGATCCAGGCGACATATATGGTGTTCCGAGCAGTTACGAAAGCACAAGATTGCACAAGACTGTTTGGGTGTCGCTGAGCTCTGAAGAGCGCAAAAAGGGCCGTGAGACGTTCGGTAAGTTGTGCTGCCGCCTGATGGGGGAGGGAGGGATGACTCTGGAATGTGCCTTGGAGGGCCGACTCCTGCTTGTATGGCATGGCCCCTTGCGACTGTTCACTTCTGACCTGCGGTCGCTGCCCAGATTTCTTTTGTTTCTTGTTGTGGCCGTTCATCGAAGCATACTGGCTTGCAGCCGTCAGCCTGTTCGTCATCGTGCCGGACACCTTGCCGCGGTCTCGGAGTCATGACGCAGAGATTCCGCCAGAAGATCGGCTGGATGAGAGCTGCTGGGTCGAGGAGAAGGAGTTTCTGGATCGCGCCCAGGCGTTTGGCAAGACACTGTACTTTGAAGGTGAGTTTACATGTGGTGAGCGGCAATGTGGTAGTTCTGGCCGTGGTCTGACCAACGTCATGCCTGCTGGCTCCCAGGCGATATCTCGTACTTTGAATCAGTCAACAAGGAAACGATCAAGAATGCCATCACTCGTCTGATGGAGATGGGGGTGCTGCTGTGCCGCAAGTTCATTCCGGTTCCTGGAAGCAGCAGCGAGGACAACGAGCTTCCACGGCCAATGGAGCTTCCATCGGTTGAGCCGACGGTGCGACCAAACCAACCAAAGACACCCAAGCCGGCGCTGCCAAGTGTGAAGTCCTATCTGGCGGTCCACCCCAATTGGCTCCCGCCAGAGAACCTCCCTCCGGTGAGGCTTGGTAGCTCGGAGCAGCATCTGGAATCGGTGCATGATCAGTGGGTCCGACACAAGCCTGCAGGCAAGCTGTGGGAACTATGCGAGCACATCAGCACCTTCCGACGGGAAGGCAAAAACCGCCGCGACACCGAGACCGTGTCGATGCGGGTGCTGAGACTTGCTCGCATCGCAGCGCAGGCGATCAAATCGGGACGCACTGCGGATATGGGATCCGGTGCGTCCACGGGCGGCCAGCGTAAGCCTGGAGTGGGCGGCAGCGAATCGAGCCCTGTTGAGGAGGCAGGACAAGTTGATGGTGCGGCGGGTCGCGCAACCAAGCACGAGCGATCCAAGCTCTAGTCCGCCTCGAGTATGGCCGGTGCAGGCACGGTGCCCGTCAACGCTGAGAATCGGCCACTCCGAGCCCACAGCGCATACTGCATGTTCGGGAATACATCGCTCTGGTCGGAACGAGACCATGATTCCTACAGACTCTCCAGCCCGCCCAATCGCCGCCTTGTGCGACGGCGGGTGTGGCGCTCCCCACACTCGTCCCGGTTGAGCGTGCTGCGCGCCAAGCCACGCGCGGCTGGGCGGATTTGAGCGTCGCCCCCCGCCGCCCCGAACTTGTCCTTCATCCCAGCCTGCTCTTCCCCGGTCTGCCCAGCAACTCCATCGCCATGTCCAACCCCCGTGTTTTCTTCGACGTCAGCGCCGGCGGCCAGCGTCTCGGCCGCATCGTCATGGAGGTAAGCACCGCTGCTGCTTGAGGGATCTTGCATCTGGTGCCGGTCGGCTTGCTCGGGGTGGCGGAGACGAGATTCCGCTTCTTGTCTCGGAATCTCGCTTGCCACCCGAGATCTCGGTGTCTGGGGGGTGTCGCCGTCCTTTCGCCACATGGCTTGCGCCGTGGCAGCCTGATCTGCAGCGTCGTGTGTGCACTCCGGGCATAGCCTGTTGCTCCCCGCTCTCTGACTGTCGTCGGCGTCATCCAGATCGCCGCGCTGCCTCGGCAAGGTGTCTGGGATTGCTCTTGCATGTTGCTAACGTCTTCACGGCCTCCCCTTGCAGCTCCGTGCCGATGTCGTCCCCAAGACTGGTAAGCATTTGCTTGACTGTGCAGTGTCGCAGTCGCGATCGACATCGACATCGACATCGACATCGGCAACTTGGCCGCCATGCTCACGGCGACGTGCCATCTCCCTTGCTCCTCCTGTGTTCGGACTGTAGCTGAGAACTTCCGTGCCCTCGTAAGTGAAGTGACCAGGCTGCTGCTGGCGACCGCTCTGCACCCGGTCCCACCTGGCCGTCGTGCTGATCATACTGTTTGGACGCGCCATACTCACTATGTGTCTTTTTGTTGCCACAGTGCACTGGCGAGAAGGGCTTTGGCTTCGCTGGCTCCTCGTTCCACCGTGTCATTCCCGGCTTCATGTGAGTGTGCTGCTGCTTCGACTCTTGTGCGGAGGCTTTGGCTTCGTCCATTCATGTCCTAGAACGTGTCCGTGTCCGTGTCGGTATGGCTCTGACACTGTTTGTTTCTTGTCCTCCAGGTGCCAGGGCGGTAAATATCCAGGCCTTCCCCGTGGCTACGCTGCGATCTACATGTCCAGAAACTGACTCTCTCTGCTTCTACCCAGGTGACTTTACCAACCACAACGGCACTGGTGGCCGCTCCATTTACGGTGCTCGCTTCAACGACGAGAACTTCCAGCTCAAGCACACTGGCGCTGGCATTCTCTCCATGGCCAACGCCGGCCCCAACACCAACGGCTCGCAGTTCTTCATCTGCACCGCCGAGACCGCCTGGCTGAACGGCCGCCACGTCGTCTTTGGCTCTGTCGTCGAGGGTCTGGATGTTGTCCAGAAGGTCGAGTCCTACGGCTCGTCCTCTGGCTCCACCAAGGCCAAGATCGTCATCGATGCCTCCGGCCAGTTGTAAAGCATAATCGCTTAGTTCCTGATACCCTGCATCTGCAGCGTGTCTGTGCTTTGTTCAAACTGTAATATACAGCGTGTTTACGAGCAGACTATGGATCGGTCGTATTGGGGAGATGATCCAGTTGGGTCGGGCACAGAGTTTTCCCCGCCAGGACGTCTCGCGATGCGCTGTCGTAGCTGTGCTTTTACTCGAGTCTCGGATACATCAGATCTGGCCGCCGACTTGCACTCAACCAGATCTCAACACCACATCTGGGCCACGTGAGGATACAGTCGGTCCAGCAAGAAACGGGGCAGTCACTTTCTGGCTTCAGCGGCCCGCAGCCTGCCGAACTTCCGTAGGCCCCAATGAGCAAGCCGTGAGATTGTTTCCCGTCCTGGTTGGCAATCGAGTGGCCAGCGCGCGATAACAAAATATTTGATCAATCGTCAAAAACACGGGTGTCTCGTTTTTATTGGATCTGCTGCGCGCCCTCGTTTTCTTCCAGCCAGCCGCAAAATCCAGTGCTGCCCTTCCGCCCGATCCACCCCAGCCTGTCCATCCGCAAGCCGCTGCATCTTTGCCCACCATGGCCTTCCGCTTCACCCAGACCCTCGCCAAGAACCCCCGAGTCTACTTTGATGTCTCTGCCGGCACCAACAAGCTCGGCCGCGTTGTGATGGAGGTGTGTCTGCGTTGGATCGGTCCATGTCCGTCATCTCGATCAACGACCGATCAGGAGGACGGCATCCGGCTTTGCCGAGCATGATGGATGCATCTTTCCGACATCGACACTCACTCCCTATCCGACGTGGTCACTTCGTGGATCGACTCATGTCCTCCCCCAACAGCTTCGCGCCGACGTCGTCCCCAAGACCGGTTCGTATTCGATCGATCGAGCGCAGCCTGCGGATGGCGAAGCCTCGCCAGAGCAGTCGATATCTAGAGTGGGGCAGTGTTTGTTCAGCGAACCGTGCGGCTGACGCCATCTCCTCAACTTGGACTCCAAACCATCGGCCATGGTCCCTAGCTGAGAACTTCCGTGCTCTTGTGAGTATCTGTCGAGATTGAGTCGTTTTGTTTGAGCACGGCCATCATGTTCATGCGTGGTACCCATCCCGGCTTGCGGCTTGTGGCTGATGTGCATGTCCTCGTTTCTGGTCTCGATCACAGTGCACTGGAGAGAAGGGCTTTGGATACGCCGGCTCGTCATTCCATCGAGTCATTCCCGGATTCATGTGAGTATCGGTACCCTGGTTCGCAAGGACTCACGGCATGTACGCCGCGGATCGATCATCGAGGGGACTCGTGGTTCGCTCTGGCCGGGTTGCAATGTTCACGACGTAACCCCTGTTCGCTGATACCACCGTCGTTGTAGGTGCCAAGGAGGTGAGTTTGGAGCCATGATCAGCATCGTGGCTTGGTGCAAGACGCATCGATTGATGTGATCTGCGAGTGCAATGCGGTCGTCGGACTCTTCTTAACCGACTGTTCGTTGTCCAGGCGACTTTACCAACCACAACGGCACTGGTGGCAAATCAATCTACGGTGCTCGCTTCAACGACGAGAACTTCCAGCTCAAGCACACTGGCGCTGGCATTCTCTCCATGGCCAACGCCGGCCCCAACACCAACGGCTCGCAGTTCTTCATCTGCACCGCCGAGACCACCTGGCTGAACGGCCGCCACGTCGTCTTTGGCTCTGTCGTCGAGGGTCTGGATGTTGTCAAGAAGATCGAGTCCTACGGCTCGTCCTCTGGCTCCACCAAGGCCAAGATCGTCATTGACGCTGCTGGTGAGCTGTAATCCAGATACGGTGCCATATGCATAAACCCGAGCAGCGCACTGGAAAGGCAGCTCCCTCGGCAGTGTTGAACTGGAAGGCGTCAATGAATCTGCCCGTGCCAACAATGGCGTTTGAAGCGTTCGAACACAGAGAAACGTATTATTCGGTGGCGTTTTCGAGAGCATAAATATACTCATGTTTATCGCATGAGAATAGAATTGTGCCTCGCTGCGGGATGCTGTGGATGCTGTGGATGCTGTGGATGCTGTAGATGCTGTGGATGCTGTAGATGCTGTGGGTGTTGTAGATGCTGTGGATGCTGTGGATGCTGTGGGTGTTGGTTCACATCACACTTTATTCTCGGTACCAAGTGTACTCGTGCAGACTTGGCTGATGCCGAACGACAAGCTCCTGTTTCGGATCAGTTCGTTATCAGCGTATTTCAATCAGCCTCTACAATTTGGGGCCCAGCATGTCCTCGGGACGGACCCATGCGTCGAATTGCTCAGAGGTCAAGAGACCCAGGGCAAGGGCAGCCTCCTTCAGGGTCGTGCCCTCCTTGTGAGCCTTCTTGGCGACCTTGGCGGAATCTGGCGGGTGGCAGAACTGGTCAATGCTGATGGAAATGGTGCACATAGGGCCGCATCCAGCACTCGAGTCGTTGATACAAGGGCTCGAGCAAGAGAGATGCCACTCCACAGGGCTGTCACGGCGAATGGACCGCAGTGCAAAAGTACATACTTTCGTATCCGATGTGTGGGTTCAGGGCCGTGACCAACATCAAACTCTGCTGCAAGAGCTGCTTGATCTTGTCCTCGTTGGGCTGGATACCCACGACGCAGTTCTTGGTGAATGACACTGCAGCATCCCCGAGAAGACGGATGGACTGCAGCAGGTTGGCGATGAGGACGGGCTTGAAGACGTTGAGCTGAGCAAGGGGCAGCAATGAGCGTACGCAGCAAGACGTGCCGTGAATACCATCACGACGAAGAAAGCAAGGGTCGACTTAGCATCGGGTGGTATTGCCCCGGAGTGGAGTGCCGTGTGCAAGGCGCATGAACATTGGTAGCGACAGAGAGTGGCGTGGTGTGGACGGGCTCTGGGCTCTGTACGAACCTCAAAGTGGCCGTTGGAGCCGGCAACGGTGATGGCGACGTGGTTTCCAAAGACTTGGCTGCAGACCATGGTCATGGCCTCGCACTGGGTCGGGTTGACTTTGCCCGGCATGATCGACGAGCCGGGTTCGTTTTCAGGAAGAGAAAGCTCGCCGAGGCCGCTTCGGGGACCGGATCCTGTGGATGTCGTGAGTGGTGATGAGGCCAAGCAAAGAAATGCACACTTGACGCAGCTGCGATGGCTGATCGATAGCACCGCGCCATACACCGGGTCCGCACTCAGTTCATGCGCGGCGCGAGGTGCAATCGAAACATACCCAGGAATCGGATGTCGTTGGCAATCTTCATCAGCGAGGCAGCGACGGCATTCAAAGCGCCACTCGCCTCGACGATGGCATCATGGGCAGCAAGAGCCTCGAACTTGAGTGCGGAGGCGGAGCAGAATGGTGCCCGTTGCGCGGTGTTATTTGGTTATTCGAAGACACAAACCCAGTTATGCTCAGCAGTCTGGACGACCCTACCTTGTTAGGAGCGGCGGTGAAATGGGTGCCGGTGATTTTTGTGATTTCGGCAGCGACTTTGACGTCAAAGCCCTTCTTCGTGTTGAGACCCTATCGCGATAACGGCGTATCAGTGGCGAGTCAAGATCTACAAAGAGCCCGTCGATAAATGACTGAGCTTGTCAACTCCTACGTCCGAACGATCACGGGGAGATGCAACTTACAGTGCCAACGGCTGTTCCGCCTTGGGCAAGCTGGCTGAGACGGGGAATGGCGGCCTTGACGCGCTCGATGCTGTAAGCAACCTGAGTCGCATAGCCTGAGAACTCTTGGCCCAAGGTCAGGGGAGTGGCATCTTGGCTGAAGGGCCAGGTCCGCATGAGGGACGGGATACAGATACGTATGGCTTGTTATTCGAGGGGGTGATCTTCTGCAGATGGCAGTGTCGGAAGCGAGAGCTTACGTGTGCGTTCTGCCGATCTTGATGATGTGCATCCACTTGTCGGAGCACTCCTGGAGAGCCCGCTGGAGCCCCTGAAGGCCGGGAAGCAGGCGTCGGTTGATTTCCAGGACGGCCGAGATGTGCATGGCCGTGGGGAACCTGGACGACCAAGAAAATCCCGCAGATCAAGATCCGCCGGGTGAGGGTCAGCAGGCGTCGAGTCCCATCCAATGCACCCAGCCCTGCAGAGGCGGGTTCGGGTTGCCATGTCACGGCCCAGCGGCGGCACATACGTGTCGTTCGAGCTCTGACTCATGTTGACGGTGTCGTTGGGATGAACGGGCTTCTGAGTGCCGCGTGTCTGGACGCCGAGAATCTCGTTGGCACGGTTGGCGATGACTTCGTTGACGTTCATGTTGGTCTGGGTACCAGAGCCGGTCTGCCAAATGACCAAGGGGAACTCGTCGTGCAGCTTGCCGGCCAGGATCTGGGGCACGCAGAGCGGATCGCAGGGTTGTGAGAAGCTACTTCCTCGATGCGATTTCAATACTGGCTCGATGCTCGCTGAGAAGGCGGCACCGGTGCGGACAAGGGAGTCGCACCTCGTCGGCCGCCTTGGAGATGGCTTCGCCCAGCTTGTGGTCGAGCCCATAATCGATGTTGACGATGGCGGCGGCCTTCTTGAGAATGGCCATGGCTTCGATAACAGGCTCGGGCATGCGCTCCCGGTGCCCGCCAATCTCAAAGTTCTGGAGAGATCTGCGAACAAGGGAAGACGATCGGTCACATATAGGATGTCAGTAACATGCAACCCGACAATGCCAGGCGATCGCGGATGATATGGCGAGACTTTGAACGCACTAAAGACCATACCTCTGCGTCTGGGCGCCCCAGTAGCGGTTGGCAGGAACCTTGATTTCGCCAAAGGTATCGTGCTCGATTCTGTAGCTCTGGAGAGCCGCGTGTTGATGGAATGAGGGTATGAAGGTATGAAGGTCAGACTGTGGGCTCTCAGATACGAGCCTGGTGCTCCGAGACCACGCATAGCTGATACGATCGCGAGACACGAACATCGGCCATGTCGGTTGTCTTGCTGTGCTGGATCGGGATGTGATGGATTGCTGGAAGAGCAGCTGGATGATGGCAAGTGGTGGGGAGAGTGTCGATGGCGATGTGGGTTGTGGGCAGAGACCCCGGCCGGCTCTCTCGCGGGGTTCTCGCTTGCCCTCGTGGGGCGGCTGTGCTGCCGGCGACGCTGTGTCTGTGTCCTCGCTCCTCGGTGCGACGCCTCGGCGTCAGAGTGACGCGCCGCCGAATCAGCCGGCTGCGCCACATGTCGGGTTCGCCCCAGCAAACGGTGAGTGCTGCGCGCTATGTATTCTGCTCGAGCTTTCACAACCCGACGACGAAAGAGGGAGAAGGAGAGAGACGGCATGGAAGAAGGCGGGTGCATGACGGCAGGACAGAGGCCGGATCGCTGCTGGCTGGCGGTGACCAGCGGTGGTGGGTTGTGGGTTCGTTTGGCGGCGTCGGTTGGATGGCAAATTCGGGATTTGGTTTGCGGCTCGGCGGCCGATCGTGATCCTCTGGCCTTGCACCTCTGATCGCCATCTCGCTCATCTTGACGTCGTCCTGACGTCGTCTTGACATCGTCTTGGCATCGTCCCGAGTCATTTCGCGACATCGTCGTCCCTTCCTGTCCGCCATGTCCGTGCTCCGACGATCGCTTGTGTCGATCAGGGGCAGCTCAAAGCCCAATCACTCCGGTGCCCACAATGACCCTTTGGCCATCTCGATCAGCCCAAGCGGATCGAGAGGACTTTGGCGGGCCGCATCGACCCAACGAGGGCCAGTCACCCCGGCCGCAGGGTTACCGCACTCTCCTGCCTTTTGTCGGGGCCATCTGTCGGTTTCCTCTGCCACCAGCCACACAAACGTGCCATTCCGGCCCACACAGGCCCCGTTTGCAACCACACCCAGCACCCCTTTCCGCCAAATCATGGTCATTGCCAAGTTGCCTGCAACTACGCTGCCTTGGGGATCTTCGCTGGACTTGCCGCTCACTGCTCCGCATCGAGCAGGTCCAGGCCAGTCTCGGGCGATGAGCAGCGCACCTCCCAGACAACCCGATGATTCGGCAGCGACCTCCAAGGGCGGCCTTTGCCAAGTTGAGGTCGATGCAGCAACCAAGCAGACTCTGGCGAATGCAGCCGGTCATCCGGAAAAGCCGGGACTCGATCGGGCCCCACAAATGCCACATGCGGGCTCTGCTGGTCCCGAAACCGTCCGAACGAAGCCGTCGGCATCCGAGCATCCACAGTTTTCGATGGGCTGGTGGAAGGACTGGGCAATCATCTTTGTCATCTTTGGCATCACCGGATCCACGGCCGTGTCGATTGTGCGGCCGTTTCTGAACAATGTCATCGGCATTGAAGGTAAGAGTGTGCACGGACGTCGGGCAGGAGATCAGCGTTTGTCGATGATCACCATCGGTCTGGCCACACGACAGCGATTGTCGATATCTCCCGAGACGATGAAGAAACCCGGCTGATACCGTGTATGCTCCATCAGGCACATTTGCCCAGGGCCCGTGGCTCTTCCGGATCTGCTATCTTATGACGACGCTGCCGTTCTACTCGCTTGTCTTGGTCACTGTGGGCACGCTCTTTGGGCGAGGGGCCTACTTCCGCTACGTTGCCCGGCGAATGTGGGGTCGGTTCATTCCAAGTTCCTGGCGGCCGTGAGCACCAAAATCTCTCTTCGATGATGGGAAGGGAATGGCGATCAACGAGCAAAGACCCGACGTTGAGGATGATTGCCTGAGCTGCAAATGTGGATTACAGCGACAATAAAACAATATCACACCCACCCAATGGAGGGAGTTCTGAGTTTGGCAGGTCGCTTGGCCCGGCCGAAGCTCATTGTTCATCAAGACGGGAGTGTTTCCCTGCTGGATCGACACCGCTGATCGCCGGGACTCTGGCCGGGTCAGGATTCCGCGTCCTTGGGTGGTGGTGATCCCCCTGTCTCCCGACTGGCCTCCTGGCTCTGGCTTGCGATCGCATCTCCCACCGAGGAATCTCTTTCCCATCGCACCGAGAGCCTCCACCATTTCTGATATTCTGCGTCTGTTCATCCTCGTCTCGACTCAGCACCGGCTCGGAACAGTGCCCAGGTTTGGAAACTATGCATTTGTATTTGCCTCATCGCCGAGCTTTTGGGTGCGCGAGGACGTTGGATCTGCCCCATACTGGACATCCCAGCTCACCCAGCCCATGTGGATCTCGATGATGTGTGTCGACAGATGCTACATGCTATTGCCGCTGCCGTGGGCACCATCGTCGTGCTGTTCGCCTTCCTATGGCTTGGCAATCGATGCCATCTCTTGGGCTTTCGATACCCGCCACATGGGGCCATCAGCTTCAGTCTCTCGATGAATATTTGCTTACCCATGGAGGGCCGTTCAAGCGGTTCAACTGAAGACTTTGAGCGATTCCTCGAAGATCACGATTTGATGGCGGAGTGTCCGGTGCTTATAGCTGCCGGATTCACGAACGCCAGATTGGTGGGTCTTGATGGGAGGGAGACGAGCACAGGCCTCGGTCGAACTTTGGGCAAATGCTGATACTTGCTGTTCCAGGTGCTCTTGATGACAGAGGACGAGATGAGGGCCATCGGGCTGACCGTTGGTGCTATGAAGAAAGTCAAGCTGGCACAAACCAACCCATCGACATTGCACATTTGTCTTCCCACCACGGAGTCTGGCCGCCTTGCCAATATCGAATCCAGGGACACATTCGACGAGTTTCTGGCCGAATGGGGATTGGAAAAGTCCAGAGCCGTGTTGGTCGAGAGCGACTTCGACACCATCGATGCTGTGGGTATTGCTGCTCGGTGTGCAAAAGGACTGGCCCGTTGCTGACCATCCGCCTTTGACTCAGGTTTTGGCAATGTCTCGAGGAGACATGGCCCAGATTGGACTCAAAATTGGCGCTCGAAGAAAGATCAGGGTCGCCCAAGGAGCCCTTCGAGCCCACGAGATCGCTCACTCGAAACAGTGTGTCTCCCGCGGCAACGCCGCTCTGCCTGAGATTCGCCTGACCAACCGGGGTCGCAAACGAGGCTCATCTCCTTCCATGACAGCGTCGCCGGCATGGAATCCAAATGAAGAGCCGACACCAAAGCTCCAGCACACTTCAGCTAAACCGAGCATCACAGAGGATGGCACGAGCGAGGAGGTCGTGGCCGATGCAAAGTTTAACCGTGAGCAAGATCCCGAGCCGAAATACTTTGGCCCTGAGCACTATACACCTGCCGAGATCATTCCCGACTGGGAATGTCGCCTTGAATGTCAGAGGCACGATGTTTTCATCAGGTACGGTCATGGGGTGCTCTTCATATTTCAGCCTGGATAGTGCCCTAGACTCACGTCAGCGTTCATAGCTACCGGGTTGCAAGCGAAAGCGACAAGGCAAATCTGTTGCTTAGTGCGCTCATATCCAACAAGAGAAGCCAGAGTTCCCTCCATCCCTATCTCGACCATTTGTGCCTTTGTAATGGGCAAAATTGGGAGGATGGCTTCATCAACGGGCTGCATCGTTCTCCTGTGATTGTGCTATTGTTGTCCGAAGAGGGGCTGAAACGCACCCTGAAGGCGCACCTCTACGCCGACAATCAATTCCTTGAGGTGAGCCGATCATGTGGGCAAGGTCAACGAGAACTGATTCTGACGCAGACGAACTACATAATAGGTTCAACACGCCTTGAAGCTCATCAAAGACCCAGAAACGAGGAAGTTTGTAATATTGCAGCCAATATTCATTTGGTGAACAGTCCGCGTGGGAGATGGGCTATTTTCAAGGAAATATTTTCCGGATCCAAAAGACTTTCCCGACTATCCTCCTCTCCATAAGAGCAGTCCCTTGTTTGACGGACGTCCGATGACGATTCGTAGGACATTTAATGAGCTCTTGAAGCTCCAAGCACTCGATGCTGTCGATGGAAATGCTCTCAAGAGGTAAGTCGGGTGAGGAACAAGAGGCACCGCGATTTGAGTACTTCAATAACCGGGAGCGGATCTGCCACCAGCCATGTTCCAAGCATCCGGGAGTTGATCACCAAGACAGAAAGAGCCAGAAAGAATGGCGAAGTGTATCATCAAAGTGGTGCGATTGTGCTCAATGCAGCAGAGATCGAGGCCTTGATGGCTCTCCTCATGCCTTTGAACTCGGAGCAGGATCGCCGATCACTTGAGAGACTGTATGTCGAGGGCACTCGCCAGTGGCTGTTCGACCAAACCACCGACTGGGTCAACCAGGATACCACCGACACTGTCCTGTGGGTCACGGCTGTTGCTGGAGTGGGCAAGTCTGTCGCTGCCGCCCAGATCGCCAACATCCTCACTGCATCCAACCAGCTGGTGTCGGCGCTGTTCCTCAAGTACAACGACACTCGCAAGAGCGATCCACGAGTGGTGCTGAACACCATCGCATACGGTCTGTGCAAGTGGTACTCTCCAATCGGCCGCAAGCTGCTCGATGCTGGCCACTCCAAGGACAGTCTCGACAAGATGAGCATTCCTGATCTGTTCAAGGCCGTGATTGCCGATCCACTCGGAGCCATCGGCGACTACAGACCCAAGGGATCGGTGATGGTCCTGGTGGATGCACTCGACGAGTGCTCTCCGCGCGACCAGCTGCTCAGTCTGCTTGCCTGGCGCTTCGTCGAGCTGAACAAGACCCGTCCGTGGCTCAAGTTGCTGCTGACATCCCGACCCGAGGAGGACATCAAGGCAGCATTCGATGGAGTCCCGACCAAGACGATCGAGCCCTCGAGCGAGGAGAACATCCTTGACCTCGAGGTGTACATCCACCACCGACTCCGAGTGCATGACACTCTCAGTGACTCGGACCGCACCGAGGCAGTCGCCATCCTGCTGGACCAGTCCAAGACATTCGTGTGGATCAACCTGATCCTCAACACCGTCGACGCAGCATCCACAGACGGCCCAGTGACACTCGCCACGATCAAGGACATCAACGATAGCGCCGCCGATGTCGGGCAGCTGTACCACAAGACATTTGCCAAGATCCACTCGCAGTCGAGCCACCCGGCCGAGCTGGTCGCGGTGGTGTCGGCAATTGCCACAGCCCAGTCGATCCTGACCCCGCAGATCATCGCCCATGTGTTTGGACTCGAGATCGGGGTCGTTCGCGAGTGTCTCAAGGGCCTCAGTCTGGTCCTCGATCCTGGCGCCAATGGACTGGGTCCCCGAGGCAGCCCGTCCACCAATACCGAGGTCAAGTTCAACCACAAGTCGGTGGCGGACTATCTCCTCGGCGATGCATCGACTGGCCATCCGTGGCATGTGTCGACTTCGTTCCACACGGTGTTTGCCAAGGGATGTCTCGGAGTGATCCTCTCGCACGAGCCAGTGATCAACATCTGCGAGATCTTCGAGTTCCACGACAAGATCCCAGACCTCGAGGACAGGGTCGCAGCCAAGATCACACCGTCGCTGCGATACAGCGTCGCCCACTGGATCACACACTTTGTGTGGTGTGTGGAAGGAGTGGCCGAGTCGAGTCCGGTGTGGCAGTCGGCCGAGATGGTCGATGTGGCAGCGGTGCTCACTCGGTTCGTCAAGACCCATGTATTCTTCTGGCTCGAGTGTGTGTCGCTCACACATGTGGTCAAGCCGATCATCGAGCAACTGGCTGTGCTGCGAGGAGTGACCAACATGGCACCCAGCACCATCGTCGACGACACCACGAAGGAACTGGTCAAGGACACGTATCGATTCATCCGCGAGTTTGCCGATCCGATCATTGCGAGTGCGCCACAGGTGTACAACTCGGGGTATGCATTCACACCGAAGGAGACGGCGATCTACAAGACATATGCCACCCAGCTCGAGGACAAGATCCCGTTCCTGGTCACAGCCGGTCCAGCACCCACCTGGGATCCGTGTGTGATGACAATTACTGGACATGAAGGTGGAGTGAGCTCACTTGTCATCTCGCCCGATGGCAAGTGGATTGTATCGGGATCAAACGACACGACCATCAAAGTATGGGATACCATCACTGGTCAGCTGAAGAACACTCTTGACGGCCACACAAACAGTGTGAGTTCCGTGGCGATATCACCCGATGGCAAGTGGATCGTCTCTGGGTCATACGACATGACAATCAAGATATGGGATGCTGCCACAGGCCAAGTGAAGCACACGTTCGACGTGCATACAAAGTTAGTAAGCTCCGTGGCGATTTCACATGATGGTCAATTCATTGTCTCGGGCTCTGGTGACATGACCATCAAGATGTGGAGCATGGATACGGGTCGCCTGATACATACAATTGAAGGTCACGCAGCATATGTTTGGTCTGTGGCAACCTCGCTCGATGCCAAGTTCATCATCACGAGCTCGGCTGACAGAACCATCAAGATCTGGGATACAGCCACAGGGCAGCTGAAGCACACACTCGTGGGACACACCGACCAAGTGATGTCCGTAGCGATCTCGCCTGATGGAATGTCAATTGCATCCGGCTCCAGTGATCGCACCATCAAGGTGTGGGACTCAACCACGGGTCAATTGAAACAAACACTCCAGGGACATACAAGCGATGTGCATACCTTGACATTTACATCCGACAGCATGTCGATCGTTTCTGGCTCATATGATAAGACAATCAAGGTCTGGAATGTATTGACAGGTCAAGTTGAGCAAAGTATTGAGGGGCATACAGACGTTATCAATCAAGTCGCCGTCTCTGCGAATAGTGAGCTGATTGTGTCTGCATCCAATGATGAAACGATCAAAGTTTGGGAGCCCCTGAAGAGTCCGACAGCGTACACACGCGTGGGACATACGGGCTCCGTCGAAGCCGTTGCCGCATCCCCAGATGGCCGTTGGATCGCTTCAGGATCCAGTGATAGAACGGTCAACGTGTGGGACGCAACAACAGGTCGTCTGGTTCAATCCCTCGGAGGACATATATGGCCCATCACTTCTTTGGAAATCACCACAGACAGCAACACGATCATTTCCCGGGATTGGGATGGTCGAGAGATTATATGGACTCGACACTTGGACGAGTTTTTACCCTCGAACCAGAGTAGTGAGAGCTTTGCAGTTGCCCCAACTCCTGTAACATCAAGCGATTGGATGCTGGAAGGCCAGGCAACAATCCTCCGAAACCGGGGAGCAACAAGTATTCCGCTCCAGTGGATTCGACATGGAGGTCAGCTGTTCAAAGTACCAAGTTCACTTCACAACTGGGATCACCGGAAAATTATATCAGAATCCCTTATAATGGTCAATTCCCAACCTGTCATCATTCGGGTGAGTTTTTATGTTGATGGACTATATCAATGAATTGATACTAACACATCCCCTCACAGCCCAACTTGCGGAGTACCTCGGTCGCGGTGACTACAGCCAGCTCAAATTGAAATGAGACCCGACTATTTCCAGCGATATCCAGCGGCGGTCGCTTCAAATCTGGTAATACTGCCTCATTTGCGACTGAGGGAGAATGGTCATAGTGCCATGGAAGGTCGCAGCAGGCTCCCTGAGACGAAGGGTTGACGTGAGATTGAATCTCATTCCAAATACATACAGGGAGGATTGACGGTCGGATATCAAGTGACTCGCTGTTGCGTCACTGAGAAACTCGACTGTTCTCTCGGTCACTCAGCGATTCATGTTGTTCATGTGCGTTGATTCGACGATTGGATGTATTGAAAGTTGAATAAAGCGCTGCTCATGGTGGCTTTGAAATCAAGATTGGCTGTAGCTTTTATTTTTTTTGTTTCAATAGCGCACTTTTATTTGTGTGCGCCTGCCCTCGGCATCACAGATACTCGGCAAAGTGTCGTTCTGGAAGGTGGCTATACGCCTCCTCCCCTGGGCTATCTGGAAGGTGGCTACAGGCCTCCTCCCCTGTGCTATCTTCTATGGGTAGGTGCTGCCCACCCAGCCAGGTCCTTTGTCAGCTTCACGAAGATTTGTGAGATCGTACCCCACAGAGCATCTACATCTGTGTCAGTTCTCACGAAACGCACCATCCTCTCACTTCTGTCGTACCCAACATGGCTGAGGAAGTCGAGGATCTTGTCTATCGGCCCCACACTATCGTGAGTCGGTTCCTCCCACTCTGGGTGTCGGGCTTTGTACTCTCGGACCACCTCGTGGAGGCTTCCGTCTGGGTCAGCACATTCCTGAGCATGTGTTCTGTCGAGGATCACCGGGTCATTTGGGTCTGTCGTGCACTGCTTGCAGTGTCTCCTCCCGCCTTTCGGGTGGCCAGGGAAGCTTCCGAGTCTCCATCGGGCCGCGATGCAGTGCAGCCATCGGTCCATTTTGGATTTCTTGGCAGCCCACAGGCCCGACATGGTCGTCAGGGGCGAGCAGGCCGCCGTCAGCTCTTTCTTCCGGTCGAAACTGCGGGCGTCTTCGAGGTGCATCGCCATTCTCAGAGGTGAGCCAGGTTCTTCAACCGTTCCTTCCGCGAAGAGCCACCTCATCGGCCACAGGGGACGCCGGGTCTTGACTTGTTCGAGGCGCTTCCAGTAGTCGTCCTCGTAGATGGTTGCTCCCAGGAATATGGACTTGCGCTCTGGGTCTGCGCGAGTGAATCGGAGCACCAGCGAGACCATCTTGTCGTCCTGGTCTTTCCGATCCTCCCAGACAGCCCGGTATTGGATCGCCAGCTGTTTGAGGCGGCCCGACATTGAGATGAGCCTGCAGTTGATGTGCATGGCTCCCCACGATGTGTTTCGAACCACTTTGAACAGCGCCGTGAGGCAGTGCATCTGCCAACAAGCAGGCAGCTCCAGCGTCGCCGTCTCATCGGTCACTCCCAGCTTGTCTAGCTCGACCATCTCAGCCACGGCCACTGCGACCTTGATTGCTTCGTCCCCCGCCACGACCAAGAGCAAATGCCGCAAGACCACCACCCCTGCCACCGCGACTTCGACCCCTGTCTACGGATCCAGCGCCGTGCCACTCTCTACCCCTGTCTATGGATCGAGTGCGGTGCCTTCCACCGTGACCGCCTCAGTGCCTCCTGTTGTGACTTCCGCTGCCTCTGCCTCTGCCAACACCCTCACTGCTGCTAGCTCTGTTGCTCCCCATTCCGCTTCCTCGACTGGCCCCTCTGAGTTCACTGCTGTCATTTCTTCCTCTGGCGCCTCCTCCACTGCCGCGACTTCCGGAGCTGTCGTTCCCACCTCTGCGGTGACTGTTGGCCCTGTTCCCACCCAGTCTTCTGCCTCCAGCTCCAAGGCCCACACCACCTCGCCCGTCGTCGTGCCCTCCTCGTCCTCCTCCGTCAATGTCATCACCAGCAGACACATCTCTGCCTCTGGCGCTGTTTCTGACACCTCCGCTGGCCAGGCCACCACCACCACCGACCATCGCCCTTCTCGCACCCGCACTTGGAGCGAAGTTCCTTCCGACTCGGCCACCCCCTCCACTTCCACTTTGACTGAGACCTCGACCACCACTACTGACCATCGCCACCGCACATCGGCCAGCTCAGATGCCACTACCGAGGCCTCCTCGACCTCTACCGTCACCACAACCACTGCCGACCACCCCCACCGCTCGTCCACTACCACCACCACCACCACTACCACCACTACCGTGTTCACTACACCCTCTCCCAGCAACAACGGCGGCGGTGGTCAGCCCTCGACAAGCACCAGCGACAACGGTGGCGGACACCCCGGTCGCAACACCGACTCTGCCACGAAGATCACCTCTACGACCGCCTCCGCCCCTGCCTCTACGACTGCCTCGGCCTCTGCCTCTTTCCCCACCGCTCCTGCTTCCTTCGCGACCGAAACTCCTCAGGTCTGATTCCCAAGACCTCCTCCCCTCCCCTTCAATATCCCTATGACAGTATACACCTTACCTCAACTCGGACACTCTATGATATAGTCTGCGCAGGCGATACCGGCCCTGCGCGGAATCTGGTGTAGAATTACCTTACTCTATTGATGCCTTAAAATACTTTAGTCCTTGAAAAATGAACTGAATACATGCCAACCAAAATGCCATGTTTTTTTTTTTTTGTTTTGATAGTTGTATATTCAGGAATATTCAACATGCCATCAGTATCGCAGGATACCCGGCAGTGGGTGACCAAGCTCGCTCATACACCCCTGTTGCGGCCTTCGCCGACTCTCCAGCCCACACGGCGAGCCATGCGGGTGAACACTTCTTCTAATAGCTCCCAGAGGGAGTCGCATGTCTCCAAGTCCCGCTCCGGGATGTCGGGGGCTGGTTTCTCCAAGTCCCTCTCTAGTATCAACTCGAACCCACTCCAGGGTTTGCTGTGCGGTGTTGGGTCTTGACTTGCCCTCAAAGGAGTGTGAGTTTGTCTGTGGGAGGGGTACTCGGGATTTATCTCGTATCCTGGGGTCTGCCCCAGACCCAAGTCATCGTCGGACTCTGGGATCGGGTCAGTACTTCGTCCTTGGGAGGGCGTGGGAACCTCTATGGTTTCGAGGCCAGAGACTATGTTTCTATTCGTCTTCCTGGCCCGGTTTCGGTCTCCATTGTCTTCGTTACCATCAGGGAAGTACTCTGAGCCAGACTCTGAGACTGACTCTGAGGTTCCTCCCCAGTTCGACCCCGAGGCAAGGTCTGAGCTCGGTTCGGGGTGGTGGGGCACTAAGTCCACACTCTGGTCGGAGTGAGGTACTAAGTCCCCACCAAGGTCAGAGTGAGGCACTAGGTCCCCACTATGATCGGAGTGGGATACTAAGTCCAAACTCTGGTCAGTGTCCCAGCAGTAGTGTCCTCCACTATCGAGAGACAGTTCGTCAAGCTCGTCCCAGATTGGTCTCGGCGTTGGGTCGGTTCTTACCAAGAAGTCAAAGTCAATGTCGTAGTCTGACACTGAGCTGACTTCAGAGCCAAGGTCCGAGTCCACTTCGGGACCAGTCAGTCTGAGCCTCCCCATCCGAGCAATCACTCCCGGTAGGGAGCTCCAGAGCCGATCTCGATCATCAAAGTCGTCGTCTACATCAGCATCACTGATGCCAGTGTCATCATCTGTATCCGAGACTATTGATGCGATCAAAAGCCCCGGTCTCTCCCCTCGCTTCCCCACCGAGTGATTATTATTGTTATTGCCATGTCTCTCTCTCCCTGGTGTTTGGGTTCCCACACCAGTGTGCTGCTGTTGCTTTTTTTTTTTGTTACTATAGTCAACTTTATTTAAGAAGACAAGCCATCAGGTCCAACAGGTTGGTACCCCGGCACGTTGAGTACACAGGCAAGCCTATTTACTCCTGTTGCAGCCTAGTGCTGCCTCAGCTGCCCACAAGGTCTGAGACCAAGCGGGTGAACACATTTTCAAGCAGTTCCCACAAGGGAATAGCAGGATCGACGGGAGGTCGGGGTGGTGGAGTGACAAGTGCTGGCACTATACTACGCTGTGATGAGGGTGCAGGGAGAGACTGCAAGGGTGGGACTACACTGGTTGTGGGAGTGGGTGCTGGTACTGGGTGTGCACCAAGTGCGAATGCTCGGAAGGCAGTGCGGGGAGCGGGTACATGAGCAGCAAGCGATCCAAGTGCGGGAGGGGTGCGAGTGCGAGGGGGAGTGCGATCGAAAGAGAGCAGGTCCAGCAGCTTGTCCACTGGTCCCACTCCGGCTATACCACTTTCCACCCAAGTCGGGTGGGCCGTCTTGAGGGCTGCGACCTTGCGGACCAGGACTTGATGCGGATCCACACATTGCTGTGCGTGGGTCCTGGTCAAGTCGATCCCGGATCCGTGTCGAGCCAGGTTCTTGCACTTGCGGTATCCAAACCTGAAGTGGCCTGGGAGAGCACCGAGTCGCCATCGGACCATGAACATGAGCATGACCATGGATCCTTGGTACCCGCGAGCCTCCCAGAGTCCCGACATCTTGGTCGACGGGGTGCAGGCGGCGGTGAGTTGCTTGGAGCGGTCGAAGCCGTTCTTCATGTGGTCCTCGAAGATGAGGGTCTTGATCGGGACGGGCTGGGGTCGGGGCGGTCCGGGCGGCGGCGGCTGGTGTCGGGTCTTGCCTCGGTAGATCTCCGTGGCCGTGAGGGAGTGGTCGGCCTCTTGTCGGCGGACCACCATGGCCCAGTGCGGATCGGCTCGGACTCCTTGGCCGAGGAACTGGTCGGGGTGGTACGGCGCAATGATCTTGTTGCGCAGGATCATCGACAGCATCTTGTCGCCGTCAGAGACTTGGTCGTCCCAGCGGGCCCAGTTCTGGAGGGCCAGCATCTTGACACGGACGGACATCTTGGGAAGGCCGCAGTTGAGGTGCATGGCACCGATGGGAGTGCCGGGGCCGACGCGGAACATGGTGCGGAGGGCCGTCATCTGTGCGTCGTCGAGGCGGTCGCGCAGAGCCGGGTCCGGGATGTCCATGGCCATCCCGTATTCGAGGGTCGGCCGCACAAAGGTCTTGTAGACCTGGGTGATGGTCTTGGCCGAGACCTTGCCGAGGGTGATGCCGAGTCCAACCACGGTGTCGGTGACCATGTGGACCTTGCGGAGGAGCTTGTCGAACTGGAGGTCCGGGCGGAATCCGTCAATGTCGACCATGACACCGAGGTAGCGGAACTGGAGGACCTTGGGCAGCTCGGTGCCGTACAGCTTGGCGGGATGGAGCTTGTAACGTCCACTACTGGGACGTTGGGGCAAGACGGGGAGGGAGGGGGTACAAGACAAGACAGGACGGGGCAGAACAGGGCGGTGCTAGGCTACTCTAGCGGACGGGTGAGCTCGGGGAGCACTTACGTTTATTCACGATAAAACCGAACTCCAGACAAACGGGGGGAACGGGGGCAACCCGCAGGTATACCCTGCGGTGGCCTGCCTGCGGTGCGTGAAAACGCAAAGCGCAGCACAGGTCACGACCCACTGCGCCGCGCAGTACGCGCAGTACGCGCAGCACAGCGTCGGAGATACCATCTCCTACACTCCCACACTTAAGAAGGCTTCCTGCGAGGAGCCCTGCGTGTGCTCTTTATTTGGGGCTCCTCGAGGTGTTTACCGTATTTACTCAGCTCCTCGGGTGCATGGGACAAGTCCTCCAGTGTTTGCCATGTGTTGCCCGAGTGTGGGTAACCAACCCACTTGACATAAAACCGAAGTGACCCATCAGCCACTTTCTTGTGCCTCACGATCCTTTCGACTTCATATTCTTGAGTATAGTATTGTCCGAGGTCGTCTTCCAGTGGTGCGTCGTCCGGGACACCTTCGTCGGCGTCGGGGAACTGTGCTGGACTGCGGGTCGTGTGGCGACGCAGCTTGGACACATGGAAGACAGGATGGAGCTTGCTTCCAGGTGGCAAGTCCAACAGGTAGTTGAGGGGACTGGGTCGGGCCGCTATCTTGAACGGTCCTCGGTACTTGGGCAACAACTTCTTTGACTGGGCTTCGGGGACCTTGATGTTGTCGGCGTCCAGGTAGACAAGGTCTCCAACTTCAAAGGAGACATCCTGGTGTCGGCGGTCGTAGTACTTCGCCATCACTTGTTGCGCATCCGTGAGCGCGTCGGCGATCATCTTGTGTCGGACTTGATGATCTTTGACAAAGGCACTTGGTTTGGGAGGCAATCCAGCCGTGGACTCGGTCAGTGTCAAGGAGGTGGGAACATCAGGCTGGAATCCGTAGAGCGCCTCAAAGGGGCTCAAGCCAGTTGTGCTCGACTTGGCGGTGTTGTATGCAAACTCTGCATGACTCAGCTGTATGTCCCAGTCGTCTTGGCTGGTCGAGGCGTATGTCCTCAGGTATTGCTCGAGGGTGCGGATCGTCCGCTCGGACTGTCCATCCGTTTGTTGGTGGTGCGAGGTTGACATGTTCAGCTTGGTGCCGAGATGGTCGAACAGACTTGTCCAAAACAAGGAGGTGAATCGGGGGTCTCGATCACTGACGATGGACTTTGGGAGGCCGTGGTGCTTGAACACATGCTTGAAGAACAGCAGTGCAAGGTCAGGCGCGGAGCATGTCGTCTGGCACGGCACAAAGTGTGCCATCTTGCTGAACCTGTCGACAAAGACAGCGATTGCATCGTGGTCCAACTTGGTCGTCGGTAGATGCGTGATGAGATCCATGGACATGCTGGTCCAGGGGCGGTCGGGAACAGGCAGGGGTTGCAGCAATCCTTGCTCTCGGGTCGTGCGTGACTTGACCATCTTGCAGGTATGGCAGGACTCGATGTACTTCTCGACGGTGCGCTTCATTCCAGGCCAGTATGCGACTTTGGCCAGTCGGTCGTATGTCTTCTCGACTCCAAAGTGTCCAGCGAGGGGCGAGTCGTGGACCTCTTGGAGCAACTTGGTCTTCAACGACGGAATGTCCGGCACACAGACACGGCTGTCCTTCTTCAGGAGGAGCAGGCCATCACGCACTGTGTACTCGGATGATTCGTCGTCCTTGGGGAGCTTAGACACCTTTCGGAACAGTTCTCCGAACTGTTTGTCGTTGGCGATGTTGTCTCGGACAACATCCAGCATCGTGTTGTCGACACTGACAGTCGACTCGTACAGTGACGCCAATTGGTAGTCGGGGCGTCGGGACAGTGCGTCAGGCACCACATTGAGTTTGCCTTTCTGGTATACAACCTCGTAGTTGTACTCGGCGAGGAACTCCATCCATCGCGCTTGGCGTCGGCTCAGGTTCTTCTTGGTGTCGAGGTAACGCAGTGACTGGTGGTCCGTCACAATCTTGAAGGGCTTGGCGGTACCGTGGAGGTACACTCGGAACTTCTGCAGCGCGTAGATGATCGCAAGCTGCTCCTTCTCGTGCACGGGATAGTTGATCTCGTGTTGGGACAGTTTGCGCGACTCGAAGGCAACGGGCCTTCCCTCCTGCATCAAAACAGCTCCCACCGCAAAGTCGGAGGCGTCGGTGTGCACGGAGACATCCGTGTTCGGGTCGAACACAGCGAGGACAGGAGCGTTCGTCAAGGCGTGCTTGAGGGTCTCGAACGCTTGGCGTTGTGGGTGGTCCCACACGAAGGGGCACTCTTTGCGGAGTAG